ACGCTTAGTGTTTGTTTTGTGTTAACCAAAGGTTTATTATACGCAGAAAGATAGTCTTTCTCTCCTATATATATATATATATATATATATTAAAAATATGGCAATACCATAAAATCTTCACTACACTTTAATTTTTTATATGTGTTGCTGTGTGCCGTATCGCCTTTGTGACCAGTCTATCAAAATTCACGCATTATAGACAAAAATAGTTTTCTGACCATCTCAAAAATACTTATAGCGAGAGGATACAGTGTTCCTACTTGAGATTGAGACAAATTAGAAAATGTTTTGGATGAATCAAAATGTACATGTAGACAATCGAGATACCTAAAAAGGCATAGATTTACCTTGTATAAAGCATTTAATTGGATAAAATGCATAAATAGTTTGAAATTTCACGAATTATATTTTCCAAATTTGTTATAAAAAAAGTAAGAAGTTACTATTTTTAAAATATTCTATTGGATTAGACGCAAAGTAATCTGAAATCCCATAAATAGTATTCGATGTAAATGATTTTAATTTACTAAAATCTGCCATTTACTACAGTGATAGATCAATGTAATTGGTCTTCCATTTGCTGTGACTATCTTTTAATGAATATCTGGTATTCGGTTCCTATTGGTTAGAATAAATAAACTCGTTATGTAGAAAAAAAAAGCCTAAACAAGTTTGAGAAGCAGGACATAGTTTTGCTATCGATTTGTTTAATGCATTTGATTTGTATTATTTGAGAGTAAGAATCGGTGTAGAGTCAATAAATACCAAGTTATTTAGAAGGATCTCTTAAAGGCCTAAATAAGGGCATCATATTTCAGATAAAAGCTTTAGTAAAATAGCAACCTCTCAAGGTGAATTCCATCAAAACACAAGGTTGGATAATAAGGAATGGTCAATTGAGAACACCCTCTGAAAACGTATTAGTGGTTTATTTGAAGAAAAGAAAAAAAAAGGTACCACTATTGTAGCCAATAATATATCTTTAAAAGTTAAATTTTCAAGTGGTAGTTAATTGACCACCCCTATTTGATACCTTGATCATCAACTAGCTAATTAAAATTAAACCTTTTCGCCTTGAAGCTTTCATTGCAACGAAAGTAACTAGTATACCTTTTGAACCATTTATTGAATGTTTCAAAAAAAAATTATATAGAATTATAGATGGATATAAATTTTATTGGTTGGTTCGTCTGAGACAAGAAATAGAACAAAGTAACAACCGGACACACACATATATACATATACAGTTGCATGCCCTGAATGTTGTGTATTGGATATGTGTTTCGTTCGTTCATCAAATCAGCTTGTCACAAAATAGTTTTTTTCTTCTTTTGTTTCATACCTAAAGAACAAAAAAAAATTGTGCAAAGAATTAAACGATGTAATAAAAGACCTCCTACTATTTCTACTAGTATTAAACATAAATCTTCCTATTTCTGAATTATTTTATACCTGATAAAATATGCATACAAAGACGTTTACGAAACATCAATAAAAATATTATATTTTAAGATTTTCTATCTTTCAGTTAAGAATTATTACTGATGAAAGGACTCAAACAGTAAAGAACATTTTTGGAGAATTTGTCGGGTATTAAAAGCTAGAAAAAAAATTGTGAAAAGCAAATGAGCCAACACCCGCCATGTCGAAAATGTTGAGATCTCAATAGTACTACATCCTTTTTCAACCACGATTCCAGTTAGAAAACAATAATAAGGAGTAAATTTCTAAAACTAAAAGGCTAGATCTAATTCCAGATTGAAGATGCGCGCGCAAGATCTAACAAAATATTATCACTCTTAACGAGCGATTAAAGCAAAGACAGATCAGGCAGGAAGTTTATAAATCGTTGGCTCAATGATGTCTTCCATATACTTCTCAATCAAAAAAAAACCTAGAGAGATCTGGTCGTATACTTGTAAGCAGCAAAACCAGCAGATAAAACTGTGAGCATGAAAAAGGTTTTACTTTTGAAGATCAAGTTGCTGTGGACAGCCGGCATGTATGGGGTGCAAAAATGTCTGAGACAAAATCCGGTTTGAGACCTATGATTGGATAACCGAACAGAGAGCGGGCCTTGTCACAAAAGCAAGTCCCCTAAAAGGCCAAATTTCTATATAAAACTTTTCTTTGCCCAATAGCTTCAGTAACTTTCCTACTTCCCTCCACTCTTTTCTCAGATCGTGCTCATTCATCATAATGCCATCCACATACCAAGCCAAAGATGTTGAAGGTAAGAATACCAGCCTATACAAGTTGTTTAAAGCACATCATACTCACACTTATTATTTATTGTAGTCAAAGCCGAAAAGGTAGATAAGAAAGAGAAAAAGGCCTCCAAAGAAGAGCGCAGAGCCAAGAAGGAGGAAGAGAAGTCCAGAAAGCGTAAGGAGGAAGAACTCAAGGATGTCCAAGAAGAGGTTACCCAGAATGTTGCTGAGCCCATCGTCACTGAAGAGCCTGAACAAAAGAAGCGCAAAGTAGTTGCTAAGGAAGAGATCAAGATCGAAGAGACTTCCCCCAGCGAGACTGATGAGATCCCCGACAACTTGCGTCTCTCTAGCTTCCGTATCTCTGAGGGTACCATCAAGAACCTCGAGTCCCGTGGTATCAAGTCTCTTTTCGAGATTCAGGCTGCTACATTCGATAACATTTACGATGGCCAGGATATGCTTGCTCGTGCCCGTACCGGTACCGGAAAGACCCTTGCTTTCGCTCTTCCCGTCATCGAGAAGCTTGCTCTGCAGAAGGAAAACAACGATCGTCGCGGTCGTGCTCCCCGTGTTCTTGTTTTGTGCCCTACCCGTGATTTGGCAAAGCAGGTTTGCGGTGACTTTGAGTCCATCTCAGGAAACAGACTCAAGACCCTCCCCGTCTATGGTGGTGTACCTTACCCCGAGCAGACCTCTGTCCTCAGAGATGGTGTCGATGTCATTGTCGGTACTCCTGGTCGTATCCTCGATCACATCAAGTTCGGAAACATGAAGCTCCACAACCTTTCCTTCATCATTCTTGATGAGGCAGATGAGATGTAAGTATAGATGTCATTAAAAGTAAAAAGCAATTACTGCTGTTGTGGGATTTTTTTTCGGGCAAGTTATTTATGCAAATATCAATTCTTTTAGGTTGGATGCCCGTGGTTTCCAGGACGATATGTTCAAGGTTTTGGAAAACATCAAGGAACAGAAGACTGCCCGTGATTACCAGACCCTCTTGTTCTCTGCTACTGTCCCCGAATCTGTCATGGAGACCATTCAGCGCTTCATGAAGCAGGACTACATCCGTGTCGATTTGATCGGTAACGCCAAGAACAGAACCAACACAAACATCCGTCACATTGCCATGCCTTCCTCATACCAGGCCCGTGCTGATATTATCGGCGATGTCGTAAACGTCTATGGAAAGAGTGGTCTCACCGTCATCTTCTGTGCCACCAAAGCCGATGCTAACGAGCTTGGTACCCACGAGAAGCTCAAGAACGACTCTGCCGTTCTCCACGGTGATATCGCACAGGCTTCCAGAGAAGCAACCATGAAGGCTTTCCGTGAGGGCAAGTACAAGTGCATTATCTGTACTGATGTCCTCGCCCGTGGTCTTGATATTCCCCAGGTCGATTTGGTCATCAACTGTCAGCCTCCTAAGGATACCGAGAGTTACGTCCATCGTTCTGGTCGTACTGGTCGTGCAGGTCGCTCAGGTGTCTGTGTCACTTTCTACAAGCCTATGGAAGAGGGTCTCCTTGGATACATCTCCAAGAAGACTGGTGTCCAATTTGAGTCTATGGCTGCTCCCCGTCCTGAAGACATCATCAAGGCTACCACTGAAGATGCTTTCAAGTCTATCGATGAAGTCAAGGCCGATGTCATTCCTTACTTCACCGAGTCTGCCCAGAAATTGATCGAGAAGCACGGTGCCGAACACGCTGTCGCTGCTGCCCTCGCTTGCATGGCCGGCTACGGCCAGGGTATTGCCAACCGTTCCCTCCTCACCTCTATGGAAGGTCAGACCACTTTGTTCTTCCAGCTCAACCACACCATCAACCACGCTGGTTACGTACGTAACATCCTCAACCGTGAATTCCCCGAGCTTGCCTACGATGACTGCAAGGGATGGCGTATGACCAAGGATGCCACTGGTGTCGTATTTGATGTTGTTTCCAAGAAGGTCGATATTACCGATGGTGTCATTAGCCTTGCCGGCAAGGCATGGACCCAGAAGCCCAACATTACTCTTGAGGCCCCTAGCTTCCTTCCCGAGCTTGCCGAGCGTGAACAGCGCAACGGTGGTGGAGGAGGTGGCTATGGCGGTGGCTATGGTGGTGGCCGTGGTGGAGGATACGGTGGTGGAAACCGTAACGGTGGTGGTTATGGTGGTGGAAACCGCAACGGTGGCGGTGGAGGATACGGCGGAGGCCGTGGTGGAGGATACGGTGGAGGCCGTGGTGGCGGACGTGGTGGTCGCAGATAAATTACTCAACAGCAACATTTTCTTTCATCCCAGGTTCCAATACTCTCATATATAGCCCCTAAATCATTACCCTTCCACCTTTGGTTTACACTTCCATATTCTTTTTATTATTATCTCTTTTATTGTATGTCACATTGATTTCTCCGTTTCTCATCATTTCACTTAGACATCTTTTATTTATTGCATAAAAAAATGTAGCCTTTTCTATATTTCAACTATAAAACAAGAAAGATATCAAATCTTTCTTTTGAACCCAAAAAATAAAATAAAAATAAGCTACGCATAGTAGTGTATTGTTCATTTTGTAAAGACCAAATTTTATTCTGTAAACTATTTTTTGATTGGCTTATGTGTATGTGTGTTGAATATAATTGGCTAACCAAGCTTTTTACCCTTTATTCTTTTGGCCCTACCTTAACCCCCCCCTTTATTTTTTTCATTTATCGAACAAAAAAGGGAACTTTTTTTTTATATTTTTTTTTGAATAATAGGTTTTTTTTTACCTTATTCTATTTTTTTTTCTTTATTGAAAAATGGACTTCTTTAGCAGAGGCTATGCAGCCATACGAGGTGAACGTGGACAACCTCAGGAAGCGGATGAGACGATTGAGAAACTAGCCGACTGTCTTGAGACTGCGACACTTCTGGAGGACCGACGCGCTGGCGTACTTAGCTTAAAGGGCCTTGTACGAGATTGGCCAGAGGTCAGTCATGTCATGTTTCTGTGATTACCTTGTTGACATTCAAAACAACAGGAAGTAGGCAACAAGAGTCTTCCTGGGTTGATTAAAGTACTTCACACGGATTACAGAGATGCAGATGTCACAAAATCTGTTCTCGAAACTATTAATGTGCTGTGCACTGTCGACCATCCTGTAGGTTATCCATTACACACTTGAATAGAGCAATATATATATAGACAAAAAAAACTATGTGTATTAACAAATTATGTATTTTGAACAGGATGTTAAAGAAGATAGGGGATATCGCTTCACAGACTACTTTATTGAGGTAATGTGTGTTATTGTTTGCCTATCTTATACACACATTGAACAGTGATGAGTTAATGGGGCAAATGTTTATATATGTATTAGGACTCTACAAATGTAACTCTCTTGCTCGATATTCTCGAGGAGTACGATTTTTATGTTCGATTCAACACCATCAAACTGCTCTCAACCATCCTGACAAACCGTAGTAAGCGAATTCAAGAGTGTATCCTGACAAGTCCTATGGGTATCACTCGTCTCGTGGATCTTTTGGATGACAAGAGAGATATTATCCGCAATGGTAATGATATATTTAATACAAAAATTTCTACATTGCTTTTTTTAAGAAGAAAAATATTAATCAACTGAAGATGGATCTTGTTTACCACAGAGAGTTTATTGTTATTAATTGCACTTACTCGTAACAACACCGAGATCCAAAAGTTGGTTACATTCCAAGCAACCTTTGAGAAACTTTTGGTTGTGATTGAGGAGCAAGAGGGTATTTCGGGTGATATTGTCGTTCAAGACAGTTTGACATTGATGCACAACCTGCTTCGTTATAATGTTTCCGATCAGGTATGCACATGGAGTTAAACAGGTGTGTTGACCAGATCAGACTCTTATCAACAAACCACAGGTGTACTTCCGTGAGACAAGCTGTATTCAGCAAATCCCTGGACTACTTGGTTATGTAGGAGACAGCGATGCTGATCATGTTCCGTTTTCTTATGAAGACTGGCCTCCTCAAAAAGTGGCCAACACAGTGCTGGTACTTGAGCTCATCCGGGTCTTGGCTGAGCCCGACGGTACAAACACACCCATGAACCAAAAGGTGATGGCCCAAAGCGGGATTTTATTACCTATCGTTCAATTGGGTATATGCTCCAATGCACCCTCCATTGTTCGTACCGAAGCTTTGTATTCGATTGCATATGTCATCCGTGCCAATCCAGTCAACCAGGATTTGTTCTCGAAAATTGCTGTTGCAACTCCCCCTAAAATGATCGATGGAAAGATTGATACTCATGCTACACCAGATCAGCCACGTCCTGCAACAGTTTCTTTGATTGCTATTGCCACAATGTCTGATCCTAGCAACAAGTATAGCTATGCTAGCAGAGCTGCTGCTGCTTATGCAGTATTTGCTTGTGTAGAAAGAAATAAAGATGCTCAGATAATCTTGGCATCTACTATGAAGGCTCCCCCAGGAAATGCTACAGGACAACAACTTACAGGCATGTCAATCCACATACCCACATGTTCATGTACATCTTGTAGATTCTATTATTTTTCGCCCAAGACATTTTGTGCTAATGTTTCTTTTAATATTGTGCAGAAAAAGGATACTCGGCTGGATCTTTTCTACTGGGTGTGATTGATGATTGGGAACTGTCTTTTACAGATCCTTACAAGGTGTGGTTTGCATGTGCCATATTGTCTCAAATAATCAAAGACAATGAAACTGCCAAAAAGATTGCTGGGAGTGTCATGTTTGGAGAAGAAGCCAATGGTAGGTTCGAGGATATGGAAATAAACTTGCGACTTAAGCTTATATATTTATATTTGTAGGTGAAGAGCCTGTTCCTCTGTTGCATCATATTGTTGCCCAGTTACTCATGTCTACCAAGAACCCTGCCACAAATCCACGGATACCTATTGCTTATTTGTGCTTGTTGTGTACATGGCTTTATAATAGTCCAGAGTCAGTGAGCCTATTTCTGTCGGAAAGCACACATGTCCAGTTTGTAGGTCTCCTATCACAGTTGACTGTCTAAATACTGACATCCCTACTATTGTAATGTAGCTAATCCAAGAAGTGCAATCACCAGCGAATGACCCTATTGTACAAGGACTCGTTTCTTTTTTGCTGGGTATTACTTATGACTTTAATAGTGACCCAAACACTCCTTTGAGCAGGTATACAATATATATATTATTTTATTGGGTGGTCCAATAGAAGCAAGTATAAGTATCTTAAATCATTTATGCTGGATGTTGATAGAGAGAATCTCCAAGCCATCATATCTAGTCGTGTGGACCAGTTTAATAGCCATATGTCACGTCTTCGTGACAGTCCTGCTGTGAAGAACTCGCCACAGTACCTTCAAATTTCAGCGGAAGAAGAATCACTCGCAAACAGTACAAGTTCGCTTCCATTCTTATTCCTCGAAAGTTCGTTTGTAGAGTTCTACAAGGATACATATGGTAATACACGCATATACAAAGGGAGGAAGAGAGAGAGAAAATAAATATAGATACAGTAATACTTTCCCTTTACGAAAAGTATTATCATCCAATAATGGCTGAAATGACGTTTTTTTTTACAGAGAATGTTCAAAGATCTATTAAGAGGAAGCCAGCTAGCTTTGTGCCAAGAAAATCCTATGGTAAGTTTCATGTGTGTGTGTACAAATTATGGATCCTGTGGTGACACTTTAAAATGTTGTGTAGCATCAGCAGCAGCAGAAGGCTCGACAGTTTCAAATGAGATTGTGAGCGCATATAAACTTACAATAGAAAAGCAAGCTTCAGATATCAAGAGTCTTGAAGAAAAAGTTTCTGAGCTTACAATGGCTTTGAATACTATGGTATAGTAAAAAAAAAAAGATACGTTGGAAATTATTATTTTTAACTTGATACTATTTCTTTTTCGTTGATATATATATGTATAATTGATGATATGATACGTGTATCACGCATTAGAAATCTGAAGAAGCTTCACTTAAAGAAAAAGTGTCCAAACTTGAGGATAACCTGGCTACTGAGAAGCTAAAGAGTGAAACAGTCGAGAAAGAGCAAGAGGATCTTTTGGTGTGCATGGGTAAGAGTTTTACTGGTAAAGATTACTAGTATCTTTTTGGTTTAATTTTACCTGTTTAATTTATTAGGTGAACAAGATCTTGATATCAAGAAGTACAGGAAGAGGTTGAGAGATCTCAACCAGGATGTTACAGATAGCGAGGACGAGGGCGATGAATAAACCCGTTCCTTTTTGTCTCAAGATAGACAAAGAGGTAATAAAATAATAAAATAATAATAATAAAAATACGGATACCAAACCAATAAAGTGTTTTTGAAATGTTGGTTTATTTGGTCAAATTAGATGCGATAATCCCTAAATTTAGAGTATATATCGTCCTTTGCCCAGAAAGATACTGGATTGATTTGAATTGAGGAAGAAGTTTCTCCTACAAAAGGCCTTCTTTCATCTACATCTTGAGCCCCGAGATTTTCTTTTGTGGTAAGTGTACGCTTGGCCGGAAGTGTTTGCCAATGAACAACCTAATAGGAGAAGAAAGATAAGGAGAATGAATAAAGTCAGGATATCTTGACTGATGAATTGCATGTATGCGTGTATGTGTGTATTATAAGCTTACCTGACCATGGGAATTCAACTGAGCAAAATCTGAAAATGGAATCTGAAGCTCACTTTGCTGCCATCGATCGTATATTGCTCTCTTTACAGGGTCTCCGACCACATCATATGCAGCCTTTATTTCCTTGTATTTATCTATTTAATGATACATTAACATATTACCATATTTATATACATTTTTGTGTGTGCTTATGGACAGTACTATATCTACTAACAGGCAATGTCTTCTGCGTCTTTTGAATCGTGTATTGATAATTTATCAGGGTGGTACATGAGTGCCAGTCGTCGATACTCTACTCGAATTTGTTCATTCTACCCTAATCACTTGAATGAGTCTTGAATGACACACAATCAGCAACATAAAGAAACTTACTGTAGAAGTCGACACACACCCTAGCACCTTATAAAAATCTACTTCTTTGGAATGAGCGTCAAAAAATGGTTGCATAATGAATAAAGAAATAAATTAATTTGGTAAACTGAGGCCGTGGGAAAATACTAACCGTCACCGATTTTTTTTTTTTAAAAAAAAGACATTGCTTTTGAGTGCCTGCATTTCTCCTGTGCTAATGTACTATTTCAAAAAAAAATGCTATTAGATAAAATATTGTCATATCATTATATATATATATATATATATATCTAAAACAACGAACAGTGAACAGATGTATGGGTATGATTTGATTAAAGGAAGAAATAATGCAATAAAAATAAAATAAAATAAAAAGTAAGCTAGTTGGTAGAAAGTTCTGTTATTTATAAAGACTTCTTTATATAATATAAAACGTACTAAACAAGTATAAGCTACCCGAAACAAAAATGCAAACTCAAAATAATTAGTCGCAATATCCATATTGTTTATTTGAAAGTCTGCATTTTGTTAAGGACTAATAATTAATCTCTTGGATAAGATGGTTAAATTTATATATCATAATAGACTTGGATACCCAAAAGGACCTTTTGGAATTAATTGCCATTAAATTAGTCTATTATTCTTTAATATGTATATTTATATGTGTATGTATATGTGCGTATTATGGCTATATAATTATTAATGTACCGAGCCTTTTTATAAACTCTTTAAATTGTAAGCATTAAGTTGCATAAGGTATCTGGTAAATAAATAAATAGCAATACGAAGACTAAAATGATGAAAAGAAGCCACCTCGATTATCGAGCCTTTGCTTTAACCAACCCAGCCTATGCTACCTTCAAATACTCTCGGCTCGGACCAAGACGGTATGATTTCTAGCATCAAACCAAGAAATATGTTCACATGAACGTACTTATTTCATTTCAATCTCAAATTCTCATATTGATATATGTTCCTTTTTGAAATATAAAGTTGGAATACAGTTAAGCTACAGTATCTACTCCATAAAGGAACATTAAAGAGAGGTTCATCCTGACGTTCGCTTGATATTATTGAATTGCTTTTTGTGCGTATTGTCGCAAAAGGAAAGGCTTGGAATTCATAAAAGCCTGGATAAATCAAATTCCTACAAGCGGTTAAGACATAGCCTATAATAGCCAACAATGGTTACTCAATTCTCATTTCTCAAAAGAGGATGGTCTGATCACAGTTTACTCTTTTTTCTTCTTCTTCTTCGCTTTCTCTCTAGATCCATTACATGTAAAGCTGTCTTACTGCAGTTTATTAGACAGGCATGCCCTTTGACCTTTATATAACAAACCGAACGGTTTATAAAACAGTTTCAATGCAATATTTTGCCAATTGACTCTACCAAAACTGTCAATTCGAGTATTGACGTCAATTGGCCAATCTGACATGATAATCAATCAAGTCTAGACAGCATGACGAAAGACAGAGTGATCCTAATTTGTATAGGATTGAATCGGAGAGAAGTGACAAGAAAGTAAGCCGGGAAGTGAAATGATGACGGTTAGACTATGGTGAGCCCTATCCAAGCGTACGCATCGGCTTATTGATATCATGATGATGACAGGCTTCGAAAAGGTATCAAAAATCAAAATGCTTAAATACTCGCTTCTCGAGACCAATTCAAATGCAATTCAATACACTTCATCCTCTTGTACATTCAACATCATGTCCGCATATGAAAACAGACTCCCCAGACCTCTTACTCCCCCCGAAGACCATTCTCTTAAGGGTGTGAGCCCTACTGCAACACAACCAACATCAATCTTCTCCAACGACCAGCGTAGAGCAAGTCCTCCATCTGTACCTTCCCATGGAATCGCCAACACTGCCAACCCTTATCCAAACACAACCAAGGCCGACATGGTATTCAATGAGCCCATGGGGGAACGCACTCGTAAGGATGGCATGAACCCTTTTAGCTCTGAGCAAGACAGAACCCACAATACTCGTGAGTAAACAAAATAAGATATCATATAATCATACGATATTATATATGTATACATATAATTCTGTTTCCATCCCACATACTGATGCATTTGATAGGCATTCGTAACACCCAGCCCACACACCAGGGAGCTCCTTATGGCACCAATACGCACGAAAACATCTTGAACCGCGATATCGGCATGAACCATGAAATGAAGAAGAACCATGACTTGAACATGAACCATGACTTGAACATGAACCATGACTTGAACATGAACCATGACTTGAACATGAACCATGACTTGAACATGAACCATGACTTGAACATGAACCATGATATGAACATGAACAATGACTTGAACGTAAACAAGAACCACGATTTGAACATGAACCGTAGCTCCCGTGGTACCCACAACAGACTTAATAACACATCCACTGACAACAACCGCAATGAAGTTGTGAGCAATATCGAACGTGAGATTTGGACCATCCTCAAGTGGGACAATCCTACCCGTTCCGGCGTAATTCTTGCCTTGTTGGTTAGCAGTATCGTTGTCACCCGCCACTACTCCCTTTTGCAAATCTCGGCCGGTATACTGACTCTGGCAATAGCGATTAACTTTGCATATGTAACCACCATGGTACAAGGCCAGAAAGTGTTTTACGATGGCAAGACTTCTCACCCCTACAGCAATGTGATTAATGATGACAACCTGACTTCTATGAACCGCAGCCGAGTCCACCATTTTAGTACCCTGATGGTCGATCTGGCCGAGACCATTATCCGTGGCTTGAGTAAGATCATTCTGATCGAGGACAGCAAGAGAAGTCTCAAGTGGCTCGCCATCTTTTACTTGACCTGGACTGCCTCTGCTTACATCTCTACTATGACTATTATCCTGACCTTTATCATCTCTGCATTTATCTTCCCCCGTTTGTACATGAGCAACAAGGACGTTCTTGACCACCATTTTAACCGTGGCGAGCAGCTCCTCAAGACAAAGCTTGAACGTACTCAGAACATGGCTGCCGAAGGTGTGAGTGATGCTTACTCCAAGACCAGAGCCTATGTTGCCCAGATCGGTACTACTGGTACTGATGCCGCCAATACCTTTAATAAGGAAGCTGTCACCTTGAAAGAGGACTAAATAGTACATCGACACTGTGTAATACTTTTTCATACTTTTAGCTTTATCCCCTGTAACTATTCTCTGTAAAAAGAACCCAAAATTGAATGATCGACTATCAACATATGATAGATCGTTTGAAATAAACATGATACTTTGTAAATACCAAAATAATAATTTCAACATCAATGGTAAAAAAAAACAATATGTGAAATATTAGACAAATGCTTGAATGCGATGAGTATAGCATATTTGTCCCAATAGTATTTAGCATATTTATTTATGTACATAAAATAGTACTCGTTAATTCTACTCTTTAGATAAGTTGTGTACCGTATTAATGGTTTTTGTCTTACAAGATAATTTCTACTTTTATTAACTAGATATTATTTTCATATTGCTCTTATTCATTTCATTAGTAGGACAAGGCAAATATATATATATCTTACAGTTGATAAAATACACTACCCCACATACGTCAGATCATAATATATCAACTGGTTAGCCAGTCTATCATTTCACTCTCGAGAGGCGAGCCTGTTTAATGATCAGAATGCTTCTTTAACGCCGTGATATGGTGCCCTTCAAAGCATTAATTGTCCGCTACCTCGTGGGTAGTATTAAAAAAAAATTCTTTAGCTATTAGTAGATCATTATATATATATATAATATACATATATGTTTTTGGAATAGATCTCTTTATGTAACGTAATTTATTCAATGTACATCTTGTTTTCCTATTTTCCTCTGCTTTGAATAATAATAATAACAACAATAGTAACAATATTGAACTTTTATTTTTATTTTTATTTTTTATTTTTTATTTTCAAATTTACCATTAGCCACTTGTCACACTCATCATGGCACGACCGGCATCCCCAGACACCCGATCTTCAGCAAGTGCAACAGATTGCATGGCAAGCACCATTAGCACCACAGCAACCACAACAACCATTGTAGCCGGGATTACTGGAGCTGAAGTTGGAGGTTTTACCGAGTTCAAACTCGATCCATTTCTTGTTTCAGAAGCCAGCGCCGCACCTGCTCCTCACCGTCTTCGAGAAGCAAGACGATCATTTGTTCTTTATCTTCAACCAAGTCCAAACACCCCGCTACAGAAATCGCTCACTAAATTTCAGGAACACTCTTGTAGAGCGCTTGGTCCTAACCACGCCCACAATACCCCACCCCACATCCCACTCTTGAGCCGAGTCGACATTGAGCGTGGACCAGATTTTGCAACCAAATGGCAAGCTGTGGATAATTTTGTAAAAATCATTGATGAAGAAATGGCACGCTATCGAAATATGTTGTCACCCCCTCAGTTTGCGGGGTATGATATCCCAGAAAGGCCTTCTCGATCATTGATGATGCGCTTACTATCTGGATCAGGCTGGCATAAATTGCTTGGAGCTATTGAGCATCGCATGCAAGGCAAATGTGAGGCCCAGCCAATGGATCGACTCCTTTTGGCCTACAACGTGCTAAAGTCGATATCCCGCCCCACCTTGCACAGGTTGCGTGAGATGGCAAAAGAAGACATTGATGTTGACAATTGGGTTCTCACTGGTGGAGACTGGCAAGTGTGTCTTTATGAAATCATGGTAGAGAGTGGTGTCCTTGGTGTCCAGCACCAAATGTCTCAGATCCGTACATGGAGACTTGGTACACCTCACGAAAAAAACTCAATTTGCCTTGTACCGACATCTCTTCGTGTAAAATTCTCGGTTTTCATGGCTCGATACATGCCTCAGGATCACACATTCTAGTAGTACCTTATTTTATATCATAATTATCCACCCACCCATACACACCCTTAATTCACACTTATTCTTATGTCTACGCAAAACATTATGTATTACCATTTCTTTTCCACGCCTCTACATTCTTAGTAAAACTTAGATCCATAGCGTTTTATCAAATCGTCTCAATATTCATTCATATTTTCTCTTCTTCTATTATTTACACAGTTGCTACCGTCAAAACTTTTGCAGGATAGATTACACAACCAATGCATCCAGAGTGATGGATTTCTTATTGTCGTACAGCACATACAAACACACATACACACACTGAGTGAAAACTGATAGGGTAATCTTCACAGTATTCAAATTTATGACTTGTTTACTCCATTGGTGCATCTTCTTCCACACCACTGATGTACAGCACATTGTTGCATCTACAAATAAATTCAAAAAGAAAAATGGTTTAAGAAAAAACACGCACACACCAGAGCAAACCATATTGTTATTATTACCTGATGAGAACTTCGCCTAAGATTCCTACAGAGACGCCATCCTGGAATTCTTCAGTGTTTGCAAGCTAGAATGATGTACACAATTAGATTAGTTTCTATAATCACGATCTTTTTATTTATTTATTCTCATTTCATAAATAAATAAATAAATAAATAAAAGTTACCTGAAGATTCATGTAGGCATCAACAGAGATAAGATATCCCTTGTACTCTCCACCCCACTTAAGCTTTACAAGAACAGTCTTGCCAGTCAACTCATTGAGGAAAGGCTTGGGGTTCACAGGAACAAACTAAAGAAACCAAGGCGTTAGCTTTTTAATAATAATAATAATAATAATAATAATAAGAGTAAGAATATAACTATTATATTTATAATTTATATTAAGCCTTTGAGTGGTTAGTATTGTATTGATTCGAATGACTTACGGCGGCCATGATGATAGGTGAACAGAGATGACTATAATGAACCACGCTTTCGCAGTTATTATAATATATTATTATTATTTATTTTAATTTTTAATTTTTAATTTTTTTTAAAAAAAAAATTCACGTAGGCAAATGCAACCTAAAAAAAAATGATAGTGCGTGTGTGAGAAAGTGAGAGAGAAAGGAGAGCTTTCACACAAAAAACGAGTCACGATTCTTTGCTTGGATTCCATTTTCAGTTTTTCTTTCTCATTGATTTGTACTCGATTGTAATGGAATTCTATAAGCACGCAGCGACGATTCTCGAGAAACTTGGTCTTCATCAGGGTACCATCAAGGGCCTGGTGATCGGCGATCCTAAAGTTCGAGACAAGAAAAAGATGTACGCTCTTGTGTGCGAGACTCTAAAATGTTAGTAGAATAATTTATGTACACATTGTGTAGATCGATCACAACAATAATTATTTTATTATCTTGAAAAAAAAAACTCTTCTTCTAATTCTTAACTCCAATTTTAGACAAACAGGTGCTAAATGAGATTATTGAGGCATCAGATATATTGAAACTTGAGAAAAAGGTACTAATATAAAAAAATTAAGAAAAATAATACACAAAGTTTGAATAATATAAATTAGAAGGAATCTTAATAATACTAATAATACTAATACTAATACTAATACTAATAATCATAATAATATTTGCTGTAGTTGACACCAACACTTGCTCTTGTATTGATACACGATCTCCTGTTTACCAAACGTGGTATTCCTGTGCCAATTACAGTCCCGTTAAAGAAATGTGTTCAGAAACACCAAGCACGGCTCAAGGCTGAATTGGCAAAGATCAAGATTAAACGCAAGGCATCTACTAATGCGGATCTTGTGAGCCAAAAGGTCAAGGATGCAGGTGTGTGCAGCACAAAATATGTGATTTATGTATTATCAGATTGATCAAAGATCTAAGATAAAGTAAATGTGGCATGACATTCTCTAAATTCTCTAAATTCTATAATCTCAGTTCATATTCCTCGCTATGCCCGCGTTAATACACACAAGACAACAATGGAAAAGGCAATTAAAGCGTTCGAAAAGGAAGGTTATACGTACATTGATACTCCTGATGACTTACGCACATTGGAGTAAGTAACACAAGAAAAATAGATATTCTTTTTTGGAAATTTATTATTCCTGCTGTACTTGGGTGCTCTGATCAAGTTAAATTTTTTTAATGAACTTTTGTATTATTGTTATTATTATCAGACCAAAGACCTTTTGTAGAGATCTTCATCTGAATGACTTACTGGTTATGTCGCCCAAGACAGATTTACACATACATCCTCTTTATGTTTCTGGCCAGATTATTCTTCAAGTAAATATTATTATAATAATATTAATGTTGGCTTGGCTTGGCAAAAGTTCAAAACTTTTAATTCAATTTTTTTCCGCACCTAAAGGACAAGGCTTCTTGTTTTCCTGCTCATGTATGTCAGGCCACGCCTGGTGCTCACGCTATTGATGCATGTGCTGCCCCAGGAAACAAGACGTCCCATTTGTCTGCATTGATGAAGAACACTGGTCAGATCTGGGCCTTTGATTTAGATTCTCGTCGCTTAGATCTCTTGAAACGACTCACAACAAAGGCCGGTTGCAAAAGTAAGTTTTATTTATTATTATTATTATTATTTCCCTATTTTCTTTTTTAATCTTTGAATTTTTTTTTTATTATTATTTTTGATCGTTGTACTTTATTAGTTAAATGAAATAATATATATCTTGTTGATCTTTAAATTGATCTTTTTAATTTTTTCTTTTTTGTCTATTTTTGTACTTTTGTGTAGATATCACGCCTGTGCATGGATCGTTTTTGGAAACTGATCCGAAAGATCCCAAGTTTGCAAATGTGAGTAACCCATCGAAAATAACAATGTTTTTTTTTTCTAAAGCAATAATACAATGCTTCGATAGAACGAATTGAAATGAAATCGAATGAAGTGGAATGGTTATTGAACTTCATTTGTACTACATTTCTGTTAGGTCGAGTACCTATTGCTAGATCCCTCTTGTTCTGGCTCAGGAATCATCAGTAGATTGGATCATCTAGTTGACGATGAAGATGAGCAAGAAGATAACGAGGCAGCTGAACAGAGCCGCGAAGATAGATTAACTAATTTATCCGAATTTCAGACATCTATTATTCAACATGCACTCAAATGTAAGTCACCTGGTGATTGATGGTGGGAGGGTGAGGGGAGGTTTTATTATTTTATTTTTTTAAGGTTAAATCAGGATACCTAGAAAAGGCAAATAAAATATATATATAAAAAAGAGACCCTGTACTAAAATACCGGGATAAATGTAATGAAAATGCATATCACATGATTTCACAGTCCCAAAGGCAAAGAGAGTAGTCTATTCTACGTGCTCTATCCATGCCCAGGAAAACGAACGCGTCGTGAAAGAAGTACTGGAGAGTAATCCCGAGTTTGAGCTTGCTTCGCGAGACACAGTTTTGCCAACCTGGGAGAGACGAGGCATCCCGGAGGAAATGGATGGAAACACAGGTACAGACTATAAACAAGTTGAAGTATAAACCTTGATATGTTATCTTGATCTTTTTATTTTTTATTATATTTTATTTTCTTTTATTTTATTTCTCTAACGATCGTTGTATAAACTTGATGAACTAACGCGTTTGCTCTCTGATTGTCCGCTCTAGGTCGTGCAGATGCTGTAGTAAGAACTATCCCAGCTGAGGACTTGACCAATGGTTTCTTTGTTGCATGCTTTGTACGAAAATCCGGAGAAAAGCGCGCTCTTGAGGAGGCTGCGATTGAATCTGCGCCAAAGGCCAAGAAGAACAAGAACAAGAAGAAGAACAAGAAGAAGAACACGCCCAAGAAGGCATTGGAAGAAGTACTCGAGGTTACAAACTTATCGGAAACAGAAGAATAATTTAGACTTTCAAAACACATTACTTGACTTTATTAACCACATATCATCATTATCATCACCATTTCTTAATAGAAAAAAGGGGTAGATTTCTTATTGAATAGCAAATACATATCATCAAGATCTTTTTTAGATAATAAAAAATAAGCTCTTGAATACACGCACAATGTTAGCTTGTGACATAAATATGAGTAGAGAGTAGAGCAAGTGACCAACTCTCAAGTGGGCTAAAGAGTACAATCGATATGAATAATATATGTAAATTGTAAATATACAATTATAAGGAAATCTGATTGCTATTGTGAAGAGAGTATAATATTAGTGCTCACACTAGCAAAATAAAAATAAAAATAAAAATAAAATAAAGACACGCCACGATTTTAGATAAGGATCACAAAACAGTGTTGCTATAGATTTTATAGGAATTAAGATCCGGATAACTGGTACAAGAAGCTGTTGGTCATACTATCCTTTCAAGATGAAACTAAACCGGAAAAATAATAATATCATTGTCCACTGCCAAATAAATCTGCCTTATTATGGAGACTCTTTTTTTAAATAATAATAAAAAAATAATAATAATAGTATCCCATACTCACACACACTCACACAGACTTACACAGACTTATAATAGTATACTATGTACCTTCTTTATAGATCCTCTTTGTAGATCAAGATTATGAATTTAATATCTAAACAATAAAGATTCAAATTTGAGCTCAATTCATGATCCAAGAAAGATCTGATAAACCGCCACTATTCCCCAGCTCACTCCGCCTTTTTATGAACAAATATCGACAATAAAGATATTGAAAAATAAAATATGACAAAAGGATTATTAATTATTATTAATTATTGTTGTTGTTTTCATTATCAAAAAAAAATACTCGGAGTTTGGGTCTTAAGGGAAAATGAACCCCAATATTCAATTAACAAGGTTTGCTATATTTTTTTTTGTTTTTTCAAGACCGAGTTTCCCACTTTTCCCTCTGTACAACAAGCGTAGATGGTGCTGCTATTCCTATTATCCTTATTACTTCTACAAGCTTGCAAAACAATGTGCGGAAAAATCATTTATGGTCTTTATCTAGTAAAGTTAAAGTATTTTTTTTTTTAGTATTTTTATTATTCACTATATAGAGAAAGAAAAAGGAGAGAGAGAGGGGTCCATTGATCTTACCAAATAGAGCTAAATAAACACAATTTAGCTATATATAATATATATATATATATATATATACACAAGAGCACACAAAACAATACACAAAATGACACACTGACACAGGAGGCGAAAAGGAAAGAAGTAATAAAGAGGAAAGAAAGCAAACAAAACCAAAAAAAAAACAGAAAAAAAAGATAGAGAAAAACAAAGATAGAAAAAGGAGGAGAAGGAGATAGGAAGATTAATGAATTTTTTTGTTGAGCTGATACTAAGCGTCTTACTGAATATCGGTATAAGCAGTAGATTAAGTATCCAACGAAAATTGAAGGAAAATCTGAACATAGTAATAAGAATAAGAATATTGATCTATATAGATTATAATTTTTACTATTATATTCCATTTTAAAAAGCGCTACTTTAACTTGATCTTTTAGATTGTTGTCCTGGCCACCTCCTCCATATTTTTTTCGTATTTTTTTTTCTTGTTGTTTCTGTTGCTATTTTGTACCTTTGATAGCGCCACAGCCTGTGTTAGAAATTTAATACTAAAATGATATATATAAAAAAAATCATCATATATTTGATACAAATACAAATACAAATGCAAATACAAACAGTATCTCAAATGGAGGACAGACTTAATACATAATTCATGTATAGAATTCCAGTTAAGCGATACTGTCCATAATTAATGAATTGCATCGCATTGACGATTTCTAATCCTTTTTATCATTTGGTATAGTAATATTAATGAATGATTAAGGTCTGATCGTATATTTGTGGGTATTCTTTATTTTTTATTTAATGTATATAAAATATTATTATTAATATTTGGTTTGCAGTTGTCGCCGCCACGAACTACCGCGGATTAGTGCTAGTATCGAAGCAGTTGGAACGATGCCGTCAAAATATTTTCACCGTAAGATGATCTCTTTACGGCAAAAGGTGTAACACCTTTCTTTACCGATTGAGTGAAAGTAGTTACTACAATCACACTGGCTAAACTGAAAAAAAAAATATAAAATAATAATAAAATATAAAAAAGCTTGAGCTTTTGTGTTCTTCTATGATTTCTCTTTTTTGCCCAATACGGAATTAAACACGGGAAATAGGTTGTACTTTGGCGTTAAATGAACCTTTTTATTAGTATGTTATATTATATTTACTGTGCAGATTGGAAGGAATATATCCTGATGTTTTTGATTTTTTTTGATTCGATTATTGTTATTTAATATTATCTAGAAAGGAAGGAACACTTGCAATAAAAATATATATTTGAAAGGCGTACAAGAAGAAGAAAGAGAGGGGGGAAATTTAGAACAAAGCCGATTATTCATACTACATTTAGTTGCCTAGCAATTTTTTTTTATATATTTTATATTATTTTAGGGTTGATTGATTATCTTAATGTACACAATGTTATCAGATCTTTCCAAATCCGGTCAAGATCCAGAACCACACAGCTTTAAAAAGTAAAATAATAAATGGTGATCCCTGTTTAATAAATATACCAAAAACAGATAATCGGACATTATACGACAATAGCATTGTGCGTACTTGATCCTCTCCCCTTTGAAATGAATAAGTAAAAAAAAAAAAGTAGTATGTGTATTGCGGAGAGGTTCTTGATCGGAGAGGGGTTTGGTGGAGAAGGTTGGTAACTGATTGGCCTTGTCGGATATCAATCCACTGATCTGATAACTCAGCGTAACCATCCTGTGTCTAGGCAGGGTAACAACAGCCAAGTATAACAAAGAGAAAGAAAAAAAAAGAAAAAACCTGGTAATAACTCAGGCCATTCTGTCGAATCAAATAGAGATTAGAATCAACCCAAATACAGAGTTTTTTTTTTTTTTTTAAAAAAAAAATCCTATAGAAAAAAATTAGCTTCATGTGAATCTGTTAAACCTCTTTGGAAAACAATAAACCAAGAAAATAATCATGCAAATAAAAAACAGCCAATAATAATTGTAATTACATTAACTGTATACTACACTACACATTCAATTGATCAAGATCTTGTCAAATGATTCATCGTATTGTGAGCCAGCAGAAATGAGTACAAACTATGTGAGATGAATACAGCCAAGGAAACGGAAAGAGAAATGTAGGCGAAAAATTGTGCTGTGTAATATAGATGAGATCGTAGTTTTATTCGGATATTCATTTCCCTTTACGGCCTTGTATAATCTTCGGGGGTCCACCTCAAAAATCTGATAACCACGGCCCCATCAGATAACTCAATCTCAGATGTCATTGGCCACCCTGTTGACTACAGCGCTATCAAATTTTGTTTTGTTTTTTTTTTTTAATATTTTTTTTTGCGACATACATATTTAAACTGCTAATACTCGCTGTGGAAAATACATCAACTCACCACTTTATCCTCTACTTTAATATATTCCTTTTCTTTAAACCCTTATTTTATACCTCCTCTCTTTCTCTATCTTTTATATATATCTATATATATATTTTAGTAATTTATTAATTTTAAATTAACTAAAGAAAGAAAAGAATAGAAAGAATCGACCAATCACTTGATTTATTACTGAAGCAAAAAAAAAAGAAAAAAGGAAAACACACCAACACTAAAGAAGAAGAAGAAGCAAAGTCTATCTACCAATGTTTAGAATCAGACTGTCAAGTTTCCACTCCTGTGGTTACTCATACGCAATCCTTTGCTGGGGTCTGTTCACCCTCTACTGTATATGGTTCCAGGCAACGCGCCTGTACTCCTACTGGCTCAGACAGCAACGTATCAAAGGCATCGACAGACAGCCTTTTGTGATGCCAGGCACCAGCCTTTACAAAAAATGCGACTTCCTCGTCAGAATTCCCTTCGTAACCAACCTTATTGCTGCCAAGCACATCGTCGGTGTCTTCATTCTCTGTGTCGTAAATGTCCTCTGGTCTTTGTGGGCTCCCTTTGTTTACACTGATGCTGGCTGGGTTCTGCCCGCCGTTGGTCTTATGGACCGTCGTCTTGCCTTCATTGCCATGGTTAACTGGGATTTTGCCATCATCTTCGGTACTCGCAACAACATTATCACCCACATGTCCGGTCTCACATATGAATCCTTGATTCCCTTCCATCGCTGGTTGGGTCGTCTTGGTCTCGCTGAATATGTGCTTCACGTTGTCTGGAGAATGTAAGATATTTGATCTTGATCTAAACGTTTTATTTTTTATTTTATTAACACTTCCATTTGTCTATCGTTATTCCTTTTAGTATTGCCGGTTACCAAAGAACTCACGTCGTTGCTGATTCTCTTTTCCGTAACACCGAGTACACCACCGGTACCATCAGTACTCTTGGTTACCTGTTGATGTACCTTACTTCCTTTGAATACGTTCGTCGTAACCACTTTGAGGTCTTCTATTACAGCCATATCTTTGGTTTCATCATCGGTACCGCCTTTGCCTGCTGGCACGAAACCACCTGTTTCCTTTACTTCATTCCCTGTATCATCTTCTGGCTTCTTGATCGCGCCGTTCGTTCCTACCGCTCCTGGTTCGTCAAGTCGACCCCTATCCGCGTCGACGAGACTGTTGCTCAGACTGCTACCCAGGAAGGTATCCTCCGTGTCTTGTTCGAGCAGAATGGCTTCAACAACTTTGCCCCTGGTCAGTACGGTTTCTTTGCTATTGCCAGCAAGGCCAACAAGTGGTGGCAATTCGCTTTCGCTTCCAACTGGCGTCCCTTCACCATTTCCGAGATTTTCCGTGGCAAGAAGTCCGATGTTGCCTCTACCAACTCCAAGGAAATTGAAGAACGTGTTATGTCTGGCGAGAAGAAGAACGAAAAGGGTCACAGTGAGGACAGTCTGTTGAATTTCGACATTAACACCCCCGAAGGTGTATCCCAGCTTGCACAGCTCCGTCGCAGAGCTCCCGGTGTTTCGGCCCCAAATTCTGAAGAATCTATCCTTGCCACTGTACACATCAAGGGTCTTGGTAACTACACCCGCAGAATTCTTCGTGCTGCTGCCGCTGGCGACGACTTTGCGGTCAAGGTCGATGGTCCTTATGGTACAAAGCTCGATTACCGTGATCACAAGGTCATTGCTTGTTATGCTCTTGGTATTGGTGCCACCCCTGCTATGACTCTCATCAAGGACTGTGTGGAGCGTCGTGCAGCAGGTGTCAAAACTGTTACAACTGAACACATCTACTTCATTTGGTGCGTTCGTGTCTCCGGTAAGGTTTTTACTTTTTATTTTTTAACTTAAAGATAATTTTCTGAATATTTCCCCCTTTTTTGTATCGAATGATTTTTTTATTGATTATCTTTATTTCTTTTTTGGACAAATTCCATTAGAGGAATACACTTCTTTTATGGACATGCTTGCCTACTGGAACGAGAAATGCAAGTCTGCAATTCTCCCCATTTCTCTCACTGTCTTCATTCATGTAACCCGCCAGAAATCAGGCGAGAACCTTCTGGAAGGTTACCCTGGCTCTGATGTTTTCTATGGCACTCGCCCAGACATCCCTGGTTACATGCAGATGATTGAAGATGAAGAGAAGCAAAGAGGTCGTGATCACAGCCATGTCTATGTCCACACTTGTGGTACCGATGACTTTATGCGTACCGTTTGGAACACAGCCTTGAAGCATGACTGGGACACTCACCGTGAAACCTTTGACTTTTAGGAAACGTTATCTCATTTTGTATATTTTAATCAAATATTATTATTATTATTATTATTATTATTATTATCCAATTTTATTTATTAGATACTATTCATTAACTAGCCCTATTTTTTTATTGGCTTATATTCCATTAACATCATCAACAAAAACCCACGTGTAATTTCAATAAAAAAATAATAATATAATATATAGTGAAAAAATAAATAAAAATAAAAATAAAAATAAAAATAAAAAGCCGCCTTGCTGTGAGGAGCAATAATAATAAAAAAAAAAAAAAGAAGGAAGGTTTGGGAGATGAACTGGCTTTAAATGGAGGGAGTCCAAAGTACGATATTTTTTGTTGATTTGTGAACAATTGGCTTTTCTTTCTTTCTCTTTCTCTTTCTTATTTATTTTCACCACTCCCCCTTTCTCTTTGATATTATATCCTATGCTGTCATGGCCCCTCTTAAACTTAAGATAACCAGCAGCAATTCAAACTCACCACTTGAGGTACTCGAATCCGATAACAGTGACCTTACAAAAACCTGGCGCATGTGCACTCGGGTTAAAGATTCACTAGAGAACGGCCCTCGACTAGAAAATATGTCATGGCGTCTCTGGTTTCGTCATCAATTGATCCAGCGTAATAAACAAGCCCCAATAATAAGTCAACCCCAGGCCACACAGACCCCTGTTCAGTACCCAATGTCTCCAGAAATCGATCATATAGACAGCATGCCACATCACCACGAATTTCATTCAATAAATGGAGCAGATGTTGGTCTGGCAGTTGAGCAGCTCAACAAATGCACCAATGAACCAAATAATTTCCAAGTTGAGGACTTATTTGGACCCCAAGACACCTGGGACTATCTGTCGTCTGAGGCAATCTCAGTGGCAGCAGCAGCAACAGGTGCAATGACAATTCCCCACCACTCATTCTACACAAATCCTATGCCCGGGTTTGATGCTACATCTTTGTCGGTTTCAATGTCAATGCCTTCGAGCCCGGTCTCAATGCATCCTCACCTACCACCCTACACTACTCCACAAACTCCAGATTCTCATTATGAAAAAATGATGCCGCCACCAGGATACAATGATGCCCTGTCACGAATGCCAAATAATATGGACGTCTGCTCCCCTGAAAAGTAAATACCAACCCAAATTTATTTCTTGATAGAATAATTCAAAAATTAAATTCAAATGCTTACTATTGCTATTTCTATCGTTACCTTTTATTTTCTTTACCTTACAAAAATCACTATTTACAGGTCATTTTCTTCAAACATTCCATTTGAACAATCTATTGCTCCTTCTGAATCTGGCCAAGAAGACGAATTCCAACAATTACCCGTATGCACAAACTGTGAAGCAACATCCACACCACTATGGAGGCGATCTGCCGACGATGAACTACTCTGCAATGCATGTGGCCTTTAGTACGTCTAATAAATAGCTCGTGCATTGCTTAAATAACATATACATCAGACTAACTTCTAATCATAATAGCCAAAAACTTCACCATGCACCAAGACCAAAGACACTAAAACCCAATCAGACTCGCAAAGAAGTCAAGGAAGATATTCCACAATTGATATGCTCAAACTGCTATACAAATAAGACACCTCTGTGGCGTAGAGATGATGACGGGGCATCGCTGTGCAATGCCTGTGGCCTTTAGTAAGTATACATATTTATATAATATTTATAATATTAATTTTTTTAAAAATAAAATAAAAAATAATTTAGTCTCAAACTTCACAATGAACGACGACCAATGTCAATGAAGACAGACACAATTAAGAAAAGACAACGATACGAAGGTGGTCATCTGAATAAGAAACACCCCAAAAAGCCCAGACCAACTCTTCCACCTACATGTTCTCCAAAGTCACATCGTGTTCCCAAGCCGTTTTCTCCTAGTCCATCTCCCCAACTAATGGATATCGGACGGTCTTACTACTACCAGCCACCACCAGATCCAAATTTCAGTCTATCGAATGCCCAGAATGTCTATCAATCCTATGCGTCTTCATTTGTAATGGAGAACGGCACAGCTAGAACGAACAACAATCTGGAAATCAACATACCGCATTTTTGATCACCCCAAAAAAATAGCTTTAAATGAACAATCAGAACCAAAAAAAAAAACAATCAAACAACAAACACCTCTCCACTCTCACACTCTGTAGTATAGCTCCCATTGTTTCCCACTCTTCCCCCCCCCCTCTATCTATCCCTCACTCACACTTGTTCTTTCTCTCTTTCGCACTTGCATTGTATCATAACTAAGCACTCTGATACTAACATTATCACTATCACTATCTTCTGTTATTATTTCCACTTCATTATTTATATTATTATTATTCACTACTTTCTTATTTTACCAACCCAAACCCCCCACTCTTGTAAGGTCCCATATTATCACTTTTTTTTTCTTTCTATATTTTTTTTCTAGTCTATTCTTCATGCCTCCAAACACCTCTCTTCTCTTTAATATAAATAATCTCATGCTATTAAAAAAAAAGAAGTAATCACTTTCTATATAATATCTAATTATATAAATGTGTATATATTTGTTTTGTTGCATAGTATAACCAAACTCAATATTGGTCAACCTATCACTATCTTTTCCATAGCATACAAACAAATTTGTAAGAGACCGAAATATATAGTAGAATAATAAAAATAATAATAAAAATAAATAAAAATAAAAAAAGAGCCTTGTAAGCGGTTTCTTTATACATATTCTCTCTCTCTGTTTATTACTATTTTAAGGAATAATGTCAAAGGCACCTAATTCATCAAGGTTCATTGAATCATGGATCGCAAAAACTGAAAAAGAAACACGTAAAGACGATTTTGATGATCTAGATCAAGACATGCTAAAGGCCATTGAATTGAGCAAACAAACTCATCGAGAAGAACAAACGCGACTATTTGCTATGTTTAGTGATCAATCTCGATCAACATCAAAAGTCTCATTTCCCAAACGTCGACAGCAAAAATCTTTGTTTGATGACGAAGACAATGAAAATAAGATCAATGACAATGTTCAATCTCGATCAGTGTCAAAAGCTGCGGATTCAAACCGAAAACAATTCATTCCAGTGCGGGAAAGCATAGAGGAATTGATCCAAACGCATACGACACTGCCTGACAAATCTTCTGATAAATCTCGCCAAAAACACATTGTCATCGAATGTGAATTCAGTGGCAATGACAGAAAAAAAATGAATGATAAAAACGACAAAGGAGAGGAAATTGTGATTGAAGATGTATCGACTTGGTTGGAAGAACTTCATTCCGAAACGCCATCCCATTCAAAAGAGCTTATTAACTCCAGTCCGCCTTCATCTCTGATTGGTAATTACAAAGACGATCCACCTGTTGTACACACCAGGACATCTTATGATTCAATGGCATCTAGTATGCCTTCTTCTCTTTTTGGTGGCGACGAATATCACAAAGATCGTCACACAAATAAATCATCAGACAAGGCCCTGAATCAACTGTCATCAAGCCCCCCGGATTATTTTAAACAAACAGAATGCATTGATGAGAAACACCCGGAAGATTATCACAACCAATTCGGTCAGGGTTCATTTTCCGATAAATTTAACAAGGCAAATGACAACCATGTCGATGCACAAAATAAGGATCATTTGGATAATTTCGGTTGGTGCTCTGATAACTTTGATCAAATTGAGCGTACCAATTCAAAATTATCAGGAGATAGTTTGGATCGTCAGTCTCTGAGCCCTCTCTCAGATCAATTCGTCCAAGAAAAGTGCCAAGATCGCACAGACATACCAGATTATAACCTAAATAACTATTCTTGGAGTCCTAATTCAGGGATCTTTGGCCAAATAGAGAACACACATATCCAAGTATCCAAACCAAATTTACAGCAGCTTTCATCCAGTCCGCCTTCAGATTTATTTGGCCAAATAGACCAAGCCAGTAAAGACCAGCGAGTAAAGGGACAGGATAAACCCTTCTGGAGTCCAATATTAGATCGACATGATCATTTGGATCTCGCACATACTGAGAAATCAAAACCAAATTTACGGCAGCTTTCATCCAGTCCACCTTCAGATTTATTTGGCCAAATAAACCAAGCCGGTAAGGACCAGCGAGAAAAGGGACAGGATAAACCCTCCTGTAGTCCCATATCAGACCGACGTGACTATTTGGATCTCGCACATACTGAGGAATCAAAGACAACTTTACGGCAGCTTTCATCCAGTCCACCTTCAGATTTATTTGGCCAGATAAACTATGGCAGTGAAGATAAACCAAAAGACAAACAGGGTGAACCGTCCTGGAGTCCGTCTTTAAATGCATACGATGGTTTCGATGACCCACACGCCGAGGAAACAAACCCTACTTTACGCCAGCTGTCTTCGAGTCCTCCTTCGGATTTATTTGGCCAGACAAATTGTGCTAGTACCGAACACCCAAGTTATACTCCAAGGCAATTGTCTTCGAGTCCTCCTTCGGATTTATTTGGTCAGATAGATTACAAAAGTACTGGGCCAGAAGATGCAAGACAGTTTTCTAGCAGCCCGCCTTTAGATTCATCTCATCCCACAGGACACAACGACACAGACAACTCTAATGAAGATTTTGATGAAATTACATCTATTCCCAACTCATCTACCTCTGACCACAAACCAACGACTGAAAAGGCTGTACCTTTTGGTTTCCGCAGTTCATCTCGACCTATTCGGATTAAAAAGAATCCTGAAATTCCTGAAATTCCGTTCTCTGCAAGAAAACGATCCCACGCTACATCTCCAGAGACACCAAACTACTTTGAACAGCGCTCCAGTCCTTCTGTGCTGGTTAATTCTGACGAGAATAGTCCATTGCAGCCAAAGGAGAAATCAAATCAAAAGCATAAAATAATCAATCCTTTCAAATTAGACCCCGTAAAACAACGCCGACTACAGTCAGACCCACCTACTTCACACAATACTGAAGATGTTGTTGGTGATTTCTTGAGTTCCTGGCTAACCCAAGGAAAAACAAGTAATGCTCCAGCATCAGTAGTAAGTAAATACAATTTAATATGTTGATATTGATATTGGCATCCTGATTATTTATTTATTTATTTATATATCTATATATTTCATATATTTTGCTTTGCAGGTTCCTGTATTTTCAAAGTGCCCTCTGTGTTTCCATTCATTTCCGGACGAGGTACTGCAGATACATGCGTCAGGCTGCAGAGGAGGCTTTACTGACACAAACGACGAGCACGATCAGCCACAGAGAACTCCCAGGAACCCACGCACGTCCAATGGAAACCCCCGTTCACGGAGTAATACATCACGCCAAGAGGATGATGAAACCGCACTAGGTAAGTGATGCAAATATTTGTTGTAATTACAAGTAAATTACTCAGGGAGGTAAAATGGACGACTAAATAAATAAACATGTATGTATATATGTGTGTTTATACAATTGAAGACAATCCTAGTACCTCTACGTCTCACTCTCACCGAGGAAGAACACTAGTGCGTCAAAATCGAACGATTGCTCGTAGTGTAGCCCGGCAAGACAGACACAGACACAAACCAAAGTAAGTCCTGTTTGTTACAGCTAATATTTAAGCAGGCTTGTCTTTAATGAATGAATGAATGAATGAATGAATGAATGAGAAAGAAAGAGAGAAGATATATCTATATATTAATTTATACTATTTTTTTTTACTTAGTCGAAACGAGACATCTCTTCCGGCGGTAAATTATTACGCAGAAGACGATGTATTAGAGGGTGTAGAAGATGGAGGCTTTGGAGGAAGTTTGCATGGAATTGCGTGGGAATCAATGGGACACACTAGTTACAACTAAGTATTGTATATATATACGTAAATGGTACAATAATAAACGTGTGTACACTTTAAGAATCTTTCTTGACCAATACTGTTGCTTCTTAATTGAGAACCCCATAATGCAAAAGTACGAATTGTTTAGTACAAAATTTTCATAGCGTGAATGAGCTAATATTTCCCAGTCGTATATTTGTATGCATACAGTGAGGGGCAAAAAGAATCGCCTTTTTTTAAAATGCCGAAATCAGCAAACGTAATAGTCTCTCTCCTTTTCTCTTAAATTAACATTTTATGAAATGAAGAATCAAACCGAATGCACAAAAAAGATTACTAAGATTTCCACCAATGGACATAAAAACACGGATAATACAACTCGTGCAATCATTGTCCATGAGAGTGTTAAGAATGGCACTAGTCAGGTTGACATTGCCAAAAAAATAGGCGTAAGCAAAGACGTGGTGAAGCGTGTTCTTCAGAGCTACAAAAAAACTGGCTCGCATATGGCTGCACCACGATCTGGTAGACCTTTAAAGTTAAATTAGAGAGACAAAAGAGGAATTATGCTTCAGATTAGTCGTGATCCAACACAGCCAATGAGTACCATTGCTAGAACCTTGCTCACACCAGTTTCTGTAAAGACTTTGAGAAAGTTTCTTCGCAAGGCTGGAATATACTCTCGAAAGATGATTCCGAAACCAAAGATTTCGGAAATCAATCGTAAAAAGCGATTGCAATGGGCTAAGGAACATCTGCACTGGAAAACGGCAGATTGGAATTCCGTCATCTGGTCTGATGAGTCAAAGATCCAGCTCCACGGAAGTGATGGGCACCGGTGCGTTCTCAGGCCAAACGGCAAGGGCTTTAAGCCCAACTTCGTCTCGCCAACTGTGAAGTTTGGAGGTGGCTCCATTATGGTCTGGGGGTGCTTCTATGGAAAGGCTGTCGGAGTTTTAGACGTTGTGCCTGGAAATATCGATTCCAAGAAGTATGTTGCAACCTTGGAAAGAGCCTACCTCCCTTCTTTAAAGGCATTCAAAGAGAAAGATAGCTGGAGAAGATTTCGACTGCAAGAGGATAACGCTAGCTGCCATGTGAGTGCGCTGACAAAAGAATGGAAGAAAAAAAACAAGGTGAAACTTTTGGGCAGCTGGCCACCTCAAAGTCCAGACTTGAATCCAATCGAGCATCTCTGGGCATATTTCAAGCGTAGAGTGCGTATGAACAGATACAACCTGTATAGCATTTACCATTTGAGACATGCCGTAATAAGGGAATGGAAGTTAATCCCCCAGAAGTATTTGCAGAGTTTGGTCCGGAGCATGAACAGAAGATGTCAAGCTGTAATAGATGCAAATGGTCATAATACCAAGTACTAAAATAAAGACTCTTCTATAAAATAATAAGAACAAGTGCTTTCAACTTTAATCTGAAGTAGTTTGGGAGCTGTAAGTGCTGTATTTGCTTCTTTTCTTTAAGCATGAAAAATAGATATATTTTGGAGAACAATCGGGATCTTAAAAAAAGGCGATTCTTTTTGCCCCTCACTGTATATACTTGAAATATATCGTATCTGAAATAATGCTTTCAACTTTTGTCTGGACTTCATTGTCGTTTTCATATTTATATTTTATTGTTCACAGTTATTAAATATGAAGTTCTGATTTATTTTATATCAAAATACAACAGACATAGAAAAGAAAAACATATACAAGCTATACATATTAAACCATACTGACCATCAAATGTATTTTTTTTTTGTTTTTTTTCAATGCTAAAGGAACCGAAAAGTAGTTATTTATTGAAGAATAGAAAGTAATATTGGACTATTATAATAAACTATGCGAGACGGATATTGTTAAGCATGACAGAATCATTAGAGAATTCTATGGATTTTCAGGACGCTATCTTTAGAGAAAGACGACAACTATTGTGCATCACCACCAGAGCCGTAAAGTATAACTCGCTAACAAAGAAGAAAATGAAGAAAATTTCTAGCAGTTACTTTAAAGTTTAATTTTACATTCAAAAATCTTGAAACCTTTTGGTCATCTACTTGACATTCTAAAGTAAGTTCAAAAGTTTATTACTTTTTTTTTTGAAATCTTCTTTACAAAGTTATATACCTTATCCATGAAGAGATTAATAAATAATAGTAAATAGTAAAATACAAGGCATAATATTTGTAAAGCAGCTACTAGAGATACGCTAATAGTTAGATAGATCGTATATATACCATATGTAAGATTCCTTGTTTTCTATTTTGTACAAGTTACATTTGGCTAACACCTTTTGCCTATATGTCTATCTATTCAATATCTTTTCAGTACACTATTTTTTTTTGAAAAAAAAACCTTGGTACAATTTGAAAATAAAATTTAGTACAATTTTCCCAGAATAAGTATAATTTGTTCAAAAAATTGTACTAAAACATTTCTTGAATATATATATAATTAGATGTATAGAGTAGATGTAAATGTAAATAGATAATAAAGAGAAATTATGTTTGGTTGCTTGGTTACTTGGTTGCTTGGTTACTTGGTTCGCCTTGGTCATTATTGTTGCCACAGCTGTTTAGAGTAAGCTAAAAATAGGTTTTTTCTTTTTTGTATTTTTGTCTTAATTTGGTACTTTCTAATTTTCATTTTCCCACCCCGCCCTGGATCTTTAGTAGACCATACAACCGTAGCCTATTAAATGAGATTTTTATTTTTATTTTTAATTATTTTTTGTTATTCTTGTCCTCCCCCTTTTTTATATATTTATTTATATATTTTATTTTATTTTTAATCATCTTGTAATTATTCCTCTAGACTCTTTCTCTTTCTCTCCCTTTCTTTTTTCTTTTCTTTTATATAAATATATATATATATTTATTTTTGGTTGCTGCTTGTTTCTTATATACCTCTTTATCTCTTTACCTCTTTACCGTCCTTACTTTATTTTTCCAATCAAAGAAAGCACCAACAATATATATATATACTTTTTTTTTTCAACAACAGCAACAGCAACAGCAACAGCAACAGCAACAGCAAAAAAAAGGACCCAAACTCATTTCATTCATTTATTTCCAATGAAGATATTGTCTCCCATTGGAAGTTTGACATTGGCAGCAACAATGCTGCTCCAATTAGGCTCATTTGCCAATGCCATGCCAACCTTCACAGATACTTCATACCTCGCTGATGCAGAAGCATGTGCAGGTAATCTCATCAATTAAACCGAACTTGTTTGTTTTTGTTAGCTGGTTTCTGTGGTTTAATAAGCACAATACTTAACACTTGCGAACCCAATAGATTTCAGAATCACATATCCATCTGCTACAGGTAATAAAGAAATACTAACAATAGATATACATCTATATACCTTGCTCAATGAAATCAATGAATACAAAGTAAATTAGTTTATCTGTATTTATATTTATATAACTCGCTTAATACCAAAATTAGTAAATAAAAATTAAAGATATATAAAGGAAAAAAAAGGAATTCAATAAATGAAAGGGGGATCAACAGAACATATATATATACCTTTTATTTACTTGTTTGTTATCTACACACTTTATCACTAATGTATACATTGACTTGTAACGATAATACTTATGTATCAATATCTACCTCTTTATGTTGACTTGTTTTCAGGCCTTTCATTTGAAGATTCGTCAAACCACGTTGTTGCTTGGCAAATTCCCAAAGGTGCTAACCAAGTCAATATAACTTTGATCGAGAACAGCACACAAAACACTAAATTCGTCGGTCTCTACCGTAAGTTTAAATTTCAAATTTGATTTTTTGATTTCCCAAATAATATATATATATATATATATATATATATATATCAAGAGAATCCAAAGAACCATTATAATTTTGTGTATCCAGACTAATACATCTATTACTAGCTGCTTCTCAAGGAAGTTCCGAAGAGTTTCCTTTTCTCCTTGGATCAAATGAAGGTTAGAGACTATTTATTATTATTATTCTTCTTTAAATAAATATTACAATAAAATGTGCATATCTTGGATTATTGTTCTTTTACTATTATTACTATTATTTTTTTAAAAAAAAAGGGCAGTTCATTGTCTTAAATTATGGAACTACGGAACTGATTTCTTTTTCCCAACATAAATTGGGTGATTCCAGGAGACTATCATTTTCACGCCGAGAGTTATGGTGGTACAACAAACTGTGAGGCAGACTCTGTAGACTTCAAAATCAATAAGAGAGCAGCAGCATCCGAAGACGCTTCGACCACAACTACTGATAGCTCAGATAACGAGTCTCAGGACTCAGATACAGCCAGTAATGTTGATGCCCTCAATAGTCTACTGGACGCCGTAAAGGAGTCCCAGGCTTCTGGACAAAGTGCCGAAACTCACGACAATAGATCTCCTGTGAGCTGGGAAGACGAAAAAGGAGAAACGTCATCGGACAGCAATGCTAACAAGGCTTCGATTGCACACCATGTCAACGAAGAATTAGATAACCTTTTGGCTTCTGGCAGTTTGACCAAGAATGCCGGTGGACAGGATCAGGACCGTGAAGTTCCCGGTCCTTCTGATGCGGCTTCCCCAAACTGGCAGACATCGCCAGCTGAAGAACCGGCTTCTTCCGCCAGTCCTGTCACTCCTGCCAAGGCTTCTGAATGGACTCCTGCTAGATCTGCCCAAAGTTCTTCTGACACAGCTGCCAAAGCACCGCACCAGAACCTGGCCTGGGAAGAAAATTCCAACGGCTCAAACAGCCATCCCTCTGTGCCTGTTCACAAAGACGCCACTTGGGATGCGATGTTGGACAGCCTCCAGGGCTATACCGACAAAGGTTCTGCTTCCCCCTCTCACTCTAACGCAGCCTTGAACGAGATGCTCGATCAACTCCAGGCATCACACAAGAACGCAGCACCAGCAACAAAGGCACCTTCTCACTCCAACGCAGCCTTGAATGAGATGCTCGATCAACTCCAGGCATCACACAAGAACGCAGCACCAGCAACAAAGGCACCTTCTCACCCAAACAAGGCTATGAATGAAATGCTCGATCAACTCCAGGCATCCCACAAGAACGCAGCACCAGCAACAAAAGCACCTTCTCACTCCAACGCAGCCTTGAATGAGATGCTCGATCAACTCCAGGCATCACACAAGAACGCAGCACCAGCAACAAAGGCACCTTCTCACTCCAACGCAGCCTTGAATGAGATGCTCGACCAGCTCCAGGCATCACACAAGAACGCAAGACCGGCAACAAAGGCACCTTCTCACCCAAACAAGGCTATGAATGAAATGCTTGATGAGCTCCAGAAGACGCACAAGAATAATGTTGGAACACAAAAGAATAACAAGCACGAAAACAAGGCTTTGAACGAAATGCTGGATGCTCTGGGTGCAGAAGCTTCTAAATCTGGAAGACAAGGAAACGATGATTCGACTGCTTCTGCCTCTCCTGCTCGTGGTGGTCGTACTGGTGCCTCTGACGACGATAGTGCGGTTTCTGATCCTCCTACTCGCGGTGGAAATGATGATGATGATGCTGCTGCTGCTGCTGCTGACATTTCGCCTACTCCTCCTGCCCGTGGTGGTAATGATGCTGATGCAGATGCTGATGGTAATGACATTTCTCCTGCTCCCACAGCTTTCAAGGCTCCTGGCCACAAGAATGGGGCCGAAAATACGGCTGGACTACCTACATTCGAAGAATACATCAAGAGTCTTGATCAGGACTTCAAGCCGATTATTGAAAACAGTCGGGCTTCTGAATCTGAGGCTGTGACACATCAAAACGAGGCGGGTTCGATTGACGAGATAAATTCGCGATTAGAAAAGGCTCTTAACCTCTCGGTTGATTCGGTCCACGAGGATGGAGATTATTTCACCAACACTGACCAGCGCACCAAGTCCACTTGATAAAATATAAAATATATCTTTATATATATATATATATATATAAATTTAACTATAACGTCAAAAAAAATTGTTCATTTATTTATTCATTTATTCATTCATTTATTCATTCATTTATTCATTGTTGGTTATCACCTGCTATTTACACTCGCATGTATCATATGTGCAAATCTTTAAAGAGAGAAAAAGAGAAAAAGGAAAAGATCGTTTATTGTTACTATATTTTATTACTAAATACACAATACACAAACCTGCATCCAAATACCCAAGCAATAGTTAGTTACAAGAACATCAATTGAATGAAATATTGTTCTTTTTTTTTTTTTTAAAAAAAAAAGAAAAATTCACTGATAATAAATAATAACCCATTAATTAATTAAATTATTATTATTATTATTACAACTATTACAATCCTTGAGAAATAGACAAAGTGATTGTGTGCGTGTGTGTGTGTGGTGGTGTGTTCAATCTTCTATGTAAGTGTTGTTGGTTGAAAATGGAGTAGATATTCAAGAAAATAATAAAGAAAACAAATAAGATAGGTATAAAAATAAGTAAGTAAGAAAGAGAATAGTAAATAATGATAGTAATAATAGTAATAATAAGTAGGTAAGTAAGGAAGGAAGGAAGGAAGGAAGGAAGGAAGGAAGGAAGGAAGATTTACAAAGATATTGAGATGATTTTAGGCCGAGTCACTTTCTGAATTACTCAAAGTAATAGATCGATTATGACTGTTGTTGTTGTTGTTGTTGTTGTTGTTTCTGTTTGTAATGGTGGTAGTAGGGTTGGGAGTGGAAGTGAAGGTGGAGGTGGTAGAGGTAGCGCTGTCTAAAGGTAAAAGATTATCAGGACTTATGGAAGGGATTGTGGTTCCCAGCAAGGCCAACTGATCACGGATACGTCGATGGGCAGACGCAATACTTGATTCGAGTTGGGGTAGAAGAGAGGAGTATGGTGAGATTTGCATGACTCTGTCAAGTACACCTTGATAGCTATTCGCAAACGTGATATCTCTTGGTGGAGAGACTGAGACAGATGCAGCAGAAGCCAGTAATGCTGGTAGATCTAGAACACACAAAAATATATATATATAAATATGCACAAAGATAGAATGTATTATGTATTTGTTACCTTGAGTGATAAATGTTGGTATGGCCATCACTTCAGAACCCAGAGCAGACCGGGCAGACAAAAATTGGTCGAGTAGTGAGACTGTTACTTCAAGTTGGGCCAAAAGGTCTTCTTTTTCGCTCATTCGGATCGCAATCTGCCTGTCAAGTTCTGTTCTTCTTGGTTGGAAGGTCGGTCTGGATATTGGAGTCGAACGACGGCTTCGGTTACTCCCACCTGATGAATCAAGTGGACTGATGCGATGTGTGTGGCGAGGTCTTGAAGAGCTTATTCCACCTCCAGCACTACTATTCACACTCACGCTTACTCCTCCACTTCCAAGTGCACCATTAGCATTAGCAAGAGCAATGGCATTTGCAATCGAACTAGAACCAATGCTATTGGCACTAGAGGTAGAGCTGTTTGAACTACTGTGTCTGCTGACCATAGTTGGTCGTTGTTGGAATGTAAGGATATCAAGGTTTTGATAATCATTAGAATGAGTTGGAGATTGTGTATGAATTTGCTTGATTTCGTCTTTTGGTTTCCAGAGTGGTATTCCCATATTTTTGTTGTTGTTATTATTTTTTTGGAATATTTTTTGTATTAATGATTATAATGGCTATTAGATTAACAATAACATTAACAAAAAAAAATTAGATATGTATATATATATATATATATATAAGATGGTACTAGTGAAAATTTTTCAATTGGATGGGATATTCTTTAACCGCTCTCACACTACAACATACACAATATATATATAAATATGTATGTATATACTACATAATAGACAATACATAATAATAAAGACATGCATGTATGTATCCTTGTTTATATTTATATTTTTGTTTAATAAATGAATATATAAAGTCATTAAGAATATTAAATGTATGTATATATATATATATTTAAAGAGTTTCAAATAACAAGTAAAAGGAGTGAAATTATCAAGAATTGAATGGAATTGAATGGAATATGGTAGGCATTAATTGATGGACTGAGATGGCTCGTGCACGGCCTATTTGGTTACGGACAAACAAACAAACAAACAAATAAGCAAGCAAAATAGATTTATATATATAAAAGAAAGAAAGAAAGAAAGAAAAAAGGAGAATTCCTTGTTATAACTATTAAATATAGTTTTGTATATACTACTTTGAATTCTTCTAGAAGAAGGATTCATTTGATTGCTGGTTGAGGGATTATGCACGTGACTTTGATATGTTGTAGATTTGATGAATAATGTACAAAGAAAGAATAAAGCCAAGTTGTTATGTGGGGTATGGTATAATGTAAGGTGGAATAAAAGGTGATGATTACCAAATGCTTATAAATAAAGTTTGATATAGCTTAATTGATTGATTTGTAATATAAATATATATATATATGAGGTCTTCATTTTTCGTTGTTGCAACATTGTAGGGTATTCCAAATGACGCCCGGTAACCACAAAATGACGTTTCAATAAAAGAAAAAAAGGATAACCAAAGATGTTGTACAAGAAAACCTTCTTTTTATTTTCTTATGAAATTTATTATCTATTATCTAGTAATTTTTGTATTTGTCATCAAACCCATAGAAGCAGTGAATAGACTTTATACATTTTTGTATTTATATATATATATTTATATAAAAGCAAGTTGTATATTACAAGATAACAACAAGAGAAGAAGTAAGCTAAATGAATATGTAAGAAATATCAGTATTAATAATCAATTTACTATGCATTAGATGACTTGGTGGTTACTGTCTAAAGCTCTGGTTGTCTTTTTCTTTTTTTAAGTTGTTCATTTACGGCTAGTTATTCTCCGGTTAAAATGAAATAAGAAATACGCGCGTTCTTGTGTTTAGGTGTTTCGATGGTTGCTTACTAAATGTAGAGCTGACAAGCAAAAATAAAAAATAAAAAAAAATTAAATTAAATGTATAAAATGAAAAGAAAGATTGTGTTTCTTTTTAATTATCATCCTTTTTCATTACAAAACTACCTGTCTATTCTTTCTTAGCATAACACCATGAGCGCAGGTAAAATAATGAAGACTAAGAGCAAGAGCAAGAGCGAGTGGGGGATATAAAGACTATGTAAACTAACAAACAAACAAACAAAGAACGCAAGATTGTATTCTACAACTTTCCCGGTTGTCCTTATGCCCAACGTGCAGCCATTACTTTGAATGAGACTGGGGCTAAATTTGAAGAAGTTTACATTGACCTTGCCAACAAGCCCGAATGGTAAGTAGATGATTATAAACCAAGTAAATATATATATATATATTTATATGCATGTTAGGTATCATAAGGTTAATCCTGAACTCAAGGTGCCCGCTATTACGATTGACGGAAAGACGTTTGCAGAGTCTCTTGTGATCATTGAGCTTCTTAGTGATCTCTATCCCGAGAAAAGGTTGATTTGAATGACTGGTAGTTATTAAATAATCTAATGAATTATGTTTTGTTAGACTTCTTCCTAGTGATCCTTTCAAGAGAGCATCGATTCGGTTTGCGATTGAGTACTTTGCAACCAAGATTTCGTCGCCTTGGTACAAGGTTCTTTTCAATTACGGTGACGAGACCAAGGAAGGATTTATTAAAGAGACCGAGGCAGGATTTACGAGACTTGGTGAGTTGCTCCGTGAACAAAGTGAGACCGGACCTTATTTCCTTGGTGAAGAGTATTCGCTTGCCGATGTTGCTATTGCGCCATTCTTGGGCCGAGTTCTGTTGACCTTCAAGCACTGGGTCGGAGATTACAAGCACAAGGCTATCCAGAATGACAAGCGATTGGAGGCATTTGTGGAGGGTATCCTTAGCCGGCCATCGTTCAAGGAAACGATTAAGAGTGAAGAGTATCTGATTGAGCATTTCCAAGCCAGATTCAAATTGCCTCCCAGTGGCATCAACTAAATGTTCATTATTTGTTTAAAAAAGAATCAATACCCTATCTTAATATTTTGTGCCAATCCAATAAAAATATTGAAAATAATATTGATATAATTTGTGACTATTTATTGAATTGAATTGATGACAGCAACTATAACAAAAAAAAATGATATTTTATTATATTATTTCAATGGTGCTGATGATTTATGATAGGTAGATACTAAAAAAAAAAAAAGGAGGGGTATCAAGGAATGCATTGAATTGAATTGAATTGTATGTATGTGCCTGTATTTATGAATAAATGAATAAATAAATAGATGGGTCAAGAATGTAACCTGTGCTTGTGCTTGTGCTTGTGCTTGTGTAAATAAATATTATTATTATTATTATTGTTGTTGTTGTTGTTGTTGTTGTTGTTGTTGTTTAGTATTCACCATAATCTGATTGTTTGCTTTGGTCTGCCTTGGTCTGCCTGTCACACTAAGCTTAATTGGTTCAATAAAGAAAGAAAAGGTATGTATATATGACACACATGCTCGATCGTATATTACAACTTTCGAATGTTGTCATTGTCTGATATGTATATTTTGTATTATAATACAAAATAAAGTGTTGTTCTCCTTCAAATTGAATTGAACGCTAATATTAGGGGGACGGCATTTTCAGGATGGGGCACTACCTTTTTGATGGGAAACGTTGTTTTGATTTTACCGGACCACAAATTGTGACTTGCTGTCCGGTATCAAATAATTATATCTGGTCCCTAAGGATTCATACTTATCATAATAAAGATACTTTTATACAAGGCAGGATAATAGCTTTTTCTACGCTTCTTTCCTCTATTTAATTATGTCTTTTCCTTCTCCACTCATGCGTATTAGCTCACTAAATTGCTCCCAAACTTTTTGCATTCATCAAACTGTCTCCAGGCATATACCTCTCCTTCTTTAGGAGGCACGACCTGTTTTTGGGCAAAATGATAATAAAAAATCTTCTCATATAAAAAAATAGCTTTGACTAAATATAAAAGCGTTGTTTTATATATATAATTCTATACTTAAAGTTTTATACTATATGTAATAAATTAACTGATATATATATAGAATAATAAAAAACTATCTAACATGTTACTTCAAGACATTATATCCTAATAGAAAATGTCGTGCCCTACCCTGGAAACGTCGTCCCCCAAAAGTCACGACTTTTCATATCTTGCCTATTGAAAAAATACCTTATAAAATTTGAAATTTCTTTACTAAATACTTTATTAGGCTTATAATATCCTTTAATGTAATAAACATTACCTTTTGTTAATACTTATTTAAGATAAACACTAATAAAAACTGCTAAATCTTCTTCAGAAAAGAAAAACAAAGTCGCAAAAATGCCTGAGAATACATATAGTATTAATTAATTTTGCATATATTAAAAAGTATATCTAATAATTGTAGAATAAATGTAGTTTACATTAAAAAATATATATATTAGATAAAGTGACAGCTACTTAGAGTCATAATTAATAGTTAAACACTAATAAGTTTACTTCTTACTATAATTATGATATAATATTATAAGGCAAAGAAGCAAAAATAGAATCAATTTATTATACAAAAATGGTAACTAAAATCGAGTATTTGTAAGATATAAGATTTATTTGGCTCCCGTCAACAAATCACATACCTGTGGCTGCTAATGAGTCATATTTTCGCGATTTAACTTGAGACATAAATCATATGTTTTCATTTTGTGTGATTTAAGTGGAAAAGATTATAATCCATATAATTTGCATTTTTTTCAAAAACTTTCATAATGGATATAAAGGTAATGAAGCCGTTTATGCCTAAGAAAGTTTGCATAGAAGTTAAGCGAATATATATTCACAAAATTCATGTTTTTATTTATTCTGTAAAAACTCTTTCTATCATTTCCTTACAACATGTACATGAGATATTTTATCAAAAATACAAAAAAATGAAAAATATTCATATAAGACCAAAAAAAGTTTTTAATTACATATATTCAGATAACATATGAATCCAGTAAAAGTTTTATAGAAAACAAATGAGAAAAAAGTGATTCTACAAGCAAATACAATATTTTATTTTATTGAAAAAAAGCAAATTTTTGAGATATTACGTTAGTTTTCTCATGATCGACCCTTTCAATTCAACTAAAAATCCTAGAACCCATACATATATCTATACACTACTTGGATCCAAAGTTATAGAGAGCCAAGTCTTGAATTGATGAAATAAATAGATGCAAATGCATAATATAACATATTCGAAGATAGTTTGGCTCTATCTGTGTAACACCACCCGACATTTATGCTTTTTAATTCGCTGGATATATGTGTAACTCGTAGGGTAAAGTACTTCCCACGAATGATTTCTATGAAAAAACAGAGCGGAGAGTCATTTAACCCACAAGTGATAGATAGCTTATGTTGACGCAAAGAAACAGATTGATAAGATTTATAAAGGTAAAAAAAAAAAGATTATGTTATAGTGAGATCAACATGTTCCTCTTGATCGGAAAGAAAAGAGAACATCGCATTTCTACGATCATACTTATTGAACTCTTTAAACTTGTTCCAGTAAGTATCAAAGTTGTCGGGAATCTGGTTTCTGACACAACCCAAAAAGAATAACTCAGGAATGGTTGGCCATTTCCTTGAGACATTGCGGGAGAGGTGTACTGTTGTCCAGTGGTTATTGTTAACATGATTGAAAATCAGAGGTTGTTGATGTTTTGATATGTTTTTGGGAAGGGTGAAGGGAAGGAACGATACGGAAGGGGTGTTGGGGTTGTCTGAGTAGACGTAGACTGGTCGCTTATAGGTGTCCGCAGCTAGTTGAGCACAGTCGGATGTGCTAAACCACATACTGGCATCTAAACACGCTGGGATGAAGTTGGAGTTGGAGTTGGTGATGCAGAGATCAGAACCATGCTTTATAATGTCTTCTGATTGCTTGACATCGGTTCCAAACGTGCTAGCGTAAATACTGCTGTATTTTGGAAGGGTAGCAAGCATATCTCTTTTCACAAGAGGGAACTTTTCTTGATCTTTATAGATCAAATGGGCAAGGACCCGAAAACCACACCATCCATCAGCAGTAGGGTTAAACCCAACCTTAACGTCATCGACTATCTCATGAGAGACAGGAAAACCGGGCTGGAATTTAACCCTCTTGCCAACAGAGGTGCGATAGTCATATTGGTAATCTTCTTGAGCTGTAGCGGGTCTTTTAAACCCTATTTCTTTTGTGGCATCGACTAAAGAGCATATAAGTATACAACGATATTTCTCTTTATGGATTCAATTACACTATAAAATAAAAGCACATATTACCTGGGTCGAGAGGCTCTTTTTTAATTTGTTTTATTTTGTTTTTGGTAGCATCGACTAAAAAATGTATGTAAATATATGACAAGATTCTTTTTCATAAACTCAATTATATGTAAAATAAAAAAGCATCTTACTTAGGTCGAGAGGCTCTTTTTTGCTTTTGTTTTGTTTTTTGTTGTTTTTTGTTTTTTGTGTAGCTGCAGGCTTTCCCTCCCTCATTTTAGCTCTCAGTCTAACCATTGCCTTAAGGCCAGCCTAGTATTTCAAGATACATATTAGTACTTTGTTATGTTATATTTTATCTTACATGACCAGACGAAACACTGATCTTCCTCCAGTTTGCCCGACCAAAGTCTTTGGGAAGGTATTTGGGACGTGCACCACCCTTTCTTCTGCCAGGATATTTAATTTTTTCTGGGGCTTGAAAGTTAATCGAAGGGTGCCCAGTTTTGCCTTCGAATTCAGAAGTAACCTTCTTGATCTTTTGAAGGAGGTTGGCCACTTGCTGGCTGCCCTCATAAGAGCGGAAAAGAGCCTCAAGCTTTACAATCTCTTGCATCCACTCTTCTGGCCTCTCGGCAATTACGTGCGCTGTACAACTTTCTTCGAAAGATGTCTCTTTTAGAACAGGGTTTATGATCCATCTTTCTAGAACATCATCAAGAGTGAGCTCCCTTCCAGCTGGCAGCAAGTGTTTGCAGGGCAAGCCGAACTCAAACCTGTTTTTGCAATGACAAAATTCATTGTCTCTATTAATCAATCAAAGTTCTTGATTAATAACAAGCAATGCTCTCTTAGAGACTTTCATAAAAAGCCTGGAAAGCTGCTTGTTGCGGCCAACCAAGACATCAACAGTTGTCGATTCCCTGATTTTTATAGCATTGAAGTCTCTTTCGAGCCTGTCTACATAGGAGTTGATAGCTTCAAATGCAAGCCCCAAAGACGAAATTGCTGATATCCCTCTTTTCAAAGCTTGGTGTGCGCTCTCGATTCTCTGGGTAGTTGTACACCCAAAATGCATTTGCTGGCTGGTCAGGTATCCTGCCCACTTCTCCTGGCACTTTATCCATCTTTCGGCAAAGTAAACCGATGCATCTACCTTGGACCCTCCTTCGTCTACTTCGCAACCAGAAGATACTGCATTGAACTTCATCAACGCAACCTCGAAATCCCTTATGGTACTGCTGTGAATCATGGAGTTCATATACTCCATAAGGACCTCTTTCTCTGCAACTGACTTGAGTTTTCCAGCGAAGACTTTTTCAATGCTATTCAACATATGCCAGTAGCATAACAATTTGACATTTTTTGGGAATGCAATGTCAAGTGCATTCATTAAGGCCATACATTTGTCTGTTACAAATAGAGAACTGCTTTTCTTGTTTTCAAAAACAAATGTCTTGAGCTGCTCAAGGAACCAAATGTAGGTCTCTTGTTTCTCATTTGAAATCCAGGCAAAGGCAATGGGAAACGATTTAAGAGTGTCTCCCCCAAGGTTATGGACACCTTCCACGCATACAAGAGGCATTTCCAAATTATTGTTTGAGTAGGTGGCATCGATGGGCATGACTTCTGGGAAGCGATGAGCTCTTTCTAGCATCTTTGGGTGTGAGAAAAATACTCTTTCAAGAGATCCATATTTGCTAGCGTCATAGCGTACAAGATATCCCTTAGCTTCCATGGTTTTAACGAGTTCAGTACCTGCATCCTGAGAAGTGGAAGCAGTAGCACGAGCAAAAGCAGCCTTGATATTGTTGATGTCATTCACATACAACTTATGGCTGACATTATCCTCTTCATTGATCGCCTTTTGAGTATAGAATAGAAAAGAAGGTTTTATATTTAAATGGATTAGGAATTTCAGGACACATCGTTTTGCCCTGAAGGATTGGAGAAAACACCTCGGACCTCGGACAAGTGGTCACAACGAATTAGTCCGGCAAAAAAAAGGTAGTGCCCCATCCTGAAAATGTTGTCCCCGTAAGATTGCTGCTAGGAAATAAATAAATAAATAAATAAATAAATAAATATTTTATTTTGTATTCTTTGTTTTCTGTGCATCAAAATATAACCATTTTCGTCATAATTATCTCGGTGATGTGAACCTTTCGGAGACACGGGGTCCGATGTTCAGAATCACCACCCAAATAAAGAAAGAGGGGGGAATGTTATGTTATGTTATGTTATGTTATGATTTTATATGATTTTATTAATCTAATAAATGATTTGAATAAAAAAGAGGTCTCGAGATGTTGTGCTTATTAAATCTAAATCAAAATCAAAATCAAATCGAGTTGTATTTTGAGCATGGACCACTTTTTATTTTATTTTTTATGTTTTATTGTATTGATCAGCCTTGAATATTGTGATTAAAAGAATAGATAAAAATGTTTATTAGTTTTATTCTTTTAGGGCACGTGCCTGGTTTTCCCGGGACAATCACATCAGAGAATACATTATGTTGTTGTCTTTCTATTGTTTGTTTTTATCTAGTTGTCTTTAGAATAATAAATTATTTATTTATTTATTTTAGTCGAGAATATCAGCAAGAAAATAAAAAATAAAAAATTTAAAGGGGGGGGGGGAGTCAGAAGATGTCGAGGACATTTTTATTTTTTAAATAAATAAATAAAACATAGATTGACTGGCAAAACTTTTTGGCTGGACTTATTTGACTTGTATTTGATGGCTTGACCCCGCAAACAAACAAAGAAAAGAAAGAAAATGAGGGGGTAGGACAGTGTGATTGAGAAGAGATAGAATGGATTGATGAATATTAGTGTTATTTGGTTTTATAGTCGATTGGCTGCTTACCTGCCTACTCTATACACATTGTACATTTTGTACACACTGTGCACTGTGCATAAAAGACACAGGCCACTTTTGAACCTTGCCAGCATTCTCTTGCCGATTGGAATTCGACAATAAGTATAAAAATCAAATCAAATCAAATCAAATCAAATTAATGGCATCAATAATAATAATATATATGTTTGTTTTTTTTTTATTTGTTTTGCGTTAGTGATCGACATTGTGGATTAAGATGAGCGCGTCACATTCTCCAAAACAGCATAAATTAACATTTCTCTCTCTCTCTCTCCTTCTCTCTCTCTCTCTCTCTCTCAATGTCAGTTAATCAATTTGTTTGTCGAATGGGTCAAATGGTTTCTCGGTTGTCTATCTCTTTGTTACACATAAACTATATGTTATATATTTTTATATATATTTATGTGCCTGTTGTAACTGTGTTTGTGTAGTGTATATATTTGTACATGCTTATAATTTTATTTTATTTTGTTTGGTGTTGCTATCGTCCCCTTTTTGCATAAATAAATAAAGACATATATATATATATATATATATATATTGTGTGTGTTTGTATATAGAGTGTATTATAAAATCAAATCAAATCAAATCACAATTCTTCATCCCTTCAAAATCCTCAATATTATCCTTCACTCCCCCACAAACACTACAAACATTACAAACACTACAAGCACAACAAACACAAAAAAAAAAACCCCCCCAAAAAAGCTACTAACCAACCAAACAAACACTATCATCTTTCTCTCTTTTATTTTATTTCTCATCCCACCACCCCCTTAATTCACTTATTCCCTTCCTCCCCCCCCCTTTTTTTTTTATAAATTTTTTTTCCCTTGTTCTTGATTATTTTTTATTATTTTTTTGGATTATTTTGTTCTTGTTCTTGTTCTTGTTCTTGTTCTTGTTCTTGTCTTTCTCTCTTTCTTAATAAACACACGTACACGTATACACTGTACACTGTACACTGTACACAAAAAATAAAAATAAAAAATAAAACAAAAAACAACTTTCTTTTTTATTTATTTATTTTAACTTCCCTGCCTTTCATTTATCTATTTTATTTTTATTTTCTTGCGTATAAACAACATATAAAATAAAATAAAATAAAATAAAATAAAATAAAATAAAAACCTTTTTCTTTTTTTTTTCTTTTAAAAAAATAAATAATTTAATAATTTAATATTCGCTTTTTTTTTTCACCTCCTTTTGAATCAAAATGGACACCATGGACCCCAACGATTCACCCCGCTTCCGTCCCTTTGGATGCCACGTTCAGGTGCCAGTCAAGGTCAAGAAGGCCAAATACTCTACCTCTCTTGATCCTCGTGGATACATTCCTGGTACATCTCTCTTGTTTAAATAAATTCTGTATTAATGCCAGTTCAATTGATTAACTTTATGTAGTCTATGAATACATGATCAACGGTCAACCAATAATGTGGGATAGAGAAACCGGTTATGTGTTCTTTACAGGAATCTGGAAATCCTTGAATAACTCAAAGGCTGACATCGTCAAGATGGTCGACTCCAATCCTGATCTGCGAGTAAAGAAAATCCGGGGTGGATTCCTCAAGATCCAAGGCACCTGGATTCCTTACGAATTTGCCCTCATACTCTGCAAACGCACCGCATTCCATGTACGCAAGGAACTCGTCCCAGTATTCGGCGCCAGATTCGTCGACCAGTGTCTGGAGCCAGATCACCCCCAGTACGGCTGTCTCTTGCTCGACCCAAACAGCACCTTTAACCGTCCAACATCATCATCCCGGGTCACAACCATGCGCCAATCCAGCCACCCTTACAAACGCGACTACATGCGACGTGCATCCCGTGACAAACCAGTCTTACTAGCTCCCCGAAAATCATCAAATCCAGCAATTTCAAATTCCATTCACTCCAATACTCAACCAGGATCTCCAAAACACTCTAAAGATCAAACAATCCTCTTGGCTTATCAACCCTCAAGCCAGGACAACACCAGAGTCGCCTCATCAATGTCCCTCTCCCGTCTACTCAACCAACCATCCCCAACCCTCTCCCACCAATCCCCACTCTCTCTATCATCCTTTCTCGATGACCCCGATGATCTCTTCGATCGAGACTCCCAGAGCCCAAATACAACCCCGTCCCCAACATTCCCCCGTCATTATCAACCACAATCCTTTGACTGGCCATACCCAGATATTCTCAAACATTCAGGTCCAGTCCTAGCTCCAATCTACAGCTCATCAACCTCAACATCATCAACCAGCTCAATAAGCACCAACAACACAAACCACATCCATCACAACTCTAATAACACCCTCAGGTGCTCTTCTACCCCTCGCATCTTGCCTATTGTGGACATCGATTGGTCTCATCTCGGCGACCTGCCGAACGAACCGCTCGCATCAGGTGACCCAGAAACACTCGAACGCATCAATGCATCCATCATTCTCTACTGCATGTCCCAGAACGCAGCCAGAAACACTCTCTATTCTGTCCCAGACTCTGTCCCTCACCAAGTCGTCGTTGACACCCAAGACTTTCGAATCATTTGGCAACCAATTCAAGAAGAGAATGTGGTCAATTAATTTTATTTTTTATTTATTTTAAAAATAACAATACATATATGATTTTCATTACCCCCTCTTTTCCTCTTTTTTTTTTTTTTTTTTATTCTTTACAAAAAAAATTAATCAACACCAAAAATGATCATCAACCAACCAACTAAAAAAAAAAAAAACAAAAAAAAACAGACCTCTTCTTCTTCTCCTTCTTCTTTACATACACTTCTTTTACTTTACTTTATTTCAATGTACTTTATTTTCTCTTACTCTGTTATTTCGCTTTTATTTATTCTATATATCTATCCAACTTGTCCAATTGTCTATTCTATTCTATTCTATTCTATTTTATATATGCACAAGTATTTCTGGTAGATATTTTTAAACCACAAAAAATACAATCCCCCCCCCCTTTTTTTTTTATATATTACTAATATTCTTATTCTTTCTCTCACTTTATCCTTGTCCTTGTCTATAATAAATAAATATATATATACAAAATAAAAATAAAAATAAAAATGTTTACCTTGATTATATAAAATAAAGAGAGAGAGAGAGAAAAAAAAAATTGTAAATCATAATTGACAATGTATTTGGTAATGTAATGTACTTGACAGGAATATTAAAATAAAAATTTAATACATAAAGTATATTTGTACATCATTCAATCTTCCTTCGCACGGACCGCAAAAATTCAGTCACACTATCCTCATTAACCCTAATATTATTATTATCTTTGTCATCATCCTTGTCAGTCGGTGTCGATTTCCCTTGTATGGCTGCTCGTCTTGCATGAATCTTTTGTGCATTACGCGCCATTATCGCCTTTCGCTTGGACGCCACACTCTGTGCATTCCTCCGGGCCTCTTCGGTCTCCCTTCGCAGCGCATTCAGCCGCTCCAACTGCTCCTCACGTCCCTCTTCGTCCTTTGAAAACGTGTAAAAGCCCACTCCCTTGGTTCGGATCTCTCGGTCAGCTTCATAATGTAGTATATTGGATCGATCAGCAAGTTGGTTTGGATCTCTTGGAATAAAGTTTCCAGGAGAACGTGAACGTGAACGAGACCGTGATCGTGATCGTGATCGTGATCGTGATCGTGATCGTATAGGAGAAGGCGATCGTGACGGTATTTGACTTCTTCGGATTACCCGTGTACGACCAAACTCATCCTCATGCTCAACCCAAGGATCGTCTTCTTCATCGTCCTTTCTGTCTTTTCGTTTCGGTTGTCTAGTAGTATTCATCTCGCGCTACACAAGAAAAACATGTACATACATTCAATACTCAGTACAATTTTATTTTTCTTTTAACTTTTTTTATGCGTAAATATATTTTATATTTTATATACTTGTTGCCAGTACTTGCGATCAAAGTCAATCAATATATCTTCATCCTCATCATTCGGATTCACTTGCCGACTCATTTGATCGTACAGTCTTGCTTTACGTTCCAAAGCTTCTCGACTCTTCATCAAAACATCAGACTCGACTGCCTCTAGTACAGGTGCATCTCGTTCTGATCTACTTGAAACACCTTTATTTTGTCTAGCCCAAACAGTTGGTTTCTATACATATACATACATATATATATATATTTAAATATAGTTAAAAAACAAAATGAGGATTGATTAATACAATTACTTCAAAGCTTCTACTCCCATTCTCACCTTATCACTTCTTCTTGTTGCTGCAGATACTTGTTTACCACCTGATCTTCCTCGTTCAAATTGTTCAGTGTGTTGCGCAAGTTGAGCCTTGAGATCAAATACCTACCAAAAGAAATATATATATATATATATATATATATAATTACTCATTTGTTATGATGCTAATCATTATGTTGATAATTTTGTATATAACAGCATTAACAGTCAATCGTGAGAAGTAATTACAGTTGAAGCACTGATTTCAATAGCTGGTTTTGGTGGCATTTATAAACAAGACAACTGATATAAATAAATGATGTGTACAAAAGAAGAAGAAAAAAAAAGAAAGGTATATATATATAAAAAAAAATCCTATGTGACTTTTGGAGTTGTAACAATAAAAATACAATTAAAAATTATTTAATTTTTTTTTTATTATTATTATTATTATTATTGTTATTATTATTTTTGAAACAAGAAAATAAAGAGGTACATTTTCTATTCTTTCTCTTTTGTAGTAAAGAAGTGTAATAAAGAAAAGAAGAAGAAGAAGAAGAAGAAGAAAAAAAGGGTCACAATACAATCAAGTCAATAAAGTCAATATGTAGTATAATATGTGTACATCTTGTATTCTCATATTTTTTTGTTTGTTTGTTTGGAAATTGTGTATAGATATACAGACACATTTTGTGCGTGCTTGTGTGGATGTGAGAGAGCAAGAATAAAAATAAAATAAAAAAAATAAGATAAGGAAAATATATAAAATATAAAATGTGTGCTTTGTGAATTGTAGTGTGTTTGCTTGAATAACAACAACAATAATAATAATAACTTTTCTTCTTCTTCTTGTTGGAGTGTATGAATTGGATGTATTTTCTTTTCTTTTCTTTTTTTTTATAAGAATTTTCTTCTTCTTCTTCTTCTCTTTCTTTATGCCCTTTCTTATTAGTGTTAACGACGATGCCTGCGGTGATGATGATCTCGGTGATCTCGATCTCTATCTTCCCGTCGTCTATCATCTCGCCTCCTCTCATCTCGTCTTCGATCGTCCCTAGACTCTGACCTGCTCCTGTTCCTCACACTACTGTCCTGTGAATGTCCTGAAGGCCGAGCATCCATTTCTGCCTGCGCTGCCACAATCCGGCCATACACCTCAATCAGGGTCGTGTGTGTGATGCTGGCATTGGGCCAGAACTTGGTCGTATACAACCACAGGTCTCGGTGGCATCGCGTGCGCAGGTGTGTGTTCTCGTCGCCTCTCAAGTGGGCCAATTGCTTGTCTACATACTGGCCCACCCGCTGGATACATTCTCGAATCATCACAGCCTTCTCTGGCCCAGACAGTCGAGGACTCTCGTCCCGCAGTCTGTACAGTGTCTCGCGCATAGGACGCATGGTTCGGTGCGCCTCTTCATCGTCATAATCTACAAATCCTTCAATCACCCTACTGGGTCTTGGTGTGCGCTCTACTGAGGAGCGTGAGGATGACGCTGGTGGTGGATGTGAGTGGGCGGTGGTTGATGTTGATGAGGATGATGGAGCAGTATTAGTAGTAGGTACGGAATTTGAGGAAGCATAAGCAGATATTGTTGTTGTATTTGTTGTATTTGTTGTAGTTGTTGTAGTTGTTTTACTTTCTGTAGTAATAGAGGTTGTGTGGCGATGATCACTGTCGGTTCGAGATGACTTTGATGACCGGTATTTACGATCAGCGTCATTTTCAGACTGTTGAGAGTCCCTTGAATTGGATTCAACCCTTCGTCGGCTGGTCGGTGGCTGTCCTCGTTCACGATCCCGGCCCCGTTCTCTGTCCCGGTCCCGGCCCCGGTCCCGATCTCGATCTCGATCTCGATCCCGTTCACGATCTCTTTCTCGTTCTCGGCCCCGTTCTTTCCGCCGTGTACTTCCACCTCCACTACTGCTACTACTACTTATAGTATTATTGTTGTTATGGCTACTACTGCTACTGCTGTTTCCTACTCTCCGGTCCGAGCGTTCTGAAGATCGCAGTCCACTACCTCCCACCGACATCGACCCTGAGGTTGATGATGCAGCAGCCGTAGACTCTCCGCGATCATCCTCCGCAAGGATCTTCATCAACTGCTCTGCTCGACGGGCCAGGTGGATTGATTTTGGCGTCCGTTTGTCGTGATCTTTGCTCTTTTCGGCATCATCACCACCAGCATTGTCATCATCGTCCTGAGAGTTATTCAAAAAGAACTTGGTCGTCAGCTGCAACGAAGGCTCGGCCTGGATCTGGCACCATCGTCCAAACCCACACATATGGACTCCAACCAGCAGCATCGCATCCTCCTTCTGACCCCACACGCAGGACCACCCTTGCACACGCTTTGCTCCAAGCGCCATGCGGAACTTGAGTTTGTCAGCCATGGCATCCAGCCGGCGCGCAAGAACCGTCATGTCGTGGTGTCGCTGCAAGATCTGTCCGGCATTCACACTGTGGATGTCCTTCCATGTAAACAGGATCGCCTTTTGCTTGGTGTGTCGCAGCTCCCGCAGAAGACTGTCGCTGTCTGCACCTCCATGATATTGCAAAGTCGACGAGGTTGCCAATTGGTCCCGGACTCGGGTCCGGCAGCTCGACAGCAGGTCTTGCAAATGCTCCAGTACAACCTTTTTGCTCTTGTGTCGCAGCTCATTGTCTTGAACGGCCTCGTCATATCGCTTTTCTACATCGCCGTACCGCAGAACAGCCCGAATCAACACCCGGAGGTCTTTTTCACTTAGGCTATTTGGGCTGCCCTTGGCTTTGCGTTCACGAGCCAATGCTTTGGACCCCGCACTGGTGCCGTTTGCATTCGTACCACCAGCCCCATTTGCTCCTCCTGCTGCCAATAACGATGATGATTGACCTGCTCGTTTCCGCCGACCTACTGGCTTTCCATTGGTTTGAATGGCTTGCTCATCCGATGAAGATTCCTCCAGAGGTTCCAGATACGGTCTTCGGTTCTTCTTGGCCGCCCGCTCAAAAAGATCAGCCTGGTGCTGCTGTTGCTGTTTCAATAACAACTCGGCTTCTTCCTCAACCCTGACTTCATCCGGAATGATCTCGTCCCATCGCAGGTCGCTTGCAGTGCCTCCGTAATCGGTCACCTTGAACTGAGCCAGGAACTCTTCGTTACCGACCGACTCGCCACGATCCAGGGTCTCGGTGTGTTCTGCACGGGCCAAAATGTCGTCAAGATCCATGTCGGTCAACTTTTCGGTGTTTTCGGTGTTCTGGAACATATTTTGGGCACCGAATTTGAGAACTGCTGACATTTCTTCTTTGCTGAACGGCAATTCGCGTGGTTTTCCGGATGCGGTTACGAGCGAGTTCTCGGGCAGCAAAGACAGTCCCGAGGTGTCCATCTGGTTGATAATGCAATATTCCAATACCATCTTACGTTTTGCACGTTCAATAATGTCTTCCTCCATCGTGCCTTTGGTTACCAGTCTGTAGACATTGACAGACCGGGTCTGACCAATGCGGTGAGCGCGGGACATGGCTTGCAGATCATTCTGGGGGTTCCAGTCCGAGTCAAAAATGATTACAGTGTCAGCGGTGCAGAGGTTAATGCCCATACCACCTGCACGTGTTGACAACAAAAACACAAAATCTGGACTGTCAGGGGCATTGTAGTGTTCGATCGCCTTGTTGCGTTCCTCGGTCTTCATCGAGCCATCCAGGCGCTGGAAAGGGTGTCCACGCATGGCCATGTAGTCCGACAAGATGTCCAACATCATGACCAGCTGGGAAAAGATGAGCACCCGGTGGCCGTCTGTCTTGAGCCGAGTCAGGAGCTTGTCCAGCAGCACCATCTTGCCGCTGTTCTCGACCAGGCCTTTTAGCTGTTCACGGCGGCTGTACGAAATCGTTTCGGCCTGTGGGAATAAATAGGGGTGATTGCTGGCCTTTTTAAGTTCAATCGCAATGTTGAGCCACTGCTTTTTGCTCTTTTCAGAGCCTGCATTCAGCACAGCAAAGTTTTTGGCCAGGATGTTTTTGTAAAAGTTCTTTTGCATCTCACTCATCTCAACTCTGAGGATACGTTCGGACTTGTTGGGCAAAGACTTCTCGACATCCTTCTTGAGACGTCTGAGCATCATGGACCGAATGCTGTTCTGCAGAGTCTTGATTTTGTCGGTCTGGTGATCGTCCTGTTGATCAAGATCGATGTCAAGTTCTTTGAGTTCGAAATCGGGCATCAGGAATCGCACGAGTGCGAACAATTCCTTGACACTGTTCTGAAGAGGCGTGCCGGTAATCAAGAGACGATTGACAGTATTGAATCCCAGCAAGACTTCGTACAATAGACTTTCGGAATTCTTTAGACGATGTGCTTCGTCTACCGCAAGATACTGCCACTTGATTGCACCCAATTCGACTCGATCTTTCATGGCGAGCTCATAGGTTGTCACCAGCACATTAAACTTGAGCTTCTTGGTGTCGGCTACATAAAATTCATGGTCTCGGATAACCTGACGCGACTGTCTGTCGCCAATGTAGCACAGGGCATTCATGGCAGGAGCCCACTGTCTGAGTTCGCTCATCCAGTTGTCAGTTGTCGAGAGAGGAACGACGATCAAAAAGGGACCGAAAAGGGATTGCTTGTGGAATAGAGTACTGAGTAAACCGATTGTCTGGACAGTTTTTCCTAGTCCCATTTCATCGGCCAATATGCCATTTTGGTTGTTGCACCACAAATGGTACATCCAACTGATGCCATGCAGCTGGTAATCGCGTAACTGGCCACCCTGGATAAACGCGGGTTGGTCTTTAAAAAAGGTAAAATTGGGACGACCAGATCTGTGGTACGACACCGAGCGGGACGGAATCTGGTCGTTTTGTTCGCGGTCAAGAAATGCGTCTACCTCGGCTTGGTATTCTTTGGTGATCAATTCAGCTGACTCCCAGGTGCACTCGCTATAATGCAGGCATTTCCATTTGACAAAGTACTCGGGCGCAGACGAAGGGCCTCTCATGCCGATCACTCGCTCAACTGTTCTCCAGTCCTTAAGTTCGTCTCGTTGGCGTTCGAGGTTGATGTCATGCTGTTCGATTTCTTCTTTGGTGGTTTCGGGGTGGTTTCTGAACCGAATTTCATCACGAATGCTGCTTTTAATGTAGTTTAGGAGCTTCTTGGCACCCTTGAAGTTGCGCAGGTAATCGTACGAGTCCCAGGTATCATGCAAATGTGACCACTTTTTCCATTTGACCAGGAACTCCATATTGCGTTCACCGACGTCTTCCTCTTCATCAACTGTTGTATTATAGGTAATTTTTTATATAATAATATAATATAAAGTAAAAAAAAAAAAGACAATTTGTATAGGTACAAAGGTGTGTGTGTATATGTATCTTTATCTTTTTCTCTCCTCTTTCCGTATGTGTATGTATGTGTATGTGTGTGCATATAATTATAGAGAGAGAAAAGATATGTAAAATACATACCTATATGTATATAAGCATACATACATACATACATACATACATACAGAAAGATACATGTGCATTATATCAAAACAAAACAAAGCCATAAAAAATAAAGAGAGAGTAACTTACCAAAATCTGCTTTCCGCCGATGATCGTGAACACTTTCAATAACATCTCCTTCCTCTTCTTCCTCTTCTTCGGGTTGTGCTCCCATATTGACAACAGATTCTGGTTCTGATAAACCCCATGCGTCTGCTTTATCTTCATTGTAAGAGGTCACGGTTCTCTTACGCATAGAATGTCGAGTTTCGCTGAGAGCTGGGTCGACTACACAATTAATGTTGTTAATCTCTATATTGTCTTATTATTATTATTATTAAAGGTTTGTCAATAATTTAGTATCGTTTTGGGTGTATGCATGTGTGTTTGTGTATGTAAATTTATATAATTATGATTATGATTATGATTATTAATTGGTAGCTTCTGATGATAATTCTTATTTTTTTTGTTGATGTTGCTGTTGGTTTACCCCAGTCTGACATGACAGGCTTCTTCTTCTTCTTCTTCTTTTTCGACTTGTTATTTTTTCGTACTCTAGATGATCCGGCCCAGTCATCTGAATCACTATCGTTGTTTGCACTACTGGCCTCGGAACCCAGATCACTAGATAAAGCGTCGGCAGACGAGACGGCTACAAATAAAATAAAATAAAATAAGAAATAAGGAATACATTAAATAAATGATCAAGTAAATAGATAATAATATCAACAGTAATTCTTTATATATGTATATATAAAGACCAAATATTATACAGTAAATTATATAAAGATAACTTTACCATCGTACAAGATGGCTGGTTGGACAGGTTGAGCTAACCGACCACCCCGGTTTCGCTTGCCCAGCCCAGCCAGATGTTCTTCGTATTCATCGCCACTACTGCTGTCTTGACTCTCTTCACTTTCGGTGAGAGGAGACGTCTGCGAGAGTCAATAACCACTCTTGCTAATACTCCCTCTTTACCTCTCGTCGCTGGACGGTTACTCGTCGAGACCGACGCAGACAATATAAATCCGGGTCCAGTCTGCCCAGGTCAAGAGCTTCGTCGTCGTCGTCGTCTTCGTCGTTTTCATTTTCGTTTCTGTTTTCGTCTTCCTCATATTCTTCATAATCATCAGGTTCAGCTTCATACACAGGTTCGTCTTGGATGTCTTGTTCCACTTGTTGATATTCTTCCTGATAAACTTCCTGGTATTCTGTTTGATATTCTTCTTGATAGTCTTCTTGATATTCTTGATATTCTTCTACTTCTTCTACTTCTTGTTCAATTTCTTCAACCTCTTCTTCTTCCTCAACCATCTGCTCATCCACCTGTTCTTCTTCTTCTTCGTCGTCGTCATAATCATTTTGGTCTTGAAGATATTCTTGAACGTTATTTCCAGCTCGAGTATATTTATAGCTGTGTGTTGGGTGGTGAGGTTGATTATCTTCGTCATCCTCTTCTTCGTCTTCTTCGTCTTCTTCGTCGTCGTCGTCTTCTTCGTCGTCGTCATCGTCGTCATCTTCATCGTCGTCATCTTCTAGACTTGATGCCTCGGAGCTCATTGGACTACTAGGTTCCATCGCGGCAGGGGGAGGCAGGGTTTTGCCACCACTGGGGCGATAGGGGCGTCCGTCATCAGAAGATACACGCCGTCGGTGACGTTGACTGGCGTCTTCCTCAGGACCACGCTTAGCAGGTGGTCTTTGTGCTATAGGCGATGGATGAGAAGACATGAGTTAAAAAAAAAAAAATAAGGAAGGAGTCACGTCAATAAATTATTTATATGAATCTTTAAAAAATTAAAAAATTAAAAAATTAAAAAATTAAAAAATTAAAAAATTAAAAATTAAAAATAATATATATTTGTATATATATAAATAAAGAAATAAAAAATAAAAAATAAAAAAATAAAAAATAAAAAATAAAAAATAAAAATATAATTGTAAAAAGAAGAAGAAAGTGGATGGAATGACTAATGCTGACAAATGTCAATGATGGAAGAGAGAAAGTCAATATTGACCGCCATATTGACTTTTTTTTTTTCTTCTGTTCTTGGTTGAGATGTACTACCACTCTCTTGTTGGGGAATATGAAAGTATGTGTGTGTATATGTATATATCTAATTTGCTTTTCAATTTAGAAACGACTTCTTTATTATGTAGTTGTTGTAATTGTTGTAGTTGTCTGTTCTGTTATTGCTGTTGTCGCTGTTACTGTTGCTGTAAGTGTTTTAGTAGTAGTGAGCATTGTTGTTGTTGTTGTTGTTGCTGCTACTGTAGTTGGTGGTGGTGGTGGTGGTGTTTGTGTTTATGCTGTAATTATTGTTCAAATAATACACTTTGACAAAAAGAAAATAAAAAGGAAACTTGATGAACAGATAAAGAAATAGTTTGAACAAGTGTCAATGACCAATGAGCTTTGATAATGAGTATATTTTCTTTTGTGTTTTGTTTCAAGCGCTTCATTGCCTTTAGAGGTTGAATAAGCAGTAGATTGAAATAAGAGTGTCTTTGGTGCTTCTTCTTCTTCTTTTTCTTTTTACCTTTATTTTGATACAAAGAATAAAGAATGAAGAATGAAAGTATTTTGTTTATACATGTATAGGTGTGGACTGTTGAAGATGTCGTTGTTTATTCATTATCTCTTTCTTCATGTTGTTGATGTTGATGTTGATTTTGATGAAGAGTATTGAATTTGAATGCGATTGATTATAAGAGTAATATTATTGAATAGTTGTCGTTGTGTAGTCAATTACTGAGTGTAAATAAAGGGTTCAAGGAGTTCAAGGAGTCCAAGGATATCAAATACACGTATACAAACAAACAAACAAACAAACACACACACACACACATACATATATATATGTATATATATATATAGTGAAAGAAGGAAAATATATATATATATATATATATTACAGTGAAAGAAGAAATAATAGAAGCAAAATAAATAAAGGAAAAGAAGAAAGAAAGAAAGAGAGAAAAGAAAGGACAATTATATAAAAATGTATAAAGTGATATTTTGGGATTTGATTATAGCAAGGAGTCACTTTACCTTGCATTTCAGATGATTGAAGCAAAGAAGTCAAAATTACAAAAAAAAAAAAAAAATTAAAATATAAAGTAAAATAAAAATAATATAATATAATATAAAAATTAAATAATATATATTATTTTATTGTATAAATACATCTGTATATACACAGACACACACACACTCTATTTTATATCCAAAATAATAAATAACGGGAAAGGATCCCTTCAGAGCTTAAATCGTATCTGAAATTTGGTCCACAATACCCAAGGGAATAAAGTCACGGCCACAATGTAGATTGAGCAAACCAAGAAGCTCACAATAGCACTACAATACAGGGTTCTTATACTGAGATTAACCAGCCCAGTCAATACATTAGCCTATATTAAAGAATAACAGTCAGTATATATTATAAATATATTATATTCAAACAAGCTACTTACAACCAGAAAAGTAACTAGACCATTTTGGTTCATAGCAAATAATAGACTAGGACCTTGACCTTTTACTTGTGATTTATGATCTACAAACACAAGCGCAGCCAATAGAGATAGGTTGAATGCAACCACCCACAGAACATATGGTCCATTGGCCTGTTATTTACATCAGTAAATGCTAATAAACTTCCACACATATATCTTTTGGATATCTATTTATCATTTACCAAGCGACGGGAAACAGCAAAGTCGGTTGTCCCTGTCCAGGCCATATACACAATCCACAGACCAACAGCTCTCTTGATCAATTGGCGTCCAGTAGGGCATCTATCGTCATCTGCCTTGTATTTCTTAAATACAACCAATCCAGAATCCAATCCAAATAAGAATATAGATAGGTACCCTGTTAAAATTATGATCATTATCATGATTTCATATATAGAAAAAGAAACAAAATCAGTAAAGAAAAAGAAAAAAAAAGGGTAATCACATTCATTTCAATGTATAGAAAGCAAACAATTACCAAAAAAGCTAAATATTCCTTCCTTGTTTGCACTCAAAAGATCCACTCTGGGTGCCTCTAATATCCAGGTCTGGAGACCATACTGAAGCACTGCCTCATACACTTTTCAAAGCAAGCAAGCAAGCAAAAAAAATCAATTAATTAATATATTGCTCATACGTAAATACACTGACTTACAAGCACCAACCGTCAGGGCAAGCACGCCAAACGAAGCATATCTTTGAAGAAAACTAACAAGTGTAACAAAAGCAGGAAGGAATCCGAGAGTAAAGAAAAAGTTCCAATGCAATCCATATTCCGATGTGTGAGTCTACAACAACAGCAACAACAGAGAAGATGATGATGGTTATGAGTGTTATTTGTTTTAACCCCCCCAAAGTCTATGTATATTCACAATATTTTTTACCTGATAATCAACACCTCGGGTCAAAACAAGACGAAGTCCTCCCAAAACAAGAATTGGCAAGGCAGATCTAAAGGATTGTACGAGAGCCTTTGACTTTGACAATGATGAATTTCCGGCAAGGTAAGCACGCGAGGCCACTACCCCAGAAGAGAATACAAATGATCCAACACCGACATCCATCTACAAGCAAAGAAGAAGTAAATAAAATATGAAAATATATATAAAAAAAAAGGCGAATGTTATTGATGTACTATTTTTTATTATTGTAAATACTCAATTGACTTACAAGAGAGGTTCCAAAGGTCTCTACTTTTGCAAAGCGCCGAGGGAAAATGGGGAAATCGACAGCAAGAATAGCAATACAAGTCATGAGCATAGTACAGCCTCGATAGACTGTCAAGTAAGATTTAAACATTGATGTTTTGGCTTCAGGTAATGGTGACACTGATGCTGATGCTGATTCTGATGTCAGATTATACACAAGAGCACTAGCAGTCAAAAGACCAATTGATACTAAATGTGCATAATCAGCAGCCAAAGTTTGGCATGCAAAGACTGGCAAGCAATATATCAATACTTGGGCCCAGTAACTATCAGATATCTTGATATTGGCCCTGGAAAGAGATGACCAAAGTATATGTGATGCCTTTTTTATTATTATTATTATTATTATATCTTTTAATATGTTAACATTATATATATATATAAAAAGAAAATATATAATTCATTGTTTACAAAATAAGCTTACAACAGAACTAAAGCAGATGGTTATCACTTCAAATGTAGATCCTCCTGTACAATCCGACACCCAAGCTTCTTGAGCCCTTTTATATTCATCGCCGGTCATGTTCACAAAACAGAACTTCAAGAAGAGAGGGACCAATTATGATTAAAACTCAACAAAAACGCTCATAAACACACTTTGTAATATAGTTTTGGTTTGATAGCACAACGAAGAAGAACTGTACTTGATTATTAATATTATATATTTATTTATTATTTACTAAAGTTATTATTACTAGTAACCGTATGAAATTATTTATAGATAATAAAGAAGTATTTATATATTGTTTATATAGAGATAAAGAAAGAATGGAAGATGAATAGAAAGAGAGAGAAAGTGTATATGTATATATATATATGCGTGTATATATTTACAATAGAAAATAGAAGCATTGCTAGTTGAGAAGATTTTCGCCAGACGCAGACAGAGATTAGTTCGGCAGCCGGGCTTGTTAGTGGAGGGACCTGGCGGGCGGGGAAGCAGGCGATGGGTGGGTGGATGGGTGTAAAAGTAAGTGGATTGGCCAGGCCAGATTTATCTTCCTCTTAACCTATCCTTATTGAACAATGGTGCGTACATCAACATCAACAGCGGCAGCACAACAGTACATAGATGAAAAATAAAGACATATAGAAACGTCGATTGATGAATGGATGAATGGATGGAAACGATGGATGAACACGATGGATTGACTTTCTTATATATAAAAATTACGAATTCTCTCTTTTTTGGATGGATCGTATACTTTTTTGTATATATATATATATATTATTATTATTTTGCTTTCCATGACTTAGGCCAAGAAGGACGTTGCCGCCAAGCCTAGCTCTTCCTCCGGAGGAAAGAAGGCCAAGAAGAAGTGGTCTGCCAAGAAGGTCAAGGACAAGTCTAACAACTTGGTTGTCCTCGACAAGCCTACCCATGAGCGTTTGTTCAAGGAGGTTCCCACCTACAAGCTCATCTCTCAGTCTGTCCTCGTCGATCGTCTGAGACTTAACGGTTCCTTGGCTCGCATTGCCATCCGTGAGCTCGAGGCCCAGGGTTTGATTAAGCCCTTGTCCCGTCACCATGCCCAGGTTATCTACAGTACGTACACATTTACACACACACACACACATATATATATATTATTTTGGGATTATGGTTCTAATGAAGTACACTTTATTTTATTTTTTGGTTAACTTTTTAGCCCGTGCTACTGGTGATGAGAAGGCTGCTCCCGTTGCCGCTGACAAGGCCGAGTCTGATGAAGAGTAAATAGGATCTTTACGATTTTGTTTTATTACTATTATTAAAAAAAGGAACTTATGGTTTTGGATTTTCCAACTCTTTCTTAATTAATCAATCAAAAAAAATTCATCAATTACATAAATAAATGCGATTCTTTTTATGATTCGATAACACAAAATACATACAGCAAAAGCATGTATATAATCTTATCACATATTAAAATCAAGTGTAAATGTATATGACAGAAAATGATCAGTTTTCAAGATATTTTTTTTGAAACAGCGCCTAATATGTTGTTTTACAGATAAACACTTTACACACACACACGTATATATCTCTCTGTGTGTGGGTGCGTTATTTTTTTGTTTTTTTTTTGTTTTTGTTTTTTTGGTCAAACAAAAATTACTCTTGGTACACACCTTATACTTCTTCTGTCTCTTCTGTCTCTTCTGCTTCTTCTTATTCTCATATTATAGCTACTACTTATTTTACTTACTTATTTTGGAATACATACATTTATATATCTTTTTGACTGCAAATATAAAATTAAAATAATAATAATAATAGTGCCTTTGTATATACACAAGCATATACATACATACATAAATACATAAATACATATATATATATATACATACAGATACATACAGATACACACACACACACACACACACATGCTTATATATATATACATATATATATATCTATAAATTTTAAGCAGACACAGACAACTGATACACACACATACACGAATAACCGACTCACAAAAAATACACGATAATATTCACATATTTATTGCACTGCCGAAACAAACAAAACAAAACAAAAAATAATACAAAAAGAACCAGTATTTCTTTCACTATTCATTATCTAGCCCTCCTTTTTGTTCTTTATCTTTCTTATACTCTATAATTAATTCTGTAAACCAGTAAAAGAAAGCAACCAGTCCAGTCATGTCTATTATTCCCGGCGAACAGTTTATTCGTACGCTAACCCATTACCTTGATTCCAACCAAGGACGATTGTTATCATCCAGCTCCAGTCCGACATCCTCATTCTATGGAGAAGATGGGATGAAGGGCATCATGAGCGGTATAATGAACAGCAGTAACAACCTATTACGGAGGACTTCTATGCCAGCCCAAAAACAAGGTGCTCTAGGTGGACTGGTGCCTTATATGTCCTTGTTATCTGCCGCAACCACAGCATCAGCCAGTACAGGCTGGGCTGCCACAACCAGCTACATGCCCAAGCGTCCTTGTCTGACGCTTGATATCCACCACCTCTATTTCTTGCTCGTTCAATTTGAACACTCGGGCCTCGATATCGGGGACCCTGCCTTGCTCGGTCCGTTACCAGACGGGGGTACAGTCGAGACAGAGACATCGGCCACTATGGGAGAAGCACCTTCAATCATGTCTGTCAACTCCATAGCCTCGACCCTCTCGACCCTCTCACTCTCGACACACTGGAACTTCTGGCGCCAGCAACCCCAACAGGACAAACCTATTCACATGGACATCGAGCATATCTACAACTATTTCGCAAACATAACCGCTCTGCGACTGCACATGAGTGTTGTCGTGGATCCTCACACGGGCATGACGCGGAGTGGACAGCGGACCATCGCAGGCTACGAAACACCGCTCCCTCAAGATGGGTCGGTCGTGTTGTCACTCCTGCCATTCAAACGACTCACCAGCCTTGAATTGGCAAACGTTCATCCCCGCATGATTTCCGACTGGACTGACTTGAGTAAATCATTGGTACGGCTAGTCGTCAAGGGAGCCAATGTTGAGGACTGTACTTCAGTGTTGGGACTAGAAGACACCTGGGACAGATTGAGATATTTGAGCCTCCAGGACAACAATATCACCACCCTCGACACACATGCAATGTCCCAAATACGCCCTGTCAGCCACCTCAATCTCAGCAACAATCTGCTGATTGATGTACCTACTGCACTGTCCACTCTTTTCAATCTCCAATCTCTTCAGCTGGCTCACAACATGATCTCGTCTGTCACAGGAATCAATACAATCCTCGGAAATATCCTCGAACTGGATCTCAGTGGTAACCGGATTGTCCAGCTGGCAGGCTTGGACCGTCTATGGGCACTCGAACGCTTGGACCTCAGAGATAATCAAATCGAGGACTGTGCTGAAGTCGGTCGATTGACCGGTTTGCCAAACATTGCAGACATCTGGATTTCAGGCAATCCCTTCACACTTCTCCAGCCAGACCACCGTGTCCAGATCTTTAAGGCATTTGCGGATGTCCAACTTGACATTCGACTTGACGGCTCAACACCTTCTTTTCTCGAACGCAGACGAATCAACCCTGATAAAGCTGACACGGCTGCACCACCTGCAGCTGTAATTGCGGGCCAAAGCAACAGCACAGATACTGCCACTTGGCCGGCTGCACATGCAGGCGAGGATGAGAAGCCAGAAGGAACGGCTCCGGATGGACCTATCGCTATGGTCAAACCAAAGAATAAGAAAAACAAACGTCTTATCCGCCTTGGACAAAGTGATGATCACACGAATGACTCAACCAACAGACCTGATCAACGAATGTCCCGTATTGCTGAGCTTGAACAGACTGTCCAAAATGAGACATTAGCTCGTCGATCATCGCGTCGCCCTCGGTCTTCAATGCGCCGTAGTCGTTCCCCTGGGCAACAATCAACCAAGAGCTCCAAGAGCTCCAAACAAAATCGTTCATTGTCACCTTTTACTGACAGAACTGATGATGTATTCCGGCGCAAGATTGAGGCCATTCGACAAGAAGCAGGTACTGAATGGTTACGTGTAATTCAAGAAATGGAACTTCATGAACAGCAAGAGCCAAGACAAGATAAGACTTCTTTACCCAACTAAGAATGAATGCATAAAAGAAAAGAAACAAAGAAACAAACAATCGAAAAATACCTCTTTTTATTATACACGAAAAAGAATTCAACCCAAATCAATCAATCAATCAAACAAAAACAAAAACAAAAACAAACAAGCAAACAAACAAAAACCAAGCAAACAAGCAAACAAACAAGCAGAATATTGCTTTGATTTTTTTTTGGATTTCTTAAGGTCAACCCTCATCATATACTTTACATACACTTCTTCTACATACACTTCTTGTTCTTTTTGTATGTTTTATTTTTCATATTTTTTCTTTAATTATTTATTTTTACACTCTCACACATTCACAAACGCACGAACAAACTTACACAAATACACACACACACTTCTTCTTCCTATCATCTTTATTCATACATATATTGATCTACTTATCTACCTCTTTACTTACCTTTACACAAATATATAAATACATATATACATGTACACATGTATATATTTATACATTGATACATTGATACATTGATACATTGATACATTGATACATTGATACATTGATACATTGATACATCTATACATCTATACATTTATGTTGTTATGCTTGTGTATGTATAAAAGCCACTAACATGAAACGCTCCTATCCTCTTTTCCCTATTTTATTATAGTATTTATCACAGATATGTATTTATATGTATACTATTCTTAATGCGATTATTATTATTATTATTATTATTATTATTGTATATTTTCTTCTCACAAAACATAAATGGGAATTCACTTGTTCTTTCCCTAAGCTTTCTTTTTCTTTCAATATATATATATATAAAAGAGGAAAAAGGAAGAAAGACAAAGTTTATATATATATATATATACATATATACACAATCTCTTTAAAATGTCAAAGGCTTCATACGACATTGCCCTATGGTTGTTCAATCTCATGATCGACATCTTCTTTCGTGAGGTCCGACCAAGAGGATCTCACAAGATTCCTCAACAAGGACCTGTCATATTTGTAGTTGCTCCTCATGCTAATCAAGTAAGCTATTCATTCTTTATATTTTACACATATCTTTCTATTCCATAAGTTTCTAGTGTACAAAAAAATAGAAACATTTTATTATTATTGTTGTTGTTCTTTTTTTTTCTTTAAAAAATAATGATAATAATAATAATAATTAACTTTTGTATCGTTTCCTTACAAATGATACTCATTATTATTTTCATTTAGTTTGTCGATCCTATCATTCTTATGCGAGAATGTAAAAGACGCGTCTCATTTCTCATAGCCGAGAAATCTATGCATCAAAAAGGAGTTGGTACTTTTGCTCGAATGGTCAATGCCAGTAAGGATTGATTTTTATTTTGGAATTTTGAAATTAGACAATAGAATGACAATGAGATACACACACCTATTTTGCGTAGCAACCAACCGGTTTTTATTCTTATAAATATTTATTTATATATCTATATATATATGTATATATTTATGTGTGTTTGTGTGTACCTGTGCTTGTACGATATCAGTTCCCGTTATTCGTCCCCAAGATTCAGCTATTCCCGGAAAAGGTGTTATCCACCTCGATCGTGAATATTCTCTGTTAATTAATGGAACAGACACCGAATTTCTATCGCAGCTGAAACCAAGAGATTCAATTGTCTTGCCTGGTGGAGCGGGAGTAGCTGAAGTGGCCAGGATAGTCTCTGATACCCAACTTGAGCTGTGCAAAGAATTCAAAGCACTCAAAGCAATCGATTTACTGACAAACTCGGCCAATGGAACAAAATATAAGTGTATGCCTCATATTGAACAAGGATCTGTCTATGAGCAAGTCTATGAACAGCTATATCGTAATGAATGCATCACTGTGTTCCCCGAAGGAGGAAGTCATGATCGGGCCGAGATTCTCCCTCTCAAAGGTATGAAATCGAACTACACAACAGCGACAATTACCGATAATAGCAACAATAGAAACAATAACACTAATGCTAAGCTATTCATTCATTCGCTTACTTATTTATCTATTTATTGACAAATACAACAAATTCCTCCTATTTTTATTTTCTTTTATGTGGGGGGTAATCTTAGCGGGTGTAACATTGATGGCTTTGGGCGCTATGGCGAAATATCCTGGGCTTGATGTCAAGATTGTACCCTGTGGACTTAATTATTTCCATGCCCACCGATTTCGTTCTAGAGCTGTAATTGAGTTTGGTACTCCATTGACTATATCAACTGAAATGGTCGATATGTACAAATGTGGTGGAAATGACAAGAGAGATGCATGTGGAAAACTTTTAGATACAATATATGGTGCTCTCAAGAGTGTCACGGTCAATGCGGGAAGTTATGAAACACTTATGGTAAGATAGTAGTAAAATAGCTTATCACCCAATATTATTATCTTTTTTATTGAAAGAAAGAAAAAAAACATCCCCCAACAATATCTACTATTTTGTAATCTAGTTGATTCAAGCAGGCAGGCGTCTATACAAGCCTGCACACCGCAAACTACGCATCTCTCAGGTTGTGGATCTCAATCGCCGCTTCTTGATAGGCTATAATTTATTCAAAGATGACCCCAAGGTTATCGACCTCCAACAAAAAGTATTGGCCTACAATCAGTTACTCAAATACCATGGGATCAAAGACCACCAGGTCTCCAAAACAAGTGTACGTGGTAGACGACGCACAGCCGGTCTAATTCTGAAGCGTATATGCATAATCACCTTATTGGCCTTGTGGGCATTTCCAGGGTAAGACAATATAATATCTAGACCACGCGCTTTGGGAATAACCTTTTTGATAATCTTATTCGGCACATAGTGGACTTTTGAACCTCCCGGTAGCTATATTGGCTAAAGTGATCAGTCAGCGAAAAGCAGCAGGTAAGTTAAACATCATCTTTCACATCTTCCACCCCCATTCTAACCCTTATTCCCTCTCCTGCTATAATACCTTATTTCATGTTACCGCACATGTATACGCAGATGCCTTGAAAGGCTCGACAGTCAAAATCGCAGGAAGAGATGTATTGGCAACATGGAAGCTTTTGGTTGGTCTGGTGGTACTACCGACGCTCTATGCATTTTACAGTTTCATAATGCTAGTTGTCGTGCTCCAGACCAATCTAGATCCTGTCTGGAAATGGCTTCTTCCTATCGCCACATGGATTCTTCTTCCATTTGTATCCTACGCCAGTCTACGCTTTGGTGAAATTGGTCATGATATGGTCAAGTAAGTCTGACATGGTCTGCCAACTTCCCAACCTAAACAAATATGCTGTGTACCATTAAAGGTCACTCAAACCAAGTATCATGGCGCTGTTGGATTCTGATGCAGCCAAAACCCTATGCATCAACCGAGAGACCCTTTCACGTGACATCACAGATCTTATTAATGAATATGGTCCCAGAGTATTCCCTGATTTTGATGGTGTGTGGTATATTGATATTATTTTGGAAGAAAATCAATAATGACTGTCAAGTATATATGTTTATTATTATTATTACTATTATATAGCTGATTATATTCGCCGTATATCCCAACCGGCACCCAGCCCGTCTATGAGTCGATCCTCAAGCTCAGTTGGATTGCCATGGACAAATACACAAAGCAAGCTTCCAAAGATTGCAAGCGGGTTTCTACAACAGGCAGCACGTATGGATTGGCTGGACGACAAGAATATTTTTAATTGGGGTCGAACTGAAGAATCTGATGCCGATGACTTTTACTTTCTTGATCTGTTCACCAGTTTCCGTAACGGTGGGCGGAGCAGAAGCGGATCTACTAGTGGAGAAGCTTCGTCTGATCAAATGGCTTCATCTTCTAAACAAGGAAGCCGTAATAGAAGTCGGGCCAGTAGTTTTGTGAACGGTCTATTGAGTATGGAGGGGTTCAAGATCGAATCGATGACAAGCTTGCCACCTTTAACAAAATCAGCCCATCATCCAATCTTCCGAATTGATGATATTGAAGAAAATACCTCAGAGTTAATTGCTTCACTTGATGTAGCAAAAAACCAAACCGACAAAGAAAAATCCATTACAGAAACAAAAAAGAATGTTTGATTATTAGTATTATTTTATAAAGATATGATGAGATACATTGGTGTCGTAGTCTTGTGTGTGTGTGTCTGTAGGTGGGTAGGATTAGCAATCCTACGAAACTACAGTATCTAAAAAAAGCTAAAGCCGTATAGTTGACTTTAATATAATTCACTAAAGCTTTGTGATAAGTCAGATACAAGTACAAGGAAACACCATACCAAAAAAAAGAAAGAAAGAAACACTGAAAACCATAAGAACAATAAAAACCCGAATTATATTTTAACTGAGCTCTTTCCAATTATATATTTGAAATGCACTAGCCCATGGTTAACACGGTTAATTCGACAGAACTTTAAAGCTAAAATAAATATATGTATTTGAGTGTAAGCCGTGGCGCTAGTCAAGCTATCAGTACGAAAAAAAAAGGAAAGCGTGTAAATTAGTATAAGCAAAGGTACGATAGTATAGACTATTAAAATCTACAAGAAATAGTGCTCATACAATTCTAGTATGCAACGTTTTAGACCAGAAGAATGTAATAAAGATATCAAAAAAGGCAATATTGTTTGAGATTAACCAGCGTATATAAAGCTTTATCAAAGCTCGTGTCGATTGGGACTCGTCAAAGGTTTTTCACAAGGAGCTGATATCTCCTCTTATAGAGTGGTTCTAAAGAAAAGAAAAATCAAGATTTGATTAAAATAAATAAGTACAATTTCCAATTGGCTCTCTGAATCTGTAGTACAAACATTTTGATACCATAATTTGGTCTGATAAATGCTTTACAAAGCAAGGCTTATTCTCTACACTACTTCATCTTACTGACTGTAAAGTCTAAAGATTGTTTGATTATTGTCTATGAGAGCTTTCAAGGAAGAGAAAAATTACGTTTTACTAGCAGTACAAAAATATTTTGGAAAGGAAAATGAAATTTTACCATTATAATTCAAACCTCATCTACACGTAGCACATCTGGATATATAGTAAATATAGATTGTGAGCAGATACTGTTTGACTGTTATATATATCTTTAGACAGACAGTAAAGTGTGAATAAAGATAATCTTCAAAAAGTGCATTGGTAGAGTTTGATCTCAAGTAAATACAAAATATATCAATCTGAAACTGATACAAATGGTAAAACTATAATATGTTTAAAATAAATCTTCCAAAGGTTAAAAATATATTTATATATCTAGTGAGTGTTGTCCTTACGGTATACTTATTTGAGATTTAGTCAAGTGGTATTTTTGACGTACTTCTCAAACATAAAAAGCATAGATCATTTGGAAAGAAAGAAAACACAAGAACACTGAAAAGGCGAGCTAAATTATATATTACTCTGTAATTTCTATTATTGAGTTTCTGGATTGCTGCTTGACAGATTAACTTTCCTATCTTTTGTTGCTATAAGAAAATCAATTGTGAATCAGATATTTCTGTAATATTTGATATTGTTTTGGTTGCATATAAATTCAATTGGCATACCAGGACACACCTATGTGTGTGATACTTGGTTTAAAAAAAAACATCTGCAAAATAACAGCTAGCTGTAAATTAATAATAATAATGATAATAATAATAGGAAAATGATTTTAATAAATGATCTAAAATAAAATAGTCCAGTGCTTTGTAAATACAGAGTGAAATATAAGAATATGTTATTTATACGATCAATTAAATTAACGTTTTGCAATTTGGCTATGTGTGTAGACCACGCGGAGTTGATACACAGTCTCTACTTAATGATTCACGCAGCACAATACTAGCGAAATATGAATTGGATACAGTAATTTATATATGCAAATACATCACTACAACTAGAGTTTATGTGCAAATAACTTTTTCAGTGCAACATGTACTGTGACATCCTTCCATAATCTTATTGATCTCTAGATAACCGGGACACACTTAAAGAGGCAAATGCTCGGAATATTTATTCTTGAACAATCCTAACCTAATAATAATATATAAAATCAAGGCATCAAAAACCATGGTCTATTGTGCACAGACTCTTGTCTCGGTAATGTCTTGAATTTATATATAAAAAGAAATATTTGATCGTAATCGTAATTGTAACTGTATTTTTATTTTATTTTGTTTTCTTTTAAAATGACTGCAGTCATAGAAACACAGCCCCATTCAAAAGACATAAATTCTGTGCAGGCAATTCTTTATTTGGAACAAGCAGTATCTGCTTACATGCAATGTATGCACCCATTATTGGATCTTTCCAGAAAATATCAATGTGAAACTAAAGGTTTATGTATTTACATCTTACTTTGCATATAACCTTTCTATTATCAGCATAAACTATTAACCAACCAAATCTGACTTAGCTAGTTGTACTCGAGGTTCATACAGTTAATGTATTCTTGTGATTTCAGTTACAAGAGAAAAACTTAACTTTAACCGCAGTATACTAAACATCTGTATTTCAAGAATAAGCACCAATAACAAGTCAGAAAATCCAAGGTTAATAAATATATAGACAATTGTGCTTTTGTAACAACCATAAGAGTTTTTCTCTTTTAACAGGCTGTTTTACCGTTAGTAAAAATGTAAGTGTTAAACAATCCGCCTGTCGGGAAATCATTCAAGTTCTCTTTCAATGTGTACATTCTGCCCTAACAAAACTGCGGCATTATTATAAGCGGCTGTCAACAATAAATATCCTGCCACTGTAGCCACATTTGACACTTCAGGCACTTCAGACGCTAAACAAACTAAAAAAAGAAAATTGTACATCACGTTTTTACACATTAATAGCATTAAAACATATCAGTCAAAATAGCTATATATATATATATATGTATGTATGTATGTATGTATGAATGTACGCATCTACAGAGACGAACTAGCCTGAACTTCTCTACAAAAAGATACATGAAATAATAGTGGGCAAACTGTCATGGTTTCATGTCTGTTAGCAAGAAACAAGGTTTTATTTTTCTCTTTTCTTTATCAGTTGATTACAATATTCTTGTATCAGTATCAGTACAACTATTATTGTTTCCTCATGGTCCTTCTGTAATGTCCTACCAAGGATTCCCATAGCCAAAAGCCGTTCACCCAACAAGCGACGGTCTACAAACTGTGCCACCAGTATCAGCTGAGCATGAATACTGACCTACCCAATAAGAGTTCCTTCTCCCTCTTCTTTCTTAGGGTGGTGTAGCTTGTATAAATATTAGATTAATAGTATGTTTACTCCAGCGCAAATAATGGCAGCCACTATAATAATCAGATAAGGCTATATAATCTATCCTAAACTTAAGAGCCCTTGTTGTAAAGTAAAGATAGAGGGCGAGAAAACAACAAGACAAGTGTGACCGGAATATAGTGCGCATACCAATCCCCCTAAATGGCAAGAGCTGTTTTGTAGACTTCGATTTTGCAGCTTTCCCCTTTTTTTTTCTATTATTTTATTTTATTTTATTTTTATTTTATCGATTTCGTTACTCTCTCTCTCTCTCTTTCTGCCGAGAACCCGTCTTGCCCAATACCTGGGCTTCATCATCTCATTATATTGCCTTTGTAAAAAGTCACAGCATACGAGCGATGCATCCACCTACCTTCGATCTTTCTCTTTATCCTACCATGGAGACCATCCGTCTTTTGGCATCTCTACTCGAGCGTATGACAGCTGCAAACGATCAGATCAATGCAGCATCTGTGGCAGGTCGCAAAGGTGACATTCGCCGCACTGTCTCGGCATCTCCCTTGAGCTCACACCAAAAACCCTTGGCTGCAGTTACGCATGCTTATACCCGGTTTCATGCCCACTCAATTCCGTCCATCGACATATTCTCTTATCTGGCACGTATTCTAAAATACTGCCCATGCGCAAACGAATGCTTTCTCAGCTTATTAGTATATTTTGACCGCATGTCAAAACAAGCATTAGCAACCACAGGAAGACCCTTTGCGATCGACTCGTACAATATTCACAGACTGATTATTGCAGGTGTTATGGTGTCAAGTAAATTTTTTAGTGATGTCTTCTATACAAATACGCGATATGCGAAGGTACGGATCACAAAAAAAATGTGCAAGGGTGCATTTCGATCTAATTTTTATTTTATTTATTGTAGGTGGGTGGACTACCAGCCTCGGAACTCAATATACTCGAGCTGGAGTTCCTTAAACTCAACGGCTTCAATCTGGCAGTATCGATCGTCGATCTGCAGCGATATGGGGACCAGCTAGTAAAGGTGGCGCACATGGAACAAGAGATGCGAAAGACACTGGAAAAGGTGTCATATTCGCCCAGTCTCTTCCGCCATGGCCGTTCGACGTCGCTTGGATCACTGGCATATATGGACAATTTACAGAATGATGCAGCCATCGATCGTCTCTGTGATCTCACTTCGCGTGTGTCAATGGAGAATATTGCTAAACGGCCTACTGGCTACAATATTTATACACTGAATAATAACAGCAGCAACAGCAGCATCAACAGCAACAATAGTAATAATAATAGTAGTAATAATAGTAACAATAATAATAATTGTGTACGTCCAAACATGCGACGTATGACAAGCTTTGGCAACCTGCGACAATCTCCACGCACTTATGGCTATCCGAGTGATCTTCAACATAGCCCAGTAGGGGAAACAGAAGACAATGAGACAAAATATTGGCGACCGATTCCATATGGTGGTCACCCTGGAGAATGGTCTCAACCGTCACCCAAACCAACTCTGCGACACCCTCGGGAACCATGGCAGCCACGTATTCCCCGGCATTCGCAGTCAAGCGCTAATATGCAGGCAGACTATTGGAAAGCAAATGAACCTGTTTCTCGCAGGCTTTCACTCACTTCTATTCATGCTCCACCTTTTGTGCCTGCTCATTCTGTCGGCATGCCTACACCCCCGCCTTCCTCTCCTGGGCAGCCATCCTATCCAATCGTTTATCTCTAGCTTCGAACTTCTCTGTTATTTATACTCTTACATACATACCCCCAACCAAGCCATCTTGTATATAATCTTATATCTTCCTATATCTTCTTATTCTCATATATCAATGCTATTCATATACATATAACATATACATATACATATACATATATATTTATTTATTTTATTTTATTTTATTCTATTTTATTTTATCTTATTTATTTATTTTATTTATTTAAATAATCTCAGGAACAAACCGCCTGTTTCCTTGACGGTGTGTCAATGGACCACCGTGCAAGGCTACACAAAAACATAAAATCAGACAACAGAGCACGCTGTCTTGCAACCGTTATTCATCGTGCGCCTCTATATTTCGTTCGTTCTTTCGTTTTTTTTTCTTTCTCTGTGTGTTTATTATTATTCGTTTTTTTTGCTCTTACTCTTTTACTGCACATTTAATTTACAATCCTTTTTCCCTTGTTCATCACATTGACGCCATCCCTCCATCCGTAATGGCTCCTCGCTCAAGGAAGAATGCGACATCTCAATTCAATGTCATGGTCGTTGGCTTTGCTGGTGTCGGCAAGACCGCATTTATCAAGACCCTCCTCGAGGCACTTAAGCTTGATAGCCCTAAAGAGAGACATACATTGTTTGACCCTCCGGTCCTCCAAGGGCCCTTAACAAAGACTGCAGCACCTTATACTGTTTCTGTTGATCTTGATATCGATGGTGAGAAGGTAGCCCTGACACTCATAGACACTCCAGGATTCCAGGCGAGTTTTCTTGCTGACAAACAGTTGCACGATATTCTCGGCTACATTGAGCACCAATTTGATCTGACCCTTGCCGAGGTAAAAAAATAAATAAATAAGGATTATTATAATACGATTATTTTTCTAAAATAAATAAATAAGTAAACTGATAGCACTAACAAACTTTCTTTTATAGGAATCCAAAGTGAAGCGTAATCCAAAGGCAGTTGATACCCAGGTCCATGCCTGCCTCTACTTCCTCGATCCTACCAAATCTGTATTGGATGAGTATGATATCCGGATCCTAACACGACTTTCACGACGTGTAAATGTGATCCCGGTTCTCGGCAAGGCTGACACGCTCACAAAGGCTCAGAGAGACAGAATGAAGCCTGCGATCATGCAGAGTGTTTATAATGCTGTGAACAAGATACCCATCTATGGTATGCCAGAAGAAGATGAAGAGGATGAGGACGAAGAGAAAGACAAGACGGCTGGTTCGTCACTTGAAGGGTTCCTTAAGCAGTTTGACTACGAAAACGAAGATGAGGACACACGCATTCTCATTGATTATATCCACATGTTACCCTTTACCATGATCGCCTACGAAGATGATCCTCAGACTGGAAAGCCTATTGCAATTGAAGGAACACCCATTGGACGTGATTATGGCTGGGGTACAATCGATTGTATGAGTCCAACTTTTAGCGACTTTAATGACCTGAAATCCATTCTTCTCGACACTCACCGCGGGTTCCTTAAGACAGCTACCATTGAAGATTATTATGAGCGGTACCGTACCGAACGTCTGCTTATCAAGAGAGCTACCAAGCTGAAAAGCATGGATCTCAGCAAGAAGATTCTTGAAGATCTCACAAAACTTTAGATGCACTCATTCTACAAGGCAACAGAAAAATATATATATATATTACAATTACAATCACTATATCAATAACAATCACAATCACTATCACTATCACAATAATACAAATAGGCTTATGTATTGGTTTTTATGAACTTTATTTTCTTCCTTTTGTTCGCCTTTTCTTATATTCCTTTTTCTCTTATTCTTCTTCTTTTTTTTTTACATATATATTTTATTTCTTTTATCGAGCCAAGGTTCTTCTTTAACGGAGCGTGCTATGATAAACAAATTACTTTTTCTTATATTAATTAATTAAATAAATAAAGGCTCTGAATTGAATTCAAATCTAATTGATACTCATGCTGTGTGCTTTTTGATATATTACAGTTTATTACAATAAACCTACGTTAATTGCTATATATCCAATCTATATAATTTACCTCTGTTTTACCTTTATTTTAGTGAAATATACATACGTAGTTGTACCAAAACAGGCATGTACGTACAGTGGAATTGACATATATAAACAGGCGCTCCTCCAAATAATAATAATGTAAGCTAATGACAATAATCATAAAGGCACACAATTAGGCTTTCACGGGTGCCTTTGTAGGATCGGCAGAAGCATTCCTGCCGGGTAGCACTGAGGCTGAGTCAGGAAGTAGCACAGTCAAGAAGTTCATGTCGCCCCATTCAACAAGCGTGGTTCCACTAACAAGCGGGAGTTTCCTAATCCTTTCTCTCTTTTCTGTCAATGGGTAATTTTTGAAAGTGATTGTGTTCATTTCGGAGAAACACAACATATATAATATTCAACTGCTTTAACTAAAAGCGTCATTATCAAAGTACACGCAACTTACATCTGGAAGTTCTCTCTTTTTTTTTCCTTTTCGCTCCCTCTTTTCCTTTCACTTCGTCAAGTCGTCTATAGCTATATATGTATGTATATACATTGAGTGCCTGATAATTATTTAGGTAAGATGTGAATTGTGAACTATGAAATAAATTAAACAAATTCAAATTTAATTAAATGACTTAAATATGGCCCAAAACTTGGCACCAAATAAGAAATCGAGATGGCGGTTGAGAATCAAAAATACCGTTAATTACAAAGTACAAGCTTTTATTGAAATATATAGGTTGTGCAAAGATTGGGAGTACCTACTGCTTTTTTATTTTAGTACCCCACCCCCTCTATAAAAAAGAATGCTAAAGAAAAATCACTTGGACTGGCAACTTTGATAGATAATTAAAACTTGCTTTATTCAAGGTAGATAGATCAGGGTAACCAATCTCTCTTTTTCTTTCTTTCTCTCTCTCTCTCTTTAAAAGGTCTAATTGTCTATAATCCCTTTTGACACACACAAAAACCTTATATTCATTTAGGCTGTCATAGTAACCATTTTTTTTTTAAAAAAAAAAGCTGATCACATCATCAAACCCATAAGCTCAGCTCATCTTCATATATCCTCTTCCACTTTTTAAAATCATCAGAGGTACATGTACTTATGTTGCATTGTTCTGCAGATCCTAAAATCAACTTCACATATCCAGCCAAAAGTACGTTTTCCCAGTCATCCTCCGATCCATCTGCCGTCAAATTCCGCTCATGTTTTTCTGCCAGCTTAGCAGAATTTTGGACCATACTGGGCTGTGAAAACAAGGTCTCGGCCTGACTGGCTTCACTTTGGGTAAGAATTCGAACATCATAAACAGGGTATGTCTGACTCCAGTCAAAGTACATCTGATGCCACGTGTGCAGAATGTGAGAGCCCTCAAATCCAGGAACACGCGATGGTGAGTCCAGCCGATCGGAACTGCCGGATATCAATTGTGTCCGGCTATTGCCAGCAAAAGCAGACTGAATCAGATGAATGGCAGTTTCTGAGCTCATAATATCCTTATTGCTGTAAAAAGTGACCTTATTCAGCTCAAAATATTTCAGATGACTAAAACGCATATCGAATAAGACATCTTGAGATATAGGTCCAAAAACATTAACCAGTTTTATGCCAAATAACGACACGTATTTCAGATTTCGACATCGGTGCGACAAGTATCGAAACACTTTCACATCTGCTTCCTCTGCTGCAATCTTTATAAGCCGAAGATCATGCCCAACCATACATTCATACTCCTGCACCCTCAGTGACACCTTGCTGACATGTACTATCAATATCTTCAACATTTCACAGTGATCCAGAACGGTATCCAGCTTAAGCCACATAGTAGGCAGAATCAAGCACAGATGAGCCAGCCTTGAACAAAGTCCTAATTCCGCTGGGATAATGAGCGTATTCTGGTAAAAGCAGCTGTTTTCGACTGTAAGAGACACCACTGAATCTGGATATGACTTTAGTGAATTGCCTAATGCTGGTCGAAACCGATCTTCTTTGCTGTCATTACGTAGGCGGTCTCGTATACATCGAAGAGATGATCCGCTGGTTGAGGCAACCAATAGAAGAGTATAGTAAGCCCAATTTTTATATTCAGATCGAAGCATGTAAAGGTTCTCCAGTCGTGGAAAGATGTATGGAAGACCTTGGATAACATCTTTGGCTACAAAGTAGTTGACTCTTGCCATTTTACACTCCCCATGGTTGCTCCATGTTAATGTACGTACGTGAGTAAACTTGTAGGCAAAGTAAACAAGCCATTGAATGTCAATATCGAAAACTTCGAGATGTACATTGATCAGACTAGTAGCTGGTTGTATAGACTGTAATATGTGAGGATCTATTAACTGGAAATTCCCAAAAGTGGCGCTTATTTTCAAATACTCCAACGATGGGAAATACGTGTGAAGTGTCTCCATATCACCTATTGTGTAATATATATATATATATAGATACAAAATGAGATAATGGCTGCTAATATGCAAAAATGAATTTTAACATCACTATATTCTATTACCATAAGTTATGTCGTGAACAGGTACGGTTATGTTAAGGTTTTTGACCGACATCCATGGTCTCCAGTTCGTGTATTGAAAGAGATTTTTATTAAATACATATGAAAAATAGCGTGGAACTTGAAGTTCAAGCGATTTGACGTTTGGAAACTGCTTTTGAATGCCATTGAGCTGATCATCGTTTAAAAGGAGACCCCAAAAGATATATATGTTTTTTACAAAAAAGCTGTTTTTTCTGTACGGATTTTGTGGTTCAAGGGAATCGAAGCTGGCGTGTTCTAGCTGGGATTTGGTATTGATTTCGACTATACTCCAAACACACTGATTGAATGGTTCATGCCATGCTTTGCAAACAAGACTGCAACTCCACCAGTCCCGGAATGAGAGATATTCTGCAACTTGACTTAGGATTTCGAAGGGAAGTTTGGACGCAGACATCAAAGTAGATCCCAAAGAGGCAGGCCAGGAGAAGAAAGAGGAACAGGAATAAATCCAAGAGATCCGGATATTTATGCGGATGTCTGATGAGCGAGTTTGGTCACAGCGGAGCATCCCGAGTTGTATATAGGACACACTAGGTTGTGTTTTATTTTCTTCAGCCGAGATCAAATGAAGTGACTAAACCAATCTAAAAAAGAACAATAAAAAAATCGTAAGCTTTAATCTAGTGGCAAGTGCACGCCAGCAATATCCGCTGGTAGTTAAACGAACAAAACAAAACAAAAAGAAACTTTTTCATTGCTCTTATAAACCGCTTGGCTATATGCTGCCTATGTAGCACTCCTCGCCCTATTGAGTGAAAAGTCAATGAGAAACGCCAAACCCAATGCACACACAAAATGCTTCTACCAAAAGCATACGTATCCTCTGTAACCTTTATTTTTCAGGCATTTTTTTTTTAGTTTTAAGTTCATAATTCTCTCACGTGAAAGACTGAAGAAGGAATTCAGCTATTGAATATCAATTTTTTAAGACCAAGTGAATTAAAATATATACTGTCTGTAACAGCCCTAAGTTAAGTATCCACTATGATAGCTATATGAGCTCTTATTTGTATAAGAAGAGAGGCACTCAAAGGTGATAATAAAGTGTCCTCACCATCTTGTATCACTCTCTTGCGTCTGTCCTACTCTGTACATCATCTACGCATTATGAGACCATGGGTTTCTTTTACATAACTGTCAGTATAACCAATATTCTTCTTCTTTTTCTCCCACACAACGATGTAATCAATGTAATGCAATAATTAGTAGTTAATATGATATATCTTTTGAACATCTAGTCTCTTTAGATATACAGAAAACTTGTATCAAATCTTAAATACACCAACTCCTTGTCATACGACTATAAACAATGTACTCCTGAATAAGCGTATAAATAATATCTATACTCTGTCCTTATATATATAGGGTGCACCTTTTTTATAATCGACAATTTTTATATGTAAAATTAGAAAACCATAAGGCTTTATGGGATCTTAATTTTTTTGAATTTTGTTACCGCTGAGTCGTTTGCTTTACTATTTACAAGATCTCTGCGGTGAGACTTCTTTTACTTCTCTGCAAAAAAAAAACTTTAAGCAAGATGAAGTTTCGATATTTAAGCAGGGAGGCTCAAAAAATGTCCTCATTTTCTGGCCAATAATAATGCTCCCTGGGTTTTAATTTGATATTTGTGTAACGTATAGTGTATCTTTTTATAGTGTGTATTTTTTATTAATAAAACTAGAAAGCCAAAAGGCTTTCTGGGATCTTAATATTTTTGAGTTTTGTTTGCTTTAATATACTCTTAATGCTATTTAGAAACTCTCTGCGGGGAGACATCTACTACTTTTTTGCAAAAATATTTTTTTAGACAAGGTAACATCTCAGTGTTTAAGCAGTGCGGCCAAAATGATGGCTTTATTTTTCAACCAATAATATAATCGACTGAGTTTAATATCCACTTATATATAGTAGAGTATGCCCTTTTTCAAAATAAATATTTTTTATTAATAAAACTAGAAAACCAAAAGGCTTTCTGGAATCTTAATATTTTTGAGTTCTGTTCGCTTTAATATGCTCTTAATGCTATTTAGAAACTCTCTGCGGTGAGATATCTACTACTTTTCTGCAAAAATATTTTTTTAAACAAGGTAACATCTCAGTGTTTAAGCAGTGCGGCCAAAATGATGGCTTCATTTTTCAACCAATAATATAACCAACTGAGTTCTTTATCAACTTGCATAATGTAAAACGTTACTAAATAAGACAATCTATTTTAAAAAAAAAACAATTTGTTCCTGATAAAAACACAATCGACAATGCCAAAAATCAATTCTAAAATGAGAGCTTTATCTCAAAAAGCTGCTGCTAAAAGTCTTTCTCACTCTCAGAGCGAAAGTGTAGAGTTAGTTAGAAAGGAAGTTGATCCTACCCCCGAGATTTCGGAATCTTCTGGCAGTGATGTCAAAAATCTCGGACTTTCTTGGACCAAAAAAGCTGAAGATGCTCTCAATGGAAAATACAGTCGCAATCGTTCATCATACTCATCTCGACATGTTCGTAGACTGAAAAAGGCAGAAAGAGAAGCAGCAAAAGGAAGTGCTAGAGTTGACTCCTTTTTCTTGCCTATCGCAAACTCTTCTTCTGCTGAGACAGAAATTGGATTGGATGAAGAAAGTGATAGTGCAGATGAAGTCGAGTCAAAGGAAGAGTTCAAAAGCAGAGTAAAAGACGCAATCATTGACTTGTCAAAGTTCGCAGTACCTGTCATCAGTTCGACTTCAGAGCAGCAAAAACTTGGTGTAGCAGAGATGGGAAAGTACGAAGGAGCATATCATTACTTATATGCTTTGATCAATACGGACATGAAGAAAATGGCAGCTTCTAAGTTTGCAAGCGACATTGTATACAAGCAAAAATCTACTTGGTACAGAGCCCGTAAGATTCGCCAACATGCAAAGGAGTATTTGGAGACTAGACGAATCAGTCTTGGTGCACAAGGCAAGCATGCCAAACGTGTCTCTGTTCTTGATGATGAAGTCATCAAGCAGCAAATACTCGAATGGTTCAGAAGTCAGCCAAGAGCTAAAAGAAGTATTGCTGGACTTTCAGTCCACTTGAAAGAAGTCATTCTGCCTAAGGCCATTGGTAGCAGCTTACTATCAGATGAGTTAGAGATCGAAGGTAGTGCAATTAAGCCGTTGTCTACATATTGCCTAAGACGAAAGCTGATATCTTGGGGATTTCATTTTAAGCATTTAGGTAGGCAAATATAGAAAACCAGAATGCGGTTTTCTCTATAAAAATAGAATGTCACATTAATATAACTTATGTTTATTTTACAGGAAAAGTTGTATACTTTGATGGGCATGAGCGCGAGGATGTGCTTACTTATAGAAATGCATGGAGCAAACGCATGATGGAATACTATCAATACTCTGAGAAATATGACAATGTTACACCTTCTCTTGTGTCATATCCTCAATTGACAGAAGGTGTCAAACAGCATGTATTTGTCACACATGACGAAAGTACATTCTATGCTAATGACTATCAAAAGTACGCCTGGGTGGAAGATGGTGAAAGCTATTGTTTGCCAAAGTCTGAGGGTAGATCAATAATGATCTCCGAGTTCCAATGCCCTTGTCATGGAACAATGAGAGGATATGTAGGAAACCAGTACAAAACTTCGCGAGTGGTATTTTATCCTGGAGCTCAATACGAAGGCTATTGGAAAAGTAGTCATATGTGTGCCCAGCTTACAGATACAATACCTCTTTTCAATGCCATACACCCAAATGCAGTAGCTGTCTTTCTTTTTGATCAAAGCAGCAATCATAAAGCCTATCCTGAAGACGCTCTTTTGGCACAAAACATGAACTTGTGTGCAATTGAAGTAAAAGACAGTGACTCAGGCCAGGGAAAATTTCGTGACAGCTCATTTTATGTCAGAAAGCAATACGACTATGCAGAACAGCAAAAAGTTTTTTTTCAAAAAAAGAGTAATGAAGAAAAACTTAAAGAATATGAAGTAATCGAGTCTCGGCTCCATAAAGTAAGTGATTTATATACAATCCTATCCGAATAGAAACATAATTTATACAATTACAATAAGGGATCACTTTATGCTAAAAGACGTGTCTATAAACTATTCATATTTAGAATAAAAAATACAAAAAAATATTTCATTGGCCTTCGCGGCATATTACAGCAACGTTCTATGTATAGAAACGAAGCAGAGAGATACTCTTTAAAACGTTCTTGCAATAATGTCGCGACAGCTGATTCTAGATGTTGTGCAATCCATATTATGGAGGGACAACCAGACTTTGCCAACCAAAAATCAGCACTCGAAGAAATAGTTGAAGGCAGTAGACACAAATTTGAACTGTATCCAAAATACCACTGTGAATGTAATTGGATCGAAAGATACTGGGGAGCAGCCAAGAAAGAAGCACGACGTGAATGTGATTATTCTTTTCAATCATTGAATAGAAAAATCAATTCGTTTCTGGATAGTGTTTGCCCACCAGAAGATGATGTCCCTGAAAAAATTCGAAGATACTTCCACAAAAGTTTTGCCTACATCAATGCCTACAGTCTTGGTCATGATGCTGAACATGCATTTGAAATCGTGAAACAATTCTCAAAGCTTCACAAATCTCATCGTAAGCTGAGATTAAATCAATAAATATCACATTTCTGACTTTAAAATACTATTTTGGAATCGGTACTTAAATTCCAAAAAATGTCCTCTTTTCAAAAATTGTCTATTATAAAAAAGGTGCACCCTATATCGGGTCAAATTATTATTATTTTAATTCCAAGGCGTTAATACACTACGTTTAATGGACTTGAGTCATAAAACGAATGGGTGTACAATATTCCTAACAGGCTGAAATCTATATTAAGATGTAACCCAATACTTTAAATACATCATGTACAGTATTACTTTGAGTTCATGCATATTTACCATACAGCTAGAATAACCCAAGAAACATCTGCTTGAGAGAGGATAAATAAAGACACAGTGTAAACAATAATAACAGAAACAGCAACAATGAATGGCTTTAATGGAGTCGATATAGTGTAAGATTATACATCCTAGGAAATGCTTTGATAATATATATGCTGTACTGTATAGAAATGTTTACTGCTATTACCAGTACTGTTTACTAAAGAGTTCGACGTGTTGGATTTAAAAGACATTTATACATCATTTGGCTTTATTGCACAAAAACCGGGAATAATCCAGGTATATCAAATATAAATGTGGGTTTACCAACCCAATAGACTGACAATACTTTAATACTGTTGTTGTTGTTTTTTATTTAATTGATATATTAGTCAACGGTGTATTCTCATATCTTGAACTATCTAAAAGGTAGGAAAATTTGGAAATATATTTTCTCCAATGTTTTATCGCTTTCCTTTTTAATGATTTGTTTCTCAATAATCTTATGCCTTTGGACATATTCACGTACAATATTCTATGACGGAAGAAGTGTAATTTAGGAAAGTACACATCATATATTTGTGTATAAAAAGGCAATTTCATATATCCAAGATCGTCTATAAAACAACCCATTTGGTCTTTACTTCTGCTTCTTTTATGATCCTATAAATAGGTTGAATTTACTGCTATTTATCAAACTCTTTTTTTTCGTTCTCTTTAGCCAAGAAACTACTTTACTGTTACCTAAGAATATGTGTAATAGGGAAACATACCTCTAGTCTTATTGACCTATCAGCAACAGTGGCACGCGTGTGATCCGCAGTTCTTGGCAATAGCCAGCCTCAGCCCCACAAATATCACGCCAAGCGCTCAGTATATATATACATATATAACCTTTATAAGACATTAGGCCTTACGTATACTCGGAAACATCCTTCTTATTTAATTTCTCTTCAACTATGCTTGCATCTGAGGTGCCTTTTGAAATTCTAACAAAGATAGCTAATCTTCTTCAACCCAGTGAATTGCGCACTTGTACTGTTGTCTGTAAATCATGGCATGATTCCTTTAATGAAGTTATATGGCGTGAAGTAACAATCGAGACGGATATTCAGCTAGAGAAGTTATGCGACATCTCGACAGCTGAAGAAAACCCTTATCAAGACAACGGCCATCTAGTCAGAATACTAGCATTAGATCAGAAGCTCGTAATGACCGTGGAGAAGCTTAATGCCATTCGAAGTCAGTTTCCACATCTACAATCCCTCTCAATTGAGCTTTCAAGAAATTTATTTCCACGAGACATTCCTGCAGTATTTGATGTCTGGCCATCTCTCACACAGCTTCATATAAGTCCCTCACGAATCGCCGCATCAGATGGCGTAAAGGAATTCCTGAAGTTCATGACATTTTTTCCAAACCTACGAGTATTATTCTGTACCGAGTTTTCTCCTTTTAGAACACGGCCTTTTAATCTAATTGATATCGAAACTCTTCATGACATATTACCTCAGCTGGAAGTCCTACGCATTGGTTCCGTATTTGCTCCTCTTTCCTCCGAAGATGTATTGTCTTTAGAAAAGGTCGTACCAGCAAGAAAGCTGGTTAAGTTGCGGGTCGGTTTTCTCAATTTAGACTCTCGCTGGCTATGCTATTATGTACACAAGTATCCGAACTTACGCGGCTTTACATTGTACAATCATGGTGGAATGCACAGAAAGAGTTCCTATGAGGAAGCACGAGCCATGTTTCCAAAGCTTTCGAATTGTTTCCCGTACCTTGAGACACTCAATCTTACCGGATTTTCACCAACAGCATGGTCTCATATTGCCCTTGCAGATCTTATTTTCGGGTTTAATAACTCGATCAAGCATTTCAGTACCTATTTACGTACTAATGTGGAAGACCCTGGTATTCAGCAAGCCGTAAAATCATGTATGCGAGTCTTTCCAGCTACCATAGTTTCTCTTCGCATCACATCTGAGTTTAATTTCACTGATCTTGAGGCGCTCCCGACTGCGCTTGGCGCTTGTCATCATTTAAAGTACTTGTATATGGGCGCAAAGGACGTTTCTGTGCAGCTAGATACAATATTGGACAATTCCCCGGCTTTGAAAATGCTGACCCTCAAGCAAGTAAACATCTCTCTGAGTCCAGGAGTACCAGAAGCTCCCGCCTTGCACGGATTACGCCTTTTATATATCGATGCTGACGAAACTGACACTGGTCAAATTGATACAGAATTATTCAGTTATATTTCGGTTCGCTGTAGACAATTAAGATATATGTCTTTGCACGGTGCACAAATAACCTGCTCAAACGTCTTGTCGACAGATAACCTCTGCTTTAGCATGCCACACACAAATCTAAAGTATCTACAATTAGAAAACATCTCTTACCAGTTACCAAAAATGCATTCAGGACAGGAAAGTCGTAATATGGTCATATTTATTCAGAAGGATGCGCCGTTGGAATCAGGAAACTCAGGTGCCGACTACCTTTTTATTAAAAGTTCTTTGATGCCTATAGCCAAATCAACGTGGCTCCAGATGTATTTTGACCGCAAGACACAGAATTCACTGGTCAAATTGCGGGTTTTAACGGAAGGTGAAGCAGAGATTGCCGAAAGATATTCCAACTCTACCGAATTAGACAACATACTTTGCTCAAGTTCTTCAGACGAGTCAGCAGTTTTCTTATCACCACTAGAGGCTACTACACAAAATCTTCTTTCACGGGGATTCGTATCATTTATCTTTGGGTCAGTTGAGAGGTATGACTTTTGTATGGATTCCGACAGTAACGTAAATACTTGGGAAATAATTCATAATAAGGAGTATGCACTGCTCAATTAGCAGACATGTAGCTGGATTTTCTTTACAATTGTTATGAATATGGAGTGTTTTCCTTTTTGCTAAAAAAAATCAACTTTATTAAAATTCCAATCCTATGTTTTACCTTTTATATGTATGTGAAATAAAAAAAATATTGTAAAATCAATACAGTACAAAAACTATGTCCAAGTTTGTATTATTAAATAATTGTGGAAAAAAGGTTCATTATAAACAATTAAATCTTCTATGATATATTTTGAATTCTTTCACTTATTAAGAGTATCAATTATGATACATTTGAAGTAGAAATCCAAGCTTTAGAATTTGTTTCAATTTTCTCTTGGAGGTTTTTTTTTTGCTAACGAAGTTATATTTAATATCCAATACCTAAAGAAAAAGAAATGGTATGATCATCCTGATGAGTCTTTCAATCAGTTACCCTCGCAGTCATGCGTACTTCTGTTTTTGATATGCAACGTTTGGATTCCGTCTGCTACAGCCATTCTAGCTGTCTCGATGTCTTTAAGAAAGCTACTCTTCATGACCGCACCCTCGGTATCAGGTCATGTATTTTTCAGAGGCTGTTAAAGTAACAGTCTCTCACGAAATGAGAATTGAAATTACATTAATTATCTGCATATCATGTACGTTTAATTGAGCTTATGCGGAAGCTTTGAGGAGACTGGTCAGGTAGGATTGCAACTTGTGGCGTATTTTCTATGGTTTCGATATCCTGATGGTATTTCCTCTGGAATTGTCTTCTCAAAGTCTGCATCATTTTCGGGTGTCATTTATTTTTATGGCCGGTGTGAACAAGGAGCCACAGAAAGGGTCAAACAGGATCTTCTTGTTTATGAGGGTCTTGGAGAGTTAAATGGTATATATTTGTGATACGATATATTTTATTCGTCATGTAAAGTCTGTAAAAGAAATTCGGCTGTTTGTATGATTTCTGTAGAGTCTGAGCGACCAGACCCTAAAACGTTCTCAAGGCAGTTTGCCGTCAACGGTAAACGCAGAACCTCCTTGTTGTGATTTCCTGCAGCTGTTCTGTGGTGATTCTTTTTGCGCTGATGGGAGCGACGCTCGCCTTCACCTGTTCTTAGCTTTTCTATCAAATTGTCCATAACTCTCCTGTCATCTCCCATCTCTATATAAATAGATTATATTACTATGCACTCAGATTGTATATAAATAGCACACACACACACACTTACGATCAAAGTACATATCTGAAGATGCTGTAGCCTCAAATTTTGACTTGTTATTTCTATTAATCAATTCTTTTCTTTGAATTTCGCTGAAATTGTGCTTTTCTTCGCAAGCTCTGCTTTTAGTGTGCTTCTCTTCTACCACTAGTGCATCCTAAACATTAAATAAATAAATTAATATATAGTTAGTAAGCTACTGCTTCGTACCTTCCAGTGTGTTACAAATGTTGCAAAAACATTGAAAAATTCATCTGGACGCATGTCTTTACTGCTTTCACCATAATACGCCATTGTATCTTTCCATGCCTCATCCATACGTAAATAGACGCTCTTGAGACGATTAACATAATCGGATACATGGTTCGAATGTTCTCTCATGATTTGTTCAAAAAAGTCTTCGCTTGGTAACTGTACGTCTTTCCAGTGTGCTTCTAGCTCTTCCTTCAAATCCTTTAAGCCTTGACATAGTTCTGTGTACTGCTGAACAAGATCCTGCACACTAGCCATCACTAATTTTAATACAATGTTAATTTTTAATTTACAGAAATCTTTTCCGAATTCTAACTTACCACGAGCCGCTTGTCTGACATCCTTCAGCTCATCCGTTATATCCAAAAGGTGCGGGAATTGACGTCTGATAATGCCAACCAATATATGCAATAAACTCAGGCTTGATGTCTTTGATGCTTTTGTATCAACCAACTAAGAAAAAAGAAGGTTTAGAAACTTTTCTTGTGTGATTATATTTGTACCTTGTTCAAACTTGCAATGTGCATTCCATAAGCTCCACCCTGGAAGCTTGAGGCGTTCATAAAGTTTCCTACCATTAGAATAAGCTATATCGAATTGACAAGTATGAATAACACAGCAGCATTTAATATCAATATTCATTTAATCTAGCACTTCTGCCTCTTAATATTACGTGTAGAAGCTCTTTCATATTTTCCGATTGCTTCAATTTTTCTGAGGCATCAATAATTAATGACATGCTCTAATGTTATAATAAAGTAAATATGTATTAATAAAGTTCTATCCTTGCACCTATTAAACATTTATCAGTTTTTCATACCGTACCTTCACCAGATGATCATATCTTTCCCAAAATTGAACTTTTAGAATCATAAATCGAATTCTGCTTTCGAAGCGGTATATTTTTTGCATCTCAATCGTAAACTGTTCTGGAAGGTCTAAATCCTCACATTCTCTTTCAGACTTCTTGGTATATATTTCCATTATTTTGGTGTTATCATCTCTACTAGGAGAGCAAGCCAGCAAGTTTCCCAGAAATGTTTCCGTACATAACTCCTTGTCAAAACAGAGTATCTGTCTACGTACGTGCCCAAAAGATGGTACACGCTTTATCTTTGAAAGAATTGCAATGTCTTTTATACCAAGAGTAGGTAAATAAATAGAAAAGAGAATTTGATTTAAATATATATTCGGGTAACCAAAAAAAAAAAAAAAAAAAAAACTTACTGATCTTTTGACTTTTTTCTTTGGAAAGAAACTTGATCAACTTTCTTTCTGATTTTCCTTCTTGGATCCTCTTTTGTGTACGTTCAAGAAATGTATTAGCCTGGGCTGGGAACATCTTTTCGATCGTATCAAAAACCCCAGTATCCTTTAGAATACTTTCCAGAGTATTGTCTTGCAGAGTGTTTTGAGACCACACAGTATCCTGAACTCGATGCGCATCAAGTTTTTTCCATTGCAGGTTTTTTAACTTTATGCTTGGTATATAATTTATATGCTTCCGGTTAAGACCAGAAGATACAATGGGTCCTGCCCTTGAAGTATTTTTTGGACCTATTATAAGTATCAAATAATGCAAAGGTATGATTTAGTATTTTTAGCAAAATCTATCTATATATTACATACTTGTAAGAGATATGTTTTTTCTAGACGCTTCATATCCTGATAACCAGTAAAAGTATATTTTAACACAAATACACACACTTTGTATGATACTCTAATTTCATGAAAATAAAAAATAAAAAGAAAGAAATACCTGGAAATGAAGGATTTACACTGTCTGGACCTAGAATACACATGAGCTTGAGGATAATATTTTTTGAGCGTAACATATGTATATAATATGATATGGTACTCACATGCTGGTGATACATCCAAGACTGCATTGACTATTTTTTTTTAAAAAAAAAGTTTAAAGTATATATATATATTCAATACATAGAATATCGCTTCATTATTATTTTACATACGGTTTCTCATGGGAAATGGAGGCGGTGGTGGGGGTGGATACGGATGAGGGCGTAAAGGTAACTGTGGTTCCTTAGAATCTGCTCTGGCTAGAAACATAAAATAAGATATTTGTAAATTTGTTGTTTTGGTGAACAAGTATCACAGCTACCAATTATGTGTGGTGGAAGTGGAGGTGGCGGGGGCGGTGGCGGTGGCGGGGGTGGTGGCGTTAATGATGGGGACTGAGATGGAGATGATAGGGATAAATGTGATGGTAAAGGTGTCGATATGAGTGGTAGTGGCGATGGGTCTGATTCTTTTTCTGAATCTACTATTTTCTTCCTTTTGCCTATTACTCTCGATATAAGTATTCGGTTAAATACACTTTATTATAAGTTTTGCTTACTTGATTTGGATGTTGATCTTGATAGCTGTATGTTGTCTTTCAAGCTCTTATTTTGTAATGAGTCTTCTTTCGTTGCTTTGGACATGAATTCTTATTAAGCCAATATTCTATCCGGAGAAAAAAAAAGGTGCTTTTGATTTTCAACTTACTTGTTCTTGATTTTACTGATCCTTTTCGCCCAATGTCAAGTTCTGGAAGCAAGCCATGCTGTTTTAGGATACCAACAAAGACATTAACTTGATTTCTCATCTGCATAAGCTCTTCTTCCTGTTTTAACTCTATGAAAGGGATAAGTATCAAAATAAACATGACTGTCTAATTTAACTCTTACCATAACATTTGATAGTTGTATTGGAGTTCGAGGCTGTTGGTTTTTTTAAGGAATTGATATCATATTCCAATTCATGCTTTTCGGAAAAGGCGGCATTCATACGCTGTCTCACCTCAGCAGACTCTTTTTCCATGTAATTCATTCTACCAATGTCATTGTATTTCTGTATTAGATCTCCAACTGGAATACTGTTTAGAGTACTACATGTATCAGAAGAAGAACTTTCTGAGCGACCCATCACAATATCTGCTATTGATGAACTCATGGCCTGATAATTGTGTGTTCTTGTAGAAATTTGGGGGTCCATTTCGTTAGATTTCCAGTCTGTCTTGAATTTGTCTCGGTGCAAATTAAAACTTACTTTGTATTTACTTCTCCTTTTACTAGGATCATACTACGGAGAATATTCTTGAGATACTCCATTGCCTCTGGTGCGTCTTCTAGGTTTATCAGTACATGGTTAAATAGTTCGGATGGCTCTGAAACGTCAGAAAAGAGAGACATTTCGTCCCCAAACGCGTCTTCAAAATCATTGTCAGCTACAAGTCGAAAGGATTCAATCTGGAGAGTCAATAAAGGGTAATTAAGGGTATCCAACAAAGGCAATATTTGTGTTTGCATCCCGCATGCATTGAGTTGGTTTCGTATACGAATTTGGCAATGTGTGTGTTTGGACACTTTTGTAAGTGCGTTTGCGAGTATCATATTGGAGACCTATATTTTTTTTTCAACATAATAAAAATTTTGGGTACAGATGGGTCAATTCTTGATTTAATAAATATCCTTTTCGGTTTCATAGATATGTTTACCGCATACTCCATCAGATGATTGCTTGACATGTTCAAATCGCCTGTCTTCCCAGATTCTTCCCTTAGTGACCAAGGAGCTTCTCCTTGTTTATAATCAATAATTATTCGTTCAAAGCCTTTAAGCCATGACTCGAATAAAACCAAGTCTTGCTGATATATTTTCAAGAGCTCAAATCCATCCAAGACATCTTTGTATCCGCGCGGATGACAGTAACAGAGGAATGCAAGAAGCTCGCATACTAATTTGCGAGTTTGCCAGTGGGATCGGTATAGACAAAATATTACTGGGTATATATGGTTAGGATAAGCTATAACTTCTCGAACGCCGGCCTACAAGAAATTATTAATAAACCCGACAAGGATTTCCTTTATATCTTTACGCATCAAGAATCATTACTTTTGTATTTAATAATGCTTTGATACATTTGACAATCTCGATTTCAACGTCGTTGTCTTCTTCTGCCCTAAATATTATTCCAGTAAAATTCCGATTATTAATATCTAATTTTGTGCTTGAAATGTAACTAACCTTTCTTGCTTACGATGCATGAATTCAAGGGCATTTGTAAGTACACGAAACCCCTTTAGATCAATAAACTGGCTGACCCAACTGATGATAGAAATTCGAACCAAACAGATAATTATGAGCTTTCTAAAGTATTTGCGCCTCTTTGGGTCATAATCTCTCTACTTACCTAATCGGATGGGTTCGTAGGCTTACTTCTAGTCGTGAAACTGCAATAGGAGTTACGACGCGCTTTCGAGTGATCATCAACATCTGGATAAAAAAGACGGGTGAATTGGGATCTGAAGTCATATGTTCTTCCAGCCCAAGTTCGCTCCTCTCTGCACGTGTAATAGGACTCAACCCCTGCCCATAGCTTTGAGTAAATCGTGCACGTCCGCTGGTTGCTGACCAAGGAGTAGTTGCTTCCAAGGTAGCCGCATACACATGTCCAGCCTTTTCGGCAAGGACACTCAGGAGAGGCGTTGAACTTGGTTGTCTTTCGTCGTGGTGACCCAACATTAGTTGTTCTGCTTCTTTGTCTTGATGAATCATTAGCCATTTCTTGCTTGCATCCCATGATTGCATGTGCTTTTGAACATTCTCATCGTGAATTCCGCGTCTCTCCTAAAAAGTTAGGTTAGCTCATTGTTACACAAACTTGCTATTTTACCAGCATTTGGTCAAAGAGCAGATTGACTTCTGTAGGAGAGGTTGGTTGTGTGGTAGGCATGTTTCTGGATATGGAACTGGAACGACTCCATGTTTTACTGTTTCGTTTCAATGCTTTCTGTTGAGCTACGAATGATTTCAAAGACTATTAATCAACCCATACGCACAATGTCTCTTGTCCTCAATCCTTAGGAGGAAAAGAGACAAGAATACAAGTTTGAAAGAACGGATTATTCTTTTTTTACCAGGAGATGGACAGGTAGGCAGGGTGGTGATGACTTTCAGGGGAGTTTGTTTGGTCTTATTTTTCCCGAGGCGATCCAGAAAATAAGTCATACGAAACGAGTTGAGAGTTTTGGATGTGAAAGGTACGAGACAAAGGGGAGGGGGTAATACTCCAGGCTGTTCTATTGTCAATAAATAGTGATGATGGAATCAAAGAAAGCAGGATATTGCTGTCTTGAAATCGGGTGGTAAGAAAGGGTATTTTCAGCCGGCTAAAGCAAAAGCAAAAAGTCCAATGAAGAAGACAATTGCTTCATACATGACGACTGTACCATTCTCCGCTTACACTTTAGTTTCTTTTTCGTTCTTTCTCTCTTTCTCTCTTTTTGACTGTTTATCCTTCTTCTTTTGATTTCTTGCTCTTCCTCTTCTTCCTCTCCTTCTTCTCAAAGATACTCAACCCAACCATACTAGTCATAACTTATATGCACATGTACACATTTTTTTTCTTGCTTGTTTAGTTGTCTGATCTACTATAGCTTTGTGATTTTCTTTTTCTTCAAATGCTATAGAAACGGTGTAAGATGGTCCCTTACTTGGAATATTATAAGACAAAAATCAGCAAAAAGTTATACCCTTCTTTTTTCCTTACAAAAACTTAGTGGAATTCAAGAAATCATAAAGTCCTTAACAACAAATACAATCAAACCAACTAAACGACAATAAGGCGTATCCCTTTGTTACATAATGTATTTTATTTGTATCAACAATCACGCCAAACAGATCTATTTTCATGGTTTGGAGTTTGTTTGAAACATATTTCTTTATCCTTGCCCAGAACATTTATATTTAGTTTTGGAATTTGAGCTTGTGACAACACTACAGCCTCTTGCATAGAATACCATAGGACTTGTATCTCTTTAATATATTAGTGTACGTGTGTATGCGTATGCGTATGTGTATAGGTATGTGTATGCATATGCAAATGTATATGTATATGTATGAAATCCATCAAAAGATGCTTCATTAAGGCATATGCATAGATGCAAGTTGAATTGAGTATATATTTAGTTTTCTAGACCAGTTATTGGTCCACTATAAACAATCCTGGCATTCTCAAGTATGGCCCTGCTTTTGCGAACAAGATGCTCAAAAAAGGGAAGGCTTGTGACTCCATGAATTTTTCTACAAAACATTTTACGAAGTCACTAAGCACTTTAACTGGAAAGGAGAAAGGGCCCAGCGTACCTTGAAGCCAGAAAAGACAAAAACACACCAATAAGCTCACAAGTGTCAGTCACCAAATAAAACCACAACAGACTATATAATTAGATATATACGCCCACACCCACTCCCAGACACACCCAACACACCCAGACGCCCACGCCCGCGCCCAAGCCCACGGATACGCATACGCATACGCACGCATACACACTCATACGCACAAACAAACAAACAAACAAAAAATACATATTTATATATTTATATATTTCTACACATATAATATCGACATGAGCGTAATCGAAGATGATACCTCGACTGTCAACAGCAGTCAGAACAACCTCTCTTTTCATCTCTCTCAGGAGGATTCACTCTATGCACAGGCTGTGGCAGTAAGCCAACTCAATGAAAATTACGATGATGATCAGGTCACTGCCCTTACCCATGCATGGATTAATGAACGAAATTCACCTGAATTACTCAAATACAAACGACGTCTGGTGGAAAGTCTTTTAGACAAACTTCGAGAAAAGGTTGCTTTGGAATTTATTCTTTATTGCTCATATTATTCTTGAGTTCGACATTCTTAATTTACTGTTCGGATAAATTGGGGGGTGTTCTTCGTCTTTTTCTTTTTCTTTTTTAGATAGACAATGTCTTGGACTCTACTACCGTTGACGCTAAAAACATGTTTGTCTCGGTGGTGTATGAGACAGAAGTTGAGCGTGTGCGCTATCTTATAAAAAGTTACTTGAGAGCACGATTATTCAAAATTGAGAAATTTGCCCTTCACCTCCTGCGATTACCGGATTATGAAGATATCATGTCACCCCAAGAAATTGTTTATGCAAGAAGGTAAAGAGAGAAGAAGAGGAAGAAGAAGAAGAAGAATAACAATAATAATAAATCAAACCCCCACTTTATACTATTATGCCATCAATTGGATCACTAATTTCCCCAAAAATAATAATAAAAATAAAAATAAAAGCTACCAAGAACTATTAGACGGAAGCAACCATGAAGCGTTTGTAAGACTGCTGCCACCATCACAACACAAGCAAGATGAGATGAGTGGAGAACTTAGCATGAGTAAGTCAATATAAAGTTGATGAGCATTGACATTAAGGTTGGCATTGGTATTGATATCGTCCTCATAGTCGTAACACCAAATCTGGAAGCACCTGTATTTTGCCGTTTCCTAAAGGATGGACAGAGGGTTGTGCTGTCCATGTAAGTTGTGTATACCACCCTGAAATTTATGGGCTAATATGTATATATATATATATGTATGTGTGTAATGGATTAGGACTGAGATGGTAGATTATGAAAAAGGAGATATCGTCCTGCTGCGTTATAGATCCGTTAAAGATTTACTCGAGGAGGGCACAGTTGAATTGATTTAAGTTGGACCTTCATCGGCTATAGTAACCCGGTAAGACTCCTTTTATAATCCTTGCCCCAGATTATTATTTTATTTCATATGTATATATATTAATGGGAGTTAGTTCTTTTGCCCTAAATTGTTGCACTGATTTCATTTGAATTTTATACACAAATATTCTCCTTTTCTTGATACATTACCTCTTGCATGTACGTGTGTTAAAATAGACACCTACTCTCGCATAGAACCACCCGCAATCGCTGATACACACTACTACGCATGGCTGTGAAGTATCATTAAAAAAACATAATTATCCACCTGTTTATAATAGAGTCTTACTAATTAAAATACTAGCTATTAACAATAAACTTTGGAGTCAAGCAAGTCTTACTCTGTTTTATATATCTCATGAAATACATAGTCAGCCCTAGATTAAAATGCCTACAAAGGAGGCAAGTCAAATTGAGTCTGGCAAACAGCTATGTACATGTCTAGCAATTCGAAAAGTCCCACAAAATATATACAAGCTTGTGATGTATACAGACACCAATTCAATTACTATGTGTAAAGAAATAAAAAAAGCAATACCATTAGCATTGGACTGCTACAATTAGACAGACGCCACCTTGAGTTATATATCACACTCTGACAAAACTGCAAAAATCTTGGTCTTTAAAAAGAACCCCTTCTTCTAATCAAAAACTGAGTATATGGAGTTTCTGTAATATTGACTTGCACTATTTCCTGAATGTACTATATCTTGCCAAGCTGTCGAATTGTGTATGCTTTTGTATTCTACATTTCCGAATGTCATGACATTTTACTTTCAGGAAAAAGTTGTACACACAATTAGGGAGTTGCGCCTGTGAAACGTTTTACAGACAGTCGTGATACAGGTAAACTGTTTGTTTGACGATACGAACGGGGTACGGAGTCTTTACAAAAGGGTAATAAGAATCCTCGCATTACACAAACACGATAAGGTGTTTAAAAGTAACTCTTGTCATATAAGCTATTATACGGTTAGAATCCAGCATTAAAGACATTTGATTGTTCTAAATTGACACTAAAGACTAATTTGTATGAAGGAGCCTACGACGTACCACATCCACCCCTTGTAACCAAAGCACTTAAAAACAAACAATTATAATCTCAACCTCTCCCCAGTCTAAGGAAGACAATATCAATGAAACAAGTTATATGTGGATATTACACTTAAGCCAAGCCATCAGTGCTTAATTTTCTATAGTTTATATCTGGACTGCCCATGAATACAATATATTCTCTCGTAATGGGAGTATTATATGTATATCTCCCTATCTACAGTAATAATAAAACGAATTTTAAGATATGCTAAGGAGAGCTTTGTTGTCTAGATTAAAGAAACATTTGGATATAGATATATACAAAAGAATAGGCTATTTGATACAATTGTCGATTTTGAAACGAATAAGCACGTCCCAAAATAAGACATCTAATGTGCTCTCCCGTGTGACTTGATACCGGTCAATATTGGAAGAGTGGGCGTGTGCTTGGACACCAAGCTAGTCAAGGTAAATTATACAAGGCTGTGGTGCTGAAAATTGACCTTTATCAAGAAGCATTCATTCGCTCTACTTAATTACGAACGTTTTGTGATGTGCCATCGCCGGAGATCTAAGCAGCAAAAAAAAAGAAAAAAAAAAAGTGCTCGCATTCGAGATCCGAACTTTGTATAAAGGCATTACTCAATTCCACAATCGCGGGCGCGTGTTTCTTTGTCTTTTTCTTCTTTGTTTTTAATGATCATCCTCTTCTCGTTTATAATCGCATTATTAACGATGGTATGGGTTAATCCGTTTGGATTAGTCTCAAGATTTACGACCTATTTCAACGGACAAGATCTATTGGCAGCGGCACAAACCACAGTCTTCCGGAACACCCCAGAAAAAAGAACTCCTGAATGGTTCCCTGTGAAGGGACGCGTACCTGACTGGTTTAATGGAATCATGTACCGTGTTGGTATGTGTGTTTTTTGTTAGATAGATAGATAAAAGCAGCAATATGCTTAAGTTATCTGACCACATTCTTTATCCAGGCCCTGGAAAGTACAACATTGAGCAGGCAAACGGAACCACTTTTGCGATTAACCATGCTTTCGACGGCATGCCATTTATGCACCGCTTTGAGATTTCTAGTGAAAGACAGGCCGTGCGTTACAATTCAAGAAACATCTCAGAAGAGTTTGAGTCCAGCATAGCAAAGGATAACGGACAAGGAAAAATATTCTTCGGGCATCAGCCGACTGTAACGTCGGTCAAGCAGCGACTAAAAGACATTTACTTAAGGTTTGATAGCATGCTACTCAGCCGCCGTCCATTGGACGAGACTTCACCTTCCTCCCAGCCTGTTGGTGTCACTGCGACACCTAATTTCCCTATTCCACCAGTCTACAAGGCTGCTGATAAAAACAATGGTGAAAGTGATCGAGTGTTGGTGGCCAAGACTGATGCAAACATGCTTCAGCAATTGAACTCTGATACACTTGGTAAATTACTATAAGCATGTATATACATATATATATATTTTATTTTATTTATTTTTTAAAAAAAAATCATAGAACCCAAGCGACTATTCAACTATGGTAATTTTGAAAAGAAACTCAAGGGAGATCTTTCGGCAGCACACCATCAATATGATCCGATTACAAAGGAAACAATCAATTTTGTTCTTGACATGTTTCCTGCCCGACTCCAGGTTTTTTCGTCAACTCCCGAAGGAAAGATCACCATCTTGGCCGATTTTACTCACCGTCTTGATGAAAAGCGTACCCGTGTGCAACCTGTATATATCCATGCATTCAACATCACCAAGGATTATATTATTCTGCCAGAGTATTCACTTGCCTACACCAATATGGGCGTTGATTTTCTTGTCAGTGGAGCTGTCAACACTGGTATGGCATGGAGCAATGATAGACCAACCTTTTTCCATGTGATCAGTCGCCACGGAAAGGGACTCGTTGCTTCGGTTCCTGTCGAGACCTTTTTTAGTTTCCATGTTGCCAATGCGTGGGATAGCGTTGATGCTCAAGGACGACAGGTCATTGATATGGACATCTGTGCATTCGAGAATGCGGATATTATGTGCCAGCTCCACACATTTGCAAAGCCTGTACGTCAAGCTGAATATGATTCCCATGTTAAAAAGCAGCTTGAACTCTCCAAGCAGTCCCAGCAGTACAATGGTATGAACATCCCTCCTTTACGCCAACCCAGCTTTGGTGACCTGCGCCGCTATCAGATCGTCCTCGAGAACGGAACAGGTGAGGCAACATACCGTACTATTGCTTCCAACGTTGAGTTTGCACGGTACAGCCAGGACTATGCCATGCGCAAGCACAAGTTTGTCTATGGATGCCAATTGATTTCAGTAACCGCCAAGAGCAACGAAAGATATGATCTCGTAAAAGTCAACCTGGATGACGGTAGTGTAATTAGATACAGCCAGGAAGGATGTGCCTGTTCTGAACCTATATTTGCTCCTCGCCCTGGAGGAACCGAAGAAGACGATGGTGTGTTGATGAGCTTGGTGAACAAACTTGACAAGGAAGATCCCTCAAAGGACTATTGTTTCTTGCTTCTTTTGGATGCCAAGACAATGCAGGAGGTTGCTACTTGCCAGGTTGGTCAGTTTACTGCCACAACATTCCATGGTTCATTTGTAGACCATCATTTTGAAAATGTATCAATCAATTGATGCATTTACTGGCTGTATTCTTCTTTTGTTTTTGTTTTTCTTTGTATGTGATTTCTGCTTAAAAATAATAATATAAATATATATACATATAAGTGTGTGTATGTAAATTAGTGTAATTGAGGTTGGTTACCAAGAATCTACCTTATTTCATTGTGTCTCTTTCATAAAATAAACAGCTTTTGCTTTACTGTAGATACAATTACTAGACTAAGCATTGTTAAAATATTTCCTTTAATTTGTGGCACATTGTTTCCAAAAGTGTAATTCGATTATCCTTATCTCTCATATTTGATTCTTTCCACGAGTATCTGATGTTTGTACACCCTTTGTCCTTTGATGTACAGGTAGACTGTGCTGTGTCATGTATTACCTTTACTATGACACCTAGAAGCTAAAGAGAGAAAGAGAGAAGACTGGACTGGACTGGACTGGACTAGACTAGACTAGGTTTAAAAAGATTCACACAATTGCAGTTGTACAATTCGCTATTCTTAATACTACATATATCGCCTGCGATTTGAGAGATGCACTTTCTGTTTAACCTTAAGGTAAAACATTCTTATTGCTGATAAAAAAATTCAAATCCAAATTTTTCAAAGGACCTTGTATATAGCAGTTGGTGGAGGTGAGATACAGTTGCAGTTGGGCACAACACTACCTTTCCTTTGCTATTTGTATGAATAGTAGATTAAGTACTCGATATATGACATGTCTATGCAGAATATTGACGTTATGCTTTAACAACATGCATTGTGCTTGAAATATTTATTCTCAATAGGATTGTGCTTTATATAAATATAACAGAAATACCGCAAGTCTTATGAACAGAATAAGTATTATCATTTATGTGCACATTTGCCCAGTCCATTCATTGCAACCTTTTTTTTAAAATATATATATATATATATAATTACACGGTCATCTGCAGTCCTTTTACTAATTACCTCAGAATGGCCAGCATATTCTTCTTATTCTTCTTCTTTTTATCGATTCCTGTTAAAGTCTCGACCTCCCACTTGAAAGTCAAATGCAAACATTTGGACCCAGTATAGTGGTAACTCTCTGTCTGGCTTTTGATTCTTTGGCTGCTGTTTTATTTTTATTTTTTTACTTTTTTGCACCATGTCATCGTTTAGAATACACCGGCAATCACTGTTTGTTAGCCACTTATAAAAACTGTCAATTCTTCTTCTCTTATGAATTACAAACAAATGGAAACAAAAGGGTGGTTATCCTGTGAAATGATGGCATTTATTTATTATTCTTATTTTTGGTCTTGAAACCAATAGGTAAAATATTAGCAATACCAGGAAATGGTAGGGGAAAAAAATGGGAGGGGTTTATATGTAGAATACTGGGAATATTTTTTTATTATCAATTGAGCTTCTCCAGATACCTTCTTTTGTTTTTTGTTTGTGTGGGTACTTTAATGCATTCATATGGTCATCAAACACTATAAGTATCTCAATGTATTCTGATTAAGTAGATACAGCACCGATTTTACAACAACAAACAAAAACGCTTCTTTGCATAATATACCTATCTGACAGTATATATATCCCAAAATTACTTTATATATTTCTTATTACTTTTAAGTTCATCTTTGATGGCTAAACTAGTTTGTTTGGTTATATACTTTGTTCAAATAAACTAAATGAGCCTTATTTCCCTTTTTCTTCATATCCTATGGTTTTTGTTAAAGCCAATAGAAGTAACGTAGGTAGCACTATAGAAATTGAGGCTTGGTATGCCGATTAGATCTCAATGTTGCAAAATTGTTTCAATATTCTTCAATGAATCCTTGTCTAACATTCATTAAGATATGTATATTTATATTTATTTTTGCACCAGTCTTAAATACAGCTTTAGAGATTTATACATTTTGTTAATTTACATAATTTACCTAAAAATTCAAATGTTCAATTCGATTCTCCAAGGTCTGTTATTTTTTTTTTACCATTACCGATTTACCTTGAATAATCTAGAGTGATCATTTTATACTTGACCCGAACTTTTGATATTCACCACAAAACATCATAATTGAATTAGTGATCCTAATTCTTGACACGTGCCAAAAGATGCCAAAAGTAATAATAGGGAAATAATACAAACTCACAGGCACAACTGTACTCCACATTGACAAGTCTAGAATTTCAACAACAACAACAACAAAAGGTCAATTGTGCGAATATTTCAATAGATCTCTCTCTCTCTCTCTCTCTTTTCTCTCTTCAGTTTACTTTTGTTTATATATATTATATATAATATATATAATATATTCAACAAATAAACGAAAGAAAGAGAAAGATAAGCGTTATCTATTTATTTTTTTGCAAAGTGACTTGACTTGTCTGTTGGTCAATCAACATATCAAAAATCAATTATATATATACATTTTGATCTGAATATTACTTTATTCTTGGGTTGCTTTGGTTTGCTTGATATGATATTTATTTATTTTTATTTGGAATAAATATTTATATATATATATAAATTTTTGCGTGTATATATGTGAAGGTCTTATATATATATAAAGAAAGTAAAGAGATAGATAGAGGTAAAAAGAAGATATAGCGAAAGAGATAGATATGAAGGAGGAAGAGAAAAATTGAACACATTCAAATCTTTCCTCTATAAGATGACTTTTTTTTTGTTTTGTAATGAGATTAGAAGAATGTGTTTTTGGGGTTTTTTTTTTAAAAAAAAATAAAAAATAAAGAGAACTCTATAAGAGAGTTATTCTTTATCCTTCGAGCTCCTTTAGTTCTTGCCAACGTTCTCGGGTCTCAACTGTCTGACGGTCTTGCCGGTAACCCAGATCTCGCTGTCAGCAATCTCCTTGAGCTCCTCCTCGAGCTTCTCACGGTAATCGGGCTGGGAGTTGCGGTCGAGGGAGCGAGCGGTCTCGGAACCATTCTTGACGCTCTCGTAAAGCTGCTCAAAGACAGGCTTGGAGGCATCGTGGAAGGGCTTCCACCAGTCGAGGGCACCACGCTGGGCAGTGGTAGAGCAGTTGGAGTACATCCAGTCCATACCGCGCTCACCGATCAAGGGGTAGAGAGACTGGGTAGCCTCCTCAACGGTCTCGTTGAAAGCCTCAGAGGGAGAGTGGCCTGATAAAAAGAAAAAAGCAAGGAAATCATGAGTATAATTGTTTCTCTTCTTATCATCATTCTTGAAAGCAATAAAAGAAATACAAATATATTTGTCCCAAAATCTTCTTCTTCTTCTACTACTACTACTACCACGACTTGTTGCTTGTTGCTTGTTTTTCTTTTTCCCTTCTTCATTCACAAAACTTCCCAAGTTTCTAAACCAGATCCAAATCCAGATTCAAGCTAAACCCAAAGCTGAAAAAAAGTGCTGTGCTTACCGTTGGCTCTAAGAACCTCGTACTGGGCCTGGAAGAGACCCTGGATGGCACCCATGAGGACACCACGCTCACCGAACAAGTCAGAGTAGACTTCCTTCTCAAAGGTGGTCTCGTACATGTAACCAGAGCCAATTCCGATACCGAGAGCAATGGTGCGCTCCTTGGCGTGACCGGAGGCATCCTGGTGGACAGCGAAGGAAGAGTTGATACCACGACCCTCCTGGAAGAGACGACGGACGGTGAAGCCGGAACCCTTGGGGGCAACAAGGATGACATCAATGTCCTTGGGAGGGACAATCTCGGTCTGGTCCTTGTAGACAACGGAGAAACCGTGAGAGAAGTAGAGGGTCTTTCCGGGAGTCAAGAGAGGCAACATCTTGGGCCAGAACTCCTTCTGGAAAGCATCGGACAACAAGTTCATAACGACGGTACCCTTCTCAACGGCATCCAGAACGGGGAACAGGTTCTTTCCGGGAACCCATCCTTCCTCAATAGCCTGATCGTAGGTCTTACCCTCACGCTGGCCAATGATAACATTGACACCGTTGTCGCGCAAGTTAAGAGCCTGGCCACGACCCTGAGGACCGTAACCGAGGACGGCAATGGTGTCGTTCTTGAAGGTGTCGAGCAACTTCTCCTTGGGAACATCGGAACGCTCATAGACGGTCTCCTCAGAGCCACCGAAGTTAAGGGTCTTGAAGCCACGAGCCTGGGAAGCCTGTTTGAAAGAAGGAAAAGGATGTCATTTAGTTAATTGGGCTTGGGTTTAAGGTTTAGGGTTTGGTGAATTGCTATGTGAAAGAACGCGTCTGTTGCATATATATATGTGTGTGTGTGTACATACCACAACGGACTTGAAGGCAGTGGTCTTGACGTTGGCAGCCAAGATAGAAGCAGGGCGGATTGCGGGGCGAGCGATGGCGCGAGCGGCGGTGCGGATTGCGGTGCTGAAGACACGAGAAGCCATATTGTTTTCAAGAGATGTTGTGGATTACTTGTAAAAAAAAAATTGGGAAGGGCTGCGTTGGGTTGGTTTTATATAGGCCCGTTGCATTTTTTGTGACGTTTGGCTGGTTGGATAGCCTACTCCATGAGCAAGGTGTATTCATAGCTAGTTTCGGCCAATGAGAGTAGCCGTTCATCTTATCTTGATCAATGCAGCGGGTGTTGGACATGTTGGGCCTGCGTCTGATTGGTGTGACTCATTCCGTATCTCCCATAATGGCCGCCTATATCCTAGTTTGTGGTGCATGTTTTTTTTTTTTTTTTTTAAATTTATTTATTACTTTAATCTCAATATACTTCTCCAATCCCCACATAGTATTTATTGTGTACATACTGGTCATAATTCTGATCCACAGGACCTCAGGAACCGTACCAAGATTACTGTGAATCGAACATAGGAAAATATATTATATCTATATTGAACCTTTTGTTTTTTTTGAATAGGCGACCCTGGCAAAATATATATATACATAAAATAAATTAATAACAATTATATTAATCGGCCAATAGACAATGTATATATTATTTTCCTTTATTTTATTTTATAATATGATATGATATGATATGATATTGTAATTGTATGTTATTATATACGTTTGCAAAGGCAAAGACTTAATAAAGGTGTTTGGTACGACTAGATCTTCAAAACGTCTTAATCGCACCAAGCCGAAAGAACTATAAAGGCTATTAAATTTTACGATTAGAGAATTCCGGATAGAGTTTATATTTCTTGTTTCTTTTGATCATTTGAACTCATAATAAATACAATAAGAATAAGAATAAGAAGAATTACTGCTACTAAGTACTACTGCCAGGTACTGCTATTAAAATGGGCACTGCTGCAATTACAATAATTATTATAGTAATAAGCTTTTATTATTATTATTATTTCACATACTCAAAAATCACTAATTGCTGATTCCATAATACATTAAATCATTGTTGTGTGCGATGAAATTGGCCAATGAGATGCCATGGATATAGATCATCTCCTTTTTTTTAAAAAAAAAATGACAGAAAAAAAGCACAAAGCACAAAGCACAAAAAAAGGAACTGTATTTGAGGCTATGATTTTGGGTGTATTTGATTATTGACTTTATATACCTTAGCCAAGTACAAGTTCAAGTAGTTTCCTGTTATTATTATTTTTCTCTAGAGGACTGATATTATTAATAATAGCAGTAGTAATTATAATATCAAAAGTAATAGTGATAGAGAGATACTTGTTTATAATTCTCATCCTATTTTATTCTTTATCCTATATTTTTATTTTTCTTAGGAATCACAATAGAAATATAACCATATATGAATATCTATTTTGCTTTCAAATAAAAATCAAAGTCAAGTCGACCTTTTTCTGATAGATAACTATAATGCCCCTTCTTGCATTTTATTTTATATTGCATTATATCTATATGCAGAAATGTCTATTGCTGAATAGTATATGATATAGTATATGATATAGTATATATATATATATATATAAGGTTGAAGTCAAAATGAAGTAGAGTCGAAACCACATACAATTTGTATTTTATATATATATCTATAGATAATAGACTTAGATTGTAAAGTAAAGTAGGTTTGATAACAGAAGAAACGGGTACGGCAGGATCCAAGCTAGGCGGGAAAACAAAGGATCGGAAAGCATCGCGTTGGGGCTTACAAGCTAGGTCAAATCATTACCAAAGTATTCCAGCCACATACCAATCTAGACCGGATATTTCTTGGAGATGGGTATAGAAATAAGGAGTACCTTGTTGATGCTCTTTTTCTTTTAATGGCACATATTGCACGTTCCCACATGTCATAACTGCCACATACACAAACTGGTACCATTTGTAGATTGTTGTATGGTAGAAATAAAATAAAATAAAAAAGGAATATAACAAAAAGAGGTATTCTGGTGTAGATCATGAAGCCAAACATTACATGTAAATATATATATATCAAAACAGGAGGACAGAAAGAAGCACCATATAGGATAGCAAGAAAAATCCATATACATATAATTTTATCTTTTATATCAGTCAACCAACAACAACAACAAGAAGAAGGGATATGGGTAAATTCGTAGAAAAGACAAATACAGTTTTGTAAAAGTGAATCATTAAGAGTATTGGTGGGACCATGGAACTAGTTTTGTGTCAGTTTGCTGGCGATAAAGATGTAATACTGTGAGGGTATTTTTATTTTTATTTCTTGGCTTTGACATTTACGGAGTCATACACACACACACAAAGAGAGAGAGAATGAAAAGTCCAGGAGAATATTCAAGACATAATGTAGAGAGTTGTAGACTAGAAATTACAAGACTTTTGTAGATAAAATTTTAGTAGCATGTATGATTGTGGATCAAAGAATATGACTAGAAATCTTTGAAAGAATGATAATAAAACAAAGGGGTAAATGTTTACTCTGGTGGCAAAACTGCCAATATAATTAGATGTTGGGTGCGTTTAGGTGTTTTTTCTTGATTTTTAGATGATATATATACTTTTTCTTATGCAAACAAGTATAAGCTATATATACGTATACATATATATATAAAAGAGTATTCGTTTCATTTAAAGGTTATATATATAAAGAAATTCTTGACTGTCGTTTATTGGTTTCAATTAATGGTACATTAATTACAGGTACTATGTCTCCAGATAAAATAAAAATTAGAAGTGAGAGAGAAAAGGGGATGGTGCCTGGATAAGTTGTATTTGTAGTAAAATTAAGCCCCTACAGACAGAGAAGAAATAAAGCCATCATATAAGAACGTATTTAGGATCAAAAGGTAAATATCTGGTCCACAGCCTTTCCGCACAATATTTTAGAGGGTTAAGAAGAAGATGGAGAAAGAATTGTGACTCAAAATCAGGGTCCTTGGATTGAGGTACAAAAGAACCAAGAGAAAAATCTATCCAAAATGAGAAGAAAGAGAAAAAGAAATAAAGAGGTGGCATGTGAGAATGATCACATACAAAAAAAAAAGAAAAAGACTGTGCTTGTCAAAAGTTTTTTTGTTTAGAAAGAGAAAGTGCACTGATGGGTATGAAGGTCCGAGATTATTATTATTTTTTCTTACAGCATCCAAATATCACGTTATTCCAAAACAAAAACAGGGGTGTCCAATAATGAACAGTGGAATGATGGAAATCGGAAAAAGCGCCGCACAATGACACGAAATTTATCAATGAAAAGAGAAAGAGAAAGAAAGGCATCTCATACAGCACATGCCAAAAAGTTGGGACAATGGTGTGATGATTGAGGAATAGTATACAGGAACAATGAATATTACAACTATTAATATCAGACAAAATACTGCATAGAATCTATGTGAATAATGAATCCCAAATATATATATCGTAAAGTTTTATGAGTGTTTGAGATAAAAAAAAAGGTATCGAGGTAAGTTTAGAGGGCATAGAGAGGGAGAAACACCTATGATTATTATTATTTTTACTTAGAAAAATGGGGAAAATATAATAATTCGATTTGATTTTATGAATACAAAAAAAAATTACAATGGATTAGGTACAAATTTTGATAATTTTGATAATTAATTATCAACTCGTAGTATTTTCTATTTTCTATGCTTTAATATCATTCTTATTTTTAATAGACAAGGCATACAGAAAATGGAATTCTATCAAATCCAAAGAGATTACTCATGTCAACGCACGTTTGTGAGGGGAAAGAAAAGCAAAAGCAAAAAAAAAGGGTAAATATAGAAAATCACACCAGCAAAATATATAAAAAAATATACGGACAAAAACGTGGAATAAGATATCAGCTCATTATTATCAGTCAGTTGTATTTATAAAGGACACTGCTCATGTTTAATTCATAAAGTCTAATGTACATTATATTTACATTTTACATATATTTACATATATTTACACTTATATAGTACCACACGTGGGTTTCTATTTAAACTTTCAATGAAAAAAGAACAAAAGAAACCTATAAGATTATTCATATTCATATTCATATTCAAATCTTTATTATTAATATTAATGTTAATATTAATTGTATTAATATATATATAAATATATATATATATATATATATATATACTCGTGAATGTCAAAAATGCCATGCATTATTTTACACCTTATTGTGTACCAAAATATTCTGCCTATTCGTTTTATTTTTGTAAATGTACATTTGCTATTTTGGCTATTTTGGCTGTGTTTACTGCGATTAAATCTGAAAAACTACATATTAACTTCCGATATGTTGTTTAAAACGCCTAACATATATACTGTAACACCGCAGCAAATGGTGTGTGTGTGTGTGTACACAAAGGTCAATTTGTGTGTGTGTGTGTGCTATTTGGTAGGTGAGGGAGATCGGTTGAGTGTGGGGTTCGGGGGAGTGGAAGAAGATGGTCAGGCACTAGACTAGCCGTTGTGTCAGCCTTTCTCTTTCCCCTCAAACACTTGTGCTTTCGGTAAGATTGGAATACGGATCAGATTATTACGAATGGACGATTTTGTGGATGGATGGATAGATGGATGGATGCATTACATAGATACCATAGATGCATTCAACATATTTTTTTTTCTTTCGACAATACAAGATGCACCAACAATAACCGAAACTTGTGAAATATATGAATTTTCACAGACTACAACATATTACAACACACTATACGCACAACAATATTATGTGCGAATAAATTCATTATTTTGTATTATTCTTATTAATTAATTAATTTTATATTATTTTTATATTTTATACATGTGAATGTATAATAATAACTATAGGGAGTCTATTTACCATGAAGGTACGAGAATTAGTATTATTTTTTTTTGAAGAAGAGAATGTCAATATTAATGCCTTTAATAGGATATCTACAAGGATGACGAACTCATGATCCCCGCTGGTGTCGAGGTCACTGTCAAGGCTCGCGATGTCACCGTCAAGGGTCCCCGTGGTGTGTTGAACAAGAACCTCCGTCACTTGAACATCGAGATCAAGTTCGAGGGTAAGGACAAGCTCAAGTTTGTTGTCCACCACGGTCTCCGTAAGCACGTTGCCTGCATTCGCACCGTCCGCTCTTTGATCAACAACATGATCACCGGTGTCACCAAGGGTTTCGAATACAAGATGCGCTATGTATACGCACATTTCCCCATCAACTGCATTATCAACAATGGCGGTAAGGATGTCGAAATCCGTAACTTCCTTGGCCAGAAGGTTGTTTTCCGTGTCCAGATGCGTGAGGGTGTCCACATCGAGGCTTCCAAGAACCAGAAGGATGAGTTGACTCTTACCGGTAACGATCTTGAGGCTGTTTCCCAGTCCGCTGCTGATATCCAGCAGTCTTGCTTGGTCAAGAACAAGGATATCCGTAAGTTCTTGGATGGTATCTACGTTTCCGAGCGCAACGTCCTTGAGGAGGCTTAAACGAAAAAAAAGACATATATATTATTATTATTTTAATCATTTGTTGTTCTTGTTGTTGGTGTTGTTGGTGTTGTTAATATAAATGTTACTGTTGTTAAAGATATTGTTGTTGTTATTATTTGGTGATGATAGTGATGATAGCGATAATGGCGGTGATAGTGCTAGTGGTGGTGGTGACGACGACAAGGATAATGAATGATGATGATAATGATAGCAAATGAAACATAAAAAAAAATTATTATGGCATACATGCTATGGAAGCTATACACAATACATATATGCACATAATATAAAAACATTTATTTATTTATTAATAGATAACTAATTATCAAATTGAGATATTTTATATAAATTTGTATATATAAAAAAAATCAAGATAAAGAACTATTTTAGTTGAGAGAATATACGTAAATTTGTATATAAATGGCAATTTTAGTGATCATTTATCATAGTTCTTGTTTCTTGAGCTTCTTTTAGACGTGCGTTAATGTACAAGTGCAGTATTGTACTGGTCGGAAAGTATAAGGTAAGTGAATGAATGAGTGAGTGATTTTTGTGGTTTATGTAATGAGGCACTTTTTTCTTTTTTGTTCTTTAAAATAAACAATGAGCGAATATACTCTCTTCTATACATATGTGACACTAAATGAGGCGTTTCTTTGTTTCTCTGTTTGAATCAGCGTTGTTTGTGCCATTGGGAGGTTGGGGGCCAAAACATATAAATGATATTAAAGATAGATGAGACCAAGCCACTCTTGCTTGAGGGATTTTCGGAAATTGGTTTCGCTTTTTTGATTTTCTTGGGATAATTTATATGTTTGTATATTAAAAATAAGTGTGAGTGTGAATGTGAGAGTGAATGGCTGAAAATGGGCGAGTGAGTAGTTTAATTACAATATCAAAAATAATATATACATTTGATTTGCAAACCAGCCATCATTTTTATTTTTATTTATATATTTATATATTTAAATTATTTAATTATTACAGAAAAAAAATAGAAATTAAAATAAATCTTTCAAGTTTAAATAAGCAACACTACACACATTTTTATTTATTTATTTATATAAAGTATATATTTAAAGATACAAATACAAATACCTCCAAAAAATATAAAATAAAATAAAAAGCCTCCCTCTTCTTTCTTCTTTCTTACTCTAATCTATTCTCCCTTCTTTCATATTGATTTTCTCTTTTACTGATACTACTACTCACCAGTAGTTATCAAATATTATATAATTATAATTATATATATAATTCTTGTTTAACATCCAATCAGTAATCGAAATCAACAACAAAATTTATTATACAAATCCAATTTGAATTAAATTCACCATATATATACATTTTATTTTATTATTTTTATTTTTATTGATGCTTTTGGATTTATAACCATGACTTCTTATCGATCTTCATCTGACACTTGGCTTCCAGACCAACAAACCACATCTCTTATAATTCCTCAAATCGCCAAAGAGGCTGCAATGCCACCAGTCCAGTATCCCTATCTAACCCGTGGCTCTCCTTCAAATTCATCAAATTCAACTGCCTCGAGTGTGGATACCCGTCTTAGTCCATGTCCTACCCTCGAAAAATACACCAACGCAAATAACAGCACTACAACCAATAATGTCCAACAATCGTCACGCAGTCTCAAGAGCTGGTTCTCTCGTCGACCAAAATCAAATCCTCCGTCCCCCCCTGCATCCATCAAATCAAGTCGTCCTATCACCGCAAGTCTCAAAGACTATGGAGAATGCTACCGTCGTCTTGGAGAAGGAACGACTGCGATAGTCATGGTAGTCCGCAAATTAGATTCAGACGGTCACAGCGAGAAGCTCTATGCGATCAAGCAGTTCAGAAACCGCAAAAAGGCAGAGAGCGAAAAAGAGTACATGAAGAAATTGACAGGTGAATTCTGCATCAGCTCCACATTTTCCCATCCAAATATCGTCCGCACTATTGATCTAGTCTTGGACGACCGCAAGAGATACTGCACCGTAATGGAATATGTAAGAATTATTTCATATGTAATTTTTTTTTCTAATTTTTTTTCTTTGCTATTAAAAGTGTCCTGGCGGCGATTTATTCACAAGTATCATGGCTGATCGCATGACTGAGGCCGAGAAAGGCTGCTGTTTCAAACAGCTTGTACAAGGGCTTGCTTACCTCCACCAGAACGGCGTTGCCCATCGCGACATCAAACCAGAAAACCTTTTGCTGACCATGGACGGCAAGATAAAGATCACTGACTTTGGAGTGTCGGATGTTTACCGATTCGCGTGGGAGAAAGACGGCCACAAGTCTCGAGGTGTGATTGGATCTGAGCCTTACATTGCTCCAGAGGCATTTACTGAAAAAGAATACTGGGGTGCTGCTGCAGATGTCTGGTCGGCAGGCATTGTTTTGTATTGCATCTACCTTGGAGGTATGGCCTGGCACAAGGCAAAGAAATCAGACTCGGCCTATGCAGTCTTTTCCCGTACCTATGCCACTCAACAATTCCAACTCTTCCAACGCTTGATTCCAGGCGCCCGGACACTTCTCTACCGTATCCTGGACCCAAATCCAGACACCCGCATCACAGCAGATGAAATCCTCCAAGACCCTTGGATCAAGTCTATCGACGTCTGCGATCAACACCACCCTCACAACCACACTGTCCATACTCGTCCAGTAGCCACCTTGCGCAAGACCATTCCACACAACTAAAGCTCACCCATTTAAAAAAAAAAGAAAAACAGAAAACAGACAGGTCTCACTACTTTGTCTATTCTGTTTACCTTTTTTTTTTCTTCTCGACTCCCAAAACCAATCAACCAATCAACCAGTCAACCAACTGATCGATCAATGAACCAATGAATCAATGAATCGAACAATGAATCGATGAATCCGCCCTCTATCTCTCTCGCTTCCCTTCTTATCCAACTCGCTTGTTCCAACCTTTCCGACTTCCAACATCCTCGCTCATTCTCTTCATCTCTTGTACATACGCTGAAAATAGCTACCTTATTCTTATTTTTATTTTTATTTTCTCCTTTCATTTTATTTTATTTTCTTTTTTACTATTGCACATTCATTCTCTCTTTCCTTCTTACTTTTTATACATACACCTCATAATTATTATGCTTTTAAGCTCTCATCAAACATAAACATTTTATCTACAAAATAAAAATAAGAATTATGTATATATACACACATTCAAATCTAAATCCAAAAACACCAGCACAAGCACCAGCACCAGCACAAGCACAGGCACAGGCACAAGCACAAACACAAGCACAGACAAGTCAGACAAATTTTGATACACACCACACAGACACGCTTAATACACATGTGCACACACTATTAGTCTTTTTATTACTTTTGTTAATTCTCTTATTTTTGCTGCTGCTATTACTATTACTCTTATTATTATTATTATTATTATTATTATTCTCATGTAACACTTGTTTGATGTCTGTGCGGCACAGAGAAAATATTGTATTTATATATTTCTTTTAAATAAAAATAAAAATAAAATCTTAATTTCAACAACCAACCAAAGACAAAATATAATAGTCATTCTTTATTATTACTGTTACTGTTACTGTGCGCCACACATACTACTACTACTACTACTACTACTACTACTACTATTTATTTATTTATTTATCTATTCAAATAAAATAAAATAAAACAAATATAAATATAAATATAAATATAAATATATCCCAAAACATATATTATAAATCGGTTCATTATAAAATGGCGGCATGAACATATCCAGATCTCACCTGATGTTGTGTTTAGGCGGACAATCACACAAAAGTGAAACGTCATCAATATTCATTCCTATTTTTGACCGAACAAACGGACCTAGAAGAATATAAGAACGTTTTTATATATATATATGTTTTTTTTTTCTTTGATTTATGTTATACAACAATCAGCCTTGTGTGGATTTTGGCGGATCCTAAAATATATTTAATCGGGAAACTAAAATTTTAAATGTCGGACATCGCTATATGTTTTTTTTTTTAAAAAAAAAAATACCACAACCAAAATGCATACAAAAAAATACATATCTATAATATATATATTTATGTATTTTTTATATATAAATAATTTCATTGTATTAATAAAAATGAACTACAGGCCTCTGTAAGGAAAAGAGTATATTTATATAAGACCCTTGCACTCCTAAAGATAATAAAAATAAAAGATACACAAAATACATGGATTTGACACATATTGGTGGAACATATATATATTTAATTGTAGCCATTACTAGCACGAGCCTGTCAAATTGGCCGCCAACGAAAGCAAAACTTTATAATTTGACACAACAATATTTTTATATAAAGATGGGCACCAGAATGCTGTTGAGAAAAGAGTGAGCTCTTGTCTTGTAGATTGCGGACGACTAAGCTTGTAGCCACAGGCCTATTATGCTCCATTCTTCTCCTGGTACAAAGTGTGTTGGTGCTTTTAAAACTTGGTGTGGACAAACTAAAAATTCAAGAAAAAAAAAAAAAGAAAAAAGTTCAAAAGATTAGTTCCAGTACATATTAAATAAAATTATGCTTATAATGCCGTGCCTGTAATTAAGTGAAAATCTTTTTATTGCCAGGTTTTCTAGGCCTTGAACCCTATAGAACACCATTTCCCCAAAAACAAAAAACAAAAATACTTTTTTCTTCTCAATCCTAATGGCAATGGAAGAAGTCTAGTCAATCAGAATCGTTTAAATTCTGGGAACTTTTAATCTGTCCGCACCAACTGTTAGCATGTCCGTAAGGTTTGCACATTTTTTAATTGGCTGCGACATTGTTTGATAGATTCACTGTATAAACTAAAATTAAAATTAATTTTTTTTTTAAAAAAAAAAGCACCTTGAATAAAAGTCGAAAAAGAAATCACATATGTACTTACATCTTGTACAGGTGGGTTATAGATGGAACTTCATCTATATCACACGAGGAACTAAAAAGGCCTCCCTGAAGTAGATAGGAGTACTAATCTATAGGAGAAGAGGAGGGAGGCATGGTTATAATTATGGTTATGGTTATGGTAATCAACTGCCTTCAAATGCTTGCTTGATGTTCTTGCTCTTCTGTACATAGCCAAATGAGCAAACCTTAATGAAATAGAGCAGGAAACCATGCTTGTTGGAATAGGATCATTATTAAACGTTATTTATTTTTTTGCTTAAATATAAGTATATACGTGTTGTCCTATTAGAATCATAATGACCTGCATCAGTGGAAAGATACACTAGAACCAACTTTTTTTAAAATGGTTCAATTGGTCAAATGTCAAGATCAATGCAATGCAATGCAAGGAAATAAATGCTATATACACATATTAAATGTGGATTTATTTATTTTTTTTTTAAAAAAAAGGTATTACATTTTCTGAACTTTGATTTTATTGCAATAATAATAAAAGTTGAATTACGTGCCAACTTGGTCAAATTCTATTCTATCATGCGGATTTTTCAGCAAATTGATTCTGATGTTCAAAATAGTAAAAGATGTAATTGATATACGTAGAAGCCCAGAAACAGTCTCGTTAAAAAGAAGTAGAAGAAGAAGATTGAATAATTATGTCAACTTGAAGAAAGGATTGTGTAATATTAAACGAAAGCATTATTGATTTTTGTTCATCAATACATATTTTATTGTCCGCCTTTCATGATAATATCGCCGACAAAAGTATACAATTACCGACATTGTATTTTGCAGACCGCCTATTCCACAAGCCTGGCTGTAATATTATTTTTACTAATGTTTTTTATTTTATTTTATTTTGAATATATATGTGTGTGTGTAGTGGTAATTAATTTTTGTATCATCTACGGTCTTTGTTTTGTTTAAAGCAAAGGAACTGTACAACAGTACTCTTTCGACTAAATACCAATAGTTCTTTAACGTGATTGAGCTCTGATTGCAGATTACCAGAGTGTTGTTGCTGAGGGTTGTAAGCGTATTCTAGAGTCTGGTAGATCAAATGAAGGGTTTCTGACGCAGTTGGGGTGAGGTATTGAGACAAGGTCTGGTGCATAAATTCAATCTCCAGAGTAGCCTGGAGCATACCTCCCATTCCAAACCTCTCTACCTGGCGGAAACTCTCCAGACAATCATTGGCCATGTTCTCCAGTAGGAGTGACAGGGCTCGGTGAATAAGTTGGCGAGTAACGCTGCTAACCTGGGCATGCACCATTACAAGTGTCATCAACGCCTCATATACAAACGAGTGAACCTCTTTTTTTTTGTTGTTGCATTTTTGGCAAGTTAATTTAGTTGCCAAAAAAAAGATTAATCATTAAATAGATACATACATAAAAAGTGTACACACAGACGACAATTGAAATATAAAACTGACTTACCGGTTGGCTTGGAGATGCTATACCAATCGATACCACTCAACAGAATACCTTGTCTAATGATGTCTTTGATCAAGAGAGACTTTCGTTTAACGTAATCATTAAACAAGATTCTGTCCAGTTGATCAACCACATCAATCAAAGTCTATACAAATTACCATCAAATGATGACATTTGGTTAGTCTCTTATTTCTTACAAAAAATCAATCTCTCACTAGCAAACACACACACATATATATATTATATACGTACCTTGAGATCTTCCTCCATACTACATTTGTAGGCCATCTCAAACAATAAGACCAATTTACGCATCACAGTTGATCTCATAAATGATAGATTACTAACTGTCAACAAAATACGGATATCCTGTATATATCATTACATAAACCCAAGTAAATATCTATATATCTCTATGTTTTCTTCTTTTCTTTCTCAACTTACCATGGAATGTACATCGATCTTATCTCGTTTCTTGGCAAGCATCAATTCATCACGTTCATTTAATGGAACATAATCTGAAAAGGCTAGTTGGACAAGCCCATCCAAAAATGCATAAGTCGATTCCAAAAACGAAGACCGGATCTTTTCTACATAGTCACTTCCAATATCATGTCTTCCCTAAATGATATAAAATTAAAAAAAAAATCAGTAAAAATCACTCGAGTGTATTATGCGTCTTTGTACCTGTTGGATTGCGTCATCTGTAACAGCCATTAAACTAGCCATCTTGTATGCTGACCGTGCACAAAACTTGTGGTACTCGTAATACCGTTTCAAAAGACCCGTGCACTGAGGGCTTTCTGGATCAAGCACCCAGTCCTCTAGCATATAAAATGTTTTTGCGTCTAATTTTTTTTTAAGAAAAAAAATTGTGTGTGTGGGTGGGTGTGTGTGAATTATGTATGTTAATAGCAGTATTCTTCTTCTTTTAACGCAATGATAACAATACTGAAAATATAGAATATAAAATCTACCTCTTTCCCAGCACTTGCACAGCACATCCACAAACTTCCACCTTGCCTTTTCCATCAATTCCGTTAGACCCGAAAACGCATCTCCTGCCAAGTGAATCCCATGCATATCGTTGACGCAGTTTGCCAAATCAGCCACAATGCGCGTAAAATATTCAGCCACATGGATAGAATTGGCATTTGGGGGTAAAAACGACGGTAGGACGGTTTGCTCGCTGTCGTCGGCCATCCGCCGTACAGGCAATACACGCTCATCCAGTCCAAAATGGGTAGACAACAAGGAGGAATAGAGGTCAACAATATTGCGGGCCATCTTTCTACACTGGTCAACCTTTCCCAAGTCAACTCCCTGGCGACGGCGACGACCTCCACCTCCACCACCTTCGGCTAAATCGGACAGCATATCCGTATTACCAGCAGTGCCGACATTGCTGCTGTTACTGGTGTTACTGTTTCCAGTCTTTTTCACAAATTTTCCTTCGATGAATGCCTTGGACAGCCGCCAGAAATCAGGAAGACAGCGATGTAAAAGCGCCGAAAGCGACTGCACCATCTCAAGAATTGCACGCCAGGTACGGATATCAGCTTCTACAATGCCATTCACACCTGCATTATTATTGATGCCGCTGTTCCCAAGACCACTGCCGCCACCGCCTCCGCCGCCACCCCCGCCGCTGCTGGCGCTGATGCCGATGCTGCTGATGCCTCCGCTGCCTCCTCTGCCACCCATACCACTGCTGTTGCTGTTGATATTGCTGCCGTCATTCTTGGTGTTATTCGATGCAGCCGAAGAAAGCTGAGCAATGGCTTTTTTTAGTGACAGACTGCGCACAATGGAGGATTCCTCGGACTCCAGAGAGTGCATTGCGAGCTTAATCTTTTCTAACCCAGCTTCGTAAGTTTCCTTCATAAGGCCCACGATCCACAAGTATTGACTGTCGAGATAGAACCATGCCGGGTCCTTTGTGGTGTCCAGATCAAACAAGAAGCTATGCAAAGAACGAAAAATTAAAATTAAATTAAGTTAATACATAGCAAACCTCTTTTCTCTCTCTATATATATATATATCTATATTATATTTGATTCTTGTCATAACAACCAAGAAAAAACAAACAAACTTACTTTATAGTCTTTTCTTGTTCGTCCATACTTCTCCAAGGATCAGCCAACATCTTTAGTAAAACACTTTGTAATTCAACCACAATCTTGTTGACTTCTGCCCAGACCTTTTCAAACACTTTACGATGCAAATCGGTCATGCCAAACGTTTCGGTATTTGACATGGCACTGACAACTTCATCTCCAATATTTTCATTTCCATTCAGACTTTGATAAAGGTATTTTCCACGCTTGTAATCACGGATAGCCGTATCATATTTGCTCTATACACAAAATAAGAAATAAGCATAAAATACAAATATATATTTTTTTAAAAAAAAAGTAAAATAAAATAAAAGCTTGGCTTGCCTGTTTGATAGATTCCAGTAAACTACTAGGAAGATTAAAGAAAAACTTGTAACGCTGAAGAATTGTCAAGGTGCTTCGGACCTTGTCCACACGTTGTCTTCTCTCCACAATAGGGCCATAGATTTGTTCAGCTCTCGTATTGGCATCTTATGTGTATATATATATTTATATATATAAGAGAGAGAATTTAATCATAAAATTAATATATATATATATATATGTGTGTGTGTTTAAGGTGTTATACATACCTTCAAGTGCTGCTCTTAGAGCTCCGGTACCATAATCTTGATCCTCATTTAATTGCTTGGATTTCATTTCCTCATACACATGATCAATCGTGTTCTTTGCGCTCACAAATCGATCAAAGTTTGTATGGACCAAGGATTTGAGGGCTTCGGCACGTTGATCAACACCCTGACGCAGGTGTTCTTCACCTCGCACCAAATCATTGTATGAAGTGTTTTTGTGGACTTGCAATAAGAATTGCCGCGGTTGGAATGACTTGTTGCCGACCATAATGACAGATTCTATCAACCACACAGACAGACAAACAGAAATAAATAAATAAATAAATAAATAAATAAATCATTCTTGTCAATTGGACAAATGAAATATATTATATATTATATTATACATATGTAGAAAATCACTTACTCTCTTTGATTTGCGAGAGACCAAGGTTACGAGGTGGCTCACTAGAAAAGATAAATGATAATAACCATGACAACGAAAATAACGATTATTATAATATTTTTGATATATTTTTATTTTTATTTTTGTGAACAAAGTCTAGAGTTCTAATACTAATAGTAAATAAATTCATGTATATATGCATACAATGAGATGCTCATCCGAAAAAAAAAACATTAACAACAACTTGCCTCTCAAGTACAGAGCCATAGATTCCAAGTGGATCAGCATCATTCAAAGCCTGGCTGTCAACCTCTGCCTCAGAAGGAGCAACATGTGCCTCAGCAACATTTCCAGGTCTAGCAAACTGTTGAAATGTCGATTCTGCAGAGGGATCATCACCGGATATATCCATCCACACATCTGGTTCTAGAGTGTCCAGACCATAAAAGCGCATAATTGCTGCATCTTCCACATAGTCATGTATAACGTGAGTAGATGAGGTTTGCATTACTAGTGATGATGATATTTCTGAGATTCCCTTTTTTTTTTTAAAAAAAAAAAACCAAAATAAAATTATATATATAAATGGGAATAAACGATAAAGTATGGATGATTCTTTATATTTTTATATATATTTTATATATATACATATATATATTAATGATATGCTTTGGATGTAATTTTTGCTTTGTTTCTCGGCTCAGGTATAACATACACTTGTAAATATACACTATATATAAATGTATATATTTCAGGCACACAAGGCAGACACTATGTGTTAAGAATATAGAAAAGAAATAGAAAAAGGGAGTTCTGACGTGGAGTTCCAAAAAAGGAATATTCGAATGAGACAAAGGGCTATGTTTGTATAGCACTGGTGTTTAAAGCTTGAATCAGGCCCTTTGAACCTGATTTTTTTTCAGGTATATTATTTTGAACAGTCTACAAGGCATGTTTATCACTAGAAAATCTTACAAGATCTATTTTCTTTTTCTTAAAAAAAAAAAGAGAGGACAATTGAAGTACTAAACAGATAGTCTAACAAGACACACCCTTTGTTATCCAAAGGACCCAAAGACTTGCCATGATTTCATAAATATCAATAAAATAAAATAATAATTCACCACCATACTACAGTCACACACACACACACACAAAAGCAATACAAAAAGAGAAAGAGAAAGAGAAAGAGAAAGAGAAAGGAATGGAAATGGAAATGGAAATCAAGAAAGAGGAGAGAGAAAGGGAGAAAGGGAGAAAGTTGTAATGAAAACATTTTTGAACATTTTGAAACCTTTTTGCCTCTTTTTTCCCTCTTTGCATTATTATTTTGGTGTCTGGTTTTTGGCTATTGCTATTGCTATCAAAATAATAAGAGTGTTAACCGCATACACGCACACGCACACACACACACACACACACACACACACAAAAGGCAAAAGGTCCAAAAAATAAATAAATGTATAGCTTACTGAGGAAGCGTGGAACTGGAGCGGTTGATCCTCTTATTCTTAAGAGAGCAGAAACCACTCAAAAAGCACATAAGGTTGAACTTAGTCAGACCAAAGAGTTCAAAAGGGTACACCACGGTAAGCTTATTTATTTTTATTTTTATTTTTATTTTTATATATATTCAATATCTATTATAAAACAATATGTCTAAATATATATATTCTTATGAATCCTATTCAGGACCTATCAACTCTATCAAAACTGAGCATATTGAACGACGCTAGCAAGTGATTTAAATCCCTTTGGTAATTTAGATTTAGCCTAACACTCCTAAAAGTCTAGTTTCCGGTGGCGGTGATGGTCTATTGCACGTATACGATCTTCAACAAGAAGGAAGGCCTGCTCAGATTGAGCCAATTGCAAGTGTAGCAACCCAAGATCGTCATTCGTATGCTGTGAGCTCGGTCGGCTGGTTTCCGTTTGATACCGGGATACTGGTTAGCGCAAGTTTTGATGAGACGGTCCGGATCTGGGATACCAACCTTATGGAAGTAAGAATGACACAAATACACATACATACATATATACATATATATATATATATATATATTTATTTATATACTTATTACTGCTGTTTATTCCATAATCATAAATACGCAAGCCCGTTACTACATTTGATCTTGGCGCCAAAGTTTTCTGCCAAGCCATGTCACCAATTGCTTCTCATTGCCTAGTAGCAAGTAAGCCCGTTTGGTTAGTATATTTGCTCTTTAAAAAAACCTATCTTCAATTCACATTTCCCTTTTTTCTTTTATCTTTTTTGGTCTATGTATTGGTGTGTTTGTATATATTTCTTTAGCCGCAAGTGATAATCCACACATTCGACTTTGTGATATAAAGAGTGGGGCATCCGCTCACACTCTGATTGGTCACACTGGCTCGGTCTATTGCTGTGTCTGGTCTAATTATCAAGACCATGTTCTTTACACAGGAGGGTTAGTGTGCACCATAGAAACAGAGAAAAAAAATAAAAAAAAGAGAATGATACTCAGAACATAAAGAACGCGAGATAAAACAAAAAAAATTACATGATCAATTTTTCATTTTAATTTTTTTTTTACTCTTAATACCTTTGTTGATTTTTGTTTGATTCACTAGAGAAGACGGAACAATTCGTGTATGGGACATCAGAAAAGCTTCTGCTTGTCTCGGTTCCTTAGACAATGAGAATGCCGAGTTTACCAAGATCGAGACCAATCGGGCGCACCAGAAAGCCGTCAATGGCCTTGTGCTGACTTTGGATGGTTCTTCTCTTGTGTCGCTCGGACTAGACGAGAGGATCAAGCGCTGGAGCACGTACGACCATCGCCATTCTCGCACTCATTACGCTGGCTCGGGTGTTCGCAATCATGTCCGACACAATTGTGGACTGGCCGTGTCGGATACAGACGTCTGGCCACCCCTGGTTTATGTTCCTAACCAAGACCACATTGCTGTATTTGATGTCAATCGGGGTAATCGAGTCCAGAAACTGTGTGGAATGTATGGCCGGCCGACGTGCGTCGATGTAGAGGGGCTTGACGTGTATGCTGCCGGGGTAGAAGCAGAAATCTTGGTTTGGGGACCTTTACCACCATTCGATTCGGAGCCAGGAATAGAAGAGGTAATCAACGGTTTGTCCCAAAAAGGCAATTTCAAGATGAATGATTTCTATTTTTCTATTCTATTCTATTTTATATAATTATATACATATTCTCTCTCTCTCTTAAGGTGACGATGGATCAGTGGAGTGAATATTCTAGTGACTGATCAAGAAACAAGATAAATTATGCCAAAGGCTACACGAAGCTATTAAACTCTTTAAAGAACATTTTATTATTACATTAATTATATATATATATATATATATGTATATAAATAATTATTTATAAATAATATTTTGCCAGAATTTAACTATAAAAGACTTCATTTCTGTTACCAATTCGCTTTCTCTTTTTCTTCTTTATCTTCATTTCCTCGCTTTCTCTTCTTTTGCTCATTACAAGCATCTTCAATCGACTGGTTTCGCTTGACTATATATACATATATACATACATATACACATCCTTATTTGCTTCCAAGCTCTTCATTTACACCCCAAAAACCAACCAACCAACCAGTAAATCAAATTCAATTCAATTCAATTAAAGAAAAAATGGGTTGCTGCATGTCTCATCAAGAAGAAAGAGTAAGTAGCTTTTATATGTATATTAATTGGATCAAATATTAAAAGCTTCAATTGATATATATATATATATATAAGAATTACAAACAAACCAAAAACTTTATTCTGGATATTAACTTGTTTCCTATTTCAGACCACCGTTTATGAGGTCGTTCTTGATCGCCACGGTGTGGCACAGCGTGTACCAAAGGGTAAAGGCACCCACTTCATTCACGTCACCAAGCACAATGAAACCAAGATGGTAGAAAAGGCAGACTCTGGTAGTTTTCCTTGTCCTGAACCAACCTTCCAAGCGCCCATGAGATGGTCACAACGTATTCATCCGAAGCAGCCGGAACAAGCCGAATTAAACCCAACGTTGCACGAAAAGGAAGCTGTGTCCCCTCATTAGCCTCTCTGTCCTTTTTTGTCCATAGACCATGAACTCCAAACATGGCAATTATCCGTGATAACTTGCTTAACTAATTAGTGTGTCTGGTCCTTTTATTATACCTATATTTATTCTTTCATCCTTTTCGCTCTCTCTTTTTTTTTTTCTTGCAACTGGTTTGTAGCAGCATCTGGTCCTATATATACATATATATATATTCTCTATCTATCTATATTACGCTCCGTCAATTCATCTTAGAAATACACAAGTATCTAAAATATTATAAATAAATGAATAGTCTTGCACACTCTGTGAGCAAGTGCAAGATTTATTGTTACAAATAAAAGTCAAAATTATCATCATCAATCAGTCTTCTAATTTTCGGGAATACATTGGAATTGAGGGGTAATTAGGGTCTATTGGTTTTGGTTTAAGAAAATAGACACCGTGTGCTGACATTCCTATCATCATCAATAGAATACTTTACATAAAGATTAGCTAGCTAGCTAATTGGATTCTCACCAAAATAATAATAATATATAAAAGCTCCTTTTTAATCTTTCGCTTTCGCTTTCCTTTTTCTCTCTTACCTAGCCATTGTTCTCAAAGTAATGGTGTCACCGTACAGGAGTACCGAGAGTACAATGAGGACCCATTGTCTTGCCACGTTCACGACCCCAAGCATCATAGTCTGGGGCCGTCTATTCAGGGATAATTCGCAGTATGCGGACCCAAATACTAATATAATATAATATAATATATAAAAAAGAAAGGGAAAAGGGAAAAAAATATAACCCCCCCCCAAAGGGTACAGTTATTCAATCAATCAATCAATTATTCATTCAATAATCATTCATTCACCCAATTAATTACCCAATCTCTCAATCAGTTTGGTTACAATAATGTGATTATTGCTATTATTACTATAATTGCTATTCTATAGTGAAAATAATAATAATAATAATAAGATATATTTATATGCTGCTTACCAAGTACACCACCAATTGTCATTAATCCAAACGATTCCAGAACATGTACTATGCTATCAAAGTGGTAGGAGTGCTGAAAATGGACATAGGGGTTTTCAAACACAACACTCAAGACAAATAACAGCCCGGTCATGACTGGCCCAAGGCAACACATCTGCACAAGTGGGTGTTCCGATGGCCCGACCTCCAAAGACAACAAGTGGTCTATAGGAAGCGCCTTGACGATGCAAGACACCATGACTAACAGATACCCAACCACATCAAAGTTTGCCTCTCCAGCTACAGCCAATACTCCACTTGTACCTAGCACCAAAATCACCACCATTGTCTTCCAGCCAGACGGACTTGAAAAAAGAGGTCGATCGAATCCAAAGATATATCCAAACAGCAATGTCCATGCAGGTGTCGATGCCTTGACCAATGTATAAAACGACAGGCTGACCAAGACCAATGAAGCATTCGAACATCCGATCTCCAGTGCAGCAGCTACTCCGCATGGAATCTTAATTTTAATAAATAAAATTATTGGATTGTATGGATCAATTATCTTATATTCAAAAAAAAAAACAAAAAACAAAAAACAAAAACAAAGATTTCATACCATTTTGGATCGACGGTTTGAATTAATGGATGTGCTTAGGTTTGGATCACTGCCTAGACTTATCCATGCCCAGCTTATAAGGGTAGTAATGGCTGCCTGTACTGCACTGACCAACAATGGAAAGTTGAAATTATACTGGTCTTTACCCATCAGCTGTTTGTTGTACAACACAACTCCCACTACGCACACACACCAGGCGCCTACAAGCCCGTATGTTTCTTTTGGCCTAGCATGCTGAGTGATGTCGGCCTTGTTTAAGATCTCGATGGACACCTGAGTGGATTGATGGGGAAGCGGAAAGTGGGGTAATGAACCATGGCGAATGTGAGATTTTGGTTTCGAATGTACTTGGATTGATTGAGTACGTTTATGACGCCTGTCTGTATTGATCTTTGAAGTGCTGTCTGTATTTGTAGGTGGTGGTAAAGTCATTAATATGAATAGGTGTGTAATATATATATTATATATATATATATTATATATTTTATATCTAGACAGATAGATATTGATATAGATTGATATATATATATATATTTTATATAATATGTGAAAAATAAACAGGGTAAAAATAAATAAAATACACACAAACACACTTATACATGGACACACACACACAGGAACACACACTAATTACAAGCTTTTATTATATTATATTATATAATATTATATTATATATTATATTTTACTTGTAACGGTCTATCTTGAATAACTGCTCAAGCCAGTATAGACAAGCCATAAACATACATGCATGCATACATGCTAGATCAAAGTATTTACCTCCACTAACTAATTAAATCACCACAGCCCATCTTATGTGTGTACAACAGACACACATATAAAGGTACATAGATAACTGACACAGATACTTGTACACACGTATATTTGGAAGTAGAATGAAATACAGCTTGAGAAAGAAATAAGGAACAATGTATGTATAAATGTATGTATATACTTCTTTTTGTGCCTTTTTATTACTATTATTGATAATGGTTGGTGGTTATGGTGGTGATTTTGGTGTTGTTGTTGTTGGTGTTGTTGTTGGTGTTGATGTTGGTATTGCTATTGCTATTGCTATTGCTATTGCTATTGCTATTGTTATATATACATATACATATATATATAAATTTTTCTTTTTAATCTTCCATATCAAGTTCGAGTTCTTCTACTTCAAATGAATGGGTCTTGCCATGTTCATCTGCTAACCCGCTAACCAGCTCGTAAGGTTCTGAATCAGAATCAAGGTCTACTGTCTCAATTGTCTGATTACTGCTGCTACGCTTAGAATCAATAAAAGGAGTTTCCTCGATATCATCTCTTCGAATGCGTTTGTCAAGATATTCCCGAATAGCACTGAAATACCCAGGCTGCATGCAAGTGTCGTTGTGCATCCCTTGACTAAACTTGCAAAAGTCCTTTGAGGCGCGAGTCTCGCTCAAATCATGCAGAGCGACCATATGGCTAGGTGGAATCAGCTCATCCTTTTCACCAGCCAGAAACAACAACGGGGTTTTTACAATGTGCCGGATACTGGATTCCGATGGCCACTGTTGGTGGCAAAGAAAGGTAACATAGCGTAACATCGGCATCACGGAAGGGATCAACTTGGGCTATTAAAGTATTCATATATTAATATATATATATAATATAATTCACACTCAAATATTGTACATACCAAACTAAGAAAAGTATTCTCGATCATCAAACCCGAAAATGCATCTTCATTACGGGCTACAAGGTCAATAGCAACTGCACCACCAATCGATTGTCCATAGGCAACCAAGCGAGTGTGACGTAGAATAGGGTGGGACTTTACATAATCCAACAGTGTCTACAGACACAAACACAAAAACAATCATACCATACCATACCATACCATACAATACAATACAATGCCAGTAGGTAAGTTTTGTTTTGTTTTGTTTTGTTTTGTTTTGAGTTTTTGAGTTTTCGGGTTTTTTGTTGTTGTTTGTTGTTGCTATTATTTTGATTTTGGCTTTGTAATCACTCTTTGTATGTCTTGAATGTTACCTGAGAATCAATACGTAACCCTTTTTCATTAGGTTTTCCTTCACTATGTCCATAACTGAAAAAGAGAAAGAAAGAAAGTCAACAAATACATACACAATAAGACCATGAAACAAACCAAACAAACTCCCCCTTCCTTTGTACATGTACATGTACGCATACACACACACATACATACATATATATATATATACCAATATATGCTACCAGTACCATTATCATTACCAGCACAAGTACAAGTACAAGTACAAGTACAAGTACAAGTACAAGTACAAGTACAAGTACAAGTACAAGTATATATACCAACAGAAATGATAACAAAACAAAGAAAGATAAAAAGAAGAAAAAGCTTACCCTCTGTAAGAAAGCATAACTACATTACAACGATGTTTTTGATAAAGTACTTTAGCAATAGGTAGGCGATGGCCCTGAAAATAATAATAATAAAGATAATAAAGATGAGATTGCGATCGACCAAGTATTCAGATGATGAATGGATAGTTTTTTCTTTAAATGAAGTTACCATGTTGCCTGCATTGGCATGGAAATACAAGATTGTAGGTGCAGCCTTTGCTTCTTCTTCATTCTCGAGAATTATGATGTAGGTGTGGAGTTTAACGTTGTCTTTTGTAATCAGGGTCTCGTCAGTATATTTCATGTCAAAGTCAGATGGTTTTGCAACCTATGTATGTACATTTTTTTTTATTGTGAATAATTATTTGATATTTAGATCAATTGATATCTTGTCTGTGCTTACATCTGTACGAGATCCTTCAGGGAATGTTCTTGGGTAGATGAGTTCGCATTGGTATATGTAGAGCAGGACTGAGGCAGCTACACCTGCAAGGCCTGTGAAGGTAAGGAAGTAAGCCAGCCAATTAGGTAGGCCTAGTTTAAAGACCGGATCTGTCATGAAAGTGAAAGAGGACATTTTGCATGCTTGTGCGCATTTGGTCTAACAAAATATTCCAATTTATTTTTATAATTATATATGTGTATTATAATTTTTTAAATATCCGCCCAAATAGAAAAGAAAGACAGAGAGAGAGGTATAGAGAGAGGGAGAGGGAGAGGGAGAGAGGGGGAGAAAATTCGTATGTCTGTGAATGTTTTTTTTGGGGGTTTTTTTCCCCTTTCTTCCTTCAAAGTTTAATAATACTGACAGTCAGCTCACTCTTTTGATTACTATCACTAGTGAACCCCTCGAGTTTCTCATAGACCATCCACAACACACTCGATTCGTCGGCCTCGGGTCGGATCTGGACCTCGAGCGTACCCACATATTTGCCATAGGTGTTTTGCCAAAAGTGTACTCTATCAATAGCAATTACTCTAGGATCCTGACGAATCTACAAATATACATACATATATATATATATAAAGAAAAGGTAGATCAATTGGGTGATTAATAAAAGAAAGTCAGTTTGGGAAATCAAGATTTGTGCCTTGATATGTTTACCTCTGCAAGTCTATTATCTACACCTTGGCGTACTCCATCGGGTGTCATTTGGAGCAGCACTTTTGCAAGTGCTACAGCGGTGGGGTAACCAAGGTAGAGCATCACACCCGACTCTGCAAGTGCCAATATCTTATCCATCGACGGTGTCACCAGTCCAAGCACAGAAAACAACAAGACTGTAATTCCACTTGCCACAATTGACAAGGAGTACACATTGTTGATAAGTGCATGTACCGGACTGTCCCGTCCACGGTTAATTACATTGTAAGAAAACCCATGGACCGTAGGAGGAGCTCTTCTCAAGACTATTCAACACATTTGAGTACACACAAACACACATAGATACATACAGTCTAGATATTCTGGAGATAATGATTTAAACTTACATCGTACAAAGTTATCGTGGTTTCTTAACCCAACACTTGATACAAATGTAGCCATTAAGCCAAGACAAACCAATGTAAACAGTCCAAAGCTTATGCGATGATGACTAGCACTACTCCCACAGAAACAGCAAACAAGCAAACAAACAACAAAATGAGTAAATATAGAATATACAATAAATAATCTTACGTTTGAGAGCCATGACCACCATCGTGCGAACCTTCCAATAAAAAGTGCTCCAATGCTTCTTTGGTGTTATACATGGTTACAAACAGCAAATAAATGATGGTACCCATTGCAAAGACAATCTCTTGACGACGTGCGCTGTATAACAACACCCACACATTTAATAATAAATTAAATGAAATGAAATGAATATCGCGTGGTTAATACAAGCGAGATAATTAAAAATAAATAAGGTTTGCTTACCCAAACGGACGTTTGGTGGTTGAAACGCTGTAGGCAGGGTTGGTGTGAATAATTGAAGACACAAAAGAGTTCAGCACTCCAAGAGCGTCAAACATTAACAGGTAAGAGAACCCGACCACGGCTATTAGGAAAGTTATTCGGATATAGATCAAATTGGTTAGTGAAAAATATAAACAAATGAAAAGATCATGCAAGAAACCATCATTAAAGAATAAAGAAAAAATATCATCCAAGCTTACAAGGTTGGATGATAAAGTTACCCAATATACACTCAAACTCACACACACACACACACGCACGCATATACATACATGTATATATATGTCTGTTTGTGTGTGTGTAAATGAATTAAAGAGTAAGTTTCATATGTATGATATATTTTCTTTAATAGAAATATATACTTTCCTCCTCATTTTCTCTCTCTCTCTGTCTCTATCTTTTACCCCAAAAACTAATACTAATTCATTCATATTCATTCAACAATGTAACTTACCCAGGCTTTCTTGACCAGTACCAGAAGACCACACCCACATTCCAAGAACAATATAGATAACAAACCATGTAAATAATGTCTTTTGAGCTGGTGCAAGAGTAGAGAATATCTCTGACCATGAAGGCAATGGAGGAGTAAATACTGTAGGAAACACATGATGGTTATGTCCATGGTGATCATGCCCATGATCATGTCCATGATGATCATGATCGTGGTGGTCATGATGATCGTGTACATGATGGTCGTGAGATGTATGAGTAGGGGCATAGAGACCGCCCTGAATTTGAGGGGTGTATGCCACACCATGATCATGTCCATGATGGTCATGGTCATGATGATCATGCGAACCGTGAAAAACAGGTTGATGAGGAAGAGGAGTGTATAGTGTATTTTGTGCTGGTATATACTGTCCATACTGAGCTGAGGTATCTACAGGTCCATGCTACACACGCACATATGAATGCTTTAGACATATTGATGCAATATATGTATATGTCTGTCTGTCTGTCTGTCTGTCTGTCTGTCTGCCCTTTTCTTTTCCTTCTATTTTATTTTTTTAAAATAATCGAGATAATTGCTTACATTGTGAATGACCTGTGGTTCTTTATCATGGCCTTTACAGGGAACACCTCCATGACTATGGTCATGGTCATGATGGTCATGATGGTCATGATGGTCATGGTCATGATGGTCATGGTCGTGGTCATGATGGTCGTGGTCGTGATCATGGTTATGGTCTTGATGATGTTGGTCAACAAGATGATTCTCCACGTGAGCTGGTTTGGTGTGTAGTGGTGTTGATGTTTGGATGACAATCCCTTTGTTCAGACTACGAGAGCTCGAGATGGCTTCGGGATTGACAGGTGCTGGCTGAGGGGATGTCGGTGGAATTGGCCTTTTATTAAATCTTCTAGTAGATTGCATCTTTTCTTTTTATTTATTTCTCGGGTTTGTTTTGTGAATGGAACCAATAAAAAGAGAAGTTCAAGGAATCTAAACACGTACACGCGCACAAAACACACACTTCCACACACAAGAAAAAGGAACAGGTGTGATAAGGAAAAGAAGAAAAGAAGAAGAAGAAAAAGATAAGGAAATTATCTATATATAAATAAAAGGGGTTAAAAAAATATACTAGACAAATTTTAACATCCTAAAAAAATAAAAAAAAAGTAGATTGCTTAAACTTATTTCGTATTAAGCTATAGACGCACGTATATGTACAATGTACGTGTATAGTTGGTACGCGATGCCGTGCTGTACTGTGTGTGTGTGTGTGTGTGCATGTAATTGGACATTTGATTTATTTACACGTCTTGGGAAGTGTGTTTTAAGCTTTTAGATTAAATGACAGAACTAGTACTAATTTTGTAGTTACAACTCATATTTTCTGTTACAATGGTTTATTTATAAATGTTAAAAAGACAAGAATACACATAGATAAAATGGGATTTTTGATCTGATCATCTTTTCACCACATAAATCTTACATGCCAATTATTCAAATACATACATAAATATATATATATATATATAGGTCTGTATATATCTTTATTTACTGAGAAACAACTAGTATGTACTTTATTTAACCTCATATTACAACGTGTTAGAAATTATTCAAAAGGATTGGGCCTTTTATATAAAAATAACTAAATACGTTTTGTATTGTGGACTCAGAAAGTAGTACGAAAAAATTCAAACTGTGAAATCCAATTGGATTTGTACTTTTATCTTTATCTACTATAAAATATACTTCTTTAATGGATCTATAATTCAAGAGTAAAAGTACATGAAGCCTTGTACAGTAAATTTGAATCTATGCTTGTAACTCAGAACTATGTGTTACATAAATGGATAATAAATCACATATAATATATACAATATACGAGTATTTTATATAATTATATTCTCTATAATTAACATTGATATATATATACTTTGCTAGAATTGTTGAATGTATCTTCTGTTTTAAAATATTTATACAATTATCATTCCTATCAATATTATTTTACAATCTTACTCCAAGAAACCCATCTTAAACGAAAGAAGCGACAAACCATCAAGGGTACGGCTATTCTCTGAATACAAGGTGTTATGTTGGAACGCCATATCTAACAATTGGAATTATCGACTTTTATCAAACAGTCTTTTGAAGAATCATCGTTAGTATCATCGTCTCCACGCAAGAGAACTTTGTGCTTATATTTAACAAAAGGATGGTCGGTAGAGACCACTATGAGATTTAATCATAAAGGCATGATGAACATAAAGTCCCTTGGTATTTCATCGAGATATAAAAAAAAGGGAAAGAAAGGTCTACATGTCATTTATAGGTAGAGTGAGAATAGTAGCAGTGGAAAAGCGGGAGGATAAGGAAATAGGGTGGAGAAAGATATGCGTGCTAGCTCGTAGAAAGGTTGTAAAGGAAGGGGAAAAACCGAGTGTCTCACAGTGATCATTTTTCACAATATTTGAATAGAAGAATAGCAAAGAAAAAATTGTTCCAGAACAAGTACCGTACTAAAAGCGCAGCACCACTCAACCGATCCTTGCAAAAAAAAACGTGGAAAATAATTAATATCACTGTGTACCAGTCCTGGAACGTCAAATTAGAATTAATTTATCTCTGTAAAATCTTTGGAAAGTACTAATTGAGCAAGTTGATTCCAGCTCTGCATGTGCTCGAGAATATTATGATTTTTTTATCAATGGCCCCATTTGCTCCAGGAGAAGCCACCCATGTCAAGGCCTAAGGCATATTACATTTCGTTCGTCTGGCACCCGCTGTGGCGCCAGCTGTTTCTTTATGGCTGTAATATCCGAATCAAGAAGGGCCAAAAAGTACTCTCCTTCTCGGCAAGTGCTGAGCAAGAGTATTATACCGACACTTAAAATATGGGTGTACACTTTGTGGTGAGCGTGGATAGTATTGAGTGTGTCGTCTGCTCAGTAAAGACATGTTGAAAATGGAATCTGACAAAGGAAAGTTAAACAGAGAGATTAACGACAATTTGGAAAATAAGGTATTTGTTGTTGAAATCGCATATCTTGAGCAAGAATGAGAATGTAAAGCGTGGGGTGTGCAGATAATTGGGTCATCCTAAATTATTTCGTCAATTCATCTCTCATACAATGGACTGTATGTGGTTGTACCTCACTTTGATAACACGCTACCAAGATTTATTGCCAATCTAAAACATTTCTACGCAACAGTGATCGAACTCCTAACGCTCCAGAAAGAGCTGCAAAAGTCTGTCGATTGAATTTTGTACCACTACAAAGTACACAAACTCTCCAGTCTTTGAACCGTCATAAGTCATCCAGCCAGAGATGTAACATACAGCAGCAGTGGGGAAGCACATGGTGTACTTCATCCGAACAGTTTATCTTTAGAACACTCATAAATCCAGCTAGCGTCACCCCACCAAGACTATTGAACACAAAGCTATTGACCATCGCTTACACGGGACCAATTCCTGATTTGAAGCAACCAACGGACAGCCGAGCTGAAGATGTCCTTAATATTGATGAGTTCGGATGGAAGTATGACGGCCAAAAAATGGCTTAATTTAATTGCAGTAATCATAACTACCGGTAATCAAAAAGCCATTTATTCCTTCTCGTTCCAGCTCATTCATAGACGCTGAGTATTTCATATGTAGCCTCTTGAATAGGGTTTCATGGTCCAAATTAAAGCCAAGAATATATCGGTCTATATACTCATCTTAAGTTACTATGTCACTACACTCCCCATCATCATGCTTTTGATAGTGCACTTCTTGGAACCTCCTCATACATCACTATCTTCCCAGCATCTAGCTGCGAGGTTTGCACAAAAAATTATCGTCTCGCTCTTTGTTGTATCGCTCACTTCCTTGTCAAATCACATATGATCCTTGTCTCGTTTGTGATTTTTTAAGACACTCCCGACTATTTCCTTTTTTCATGTCTTTTTAAAACTGGCATGTGGTTATCTTTCTGGCAGGATACCCTTGGGCCTTCTCACACTCTATTCATTCTCAGAGACGGTTTTTAAGGATTGTCTTTTCTTCTCTCCAAAGTTCTCTGACATTTACTATATAACTCTTCCTGGCTTTGCACTTTTGGTTATTGGTCAACACCAATGGTCCACAGTATTCGATCATGCCTATTTTATGCCTTCCACAGTATTATTTGTCGTATTCCGCTTAGCTGTCATATTTAAGGCTGAACAAACCCTTAATAACCTTGTCTGCTCCTCTGACGTATAACTTTAATATTAGTAGTCTTTTGCTTTACCACATACTCAAAAACTAAAGCTGAAAAAATAAAAAACAAGGTTTGTGACGTGCACCCTTTATTATTATTATCTAATGACTCCCACAGTAAAAATCTAGGCTCCAATTCCTCCTTACAAAAAAAGACAAATACTAGTATTCCATATCGCAAAAGTGATGAATAAAAAAATTGTTGAGTCTCCCAACTGATATCCATATGAATTGGTCATCTTTTTTTGAGATTTTTATTCATTAGAATCACAAAAAACCTGACATTCCATTTTTTGAGGCTCGGGGTAAATTTGTATTATGCAAAGTAAACCATGAAATACCTTGGGGCAGTAAGAGATAAAGGAGGGAGCGGGACGGTGCAACATATCCTCTTCAGGTGCTTATTGAAATTCGTAATGGGATCGAGTATGGCGACTGTATCGTCTTCATCATCGAACATTTTGCTATAGCCATCATTGCGAATGAATGGCGTTGTATTTATTCTGAAAATAAGACGGGAGGACAGTGCGTCCTTTCTTTTAGTGTAATGCGCCACGCCTTTTACTGCAGTGCGCCAGTGCTCTTCTCCTCTTTTGCGCCAGGCTAATTTTTTGGTATGGCGTCACTTTATTCCTCTGTGTAACCCTACCTCTCCTCAGAAAAATGTGCCAGTTATTTCTGAAAAAAGTATACTTTCTTAAAATACTTAATTAAACCAGGTACACCCAAAAAAGCACAGCACGAGTGAAACAAATTTGTTGTCATGGAGATTACCTGTGATTCCGACTGACGGGCTCAACCCATTTTATGGTATTGAATATTTGAGGATCCGCCAGTGACCCTTTCCTTTTGCCCCGAGAAATTTATTTTTTGACTGACGCATCGAGTTAAAGAAGCCAAAAGAAAAGAAAAGTGACGTTATACACCCATTGATTTGTTCTGTTCTTAAAATAAAAAATAAAAAAAGGTATTGGGCCTTTGTATATTACAGAGGAGGAAAAACCAGCAGACCATTCCGCGCCTTTACCATATTCATCTTCTGTTGTAATAAAACCATCTCTAGTTCATCATGAGCAATGACTTGAGCGACTTACCTTGGGAAGTATGGGAAAAAATACGTTGTCTATCCCTCGAACTTGCAGAAGGCGACATAACTCAAAAAGGCTATGAAAAAAAGAAAAATGCTATTTTGAAACAATATCAAACCAGTACATACACCACAACCCAATCGACCCACCCAGCTGTATCAGTACCAGCACAATTACCAGAACCGGTGCTAATACCAGTACAAAATACATTACAGCCGCCAAAGATAGACACCCGTTTATTAAGCTTGGATACATTAGAGCCAAGTGCAGCAGATATAGTCGATATCCTTGATTGTCTACCGTCTCCGTCACATACAAGTGAACAACCTTTCTTTACCAAGAAAAATCCCGAACAGCCAGAATCCCCATCTAATACCACACCAGTTCAGCCAATAACATATCCCCCGCCTCACTCCTTAGATAACTCTGTACCTGAACAATTTCCCCACAAATTCAGGGAACAACATTCTGTACCTCATTCACCCGACGCGATAATCCCCTACGCTTTCAGTGCAGCTACCGAAAGAATAAACCAATCATACCCTATCTCCCATCGCAACTCGCCTATACTTACTCATCAGTCTAGCCTTTCACTATCATCCAGGGCCAACGGGCTTCCTGGTAAGCAAAATAATAAGATAATAATTTAGTTAAGAAAAAGTACACACACATATATATAAAGAGTTGTTTTCCAAATAAATATATACATACATGCATGTATATATTCTTTTGTTTTGTTTTCTGTTACTGTCACTGTCACTGTCAGCCAATTCTCTCATTTTCCTCACATTATACAACCCACCATCTCACCTACAGACTATCGGTCATACTCTCCACATCCTACACGGTACTCCGCCGCATCCTCTGTCGAAAGTCAATTCACTTCCCGTCGTTCTCTTGCCCTTTCTAAAAAGTCCTTTTCCACAAAACGTAGTAGATACGATAATAGCACTATGGCCAGCAATTTTAAAGCAATTGAACCTGCACCACAAGTTACTCTCTCATTTGAAGATCCCTTTGAACGATGGAAGCTAGCTGAACTGTCGGGTCGACAATTATTTCCTATAGAATCACCTTTGAACCTGCCTACAGATCCTTTAATTTCGCTGATAGAAATTATTCGACAGCGCTCCAACACAGATATAGGAAACTTAGTTGCATTTGTGAGCGTAGATATGAAAGGAAAAGAAGTGGGAGATATCACATGGTCTAAGCTTGATAAACGAGCTACAGATATTGCCAGTCAGCTTCAATCAGTTGGAAACGTAGGAGATTGTGTGGGTTTAGTCTACAGACGTGTTGAAATCCTAGAATTTATCGTAGCCTTTATTGGATGCTTTTATGCTGGAAGAATAGCAGTACCAATTAACGCGACAGAGAGCTTATCCGAATTGGCTTTTGTGCTTCAACTAACCAAGGCCGAACGAGTACTGACAACAGACCAGAATGCGAAAGCCTTTTTAAAGGATATACAGACAAGCCAAACACCATTTCCAAAGGTAGTCTGGCAGAGAACAGACGAAGCAGCCGGGTGGTCAGGACGCCAGAAGCAAACCACACCTACAGACTTACCTAAAGATGCCTATATAGAGTATGCTAAAGCTGCAAATGGTGAGCTCAAGGGTGTCACAGTCAGTCACAACACAGTACTGGATCAATGCAAGATATTAGATGCAGCCTTGGGGTATAAAGAAAGAACATGTGTAGTGAGTTTTTGGGAACCCCGGCAGCAAATTGGGTTGATTTCATCAATATTTTGGAGTGTGTATGGTGGCCACCATATGATATTTGCAGACCAAAATATACTTGAAAGTCCTCCGGTGTGGATTCATGTGCTATCAAGATACAAAGGTAAGCTTAACTGGTAAGATTACTGAAAAAAAGGAGAAGAAGAAGACCACAAAAAATGATAGCTTAAGGTGGAAACAAAAGGAGACCGATAGTTTAAAAATGCCTATAATATCTCGATTTTATTTACTTTTTTTCAATTGCTTACATTAAAGAGACTACTTGCTTCTTTCTTTCGTCTTCTTTATTTATACACTATACACACACAAAAACATACATATGTGTATATTTTAGCTGCTCTGGCTATGACGGACTACAGATCTCTACTTGATATCACATACTTTTATTCGGCTTATCCAAAACAAGTCGAACAATACAACAAAAGAGTTAAGCCCGATTTATCATCCTTGAGCTGCATTTTAGTTGACACAGTTGTGGTCAGACCCGGTTGGCATGATCAAATTACTGAGCAGCTGTTGCGGCCTCTTGCTGCTGATAATAATATCACCGCCATTATTTGCCCCGTTGCATCTTTGCCAGAACACGGTGGAATCATTTTAAGTATCAGAGAAACTCAAACGGCGCCAAGACAATATTCGAAAACTGACACGGAGGAAGAAAATAAGGAAGAGAAGATTGAAGTCCAAGAATATTTGCTAGAAACTGAATCTCTTTGGAATAACAAGGTAGTAGTTCTAGCAGCAGGTGTTCAAGCTCGCCAGTCTGCCTCCATCTCAACCCACTATACTGCGTATGTTGGATCGTTCGGCTATGTGGTTCCAAAAGGTAATAATTTACAAAAATAAATCAGAATCACGAGCATAACAAGGTTCACATGTGTACTTTTGTCTGTAGCTACTGTAGCTATTGTTGACCCAGATACCACTTTACTTTGTCCCGGAGATACATTAGGGGAGATATGGATACATGGACCTGCCCTTCCTGATGGGTTTTTTGCATTACCTCGACACACTGAAGCTATATTTAACGCTAAACCCTTGGCTGTATCCTCCGAAACTCTTGTTCCAGAATTATACCAACAAACATTTTTACGCACTGGCCTTGTTGGAGCTTTGATTGATGGTCAATTGGTAATTCTTGGGACTTACGAAGATCGAGTGCGACAACAGCGTAGAAACGATAGATTGGGAGTGGACAGAATATATTTCTCTAGTCGCCTTGTTGATACAATATCCCAAAACACTCCTGTAGAACAATGGTAAATTTGACTTTCCTTTCTTGTATCCGATACGTCGTATTAACTTTCTTCTTTTTTAAAATAATATAAAAAAATAAATTAATTAAAATTAAATAATAATAATAATAAAATAATAAAATAATAACAACAATGCTATATTAAATCTTAGTGTCGTATTTGAGATTCTTGTTCATGGACAACACATGCCCGTCGTTGCCTTTGAGTCCCCTTCTATTCCGTCGGATCTTCCTCAATTGGCAGAAAGTGTTCATTCGGCACTTATTAACTATGATTCACTTCGACCTTTTGCGATCGTTATTCTTGCGCCTGATGCGCTGCCTAGACACAGAAAACATGGTAGACGCCAGATACACGCCCTAATGACCAAGCGCCTCTTCCTGTCTGGGACTATGACAATACGTTACATTAAGCTAGATATCGATCGAACCCTTTTACCTCTATTAACTAGCGACGAAACGAATCAAGAAGCCTGGTTTAAAGACCTGGTACACCAGCGAACGATTCAAACCGGTGTTGCGCCGGCAACGGTGTATCAACACACTGGAGTACCTCCACCGACTACAATCATAGATGAACGTAGTCGGCAAGATCTCTCTTCTTTCAGAAGCATCGTAGATTGCTTAATATGGAGAGCACGTCGAACACCTGACGAAATTACATATGTTGCTGTTCAGGGTTCGACATCCAAGTCATATTCATTCCGAAAAATGAGTGCCAAAATTGCTATGGTAGCAAATTACTTGACCAAGCAAGGCCTGAGACGTGGGCAAAAAGCTATCGTTATGGTATCTTTTGGGCATGCATGGGTTCGTACTATTTACGCTTGCTTTTCGATTGGTGTAATCCCGGTTCCAATTGCACCTCCAGACCCACACCACTATCCACAACGAGTTCAGCAAGATGTTAAAGCATTAGTTGATGCTCTTCGTATCCTCCACACAAATATATTAATTGTAAATCCACCTTCGGAAGATGCGATCAAACACCCCTCAGTGGCTGCTGCTTTGAAATCTTCAACTATGGTAGCTGGGGGTCCACCTAAAATCGAACGGATTAACATACAAAAGGCATCAAAGTACAACACACCTCTAGGGACTGAAAATGGGTTCTTTGTCCGCCCAGAATGGGTAAATTCTGATCGAAAGACGCCTGCAATTATTTTACCTCATCGGACAGCCGAAGGAAAATTGAGACTGATGTCTTTAAGTCATTCGACACTTTTACACCAGTGCAGTATCCTAAAGACTGTCTGTCGCATGAAAGCCCAAAAGAATATCGTGGTAACTGGAATGAAAATTGGAGGGCCTAATTTATTGCAGGCAGCTTTCTGCGGCATTTATTCAGGTATATTTAAATCCACTTCTTTAATCTGGTCCCAATTAAGTTATCTAAAGAAGTTTTTTTCTACTTATTTAATTAGGGTCAATCACTGTTCTGATTTCTTTACCGGATTTTTATTCTTCTCCGGCACATTTCTTAGAGCTCTTGAATCGGTACAAAGGTAACATATACAAAAGAATGCATCTTCTTCTTAGCATAAAATTAATGTTTTAATTACTCTTTATTAGTCAAAGATGTGATTGTGTCGCAAGAACTAATTCAATACGTGATGCAACGGGCGACAAACCACACACAAAAGATCCCACTCTCCAGTATAGAGAATCTTTTGGTGACTTCGGATGAAAGACCAAAGTCAACGCTGTGTAAGAAATACTTTAAACAAAAGTTTGTTCGTTTGCGCGTGTTAATAAATATAAAATACTTTACAGACCAGCAAATGACTCGATTTTTTACACGAAATCAGCTTCAGAGAAATTCTATCCAGACATCCTATAGTCATTTGGGAAATTCAATGATAGCTTCCACTTCATATGACTTGGCACACCCTACACCACCGTTGATTATTGATATTGAAAAACTCAGGCAGGGTGTTGTCCGATGTGTTTTACCAGAAGAAGGCTCTATTGGTATTGAAGTCTACACATCCGGGACTGTGTCCATAAATACTACAGTAGCAATTGTGCACCCAACATATCGCACCCTTTGTCCTGGAAATCATCTGGGTGAGATATGGGTGTCTTCTGATGCAAATATACTGTCTGAATGGGGTCTAAGTGAGCAGGACCATGCGACGCGATTTGAAGCCACTCTTATTGGTGGACCTGATCCAGCTGTCAAGTACATGCGTACAGGGGATATTGGGTTTCTTTGGTCTTGGCCGAATTCTACTTTCCCGGGAAGAGACGGTGACCAATGGCTGTATGTACTTGGGTCCATGGAAGATACTATTGAACGCCATGGGTTGATTCATTTTTGTGTCGACTTGGAAAGAACAATTCAGCAAAGCCATCCAGATATTCCAGAAGAATCAAGGTAAGAACAATAAATAAATAAAATTGAAATACACAAGAATAGATATACTACTTCTATATATAAAATGACTTATCTTTTCTCGATTATTTGTATCTTATATACACGTAAAAACTATTAGTATCGTATTCCAAGATTCTGAGGATATTGTTGCTGTAATTGCCGTTAAATTCAAACCACATGCTTTGGCAGCTGTTCCTTTAGTTGTCAATGCCGTACTTGAATCACACACCCTTTTGATAGATATAGTTGTCGTAGTTGACATTACTCAGCTACCACGCGAACGCCATGGTGAAAAGCAAAGGCAAAAGGCTAAAATTGCATACACCACCAAAAGACTGTTAGTATTTCTTTCCTTTATATTCTTATTCATATTTATTAAGATACTAATGAATTATTGTGTCTCAAAATTTCCTTGTATGTGTTTGTAGACAACCTCTATATGTGAAGCGCATCACTCACCCCCGCTCACTCTCATCATCATCATCTTATTCTTCCATACCATCCTGGTCTCGCCCGTCTTCTTTTTCTGCACCAAAACACAAGCAGTCGTCTCTTCATCAGACTGTACACAATTACAGCCGATCTGACTGTTACAATCCGCTCGGTCGACAGGGAACAGACAGCAGTCGAAATTCATTTCAGACGGTTACTACCACCAGTACGATGCATACCAACAAGTCAGCTATCTCTTAAACAACCTCAAGAATTATTGGTTGCAATGTAAATTATTATCCTCCCCTTTATCATTATCATTTATCATTTATCATTATCATTGTCACTGTTACTAGTAGTATTGTTACTGTTCCTATATAACACATTAGTACCTTTTATTCTATTTATTTTGATATGTATATTCATAATTTTATTTTTATTTTCTTTCATTTTACTTTACTTTATACTTTATACTTTATACTTTAATTTTCTTTCCCTGTTCAATTCCATTATTTCTGCAGTGACACTCAAAATGGCTGCCTGGATTAAAAGCATTGATTTTCTTTAAGACACCAGTCTTTTTTTTTGTTTTTTTTTTTGAAGAAAATGAAATACAATACAGAGCACCATATTGATATCTGTATAACTTGCTTTATTTTGACAGCAATAATACAATGGCGTCTGTTCATTTATTTGTACACTTGTTTTGAATCCAGTCTATCATGTATATTTATCCCTTTTCTTTTCTCTCTTTTCTCTCTTTCTCTCTTCGTTCCTCCCATGCCTTCCGAATGGCAGGAATGGTGTTGATGAGCTGTAGCGTGACGATGTAAGCGCACATTAGAACACCTCACCTCACCCCAACACACCCACACACACACATATATATAGCGAAAAATATATACTTCCAATACCCAATAATTATCTCCTCCCAACCTTTTTCTTTGTCTTACCTGTTCTTTTGATACTGCATCTCTGATACTACGCATAACATTATCCACAGTCGACTGGTGATTGCCGTCAAGTTTGTCATCTCTGAATCGCATGAATCGCCATGGCGATTTTAATCCGAGCTTACTCTGGATCTCGGGGTCAAAATTGCATTCGATAATCCGGTTATTCAACAACATTGGTTTCTTCCCTGACAGCTCTCTCCACTCTTCGTCAGTAATTCCGAGTTCATCAAAACGTGCATAGTCTGACCCTCCTTTCCAGACTAGCAAATCTATCCGCGGCTTAGCTTTATAATCGCATACACCAGGTATGCTGCTACCAGGAAACTGTAACGCGACTTTGAAATCAATCGAATTCTCATTTGCAGGCTTCCATTTGATCCTATTAAACGATAAACAGTACATGTATTGAGTAAAACAAATAAACAATAGAAGCGGATTCATTTTGTAGTTCAATTACATTTTCTGGCTTGTGCCATACAGATAAGGTGCGCTGACAGAAGTAAATATGAGTCCGTCGTTACCGTGCTTGAGTTTAGGAATGATTTCGTTAAATACTTGGTCAAGATGGTACGTAAATTGTTGTTCTTTAAACTTGACACTTTTAAGAGAAGAAGAAAAAAAGGGGTTGAAATAAAGAGGTTATTTCATGAGTCCAATATGTGATGTGAGTTGTAGAATTATATTCATACACTCTACCTAAATGGCTGGAGCTGACCTAGTTTAGGCTGCTTTCTGAGCATTGTATAGTGTGGATCGATAATTTCTTTTTGAAGATACTACAAATATTATTATTATTATTATTATTATTATTATTATTATTATTTTACTATTTGACCTTTGTTTTTTAAATACGTACTCCAAGTCGCTTCATCAAGTCCCGAGAAGTCAGCACTTGTTTTTCGACTACCAAGCAATCAAATAGCAAGAAGCGTAACCGAATCTATTTGTAGATACAAAACAGTGATGGTCAGAAATTAGTTTTGATGTTACATAATTTTAATTTACTAGATATACTGTGATTAAATAATACGCACTCTTCCATCTTCTTCTTTATCAAATACAAACTCGCCGTCTATGATAGTATCCTTATGACACTTTCTAAAGGAGGGATCTTGTGGAATCGGGAATCGGAGGTTGTTAACGAGATGAAAATTGCTCTTGCGATCAAACTTTTGGATAGCAGACGAATATAAATCGAGATCTAATGTGAGAGGCTGACTCGATCTGTCATGTAGTTGCTATTGGTTACCAAATAGACTTCGGGTTCTTTTGCTTCATTGACTGTGAGGAGTGCCAGACACCGCACGCCGTCTGATTTCTCTGCTACATAGTAGCTAATAATTATTTTATTAGACAAAGTGAGATGGCCAATTTAATGTGTTGAGATGGTAGCTCGATCAGCAAACGATAAAATTATCTAATGTGTAAATTTGATTGATAGAAAAGAGAGAGAGAGAAAAAAAACGTACTCTTCCTTTTGTAATTCTTTCAGTTGGTGTTCGTAAAAGCTCACTGGCTGGGCACCGGGAAATCTGATCATGCCTTTTAATCAGTCAAAAGCATATATTGATGATCTTGTATGGTACACACTTGTATACTTTTAGTTTTAGTAGCTCGGCCACCTTTTCCTTTAACCAGCCGTCATCCTGAACAGGTATGCCAGGTATATTTGGTACAGGACTATGGTTCATATTATATAATATTTATAATGTGCTATTCGTTCCTTTCCTTTTCTTTTCTTTTCGTTTTACAGTTAAAGAAATTGAAACAGAAAGTTGCAAAAAAAGGTGGAATAAAGGATGGTATGTGAGACTGTATTATGATTATTTTTTAGAGTAAATGCGCTGATTAAAATAAGTAGGGTGTAAGCGTCATTCATACAGACATTTTGCGTTGTATTCCAGAAGTCTGCGTTGTGGGTTGATATCTTAATTTTTTATAAGCCTTTATCGCGTGTTTATATATATATATATATATCGCTCGAGGATCTAAAGAAGTATATTTTAAGGCTGTCACAATTAGTTAATGCACCATAGAATACCTATATTTTTTCTTGTATCAATCATAATTTAGATAAAAATGATTATTTTATATATATATTATATATATATCCATTAGTTTTTATTTCTATTTTATTTTTTACTTTAAAATTGCAAATTTAATTTATTTATTTTTCGTAGGTCAAGTTACAGCTTATACTTCAAACATATCTGCTGTTGTTTTTTTTTGGGCCAAAGGAAAATGATATTCAGACAGTGAAATTAAGTTTTGGGACGAAATCCTTGTTACTGTTCAGACGTCTTGTATGTAATTATCTGAATATTTCTATAGCATTAAGCCGTTTACAATGCATCGATTTTACAAAGTACGACACTAAACAGAATCTATATATACAAGATACTTTGGAGACTAGTGTAGCATGAAATCTAAGCTTTGTAGAAGGTGTTAGGGATAATATTCAAGTGCTTTGATCTGATCAGCAGTTCAATGACTTTTAGGACAAGAAGTTTGGAGCAGCAAACATCTCGTCTTCTCCTTTTTGTAGTGCTCTTAAAAAATAAACCTCTGTCTCATCCCAGTCCATTGCATAATTCCCTTGCTTATCAAGTATTCTACCTTGACTGTCTTCAAAAGAAAAAGAAACGGCCTTATGGAAAAAATTACTACCAGTCCTTTTTTAAGCCCCTCTCTTTGGTGCTGGAACGACTGTATGATGGTAAAATTCAACACTCAACACCCTCTTATTTATTTGTGTGCGGGAGAGAAAGCACTTGATTATGACAATTAAAAAATGCGACTGATTATGGAGATATTTGATAAAGAGACTTGATAAAGACAGCTAGAACCACTTGACATTAACAAGATTATATAAGTATTGTTGAGGGTTCTCAAGAAATAAAATTAAGAAAAAAAGTCGCAAGCTTATAGTAAAATAAACCGATACACATGTATTTTATATATTAAATTCTGGATCATTTACAATGTGCAACACAAAATTTAATATCATTACCAAGACCCGCACTCATTTTTTTTAGTTGGTGTTAGATCATATGGTTTATTCCCACATAAAAACAAAACAAGTGTATTTTGGAATAATTGGAAAAAATATCTATTATATAGTGTTTAATCCACATAAATTGTGAGCATAGGTTGAATAAAAAACGGGACTTTTCCAAAGAGCTTTTCATTCTATGAGAGGTCGACGCATCTTTTGGTCTTTTGAAAGAGTTAACCAACTACAGGGTAGACCACAGGTTGATACTCAAGACCTAAATGTTAGTCCATTTTAATATCCATAAAAAAATAAGTATTCTATAAATGTTTTTTTTTAAAAAAAAAAGCACATACACAACAAATACTATATAGGAATAATTAAACACTTCTCTGGTACTGAACGTACTAATTGCAGAAATATTGACTTTATGAATATGTATAGTACATTAGCTACAGATGAGATAGTCATTGTAACAAGGCGTGGAGTTTCATATAGTATAATTTATGGCCTACGGTTAATTACAGAGTGTCTTGGAAACTACAGGATTCTCCTGTTTTATATAAGCTTATGATGTATTAATAAATAAATAATAAGTATGCTCACAAGTCTATACGAAAATTAAGGCTCTTTTCGTGCAAGTTAAATTTAGATACTTGTTAAAGCCCATTCCTTTATTGGCTTATTTATCATCTTTCAAGTAGTCCTTACTATACCATATTCTACAAGGTGCACCCTGATCGCTTTTAGGTACTTTACCATAGTCAGTAAAATTATACAAAATTTTTTTTAGTAGATTATTTATCTATTATTAACGCTACCATGTATTAACCAAAAAGAGGTATGAAACACCCAGATCTGACTTCTATATCTTTGTGTTTCAACCCTTTCTAATTCTTTATATTTTACTGCAGCTAAAATAAATAAATAATGACATTAATATTATGTTCACCTTTAGTGTAACTCTAATTATTGTGCCCTCTCTCTCTCTCTCTATTTTTCTCTTGTAAATACTTCTGGCCCATGCTATAATACATATCGTATTTTGGTATAAAGATGGAGTTCTGAACACACAGGTTCCTTTCAAAGACCAGCTTTATGTGTATCCGTGCTGGATTAAAAGAGCGCAACACGGTCAGGAACAATGGTTACATCATTTTCCTTTATATTTATATATCCAAGAAAACCCTGTAGTACTGCACCAATTTACATACTACATAAACGTTTTAAACAAAAATAGATACCATACTATAGCATTTAGTCTATTGTCCGAATTAACGTGTGGAAGCAACCCTAGCAACAAATTGCGCCAAAAACTTATATGTATCTTGGGCACCACTAATGACAATAAAAGAGTTAGAGTCTGACATCCAGTAAATCGGTTGTACAGGGTTGTACAGAGTTAATGGATTAAACAGAAAAGACAAACGCAAATTATCAAGTTGCGTTCAATACAAATAACCTGGTACTTTGGTAGATTTTACGTATTAATTTTCGAGTGGGTGCTATAAAGATGTTGATATTAGGTATAGTAGTCTCTAGAAAACGCACATATACGCAGTTAATTTTGTTAATTCCACTTTGGTGTATTTAGTACTAATAGGTCCTGTTGTACTATTTACATAGATTTAGGCTTGATAATATGGCTTCTTTTTTCAGGATCTGAACAAGACATTGTTTGGTAGTCTTTTGTTGATAGGCGTCTCATTAAGAGAAAACATTTCTGGGATTTGAAAACTTAAATATATACAAGTGTTTTCACAAATTCGATTCTGGATATATATTTTACTTTTCTTTAAAAAAAATATCCGACCCTTAAGTCCTCTTGTTATATGCGTTAGATAACTGCCCTTAATAAACAGCACACATTGAGTTATATAGAAACAGTTTTTTAAAGCAAAAAGATTGATATTAGCTCAATATAAGCGTACATTCTGAAAGTAAAAATACTTCCTTTCTTAAGCTTGTGTACTAAATAACTCGAATAAAAAAAATTGCCACTAGCTCTTAAAGTAATGGCTAGAAATTCCCCTTGTGTAGACATTTCTTTTTGGTTCAATAATTTATAAATGATCTTTCACGCCACAAAGTGGCGATGTGGTCGCTGAATGAATTGGGATGCCCTGAATACTCAAACTACAAGTCTATACTGAGAGGATGAATGATAATCCGGGTGTAGAAAACGAAAAAATAAAAATAAACAAGGTTGTATAAGAAAAATCAGGAACTAGATTCAAGCAAAAAGTTTGCGTTTGGCAAAGGTACTACAGCTTAATAGAGCGAGAGAAAATAAAACCAAATATTTCCCTCAAGTTTCTACCTTTTTTATTTTAATTCCTTCACTTGTACAAAGCTCTCGTATTTTATTTCCGATTGTATACTGTAATATTAAAGGAAGATTGTTAAGAATCATTAGAAAGCGAATTAAATCCAAAAAGGTGGATAAGCAGCCTATTTGTATGAGATTTGTCAAGTTACCGGGCTATTTCCATTGAGTACAATTGGACAATCTGGTTTCATTCTTTTTGTCCAATCCATTAATTCTGTGCAACTTTGTGTGACTGATTTGCTGGATGTCAGACTCTAACACTTCTATTGCCATTAATGGTGCCCAAGACACATGTGAAGTAAGTTGGCACGTCTTTTGTTACGAGGAACCAACGCTTGTGTACATTCAATTCAAATAATAGATTAAAGGTTAGACTATGTGCCACTTTCAAAACCTATTCATGGCACATATAAAGAGGTTAATATAGTACTACAGTATTTTTAAGCCGAGTCTCATAAGGTACTGAGCTAAAATAAAAATAATAATATAATATAGTATAAGAAGAAGAAAAACTCCCTCCATCGAGGTCAAATAAATAGTCCAAGCTTCTAATCCATTTTCACCTCAACCTCCCTTTCCTTTCCTTTCCTTTCTACACATACATTCCTTCAATCCCACACACCACCTTTAGTTTGCGCATTTGATAAACTAATTTCTATATTAGTTAAAGAAATTATTTAATACAACATGATCTGGAAGCCTTTAGTTTTGGGTTTCGCCGTGTTGTTTTCCTTGGCCAATGCTGCACCTTCCCACTCCAAGGCAGAGCATTATATTGTCAAGGTCAATGATAATGTAGTTCTTCAGGACTGTAAGCAATATGTTTTATATGATTTTGTACACACCTAAAAAGAAGAGCTTGTAGTTATTAATATAATTGTAATATAAATATAAAAATAAAAATAAAAAGTCATGCCACGCCTTCTTGCTGCTGCCCTTGACGCTGTAGACGATCTTGTGAAGAAAGAAGAATCTCGCCATCACCGTCGTTGTCTCGAAAAGCATGCTGAGATCGTCAAGACCTTTGAAATGGGTAGCTTCAAGGCTTTCTCAATTGAAGTTTTGGATCGTCGTGTGATCGACGCTCTCACCAACAAGTTCCCAGAAATCCAAATGATCGTCCCAGATGAGCTTATTCAGTACGATATTCTGGATGTACCCAACCACAAGGATAGTGATTTGCAAAAGCGCTATCGCATTGTAAGACAAATTCTATTCTATTTAATACAATTACTATTACTACTATTATTATTATTATTACTTAAATATATAGTATACATTAATCGAACTCAAAAATACTACAATACTCACAATACTCACAAATATCCTTTTGTACAGCGTTACCCTCGTCCCAATTATCCCAGACAGTCTACTGATGACACAGACGAAGATCATGAAGACAACCACGAAGAATATCATCGTGCAAACCCTAGACTCAATCGTCGTTGCCACAAACCTGCTAAAACCGTCGCTTCCACAAACACAACCAGTGATTCGCTTGTTCTCAGCCAGAAAAACTCTCTTTGGAATCTTGCCCGCTTGTCTGTCCGCGATCGTAACCTCAATGCCGTTTATGAATACGAGAAAAATGCTGGGTACTTTACCTTTATTCGATTCTTTAGAAAGTCTTTACTGTAAAAATACCACATCATGTATATCTAACTCAACCTTGCTTTTTAATTAATCTTGTATATGTTTACAGTACTGGCGTAACTGTTTATGTCGTCGATGATGGTCTTTTGATTACCCACAAAGATTTTGGTGGTCGTGCTAAATGGGGTTGGTCGCCAACATCCACATATGGCAAAGAAGGCGGTGGCCATGGTGAGTTTAAGCACTCTACACATTTGTGTATTGCATTTGACTAATTCTTCTTCTTTATTATTATTTTAGGTACCCACGTAGCAGGAATTATCGGAGGTACTCAATATGGTGTTGCCAAGAACGTTAGTTTGACTGCCGTACAGGTCTTAAACCGCTTCGGCCAGGGAACTGTCTCTACCATGCTTAGTGGTATCGAATTTGTTATCAAGGACGCCAAGAAACATAAGGGACGTGCCCTGGTCAACATGTCACTTGGTATGCCCACTGGCTCAAATATTGCCACCTTGATCGATGAAGCTGTTGGTACTCTTATCAAGAACAATATTCCTGTGGTCGCTGCTGCTGGAAACACACCTGTGTAAGTTATAGCTGCTATTTTGCTTATAATGTTCATAATTTGCAAACCTCTTACTTTTATATATATATATATATATACTATTTTACAAACAATAGTGATGCTTGCAACACTGTTCCAGCTGGTACCGATAATGTCTTTACTGTCAGTTCTATTGACAACAATGACACTATGGATCCATACAGTGCATACGGAAAATGTGTCGATGTCCTTGCTCCTGGTATGTACTTATATCCACACACACACACACATATATATAAGCTTTTCTTGGGACCCCTATACTTGTTTGTTTGTCTGTTTGCTTGTTTTATGCTGGTGCTTTACTAACAGTGTATCTTATTATAGGTATTTCGATCAGAAGTACTTGGATTGGATCCAGCAACAGCGAGACTGCATTAATGTCCGGTACTTCAATGGCCTCTCCCCATGCTGCTGGCGTCGCTGCTTTGTTGATGACTCAGTTAGGTAGCAACCCTACACCTGCTCAAGTATATGCTGCTCTGAAGGCTGATGCTACCCTTGGCAAAGTCAAGGATCTCAAACCCAAGACACCTAATGCTATTGTTCACCACACTGTCTAAAAAAACCCCTTACTGCCATTCTTATTTATTTGCTTGACTTTTGTTAGCCTCAAGTCTTTATTTTTTTCTACGTCAATAAAGCAAAACCTCGTTAATTTAACCATATTTATGAATAATGGTAATATAAAAAGAGGTATAGAAGTTAATGGAGCTCTCTCATTTCCTTCCTTTCCTTTCCTTCTCTTTATTCTACTTTACTAATAATAACTTTACACAAAGTCAAACGTGCTTGCTTCCCAAACGCACAAGCACATATATAATGCCTATATTTATTTGACTGTTTAATAGATGTTTTTTGTGCTAAATGAAATGCTTGTTGGTGTTGCTTGGTGCTGTTTTTGCCTTTTTTTTTTGAACGCTTTACAGATCTTTTCTTGATTCAGACTTGAGACCGCTGATAGAATTCTCTAGTGCGTTACGCTCATCGGAAAGACGGTTGTATTCCTTTTGCTGCTGATCAGCTTGTTTCTTCAGAGTCTCAAAATCACGCTCCTGCTGCTTCAATTGTTTAAGCTCGTTGTTCAACTCGGTGATCTTGACCTGGAATTCCTTCTCGATATCCACTAAACGCTTTGAGTCATTGTTGGCTGAAACAGCCTGTGAAAAAAGAGACGTGGTATATGGTCAAAAAAAAACAAAACACAAAATTGAACCAGAATAAATTAAAAACTATGTACTGACATCTTTCTTCACACTCTCAAGTTCTTCTTCGCGTTTCAAGACCTCGATAACCAAAGTACTGGTTCTATCCAATATACTACACAAACAACAATCATAAACGTTTCAATAAGTCATGTATTGCTACTAAACTCGGTCGTAAGTAATGCTAATAAGACTTACAGGGATAAGAAGAGGGTGAAACCAGTCAAGTACAGGTTGCGCTGAGTATAGAATGTTGTTGCCTTTAAGTTTGCCTCAAAACCAAAGTCATGATGATGTCGTTGTTCTTCAGTCACATCAGATCCAATGCGCTGGAGTCGGTTTACGGTATCTACAAGACCAGTGTTTATTGTGTTGTGTTTAGTGAGACTGATTATGTTCATATATTTCTTTATGAGGAGTAATATACGGCTTTATATAGATAGCCTATAGTTTAGTTTTCCTTCTTTTCTTACCGAGGAATAGGAGGAAAATAAATCTATAACGTCAGAATACATGGTTGGACTTGTTATTCAAACCACTTTATCACTTAAAACTGTGGGTGACTTACCCAAATGCAATCTTTAGACCATAAAGAGCCTTGCCAATCTGTATAAAACAAAATACGTAAATTTAACAACCGTCTCTTTACTGTGAGATATGTATATATAAAATAATATAAAGTATACCAGAGGGGAACTGGTGAGGCCCTTCATCATAGCTCTACGCCAACGAGAAGGAAGAGGCATCTAAATAAAATGAGTCATGAGAAATGAGTTGTTTGTTGTTGTGTACGTGTATAAAGATAGATAGAGAGAGAGAGACTCACCACCAAGATGCCAAAGATGACCATCTAAATGCACTGAATTCAGTTTGACTTGTATAATATGTGTGCTATTGTACTTACCTCGGTTACCAGGATTGCAAACGTGAGAGTATAATAAATGGCCATTATGCCTTATGGTATACGTATAGAAAATAATTTGAAGAATAAAAAGAAAAAGACGAAATAATAAGTGAAGCTATAAAAAAAATGGAAATGGTGACTTAATAAGTTCCGGCTTGGCCCGCCGAGACATTTTTAAACATTTCTCCTTTCTGCTTTCCTTTTATGCCTTTTAATCTCTTGATTTTTATTAATAATAGTAATAGTAATGATGACTGTACCAAGATAAAACTAAATATATAAAGGGATATAACAACACTTTTGGTTCACAGTTTGTGCGTAATTTATCACAATCATACACATTGTAGCTGATAAAGGACAAGCTATGCTTGAACGGACAAGATATTCAAATAAAAAATTAATTGTGCGCGTTTTGGTGCGTGTTCGTTTGTGGATGGGTGGCTGGGAAACTGGGGCTGTACTATATCAATAGTTTTACCTTACACACGCACACATAGTTTTTTTTTTCTTTAAAAATAAATAAATTAATGCAGCTTAAAAATAGAATGTGATTTTAATTTTTCAAAAACAAAAAAATCATACTCTCTATGGACTTTTCACTTTTTTTATTCTAGGGCACTTTCAGAGAAATTCATGCTAGATTTTCTCTAATTTATAGAAATTTTAACTACAATGGCTCTAGCTCAGGAATAGTCGCTTTAGAACATGAACATGCTCCATTAAATAGAATAATATATATTTTATTAATTAGATATATAATACTTCAAAGAAAAAGAGAAAAAATGTAATATACATGATATATCAGTGTATTTTCTGTATGCTCACAAACAGATGCTCTAAAGAGCCCGTAGATTTAAGTAGCGACTGCCACAGGGCTCGATAAGTTTATCTACTACAAAATAGAGACAGTCACATTTTTCTCAAACCTGAAATAATTCGGCAGGTCCGGCACAAACTCGGTGTTGATAGACTAAAAATTCGAAAAAAAGGTTCAAAAAAAGGTCAAAACAAGCTCATCTTGAACTTGGCCAATCAGACTAATTTATGACTGACCACACCTTTCTTTAAAAAAGTGCAAAATTAGTCCAAGTACATATTAGATAAGATTGTGCTTATAAAGCCTTCCCTGTAATTATGTGAAAACCTATTTTGCGAGTTATTCTAGATATCGCATTCTATGGCACATTTTTCCTATAAAAATGCTCTTTTTCTCAATTCTAGTGGCAATGGAACAATTATAACCAATCAGAGTCGTTTACAAATTGATCTTTTTTTTACCCTTTTTTTAACTTGAAACTATCACAACTCGACACCTTTATTACACGTACTCCATTATTAAACAACTTCTTCAATAAGCCGAATGGCATTTATACTGGGGCTCATATTCACCCAATATTCATCCAATATTCAGCTTGAGGAACAATTTATCAATTGATCGCAACTTTTGATTACGTCAACCCCGTGAGCACTACCTCTTGGATGTTTACCTCTTTGTTTTCTTTGTTTTCTTTTTCTTACCCTAAAGTATTTTGGCAACCCACATATCCACTGAGCTGGTAAGATTAGCTGCATAAATATAAAACGAATCCACATTGTGAATAAATATATAATAATTGAAATGTATAGTACAAACAAACGCCATATTCGCAAGTTTGAGAAAGAATAATCGAATGCGTCGAAAAAAAACGCCGCAAGAAACTTTTTACCAAGGAGTGAACACCTTGCCGCCATCCTTTCTACAAAGTAATACCAAAAGAACCTTATCCGAAAGCTTTTCAGAAGAAAGTTTCAACAAAAGAAATCGTGTAGAAGGGCCGGTGAAAGACTTGGAGGAATGCTTCTTTACTTCGATGAGAGGCCGCGTAGAAGAACTTGTCAAGCAAACTAAAACTCAAGATAAAACAAGTGAACTGAAAAACAAGCTCCTAAATGTAAAGATTCTACCGGCAGCAATAATAACGAACGCAGCACAACTTGCCAAGTGTGACAGAAAAGTAATGCGCTCACATATGGAGCACCGCCCTGGGCTAAAAAATGTTGAAGAATGGAAGAAGTTCGTATCTCAAAACTTCGACAAAATAGCTGAGGCTGCCGTAGGTTCGGTCGTAAAAGACACAGCTAAAGTATACTCTTCTTCCACTCCAACAAATAAACAGCCGTATGAAGAAATGAGAACGTGCACGGTCCAGATAAACAGCCTCTTCAGATCGGATCTCCTTCCTATTGTAAAGACATTCGTGTGTACTAGATTACAAGATTCGATGGTTACCTCGACAGATTATACCCTTTGCTTTTCGGCACTCGTAAATATGATGATAAGTGAGCTGAAGACTAGCGAATTCTTCTTTGACAACAATGATATCAAGATTAAGAAAGTTCCTGGGTTCAACCTCGCCAAATTGCTGCCTTTTGTTACAACTAATGAGCCAAAACAGACCATCCAGCCAATGGACAAGGATTTAATTGCCTCTAAACGATTTGAGACGGACTCCAAGTGTCTCTTCACAAGCCAACATCTGCAAGTTGTGTATAGTTATTTTTTTGGTGCCCGTGGTGCTAAAGAAGAAAATTTAAACGCCCACCCTGTGCAGAATAGTCTGTTTTGTTCTTTCAAAGAATCCGGCCTTGATAAACAGAGCTTCTATCTTGAGAAAGCATCATCGTCGGCAATGTCGATGGCTCTTGAAATGTACCTGGTCAACTTCGAGAATATGTGGGACGGGAAAAAGATAATTAACAAGCTTTTGGACAAAGTGATACTAGTGCTACTTCGCCACCATCTTGCCCGCAATAGAGAATCAAAGCGTATCTCGACCACAACAACAAGGAATCCACCTGGAAAGAAGGATATAAGAAACCATGCGCGTTATGTTTGTCGTGCAGAGGATAAAAAGCTGAAAAAGTTGGTACAAAGAAAGGAAAAAGCAAGCGGATTAGAAGGAGAAAAGTGGGCCACTAAGATAAATAGTGCGAAGCAGCGTCTAGCAAATTTAAGGCATACTTTTAAAAAGGTAAGGTGGAAACATTTTCATTGGCTTGAAATTGCCAGCTAATGCTTCATTTTACTTTAGAATATAAGCCAAATGTTGAATGATAGAAAGGAAGCTTCTGTGGAACACAAGCTCGTTGTTCAGGATTTGAACATCACGGAAGAACAGCAAGATTTTCTGGAAGAGGAGGGGACTTTGGATGATGATGTTCCGGAAAGGAGGTTGAATCAACTCAAGTCCGTAATCAAACACTTGGTCTTCAGCAATGATACGCCTGTATATTTAGAAGATATCAAACATCAGTCCCCTGAGGCCACCACCACCGAACAGTCAGTATGCTTGTTGATCTGCAATACGTTGATGAAGTTCTTGCCTCCGAAAAAGCAATATCACGTAATTGCGTATCAGATGTATTTCTGTATCTTTGCAAACGACGTTCTTAAATATGCACGTTATACAAAGTTTACTCGCGCATTATGTCCTTCAACATCATTCTCGTCATTGAGTGCACTACACCTGGATTCAATTGCATTATATCAGCTATTGACTCAGAATATAGATCAAGAAAAGTCGGAAGAACCATCATCACATACCAACCAGCAAGAGAAGAAAGGGTATAGTAGAATGATACTCTATGGGTATAATAGGGATGAGCTGATAGGGTCTCAAGACAAAGCGCGCCAAAACAAAGATGCCACATTTAACGCAGTATTTGATATAGGAGAGATTCAGAAAGCATGTAAATCGTATGGCCTATCTTTTGCACATCGGATGACATGTCTACCAGGAATGAAAACAGTACGATTATTGGGATCAAAAATAAAAACCCATGGCACCGTAAAAGAGGAGACAAAACAGTCATATGAAGCACGGATTTTAAGAAACCCGAGCATTATTCAAGAAGGACGAAAAACAAAGGATGTTCTTTTTTCTGAGCTTCAAAGCTTAACAGAAGAAGTCAAGATGCTTGAATCTGTCCGTAAAAGAGAGCTAGATCTTCTGAAAGATAGTAACTTCCAAAGGAAAATCAAAGAATGTAAATCAAATTGGGGGACAACAGATGACAAGGATCAGTTATACCAGACGATTGAAAAATATAAAGAATCGAGATATAAATCTTATTTGATGGTTAACAAGATCAGAAACGAACTCGCCGAAAAAAGACAACAGCTATATTTCCGACAGATGGCAATTCGTTTCAAATCAAAGCTCCATAATGTTAAAGATGTCCCTCATGATAGCAGAAGTCCAATTGAGAAATGTGGCAAAGGTGTGACCAAGGCGGAGGACCGAACTGTTGTGAATCCTGGTGACTTTAACTATGCGGGTACTGACAATGGCCTGGTGAATATGACAACATCAATACCGATGTCGTTACAAAGAATGAAATTTCACCTAAAGCTTTTCAACTATTACACCGCGTTAAGCAAGGTCTCCAATGAAGACAGTATCGGCTTGAATCTATCTAAAGAAGAAGAATCATTCCTACATTTGCCATCAGTTACAAATACGAAGGCTAGTGATGTTGATGTTGGCTGTGGGTATTTTCGGCAACGAAAATATTTAGAAAGACGAAAGAAGTACACGGATGAAGGGAAAAAGGTCCAGTTAATAGAAAATTCATTGAGAGAAATGGAGTCGGCCCCTGTTACTTCTATTGACATGGCCATCGGGAACTTTCGTGCTAAATACGATCAACGGCGAAGCCTGCGGGATTTCTACAATTCTCCAAAAATCATCAACCAAAAAAGACATGTAGAAATCCAACAACATCGTTATCGACATCATCTCTGTCGGCGAGAGAGATTGGAATTGAAGCATTCAGAGAGTAATAGTTTGTTACCAATATTAGTATTATATTCGATTTTTATTAACGCGCATTTTTTTTTTGCTCAACAGATAAGTCGTCTTCTAAAAAGCCCTTGATACTCTTCATTGGTGATCGAGGAACCGATTCCGGTTCTCGAATCAAAGGCTTTAGAAAGTATGGTGGTAAGTGGAAGCAGAAGATACATGGGGAAGCAGTTAATGTCTGCATCATAAATGAGTGCAAGACCTCCCAAACGTGTATATTCTGCTTTTCGCCTTTAACCAATCCGAGGATTCCTGGCAAAAAGGAAGGAAGTTACAAAGTCAACAAAGGCACCTTCCTTTGTATCAATCCTCGGTGCATAACTGCCAAGAATCGATGTGCAAGTAAGCCGAGAGATGCACTTTCAGCTCTCGCCATTGGGCTGGTAGGCCTAAGCTCAGTTATGTTTGGTGCCGCACCACCTCCTTTTTACAACGTCAGCCGAATAAATGCTGAACATTATACAAAAATAACATCTGACTTCTGTACACGAAGAGACGATTTGGCAGCTACGTTGTAGCTCTGGGGGTAAATATCATTGTATAGTACCAATGCTTATGAATTTTTAATTTATTAATTAATATTATCATTTCTTTTTTTTAAAAAAAAAAAGTGACTGCCCATTTTTTGTGGGAAATAAAGGAACTCCACAGGGCTCCTCCTCCTTTTATTTTTCTTCGATTAATTCATTAGACCAAATATGTATATTTGTATTATACAATTCCCATACTTCTGTATCCTTGATGAACAAAGTCTTAGATTATTTCTCTGGTAGAAACCGCTAAAAATATTTCATATTTTCTTGGGTTTTCAAACTCTACTAAGATTCTGAAGATATTTTATACAGTCAAACTCAACTCCATTTCAAAAATAATACTGACGAGTGTGGTAGTACCTAACACACACACTTTTTTTTTTGAAAGAACGGCAATCGTTACTTCAACTACTTTAACGGAGTTGAGTTTCACAAATTCCTTTTCAGTAAAGAAGACTAAAGTGAACGAAGAGTCTTCCATCTAATCTACGCAACTAATCTATCCATTCATCGCTGGCATGCACACCTAAAAAAAATAGGCGAACAATGCGTGACTATTCTCATATGTATGTGACTACTAGAGCTAAAAACTATGAAAAAAAAGTAAAAAGTAAACAACAAAGGATGCAGAAAAAACAGAAAAAGACGAGCGACAACGATGCGAAACCTTATTTACTAGCGAAACCTACAATACTGTTGATACAGATATCTCATTAGCTAATATATAGCTCTCAAAATATTCTTGATGAAATGAGTTTGCCAGAACATTCAATATAGAAGATCAGTTCTCTATTTTTCTCATTAAAATTGACATCCAATGTTGATTCGCGCATCATTCAACAGACACACATGATAGAAAGCAAGAGTTTTTGGGTTAAAAATGGAATACAGACGCGCTTAAAAAGTATTAAACTCTTGAACATACCTAGTATATATACATGTAGTCCGTGTCCGATAGATTTCTTAAAAAATATAATAAATGTTTGACAATTACAAGAATAATATCCAACTTTTTCTGTATTATGCTAAAAATTGTAAATATCTCATAATAATGAGCAATATAAGATACAGCAAAGCGAATATATATAAAGCTTAGTTTATGCTTTAGTAGCTCATGAGAGCTTCTAAAAGGAATTACTATGTCAAACTATCAACGTTACATGCATGAAATTTATTTTTTTAGTCTCTATATTTCCAAGTTGTTTGCGCTCATAATTTTGTTTTATTTTCAAAAAATAAATTTGCTTAATACTCCAACTAGAGCATACGTTCAAATGGTTATACTCATATCAGAGATTTCTCGCACATAAATAAAGAGGGTGGTGTTAGTATAGCCATGCTCATAATTAACTGTTTACTTACCGATATATTCGACAACCAGTTATTCAAACCCTTGCTCCCATCACATCACATCATATCGTAATTGTAATCGTAAAGACTTGCTGTTCGGATAGTTATACTCATATCAGAGATTTCTCGCACGTAAATAAAGAGGGTGGTGTTAGTATAGCCATGCTCATAATTAACTGTTTACTTACCGATATATTCGACAACCAGTTATTCAAACCCTTGCTCCCATCACATCCCATCACAGCGTATCGTATCGTAGTCGTATCGTAATCGCATCGTAATCGTATCGTAATCGTATCGTAATCGTATTGTAACCGCATCGTACCGTATCCCATCACATCACATCATATCGTAATTGTAATCGTAAAGACTTGCTGTTCGGATAGTTATACTCATATCAGAGATTTCTCGCACGTAAATAAAGAGGGTGGTGTTAGTATAGCCATGCTCATAATTAACTGTTTACTTACCAATATATTCGACCACTAGTTATTCAAACCCTTGCTCCCATCACATCCTATCACATCCCATCACATCCCATCACAGCGTATCGTATCGTAGTCGCATCGCATCGTATCGTAGTCGTATCGTAATCGTATCGTAGTCGTATCGTAATCGTATCGTAGTCGTATCGTAACCGCATCGTACCGTATCCCATCACATCACATCATATCGTAATTGTAATCGTAAAGACTTGCTGTTCGGATAGTTATACTCATATCAGAGATTTCTCGCACATAAATAAAGAGGGTGGTGTTAGTATAGCCATGCTCATAATTAACTGTTTACTTACCGATATATTCGACCACTAGTTATTCAAACCCTTGCTCCCATCACATCCTATCCCATCCCAGCATATTACATAGTATCGCATTGTATTGTAGTCGTATTGTATCGTATCGTAATCATAAGCTTATCGTAACCTTATCGTAATCCCATCACATAGTAATTGTTGTAGTAGTCGTTGTAGTCGTCGTTGTAATTGCGGTTGTATTCGACGTGGTCGTGATAAAATTTACTTTTCGGATTGTTATACTCATATCAGATATGTCTGGCGTTGAAAAAAAGATGGGGGATGTTGGTATAGCTATTCATAAATAACACTGTTTACTCACCTATATGTTTTACAATGAAAATGTTTGGTGTGTTTGTTGTATAATTATTCTTAGATATTTAAATGTGCTTTTGGGACAAATTTATCTGTACTATAGCTATGACTGTTCTATAATAAGTTGGTAGGGTTAGTATCTGTTATGCTAATATATCTGGTACTATTTCCTTTTTTATATGTCCTTACTACTTATAATGCAATGTTATGCACAAGTATGCTTGAAATTAATCTCCTAGCGGTTAAGTTTTAACTGTAATGTATCTATCATTCTTGTGCTTGAAAAAATAATATTACGAATATCAAAGTTGTGGTTAAAAATGTAGATATACTGTGCTCATATTGTGTTTTGAATGTGTTTGTCTATTACAGATTATCATTCCTGTATTATTAGTTATAATGTGAACGGACAAATACTTGTATTGGCAACATATGCCCTTGATATGTCTCATACTCGCGTTTTTGACGGAATGATAATATGTAAGTATTTAAGAGCATAGGAATTTTTCTTGCGTTCTTTACTTTTTTGCTAAGATCGTGTATGGGAGCCAAAGGTAAGGTATAAAAGCACAAAGAGTATTTTTGATGTCAGGCATATAACTTACTTTATGGCGTGGCAAGAATAACTGGTTTTAAGATAGGAAGGATATAAAGCGCTTAAAAGATTCTTGAAATCATAGAGTGCTTACATTATTATAATAATTGTAAGAAACACCTACTGTATAGGCAGTGCTTTTGGAGGCTTTATTAAAGATATAACTTCCCTGTGAGAGTAGGATATCAAGCTTACTGTGTAAAAAGTGAAAAGGAAGAGAGGAAGAAAGAAAAGAGTAAATTTATAAAAAATAATAACTTACCTTTGAGAGCATGATGTCAAACTTACCGTGCCAAAATAAAAAGGAAGAGAGGAAGAAAGAAAAGAGGAAACTTGAGAAAACGAGTAAATTTATAGAAAATAAAATGGGAATGTGGGCTGAGTAGTGATAGAAACATAAATACACTAGTTGTTTTTTTTTGTTTATCAAATTCCTTGCTGATTCCGTTGGTATGCATATGATAAAAACGCCTTTGCTATTTGTTTTTATCCCTTACTTACTTTATTTAATATGATTGAAATATTTATCAAAACTACTTTTAAATACTCAATACATTGAATATAATTATTTTTCAAAAGAACTACCAATACTATGACTTTTTTAAAGGTGGCAGTGTGTAATAGCTGGAGGTTTTTTTATGTTCTATACCTCTTTGTTATTTTGACTTGTATATTTATGATATATTTGCCTAGGCTTCGCAAAAGTATTATATAGGGGGTATTCGGAATCTTGCATTTGATAATATGCTGTGTAACATTAGAAACAGGAAACTTGGCTTTTGTCTACTAATTTTTTAAAGCATGTGAAGCATTAAATATCTAATAAATTTTCTATAGTTTTTTATTTCTTTTATAGTGAAGTACATTATAGACACATAGATGTGTATGTGTATGTGTGTCTATGTGAACAGAAAAGGCCACTAGGAATAGTGACAGAATATATCTTTGGCTCGTTTTTATAAATTTTAGCACACTGAAAAAATATCACTGCTTTATTTCAAGAACTTTTTTGTTTATTTTCACACCATGTGAAATAAGGGGTAATTTAGATAGCGATTTTGAGAAATGTTTATGATATTTTTTTTTAAAAATCGCCCTCTGATTCTTCTGTTCTTTTCATAGTGATACTTTCATATTTTTCTGCTCTATTCCATTATTACTCTATCTACCAGCTTAGTAGCTAGCTTTTCTTTTAGAAAAGTACCCCAGTATGAAATAGATGGAGAGTAATGTATAATATTTTCCTGTCGCGATCAATTTACCTATCTTTATTTTAAATGTATTTAATATCTTTATAGCCTCTGATCTCTTAGCTTTTTTGTTAGCGCTGTTTTTAGAAATATTTATTTTGGATTATATCATATATTTATTACTTGCAGCTTTTCTTCCTATAAATTTACTCTTTCATACCAGCTCAATATCAATCAATATTAGAATATCATAACTTATAAAAATTAGATCATTGTAGCCGACTTCAATCTGATTTATCTCTTCCACCCCAAATATTATAGTAAGCTTGAATGCATAATCGTTTTATTTTTTTAGAATGTTGTTCAATATGATGTGTAAACGCTGTGTATACAATATATATAATATTATTCTATACTCTCCAAATCAGCTAGATAATAAGGTAGTGAGACATTATATGTTTGCTTGTGCGGTGTGAAAGGAATTCAAGATATACAGATAAATATAAATATAGCATAGTTGGTTTAACACTCATAAACTTTGCGATAATTAGCTGTGCTATTCAGATCAATGCAAAAAGAAGAAAAAGAAAAAGATATATGCTTTATGAATAGTCTTTATTCATTTGATGACACTTTGTTTATAAACATTCTTAGGATAATAATGATAATTTTTATATGCACAATCGAATAATGATAAGAGTAATATGTTAAATATTTAGAAATAAAGAATAAGTAATAATATATCTATTATTAAAAAGATCATAAAAAAACTTGCCATAAAAAATAGGAAAGTGGCTGTGTATTTGCTGCGTACTGGTCATGTAAAGAGAAATAATATGATAGTGATCGAAATATCAAATCTGTCCAAGGTTCGACTGTGTCAGTGGTATCTTATTATTTAAACATTTGAGTTTACAAAATATCTTTAAGAGAATTATATGTCTAATATATATATATATATAAATAGGGTTAGAGAAATCTTCGTGTTTGACTGTAAAATAATACAGTCTGATTCTATTAAGATGTAGTTTATTGGTTTCTGCTTTATCCCAAAGTTCATGTGGAATAAATTGCTGTCATTCTTTATAAAATTTGTTTACAAGAAATCACTCTCTTGCTCTTCAGTTTAATTTATTTTTCGATTGTCTTTTTTTTTCACCTATGCTATAGTTCACAAAAGTTAGCTAATAGCCCCCAATGGCTAATATTTACGTTACAGCACTTATAAATACAGCTACATCAGAAGGTGTATAGTAATTTATTTAAATAAGTTTATTTTAGCAGTATATAAATTATTCATAAACTTTCAGAGCGCAAAATTTAAGAGAACACCCAAAAATTGAAAGTATAGATTCTAGATTTTGGAGGAAACTGATGAGTAACAATATTAAGTATTTATTTATTATTTGCTTTAATTGCGGAGGAGACCAAGAAAATCATTAAACATATATTTTCTTGAATTATTATTATTGAAATAAGGTAAGGCTAGCTAAAAAAAAAAGTCAAGAGTTTAAGAAAAGTATATGGTATATGTAGTAAAAACAAGATCGAGAATATATAAATTAGTAAATTAAAAATATTGTAGAGAATTAGCAGTGTGTTCCGAGTGCAAATTGAAAAAAAATAGTATCTGATGATTCGAAGATACCATCCATTTATATCAAAATATAACATTTTAAACTATTTTAAATATATAAAAAAACGTTGTGTGTGTGATGGTCATAATAAATGGGTTTTTATGAACTTTGATATGCTGGTGTGAGGGTCAATTTGAGGTTGCAACACCGTATGTTCCGTTCAAAGGTTGATATATTTTGTGGGTCAGTTGAAGTTTGTGATAACGGCTGGATAGTTTGGAGGTATGCTAAATGCCCTTATATTATAGAAGTGTATATTTAAATACCAGTATCTGGGCTATTTTAATCCTAGGCATATTTATTTGATCAGGCAATTACACATTAAATAGTATAGAGTTTACTGATGAAATGGAGCATTGTTTAACAAAAAAAGACCATATGGATCAAAATGTCAAATTGAATACAGGAAATCGGCTATATATCCAAATAAGTTATGAAAAGTGTTTTTACATGTGTAAGTAACCTGGTGAAGCACATTAGAATCCACTGTTCAAAGGACATTTGACATTGATTGCTCAAATATTGACCAAAAGTTCTGATTTTTCCACTCAAAAAAACCATCCTTAGTGAAAATTGGGTATTTGCACAATAATGCCATGTTTGGTAGCATCTTTTTCTTAGAGCATATAGCTCAGAAAATAACTGGAAAGCCGTGTCCTTTTTTTTTTATTAATAAAGATGTATACAAAATTATCCAATTTTGGCCTATACTTGTCTGACCAATAAGAGTCAAATATTCATAGATTTTTCTAATTTAAAAATGACAATATCGATATATCCACCAACAGACGATATATTTTTTAAAAAAAAAATCCGCCAGTAAACATGTGTGCATCAAAAAAAGCAACTTTTCTGTGCAATTGTAGGTTTTGCAATAATATGTATGAATATTATAAGAGTCGTAGCTTTTATTATGGTGTTTCAAGTTAATAGACATAATATTTTTTTTAAAATGATCATGTTTCAAAAATTACATCGAGGTCTATATATATTGTTTATGGTAGTTGTGTTTCTTTTCTGTCACTATCACTATATAGAGCTTTGACTGTAAGATAGTCACAAATCACATTTTTTGAACTGAGAAAAATAAAGTACTATTACGAGATCTAGGACAATATATTTATTGATTTCAAATGTCCAAATACAAAAGACCCATTTAAATTTCGAGCTCATAGATTATACGTGTGCAAAAAATCAGGGATAAAATATTTCTAATACCCAAATATGGCAAGATTTTACTATTCGCTGTACTTTGTTGTGCTGGGGGGAGATTATGGTACTTTGCATTCATTGAAAAAACGTAGTGGTGGGACAATAGTTGGATACCGAGAGAGAAAATGAAATCGGATTATATAACAAAAAAAGGGGCGAAATGAAGTGATGCTTCATCGAACTTCAACCTTTAAAGCAACCTTTAAGCCCATATCCCCCCCCCCCCCCCCCCCCCCTAGAAAAAAGGAAACTTGCAAGAATCTCCTACTAAAGTCAACCTTTTTTTTAGAAAAAAAATAAAAACATAGTGTAGTATAAAACAGCTGAATTCGACTCACATTGAGCTATTTATTTATGGGTTGCAAAATTCAGTATCGCTCAAAGGTTAATTTACCTTGTACTAAACATTCTCATATATATATATCAAGTCTATTTCTTAAAGAAATGTTATTTGTATATTTAGTGGCAGATCTGTCACAGCGTTTTCTTTTTTTATTCCTTCGTTCCTTCATTATTTTCTTTATTTAGATATAATGATCTACAATTTACTCTAAAAAAGCGAGATTTGTTTTTGACACTTCCATTTGTAGCCCTTTCATTTAGCATCTATTCCAGTCAAAGCATGTCTCTGTTAAGTAGGATGCATGTAACAATGACCCAAACACTTTTCTATATTTCGTTATTCACTAATTATATTACATCGGTCTTGTGTTCTGATATAGTATTTTTACTATTGATCTTTCTTTTAAAAAAAAGGCCTTATAATATACAGCAGCAGACTAGTAATACAATGGTCCTTTTAAATAATATTTTATGGAGAAAGAAAATAAAAGTATGTTAAAAGGTCAAGTTATTTATGTCAAGCAATACAACTGATATAATATGATTGGATCTTGTGAACCTTTTCTTCCTTTAAATATTTATTTAGTATTTTGTGAATTTGTGAGACAATAAGACGAGTGATATTTGCTAGCTGTTTTTATCCTTATTTGGAATATAAACTTGAATTAATATGATATAACTGCTATACATTGTCTATTTGCCTTTCTTTGCTTTTATTTTCTCTCTCTCTTTATTAATTTAATATTAGCTTGAGTTAATTTTATGATATTTATTCCGGACAAAACCGCCTATAAATATAACTAGACATAAAGAAAACAAAAACCTCAATGGCGCATTGGTAACTTAACTAGCTTTATTGAGAGTATCATGTGCTCTACAAAGATGATAATTAAAAAAAATGTATATATTCGATTGTGTTGGTCACATATTACGATTTTGTATCTCGAACACAATACAAGATTTACTTCTTTAAGATAGGGATGTACATAATTCAAGTTTTTTTTGTGAAATAGACATATAAAAGCATATGTAAAATAAAGATAAAAATAAATAATTGGCGTCTGGTTGCACTAGATTTGTTTGCAGGTATCAAAGAGGGTTTGATTTTCCTGAATTTATTTTTTACGGATTCTTTTGCTTTCAAGATTTTGATTAGGTATTAATTTTTCTTTTCTTTTTCTTTGATCAAGCATAATCTAAAAAAAGCAAGCCCAAATCTTATCAGATATACTTGTAGTATATTTGCCCTTTGGGATTGTGCTGTATAACATTTGATAGCTAAGATTGAAGGCAGATAATGATTAACGGTATCTTCTTTTGATTCTTAGTGAAACAAATAAAGAATTTATGGTTACCAATTTCAAAGATGTACCCAAATTAAAGGAATCAATTGGTGAGTATTCTTGGAACGCCCCGAATCAGATCATTCTATATACTCGTACAAGTGCTTCCATAACGAAAAAAGGATTTCTGGTGACATTGATCGATATAAAAATTAGTCTATGTCCGAACACTTGAAAAAAAAATATTGACAAAAATGTCTTGACTATTTTAGGTTTACTTACCAGTGGCACATTACTTAGTGTACACATCTACACAACACAATAAATACTCTGAGCCTAACCATAACAATAGCCTTATGATTTCTAAAGAGGTACAGCCAAATTGTTTGTTTCTACATCAATTTTATTACCTTTTTCTCTTTTATAAGCTCAATAAAAACAAAGCAAACTTTAATAGTAATATTTCTGTTTTGATTCTTCAAAACTAAAAGAGTTATTTCTAAAGGGAATTCAACTCAATTGGATCGAACCGAACCGAATCGAATCGAATTCACAAAATGATAATAATAAGGAGTAATCTTTGATCGTTATTTTGTTCATAGCTGCATCATTTTCTGACAGCTCAATTTCCTTTTTTTAATATTTAATATTTATCTGTGCGTGTGTTGTACAGATCACTGTTCTATAGCAGCTAATAGCTGACATCAGCCGAGGTAAAGGTAGATATCAAAGTTTGCGGCTTTGCATAAATGTGTTACCTTTCGGAAGAAAAACATTTATTCAATCTTACAGTTTACAATTTGTGCTACTGGTTTATACAAAGTATATGTATTGATTCAAGTCCAATTTCTTCCAATTGAAGAAGCACATCTGATTATTACACAGCCAATGATACAATCAATATTCTTATTCCCCCTCCCCCCATTCTCCCATTCTCCCTTTTCCTTCTTGTGTGGAAATTCCGATAAGATCGTAGGACAAGTCCAAGAGGGCATTAAGTTTACTGAACTCGGCAATTTCGGCAATCTTCTTAATAAAATAAAGTGAATGTATATTTTGAATCTATATTTCAAAGATACGATCTATTCCTTTTAAATAACGCAAAAAAATTGTTTGATTGAAGCAGGTATTGTATTATATATATACTACTTTAAGAGCAACCTATAGATCTTTTCTCCTAGTACAAACTTTCTTTATGTTTGTTTTGTGCCTAAATGTCATTAAAGGCACCATATTCTCTACCTGGCTATTTATTTATTTGCTTATGTTATTATGGGTTTGTCGTATCATTTTCTAGCTGCAAAGTTAGCTGTATACCCAAAAGACCATTTGTTAGTGGGATACAATCGATTTGGTTCAACAAAACTTTTCTCTTTTACAGTTCAAGGTTTCATACCAAATCAGACCTTAAATAAGCATTAAATGCTGACACACTTTATAATTCTCGACGCTTTCAATTTAACAACTAGAGCTCCTTGCTTTTATTGTCTCCGTTGTTTCGTAAGAATGTTTTCTTCTTCTTCTCGGAGATTTGCATGGATTACTGTGCAGATCTAATTAACATTAAATAAAAGCAAAAATAAAAAACAATTAAAGCACTTATATAGAATGTTTTCTATTTTTTTAAAAAAAAAAGCACCTCTATATATTAGTAAGATCTCAATAAGAAGAAGAAACCAGCTAGTTATAATATAAATAAGTATTTAGGTTACAATATAAAATCCAGCTTTACATAGCTCATTAAAGTTTAAGCATAAAGAGGAAAAGGAACAGTACGAAAAAGAATGAGTGCCTCCAGTGGTTGACCTGTTGGTCTAGATCTCTTATTCTTATTCTTGGACTTTCACCTAGAGATTGGGGTACAATATTAACAGACTTTACAGTGTGCGGTTGCAAAATATAATATTTTATATAAAAGAAGCAAGAGGTTACACGAGGAATCTGTCACCAAGTTCATTCCTTTTGTTTTCCTGTGTGGAATAATATAAAGGAGTGGATGGGAATTATTTTTGTTTGGCTAAGCGCTTGAAGAGTATATGTATACAGTCAGAAGATATATATATATATATAATATTAGATAAGTTACTTGTACACACTAGTATAAAGCAGCTGTCATATCCGATAAACAATTTGTCCTATACTTTCACAAACCAATATCTTAGTGTATTTGTTAAGGTTGAATTTCCTTCTCTTAGCTGTAATAAGCACACAGAACCCAGGTATCAAAAACAAAATGTTTAAATTGGTTACAATATTCTACTAGAACATGTATATATGTGCATAATAAGTGTTGACTTTTCAATAATTTATCAGTCAGTTTAACACCAATGAAGACTTTATGTTACCCTGGTTCTATAGAATAAGTCTAAATATAATGCCATAAAAGAAATGAAGAATATAATAAAATAAAATATAAAGGATATGCGTATTATATATAAATATGATTCAGGTCCCCACACCTACCCCAGTACAATAGCTCTGGGGTCAGCAAGTTACTTTAATGAAACTGTATTAACCATATTATTACTATTATTATGTTTTATTTTGAATTTTCACAACCCCAGCATATATTCTTAGCCAAAAGATCATTTATTTATTTTTTTGAGAATCTTTAGGTAGCGTAGTAAACAAAAATTATATATTTTCTTTAAAAAACATTATTTACATTTAAATATACGTCTTCAAGAGACGTTCTTGGTTTTTTGGATAAACAAAAAGATATTACTATTAGTAGAGATCTTTACTATTCTGACAACATCTTGGAAAGAAGTACTTTGCTTGGAAGCCTATAGTACATAATACACCCTTCCCTCGGCTAAACTTCCAAACAGATCCAGTGTGCAACAAAGTCTATTACATGTGGGATCCGGCATATTATTTTTTGTATAATAATATTATATTTATATATATATATATCGCATCGCATCGTATTGTATCGTATCTTATTATATTATTATTATTTTCTTTCTTACTAATACCCAGATTCTCCCTGTGTTCTTGTATATCAGCTTATGAGCCTGTCCTAGTATGGTGTAACAAATTGGACGCCGAATATTGTATTCTTGAGTGTGCTCATGACTTTTCTTTTTTTATGTGGTCCAATTGAGATGCCTCTTGTGTGCGTGTTACCCACATAGCTATGAGCGATGTTTTTTTTTGGATATAAAATAAACACGGACTATGTTTAGTGTTAGAATGTATGGATAGGATAATTTCTCTCCTAATACATATTCTGTTTAATAATATTTCTTACTAGCTGGTACCTGCGCTTGTAATTCTAAAATACTTCCTTGTTTCAATACAAACAGAATGACGAGGCTTGTGCTATATTCGTATGTTTTTATTCTTGGTTACCAAAGCATTAACGGGGTCATGTTACTAAAAGCATAATTAAAAGGCATCCGGTAAACATTAAGCTGGCCCTGTCAACTATTATACATCGTCTTGCCGTAGTTTCAAGTGATGTTTCGATTGTATTTGTTTCTTTTTTATATTACATTGTACAATATTTCCCAGAATCACAAGTCGCACCCCGTCAATACTCGAGTTGTAGGCTGATAAAATTAAAGGTTGCAATTCACAAGAACCTTTGGACTAACTTTCTTAAAGCGATGTGCCCGTTTCTCCGCATGAATACAAGTCAAGAAACCAAAAAAAAAAACTCTCACATGAGAGAAAATACGACCAAAAGAAATTAAACAGCTTGTGTGGATCAGAGGTAAAGTAAGGTTCTTCAAGTTAATGTTTGAATAGGCATTAAGTATGTCAGCTGTTATAAAGAAACCAAGAAAATATATACATATATATTTTTTCTACTCAGCAAAAGGCTGGGTGCTACAGTATGAGAAGAGAAAGAAATGAATGAAATAATATTCTTAAAGATGTAAAATAATGTCTGTAGTTGTGTCTTTAATTAATATTAATAATAAAACAAGAAGTCACTCTAAAACTCGTTAGTGGACCATCTATCTATTGAGCCCAAACATTCAAGGCAGCTAATGAGGCAGATGCTTCAAAGTTTCAAATGGTTTAAAGAATGTAAGCTACAACACTTCATTAGTCTGTAAAGAATAAATCCACTCCATTAAAACATGCTGCTTCTTTCTTAGTAAATTCTCCTTTTGTATTGAAGCAAATTCGTAGTAGGGCTGTTTAAGTAAATATAGATTGAGACTTCCAATCCTATCATTAAAGATATCTCTAGATATTGACTGTGTCATCTCATTATAATTATTTTTATTCAAAAATAAATTTTTCAATTGATTTGTGCAATGGTGAGATCAGAATATATATATGGTATTGCGACTTTTAGTAGAAGAAAATTGGAATTTTGGATGATCCAGTAGGGTTGAAGGCTTTCAATTGAATGAATAAGACTCTTTTTATTTATTTATCACTTGTTCTGTTAGGAATATAATTAGTACTCTTCAAATCTGACTGTTATTAGATTATTATATATAGATACATAGTATCTATTGTATTTAAAGCAGTATTCACGTATCAAATATAGAAAACCAAGTGAATTGTGTTGGATAGTTTTTGTCAATTCTTTCCTTATTTCCGTAGTAGCTGGATTATTAACTTTATTAACCTTTTTACCAAGTATTCGGCAAATGTTTTTATTCATATATTGTATTCATATTGTGTGTGTATAATGTACTAATTTTATAAAGAAATGGGGATGTTATAATTATATAGTGATTTTGAGAACACGACGCACCGAATTCGACTGAACTTTGTGAAGAGTGATTGGTGGTCTGGTGTTAAAATTATAATAATATAAAATAATTATAATATCCCATGGCATTAGCATTCACATCATGCTTCATACTAAGGAAAGTGTGCACGTTTAAATAAATTCTAATATATATATACGATAAATCAGAGACAAACATTATATAAAGTATATATGCATATATATATATATATATATATATATATATAAGTTTAAAGATGCGGGTACATGGTAATGTAGTAATGCAATGTGATATTAAATGATCAATCAAAAAGTATTTTATTGTTATTATTTTCCGATACGACAGACACACATACACATACACTCGCTTAACCGATACCTCTTTCTCATCACACCACAAGAAAGAGGCTTATTTTCATTTTCTTAGTTTTTTAAAAAATTGGGTGGCAATATGCCAAGACGCTCCGTAGAGCAATGCCTTCAAACACCGAGGTGTTGTAGTGTGAGCAAAAGCTCGTTCCGTCCTTCTCAAGGGGATTGCCAAAGTTCTCTCCTTTCTATATGTTATCGTTAGTATTAGAAGATCTGTAGTAATAATGAAATATATAACATACCATCAAGCACAAAGAACAATTTTTGAATTGGCAAGAGGATTTTAATGCGATGTGGCTTGTACTAATACGCGTCACTTTCGTGACGACACAAATCCTAGGGTTTTGGGATCCTCTTGCAAAGGGGATGATTGATCTTGTGTGATTTTGCTCAGGGCAATCGATTGTTTATTAAGCATAAGCACTTTATATTTGACTTGTCTTTAGAAATAACTATAATACATTTGTATATGTAGCGGCTATGCCTTTGAGTGTCTGATTTTTAAGCATAAACAGTTCATTTAATTCAATAATAAAAAGCTATTTATAATATCATTAATTTTACACTACAGGCACTACGACCAATCTACCTACACCTACCTCAATAACCTCAATATTATTTTATATTATCGTTGAGTTTCATTTTTTTTGTGGATCTGATTTTAATTAATATGCATTATAAACTGACGATGATTAAATGTGTAAGACTCGATGCTAAGATGACTGTAATATCATATTTTATATATATCTTGTTTAATCAGCTCATTGGATGCCAAGTCAAAAATACCAAGGTCAATATATGAAATATTATATAGTGAAAATCAACACTTGAAATAACGAAAATAAAAATAAAATAAAGACATTATACCAACCATCATGTGCCTTGAATTCGGTTTCTTTGCGGAGTGAAGCGGAGTGAGTCCAAGATGAAAAAGAGATGGGTCATATATTGACCGAGTACGGGATGACGTTGAATTGTGTAGAGAATAGAAATGGAAAGTCTACAGCACTGTCCATTTCTGTTTACACGGAATGGTAACAAAAGAAGCGCCTAGACAAGGGAGCACAGAGTTTTGACTTGTCTTTAAAGGGCACCAATGAAGAGAGGAGCATAAACAGACAAGCCTTTATGTAACACCACGGTAATGAAGACCTATCAACGGGGACATCATTCCGAGGCCTAAGAGAATAGTGTGTTAGAGGTGTTCGGAGCCGTAATAAAATACCTTTTTACTTGGACCTTGGGAACAAATAGTTTTAATATTTATAGATACCTGTAACAATGGTTACAAATATACACTTTTTTTAAAAAAATAAAAATAAAAAAATAAAAAGCCCAACATGTATATTCATATTTTTATGGGTGTATGTGAGTTTTTTTTTCTGAACTAAAAAAAAAGTCTATTGATGTAGCTGCGCGATTAGACCACCTAGTACAAAACTATCAATATTATATACACACAACTTTAAAAAAAAAAGTAAAAAAAAAATCGTTGTTATGTTATGTTGTGTTGTGTTATGTAGAGATTCTCTTTATTTTTGGATTATTTACATAGTTAAGGAGAGAGAATGGGTTTTATAGAATACAAAGAATGAATACAGAATAATATAGACGAGTAGCAAAGCAAAAATATGATGCAAAGGAGTGTGGAGGTTACATATAGCAGGAAAGCAAATAAAGGATAAAGAATATAAAAAAAAACAATGATAGAGTACATATACAAAAATAATAACAAGGATTGGGTTGGGAGATGGTACAAGCGGAAGGGGGGTAAGGAAGGTAATTGCGTTTTGGTGAGTTTTTTTTTTAAAAAAAAAAGGATCGTGCGTTTTTTGCGTTTGTGTTTGCGTTTAAGGAGAAGAAGGGTTTTCATAAAGCTGGATTATCAATCGGCTGGCAAGTGAAAGAGCAGTTTCCTTGTGATTACTAAGTTGATCACATTGGTCAAAGACAAGAGAAGCCTAAGGAAGGAAAAAGATGATGAGAATGGAAGTTTTATTAAAATAAGAAATGGCGGGATTTTCTTACCTCTGCTTGTGCCAATGTCTGGAGTTCGGATCGAACATCTTGGGAGTCCACAAAGGTCATGGTGGGGTGAGGTTGGTCATGCTTCCAATGTTGCCATGTCTGATAAGCAGCTGCCATTGCAATGGCTTTATCACTAATGTGTATATATGTTAGACTTGACATTTACGGCGCAAAGATTATAATGTGTATTTACCTAAGGCGAGGGTTGCTTTCAAGATAGACCATTCGGTGGCTTTCTTTATACGCATCAATTGTGATCATTGTAACCGAGCTCTGGGACCCGCGCTTTGCAGGTGAGAGACCGCCGGAGAACTCTCCGAGAGTAAGTTCATGAACTGGTGTGGAAGGGAGAGAATTTGAAGGTGAGCTGTAGTCTGTGGCAGAGTTTGGAGATGAAAGGAGGGTGGGAATTCTGGAGAGAGGGTGTTCGAGTTCAGAGGCAGAAATGAGAGACCAGCGTTGGTTGTCGTTGTCGATATTCTGATGAGGGAAAAGAATCAATTTGTTTGCGCCATCGGGGTTGGCCTGGATGTCGAGCACCCAATCATTGTTATAGTGTGAGTAAAGGAAGATGCCTGGCTGAGGACGGCCAAAACAATCTGATGTGTCTTCATTGATACCCCACATTTGGTTGTGGGCTTGGTCGATCTCCTTTCGGTTATAAAGGCAAATTTCGGTATCTTCGATTAATCGCAGACGACCTAAAAATATATAATAAAAAAAGTCAGAAAATCATATTTTGATTTTCAAGTCAAGAGTACAAATTGTGTACCTTTGCGAATATCGAGGACCATTTCGGTGGCCTTGTTGACAATAAAACGTCCGTCCCACTTCCACAATTCTTCGTCGATCTGTTTAGGTGGACAGACATAGACTTGAGAGCGCAGTAGGTCTGTTGTGTGTGTATCTGCTGAGATGACGTCGCCAGTTGCGGCGGATTGAATGTAGAACCAGTTGCTGGTGTCAATGTGAGAAGTCATGTTGTGAAGAGGTAAGAAGTTAATGAAGAAAAGGAAGAGGGAAAATAAGTTGGCCCTTTATAAAGAATTGTGAAAGGCATTTCCCGATTTAGGAATGATATTTCGCGTTTGGATTTAGTCTCGTTCTAGGATGCTCACAGTTCGTATCTCTTCCGCTTTTAGAAGCCTAATGATCTCGAACCTATTGCTGCCATCTTTTATGCCTGTAACTTTAACTGTGTTACCTCGCCATTTATCCAAAAATAGAAGTCTTCCTCTCTGGTTGTGTATTTCACTCACACCCCCCAAAAATAAATATAACCAATCATATTTGTAATGTTACCTACGGAACATGCATTCGCAATACCCTTAGCAGACATTGTCACTGAAATCTAATACTACAATTGCCTTTTTATGTACAATTATCTATACAACTTTTCTTCTTCTTCTACAAGCACTAGGATTGGTTATATAAATCGATTAATTGCCTCCCGACCTTCGATCGATGGCTCATAAAAATAGCCAAAAAAAAAGGCCGACTTTGAGCCAAGTGTGTTCACCAACCAAGACATGTATTGTATTGTATTGACCACCTTGTCTATTACACCATACTATATATATATATATATATATATGTTTGTATGTGAATATTGTGTGTGTGTGTGTGTGTGTTTGTGTGTGTGTCAGTTCCTTATTCCGCACAGCTTAATAAATATACATCATTTATTTATTTATTTATTTATTTATTTTTGTTTATTGTCTTTCTTGGAGCGCAGTCACCAAGGGCTGCGTCATCTCAATAATACGTTGCCCAAGATTCATAAAGAGTCCTGTATTAGCAGCAGCATCTCCAACCAAAGTGATGATGAGAGGATTCTGATCCATCTGTACAACTTGAAACAAATCATACATGCTAACAATGCACTTGTTACGTTGTAATCCTAGCTTTGAAGCCTAAATTACAAAAATGTTAATATTTGATATTTATTTATTCGGTTAAACTATAAGCTTGCCTGGTTGTTTGCTACAGCAAATGTTGTTGGGATAGCAGGCTCTAATACTTTAGCAGGAGCATCTTCTGATATGCCTTTTTATTTGTTTTTTTTTAAAAAAAAGTACACAACAATTGAGATATTTTTATGTGTGTAAATACACAACTTGTCAGTTTAATCAACTAAAACTATAAATTACATTGCAGAATCATCACGCCATCTCTATCAGTAACAATAGCCGCCTTGAGTCCATCATGAAAAAAGCGGCTACAGACCTGTCCAAAGGTTGCCTCTAATGTCATGTCTGAATTGCCGATGGAGAGTTTGTGGTGGAGTATAGTCATTCCATACTTGCCTCTTCTGTAACCGTCTATTGGACAAGTCACGTCATCTGCTACAATAACCATGGCTTAGGTTGATATACTCAAATCAAACCTACATTAATGCTATTATATATTTTTGCTGTTATAGCCAAGTTACATACCTTATTCTGAATAAAATTCGAAGAATACATCTTGATTTAATAATCATACATACACACCTTATTTTAAAAAGTATCCATTCTATTTGTTTCATAGAAGCCAAAAGAAAAAATAAAGGCGAAAAGTATATTGTCATTTTCTCCTTGCTATGGTTTGTCAAACAATATGTTACACTAAAAATAGGAAACCAATCCGATAAATGCGGCGTAGGTATAACCAAAAGAGGGGTGTATGATGCGAAAATAGCCAAGGTTAGGGATGAGCTGTCAGTGCCCTAGCGCATGAATCCTATTCTTGTCCCTCTTTGATCTACACCTGGAGACGATAGTATACTATTGATTGGGTGCTCTTACCGTTCATAATTCAGGCCACTTTTTTTTCAATTCCGTTATTCAATAAATACAACTTTATTTTGTCTATGAAACATATTGGTGTCTGAAATTAAATGTACTTCTTTATTAATCAAAATGGATCAAAACGATGATGCTTTTAACAATGTATGACTGGAAACGCGATGTTCATGTTGTCAGCATAATACACTCCTTATGATTATTAAGGAGCTAATGACGCTACCGGGAAGGTGCTCCGTTGACTTTAGTCGAAAATAATCTATTCTACCCTGTTTTCACAAGATTTCCATTCACTACCCTACCCAAACCACTGAGAGGAAAGCTGTCATTCAAGCACTGATATCATCAACCCCGCCAAGAGAGGAATTCCTGCAGACTAGAGAAATTTTTCAAGGTGCATATATTTAGTTTGAATCCCAAACATCATTCGTTCCAAACACCAAAAACAAAAATAAAATAAAATCAAGACTTTGAAATAAGAATCAATTGTAGTGAAATGTGACTTTTTGTCGATTCAATTGGAATAGCTTGTATGTGAGTCAAGTAGCCAAAGGGATTCATAGTCTACACACGTGTGTAGAGTGTTTGGCAGTGAAAGGATTGGTGCTTTGTTTAAGATCCTTTGGGTGTTCCTGACACTCTATCAAGGCACATTTTTATTTATTTATTTATTTTTTAAAAAAAAAGCAGGGACAGAAAATGCAATTGATTTCATTGGACAAAATTAGGAAGCCTAGAAAAAATAAAAGATGTTCTGGACAGCAAATAATATATTTATTATGTCGGGTGTGCCTCTGTGAATTCTTTTTTTTTATTTCTTATAATATATCTAAATTATCTGTACACTATCCGACGCTGGTTACATTCATTATGCCCTATCGCCTCAATTCCGAATTGAGATCTAACGCAAGGGTTCACAGGAATTGGGAAATGTCGCACCATACCCGCTTGTCCGCCACGACGATCCCGAAACACCTTTGGAAGAGTATATTAGTATAATGCTTCAAGACAAGTAACACTTTTTGTATTGAAATTTCGAAAAGAAAAATCCTTTGAATTATTTCTCCCATGCCTCCTTTTATAGATTGTTCATTTCAACCAATTTTGAATTTCTTATTCAATTTCCTTGTACTTCCAAAAACCAAGATTGTTTTCCATTTACTGACAGCATGGGACCTGCGCCCACATCTTTAAATCAACATATTATCTTTCCCCGCATGGTATTGAGTCGTCTGGAAGTTGGGATTTTAACTTTCTGGCTGTTATATCACATGTAAGCACAAGTCTTTGACAATATATAGTTTAATTGCTTTAAATAAAACTTGTTTACGATTCGGATTTCATAGCTGTGAGCAACTGTACAATTAAAACCTGAGCACAAATGTCTGGTCTAGAACCCAGTAACCTAATTTACTCTCTTTCCTATGAAAACCTTGTATAATCTTCTCCGCGCACAATGACCCACTTAGAGTGACACATCAAGACATTTTGTTATTTTGACAACTAATCTCTTGTTATCTTACAGGCATCAATTGAACTCAATCTCGTCTTTTCTATCACTAGAATATACCCAAGAGGAATCCGATCTAGTAATCAGATAGGGTTCTTAATTGGCTTGTACAAATACGCAATTGTACAAACAAAATAATTGGTTTCAATCCGATCACAGAAAAAGAAATATAATCATGGCTGGTGTATGAATAAAAACCTTGAATGGAGCATTGTTCTGGTCAATGATCGACTATGGTGAGTAAGTCTAAATGTTCAGGCGGAATATATAAAAGATATATATATACATATGTGTGTGTTTGTGTACAATCATCTCCACACACACACAAACTATGTCCCGTCCTCCCGTCTCTCACTTCTCTACAAGTAGTAGGAACATGCTCATTTATCGAAAATAAGCAAATATCCGATATCGGTTCTCAAATATAATAATATAAAAAAGAAAATTAACAAACATGGCAGTTTGATAACCAGAGAAAGTCAGAGTGAATGTGTGGTGAAGAAATAAAGCAAGGGGGGGAGGAGAGGTGGGGGGATTGATTCTGAGTAGCAAAGTCCGGATAGACCGACGAGGTTGGCTTTTTGGCAAGTTCAAATCGTACGATGGCAGAATTAGATAAGTCAGCCACTGCGAGAAACACATTACACGATGGTTTGTGGCTTAATATGGACATTTTTCAAAAGCACTGTCTTTCACATGAACCATAGTGTGTAAAACATAAGAACTAGGGACAAATGGTAGTAATAAACAAAACTGAAAGCTTCAATACATACACTACTGCAAATGAAACCACAGTGAATGTCTTCAAGGCCAATATTTTTAACAAACCTTTTGGAAGAGAATGCTACGAAACATTATATTTATATTTATAAAAACCTGTCCTACTTTGATGAAACGTACACAGATACACAAACATACCACCCATGCTTTGAGATCTATTCACTTTGTAGTATTATTGTTTTTTTAATTACTTTAATTATTTTATTTTCCAGATTTTGATTTAATTCTATACCAACAACCTCACTTTACAGCTGGAGCTTGTTATTCGATTAAACTACACGTGTAGGCATTTGAGAAGATCAATGTCAGTGCAGACCTTCAAGTCTCTATATTTAAGATACAAGCCTTTCCATTTTGGCACACGTGTAAACTTTATTTTATGATTACTTTACGCCTTTATGAGTCCAAAGAGAAATCGAATCTTGAGAGAATGATTTTATACTATATATTCCAAGTAAATATAGAGATACAAAAAAGAAAAGAAAAAAAATGCCTGCATCTCTTGTGCCAGTTTGCGTTTGACTAACAATTGTTCCATAAAAGTGTTATTTCTGTACACATATATATTAACGAGTTCATATTTGTACAAGTCGAGACCTGTATAGAGTACTCTAAAACAAAAGGTTTTGCTTCTTTTTTATATATATATATGCACTTGTTATATGTACCTTTTGCCCGCTTTTGTCCGGCTCGAATTAATGTATGGCTTTTAATCTTTATTCGTAAAATATAGTTTTCTCTGAGAACTTTTGTCAATAAAAAGCCAGGTGGCTTATAAATTCTTTACCGGACAAAGTACTCTTGATTGTCAAAGAGGTACAAGAAATGATAATAATAGAATAAAAGTTAGTACAATAGCATTGTCAATTCTCTCCATAAAGTAAGAAAAAGATACACAGTTATTGACAGACAATTGGAAGATACAAAAATGCTTTTTTAAAGAATATGTAGAATAATACAACAATATACTTTAGGTGAGTGTGTTAAGTGTTTATAGGTAAACTCAAAGCGTTCGTACATAGGTCAATCTTGACAATGCCCACAGTTGCATATTTATCTAAATCAAGACCTAACTCCCCAAGAAAGCTTATATTTAATAATAATAATAATAATAATAATAATAATAATAATAATACAGTGCTTCCATTTTGAAATGTCGTTGTCTTAGTATAATTTACCAAAATCCCAATTTAATAGGTCGTACTTTAAATAGTCCTCTGTGTCTCAAAATGCTGCTTGTTATTTCAGTATTTCAGATGAATAGCTTTGCGTAAATAGTCTTTGAAGGTTGAAATTGGAGGTTTGAAGACAAGTAAAGTGGTGAGCTGATAAAGTTGGAAGATACGGAAGCCCAAGTAAATCTGCTGGATATGATATATTAGCATTTGTATTGGGAATTGAACATGAAGAAGGACGTTTATCGTAAATATTTTTCTGCAAGTCACAAAACATGCAGCTAATCAAATCAGCATTTGCAAAAATTGAAGAATAAATTCATATTGTGAAAATAAATTAGAAATAGTATTATCTCTTGAGAGCCAGCTAAAAAAAAGGCATATAAATTTTATCAGGTGAATTGTTTCTTTATTCAGCTATTAATTTAGTTCAGGCTATATAAGATATAGCTCTTAAGAATATGTGAAGTCGATCATATATAAGTCAATTTACTCCCAATATTTGTGACAGAGAAAAGTATCGACGATTAACGTTTTTGCTAAATTTTAAAACGCAACAAATAATATTTAAAGCTCGACATATTAAATTGGGATTTTGACAAATTAAACTAAAAAACCGACAGATAAAATAGAAAGCGACGATTTGAAATGTAAGCACTGTATTAAATATAATCAAGGTTATATCCCAAAAATAATTCAATTTTGGGGGAGAGATTCTTTTTGGATTTTTTTTTTCGGTTTGCTCAGGAAAACCTTGTATATATGTATTAATAACATCTCAACTTTTTTGACAAAAAGAGAAGGAAAGAATATAAAGAAACAAGTTACCTTGATCTTTGATTGAGCCGTGAACCAACGCCCAACCTACTAATTGTCCTGTGGATTTCATGTGTTCATTAGACATTAAGCTCACAGACATCTTGGGCTATTAAATAAACCTTTATCACCACATCTTGATCAAACATAATAATCCTCCTCCCCCCCCCCCCCCCAAATTTTGTTGCAAATGTTGATATCGATTGACATTACTTATTCTCACCACCAAATCGTTTCAAGTGTAATTTTGGTGGGGGTCTTTTCTTGTTAATACTGGGAATATCTATTATCTTGTGAGCACTCGATTATTATACTTTTATAGAAATAAAAACGAATATTTTCCCATGCTGTTGATGGGAACAACCAGCAACAAGGAAGATTTCCTGAATACTCCCCGGCGTATAAATTAATCAAAACCCCCAACCTTCTCTTTTATACCCGTATTACATATATATATGTATTGCCTTGACACTTGTAACTACGTGCAAACGGAGCATTTATTTATCTATAATTTATGAATGGTATATGGCTATTTTCATTATAATTCTTCTTTCTTCTTTTTCTTTTTTAACCTTTTTTCAAAAGAAAATATGTACCACCTAGAAAAACTGGACCAAACATACTAATATTTTCTGCTCATCTACAAGTGCCCTTAATTCTTTCTTTTTGTCCTATTACTTTATTGTAGCACAAAGCTCTAAATTCATTTGTTTGACAGGACTCGTGGCTTTTAGTGAATAGATGAATCCAATACAAATCTTTATGTATATATATATATATATAAAGGATATTTATTATTTGATACATATATTAAAAACATATCGGCTTATATATAAGCAAAGTCTGGTTTCAATATACTTTAAAGAATAAAATAATTACTACCAATGACAATCATTTGATCACATTCATTAAAGTACTCCATCCTGAATTTTGCTGTTGTTGTATTGTAGATATATATATATATATTATTCAAGATGGCTTGACATTGTTTGGAGCATTTTCTCTGACCGGTGCGGGTACTGCAATGCCACGATGAAAGCTTTCCCACAATTTTGCAGGTTGTTGAAATTCGCGTCCAATGGCATCAAGTGTTTCGAGATTTTTATTCAGTAGATTCATATTATACAGAAGTTGATCGAAACCTTGGTATGCCTGATCCATTAGTGCATCATATTCATTCTCAAAAGATGTGCGATTGTCCATGTTCACAACGATAAGAAAGATAAAAAATTAAAATAAAGTAAATAAAACATATACACTGTAGGAAATGGTAGAATTTATAACTCCGTGCTTATAGATTATACAGCCAATAGAATAGCAAATTTTAGCTTTTACTTTTACTTTTCAGTAGATACGATTTGTGAGCTTTCAGATTATTTTTCCATCTAATCCAATCAATATTCTAAATATAGTATATATCTACCTTTTTTAGATACCTCTATTCTTATAATTGGTTCAACAAATTCAACTTTATATTGGAATTTTATGGTTTTTATTATTGATCAAAATAATAGAAGTTGAATATAAGGAAGTATGCAAAAAAGAAGTTCTAATTTTTATGATATTTAGTAGCAATTTAGGCTATAAATTTACTAGATAATATACATATATCTATTGCTATGTGCTATTTTCTATCTTCTTTATCTAAAAAAAAAGCTATTCTCTAAATACTATGATATTGATGAAGACATGTATATTGCTTAATTTATTCTTTTTATCAAAGAGTATACACCTGCTTTGTGTTAACATTGTCATGTCTTGTTCCTACTTTTGAGAAGAAAAAACCAAAATAATGATAATTTAATATCACCTTAAGAACTGCTATAAGATTTCTTGGGATCTTTGTAGACAGTATTTTGAAATAGGATGTAACCCGGGTTCAGGAGTGGAGTTTGTTACTGAAGGGTAAGCTATTATACTTGAATAATTTTGTCGTCTTAAATTCTTGTACTGGGTTGAAGCAGTTGGGAAAAAGATGTTTTGCATTAACTGCAAAAACATGGTAGCATAAAAAGTGGGATATACAATCGAGTGACAAAATTTGCCCTTTTTTCTATAGGGTAGACGTCTATGTTTAAATAAAACCAAATTTGGGTCGCTGAGAATATATTTTAATCCAATGATACACTATTATTAGAACAATACAATAAGAAGACTGTTTCTCATTACAGGGTCTTGTTTTTTTGTTACAAAGAATTTTCTATCTTACACAAGATTGAAAAAAAAAACGCTAGACCAAAACTCACCGCAAGGTCAATCGGTAACAAAAAATTATTACAGGGCAAATATAATTAAATAGAAGGAGTGTAGAATGTTTGCAATTAAAACGTTTTCTTTTTCATGGGGGTTCAGGCTAATCTTCATTGGAGTTTCTTGGCCTCACCTTTGATGGAGTGTAACTCAAAATACCATACTAAAATATCCATGAAAAGACTGTAAAAACTATTCTTGATATAGGATTAACCAATGATATCAAAGAGTACAACATCAGGTCAGTCGATATTCTACACAATATATAGATTTTATTGTGTTCGAAGTAAATCCAGATTCTTGAACTTGGTACTTCGATAGCTTTCCCAATTAAAGTACTATCAAATATGTCTTGTGTTTTTCTGATATTTCGACATCGTAACTAGTCAGTACTGCACAAAGAATGATTCCGAATATTCAGTACAACCTATTTATTTAGGCAAAATATTCTCTTTACATAAATAAGAAAAAAAATATACTCTTGGTTTACTCATATTCCTCTTCCTCACAAGCGCTATATTTTTTTTTAAAAAAAAAGAAGTGTTACACTCTATAAAGTGCTCTCATTTTCTAGACATCCAACCAGCGTCTTTTTTCTAGTCACACAGATTTGATTTTCTTTCTTTCTTGATGTCTCTGACAAAGATAAAAGACAAATAATCTAATATTTTGTGATATTTCAAGTCAAACTACTAAAGCGTATTAAGACACAATATCCAGCTATATACATTTTTTTAATTCAAGCTATATTCACTAAATTATACAGAAAGTACAACACTATATAAACATAACTATAAGTATAAATATATACATTTTCACCCAATTAAGATTAGAGCTCTGGAAGACTCCCACCGAATCCGCCCAAGTGAGACTGTAGAATATACTGTGTAAAGGCATAATTATAGTTAAGATATATCAATATGTGTACTTTGATGATAACATGATCTCACAAGATTTCTTGGATTTTCATCGAACATCACTTATATACATATCTGCATTTTATTCACATATGTTTACTTCATTAAGTTAATTTTTTTCTTTATATCATTTCTCACATATTCAACAAACTTAAAAGAAAACAGCTACATATAGATTAACTTGAATCACAAAGCTGAGTATTATATTTAAAAAAAAAGCGTAAAGTGGTCTTTCAACTCTGAAACGCAACACTTGGATACTTTGCGATAATAAGAAAAGCAAAAAATAAGGTATGTATAATACTAGATAAATGTTTTTACGCTAATTATTTTCATCTTGAATGTAAAAGCAAGTAGCATATATAAAATGCAAATGAAAAGTAATGCTTCTCGAAACAATGGTCTTTCATATATACAAGATTTTCTTGTACCGTATATTAAGTGACTGGACAGAGTATTATAAGTCACGTTCAGATGTGTATGTTTGAACATACATTTCTCCTAAACATTTATACTGTCCACCATTTTGTGGGGATACTTTTGTGAGTAGTATATAATAGGTTCTATGTTAGACTATTTTCTTTTACTAAGTCTGAATTATGTGTATACAATAATAGGCGAACTTCCTTAGCCACTTGGTGGTCTTCGTTTAGAAGACTCGATCATTAAGACTTAAATCTCTTCCAACAGCTCACGTGACTATTTCAAGCCACGAAGCTACAATGCATAGTTTACTTCTTTTTTCTTTGTAACATCATGGCTACTGGCACGAAGCGGATCAAGGGCATAAGCATTACGCGTCCAATCTATTATGGAAATAATGCACTTCCTCTGACTGGAAAGAAAGCCAATGACTCTGACCATACTCACAAATGGACAGTGGCCGTTCGAGGCTTAGGAAATGACGATCTTAGCTATTATATAAAAAAAGTGACCTTTAAGCTTCATGAAACCTACCCGAATTCCCTTAGAAGTAAGCTATATATATAAGGCTCACCAGACATATTCTCATACCATATTACTAGCTATTGAACAACCACCTTTTGAATTACAAGAGACTGGCTGGGGTGAATTTGAGATTCTCATCAAGATCCATTTTCATCCTGCGGCAAGTGAGAAACCAGTCTCACTTTATCACCACCTACGTCTTCATCCTTATGAAGATGATGTATCTGGTCAACCTTGGCCAAAAGAGAAACCAGTAACAAGTTACTCTTATGATGAGCTGGTAAGGAAGTCATACCAATTTGGTATCATAAACTAACAATATAAACTTTTCTTATTTTTTTTTTTAAAAAAAAGGTGTTTAATGAACCTACAGAGGCATTTTATCAAATATTGTCTGACAATAATGCACTCTCACCTAATCTTCCTGTTAAGAAATCAAAAGACAGCAATATTCCTCAGTTCAGTGTTCAGATGGAGCACGAGGAATTAGATCGATTAAACGCTGCCCAACGTGAGGTTCATTCACAAACGATGGCTCTCAAGCAGCGTATGTTGGTCATGGAACAAGAGAATTACTCTACCAAAGCTTGAGGAAATATATTTCTACTTTATATGATTGTCCAAAACGCATTGTACATAAATACCATTAACAAAAGAAGAAGAAGAATATATATAAAGTTTAATTAATTCTTCACATCGATCGCCTTCCTTCAGCTGCTGACATTGGTTTCTTTTGTGTTCCTGTTGATTGCTTAACACCCACTACACCACCTCCCATTGATGTGCCATATGAAGCCGGGCCATTTGTCGGTTTGCGTCTCATAAGAGACATAGTTAATCCTGTCTTCTTCTTCTTCACCATAGCCGGACTGGAATCTTTTCCTACATGCTGCTCTCTTAGTCGTTGAGCATGCCCAACGATACAACTGATCAGATCATTATAAGTTTCTGCATCCATCATAAGTTGCTCTCGTTGATCTAAAAGATAGCCCAGATATTCAGATGCTTGGCGTTGAAGTCGAGTCAGTTCACCCATCATGGCTTCTAGTTTCTGGCTGGGAAAAATCCGGATTGTGTCTATAGACAAACAAACAAACAAATAAGCATATATAATTGGTACAATACAATTGATCTGCATTTACCTTCAGTTAGTTCGCAATAGGCCTTCGCAATATCAATGTCTAGTTCGGGTTCTTCTTCGACTTCCTTTTTTCCTTCTGCTTCCTCAGCATGCGATCGATCCTTAGGAACCGTCATGCCCGACAAAGAGGCCGATCGTGCATGGTTTTGTGAAAAGTAGCGTTCAGCTCGAGAAACAGGGCTTGATAGGTGAATAGGGTTTGCCTCTGATTGACTCGGTGAAGTGCACCGAAGACCGCCTTGAGATTGGGTTGGTGACATGGATCGCATTGGCTGGTTTAATCTCTAGACAATCATAACAACAACAGCAATATAAGTCGCCTTGTTTCCGCAATCTTTTGTTTCTCGCACAATAAGTTTCTCAATAAATAAATAAATAATAAAAGTTTATCACTTACATCTTCATAATTAATTGTAACGCCCAATGCATTTAAATACGCCCTGTTAGTCTCAGATCGTGTCCACCGGAATTGTCCAATATCTCCTGTCAGCGGGTTGTAGAATACAGAATCTCTTGAAAGCTTATTCCACAGATCGTCACTGTACCAAGTATTTTTCTTCTTTTAGTCATATAGCCAATATTGTTTCTTAATTCAGGGCTGACCTGCACGGTGTACACAGAATAGAATCTAGAGCTGGTGTTGTGTTTGGTCCAGGTTTGGGTAAGTCTAGAAGGGTTGATTCCCAAAGTTTATCGAGGAAGTGTTCAATATGATTCGCAATTTCTTTAGGCCCCGAAGCAGCTTCCAATACTTTGACCTATATATAAATAAATATAAATATAAATATAAATATATACATATATACATATATTAATCTCACACAACACAGAATGTATACACAAATACAAGCAAGAAGAACAAGATTAGGAGATATGAATTACTAAAGATCTATCTCCGAGTATCTTTTCTTTGATTTAGTCTGTCCATAGGCAGTCTGACAAGACAAGATATACATATATATATATATATACGCACATAAATCTCAGCTTCCGTCGGTTCGGATGGGACAGCTATAGCCGGCTCTTCTGGTGGAAAATCCGGATCTGTATGCAGATCATTATCAAAACCATCAAAGTCGCCAAAATCATCATTTTCAGGGAAATCATTGTTATCGAAATCCCCAAATTCATCTTCACCAGTATTCTGACCAAATCCAATGTCATCAAACTCATCATTAGTCTGGTCGAATCCATCATCGTCTCGATCAAAAACATCGTCTTGATCAAATAGCTGGCTTTTATAATTTTTCTCTTCCTCAAGTTCTTCATTACTAAAGTGCTTGACTTGAGGGTCATCCATTGTCTGCCCGAATCCTGCGGTCGGTCCAAGGTTGTTTGGTTGGTCAAATACGGCATCTTCAAAGTCATCGTCGTCGTCATTATTATTGATAGTATTAAGAGTAGTAGCAGTAGTAGCAATATTAGTAGTAGGAGTAGTCGTAGTAGTAGTAGGTATAGGTGTAATTGTTTGAAAGAAAGCAGGTTGTGAAAGCTCATTATCTGAGGATGAAGTTAGATGCGTCGTGTCCGACAATGCATCATCGCTTTCTAACATAGTCGTAGCAAGCGATGTATCATTTTTATCCGGTAATGACAAAGAATTTGTGTTGTTTACAGGTACAGGTACTTGGACATCCACAAGATCATCAGAAATTTGCATGGTAAATGTAAAATAGAGTATGCTTGGACACCTTTGTGTCTGGTGGGAAGGACTTTTCTTCGGCCTTTCTTTGAATTGTGTAAAAAAAAGCTATTCAACATCCGAAAGCCGCAATAAGTTGGCCTATGACGTCGTTAATATAATAATAAGAAAGCAAAAAAAGTATTGGACTTTTTGTCTTTTTTTTTTATGGTTATAATTATGCATGTTTTTGATCCACGTTATGATGCTTTGAGTATACTTCCTTAACACATAATTTTATAATTCAAAAGGAGAATTTTAATAAAAGCATCTCAAAAAGAGTCGTTAGACCTATGTCTGTAGCTCACATTGCCTCACTTTTCTTTAAAATAAAAATGAATAAGAATCAGGTGCAAAGGCCGTAAGTTTAACATTCTGTTGGTCTTCATTTCAGCATATGCCATAGTATTATTTATAGTTCCGACAATAAATGAAGAATGCTTTTATTGTTTCTTTTTCTTCTCTATTATTTCTTGAAAACAAGCGTAGGCCATTTGTAACTAACAGGACTATATCTTTTGTCTAATGGATATTTTCTATTAGTAGAAGAAGTTAAGTATAAACCATTAACCTTCTTTAAAGTTTTGTATATCTACACATTTATGCCATTGTGAGAACCAGAGAAGCTTTCATAAAAGCAAAAATTCCTTTTATGAATATCGGTTTATTAAATAGCCGCTTAAAATATAGTAAGCATTATGTTAGAGAATAAAACTAATAAAAAAAAACAAAGCTATAGGAAATGTCTTGGTGTTATGTAGATTGTCATTACCATTAAAATACAAGATATGGTTTTATGAGTCCGAATATAGAGATATTAAGGAAACCAGAAATACTAAGTCCAAATAAAGAATTTAAATAATTTGTTTATTCTTTAGATTGCACACAATAAAACTTTTGTTATTTTTGTACATATTGGTTTCGTCTAAAGAGGATCTGGTGGGTGCACAAACCAGACTCTATTTATTCCTATATTTTTTATATTCATATACTTTATATAGTATTAAGTAGAATGTCTAATGCATCAACACTACAGAGGCCTTGCATAATATGCATTATTTGTAATAAAGATACATAAAATCTGGTGCATACAACCTATACATTTGTACTCCCAATAGTTTTTTCTTTTCTTTTTTATGTGTAAGGACCAGTAAGATATTTGCTTGGATTATTATTAAGTAGTGACTTTATTATACTTATTTTTACATTCTTATACACATATACTTATTTTTAGTTGATAGACACGCTTTCAAAATAATCGTCAACAAAGGAACCGTGAAATGTTGTGATTGCAAACTGTCCAATCTCACAGCTGGCTACTTCTTTCATAGTCTTTGCATCTAAAAGAACCCAGCGACAAGAATCCATATCCGGATCTTCATTATCAAAGTGATTTACCAAGCTCATCAAAACACCTTCATCTTCATCGTCACTTCCCGGACGTGGGGCAAAAATAGGTTCAGAGCAACAGTATCCAGGACCGCCATACTGAATTGTAGTGCCAGTTTCAGTATCTACTTTGATAAGCCTTGTGTGTTCACCATCGCTTTGAGTAGGAGGATGAAAGCGGCAACCATATAAATATTTGCTTTCACGCATCATAAAGTCTTGACTGAACCTAGGAAAATCGAAATTTTCGGTAATACATCGATACGCTACAGATGTCTCGTTTTTTCCAAGAGTAATAGTATATCGGCGAAGATCACACAAACTCTCAAGTTTAATAGGAGGTACAGTAATACCATTGACCTTGGTAGCCTGGGATTTACGTCTGGCCTGCTCCTTTAAATGGTCCATGTAATTCGATTGACGGACAGGGTCACCGAGCGTATTGACTTGGAACATAATATCAGCGTCAAGATAGGTGCAAAGATCAGCATTAATCACGGGAAACCCGTTCTTATTCACACTTTGCCAGGAGTTTCCGAAATGAAAGCACAAGAATGGGTCAACAGCTATAGTGGTAATGTGTCCTTTCCCGTGGCGACTGACAATGTGTATGTATGTGTCTATAGTATCGTCCCACTTCATGCCAGTAATCACGGTACCACTTTTCATGAGATCCAATCCAATATTACTGTAAGCAAGAGGCTGTTCAGGGAGAATGATGTAGTCTTTGGTCATGCCAAAAGAATGAATATAAGACGGCCGAATACTCTGTCCTGTTCCGTCCAGCCGGTGCGTAATAGTAGCCAAAATGGTAATCTTCCCTTCCGGAGTGGACGAGAATATCTGGAATCGAGTAGGGAAAATATTCATAACAAAATTTATAGTTTCTTTTGTTACTGGATCGTATTGATGATGGGCCGCAGAAGCATCACCTTTGATCCTATTATCAATGCTAGTGTAGTTAAATAGTCGTTCAGGTTCTAAAATAAAAATAGATGGTTTATAAGTAACTGTATTTCATATCTCTATATTATGACAGTCTTAAACCAGAACAAGAATTACCCAATGTGTCAGGATGAATTTGTTGAAGCATATTAGCATCTGTTTTGGTAACAAGTACGCGACCATCTCGACCATTGTTTCTATCTTCTTCGACACAAGCCGCTGGTATAGGAAAATTTGGAGAAACTGTTACTCCTATGGCTTGACTGGAAGCTGGAAGGCTATCAATAAAGAGCGAATTGTATAGGGCTGTGGAGATACGGAGAGCAATATTGTATATCCTTTGCCATATCGAATTCATAACTGGTACATGTCCATAGAAGATTTTTCCCATTCCGTTATCCCGCACGACAGAGACTTCATAAGATTCAGCCAAGTTTCGAGAATTATATCTGACAGTCTGACTGGTACTTGAGATCTCAAAACGATGCAAGTATGGCATACCATCAAATGCATGTTTGATCGAAAATGTACTTCCATCTTCTTTTTCTAAATTATATTTTCCAGGACCTGTAAACCTCAGTGTGGCCTTGTTAGCACGACAGAAAATCTAAATACACAACTGTAAATACTAACCAACACGGTACATAATTCCATTAAACCAGTCCGGAATACATCCTTTGATAGGTATGACCTTGATATGCCTTATTTCTGGAGCATTTCTAAAAGTGCTGACTTGAAAAGAGGCAATGAGCTCAGGTAATGTTAAAAAATTGTTTAATCTGTCCAAGCTTTTCAATGGATCGAGCCATATGATTACAGCCAAAATAATAAGTATGGTAAGAATATAAATCATTATAAGAAAGGTTCAAGTAGATTTGCAGTAATTAAATACTTGAACAAGGTCTACTTTATCTTTTATATATAAGGGGCTGAGGATAAATTATTAAAGATTTATTGTACCATCTTGGGACATTTTTTTTGTGTCATCAATACCTTTGTGAACTTGTGCTCAGTATCTACATAACACTGTTTAGAATTCAATATGTCACCGACGAATATATTCAAACAAGGGTTTTAGGGGTAATACAACCAATAGAGTTGGATTCTATTGTTAAAAAAAAAAGACATTTTTATCATTCACTTAAACCTAAACCATTGCATTATAGACTATTGTGGCTTCTATAATGGCTTCCAAAGAATGATAATATAGGTCAGTATTGCATGCTTTAAGATTGAAAGATAATTGATATACTGTGTTAGTACACAGTACCTCGTTGCATGATTATTTAAGCTATAGCATAATCATAAGCTCACTGCCTTGTACACACATTTATATTATTGTTTGCTAGTAATATTCTGAATAAATCAAATTAGAAGAGCATATATGAATTCGTGTCCCAGTATCCTCTACACAATCAAAATACTAAGTATTATTCATATAGTACAATATACACTTTATAAACGCGCATGTTTAATAGATCTATTGTGACAAAGTAAGAGTATGGGACAATAGAGATAGCTTCTTTGGCCGGCTAAATAAAAAAATTAAGTAAATAAATCTGAACGGCAAATTTGTAAATATTATAATCATTCTTGTATTATAATTCTTTTGACCCCTAGTTAGCGACATGCACAGTACTCCTCGACTGATGCGCCGTCAGCCTGCGCCAAAAATAATTATTAGTTATATGTAAATAAGATATACTCACAATGATAAATAATCCAAAGAACTATGGTATAATATGCCAAAAAGTATTAGTGTTTTGGGTGCCAGGAAAAGATAAAGTACATTACAGTACAGTATAGTACAGTATAGTACAGTATAGACATAGGTCAATTCATATTCTTTGCAATCAATAAACTATTTAATTTTGAGTGAATAAACAATTCTGCAAAGCCGTCTTTTAATAACTGTTGCTACATGCATTGTTTTCAATGTTGATTTATATACAAATAAATATTTTATTAATAGTCTGTGTTTTTCCAAGAACGAAATCCGCAAAAAGTACCCAATATATATATATAAAGATAGAGGTTACAAGGCAGAATGTTCTAAGAGAAATTAACGAGGTTTACATATACGAACTTAAAAAATTGGTTTATAAACTGAATTCTGATGCTTTAGTACTATGGCACAACTATAAAAGTGATGAAGTATTTGATATTTTTGTTGGCCTAGACTACCGTACATCCCGGAACGGAAGTCTGTATGCAATATATTATATTTGTATTTTATGAATGATCATAGGCCTAATCGCGGTCCGAAGTATTCTATACTTCTCTGTGTCATGACAATATGTATGCATATTGTCAGTACAAAGATAAAAATGAAACTGGTTAGCAGTATAATCTGATCATTTATTATTCGTAATAAACAGCTGAGCACCATTCGATCGCTTTATTTTTTACCAGACTTTCATCCAAATACCATTCTGATTGACTCGATCTATAGCATGAATTTCTAGCGTGCCTCTTTAATCACATGTAAGAAAACAGCTCTCAGCAAAAAAAAAACTTGGAAAAGATACTAAGCATCGATCTATAATGATCGAATCTTGAATTTTACCCAAAGTTGTACTTATATACTGTTTAATATAGGTACATTACAAAGAAAATAACATCTCCATCAGGAAATCGATGCTTCTACAGAGATCTTGGAAGACTCTAGAAGAATATACACATGTATTAGGATTCTTTGAACTTAACAACTATGAAGATAGAAAAAAGGGAAACAATGTGGCCACTGATAGAGAATCTTGCCTTAACTCTTTGCTATCTATTGAAATATATAAATTGGTACCAAGGGAGTATTTTAAAGCAGAAAGAAAATGAAATCAATATCCTTTGAATTTGTTTAAAAACCTCTATTTTGTTTTGTTTTGTGATATATCTATAATTATTTAATTCTGCTTATTATTCATGTGTCTACATTACCTGTTTAAGTAGACAATCTACTAAAATGCATCAAAGTAATTACAAATGTTATTTGATACAACACATTATATATCCGTTCTTATATATAAGTCATTATATCCTTCCAATATCATACTGTTTATGTAGTTATAGACATAAACACACCTACTTAATTAATTAATATTCCGATTTCATCAAAGTGTTTTCATAGCATCGCCATATTATGAAGTTAGTATTCAAGTGATATAATATAAGATAAAGTAATATTAATGTAATTTATCTGCTGCTTTAATGTATATATGTTATGTAATGTATAATAAATAATACAGATTCAAGCTTAGAGTTTGGGTGAGTATAATATTCCAGTTTAAATAAATACCTTCAACAACAAACAAACCATAAGTAGAGTCTTCTTTCCTTTATTTTGTGTATATCCTACATATTAATTGAAATTATATTCAAAACAGCAGAAACTATAAAGATAAGGTACAGTGAAATCGCAATAAAGCTCTTAAACTCTATATGTAGACTTTATATTACTTTAGCGACAACCGGGGAACTCAGTACAGAAAAACAAGTTTATTAATACTTAGGGATATAAAATTCTATAGAAAAGTGACCATAAAAAAAAACAGAAGGACCAATACAGGCAATATACAATAAGGAACAACTATAATCTATTTATTTTTCATAAGAAAAAAAAATTGGAAGCTGTCTATTGATCTCTCGATTTAAAACATGTATGCACACCCAATTTTTAAAAGCTAAAGAACCAAAAAAAAGTCTCGTTCACTGGTCCAAAATGAGTACATTACCAGCAGGTTCTATACAATACCTGACAGATGATTCACAAGTCCAAAAGATTATCCTTAATCAAGGCCACGGAGAATTGGCTCACAATCACTCAACTCTGAGTTGTAAGTACTATAAAAGATTTAAACGTACTAAGTACATGGTACAGGTCATTACGAGATCTTTTTACAAGGCCAGAGCACTCCAATCGATTCAACACGTTTTCGTAATGCGCCTTTGTGGGTTAAATTAGGCGATGGTAATCAACTTTTACTTGGTTTATTTACTATTTCCTAATGGGTAGTTGTGTATAGGTAAAGTAATCAATGGATTAGAGTTAATACTTTCAACTATGTGCGTTGGCGAGATTGCCGAAGGCTTATGTACTAGTGTCTACGGTAAGTAAACTCCAATCCTATTGTTTTAGTACTTAATGCTATGTACTGAAGTAAAATATACAATTATTGTTTAGGATATGGTAAGAAAGGTCTTCCTAATCGCATTCCCTCAGATGCAACGCTTCGAATCGTTGTGGAATTGCTAAGTGTATGGGAGGTAAAGGGAAAAAAAAGACACGGCCGCATGACTGTGTCTAGCTTAACACTATGTTCTTTAAAGTCCCCCAATTCGCCACGTCAGTGTATCGAGCTGGCTCTCGCATACAAGAACCAGGGAAACACTTTCTTCAAAAGCGGGTTGCTTAATGAAGCACTAGATGCTTATGAGAAAGTATGCACGTATATCTAGTACGATTGTGTATTCTACTTCTTGAACTAATCAAACTTTTGGGTCCTGTGATTTACTCTCTGTATTAGGTCAATAGCTGTATAAAACGAGCTGAGGAGTGCACAGACAAAGATCGGATGGAATTAGATGCGTTGGGTATCGCAGCCTCAAGTAATTCTAGTGCTTGTTATATAAAACTCAAAGAGTGGACCAAGGTCATAGAAATCTGTGAAAAGGTGCGATAATGGGATAAAACACTAGTATTCGGTTACATTAAATAAGGGTTTTAGGTAATCTCATTGGATCCAACCAATATCAAAGCCTATTATCGTCTTGGTCAGGCTTATTTGGAGACAAAGGAATATGAACAAGGCATTAGTTCTGTGAAACAGGGTTTAAAGGTATTTTTTTGATAAAAACCCTCTCATACACACACATTGTTGCTCTGTACTCAAATTTATTCTAATACGTTAGCACTCTCCAAGTGATACCTCAATGAAAGCCCTTTTATCTCAACTTCAACAAAAAGAAGCCCAATGGCTTAAGAGTAGAAAAGCTTTGTATAAAAACATGTTTGCTTAAAATCATATACAAACTCTCCTTATATCACTCCAGAGTCTACTCAAATACAAATATGTATAACTTGCTTCTCTCTTAATTTTCTTAAAATTCCCTGTAATATTCGAAAGTAAGTAAGAGTTGTTTTGTAAATCACATCACCACAACTTACCATGCTTGGTGCATGTATTTCTGAACGGCTGAAAGGGCCTGGTATCTGACTTCTTGGTCTTCGTGGGTCATCAATTCCATAATGCGCTGCTTAGCGCCAACGTCTTGGAGAATTCTATTAACACAAAACAGTGAATAAATAATTTCTCTCCCAACAAACCAAGTATAGTTGTGTCTTGTTTACCTCTTCCCTGCCTTTGAAGAGTACTTGATATACTGGCCAACATCATTTGCGGCCACAGCCAATACCAGAGGGCTTGATGCTGTACTCAATATACGTGCAAGAGCTCTGGTGCATTATACATATATATATATATATTTAATATACACGCGATGTCCTGTAGATTAATCTAAATATGTCTTACCTCAACAAACTATAGTTGTTCTCATCCAACTTTGATGCATTCTCTTTCCAGAATACTTCAGATTTGTGAGGAGGAGACCATTCCAACTTTCCGGTTTCAATCTCGGATGCGTATTGTTCAAATGTTCTATTCCGAGTGTTATAATACTGTTTTTTTTTGTTTGTTATGAAAATTATACTCTTGCTCTTACGTGAGACTCTGGAAGTTCTCTTGCAGCTTTTCCTTCAAATAGTTCACATCTTCGAGGATATCTGCATCTGACCATTTACGTCCGCTAAGATTCTCAGTAAAAGGCAACAGTTTGACAACAAGCATTGCGGCTAAGTTTTGTGCAGGAGCCTTTGCCACCAAATTCTACAGTAACATAAATTAGCTTTCTTTTTTTGTTTTCCACAATATCACAGCATACTTGCATGTGTACAGGAGTTGATTATATTTATTTATTTTTCTTACCTTGAGGGTAGCGATGGCGACACGAATAACCTTTTCTTTGACAGCTGCCTTGGCAATATCAACCAAAAGAGGAATGATATCATACTTTCTGTCACACCCAAAACACGACAGGTTCAATGGTTGAATATGATGTACCCTTTTAAAGCTAAAATAAATCACTCAAATGAACTTACTCGTTGATTTCAGCAGCAATCTTGGGCTCAAAAGTTAGCAACCAAAGGCAAAAAATAACCTGGTAAAGCATTTGGGGTGTAGCAGTGGCCTTATCTGCACGGCGGATCAATCTATACAGGCAGCCGTTAGCGATGCACTGATATTATCCACACAGTATAAAATATTAAATTCCCTTACTCTTTCATAGCATTTGGTGTTTCCCAGAAAGCGATACGGTACTGTCGAACGCGCAAGATTGACTCCAACTCCTGGACGATTAGATCAACAATCTCTGGTCTATGCTGGTTAAGTTGAAGGGTGATCCAACGGTACAGGTCCGAAAGATCGACTTTGGAAGGTGCAGGGGCAGCACTATTAAAGTAAATAATAGGAAAAGAAAAAGTAAATTTATGACATGTAAGTAAATCAATATGTGGTGGTCCCTTATATTATATTATGTTATATATATATATATATATATTGTATACCATGCAAGGATCGTCAAAATCTTACTAGCTTGAAGAGCAGTAAACTCATCATCCGACTGGAGAGCTCTATTGTATTAAAGCAAGAGAATAAATACTAGTTCATAGTTTCATAGACACTGGAGCATACTTGACAAATGGAGCAAAAAGAGTAACAGAGTCCCCGTCAACAGCCTCATAGAAGAAACGGGAATTTTCGTTGTCGGCTAAAAATGTATTAGAAACGCGATATATTACTTGTCGAATGCACCTACCGGTTAAAATGTCATCGCTCAACACACAAACGTACTGAACAGTGTCTGGTCGAGCAATGTTCTTCAAGGCATGCAAGATGAGAGAGGCATAGACCTTTCCATTGCTTTGGAAAGTAGAGTTGATAATCTCGTGAGGTTTTTTGTCAATGGCCTTGATGAGCTCAACTTGATCAACAGACAAGACTTTGGATTGCTTATAACCCTGTAAAAATGCATTTAGCCATAAACTCACTTGGTCTCTCCCTTCTCTCTCCCTCCCTCCCTCTCTCTCTCTGTGTGTGTGTGTATGTGTGTTTATATATCATTCTTTTTAAAAAAGTAGAGTTGACCAAGTCTCACCTCCCAGAGGATTTGCTTTTGTCTAACACTAGCAGCTTTTGTCTCAAAATAGCCGTTAGTGACTAATGCAAGTGGTACTTCTGGAACGTCTGCCATAGCTATAATATATTAAGAAAGGAAGAAGAAGCGTTCTCGGGGCGTCAACTCAAAAAGTCACAACAAGCTCTCCTCGCTCGTTTCGGCTTCGACGATGTGATTAAACCGCCGCTCAACACGGAGTTATTTTAGGATTTGAGATTTGGGATGTGTGTATTTTTTGTTTGATTTTTTTTTAAAAAAAAGTATCTAATTTAACTGGAGCATGCTTGTCAATACAGCTTGAGTCCGCATTACCTATAGGATATGCTTATTAGTACTGGTATATTTAATAGTGGGTTCTTACCTCAAGGGCTTGCTTGACTTCCAAGTGTCTGCGAGCGGCATTGAGCCAGTCAGTTGCGAGGGTCTTTGGCCATCCCTTGAGCTGGTTGACCTCACGGGCAGCGCTTTCAAGGTCATGAGAGTAGTCAAGATGGTATTTTGCGCGTGCAAGACGAGCCTCAATATCATCGCCTTCTACAAGGCCTTCTTTAGGGAACAAGAATTTGCTGAGAATGATCGAAAGGACGTGAGACATCATGCTGCTGCCTTCTTCGGGGATCAATGAAGCCTCTCTAACTTCACGGCTGACAATCTCAAAGCGATCAACTAATTGAGCGAGTGAATCGATACCATTTTCAGCAACGGTCTTAGAGATGCTGGAGACAACTACGTGTACAAGCGCTTCGTTTTGCTTTTCGGCATTATTGGCAAAGGGAGAAGAAGAGGCACTGAGGGCCTCGAGGGCTTTGAGTTCGTCAAGGAAAGTCTGTTTGTTGCCTGCATAAGCGACCTGCTTCAAGCTCTCAATTGCTACAAGTAATTGATGAGCCTTGCGGGAGTCATCAAGATATTCGGCGTTGGTGCAAGCCATGCGCTCCAGGGCACCCTGGCGAGAAACAACTTCATCAACCTTGGACAGACGACCACCACGTTCCTCCTCAACTTGCTTCTTGACCTGAGCAACGTAGCCGCGTTGCAACTCAATAGCACGCTCCTTTAGTTCGTTTGTGAGAGCTTCGAGATAGACAGTGCGCTGATGTTCGAGTTCCTTTTGTCCGACTTCCATCAAGTGCTGTTCCAAAGTAGCATTCTCTACAGCAAAAGCGTCACGCATAGTTGTCTCTTTCTCGGCGATACGGGCATCAGATTGAGCCTTGGCTTCCTCTACTTTGGATGCAATCTCCTTACGGTGCTCAGTAACCTTGTTCTGAAGTTCATCAGCAATCTGCAAAAGTGCGGCAGTTTGCTTGACTAATTCGGCCTGTTCACTCTCCTGGGACTTCAAGTCAGAAGCCAACAGTTGGATATCACGCGAGGCAAAGTCTACAAGACGCTTAGCATGACCGGTCATGCCAGACTCATTCAAGACAGCTACCAAACGTGCCATTGTCTGAGCAAGACCATCAAGATCGGGAATATTGGTTGGGGTAAATGCGGCCTTGACGGGTTCACCACCTTCCATCACATTAGTAAAAAGACCATCCTTTTTGAGAGTACGTTTCACGCGTGTAATGGGTGCAGGACCCTGAGCACGAACGTCCTGGTCTTCACCCTTGAGCTTAGAAACCAGATCATGAGTGTTCTCGTAAAATTCGGTGGCCTTATCCTTGGCTTCGAGCGCTTTGGTTTTCAAAAGAGCACTGTGTATAACTGCAAAATCCTTCAACTCATTGGCTTTGGTAGCATATTGACGCAATTCCTCGTCCTGCGAAAGATCCTCGAGGAAATCCAAAACCTGTTCTCCACCAGGTACGTAAGTTGTAAAAGTGTCGTAGAATGCTTTGTTTTGAAGTGCATAATAGGTCGCGCCAGAGTAAGCGGCAGTAGTCAATAAGGTCGTCCACAGCAGGGTTTTTCCAATTGATCCACGTTTGGGCTCATCAACAGTCGAATAGCATCGTACAGACTAATTGTATGTAAATTTGGACACACATACACACACACATATATATATAAGAGAGTCTTAAGTTATTTTGTGCGTTATTAAAAAATGAGGGCTACACAAGCTATGATGATTACCGAACCCAAGCGGGTCGATCTACCGGAAATGCGTGCAGTTGATCGCGTAAGCACAGAGGCACCTCGAAGCATCGCGATGATAATGCAGATGTAAAAGGAAAAAAAGGTTTTGAAAAGGGCTTATGTTTTGAAAAGGTTGCAAGGGGCCCGCCTCAATAGAAGGTCCGATAAGGTGGCACGTCCAAACCTGCGTCACAACCCAAGCTAGTTTGTTCTTCATGCAACACTTCGATCAGACCAAGATGACCATTCCATGGTCAGAAGAGGATCAGGATATGTAGTTTAAGAAGTGAAGATTATGGGACGTTATATCCCTCTGATGTCAAAGGACTAATGAAGAACTTAAAAGCGACTGTTTTTTTTAACATGGTGCACATTAATGATCAGTCCAAGACAAACCATCAATTGGGGTCTAAACTGTTCCCACTCGTATTTTGTATTTTAATACACACACAGGATATGTACCATAGATTATAAAGCAATGGTAATCAGGCAAGCATACGAATACTGCAACAAAAAGCATAAATGCGGTGTTAAACCTCAAGTATAGACACACAATAATGAAATAATCTACAAGAGAAAGAATCAGTGCGTAGACATGATGCATCCCGACTTTCTGTCTCTGTCTGCCTTTCACTTTCATTTATGAAATGGTACACAAAAAAACTCCTAGATTTTGCCCTGAAAACGATGTGAATCGAATTGGGGTTTAAAACCGACCAAGTGTTTAAACTTGAGATTGAGACAAGTTGGATTTTTTAGACCAATGAGAACTCGATTTTAAACAAAAAAAAATGAGACACACCACTTTTAATTTTTAGACATAAGGATTGTTTTGTAGAACAGGTTACCTGTAAAAATCTAAATCTTTTCAGAAAAGAGAAGCTGTGTGTAAGACGGCGATATGATAAAAACGGTAACAAAAGTTACTGAATTTGAGAAAACACTACTGGGAATCTATGACTTTCGTTTATGTCTTTTGAAATCTTAAAAATGTTCTTTGAAGCATTGGTATAACGTTGCCATAGCATTCCACAACTTGTAAAAGTGAGAAAATTATGTAAAGCAGTGACTAATTCAGTAAGGGACATTTTGTTACAGGAATCGCATACCTATGTAAGTAAAGGTATTAGAGGTTTAATCGTAAAATAAAAAAAAGACTGGTATTGTCTAAAAAAAGTGAAAAGCTGATTAAGTATGTGCCTGAAGTTCAAGATAACAGTCATATATCAAAGTCACAAACGATGGTCAAAGTGTAAAGAAGCCATACCCCCTAAATCATTCTATATGTACATATAGAATGATTCATAAGAATAATGATTGTTAAAAATGAGGTTTGGTTGTGACATTACTTTAGAAGTCCATGGTACATTGTATTTATCGTTTGGGTGTGGTTATATGGGTGAAGATTGAGGACTTGGCTGAACTTTTGAAGATTTGGTTGGAAACACGAAGGCCAGTGTTTAAACGTACCAAATTCATCGATCAGACAAACAATAAACTCATATTTGCAAGAGACGACTCATCTATACACCTTTGATTGTCTCATGGTATCTATTCTGATGTGTAGATCAAATTCCCGTTACCTAGATACAATTTGGATTAAGCTCAAGTCGAAGATTATTTGCTGAGCGTTTAATGGTTTGTTCAGCGGTAAGAATATTTGGGTGTTAATCTTTAAGATCCAAAAGAATTTGTGAGATTTTGCGTGTTTAAGCTCAATACTTTTTTGTTAGCTGAAAGTGTATCCATAACATCTTGATCTAGTCACAGTAGAACCCTCATGCATGCCATATAGTAAATAATTTCTTCCAGGATCAACAAAGACAAAAAAATCTTAGGATGACTTCTTTTTTGTTTTGGTAAGAAATCATATATGTATGCAATCTCCTAACAAACACGAAGCTAATAATAGACCCCTGAAATTATTTCATACGTCAACGCTGTTTCTCTATGATAACTTGGTATGTCTTCCTTTACTACGGCTTTCGTATTCTCGCTGTGGGTCTCTCTTTGAAAAACAAGTTTTTTCTACTAATCATGATATTTAAAGGAAATGATATTATTCTTATCAGATATTACAGAAAATATATATTTATTCCAAGCACTAAATAGATTTGCACAACGTTAAATAGAATGAAGATTGCATAGTAAGAACAATAGGATAGCATGTTTTTTTATAAGAGAATAGGATATATTAGAGCAGTAATACTCAATGACTTTGATAAATATATATAAAGAAATAAACAAATAAAATAAAATAAAAACAAATAGGGTGCTTCACCAGTTCACCATTTCTCAAATTTTCAACTTTTAGAACTGTACTTTAATATGACAAATAATTGGCTTTCGTTAATTTAAGAGAGATGATTCCATTCTGTAAAAATCCAAGCTTTTTCTTTTTGAAAAATAAATAAATTGTAGAATGAAATTAACAATTATTAGCGATGCCTTTAAATATATTTTAAGAAAAAAAAAGTATGGTATATATATATTAGAGAGCTTGTTAACAGAGTCGATTAAGCTTATACTTCGACTTAGGCTTATCGGAGTATATATTTTCTTATACCGACTACAACTTCCTTTTTTGGTAAGCCTAAGATCTCTATTTCGACTTAATCTAGTCGAATAGTGAGAACTTTATCCTACAAATTCATGAAGATGTATACAATAATTAATTTTCAATAATTCTTGCATAAAATTTATTATAAGACTCTTAGCTAAAATATACTAAAATATCAGGGTGAAATATCAATTAATTCTCTCTAAAAGTCATTATGTTTGTCATGTAATAAAATAATAACATAACATTCCAAGTCTTGGGTCTAAAACTAATAATAAATCAACTTTTTTCTATTTCATACATCAACTTTTTTCACAAATCACAATCTTTATTACTGTCATACATTTATTAATATCTAACCAGCTATGGTACCGAATAAATCAAACAAAACTACAAGAAGAAACAGAAAGAACTTGGTCATTCACCAGTACATACCGTCACCTCCAAGTACAAAAGATCAAGAAGGTGAGAAATCTGTCCCTACGGCCAGCTCGTCGGGTTCTCGAGGTAATATAACATACTACAAAAAACTAGTACTACTTCAAGAGGGTCATACTTAGTTAAAAAGGTTATAGTGTAATTTTTAAAGGTAAAATAAAGTTCAAAAAGACATAAAATCGATGTTTAATCTACTTTATATATTATTGATGGTATTGAAATACGCATAAGGCAGCTCTAATAAAAGTAGCCTCTTTATTGTAGATATAATTCATAAATACACTCAAAAAGAGCACGGAAAAGCTCAATAACAACAAAGAACATTTATACTTCTTTATAAATCTTCTGACATTCATCTGACAAATTAATGTATATTTAACCTATATATTTCTAATAATATCCAAATAATTTATGAAAAAGTGAACAAAAATTGCCACAATAATAGCCTAGTCCTAAGTCGATGAAATAATTCCAGCGGTGAAAATAAATTACTACTAATTTTGGCAGGAAGAGGTTCGACTATATTAACAAGCTCTCTATTACTTAAATATTGACTTAAAGCTCCAAGATACTCCATATTACAGCTCCCAATACTTTTAAATATATTTTAAAAGAATCATGCTTAAAATCGAAAACTGAAGAACTGGGGAAACACCTTATTAAAACGAGTACCTGATATAGAAGAACGTATCGGTATATAAATAATGTAAGATCCGCAACGGCACGGAGTATACACGTTTCTTTAAAAGGAAGTGCAAAATTCCGAAAGAGAGCATAAATTCTCCTCCCGAATCCCGAAATATTTTTCAGGAACCTCCTCTAAACTGGCTCTTTTTTTTATATGTACATACAGTTGAAACAGCATTGCTAATGTACATGATGGTATTGGAATGAGACCAAGGCATGATCATGAGACAGATAAAAGTCTCACGTGTTGGATATTTTATTCAATGTCATTATTTTTAATGTTGTTTATGCACAGCAATAATAAAGTATATTATGTCAAAATATGATCTTTATCATTCACACCAATATAATAGCATGTAGCTTACTCTGCATATCCAAGCTAGTAATCATGTAAAGCCTAAGAATTCAATAAAGTAGACTTTGTTAAAGATGTGTAGATATTTATAGTTAAAAATTATTTGGTTTGGATATTTAGTGAATTATGACTTTTGATTTTTTTGCAGCTATATATTAGATGTTAATTGGGATAGAGTATAAACGACAATTATTGTTCCCGGAAATACATTCCTGTGTCGTATTTGCCTTGCATTTTTTCTTGATAGTGGTAGATTATGGATCCATTGAATGAAGAGTCCTTTCAGGTATATCTTTTAAGCTTCAATCCTGTTAATAAAGTCTGTAAGTAGTCATTTCTGAAAAACTGGTGATAGTGAATATTCAAACGGACAGACAAAGACAAAGACATGTAAGTATAGATAAATACAGATTATACAATCAGTCTCAAACAGCTTTATAACCTACATCTCCGACGTAAAGTACTTAGTAAAAGGAGAATTCTACGTCATTGGATGTCAGTCACGTGTAGGTGTTCTCCATTGTTGCCGACACGTTACTCTTTTTCCACGAACAACGATAAAAGAAAGAACGAAAGAAAATGTCTATGAAGAAGCTGCAAAGTGAGTTTAGGAAGATTAAGAATAAGAAAGAACAGAGATGACTGTGGGAATTGTTGTCTTTGAAGAAGAGGAAGACGATGTCCTGCATTTTATTACTTCACACACAAACATTGCCTACCCAAAACAAGAGGGAAAAGGGGCTCTGTATGACAGAATAAATATAAGAGAGAGAAAAAGAAGTGACTGAATAGAGCGATTGGGGACTAATGCTGTCGTGCTGTCCATCTAGCCGAGATCGACAGGGTCTTGAAGAAAGTTAGCGAAGGAGTAGATGCCTTTGAGACCATCTTTGAGAAGATTCACTCAACTACGAATGCCAATCAAAAAGAAAAATACGAGCAAGACCTAAAGAAAGAAATTAAAAAGCTCCAGCGCCTACGCGATCAAATCAAAACCTGGCTATCGTCTAATGAAATTAAAGACAAAAGAGCATTACTGGAAAACCGCAAACTCATTGAGTCTCAAATGGAACGATTCAAGGCAATCGAGAAAGAGATGAAGACCAAGGCCTATTCAAAAGAAGGTCTTATGCAAAAAGAAAAGATGGATCCAAAAGAGAAAGAAAAGATGGAGACATGTGAATGGATCTCATCTGCAGTAGATGATCTGTCAAGGCAGGTTGAAGCAGCAGAGTTTGAACTAGAAACCCTCCAAAGCACTACACGAAAAAACAAAAAAGACCACGCAAAGGCAGAGCGTGTGAGCAAGATCGAACACTCTTTAGAACGGAATAAGTGGCATATTAATCGTCTAGAGCTCACATTACGACTTTTGGAAAATGATCACTTAGAGCCTGAAAAGGTAGCGAAAAAAAAAACGATTTATATATATAATACTATAACAAAAATATTGATTTATTTTTATTTTGATGTTGTAGGTTATGAACATTCAAGATAATGTCAAATATTACCAAGATTTTAATCAGGTAAATATAATCACTAATATTTCTTTGTAATTTTTGAGACATCAAATATATGTATATATGTAAAAAAATGATAATCGAATCGCATTGCTATTTTGTATCAAGGAACCTGATTTTGATGAAGACGAATGTATCTACGATGAACTTAATTTGGAAGAGGAAGAGGCATTATTTGCAATCGGAGCAGAGGAACACAGTGCAGCGCAAGAAGGTATAATGCGAATTCTAAGAGTGTTATATACCTCAAAAATACTAATAATAATCAATGAAATTTTGAAATTTTAGAGGAAGCTTCCAAACGATTAGCTAAAGAAAAAGACGATGAAGTAAATTTACATTGATATATACACAATGTGGTTTTTCTGTTATTTACATATATGTTTTTTAACGTATTTTTTCTTATAGGAACTTTTGAACTCACCTCGCAAATTAGATACCGAACAGAGCAGTCCAAAAACAAGTGAGTTTACATATACACATATGTATATATATATATATACGCACATACATAGAAGGGAGGTATTTGGGGAATAAGTGAAGGAATGGTTTATATTCAAACCATTAGTGTACTCTGAAGAGGCGCCGGCAACCCCTATAGATGAAACACGATCTACACCCAGTCCTGTTAAGGCAGCTGCGATCCCTCCATCTGACCTCCAATCTCCCGTCAAGTCCCATGAACCCACACCTTCTGCACTAAAATATGCTCAGGCAGCAGCAGCAGCAGCTTCTCTCCCTAGTGGATTTGAGCCTCTTCGATCCAATAAACCTGAAGATGGTAAAGGTAAATAAGAAGATCTTACATGGACAATTTTGGTTGAAGTTTGTGTTTTTTAGATGAGAAGCAGGAAAATGCTTGGGTAGAACCTCCTAAGATTTTGGATCAACCCAAGAGTTCTCATGGTGTAAGTGATCGACCTATTCAGCAGTCTCAGCCAGTTTACCCAATGCAGCCAATGTACTCTATGCAACAGCAACAACAACAACAACAACAGCAGCAGCAGCAGCAGCAACTGCAACAGTTACAAATGCAACAGCAACATCAGCAACAACTGCAACAACAACAACAACAGCAACAACAACAACAACAGCAGCAGCAGCAGCAGCAGCAACAACAGCAACAACAGCAGCAGCAACAGCAACAGCAACAGCAACAGCAACAGCATCAACAAGCATATTCGATGCCACCGACACAGTCACTACTATCGTCCCAATACTCTGGGAAACCAGTAAGTGAACGAGTAACGTGTATAGTATTTTATTGTGCGTTCTTTTGATTCTTACAAAATTTGAATATTACACATTTTTCTTTAAAAAAAAAAGACTTCGGATATGAATGAGTCCCGCCTTCCGTCATCTCTGGCCGATTTGGCACCTGCCTTTGAAGCTATTCGTGCAAAAGGTAGAATTTGTGAACATTCAAGTACACCCAAGTGTTAAAGTATGATATATATATTTATATATAGCTACAGGAAAAGAAGATATGATGTACACGCATCAAATGCTGGATGCAAGTTTGCAACACGTACCGGATTTAATTGATTCAGAAAGGTGACACATACACACATCAACAGGATGTTTGATTCGTTACTTACAGAACATTAGGCCCAAGATGTATCAGCCCAGAACACCTTTTCCTACTGCCAGCTATTACCCCCAACAGCCTTTGGCTATCTTTGATAATCCTGCGTTGTTTGAGAAGTTTGATATGGATGCACTATTTTTCATATTCTACTATCAGCAAGGATCTTATCAGCAGTAGGTCCTATTAGACAACAAGTAGATCAAAAAAGTATTCAAATTGTTATCTAGGTACCTGGCAGCGAAAGAACTGAAGAAACAGTCTTGGCGCTTTCACAAAAAGTATCTTACATGGTTCCAACGCCATGAGGAGCCCAAGATCATCACCGAAGATTATGAACAGGGCACTTATATCTACTTTGACTATGAAGGAGCCTGGTGTCAACGGAAGAAGATTGAATTCCGGTGAGTATCTTGGATAGGAATCCAAATGATGATTATATTGACTGTATCATGAATATTTGTAGGTTTGAATATCGTTATTTGGAAGAAGCATAACTAATTGCAATTGTTTCTAAAGAACAATTTATTTTATTTTTTCATTCTAAATTGATATACATTATATATTATGTATATGTATATGTATACTACATCCCTTTCTATAACTTCCTAACCTTCCGTTTATCCTTCTTCTATATACAATCCTTTATATATATTTTTAGTAACACATTTTATAAAATATATATAAAATACAGGTTTCTCTCTCTCTCTTTAACTGCACACACATTATACAATTACTCACTTAGTCACTTAGTCACGTGTACGTGGAGTGTAAAAAAAATTGAATCTTTCAATATGAAATTGTAGTCTTTACCAGTGCTTTTTTAAGAAGAAGAAAAAAAAAAGAAGAAAAAAAATAAAAAAAGGATATAGATAAAGAGAAAGTCAAACACACAGAGAGAAATAGAGAGAAAGAGAAATAAGAGGGGTTAAAAAAAAGGGGGTAAAAAAAAATAGAAGAAAAATAGGACAAGTTGGATTTGGTAAAGGTAAAAGATAAAAAAGTAATAAACAAAATGTTATGATATTGCTTTAAACTATTTTGTTCCATTACTTCTTGTGCCCCTTTCATTGCTTTAATTTTCGCATTCTTTCTTTACCAGTCCTTCTTGATATCAAAAGACCAGCTCCACTCCATATGAGTGACATTGTCGTCGTCAATGAATCGACTCTGGAAGATAAAGAAAAAAATAATAGCAGGAGTTTGATTAGTCGATCACTTTTTCTTTTCTTTTCTTTTCTTTACGCGTATAAAATGGATCTATAATTATTTATTTATTTATTACCATCGCAACATAGTGGCCACGAGCCAACATGCCAGAAGGAGCCTCCTCGAGCTGGAACTTCTTTTCATAGGCATCGGCAGAGGGGCCGTAACTGCCAATCATCTCTTCGGTCTTGTCAACTAAAAATAACCAATGGCCGTTTGAGATGGGAAATTATTCATGATTGGGGAAGCGTGGCTCAGATGTGTTACCTGTGATACCCCTTCGCTTGACGATCTGGAGGTATTTCAAACCCGAGACAACCTCATGTTGGACTCTACAGATAAAAATAAGTCCTACACTCAAAGGCTTACAAACACATGTATCTATATTTACCTGAACTTGACCTTCATACGGTACTCAATACCTTCCTTAATAGTGAAGGGGGTATTCTTGGCCTGTTCAAGTGCATCTATTTTATTAAGGAAAAAAAAACGAGATGGCCGCGTCAGATGAGAGCTTGTCATCAGATGACATTTTGACACTTACGTTGGGTAGACAAGTCAACAATAACATCATCGCGTCCCTCAATCTCGAGAGCAATGTAGTCAACAACAACCTATAGTAACAATTGGGGTTCAATATACATATATGCGTAAATAGAGTACAAGTGTGTAACTCACTCTACGGGGGTCGTCTGCGGGAGAGATGGCTACATAGAATTAATATAAGAGTAAATTGGTCAATATACTGTATATAAATGACGCCTGTGTGTCTATGTTTGTGTGTGTGTGTGTGTATGTGTGTATGTGTGTATGCATACATGCATGCATCTTTGTGTGTATCTATGTATATATCTGTACACACATATGCTGTACAAGCACAAATATATATATTTGTGTTTGTGTTTGTGTTTATAAATTCGTATGCGTGTATTTACCAGAAGAGTTGCCCAAACCAAGACTCTCCTTCCACTTCTTGAGACTCTCGTCCTGGGCATCAAGGTCCTGGTACTGCTCGAGAGTCTTCTTCTCTCCAGGCTTGTAACCAGCAGTCTGGGAGGGAATAAGATCATCGTCGTGGTGGTCAGCCATTTGAGAGTTTAGTTTACAGGTAATATAAAAAGAGAAGAAAGTAGAGAAAGAAAAGAAGAAGAAGAAGAAGAAAGATACTTGATTTTTGAACTAAATGAATGAAAATGATGAATCAATTTTGACGCTGTATAAAGCGTGGGTGTCTATTTTTGTTCTGAGCTTCAATGTTGAGCGTGTTACGCCAATCATTTGGCCAGTAACAACGTGTACTGTTTCCATTCCACCTCCCAATCCTCTCTTGCTCTCTCTCTCTCTCTCTCTCTTGCTCTCGCTCTCTCTTTCTCCCTTTCTCCCTTTCTCCCTTTCTCCCTTTCTCCCTTTCTCTCTCTCCCCCTCTCTCCCTCTCTCCTCTTCAATCCAATATCTTTCCTTGGTTACATATCATTTTCTGTAGCTATTTATTTTTGGACTTTTTTTGACTGTCTTTCTTCCTCTTCTTCCTCTTCTTTGCTTCTCTTAATCTATACCTGACTCTTTCTACCCCCTTTCTATCTCTTTCTCTCTCTCTCTCTATACATATTTTGTGTCTGCGTGCGCCTGTCTGTGCTTGTGCCTGCACTTGTGTCTGAGTGTGTCTGTGTGTATATCTATATAGGTTATTAAGTTAGATTGGTCCGACTGTATATCCTTTCTATCATATACACATTTATCTGTATATATATATATATAAATATAAACAATGCTAGCCGATGCCTATGGTAAAGCTTATATATTATACTACTACTATAATTATAATCAGGATAAAAAAAATATTAAGGAATAATAAGGAATAATACTATATATATATATATATATATATATATATATTGTGTGTGTAAATATAGATATAAAACAATAATAATGTATTAACAATTATAATAATATTTATTCCTTTACATAAATGTATATATATATATTATCTGTACACCTACCTTGACTTAAAAACTCTAAAGACTTTCTACTTAAGTTACTACTAGTGGGTGATTCAGGTACAGGAAAGTAAGTCAAAGTGAATAAAGAAAGCATAGCATGTACCATTTACATGCAAATTCTCAAAAACAAAAAACAAAAACAACAACAAACCAAAAAAAAATATACATTCAATAGGTCATGTCTCTTGCATCACTTTCTAGAGAACCAATGTAAGAACTGAAATGCAATCTTTAGAGTACACTGATTGATGGTGATTAGTCAAGAATGATTCCGTCAATACGATTGGAATGGAGTTTGGAACCCGTATTATTCACATTGCAGACAAATCTATTAAACTGCAAATATGGGACACCGCAGGACAGGTAACAGAAAGAACTTTACACGATATATAAATCGATAGCTATTAGATAGAAAGATAGAGAGAGAAATGTAGTCAAATTTACTATTACTGTACTGTACTGTGCTGTTCCGTACTGTGCCGTACTGTACTGCGCTAATATTTCTGCTTACACACTTTTTATATTATATATTAGGAACGATTTCGGTAAGCAGATCACGGCTAACTGTAGATAAGATCACCTATTGAACTGGAAATACTTTGGCTTCGGCTTTGGATTATTAGATCACTCACAAAAAGCTATTTTCGTGGTGCAGCCGGAGCGTTTGTTGTCTATGACATCTGCAAGTAGGTAGGGGGCCATGTGAGATAAACTTCTCTTGCCAGCATACCCTCTCACTTTAATTATGCAGCAGAGACACATTTTTGGGCGTCCGTTCCTGGCTCACCGATGTCCGATCTCTTGCCAATCCAGAGCTTGTGATTATCCTAGTCGGAAACAAGAACGATCGTCAAGAAGAACGAGAAGTATCATATCTAGAAGCAAGCCGGTTTGCACAAGAGCATGGTAAGTATAGACCGATATAATAGGATCGCTAATATTAAGGATTGGTCATCCTGTCATTTGTCGTACATCCCTAATAAACTACATATCTATGTGTCTTAGAAATGATGTTCTTGGAAGCAAGTGCCCTTTCAGGTGATGGAGTAGAGGATATCTTTTTCAAATGTGCACGGTCAATTCTTAGTAAAATAGAGACCGGTCAGATTGATCCAGAGAGGAGTGGGAGCGGTGTACAGTTTGGTGACTCTAGCTTGAGACGAATGACACAACGCACTCGGACACGGAGGAAGGAGCGGTCCTGTTGCTTCTGAAATGATAGCAATCCCAGGCGAATAACAACAAGAAGGAAGAAGAAGAAGAGAGAGAGAAAAAAAGGATTTCACACCACAAATTATATCTATCACCAAGTACTACATCTTACCAATCCCTTGCACATCAAACACTAACCAATTTCTCTCACCTTAACCCACAGGTCTCACATATTCCCTATTTTCTTCTTACCTTTATCATTATTATTATCAATCTATCTATTCTTCTTCTTTATTATCTCTTTTACATACCTACCTTTACTTTACATACCCCATCTGCCTTACACACAAATATATGCATGGATATATTACATTTATATATTAAAGAAAGAAAGAAAGACAGAGATAAAATAGAATATTTGGTACATTTCTCATTTTACTTCTATTATTTTTATGGTGTTTTATATAAATATAAATATAAATATAAGTATAAGTATAGTTGATTTTTGTGGATTAAAGAATTTTGGAATATAATTATCATGATAAGATTATGCTTGTATACAATATAAAATGTGTTTGTGTGCTGTAAAGGAGTATAATTTTTTTTTCGTTTGTTTGTTTGTTTTAGGATTAGAATTTAGGTTGCGAAAACTGTTAATTTGCCACGTTGAACAGCGGATGCAAATGCTTCTTCCATGTCTCTTTCTTCCGAAAGTTCCATACTTTCACCTGTAATCTCGTCCTTGTAGTTCAGCTGGACATTAAATCCAAGTCGATCGTGAATTCTGTCCCGCAACACATCCAGTGTGGTATTAGCAGGCACTTTTATGGCAAAAATGTCATCCTTGTGAACAATCTTGATCTTGATAGTGTCATAATAAGCCCCACCAACAATAGCACCAGGCATAGGTTGTGACACGGACTGTTGGGGTTGCTGTGTAAACATAGCAGGATCGCTGCGAGGGTCATGGTCGGTTTCAATGTCGCCCTCATGAATACCAAATAACTGGACCTGAACAAGATCGCCCTCAGATATATAGCGGGGAAGCCCAAGAAGATCTTTACAATAAGTATTCAAATCGCGTTGGCGCTCAGCTAAAGTAAATGAATCCCAAAAAAAAAAGAGAGAATGTTAAATTGTTAATTGTTAATTGTTAATTGTTAGCTATAATTTCTTATATTTATCCGTATTCTCATTTAAATAGAAAAATATATATATATTTCTAGAAAAAAAAAGTCTTACCTGTAATTTCCTGGTCAATGACAGCTAAAGGACCAGGCATGTAAGGAAGTATTCGTTCACGTTTAGCTTTTCCAGCCTCTACGGGATAATCATTTAACAGATTGATCTGAAAGTCGTAAAAGTCTATTGATCAAATAACGAATTGTAAGAATTAGTTTATTGGAAAACTAAAAGAATACATCTATTTCCAAACTTACCTTCATAAAGACGATATAGAATTCGATGGGTATTATTACTGAGGCGGGTATAAACTACAAACCAATACTGATCTCCTTCCAAAATAAACGAGTCGATAACAGCTGAAACAACCACAGCCTGTGTGTGTTGAGTGCCATCGGCAGTTGCTGTTCTTGACCGAGAAGTACTGTTGTGGCGTGACAGATATTCTTCCGAGAGAGGGCGGTGGGTAGGACTAGCGATATGTTTCAAGCCATAAATGTCCATCATATCATCCAATTGTTCTTCTTCAATTGGCTGTTTAGATGGCATGTTTCTTTCCACCGTGGCTGCCATTACAATTGGTTGGCTTGCAGAGGATCGAGTAGACCATGAAGATCCACTCTTAACTGATCTTCCCTCATTAATTGTATCTTGAATTGGAGATTGGAATTGTGATTGGGATTGTTGTTGTGTTTGGAGTTGTTGTTGTGGCTGTTTATCGATGCGACCAAGAGGAATACTAGAGGCCTCGTAGCCTTGTGTCATCTTTTTCCATTCTTCTACATTAGGAATGAAGTTTGAAGATGTCTGCCTGAGATTAGATACGTTGGTAATTATCTGGCCAGAAACTGCATCTCTGACTTGGACAAATGAAACTGGGATCAGACCAGGACCACCCAATCTACCGATTGGTTTGGCCACAAACCACTCGGGATTAGATTGAGCAATCACTATGATCGGTTCACCCTCCTTGGCATTCAATTCATCAGATCTTTCAGCTTGAAAATCGTAGAGAACAACGCCATACAAGTGTGAAGTCTTTTTAGAAGGAGCTGTTTTTATATATATAACAAATCAACTTTATGAGATCTTGTACTAGGCTTCTTTGTCTTTGTCTTTTGATTTTGATTTTTGTCTTTCTTGTTTGCTTACTGGGTAACATTGTATCTGCTGAATCGGAAAACCCAGAGTCTGATTTGATGTTAAGATCATTCAATGGTTGTGCTACAGCAAGATTCCGTTCTGCCTTATCAAGCACTTGGAAAAATGCAACTGGGACAAGTCCTTTGGTATTAGTGGCAGGGTTGCAAGCTTCGAACCATTTTGAATCGTTTTCTCGGGCAGTAACATGATAAAAGTCGCCTTCGGAGAATGAGAGCTCGTCGGGGCCTTGTGCCTGATAATCATACAGTGCCTTGATGATCTTCTTTGGAGCAGCTAATGAGGCGTGATGGGTGATTGGTATACCGACGGGTGTTGATATTTTGTTCTTTACGAGCGAACGACGAGCAGAGCGAAGACTGAGCGGTGGCTTCACTTTTTCTTTTGTGAACATGGAGGGGATGGAATGGAATGGGGTTGAATCTGATTAGATTAGTGTGTGCTGTAAAAGAATAGATCCAAATTCAGAAAAATGGAATCGTCAAGTAATAAAAAGGAAAGGAAGGTGGTAGAGGTGGGGGAGAAGTGGGCCCGTAAAGAGAAAGAGAAAAAGAGAGGGAGAGAGGGAGAGAAAAAGGTAAATGAAGTGGAGCTGGGCAAAAGTATTGCAAAAAATAGAGTACTGTATGCGTGATTGCGGAACAACAAAAAAAATATATGGTATAATGGAGTGAAATGAAATGAAATCCTATAAAATAAGAATCAAAGCCAATAAAACAAATCCAGTGTTTAAAATAGATTTCTTTTTCTTTTTATTCTTTCTCTAGTTGCCTAGCAATAAATTAATTTGCTACTGTCATTATCATTATTTCCTTTGAAATAGATCAATTGATCGGGTTGCCTAGAAACAGATAACAATAACAGTAATCAAAAGAAAGGGCAGTGGTTTGTATTCAACCGAGGGTTTTCGTTGTTCATCAAATGCCCATTGGTTGTGAGTGTTGTCTAAAGTGGTACAGTGTTCTAGTTGAAGTACAGGCCATTTACGTGTTATGATGACTTTCTGGTTCAATTGTGCAACATCTGTGTGATGTGCCTGTTGAATATCGCGCGCGCCACTGTAAGAAAAACAAAACAAAAAAGGTTACAAGTGATTCATTTAAAAAAGAAAAAGAAAAAAAAAACTTGCAACTTTTTAAGGTCATATATACACTATTTCCGTAAATTATTTGCTCACTATGAAAAAAAAATGGCAGACTCACTAGTACCTTTGTGGACTCAGACTTGCAGAGTTGTACAAAATAATATGCTCGATAATACTATTACTAAACGTACAAAGTGTTATGTATGCTATTGAATCAACCAAAATTCTCGTCTCTTTTGACTATAAAATTGTTATATACTATTTGAGTATGTAAGACTAGATTTACTTATCCAACTCTAAATAGATATATATATATATTACTTGTTCAATTGACATGTAGAGCACTCATAGGAGCCAATGTAACCAGCTACAATACTATTGTAAGAATGAAAGCTCAAGTGGTATAGTCTCTAATTCCGGACTATTAGCTATAAAAGGTCTTTTATTCTTAATGAAGGTATGGTAACAAGCGAGAATGAACAACTTCAAGAAGATACGTTGTCAAGACAATAGATATGAGCTCCAATAATTAGGAGGAGCCAAATGAGAATATTTAATTGAAAAGGTCTATATGAATGAGAATCAGTTGTTAAAATATGAAAATAGAAGTGTGTTTAACAAGGTGAAATAGAAATCCTTTATTATTTTTGCTAGAATTTCTCTGTTATGGAAGTTATTTTTTTTTTGAATTAGAGGGTGTATATAATATTTCTGTAAAATGTTTTGAAGCGAAAGGAGGAAGTTGTCAGACAAAGTGTTCGTGTATTTATATTAGTTTACACTAACATCCATAATCACCAAAGGTTTAAACCCACCTGCCCAGAAGCAACTCTATGTGTGCATATATGGGCTTTCAACTATTTTGAGTTATTTAGTTTATCCATAGTTGATATCGGCTATGTATCCTGGCTCAGGAGACCAAACTACATATCTCCATTACTCACAAAACCAATCTAGATTCCCGCGAGTCTTTATTGTGTCTTTATTGTCTGCACTATATACCCCAAGACTTGAAATCTTGATCCAGCTTACTGCCGAGTATATACAGGCAAATGCTTCTGTTTTCTTCAATAGAAATTTCAGCCCAGAATATGAGACAAATAGGTCCTTTATAACCACCCGTACAAGGTAATTTTTGGTTCGTTACTTAATACTGCTAGACGTTCCACGGTTTTCATTTTTTTATTTTTTAAACATCTCAAAAATATAACACATACTAGACTTATTAAACATTTTACACTGCCAAAGTACCAGCTAACTACTGCTTAATGGAAATATTAAAATTTTGCTAGCCAAAGTATCTGTAAAACCAGTTGTATTATTATTTTTTAAAACAATTGACAATTTCTGTAGGATATTTAGTGTCCATTTTAAATAGCCTTGTTTACTTCGCCATAGTTATTAGCAAATAGACACTATAATATAGCTATAAAATTTAGATTTTACTTAATTATGATGTATATACTACACAATATGTATATATACACAAAAAGTATGATGTGAAAAACAAACTTTACTACTAAACTGCAAGTTTCAAGACACATCCTTGTTGTACATCCCACAGTTTCACAATTCACTTTTTTTTAAAAAAAGAAAAAGAAAAAGAAATGGTCTTCCTATTCTTGATTTCTACAGTTATTTTATATGCTACTGCTCCATTTGTTTGGAACAAACAGTCATGCACTTGTACACTTTACAGGGAATAGATCTATTGGCATGATAACGGTTAGTGTGTTAGCGGTCTATAAGTATATCACATAACTTGTAACTGCGTCAATATTTAAGATAAGAGAGAGAAAATAGTGTTAAATCATGTGCTTTTAATTCCATCTGTTTTTCAATATTGTGCGTGCGTAAGAGAGATAGATAGATAGATAGATAGAGAAATACAAAGCATCTTATTATTTTTCCATGACAACCGGAACTACTGTTGGTTAAAATTTAATATAAAGAATAAGAAAAGCCAAGTGATAGGGTGGTGTTACTTTATTATACTTTATTTTTTCAGAGAATATAAGGGACTATATATTAGTAAGAATAAGAATAAGAATAATGGGAAGATGGGGCCTTTTTTTCTTTCTTTCTTTTTCATTGACCTTTGTCTCTATGTGATAATTAGGGCACGTGTCCAAGTACCTTTTCATAAAGACATTTTTATTTTTGGCTTTTGGCTTTTGGCTTTTTGGCTTTTTGGCTTTTTGGCTTTTGTATTCTTTGTATTCTTATTATTATTTTTGGTTTCATGGAATTGTGTGGCGATCCTTTTGTCTGTGCACAGGTTCAATGATAAAAATACAGCTTTCGCTGGAAGGAAAAGTGGTGGTCTTTAACCTCCTCTTCTTTACCCCTTTTTTGTTTCTTCTTTATATATACTTTATATTTATTTGTGATATTGGATTTTCTTGTCTACTCTTGATCACATGATACTTTATTAATAATATGTCTTTATAACATATCCTACTATATTACACTACATTACACCACACTCTATTACACCATACTACACTATAAAGCAAAAATGTGGGCATGCCATTGCAAATACATATATGCATATATATATATATATTGGGTGGCAATAAATTTAACCTAAAATTCATTTAATATACATATAAATATATATAGTAGGTAGATGGCAACTGTAACCAAGCAACAGTTCAAATTGCTCAGAATTCTTAATATTGATAAAGATACTGTCGATAAATAGGTAATTATTGCTCTAAGCCCAAAGTTTCTGTATCCAGCTTACTCTCTCTCTCTCTCTCTCTCTCTCTCTCTCTCTCTCTATAGGTATATATATTTATATGTATGTATGTGAATATCTGTATCTGGGTGTGTGTATCTTTATGCTCTATTGAACGTCACACTCATTTGGAAAGAACCACATGATAGCTCCTAATTCAATCTATAAAAAACCCTTGCGCAAATTACAAGCCCATAGCCAACCCTTTCTCTCTCTCTCTCTCTCTCTCTCTTTATATATTTCTTCCCGTTTCTATTTGCTTCTTCTTTCTAAAAGAGATACAAGACTTGCTCTGTTTGTAGTGATTTGTGCTTGTGTATTCGCCTGTACTTATTTTATTAAACAAATCTGACTTATTCTTATTCTTATCTGTGGTTTGTGCTGCGCTTATTTTTTTTTTATATATAATATATATAATATATATATACATATGTTAGTTTTGATTTTTGATTTTTTTCTTAATTTATATATATAAAAAAGGGACTTCTTGAATATAAAGCTGTAAAATATTCAAAGAGTGAATGCATATATGTATATATATTGATTGATATTAATACATACAAAATATCTATATTGCATTGTACAAATTATCCTGTTCATTTATCACACGTAGAGCTACCTGCCCTTATTTCTTTTCTGTTTTCGAGACTTACCCTTAGAGCAGTTCAAAAAAGAGACAAAGAAGGAGTGGAAGGTACATAATATAATATAACATGACTTGGAGTCCAACCTCTATTTTCCCCATCTTGTTTTTTTATACCTTTTTGTTTTATTTTATTATCATTCTCTCTCTCTATCTCTATCTCTATCTCTCCTTCTCTCTGTACAAATCTATCTATACCATATTTTTTCTTGTTACGATGCAACGCCACGTTTACCTCAAATCATCTACCTTTCCCCTCACTATGCAACTGATCAACAGCCATCCAATATTATAATATTCCCCACTCTAAAATGCTCAAGATATCACGAACGTCACCCAACGATGACGAAAACACTCGTTCCAATGGTAAACTATTTCATATTTTTCCCCTATAGCTCTCCTTTGGATTTTATTATTTTATTTTATTTTTGATTATTTTTGATTATTATTTTTTTGGGATTTTTATTATATAATATATATATATATAATATAATATATATATATAAATAATATAATACAATATATTTAAATATAGAATAAATAAGTATAAGCATATATATATATATATATATATAAAATGATAATTATAACATATCTATATATCTCTATATTCTATATAAATATTCAGTTTTGCTACAGTTTCTAATTCTTTCACTTCTTTCGTCTTTTCATCTTTTCATCTTTTCATTATTATTTTATTTATTTATTTATTTTTGACAGATACGTCCAATTTGATGACCACTCCTCACCACACCAATTCAAGCCCGATCCCAAGAGCCATGAACCGACCAAACTATCAACCTCAAACCTTACATGGAAGCAGGATAGATCTTAGGCTCCTCCAAGAAACCCTAGGAGATTCATTCGATGACACTCTTGACTCTCTTGACAGTGACTCTCTCGAGCTCATAGACCCCCAATCCTCTGCCTCTGAAAATGATCAAGACCAACAAGCCAAAAATAAACAACCTAACAACCGCAACCGCAGCCTCAACCGCAATATAAATACCAATACCAATACAAATACAAATACCAATACAAACAACAAACAACATCAAGGCCATTCTAATCCTAAATCTGAATCTGACAATAATAATAATAACAATAATAATAATAAGGATCATAAAGAAGAAGAAGAAGGTGATGATGATGATGCCTACAGTACTGACGACATGGGATCCGAAACCATCCTTGGTCTTCTCCGTGGACACAAGGATCTTAGTCAACAAATGGCCGCAATTGAACAAGAGATAGGATGGTCACCAGACGACACTAGTAAATCTCGTCATCCTTTTGAACCAACCCTTCTCAGAGTGCTGTACATGGGATCTGCTACAACAAGAGATAAGCAACGTTTCTTCCGCAAACTCACCGATGGTCTTGCCGCAGTTGTGCACAGCAAAGCCAGTCATCCACTACCGCACGTCTTTAAGGAACGCAAGCACCATTTGTTGATGATGAGTGTTATATCTGATAGAGATGACACCCGCACAAGTGCCTACGAAGACAATGGCGTGTCTGTAATCGAAGCTGACTTTACGTCTTCTTCACCAACCGCAATTTCGGATCCTGATGGCCTCAACGACATCGTCCTGTCGTATGTGTCCCACCAATGCGATGATCCGATAATCTGGTTGAGTAATCAATCGGCCAAGGGAGACTTTAAAGGATTTGCTTATCCAGAAAAAACTCCAAATGGTATCGATCTCTGTGTTTATTTCTATGACGGAAGTCATCCCTATGATAAGGGTTCAAAAGAATATGCTCGTTTGGAAAACGAAATTTCTACCCTGTGGAGAATCAAACGCTTAAAGATCCCTATCATGGCCATTCTTTCAACGCCTCCCACTCATCCGCAGGTATCCTCCGCCTCCTCCTGCTCCTCCTCTTCTTGCTCCTCCTCTGTCTCTAAGCGTAATTCTATTACCTCCCACAACACTTCCTCTCCACCACATTCCCCCCACAGATTCCCCAGTTTTACCGCAAAACATTCATCTGTTTTATCACCCCAACCACATTTACATCCATCACAACAACTCCCACCATCATCTTCTTCTTCTTCTACCAACACCGCCACTGCCAATATTAATTCCAATTCCAATTCCAGTACCCATACCAATCCCAATGCCAACACCAATGCCACTGCCAATACCAAAGCAAATATCAATACCAATCCCAATCCCAATCCCAATACCAATACACCTGCTTCTACTTCTACTACTACTTCTACTACTTCTGTTCCTGTATCTGCTATTGCTACTGCTACTGCTACTCCTCATTCTATAGCTTACACTCTCACTGTAGCTGATCGTCGATCCCAACTTGCCGAGTTATTGGCACGTTTCAAGATACGTTGCGTAGACATCACTTGTCTCGATATCGAGCAACCTTCTTTTCAGCGCCGTAACTTTAGAAAGGCATCCACAGCAACAGCTGGTACGGGATTGGAATATCGTATGGGTCACTCCTGGGCCATATCGAGCATTACTGCGCCAGAGCCATACCAGATTTTGACAATTGACCAGTTTTCAAATGTCCATCAGAACGCTGTGTCCGAGTTACTGCGACACACTCGTCGTCTGGCAGCCGAAAGAGAAAGAAAACGAGAAATAATAAGAATTCAAGAACGTCGTGTCACAACAGCAGATCCTCAACCACCCCTGAACCAACCTACTCCCGCCACAAAATCAACTTTCCCGCTTACTTTATTTTCCTTGTTTCCATGGTTACCACAGCCGCCACGAGCATCATCCTCACCGTTGCCATCGTCATCGGCATCGGCATCGCCTTTGTTTTTGTTTTTGTTTTTACTTTTATTGTTGATGTTTTTATTGTTTTCAGTTGCCATGCCAATGTGTTGTCAAGATAGATTTTGTGGAGTTTCAAAGTACTATTTGCCAAAACCTTTGTCGACTAAAGATTCAACCTACAACCATCATTACAACCATAACAATAACAATAACCATGGCCATGACCAATATGAATATAAAGAGCAACAGAAAGAGTGGTCGGCGTCCCTCCATCTTACCAATGAGTCTGATCAATATTTTGGATTCCTTATCCGTGTGCAGCAGGAGCAACGGACGCTTTGGCCACCTGTGGACCCCGTGGCTACCCTGAGTAATGCATCTGTTAATGTGGCACGATCAGATGAAGAGGGGCATTATTTGTTTCGGATTCCTAAACCAGTGTGTGGACAACAGACAGATGGTTTTCAAAATAGGGCTGCTGATGTCAGAGTGGCAATTCCACAAGTGATACACGTTCTCGGGAGTCCTATTTTGTTTGAATCTTTACCTTGCTACCAGCCACCCTTACAACAGCAACAGCAACAGCAACAACAACAGCAACAACAAAGAATTTCGTCGTCCAATTTAGGTCGTTCGTCTTTAAAACATTTTACCAACTCTCCACAGCACCCAGAATCAAATATCTGTCCAGTACCGGCACCAACACTAGTTCCATCTCCAATACCTAATTCACACTGGGAACGGCTTTCGTGGTCTGAATGGACTCATGAAGCGCTCTACATAGTAAACAGTATAGGATTTTATTGGGATAATTGGAGATTGTTAGCTAGAGAAGTTTTGTAATTTCTTTTCTCTTTCTTTTCATATCATTTTTCACTCCAATTGTTTCCATTATTTTTTCTTTCTTTCTTTATATTTGATTTGATTTGATTTATATTCTTTGCTTATCTTGACTTTTGACTTGATTTGTATTTATCTTCTTCTTGTTGCTTTTTTGCTTCAATTTTTTTTATATATATATATATTTTTTTCATTCTTCAGTATTCATTATATTGGGTGTTTGTATTTGAGTTGTAAATATCAGCTTGCTTTTTATTTTCTTTTCTTTTCATTTCATTTTTATTTGCTTGTTTATTTGTTTATTTGTTTATTTGTTTTTTTTTATGCTTGATAGACAAAATAAAGTATATGATCCAAAGACATCTAAAGATGAAAAAGTTCTTGAGAATAAATAAATATATATAGTAGGGATATAAAGGAGATATAAAAATTGGATAAATGGATCAAATTTGTCTTGGTTGTTTTATGTACAAAAAAAAATAGAGAGAAAAGGAAGAACAAAATGAGTTCTAAAATTAGATATCCTTGACAATAGAATCGATAGGAGCACCCTTGTAGATGATTCGATAGACGGTCTCGAAAAGAGGGAATTCGGAAGTCATGTTGCGAGGAGCAAGGAACTGGTGAACTTCCTGGGCAGTCAATGTACCCTGCAGCTTCTGACCGTTCAACAGCTCGCGCTCGAGTTCGTCAATGGGCTTTCCTGTCAACACAAAAGCCTCGGCCACCTTGCGGTTACGACCACCAGAGCAGGTTGTAATCAGATCGGCCACACCACACGACTCAAAGAAGGTAGTGTCTTCTACACCACCAAAGAAAGTCTGGCCAAATTTACGCATCTCCATCAAACCCAAGCGGATAATGGCAGCCTTTGTATTGCTTCCATAGCTAACAAGCAAAATGTATATTAGAACCAACAACAAAAAGCTAGATTTATTCCTATTCCGAGAAATCCCGCCAACCCCAACGAAAAAAAAAGGGAAGTAAAATACGAACAAGAATATACTTTGGACCAACAAAAAACCAAAATACTCAAATAAAATAAAAACTTACCCAAGACCGTCAGATAAACCAGCGCCAACAGCCACAACATTTTTCAAGGCACCACAGAGTTCGACGCCGACATAGTCGCGGATCACATTGACGTGGAAATAGTCGGTGTTGAACAGCTTGAAGAACAACTCGCCATCAGCCTGGGAACGACAACCGATTGTGGTTTCGCAAAACTTCTCCTGGGCAACTTCGTCCGCAATGTTGGCACCACTCAATGCGGCCACATTAATACCCAACAGACGGGCAATTTCCTCTGAGAACAAGGTCACGCCCTCAGGCTTGATTTCGAGACCCTTGATGAGCGAGATGGCCTTTGCATTGGACGGGATCTTGCCGCTCAGCTTATCGCACACACCACGCACAAACTGATGAGGCAAGACAAACACCAACACGGTGGCATCTTCACATGCGTCTACGAGATCAGGTACAGCTGTGAGGTTGTCTGCAAACTTGATTCCAGGCAGGTACCTAATGATTATTTTTATTTTATTTATTTTATAATTAGTTTTAATTCAATATATACACACACACATATATATATATATATATGTGTGTTTCAAATAATAAAAAAAGCTATTTGTTTCAATTGTTTCTTTATATAATATAATAGAATATAAAATGAAATTTTGAATATAATAATAATCTTAATACAAACTTACTTTGGGTTTTCATGTTCGCGGTTAATCACGTCTGTGAGCTTTTCTCCTTTAAAGTCTTCTTCGAATACCCATTGGCGCACTTGGCGTTCAAAGATATCTGGGTGTTTGAGGATGTTTTCACTGACAATTTTACCGACGGCTGAGCCCCTGATATGGTGGATAGGACAATAACAATAACAATAACAATAACAATCAGTGAATTGGTTTCAATTGACTTTCTTAAAGGTTTCATGTACTTCTTCCCTATCTCTATATCATTCTTCAAAAACTCTTTCTCTTTTTTTTTCCCTTTTATAAAAAGTATACTATTTTCTTCTATTGTTGCTATTATCAATAGTTCTAGTACTAATGATAATAATGATAATAAGATAGTAAAGAAGACGCACCAGTTTCCGGAGCCGATAAGACAGACACGTTCTTTTGACATTTTGGATAAGTTTCTTCTGTGAATTGAAAGGGAATAGAATGAAGCCGGTCTGACAGAGCGGGTCAATAGGTTTATATAGGACATTTAAAAGAGAGAAAGTAAAAAAAAAAAAAAAAAAAAAAGGAATTAATTATGATTTTTAAAAATCAAGCGGATTTGGAGTTGAGTCGGAAATTACCAACCAAAATAAATAAATAAAAATAAAAATAAAAAAAAAGGTCCAAAGTTGAACACCAAAAAAGTGAGGAGATTTGCAAGAAGAATACATAATAAGAAGTTTCTGTATCGGCAAGGTACTTTTACCGCTTATGTTTTATGATATATTATTGTCTGCTATATGCTGGTCTTTCGGTTTATTGGTTCTATCTCGATTATTATTACCGAGAAATTTGTAAATTTTTTCAATTTTTATTGCTATCAAATCTTCAGCAAATATTCAGCAATAACCCATGCGATGATGGTTACTCGACAGGGTCACTTTTATATTGCTGGATGACAAAGTTCTTCACGTGAAGTATATGTGTTTGAGCTACACCGTCCTTAAAGAAAAAAAAATTAGCAATTCAAGGCTGTTCGTTCATTGCTACATTTGTATTTTCTTTGGCTTTGTTCTGATCTACGCCCTTTTGGTTACACACCATTTTTCAGTGTATTTTCTAGCATTAATAATACTAATCGATCCATTATATTGTTTCTTGTTTATAGAATTCCTTTTTTCTAGTATCATTAATTAATTAACCAACTAACTAACTAACTAAAGATCTTTGCTCTTCTTTTGTCTTCTTGGGCCTTTCTCATTTTGTTTTTCAATTATTTATATATATATATATTGTCTTCACGTGAAGAACGAGCCAGTTTTACGTTTGAGTATATATGATTTTTTAATACAAAGATAACGTTGTCCTGTACCACTTGAGGAAGACAACAAGGAACCCACCGTCTCCCCCTATTTTCTTTCACATTTCCCACTTGCACAAAAAAAGAGAAAAATACCTCTGATTGTCTGTATGAGATTCTCATGTACTTTATTTCGGCTACCAAATAAAGTATTTTGAACGGGGAAGAATAAGACAAAACCATACAAAAAGAAAGAAAAAAAGGGGGGGTCACTGAATGATTATATGATTATATGATTATATGATTATATGGTTATGAACAGTAGAACCAACTATTTTTGTTGAGTTCAATTGAGTTCAATTGAGTTTAATTGAGTTCAGTTGAGTTAAGTCGAGTTAAATGTGACGTAGACTCAAAACTACCGGGATTTTTTTTGAGCCACAAAAGTGTGGCGCAAACCATGCCGTCAGTACCAAGTTCGAAATGGTATTAGTCTACAACAAAAGCTACCTAAATAAATAAAGAATGATTATCGAGGCATTACGATTTTCTTTTATTCTTAACTTTATCACTGCTACTGGTATTATTATAGCTATTCTAATATTGTTTAGCTGACACGATGCCCTGTTTTTTCTTCTTCTTCTTCTTAAAAGATAGTACTGTTTTTAGGGAGTGTGTTTAGCAGCCAAGTATAAGTTTCAATGATACTTTAAATGTATAGATTAATAAATCAAAAGACAAGATGTATAATGATAATAAAAATAAAAATAAAAATAAATAATAAAATGGCAATAGACTTGGATTGTATTACACACAAAGATTAAATACAGTACATTTGCAGTGTCATTACAGTGTCATTACTATGAGTTATAGTTTAGTACATCACAACATAGCACCATAGCATAATATAGCACATTACAACTCGCACCTTATATATATATATATAGTGTAAAAAAGGAGTTTAGTATTGAGAGTTTGGGGTTCGATGTTACACGTGACAGCCAAAATAAAATCAACGATTTCTTAATTATTTTTATTATTTATTTAATTTTTTATTTTTTATTCCTCCTGTCAATTTTTTTGTTTTTTATATCTTCTTTACTATCAACCAAAAAAAAACAAACAAACAAAATAAATAAATAATATCAAGACAGAACAAAGTCTGATAGACACACACACACAAATACACCGTATTTTAAATACTATAATATAATATAATCATTACTTCCTCTACTTCTTGGTCTTGTTTTCCTTCCTCATGGCCTACATTCCAGCAGAGAGTCTGCGTAATTTACACCTCTACAAGTATGCCGGTGTAGACAAGTCCTTGGTATCCCGCTTCATCCTTACACCTTACTGGAATACCCTAGTAAAAATATTTCCTCTCTGGGTCGCGTAAGTCACAACACTTGTATATCGTCTTTATTCTAACTCTTTATAAATTATATATGTGCATAACAATGAACATTAGTCCTAACCTCATTACCTTGCTCGGTTTGTTCTGCACAATCTTCAATGTCCTGACCCTCTTCTATTACGATACCTCTATCGGTCCTTGCCCCAACTGGGTTTACACGTCGTATGTGTTGTTACGGAGTACGAAACGATGTGTTTAGCAGTAATTCAAAACTAAACAAAAAAAAATGACATCAACATATTGACCTTTTATTTTTGGTTGATGATTATAATGATGGTTATTGTATATAACATAGGTTCGGTATTGGATTGTTTGTTTATCAGTCTTTGGATGCCATTGATGGAAAGCAGGCTAGACGCACTGGTGCTTCTGGACCTTTAGGCGAACTATTTGATCACAGTAAGTTGCTTTAAATATATATATCACACTTTGTTCCTGACAAATAGAGTATATGGTTTTCTCTTTTATTTATTTATTTATTTAAAACAATAGGCTGTGATGCTCTTAATACTATGCTTGGTGTATTCACATGGGCTTCTGCCACCGGACTCGGACAGAGCTGGTGGACAGTCTGCTCTTTGTTTGCCGGTCTTTGTAACTTTTATTTGTCGACCTGGGAAGAATATCACACAGGTGTTTTGTATCTCGGATATTTTAGTGGTCCTGTGGAAGGTGTGCTGATGCTGGTCGCTGTTCATTTGTGGACCGGAATTGCAGGTAAAAAGAAAGGAGAAAAATAAGAAGAAGGGAAGGAAAGGGAGGTAGGGGTAGGGATGGCTTTGTGAGGTATATGAATATTTTAAATATTTAAATATTTAAATATATGCTATTGCTTCATCTTTTATATAGGTCCTGATTTCTGGAAGCAAAACTTGAACCAAGTGGTTGACATTGACTGGCTTTACAGCCCTTACACTCATGCTATTGGAAAACTTCCGTTGAATCATCTCTTGATTATCGTTGGTGCTGTGGTGGTCGTGTTCAATATTTCATCTGCGTAAGAAGCTATTTATCTTGAACGGTTATATTCCAACAACAAACAATAATGATACTAACCCAGAAATCTTGTCTTTTCTAAGTCTGTTGAATGTCATCAAAGTAAAGATCTATCCTACCGATACGTCACACAAGGATAGATCTATTCTCAAGGCTGTCGCCGGATTGCTTCCATTTGTACTCATGACTGGTCTTTCGGTTGGATGGTTGTACATGTGGCCATCACTTGTGTACGAGGATTTGTCGACCTTTATCTTGTTCACTGGTCTCTTGTTTGGCCACCAGGTTGGCACAATCATCACTTCTCATGTAGCAAAGTTATCCTTTCCTTTCTGGGATACTCCTGCCATGGCACTACTTTGCACTGGCTGTGCATTGGCATATGTTGAAACAAGTCTGGAATGGTATGCACATAACACATATAAAGAAGAGGGAAATCTTGATCTGGATCTGGATCTTATAAATATCTGTATCAGTATTAATACCTTATCGACTTTTTCTTTCTTTTTGTTGTAGTTGCTCTGTTGCGATTGACCATCGTCTTGTCATCAGAGCCTTTCTTGTCCTTGCCGGTGCCCAATACTTTATCTTTATCATAGGTATCATCCAACAAATCTGTACATATCTCGATATTGGATGCTTGTATATTAAGAAGAAGAAGACACTTCATACTGAATAAAATTATATAAAGAAATATTAAAATCAATAAATGTATATCAACTAACATCAAAGAAATTTATATTTTGCTTTGTCTATCATTTACATCCAAATCAAATCAAAAGAATGGTTAATTGAATAGATAACTAAGATAACCTAAAGGGACTGTTAAAAGAAAGGGCTGGACTGTCAGTAAACAGTGGTAGATTTGTTGTTTCTTTATATACAATCGAGGCTTAAAAAGACATTGATGTTAGCCTATCCTAATATTAATAAACGTTTTTACGATTCTTATAATCATTTGCTTAGTCCCTAAAGAACACCCACCCATCGGTTGATTGTACGTATGTGGCACAATAGACTTGGACAGAATACAAAGGAAATCTAAATATTAAGGGATTTTTTGTGTTTATTTTTTGAGGTAGATATTTTAATTTACTCCTTCCTCCCTGTTTCCTTTACTCATCCTTGCTCTTCTTCTTTCTTTTTGTGTTTGTGATACACAAAGAGATATATACATAAAACAAGCCCGTGCTTTGAAAGCGTGTACTATAGCGAGGTCGCTTTAATTTATACTGCTTTATTGATGCATTCTTTTTTTTTGTGTGATACAATTAATATAATAATATAATAATATAATATTTCGGTAAAATGTTCGGCTATATATATATTAAATTATCATTATTTGCTTTGGTTATTTTACTTTAGTATCGGTAAGTTAGTCGGTGAACTTTTTCTTGATGTGTTAATAATAATGTTCTCAATTTCAAAAGACGATAGTTATTTCAAGAAATGTCAATTAAGAATCTTTATATATATATATATATATATAAAACATACTGTATCTATTCTCTATTCATAAAGATTAATTATATAATACAAGGGAATGGGATGCGTGGGTTGAGTCGAGTCCCTTAAAAACAAATAATGAAAAATAAAATAAAATAAAAAAAAGGTGGATTTATTCTCTAAATTCTGTGTATGAAATATACCCAGATATCTTTACATGACATTCTCTTTTGGCTGGTCATTCGCTCTTAAAGCAATAAACCAAACTGTCTTGGGTGATTGAAGTGCTGTGTTGATAATTCTTCTTTAGAAAAACAAAATCAAGGAAAGGAAAGGGCTAGAAATTATTAGAGGATTCATCTCATTTCATTTCATTGCAAAAAAAAAAATGTCATTTAGATCAAGACAGAATTCACCTGTTTTTTGTAGTCCACTTGAAAATCCACATGTTGTATAGCTTTGTTTTGATACTATAAAAATAAAGAAAGGAAAAAAAAAGCTCATGGCACGTGAACACAAATTCATTGTTGAACAGTAAGAATTTCTTTATAGATTTTTATGTCTGTGTTTCTTTCAGAATCTGATGTCACCTAATATACACAAACTTTCATTCATTCTGAAATGATCGTATTATAATTATTTATCTTTGGTCGGTTGCATTCGAATCTGATTTGACTTTTTTTTTTTTTACTGCTAATAATTTTTAATGATTTTATTATAATTATTTTTATGCTATACTTGTAGCTATGGTTATAAATTGCAATTATATTTATATTTATATACACAGAAAGGTATTATATATACTTGTTTAACTAGCCAAGTAGGTAGGTAGGTAAATATGTGTGTGTGTGTTTTTTTTTAAAGAAGAATATTTACTATTATTTTGCTAATAATTAAATAAAAGAAAAAGAATAAAAGAATGATTAATGAATAATGTGTAATGAATAATGAATAATGATTGAGTAATTTTTTTTAATATATGTAATATGTAGCTTGGTATCCTTTTTGGTTCTTCTTCTTCTTTTTTTTTTTTTAAAAAAAATTAATTGTTTTAAATGGACTGTCAAAGCCTATGGAGTAATGCTGTGATGATTTGTTCTTTCTGCCTCTTGTTTCAATTGGTAGACTTGAACACTCGTAGAAATGATGTTGGCATGGGCATGTTCGATCTGAAGAGCTTGGTAGCACTTCATTAAAAGACGTGTGGAAGACTCAAATAGCTGGGACTGGTGAGAATGCATCAGGTTGGTATTGTTAAGCATATTGGTGTAATAGTCATGACCGACTTTTGCAAAATGATCAGCGAGCCGAGATATCGAGCAGGTCCAAAGGCCAGTTGTTTTGATATTGATATTGATATTGCTATTGCTATTGATATTACTACTGACATTCGTAATACCAGTGGCAGTAGTAGAGCCAGTAGAAGTAGCAGTAACAGTTGTGCAAGTAGTAGATGCAGTGGTCGATTTGGAACGAATAGAAAACGTACGTTGAAAGAATGGCCGGACCCAGCCGGTCTTTCTAGTGTTTGGTTGCTTGTGCTTCAAGAGTGTAGGCCAGTCCCAACCAGCGGGCTCAAACACTGGTCTAGACATTGTGAACAGTGGAGAATTATCTTCGCTCTCAACCTGACTCTGACTCTGACTTTGGACCAGTACTTGAGACTGAGAGTTTGTATTTCCAGAACCACCACCACCACCACCATCAAAATTACCATTGCCAATGATAGTGCCATCACCAATAATAGTGCCATTATCATTGCCACTCTGGGAAATATGTGTGGGATTGTGCTCGTGCTCAAGAGTGGGTTTTTTGTTGGGTTTTGGTTGAGATCCGGGCTGGTGCCCAATAATGAGAGTAGGTGCCGATTGAGTGAATATGCTATCGGCCAGCCTCTGGATGTCCTGCATCACTTGTTGCTGCTCGTCGCCGGTGTCCTGGTGGTCCATAAAGATGTGCTGGTAGTTTCCTTCCATGCTTGCCAGGTTCTGGGCTGCGTTTTCTTCAAAGACCTGGCCAAAATCGCTTGATATCTTCAAGAGGATCTCTTTGCAGTCCTCGAGTGGTGTCCGACCAGATTCGAATACGAGGTAGTGTTTGTTGATTGAGCGGTATCCGAGACCGAGCAAGCCGATATTTGAGCGTGTGGCCCTGACCACTCGACAGCCAGAGGCAGCCAAGGGTGTTGCCGAAAGGATCGAGTGGATGATGCTCTCGATTTCGGGTTTGCTTTTCTTCCACTGGCGTCGCAATTGTTCAAGTGCGCCCGACAGAGACTCGAGTTCCTCGTGTGTCTGGCCAGAGTCGCCTAGTCGCCTGCTCAAGTCCTGGACACAGGTCAGCATGTCCGATCGATGAGCGTCAGACTCCAGTGAACGGACCCGCATTAGGTCTAGCTGGGACTGGTACCGGTCTCTGAGGGTCATTAAACATTCGATAGTTGCATTCCACTCTTCATTATTGCGATCATTTGGGCTGGTATTATCAGGCGTTGAGGAAATAGGGGTGGGTTTCCATATTTTTGCGCACCTTTTCATTTCCTTCCGTTCTGATTTGGTTAGGATTCTCATCGAGCGGGCCAAAGCAACCTGTTCCTTGGAACACATCAAGCGAAACGAGTCCTGGAGCGAGGCTTCTAATGACTGTATATAGACCTGGTCTCGTGTGTTGAGGGTAGGGTCACGGTGATTATCATGGTCATGGTCATGGTCAAGGTCAAGGTTGAGGTTGAGGTCAAGGTTAAGGTCGACCGAAATTGCGGTGTCTGACATGTGTTATGCGCGTAAATTAAGAACCGGAATGAGAAAAGAGAGAAGATTGTTATAAAATGTCACTCATTCGATGTACTAAAGTGAAAATTAAGAAGATGAAAATATAGTACAATAGAGTGAAATTGTTATTCCTCTTTAATTGCTTTAAAGAGAAAATAAGATGAAGTTATATTATGTGAAAAGTAAAGTAAAGCAGCAGCAGAAGAAGAAGAAGAAGAAGAAGAAGAAGAAGAAGAAGAAGAAATGTTAATAAATGCAAATAAATGCAAATAAAATATAAAAAAAAGATAGGTGAATGAATTCACAGTTATGATCAAAAATTATTTTAGATTTGTGTTCTTGTACTGTAATCCAGGAACAGCCGTACCAGCAAGGTGAATTAGCGAATAGTCTGAAAATAGTGTCAGAGGCTTATAAATGCATATGCATATGTAAATATAGGTATTAATTTCTATTATTTATTTTTTCTCCTTTTATTATTATTATATAATATAATATATTTATACACAGTCCAGTCCAGTCCAGTATAGTGTAGTGTAGTGTAGTGTAGTGTAGTGTAGTGTAGTATGAACGCTTATTCATATCCTCTTTACACTCAAGCAATCATTGAGTCGATATATATATATATATATATATATATATATATATATATTTGTGCTCTTTACCTTGTTTGCTTGTTTTGTGTATTGGAATTGTCAGTAGTACACCTTTGCTCAATAGTGGTGCCATATTGAAATAATAATAACATATATAAATATAATTATTTTTCTTTTTCTGGTGATACCACACCAGTAACTACTATTAACTATTGACTATAGCTAAAAAGATCTCACGATAAGCGTACTTGAATATTCTTATTCCTGTCTTATTTAACATCTAATATAGTAAATCGCTTGATCTCCACAATAAGAATATCAATGACTATTCTAGCTTGTTCCTTAAAAGATCGAGTCCAAATCCCAATTCAAATTCAAAGACAAGCACTAATACAAATTTACCTTTGCATTTACATTTACATTTATATATATATATATATGCACACATATGCACACACTACACGCACAGAACACACAGCTCATCACATCACATCAAATCACATCACGTACACACATGTATGCACCTACACAGATTCCAATATAAATATACATACAAATGCACACCCTAATTTATCATTAGACTTCATCTTGATCTATTTTACACTACATAAATATATATATATTAGTATTATTACTAGACACGGTATTTGTGACCATAAAAGGAAACTTTGATCTTCGTCATTTTCTACACTTGGACGCATGGACCGTGCCCTTCTCTGTTTGAGCCTAAACCTTACATCTACGGGCATAAACTATACATACATGTTCAGTTGGGCCAACTTGGGTTAGGTAAACAACATCTCATGCTTTGAATAAACAGTACAATCACACACAATTATACACAAATATTCTTGGTCATTAGATCTCTTCTTTATTTTGTCAAGGTTGTTAAATGTGATGGTGATTTCAAAGTTTTACAAAGTAAAGCCAAATATATATATATATTAATAATAATCCATACTGTCATTCTCACAAGAAAAAAAAAGTGAACCCATGCTACATTTGTACTTCTTTGTACCTTTTTTTTTGTACTCATCTTTTGTAACTCTATAGGCCTATAGCTTTGTACTTGTACTTTGTACTTTGTACTTTGTACTGCACTCTTAATATCATACTATTTCTTGACCGGAGAAATTGTTTCTTGTTATTATTACTATTAGCTTTAAAAAGAAAAAGAAACAAAAAAATTGTCGTATGATTTTTGAACATTCACAATGCAAGCCTATGTACAATCGCGGTTGGACAGGTATTGTTGTACCAGTTTAATATCATTGGATATCCGGTGAAGAAGAAAAAAATATGACCAAGATTTGGACCCTAAAGACAAACAGGATAGTAACAATATTCAACAAAATCAAATAAAGAGGTGCATATACATATATTGATATGGTGTCATGTAGTTTATACTTTATTAACTATTGGTTGTTAGACTGTCAATCATTTATCAAGGTTTAAGTTTAGCCACCCAGTCCTTGGATCTAACTTTGTATATAGGAGTGGGCTAGAAACAAAAGAAATAATAATAATACTATTATTCTTTATTCTTTATAATCTTTTGTAGAGGTTTCTTGATTCTTTGTGCTTGTGCTTGTGCTTGTGCTTGTCTTATTTTATACTTTTATGTAATGATAATAAAATACATGCCTTTCAAGAATGTCAATTTTTGTACTCAAAGTCATTGGATCTTTAGCATATAAATAAATAATATATAAGAAAGAGAGAAAGAAAAACAGACTGTCCTTAACAAATTATTTTTTTTGTTTCTTTTTTTTTTTAAATAAATAAAACAGTTGATTTATCTATTTCGTTCTTACCCTCTCTCTCTCTCTTTTATAGGCTATATTTTAAGATATCGTATGTTATATAAATCCTCATACAAAATTAAGCATTTACTTTTCTTTCTTTTTTCTTCATTATTTGTTATGTACGCAATTATTATTATTATTATTATTATTATTATTATTATTACACAATTACAGTTTGAACAAATCTCCTGAGAAATAGGACAAAGAAAAAACACGTATATATATATATATATGTATATATGTATAAAAGGAAGGAAGGAAGAAAGGACAAAAAAATAAAATAATAAAAGAAAGTTATGTAGCTATGTATTTATGTACACATGTATGTACTTGTGTGTCTGTGTAAATATAAGGGGTATGTAAGGTGTACGGATGGGTGGGTTCTAGGACAAGGACATGGACTTGGCCATGGCCATGGACATGGTGCGGCACTCGGAAGCACTCGGAAGCACAAACCCAGGGCACTGGGCGGCACATCAAAACCTGGAAGCACATCATTCAAACACCGGGAATGGTATAATGTAAGCAAGAGATGAGATGGTTGGCTGCCTTGTCTTTTTTTTTTTTTTTTGGCTCTCTATTTTACTAATAGTAACTGTTGATACTATCAAAATCACTATTGGATAGGACCTCCTGCAATGGGCTTAGGACGTCTTGGTTTTGTGGAATTAGTTGTTGTTTTTGCTGTTGCACTAGAGACATTTGATCGGACAGATTGCCTGGTCCCAATTGGTCTCTTGGGTACTATTGTTGGTCTGGCAGGAGCAGCATTAGATGATAATTTGGATGGTCTTGATGGTATTGGCGGTTTTGATGGCTTTGTTGTTGTTGGTTTTGTTGTTGGTTTCGTTGTGGGATTTGATTTTATGGTGGATGTTTTGGTCGTTGTTCTTGTCGTCGCTGTACTGGCCGTGGTTGCGGTAGTAGTTGTCGACGTCTGCCTGCGTCTTTCTTGTTTGAGACTCGCTTGTCTAAGAGACGTCTGCTTAAGGATCGTCTGCTTCAAGACTGTCTGTCTCAGGGCTGTCTGTCGAGTAGGCTGAGGCTTTGTGGTCAGACTATTATTGGCAACATTGATATCAATATCAATATCAATATCGGCAGTGGCAGTGGCAGTGGCAACGGTAGTAGCAGCGGCATTAGTACCAAAACTATCAAAGTTAATGTTGCCCACTGGTGCCTTTTTTAGATTCTCGAGCGCAAGTGTGGTCTGGTCGAGCTGTCTTTGGAACTCTTTCTTTGACAACCTGGACTCAGTTACATGCTGTTCAGTCGAGATCTTGAGCTCTTCAAGAGTCTGGACAGCCATTGACACCTTTGCTTCGAGATCTAGGCGATTTCTGGTTTCCAAGGCAGCCGATTCTTCCAAACGACTGAGGCGTTCCATCAGTTGATCAATACGAGAATGCTTGGGCGTGTAGGCAGATGACATTGGTCTTGACATTGGTCTTGACATTGGTCTGGTATCAACAACAGGTTGGCTTGACCGTTGAGTCGTCGTGGCCGTAAACTGAGGCGAAGTTCGGGCATGTAAGGCATCGAGCCGATCAACGGCCTGCTGCTGACGTCGCTCGGTGTCTTGGCGCCACTGTTGCTCTTCGCGAAGGGTCTTTTCGAGGTGTGCGATGCGGATCTTTGACTTTTGTTCCTGTTCTTTGAGAGAGTTCTGGAGAGCGCGTACAATATTGATCATTCCTAGTATCGGCTGACGGTAGGCGTGTGGATGGTCTGATGAGTGTTGCTGATCTGTTGTTATTAGTATATTTGTTGGTGTTGTGGGTGCTGTTGTTGTATTTTCTACTCCTAATCCTGATGACGATGGTTGTGGTGGTAGTGTGATCGAATGACGACGCATGACTCTGGCTCTTTCCTGGTATCCACGCCAGAACTCCTGGATATCGCTTGCAGCCACCTGCGGGCTGTGTTGTGGAGAGAATGTTGTCTGAAGAAGGTTACAACGGACATAATGTGTCCGAACTGAGTCATCGGGAGGCAATAGATTTGTATTGGACTGTGATACTTGTGGTTCCCTCCATTGCCTTGCTACATTAAATAATATTAATATATTTAATATTATTATTCATACTAAAAAAAATAAAAAAATAAAAAAATGGTAGTATGGTAAGTTACCGGTGTTACTTCTGAATGGTATTGCATCCAGCCATGGTTCGGGTGATGGATGTGTGCGCTGTGAGGTTCGGAGGGCCGGGAATCGTTCGGTAGAGAGGTGTGGGGGGAGTGAGGATAGTACTGGTGGCGGCACAGACACAGCTCTTGCTGGGGTCGACAGGATAGCTGACGAAAACAGATGGGGAGATTGCTGAGGTTGAGAGACTGCTGAGCAAGATGACTGCAAAAGTGCCTTTGAGCGTTCGATTTCGGTGATCCAGTGTGCAACTGCTCTGTTCTTCTCGACTCTTTCTTTATAATCATTATCATTAGTATTTTCTTGTTCTTTGCGGTGTCGGCTAGAGAACCATTCATTGAGAGCGGAGGGATCAGGTAATGGCGGGCGGGCTGTTGCGGTTGATATGATTGGTGTTGGAGTTGGTAGGCGACTGCGTGGCTGCAAATCAAATGAAGAAGTGTGATTTATTTGATGTTGATGTCGATGTTGATGTTGATGTTGATTTTGATTTTGATGCTGTATTTGCTTTTGTTGCTGGTGCTGATATTGTTTTGAGGTCTTGTTGGCAAGTTTTTTTAGAAACCGGGATCGCGGTGGAAATTGGTAACGCTCTTGATCAGGCGTCAATGTCTGTGGAACTATGATTTCTTGACTGCCGTCTGGATAACGTTTTATGAGTGCCTGAGAGATCAAGTGAAATGTAATTATATTAGTGTATGAGTTAAAATCTTGTCATAATATTATTATTATTTTTTAGTGCTTATGATGAATCTACATGTAACACCAGAATATTATATATATATTATATATATTATATATAATGTATATATTTATATATTTATATATATAAAAAAGTAAAGTTTTATGTATATACAATATATACAGTATATACAGTAAATATATATAAATATATATATATATATATTTGCAATACCTTGCGCCTGTCTCCCCAGAGCAAGATTCCATGAGGTCTCTTGCGACGGATTTGCTCCATTGCAGCGGCTGCTCTGGCTGCGATTCGTGCTTGCTGCTCTAAACGTTGGTCTGGGAGTTTTGGGACTTCATTTGTGGGTATTTTTGCAGTTGAGGGGCCCGTGCACTTCTTGTCCTGCAAGTTTTCTTGTTTGACAGTCTGTGAAATAGTTGCGAGGGGTTTTTTAGGTTGCTGCACTCTACTAGGGTGGGGGTCATGCATCCTGTGCATTGTTGTTCGTTCGTCTGCGATGGTTTAAACATACGGTGTCTTTGCCAGGTCACACGGGCACGTATGCTCAACAACAAAAATAAAAGAAAAGAAAGAGATGAAGATTATATATAATTTATTTATTTATTTATTTATTTATTTATTTATTTATATATCTTTGAGGTAAATGGATGAGCCAATAAAAAAAAAGAAATGACCAAAAACGAACGGACAAACAAACGAACGAACGAACGACTGACCAACCGACCGAACAAACGAACAAACGAACGAACAAACAAGCGAACGTAGGTACGTAAGGGGAGGGGAATAGGTGAGCTGGGAAGCGAATGCAAGCAAGTGGATTAGGGAATGGACAGGCGAGCGGAAAAGGAATAAAAGTAGAAAGAGAGAAAGAAGAAGAAGAAGAAGCAAAAAAAAAAGAGTAACTGAAATAAGGTAATATACAAAAAAGAAAAAAAAACACAGGTTAAACCGGGTCGACTTTGATCAAAGCACTTGAATTTTATATTATATTATATTTTATAATATTATTTTTTTCAAGTCTTTACTATTATCGTTGTACTGTACTGTGCTGTACTGTGCTGCAATGTACTGCAATGCAATATATTTATATACACTTTTTTTTTTACTTTACTGCTAAATAAAATATTATTCATTTTGTTGTTGTTATTGTGGTTTCCTTTTTGCCTCCTCTGTTTACACACAAACCCATATTCTACCCATATAGAAATAGAAAGTACCTGAAACTTAAAGAGGTATCTGTTTTTGATAAGTTTTCTTTAATAATTCATAATAGTAAAGATAATGATTGGTCAATAATACTAATAATAATAAAAAATGAGGAAGAAGCAAATGAACTATAGAATAAGATCATGTTTTTCTTTTCAGTTGTGTAATTTCTGAGGTGTCAATGGTGGGGGCAGGTTAACGGCGCCACTAAAATACCAAATGAAAAAAGAAAAAGAAAAGAAAAGAAAAGGTTTGTTGATGTTAGTGTTACCTTTTGTCTTTACCACTAATATTAAATTTTAATAATAATCTTGTTACCCTGTATCATTTGATCTTGCTGGCCCATCGTCAACTTGCTGTGAATCAGCAAAGGGATCAAAGGGATCCAAAGTCACACTCTTGCTGAACCCATCAAACGGATTCGAATGTCTATTCAAAGAATAATTAAACCAACGTATAGAGAATAAGGCACCTTTTTTTTTTTTATCTTTTTACTCTATGGGTCTACTGCCCCCGGCCTCGGTATCCCTGCTTGGCAACGCGTCCTATAGAATTTCGTGTTTCAGATTATAAACAAACAAATAAATAAATAAATTATTTTTAGTTACCTGTGTATTTCGGTGGTTGAGATTTTGGGAATTAAAAGTGGCCTCTGTCATTGCCTTGCGTTCCAACATATCATCATATGTCTTGAAGCAATTCACAAGCTCATTATTGGCCTCCAACAATTCAGCTACAAAAAAAATTATATATTTATTTATTTTAGTTCACCTAATTTCCTTGTCCCACCAATAAAAGAATAAAAAAAAGTACTTACAGATGACGTCGGGGTCTTCACAGGTCTGGAGGTGACTGGACATTATGGTTTGGTATGACTGACATTTAGCATAAAATTCCTACAAATACATATTATATATATAAAGCATTATTAATTGTATGCTAAGAATAATGACTAGCAATACTAGTAATATGAATGAATTGCTTTGTTGATCTTACTTGAATTAGCTGATTCTTCGTAATATCCTCTTGAGTTGGGTCAGTGAATGACAGTGTCTGAGAGAACAGCTGTGCACTGTTCTTGGCAAGTTCGCAGTCAGTCTTGGGATCAGCAGCCTTGACCTTTTTTTTTTTTTTAAAAAAAAAATAGTTAATTATTTTCTTTCTCGTTGTATATACATTTGGCTTATTTTGTACCTGCTCTCTGCGTTCGGAATGGTGATGATTAGGACCCTGTCTTGGTCTTTGGGCTGTGTATTGTCCAATAGACGCATCTAGTGTATTATCATATACACGGTGTATAGCTACAAACGCAGGATCTCTTCCAAATTCTGCCATCCAATTCTGCAGGCATTGAACCAATTTTCCATGTACTCGATCATCTCCATGCTTTATAGATAGATAAACAGATATGTAAGATATATATATATATATATATATATGAGTGTGTGTATTTATTTATTTATTTCTTATAGAAAAAAAAAGGTCGTTCCCCTCTTCTCATTAGTCCTCTTTTTACGAAACCTTGACACTAACACTAATTAATATTGCTATCGTTATATTTCGTACCTTTGAATTGGCTAATGTCTCCAGATTCTCACCAAAAGACTTTGCACTCAACTGACCTTATCAAACAAACAGACAAACAATTAATATTTATCTAATTACTTAATTGTCTATTCAACTCACTTTTGAACTTTTCTTTGCAATTCTCTGACAAGGCATTCAACAACTGATATACAGATTGACAATTAAGAACCCGCATTATACACAAGTCAATACTTACCTCAAGTGCAAGTAGTTGGGTGTTTGGCTCGCGAGACAACATCTTCTTCTGTAGCAGTTTTCTAGCCTCTTTGGCTCCCAGGTCTGTCTTGTTTACACTTTCACACAGCTTGAATGCAATCGACCAGTCCAACTCGGTAGTATTAGGGTTAGTTGCCCTTTCTAAAAACGTTATATACATAATCAACAAAAGATAAATAAGAGCCAATACTTGAACACACAGTAATATATAGTGTAATATGCACAAAATATTTTATACACATTATACACCTCTATATATACTTGTATAAATAAATGATTATGAATTGCATGTCGAGATTACCAATGTCGGCAGTGATTTCAGTAGGTAGTATTTTCTTTGAAAACAACGGCATGATTGTGGGTGGAAGTAGTTTTTGGTTTTTGCCAAGAGGTTTTGTACACACAAATAAGAAGAGAAAAAATATATATATATATATTATAAAATTATAAAATTATAATATAAATAATAATAAAAATAATAAAAAAAGAGAGGAAAGAAGAAGGAAGAATGGAATATGAAATGGAAAACAGAAAGAAAGAACAGAAACAGCAACAAGCCAAGGGACTTTGTGGGACAAATGAGCCATATTTGTGCACTATCATGCTCACCACTACTACAAAACATTATATAATATAGTATATTTTGCATTATACAACTATCAGCAATATAAATTCAAGAGGGTATAATCATGCACATATATAAAACAATTAAAGAACACACACACACACACATTCGCTTGGACTCAATAATCTATTATAGTGTATTTTGTGTATATACATTCACTATATATATATATATATCTGTGTGTGTATTTGTGTGTGCTTGTAATGTAGCATATTATACATAAAGAAGTTGGTTTGTTTAATCAAATGAGACATACAAAAAAGAAGAAGAGAGAAAAAAATGTGTGAAAGAGACAGAGAGAAAGAGAGTATTCAATAGATTATGTAAGTTTATCAAGCGATAAAGCAACACTCAATTCCTTTCTCTGAGTGAACTCGTTTTCCTTACTTCCTTATTTGGGTATTTGTGTATCGAGTACCGTTATTTCCATTATAAGCCAATAAAAAAAATCGGATAAACGAATCCAGACATATGGAACCCATTCCTTTCTTTTTCCCTCCTCTTTTATAGACTTTGATATTAATAAGAATAAAATGAATTCCTAATAAAATACAGGGACAATATATATATATATATTTATATTTATATTTATGAATGAATGAGTATATAAACGATTGAATGAATATGAATGTGAATGTGAATGTGAATGTGAATGTGAATGTGAATGTGAATATGAATGTGAATATGAATGAATGAATGAATATATCAAGGAATGGATAGATTTGGTGCTATTACATTCAATTACCATAAAGTAAATAAGAGAGTTATATAAGATAGTAGTGGGGGAAAGCTGGCATATAATGAAGTAAGATAAGATAATAGAATAAAATACAATACACTACGTTGGACTATACTACAATATTGATATAAAGTATATAATAATAATAATAATAAAAAAAAGATTAGGAAACTGAACGCGTGCTAGAAAATGCCTTTTTGAGATCTTTGGTTTTAGTCGAGGATAGAGATGAATTTCTGGGTTGTGGTTGCCACAGATAATTTGGGTTTGGGTTTGAGGTTCGGGTTCGGGTTGAGGGGGAGGTAGTGGCGTCAAAGGAAGATGGACTAGGAGTTGAGGTGGTTAAGTGTAGTGATGATCCTAATGGTGGCGTACTGTGACTAGATGTAACCACAACTTCAGGTCCTTTTCCCTTTCCTGGACTGGAGGCCGAAAGGGCTGAGCAATATGAGGAAGGTTGCAGAAGCGATCTGGTGGAACCCGAAGAGAGGGTTGTGGGTTCTGAGCGCAGACTGCTGCCATTGGTGTTGAGTGATTCGATTGACTGACAAGAGCGTAGGGCTGGTGGAATCGAGGCATATTTGTCGATGATAGAGTCACAGTCGTGGGAAATGAGAGAAGGAGCGTACTTTGGAGACAATAGCGAACTGTCGATTCGACTTTGGCTGTGGTTGTGATCGTTGAGGTCCAGCCGGTCGAGCCATTTGTCGAGCACACTGTTTGAGTAGTCCTGTTCTTCGTCTACTTGTGTTTCTCGTCTATCAAAACGTTGCATTGTCTTTGATTCCAGATCGCGAATAGCAGCGTCGATGAGAGCGATCCAGAATTGGCGGTCCTGTTCGTTTTCTGCGGATATGATGTATGATTTGCGTTCGGTGCAGCGACTGGTGATTTGGAATGAATAGGGTGCTTTCTTTGTTGTGTAGGCTTGTGCTGATTTATAGAAGCGCAGTTCAATGATACCAGCTAGTTCACAACCTTGCTATACAAACAATTAATATCTTTTTTTTTTGTTGTAAATATTCTTTGTATTTTTACCTGATCTTTGTAGTATCTTAATTCAGTTTCTGACAAGACATAGTACCTCTTTTGCCAGACACTTTTGAGTTTATTTCGAGTCCACCTGAACAGCCAGCCCTGAGGATATTCCAAGTCTCTGGTTGGCATCTTATCTTATTTTTTTAAAAAATTGATAATTAAATAATAACAATAGCTAATAATTTTTATAAAAATACAAAAAAAAATTATTAAAAGAAAGAGAGAAAAATTGAAATAAATAAATAAATAAATAATTATTATTTTATTTTATTTGGAATTTTTTTTTTTAAAAAAAAAAAAAAAAAAAAAAAAAAAAACCAATCTCGCAGATTCAATAGGTGACGAAATAACAACGGAATTAATTCATTTGCGCGCTCAAGATTCGACTATAATAAAATAGGGTGTGATGATTTCCATTCCAAACAACAAAGTAATCAGGCTCGTGCTAATCAATATTAAGATATATCTGTACCTTTCTTTATCTAGCTCTTTACCTTGTTTTACAGATAAACAAAATTTTGGGTGCAAATTCATTATGAGCCTCAAGATATCTAATGTATATTGAATAAAATACGCATCATATAACGATAATAATAAATTATTACAATCACTATTATGATTAATAACACAAAACACAAAACACAAAACACAAAACACAAGCACAGACACAAGCACAAGCACAAACAAGAATAATTGAAATTAGTGTAATGTTCTTTATTGTTTAAATTCAATAGGAATACTAGCCACATTCACCAACTTACCTTTACTTCTTTACCTTAATGTTATTGCATGGAAATTAACAAAGGCACTGATTATCTAGCTCAATACTATCTATTATTTTCTATTCAATTCAATGTATGGAACGTGTTATATTTCTTGTAAAATCATCAATTCTATTTTCAAAAATAAAATATATTGAGTGACACTTACTCCTCTTTTCTCCCTCTCTCTTGTTGTTTCCTAAATCTTCCTGTACAAGATAATTATCGTCACAAAAGAGAATGTCTAGAAATGGAACTTTTTTTTTCATTTGTTCCCAAAGATCTTCAGGTAACTTCCCATCTAAAGCTTTTCTGGTAATTTTTTATTCTTTTTTCTTTTTTGGAGATGCGAATTCGAGATTCTGTAGCCGTTTAAACATTGAACACAAACGTATCACCAAAACAACAACAAAGAAGACAACCTCTTTTGTGGTTTGTTTCAAACAAAGAGACAGACATTAAAGAGCCCAAGCAAATGTCCACCTCATTAAAAAAGCTTCAATCCTTTGCAAACAAATAAAAAAAAGCCAAAAAGAATTAGGTAATTTAAGGGGTACAGTCGTTTAAAGAAATTTAAAATTAAAACAAGAATTTAAAAAAGAGCAATAGACCAAATATTATATATATATTTTCTCTGTAGTTAAAGGTCTTGGCAGGCAGCAACTAGTGTCCTCATTCTTTGCAGTATATCGAGTTGATACTCTCGTGAAAACCCAACTTGGTTCATCAACAGGTCCTCGTCTCCCACACTCACCAATAGTCCCATATAGCCTAGCTTGGAAACCTGCGTTTTTAATCGATCGACATCTAGTAATCGAATAGCTTCGGAGATCTCCATAATAAGCTTAATTTCATTTGGGTTAGCATCGACTTGCTTTCAAAAGCTCTTCATCAGTCAAGTTATTACCTCTAGATCAGGATAGCTGCCGATATTCCCAAGCCTTTCTTCAATGATCTTTGCTCGAACATAGTCCTCTGTTTTATTCCAGTCAATCAAATCGAACAAATCAAATTATAGTTGTTACTTACCCGCCTCGAGTGTGACCAATAAAGTATCCGCCACATCCCACAGGGACTCTTTCAATTGTTCGCTTGTTCCACAATCAAGTCCGAGTTCTCCTTTCAGTAACCGAGCATCCAATGTACGATGAACACTTCCCATGATCCGAAATAGCTTATAAAAGGAAAAAAAAACAAAAAAAAAACTCATTTTGGTTATTTGTTGATTTATTTTGTATTCAATTTCCACAACTCTAATAAATGTCCTTCTTCTTTCCTTCTTCTTTTTTATATCTAAAAAAAAAAACGCATAAGATCACTTTGTATTCTATTCCTTACCTCTCCTACACGTCCCATGTTCTTTTGCTTCATTTCAACACTGGCTGACAAATGCACAGCCAAAAATCCCATCACAATTCCTATATTCTGTCCACCCTCTTCTTTTTCTTCTGGCCTTTTGTTCTGTGCAAACAGAGAACTGGTCTCGAGTACAAGGCGCACAAGATCGCTCCTTTTAGAATTGTCTGCCAGATACTTTGTCACCAGTTTACGTGATTCTGACAAGAGAGTCGCCACATCCTCCCGATCACATTGCTAACAAAACCAGAATATTTTTATAGACATAGACATAGATACAAATATCATATAGCGTATATACCTGTGCAACATTCAAAAGTTCTAGATGACAAATGCTCAACTGAACCTCTACTGTGTCCAACATCAATTGGCGTGCCTTGGATAGATTGCCAAAGTCTTTGTTGTATAAGCAAAGGAGTCGAGATAGAGCCAGTTTAGCAGAGTGGTGCGTGTCTTTCCACTTGAGGTCTGTTGTTAATTGAATCAGCTCTTCCAAAACATCGGCTGTCTTTTGTGGTTGTTGAAGATGATACAAAACTATATTTATATATATATATATATATATACATTTGCGTAAGTATGTTGTACAATACGATATGATTCGATACAATACTTATATATACATTTAAAAGATATACTAACCTTTGGAAATTTCCCAATACTCGGATGTGGCTGTGTCTGGATCTGATACCTTCTTTTTATTTGCTTGCTCGATTTTAAAAAGAGCATCTAGAATGTGAAAATGAACATGAACATGAGCATGGATATTACTGTGTATCTTGCCTAGTTGTCTTTAGTATGCACCTTTTTTATATTATAGGTCATTTGTTTAATTTGTCATCAATTGATTACACTAAAGATTAATTGATATCTATTTGTATATGTATCCTAATAATCACGGCACCTACTATCAGTGGATCATCTTCAACTGTAATCTTTTGTGTTTGTGGAATAGGTTGTACTATTGAATGTATGATTAATAATCATTACCATCCCTTTTACATTACCTACATACACATACTCCTCTCTCCAAACTTTATCTATTATATATCTATCTATACTCTATATAAGAATCATAAGAATCACTATTGTCTTGTACCTTTTCCTGCCTTCTTTTGATTCGCAATGTGTTTTGCGCTCTTGATATGATTCTGCCAAGTTGCCTCGTTGGAAAACTTCTTTTTGCAGGGCTTACAATACAAATCATTGACTTTGCTATCAGCCGGCTTGGTTGTCCCCGCACCACCAACAGTCGTAGCAACTGGTGATGGAAGTATTTTCAAATTAACTAGTCCAGACCTATCAAGTTTTTCCAGACCAAAAGGCACAAGGTCTAATGGCAAGAATACTTACAATAAACAAATAGAAAAAATTATTATTACGAATGTCATTGACTAATCACAATGTACAAACATATACACTCAATTTTCTGCTTCTCTTTTATATATTTTTATATTTTTATATATATACATTAAATTTACATACTATTGATGTTGCTGGCACCTAATGTCGGATCATTCAATGGAAGAAGAGTCATTATTGAATTGGAATCTCAATAAACCTTTTATTTATATATGTATGTCTTTTACGTATAAAAATAATAATATAATATAATATAATATAATATAATATTCACTATTATTCACTATTCACCTATACACATTTTGAGAGAATTAATTTGCCTTTATTTACTTCATTATTTCTAAACTCAGAAATAAAATCCCTTTCTTTTTGGTTTTGTTAGGCCTTTTAAACTACTTGACCTAATGTATGAAAAGAGATGCGTATATATCACATTATAAATATCCAAGATTACCAAACTTCAAAAGTTTCAAAGCAATCAAATTATCTTGGAGCCAAAATAAATTTCATCCCGTCTTTCTAGCATAATTCTCATTTTGACTCTTAAACTCAAACTCAAGCTTTAACTTTGATTCGTAATGTAGGCTTATTTCTTTCCTCTCTTTCTCTCTTTGTGTATTCAATTTTGGTGAGTCGAAATATAAACAAAATATATATTCAAATCCTCCTATCTTTTTCTTGCTTTCTTTCTAACAGCTTTATTTATATTAAAAATATAAAAACATAAATTCCCATTTCGTTGCTTCTTGGTGTGTTCGCAACCGCAGTATAGTTATTTTGTTAGCACAAGGTATACAAAGGCACTGCACCCATTTATCATCAATATATCTCTACAAGCCTTGGTCCAACACTCTTCATTTTGCTGTCAATCGATGAAAAAGAAGAAGACAAAAAACCCCCTTCTCAAAATAGTCATCTTCGCTTACTCTTAAAACCAAAGTTACCATGCACGTACCAGTCAAACGACCAACCAATCAAATATCGACCGTTTACTTTATTCTCCTAAGATTTGAGCAAAAAATAAATAAAAATAGACAATGGAACAAGGAGCCTAAGGTCGTGGGCACACTATGCGATGTTTATGACGGCGCCATGTGGAAGGAGCTGAAAGATAAAGATGGTGTATCGTTTGTTGCTGAACCTCGTTCCTTATTGTTGACCTCGAACATTGACTGGCTCCAGCCCTTCAAAGGTGTCAATCATTCCTCCGGTCCTATTTACCTTGCCATCAACAACTTGCCTCGTGAAGAGAGGTTTAAACCCGAGAATATCATACTCGTTGGTATGGTGCCTGGTCCTAAGGAACCTAAGACTGATGAGATCAACCATTATCTCAAGCCAACGGTTGATGAATTTGCTGCAGTTGTTCGCGGGGATAACCATCCCGACCCTTGAGTGCCCAGCTGGTGTCTGTGTCCGAGCAGGGTTGCTCATGGTCGCCTGTGACATCCCCACCGCCAGGAAGACCAGTGGATTCACCGCCCATAACAGTACTTGTGCATGTCCCAAATGTGTTAGACAGTTTACCAGGTTACCCAACACCAATCAGATCGACTCCAGTGGGTTTGACTATTTGACGTGGAAAATCCGTAGCGGTCTGGAAAACAGGTTGCATGCTGAGGAGTGGAAGAGTTCCAGTACGCCCTCAGGAAGGCATCCGGTGGAAATCGAAAATTGTGTTCGATGGTCGCAGCTGCATCGCCTTGGATACTTTGATCTAGTACATGGAACGATCCTCGATCCCATGCATAATTTATTCCTGTGAACACAAAAGAGAATGATGGAGCGGTGGATAAAAGAAGGGCTGATAGACGAGAGAAAGCTAGCTATGATGCAAGCGATGGCAGAAACAATGGTGGTGCCAATGGATTACACGGTGCTGGGATCAAAGATTGGAAAGGGCTTTGGACACATGAAAGCAGATGAATGGAAGTCTTGGGTTCTGGTATACTCCCCTATCTTGTTGAAGGCCGTTCTGCCCACTGAGATGTTTAACAACTGGATCAGTTTCGTCAATGCATGCTGAAATTTAGTGAAGCCAAGTATCACATTCTCTGACCTCGATGATGCCCATCAGCTTCTTCAAGAATTTTGTAATGGATGCAAGTGTATTTACACCGCTAATGTCCTCACCTGCAATATGCATCTGCACCCCCATCTTCGCGAGACCGTTCGTGATTTTGGACCCGTGTATCGCTATTGGCTCTTTGGGTTTGAGCGATATAAGGGTTTGATAAAGAACGTAAGCACGAACAGAAAAGATTCTTTTGAGGCTACGTATATGCAGAGTTTTGTCCAAGATACTTTCAAGGGTGACTATGTTAATGTCGTTCTCCAATGTCCGAGCCAAGTCCCCTTTCTTCCGCTTCTCGGCAAGCTTACTGCCACAGCTCAACCATCCAGTTCAAAAAACAAGATGACTTTTCCACAACGCCCGTTCAGATTAGCAGCCTTCGTCCACGCGTACTCAAACCCTTCTCTTCCAGTCCTGGGAAATGAACCTCTTCCTCCCTCCACGTTTCCTCTTCACATAAAGCCCTCGTCAGCAATGAGTAATGTCGACTATCCTCATTTGCTTGATTATTATAAAGTCGCGTATCACATTCCTGGTCTTGAAAGTTACCAATTTCCGTCCTCCTCGCTCTCCTTTGTCGACAATCAGAGCACAAAGTTGAGATCAATTAATTTGCTTGGTCAGGTTTACAAAGGTAGCAAATATGCTTCTGGTCGCGGCTCATTTGTTCAATCTCTGTTCCTTGGAAGTCAAGGCAATAATCGGTTGGCATACACTGGCCAAATTCAGTATCTGTTCTTGCACTCTTTCACTCCACCAGTAGTCAACACAGAGCTCCAAGCACGTATCGTTTATCAAGATAAACACGTGTTTGCGTTTGTTAAGTGGTTTCAGATTGAGCATAACCGTTCAAGAGAGTTGGAAAGTGTCAACATCTGCAGTGCAGATTTTATTGCGTGTGATTTTGAATGCATCTTGCCAGTACATCGGATATCATCAGTTGTTGCAACATGTAATTATAAAACCAGCGCAAATAATAAGAAAACACTTGTCAATGCATTACCAAAGGAGTTATTAGTGTTTAAAACAAAAAGTAATAAAAAGTAAAATGGCGACGTTTTGTTTTCTCTCTGTCTGTCTTAAAAATATAATAGTAAGGCTTTATATAAATATATGGATGCGTGTGTGCGTTTACTTAAGCATTATAGCCAAATAGAGAAAAGTAGATATAAGTCTGTATAATACAATAAAATACGCAATTGCTATCTTTTATCTCACTAATGTATTCAACACTACTGCATAAACCTACTTCTCATTTACTTCTTTAAAATAGATATTTTTTGGCTTTTATTGTATAGTATTTAACTACATTGAACTTTTATTCCAATCCATGCTTTACTATGTAAAAGATAATATTACAAAAAAATAATATTCATCGACCACTCCCGAAAACCCACAACGGTCTGTCCACACCAAGTATTATTTAGTTGAATCAAAATGTATAAAGTAAAAAACTATGGCTTCAATTATATATTACATATTTAGAATACTGTAATAAAGCCTGAAATATATATATGTATTGTTAATTCCCACAAATATACTGTTGTTAAAAGTAGAAATAAAAATAGAAATGTAATATCACTTTAAATTACATTGCTTACCTTTATATAATATGTTTGTTAGCCTAGTACAGAAAGTGCCCGCCTTAGAATATACAGTCAATATAACGTTCTGAGATGATAAATGGAAAAAACGGTAGGAACATATATAAGAATATCTTAATACAGTGTATAGCCTGTATTTATTAAAGAATAAAAAGCTTGTCTTTATGTAAGAACACGATCGGCTATGTTGGTCGCACCTTAGTTTCTTAAGGATCTATTTCTTTGTCATATTTGGATATTAAAGAGTTGTTACTGTTATATTTATACTTTAATCTCATGGCAGTATTATAATATTAACTCGGTACTGATAGTAAATAAGCATTGGCCTAATTGCTTTATAATAAACATGTATAAGTAGTATATTTATCTGTTGACAAGACGATAGCCACTAAACTATAACAATAGAAGTATGCATTTTGATGTAATTGATTCAATAACCAAATGTCTGAACCACCACATGTACAAAACTTATATATTATGATATGTCCGCCCATTCTTCAGTGAATACTCTTGATTCTCGTTCTAGATGAGAGTCTATACCAGCAGAGGTTAAGAAATAAATGTGTGTCAGACACGCAAATATAATTTTTTCTGTCTTGTTTATTGAATGAACTGTCCACCCAAAGGCGAGGAAGTAAAAAAAAAATTAAGTAGTGCTTGTAGGAGATTCTTCTAGTTCTAGACTTCGAATGTGCAAAACTGTAATTTCAGCAATTCGGTTGGTGACAAAGGGGACATCGTTAAATATATATTGAAAGTGAGCTTTCTATATTACACTGAGAGTACATCCCAAAATAATATACGAGGATACAGTGGTATTGGAATCCTTGACCGACTGCGGAGAGGAGGGGAGGAGAAGGTGGTTAAAGGTGAGGGTGGCAGGATTGTCCAGAAACCAGGTTGCAATTTGGTACCTCATTGGCCTTTTTTATGAGCAAGCTCAGAAACGGTGTTCATTATCTTCAAGGACACCACATAGAACACTGGGAGGGTCGTCCACCTCAGTAAAATTATGATTGAAAAGTTGCTGTTGGCTTGAGACTTTGTTATGCATCAATTGCCACCAAATTGTATACATCTTAAGAGGAAGATTCGACTCCCAAAATTGACGCCAATGTGCAGGCAAAACTTGTGGGAAAAGAGGTGGTACTTGTGCAAGGGGCGGTCGTATATGTGCATGGATCACTTTAGCAGAGAGGTTGTGAAGTTGGGGGTCGTCACCTATCCCTGATGAAAGGAAGTGTCGGAGGTGGCGAGGTGGAGTTGGAAAGAAAGAAGCCATGCTTGAGTTACTATCTCGTGGTGGAAAGACTGTAAGCAGCGAGAACCACTCCTGCAAGTGGAGTTCGCCGTGATCCAGAAGGCGAAATAGCGTGGACATGGTGGGCCTTGCTCGTCTTTGCTCATCGTTATAATGCCAGCATATACACCCAATGGTATAGTAATAAGAGAAAACATTGTCTACGTGCAGTTTGCAACATGAGATATATATTGAAAGAGAGTGGCAGGGGTCGAAAACGGCGATTAGTGGCAGTTCCTGTGTGGTGACTGGGTTAATGGCTGACCATTCAAGAGAGAGAGAGGCAAGATTGTCATAGTATGAAAGAAAGTAGGAAATATACTAAAGGAAATGATGCGTGGTGACCGCAGCTCAGAAAAAACGAGGGGGAAGAGTGGGTCGCTTGTGTCACAGTACTGTCAAAGAAGATATGAAAGGATTTGTTCAGCAAATAACATAGAGGCGGTCCGGTTGAGTAAAGGAAGGATCCATCGGGTTTGTAGCAAATAGTACTGTGTCTGTGGGTTGAGGACCCCAAGGCTACCTTCTTGTCTCGGACAAGTACATGAGTCAAAACAAACAAAGGGATACCTTCAGTATGCCAAGAATTTGATCACCTCTGAACGTATTCTACCTATGTTGGTAGTAGTAATTGGGAGAATGCGGATTACATGCTATGCCCTACTCAGAAGCAGGGAATTCGCTACCAATTCTCTCCCAAGGATAGATAAATTGAGTTATGTTAATTGTTGGGTGTGGGTGCGGATTTTGGTAATAACGTCTTCAACGGCTACTGATAGCTGTGCCTTTGAGCTGGTGAGAGGGTATCTAAGATATGTCATAAGCTGCGAGTTATGGCCATTGTGTTACGCTGTTATACTGTGGTTCTGTGGATAAGAACTCCACGTTAGCTGTTCACGACCAGATAATAAGACTGCTACTGCTTTATCACAATTCATTTGGGCATTGGATACACAACCATTGATCTGAAACTTATCCATCAGGATTTCAAGCCCTTTAGACATATTCAAGAACACTATGTCATCGTCAGCATATGCTAGGAACTTAATAGATAATAGCTCGCCTATGGGTTGGGGCAATAGAGAAAATATATCTGATATAGCAAGTCATTTGAGAGGTTCAGTGGCCAAGATAGTGTGGAGTAGATGTTCAAGAGCCTATTTAAAAAGAAGGGGAGAGAGTGGGTCCCCTTTCCATATGTCTCATCCTTGTCTGACTGGAGCTGAAAGGTAACTATTAATATTGATACAAAGGGCTGTATCAAATAAGAGAACAGTGATGGCAAGTACAAAGATGGAAGGAAATCCAAAGAGAATCAAGCATCGATGCATGTACTCTGGATATACTCAACTGTATACTTTCTTTTGATCTAATAGTAGGCTAATTCTTGGCAGTTTATACGTTTGGACTATCACTTCGGGAAAAAAAGAGGTGCCCCCGGGGGTTCCCTGGGGAGCCGCCCAGGGGGCCGCCCAGGAGGGTGAAATGAACTTACCCACTTTTTCCCCTCCTACCTTCAGACCCATTAAGGGTGTCTGGAAATGCTGGTAAGCCTGGGTGGAACTTGACTGCAAAGTTCACTAGTGTGCTCAACACTGGGCTAGCACTCTCCACCCTTGCATATCTGGAGCGCCAGCCAGAGATTGCACTTGTACCAACAAGTGATATTGTGAATATAGTGAGAAATCACTATACTACTCAACATTGAGAGTCGAACATGACGGTTGAAGAGACAAGGGGCAACAACAAGACCAGCAGAAGAAAGCAGTGGAATATTACTGTAAGTTTCTCTTTTGTACATAATATATAATTTTATACAATTTTCTCAAACACACATATATATATAGCTCTTCAACCGTCACAATACCACATTCAAAAGGCACGAAGTTACTCTTGAAACTTTCATGGGAAATAAAGACTGTAGTTCTGTATTCCAGAAATACCTAGTGTCTGACGCCAAGTCAGATAGGGAACATGAGCTTATGGTCTTTCAACCAAGCTGGAGAAGTAATGAGGTAATAATAATTAAAAAATGTTTTACTTAAGAAGCATACTTCATTTACTTGTATAATTTATAACGAACATATAGCTTCAGAAACTCTACAAAGAGGTAGATAAATTGAGTAAGAGCGACTTGGGGAGGAAAGGGGACTCTATCAGCAAAAGAAAGAGAGTTGATGTTGGAATGGACCCAGCAGCAAATTTAGCGGTCCCTTTGCCTGAGTGGGCCATAAAGTAATAAAGAGATTCTTTTTTTTGCATCATCTTATCTTTAATCAACACAAATTCTTTTGATAGAATTACATAAACATATTTATTTTTGAATTAAACATACACTGTAGTAAATGGCAGACATTATAACTCCGCGACCGTATAATTCCTATGGTCACGGAGTTATAATGTCTGCCAATAGAATCTTGGCTTTTAGTAAATTAAAAGTATTTACAGCGAATACTATTTATGGGAGCTCAAATTACTTTTTTTTTAATCCAATAAAATCTTTTAAAATGGCAAAATTATACCATTTTTAGATAAATATTTCCCTTTTTATAAAAAATTTAGAGAATACAATTTGTTGGATTTCAGATTATTTTTTTCTAATACAATCAAATAAGCTAAATATAGTATCGCTATACCTTTTTTAGGTATATCTATTCTTCTTATAATTGGTCCAGCAAATGCATGATGTTTTAAATGAAAATATTTTTTATTAAAAAAAAAACCTTGGAACTGAAAAAAGACAAAAAACAATGGAAAAAAATAGAAACAAAATTAAGAGAAATATATTAAAAAGAAGTGTAAATAATATGTATTATACATGAAAAGCCTATAGTTTGGTTTCATTAATTAAATTAATTAAATTAATTAATATCAGTGATATTTTTACTCAGTTGCTAAATACAATTTCTTTCATAAAGTATTACTTGGATATAGATCTATTAATTTACTGTTATTTAAAGAAGTATACCTTTCTTTTCTTTCTTGCATCATTTATCGCAGTTCTCCATTTTTGAGAAAGCATATGACGGACTACCCATGAGTTTTTAAGTCTATTAAGGGATATATTCTTCTCCAAGGCTTTTTTCTCGACCTTGTGAACAAGATAATTCTTCTGAAAGGACGTTAAGTTACCCCATGAAGGAATAACATCCTTCTTATTAATAAGTGCATCGAATGTGTTGTTTATCACATAAAGCACAATTTTTCCTGTAATATAGTACATGTCTGCACCAGTCTGTGGATTTCCTCCACCTAAATACAATGCCATTGTATTTTTTACCACTTTGGCAGATAAAGTGCTTGACTCTGAACATGAGTTTTTATCAGGCCTTGGGATATCTTGACTGTCATTGTTGCCAATGTTTTGCCCTGACTGGGCCTCTCTTGACTCAACACATTGTTCGTCTCTTCTGTACGTCCCTCCAGAAGTACCCAAGGAGCTGAAAGCAGAAACACTTTCAGATACAACCCCTTCGAAAGTGGTTTGGTTATTGTTTGTTTGTGGGTTTTTAATTGTTGACATTTTTGTGTGTAAAGAATGAAGGAGTAAATAATTAAATTTTGAAAACATTAATTAAAATATATTTTTCCCAGTCATAATTATGCTTAGAAACAATAAATTACTGTATAAGGATACGATTTTAATGAAAAGCAATTTTTAAAGACATAATGTGTACAATGATATCTGTATAAAACAATAAACTTTTATATCACAAAACTTACACTCAATACTTTTTTCTTTACACTATTCTTTGTAGCCTACTCGAAACAAAAGATGAACACAAACACTTCTGCAACTCGTATTTCTGGAAGCAACAGTGACATTAATGCAACTGATTATACAGATATTGCACAAGATTTTGTTGCCCTTGCTCCTTCTCTCCAGGAAAGAAACCAATCGCTGTTTAACAGTGCCAATCAAGCCTCTTTGGACGAAGTCCATGGTCAAGAAACGGCACGAGAGGTTTTCACTCTTACTCCCTACCAACAAAAAAGAAACCAAGATGTGATTACCAGTACCGACATGGCTTTTTTGAATGCAGTCCACGATCAAGACATTAGTAGAGCCGAAGAAAATGATTTTGAAGCATTCATGGCTCCGGGAAGTGTGCACAGTATTAGTAATTCATTAGATGTCAGATTCGACAATAATTATACTGAACCCAACGAAGCTGAATACAATGATAGTAATAATAGCAATGACTATTCGTATGGTAAGAGTAAAAAACAAAAGTTATAACAGACTTATGAGGTTTAATGGTTGGAGAATTTATTTATACATACATATACATGTTACAGAATCTGTTCATGGATATTTGCGTATTTGCAACCCAGTAAATATAAACACTCTTCCAATCGAGTCTGATTTTGTTACCAAGAACGTGAACCAAGAGTCTCACGTCCCTTTTTATGAGCCTAATACATATGCAGAGGCTGCTACCCTAGAGTTATTCTATATGTTTGTTGAGAATAACATATCTCGCAATGTTTTTGACAAGTGTATTAAGATTGTAAATAAATACATGGCAGAACGCGGATTGCGTAAGTATATAATTAAAGATGAACTATTTATATGTAAGCTTACCATCATTTTAGCTGCGACAAATGCACTCCTGTTGTATTACAAGATGGACAAGATATTGAAGGATGAATACACTGTTTGTACAGCCACTTATGACATGTGCATGGAAAGTTGCATCCGTTTCCGTGATGTAGAAGCCAGTAATCTGATAGACGAGGAAGAACAGTGTTCTCACTGTGGTAGCCAATGGTTCAGACGTGAGAGAGATACTCTGGTCCCTGTGCAGACTTTCAAGGTTGTGCATCTCTTGCAACAACTGAGATTCAAGCTGGAGAATAGTCAAGAACGTGCCAAAATGGCGTATGGTAGAAGCCATATCATGGGTAGTCGTTTTGGTGTGTTGTGAGATGTGTTCAATGGTGGTGCTGTCCGCAGACTGTGTGAAGGCGGTATAGTTGGCCAGGATGACATCTTAGTTACTATGTTTGTTGACCAGTTCAACCCCTTTGATAATACCAAGATGTTGGCAACTATAATTCATGTTGTCAATCTAAATATCGATCCAAAAGAAAGGTATAATATAAGACATTATATATAAATATACTAATAAAATATATTTAGATATGAGAGTAACAACATGATATAGCTAGCAATTATACCTGGACCAAAACACCCAAGGGATATAGAGTCATTCCTTGAGCCGATCATTGAGGATTTTCGTATGCTGGCCACTTTGGGTATCCAGATTCAGACTGTTGCCAGACAAATTAATGTAAAGGTTCATCTTGTCATGGCAACTGGTAATAATTCAGCCGTGTCAGACTTGATGAACCTGGCCCATCACAATTCTTTCTTTGGATGTTGAGCTTGCCTTTCCAAAGGTGTTTCCAAACATCACACGATGTGTTTTTTTGGTGATGAATTGCCTGTTTGTATGAGAACTGTAGAAAATCTCCGTCAATTTGAGGGAAATGTAAGTACTTAATTATTGAATTATTGAAATATTAATACTTTCTTTTTAGAGTTACGGTGTCAATGGTCCAAATGTTTTCAGGGATCTTTCTACACTGACTAGTTCTGCTTTCTTTGGACTCAATGAGATGTATTTACTTGGACATAGTATAGGCAAACAACTACACAAAGCATTGGGTGGAAAGTTTCAGATCAGTCCCGAGATTGCAGACAATGGAGACCAGCAGCAACCACAGCAACAGCAACAACAGCAACAGCAAAGCGTATACACATTTGCCCTAAATTTCAGGCCTAACCAGATCGACAGATCCATTACCAAGTTCAGGGCAGACATCTCCGCAATATTTACTGGTAGTTGGCAATCACTGGAGGAAACAACCAGTCAACTGGTTGAACTTCCTTCTGTTTGTTGTGCCAATGGTGGTGGTAAAGAACTTTGTTCTTGCTGAAACCAGAAATGTTGTGCAAGACCTGGTAAAGGCCTGCACTATTGCCCAGCAGTGGAAAGTGACAGAGAGAGAAGTCAACATCATGGAAGAGTAAGTCAATAGCATATATATTAAACAATGTTTTAATCACTTTTATAGAGCAATTTGCCACTGACATGTATTCCTTCATTGCGAAGTCGCAGAAAAAAGGTTAAAGCCCACAATTTTTGTGATGAACCAGCACATGCTGGCTCATCTCGGCTACATGATGAGAGAGATGGGCCTGCTGCGAGCGTACAGCTGCCACCCAATCGAACGCACCATCGGTGAATACAGGGCAGCAATTGGGTCTTGGAAGGAACCAGGGAAAAATATGGAAAACATCCTGTTCCATAAGGCCGGGGTCAAACATTGCCTTGGTGGTTGGGCCTCCCGTAGAAGAACAACGAACAGGAAAACCAGCAACTTCGAAGTTGCAAGTAATGATATTGCTGGCCCCCAACTTTGGACAAACCAGACCAGAAATTCTTTGGCTGTTGTGGCAGATGAGTGTGGAATGAACTACCACAATCTAGTTAGTTCATTAGCATGTATTTGGGGCCAAGACAGCGTGTTTATGGTTGCAGAAACCACTGACATGGTTTGCATCACAAAGATGTGGAAGGACGATGTGGTATACAGAGTCCAATCTTCATTTGAAGGCAGACATGTTCAAGCCAATGACCTTGTTGTTCTCAAACACCTGAATGAGTAAGTATAATGAGTTATGTTTTATGATGTTATATTATTAATCACGTTTCAATTAATTTTTTCAAAGGTATGGATTTGTTCACAAATTCTTTTCTTAATCTGTCTTGAAAGAGACCAGGCTCTTTGCCATTGTCAACTGTCTGTGTGGCATCTGGCCCAACAATGAGGGGAAGTTTCCTATGTGAGAAAGTCTAACACTTGGTGAGATTAAAGTGGTGGAGGTGAAGTCCATCACAGGGATGACTGGTCTCATTCACAACATCAATAATGAAACCATTAGACATGTGGTATTTTCTCATCCACATTATTACGAATAGTTTTTTTCCTCTTCTTTTTTTTTCTATATATGCAAATATAAATCCTTTTTCTTTAACCTAATTACTCACTACTGTGAAGTACATTGACATGGTTAATTATTTGAAATCAGAGTTGATACTGAAACTCAAGTTGAATATATATTTAGTTAATTGGTTGTATTTCTATCTCTGACAATTTCAGAAGAGAAAAAAATATATAGCCCTTGTATTTTTACCAGAAATGGCTATTCAATTTAAAAATAAGAAAATAAAATAAAATAATGGCTCCATGAGACAAAAATAAATTTAAAGCTTTCTAAATATAGAAAAAATATTTGGTAATTGAAAAAACAGTTTTTTTCTTCCAAATTTGGCAGATTGTTTCAAATAATTGTAGATTTTTTTCTATAGTGATATATATTTTTAAGAATTGGTACAATAACTATCTTGACAACTCCTTCTGCATTTACATATTCACCAATGATAGCAGATGATGAGATGCAATGAATGGGCAATATGCAATAAAAGTTGTCTGAAAAGAATCCAAAGTCATTAGTCACAACACATCTCACTCCTGTTGCGTTCTTGACTGCAGGAATGTACCATTTTACATAGGCAAAAGTGTGGCGGATTGGTTTATATGGTTTAAGGTTGGCAATGTCATTTAAGAATATGTATTGTATTTGACTAGTATACGTTTTGATTGCGGTAGTGTTAATTATTATAAATGATGCCTGTATAAATGATCCACTTTTGTAAACCTGGCTAAGAAGATTTATGGATGACATCTTTTGAATGATATTATTTATAAGTGGCATATAAGCGACTATCTCCCAGTAATCTCGTAGATTTATATTGGCATATCTTATATGTAAAAGTTGAGAAGATGAGCATATTCTTGTTTTCTCATAGGTTCATAGTGGCCAAGCTTGAGTGGATAGCAGCTTTGAGATAATGGCTCTGTTGTGGTGGTTGAAGTTTGAAGAAGTTTTTAAGAGGAAGAATTGATGATATGAGATGAGGAGCAAAGATTTGGAGAACTTGTGTAGGTTTTATTTATTGAGAAAAGATTTGGTATCAAGTTTGACGAGGTTCCTACACTGAACTACTGCTGCTATTTACAGTCAAAGCTCGATTTAGTAATATTTGATTTAGTAATAATTGCGATTTAGTAATATTTTTTTCACAACTTTTATTCGCAGTCACATAGAGCAAATCTGCAATATTGCTAAAAAACATATGCGGAGTAAAAAAAAATCCATTTGATTTAGTAATAGTTATATAATTTAGCTTCATGGCTCTTCCCAGTACTCCACCGGATCCACTTGGGGACCCCCCCTCAACTTTCGGCTCACCCTCACCTCACTCCACCACCCCATCCAGCCCCACCACCTCACAACGCACGTACTCGGTCGCTGCTACTCTCGCACCTACTGCTCTTCTTCCTCACCAACCTCGTATCATATATGGCGATTCCATTGATGGGTTACCACGCATCTGGCGTGCTGGTACCGCACCCCACACTGTTTTTTATAACGCTCCTCTTCCCACTTCTCCTCTCCACAATGTCTTCTGGCATGCCCTGAAAAGCTCTGCTTTTGCAGACTCTATCGTAAAAGTTACTCTTCCCAGTCGTTCTGCTCCTACTGCTCTCGAGGTCCAATTCCTCGACGCTGCTTCCTGTGCTATTGCGTGCGCGCATCCTATTTTTGTTTCTGATCAATACTTCCCAGCCTGTATTGCCGTTGCTCCTGGTCGCAAGGTATATCGGGTAACATTGTCTCGACTCCCTGGTGTTCGTTATCCTGATTTAGTAACTGGACTTCAACGGTGCCTTGCCCCTTTCGGAATTGTACGCGAAATTGTGGTCCGCGAGAGTTATACCTTTTTCGATGGCACTGGCAGTGTCCTCCTTGAACGACCCGACCCACCAGCTCAGCAAGTCGCCAAGCTTGCCTACAAGATTTCTTACAACGACAACACTACCATCCTTGGAGAATGGGCACATATGGGCTCCCATTGCAAATACTGCAAACAAATGGGCCACGACATCGATGCCTGCCCTGCACGCTCTTCAGAAACACGCACCTGTCACAGCTGCAACAAGCCTGGCCATTTGCAAGCTAACTGTCCCCACGTCTCCGAACCTGGTCATAGGTCAGCAACCACTAACAAACGCTCTCGCCACCTCAACCGTGTTCCTCACCAGGATCGCATTGTGCTGCCCCGCCCCCTGACAACTAATCTCCCCACTGGTACATCTGCGGATTCCATCCACAATCCGGCTAACAAAGCTTCATCTTCTCTTCTGCCGATTGAACCACAACGCAAAGCCAAGGTAGTCAACCATGCTGAAGAGGAAACACCATCCGACAACACCGCCTATATTGTAGATCCTGAAGACGACACAATGCTCGACGCCCTTCCAGAACAGGTAAATTCTGACAAAGCCCAATTGCAACAGGAGCCTGAGAAGGCCGCCGATGAGCAGGCTCTCCTGGAGGCTATTCAGGCTACTGAAACTGAAAGAGTACGTCGTCTTACCCGACATACGCCCAACCGCAACACGAGACGCAGTCTTTCCACGTCCCCCACACGCAGGAACACTGCCTCTTGTAACTCTTCGCTCTCCCCTCCACCCCGGTTCACCCGTCAAGCCCTCGGCGCAGAGGCCAAATCTAACCAATGATTACCATTGGAACTATGAACTGCAGAGGCCTCCCCAAGGTGGGACGACCCGAAACACGCTCATTATTTATACACCACTTACGTTCGAAGGGAATTGATCTCCTCGCCCTTCAAGAAACCCATGCCCACTCTATTGCTCTTCAAGACACATTTACTATGCAATTCCAATCTCCTTCTTCTCTTTGGTCTCCTCATTGTGGACTTGTATGCCTTTCAAAAGATATTATGCTTACTGATCCATTGTTTAGTATATGCGGCCGCTGCATCACTGCTACAGTATCTCACGCACAGTCTATGTTCAACTCTTTCCGTATCTGTGTCATTTATGCTCCCACTACTTATCGCGAACGACATTCGTTCCTCACCTCTCTTCTTCACAATCCTCTCTTGATACCCGCGTCACCCACTAATATGATTCTATTGGGCGACCTCAATCACTCACTCACTACTACCACCGCCCATAGCACTCCACCTCGCCCATGGCTTCAATTTCTCACCGACCGCCTTGTGGACTGTGTGACTCCCACCGGCAAGGTACCTCAACCTACCTTTCACCGTGGGACATCATCCTCCACAATTGACTACATATTCGCCTCCTCCGACCTTGCTTCTTGTGCCACCTCACACTCGGTGGAATATATACACTCACAGTGGTCTGACCATTGTCTGGTCACAGTCGTACTCTCCCTTCCTTCTTCTCGGACCAGTGGTAAAGGCCTTTGGCGGGCGAACCCTCGCCTTGCTCAGCTCACTTCCTTCCAGGACGAACTTTCTGTCTTTCTTTACACCTTTGTTCCCACTCTCCCCGCCTCCAATTCCCCACAGACAAACTGGGATTTAGTCAAGTCTGAAGTGACTAGATTCATTAAACGTTTCTCTCGTCGAATCTCACCTTCCCTGTCCACTCTAGAAGCACAACTTCAAAGTCGGCGTGATAAGTTGATTCTTCGGTTTCGCCATCAACCCGCCCAGAACTTTCAGCTTCCTGTAATCGAACGCAAGCTCCAACAGGTTCAACTGGAACGCGTAGCAATTCTTGCTCTCTGGGCTGGCCGACAATGGCGCGAACAGGGTGAAACCTCTGCCGGTTTCCTTAAACGCACCATTGCTACACGTCAGTCCAAAAAACTCATCACCAGCCTACGCCATCCTGTTACCAACTATCTTTGCACTGAGCCTGACAGCATGACGGAGGCTGCTGCCACCTTCTATGAGACTCTCTACTCTCCTGAGCCCATCACTTCTGCTGCTGTTGATGATCTTCTCCAGAATCTTCCTGACAATCTTGCCCTCACTGATCTCACTCAACATTGCCTCACTCGCAAATTTTCCCTCAACACTATTCGTCAAGGTGCCTCTCGATCCCCCAATGCCAGTAGCCCTGGTCCTGACGGATTGCCATACGAGATTCTGCGACTCATACTTGACCACCCCAAATGCTCCACTCTTGTCTCGCGTGTATATAACGAAGCTTTGTTGGATGGTGTCTTTCCCCCCACTTGGATGTCCACCTGCGTGTGTCTTCTCCCGAAAAAAGGCGACCTTACCTCCCTTTGGAATTGGCGACCCATCGCACTTATCAACACTGATGCTAAGGTCTTCACTCGTCTTCTTAACTCTCGTTTGATCCCTGCTGCCACTCCTCTTGTCACTCCCTACCAAACTGGCTTTGTTCAAGGACAATTTATTGCTGATAATGGGATGCTCACCCGGATGGTCATGGCTCAGGCACTTCAGGAAAGCTCGACTGGAGTGGGTCTTCTTCTTGATCAGGAGAAAGCGTACGACCGAGTCCACCCAGAATACTTGCGCCGAGTTCTCGATCACTTTCGCTTTCCTAAATCTATAATAACTTGTATCACCCAATTGTTTTTCTCTACACAGATTCAGATCAACGTTAATGGCTTCCTATCTCGCCCTCTCACACAATTGCGTGGCCTCCGTCAAGGCGACCCTCTCTCTCCCATCTTGTTCAATTTGGCTTTTGAACCTTTGTTGCGACGGGTTATAAGTGATCAATCCTTCCTCGGTTTTCGACCTTCTGTCCCTGATAGTGTGGCTACTATTCCTCCTATTAAACTTCTAGCTTATGCTGACGATCTTCTGGTATTTCTCCCAGATCCGGCTCACCTTACTCGACTCCACACACATCTCACCACCTATTCCGCTGCGTCCAATGCGCGTATCAACCTCCACAAAATGCAAGCTTTCTCACTATCTGGTAGTCCTCTCCCCGATTGGACCTCCACCCTCCATCGTCATAACATTACCGATTGGCATGACCGCACCTCGCCCGTACCTCTCCATTATCTTGGCTTTCCGCTGATTCACTCCAAGGCTCAACGGGACTCGTTCTGCTCATCTCTTCTCCAAAGGATTGAGGACAGCTGCAATCTTCACTCATCTCGCTGTCTCTCCTTTCGGGGTAAAGCCACTGTTCTAACATCTCTCATACTCTCTCAGCTTTGGCATGTTTTGCGTGTGGTCTCTCTACCTATGTCCTTCTTTCAGAAGATCAGGTCCATCATGGGTAGCTTCCTTCAACGTGGCACCTTCCCCCCGATTTCTTTGGATACTTTCTGCCTCCCACGCATGCAAGGTGGACTTGGTATCATCGATCCTAAGACGCAGCAGAGCGCTCTACAACTTTGTTGGCTTCAACCTATCGTCCGCGCTCCTCGGTCCCCACCTGGTTTGGTCCCACGCTGGATGTCCGGATTGTTACAGCCTTCACTTCCATCTCTTTCTCCCCTATTTCCCCTTCTATTTCCAAGTATGCGTCCTTCTGGATGGCGGGATCTTACCTCTCCTCTACATTTAGCCTTCGCTGCCATTGACCATCTGCTGCACAACTTTGATAATGTTGTGGTAAATTCGACTACTTGCCTTGCTTTGCCTCTCTCAGCAGTCACCATTGTCCCTGCTTCCCAAGCACGCTTCCCCCCATCTTGGCAAGATCTTTTGGTTTCCCACCTCTACACCTTTGACCCTGCCCCGGCGTCGCTACGGTCTATCTCCATCACCAGCAGCCACCCACGCTCTCGTGTTATTAATAAGTTCCTTGGCCGAGTTCAACTCAACACTCTCACATTACATTTGATAATCGTTTGTGCTTGTTGCTCTCCTCGTGAACTGACCGAACAATATCCGTCTCTGCTCATTCAAGATGGCACATCAATTGACTTGTTCCCTTTCTTTAATGCGCTCGTACCTTCTCAGACTTGGGCACGCCTTTCCACACGCACTTTCCGTGGGCTGTGCTCCCACCATCTCGTCCGTGCCCGCTATTTCGATCCCCCTCGTGGCTCTCGTCATTGGCGGAAATTTTGGTCTTTCCCCCTTCCCCTGGTGGCTCGTAACATTTGGTTTCGTGGTCTACACAACAAGATTTCTTGCCAAGCCCGTCTTCACTCTTTGCTTCCTCTCACCTTTCCCTCTCCTACCTGCTCTATTTGCTCTCTCTCCTCCGACTCCCAAGACCACTTCTTCTTCACTTGTCCTCTCAAAAACGCGGTGTGGATCGGCATGTGGCTGGAATTCTTTGGCACAATACCTACCCCAACCGCACTACACAACGCTTTTCACTTCTTCTCTTTTCCCTCTTCCTTAAACTCTTCTATTCCCCCTTCTACCGTCTTTGGATGCACCCTCCTTGCGATATGGCGTCACCACTGGACTTTCATTTTTGACGATTCACCATTTGTTCCGTCTGCTGTTGTTGGTACGGCTCGCAAGACCCTAACCCGCATTTGCCAAGAATTAGACCTCGATCCTCTCTTTTAAAAAAAAACTTATACTTATATTTATTATAATTAACAAAAACAAAAACCCCCCAAAAAACATTGAAAAAGCTAGAAAACCCTCCAAACAAATGCTGTGATCACTCTTTTGATTATCTTCTTTTGAGTATCACCAGACCCCCCAAGCCTAATAAAATGCTTCTTACAAACAAAAAAAAATATAATTTAGCTTCTCCCAAAAGTATTACTAAATTAAGCTTTGACTGTATATTGTTTTAGATTGGGAAAATTATATGACTGAGGTCAGGTAATCGATCCTATCTGAGCCTTAATCAGAGCAACATGATCTTAGAATAATTAATGTATGATTAATTATATAAATGTGTGTAGTCCCAATGAAGTATTAACATAGAAAGTAAATGTGTTTATGAGTTATAATTATGCCTATAATAATCCACTGATATATCTCATATTATGGTGATATCATCATATGAAATATAATTACTATCATTCATGATAAATCTGTGTGTTAAATAATAAAGTAATTGGTAGACACCTTTGACTGGAATAGATGAGGCCATATATTATTTCCTTCAGGCTTATTCTCAATTACAGCAGTAGTCAATACTCATTTACAATAAGCTCGTTACTTCTGATTTGATGCATATTGTTTATAGAGTTAAGAAAAACACTAAAGTTGAAATTTTGTAGCATATTGATTAGTGGCATATTGTTTTGTAGCATATTGGTTGGTGATATCTTAGTTGGTGACATATTGGTGTTCATAAGCTCACTCAGTAATGTTTTTTGATTTTCGTTTTTAAGTAGAGATATAATTGTATAGATGAGATTGGCCTTTGATGTATCTTCTATATATTTCTTCATAAATGTTGCTTCAAAACCATTCTTGTCATTTGTTTTATACACTTTAAGTATACTGTTAAAGCGTTCAAAGCTGAATAGTCAATATTCATAATACGGTCCAAAGTTAACCACTGTTTTCTGTATGTGAAGATGTAGATGCGTATTTGGGGAGATAAACTGCTCCCCATAATATTTCTCACTCTTTTGGCAAAACAACTGCGAACAAAAATGAGCCTCAGCTAGGTGGCAGTATGTGATATTGGGCATGGCTAGGTAGCAACAAGCATTGACAAAGCACATCCAGTTGTCAAAATGTTCTTGTGGAAGACAGCCAAGCAGAATGGCAGGAGAGTATACAAGGCATCAGAACTTCTATTTGTTGGCCTTCATAAAAGGAAAATCCTTTGCAATTTTCTTTCTCAGGGAAATGGAGCCAATGGAAACTTTTAATATGTTTGCTTCGTCTTGCATGGTGGCTAGGTCCGTCTTGGTGATAAGATTAACAACTCTCCACTTTTCTATGACTCTTTTAGTCATACCAAGGAAGAGGTTGTGGATAGAATTGATTATGGTGCATTCAACAGCATTGAAATAAGGAAGCTGATAGAGCTCCAACCAGCGGACACCATTTGCTTTCTCCATCCTTTTTTGCTTGGCCTTGTTTCTTGCATTTTTCTATGTGATGGCAAATTGGTGGCTATCTTTATTGGTTCGAACCATCCAGCTGGAGAATAAAGATCCAGAATAGTTCATGCCTCTGTTATTAGGCAGGTGAGTGAATATGCAGTTGCATATGTGAGATGTGAACTCACAGGTCTTGCAGGCAGCAGGAATATCATGGGCAACAAGAGGCAGGGGAGCATAAACACAAATATCTTGGGGACATTGGACGGTAGATATCATTACATCATGATATAATAGTTGCAATTCCTTGACAAGGGGACGGAGGTAGTGATTAATCTCACTTGTTTTGGCTTCACTGGGCTCCGGCATCAGACCAACAAGAACAACAATTTTTTTTCTTATATCTTTCTTCCCTTGGTAAGTTGTTGATCAAAAGATATATTGCTCTGCAAGAATATGTAACACCATTAAAGGGTTGGAACCAGTCTATGTTGAGCGTGAACATGATGGATCGTTCATCACATACAAATTGTTGATTATCTTGGTCTTTTAGTGCACTCTATTTTGTGCTGTTTTAAATGTCAAACATTGTTTCAGAGACTTGCTGTCTGCCTCTCTACATGTTGATCGATTCTTCAAAACCAGAATGGCAAAAGAGTGTGCACAATATAGCAGTAGCAGAGATGTATATATACATCTTTTTTGGTCATTGCATGTTGTTTGACCTTTGCAGAAGAAGTTTGTTTCCATAAACCAGTTCAGCAAGTTTTCATGAAGCACAGCACTCAGGGAATGATTCAGACTCAAGATATATTGTATTACATTTACTGCATGCGACATAATAATGTACTCCACCAGCCAATAAGTTAACTTCTGTCATGGAATTAAGGCCACTCAAGCTCAGAGGAAGGTGGAATGATTGCCCAAAATGTGCTAGCATCTCATTGATAAACTTTAACAGTAATACACTACCAGAATCCACGACATATTTTGATATGAAAAAGGCGGCAAAAGAAACAATGAAGGCATGTGTTGGATCTTCTGGCATATTTGAAGGAGTGTAGAGATTTATTTCACAATTGATTAATATAAGTTAAACAATCTTATTATTTCTTTATACTAACCATCGAATTCTTGAGACTCTTCTTTAAGCTTTTTGAAGAAGTCTAAATCAATGCTATTGTTGTCATTATTGTCATTATCATTTTGGGCAAAAAAAATATCATTATCAGCAGAAAGAGATAAGTCATTAAGTTCTATTAGAAAATCATTATATAAGACAACTGGAAATGATATTTGATTGTATAATTTTGATCAATTTATATGCTTACCTTCAACATGATTTCCAAAATATTCATCAATAAAGTCTTCAATATACTCTTCTGTATCATTGAATTCGGAATCAATGTTCATGGAGCTATTATTCACTGATTGAGACACTTCTGTACGCAAGGCTATAGTTTAAAGAAGTTTAATTAGATAAAATTTGAAAATAAAGAATACTGTTATATGTGTATAAGACAATCTCTGGGCTTGCATCTCATTATCTCTTTTTGAATGTCTTTGGTATGTCTGAAAAGTTAGGGAAATATAGTCTTTGCTATCAAGAGAACAGACAGAGTATCTGCATTGAGTCAGATAGTTGGTGTTTTGGGGCATGATAGCATTTTGAGATTTGTGTAATAGGGGGTTTCATTATTGGTTTTAGATTTTATTTTATTTTTGACTTAGCATTTTTATTCAAATATTATAAATAACAAAAAGCATTACTTTACTTATATTTTCTGTTTATTTTGATAGAAGTAGTATATTATATTATTTAATATATCTTAAATATGTTTATTCAAAGTGTTGTAAATGAGTATTGACTACTGCTGTAATTGAGAATAAGTCTGAAGGAAATAATATAAGGCCTCAGCTATTCCAGTCAAAGGTGTCTACTGGTTACTTTATTATTTAACACACAGGTTTAGCATGCATGATAGTGATTATATTTCATATGATGATATCACCATAATATGGGATATATCAGTGGATTATTATAAGCATAATTATAACTCATAAACACATTTACTTTCGATGTTAATACTTCATTGGGATTACACACATTTATATAATTAATCATACATTAATTATCCCAAGATCACGTTGCTCTGATTAAGGCTCAGATAGGATAGATTACCTGACCCCAGTCATATAATTTTCCCAATCCAAAACAATATAAATAGCAGTAGTAGTTCAGTGTAGGAACCGGACCAAACTTTGATACCAAATCTTTCTCAATAAACAAAACCTACACAAGTTCTTACAAATCTTCGTTCCTAATCTCAAATCTTCAATTCTTCCTCTTAAAAACTTCTTCAACTTCAACCACCACAACACAGAATCTTACAAGAGTTGCCAAAGTCTTTGCAATATATATATTTTTTAAAAAAAGTGTTTTTTCTTATAGATATATGAAAATTAATTATGGACATAAGCTATGACATAGTAAAAGTTAAAGAAGTATAAAGATCACGTTAAAAATTTTATTTCTAGATTATATACTCTTTTTCATATTAGAGGTTTTATTATCTGCTTTAGATTTTATTTTATTTTTTCTGAGATTTAAGTTTTAACCAATAATAATGGATATAAAAAAATATTATTGAACCCCTCTCATGTTAGCTAATTTAATGTATAAAGTCTTTTAAAAAATCACTTTTTTTGTTTATTATTCTAGATATATTTACTGTTTACATAGAGATACTGATGGGCTAAAATTTATGAAAAGTCTTTGTGTTGTGGTGGTTGAAGTTGAAGAAGTTTTTAAGAGGAAGAATTGAAGATTTGAAATTAGGAATGAAGATTCATGAGAACTTGTGTAGGTTTTGTTTATTGAGAAAGATTTTATATCAAAGTTTGACGAGGTTCCTACACTGAACTACTACTGCTATTTATATTGTTTTGGATTGGGAAAATTATATGACTGGGGTCAGGTAATCGATCCTATCTGAGCCTTAATCAGAGCAACGTGATCTTGGGATAATTAATGTATGATTAATTATATAAATGTGTGTAATCCCAATGAAGTATTAACATCGAAAGTAAATGTGTTTATGAGTTATAATTATGCTTATAATAATCCACTGATATATCCCATATTATGGTGATATCATCATATGAAATATAATCACTATCATGCATGCTAAACCTGTGTGTTAAATAATAAAGTAACCAGTAGACACCTTTGACTGGAATAGCTGAGGCCTTATATTATTTCCTTCAGACTTATTCTCAATTACAGCAGTAGTCAATACTCATTTACAACATTCTGCATATGTCTTGAGAATACTTTGAGAGTATATTGAATATAATATAATTTAATTATATTGCATATCTTAAATAACTGTCATTGCTCATGTCAAATAATAATAGAGCATGTCTTCAATTAAAAGTTTATAGAATACAAATTCTTTATAATTAGAGGTTTCTAGAAAAAGAATAATTTATGGGCAAAATATTGATTCCATGCCTTATAAATTCCTGTGAAAATATTGCAGTTTAATATTTAATCAAAAAAAAATTAGTTCTATTCTTCATCTAATAAAATAATAGAAAATTTATATTGCCATCTAGAGTGAAAAACTGACCAGAAATGAAATTTTGGTCTCTTATTTCCCCTATTGAAACTGATATTTCTGAAAGTAAAATCATATTGTTGTGAATGAGTATTGATTACTGCTGAATCTGAGAGTAAGACTGAAGGATAAAATAATATCCTCAGCTATTCCAGTCAAACGGATCTCCCTTTATGATATTATCTAATACACAGATCATCATACACATAATTGATTATTTATTATTATCACCATGACATGGGATATACAAATACATATACATTATATATATGGCATCATTATATTTCATTTACATATTTCTTTTATTATACAAATACTTAATTGAGAGACTACAACTACAACTATTTAATATTATGAAACATTACCCAAGTATCTGGGTGGGAATACTAAAATATTACCAATAGCATAAATGCTCTTCTTTACCAAAACTCTTGGACTGATCTGACTGGAGAAGTATCATATTAATTGGTCTTTCCGGATCTTTCCAGAAGAACAATACTTCTGGAAGATGACTCATCGTGATAAAGATTACTTAAGCACACACTGAATTACAAATTAGAAAAACATATAAATATCAGTAGATAGTTCCGCGTAGAAAAGTCGAATTTTGATCATTCTTTACTTTTCTTTTGAAATAAACAACCTACACAAGTTCTCACGAATTCTTTCGTCTATATTATATTTTGCTTTATTTTCTCCCCACAACACATATAATTTTTCTAGTGTGGACAAAGGGGACCAGGGAATCACTGTTGATGGGGCCTTGCAACCTCAGATAGTTCGGCCCAGTCAGCAGATAAGTGTCATTCTTGTTGACTTGTGTGACTATCATAGGATTCAGCCATCGGTCTTGGAGCTTCATCACTGGCTTGTTATTATACATAAGAACTTACTCACTCACCAAGAACCTCTTACATGGGCTCACTTGTATGTCATAATGCCTTTTGTCCTGGAGTTGCCTTTTCTTGATTCTTGTCCACGCCTCCTTGAATAACCCATTGGTTAACTGTTGTATAGTCTTAACTCTGTTAGCTATCTCAATTACTGCTTCATCTTCAACAAAGTCTGTCCTTGGAGCTGGCCAGATCGCGGGAGTGCGGATATTGTACCCAAAGAGAAGTATGGAGGGACTATGACCTGTGGAGTTGTTAACCAGAAAACGGAGAACCAGATGAGCAGAGTTGATATATTTGTCTCATTGGTCTTGAACACTGGCATCTTGGGTTATCTTCACCAGGGTCTGAACTAAAGTCTGGTTCAATTGCTTGCACATATCATTGATTTGCAGACAGTAGGCAGTGGTGGTGAGATGGCGGCAACCCAGAGAGAACAAAAACTCACAGACAAAACCAGAAGTGAAGTTACTACCCCTATCAGTAAGGATGTACTTTGGGACCCCATAAGTAACTACGATCTGATCATACATGAAGGTAGCAGTAGTCTCTGTGGTAATGTCTTGGATGGGCATAGCAATTGGCTACCTGATAAGATAGTCAACAGCAACCAGAAGATAATGGAAACCATTCACAGAAGTCTTGATCAGGTTCACTGCATCACATCCTACCATGTAAAATGGGTGCACCAGTGTTATGATGGGTCTTGCTGGTTCATATCTCTTCCAGACCTTTCTTGCTCAGACCTGCCAGTTTATATACCCTTGAACTATCTTACAGACCAACTCGAACAAGTGCAGACCAGTATACTGTATATGGACTTGTCTCCAAGTGTGGTTGACGCCTTGATGTTCCTCACAATGCACCTTACTTACCACTCCTTCTGCAATACCCTTGTATAATAATTTTTGACTATAAGGAACCTCAGAATCCCAGCGAAAGAGTTTGCCCTGAAATGCAGTATACTTCTTGGTCTGGTAACAAACCTTACGTTTGATATTGGGAGTGGAGTCAGTAGGAAATTAGCCGTTATGTGTAAGAAAATAAAAAATTGATAAATATAGAGGATAATCCATTTGAAAAATAAGATAGTAAAAAAGAAAATATAAGATATTTTAAAGTTAATTCTATGAGAATTTGATGTTTGAAAGATAATATATTTGGGTTTACAAAATATTTCAAAAGAGAAGTTTTAAAGAAAATAATTTGTGTTGAAGAATACTTGTGTAGTATAAGGTGATAATAGGAATTGATATAATATTTGGTGATATTTTTGAAATAATTTTAATAAGAGTGTAAACAGATAGTTTATAGAATAAAATTAATGGTAATTTTTTCTGGAGAATAGCATTTGCTAATTAAGTCAAAGGTGTTGAATTAAGAAAAGATAATAGAGTAGAGAAAAAATAGAGAAGGATTGAAACAATTTTTAAAATTAACGAAATTAAAAAATTTAACTTTACTAATATAAGATAGGGGGAAATAAAAATATAAAAGAAGTTGCTGCAGAAGAAAATAGAAATGTCAAGAAAAAGCCAGCCAATATGGAGTTTTTAGAAAACTTGTACTGGGTTTACTGAGGGGGAAGATGAGAGAGAGCATCTGCTGAATTGTCATGGCTAGGCTGGTGTTGTATTACAAAATTATATTTCATGAGAGCGACAGCCCATCTTGACAGTCTTGGTGAAGGATTTGGGTTCTTGATAATATAGACAAGCGCAGCATAGTCTGTTCGCAGGGTGAAACAACACCCAGCAAGGTAATGGCGGTATCTCACAGTGCCCCAAATGAGTGCCAAGGCTTTCAGATGAGTTGCAGCATAATTTCTCTCTGGTCTCCTTAGCCCTCTCGATCCATAAGCAATTATGGTCTCCTCCTCCAAGCGATTGCCTGGAGCTTGTGACAAAACCGCATCAAGGCCATGGGGTAATGCATCAGTTGTCAGGATTTGCACCTGACCACGATCCAGAAAAGTCAAAATCGGTGGACTCACCAAAGCAGACCAGAGTGCCAAAAACGCCTTTTCTTGCTCGGGGCCCCAAACGAAAGACATGTTCTTCTTTAGCATCTTTACTAATGGTTGAACCACCTTAGCATAAACGAGAATAAACCAATGATAGTAGTCTGCCATGCCAAGAAAAGTATGAACCTTGTTCACATTACGAGGCACAGTCAAAGTCAACAACTTCTCAACATTGTGAGCACATGGTGAGAGACCTGAACCAGACACAACATGACTGAGATACTTGATTGACAGCTGTGCAAAGAAACACTTGCTATACTTTAACTTGAAATTTGCCTTCTTGCACGCCTCAAAGACCAGGCCCAGGTGAGTCTCATGTTCCTCCAACGTCTTGTAAAAAATAATAACATCGTCAATGAACACATAGGCGAAATTGTCCAAAAAGTTCCCCAAGATCTTGGACATTGTTCTTTGAAATATGGACAGAGCAGAGGTCAAACCAAAGGGCATCACAGTGAACTCAAAGGTTCTTTGACAAGTCATGAAGCCAGTGCACTCGATTGACTCCTCTGCTACAGGAATCTGCTAGTAACTGCTTGCTGCATCCAGAGTGAAGAAAAAGACCAAACCACTCAGCAAGTCTAGAAGATCATTGATATGCAGAAGGGGAAAAGCATCTTTAATGGTGACCTAATTAAGCTTGTGATAATCTACAACCAGACACAAAGACTTGTTGTGCTTCCAAACAAAGAAGACTGGAGAAGTCCACAAACCACGCAAAGGACAGATAAGCTCTAAGGCCAACAAATTATCCAACTCACATTTCAGTGACTCGTTCTCCTCCCAAGTCAAGCAGTATGGTCTTGAATGGATTGGCTTCAAGGAAGACACCAGAATCTCATAATCCAGAAGGTTGACCCAACTCAGACCAGAATTCTCTACAAACACATCTTGATTTATATCGACAATGCTGGCAATCCTGGGGGGAAGACTCTTGGCCTCAGCCTCAGAAACTGATAACACCTTCTCAACATAGTTGAGCAACTGCTCCTTACCTCGGGTATCCTTTAACGTAGACCCTATTCCTACAACAGACTCCTCTCAGACATTGACAGAGTAGAGGGGGGGGGGGGGGGGGGGGGGGGATCCTTTGCCTGACCTTGCAGCTCGACCATACCCAATCCATACTTTATGGAGATGACAATGCAGGCATCATTTAGGCGCAGATGAATGTCATAAGCTCAGAACCAAGTCATTCCCAGAAGACACAGATTGTAGTTGGAGCCACCATTCTTGATACACATGGTGTCAGGCCTCAGTTTCCCAGCAACACAAATTAGGATGCTGACAGTTATATTGCAGGGGGATGAGCCTGGCCATCCAAGGAAGAGAAAGGCAGACGATTGACATTGGGCACCAAACCAAGACAAAGAGCCAAAGCCTTGCTGATGATGGACACACTTGCACTCAAGTCAAAGATTGCTGGGATAACCTGACCATTGATGGTGATAAGAGCTCTCAGAGGTTGACTTGATGCAAAGTCTTTATAGTTGTAGTGATAGTTATAGACTGTGCTGTTGCTGTTGTACCCATCGAGCTTGCTATCGGAATTCAGGTTTGCAGCATTGGTCTCCAGGGACTGGGTTTCCCAATCGTCTGAATAAAAAAGTCTCACTGTTAGACGACTTCTCTTGGTGTTGGACCATGTTCACCTCAGAGGCGATGACCTTCCACTTCTGGCCAGATAAGAAATGCAACTCATCCTTGACGTCCTTGGACGCACACTTGTCCAAGTTAAGTCAATCGGCCAGATAAATACCAGCGTCCACACTCTTCAGTCTCTCCCAGACATCTTTGCAACTGATGTGTACTGGGAGTTCCCTTGGAGGCGGATGCAAATAACGGGACTTGGGGGCCAAAGGGGAAGAACCAATAGGAGGAGAGAGGTCAGGAGCCAGAGTCATGTAGATATCATTGGTAGGGAAAGTGTTGAGCTGACCCTGTGCATATAAGTGCTGTTAAAGAGATAGAAGTATGTTTGAGAGAGAGTGTAATGGCACTGTTTTGTCAACAGCCTTTCCTTTGTTATGAGTGTATGGATTCTTAGAAGACGACAGGTTGACCACCCTAGCATGCTTGGCAGCATATACCAGAGTGGTCTCAACCATGTTGACAGCAGTGTCTTCAAAGACAGATATTTTAGGATGGTTACAGGCGTCAGGAAAACTTACTGATGCCCTTGGCCTTTTTCCAAATCGTTGTTCTTGTTCAAACGCTTGGGGCAATCAGGTTTGATATGACCTTCTTCCTTGCACCAGAAGAGCCAGCCAAACTAGACACAGGACCAGACCTACCAAAACCAGACCCACAAGGACCAGAACCACCAAAACCAGACAAACCAAATCTAAAAGAACCAGATGCTTGAGGAAGGAAATGACAAGTGTCAAACAAATAGATCTTCATGGATCTGAATTCTTGAATGAGCTCAGAGAGGGCATCCTCTACAAAGGAGTTTTTGGATATCAAACCCTATCCAGAGAAGTCACCAAACTTGGGAACCAAGCGCAAATCAGAATAATGATACTTCTCTTTGACTGCCTCCACCTTGGCGGCCCAACAAACCAACTTGTCCCAGGAGTGAGGAAGACCAGACTTCTCTACCTCATAAGCAATCTCTGGATGGAGAGCCTTCAATAAAATCCAGATTTTCTTGGCCTCATTGGCCAAAGCAACTAGACCAAAAAGCTCCTGCAAGCAAAGAGCCATCTCACTAATGCTTTGTCCTGTGCTTTGCCTGATCTTATCGATTTTAGTTCATCATATGTCTTCCACCTGCTGGGAGGCAAACTGCTTCTTATACTCTTCCAAGAAGACTTCTCACATGGTGACTTTGGCCTCACAGATGGCCTACCACTTGGCAGTCATGCCACAGAAGTGGGTGGCCACCACCAGGATTGTTTCTTCATTGGTCATACCAATACCTTTCTTTAGTCAATCCATATGCAGCAACCAGAAAAGAGACTTGCTGTTCAGGTCACTAACAAAGATTTCTGGAGCCAAGAGATACTTGGAGATGTTAGATGATTTATGTTCTCTAATGGGAGCAGAAGAAGAAGGAGCATATTGCACAGCATAATTTGAGTAAGATAAGTTTAAAAAATATAAAAAGAGTTTCTTGGCAAAACCTTCAATTTGATATGTGATACGTTCATTTGTTGTGAATTGTAATAGTATTACTTGGCAAATAAATGTAATGTGAATTACAAAATACAAGAAGAATACAATAACAATCAAAAAGAATAAGTAATTTGACAGGTAAGTATTGGTGACAGACAGATAGAAAAAATAGGAAGAAGATAAAAATAGAAATTGTGACAACGACAAAGTTTGAGAAAAACAGAAAAGAAAAAATAGAAAAACAAAATATATCAAGATAAACAGACAACACTGTGGTGATCCAGACACTCGGATGTTGGATTTATCACATATAAGAACATATTCATATTGGGATAGCATAGTAGCTATCATCTTATCAGTATAAAATATATATAAACAATTAAGTAATCAGCCCAATAATTATTACAGTTAGTACTGTAGATAATATCTTAAAGATTGTTAAGATAATTATATCATACTGCCAGGTAAACTGTGTCAGATCGATATGGAGCTAATTTAGTAGGAAGTTCTAAAGCTCTAGTATAAAAGAGAAAAGAATAGCTAAGAGCTAAAGAAGTACAATTTATGACTTGATGTCATAATTGTAATACCGACACTAGTTAAGCAGTAAATACACTCTAATAACCAAATATAGTAAAGGAAGAAAGCCTTAAGAAACTAAGACGTAATGACAAGAGCAGATTGTGTTTTCTTATAAAAAGGGACACTTTTTATTTATGAATAAAGACAACTGATATACAGTCTCAAAGTATTTCTACACATCTCTATTATCAAATATTTTATTTTTCTATTGTTTTGTATCTGAAATACCACAAACACTCCAAAAAACAAGGATATTGTATATGAATGAAGAATAATGATAATAATGAACAAAGATAAATAAGATCAAGGATAGAATGATAATTTTATTGATTGAAAAGGGTGTTTCTTTTATAAATAAAAATGTTTGGTTAAAATAATTTTTTGAGAGAAAGAAAAGAAAGTCAAGTGAAAAATTTTACTATATGTAACTGGTATTGATAGTAGAAGTGGAATAGAAAAATATAAAAAGGATAAAATAAAAGTATAATAAAAATATAGTAATTGAATAAAGGTAAAGTAAAAAATATAGTAATAGTATAATAATGAAGTCTAATAAAAATGTAATAAATAAATTATAAATAAATATTGGCAATAAAACAGTATATAAAATTAGGGGAAAAAAGTATAATTTTTAGAAGGTAACAGGCATTTCTGAAGTAATGATGTAGATGGATATTCTAATTATTTAAGGAACGGAATATAATTGGGGGTTTGGATATAAGGGGTATTAGAAATAAGATTTCCCAAGAAAACTGGGGAGATACACCTGTCCCTTGATATACATCACTTGGTCGACTCACCATCAACGTCAACGCCCATGAGTCTGGTACCATCTATCATGGCTTACTGCCTGACTAAACTACCAAAGGGACCCACTGTTGGCGCCTTTCACCAGAAATAGGTTTACAATTTATTAGCTTACAACACATGTGACAAATATGATGCGTGTTGAGTTATGGTGTGTGGTGCAACTGGTCAGAAATATAATAGATATTATATGTATAGTTATATTCTTGTGATTTTGCTCAGGACAATCCAACAAGAAGGAATTTAGATAATGAACGGGACTTTAAATGGATGAAAACAGATATATGGACAACAGACAGATAGACAAACAGACAAACTGACAAACAGACAAACAGACAAACAGACAAACAGACAAACAGACAAACAGACAAACAGACAAACAGACAAACAGACAAACAGACAAACAGATAAACAGACAAACAGACAAGCAAACAAATGGTGAGACAGTACTTGTAGATTCTAACAGTGTGCAACTTAGTATTTCCCGTAGGACAATAGCTCAAGCTCAGTGACGATGTTCAAAAGAAATATAGAGGAAAACTGAATGAATTTTATTGGGATAAAAGCATCTCTCTTATATACTAATTGACAACTGCGTTCAAGGTGACAATCTAGATACATTTTATGCTAAATAATGATTATTTAGAAGAGTGTACAGGTCTTCAGACATAATCACAAAAGAAAATAATCAAAAATAATAAAAAAATAAAAATAATCGAACTACTAAAAAATATAAACTCTTGGGAAGCATACTAAAGAAGTAATATCAAGAAGTGTAAAGGAATAAGTGCAATACAAAGGGAAGCAAGCTAAAAAGGAAATAAAAATCAAGGAAAAAATAGAAAAAAAGAGGAAAAGTATTTAAAGTCTAGTGGGAATTTAAATGTCGATAGCAAGAAAAAAGAAAAAAGAGAGAGAGAGAAATTAAATCCAAAAAATCGGATTTTGTCATGTCCGGAGATGGAGTCACGACTTTGCACTGTCCATAACTTATAGTCTGTCCATAAGTTGACGTCACATCAAACCAATATGCATTTTTGATTAATGCTACAAATTTGTTAAACACTTGTGTCTAATCTCTGTTGGAGAGATGGCCGAGTTGGTCTAAGGCGTCACGTTAAGGCCGTGATCTCTTCGGAGGCGTGGGTTCGAATCCCACTCTCTTCACGTTTTACTGTTTTCAGCGTTCCTGATCTGGGATGGTCTTCCTTTTACTATAGCAAAGTCAAAAGGTCAAACCCACTGGGGATCGGAGAGTATATGTAAAATCGAAGAGAGGATAAAAGGTACTTTTTATTGATAGGAATTGAATTGTCTTATATAATTTTCTAAACTAATACTGCACATTATCCGCAATAAACTATTATACTCTATTTAATTACAAGAGAAGTCCTTTTACTGCAGTTGATGCTCAGAAGATGTTACTGTGGTTAATCTTTACAAGACATTACTGCGGTTCGTTATCTATGAGGTATCTTTGACACACAGAACTGCTGCAGTCAATTATCCCGATTTCTCAGATTCATCAAAATAATGTCTGACATTTTAACAGTAGTGTTGGGCATTATTTTTGTTGTGCTTAATTTTGGTGATACTGTCAGAGTTGACATTGGTGACCAAAATCAGAAGTTACAAGCAACCAGTAACGGTTGACTTTTTAGGATAAAAGATCTTGACTTTGCCAATTGATCTTTTGTCTATGTTTTAGATGTTGGAGATGAGGAATATACTTGTAGAGATATTACTGGATAACCACCATCTAAGACATATTATTGTAGCTATTCTTTTAGCCAGAAATCAACAATTGTTTTGTATAAATAGTCAAGAATTACATTTAATAAAAATCATCTTTATTCTTATCTAAAAACTATTCTTAAAAACTTAACAATCCTCAGTGGTTTTGATTCTGTGACTTAATTACAAGTGCCAGAAAAGAAATATCATATTAAGACTTGACAGCTTGACAACATAATCTTCATTCTGATTGGCTGACAATAATTTAGGTACAGCAAATATTGGATATTATTTTGATGAATCCGTAAAATCTGAAGATTCTTAACCACAGTACTGTCAAGTCTCGATCTGGTATTTCTTTTCTGGTACTTGTAACCAAGTCATAGAATCAATACCACTGGGGATTGTTAAGTTTTTAAGAATAGTTTTTAGATAAGAATAAAGATGATTTTTATTAAATGTAATTCTTGACTATTTATACAAAACAATTATTGATTTCTGGCTAAAAGAATATCTACAATAATATGTCTTAGATGGTGGTTATCCAGTAATATCTCTACAAGTATAATCCTCATCTCCAACATCTAAAACATAGACAAAAGACCAATTGGCAAAGATCTTTTATCCTAAAAAGTCAACTGTTACTGGTTTGTGAAGTCTTAACTGAGTGTATCTTTCTATTATTTTAACTTATATAAGTTGTAATAATAGATCACCACCAACTAAGACATTGTAAATAAATAGAAACAGATATGATGTGTTCAAGCATAAATATCAAAGTTTTGAAATCTTTTTAATTTTACCCCAAAAAACTCCGATAGTAGAATATATTCAATTCCCAATATATATAAAAAGAAAATCAAAAAAATTGTATTTTATATTACACGACCATCTTTTTTAGGAACAAGGAAATGTATCTGTTGCTATAGTGATTCTCTTTTTCATTTCAATATTAAAAAAAGCTGAAACTCCACTATTTTCTATTGATACCTCTTGACTTTGAAAGTCTATAGCTTTTTATTTAAGCCTTGTTTCGAGAATCTTTTAAACAAGAGTTATTCGGAAGAGTCTTCCCTATAAAACATGTTTAAGCAATTCTCAATAACTTGTCTGTAGCAAAAGTCATGGAGCTTTGAAAAGCATCTAAAAACTTATATATTTATCTCTGAACACACCATAGAAATATAAAGAATTGAATGCTTTTTATTGATATAAATCTTGGAGTATTTATATAGATTTTTTAAAAGTGAAACTATATAATCTAATTATCTTATCTAAAACATATTAGCTTTACATTTATGAAAGGCGATATAATATGTCTTGGTTAATAAAAAATAGACTCAATTAGTATACAATTGAGGGTATGAGGGTACTCAGCCAGATTGATTGCTCAAATTCTTGTGTGAATCTTAGCCAATGATGTCAATTTGTAGTTGAGGACATCAAAAGGCAAAAGATCAAATTTCAATCAAATTTCAATCAAATTTCAATCAAAATTTTAATGACATTCATATGTCAAGATTATACGTCATTTAATAAAAGATTATGCAAAAAATTACTATATAATCTAGAACACATACAATTGATATCTTTCTTCATACCTGCATCTTTATTTTGCTTCACATCTTATTACAAAAAAAACATATCTAACTTTAACAGCAAAATATCTTTATTCACTGAAGATAACTATGCTATCAAAAACGAATATAAGACATGATACAAACATGATGGTGGTAAAGATAGTCTGACTTCTATGGAGAGACTTCAGCAATTCATGTTGATGAACAGCAGAGAAAATCTCAATATGTATCTTGGCAGTGACAAGGAAGGACAAACGTTTAAGTTGTCAAAGGTTACAATACTGAATAAATGCAACCAGTATTTTCAGAAGCAAGGGGTTTATCGAACTACAGCCTAAATAAAGTTGAGACTCAACAATCTTTTGACAAAACAATATGGAGAAGCCTATCGTGTTTAGAAGAATAGTATTAAAAATAATTCTAACAACAAAGGCTCTACCAGTGAAAAAGAAGGCTTAGAGTATAAGTTGATACTATCTATATAATACTAATTCTAGATTTCTTTGTTTTAATATAATTTGTGTAACAATAGCTGAATTGAATCAAATCTGCTCTGCTTTCTTTCAGATGGAAAAGGTTATGGGCAATAGAAAGACTGGTTCTCCAGCGGTTTGTGATACCACAAAGCCAATGGAATGGATACATGACAAGGACGGCAAGCAAAGCAATGGCGATGATGACAACACAGATGAAGAATCAGCTGAAAACAGTCATAGCAGCAACAATGAGGAATATGACAGTCAAAATGATAACATGTCTGTACTCTGCTCCCCTCCTTCTAAGTCAAGCTCTTCTAGAAAACGCAGAAGAGTAGACATCAAATATAAAGAGTTGGCAGAAGAGGTGACAAGATAACTTAATGAGTCTTCTGTGTCCCTAGAGGCAAAAATAGAATGACTTTATAGGAAAAAGCTAGAAGTTCTTAAGGACGATCTTTACATTAAGCAAGAACGCAAATTTATACACAGAAAATTTGAAAACATGATGAAAGCAGTTGCAGAATTGATCAAAGTGCAAAACTGGTCAGATGAAAAAGTGCAAGAGCAAACTGATGACGTTTACAATAAAACATATGGTAGTTAAAGACTATCAATTTAATACTGACAGCAAATATCATAGAGTATCTGTTATACATCATTTCTACTTTTGAGATAACTTATTTCTTTATTTTTTATTTTTTTTTAGAAGGTTCCCATCTCCGTTTTTTATGAGTATCTCTTCTTTGATATAGATATGTTTGAGCTTAGCATTCTCATCTGAAAATGACATTGCTGGATATTTATTTACAGTGCCAGTCACACCTTCTCTGCTGATCCTTTTGATCTCTTCTTTTTCTCTTTTCTCCCATGAAATCTTCATTGTCATTGTCATCATGTCATCTGTCTGGTTGATCAAAAAGCTATAGAGAATGACATAAACTCTGATCTAAGAATTGATCATGTTCATGTCTTTTCGACTTCTTATCTTAATTGGGAGTTGCTTCAAAGAGCAGAATATTGCTTTGAGGATCCCAAATGCATGCTCAATTTTTATCCTCATCATTGCTATATATGAATTGAATGCTTTGTCCACATCACACAATTCCTTGTTTTTTGGCTTCTTTATGACAGAGACAATGTACGTCTAGGGAATGTAACTAGCATTGGCTAAAACATACTGGTCACCAGAGAAGAAGTTATTGGGGTTGCTACCCATGGTCGATTCTTCAAACACCCTGGCATTGTTCATGCTTCCGAAGTATCTGCAAGAGAGATAACAAATCTTCTTTTGATGGTTGCATACCCTAAGAGTGTTTACAAAGTATGTGCACTTATGACCAAAGGATTCTGGCTTTTTCCATGACAGTGTATGCTGCAAGTTAAACAGACACTCATCCAAAAACCCAACAAGATCAGGAAATCTGAATGGTTTCTCATTGCTTGGGATTATTGTTGCAGTCTTCTCAAGGAACGCCTTATTTTCTGCCAGTTCAAATTTGAGACAAAAAGATTCAAAGGAACGAGTGACCGCTTTTTCTTTTATTTATTTTTTTAAAAAATAACAGTGTTTGTTTATGAAAAAAACACTTCTTTATAAAATATAAAATAATACATGTGTAATGTTTTTTTATTGATGTTGCGTATTCATATTTCTAAAACTATTTCTATTTGTATTTCTAATATTATCTATTATATCTAGCAATTCTTTAACACAACGAGTCATATCATTTATCTCAGACACATCAATGTCAGAAATTGTTTGCATGTGTTCAAGATAGAGTCTTTGATGATGAAGTAAGATGTTGTGAGTGATACGGTCTGTAATAGATGTATCAACATCATTTTGAGCATCTACAACATCTTTTCTACCGTCTTCTTCATCAATAATCACAACTTCTTCTTCTTCAGCTAACACTGCTGGTCTTTGCATTGTCAAGTGACTGACATCTCTTTGAATTGTATATAAGATGTTAATCTTACAGTATCTTTTGAGAAGAAATATATGCTTGCAAGGTACTTGTTCGGAGATGTATCTGGGGCATGAACAGCATTTGATTAAATCATTTAAAATAGTGATAGAATACTATATTGTATCATTTGTAAAAAACTTGATTTGCCACTTGCTATCAGAGTCATCCATACTAGTACTAATCACATTTAATGGACTGATGATCATAGAAGGGAGTATGTCATCTTCTATCTTGGATGCAGCAAATTCATTTCTTGCAAGTTCGTTTTCTACTGGCCCCATCTTTCCATTATTTAAGTGAATACGATTTACTTCTTGTTTGTAGAAATACTTTACATTGTTTGTAAGAATAAACATGAGGCGATCCAGTCTTCTGATTCTAGCACGGTCAAAGTAGATAGTCTTGAGCTGGTTATGTCATGACTCAATATAGTTATTTGTCAAATATCTTCTATGCAAGTCATCAACATAAGAGTGCCCCCATATTTTCAGCAATACTTTGATTCCAGTCCATTGTGTTTTGAAGTATCTCAAGAAGTGTAACTAGTTGGGTATATCGCATTTGAAGTCAAGGATTCTTGGCAAAAATACTTCTTTGTTCGACTTCATCAAGATATATTTCAGCTTGTTCTTTAACTTCTGCTTGTATGCTGCCAGCTAGCCTGATGTAAATGACGCATCAAGTCTTACTTTGTTGTTGAGGTTTGTTTGCCAAGCACAAAGAATATGGAATTCATAATAGTGAATTACAACGTGAGGAAATGCAGATGTAATTGCATTAACTTCAGAAATACTACAGTCAATGGTGATATTCAAAGGATGGAAGTAGCTTCTCTCACAAAGATGCATAAACCATTGGCTGATTGGTCTGACTGTCTGGTTATTTGTAACCATGTAAGCAACAGGAAACCCTTTTCCACTTACGTTGTGTTGAGTCACTAAAGAGTACATGACCTCTCCACTTCTTGCTGATATGCCATGAGTAGCATCAAGGCAGAATGATATAGCTATTCTCATAACTCTCACTTGGACAGGCGACTGAAAGCCAAAGGCAAAAAGATTGCTTTCAATGTTATTAACACAAAGGTCTCTGGTAAAAATGCAATAATTTCTTTCTGGCAATTTCTCATTCATCCAGATAGCAATAGATGCCTTCTCATCAGAGTTGAACATATACAACAAATTTGTCATATATTTTATTTCATTTTACCAAAACTGTTAAATACGAACTTTCTTTTATATTTTTTTAACACACCTTCTTCATTCTATTGTATATCTCTTCGTAGTTTGGCTTTCTAACACCAACACCCCAGCTGTCAATCTGTCAAAGGACAGATATTCTTGTGCTTCTACAGCTGTTTCCACTTCTCAGTTGATCTTCAATCAACTTAATAGCTTCAAAAGGCAAGAGCAAAGTTCTAATCTCTGATCTGTCTTCAGGAACATGATTGTTATGGTCCCTTGTCATACAGAGCGTAATAATAGTAGGAGACTTTTTGAACTGCTTTATTTTCAAAGCTCCATTACATTCACATGCCTTTGATTCTTTTTGTGCAGGGCATGAATCTCGCTCTGGTATATATATGACTGCACGATGCCACTGACACGTTTCTCCAAAAATATATTCTTTTGAATCAAGATGTATTTTTTTATTCCATTTTGTTGAACAAAGAGTATTGCTTTGGTCAAGACAACGTCTCCATTCACTAGCTTTTACAGGTATACCTACTTTAAAAGGAAGCATCTTAATTCCCTCCAAAGACAAGTTGACTAAAACATTTTGAATGTTTGAAATATCATAAATAATTGGGTTAGCCATGTTGAGATTGGTGTTTAATTTGTATTCAAAATAAAGAGAAGAAAAAGAGAAGGAAAAGGGAAGAAATAAAAAAATCTCCAATAAAAAATTAACTTTTTCAAAAAGCCACTTGCAAAGTCTCTGACAGAAAAAAGCCTCAAAAGGTCAATTTCAAATTTGAACTGGCAGAAAATAAGACAGTGCCTTCTTGAGTTCTGAGGGCCAAAAAACATACAGGTTTTCTATTGATAGCATTACCTTGAAGAAACAAACTGTGAAGTTTAAGACACTGCCCTCTAATAAGTTTAAAATAATTAGTTCAATAGATTAATTATATGTTTATATAGATTAACAGAAGTCAGTTTACTAAAAGATGCTTATCTCCAACGCCAGATCTTTGTGCAAGCCTGCTATAGAATACAGCATTCTTATCTGAGCATAGTCTCTCCAAGACCAAAGCTAATTGAAGCTTTACATCAGTCTGCTTATGTTCTTTTGGTAACATATAAAGAATAGTCTTTGATTATCTTGTACAGCTTATTAAATGAGCTTTTGAACATTCTGATTTCTTCTTTGAACTCATCTGCATCTAGGTCTTTGAGGAAAGCAAGTTTTTCTTCCTTTAATTTAAGCTTTGGCAATGTATTGCCACCCTTGTGTAAGTATCTGTTGACTTGAAGGTTCTGCTCAAGATCCTCTACAACAGCTATCTTCTCCAACTCTGCATCAACTTCCTCTTCAAGAACTTCTGAAATATTTTTCAACAGCTCATCTGCACTTGTTGATAAAGATTGTACCAGACTTTTTTTTTTTTTCACTACAAATTTTCTGATTTTATGCAATTTCTTTAAGGCAGCAACTGTTTGTTGTTTTACACTGTATTTTAACATGTTATACAGAGTGAAAGAAGTGTTACATGACTTTGTTGACAGTAAATTCTATGATTTATTAAGGAGAAAGATAAAAACAATATTGTATTGCATATAAAAAAGTAAGGATTCAGCCAATCAGAGAGCCATATACTTTTTGATCAAATTTTGATCATTGTTATTACAATTTTAGTCCAATAATATTGCGTTCTGAATTTAAAATTTGAGCAATCAATGTGGCTGAATACCCCCTATTTGTTAAAAGAAGTAACTGATTGAATATCTGACTTAAGAATTTCTATCTATAATGTCAGCTCTTGTCGTGCCCAAATTCTTGTCAGCCAATCAGGATGACAATTACACAGAATTCTCTTTTGAGAATGACAACCAAAGTGATTTCCTTTTGCTCACAAAAGAACTAGAAAGCATATAGCTTAACAAAAGTAGAATAGAAACCGAAACAGACATTTATAATAGATGAGTAGGTTTAGAAAAGATATAAAAGAGGGCATTATTTCATTCAATAAAAGTTATCTATCTTTCTATCCTCTTTTTATTCTTTTATCTTCGTTTACGATTCCCAGTGGGTTTGACCAATTTTGACTGTGTTATAGCATTTGAAGAACAACCCAGATCGAAAATGGAACTCTGACAAGAATTTGACAAGAGAGATTAGAAACAATAGTTTGTTGTGCTTGTGGTGATCCAGACACTTGGTTGTTGGATTTATTACATCTAAGAACACATTCCTATTATTATAGTAAAACAGCTATCATTACAAGAACAAATGAATAATTTATTTATTTTACTTATAGTAAATCAATAAGACCAATAATTAATTACAGTAAGTACTATAATTATGACAGCTCAGTAAGCACTGAGTTAATATGAGAACACTGCAATCAGATTAAATTATAAACATAGCAGTACCAGCTCTCTAATATCTAAATGAACTCAGACTTAAGAAATTAAGATGTGACTGACAAAGCAGATTGTGTTTTGATATAAAAGGGACAACTTTGTATTCTTTAATAAAGACAACCTATATACAGTCTCAAAGTATTCTTATATACGTCTCAATCTTTTTTACTGTTGATTTTATTCTATAAAACTTCACAGTGCTTAATTTTGGTGATACAAGTTCTAGTGACTTGTTCTTACAAAAGAAGCAGGAATTAGAATGATTATTCATCAGTTTGTAATTTTAGAAATTTATAATCAACTTATAATAATTTGTAATATTACTAGACAATACTTGAGTGTAGTCAAAGATGAATAATCATTTCAAAAAGTATATAAGATAACACTATAGAAAATAACAGCATTTGTAATTCCGCCAATGCAGATTACTATGTAAAAAATGCATACTTGCAGATATGGATTCAGCCAATAAAAACAAGGTGATACAATGTTAGTGTTACTACTCTTTGCCAATCGGATTTGTGGAATTCCATAGCATTAAACTCGATCGAGTGCTGTTCAGCATCCTCAAGCCAATTAGACTTGTATATTACTTTTAACTAACCCTTTTTTGTTAAATTTGTTGGATCTCTAATTGGTCAAATAATACACATTGCATCACATAAAAATAAGTTTTTATTTTTATTTTTGTTTTATTTTTTGGTCCCTGGAATATACAAAAAAATAAAAATAAAAAAAATAGAAAAAAAATAAAAACAAAAAAAATAGAAAAAAAATAAAAACAAAAAAAATAGAAAAAAAATAGAAAAAAAAAATAAAAAATAAAAAACAAAAAAATGAAAAAAAAACAAAAATAAACAAAACAAAACAAACAAACAAACAAACAAATGACAGTAGAAGAAGTATACAAGGCATATACCAAATTACTTTCTACTTGATAATAATTTTTTTAAAATAGTATTTTTATTATGTTTTTTTATAAATGTCACTTATAAAGTTCAGTATTGTCTACTATAATAAAATAAAAAACAAACAAACAAAGCAAAACAATTGATTTGTATTAGTTATGATCTTATAAATGGCTTTATATTTAAAAGTAACTTACGTTTTATTACTGTCTTCTACTGGAGACAGCAGTTTTCCATCTCTGAGAAAGCACAAAGATAGACACCCAGGAATTCTCAAACCTATCAAGAGCAATATTTCTACTGGCTGCTCTCTCCTCAAGGTTTCTAACCAGGATGTTTCTCTGGTTAGGTGCAAGACTACCCCACGATAGTATAGCTATACCATTCATACGGTAGCATGACATTGTTACCTGTACAAGCTGGCGAGCAAGTCTGCCAATGGCACTGTAAAGAAGCTGAGCTTCTTTGGTGTTACCCCTGATAAAATGTAATACCAGGGCTGCAGTAACACTCCCAGCTGAGAGTACCCAACTGTTAGGTTGTCCTTGGGGGGAAGGGTGTGGGATGGTGTTGCCACCAATGACTGGCTGCAAATGGTTCACATCAGGAGGGTTACCTCGGACGGGCTGTTCAGTGGTGGCCTCACTGCCCTCAAACCTGGCCTCAAACCTGGCCTCAAGCCGGGCATATGCTGTCTCCAGCATCACCAGTCAAAGGTTTAATTGCGCAATGTTGAGCGATGACATTTTTAGAACTGTAAAGAAGATGTAAAATATAAAAAAAACAAAGTTAAACAAAAGCAACAAGAAAAACTGAAAAATAAAAAACAAAAACAACAAGGAAAAATAAAAAACAAAAAGCTAGAATCCCTTTAAAAAAATTTTCATGATAATTAGCGTGCTTGTAATTTTTCACTGTCCACTGATGGAATAAAAATTAATATCACATCCCAAGTGGTTTTTTCGACCTTATACCCCTATTTTTTTAAAATACAAAACAACAATTCAAAATGAACATTAACGACTTACTTAACCCTGTTACTGAAAACGAAACAAGCAGTTATATGCTTGACAATTCGTTCTTTGAGCAACAACCCGCTCAAATGGATATCAATGTCACTTATCCAGCTTACAACATGATGGATATCAATGATAAAGCCTCTGTCAATGATTCAATTGACTTTGATGGTTTCTTGGCTGCTGCCACTAACAACGTTGAGGCCAATGAAGAGGACACTTCTCCTATGGAAGCCAATTCCAGCAATGTTGAGGTGGAGTACACCTCTGGTAAGAACAATTAAAAGAAAATGTTAATAATAACATTATTACATATGATTATGTTTATGTTAAATATTAACTGTGTAAATATATTAGAGAATGGTCCTGGATTCACACGTGTTTGAAACCAAGGAATGGCCCAAGCTGAACCAGAGCAGGCCAACATTGAGTACGACCAGTTTGTACCAATGTACACTCCCAACAGCAGTGCTGAGGCCGTTAGTCTGGAGTTGTTCTCCTTGTTTTTCGAGAACAGTGTTTCTCGTGAAATCTATAATCAGTCTGTCAAGATCGTAAACGAGTACATGACAGAACGTGGATCCCGTAAGTTTATTACTATCACATATCTACTATATTACATATACTTACTATTGTATTAGCTAAAACGGATTCACTTCTGTCATATTACAAGGTGGATACCTTGCTCAAGCAAGAATACACAGTCAAGGCACAGGTGTATGACATGTGTGCCAGTGGGTGCTTTCGTTTCCCTGATGTCGAGCCTGGAAACTCAATCGTTGAGAATGAGGTGTGCCCTCACTGAAATGGAGCGCGGTACCAGCGTGAGAGAGGCACTATATCACCTGTACAGACATATCAGGTAGTGCCTCTCTCGGAGCAATTACGCTTCAAGTTGGCTCACCCTGAAGAATGGGCAAAGATTACCTATGGCATGGAGGTTTTGGCTGGTGGCCAATCGAATGTCCGTAAGGATATTCTTGATGGAGATGGCATCTATAGACTGCTCGCAGGTGGGATTGTTGGCCAGGGTGACATGGTGGTGTCTATGTTTGTTGACCAGTTCAACCCCTTCAAGGACGCCGCCATATCAGCTAGCATCATTCATGTTATTAACATGAATATCAACCCTGCCAAAAGGTAAATAAAACACATTGATTTAGATGTATATTTATATATACTAATATAATATATTTAGGTATAAGAAGGGTAACATGATGCAGCTGGCCATCATCCCAGGGCCTAAGCACCCAAAGAACATTGCTTCGTTTTTGGAGCCCATCCTTGCCAACCTGCGAGCCTTGCAGACAAGTGGAGTGAAGTGCTGGGACAGAGACTAGTATGTGGTGTGTAAGGTTCATCTTGTCATGGCAACTGGAGATACTCCAGCTGTCTCTGACTTGATGAACCTTATGCATCACAATGCACAATACGGCTGCCGCCATTGTTTTGCGCGTAGTGAAAGCATTGCCCAGACTATGTGCTTCCTGGAGAGCGAGGGTCCTGCCCCTATGAGAGACGTAGGGAGTATTCGCAAAGCCGAAGGAAGTGTAAGTTATGAAATATCAAAAAAAAAACCACTAACATCATTTTAGAGACCTGGTGGTGAGAGATACAATGCCTTTGCAGAGTTACCCACACTCACCAGTTCTGCTTTCTTTGGCCAGGACGAGATGCACCTCCTAGGTCATAGAACAGGGCACCAGCTCTATCAAGCCCTTGGTGGCAAATTCTGCCCTGGGACTGCAGGCCCGGGCAGAAAATCCTATGGAATGCACCTCCAAGAACGCCTGCAACGACTTGAGTACCTCTTTGCCCTGGATGTTAGCCTAGATGACATCGAAAAAGCAGTCAGCACATCCAGGGCAGATATACCCACGGCATTTACCGGTACGTGGAGGTCGATTAAGGAATCGAACAGCAAGAGGAAGGCTGTCAATTAGATGGACTTCCTCTTGTTTGTTGTACCAACCATGGTAATCGACCATCTCTGCTTTGCAGATGCAAAGCAGGCCATGAGAGACCTGGTGCTGGCGTGCTCCATTGTCCAACAATGGAGCATCACTGCCAGCAACATTGTTGCCATGGAGCAGTAAGTCACTTAGATATATATTTCTATCTGGTTTTTAATGAGTTTTATAGGGCAATTGGCCACTGGCACTCCTTCCTGAGGTGCAAGATTTCGGATAGTAAGTTGAAATCCAACATATTTGTGATGAACCAGCACATGCTGATTCATCTTGGTTTCATGTTGCAGGAAATGGGCCCTTTGCGGGCTTACAGCTGCCGTCTGATAGAATGCACAATCAGTGCCTATACCTCTGCGATCAAGTCCAGGAAGGAGCCCGGAAAAAACATGGAAAATGTTCTTTTCCGGATGGCAGCCATCAGTCACTGCCGCGGCAACCGTCCAGCCAGGACTGGACCAGCTGACAGAAGGACCAGCAACTTTGAGGTTGCAAGTGATGATGTTGCTGGTCCTCAGCTGTGGTCCAGTCCAACCAGGTATAGCATGGCCAAGTTGGCCAACACCATTGGCATGGAATGAGAGGATCTCATCCAACAGTTGGTGCCTTTCTGGGCAGGAGAAGGAGTTTCCCCCTTCGAGGAACAAGACTTAGTGGTTTACACTACGAAGATGTGGAAAGACTTGGTGGTTTACAGAGTCCGGTCCTCCTTTGACAGTAGACATGTTTGAGCTAACAATCTTGTTGTGCTCAAACATATGTGGGAGTAAGTGTTGTTAGTTATATTCTACATTGTTAAAAGTTGATATTAATCATAATTTAATTATGTTTTTTGAAAGTTATGGATTTGTCCACAAATTCTTTTCTCACACTGTCAAAGGAGTGACCAGGCTCTTTGCAGCCACCAAGAGTCTTTCCAATGTCAGACCCTTGCTGGGCATGCTCTTCCCTGTGTCGAGCAACCACTCGCAGGGCGAGATGAGGATAGTAGACGTGAAGTCCTTCAAGGGGATGGCTGGCCTCATTCACGATACTAAGAATGGGGCTATTAGAGATATTGTCTGGCCCTTGCTGACCCACAACCAGTAGTTTTTTCTTCTTCTTTTTTTCCCTCTTTCTTTTTAATAAATATATATAAACCTTTCATCTTATTCAGATATTACTCAACGAAGTTGATTGTCATTATCATTTTATTTAAAATTGCGTATCACTAGAAAATCCAAATTAACGGTATATCTGATTGATTGGCTATATTTGTAACCTTGATCAAAATTGTAAACAAAAAAGAACAGTCGTCTTTTTTTTCTCACTTAAAATAGACGTCTGAGTTTAACCCATGAAAAAAAGATTAATCGCAGGTCCACAGCTTCTAAAAGGGGTTTAAAACACTCTAAATTTAGTAAGATTGATATGATTTTTACAAAGTTACATGGATTTTGCAGATATGCAATTATTTCTGTGAGTACTTGCACTTTTTTTTCTACAGTGTAACCCAAATCAAAATAATAAAAATCATCTTTTTATCCTCTCTCTTATTTGCTTACTCCTGTGTTATTAAAGCTTGACCAATTTGGCTACGTTTACAGTGAATTGGAAGATAGCCTAGATCAGGTATCAAGTCTCAATCTGGAATTTCTTTTCTGGCACTTGTAACTAAGTCGCAGAATCAATACCACTGGGGATCGTCAAGATTTTAAGAATAGTTTTTAGATAAGAATGAAGATGCTTTTTATTAAATATACTTCTTGACTATTTATATAAAATGATAATTGATTTCTGGCTAAAAGAATAGCTACAATAATATGTCTTAGATGCCTGTTGTTCAGTAATATCTTCTACAAATATATTCACCATCTTAAACATCTATGAAAGACCAATCAGCAAAAGTCAAGATCTTTTATCCTAAAAAGTCAACTCTTACTGGTTGCTTATATCGGACATTATTTTGATGAATCTGAGAAATCGGGATAATTGACCGCAGCAGTTCTGTATGTCAAAGATACCTCATAGATAACGAACCGCAGTAATGTCTTATAAAGATTAACCACAGTAACATCTTCTGAGCATCAACCACAGTAAAAGGACTTCTCTTGTAATTAAATATAGTATAATAGTTTACTGCGGATAATGCGCAGTATTTGTTTAGAGAACTATATAAGACAATTCAATTTCTATCAATAAAAAGCACCTTTTATCCTCTCTTCGATTTTACATATACTTTCCGATCCCCAGTGGGTTTGACCTTTTGACTTTGCTATAGTAAAAGGAAGACCATCCCAGATCAGGAACGACACATAACTACCGATTTTGTTCACCAATGTCAACTCTGACACAGAAACGACGTTTTTTATTTTAAAAAAAGTAATATGAGACTACCAGGGGTCGAACCTGGAATCTCCTGATTCGTAGTCAGACGCCTTGTCCATTGGGCCATAGTCCCTAACTTTATTTTAACACGTCGTATAATAGTTTTTTTTGGGCGTTGCTTAAAACCAAATTCTACCAAGTTCAGACTTTGTTTTGAAAACCCCTTTTAATTTTTCTTCAAAAATTAGAGTGGGTGTTGTGTTGTGGCAAAATCGAATCAAATTGCCATAACGCCCAAATAAGAACATCGGGATATGAAAATTTCGAGGCATTTTAAACACTGGAAAATTAGAGGGAAATTGTGGTAAATTAGGCTCATTTTGCTATAATTCTATGGTAAAATGACCTCAATTTGTCACAATTTTTTATAGTTGCCATATGCACATAGCATTCAATTTTTACCAGCACAAACAAATAGATATGCAGTTTTTTATATATATTTTCAACAATTAAGCAAAATATTTCAAGTATATATAAGATATACTTACATACATACTTTCTACTTTATTTCTCTTTTCACTTAAATATTTTTTGGTCTTTTCCCTTATTTTCTTAAAAAATGTATACAATAAAAATGAAGCAAACAGCCAGAGCAAGCACGCGCAATCTGCAACTGCGTCAGGATCTAATGATCCAGATGTTGATGTATCATCAAGCAGTTCTGCAGAGGAGACTTTGCGAAAGGCTCAAAAATGTAAAGAGAAAGCCTCGACTGGTGAATGAGGACAGTGGGACATGGCTAGAGAGATTGCACTAATGCAATTGATCTACAATTGTTGCCCTTTTGCCAATAATCATGGCAACAAGTCCTTGGCATGGAATGAGATTACAGCCAACATAAACAGTATTAAGCAAACTCATCTGCACCCACTTACAGCAAAGGATGCCAGAGCAAGAAAGAATTTGCTGTTCAAGAAGTTGAATCTGGTCGTCAACAAAGACAATGAGAGATTCTTGCCTGTGTCCAACCCACACATTCCAGAGAACCTCCAAAGACTGGTATACGATGTATACACAGCCATATGTTTAAGCAGCTATAAACGCAAAAAAATAGTTTAGGTAATTGATTATTTCTCCCTTATAGATTATGGATTATTAAGAGTTGAAGGCTGCCAAAGACAAGGCAACCAAAATAAAAGAAAAAGAAAAAAAAACTATAACAAAAAAATGATAGCCATTGCAACATATGGCCGGGAAAACTTAAGCAGTGATGACAACAGCTCTGACTCTGTCTCTGACTCTGACTCTGACATCTCTTATGGCAGAAAAAATTCCCAATCTGCAAGCACAACCAACGAGTCTGTGAGCCTTTTGAAGCAACAGTTGGACATTCTTCAACAACAACAGCACACCAACAATCTTGTACTGGAGGAGTTGAAGAAAATAAGTTGGTCAAATGCAGTTCTTGCTGAATCAAATCAGGCAATTGCTGATTCGAATAAGGCTATTGCCAAATCTAATTCAGCTCTTGCTAAATCTCTTTCAACAATTGCTGACTCTATTTCTGCCTTTGTTGAATCTTATAAAAATAACAAGTAAATAGATAATAGATTTACTCTATTTTCAAGTTTACAAGTATTTGAATTGTTTTATTAGTTATCAGGAACAGTGACAGTTTCTACTAAATTTGATGCATTATTCAAAATAGTTTTGTAGTTATCAATAGTGTCTTCTGGCTGGTGTTCACACATAAGAGCTTTGATATAATCATAGATATTTGGCGGCTGAAGCTTAAAAATTTTAGAGCCTGCTGAGCCATTAATACATGTATGGAAGTTCTTGAAAAGAGTTGACAAGATATATATTGTTGCTGGCTTTGTGTTTGCAAATATCTTCATTCCATAGTTGTACTTGCAGAATTTAAATAATTGCGACACCTTTCCAAATTTTATCTCGACTTGAATTCTGGTTTTTCTCATTGACTTGTTAATTTTTTTCAGCTCTAAGCATATAAGCAATGATATAATATTATGATTATTAAACAAAAGACAATTTTACAGGATGTATATCTTTTTTTCAATATCTTACTATCATTGTTGACTTCGCTTAAAGGAAAAGATTTGTAGACTTTATCCAATTTAGAGTAAGCCATATCTCCGTATACTACATATTCAAATGGAACATTATCATCCTTGGAAATATAATTAAGATACACGATTAGACAATCTAATGTTTTTGACTTGTAAAATATTCTAGCATCATGACTAGATCTAATGAACGGACCAACCAAGCTGCTAGTAATACCATCAGGTGTTGCAATAGCCTGATACTTAATGCAATGTATATGCTACTCAATAAAAAAAAGTTGTTATTATACAATCAAGCAAAGAATTAATGCTATGAAATAATTCTCTAGTCATTTTAAAAATCCAATAATTACCTTCCAGCCATTATAAACCAGTTTCTGATCTTTGTAAGAACTTGGACGGGAAACTTTTTGCATAGTGCCATCCACAAAGCCAACAACATTTGGGAAGATCTTACCTAAAACAGTCTATGTCATTAGTAAAGTCCCATTATATCAGTAAGTAGAGCAATAAAAGAAATACATAATAATAATATTACTTTTTTTGTATATAGCTTTTGCAAACCACTTACAGTTTTCAGAAGAAAACTGGCAAGTGTCAAACTCGAATCTATTTTTGAATTTATTTAGCAACAATTCTGTGAACTTGTTCACTATTAAACCTAGTGTCTTGGCAGACATGCCCCATACGCTTTGCATTGTAGTGTATTTTTGTGGGAAAGTATGCCGGTACAAAATCAAAGCAAAAGCAAATTCTCTTTCAATATGGACAGTGTAACTTTTGCTACGTTTAAATTCTAAATATAAAGACAGTTTCATTGCATCTCACATTGTTTTGATCTAACATAAATACAAAAGTTATCTATTAATAATGTTACTTCAACAAAAGCTGTTTATCAACATGTATATTACTTCAGATAGAATAAATCTAAACTCTTTCTTGCATGTATCATCACTTAGTGTCTCTAAATCAATTCTTGCAAACTTTTTTTCTTGTTTCTTTGTTTAGAATGATTAGCTTTAACATCAAGCATACAGACAATTCTGGAAAGTGCTTCAACAAGCATTTTTAGATAGCTTATATGGTGTATTACGTGTGTAAATGTGTATAAACGAGAAAGAAAGAAATATAATTTTGTGGCAATTAAAAAGTAATTTGTGAAAATTTGAAAGAATTCTGTGACAATTTGAAAGAATTTGTGGCAAAATGAAAAAAATTGTGGCAATTTGAAAGTAGAGCGCCCATAAGCTGAAATACAAAAATTTAAACCAAGCAATATGATTTTAACAAATATGGCAGTGGGCATTTTGCCACAACACAACATCCACTCTATTTTAATTTTAATTTCTTTCTTCTATTTTCACAAAATCGTCTTTTTCCAAAAACCGATTTTCTGAAAATTAAAATCTTTCCTCTTTATTTTTCCCGAAATTGTTTTCTCCCTTTTCTTTTTATTTTATTCCTGCACACTAAATGTGACGCTTCCTCTCAAACACTACTTTACCAAAATTGTTAACTGAATAGTTTTTCCCTTTATTTATAACATACTTCTTCCCAATATTTTTTTCTTGTAATTATATATTATAACTTCATCTATTTCTTCTTTCATGACAAAATATTTATATAGTCATTTTTCTTTATATTTTTATCTACAATTATCTCATTGAGTTTTATCTAGCCTATTTTTACTATATATTTTATCCATAAAATAGTATAAATATCTCTTTAAAATCAATCAATAAACAACTGCCAAATTTTTCTGATACAAGTTTTCTTCAAGACACTGTCTATTATCTCTGATCTCTCTTGTAAAATTTCTTCTATTTTATTTTATTTTTCTGTCAAGTCTTCATAGAATATTGGTCATCTCCTTTTATTTTATTATTTTGTCCCAATTTCTTCTTTTATTTATCTCTTAGTAAATTTATCATAATAAATTTCCCTTTAGCTAAATCTTTTACTCTATTAAACATTTTTTTCTCATAGTTAACTCTTTAGAATTACTATTATTTACTTCACTTCTTTTAGTTTAACTATTTCTCTAATGATTCAAATTATTTACACTCTTACCTTAGTGTTAGTTTCCCTTTTTATTTCTTTAACTGGTCTATTTGGTAACAAAGAGACTATTTTATTATCTCAATTTATCCAATATCAAACCCAAGCTCTCAATTTCTTCTTTTAATTCCTCTTCTTATATACAATTATCTTTTCTTGTACATCTTGTATACATAACAATATACCACTCGCAACAATTTTGAAATATAGTGTGGTAATGTTTTTGGCCATAGTTTAAAAATCATATTCTACCAAGTTCAGACATTCTTTTGAAAACCCCTTTTAATTTTTCTTCAAAAGTTTTAATTTTAATTTTAATTTCTTTCTTTCATTTTCACAAAATCGCCTTTTTCCAAAAACCAATTTTCTAAAAATTAAAATCTTTTTCCTTTTATTTTTTCTGAAATTGTTTTTTCTCTTTTCTTTTTATTTTTCTCTTTGATTTTTATTTTCTTTTTAGCTTGCTTTCCTTTGCATTGCACTTGTTTCTTTACACTTCTTGATATTACTTCTTTAGCATGCTTCCCAAAAGTGCATATTTTTTTAGTAGTTTAATTATTTTTACTTTTGATTACTTTTTATTATTATTGATTATCTCCTTTTATGATTATATTCAAAGACCTGTACACTATTCTTAATAATCATTATTTACTATAAAATGTATCTAAATTATCACTTTGTACATAGTTATCAATTAATATATAAGAGAAACGTTTTTATCCCAGTAAAAATTATCCAGTTTTCTTCTATATTTGTTTTGAACATCATAACTGAGCTTGAGCTATTGTTCTGCAGGAAATACTAAGTTGCACACTGTTAGAATCTATCAGTACTATCTCACTGTTTGTTGACTTGTCTGTTTGTTGACTTGTCTGTTTGTCTGCTTATCTGTTTATCCATTTATTTATTTGTTTATTTGTCTGTTTATCTGTTTATCCATTTATCTGTTTGTTTGCTTATCTGCTTATCCATTTGTCTGCCTATCTGTTTATCTGTTGTCCATATATCTGTTTCCATCTATTTTAAGTCCTGTTCATTATCTAAATTCCTTCTTATTGAATTGTTCTCAGCAAAATCACAAGAATATAACTAGATATATAATATATATTATATTTCTAACCAGTTGCATCACACATCATAACTTAATACACATCATATTTTGATGCAATGCATTATAATATTTATTGGCCACAGTACCAGTTTCTTTTTCAATCAATTTTAATCTTTTTAATCAGTCACAAAGTCTCAAACTCCCAATTCTAATTTTATATTTTAATTTTATTTATATTGGGAATACTTAGCCAGATTGATCACTCAAATTCTTGTGTGAATGTTAGCCAATGATATAAATTTGTAGTTGAGAACACCAAATAATAAAATATCAAAATTTAATCAAAATTTTAATGATATTCATATACTAAGATTATATATCATTTAATAAAATATTATATAAAAAATTGTTGTATAATTCAGGAAACATACAATTAATATTTTTCTTCATATTTACATCTTTTTTTTGCTTAACACCTTATTACAAAAAAAACATGTCTAACTTTAACAGCAAAATATCTTTATTGACTGAAGATAACTATGCTATCAAAAACAAATATAAGATATAATACAAACGTTATGGTGGTAAAAATAGTCTGACGTCTATGAAGACACTTCAGCAATTCATGTTAATGAACAGTAGAAAAAACCTCAATATATATTTTGACAGAGACAAGGAAGAACAAATGTTTAAGTCATGAAAGATTACAGTACTGAATAAATGCAGCTAGTATTTTTAGAACCAATGAGTTTATAAAACTACAGCCTAAATAAAGTTGAGACTCAACAATCTTTTGACAAAACAATTGGTGTAGAGAGACTAAAAGTTCAAAAAAGGGCAAAATGCGTAAAACAAGTATATCTTGAACTTAGCCAATCAGATTTAATTTTGATTGTCCACACCTTTTTTTTAAAAAGTTTAAAATTAGTTCATAATACATATTATATACTGCTATGTTTATAATGCTGTCACTATCAGTAAGTATAGTTAATGCTTCATATTCAAATACATCAACATAAAGAAGCCTGTTTTGTTGTGGATAAAGACATATTTGCTTATATTATCCAATTACAACTTGTCAGAATCTTTCACTGCTTGAATCTGTATCTGTATATTGTCAAAGCATACATATGCAAATAATAAGAAGTTATCACAGAGTTTTTAGTGGGGTTACAAACTTAGACAACGAGCCAACCAGTGACTTGTTTAAAATAAAAAATCATTAGAACACCAAATTTTATAGGTAATTTTCACCAAAAAAATATGCTGCTCATTACAAAAAAATGATCAAAACAAAATATTTCTTTACATACAAGAGATTCTTTCAAATTCTTATATATATATATATATATGAACGTGAGTAGAAGCTTTAAAAGTATCTATATTTCTCTTATATTTATCAAAAAGCTGATATTGAATTGGATAAAGTATTATTCTTTAAGTATATGTTTAATCTAATAAAGTAGAATATAGCAAGGAGGATACCAGAAAATAATGGGAAGCTATTAAATTACTTAATAGCAGCATTAACTGAATATCATAAAAAGAAACAAGATATATATTTTATTTTTATTTTTATAATCATTGAAAGATTTGGCTTGAATTTTTAGACAAAAAGTCCAGAGTTCTTCATCTTCTTCTTTGGTTTTCTTCTGCAAGTTCGACTGCTGTTTCTTCACTTACAGAATTGTCAACCATATATTCCTTAATACGATTAACAATTCTTTTACGTTTATTGAAGAACTGTCAATCATTGTTTCTCCAAGCAACACCATACCTCGTCTCCATCTCGTGTACGGAGACACAGCCAGAGAGTCCCACATGCCATTCTCTCCACAAGTCAGGTACCATCTGCACATCTCTGCTCATTCTATACCGAACAGGTATGTCTGGCAGCTGGGAAATTGGTCCAGAGTTGTTGGCCAGGACTGGGAATGCTTGGACCTCTGTTGATCTAGCTCCACATCTTTTCCCTCCATCTTCTTGAAGGGACTGAAGAGGGATTCTCCCAGATACCAAGTCGTCAATCTTCTGGTGAAAAACACCAAACTCCCGCAGAACTTCTCTGCAAAACTTACTGTCCACATTCTGCATGTCAGCCAACTTTCTGACCATCAGAGGAAGTGCTCTCTACAAAAGGATGTTGGTAGGCTCAACATCTGTCTCCACAAAAGCCTCGACTGATCTAAAACATTGACATATAAATATATTAGAACTATTTTTTCACTGTATTATATTAGTTTTTTTTACCTCTTGAACTCGATGTATTCGGAATCATGGAATACACTGTGCTGCCACAATGGGTGCCCTGAAGTTTTGCTCATCATTAACACAGAATCCTGTAGAAAAGTGATTCTTAATTGCTTTAGAAGCTTCAGAAACCCATGTGCAGCTGCGGTTTGCTGACATGCTCCTGATGAAATTTTGTCGTACCAAAAGTCTACCATTGGGAAAACCTTGTGCTGAAGTGACTCGGCTGGTTTCACTTGGGCTCTTGGCAAATAGAACCGCCCCTCAGCTGACAGAAATCCAGCCATAGTACACATCGCACCTCTCGGAAGATTGGTGAGGTATGCACCATTCATTGGGCTGCTATTCCAGCAATCCTGCCTTCTAATATCCGGCTCATCGGCACCACTCATGTCAGCTATTCTTGCTGATGATCCACAAGCAGCATGGGTCTTTGCTGTGGAAACGATTCCACAGGCCTTTAATGCCCTGTTGATTGCTTTGAGATGGGTGGAGTAAGGCATTTCCCTGGTTGGTTCCTGCCCAGATCGTAGCAACTTATGGTTGAACCATTCCTCGGATGTTTCAAAAGATGGAAACTGCTCACCATCAATATGCCATCTCCAGAAGAAATAGCATCCGAGTGCCATGAATGGACAAATCTCAACCTTGGAATTTCTCAAGCAGGCTGCAAGCTCAATTCGTCCAAACTTGTTCATCTTTCCCTGCTTTAAGACCAAGACAAAGGCAGGGCATTTGGAAGGTCCTTCACAATCCAACATGACTGTCTGAAGGTCGGCAAATTTGGCTTTTCTTGCAGATTCGCCACAGAGCATACAAAAATGCGACAGGAGAAAAGACACCACATTTCTCAGGCCACCTCTGCTTGATTTCGAGAAATAATAGTTAACAATGCTAGCAATCTCGTTCTCTGTGGTGTATCCATCCACCAGAGTTCCAAGGCCACAGTCCTGGTTTTCAGCACAATGGGTACGCTCATTGTTGAACTTCATGTTGTCCAACAGCTGGATACAAGCCTTGCGAGGGTGAGGGTGGTTGTTCACACTAACTTTAACTTGCTTCTGATACATATCCACAATAGCAGCAAGATAGGCCATTGCAGTTCCATACTTGATGGTTTTTCCAGTGTCTCTTCTGTGGGTTCGGTTGACAACCTAACAGAAGAAAAGATAATTAATTCAATTACTTACAGAATATATCTCCAAACAATAGCAAAAAACTTACACAGTCTTTAAGAAACAAATGGAGCTTATCTCCATATACAGTGTAGCAATTTTTGAGGGGAATACTTGAGAAAGCTTCATCACACCAATCTTTATACTCTTTTTGCTTAGAAGCATAGCTTCTCTTTGTGTTCTCTGGTCTGTTAACTTCAGCTTCGCAAGAAGTAGACACCTGGACCTCCATCATTCTAACATTCACATCAGAAGTTGCAGTGGAATAGCTAGGAGCGTTTGAGTTCATTTTGAGTAGATATTAAAAGATCTGGGAAAATGAAAAGGTAGCACTTTTACATGCTACTTATATTAATGTCTTGTCAGAAAATTCATTGTAATTTATTATGCTTAGTAATAGGTGACTAAGAGAAATTCTGACATTAAGATATTGCTGTACTTATATATGAGAAACAAGACAAGTATTTAATAAAAGAAATCTGCTTCTTCATCAATATGTTAAAGAACATATATAAAAATATAATGCTAATTTTTTAGATGTGTATAAAAAAACCGAATTTTTAATAAAGTTTTATTAGGCTGCATATAACTTATGGAAAAAAAATAATTGTGGTGACCTTCATTGAAAAGAAATAATTATTTTGGGTGGGAACCTAAGATATTGGCCATTATTCCAGTGTTGGTCATTAAAAATGAACGTCCAGAGAAATCTTTAGAAATCCTCACCCCTTGATAATATTATCTGTCTCTAAAAGTTCTCCCAATTAGTACAAGAACTTTTAACAGTTCTTATGAATAAAAATTAATCCTTTTGAGCCCAAAACTCTTTTTATCTCATAATATAATTATCTGCATCAATTTTTTTTACAAACCTATTTATTACACATACAACATTTTAGCTAAAATAGCTTGATAGTATATATTACTTTTATAAAGTTATAAGTAATAATTAATACTTATCTAGCTTCATTTTAACTTTATCTTTTTTGTCTTTTTTTTTAAAAAAATATCTTTTTGTATCACCTATACCTTTTTTGCTTATAGAGGGGAACGAGTCCCTGGATTTTATTGAGTGTTAGTGAAAGGAACCCAATTTTTTTATTAGCTTTAGTTTTTAGTTATTAGTTTTTTTTGTAAATGTGGAAGTAGAGAAAAGAAAACTAAAAGTAATCTATGAGAGATCTAGTTTCTGAGCAAAAGAGGTAGAAAGTTTTTCTACAGATGATTATATATGTTGTGTATTAAAAGGCACAGAGTCAAAAATCACCCGCCAATGAGTTCTTCACAGAGATAAGATGATGCAGCTAATGGTCTGGCTTGGGTCAAGATAGTGTTCAAAATTGGCTGAATTAGGAAGATCCAAGTGAAACAGTGCGCAATGAACATCAAATGGTTCAGGTTGATATCCAAAGTAAGTCTGCCAGGCGTTGGACCAAACTGGTCACTTAAGAGGACACAGATACAGAAAGTGCTCTATGCTATCAATGCCATTGCTGCATAGGATGCACATCAGAGACGGAAAGGTTGTGGGAGCGATGCGATGGAGGTGTGAGCTACAGGACAAGGATTGATGTAGTGCACGGTACCAAATGTTTTGTACAGAGTAATGTATGGGAAAATCCCAAATTTCTTTCCATTGAGTCGGTGTAAGAGTTGAGCCATGGTTAGACAAGGGCGGATTGATTTGACAAACTTTGCAAAAGTGAGTGGTGTGGAAGTCTTTGAGATGCCAGCAACCAGTGCACAATGCTGTAACAAATGGAGATACAATTACAAGCTCTGGGCGGAGAGTGGGAATAAATTCAGGATGTTTGAGGGGTGGCAGTGTTGTACACCAGAAGAATGACAAGAGGTTGATCTGTGCATTCTGAAGGTTATGGAAGAGTTTGGCAACAATGTATCTGGAACCAAGGCGTTCTGAAGAGACTCATGAATGGAGAGCTTGAAGAGACTCATTGTAAATGAAAGTGTCAGAAATGCACAAGTTTTGCCAACCCTTGATAAGGCAGATAGATTGATCAGAGAATTGTATGACATCAAGTATGGGCAAGTCCAGACATGTAGCTGGAGTGGGAGTTATAGTAGAATAATCCTGTGGAATGGCATCAATCGTAGTTAGGAGAGTATTAAACGCACTCTGTACATTGTTCAATTGAGCAGGGCGTAAATTTGTACACATCATAGGCAGATGGATGTCTCCACTTGAGGTATATTGTTGCAAAGTAGCTTTTATTCATGGTACTACAAAAGATTGGGTCAACTGCTGATCTAAAATGGGCTGTAGCCATCGCATCTGGAGAGCTTTTTGTTGCAGTTGTGGCTCAAGAATACCTAGACCACCCGTCAAACGTGGGCAACACATTTTGAAAAAGCTAATCATAGGAAACATGCCGCGACGCAGGAATTGTCCTATGCATGGGCGCAACTTGTCAAAAAATGAAGCAAGAACAGGAGTTACACGAAGGACATGCCAAATCTTAGACAGAATTAGAGAGTTCAACACCATAGCTCGACCCCTGACAGAGAGTGAGCATTGAGAGTGAATGTGACAGAGTTGTTCTATCTTTTGGATAAGCTGGTAGCAGAATAAGTCTCGTTGAGCAATAGACAATGTCAGAGGGAAGCCAAGATATATCAGTGTGGTAGGTGATGTGCGATTGTGCCAGGATGTAATGGACCAGCCCTCAAGATAGACTTTCCAATGTGGTAAAGGAGATCCTGACAACGAAAAGGCTTGCGTTTTGTGTAGATTTATCCTTGCATTTGAGGCACAAGAGTATGTATTCAGATACTGATGAAGGGCGTCTAGTTCAGGAAATGAGTTCAAGAAGATAAGAGCATTGTCGGCGTATGCTAGGCATTTGATCGGAGGGGCCGAATTTACAGATACATTATGTGTGGGAGCTAAAAACTTTGTGATGTTGGAGACCCCAATTACTCGTCGAAGGAATGGTTCAAATGCGAGATTGAATAGTATGGGTGAGAGCAGATCTCCCTGGCGCAAACCTCGACGTTGGGCTAGTGGAGTAGATAGAAAGCCATTGACATTGGCCGATATGTTGGTCAAGAAGAATAGCTGTGTAATACAGTGAACAATAGAGGCTGGGAACCGAAAGTGAAGAAGGATATGCTGAAGGTATTCTGGGTGGACTCTGTCATATGCTTTCTCTTGGTCAAGCAGGATACCTATAGCATCTGACTGAGTGTATCCAGTCTCCTCCATGATTATGCGCGCCATGAGACCATTTTCTGCAATAAATCTTCCTTTCACAAAGCCAGTTTGGAAGTGGTTGATGAGGTTATGTGAAGCGTCTGTCACCTGGCTATTGAGCAAACGAGTGAAGATCTTGGCATCCATGTTGATCAAAGCCATAGGCCGCCAGTTCTTCAAGCTAGAGAGATCGCCTTTCTTGGGCAACAAAGATAGGCAAGTGGAGCTCCATGAGTCAGGAAAAATTCTGTGGTTGAGCGCATCCTGATAAATGTTAGTTATGAGACTGGAATAACCTTCTTCGAGAAATACAAGAGACAGAATTTCATATGGTAGTCTGTCAGGCCCAGGGCTGCTATGGTATGGTAATCGTTTAGATGCCCCACAGATATCCTCTATAGAAAATGGAGTGGCCATTGACTCCTGGGTGAGTTCTGATAGGACTAGTCCTGGTAGAATATATGACAGGAGTTCATCAATAGCTCCATGGTCTATGGGTTCGTCAGTGTAGAGCTGTGTATAAAAGGCGTTTGCAGCGGCAGTCATGAAATCAGGAGTCACACATATGTTATCTGTGCTGGGGTGTTGTAGAAAAGGGATATCTTTGTGGATACTATGAGCTGTGATCGTTTGCTTGAGATATCCAGCAGAGCGTTCTCCCTGCTCATGCCAATGTTTGCTTGCTCAAAGTGCCAAAATCTCAACATTCTCATGTTGTATGGCTTGGAGTTGGCGCTCAATGACAGGGAGCTGATCATCACATATATGGTCTATCTTATATTTGCGCATGAGATGATTACATTTGCTTTGGAGAGCCTTTTCTTGCTGAACCCACCATGTAGTAGATCGACGTGAATGTTGCTTGGCAAGGCGGCAAACAATAGCTTTAACCTTCTCCCATTGGTCTTGAGATGAAGGGATATTATGTAGGCTAGATAATAGGTCCTGTAGTGTTGCTGACAGGGACTGACAAAAATGGGCTGACAGACCTAAGCGCAGATTTGCATGCCAAATTCCTTTTCCAGTGCGGGATCCTACCAAAGACAAGGTAGTTGACACTAAAAAGTGGTCAAACCAAGAAGGGTTTATATAGTCTACAGAAGATTTGTGCTTAAGATTGGCCAATTCTGGGCTTGCAAAGATGTAATCAATGCTGCTCATCTGAATTCCGCAAGAAAATGTAGGTAGAGGTTGTTCGCCCTCTTCAGTAATGCAATCGATAAGATTGTCTTGAATATATTGAAGCTGTGGTATTTCAGATACAAAACAATAGAAAAATAAAATATTTGATAATAGAGATGTATAGAAACACTTTGAGACTGTATATAAGTTGTCTTTATTCATAAATAAAAAGTGTCCCTTTTTATAAGAAAACACAATCTGCTCTTGTCATTACGTCTTAGTTTCTTAAGGCTTTCTTCCTTTACTATATTTGGTTATTAGAGTGTATTTACTGCTTAACTAGTGTCAGTGTTACAATTATGACATCAAGTCATAAATTGTACTTCTTTAGCTCTTAGCTATTCTTTTCTCTTTTATACTAGAGCTTTAGGACTTCCTACTAAATTAGCTCCATATCGATCTGACACAGTTTACCTGGCAGTATGATATAATTATCTTAACAATCTTTAAGATATTATCTACAGTACTAACTGTAATAATTATTGGGCTGATTACTTAATCATTTATATAAATTTTATACTGACAAGATGATAGCTACTACGCTATTCCAATATGAATATGTTCTTATATGTGATAAATCCAACATCCGAGTGTCTGGATCACCACAGAAGCCATAACTGAGGAGCACAGTGTGGGTGTGCAGAACGTAAGCTGTAGGTGTAATTAAAGTCACCAAGTATTATGAGACGGGAGTGTGAGATAGTATTTGAGAAGAGTGGAGTTTCTAGGAGGGAAGTATAAAATTTTCTGCGCTCAGAAAGTATAGCTGGTGCGTATATTGTGACAATTTGGATAGGATCAAAGTGGTTGTTGATGTGGTGGACTGTGGCGAAAATGCATCTGCCACATCAGCTTGTATATGAGTTGGTAAGAGATAAGTATGGTGTAAGTGAGATCAGCCCGCAATGCTGGGTCCATTGGCTGTCATGCACTTGAAATTGGGTATGGAAGGTGGTTTGTAATTCAAAATCTTTGGCGTGAGATTCTTGGATGGCGAGTAAGTGAATGTTCTGTGAGCGTAGGTGTTGAATAAAGTTGTTGCGTTGTTGTGAGTTAGAGGACTTGGTGAGCCCCCAACAGTTTATTGTTGCGATTTTTATTGTATTATACATATTTTTGTGTGTTTGTTGTTCCATTGTGTTTTGTACCTGGTGGAAGGATGTTGCATTGGGCTTCCTCCCTCAATTGTTCTTTTTTTCATTGTTGCTTTGTCTTTTTGCCAGCTTTTTCAGTATTATTGTCACCCTTGTCACATCTTTATCTGCCACGTTGGCCTCTACGCTAGCTGGTAAAGTTCTACGATTTCCAGGAGCTATTGCTTGAAGAGCGGCAGCCTCACATTTATCTGCAATTATTCTAGCCTCGAGGACTCTTGCAGCTGCTTCTTCAGCAGCAACCTTCTCTGCTTCCAAGACTCTCCGGATATCTAGGTCTTTCTGTTTCTGAGCAGCAGCCTGTTCCTGGGCTATCATCTGCTTCTGTGCCTCTGCCTTTTCCATGGCAGACCGTGTTGTCTCTTGAATGCGCTGTGGACTGAGAATTTGGCGGAGAGCAACCTGATTGCTAGGTCCATCATCTAGATGGGACTTGCGATGACTGTTAGAAGGTGGGTTCCGAGGGCAGTGTATCTGAATATGTCCAACAGTGTCACAGTTATGGCACGTATGTTTCTCTCTACGCTTTTCAGTACATTTGTCTATGGAATGACCTATCTGCTTACAGAACACACAATGGTCTCCCATTTTTGCCCAGGTTCCATAAATCTGGATGTCAGCGGAGTACTTGATCTGCTAGGCTAACTGGGCCCAAACCTTGTCCAAAACAATAGGACGCTCTAAATAGACATACCCGTTGCCTTTGAACCATTGGTGTTGGCCTTCTTCATAAATGACTGTTTCTCAGACATTGCCGTATGGGCTAAGACATAGTTGCAATTGGGGGGCAATATCTTCATAATCTTTGGCCGGAAGTCCCGTCAGATTCACTCTGAACAATTTGAGATCTACTGAAATAGCAGAGGTTGCCAAGAACTCATTATTGTCAACCACAATTGGGTTGCTGCATGCGTATTTACAGTAGTCTGCGTTTGAGAGGCACAGTTCAATAGCTGTATGTGTTTTTTCCATTTTGGTCTTGAGTTGAAGCCCAATTCCTCGAGGGTATGTTTGCCTCAAAGGGCCAAGAAATGAATCCAAATCTTTAAATTCGGAAGAGATGTGATAAAAAACCGAATTAGAGGAGGTACCTTGACGATACACTCGAGAAGTCGCGTTGAGGTCTTCATCTCCTACAAGAATTGGTGTATGAATAGTCTTTTGTTGGTTTCCAATGGATAGTGCTGCGTGAACGTAGCTAAGTTGTCCAGTAGGTGAGGGTGAGTCTGCCAAATGGGTTGTGGGTGAGACCGAATTCGTAGAAATAGAGTTCCTGTGTGAATCTGTCAAAATTGACAGATTCGGTGGTTTAGATGAAAGAGCCATGGTATCACCTATACCTTATATTACACTGTAGAAAATGGCACAAATTATAGTTCTGCAGTGCATATTTCACGCAATTATGTGCCAAACTGCACATTCTCAATGGCCCAATAAAAATCAATTATAACTCTGTTAGTACTACATATCTTAGCAAATTGGATCCATAGAATACCAGTACTTTGAACTTTATTTAGTGTTGTTCAACCCTTTCCAGCCAGTAAAATACATATATTAAGATGAGCTAGACCTTGTTTAAATAAATTTATCTATTCACTCATTGGTCAAAAATATGTAATACGTCATGGGCAAATTTGTTTTTATATTTATTTTTTATTTTTGGTCCCTGAAATATTTATTTTTTTTAAAAAAAAACAAAAAAAAAAAACAAAAAAAATACAAAAAACAAACACAAAAAAAAACATATAAAATAATAGAAGAAGTACACAGGGCAATAAACAAATTATATTGTATTTCATAAAGTTATTTTTTAAAATGATATTTTTATTAGGTTTCTATAGATTAAAAATATAAAAGTTAGTATTACTTACTCTAATAAACAAAACAAAACAAAGCAGTTGATTTGTATTAGTTGTGATTAAACATATGAATGTCTTTATATTTATAAGTACCTTACTTGTTAATAAGATCTTCTATGATATTTGGCAGTTCTCCACTTGTGAGAGAGTATGAGCAATGCTCCCCAAGAATTTTCAAACCTGTGAAGAGCAATGTTTTTCAGGGCTGCATTCTCTTTGAGGCTGCTGCTCATTATTGCCTTTTGGTCATCTGCCAGACTGCCCCATGACGGTATGACAATATTATTGGTACTATACTTGGAGAAAGAGTAGTAGACTAGCTCTCGAGTAATCTTGTCCACTACTCTGTACATTTGTTTGGCTTTGATGAGGTCGCCTCCAGTAAAATGTGTGGCCAACACTTCCTTGAAGCATTTAACCAACTGATTCCAACTGTCTGGCTTTCTCTTAGGTGAGGGGCGTTTGATTTCATGGTCACCAGTTGTAGGCAACATCAGAATCGCACTTGGAGCATTGTCTCTAATCAACAGAGCTTGTTCCATTTCAGAATCCTCAGTCAAAAATTTGCGTCTATCTTCCAATAAAGAAACTTTATATCTTAGTAAAGCATTAGACTCTTCTAAGTATGTCAGATGTTTAAGAATTTATGAGATTTTGTCTGTCGACATAGTAAAAAATACAGTTGGAAAATAAAAAGAAAGGGGCAAAGTTGGCTGAAAAAATGAGTAGAAAGTAATTCAAAAACAAACTTTCAAAATCATGTTGAAATTTTTTTTCAAGACAATTAGGGCACTTGTAATTTTTACTACCAACGTGCCAATATAATAAAAAAATATTCTCATATCTTGAACGTTTTTTGCAACCTTACACCTCTACTTCTTTTAATATACAAATATAAACCAAAATGAATATCAAAGATTTACTTAACCATGATTCCCAAACCAGAACAAGTGGTCATAGGCTTGATGATTCGTTTATTATGGAATGCTCAAATCGAATTGAAACCTGTATTATTGCTCAAGCCTGCAGAAAATCCAACAACAGAAACAAGGGCTCTATTGCTGCTCCTATGGACTTTGTCAAGTTCTTGGCTGCAGGCAATAAAAACAACACCAAAGTAGAGAGTATGGACATCGATGATGTCCAAGTCGAGTCTGTTGAGAAAATCAACAAAAGCATTGACTATGTCTCTGATAAGGAATAAACAAGTAAAAAAATATTAGTATTAAATATAATTATATCTAACCCTAAAAACTTAAATATATCAGATAATAACTATAGATATTTGCGTGTACGTAATCTGGACAGAGTGTACAATGTTCCAGTAGGGCATGTCACTGCTCATGAACATTTTGTTCCCACATACATGTCTAACAGTCATGCACAGGCTGTCAGTCTGGAATTGTTTTCCATGTTTTTTGAGAACAACGTCTCTTGTGAAGTCTATGACAAATGCGTAAAAATTGTCAATAAGTACATAACAGAACTTGGATCCACTAAGTTTATAATTAGTATACTCTTTTTATAGCACATGCACTTACCACCATTTTAGCTAAAGTGGATTCACTCCTGTCATATTACAAGGTAGAAACCTTGTTGAAGGAGGAGTACCCAGTGAAGTCTGTTGCATACAATATGTGCATATATGGATGCTGCCGGTTCTCAACAGTAGAAGAAGGAGACTTCATTGACGAGGATGAGACATGTCCTCATTGTGGTGAGGGCAGGTACAAAGTGGAGAGAGCGAGTGTAAAGTCTGCACAGACCTTTCAGATCGTGCCTCTCTCAGAGCAACTGTAGTTCAAACTCGCCTACCCCAAGGAACAGGTCAAGATGGCCTATGGTACAAGGTGTTTGGCTGGTAGATGTGAAGATGTGTGTGAAGACATCTTTGATGGAGATGCAGTAGGGCGGTTACTTGATCGTGAAGTGGTTGGTCAGAATGACATTTTGGTGTCCATTTTTGTTGACCAGTTCAACCCATTTAAAAATGCCAAAATGTCATCCTCTGTTATTCATGTTATTAACCTGAATATCGATCCTAAAGAAAAGTATTTAAAAAAATAATTTAGATAAAGTTATTAATATGAACTACTTAGATACAAGGCAGGTAACATGATGCAGTTGGCTATCATATCAGGACCTAACCATCCAAAAGATATTGTCTTGTTTTTGAAGCCTATTCTCAATGACCTGAGAAACTTGGGGGCAAATGGTCTGCAGTTTCAGACTGATTATGAACTGGTGATTGCCAAGATTCATCTTGTCATGGCGACTGGAGATACTCCAGCTGTCTCTGACTTGATGAACCTGGCTCATCACAATGCTCATCATGGATGCAGAGCTTGCATCTCGTATGGTGCAAGAGATTCAAGCACGACTTGTATTGTGGAAAGAGACGGACTGTCAATATTGAAAACAGAAGAGAGTCTACACTAGTCCATTGGAGGCATAAGTTGTAAACTGTTAAACAAAATAAATATTGATACCGTTTTAGATGTACGGCGTCAAAGGGCCCAATGTCTTCAAGGACTTGCCCACAATGACTAGTACTGCTTTCTTAGGACTGGATGAGATACATCTTCTAGGTCACGGTACAGGCCAGCAGCTGTACGTTGCACTTGGAGGAAAGTTCTGCCCCACGATCAATGACGGTAGAAGAAATGCACATGTCATTCACTTGCAAGACTGGTTGAAACATCATGGATACCCATTTGCTCTGGATGTCAGTCTGGAAGATATTGACAAAGCAATTTGCGTATCCAGGGCCGATATACCAGCCGATTTCATGGGAATGTGGAGATCCTTGAAGGAATCCAACAGCAAGAGGAAGGCTGTCGATTGGATAGACTTCCTCTTGTCTGTTGTTCCCACAATTGTTATTGATCATTTCGTTTTTGATCATACGAAAGCAGCAGTGATGAACCTTGTTACTGCATGCAGAATTGCCCAGCAGTGGAGGATCACTGCTGCCAATATCCAAGAAGCAGAGGAGTAAGTCAATCGGATATATGCTGATCAGTGTTTTAATCATCTTTATAGGACCATTGGTTGCTGGCATGCCTTCCTCCATTGTGAGATCGAAGAAAAGAGACTGAAGCCTACGATTTTCGTAATGAACCAGCATATGCTGGTTCATCTTGGCTATATGATGCGGAAGATGGGCCCTCTGCAGGCATACAGTTGTAGGCCAATCGAAAGGACAATTGGTGTCTACAGTGCAGCAATCAAGTCAAGAAAGAAACCAGGAAAGAACATAGAGAATCTCTTGCTCAGAAAGGCAGCAATCAATCACAGTCTTGGTTGCCAACCTGTCATTTGTGCCACAAATGACAGAAGGACCAGCAACTTTGAGGTTGCAAGTAATGATGTTGCTGGTCCTCAACTTTGGTCTAGGCCAACTCGAAGCTCTCTGGCTGAGTTGGCTGCCACCATTGGCATAGAGTGCCAGGACTTGGTCCACAGTTTAGTGCCTTTCTGGGCAAGAGAAGACATTGTTTCCTTTGAGGAAAATGATGAAGTGGTTTGCGCCAACAAGATGTGGAAAGACTTGGTGGTCTATAGAGTCCGGTTCTCTGTTGACAGCAGACATGGTCGAGTAAACAATCTTGCTGTGCTCAATGATGCCAAGGAGTAAGTAGCACTAGTTGTATTCTACATTGTTAAATTTTATTAATCATAACTCATTTATATTTTTTGAAAGGTATGGATTTATTCTTAAATTCTTTTCCCAAACTGTCAACAGAGTGACCAGACTCTTTGTGGCTATCGACTGTCTTTCCAATTTTCAATGTGTGAACCAGGATCTTTTCCCTGCATGGGATAGTCTGGCATCTGGTGTGGTGAAGGTGGTGAATGTAAAGTCTATCGAGGGGATTGCTGGCCTCGTCCACAACCCAAACAACAAGGTCATTCGGCACATTATCTGGCCTTTGCCAAAATACAACCAATAGGTTTTTTTTTCTTTGTTTTTTTCCCTATTCTTTTAATATATATATAAACATTTAATTTCTTTAAAAAAAATTACCCAAAACAATAGCAAAATATGTTGTTATTACCATTTGATTTAAAAATTTTCAACACCAGAAAAACCGAATTTATGGTATATCTAATTGATTGGCTGTATTCTTGACTTTGATCAAACTTGTAAGCAAAAAACAACAGTCCTCTTTCTTTTCTCATTTAAAATGGCTGTCTGAGTTAAACAACCAAAAAAAATTATGATTACTGGCACAGAGCTTCTAAAAAGGATTTCAATTGCTCTAAATTTAGAAAAGCTAATAGGAGTTTTAAATATGTGCAAAGATTTTGCAGATGTGCAATTTTTTTTGGAAATTCTTGCACATTATTTTCTATAGTGTTAAACTATTGTAACAAAAGTATGTCTACCCTCAGTGCTATCGAGTTTGCTTCTCATCAGGAAGATGATAATCAGTCACATTCCTGAATGAAGTCAGATGGTAATAAAAATGGGTTGTTATCAATTGATTGGCTGCAGTACTTTCTGCTGAAAGACAATGTGAACAATCTGAGAAATTATCTTGGTGGCTTCAAAAACAGAAAGAAGATCAAGGTCAGTAAAACCAGAGTAATAAATGACTCCTGCCAGTATTTTGAAAAGCAGAATGTGAAGTGCACCAGCTCTCAAATAAAAAGCAAGCTAATGTATCTGATCAACAAACAATATCCTATTGCATTCAAAGTCTGAGAAGACAGTACAATGATAATTGGCAAAGAAAAAATGCCTTAATGTGAAAAAAATGAACTTGAAGGTATGAATATTGTCACATATAAGTTAAAACACATATCTAAATAATTTAAATAATTTCTTAAAAGTATATCTTAATAATATATGTCCAAACTTCACGCAGATAAGAAAGGTACTTGATGAAAGTAAGACAAAGTCACCTGCCATATATAATATAACAATGCCCGTGGACTTAAACAAAGCTCAAAACATAAGCAAGGGTGAGGATGATGAAGATAGTAAAAATGATGGAAGTGACAAAGCCAGTGAGAGCAGTGAAAGCTGCAAAGACCAAGAAGAACAGTGAGCTGTTATCAATGATGAAATCAGTTCTCAGAGAGAGGTCATTATTCAAAGCAACAGTGAAAGCAGCACCTTCAAGCACTCTGATATCAGTGTATATAGTAGCAAAAGACGGTCTACATTATTTGGAAATATTGTAAAGAACACGGCAAAGAGATCAGTTAAGAGCATAGATGATATCAGAGCATGATATAAAAGAGTTTAATGATGCCCAGATATTGCTCTTAAAATCAAAGTACAAAGAAGAGCTCAAGAACCAGAAGGAGAAGCTGTAAAAAGAGCTTCAATGCAAACATTGGGCAAAAGAAGTCATCCTTATGGCAAAAATATTTGACTAGTCTGAGGAGAAAACTAAAAATGAATTAGAAGAGATGTATTACTAATATCTCAATTAATAAATTATATTTCTTTTATTTATATTATGCATTTAATTTATATATATATACATATATATATACAAATTCTCAGAACTAATATTATTTCATTTTAAAAATGTAAAGACATATAGATTATATAAAAATATTATCATTAAAGCAGACAAAATTGATCTTCTACTTACATCAAAATAGTTTGATAATAAAATATTAAAGAAAGAGAAGAACATAAATAATAATGAAATATCTATTTAATAACAGCTGTCAAATGTCAAAAAGTGAGATCTATCTAATAGATATTAAAGCTAATACTTCTGTTTTTTAATGCATTTAGAATGATCAAAGTTTATTTTCTTTATCTAAGAAGATGTATTTTTTTTGACATAACAACACATTGTATCTGAACTCACCTTGTATTTCCATCTATATTCTGGGATCCATTTATTACACCAGACTTCTCTGAGTATCCTGTCTTCTACAGGCATTCAACTTCAGCTTTCTCTCTATTATCTCATCTATGCTTGGCTTTCTGAGACCACTTGTTGTCATTTTGACACATCAGAAAATTGTTCAAGGCTATACAAACCCAAATCCATGCATTAACCTTTATAACATCTTTCTTTCTTTTATTCTTATAGAGCTTGATTTGAGAGAGTAGACTCTCTCTTTCAATATTCCGAATGCATGCTCAATTTTTACTTGCACACTTGAAATCTTTGTGTTGAACTCTTGATCTGCTAACAAGAGTTCACTGTTCCTTGGCTTCTTTTTGATTAGAATAATATAGTTTGTAGCCTTGTACTCCACATCTGCCAACACGTACTCATCACCAGAAAAGAATCACTCTGTGAATTTTCCAACCTTACACTCAGACAAAATACGTATATCATGCAAACTTCCAAAGAAACCAGTTGACATGTATCAGATTATACGTCTATAATTACATACTGTGACACTGTTTACACAGTAAGTGGATCTGCGACCAAAAAACTACTCTGGCTTCCACAATGGTGCTTTTGCCAGCTTAAATAAACATCTGTCAAGAAATCCAACAAGGTTTGGAAATTCTAATAGATATTCATCTACCTGTTTTATCTCTGCTTTCTCAGATTTGGTTGATCAATAAACAAATTTATGCTCCAAAGAGAGAATTACTTTAAAAAAACTGGTTGTTAAATTTTTAATAGAGCTCTCTATTTGTCTTTATTATAAGAAACAGATGAATAAATTTGCTTTTGTATATGTGGGTAAATAGTTGCAAACTATTATTTTGAGTCACTTACTTTCTATTTCAGAATGTCTTGCCAAATGGCTACTTAATAAAGAATTACAATTTAATTCTAATTGGTTAAAAACAATAGAAATCTGTAATCTAATATCAATCGAGTAAAATCCTGGCAATTGTTAGTAAATCTTATGATTTTTTATAAGATCATACAGCTTATAAAAAAAGCTTTTGCTCATTCAAAACTCTTCTAGAAAGCCACTTTCATTGAGGAAAACAGAAAATTCAATCTTTCTTTTTGAGTTACAAGTTTCTTGATCTTGTTTTGCCCTTTGAAAAAATAGCATCCCTTTGCTGATTTTGTCTTGGGCCTTTGTAACCATCAATTTCTCCTGTTGTAGCTTTAATTTGTATATGTTTGCAAAATCTTTGTATGTGTCATGATCTTCCTCACAAGCAATGATATTAGAGTCAGACAACATCTTGATCATCTTCTTTAACATATGTTGAGTGATAGCTGCAGATGCATCAAATTTGATTTTGCAAGTATATTTATTGGAGTATACAGCATTTTTTTAAGATAATAAGTGAAAAAATAATATAGTTCTCACTTTTATATATGCTAGTATTTAATTATAGCAAGTATATATTTTTAAATTGCCATTTGCTATTTCAGTATAATATAACTAGAAGGAATGCATAATATTATCATGTAAGTAGTATCAGACAAAAACTGATCAATCATAACTGTTAATTAATTTTGTCTTTTTTTTGAACTTTTAGTTTGTTCACATCAAATATAGAGAAGCCTATCATGTTTGCAAGAATAATATTAAAAATTATTCTAATGACAAAGGCTTACAGTATAAGTTAATACTATCTATATAATATCTATTCTAGATTTCTTTGTTTTAATGTAATTTGTATAACAATAGCTGAATTTAATCAAATATGCTCTGCTTTCTTTCAGATGGAAAAGATTATAAACAATAAAAAGACTGGTTCTCCAGCTGTTTGTGATACTGCAAAGCTAATAAAATAAATACATGATAAAGATGGCAAGCAAAGTAAAGGCAATAATGACTACACAAACAAAGAATCAGCTGGAAACAGTCATAGCAGCAATAATGAGAAATCTGACAGCCAAAATAATAACATGTCTGTACTCTGCTCTCCTCCTTCTCAGTCAAGCTCTTCTAGAAAATGTAGAAGAGTATATGTCAAATATAAAGAATTGACAGACGAGATAACAGAACAACTTAATGAGTCTTCTGTGTCCATAGAGGCAAAAACAAAATGACTTTATAGGGAAAAGCTAGAAGTTCTTAAAGACAATCTTCATTTTAAGCAAGAATGTAAATTTATGCACAGAAAATTTGAAAGCATGATGAAAGCAGTTGCAGAATTAGCCAAAGTACAAAACTGATCAGATGAAAATGTACAAGAGGAAACTGATAACATTTATGATAAAACATATGATAGTTAAAGATTATAAATTTAATAACGATAGCAGCTATCATATAATACTTGTTATACATTATTTCTACTTTTGAGATAACTTATTTCTTTATTTTTTATTTTTTTTAAGAAGGTTCCTATCTACATTTTTTATGAGTATCTCTTTTTTGATACAGATACGTTTGAGCTTAGCATTCTCATCTGAAAATAACATTGCTAGATAGTCATCTACAATGCCAGTCACATCTTTTCTGCTGATCCTGTCAATCTCTTCCTTTTCTCTCTTCTCCTATGAAATCCTCCTTGTTGTGAATGAGTATTGATTACTGCTGAATCTGAGAGTAAGACTGAAGGATAAAATAATATCCTCAGCTATTCCAGTCAAACAGATCTCCCTTTATGATATTATCTAATACACAGATCATTGTACACATAATTGATTATTTATTATTATCACCATGACATGGGATATACAAATACATATACATTATATATATGGCATCATTATATTTTATCTACATATTTCTTTTATTATACAAATACTTAATTGAGAGACTACAACTACAACTATCTAATATTATGAAACATTACCCGAGTATCTGGGTCGGAATACTAAAATATTACCAATAGCATAAATGCTCTTCTTTACCAAAACTCTTAGACTGATCTGACTGGAGAAGTATCATATCAATTGGTCTTTCCGGATCTTTCCAGAAGAACAATACTCCTGGAAGATGACTCATCGTGATAAAGATTACTTAAACACACACTGAATTACAAATTAGAAAAACATATAAATATCAGTAGATAGTTCCGTGTAGAAAGACAATCGAATTTTATCATTCTTTACTTTTCTTTTGAAATAAACAACCTACACAAGTTCTCACGAATTCTTTCGTCTATATTATATTTTGCTTTATTTTCTCCCCACAACACTCATCTTCATTGTCATCATGTCATCTGTCTGGTCAATCAAAAAGTTATAGAGAATGACACAAACTCTGATTCAATAATTGATCATGTTGACTCCTTTTTGACTTATCTTAGTTGGGAGTCACTTCAAAAAGCAGAATCTTATTTTGAAGATCCCAAATATATGCTTAATTTTTATTATCATTGCTATGTTTGAATTGAACACTTTGTTTGCATCACACAATTCCTTGTTTTTTGACTTCTTTATGACAGAGGCAACATATGTCTTGGGAATGTAACTAGCATTGGCCAAAATATACTGGTCACCAGAGAAGAAATTATTAGGGCTGCTACCTATAGTTGATTCTTCAAACACCCTGGCATTGTTTATGTTTTCAAAGTATTTATAAGAGAGATAACAAATCTTTTTTGGATGGTCACATACCCCAAGAATGTTTACATAGTATGTGTACTTACAATTAAATAACTCTGGCTTTTTTCACAATAGTATATGCTGCAAGTTAAACAGACACCTATTCAAAAAACCAACAAGACCAGAAAATCCAAATGGTTTCTTATTGCTTGAAATTATTGTTGCTGTCTTCTCAAGTTCTGACAGCCAAAAAATGTACTGTTTTCCATTGATAGCATTATCTTAAAGAAAAAAACTGTGAAGTTTGAGATACTGCGCTCTAATAAGTTTAAAATAATTAGTTTATTGAATTAATTATATGCTTATAGAGATTAACAGAAGGAATTTTACTAAAAGACACTTATTTCTAATATCAGATGTTTGTGCAAGCCTACTATAGGATACAGCATTCCTGTCTGAGCCTATTCTCTCCAAGACTAAAACTAATTGAAGCTTTATATCAGTCTGCTTATGTTCTTTTAGTGACTTATATAAAGAATAGTCTTTGATTATTCTGTATAGCTTATTAAACAAGCTTTTGGACATTGTGATTTCTTCTTTGAACCCATCTGCATCTAGGTCTTTGAGGAAAGCAGATTTTTCTTTCTTTGATTTAAGCTTTGGCAATGTATTGCTACACTTATGTAAATATCTGTTGACTTGAAGATTCTGCTCAAGATCCTCTACAGCAGCTATCTTCTCCAACTCTGCATCAACTTCCTCTTCAAGAACTTCTGAAATATTTTTTAACAGCTCATCTGCGCTTGTTAATAAAGATTGTACCAAACTTTTATTTTCCTTCTCTATAAATTCTCTGATTTTATGCAACTTCTTTAAGATAATAACTGTTTGTTGCTTTGCCCTGTATTTTGGCATGTTATACAGAGTGAAAAAAGTGTTACATGACTTTGTTGACAGTAAGTTCTATGATTTGTTAAGGAGAAAGATAAAAAGAGTATTGTATTGCATATAAAAAAGTAAGGATTCAGCCAATCAGAAAGCTGTATGTTTTTTGATCAAAATTTAATTAAAATTTGATCATTGCTATTACAATTTTAGTCTAGTAATATTACTGTCTGAATTTAAAATTTGAGTGATCTATCTGGCTGAGTACTCCCATTATTTTTATTTTTTATTGAGGATCTATATGGACATGCAAGAAAAATTAGGGTCAAACATGCAAAAAAAGACTAAAAGGGAGAATTAAACGTGACGTCACTTGTAATTGGCCTTTGGGAGTGTTACTGACAAATTGAGCACTGATAAGACATGCAAAAGTGAGCAAATTGAAGAACTAGACGTGACATCACATATAATTAGTTTTGCATGTTACATGCATTTTTTTGGGGGGTCAGCCTTGATATTTGTTAAATGTTTCAAAATTAATGTTGATTGTAAAAATATAAAAAATGATAATGAGATAGATATAAAGATAAAAATGGAAGATTGTAAAGAAGATAAATATAGAAATATAGATAAATAGAAAGATAATAATAAATTGAATAGAAACAGAAGGGAATATTGATAATAGAGATAAATATAGAATCTAAAAAGTAAAAAAAAATCTAAAAAAGATATATACAAAAAGTTAGTATAATTCAAGATAATTCTAGTTTAAAAGCCATACCTTGATTGTTAGTACATCAAAGAATAATCTTCAAGGCCATGTTTTTGAATTATTCTTTTATGAAAGGGGTTGATTTTTGGCCAGCAGAAATTTCGAGTGTTTTTGTGCTTGGCAAGAAGAAAGTGGTTTATATCTAAGATAATAATTATTGGTTCCACTTTTTCTGGCAAGGTAGCAAATGAAACAAAAAGACAGTAGCCTGTTTCAATTGGAGTATTCCAATATACAGCCACTGCTCTGCTAAATATATTGGCTACAAGTTGAGGATGGTCGATTGTACCGAACCAATGTTGCTGGGGGAGAGGTGAGCACTTGTCTTGGAGACTGTGAATTAGTGGGTTATTGGATGCAGGCATATTACCATGCTCCATTCTTCCGTGGTAGTAGTTGTTTTGGTGCTTTAAAAATGTTTCTAGCATTTTGTCTTTTACTTTTGACCACTCCTCCTGGTCCTGGTACACTTCCATTGCTATCGCCCTGTACCCACAATTTCTGTCTGCTTCAGGAGAAAAGATTGTTGATATATGTTTTGGTGCGATTGTGAGATTTGTTAGTAATGTGGGATCGCATGGTGACCCAAGGTTGATAATATTTTTTATGGCTTTTTGCTCTTTAGCTGAGGATATTTTTTGTCTAGAAAACAAAGCAAAGATTTAGTAAATTAAATCTAAACAATATTAAAATCTTACTTTTTTTGTTCTTTTTCTGTTTTAATTTTTTTTTGTAATTTTTTCTTTTTTGGTATTGATACAATGCTCTAATGTAATCATCTTGCGCTTGGTATTTTTTGGTTGGCCTTTAATGGCTTCAACTACTGTTGGGCTTTTAAGGTTTTCAAGTTTCTGTGCGTCGATTTGTTTCAAAGTTTTTTTCTATCAAATGGTATATATTGATTTATTCTTGTTCGCTCTGAGCATTGGTGAAATGTTCGCAAATAAGCTCAAAAGCATAGTTGAATTCTGGGGTTATTGGTTTGATATTGTTGATGTTTGGGGTACTGGGGTTGCATTTTGGATAGTTAAATGGTCTACATAATAAAATGTTATATGAGAAAATCGTCACGTAATTATTGCTATTATTATATATATTACTTTCTTCTTCTAGATAGTTTTTTCTCCAGCGTCTTGGGATGCAGGAGATTGGGATGGTATCGAATTTGGCAAGTGTGTGGTAACAAGGAAGCAGGTAGTTGTATTGTATGAGGCATTTGCACTCTTTGGCTAGTTTTTTGGGTATAATGGATTTGGATAATTCTAATTTGATTTGATCCATTGCAAATCTACAGACTTTAAGACGGACATCATTTAGTCTGGTGGCATTGACTTTATCAAACACAATTTTTGTTTCTTCTCCAAGGCTTTCCACCATTAGCCGATGCTTGCGATCTGCAACCTGTACAATTTATAAATATATTATAACCAATGAATGCATAAAATAGTATAGAATAAACTTATCAACTCGTCATACCACTTTTTTACTTTAAGGGTAACTGTCTTCAGTTTACCCGGAGAAGTACCAAAAGAATGCTTGAGAGAAGCATGGGCACTTTCTACACGGTTTGACATGCGATTGCCAAAATGGGCATGTTTGTAAACATACATGTTCACCCAGTTTTCCTTGTCTTTCATTTTTCTGATAAAGTATATTAAAAAAACACAATTTTTTATAGTTAAATACTGTTTACATCAAATTTAAAAAATTTATACGTACTTCTCAAGAAAAGCACTAGCAGCTTTTCCCTGGTCTTTGCAATTTTCCTTTGCAAATTCAAGGTATCCATTTGTTTTGTTTTTTACTTTTTGATGTGTAATGCATTTTAAAGCAATTCGGTCAAGGAATTCTGACAGCTTATCCAACAGGTCTCTCTTTTCGCTACTCTTGTTTCCCTTCATCATTGGAAGCAATTGCTTTTTAAAGTTGTCTTTGATATGCTTATAGCACAACAACTGCTTCGACTCAGGATGACTTGAGTAATAGCATTTCTCAATGCTTTTTCATTGTCCGTGATGAAAACATCTGGGAGAAGTGTTGTTTGTTTGTCGTTGCTGCTGTTGCTGTTGTTGTTGTTGTTGTTGTTGTTGTTGTTGTTGTTGTTGTCATCGGACCAGACTGCATCGCGGAGACAGCTAAGCACCCAGAGATAATTTTCTTCTGTCTCATGCTCTACCCAAGCACCGGCAATTGGATACATCTTTAAAGTGGTACGAGGGTTTCCACTCACATTGCTAGTACCAACAATGTTGACATAAGTCATTCGATGACTATTTGTCTTATATGTGGCATCAATAATGACAGTCTCAGACATTCTTCGTGTCTCATTGATTGCATCCTGATGCACAAAGAAGACCATATTCACTTGATTGTCTTCTGTATTACCAACAGAATACCTGACATGGAAGTCAAGATCTTGCAGAGTGGTGATAAAGTTAAACATCTCCTTTCCTTTTTCCAATTTTCCGAAATGTTGCTTTATATTAGCAATGTCATGGCAAACAATGTTTGTATATCCATTTATCTTCAAACTGTTGAAGATGGTGGATACATCGTCATTGTTCTCCAGATGCTTAACCACAAGTGCTGTGGTATTTCAGGTACGAAACAATAGAAAAATAAAATATTTGATAATAGAGACGTATAGAAATACTTTGAGACTGTATATCAGTTTTTTTTATTCATAAATAAAAAGTGTCCCTTTTTATAAGAAAACACAATCTGCTCTTGTCATTATGTCTTAGTTTCTTAAGGCTTTCTTCCTTTACTATATTTGGTTATTAGAGTGTATTTACTGCTTAACTAGTGTCGGTGTTACAATTATGACATCAAGTCATAAATCGTACTTCTTTAGCTCTTAGCTATTCTTTTCTCTTTTATACTAGAGCTTTAGGACTTCCTACTAAATTAGCTCCATATCGATCTGACACAGTTTACCCGGCAGTATGATATAATTATCTTAACAATCTTTAAGATATTATCTACAGTACTAACTGTAATAATTATTGGGCTGATTACTTAATCGTTTATATATATTTTATACTGACAAGATGATAGCTACTACGCTATCCCAATATGAATATGTTCTTATATGTGATAAATCCAACATCCGAGTGTCTGGATCACCACAAGTGCCATTGCCTCAGGCAAGAGCTTGCAGTGCATAGCATATGCTCTGCGGTCTTCTTCGATGAGGTGATTATGATCTGCCTCATGGGAGCACACAGTGAGATTTCCGCTCTTCTTGGTGTTGGCATACATGAAGCAAGGGCAGCCATGCTTCTGCGTGTCTTTTTCGCGCTTTCTCTCCCATCCAGGAAGAGTTTCACCCATAACTGATGTTTTGGAAGCAACCTTCTCGGCTTTTCTGGTATCTCTATATTTGCCAGAGTGCTTGCAAATCAATTAGATGCGAGAGCTTGATGCATATTCAGTAGTGAGAGCAATGTTATGCTTGACACCATATGTCTTGGCAGCTTCTCAAACAGCTATGACTGAAGAGAATTCTTTTCCAACAAGAAAAATTGAGTTGAACTCAGTCAAGGCAGCATCATACTTCTTCGACGTCTTGCTAACAATGACAAAGTCGTTGGTGTTGTTGATGTTGTTAATGTTGCTCATGTTAAATGTCAAAAAAAATTATGCGCTGATGTTGTAGTAAAAAAGGGCAGTGATTTAATTGGCAATCTGGAGGGTAATTTATCTGATCCCCCCAAAAGAAATGCGTGTAACATGCAAAACTAATTATATGTGATGTCACGTCTAGTTCTTCAATTTGCTCGCTTTTTCATGTCTTATCAGTGTCCAATTTGTTGGTAACACTCCCAAAAGTCAATTATAGGTGACGTCACGTTTAATTCTTCAATTTGGTTGCTTTTGCATGTCTTATCAGTGCTCAATTTGTCAGTAACACTCCCAAAGGCCAATTACAAGTGACGTCACGTTTAATTCTCCCTTTTGGTCTTTTTTTGCATGTCCGACCCTAATTTTTCTTGCATGTCCATATCATTGCCCTTTTTATTCTAAAAATTTGACTTCTTCTTATTTTTATTTTTATTCTTTCAATCTTCTGAAAATCAATTTCCCTTTCCTTTACTCTTTTCTAAAATTATTTTCTCCCTTCCTTTGTTTGTTTTTTTTTACAAACTAAGTGTGACATTTTCTTAACATTATTTTACTAAAATTGTTAACTGTATTTTTTCTATTTCTTTATCATATACTTTTTCCTAATCTTTTTTTTCTATAGTTATGTATTATCACTCCATTTATTTTTCTTTTATAATAAATCTTGATTACAATTATTTTGTTTATCTTCTTATCACAATTATCTCCTAGACGCCAATGCAATCTATTTTTGTCATAAATTTTATCTAAGAAGTAGTATAAATATACCTTTAAAATCAATTAATAAACAATTATTAAATTTTTCTGATACAAAAGTTTTCTTTAAAGATGCTGCCTATTTTCTCTGATTTCTATTGTGAATTTTTCTTCTGTTTACTGTTTTTCTTTGTCAAATCTTTGTGGAAAATTAAATATTTTCTATTATTTTTTATTATTTTTCTTTTTCTCAAAATTTACAATTTTTGCTTTATTAAGTTTTCTCTTTTATACTGTAAGAAATGACATAATTTGTAATTCTATAGTGCACATTCTCAATAGACAAATAAAAATCAGACATAATTCTGTTAGTGCTACATTTCTTAGCAAAGCAGATCTGTAGAATATCAGAACTTTCAACTTTATTTAGTATTGTATAACCCTTTTTAGTCAGTAAAATGCATATATTAAGATGAGCTAGATCTTGTTTGAGTAAATTTACCTATTCACTCATTGGTCAAAAATATGTACTACATCATAGGTGAATTTGTTTTTTTTGGTCCCTGAAATATATATATATATTTTTTAAAAAAAAAACAAAAAAAACCAAATTAAATTATATTTTATAAAATTATTTTTTAAAATAATATTTTTATTAGATTTCTGTAGATTAAAAATATAAAAATTAATATTATCTACTCTAATAAACAAAACAGTTGATTTTTATTAGTTGTGATTAAATATATAAATAATGTTATATTTATAAATACTTTACTTATTAATAAAATGTTTTGTAATATTTGGCAGTTCTCTATTTGTAAAAGCTTATGAGCAATGCTCCCCAAGAATTTCTGAACCTGTGAAGAGCAATGTTTTTCAGATCTGCATTCTGTTTCAGACTGCTGCTCATTATTGTCTTTTAGTTATCTGCCAGACTATCTCATGATGTTATAGCAATATTTGTGCTGCTATACTTAGAAAATAAGTAGTAGACTAGCTCTCAAGTAATCTTATCTACTGTCTTATATACCAGTTCAGCTTTGTTGAGATCTTCTTTAGTAGAGTGTGTAACTAACACCCTCAAAGCATTTTATCAACTGATTCCAACCTTTTGGCTTCCTATGAGATGAAGGGCATTTAATGTCATAGTCACCAGTTGCAGATAATAACAGCATTGTCTCTAGTTGACAGAGCTAGTTCTGCCTCACAATTGTTGGCCACAAATTTGAGTCTATCTTCTAATAAAATAACTTTAGTTTTTAGTGAAGCATTAGAATCTTCTTAGTATATTAGATGTTTAAGTATTTATATAATTTTATGTGTTGACATAGTAAAAAATATAGTTAGAGAATAAAATTAAAGAGGCAAAGTGAGTTGAAAAAGAATAGGTAAAAGTTAATTTAAAAACAAACAATCAATATTTTTTTTAAAAAATTAAGACAATTAGCACATTTATAATTTTCACTACAAATATATTAATATAATACAGAAATATTCTCATCTTATAAACATTTTTTGCAACTTTATATTCCTACTTCTTTTAGTGTACAAATATAAACTAAAAGAAATATCAAAGATTTACTTAACTATGATTCAAAAACCAGAACAAATGATCATAAACTTGATGAATCATTCATTACAGAATGCTCAAAACCAAATCAAAACCTATATTATTATTCAAGTCCGCAGAAAATTCAATAAGAAGAACAAGAGCTCTATTACTGCCTCTATGAACTTTGACAAGTTCTTGGCTGCAGACAATAGAAACCACAATGCAGCAGAGAGTAGGGACACCAATAATGTTCAAGTTGAGTCTGTTGAGAAAATCAACAAAAACATTATCTATATATCTAGTAAGAAATAAATAACTAAAAAAATATTAATATTAAATATAATTATATCTAAATCTAAAACTCTGAATATATCAGATAATGACCATGGATATTCACATGTTTATAACTCTGACAGAGTGTACAATGTTCCAGTAGAACATTTCACTGATTATAAAAGTTTTGTTCCCACATACGTGTCCAACAGTCATGTATAGACTGTTAGTCTGAAATTGTTTTCTATATTTTTTAAGAACAACGTCTCTTGTGAAGTCTATGACAAATGTATCAAAAATGTCAACAAGTAAGTTTATAATTAATATACTCTTTTTATATCACATGCACTTACTACCATTTTAGCTAAAGTGGATTCACTTCTGTCATACTACAGGGTAGACACCTTGTTGAAGGAGAAATACTCAGTGAAATCCATTGCATATGATATGTGCATAAATGGATACTGCCGGTTCTCAACAGTAGAAGAAAGAGACTTCATTGACAAGAATGAGACATGTTCTCATTGTGGTAAGAACAGGTACAAAGTGGAGAGAGCAAGTGTAAAGCCTGCACAGACCTTTCAGATCATGTCTCTCTCAGAGCAACTGCGGTTCAAACTTGCCCACCCCAAGGAATGGACCAAGATGGCCTATGGTACAAGATGTTTGGTTGGCAGACGTGAAGATGTATGTGAAGACATCTTTGATGGAGATGTAGTTAGACAGTTACTTGATTGTGGAGTAGTTGGTCAGAATGTCATTTTGGTGTCCATGTTTGTTAACCAGTCCAACCCATTTAAAAAGGCCAAAATGTCATCCTCTGTTATTCATGTTATTAACCTGAATATCAATCCTAAAGAAAGATATTTAAAAAAATTCATTTAGATCAAGTTACTAATACAAACTACTTAGATACAAGGCAGATAACATGATGCAGTTGGCTATCATATCAGGACCTAACCACCCAAAAGATAGCACTTCGTTTTTGGAGCCTGTTCTCAATGACCTAAGAAACTTGGGGACAAATGGCCTGCAGTTTCAGACTGATTCTGGACTGATGATTGCCAAGGTTCATCTTGTCATGACAACAGGAAATATCTCAGCCGTCTCTGACTTGATGAACCTGGCCCATCACAATGTCCATCATGGGTGCAGAGCTTGCATCTTGTATGGTGCAAGAGATTTAAGCACAACTTGTATTGTGGAAAGAGATGGACCATCACTGTTGAGAACAGAAAAGAGTTTACACCAGTCCATTGGAGGCGTAAGTTGTAAACTGTCAAACAAAATAAATATTGATACCATTTTAGATGTATGGCATCAAAGGGCTCAATATCTTCAAAAACTTTCCCACAATGACCAGTACTGCTTTCTTTGGACTGGATAAGATGCACCTTATAGGTCACGGTACAGGTTAGCAGCTATATGCTACACTTGGAGGAAAGTTCTATCCCGCAATCAATAACAGTGGAAGAAATGCACATGACATTTACTTGCAAGACTGGTTGAAACACCACGGATACTTATTTGTCCTGGATGTTAGTCTGAAAGATATAGACAAAGCAATTTACGCATCCAGGACCAATATACCAGCCAATTTCACAGGAACATGAAGATCCTTGAAGAAATCCAATGACAAGAGGAAGGCTATTAATCAAATAGACTCCCTTTTGTTCGTTGTTCCAATAATTATTGTCAATTATTCTGTTTTTTGATCATATAAAAGCAGGAGTGATGAGCCTTGTTACTATATGCAGAATTGCCAAGCAGTGGAGAATCACTGCTACCAATACCCAAGAAGCAGAGAAGTAAATCAATCAGATATATATTGATCAATGTTTTAATCATCTTTATAGAACCATTGATTACTAGCATGTCTTCATCCATTGTGAGATCAAAGAAAAGCAACTGAAGTCTACATTTTTTGTGATGAATCAGCATATGCTAGTTTATTTCAGCTATATGATGTAAAAGATGAGCTCTCTATAAGTATACAGCTGTAGACCAATTAAGTAAAAAAAATGGTGGCTACAATGCAGTCATCAAGTTGAGAAAAAACCCAAGAAAAAACATAGAGAATCTCTTGCTCAGAAAGGTAGCAATCAATCACTGTCTTGGTTGCTGATCAATCATTTGTGTCACAAATGATAGAAGAATCAGCAACTTTGGTTCAGACCAATTCGAAGCTCTCTGATTGAGTTAACTGCTACTATTGACATAGAGTGCCAGAACTTGGTCCGCAGTTTGGTGTCATTCTGGGCAAGAGAAAGCATTATTTCCTTTGAGAAAAATGATGAAGTGGTTTGTATCAACAAGATATGGAAAGACTTGGTGGTCTATAGAGTCTGGTTCTCTGTTGACAGCAGCCATGATCAAGCAAACAATCTTGCTGTGTTCAATGATGCAAGAGAGTAAGTAGCACTAGTTGTATTCTACATTGTTAAATTTTATTAATCACAACTCATTTATATTTCTTGAAAGGTATGAATTTATTTTTAAATTCATCTCTCAAACTGTTAACAGAGTGATCAGACTCTTTGCAACTATCAACTGTCTTTCTGATGTTTAAAATGTGAATCAAAATCTTTTTCTTGTATGAGATAGCCTGGCATCTGGTGTAGTAAAAGTGATAGAAGTGAAGTCCATGGAGGGAATTGCTGACCTCGTCTATAACTCAAATGACAAGATCATTTGACACATTATCTGACTCTTATCAAAACATTATTAATAGTTTTTTTTTCTTTGTTTTTTTTTCATTGTTTTAGTACATAAACATTTAATTTCTTTAAAAAAATTACTCAAAGCAATAGCAAAGTCCATTGCTATTATCATTTGATTTAAAATTTTTCAATGCCAGAAAAACCAAATTTATGATATATCCAATTGATTGGCTGTGTTCTTGACCTTAATCAAACTTGAAAACAAAAAACAACAGTTCTTTTTCTTTTCTCATTTAAAATGGCTGTCTGAGTTAAACAATCAAAAAATATGATTACCGGCACAGAGCTTCTAAAAAAAAATTTAAATTGCTTTAAATTTAGAAAGGCTAATAGAAGTTTTAAATATGCATAAAGATTTTGCAGATATGTATTTTTTTTTGGAAATCCTTGTACATTATTTTCTACAGTATTATTTTTATTTTAAAATTACCTTAGAAATTACCTTAGTTAGTTTTCAATTTTTTATTCTCTAAATACTTCTCTTAACTTAGTCTATTTCATATTAGCATTATTCATTTTATTTTGCTAGTTTTAAATATTAGGGACCTTGGTCACATCATATAATTTTTTTTTGAAACATTTAACCAAATATGTAATTTTATACGATTTTATTTTTCATGTCCAAGGCTCCTATATATGGACCAAAGTTCTGTTTACATCATTATTGGAAGTATATTTTTCCTAAACTTACCCAATCGTTTTTAATGCAAAGACATGACATTAAAAATAGATCTAAAAAACATCATTACTTTTTTATTGTTTACAAATTTTGAAAATGCCTTTCAACTCTTGTATAAACAATGTCGCAAAAGTATTGGAATTATCCAAGCAAGCATTTCGTGATAAGATTCTTGGGAAAGCCCTTGATCAAGTTAATGATCAAACAGAAGCTCTGGAGCTGCTTCACATACAAGAGGCTGAACGCATTGTAATTTCTCTATGTCAACAAGATCATCTGGACATCAGTACTGTTCTAACTGAAGAGTGCAAGTTTTTGTTCAGATTTACTTACACAGAGGTAAAAGTTAGAATTATAAAATCTAAAAAAAAATAACAATAAGCATATATTTAAAAAAACAAATACAATCAATGTGTGTTCTTTTTGAAATGGGAGACAAAGTTTGTATTGAGAGAAATTCTTCCACTGTGCTGTCTGTTTCTGCCACAGAGGCACTAGCAATTCTGCTTCGCAAAATGTCTTTTCCCTGTCGATTGTTAGATTTGTCTTTGCTTTTTGGCAGGAACTCAACTGATGTAAGTCATATATCAAACCATGTTGTGCATCTACTGCATCTCAAGTTTGGTAGAGCCATGATATATGACTATCATCAATTTCGCCCAGAAAATTTGATGAAATTTAGCAATGCAATCAGAGCCCTAGGTAAGAGAAAATTTTAATATATTACATGCTATTAATATTAACAGCATTATATGTTTATCGATTAAAAAAGGCATACCAGTCAAGCATTGTGTTGGGTTCCTTGATGGCACCTTTAAGAAGACTGCTAGGCCAACCAAGGACCAAAAGACTGTATACAGTGATTACCATGCAAGTTGAATACTATAGTCATTTTTACATTAGTTTGTGTTTTATATTTGTTAACTTGACATAAACAATTTATTAGAAAGCGCATAGTCTTAATTATCAAGCTGTAGTTACTCCGGGTAGAATAACTTCATCCTTTTACAACCCAGTAGCTGGAAGATGTCATGATATGACTGTATTTCACAAAAGTGATATTGAAATGCATATGCGTAAAGCATTTGATTTCAGGAGTATTGGTGAATCCTGTTACCACCTTTATGCTGACAGAGGATATGCATCTTCTGAATTCGTGATGTGTTCATTTGCAGAGAGTAAGTTATATAATATCATGTATTTTAATTTAATTAAGTCTTTTAATATTTATAATGTTTCAGCAAAATAAGACTCTCCGGAGTATATTGTCAACCAAGATATGTCAAGTTCTTGTGTTGTAGTAGAGAATGAGTTTGCACATGTAAGAAACTTGTTTGCTTATGTAAATTATACACAAACACAAAGAATTCTTCAGGGCAATGTAAGCTCTTATTACATTGTGGCAATGCTCTTCAAAAACTTGCATGTTTGCTACAACCGTGGAAATCAAACAACCATGCGGTTTAAAGTCTCTTCTCCAACACCAATGGAGTATATTACAGACCTCTTAAATCACTAAACATCTTATTCTTACAGGAAGCAAACTTCACTTTAGAGGTCAAGAAATAACATCAATATGAGAATATTTTCTTTAACTTATTTTATGAATTTTTTTTATTGTGGGGGTGGTTGTGTTGTAGAAGACACAAATGCAGCAATAAAGGCTATAAGCTTTTCTATTGTCTTCTCAACCCTGAGAGAGCCCTCTCTGATCTCAGTTTTCATACTGGATAATTCTTCAAGTACTTTGTCCAGTTTGCTATCAATCTCCAAGACATTCTCATCATCTCGAATGTCCTTGACAGCCCCTTCAACACTCTGAATGAACAAAAGGATGTTCTTGTCCACCTTTGTGCTGACCGCGTCCACCACTTGCTCCTTCAGAGACAAGAACAGATAGGCCGCAGAAGTTGAAGGTACAACTGGGCTCACTGGAACCTGGGTTGAGGGTCCCTCACCATTTTCCACTCGCAACTTTTTTGCTGCGTGCAGCCCACCCTTCACTACTGAGTGGATTGCACTAGTTGACCTCTCTTGAATGATGTGTTCCTTCTCAGCATACACCTTGGCTGTTTTGGTCTTGTTGACACTGACCTGTCAGATGCGCTCCTCAGATTTATCATTCTTTTCACCCAAATTTTATTTAGCATGACAGTATTCAAAAAAAATTATGTATTTATTACCAGATTAATGAGCTCCATCATGAGCCTGTCTTTCTCAGAAAGTGCCATCTGCAAACGGGATGACTCAGGCACACAAGTCTGTCTTTCTTTGAACTTCTTTATCAAAGTCTTGTACTTCTTCTTGATTGATACCAGCACAACATCACCAGCACTACAATCAACATTGTTTACTGCCTTAAGGTTATCCTTCCAGATAGTCTTTGCTTCTCCATAGTTTTTGTGCAATGGATCACGAATGTCAATCTCTCTGACAAGGACCTCTTCTCTCTTGTCTGTAATATGCCCATTTTTTTTGGGGGCTCTGCAGGTTGGGTGATTTCTCTGATATTCATTTTTGAGTGTAAGATAAGTAAGTACAATTTTTTAATATACAATTTTATTCATATTTATTTAATTTTTATTATTATTTCTTTTGAATTCTATTGATCCACTGTCATATTCTGTATACATGATTTAAATAAAAATTATAAACACCAATTAAATGCTTTTATAGCGATTGCTTATTTTTTAGTATCTTTCTTTTTAATCTAATTTTTATTAGGTACAGACTAGTTGACTATTTTGGCATGCAAAAATAGTTTTAGCTCTTTTATAATTTTTCTTTTCATTTATATATTTTTGTTAAAAAATTAGCTGTAATCTAGGTTTGGTAGACTTTTTTATTTTTTTCATAATTGTATACTCACAAGCCAGTAAAATATCTATCAGTTTAGCAGTAAGAATAAAAAAATTTTATTAGCTAATTGTAGCAAGAAAATAAATATAATTGGCTAACACATTTTATATCATGTTTTTATATCATATAAAAAAACGCGATTTTGAAACACACTATTCCTTTTTAAGAAAACAATCTCCATCTAAATAAATTTTATATGATGTGTCCAAGGTTCCTATTCTTTCCCTTTTGAAATTTCTTCTATTCTTCTCTTTTAGAAGTAATTTCTCTTATTTCTCTTATATTTTTATACAAATGTTTTCTTATTCAAATAACTCTATCTTATTATAGATTTTAATCCCTCCTGTTACTCTTATTTTATCTTTCTTGTACATACTATATATATAACTAAGTACTATATACATCAATTTTGACAGATAGTACAATAATTGTGTGGACCAAAATTCAAAACTAGTATTTTACTAAATCAATACTTTCTTTTTGAAAACTTCATTTTTTTTTAAATTTTGATTTTCAGAAAATTAAATTCTTTTTCTCTTTATTTTCCCAAAATTGTTTTCTCTTTTTTTTATTTTTATTTCTATGCACTAAACATGATACTTCTTCTAAAACACTGCTTTACTAAAACTGTTAACTGAATAGTTTTTTTTATATTTATAATATACTTCTTTTCAATATACTTCTTTTCTTATAATTATATATTATAACTTCATCTATTTTACTTTTATAATAAAATATTTATATAGTTATTTTTTCTTATATTTTTATTTATGATTATTCTATAGAGATTTATCTAGTATATTTTCGCTATATATTTTATCCAAAAAGTAATATAAATATCTCCTGAAAATCAATCAATAAACAACTTTCCAATTTTTTTGATACAAAGTTTTTTTCAAGGTAATGTCTATTACTCTAATCTCTCTTTGCAAAATTTCTTCTGTTTTATTTATTTTTCTACCACGTTTTTAAAGAAGATTAGCTGTTCTCCTTTATTTTTATTATTTTGTTATAATCTTCTCTTTATTTTATCTTTTAGTAAATTTATGATAATAATTTTTTCTTTAATTAATTTTCTTAATTTAGTAAGCATTTCTATTTCAATAGTTAGCTTTTTAGAGTTAATAATATTTACTTTCTTTCTTTTAGTTCAATTATTTTTTTAATCATTTAATTTATTTATATTCTTATCTTAGTATTAGTTTCTTTTTCAATTTTTTTAACTAGTCTATTTTGTAGTGATCCAGACACTCGGATGTTGGATTTATCACATATAAAAACATATTCATATTGAGATAACTTAGTAGCTATCATCTTGTCAGCATATAATATATATATAAATAATTAAGTAACCAGACCAATAATTATTACAGTTAGTACTATAGATAATATCTTAAAGATTGTTAAGATAATTATATCATATAGTCAGGTAAACTATGTCAGAGCAATATGGAGCTAATTTAGTAGAAAGTTTTAAAGCTCTAGTATAAAAGAGAAAAGAATAACTACAAGCTAAAGAAGTACAATTTATGACTTGATGTCGTAATCGTAACACCAACACTAATTAAGCAGTAAATACATTCTAATAGCCAAATATAGTAAAGGAAGAAAGCCTTAAGAAACTAAGACGTAATGACAAGAGCAGATTGTGTTTTTTTATAAAATGAAACACTTTTTATTTATGAATAAAGAACAACTTATATACAGTTTCAAAATATTTCTATACGTCTCTATTATCAAATTTATTATTTTTTATTATTTTGTATCTGAAATACCACAGGTAGTGCTGCTGTGATAGCATTGATCTCAGAAATACTATAGTCAATTGTGATATGCATAGACAAGAAATAGCTATTATTTCCAAGATATAAGCTATTGGTTGGTAGAAGCAGCACTATGATTGTGGTAATCATGTAGATAATTGCTATGTCTTTTTCTGTCTCAGAATACTAAATAACAAGAGAATATAAGACTCCAGCATTTCTTATAAAGATACCATAGTTAGTGCTAAGATACACAGACTTTGAGATTTCTATTAACACAATTTGAGAGAGAGATTAGAGCCCAAAGACAAAAGATGACAAAAAGAGATTAAAAGAAAAAAGTTTTGCAATAAAAACATAATAGTTCTGAGATGATAGCTTCTAATTTATTTAGATTGCCCAAGATCTATCTTTATTGAGATTAAACATATATAACAAATCCTTCAACTATATCTTTATATAACACTTTTTATAAGCACTATAGGAATAAGATGATCTTTTTTGAATTTGTGACTTCATTTTTGGCCTATAATAATTAAAAAATCACCAAAAATCCAAGTTGAAACAAGAAAATCTTTGTTCTTTGAAATGGTTGATAAAAAGCAAATGAATCACTTAAAGTTAAATCTCAGGAGGGAAAAATGTTCATTCTAATTAAACATCTTACATTTTTGGTAAATATATATTGGATGTCAGAAATAAAAAAAAGAAAATATCTAAAGTTTCTGCTGCTTGGATAAAATTTGTGAAGACGATTTGAAAAAAAAGAAAAAAAACAAATTATATATCACTTAAGGCACCAAGTGTCAATTTTGGGCCACGTTTAAGGTTAGGCCAAATGATGTAATGGCTACCATTGACATTTGATGGCACCAAGTCAACCAACTCTACAATGTTACTGGCATGAATCACTATAGTCTTTGGCTTTACTACAGATGTAATAGACAAACCATTTTTCAAATGCACACTATATATGGTTATGAGAGCTAGTGATCATCTCTTCGAGTTGTGTATACGTTGAAAGAATATAACTACCTTTCCAAAGAAATGCTTATATCCTGGATAGTAAGAGCGGAATCTTCTCGAGTTCATGTCCACTTGTAGCTGCACATGAATATGACATGCCTCTTTTGTAGAACTTTGGTTGAATGCAGTGTCAATAACACAACCATTAAGATAGGCCTTGCAGCTTGTCTTTATGGAAGGCTCAAGCATACTACATTCTTCCCCCTTCAAATCATAAAACGTTTTAAGAAGCAATGAAAGATGAGATCTATCTTCAAAGCTATCAAAAATTGTTAAATTCTTCAAAGGCCCCCAGAACTCAATCTCACACTCAGCATTGGCAGGATTACCTCCATCTGTAACAGGCCACCCATTGGTATATGCACTGTAAACTAGAAGGTTAGCTGGTAGAGTTTTTGTGTTTGCAATGGTTGTCAGTTCCACTACATGCTGGGATTGCGCCAGTCTGATCATGATGTTTCCAGCATTGACACTGACTTGGGAGTTACTCTTGATAGACCTGGAGTACTCACCAATGGCTCTTTCCATGGATCGTATGCTATATGCTCTTGGCAGGCCATATAGATCAATCATCTGAGGATAATGCTGAATAATGTGCTGGTTAATTGTGAACACACCAATGTCAATATCTGCTGTAGAAAGAAGACTCTCTAGGAATAAGTTCCATTCTATAAGATTACTAAGAAGAAAGATAAAAATAAATTACTATGAAAAATGAAATAAAATATAGTATTAAACATATCTTCTTATTGAGGTTTGATCCTCTGCTGATAACTCCCAGCTCATGAGTAAATTGCATGTTTGAACCAGGCCAAGTAATGCATTTCAGGCAACCAAGTCCTGAACATGCTCTGCAACCAACGTGGGGACAACAAAGAGTAAAAAGTCTGCCCAATCCACAGCTCTAAGGAAACCAGCATTCTTTGTCACGTCTCTCCAGGCACCATGCAATGATGTAGGGATTGTGGATTTTGCGGCTACCATTGCAGCACCAATCTCCCTTTGAGTGGCAAGAGAAAGACATAGAGGATGCTTGATTCTATACTTTCTGCATACAAGTCTCCATACCTGTTTACCGATTCCATGGCACAGACCATGCATCTTGTCTAACACAAAAAACGGGCCAGAGAATGTTTCCATTGAGGTTAATGGTGACTGACCATTGAGCCCCTTTCTGTCTTCAATGCTTGTCAGATTGTAGTTTCTGGAACTCTCCAGTGAGTACGTCTGGGTTCCAGACAACATGCGGAAGTACTGGCCATGTTTAGAAGTTTGGCCCACGACATGACAAATATGACAGCCATTCTTAGTCGTGTGGCCAACATGGCATGCCAGCTTTGCCAGAGCCGGAATATCGCCAGTGGTCATGAGGACATGTATCTTTGCCCTGATCATTGTTGTCAGTGTCTTTACTTCCATGCCTTCTGTCTGGAGCAAACGGAGATCTCTCAGCATTGGCTCAAGAAAAGACCAGATGTCACTGGGACCAGTGCAACCAGGAAGCATTGCTATTTGGATTATCCTGTTTTTCTCATAATGAATCGTTGGATTCAAGTTCAAGACAGTTGCATGAACAATGATTACTGATCCAGGTACATTGTGTGGGTTGAACCCGTCCATGGACAACAAAATCGCAATATCGCTTTCACCAGAAAACAGATGCTTCATGGATTGGTATACATGACCATCAAAAACATCTGCTTTCTGCCTGTTATGGCTGGATTGGTGGTTATGACGATAGAGCATTTCAGCCCTGGTCTTGTCATCAGCCAAGCACAAAGCAAGCTGTCTGGCCAAAGGAAGCTATACGATTGATCTCACAGGAACCCTGGTGTTGCTTTCACTAGTTTGGCCATTTTTGTATCTTGCTTCACTGCATTTTACACATGTGATATCATTCTCGTTGTTGAACTGCATACAATCTCTGATGCAAATGTTGTATCCGTCTGCTTTGATATCTAAGAAGTGCTCAAGAAGCTTGTTTCCAAGGTGTGGGCTGCATGCTCAGTACGTAATATTGATAGAACAATTATGAATCTGGTTGAAGTGTTCTACAATCTTTTCATGGGATTGACAAGAAATTCCAAACTCTTGGATCAACTGCATGAATGCGAGATTCTTTTTATCATCATTGCTGGGAACAGAAAGAGGCTGGCTAAAATCAAAGTCTAGTGAGGGTGTGGTGCCTTCAATTTTGTCAATGACATTCTTGCATTCTTCTCCAAAATCGTACTATAGTAAGATAAATAACAATAAGTATGATTAACATAATATATGTATTTATGTATCTTACCATGGACTCATCATCTTCAGTACTGTCAATGATATCTATATTCTCACTACTGCTTGTGTTGATATTTTCTCTGTTTATTTATCAAAGTATACAGCTAATTAATATACTGTCTATCATTTTGTGTTTTTGCTTTTGATAAGCTTACCCAAAAGTCAAGTTAGGAACCATTGCTGATGTAAACTGACTTTGATCAGGAAGAGAGACAGTTTGGGAAACTTTGCCATTGACAAGTAATTCTGCCCTATTTGTCATGCATTGTTTGAGACATCTTTTATATGTTCGACTGTTATTAAAGATTGACTTGCAAGTATGGCATTGGTAACGAGAGGCTTTTGTAATTTTGAACATGTTTGAGATAGGTAAAAAAAACTTTGTTATATAAGTAAGAATAGAATTAATTACTTTCTGAATGTATAGCTTTATACTTAATTATATAAAGACAATGATGTTATATGCATTCTGAATATATGCTCGGGATCTTAAAGAAGTATCTGTATGTCATCAGTGAAGTTACTAGATCAATGTTTCTTCAGGAGTAACCAATAGATTTGTACAAATAATTTGAAACTAATAATTTGAAGCTAAAAAATTGAAACTAATAATAGTTTCTGGTAAAACATTTTCTCTTTCTTTCTTTTTCTATAACAAACACACAACTGATTTTCTTTACAATTATGAACAATACAGACAATACAGTAATACAGTTGCTTCAAGGAATACAAGCTGCACTTATTTCCCTAAAGAGTGGTCAAGAAGCATTGCTAGGCCATCAAGAAGTATTAGAAAAAAAAACAAGATGCGATGCAACTTCAAATGACAAGTTTTTACAATGAATTTAAAGATCGGGAATTTCCAGATAGAACTATTGTAACCTCTACCAGTATAAGCAAATACTATAACAACTAAAGTCCTTTCAATTAATGTCAAACATAATAGACTCTTACTGAAATCATTCCAAGACCCATATCAAAAATCAACGATATAACTTTAAAACATATATACAAGATGATAACATACGATCTTAGAATAGAATTGACCGAGGAAACCAAGAAAATTGTTAACACATGTACCAAAATCATATGTAATCAACTGGCAGCTCTTTCATCTGTTCAGGATCTTGGAACAAACCCTGGCTGGTCATTGCTTCCTCAAGAGGATAAAAACAGGCTGTGTATTAATTATTCTATCATACTCAGAGACAATAGAATTGTTTTTACCAGATGCCACAGAAACTGGGCATCAATTGCAAGGGTTAGCCAGCTCTGAAGAGAGCGTAAGAAGCGAGAATACTCTGGTAAGTTCATATCTGGTAGGTACAATAAATTGTGTAATTAATGTGAGAATATATAATAATCTGAAGGAATTTTAGCCAGTACGATTCATGAATAAAATATTATTTCTATTATAACAACCAATAAAAACATTTTTAAATAATGATCTTCTATGAAATAAAACTTTTTTGCCCAATTAAAACTGTGAATGAATCAGAATATATATATGAGAACCAATTGAGAGAATGCTTTTGTTTAAATGACCAATACTATCAATGTGCATACTGCAATAAAGTTTATATTATCCAATTAAAAGTAGCGGTATAACAAAAGTATTTTATGAGTGACAATACAAAGATTCTTTTTTTCCATCTATACCAATAAGAAAGCTCTTTTTTATTTTCTTTCTACCAATAGAACGAGAAGAATAATACATAAATTTAAATATCGGGATATGAATAAAACCTAATATCCATCAGTCAACGGAGATCTAATTATATTTCCAAAAATAGGGATGTTCTTTTTGCTGGTTTTACCAAAACTGCCACCCAAAAGACCACCTAAGATACCACTTAAAAGACCATCAAAAAGACCACTTTTTTTCCCATAGTGAAGAAGCATTTTTTTATATTTACTTCCATATATTTCTTATTCTGTTATATATGTCTTCTTAATTGAGCTTTCTAACACTAGTGTTGTGAATGAGTATTGATTACTGCTGAATCTGAGAGTAAGACTGAAGGATAAAATAATATCCTCAGCTATTCCAGTCAAACAGATCTCCCTTTATGATATTATCTAATACACAGATCATTGTACACATAATTGATTATTTATTATTATCACCATGACATGGGATATACAAATACATATACATTATATATATGGCATCATTATATTTCATCTACATATTTCTTTTATTATACAAATACTTAATTGAGAGACTACAACTACAACTATCTAATATTATGAAACATTACCCAAGTATCTGGGTCGGAATACTAAAATATTACCAATAGCATAAATGCTCTTCTTTACCAAAACTCTTGGACTGATCTGACTGGAGAAGTATCATATCAATTGGTCTTTCCAGATCTTTCCAGAAGAACAATACTCCTGGAAGATGACTCATTGTGATAAAGATTACTTAAGCACACACTGAATTACAAATTAGAAAAACATATAAATATCAGTAGATAGTTCCGTGTAGAAAGACAATCGAATTTTATCATTCTTTACTTTTCTTTTGAAATAAACAACCTACACAAGTTCTCATGAATTCTTTTGTCTATATTATATTTTGCTTTATTTTCTCCCCACAACAACTAGTATCTTACTCTTCAATCTGTTTAAGAACAGAAATTCTAATATTTTTATAATTGCTTCCTCCTCTCAACTGATTCTCAATTATTTGAATAGTCTCAGAAGTCAAAGACAAAGTTCTAATATCTAAACTCTCCCCAAAAACATGATTTATGTGATTTTTTTATACAAAAGTCAACAATATTAGGGTTATTAAAATACTGCTTGATATAAAAAATGCCAGCACAGTTGCAATGTTTTGAGTTCTTTTGAGCTAAATGAATACTTAGATCTGAGATATATTCTCCTGCACAATGATACAATCTTGTTTTATTAACAACTAATCCTCTTGTCTTATGATCTCTCTTTTTTATTCACTTTGTGGAACAAAGCGTTTAAGTATGACTGAGACAATCAAACCGTTTATTGCCTTTAACTGATTTTACAGTATCTAATAGAAGCCTTTTTACTCCTTTGATGAGCAAATTAACCAAGACATTATGTATATTGAACATAGTGTGCATGTTGATATTTTTGTAAAATAAAGAGGGGAGAGGGAGAAAAAAAATAATTAAAAAAAAACTTTTTTATTAAAAGACTCTTCAAAATATCTTTCTGTAAAAGCCAGAAATATTTGTTTAATTCAATCTTGTGAAGAGAAAAAATAGCAGATACCCCACAGAATTAAAATCTGTTAAAGGAACAGATGAGTAAATTCCTTATAGTACATCTTTTTATAGTATATACTTTTTATATATAGAGCTAGAAAACTAAAAGACATTTTGTGATCTTAATATTTTTGAATTCTGTTTGCTCTAATACGTTTTTAATGTTATTTAAAAACTCTTTGTGGTGTGATATCTACTGCTTTTCTGCAAAAGTATTTTTTAAACGAGATAAAACCCCAGTATTTAAACAGTGTAACCAAAATAATACTTTTATTTTTATTCAATGATTTATATTTCTGAGTTTCTAAATCACACAAGATGGTTAATGTATACACTCTTTTTGGAAATTATTGGTGCAAAAATAAAAATCAATTTGGTACACAAACAAAAAGAAATTTGGTGCACAAATAAAAAATTATTAGGTGCAAAAATAGAATGCACCAAATGCACCAAAAAAGATGAATTAAGCAGAGAAATGATAAAAAATTACACCAAATTTTATCTTTGTTTTTGCACTAAATAATTTTTTATTTTTGCATCAATAATTTCCGAAAAGAGAGTATAAAGCTAGAAAACTATAAGACTTTATGGGATTGTTATATTTTTAACTTATAATTGCTTTAAACTTTTCTTTATACTATTTAAAAGTATTCTATAATGAAATATCTTTTATTTTTCTGCAATTTGTTTTTCTTAAATTAGATAAAGTCTTAATATTTAAACATAGCAACAAATATAAGATTTCATTTTTTTTCAGCCAATGATATTTATTCCAGAGTTTTTATACAGATGTATAATATATTGTGTTCCATAAGCAACTCTAAGTTACCATTTATGGAACTGGAGATTTAATCCAAAAATGTTCTCTTTTCAAAAATTATCTATTATAAAAAAGGTGCTCTCTGCTGCAAAACCAAATACCAGACCTAAGAGATCTAAAAAACTTAGTATCACAAATATTACAAGCCTTTACTTAAGTGTGAGACATAACCCTTTTAAGACTTATGTATATTATTAAAAAATATGACAGCTGCTGGTACCATCATCTGTAGAGATGCGGTTATCTAAAACCTTAAGACCAAAGGCTTTGGTTCTTATATCCCTGTTTCTAAGTCAAACTTAATCTATAAACAGAAGAAGAATTGGTTGCGTTAGGTCAAAAATAAAGTCAGCTTTGAGATTAGCAACTGAAATAAGATAATGTGATCAGATAAGTCAAGAATTTTAATAAAGACTAATAATTCGGACTCAGCTATGATTTGTAAGCAAGGAGAAAAAAACTAGAAACAACATACACTAATAACAGAGAAGTATGAAAAGAGTTTTGTGCTAGTGGGGCATTGTTTCTGAGCTGATAGACTTGGATCGTTATTATTTCTTAAGGGCCAGTAGACAAAGATGCATATGACAATTGCTTGTCTAACAACTTCAATATCTCATATATGAAATTGAATTATAAACAAAACACTATGTTTACATTTCAAGAAGACAATGCTAGTAGTCATACTGAGTCTTATATGATATAGTAGAAAAAATGTTAAGAAATTAAACATTTTGACTACTGGCCATCTCAAAGTCCAGATTTGAATCTTGTTAAGCATGTCCGACATGCTCTAAAAGCTAGTGGCCAAGAGAGAAAGACCTCTATAAACAATGTTGAAGAGATCAAGGCTTGCATTCTTCAGAAGTAGAAGAGACTTGGTTCAGAACTTTGTTATACTCTTGTAGCAAGTATATCAGATAAAGTTCAGGCAGTTATAAAAGCTCATAGTGACTACATCACATATTAGACCTTATTTTATTTTTTTATTTCTATAATATATATATTTATATCTGTAATAAAACAAATTTTCACTTTATTCAGTCAAGTTCTTTAGAAGACATAATATAAAGAAGTTGATTTGTAGTTTATTTGGGACTAGAAATCAAGGAATCTGACTGTGATTTATTTGGCACAAGTGTAGCAAAAATCAAGTAAGAGATAAAACAACATATATCTTGAGTATTAAAGTATCTAAACTTTCTAAAATATTGGATTAACTGGCAAAAAAGTATATTAAAACCTTTGTACAAGCACCAACTTCTAGGATTTACACTCAATATCAAGACTATAGACATCAAAGTTCCAAAAATGAAAATGACCAACTTGAATACCCAAGTCAAACAGATATTCATATAAGTGAGATTGTGCAGATATATTATTAGCTTGATAAAAAAATGACGTCTATGATTCCAGTAATAGAGAAGTCATTGTTGCATATGTAATATATACAGATAGATCTATCAAAACCACCCTAAGTAAAACCAACAAAATAGGAGACAAATTTTTCTTTATCTTTGAAAGCACAAAAGAAGTTGAATTAGTATGTCAAAAATGGAGAAGCTACAAATAGGCTATCTGTAAGGAATCAAGCTTATTGATTATTGAGTTGGATTAATTCTAAACTTTGATTTATTATCAATTAAAGTATACTTTAGAGAGACATTCAGATCACTAGGGTTTAAGTTTTTCTGCCTATTTATATCTTTGTATTACACTCACAATAATTATTTACTATTGTCATCTAACTAAAATTTATATAAATATCTATTGTGCTTGATTCTCTAAAGATCACATGAACAACATATTAAATAAAAGAATCCTTTCTTCTCTGTCTTGTTCTTGCTATCTGTTACTACCTTCCTGGCCATGTTCCTGATACTACCAATCAGAAAACCGATATAACTACCACCAATATTCAAAATATACATTAATATATCCAGCTTGGGCTGGGGAGTCTCATCTCACATGATTCAAACAGTCAGATATTAGACAAAAAGCAAAAAAGAAGATTCAGTCAATATCAGAAAGTTGAAGACAGTATTGATTGCATTATAACTACACAGAAGAAAATCCAAAAACTCCAGCATAATAGAGAGATTGTTAACAGAGTCAATTAAGCTTATACTTCGACTTAGACTTATCAGAGTATATATTTTCTTATACCGACTACAACTTCCATTTTTAATAAGTCTAAGTTCTCTACTTCGACTTAATTTAGTTGAATAGTAAGAATCTTATCCTACAAATTCATGAAGACATATACAATAATTAATTTTCAATACTCCTTGCATAAAATCAATTATAAGACTCTTAGCTACAATATACTAAAATATCAGAGTGAAATATCAATTAATTCTCTCTAAAAGTCATTATGTTTGTCATGTAATAAAATAATAACATAATATTCCAAGTCTTGGGTATAAAACTCATAATAAATCAATTTTGTGTATTTCATACATCAACTTTTTTTTACAAATCACAATCTTTATTACTGTCATACATTTATAAATATCTAACCAACTATGATACTAAATAAATCAAACAAAACTACAAGAAGAAACAGAAAGAACTTGGTCATTCACTAGTACATACCATCCTCTCCAAGTATAAAAGATCAAGAAGGTGAGAAATTTGACCCTACAGTCAGCTTATTGGGTTCTCTAGGTAGCTTAACATACTACAAAAAAACTAGTACTACTTCAAGAGGAGCATACTTAGTTAAAAAGGTTATAGTGTAATTTTTAAAGGTAAAATAAAGTTCAAAAAGACATAAAATCAATGTTTAATCTACTTTATATATCATTAATGATATTTAAATATGGTATGTTCAGGCATAAACATCGAAGTTTTTGAAATTATTTCAATTTTCTCTCGACAAAACTCCGACACCAAATTGGTTTAAAGTCCGCGTGTGATATTAAAAAATTGTATTTGGTATATAAGGGTTAATGCTTAGTAGATCAGACAAGTAAAGTTAATATATATATTTTAAAAAAAAGAAAAAAAGTAAAAAATGAAATACAAATTATAGTAAAGAGAAAAAGTACAAATACAAATATTAAAAAGAAGAGTAAGAGTCTATTCCTTTCCTTCATCATGGCAATGAGAAGTATATTTTCTTGAGGTAAAGTTCTTGACAACATCATGAGTTTCTTTCACATTCATATCTTAGTTGTATGCCTCAATGTAATGCCACAAGTGGTTGTAGTATCTTCAGATGTTTTGAAGCTTTCCAGCATGATCAAGAAAAGAATAGATATTTTTATCCAGAGACTTATGTGTATAATCACACTGAAGCCAAGCTTCACATTTGGCAGCGCCCCAGTACCTCTCGATCCAATTGCATTCACAATGGAACTTAGGGTATAACTTGAAGATGTGGTCAGATACTTTGACAGCCTCATGAAGTGCAGTTTTCTGTGATATAAAATCTGGCTGAGAAGCCAGAAAATGATGTGCACAGCACTTGCTATCTTCAGAAGCGTCTTTTTTGCAGTCAAATCTCCATTTCTTGGTAGGATTGTATGGGTTCTTCCCCAACTACATAACACACTCCTCTAGGATTGTATGGATATCCTTCACGTATTTCACCTTCTTCGTCACCCACTGCCCGCTCTTCTTTGTAAACCACTTGTCCTTCTTGTAGTACATTGTCTGTACTTGTTCTTCACCATCCCAGACAAAAGTAGTGTCCCTCAGTGTACAAAGATCATCTTCTTCAACCTCTTTGTCACCTAAGGTTATTTTATTTGCTATTAAAGCATTTTGACTGTACGCCTTGTGGTTTGTACTTTGATTGAATACAAAGACGGCCTTACATCCAGGGTGAATTACTTCAAATAGAGGAATTGCATTACTCTCCAATTGCTTCAACATATGAGCACTAGTCCAGTACCCATCTCTATTGGCTCCAGGATGGAATACCTCCCAACTAGAACACGCAGCATTAGACATTGTACCATGGCATGCACATTTGAATTCAATAATCATAAGTGACATGCCAGGACCCTTCTTTCAAATTGGATTTTCACCTTCCACTAGCCACATAGCTTCTTTTTCATCATTTGAATAGAAAGTTGACTCATCATGGGTGATAAGGACATGTTCTACTTTATCAGTTGATAGCTGTGGCATAGTTACTTCATCATTCTCACCAAAGCTCGCCATCTTTGTCTTATATCCCATCATTTGATTCGCCTATTTATTTCAGTATTCAATAACGTCAGCTCTCTCGTGACCATCATAATAAATATCTTTAGAATTTTTTCTGAAGATATATCCCCATTTGTGAAGATATTTCCAAACTGTACTCGTTGAGACACTTCCTGGAATTCCAAGTTTTTTTGGTATAACAACCTCATCAATGTGTTTCTTAACCAGAATAGTACTGAGACTTTCTGGCTTCTGTTGCTAAATTCATTTGCAAATAGATGCCTTAAAGTCCTCATTGGAAAACAAAGAGAAACGAATAGCATGTTTTCCTTGCTGATATAATGCAATTGATCAGAAATTGATATATTCTTTTGCATATTTTCTTATCATTGCTGGTCAATAAGTATTGGTATGTAATCATACTTCCATAGCTGCTTTCTCGGATGCTTCCATTGTCTTACTTTCTGAGAGTCTATGTCTTAAGTAACTTTTGACAGATTTGAGTTTGCAAAGCTCATAATGGTCTACTGGCAGAGATGAACTACTTATATAAGTAAATGGGACAATTTCTTCTTTTATATTGTTAAAGGCAAGCTTGAGAAGAGAAATTGTATTCGCAGATATTTTCCTAGAAGTAACTTTGACTGGCTCTAATTCTTCATTGACAGACTCTTTTCGACTTAAAATTGCAAAGCCCTTTACTATTAGAAGATAACTTCCTTTAAAATCAAAAGATTCCTTCATAGTCTTTCTTTTTCTCCACTCAGTTGTTAATGAATTCTTCTGATATGTATCACGAAGGGACTTATCAGCTCCCTCATGCCATTTGAGAAAGTGGCTAGAATAGATGGCAGAAGTAACATCATCTGTAATTCCCTGAAGTTCTCTGTCATCCACAGTAATATCTTCTTCAACAACAATCTCAAATAAGTCAACCAGGTCGTCATTGCTGGTTTCTATATTTTTAGAGAAACAGTTTCCAGATTCTGATCGAGATTTGCTTTTTGCTAATCTTGATTTCTTGCTGGCAGAAGGCATTTTAACAAAATTGTTTTGTAGATTAAAAGGTTTAAGTATTAGCAATCTTAGGGGACGGGGGGTTTTTGGCTATGGGGATGGGGGGTAATGGCACCGCACAATTTAAGGTGACTGCAAGTCCGAGGCCCGGCTATAAAGTGTCTTGAAGAACCCCCTGTCCCCATTCTTTATAAGCACACCCTTGTCCCCATCATTTATAAGCACACCTTGCTCCATCGTTATAAGCACACCCCTGTCCCCATCTTTAGATCATTCCAATTTCCCAGGAAAAATAAAAACACCCCCTTTCTTAAAGTCATTAACATTTAGTTGTAAGAATAAAAAATAATATTTCCAAATAACAAGATATGATGCCTTTTTTACGTTATGTACATTGCATACATTGCATATATTGTGTACATTGCATACATGAATCAATAAAAATACTTATATAACTACAGTGCTCTTTTATTAAATATGAACACCAACTTCAATACCCCTATTGAGAAGATGTACTCGCTTAAAACAACTCTCTCATTCCCTGAGAATGGTTATCCTGACAAGCAGAGTGTTCTTCAAGCCGTAAACGATTACGCCCTTTCTAATAACTTCACCGTTAAGATTAAGGACGGAAAATTCCCTATTCTTCACATTGCTTGTTCAAAGGCTGGTGTTTATCGTGACAAGTGCAATATAAGTGATGAGAAAAGAAAGAAGACGCCCAACTCTTCTCTTACTGGATGCCCCTCTCTCTTAAGATTTTCTTATAAGAAGAAGAGTGAAAGATATCTTCCTTTGCCCGCCTATGGGGAAAACGAACATTGCCACAACCACCCTGTCACCCCTGAGAATTTGGCTTCTTCTCACCAAGGAAGAATGTCTCTTTTGACTGCTGAAGATGCCACTATTGCAAAGACAATGTTGGAGAATCACATCAAGTCCCGTGATGTTCAGAAGGTAACAAGTGACAAGGTGACAGGAATGAGAAAGCTGAGGATCAGCGATATCAACAATCTCAAGTACAGTGCTACTCGTGGTGATGAGGAGTCTGCCCATGGTGCTACTGAGCTCATCAGAACAATGGAAGCAAAGGGATTTTCCGTTCTCTACGAGTTTAATGAGAGAAATAGACTCACTCATATATTTTTTACGAACAATATAATGATCAAGAGAGCTCGACGTTTCTCCAATGTCTTTATTGTGGATGCTACATACAAGACAAACTGCGCGAAGATGCCATTGGTTTGCGTAGAGAGTGTCAGTAACCTAGGTGGAGAAAGGTTGAAGAGCTTTCCTGTGGCCTTTGCATGGGTAGCTGATGAGACAGAGAAGAGCTATGTTTGGTTTGTGAAGTCTCTGAAAGCAATTGTTTTGGAGGGGGTTGATAAAGCCCCTATATTTGTTACAGACAAATGTAAAGTATTGATGAATGCGCTTGATTCTGAGTTCCCCTTAGCCAAGAAGCTTCTGTGTGGTTGGCATATGATCAACAACATTGCCAAAATGGCAAAAAAAACAATGAAGCCAGGAAAAGAAAAAGAGTTGTGCACACATTTAGTCAATAAAATGATCTTCAGAGATAAATGCGATGTCTTTGATGAAAATCTTGAGCTTTTCAAACCGCTGTCATCTCGGAAAGATTTCCAAAGTAAAGAGCAGCTAGAAGACAATGATGATGATTCTACGAAGGTTGTAGAAAAAAGAACTCTAGAAAAGTACTTTGAAGATGAGTGGATGCCGTGCAAAGAAAAGTGGGCTGGCTATCTCACTAGTCAATTAAAACATTTTGGCTGTGTGACAACACAATGTGTCGAGAGTGGCCATAATGCTCTGAAAAGAAAAATCTCGGCTCTTCAGTCATTGAACTCTTCATTTGAGCAAATTTGCTCCTATCTTCTCCAGTTTGAGGGCGACTATCAGGACCTTGAGTTGAATGAGGCAACTATCACAGATGCCAGAATATACCATGAACCTCGCCTCTATGGATTGATTCACCACGTCTCCAGAATTGGTTTGATCACCATCCGTGCTGAGCTTCTAGAAGAGGTTGTACCTGGTGAGCTTTGCAATTGCAGAGTAAAAGTGGTGTTTGGTCTTCCTTGTCACCATGATCTGCCAAGAGATCGTATGTTGCTATTATCAGACATTCCTGAAAGATGGATTCTGTCTTCTTCTTTGGGTGAACGTTTGAAGCAACTGGAATGTGATGTTTCTCTACAGAAAATCGACGTTGAAAAGCCTGCCCCATGGGTGAAATGTATAACAAAGCTTGAACAATTGTTTCGTCAGTGTGAAGGGAATCAACAAGTCCAGAATCTTATGGCAATGGTTGATGAACTTGTTGACAATGCTGGTGAAATAATTGACCATCCAAATGTTGTATTTCCTTTGGCAAGTGAGGTCAAAGCTCCTGGAAGACCTAAGCACGTCAAAAGGAAAAATGCTCTCCCAAAGGACTTTGTCCGTCACAAGCACAGACATCTCCTTGTGCAAAAGAACAAAGTAAGCATGCAACATACACAAACATGATTTCACAATCTAATACATATTTATTCTTTATTTCTTTAGAATGATATCAGAAGTATTTTGAAAGAAGGACTTAAAGAAGTGATGAAGGAGTTCTTAGAGGAAGAGCCTCTCAAAAAAAGTAATTTATAATTGTTTTTTTTGTGAAATTACAATGTAATATCTAATGCTTACTATTTCTAGTCATAAAAGAAATAAAAAAAGAAACCCAATTCGCTGAAAAACAAGAGCCTCTCGAAGAAGGTAATTTTTGATAACTTATAAATGAATCACAGAATATTTTGTATGGTTTGCTCACACATTGCATGTTTTCTCTATAGCTAAAACAACCAATTTCGCTAAAAAGCAAGAGCCTCTCGAAGAAGGTAACCGATAAGATATTTTACTAAAATTAAATGCTAAATGTTACATTGTTTTTTGTTTCTTCTTAGCTGAAAAATATTCCTCTGGAATTAAAAGACCCAAACATCTCCAAGACGACTACTGGTACGATTTGCCTAGTCCAAAAAAACAAAACAAAAATGTGCATGACTTTGCTCTGCCTGCTCAAATCGATCAAGCCGCCATTTCGTTGACATTTAACCCCAAGTCCGATGGTTGGTGTGGTCTCCGTGTATTTGCACACCTGAAAGAGGGTGGAGAGGATCAGTTTCCTTTGGTGAAGAAGAAGATGTTGGCCACGATGGCAACCCACGGTAAACTTTACGAGCACAACTTTGGCATGGATGTTGCCGAAGTGACAGAGGTCATTGCCTTTGGCTCCGAGATTGACCCTGCTCTTGGGGAAAATATCCCATCTTGCCCTTCCTCTATGTGGTTCTCTGCACCAGACTGTGCTCAGATAATAGCTGACACCTATAACGAGCCTGTTTGTGTGTACTTGGACGATCGGAGCGTCTTGCCTGTAACTTTCCTTCCCCTCCACGATCGGAAGCCTCTCAAAAGAAAGTCATTGCCAATGGTCTTGCACCATATACATGGGTGCCACTGGACAACAATTAAAGTGAAGCCTCATGTACATCGGTCCTGGCCTGAGGTAAATGCGCTGTATTTTGATGCTATCCGTAGAGGGAGTATCATTGACTGCTTTTCCACAAGTTGGAATCATTGGGGTCAGTTCCCAAAGAACAAGTCTTATCTTTTACCCTCCACTACTACAACTACTACAATTACTACTACTGCCACTAACTCTCCTACAAATTCTCCCGTAAATTCTTCCAATATTATTGACCTCACACATATATAACTTATCTATCTTTCTATCTTTTAATATACTTTACTCCTATTTTTTTCTTTAATTTTTTAACAAAAACAATTGCACCCAGTCTGTCTTTAATTTTAATGTTACATATAAAACCCAGATACGAATATTATTGGCATCCAACTAATTGGAAGACTATATAATTGGCTTTTATTTTTTGGAGTACAAAGTCTGTGCATTTATAAGCAATCTGATTAAGATATTCATTCAATCACAGACGTGAATTTTACCATAAAAGATATAAAACAGAAACGACGCATAGCTTTTGATAGATTACTGTCTTAATTCGAATTCTAAAGCTTGGATATTTTGCCGTATTGCTGAAAAAATACGTACATCTCTATATCCAAAATTTGAAGTTAATTTATTATGTTTTGGTCGAATAAACAAGCAAAATATACACTTTTTTTCACGTTTTTAACCATTCAAGATAGATTGTTTTTGCTAATAAATATCTTTTCTACATAATAATATGGTCTAAAACTTTTACTGAAACGTTTTTTTACTATTTTCTATTGATATAAAGCACTTGCAAGTAATTTTTACTAATATTTTCAAATTGTTGTTTTTTTGTTCAATCTTTCACAAATGAAATGTACAGAACTTTTGTAATTCACTCATTAAACGTGATTCAAAAAATATTACAAAACAAACAAATACTCACTTTATGCAGAAAAAATCAACGAAACCAACCATCTTACTCTCATATTTCTATCTATTTTTTTGAACGAGTTATGAATTTTTTAAAAATAAATAAAAATGAAAATGAAAAGTTACAGACAAATGTTCTTCCACTTTTGCATGATTTTTCTTAGTGAATAAAGACAAGTGATTATACTGGATGGGGACAGGGGGGTGACTGGTTTTTGGGGGACAGGGTGTTACACACAGAAACGATGGATGTCTGCCGGACAAGTTAAAAGTAGTCACGCCTCTAATTATCTGCCGGACTACTCACTATAAGCTTGTGTAACACTCTGTCCCCATCATCCAAAAACCCCCTGTCCCCTAAGATTTACGTTTAAGTATTTAGAAATGTTTTGATTGATGAACCAAAAGTAAATATAAGGTACATATTAAACATGGCAGTCTATGTTACACAAATACCTTTCTATAGAAACGGTACTATTAATCCCCGACATGGGCAGGGGAAAATAATTTTTCAATATTCAAAAAAAGAACTAGAACTCTGCTATTTTCTACAGATACCTCTTGACTTTGAAGGTCCATGACTTTTTATTCAAGCCTTTTTTCCAGAATCGCTTAAACATGTTTGATAGAGAAGAGTCTCCTCTATTAAACATATTTAAGCAATTTTGGATAGCTTGTCTGTAGCAAAAGTCATGGAACTTTGAAAAACACCCATAAACTTAGATGTTTATCTCTGAACGCACCATACGCATAAGGCAGCTCTAATAAAAGTAGCCTCTTTATTGTAGATATAATTCATAAATACACTCAAAAAGAGCACGGAAAAGCTCAATAACAACAAAGAACATTTATACTTCTTTATAAATCGTCTGACATTAATCTGACAAATTAATGCATATTTTCACTATAAATTTCTAATAATATCCAAATAATTTATGAAAAAAGTGAACAAATAATTGCCACAATCATAGCCTAGTCCTAAGTCAATGAAATAATTCCAGCGGCAAAAATAAACGACTGCTAATTTTGGCAGGAAGAAGTTCGACTCTATTAACAAGCTATCTAATGATATATCCGGACAGCAGAACAGCACTAAAATATACCCATAAATAAGAAGAAACCATATCAGCAATACTACAACAACTGACTCAAAAGATATACCATATATCCAAAAGTCATAACCTCATTGTATAGTATCATTGCATAGCTGGAGTAAACAATATAACATCTAATCGTCTCAGTTGACAAGCAACACCTATTTATGAGTGAATTATACCACAGACATAGTTCTGCCAGATTCAACAACAATTGAGATGTAAAATGATAATAGGTGCGTTTGCAGCACAGTGCAATATAAAGCTACCAAGGTTTTGTAACTTATTTCCGGATCCAGCAGCAAAAGCTCAAGATGTATTTTATCAAAACTGGTCACAGGTAGAACTATACTTGCACTTATTGTAGAAGTTGATCACCAAAGTACTGCAACGAATCCGGAAACAGAAGGTGAAGGAAGCGGTTTTAGTAGCCCCAAATTGGCCTATCTAATTTTAGTGACCAACACTTCTACAGATGAGCATTTCTCTACTGATGCACATTCCAATAAACCGGACATAATCTCTAAGTGCATAGACATTATTCACAAAAAGCAAGAGATAAACTGACTGGACGAAGAGATTATTGATTTCCTGTCTAAGTCCATCAGAAGTAGCATGGAAAGAATATATGATAGTAAATGGAAGAGATGGATCAAATGATGAGCACACTAAATGTCAGAAGTAATATCAGAAGAATATCAACCAATCCAAGTAGTACAATACCTTCTATCAATAAAGCATCAGTCATCCCAAACAATAAACGTAGCAAGGTCATCTCTGTGATCTGCATGTCGCATAACTCATCCTACTGAAATTATACTAGCAGATTATCTTCTGATTCAAAATGTCTTTAAAGCAAAGAAAAAAACAACATTTAAATTATCCAATATCAGTACCAAAACATGGGATGTGCAACCAGTGTTACAGTTATTGGAATCTTGGGGATCAAGTGAGATTCTTGCTTTAGGAAAACTACAAGAAAAGATTGTTATGCTTTTGTGTCTAGTAACAATGTGGCGACCTAGATCGGATATAGGCCGACTACAGTCTTAAGATGTTAAGCTACAGTACAATGAGAGTCTGGAACTAGTAGGAGTTATGTTGTTTGCATAGAAGCCATAAGAGGCTCATGCCAAGTCCTCAAAGTTAGAAACTATTCGCACTTCAGAAGTCTGCCTAGTTTTGATCTTGAATTGGTTTGTGAAAAGAACAGCTATGGCTAGGAAGAAGTTGGATATAGACCACACTCTTTTCTTGGGATCATTGGCTCGGATAAACCGACAACAGTAGCCAACTGGGTGACCAAGATCTTGAAAGAAGCAGAGATTGATACCAAAAAATAGACAGCACACTCCACAAGATCAGCTGCAAGTACTCACGCAATACTGTAAGGAATACAAGCAAAAGAAGTCAAATGGCATGCCAATTTGAGTTTGGCGGCTAATGCATTTGACCAAAACTACTTTAAGCCAAATGAATAACATTCCAGAGGAGCGCAGATTACCGAAGCCATATTTGTGTCTAGTACTGAGAATAGTACCACATATGTAGTCGTAACAGAGTCAACACCAATTGTGTTAAGCAAGACATACAATGGGGATAGTTGACGAAGTGAAGACAAAAGATGTGGTAGCTACCTGCCGCTGGTACTCAAGACTATTACCATTTGGACTATTATTTATTATTTTCCGTATACGTATTAGACATTTTACCTCCCCAATTACCGCATCAATAGCAGCAAATATGACTAGTTTAGCATGGAAGGATATGAGGAACAAGGGGAATGATAGCCTTATTAATTTATATATTTTCAAAAAAGAAATAAAAGTGCAGCTTGGAGAGCCTGTACCACATCTTTCGTCTTCACTTCGTCAACTGTCCTATTTAATGGCACTATACCTGAAAGGTTTGCCCGCGTTATTCAGATTGGACGTATTAGAAGACAATCAGAAGAAGGTTTTTAGAAGGGTGGTCGTTTGAGACAAAGGCTGACAAGAATTCAAAGAAGATGAAAATATTTTCTCCTGGTTACCGCCTACGATTCACCCAAGGTACTGCTGGTAAGCTATTAGATTTGAATAATTTTATTGGCTTTAATTCTTGTACTGGGTTGAAGAAGTTAGAAAAAGATGTTTTTGTATTGACTGCAAAAACACGGTGGCGTAAAAAAGTGTAATGCATATAAGAGAGAGAGAGAAATTGGTGCATAATTAATAAAATTCAACCATATAACACACTTTAAACCCTAGAAAACTAGCAACGATTCACTAAAATCGCCCCTTTTTTTTATATATAGTGTAGACTATAGTGAATATGAAATGTAGACTTGGAAAGTGTGTTTATCTGAATTTGAGAATGTGATATATAAAAAAAGGTGGAGAGTTGATTAGTTGATGAAATGATTAATAAGGTGAAAAAGAGTGAGGAGGTTAATTCTTAAAATGAGTATTAAATCCTTTTTTTTATGATCTTCTTTTTGATCTTCTTTTTGATCTTCTTCTTGACCTTGACCTTGACCTTGACCTTGACCTTGACCTTGACCTTGATCTTCTTGTTTAGTCAAGTGTGTGTGTATAAATGACCCCCTGTCAACACGAGAAAAAGAAAATGGGATTTTTACTCTTTCCTCGTGAATTATGAGTATTACGGTTACTGTGGCTATAAGGTGTGTAATGTACAACAAGCACACACACAATATATATGTAGACTTTGAAAGCGAATTTATTTTTTATTAGGGCCCTAATTCACTGGCTTGATCCTATTCTTCTTCAGTGCTTGATTTTCCTATACATTATAGCTGCTTAATATATGTATTTATTTATATAGATATGGTTTGATAGATTTCAATCTTTCCTTTTAAAACAATGATAAACACACACATAAATTATATGCACAACGCAGCCAAAAGAAGAAGAATAGCAATAAGTCAGGGTGGTAGTGTCAAGGAGAAGACAAGTTTATATATATATAAGAGAGAGAGAGAGAGAGAGAAAAATAAAGATCGCCTTTGGTGGGGTAGAACATAAAAAGAATAAAGCAAGAAAAGAAAGATAAAAATGAAAATGAAATCTTTATCTTTGTTGAATCCATCCAGCTCTATTATAATCATTATTATCATTACTTTGTCGATCCACTTGCCCTACAACTTCTTTACACCCCTTTTTATTCTTTGTTCATCACTTTGACCTTGTACTTTGACCTTGTACTCTATCTGTTCTATGAGTAATTTCTTTATATAAAAAGGAAAAGGAAATATTGATAGATAAATCTAAAGAAGGATATCAAATTTGATTTTCTGATTTCTGATTTCTATACTAATGTTCAGATGCTTTAATGATGTATAAAAACTTGCAGCAAATATGTCTATTATATGGTGTATGGTGTGTTAATTATATAGATCACTCCCTATTTATCTATTTTATTTTATATACAAAAAATTCAAATTTTATTTTATGCTTCTTATTCCTTCTTAATTTACTGTACACTAAACAAACAGCTTTTTTTTGTATTTTATTTTTATTTATCTTCTTCTTCTTCTCTTTCTTTCTTTCTTTATTTCCTTTTTTTTTTTACAAAAAGACTCCTTTGCCTCACCTCATTCTCTCTGTACTTTTAAAACAAAGCTAAAATAAGATAAAAGAGTAATAGTAGTAGTAGTAGTAGTAGTAGTAGTAGTAGTAGTAGTAATATAGCCAATAGCCAATAGCAACAACAGAAGCAGCAGCAGCAGCAGCAGCAGTAGTAGTAGTAGTAGTCGTAGTAGTCGTAGTGGTAATAATATTGTTATCAAGAATGACGCAGGAAAACCCTATTCAACAGTCGTCACCATTTGAACCCAATCGTAATGACCTTCATTCAATTCATCCCAATGACACATTTCTTCCCTTGACATCACACACACTTGTAACAGAACCTTTTCAAACAACAAATTCAGCAACAGCAGGAATGACAATATTAAACACAGCTTCTCGTTCAGTACCTGGATCGCGACGCAATTCAATTTGCGCAGACACTGATGACCTGTCTGCTTTATTCGATACTGCTATCCGTCTTGAAGGACAAGAAAGGTAATTCAAAATCCAAAACAATATTATAAGTACCTTTACTTTTTCGCTTTATGCATACATACGTACATACACCTATAGTATAGTATAGTGTAATGTAGTGAATAACAATCTATGTGTGTGTGTATGTATATATATGTATGTGAGTGCATGTATATATACGTGTGTGTGTGTGTGCGTGTGTGTGAATATTATAGATATTAATTCACACTAACAAACGCCCATATATATATATATATACACACATACGCGTGCACGTACACATATGTATGTGTCTATGATTCTTGTTGATATTAAATATGTAAAGATTGTCTTATAGGCAGCATGGTTTGATGTCTCCCAAACAGGATTTGATTGACTTTTATTCAAATCGGCCTGTACACCGGTCAATGAGTGTGGATGTTGGATCAATACAGCACACACGCTATCCAAATTTTCTTCCCAATTCAACCACACCATCATCAGCAGCAGCAGCAGCAACAACAGCCACCATAGCTCCAAATTCAACCAATACCCAAATGTTATCATCATCATTATCATCATCATCATTATCAGCATCTTCATCTTCATCAACAGCCGCAGCAGCAGCAGCACCACCACCACCACCACAACAACAACCTCAACAACCAGTAACACAAGCAGGGATGACAATTGGAAGCAACAACAATAATCATAAAACACTCCCAGTATCAGCATCGACTCAGGGTAATGGGATGAGTCAACACCTTTTCTGTGAAGATGAAGGGGTAAATGGACCAGGTAAAATATAATAATTTTCTTTTTGAATTGAATTCAATTCAATTCAATTGATTTGGATCCAACCAAAAAGACAGGACTCTAGTATATAGCATTCATCTCCCTTCATCTCCCTTCATCTCCCTCTATCTTCTCTATCTTTATATTCTCCTCACTCCTCTTCCACTCCTTCACTACCCCCTCTTTTTTTTAATTTTTTTTCTCTTTATCCCCTCTTTCATCCCTATTTTTTTTTACCCCTTCTCTTGCTCTCACTCACTCACTTATTCATTCATTCATTCACTGACTTATACTCTATATTTCACAATACCTATTTGTCTATTTGTCTATATACCTCTTTAACTGTATAGATATATTTCACCCCTTCTTTCTGTTATTTATTATTTATAGTATATTCACCCCTCTTTCTATTTATCAATTTATCAATTTATATATTTATTTCTTTTATTCAACCCCCCCTCCCTCTCCCCCTTATTTATATTTATATATTTAATAGAGAGAGAGAAATAGAGTAAGAGTAAAATAGAAAGAAAATATAGGGCAAACAAAAAAGTAGTCAAAAAGGAACTAACGCGTGTAAAATGATTTGATTTGATTTGATTTATTTATTTATTTATTTATTTAAAGATCATCAATCTTTACCAACAACACCCCTCTCTCACAGCAATTATTACCTAAGACACCTGACTGGCTCAACGGAGAAATTGTCAGCAATTATGCACGACGGCTATGCAGGACTTGTAAGAATTTTTATTTTAATTTATATTGATTTTCGAGGATCTGTTGTATTTATCCATCTTATTTTATATTTCTTTAACAAAAAGTAATTATAAAGAAAAAAAGCCTTTCATACTCACTCACCCCCTTATTTTATATTCAAATACCAAAAACACCATCCATAAACCAACTCACTGATTCACTCACTAAATAATATATATATAAAACCTTATGTATGCGTGAAATCTATAGTTTGCTCCTGCACATTCAGATCTAGCCTTATCACTACGACGTAACTCGGCCAGGCAGAACAAGAGTGTCGAGTCACTACGGAGCAAGTCATGGACACAGTACCTCGACAACCCCGCCCCACCAACACCTTCAATGGAAGACCTACCTCATGCCCGTGTTCAGGCCGCCTTTTGTGCATCCCGGCGGTTCTCATACGGCTGGCCACCGACTAGCGATGGCCGGAACTCTTACGAAACCGGCCTAAAGAACAACAGACTCGCAACCTCCCAGTCATACTCTGATCTCCAGGTTGCCTCTGCTGCTGCCTCTGCTGCCGCAGTAAGAAGCCAGGTCCACGGATACAACACTAGCCATACAGCCCAAACATACGGCCATGTCCAAAACTATGTTCACGGCCAAGTCCAGAGTCAACCTCAAAGTCATAACCTAATAGGAGGAGGAGGAGGAGTTTATGGACATGGACATGGACATGTGTATGGTCATAGTCATATCAATCCAAATCAAATCACAGGCGTCTCTGATCATATTAATAGCAACAACAGTACGGCCAACACTTACTTGGACAAATGTTCTCCCAATCAAACCGGAAACCATCTTTGTTGCTCACTTGGAGACCAGTGCTCGTCAGTCCACTCTACCCAAGCATTTCCTCTCATGTCATCCCTGTCCTCAATCCAACCAGACCAGCCAGTCTCATCCAATGGTTCAGGTGGTCTAGCTACTCATATGTCTTCCGGATCTGTTTCTACTTCTGCGTCTGCAAATGCGTCTGCGAATGTTTCTGCGTCTGCAAATGCGTCTGCAAATGCGTCTGCGTCTGGGTTCTCATCTGGTCTTTCATCATCATCCTCAGCATCTTCGTCATCTGGCCTTCCATCTGGATTGCCTTTTAACCCTTCTAACATCTACCACCACAACCATAATCCATCTCAGCATCACCAGTATCATAACCAGCATGTTCAACATATCCAGCAGCAGCAGCAGCTTTTACTGCAACAGCAACAACAGCAGCTGCAACTGCAGCAACATCAACTACACTCACAACAACAGCAACAGCACCATAACCACCACCACCAGCAACAACAACAACAACAACAACAGCAGCAGCAGCAGCAGCATTATGGTGTCAATTCACCTATGATGATGAATGTTGCTGTGCACTCTCCTGCCTTTCAATTCGGCCAGATTGGTACCACATCAATCTACTCTCCAACCTTACCACTCTCATCCATGAGTGACAAGACATCAAATTCCACGACCACAAATGCCATGCCGACCACACCCACAATGTCAGCCACAAACCTATTAATGGGTTCTGCGAGGCATAGTATTGGATACCCCGAATTAGAGAATTCCCTTGTCTATGGAAATTCTGCCAATTCTTCTATTACCACAACCAACAACAACAACAACAACACTAGTATTATGGGTGCTCTTGGTACTGCGAATACTAATACTGGCACTAGTACTAGTACTATCTCCAACTCTATTATTATTAGTAATAATAATAATAATAATAATAATAATAATAATAATAGTAGTAGTAGTAGCAGTAGCAGTAGTAATGGTAACAGTAACAGTAATGGTAATAGCAATAGCAATAGCAGCAGTATCAATAGTCCGGTATCTCAAAGGCGGTCTCAAACAAGTGAACAAGAGCCCAATCGGTTCTCGGGCGCGTCTCTTGAAGACTTTCAGGGTAGCTTGTATGAGATCTGCAAAGACCAGAATGGCTGTCGATTCCTGCAAAAGAAACTCGAAGAACCAAATGGACAGAATCTTGAGATGATATTTGATGAAATTCACTCACATTTTGTTGAGCTCATGACAGGTAATTTATTTCTTTATATCTTTTTTTTTTTTTTTAAAAAAAAAACTTTTATATAAATATACATCTTTAGATCCATTTGGAAACTATCTATGTCAAAAACTATTGGAACGATGCAGTAATACACAGCGTGGCATCATTGTCACCATTATTGCTCCAGAACTGCTCAGTATCTCTTTAAACATGCATGGAACCAGAGCAGTTCAAAAGTTGATTGAGTTTCTGGTGACTCCCGAACAAGTAAGTTGATAGTAAAATTTAGAAATATACCTGTTTATATATATATATATATATTATTAATTATTAAATAATTAATTGCTTCCACTCTTCTTTTTCTTATTTATTATCTGTTGTTGCTGTTGTTGTTGTTGTAGATCCAGGCTGTGACAGCTGCATTGGCTCCAAATGTGGTTGCTTTGATCAAGGACCTTAATGGAAACCATGTTATTCAAAAATGCCTCCATCGCCTGTCTGCCGAAAACAACCAGTTTATATATGATGCTGTGAGTGCGAGTTGTATAAAGGTCGCCACACACAGGCATGGATGCTGTGTATTGCAACGATGCATTGACCATGCAGCCCCCTATCAAAAGGTAGAGTTTAATATTTTAGATTAGATTAGATTAAATTAAATTAAATTAAATTAAAATACTTTTTTAATTAATTAACCAATTGACTGATGATAATAGGAACAACTGGTGAGTGTGATCACATTCTTGGCCCTTCCTCTTGTTCAGGATCCATTTGGGAACTATGTGGTCCAGTATGTGTTGGATTTAGGAGATGTTCAGTTTTCGGATGGGCTTGTAAGACGGTTCCTTGATCATGTGTGTGATCTATCTGTTCAGAAGTTTAGTTCGAATGTGATTGAAAAGGTAAGACAGAATACACACAAAGGTCTTAATAGAACTGTGATGACTTTGGATTGAACATATTCACAAATATCATTCATATCATGATTTATAAAGTGTATTCGTGTATCTGAGCCAGAGACACGCAGACTCTTGATTGCCGAGTTGGCCATAAAGACCAATATGGATCAGTTGCTAAGAGATTCGTTTGGAAACTATGTGATCCAGACGTGTTTAGACTATGCCGATCCAGATCAACGTGTTCAGGTAAATATATATACATTCAGATGGTTTTGGATTTCTAAAATGCATAAAATATTCTATAAAAGCTGGTTGAATGTATTAGACCGTCTTTGCCTTCGATCCGTAGTACACCATATGGAAAACGTATCTATGGAAAGATCCAGCAGAATAGTCATCAGCAAGGTCGACAGCAGCGACAGAAGAATCCATTTCAATTGATTCATGGTATCTCATCAGTCACGATTAATGACGATGGATCTGTTGTGGTCTATGATGAAAGTTCGCCCACAGGATTGCCATTGAACTTTAATTTGAGCTTGGATCCTAAAGAGTCACCCAACACTCACTCCTCCTAGGAAAAAAAAAGGTAGAGAGAGAAGAATCAAGACACAAGAAAGAAATTGAGCGAGACAAAGAAGAAGAACAAAAATTACACCTCCATTATACACATATATATTTACATACACTCGGGTAACTTTCTTGCAAATGGAGAACAAAAGAGATCCAAAGAGGGGGATATATATATTTATTTAAAAGAGGTACCCTTTTTCCTACCTTTTCTCCAACTATTTTTTTTTGTGTTTAATTTTTTCTATTTATTTTGTTTTCATTTGATTTGATTTTTTTTTTATATTTTTTTTTTGTTCTTTATTTTATTTTTGAGTTTGTTGTACAATCCGCTGCTGTTTTATTCCATTTTATCTTGTTTTATTTTTCAATTCATTTTGCACACTGCACACAATGCAGCCAATTCAGCCAATGCACTCCACTACACTACATTACACTACATTACATTACATTACATTACACACATATCCACCCAAAACATGTCAATAACGCTTGTAAACCCTCTTCTTTTATTTTATTTCTTTCTTTGTGTACCCCCCTTTTTTTCTTTCTTTCTTTCTTTCTCTTTATTTGTTGCACTAAATCATTATATCTTTTGTATCCATGAAACGTTTTATTTATTTGTTTTGTTTTGTTTTGTTTGTTTGATTTGATTTGATTTGATTTGATTTGATGAGAGTTTAGAGAGTTGGTTTATAAATTTTAAAGATACAAAGAAGAAGATAGAAAGATGATAAATAAGGAGGAGTTGGATAGAGTTGGAGGGGTAGTATATGCAAGGAATATTATTAGATTCATATATAAAAAGATCAATGGCGCAACTAATAAATTAAAAATTATTTATTTATTTTCTGAAAACTAATAATCGTAAATTTTATAATACAAATATACACTATTATTATTATTATTATTTGTGTATATTTAGGAAACTATTAACTTACAATATCATACATTTTTATATATGTGTGTGTGGGGGGACTGACGGGAGACCAAAAGGGCAAAGGGGGATAAAGGGGATGATAGGAAAGGGAAGTGAAGTGAAGTGAGAAGGAGAAGGAGAAGGAGAGGTTATATACTATGTATATATATATATATAGTAATATTGGTTGGTGTGTAGTTCTTTCGTAACGACGACAGTTTGTGAGACAATGGATTGCGTTTATACGCATGTACTTGCTTTGATTATTTATATAATCCTTATTACAAAGAAGAAGTACAACCTTAAAGGGCCAAAGGACTTTATATATATATATAAAACACACGCACTATACATTATCCGCTATAAGATCATTATTACTTTATTACAAGCCATTTTGTCTGTAGTATAGTATAAAAGATAGTCTTTGGCTACTTGGTATGGCCAGAGTTTATATATTTTCCGTTATTTTCATATACATCGATATAGTCTATTTATTTATTTAGTACTTCTTTTCCCCCTTTAAGATTGTATATATTATATTGCACTTGATCTAATCTTTGCTCAGTTGGTTTCTCTCTTGATTCCCTTGGCCTTGGTCTCTGTTCCTATTACTACTTTCTTTCTCTATTATATTTTATTTATATGTCTCATGACTTGCTTAATATTCGTGTTACAAGCATATAATTTTACAAAAAAGATATATTTGTATTTGTATATTCATACGCGTGTATCTTATTATATAATTAGATATACAAGTGTGTGTCTGATGTTTAAAAATATATATATAGAAAGACAACCCTAAACTCAAGTAAATCCTCTAGAGAGATTTATTTCCCTGCACCGCAGTCACACAAAGGCTTAGCAAGACCAGCAAACATTCTTGCATCAATTTTGTCAATTTTGTTGATTGCTTTAATATATATAGATATATATAAATAATGTCTGACAACGAAGGCCACAATGGATACGAGCAAGTATCTTTTCTTGTTTTTTATTATCTAATACATGTATATATATGACATTATAGAATAACCACCCAAAAAATAATAGTCTTATTAATTAAAACAATTGTCTTTATTATTCTATTTACTTTTATAGTTACGAGGACGATGCCAACCCAGTAAGTTGAGATTATCACTATACATCATATACAAAAGAGTACATGATGTAATGATGTGAATGTATAAGAGTATACAGTACACATTGTATAATCATATATTCAATCAATCTATAATGTCTTGTTTGGAATGACGAATGGTATTGTGATTAGATGGACTTTATGGATGAACCTATGGATGATGTGAATGGAATCCCTGAGGATGGGCCCGAACAAGACACGATCATGATTCTCGAGGAGACTATCGCTGGTCAGGGCGAGACTCCCAGAGATGCTGTCGAGAATAAGGACAAGCATACCACTCCTTATATGACAAAGTACGAAAGAGCAAGAATTCTTGGTACTCGCGCACTTCAGATCAGGTACAACCATAATTGTTCATTTACTTTCTTTTATTTGTATTGACTTTTTTTTTTGGTATTAAGTTTGAATGCTCCTGTCATGGTTGAATTGGATGGTGAGTCCGATCCTTTGGTTATTGCTATGAAGGAACTCAGAGAAAAGAAGATTCCTTTGATTGTCCGGCGGTTTATGCCCGACGGTACCTATGAAGATTGGAACGTCAAGGATTTGATTGTCGAATAAATAAAATAAAATAAAATAAAATAAAATAAAATAAAATAAAGCATTATCATTGATGTTGGAGCTGGTTGGTTTATATTATCTGCAAAAGTACATTGATAATATAAATAATACTAATGCTTATTTCAAAGACAAGAGAAATCAAGAAGGAACAAGGACAATGAGGGAGATTTAGAGTGTATGGAAGTAAAGGGAGAAGTATTAATACAGGGAGAAAGTAATATAGGTTAATTTGACCTTTTATTGAAAGAAAGAAAAAAGACAAAGACGATTAAAGTGTTGTAATGCATGCTAATTACACCACATCCAAAAACACAAAAAAAAATTAGACACAAATTAAACAGATAATATAAATAAATTCTGTATTTTATATATATATAACGTATATAAATAATTTATAATAAGATATACGCACGGGGGTTTTGCTGCCGATGGGATGGTTCATCTCACTTGCCATACTTGGTGTAATGGGCGGGGATTTGATGTGCCCTGGACCCGAGTTAAACATAAATAATATATAATTGTGATTTTTTTTTTATTTTTTTTATTTTTTCTTGTGTTTTTGGTATATCCATGTGCGTGTGTAATTTTATATTACACACAGTCAAAGAGAGACAGAGAGCGGTTCGTTAAACAAGGTGTACAAAAAGGCAAAAATAATAATAATACTTTTATTTATTTATTTATTTATATTGTGAATAGAAGGGAAGAAGACGTAAAAAAAAAAAAAAAAAAAAAAAAAGACAAAGAAAAAGAGAGGGTAGTGCGTGCGTGCGTGCGTGCGCCCTTTCTTTTTTTTTTTTTTTTTTTTAATACTATTACTAGTTATTACTATTATTACTAGTTATTACTCTTACTATTCGTTTTCTCTCTTTCTCTCTCTTTTTCTCTTCTTTCTTTTTTTGGTTCTTCTTCTGCATATTATTTTATACTTCTTCTTCATTCATTCTCATCATTCCTTTATAATTCTATATATTATACACATTATATATAAAGACCAAGACCAAGACCAAGACCAAGACGAATACGAATAATAATAAGAACAGCACATAATATAAATATATTATACATCATTTTTGGTAATAAAAACATACCACTTTTATATGTGTGTGAATGTGTATGTGTGGTGATGCTGAGCACTTGCTAATTAACTTGAACATCACGCTCATCCAGCTTGTAGATTATGGCTGCATCAGGACCACAGCAACAGCAGCAACAGCAGCAACAGCAGCAACAACAACAACAACAACAACAACAAGTACAACAAGTACAACAAGTTCAGCAACAGCAAACAGGTGCTGTTCAGGAGCTTGCGACGGTCAATGAGCAGACATGGCTGACTATGGGTAAGACCACTTAACTCAACCTAACCCAATCCAACTCAACTCCACTCCACTCAATCCAACTCCACTCAACCCAACTCAACAACACAAAAATCAAAATCAGAATTAAAATCAAAATCAGAGTTAAAATCAAAGTCAAAATCAAAATCAAATATTATTATAGTTTATATATATACATATACATACAACAAAAATTATTTATTTTAATATTTAATTAATATTAATATTAATATTAATATTAATATTATTTTTATTTTTATTTTTACTACTATTTGCAATCAACGCGCCTTGGGCCTATCAAATACATGCACACCTCACACACCGTACACTATACACCACGCACTACATAAACGAATACACAAATACGCACAAATACGCACCAACAAACACAAACACAAACACAAACACAAATGTCTATAAATATCTATACAGGAAATCTGGCTGAAATGATGACAGATTATGACAAGGCTATGAATTGTTACGAATCTGCTCTTCGGCACAACCCATACTCAATTGCTGCTCTTACACAGATCGCGTCTCTCTGCAGAAGTCGTGAACATTTTGCTAGGGTAAAGACCCATTTTTCTTTATTACCAAAAAAAAATTAATTCTTTTTCTTTGGTGGGTATCAATAGGCTGTAGAATACTTTAAACGAATCTTGGCTATCCAAGAGAGCAATGGAGAGACCTGGGCTGCTATTGGTCATTGTTACTTGATGATGGATAATCTTCAGGAAGCATATCAAGCCTACCAACAAGCGCTATATCATCTCTCAAATCCAAAGGTAAGTTTGAATATATAATCAATTCAATAATCAAATACTCAAATGAATAATTAAATTAATAGGACCCTAAATTGTGGTATGGAATCGGAATACTCTATGATCGTTACGGCTCGCTTGAACATGCAGAAGAGGCATTTTCTGCGGTAATGAAAATGGATCCCAAATTTGAAAAGGCCAATGAAATCTACTTTCGGCTTGGTATTATATACAAGCAGCAGCAAAAGTTTGATCTTAGTCTACAGGTAAGAATTCAATAACAACATGTGGTATAATTTATATAACTCTTTCTTTAGTGCTTCAGATACATCCTTCACTCTCCTCCTAAACCATTGACCGAATCAGACATTTGGTTCCAAACTGGTCATGTACACGAACAACAAAAAGATGTAAGTCTGAATCTCAATATAAACTTCTTTTTTTTTTTTGGATTTTGTCTATCTATCTATTTCATTATTGCTTTTATTGATTGATTGATTGATTGGTTGATTGATTTAATTCATGTGATTAATGGCTTTAATTGCTTTAAATATATATATATATATATATAAAAATGATTTATTTATATTGATGCTTTTTTTTATTATTATTATTATTATTTTAGTATGAATTGGCAAAAGGAGATTATGAACGCGTGTTGTCAGAAAACCCTGATCACGCCAAAGTACTCCAGCAACTCGGCTGGCTCTATCATCAGCAAAACACATCGTTTTGCGATCAATCTCTAGCTATCCAATACCTCACCCACTCTCTCAAATCAGACTCAAATGACGCCCAATCCTGGTACCTCTTGGGAAGATGCTACATGGCCGAACAAAACTACAACAAAGCGTACGAAGCATACCAGCAAGCAGTCTATCGCGACGCACGCAATCCAACCTTCTGGTGCTCAATAGGTGTATTATATTATCAAATCAACCAAGTAAGTAGAGCCAATATTCATTATGATGGTTGTGATTTATCATTAATCATATGTTTTTATATAATACAGTATCGGGATGCATTGGATGCTTACAGTAGAGCCATCAGACTAAACCCTTACATTAGTGAGGTTTGGTATGATCTTGGAACTCTTTATGAGTCTTGTAACAATCAGATCCAGGACGCCCTGGATGCCTATCAAAGAGCCGCCGAATTAGACCCAAACAATCCTCACATCAAACAACGTCTTGAACTCTTACGCAAATCCCAGACTGTCCACACACCACAGGGGTAAAAAAAAAAACATTAAAATTAAAATTAAAATTAAAATTAAACAAGAGACAAAGAAAGAAAGAAAGAAAGAAAGAAAGAAACAAATCATATATTTTAGTATTTTCAAAATAGAAAACCAGCTTTTAATATAACTATCATAGTTGACTACTATTCCTATTATTCATTATTCATTATGTTCTGTGTATAGAACAAGCAGTGCACCCCCACCACCACCTCAGGACGTCATAAATCCTAGCCAGTACCAGAACGGCCCCAATGCACAGCCACTCAATGGTTCATCATATGGTCAGGTAAGATTAAACTAAACTATGCTAAAATAAAGACACAAAGAAGAAGAGAAAGAAAACAAAGAGGTTAGAGAGATGTGATTAAGAAATAGAAGAAGAAATCCGAAAGGGTAAAGGAGAAGATCAATATATGATACCTGTCTTTGAAGAAAAATAGTCTAAGTACTATTGATCAGAAGTAGTAGTAGTAGTAGTAGGGGAAGAAAAAAATAAGCCATAAAAAAAAGAAAGGGATTCTGTAAACCTGTTCTTTTGATTAATTACTTGATTAATTATTTGATTGACATTGACATTGACATTTACATTGACTGATTTATATTCTTTGTACATTCATTCTATCATTTATTTATTTAGCCTTCTGCTCCTGGAGGATTGACTAGTATGGCTTCCTACCACACCGCACCAAATAACTCCCAGCGATCTGGGGAAGATCGTGCTTCAATGCCTTATTTACCACCAGTAAGATTCACCCACACCAACCCCGAGAAAAATAAATAATTGCAATAACAATGACAATAATGAATGAATGAATGAGTATATATATATGTATGTGTGTGTGTGTGTGTGTGTATGCGTATGTGAATGAATATATAGCTATACATACATACAGACATATATGTATATGAATATATTGATGAATTGATGAATAAAAAATAAAACAAGAGGAGGATAAGGGGAAGCAAGAGGGAGAGAAGGAGAAAATAGTAGAAGGAAGAAGGGAAGGGAGGGAGTTGGCTATTCAAAATACACATACACATACACATACACATACACATACACACCTATATCTATATATATATATATATACACCTTTTTAATTTTATTCATTTTATTTACCAATAGCACGGATATTCTCATGACGCTCCTAATGGATCTACAAACGGCCCTAGCGGAAGTGCTGGTAACGGTCCTGGTCGTGATCTCCCTATGTTGAATGCTCCTTCTGGTCGTCGATCACCCGTAATCTACCCATCTTATCCACCTAATAATAACAACAACAGCAGTAGCAGCAGCAGCAATGGCAGCAACATCAACAACATCAACATCAACAGCCATAGCCATAACCACAACAATAGTGCTAATAACACAGGGGCTTCCCATATAAGAGAGGATGTCAGAATCCCGGATATCGGAGGAGGAGGAGGGCGTGCACCAACCCCTTCTGATCGTACTCAAATGAACCCAATCATGCACGACAATGGAAATAGCAATGGAAATGGAGGCGGAGGTGGTGCTAATAGTAATAATAATGGTAATAATGGCAGCAGTAGTAATCATGCCCGTCACCATGGAAGTACAAGCACAAGCACAAGTGCAAACGGAGGTGGTAGTGGTGGTGGTGGTGGTGGTGGACAACATACTCCACCCATTCATCAAAATGCACAAAATCTCCCTCTCATGTCCATGCGACCATCTTATGCCCGTCCTAATGAAATGTCTCCCCTGGGATCACACATGCCTGCACCTGTCCCCGGACCACGTCCTCCTTCCCGAGGCAGTCATATGCAGGGCACGGTATATGATCCACAACACGTGTCGCCTCGCACAGGAAGTGCAGATGCATATAAGCTTCGTATCGAACACGAACAGCTACAACAACAACAGCAGCAGCAGCTACAACAGCAACAAGCATTACAACAGCAGCAGGTAATACAGCAACAGCAAGCTCAACAACAGGCACAAGCTCAGGCTCAGGCTCAGGCACAGGCACAGGCTCAGGCACAGGCACAGGCACAGGCACAGGCTCAGGCACAGGCTCAGGCACAGGCTCAGGCACAGGCTCAGGCACAGGCTCAGGCTCAAGCTCAAGCTCAAGCTCAAGCTCAAGCTCAAGCTCAAGCTCAAGCTCAAGCTCAAGCTCAAGCTCAAGCTCACGCTCAGGCTCACGCTCACGCTCAGGCTCAGGCTCAAGCACAAGCTCAAGCGCAGGCACAGGCTCAAGCCCAAGCCCAAGCCCAAGCCCAAGCCCAAGCCCAAGCCCAAGCTCTAGCACAGCAACAAGCGCAGCTACAACAACAAGCAAAAGCACAAGCACAAGCTCAGCAGCAGCAGCAACAACAACAACAACAACAAGCTGTAGCAGCACATCAGCAAACAGTACATAAAATTCAACAACCGTCCCCACAACTGCAACCACAGCAGCAACCACCACAGAAGCCACATCAGCAACCGCAACCGCAAGTTCAACATCATCAACATCCTCATCAGTCGCATGGCCGCCCAAATGATCATTTTAGCCGACACCAATCCTATCATAGCAGTCCAGTCAAAAATGAAGATAGAGGTTACGAGAGCTTGAGTAGCCGATCAGGTCGTAGTATTTCTTCTCCGTATGCAGATGAGCAGCTTCATCACCAACAACAACAGCAACAGCAACAATCACAGCATGTACAACAGCAAAGCCAACACAGTCAGCAGCAACAACAGCAACAGCAGCAACAACAAGCTCAGCGACTTGATGACCATCCAGGCCGAGGAGCAACACCTCATCACACATATGGTGCTCGCCAATCTGAATCTCGTTCACCTACCACTGACTATCACCGTCAGCAATACGCTCCTTACCCGAGTGTAAAGAAACACCAGCACCAACAGCAACAGCAACATAATATCCACAGCTATCATGAATCTCGAGTATCTGAATCAGATCCGTATTCCAAGACGACAGCTGTTACTTCTACCAATACCAATATCACTTCCACAGCTGAGTCTCCGAGATCTCGCCACGTAGCAACACCAATGGAAGTAGACTCTCGGATAGGGCCAGGATCAGGAGCAAATGTTCCCGGTGGATCTGTAATGTCGCGCTCGATAGAGAGTCACGACAAGATTGTTGCTGACACACTCTTGAGTATGGGTGGAGCTATTGATCGCAAGAGTAGCAGTAATAACAACAGCAGTAATAGTGGCGGCAACATCAACTACAACAACCGCAATTATAATCACATCTACAACCAAAATAATAATAATAATAATAATAATAACAATAATAATAATAGCAACAACAATAGTAGTAGTAGTAGAAGCAGTAGTCACAGTAGCCACAGTAATGAAAATGGAAATGGAAATGGTACTAGTGTAGGTGCCGCTTTACCTGTACCTCAACCTGCGCCTGTACTTTCAGCTGGAAACAGTGGATTAAATGTCAACAACAAGCGACCCCTTTTGCCTGACGCAGGACATGTTTCGGAAGATAGCAAAAAGGCACGACAGAATGAGGGATCCTCGACAAAGGACATGCCCGAGTTGAAATTGAAGCCAATGATGATGATGATGGTTGATAAAAATGACCGCAAGCCAGAGGAAGGCGAATTATACTCATCCAGATCACCTGCACACTCGCCAAAAAAAGAGCAACAACAACAAGAACAATATCAACATCAACATCGTCAGCAAGAGCAGCAGCAAGAGCAGCAACAAAAGGAAATTTTAAGAGAAGATAGCTCTAGTACTTCTATCACTGCTACTACTGCTACTACTGCTATTACTACTACTAGTGCTGGTGTTTCTTCTTCTTCTGCTGCTGCTATCTTCTCTCCTGTTACTACTACTTCTACCTATACTTCTTCTGTTTCTACTTCTACAATTGCCACTATTGCTAATTCTACTACCACACCTATTGCACCGATTACTACTCCCCGGCCAATCACTACCACAATCGCCACTGTCCCGGCCACTGCATCAACCCCAGCCCCAACCGCTGTACCAACCACTGTCACAACCACTGCTCCGACCACTGCCACAACCACTGCACCAGCCACCGTTCCAGACACTGTTCCAGCCACTGTTCCAGCCACCGTTCCAAGTACTGCTCCAAGTACTGATCCAACAGTTGTTCCAACTGCTGCACCAAGCACAACACCGATCGCCAAACCAAGCCCTGCATCAAGCCCTGTTGCTGGTAGAGATACCGCACGTCGCGATAGTGTCGGATTGGAGGCAGGTGAGGTTGTGTCTTCTGCGTCACCATCACCACCAGCGTCTACAAAACCTACAGAAGATAATTTGTCGACCGAAGAATCATCGAGTATTAAAAAGGAAGGCGATGGACAGAAGCCAGACGAAAAGAAGACTTGTCCCTCTTCTCCTTCTTCTTCTCCTTCTTCTCCCTCGCCTATTCCTTTGGCTTCTGTTGATCACAATACAGCGGCAACAACATAAAAAGGGTCTTTATTTTTTTTAAAAAAAAAATCTCTATCTATCTTTACTTCTTTGTTTCTTGTTTTGTTTTGTTTCTCTTTGTCCGTTTCTTGGCTTGTGATATATATGTATGTATGTATACAGCAACAACAACAAAATTATATATCTTTTTTTTGTTTTGTTTTGTTTTCGTTTTGACTTGTTTCTCTCTCTCTATCTATCTCTCTGTTTTGCACCCTTGGAATCTTGCCATGTCGTTTTTATCGATATCATTCTAGTTATTCATCTTGCCTTTTCCCCTGACTTTCACTCTCATATCTACACTTACACTCCCTCTTAACCTGAATTCCCCTTTCACTAATTTCCTTCTTTTTTCCCTGTTCTTCGTTTCTTTATAAGCCCGGCTTATTTCCTTTTATTTTTCTCTTACTTTCCACTCCTTCCTTCATTTTCTTCCTCTTTCTTCCTTTTTTACACACACACATATATATATATATGTCTGCTTTGTTTTTCTTTCAAGTTTGCAAACAATAAAAGCAAAAATAAAATCTTGTTTTTGTATACAAAAAGAAGAAGTATATATATATATATATATGCGTGTGTGTGTGTATGTATGTTTGTTTGTTTGTTTGCAGCTGAGCGAGTGAGTGAGTGAGTAAGCGTATGTTTTGTATGTCATTTTTTTTGCGTTCGTGCGTTCGATCGTGGGAGTGAAATTTATACGTATTAGATCCATCTTCAATTGTATGATATATATATATATATATATATATATTTGTTTGTTTCAATCATAATATTTCTTTTCTTTACAAAAAATAAAATCAATCAATAATTCGTCAATTCGTTCGTTCTCTCTCTCTCTCTTCTCTATTGTGTGTTGGTGGCGTTGGTAACGTTGGTGATACCGTGCTGCTTAATGATATTGCTTTCATAAGGATGCTCGGCACCCTCAAAGATCAACAAACGTTCCATTCTGACTTCACGCAATCTGTTCTTTGGCAGCATTCCTGATACTGCTTTACGAATAGACTAATAAAAACAAAATGGTTATTATTGTTATTATTATTAAGAGTTAAATAATTAATTCAGGTAATGTATATTTGCATTTTTTATTATAACTTACCTCGGTAGGATCCTTGGCTTGAAGGTTGCTAAAGTTGATTGCTTTTAATCCACCAGGATGTCCAGTATGGTGTCTGTACAGCTTTTGTTCGGCCTTCTTTCCAGTAACCATGACATCCTTTGCGTTCAAGACAACGACATAATCACCGCAGTCAGCTATATAATAGCAATAATATGAATAATATTGGGTTTTTTTTTAAAAAAAAAAGAAGACAGAGGTAAAGGTGAGTAAAGTAATTATGTGTGTGCATATTGATTTTACCTGCAGGGTCGTAAATTGGCTTGTGCTTTCCCATGAGTGTAGTGGCAATGTTGGTGGCCATGCGACCAAGTACGCGTTGACGAGCATCAACTACATGCCAGACGCGGGCATAAGCAAGTGCGGTCTAATAAACGTACATAAAATACATATATACACACACACACACACACATAAACAAGAAAACGTTGAATTGAATTGAGTTAATATATCAAATATTGTACTTGTTTATTTTTATTTTTTATTTTTTTTAAAAAAAAAATCCAATTAATGTTAACATTAACGTTAACATTGGAATAAAGATATATGCATTTGCATGTTAAAAGACGTATATTGTAATTGAAAAATATTGTGCCTTGTGCTTTTTTGCTTATTTAAATAGAGAAGAATGCTTACATTACCAATGGCCTGAGACATTGTATTGTATTTTAATTTATTTATATATTAAAATAAAAATAAAATAAATACAAGGGAAAGGGGAGAGGTAGTGGAGGAGGGGAGGGGGTTAGAGAAGATGGTGGAGTTGGAAACAAATAAATAAATAAATAAATAAAAAAAAAACATGTACTGCTTAGAGAAATCAACAAATGACAGCTGTCATGTGACTGTGACCGGTTTTAACTTTATCGCACTACCAAAAATCAAAATAAACGGCAATAAAAAAAAAGTGACTTTTTACATATAAGAAATTATACACACGTATAATAATATAAAATTAAAGATAAATCAAAAAATCAAAATGAGAGAAATATGTAAAAAAAAAAAAAAGTATATATATATATATATGTGTGTGTGTATATGTATATATATTTGAATAAAAAGGATTACAAATAAACGATTTCCAAATGGCAGATTCAAGACAGTTATTATTTGGAGGTGCTATTGTAGCACCAATCAAGTCTTCGTTTGTAGACGCAAGGTAAACGATATAAATAACAGTTAAACCACATTTTATTATTATTATATACATAAAAATATAAATATAATAAATTAAAGAATAAAAATAAAGAAGTTTGGTGATGTAGTATAATGTAATGTAAGTATTGTTGAATTAATCAAATACATGCATATTATATAAAGTCTGTTCCGAGAGGTCCCAAGCAACCAAGAGGTGTTTGTAGACACACATACACAGCAAAGTCTGATTATTGAGTTATTGGAACAAGCTGATGCCGAAGCAGATGAAGTAGCAAAGTAAATATATATATATGAATTGTTCCTATTACTTTTAATAATAACAATAATTATAATAGATTCCATTTTGCGCAGTTGGCTAGCGATAATGATGCTATTTCATTCAGCATCCAGTCTGTTCAGACATGCTTACCTCAAAATGTTAGTCCTTTGCTTCCGTGAGTACTATATTATTACTACTATTGTGGCTATATTTTTTTTTCTTATTATCATCAATACAAATAATGATAATAGTATATCTATGCTCATACTGACACTCACTCACTCACTCACTTGTGTGTAATATATATATATTATAATAGGGCTGAAACAACATCTGTTTATGTACTACATGGGTCTCAACAAGTAGCAAAATTTAATGAGGGCAAGGACGGCGCATACAATCATGTACATATTGTAATGGCTGTTATTAGATTGGCACGTGTGAAGACCGACATTGTGATATCGATCAATGCACCCCAGGCTGTTGCTGAAAAGAGTAGTGAAAAGGCATCGTCTGCAGAGACGATTGGTGTGAGTTTAGAGTTGGTTGATGAAGAGATGATGGGTTTATTGAATAACTTTGAGGTCAAGGATTGGACCCTTTTTGTGTAATATATTTATATATATATATATATATATATATAAAGAGTCAATGAGTGAGTTGAATGAGTGAGTTGAATGAATCTGGGTGTGTTACACATTCAAGCCATGCAAATCAAAAATTACACAAAATTTACACCCACAAATTACACGCGCACATTACAGATGTTACAAAGGTTGCATGGCAATGACAAGCGGTGTAGAAAACCCAAAACAAGAAACACCTCCCGAAACAGAATATTATCATTCCCACGAGAAAATAATATTGAAATATTTAAATACATCTCTCTTTTGTTTTTGTTTGTTGAATATTGCATATTATTGATTATGAATCAATACAAAAAAATATATATAGACGTACAATGAATAACAAGAAGAAATCAAAAAATGGAAAAAAAAGGGAGGACGAGGAGAAGTATAATTACTGAGTTTTGATTTGATTTTCGCTGTGTAGTAGAATATTACAGACTTGGGTGATGGTTATTTTCTATTCCAAATATGTCTTTGAAAAGAGGAGGGCTCATGGATAATAGAAAATGCGCCATCAAGAATGACATGTGCTGCTTAAATCAAGTTGCCGATAACAAAGACCAAAAAAAAACATATATATGAGAATCTTGAATAAAATACATATCTATGGTCACTAGACTCTGATAGACTATATATATATATATATATATGGCTACATGGATACAAAATGCTATGTTGCTATAGAGATACAATCTATACAGCCTTGTAATTTCTTTATAATAGTCCCAGAACGTAAATTCTGTTTTTACAAAAAAAAACACAGCTTGCTTGAACATTGGCTTTCGGGTCTTTTCTTTCTTCTTTTTTTTTAAATTGTGCATATCTTGTTTCTGTCTACAAGACTGTGCTTCTTTAAAAACGAAAATAATATTAGAAATGACCCAAAAAAAAAAGAAATTGGAGTTATATAAAGTGGTTTGATTGTCTTTTGTATCTAGAGTATAATTTTTTTTTTAAAAAAAAGGGGGAGGGACGGGCGCTTCCTCTCTTGCTGACAGCCTTGGCTGCTCAAATTGGAATAGACTTGGATTTGGCAACAGCAGATTTATTTGTATGAGGCTTTGAAACGGATTTTGATTTATCTATTTCTTGTTGACAATTGTCTTTGATAAAACTGCTTTGTTATTTGATGACTTGAGTTCAGAATCCCAAAGTACAACAGACTATAAATAAATGAATAAATAGATAGATAGATAGCATGAAAGACTCTATTGACCACTTTCTGGTTCATCTGCTCCACATATTAATAATAATGACAATAATAATGATAATATCATGTGTAGAATTTGACCTTACTTTAAAAGCGATTGTTCCCAAGATGTGTCCGTCTAGATAGTTGGCTAATATATGATTGGCCATCATCTGACCAACCTACCTTGCCTGAAATTTATGCCGACTTTCTTTTTTTCTTTTCCTCATTCCAAAACACACATACAGTTAATGTCTTTAATATACCAGACTTACTAAAGGTTTACTTTGTGCATTGGATAAACAGCCGTCTTGTTTGTATGTATATATTTGCGATACCAGAAAAGAAATGTCAAAAACTTTACAGATATGTACTATGTTGTATATAAAGCCTCTCTATTTTACTTGATGTGTTTTATGTTAAGCTACTTTACTTTTTTTTTCTTATAGATATATGCGTGTCTGATGATTATTTATCTATCATTTGTGATAGATAGTAGACACTAGTAGTAAATTATAGTAAAGAAAAAAAAGGATACTCAAATGACTATGGTGCTATGGTACTATACCTTAAAGAAACACATGTACTTGGTAAATAATCAGCCATTGGCTTTTTTTGTGATGGCCTGTGCTCCGTTGTCGGGAAACTCCAAATGTGTTGTTGTACTGGGGTTTGAATAAGATATTTGGCGTAGTGTGTATGCACTTGTTAAAATACAAGGAATATATATATATATATATATTATTATTAAATAGTGTAATGCAATTCACGACAACATATAAACAGCCCTTATGGATTCGTGTGTGCATGAGGTTGTCTATATGCCTATACAGGAGAGCACTAAAACAAAACAGAAAACGAGGACTTGCTGATGCCTTGGTTATTTTCTGTGTTTTGCTTGACCTCTCGAGGTGGCACGTGAATGTGAAATGCCAAAGAAGTAATAAGAAAATATATAAATAAAAAAAGTTGTTTTTTTTTTTCCTTTTTCTCTTAAAGATCAAATAATTTCACAAAATGCTTATATATCTCATTATTATTATTATTATTATCATAACCATAATCGTCTCTATTGTTTCAATCATAGTTTTGTTTCAATTCATTTATCTCTTTTAAAAATAAATAAATAAATAAAAAATTGACGTTTAGAAAATAAAATCCCAAATCCAAATATCTATTCAAAACCCAGTAATCCAATATATATATATATATACAAAACCGTGGCAATATTTGTGTGACTATTGTTGTTGGTTATTTTTATCTACTATATTTTATTTTACAAAGAGAAAAATAAGAATAAGAACAAGTCAAGTTCTTTGATTTTCTTTATTAAATATTACTATCACTATTGGTATTGATAGTTGTTAAGGCTATTTAGAATCATACAAAACATAAAACAAAGACCTGTATATACAGTATATGTAGCTCTATAGAGTGTTTGTAATGATTCGATCATTGGTCCCCCCCTTTTTTTTTGTGTGTAAAGGCAAAGGTTAAGGTTACGGTAAAGGTAAAGGTGTATATGTGCTTGAGATGATTACAATAGAAATATTCATTCATATAATTATTAGTGTGTAGCAGCTGTTACTGGATAGGGCAACTCCGGTAGGGATCTTTTAGTCAGACCAAATATATATATAAAATAAAATAAAATAAAATAAAATAAAATCAAAAGAGAACCCAAACATAGGATTCTGACTGGCATGTGGTTTGCCTAAAATCAAAAGTAACCATGCACTGTGTACTACGTCTTTTAACAGCATTTGTACTTTATGGCCCAACAACCCATTGTTTTATTTCACTTTATGATTTATTTATTTATATTGTTGGAAGCCAATAAACCGAGAATCAAATAATGATAATAGTTACATTAAAGAATAAATAAATAAATTAAATATATATTATTATTATTATAGGTGAGTCTATGTGAGCCTGTATTTTCAAGACCGGAGTCAGGCTTAATGTTAAAGGGCACACAGCAAAAAAAAAATAAAAAAATAAAAAAATTAAAAAAAAAATTAAATACACCATCAGTAAATCTCTATATTTATTTAATTTTTTCACTAATTTTTTTCTTTCTTTTGTTTCTCTTTCTCCCAGCGTTCACTGCTTCTTCTTCTCTTATCCGTTACATTGTCTTCCTTGTCTTCCTTGACCCTGTGTACATATATATTTCCTTTGAATTTTGTTGTTTTCTTTTTTGTTTTGTTTTATAGTAATATACACCTACACCAACCTACATCATCTTCATAAAATACATACATATTTTAAAAAATAATAATATCCTATAATATCATACTTAAATGTCATTCATTCACAAAATAATTGACAAGGCAAGGCATCCAATTTCCTCTTCCTCTTCATCCTTCAGTTCAATCTCAACCTCAACCTCAACCAACGAAGACAAGCATACCACCACAAAGCAAACATCTCCCAGAAGATCTTTCTTTGGCTTCCACACTCCCCATTCTTCAACATCCTCACTCAACACAAAGCCAACCCAATCACAATCACAATCAAATTCTCATATACACTCAAATCCACCTGCCGTTGCTGTACCTCGTGAAGAACAAATGCAACAATATACTTCGAGCTACATGACCCCCCGTCACTCTGTAGAAGACACAAAGAAAGACAAAGGTACCCTTTAATACCTTTTGCAAATATCTTTCATATTAATAATAATAAACAGTTGAAACAAACCAAAAGCAAGAACCAAAAGGTTAGTTTCAAATAACACGCATCTGCAACTACATCACAAACTACAGCATACACTGCAGCACATATATAAATATCTTTCTTTAAAATAATATATATATATATATATAATACAAATAATATATACAAATATAATCATTTTTATAAAACAGATACAGATACAGATACAGATAGACTACAACAAGTAAAGCTAGTATATTATTATTATTTTTTTATGTATAATATATATATATATATATGTATAAATATGTGTGTGTGTAGAATCACAAATGACGCCATGATAAGTTAATAAAGCATTCAACTAAAATAACACTCTATAGACCAATGCAAAACCAGACCAAAGCTTAAACTAGAAGATTTTAGCCTCCTACGAACTTTAGGAACAGGTTCGTTTGGTCGTGTCCATCTGGCACAGAGCAGACACAACAACCGATACTATGCCATCAAGGTCCTCAAGAAGTCCGAAGTCGTCCGACTCAAACAGGTCGAACATACAAACAGCGAGAAACATATTCTCGAGTCAGTCTCGAACCCCTTTCTCGTCAACCTTTGGGGAACCTTTCAAGACGATGCCAATCTGTACATGGTTATGGACTATGTGCCTGGAGGAGAATTGTTCAGTGTCTTGAGAAAGAGCCAAGTAATATATATATATATATATATATATAAATTAAAATTAAAATTAAATTATTAATCATTCATTATTATTATTATTATTAGCGTTTTCCTGATCATGTCGTCAAGTTTTATACAGCAGAAGTCTTGTTGGCAATCGAGTACCTGCACTCAAAGGACATTGTCTACCGTGATTTGAAGCCAGAGAACCTATTATTGGATGCCAGTGGTCATATCAAGATTACAGACTTTGGATTTGCCAAGCATGTACCTGACAACACATGGACTCTATGTGGTACCCCAGATTACCTTGGTAACCAAAAAAAATTTTTTTTTCTTTCTTTCTTTTATATACTCGATAGTTTGATCCTTGTGAAATATATTATTGATAATTATGATAATCACATTCATTAATTCAAACCTAACAAAATTTTCTCCATCTCTTTATTACCATCACCATCATCATCATCATTATCCATTTGTTACTATCTAATTGGTATTTCAGCTCCGGAAGTTATTCAATCAAAGGGTTACACAAAGGCCGTTGATTGGTGGAGTCTTGGTATTCTCATTTTTGAAATGTTGGCCGGATACCCTCCGTTCTACGACGACGACCACCTCAAACTCTACGAGAAGATTCTGCAGGGCAAGATCCGCTGGCCGGCATACTTTGACCCGCACGCCAAGGATCTTCTGAAGCGGCTCCTGACGTCTGATCTGTCGCGCAGATTTGGCAACCTCAAGGGAGGCGCAGACGACATCAAGACCCACCGCTGGTTTGATGGCGTCGACTTTTCACGAATTGCTGCCCGACAGGTTCGTGCACCATACATTCCTCAGATCCGCGGCGAAGGAGATGCTAGTCATTTTGATCGTTATCCAGAGTCCAACGAACAGTACGGACTGGCGTGTCCAGACATTCATCGAGACAAGTTTATTGATTTCTAAGACTTTATTGATTTATTGATTTTTATTCAATCTAAATACTACTACTACTACTACTACTACCACTATTATTATTATTATTATTATTATTATTATCATCACCATAATCATAATCATAATGGTAATTGTAATTGTAAGCACCATTACTTTTTTTTTATTATCTTCATTTTCATTTTCATTTTCATTTCACAAAACTCTATAAAGAGCCCATAGACATACAGCCAGTCATAAAGCCAAGCTAAAGACAACGAAATAAGAAAAAGAAGAAGAAGAAGAATTGGAATATGAGTTCAAGTATAAATGATAACAGTAACAGGAACCAATAAATGATAGTAATTGAATAAGAGAATCTGTTTTTCAACAAGTACCTTGATAATTTATTACTATAGCAACATCATGATTACTAATATAAAAGTAATATACATGTTCAATTATGAAAAAGAAAAAGAAAAGAAAAGTGTTTTTATCAGAGATTTCTCTACAGTCTTTCTATAATTTTTTTTTTCTTTTCTTTTTTCTTAAAATAAAATAAAAGAAATATTCAAATATACACATAGTATAATGTTGAGTATCAAATTATTTATATTATATATATCCATCCATTATTCTAAAACGAAATGAAATAAATGCAAAAAATCAAAAAAAAAAAATCATCCCCCAATTCTTTCTTTCTTTCTTTCTTATTTTTTATTTTTATTTTATAGTTGAGAATAATGTACGTCACCAATGTTCCTGCTGATGAAATGCTACCAAAATCAAAAGACACTACTCGGTTTGTTTGCATGTCAGACACACACGGAAAGACAGAGTTTTCTTTCAAGGTTCCTGAAGGGGATGTCTTTAGTGAGTATTACAAGTCTTTTGTTTTTGTCTTGTAATTATTAACAAGATTAAAAGGCAACACTATTAATGATACTCTTTTTTTATTTATTTATTTAAATACAAGTTCATGCTGGAGACCTCACACGTTCTAGTCGGATGGAAGAATACGAACGTACAATACAGTGGATGGCATCCCTACCTCATCCGTAATATACTTTCTTTAGATATTAACAATCACTAAAAGAAAACAAATTAAGCTTAAAAGTTTATATTATTTGGAATTGGCTGTGTATATAGAATAAAGATCTTTACTGGTGGTAACCATGATCATTTCCTTGATGCAGTCGAAGGATTTTATCCGCAGCAAAAAGAATCCATTCTTGCAAAGGCAAAGATGGCCGGCCTTATATATCTCGAACATGAAGCATACCAGTTGCCAGAATCCATGGGGTCCTTTAAGATGTTTGTGAGTCCCTATGCACCGACCCATCTCTGGGGTGCCTTTATGCTCGATAGTCTCAAAGGTAAGACAAAAAGTAGATACGAATACAAGGCATAAGTATATATATATATATAGGAATACTACAGACTTGAATATATGTATATGTAAAATAAAGAAGTGTATGTTATTTTGATTTGTATTTTCTCTCTCTTTACATATATATAAAAAAATGTATCTATTTATCTCTACAAACATACATTGGATTATATCATATCGTATCGTATCATATCATATATCCATATATAAAATCACAAACATACACATGTATGTAGCTGTGTGGGAATCTATTCCACTAGACACCGACATCTTGGTTACCCACACACCTCCGCTGGGTTATCAAGACATCACTTCTCGTGGACGTAATGTTGGGTGTCCTGACTTGCGCAACAAAATTGACACCATTAAGCCATTGGTGTCTGTATTCGGACACATCCACGAAGCATATGGCTACAGCCACTCTCCAGAAAAAGAATCATTATTTATCAATGCGTGCACTAGTAGTGTCCGTTATCGTCCAATCCAATTACCCATCGTATTTGACCTCTAACAAAGCATAATTTGTTTAATCATACTATTCTTATTCTTAATTTTTCAGTATTTTAGTCTTGTCTTGTGTGTAAGAATGATTTTGATTACTCTTTTTTTTTTTTATTAATTAATTAAATCAAGTCAAATATACTCTTCAATAGTAACGGTTCTAGCATGTTCTCATTTAATGCTATCAAGTCACTAAACTAATACTGGATAGTAATTCAATTTTTAAAAGCCTATTGTTACTGTTACTATTATTACTATTACTCTATATATTTTGTTTATTAGATTGCTACTGCCTCTGTCACTATGTCACTTTTTTTTTAAAAAAATTATTTATTTATATTGTCATTTTTAAAATAATAAATAAATAAATAAATAAATAAATTAATTAATTTTAGTAATAATAATAATAAAAATAAAGAAACAACAAGCAACAACAATAATGTCACGTCTCTTGATGTCCTTGACGTGGAGAAGATTGAGATGGACTAGATTTATACTTTACTTCCTTGGTCTGGCTCTTGTCTACCATTTTGGTGTGACACTATGGAACTCACAAGAAGATCAACAACAACAACAACAACAACAATCGTCATCATCCTTTTTGTCATCACCAAATACTACACCTGGTCAAAAGAACGAAAAAGGGTCCGGACGACTTGACTTTCCTTGGTACACGCAGTCGCACCCGGCCTTAGATATCCCTCATATCTCAGACAAGTTCACCACCAAAGATCTCTCGAGCACCGAGCGCCAGCAACTCCAGGACAAGGCCGTGGCAGATGCCAGGGCGTCAATGGTCGAACGGGTCGGAGAGATAGTCGGAATCCCTGGTAGCCGGATGACAACTACAGAAAAGGCGGACAGGCTCAGAGCCTTGGTTGAATGCTGGACAGGACAGGGCGAGTGGGTCAAGGATGCAGAAAATGCCTTTAGACTGACACACATGCAAGATCCGGTCTATGGCAAGTGCGACAAGAAGTTTTACAAGACCAATCCGAAATCAAGCCATCGACCGGCAACAGAGTACTCCTGGAAGACCAGTCTTACTTCTTCTTCTTCTTCTTCTTCTTCTTTGTCGTGTCCACTGCCAGAAAAGGTGGATGTACAAAAGTGGTGCGAGGTTCTTAATGGAAGGCATCTTTTGCTTGTCGGAGATCTTGTTCAGTACCAGCTCCATGAAATTCTCCTTGATGCAATGCGCGATGGACCGACTGTATGCTTTGGTGAATTGAACTGCAAAGGTAAAAGTATTATTATCATTATATGTGTGTATAGTGAAGGGGGGTGTTAATGAGTGTAGGGTATGTAATGTATATATTTTGTGTGCATAATAATTATATAATTATTGTGAATTGATCGAAATGAATTGGACAAATCTACACACAAAGCATAGCTACATAAAGTAAATAAATTGATCAATATGTATCTAGTTATATGTAAATATTATTTCTTTAAGAAAAATTAATATAATCTAACCTCTTCAGACATTTTGTTTTGTTTTGTTTTTATTTTATTTTATTTTTTTAAAAAAATAATAATCAAAATATAGAACACAGTATCTGTACTGAGCCAGAGACTCACTTGCGTTATCTTCGCAATGATATCCTGTCGATTAACCGTCGACTGGATAGTGCAGGAGAGCACCCTGCAGTAGATATTGTCGAGTGGCCGTTTGTGCCGACGAATATCATTACTGCGTACCCGGTCATGATCTTAAATCGATCTCCTGTGAGAGAAACCGACGCTGTGTTTACGCGGACCTTGTCAAACACTCTGAGGGTATTACGTGAGACAGTGCCGGACATGCTGATCATCTACCGGTCGTCGTCTATTGGTCACCCCCACTGTGACGATACAACCACAGGCGGTGCAAGTGACAAAGGTGGGCCTCTGGACCAGAGACTGACGGATGATCAGGAGAAGCTGCTGCCGTTTGGCTGGAGCGAGCTCCGGAGACGGAATGCGATGGCCAAGGCAATGGTCGAGGCAGTCGGAGGCGTCTATGTGGATTTGGGAGCGCTGACGGATGTCCGGCCTGATGGACATGTGGGAGGCCAGGATTGCTTGAGATATTGTATTCCAGGTCCATTGGATGCCTGGGTTCAGATTCTCTACAAGTTGTTTTTGGAACTCGAAAATCCGAATATCTGAGTCACACAATTTCCATGTGAATATATATATATATATATAAATAAGATATATACAACACTGCAGTACGGTACAGTGCAACATAGCACACATGAAAAATACCAAATATTTATATCTATATATAAAGAAACAAAGAGAAAGACAGACAGACAGACAGACAGACAGACGGACACAAAGGGACTATCTATCTATATAATATATATACACGTCTTTATACATACCATTCCATACCATTCCATACGTACATATAAACATACAAACATGGATATAAAAAAAAAGGTTTTTAAGGGGGTGGTCAATGTATTTTTATAAGAAGAAGCAGAAAACATGATGAAAATCAATGCTTCTAATAATAATAAAGGCTGTTTATTTATTTATCTACTGTTTGAAAATGGTTATATTTTGTGTTTTATTTATCTGATAATTTGAAACATAATAGTAACAATAAGATTTCAAAACAACAACAACAAAAAAAGTATATTCTTTATATACGTGTTTTTTTTTTTTTTTTTGGTTTGTCAAGATAAAGAACAAAGAGGTGTATATTGTGATACTGGTGGTATTTGTGGTGAGGAAGATGTGTATTGATATGTGACTGTAGTGGGATGTAAGTGAAGTGAAGTGTAATATAGTTTGTTTGTGGTGTAATGTACTATATAGTGTTTCTTTTTTGGTGATTTATATTTTCACACACAAGAATTTGAAATGGAAACACTTTAAAATATTATTTTTTTTAAAAGATCTTTTTACTCTTTGGCAATTGCTGCTGTTCAGTAATCTTTGAGGCTGGCTGCTGCTGCTGCTGTTGTTGTTGTTGGGCACCACCCGTGTTTGCGGCTGCTTTTTGCTTGTATGTGGCCTTGTAGAAGCTGATGAAGAGGAAGAGGTATGAGGTCAAGAGTCCACAGCCAAAGAGAGCCGATGCATCGGTGCCTGCGCAGGTTCCCAGATTTGAGATGCTTGGCAGATGGTGGCCGGCCAAGAGAACATAAGTGCAAAAGTAGATCACAAACAGATCAATGATAAACTGAGTGATCTGCATCGTGGTCAAGTATTTTTTCCACCAGATCCTGACTCCAGATGCAGTACGGAAGTAATAGTAGTACATCAATACGTGGACAGTCAAATTGAGAACGATTGGGACCCACGACTATACAATGATTTTAAATTTTTTTTTAAAAAATAATAATAATAATGATTATTAACTATAGTCTTTTATATATACAAACAATACAAAACCATATCCCCCCTTCTTTATCTATACCTCCTCTTTTTTCCCCTTTTCTTATATATTAGCTTACCACTGAAGTCCTGCCTTCTAGTTGGACGTAACAAAGTACCATTGTCATACTATGGTGGAAATAATGGAGGAACTCTAATTGTATTATAAATATATATATATTAATTGTTTGATTAGACTTTTTCTTTTCTTTTTTTTTTAAAAAAAAACTTACCAAGTTTCTTCTTCTTGGCAACCATAAACAAAGTATCTGCCAATTCCCAGTACTTGACAAGATAATTGAGATAGTAGAGCAGTTCTAGAGGCTGAGTCCAGGCTTCTTCGGCACAGACAGAGTAGAACAAACCGTGACGATAGATCTTTGGGAAGATTTGTTCGACCATCAGGGCCAGTAGGGATCCTGAAACCAGGGTCAGGAGGGCATTGTGGATCTGGAAGAGGGTACTGAGCCGGAAGGCTGGAACATTGGTCATCAGGTAACGACCACCAAAAATGACAGCGTAGTATGTCAAGCATGTCACGACCACTACACAAACGTATTGGTGTTAAGAAGACGATATATATATATATATATACAATATTGGCTTACCTTCAGTTGTGGTTGAGAATTGAGTGACTCCAGAAGTAAACCTGAAATCAGATGCCGGCTTTCCTACTCCGGCTTCATAAATCTTTTCAAAGATCGGGTAGAGGTGAAGACCAAAGGGTGTCTCTGGTGAGAACTGGAAGGGTCTACTGGTGACATTCATATCAAAGAAACAAGCTCGTTCAATTTATTTTATTTCTCGTTCTTGCTTGTGTGTGTGTGTGTATATATATAATAGTAATAATTAATCTCAATTAAATCAATTGATCAATTTTTTCTTTTTTTTTTCTTGCTTTTTTAATATAAGCAACAAGGCAATAGAACGAAAGAGAAAGAGAAAGAGAAAGAGAAAGGTCGAGATGCGATTGATGAAGAGGCTTTAAATACGATCGAATTGGAAATACAAATTTATATATTTGTATTTTTCACTTTCACTTTCACGAGGGAGGGAGAAAATCAGAGACAGAGAGGGAGAGAGGGAGGGAGAGAGGGAGGGAGGTTAAAAGATAGTGAGAGAAACAGAGATAGAGGGAGAATTTTGGATTATAATATAAAATAAATAAATAAAAAGGGATGAAGGGATGTGAAATTTGTACATTTTGTATATTTTGTACATTTTGTATATTTTGTACATTTTGTATTTACATTTGTATTTGTATTTTTGTTTGTTTGTTTGTATTTTGCATTTGTACTTGTATGTGTTTTTGTGTATTTGTGTGTATGTGTGTGTCTTAAGGGGAAGCGGAGACAAATAGACAGACAGACAGGCAGACATACATACAGGCAGCCAGGCAGGCAGAAAGAGAGTGAGTGAGTGAGTGAGTTAGTTAGTTAGAGGGGGGGTTGCATTGGATCCACACACATATTATTATTATTATTATTATTATTTTAAGTTGCCACACGTCAACTCAAATCTGTGTGCCCAGTTATTTATTTATTTATATTAGATTATCAAAAGAATAACAATCTAATTCAGGCTTTATGCAGGGACACACATCCTTTCCTGATCTTGATGTTAATGTTGATACTAATGCTGGTTCTTGCGCTGCTGGTGATGCTTTTGCTGGTGATGATGCTGATGATGATGCTGGTGCTGGTGCTGGTGCTGGTGCTTTTGCTGATGCTGGTGCGGGTGCTTTTGCTTTTGCCTTTGCTTTTCCTTCTGCTTCAACTGGCACTAGCCCGCTTCTCTTTTACGCTTTTAATTGCTTGTTGTTTTTGATTTTCATATCGATTGTGCCGGTACTAGTACTATTGGCTGTTGATTATGCGTACGAGTCTGATTCCGACACGACCATTACTGTCTCTACTACAGTCATTACTGTTTTTCATATTCTTACTATCGTTAATAAAAGCCAAAACAAGTATAAATATGTATAGATTAGTCAAGTATGTAGAAAGGAATTAAAAAGGAGGTAATATTAGGTATCTTATCTTATTTTTTTTTTGGGATATTTAAACAAGAAAAAACTCAAAAAAAAGAAAATAATGACCTCACTTTACACAGATTATCGCATCCCATCGCATCCCATCCCAACCCAACTTATAGCATAACATGGCATGGCATAGCATAACATCGCATTTACATTTACATTCATTTATTCATGTCTGTATCCTATCTGAACATTTTGTACAGAAAATCAGAGCCAGATACGCTCTCTATTTTTGATTTACTTTTCTTATTTTTTTTTTATATATTACTATAATCTGTTCAATTGTATACATTCTTATAGTCACACAGATCAAGGAAAAAGGCAAGTTGTTTTCGTGCCAAATTGGACAAAGCGCCCAATTCCCTCTTCTTTTGGTTTTTGGTTTTTACTTGATTCAAAGTACCACTTGAGTATAGCCTTGTTCTTTTTCACTCTCTTTCACTTGCTTTTGTATATGTATTGTTTTGCTGTCTAATCAAAAGGAAGATCATTTTCATCTTTCTTCATTCTTCATTCTTCAGATCTCTAATATACTTCTATACCTTGATCGTCCTACTTGTCTTGTCCTCTTCTTTCTGTCTTTCTATCCTCACCACCATATCTTTATACATACTCTTAAAGATACCCAAAAGAAAGCAAAGAACATCATGCGTTCTTCCGAAACTTCCTTCAAACCAGACAGAAAGTGGTCAATGAACCCTCTCCTCCTGCTCATCAAAAGCAAGCAGTTCTTTTACTCCAATTACACAACCTACAATTCGGTTCAACCCAAAGGTAAGCCCATACCATACCATACCATACCAAACAATCACAATAATCACAATCAGCAGTAACCCACATTTATTTCTTTTATAGCATCAATGATCAAGGGCATTTTTGGTGCGCCGCTCGAATATGCAGCCATGTGTGGCTCAACCTCATTCCACCCTCCACTTGATCTTTGCGTTCCATCCCCTGTTCACCGTTGCTTCACAGAGATCATTAAAAGAGGTATGAAACACACTTCTTCTCTTTTTGTCTTTTATTTTATGTGTGTTGTGTAACAAACACAGATACCTTGTATCTATCAAGGTCTTTATTTCGAAGGTATCTTTCGCCTATCAGGTGCAGCTTCGGAAGTGTCTCGCCTTCAAGACGCATTTGATCAACCACCGACATATGGCAAATATCTCGACCTAACCAACTACGACATCCACTCCATAACCAGCGTAGTCAAAAAGTATCTTCGAAACCTACCAGACTCTGTGATTCCAATGGCTGTTCATGAACAGTTTCTTCAAACAACAGGCAAGTCACTATAAAACATTTGGTTTAATGCACAAAACTAAATATATAAATGAATTTTTTTTTTAAAAAAAAAAACAACAATAGAAATGTGCCGATCTCCTGTAGAGGCTATAAATCTTGTCGCGCTCTTGATTGCCGACCTCCCAGTTGCCCACAACCACCTCTTACGCTATATCTTTATTCTCGTCTCGCACATCAGAGAACACGAGACGGTCAACAAGATGAACCCCGAGGCACTGGCCACCGTACTGGCCCCGGTATGTGCCGGTCTCGAACACACCCTCAAGGATCTTCCGGACGCCCTGAAGAAAAAGAAGACCAAGGTTCTGATGAAGTCGGATATGATTGGCGTCGTTGAGCGTAACCGACGTTGGACTGAATTGTGGATCCTGATGATTGACAATCTTGATGTTCTCCTCCTCCGTGGATGGAAAGACCATACGCCGAATCATCGTGCATTGTCAATGCAGTTCACAAACCAAAAGGGTCATCTCACAGTACCCTCCCGACCCTCTCCCTCTTCCATGGTCCGCCGCCCATCCTCGCCCACATCATCGTCACCCTATCAAGCCCTAATGCAGCAATTCTATGTACCTGTCCTGAGTGGAGACAGCCTTCATTCTCTTCACATCGGATCCGTATCTCAGGAGCCCACTCCTCCCAGCCCTCTCACCCCTCACGCACCTCTTATTGGCATTAATACAACAAGAATATTAGCAGCTAATATTAATACTAATACTAATAGTACTACTACTACGTCATCCTCATCTTCATTGTTGTCACTATCAGAACAATCATCATCATTATTATCATCGTCAACTAGTGATGGTAAGCAGTCTACATACTTTGAGTCATCTCTGGAACAGCCGAGTCAAAGATTGACCCCTGACACCAAGTTGTCAACCAGATTAGAGTACACACAGAATGACGATTTGCAATGCATAGATTCATGCAGCTCTTTGGTATCAGTTACACAATCTTCACCTCCTTCTCCTCTCTATTATCCAGCTCTACCTCCTCTTCCATCACGACCTCTGCCTTTACCTCCACTGACAATTCCAGTCCCAATGCCACTTTTACCACCACACTCACAATTGTCATCAAATCCAAATCCAAATCCAAAGCAAACGTCAAGGTCAAGGTCAAGGTCAAGGTCAAGATCTTCATCCAAGTCGCCGCCCCAGTTTCGGTCGAAATCACAGCCACAGCTACAGCTACAAATACAGTCACAGTCATTAAATCAAACTCTTCAATCCAATTCTGGTCCACCTCCTTTAATAACCAGAAGAAGTGCACGACTACTCCAAAGATTCTCTTCTCGAGTGTCACTAAAACCCTCATAGGACAAACCTAAAATACAAAGGAAGAAGAAAAAAGCAAAAAAAAAAGAATTACTATTATTATTATTGTTATTGTTATTATGATTTTTTTTACATATATATATATATGTTACTATATATTCCTTTTGTCACCATGACTACAAAACTATTACTATTACTATTACTAATAATATTACTCTTACTCTTATTCACTGTTAATCTTATTATTATTTTCTTATATCTATTTTAGGCTGTATGTTTGTATTGTGTATTGCATACTGCGTAATGTGTATTATATGTATTATATGTACTATGTGCTGTGCTGCTTTTTAATAAATAGAATTTACTTATCTATATGTCCAAGTTGATTGCTTCTTTGTTTTTGTTTTTGTTTGTTGTTTTGTTGATTGTTTTATTATTCTAAACAAAGATATGCTCTTGTTGATGTAACCAAGATGGACATGGAAAATCTTTCTTGTTGTTGTTGTTGTTGTTGTTGTTGTTGTTGTTGTTGTTTATTTAAATACACAAAGAAGGAAACAACAAAAACAAAACAAAAAATTAAAGGTAACTGGTATTTATCAAGTGAAACAGTTCCACCGAGATATCAAGATATTTATATAACAATACCTTTCAACAGATACAAAAATAATAATAATCATAATGTACTCGAAAGTATTAACCAACCAGGCTGGTTACCTTGGTTTTATATTTCAAAATATAAAGTACCAAAATTATACATTCAGTCTATTCCGCCTTTTTATTCAACAAACCCAATCAACCTCTACTCCCTTTATTTTCTTTCATTCTTCATTTCACAAACAAAACCAATGTTTAATACATAGTCATATCAGATTTCAATTCAAGCCTTGTATTGTTAATAAATTAGGGATCAATTGCTTTAAATTTATGATTTTATTTATAGTTGAAAGATACGTTAAAGGGGAATTAAACACCTTTTATATATAAATATAACCATCACCATGTTTTTACTTGAGATCGAGACGATGTGACTTTCCTCTTTTTTGGACAAACAAGAAAAAAAAAAAAGGGGGGGGGGGGGGGGGGGGGGGGGGGAAGAATTGAGAGACAAAATAATAAACAAAAAATCGGGATAGAAAGGGGATTGAGTTGAAGGGTGAAAAGGAGATTGTCTTTGAAGATAGGCATACAAAAATAAAAATAAAATGTCAGCTTTTGCAGTTTACGGCATGGGAGTATCCGAGAAAATTTTACAGACATCTTCTTGTAAAACAAAAGATCGGAGAATTGTACCTTTTGGACATCGATGAATTTAACACGCCAAAGGTACATCCACTTCTTCTTTGCAGCTTTGTTCTTTATATTCAATATCGCTTGTTTAAACTTGCGACTCCTGTAAAACCAAAGACTAAAGACATTTACGAAATGCCAACAACAGCACTATCCACCCAATATTAATTTGCAGCAACTGTAATATTTTGGGGATCTATATGGACATGCAAGAAAAATTAGGGTCGGACATGCAAAAAAAGACCAAAAGGGAGAATTAAACGTGACGTCACCTATAATTGACTTTTGGGAGTGTTACCAACAAATTGGACACTGATAAGACATGCAAAAGCGAGCAAATTGAAGAACTAGACGTGACATCACATATAATTAGTTTTGCATGTTAGACGCATTTTTTTGGGGGGTCAGCCTTGATATTTGTTAAATGTTTCAAAATTAATGTTGATTGTAAAAATATAAAAAATGATAATGAGATAGATATAAAGATAAAAATGGAAGATTGTAAAGAAGATAAATATAGAAATATAGATAAATAGAAAGATAATAATAAATTGAATAGAAACAGAAGGGAATATTGATAATAGAGATAAATATAGAATCTAAAAAGTAAAAAAAAAATCTAAAAAAGATATATACGAAAAGTTAGTATAATTCAAGATAATTCTAGTTTAAAAGCCATACCTTGATTGTTAGTACATCAAAGAATAATCTTCAAGGCCATGTTTTTGAATTATTCTTTTATGAAAGGGGTTGATTTTTGGCCAGCAGAAATTTCGAGTGTTTTTGCGCTTGGCAAGAAGAAAGTGGTTTACATCTAAGATAATAATTATCGGTTCCACTTTTTCTGGCAAGGTAGCAAATGGAACAAAAAGACAGTCGCCTGTTTCAATTGGAGTATTCCAATATACAGCCACTGCTCTGCTAAATGTATCGGTTACAAGTTGAGGATGGTCGATTGTACCGAGCCAATGTTGCTGGGGGAGAGGTGAGCGCTTGTCTTGGAGACTGCGAATTAGTGGGTTATTGGATGCAGGCATATTGCCATGCTCTATTCTTCCGTGGTAGTAGTTGTTTTGGTGCTTTAAAAATGTTTCTAGCATTTTGTCTTTTACTTTTGACCACTCCTCCTGGTCCTGGTACACTTCCATTGCTATCGCCCTGTACCCACAATTTCCGTCTTCTTCAGGAGAAAAGATTGTTGATATATGTTTTGGTGCGATTGTGAGATTTGTTAGTAATGTGGGATCGCATGGTGACCCAAGGTTGATAATATTTTTTATGGCTTTTTGCTCTTTAGCTGAGGATATTTTTTGCCTAGAAAACAAAGCAAAGATTTAGTAAATTAAATCTAAACAACATTAAAATCTTACTTTTTTTGTTCTTTTTCTGTTTTAATTTTTTTTGTGATTTTTTCTTTTTTGGTATTGATGCAATGCTTTAATGCAACCATCTTGCGCTTAGTATTTTTTGGTCGGCCTTTAATGGCTTCAACTACTGTTTGGCCCTTAAGGTTTTCGAGTTTCTGTGCGTCGATTTGTTTCAAAGTTTTTTCTATCAATTGGTATATATTGATTTGTTCTTGTTCGCTCTGAGCATTGGCGAAATGTTCGCAAATAAGTTCAAGAGCATAGTTGAATTCTGGGGTTATTGGTTTGATATTGTTGATGTTTGGGGGTACTGGGGTTGCATTTTGGATAGTTAAATGGTCTACATAATAAAATGTTATATGAGAAAATCGTCACGTAATTATTGCTATTATTATATATATTACTTTCTCCTTCTAGATAGTTTTTTCTCCAGCGTCTTGGGATGCAGGAGATTGGGATGGTATCGAATTTGGCGAGTGTGTGGTAACAAGGAAGCAGGTAGTTGTATTGTATGAGGCATTTGCACTCTTTGGCTAGTTTTTCGGGTATAATGGATTTGGATAATTCTAATTTGATTTGATCCATTGCAAATCTACAGACTTTAAGACGGATGTCATTTAGTCTGGTGGCATTGACTTTATCAAACACAATTTTTGTTCCTTCTCCAAGGCTTTCCACCATTAGCCAATGCTTGCGATCTGCAACCTGTACAATTTATAAATATATTATAACCAATAAATGCATAAAATAGTATAGAATAAACTTATCAACTCGTCATACTACTTTTTTACTTTAAGGGTAACTGTCTTCAGTTTACCCGAGGAAGTACCAAGAGAATGCTTAAGAGAAGCATGGGCACTTTCTGCACGGTCTGACGTGCGATTGCCAATATGGGCATGTTTGTAAACATACATGTTCACCCAGTTTTCCTTGTCTTTCATTTTTCTGATAAAGTATATTAAAAAAACACGATTTTTTATAGTTAAATACTGTTTACATCAAATTTAAAAAATTTATACGTACTTCTCAAAAAAAGCACTAGCAGCTTTTCCCTGGTCTTTGCAATTTTCCTTTGCAAATTCAAGGTATCCATTTGTTTCGTTTTTTACTTTTTGATGTGTAATGCATTTTAAAGCAATTCGGTCAAGGAATTCTGACAGCTTATCCAACAGGTCTCTCTTTTCGCTACTCTCGTCTCCCTTCATCATCAGAAGCAATTGCTTTTTAAAGTTGTCTTTGATATGCTTATAGCACAACAACTGCTTCGACTCAGGAAAGACTTGAGTAATAGCATTTCTCAATGCTTTTTTATTGTCCGTGATGAAAACATCTGGGAGAAGTGTTGTTTGTTTGTCGTTGCTGCTGTTGCTGTTGTTGTTGTTGTTGTTGTTGTTGTTGTTGTCATCGGGCCAGACTGCATTGCGGAGACAGCTAAGCACCCAGAGATAATTTTCTTCTGTCTCATGCTCTACCCAAGCACCGGCAATTGGATACGTCTTTAAAGTGGTACGAGGGTTTCCACTCACATTGCTAGTACCAACAATGTTGACATAAGTCATTCGATGACTATTTGTCTTATATGTGGCATCAATAATGACAGTCTCAGGCATTCTTTGTGTCTCATTGATCGCATCCTGATGCACAAAAAAGACCATATTCACTTGATTGTCTTCTGTATTACCAACAGAATACCTGACATGGAAGTCAAGATCTTGCAGAGTGGTGATAAAGTCAAACATCTCCTTTCCTTTTTCCGATTTTCCGAAATGTTGCTTTATATTAGCAATGTCATGGCAAACAATGTTTGTATATCCATTTATCTTCAAACTGTTGAAGATGGTGGATACATCGTCATTGTTCTCCAGATGCTTAACCACAAGTGCCATTGCCTCAGGCAAGAGCTTGCGGTGCATAGCATATGCTCTGCGGTCTTCTTTGATGGAGTGGTTATGCTCTGTCTCATGGGAGCGCACAATGAGCTTTCCGCCCTTCTTGGTGTTGGCATGCATGAAGCAAGGGCAGCCATGCTTCTGCGTGTCTTTTTCGCGCTTTCTCTCCCATCCAGGAAGAGTTTCACCCATAACTGATGTTTTGGAAGCAACCTTCTCGGCTTTTCTGGTATCTCTATATTCGCCAGAGTGCTTGCAAATCAATTTGATGCAAGAGCTTGATGCATATTCAGTAGTGAGAGCAATGTTATGCTTGACACCATATGCCTTGGCAGCTTCTCGAACAGCTACGGCTGAAGATAATTCTCTTCCAACAAGAAAAATTAAGTTGAACTCAGTCAAGGCAGCATCGTACTTTTTCGATGTCTCGCTAACAATGACAAAGTCGTTGGTGTTGTTGATGTTGTTAATGTTGCTCATGTTAAATGTCAAAAAAAAATTATGCGCTGATGTTGTAGTAAAAAAGGGCAGTGATTTAATTGGCAATCTGGAGGGTAATTTATCTGATCCCCCCAAAAAAAAATGCATGTAACATGCAAAACTAATTATATGTGACGTCACGTCTAATTCTTCAATTTGCTTGCTTTTGCATGTCTTATCAGTGTCCAATTTGTTGGTAACACTCCCAAAAGTCAATTATAGGTGACGTCACGTTTAATTCTTCAATTTGGTTGCTTTTGCATGTCTTATCAGTGCTCAGTTTGTCAGTAACACTCCCAAAGGCCAATTACAAGTGACGTCACGTTTAATTCTCCCTTTTGGTCTTGTTTTGCATGTCCATATCATTGCCCTTAGAGTATGTCATGAGCATGTCATTCCTAGAATCTGAATCCTAATCTGGCCAATCCAATTCAATCCTTCTCAGAAATACTACACTTTGCTGGAAGTTTCCAATACCTGGTAACTTCTAGCAAAATCCCTTTAAGATAGTATAAATACAAATTGCTTCATCGAAATAAAACATTATCTTTATTCTTCTGAAAAACTACTCTTGTGATATCTTCCAGCCGCTTCAAAGGCAACTTCCAATCCCGACATATCACACTTATTTTAAGTATCATAATCCTTTACTCTTTATTTTTTTATTGAATTTAACAAGCAAATTAAACATGTACAACCCAAGCAAGCATACTATCAAAAGAAGACAGAGAACAGCTGTACCTCAGTTCTTACTGGATTACTTTTCTGAAGACGTTCCAATAAGTGGTTTGAATTATATTCCCACTGAAAACCCATCTGTTCCTGAGGTGGAATTTAGTAGTCCTTGCCTAAAGTATACATATACGCGCAAGAAGAGAGCAAGAACCATGGCTGTAGCCCCCGTAGAAACGCCTTCCAAGAACATTGCTGCTTCTCAGACTGACTTGGACGTCAAAATTGATTTCGATACATACGAAGCCAGTCAGACCCAGAAAAGAAGCCTCTACAACAAGTAGGTAGATTTGCTTCCCCAGTTAGCTGATTCCTTCCTGTGTTACCTTGGAAGATGCAAGGATGGCTGTCTGGATAAGAAGATTATTGCTCCTTTGTCTCATTTCCTTTGTTCTTGCACAAAGTTCTCTAAGAAAAACATCTACATGTTTTTTTTTGCATTGTAAGCAATCGTTATTAATTTTTCAAGAAAAACTGCCCTTAGATTAATATATTAACATCCTATATGTGTACACAGCCTCAGGAACATTTGAGATTGTTTTTTGCGGATACAAGTTCATTCCTGAGCAGTTGGTTGAGATGGGTATGCTCCCTGCTTCCCTCAACAATGTCCAATATGCAATTCATTTCAGACTTCTTGAGTTTATGAGGGACATGCGAGATGTTCTTGCCACCTCTGGCCAGGGCTTGGCCAATCTGTGCAATAAGATCAATCTGGATGCTAAGGTAAGAAAAAAAATTATATATCAGTATGTGTTACTAATCGATTTTAAATATTGTGTTAAAATAAAATAAATAGAGATAGATCTCAAAGGCATATTGCCAAAATCTTCTGCATGTCTTCATCAGACTTACAATGATTGTTGAGGCCAAGGTAGAGAAGCTTTTGCCTGGATTCTGGGAATCCAACTGTTGCCCTGCTTGTCCAGATGTAAGTGAATAATATGTCATATTTTACTTGCAACAAAGTATTGAAGTTGTATTTTTATATCAGGTTGACAGCAATGTGGCCATTGACGACTGTCAATATGTTGCCATGGATGGCAATTTTAGCCTGAAGTGTGAGAGGAGGAAAGATGGTGAGGGTGATGTTGGCAAAGAGTTGGAGCAAGTAGAGGCTCAACTCAAGTAGGTGTGAATTGGTGACGACGTGGTGAAGACATATGAGAAGGAGAGAGCTGAAGAAGGCGTAAGTAATAAAAAGTGACAAGATATTAAATACATACTAAGCCTTTTCTATACTTATAGGTAGGTCGGTTCGACAGCAACTTCCATGCTGGCTCTGGCAGTTTGGCAAAGTCCATAAAGTACCCTATTAAGGGTCTTTTTGCAGCGAGCTGTGCACGCCATAAGTCAGTCATTAAGTTGGTAGACATGGAAACTGGTGAAGGGTTTAAGTACTCTCTCTTCATAATTAATCAACTACTTGGTGATTCAGGTAGTGATGGCCAGTCTGCTGATAGCTCTCCCAACATCAATGTGATGTATGATGTTGTCTGTAAGCTGGCAAAGTCACTGAAGGTAAATACAGAGTTATTTTTAACGTACATGTTAAATATATAAGCATATAGTAACAATACTTAACATAGGCTAACTTTCTCAGACTGATGGAGAAATCAAAACTAGCAGTTCCAATTTTCCATATGTATGCTCATGTTCAACACTGCCAGATTAAGCTCAACCCTAAATATAGAGATGAGTTTGGCTTGACAGATGGTGAATGTTTGGAACGTCTCTGGTTATATCTTAACCACTTTGTGACGATGACCAGAAAGATGGGACAAGCAAACCGGAAGTTGGTCTTGTACAGAGCCATCAAGTTCCACAATGAGACGAAGAAGATTGAGTTGGGCTTGATGTTGGAGAGTAAGTATGTCAAAGCAAAGCGCATCATAGAAGAATCCAGGAAGGCGTTGGAGGGATTCGACTGTGTTGTGATTGAGCGAGAATGGAAGCAGCATGTTAACAAGGTAGAGAAGTTAGAGAATTATGTTGACATTGCAGATTTGATGGAGTCTGGCCGTAAGGTTCAAGGCAATATTGCTTTGTCCCTTATAAATTTTACAATTTTGCGCCGACTAAGAGAGTAAGTGTATTTAGAGCTTTTTTCTTATGTTTTTTGTTATTAAAAAAGCAATTTTATTGTAGGCTCGCTAATGATGCCAACGGAAATCATGTGAAAGATGAGATCAATAGGCTGAAGCACGAAATGGAGAAGTTGAAGGCAAAGATCCAGGAGGAAGTTGAGGGCTTCCAAGAACCTGATGAAGAAAATACAAACCTCATAAAATATATAGAAGAAAATGCCCAGCTAGGGTACAACGAGTTCCTAGCTTACAAAAAAAATATTCGAAGATGCAATTAGAGCCAATGTTTGAGCGTATCATGATACCTTGACATTGCTTTACAAATCTGGCCATATTGATAAGAAGGGGAAAAAGTGATTGCGATTATTTCATGAATTAATGCTTTTAAATATATATATAGGCACAAAAAAAGCAAAACAACACCAAACCAGCCTGAATAAACAGGCCAAACAAATTACCTACCTCGTCTAAGCATTCAACCTTGAATTCAATGATAACAGTGATTTTTAGACTTTTCACAATGGAAATATTAAACTGTTATTCTTACTTTTATACTTGTTTTTTTTAAAAGAGTCTTTGATCTTTGATTCAATAATCAATAAAAAAAGTATTTTCTGGGATGCAAAAATCCGTCCCAAAGTCCATCTCTTTTTGGTAAAGAAAAGAGCAGAAGAAGTTGCACTTCTGAAGGTAATAATCAATATAAAGATGCTAAAGGTTTTAAAAATAAATCAACTAATATATAAAATTTCAAGCGTGATGCCTTCTGGCTCCAACACCGTATCACAAAAGAAAGGACTTTAAGAGAGCAAGGGCTAAAAGCCCTTGACAATGCTGTAGGTACTCTGGACAAAGAGGTTCTTTGTGGGATGCAGTTCCTTTTGGCTAGAAAGCTTCGGCTTTCTATGTCTTGGGAGCGAGCAGTCTTTGCTCAGACCAGTTTCCTTCTGGAATCCTTGTCCTCTCCCTCCTCCGTTCCTTTTGCCTCCTCCTCCTCCGTTCCTTTTGCTTCCTCCTCCTCCGTTCCTTTTGCTTCCTCCTCCTCCGTTTCTTCTTCTTCACTCATTGTTGAAGACATAAACCCCTCCGATGATGGAGAAGCCAGTATTGCTTTTGTTGTGGAAGGTGATGACAACAACGACAATGACAATGACCGATGATGATGATGATGCCAATGAAGATGAATAACACAATAACATATTTGAGTCTGAGGCAATATATGGTAAGTTACTCTATTATTGTAAAAAGTCTATTCAGTTTATCTGTTAGCATTTAAAGTTGATAACTAAGGTAAGTTTCTTTTCCCTAGAATAACACAAACTCCCGCCCATTTTTTTTCTTTTCTTCTTTTTTTTTTAATTTTTTTTTAATAATAATAATAATAATATTTTTTTTCAAATCTGTAAAATGCTTTAATAGCTTTTACAAGTAAAAATATCATAGAATTATAGAGAAGCTAACAGCTTGATTTTTATTGTTTGAAGTATACTTCTTGTTTTCTACATTTAATCAAGAATTAAAAAAAATTGTCTATTTTAAATACGTGTTTTATGTTTCAAGATTTTATTTTACTTATTTCTGTAATATATATATATTGCTTATATCATTAGAGTCTATTAGTAATTAATTCCATAATACACATAACTATATACTTATTTTGAGATAATAAAATGTCAAGTTTTTATGTAGTTTCATTAGTATTTTGCATGCTTTATATTTTATTTTATACTTTTCAAAAGCAAGTAAATAGCATTTCTCATTCAGGAAGTTACGATATTAAAAATTATTTTGTTTTATTTGTATCTAACTGTTTAAGTCAGTTTACATAAATAACATATGTTTCTTTTGTTATTTTATTTTATTTTATTTTAAAAACATATAATTGTATTTCGCATAACATTAAGATATTTATAAAGAATAAATAGTATAAAGCAATTCATTAAATATTCAAAACATTTCCTTTTTTTTGTAAAAAAAAATACAAAAAAATGCTTCAGGCAAAAGTCGAACCTTAGTTGTTCCTATCATAGTCAAAAGTGACAACAAATAATTTATAGCAAAAGTTTTGAATAGAGTAGTTAAAATATAGCTTTATAGTATTTTTTACCAAGCCACTTTTTCCACTCATTTTCACTATGAAACCACTCATTTTCACTGTAAGATGTTGGCATGGTCACATCCAAAGTCACATTTTCTCAATGTTAAGCCACAGTCTTCGTTCTTTTTATATATTCTTTTCTCTTATTTACGTTTTTCTTTTTTTTTTACCTGCTATGTTATTTTTTATGTTTATTGTATGTTCTGATTGACATAATCAAAATCCTCTTCTTTCATTTTATTCTATTTACTTTTTCCCAGTACGTTTTTTGTTATAACTTTAATTGTCCCAAGTGAAATTGATAGTCTTCTCTTTATTTTACTCACTCGATATTTGTATTCAAAGTTTTTCCAATCTTCTTTTTCATTTCTGTCATTTCTGGACTCTGTTCTTTGAGTTACATTTTGTAATTATTCTATTCAAATCGATTTGTACTTTTAGCAATTTAATTTATAATTGATCCTACATTAGATCTTTACATAAAGGATGGTAGTTTTCTTAATTTGCAAAAAGTAGCATAATAGTCTTACTGCATTTCGAAATCACTGTTTGTCAAATAAAATAATAAATTTTACTTTTAATTATTCATATTTTTCTATTAATAAAATGTGTTTTATTTTCTTTAAAAAAATAATAGGCTAAACATAATTATTATTATTGTCATAAAACAATATCATATATAACTAGTATTTGTTAATACCAGCTTGTTTTTTTTTTGAAGTGAGTATATTTAAAAGTATAAGATAAGGACTTTGTTTGCAGCTATCAGCTTTTGTAATATCTGGAAAGAATATATTAATAAAAATCGGAGAGGGTGCTAGTTGCTTTCATTAAACAAGGCCAAAAGTTACAACATGAAGACTAAAGACAAAAGTAGACAGGAAGAGTTAGTTAAATCAAAGATAAATATATAAATATTGATTATTATTTAAATTGTTATATAAAGCTAGCAATGATATTGACTTTGCAAGTAATAGACTACATTAATAAAACGTTATGATTGAATAAATATAAAATCAATAAGACAAGCCAGTTAATTAATAAGTGATATACATAAAGACCAACTTATTAAATGATAATACTTCACCCTTTCTTTTTATATAAAGGCGCGTTTTTTTACTTATCTAGTAATAATACTTGATGCTAAAAGAATTTCAATAAAACTCAAGACATACTGTATTAGTTTTATAAAACACGTACTTGCTAATATATGTTCTTGATGAAGTGCAATTGATAAATAAATATTCAATATAATTTTTACAGAGTTGATTCATTCACAATATTGATAAGCATAACTGGAATTTATTTAAGAAAGAAGATTTTTTATTTACAAAATTAAAATGTCAAAAAACAATAACTTTATTACCCAAGACATCAGTATAAACATGTATCAGTGATCCTAGGGAGACGACATTTTCAGGATGGGAGATGACGTTTTGACTTTACTGGACTAATTGATTGTGACTATCTGTCCAGGGTCCGATATCTTCTCTCCAATCCCTCAGGGCAAAACGGTGTGTCCTGAAATTCTTAATTCAATATTTGATTATAAAACCTTCTTTTCTATTATTTACTCATCTCGTAAGAACTTACTAATCAAATGTATTAGAGAATAATGTTTTTCTCGGAGATATCAAAGACATTACTTTGCTCATTGCAGATTAGCAATTAGAAATCATGATGTTAATAAGTACTTTCTAGAATTTACTTCAATATGAACCCTATCAATAAAGAAATCCGTTTTTTTTAATGGAAAAGAACATTTTCCTGTCCAACAACCTCTCCCCATCCCACCAGTTAATGGTTATAATGACATGCAGCAGGCAATTGCAAAGATGCAAGAATATGCCCTCGCCAACAACTTCGCACTTGTCATCAAAGATGGTAAACCAACTTGAGTTTACTTGAAGTGTTCTAAGGGTGGTCACTATAAAAACACCCGAAAGATTGATGACAACAACCATAAGAAAATTCCTTCTAGTGGAATGATTGGGTGCCCATATCTCCTTAAGGTATCCTACAAGAAGGCAGCCAAAGGATACTTTCTCTTGAAGGCCACTCATGAGATCGAAGCCTTCCACAACCATCCCCTTGACAATGAATGTATGGAGTCTATTTTGAAGTGCAGACTCCCAAGAGTTACAACAGAAGATTCTATCATGATAACAAAGCTTATCAAGACAAATACCAAGACTTGTGAGATTCAAAAAGCAATCAATGACGAAGCATACCCTGGCCATAAGTTGTACGTTAAAGACATTAATAACATGAAGGCAGCATATGCTCGTGTTTCTGCTCCTACTCTTCAGGATGATGGAACAAAGCTCAGCAAAGCTATGGAGTCGAAGGGTTACCAAGTTTGCTATGAGACTAATAAGAGTGGGTGCCTTGAGAGAATCCTGTTTAGCCACCCCAAAATTTTGGAAAGAGCCCAGAAACTCTCCAAAGTTATGGTGGTGGATGCAACATACTCAACAAGCAACTTGGGAATGCCTCTTATTTGCATCGAGGGTGTTTACAACCTTGGAGGGGAAACCTTAAAATCTTTTCCAATTGCATTTGCCTGGGTCTCCAATGAGCAAACTGGTTCTTACGTTTGGTTTTTGGAACAAATCAAGGCACTTGTTTTTGAGAACACGATCAACCACTCTGTTTGTAACAGACAAGTGTTCTGCTTTAATGAATGCACTTGACACTGTTTTCCCAGAAAACAAGAAGCTTTTGTGCTACTAGCATATGCTGAACAGTGTGGAGAAAGCTTTCTCTGGGAAAACGAAGTCTGTAGCCGAGAAAGAAGAGCTTACAGATCATGTAAGCTGCATGATCCATAGTAGAACTAAGGTAAAGTTCAACTTGGCTCTCCTAAAGTTTAACGACGCTTGTGCTGGGCTAGAAGTAGATGATGGCAAGGCCAGAGCACCGGCATCAACCTACTTCTCTGAAAGGTGGTTGAATTGCAAGGATAAGTGGGCAGGGTATATCACTAGCAAGCTTATGCATTTTGGGTGTACCACCACTCAGCAAGTAGAAAGTGCTCATCAAGCTTTTAAGAGAGGCATCTCTCCTATTTCTTCTCTGGGATTGGCCTTTGAGAGTGTGGCCAAATACATTGAAAGGCTAGAGATGGATTTCCGAGCAACAAGGATAAGAAAAACGAACACGATCGATGCTCTTGTTGGACGAAACCAACGTCTCTCAAACCTTTTTGTTGTGAATGAGTATTGATTACTGCTGAATCTGAGAGTAAGACTGAAGGATAAAATAATATCCTCAGCTATTCCAGTCAAACGGATCTCCCTTTATGATATTATCTAATACACAGATCATCATACACATAATTGATTATTTATTATTATCACCATGACATGAGATATACAAATACATATACATTATATATATGGCATCATTATATTTCATCTACATATTTCTTTTATTATATAAATACTTAATTGAGAGACTACAACTACAACTATCTAATATTATGAAACATTACCCGAGTATCTGGGTCGGAATACTAAAATATTACCAATAGCATAAATGCTCTTCTTTACCAAAACTCTTGGACTGATCTGACTGGAGAAGTATCATATCAATTGGTCTTTCTGGATCTTTCCAGAAGAACAATACTCCTGGAAGATGACTCATCGTGATAAAGATTACTTAAGCACACACTAAATTACAAATTAGAAAAACATATAAATATCAGTAGATAGTTCCATGTAGAAAGACAATCGAATTTTATCATTCTTTACTTTTCTTTTGAAATAAACAACCTACACAAGTTCTCACGAATTCTTTCGTCTATATTATATTTTGCTTTATTTTCTCCCCACAACACTTTTCATAAAGGTGTCAAAGCGAGTGTTGCTTGTACTTGACCAGGAGCTCTGTTTACCAGAAGATGATGAGAGTGCTATTGCATGAACAAAGTTCAATATGGCCTACCTTGTCACCATACCCTACCAGTAGAAAGGGATCTTCAAATCTCTGATCTACCAGATAGATGGGTTATTGATGCTAGAAAGGAAGACAAGGCATGGAATCAGCCAAATATGCAAGTTCCTGTCATCGAAAAACCCAAGGAGTGGATGAGTGAAATCATTAAGCTTAAAGCTTTATTCCACTCTTGTGAAGGCAGCCAGCAAGTTTTTGATCTTTTAAAAAAAGTGAAAAAAGCTGTAAATGACTTTGATAGCAAAAATGGTCATTCTCCTATCAAACTGCAAGCACCAGAGAACGTCAAGTATCCAGGAAGACGCAAAGGCAGCAGCCGTCCTAAATACTTGCCAAAAGACTTTGGTCACCCAATGTGGAGAAAGACAAGTGTCTTGGCTGGAACTGTAAGTTTTGTGATTTACTTATATTAAACATAGGACAAAACTAATTATCTTAATAGAATTATAAGCCGGGATTAAGGCAATGTACTGACAAAAAGTTACAAAGATGGTTGAAAAGAGTTTATCTGGCCTTAATGTCATAAGAAAACAAAAAAAAAATATTAAAAAAATCAAAAAAGAGCCTCTCGACTCAGGTAAGATGCGTTTTTAATTTAAAATTTAATTGAGTTTATGAGAACTCTTGTCTTATATATACACAACTCTCTTAGTCAATGCTACCAAAAACAAAACAAAACAAATTGAAAAGGAGTCTCTCAACTCAGATAAAATGCGCTATTATTTTACAATGTGATTGAATTCATTAAAAGTAATCTAATACTAGTACTAATATTTGTTTTAGTCGATGCCACCAAAAACAAAACAAAACAAGTAAAACAAGAGCCTCTCGACCTAGGTAATATGCTTTCTTATTTTACAGTGTAATTGAATCCATAAAGAGAAATATCGTCTTATACTTATATGCTTTTTAGTTGATGCCCCCCAAAGAAATGGGTTCGAAAGACCCGCCACTGCCTTAGAAGATTACCAGTATGATAATCGCACCTCTGTTGGCAAGAGGGTCAAATTCCAGCCCGGTTTTCCTGTCTCTCATGAGATAATCAATGATGTCAAGGGTGGGTTTAGCCCTACTGCTGACGGATGGTGTGGTTTTTGGGTTCTTGCCCACTTGATCTACAAAGATCAAAATAAGTTTTCACTTGTAAAAAGAGATATGCTAGCTGCCCTGCCAAAATACAAAACATTGTACACAAATACCTTTGGCACTGACACAAGCCAACTAGAAAAAATTATTCAACATGGCTCTCAACTCGATTATAGCAACACCAGCAACACCAACACCAACACTAACACCAATTTCATCCCAGTATGTTCAGATGCCAGTATGTGGTTTAACACATCCGACTGTGCTCAACTAGCTGCAGACACATATACACGACCAGTCTGCGTCTACTCAGACAGCCCCAACACCCCCTCAACAACCTCTCTTCCATTCGCCCTTCCCAACAACAAAACCAAACAACAACAACTTCTGATTTTTAATCCTGTTAACAGTAATCACTGGACAACAGTTGACCTTTCCCGTAATATCTCTAGAAAATGGCCAACTGTTCCCGAATTATTTTTTAGGTTGTGCCAGAAATAAGATTGATGAGAACTTTGATACTTACTGGAATAAGCTCAAAGAATTTAATAAGCATGACCACAGAAATGACATGCTCTCTCTCCATTCACAGCGAGATGAACCAATTGATCTTACTCCAAAATAATTTCTTTTCAATATTCTTTTCTATTTTTTTACTCTTTTAATTATACTTTATTACCTATATTTTATTAGCTAGATAATCTTTTTTAAATCATTATAAATCTTATCAATTTGTTTCTTTGCGTCAATATAAGCTATCTATCACTTGTGGGTTAAATGACTCTCTACTCTGTTTTTTCCTAGAGATCATTTGTGGGAAGTACTTTACCCTTCAAGTTACACTTATATCCAGCAAATTAAAAAGCATAAATATCGGATGGTGTTACACAGATCGAGCCAAACTATCTTCAAATATGTTATATTATGCATTTACATCTATCTATTTCATCAATTCAAGTGCTGGCTCTCTATAACTTTGGATCAAAGTAGTATATAAATATATGTATGTATGTTAGGAGTTTTAGTTGAATTGAAAAGATTGATCATGAGAAAACTAACGTAATATCTCAAAAATTTGCATTTTTTTAATAAAATAAAATATTGTATTTGCTTGTAGAATTACTTTTTTCTCATTTGTTTTCTATGAAACTTTTACTGAATTCATATATTATCTGAATATATGTAATTAAAAACTTTTTTTGGTCCTTTATGAATATTTTTTAATTTTCTGTATTTTTGATAAAATATCTCATGTACATGTTGTGAGAAAATGATAGAAAGAGTTTTTACAGAAGAAATAAAAATAAAAAATAAAAATAAAAACATGAATTTTATAAAAATATAATAACTTAACTGCTATGTAAACTTTCTTAGGCATAAAATGCTTCATTACCTTTATATCTATTATGAAAGTTTTTGAAAAAAAATGCAAATTATATGGATTATAATCTTTTCCACTTAAATCACATAAAATGAAAATATATGATTTATGCCTCAAGTTAAATTGTGAAAATATTACTCATTAGCAATAATAAGTATGTGATTTGTTGACAGGACCCAAATACATCATATATCTTACAAATACTCGACTTTAGCTACCATTTTTATGCAATAATTTTATACTATTTTTGCTTTTTTATCATATAACAATATATAAGAATTATATAAAAAAGTAAGCATATTAGTGTCTAGTTATTAATAATAATTCTAATTGACTCAGAATTTGTCTAAGATATGTTCTTTAAATGTAAACTATATTTGTTTTATAATTATTAGATACATTTTTTAAAATATGCAAAATTTATTAATATTATATTTATCCTCGGATGTTTTTGCAACTCGTTTTTTCTTTTTTGAAGAAGATTTACCAGTTTTTATTAGTTTTTATCTTAAATAAATATCAAAAAGAGGTAATATTTATTACATTAAAAAATATAAAAACCTTATTATAGTATTTAATAAAGAAATTCAAATTATAAAGATTTTATTTTTAACAAACAAGATATGAAAAGTTGTAACTTTTAAGAGATGACATTCCTAGGTGGGAGATGACGTTTTGACTAGATTCTAAACTCAGCCATATAAAGATGGCGGCTATGCTAATTGTAAATACTTTTCTGCAAGTCACAAATCCTTCCAAAAAAATTGGAATTTGTTTTATTGCGTAGAATTTTTTACGTGTTTTTGTTACTGATTTATTTATCAATACTATAATAGTGAATGATATCACTTTTGACCCTCGCACCTCGACCATCTACCGTTTCATGCCTACATATGAAAATGAGACAGAAGAATTTGTCTTTGAAGCTGAAGAAGAGTACTAGCTGTGGTTCACAAACAACCCAGCTTGCCATGCCAACTGGGTCGTTCAAAACAGCAACAAGTTGAAGAGAGAGGTTCCTGTTGGTGCTTTGATCGATCCCAATCTGATCAAAGTAACTCAGTATATTAAATGTGATCATTCTGGCACAAAGGCAGAGAGTTTGAAGAAGCAAGCAGTTGAAAATAATGAGCTCCCTGTTGTTAAGAGTAGAAATACCACGGGTAACAGCATCAAGGTGGGATGCTTGACTGCTTTAATTGTTAAGTTCTTTAATGGTGGTAAAGTAACAGTAGTTTACAACTGGAGGCATAATAACCACAATACTCTTGAGATTTCTGATATCTCTTGCTCTCGGCTCTCTGAAGAAGCCCGTATCTGGATCAATGAACACGTTGAGAAAAATCTTGACTGGAAAGCCATTAAGGGACTTCTAAGACTAGAAGATGTAAAACTAGAAGAGGTATTTTATTAATATATAGTGACGTTAAAATAAGATTTTATTATATATTTTTAATTATAATGTCTTTAATTAGATGGAGAACTCTATGTCAATGACATCTATTCCTTCTGCAATGATGATACAGTATAAAGATATTCATAATGCAATTGTAGCTAGAATCAACAACAGTGCTAGAAAGCACTACAAAGATGAGATAAGTACTGAAAGATGGATTGCTTTCCTTCAAGAAAAGGGCTACCAAACTATGTTTGACACATATAATTCTGTTGGGCCTCTTCTTGTAAGCTGGGTCTCCCCTTGGCAGAAGAAGGTAACTACAAGTATTACATATATATAGTCAAATATTTAAATATATATCAAAAAGAATATACTATTTATCACTTTAATTTATTTTATCATTAGTTTTTAGAAAATGCAGAGGAGTGGTATCTTGACTCAATTCACAAAACCTGCAAGTCTTTCCTTGACAACAAGGACTGTTATTTGATATCTGTGGTTGTATACAACCCTGTAACTAACAAGGGAGTTCCAGTTGCTTTCTTTGTTATCAGCATTGAATGTAGTTATATCATTGCAAGATGGTTGAACTGGTTGAAAGACACCAATAGCTTGAAGGTCAAACAGATCATGATTGACTGTAGCTCAATAGAGCAGAAGGCTATCCGGGATACATTTGGACCTTCAGTTCAAATTCTTTTGTGCCATTGGCATATCAAACGTGCTTGGGAAAGTCATGTCAAGAAGGTAATTTTATTAATGTATTTTACTTAAAACATTGAACCTATATTAACTAGTAATATTATTAGGTGACAATCCCCAACACCCACCTTGAGACCAAGAATGTCCGGGCCAACATTCGTGCTGCATTGAACTTGATAATGCATAGCAATAATGAAGCTGACTACAATGCTCATTGGCAAAAGTTCAGATTAGACTATGGCATGCAGTTTTCTGTCTTAATATCTTATATGGAGGTTACATGGGAACCAAAGAAAAGAGTTGGGTTAAGGCATAGAGACAGATATATTCAATATTGTTTTTTTTTGTCTGGTTATAAAAACTAATTTATAATTATTTTGTAGGATGCTGTATGCCATACAAACAATTTAATAGAGTCTTATCATAACTAACTAAAGTCCTTTTATTTAGGCTGGTCTCGCAACTGTAGAATTGACAAGATTGTATATATACTTTCTCAGTTAGCTGAGAGAGATTACCATCAGGATACTCTTGAGACCTATTTTGGTATTAAGAGCATCAGGCTTAGTGTGACTGACTCAGAACGAAAGAGAAAGGCCAGTGTTATTGCTATCAAAAGAGCAAATGGTCTGGTTGAAGAAGTTGAACTGCAAAAATTGCAAGCATGCAAGGTAATATTATATAAAACATTTGCTTATATAATTTATAATTTATAATTAATATTATTATTTTAGATGTATTCTTGCAAATCTTTTGGAGAGGGTTGTGAACTGGTATACTTTATCAAGTTCACAACCCACTTACATGATTGCTCTTGCCCAGACTCTGCTAGATTGTGCAAACATATCTTCTTGGTCTCTCGAGTTTTTGACCTGCCAGTGACAGTAAGACGAAATGTCGTACTGGATTCAGCTGCGTTGTTTGGCCTTGGTGAAAACGATGGCAATATTATTTCAGAAGATAATATTGCCTTGTTGGAAAACCAAATGAGCAAAGATGAGCAGAAAGCAAATCTTCTGCTTATGAATGAAAGTTTGGAGAGAATTTGGAAGCAGGTGTATATCTCTTCCAAAACCTTTGAGCAAAAAGAAGTCTTGTTGGACCTTATGAAGAAGGTAAACTCTGTTGTTAACCCAACTAATGAGTTGCGAAAGCAGACCTAAAGTCATAGATTACAAGACTTCTCTTTCAATTTATTTTTTTCTCAATAAACATCAAATTTCTACTCTCTTCTTTAATATAAAAGACTTATATAAACTATAAAATCTAATGTATAAAAATTGCCTTGTGAAAATTATTCACTAGACATAAAAAATTAAAATTTAGTTTGTACTTAAAAATAATTAAAAAAGTAAGATACTTTTGGCATTTTCAGCACAAAATATCCCCCCTATGTTTTTTCCTTTTTTTCTCAAATATTGTGCTCTTTTTTTGAAGAAATACAAGATACTATTGGCTGAATCTGCGTGACTTGCAGAAAAGTATTTACGATTAGTGTTATTCTAAAGATGGGAGATGACCTTTTGATCAAAGTATAAACCCCAACAAATAGGTGTGGGAGACGACGTTTCCAGAGTAGGAGACAACATTTGTTTATTAGGGTATACTGTCTTAAAGTAGCATGATAGGCATCCATTTTATTATTATATACATATATAAAATAATGCATGAATATATTGTATATATATATGTATAAAATTACATATTTACTATGATGCTTTTACATTTAGCCAAAGCTATTATCTTGTCTTGCATTAAAGTATCTTTATTATGATAAGTATGAATCCTTAGGGACCTGATGTAGTTATTTGATGCCGGAAAGCAAGTCACGATTTGTGGTCCAGTAAAATCAAAATGTCGTCTCCGACCTGAAAACGTCATCTCCCATCTGGAAACGTTGTCCCCCTAGGATTAGCAAACATGTATTCTACTTCCTTAGATTTTGTTTTGTTTTTGCTTGAAAATAAATAAAGTCTAAAGTATACCCTTACAAAAATAAATAAATTATATGACATTGTTTTTATAATTCTAAGCAGTAGCATTAGATGAGCCAAAAAAACTTAACACTATTGGGAAAGAAAGCTAATTGAGCAAAGCATTAAAAACATTTTTTTAGGATAGCCTTAAGATTATTTTAAAAATACATACTATCTTTTGTAAAGCAAAGCAGAAGGTCATATAAGCATTGTTTATCAAAACCATTACTTCCAAAGACTTAAAATTTAATATATATCTATTCTTGCTCCAAGTTTATTTGTTGATCTTAATATTCAAATAAAATGATCAGGCAGTTGTTTTCCATTGCTGATTTATCTTGACTAGTGCTCTTATCTGTCTTTAACTGTTTGTGCATAATTACAAGAAGTTTATGATAAGATTTATAAAGCTATTCAATCAAGTGTTCAATACATGTTACAAGATGATGATGATAGCAAAGGGTAACATTTTATTTATTACTTAAAATACTTATAATGTGTATATTGAGGTATTCAGGATTGTTTATGGGTTAGTATCTCAATAATGGGAAAAGTAGATACTGTGAGAGTATTATTTATTAAAGAGACAAAATAATATTGTTTATATCTGCTACTATTCAAATCCCTATAATTCAAATCCCTGTTGTGTAATGGTTGGTTTATACTGTATGAGTGTGTAGTATACGTGTGCCTGGTGTGTAACAGTTCTGGAGATTGTTAACTTGCCAGGTTCATTAGCAAGAAGGAACCAGTGTTTGGTTGTAGGGTCTGTTCTTCACTCAATTGTGGTGTGTATACCACATATATTATTAAAGTAGATTAGGAAAGAAAAAACTTTGAAGTCATTTTTTTTGTTTTGAAAATTAAAATACATAAAAAAACGTCACAAAAAATAGTAAAAGCAAGAATCTATTGTACAGCACTGGAAAGCCTTCAGATAAGATGTACACATAAGTTTAGCATACAAATTATTAATTATAGAAGTTAGAGACAAAAACATGTTTTTATTAAGCTTGTCAAGCCTTACTCTAAAGAGCAAGAGAAAGAAATGAGCCCTTTGTCCAGGGCATCAACTAACATTTCTTTCTCAATATCTTCCATAAGACTGAGTAGCACAAAAGACATCTTTTCTGGCCATCCAATGGCTCTGATGGTGCCTTTTTTGTTTTTGATTGTTTTCCAAGGGAAAGATTTTCTTGTTTCCCCAGTTTCTTCTAAGAAATTGATAATATAAAGTAAATGTTAATTTTGATATTTTATAGACTTACTATTGAACAAGCTTATCAAACGTTTGTTCATCTTATTCCTAAAGTTGTTGGCAGCAATGGTCGCAGGTTGTATTTCTTGCACTATGACAGAAAAATAAATTAAGATAAAATAAATAATACATCTATTATATAATACTTACTTGGGCATCTTTTGACGTTTCCCATTGCTTCCAAGAAACTCTTCGGAGTGCCATCTTTCTCAATACACTTAAAAAATATTGAAGACATATCTCCTGACAAGAGGCGGCCAATCTTTTGACTGGAGCTGGTGCCTGACTCCCAGAACAGAAACAGACTATCGTAGTTCATCAATAGCTTCATTGTGTCTATGATGGTCAATATGGATTTTGCATCACGTTTGACATCAGAGACAGAAGATTCCTGGTGAAGAGTAGCGGAATCTTCTTTCGCCATCTCGTAATATCTGCCTTTTTCTAAAGGACCCATCGAGTTGCATGAATCAATGATTTCCTCATGTCTGTAGTTTTCCTCTAAAAATATATTTCAAATTGTTACAAAACTATTGTTTTACTTGTAATCAATGCAGTTAATTGTATTACTGTCAAGTTTTCTCTTGTTATTCATCTCCTTAGTGTAAAGATTAAAAGGATTTTTTTTTAATCTTTTTGGGCCCCAAAACAGTATTGCTGAAATTATAGGCAGCTTCAGCTATGTTTTCAACAACCTTTTGTTGCAAATTAAATTCTATAGCAAAGCTAATTTCGAATTCTTTTCTACGCTGCAATTCTAATCACAGTTTTTCTACTACATTGGTTGGCAAGTTTGCAGCATCATTCAAGAAGTTATTAACGTTCATTTTTAGGTATTTAATATATAATAATAAGAATATGAAATAAAATAAACAATTATTTCAGTTGTCTTGGAATAATGACCAGATGACGTGTCAATTCATCTGATGGGAACCTGATTTTGCTACCAATCATATATTGTAATTTATTAGTAACTAATGGTAAAATTATTAGCCTTACACTAGATAACTAGATAAGTAGATAACACTATGCAGTTAGCAAATGTGACAAATAATTTGGCAGGGGAAATTTGCATTTTGATAAATGAAAATTGTTATCCAGATTTGTGAGATGCTTTCTGTACATATATCTACCAATCTGGTCACATTGTTAATTAAAACGGTTTTTCCAGTATTTATTTCCTATCTAAAAATTATTTACAAACTTGATAATTACCAGTGTTATTGATTCTGCAACTTAGTTACAAGTGCCAGAAAAGAAATATCATATTGAAACCTGATAAACTGATGAATAATCACTCTACTGTATTTTCACTAATTATTTGCTAACTTTGAATAAATTATTCACACATTGTTAAATAAATTTTCACATATTTTCTCCAATTAAATTCACATACTTTACTCAATAATAATTCACACATTTGAATTTTATTTTCACACAAAATTATAAGAATAATATCACCTAATATTTCAAAAAATCTATGAAAAAAAAGTGAAGAAGTCTAATAGTTAAGGCTGATTCGTTCTTCTATGACTTTTTTTCCCTCACTCTAATGTTAAAAACAGCGATCTTAGGGGATGGGGGTAATAGCACAGCACAATTTAAGGTGACTGCAAGTCCAAGGCCCAGCTATAAAGTGTCTTGAAAACCCTTCTATTCCCATTCTTTATAAGCACATCTTGCTTGATTGTTATAACCACACCCATGTTCCTATCTTTAGGTCATTCAAATTTTTCAGAAAAAATAAAAACACATCTTTTTTTAAAGTTATTAACATTTAGTTGTAAGAATAAAAAATAATATTTCCAAATAATAAGATATGATGCCTTTTTTACATTGTGTATATTACATACATTGCATATATTGCATACATTGCTTACATAAATCAATAAAAATATTTATATAACTACAGTAGCCTTTTATTAAATATGAGCACCAATTTTAATACTTTTATTGAGAAGATATACTCACTTAAAACAACTCTCTTATTTCTCAAGAATTGTTATCCTGACAAGCAGAGTATTTTTCAAGCCATAAACAATTATGCCCTTTCTAATAACTTCCTTGTTAAGATTAAGGATAGAAAATTCTCTATCTTTTACATTGCTGGTTAAAAGGTTTGTATTTATTGTGACAAGAGCAATATAAGTGATAAGAAAAGAAAGATGGCACTCAACTCTTCTCTTACTAAATGTCCCTATCACTTAAGATTTTCTTATAAGAAGAAGAGCAAAGGATATCTTCCTTTGTCTACATATGGGAAAAAAGAACATTGCCACAATCACCTTGTCACCCCTGAGAATTTGGTTTTTTCTTATCAAGAAAGAATGTCTCTTTTGACTGTTAAAGATATTACTATTGCAAAGACAATATTAGAGAATCACGCTAAGTCCTGTGATGTTCAGAAGGCAACAAGTGACAAAGTGACAGGTGTTATGTATGAGGTAAAAATAAGATATAAAATAAAGCAAGTGCAGACGAGAGTACGGTGAGACTTTGTTTTATTAGAAGAAGTGAAAGAATCAGAAAAGAGATGCTGTTCTATTGCTATTAGTATTGTGCGTTTATATAGACATTGTATTTAGCTTGGTGATGATATGATGATATCATGTAATGTCTGTTTCTCTACCATTATCTTCTATGATTTAGTTCTTATGTTTTTAATGTTATTGACTAGAGTCTTAGTATTTGTCTTAGTATGTTCTTTACGTAATTTCCTTGTATAAGGGAAGATATATCTTTTAGTATTGTTACTAGTTGTCGGTAACTCAATGTATGTATTTGTTGAGTGTCTGTACTTTTAATTTAAATCTACGATGATGTTGGATACAACAACAGGAATAAGAAAGCTGAGAATCAGCAATATCAACAATCTCAAGTATAGTGCTACTTGTTGTAATAAAAAATCTGCCCATGGCACTACTGAGCTCAACAAAACAATGGAAGCAAAGGGATATTCCATTCTTCACAAGTTTAATAAGAGAAATAGACTCACACCCATATTTTTTACAGATAATATAATGATCAGGAGAGCTTGACATTTATCTGATATCTTTATTAGAGCATCTGTAGCAGTAGCATTTCTATTAGTATTAATTTAAGTGCTCACAAGCCACATCTGAGGTTTAAATCAGTAAAAATATTAAGGGTAAAATATCAGTAGCATAATAAAAAGAAGCATTTAGATAATTATATTATCTGGTATAGTCTTCTTCACTAGTAAAATTCATTCTTATTAGATATTTTTCTTTTATATTTAATATAAAAAATACAAGTTAAATGTTCTCGAGACTATCAGCTTTGTAGTGAGCATAATTTTTGTGAGTTTTTGTAAATGTTACTATATACTATTATTTGATTTAAAGAAAAAAATAACAAAGAAAAACGATTTAAATACTTGGCAAGTTTTTAAAATGAGCATCCATTTTTATACTCAAGATCATAAAAATCGCGGAGCATGTAAATACATGCTTGTGGTGATCCAGACACTTGGATGTTGGATTTATCACATATAAGAACATATTCATATTGGGATAGCGTAGTAGCTATCATCTTGTCAGTATAAAATATATATAAACGATTAAGTAATCAGCCCAATAATTATTACAGTTAGTACTGTAGATAATATCTTAAAGATTGTTAAGATAATTATATCATACTGCTGGGTAAACTGTGTCAGATCGATATGGAGCTAATTTAGTAGGAAGTTCTAAAGCTCTAGTATAAAAGAGAAAAGAATAGCTAAGAGCTAAAAAAGTATAATTTATGACTTGATGTCATAATTGTAACACCGACACTAGTTAAGCAGTAAATACACTCTAATAACCAAATATAGTAAAGGAAGAAAGCCTTAAGAAACTAAGACGTAATGACAAGAGCAGATTGTGTTTTCTTATAAAAAGGGACACTTTTTATTTATGAATAAAAAAAAGACTTATATACAGTCTCAAAGTATTTCTATACGTCTCTATTATCAAATATTTTATTTTTCTATTGTTTCATACCTGAAATACCACAATGCTGTTGGAAATACTACTGCTACAGACAATTTTTTTTGAAAAGCATTTACAAAAAGCATTTAAATTGGGAAAAACTAAATTTAAATGCTACTGCTGCAAATGCTCTTAGGGGGTTTCATTATCTGTTTTAGGTTTTTTTATTTTTTCTGGGATTGAAAAACACTAATTATTGGCTGGTAAAAATCTCTCAAAACAATAAAATCTCAAAACTTGGCTTGATAATTTTAAGACTTTATTTTATTTTTGACTTAGCATTTTTATTCAAATATTACAAATAATAAAAAGCATTATTTTACTCATATTTTCTGTCTATTTTGATAGAAGTAATACATTATATTATTTAATATGTCTTAAATATGCTTATTCAAAGACTTTTCATAAATTTTAGCCCATCAGTAGCTTTATGCAAACAGTAAATATATCTAGAATAATAAATAAAAAAGTGATTTTTTAAAAGATGTTATACATTAAATTAGCTAACATAAGTGGTGTTCAGTAATATTTTTTTATATTCATTATTATTGGTTAAAACTTAAAGCTTAGAAAAAATAAAATAAAATGTAAAGCAGATAATGAAACCCCCTATTGTGGATGCTACATACAAGACAAACTGTGCAAAGATATCATTGGTTTGCATAGAGAGTGTCTATAATCTAAGTAGAGAAAGATTGAGGAGCTTTTCTGTGATCTTTGCATAGGTAGCCAATGAGACAAAGAAGAGCTATGTCTGGTTTGTAAAGTCTCTGAAAGCAATTGTTTTGGAGGTGGTTGATAAAGCCCCTATATTTGTTACAGACAAATATAAAAAATTGATTAATACACTTGATTCCAAATTTCCTTTGGCCAAGAAGCTTCTGTGTGATTGACATATGATTAACAACATTGCCAAAATAACAAAAAAAACAATGAAGCCAGAAAAAAAAGAGAATTGTGCACACATTTATTTAACAAAATAATTTTTGTAGATAAACACAATGTCTTTGATGAACATCTTGAGCTTTTCAAATTGCTATCATCTCAGAAAGATTTCCAAAGTAAAGAGCAGCTGGAAGTCAACAATGATATTTCTACAAAGGTTATAGAAAAAAGAACTCTGGATAAGTACTTTGAAGATGAGTGGATGTCATGTGGTGATCCAGACACTCAGATGTTGGATTTAGCACATATAAAAACATATTCATATTGGGATAACATAGTAGCTATCATCTTGTCAGTATAATATATATATAAACGGTTAAGTAATCAGGCCAATAATTATTACAGTTAGTACTGTAGATAGTATCTTAAAGATTGTTAAGATAATTATATCATATGGTCAAATAAACTATGTCAGAGCAATATGGAGCTAATTTAGTAGAAAGTTTTAAAGCTCTAGTTGTAATATTTCAGGTACGAAACAATCAAAAAATAATAAATTTGATAATAGAGACGTATAAAAATACTTTGAGACTGTATATAAGTTGTCTTTTATTCATAAATAAAAAGTGTCCCTTTTTATAAGAAAACACAATCTGCTCTTGTCATTACATCATAGTTTCTTAAGGCTTTTTTCCTTTACTATATTTGGTTATTAGAGTGTATTTACTGCTTAACTAGTATCGGTGTTACAATTATGACATCAAGTCATAAATTATACTTTTTTAGCTCTTAGCTATTCTTTTCTCTTTTATACTAGAGCTTTAGAACTTCCTACTAAATTAGCTCTATATCGATCTGACACAGTTTACCCAGCAGTATGATATAATTATCTTAACAATTGTTAAGATATTATCTACAGTACTAACTGTAATAATTATTGGCCTGATTACTTAATCGTTTATATATTTTTTATACTGACAAGATGATAGCTACTACACTATCCCAATATGAATATGTTCTTATATGTGATAAATCTAATATCTGAGTGTCTGGATCACCCCAATTGTCTTTATGAATCTCAAAAACATTGCTCTTGGGCTCAGAATCTATGTTGCTTGTGTTGTCATTCATCATGTTTTTGGAATTGTCATTCACAATGTCACTGACATTTTCATTTACCATATCTACTACTTCAGGAGACAATATTATATTATATAAATTTATTAAATTGCCGCATAAAATAAAATAAAATAAAATGTATAGTGTTTCTCTACGTACAATATTGTCTTTGAAAATTTCTTTGCACATCATCAGCAAAATGTCTATGGCATGTCTGAGTGGAGACCATAGCAAAATATCCACCATTGGGAGAGTACACTGAACAATTGCATTTAACTAGGTTGTACTTATTAGACATTTTAAGTTTGCTTGCGTTTATAAAATTTGTGCAAACAGGAATGTATTCAATAGCATAGTTTATTTTTATAGTTTTTATTTTTTTTAGATAACCATTAAAAGATGCAATATGTCTTATATCCAATAGAAAAAGCTACATAGTATTATTGCTGCCAAAATTTGAAAACATAATGGAGTTCGAATTTGATTAACTTGTCTTTTTGGTTCTACTCAACTTTCCCATGGTGAAATCATATAATTTTTGCAGTGGGCATTGGAGATTGTCACCTAATAATATTACTAGTTAATATAGGTTCAATATTTTAAGTAAAATACATTAATAAAATTACCTTCTTGACATGACTTTCCCAAGCACATTTGATATGCCAATGGCACAAAAGAATTTGAACTGAAGGTCCAAATGTATCCCGGATAGCCTTCTGCTCTATTGAGCTACAGTCAATCATGATCTGTTTGACCTTCAAGCTATTGGTGTCTTTCAACCAGTTCAACCATCTTGCAATGATATAACTACATTCAATGCTGATAACAAAGAAAGCAACTGGAACTCCCTTGTTAGTTACAGGGTTGTATACAGCCACAGACATCAAATAACAGTCCTTGTTGTCAAGGAAAGACTTGCAGGTTTTGTGGATTGAGTCAAGATACCACTCCTCTGCATTTTCTAAAAACTAATGATAAAATAAATTAAAGTGATAAATAGTATTTTTTTTGATATATATTTAAATATTTGACTATATATATATGTAATATTTATAGTTACCTTCTTCTGCCAAGGGGAGACCCAGCTTACAAGAAGAGGCCAAACAGAGTTATATGTGTCAAACATAGTTTGATAGCCCTTTTCTTGAAGGAAAGCAATCCATCTTTCAGTACTTATCTCATCTTTGTAGTACTTTCTAGCACTGTTGTTGATTCTAGCTACAATTGCATTATGAACATCTTTATACTGTATCATCATTGCAGAAGGAATAGATGTCATTGACATAGAGTTATTCATCTAATTAAAGACATTATAATTAAAAATATATAATAAAACCTTATTTTAATGTTACTATATATTAATAAAATATCTCTTCTAGTTTTACATCTTCTAGTCTTAGAAGTTTTTTAATGGCTTTCCAGTCAAGGTTTTTCTCAACATGTTCATTGATTCATATATGGGCTTCTTCAGAGAGCCAAGAGTGAGAGATATCAGAAAGCTCAAAAGGATTGTGGTTATTATGCCTCCAGTTGTAAACTACTATTACTTTACTGACATTAAAGAACTTAACAACTAAATCAGCCAAGCATCCCACCTTGATGCTCTTACCCGTAGTATTTCTATGCTTAACAACATGGAGCTTGTCATTTTCGTGTTGTAGTGGTTGAAGTTGAAGAAGTTTTTAGGAGGAAGAATTGAAGATTTGAGATTAGGAACAAAGATTCGTGAGAACTTGTGTAGGTTTTGTTTATTGAGAAAGGATTTTGTATCAAAGTTTGACCAGGTTTCTACACTGAACTACTACTGCTATTTATATTGTTTTGGATTGGGAAAATTATATGACTGGGGTCAGGTAATCGATCCTATCTGAGCCTTAATCAGAGCAACGTGATCTTAGGATAATTAATGTATGATTAATTATATAAATGTGTGTAGTCCCAATGAAGTATTAACATCAAAAGTAAATGTGTTTATGAGTTATAATTATGCTTATAATAATCCACTGATATATCTCATATTACGGTGATATCATCATATGAAATATAATCATTATCATGCATGCTAAACCTGTGTGTTAAATAATAAAGTAATTGGTAAACACCTTTGACTGAAATAGCTGAGACCTTATATTATTTCCTTCAGACTTATTCTCAATTACAGCAGTAGTCAATACTCATTTACAACAAACTGCTTGCTTCTTCGAACTCTCTGCCTTTGTGCCAGAATGATCGCATTTAAGATACTAAGTTACTTTGATCAGATTGCAATCAATCAAAGCACCAACAGGAACTTTTCTCTTTAACTTGTTGCTGTTTTGAATGATCCAGTTGGCATAGCAAGCTGGGTTGTTTGTAAACCATAGCTGGTACTCTTCTTCAGCTCCAAAAACAAATTCTTCTGTCTCATTTTCATATGTAGGCATGAACTGGTAGAAGGTCGAGATGTGAGAGTCAAAAGTGATGTCATTCATTATTATAGTATTGATAAACAGAATCAGTAACAAAAATGCGTAAAAAGATTCTACACAATAAAACAAATTCCAATATTTTTTGAAAGGATTTGTGACTTGCAGAAAAGTATTTACAATTAGTGTGTCGGATATTATTTTGATGAATCTGTAAAATCTGAAGATAGTTAACCGCAGAACCTCTTTATGCACAGTAACATCTTTCTGAGCATTAACTACAGTATAATGACTCTTCTTATATTTAAATATAATATAATAGCTAATGTAAATAATGCACAGTATTAGTCTAGAAAACTATATAAAACAATTCAATTCATATCAATAAAAGATATCTTTTATTCTTTCTTTGATTTTATGTATACTCCTTGATCCCCAGTGGGTTCGACCTTTTGACTTTGTTATAGTAAAAGGAAGACCAACCCAGATCAGGAACAACACACTCTGACAGCTGCACAAAAAAAAACAGTTATTATTAAGTTCAAAAAGTCCTCAAATTCTGCAAAAGTTGGAGAAGCTGGGCGTCGATCCCAGTGCCTCTCGCATGCTAAGCGAGCGCTCTACCATTTGAGCTACATCCCCTGTCACTCATCGTCGTTCTGGAGCATTGGCTGCTATGGCAACTCTTACTGCTGTTGGTGCATGTAGATCTGGTTTCAGTTTGCTCTTAAGTTCACGTCTGTTCAAAACCTTTATACGACCAAAATTCGAGTATGGTCTTGCAATCACATGTCTTTTGCAAAAAGATGTTTTACTTCTAGAGAAAATTCAAGATAAATGCTTGCGAATGATTGTTGGTGGCCATGCAACTTCATCTACTGCAGTCTTGAAACATATCTGCAACCTGCCCAGTATGGCTTTTCGCGTTGACATTCTCAAAACAAAATTTTGTCTTCGGGCACACACTCTTCCTTCTGGTTGTCTTCTCTCTCTGCTCCATTCTCATCATCTCCAAGCATCAACACTATCCACTCTTCACACAAACCCTCTTTTTGCCAGCATTCCCCCTGATCTTAATTGCTCCAGCCGCATAAAACTATCCAAGCACTTTGAGTCTTTTAGACAAGAAAAGTTTGCTCACTTTCGTCTCACCAACACTAAGATTCTCATCCAAGCTTGCCGCCCTCTTCTTGAAGTTGATCCTGTATTGTTTCTTCCTGCTACATGCATAGAACGTGGCCGTCTAGTACGTTGGAGAATGGGCTGGTTGCCTGGTAAGCCAAAGGAGTGTGCATGTGGCTTTGATCATACTTCAAGACGCCATCTCCAATTCTGCATCACAATCCCATCTCAGCTGTTCTCTCAACTTCCAGCACCACCCACAGATGAAGACAACATCATTGACTTTGCTATATCAGCACTACCAATCTCGTCTACACATCCAAGCCCTCTATATTGGAAAGCTCTTCTTACAATACTATGGCATATTGACATGCTATGCAATCCTAATGGCAACTACACACATGAAACCGATCATGGTTCTCTCTGGCACTAGCTCTAATAATTTAATATCTGTTTTCTTTTACTTCTTTTCTTCTTATTTTTGTCTTCTCATTCATGAAAGGTTTCTAGATCTGCAATTCTGTCTCCTCCCTTTCACTGTTACAACTTTTTACACAGCTGCAAAGTGGAGAGCAGGTTCAGTCTTTTAGCTTAGTATTGTTTATTTCTCTTCTTCTATTCATTTTTTTGTCTTTTGTGATCCTTTTGGACTTTTTTTTTCTTTTTCTTTTGTACTTAGGAGGCTATATGATCTATAGATCGCCAGCGATATCTCCTTAATAAAAATAATCTTTAACCTGAGCTACATCCCCTCGTTCTGGTTTTCTCTGCTGCTTAGTTTACAATTGTATAAGACCTTTGTCCGCCCAAAGTTTGAATATGGTTTGGCGATCTCCACTCTACTGAAACAAGATATCAAAGTGCTGGAGTCCATTTAAGATAAGTGTCTTCGCATGATTGTTGGGGGGCATGCCACGTCCTCTACAATTGTGTTAAAGCACATCTGCAATCTGCCAAGTATGAAGTTTTGTGCCGATGCTCTTATGGCCAAGTTCTGTATAAGATCATGCTTTTTGCCAGCCCAGTACCTTCTGTCTCTTTTGCACCATCATCATACCGTCTATTCTTCACTTGTCTCCTTGGAAAAAACCCATCTTCTGTCTAATCTCCCTCCAACACTCAAACTTCGAAGCCCTAGTGCTGTAAAAAATCATTTTGAAAGCATTAGAGAAGCTGGATTTGCAATCTTTCTCCAGTCCAATACACAAGTTCTCATTCAAGCATGCCGCCCAGTTCTTGGAGTTGATCCAATCTTGTTTTTGCCAGCCTCACGTGTGGAACGTGGCCGTTTGATTCGTTGGAGAATGGGGTGGTTACCAGGCAAACCAAAGGAATGTCCTTGTGGATCAGATCACACCTCACACCGCCATTTGTTGGATTGCCCACTTGTTCCTATGGCACTATTTGAACAGTTGCCTCAACCTGACCAAGATCAGATACACAGAATTGATTTTGCCATCACATCCTTGCCTTTGTCATCTCAAGAACTGCGATCTGCTTACTGGATACCACTGCTGACTATTCTCTGGCACATAGATGTTATATGTAATCCTGATGGTGACTATTCACATGAGACTGAACATGGTGCTCTTTGGATATAATTTAGACTTTTTCTTTTCTTTCATAGCTCTTCACTTTCCATTGTTCTTTACTCCCTTTATCTCTCTTCTTTCTCTTTTGTTCTTTGCTGTCTGAAAAGTTCTTTGTTCTGCAATTCTGTCTCCTCCCTTTCACTGTTACAACTATTTTCACAGCTGCAAAGTGGAGAGCAGATTCAGCCATTGAAGCTAGTATGATTTGATCTTCTCTTTCCCCTCTCTTTTTTTTGTCTTTTGTGATCCCTTAGGACTTTTTTATATCTTCTTTTTGTACTTTGGAGGCTATATGATCTATAGATTGCCAGCAATATCTCCTTTAATAAAATATAATCTTTAACCTGAGCTACATCCCCACTTCTCTTTCACGTAAGCTTCACTTTTTTAAATTTTGGGGTTTTTAAAGTTTGCATCTATACAATTCTATCATCAATCCATTCAAAATATTGCTTCAACCATTGCATCCATTGTCAAACACGACGCATCTACCCTTCCCACCACCGCATCCATTGTCAAAAATTTTTTTCCTATCGTTCCTGCCATTTTATCACCAATTTTCACTTTTTCTCTGCCGATTGCTGCCATCTCAAGATCATCGCCAAACATGTCGCAATTGTTGCCTGCTAATTGTATGCAAAGTCTGCCAGCCGAACTTGTGACGTTTTTAACCAGTATGCAGTCACAGTTCAATGCACTTAACAAACGTACAGCACATTTGGAATCTCTTGCTGTCAAAATTGTCTAATTGCATGCTCAATTAGCTAATGTCCGGCAGGAGAATGCTGATCTCCAATCTTAATTGTTGCAAAACAATGTGACTGGTCCTGTTCCCAGCTCTGCTTCTCTTCCTGCACTCCAGTCAACTGCAGATCTTGGAACTGCTGCCTCCACTTGGGCCACCAAAACAAGCTTGATTCTGCCAGCCAAGACACCTTGAGTTCCTTCTGCCTGCCGGGTTGCTGCCTCTCAAAGACTGTTCTCTGACAAAACTGGTCCTGATGGTTTTGAATATGTTTATATTCCTTGCTCACGTCGAATTACACACAGTGAAGTGCGCCGCTCTCTCCGCACTCTTGGTGTTGACACTGGTCACCTGTTAGATATTAACTTTCCTGCTCATGGAGTTATTGGAATTCTTGTTCATGTGCAGTATCTTGAGGAATTTAAGTCCCAATTAGCTAGTGCTAAGGTCTCTCTTGCCAACAACTTTGATCCACTTGATCCTAAAAATGTTGCTGATCCCAAGTTTGCCAACTTGTCTGTCTTTGGTCTTGAAACCCAGGCTTTGGTTCTCCAAAATGCCTGCTGTCTCCAAGCTCTCAAGTTTTTGCGTTCTCACTTGGTCCTGCCAGTTGCTCACTTCTTTGTCTAGTCAGGATGGATTGGACTTGAGGAAATTCCTGTCCGACCAGTAGCTGAGCACTTTGGTGATGCTCCAAACAAAAAACGTGCCCTTGATGCTCTCACTGCTATGGTTGAATGAGTGACCTTTCAATAGGATTATGGAATGCTAATGGGCTTCAACCTTGTGCAATTACAGACGTGCTCAATCACTGTCAATCTCTTCATATGCTTTTTATAACTGAAACATGGCTCTTATCCCCAGCCCGTCTTCTGACCTCATGGTCTCAGTTTCATCTCTATGGATCTCCTGTTGCTGGCAACTACCACGGATCAATGGGGGTGTCATTGTTAGTCTCTCCTTCCTGTCCTTATGCTGTCACACAAATACCTATGCCCAACAACTATGCTCTTGCTGTCAAGATTGGTACCCTTTGACTTATATGCCTTTACTTATCACTCTCTATGCCCACTCATGAAGCTCTTGATATTCTCTCAGCCATTCCTTTAACTGATGATACCATTATATGTGGAGATTTTAATGCACGCCTTGGTTCAGTAACTGGTGACTATGCATCTAACCCTCGTGGTGTAGCTTTAGAGCAATGGCTTGAAGAACGATCTTTAACTGTCCTCAATGGAGTTCTCTCACCATGCACACCCACATATATTTCCTTTCGTAACAAAGTTGAAATCAGCAGCATCATTGACCTTTTTATCACCAACACCAACTTTGCCAACCCTTCTTTACACATTGCAACCAAACTATCTTTAGGCTCTGATCACCGACTTCTCTCACTTTCCTTTACTTATGACCTGCAACACTCACCACCAGCACCTCCACCTATGTGCCAAACTTGGAATCTGTCACGTCTTTATGAAGAAGATGTCAGATCATTATATGTCACCACCTTTGTCACCAAATCCGCCTCCATTCTCACCACACTACAAGACCTTGTTCAGAATCCGCCAACTATATGTCCACCCATTGATACTCTTACTAACTCTTTCAATGCACTCATTTATGACTCTCTTAGTAGCTCAATTGGTTCTCGCCCCCCTCGCCCCTCACATTGGAAATCGTTTTGGACCCCTGCATTGCAAGCTGCAGCCGACCATAGAGATGATTGTTACAAGCAATGACGTCGAGCTTGTGGCATTGACAAGATCAATTGGTGGAGCCGGCACCAGCATGCACACAAGGAGTTTCGTCAGCAAGTTCAGACAGCAAAGCATTTGTCTTGGCATGCTTTTTGCCACTCAATGAACTCGGATTTCAACAAGGCCACATCTAAGATAAAACAGTTGAAACGGCGCAGGCAACTACAACACACATTTCAGCATGATGATGGCCCAGCAGTCGCAGCAACAGTTATGTGTGATCATCTTGCATCTGTCTATAGTGGACATATTCTTCCTGACATTCGACCTTCACCACCACCACTCAACATCTCTCTCATGCCTTTTGCCTCTGTTGACTCCCCATTCACCTCATCAGTGGTGGAGGCCTTCATGCAATTTATGCCTAACCGCAAGGCGCCAGGTCCTGACCACATCCGTGCAGAAATGCTAAAACCCATTTGGTCTCACATCTCACCTCTCCTTGCCTGTCTTTTCACCATCTGCTGGCAATGGTCATACACTCCTTCTCTCTGGCGCCAAGCCCAAGTATTTCTTATATTTAAAAAGGGTAACCCTCAGAATGCTGCGAACTACCGTCCCATCTCCCTTACTTCTGTGGTGTGCAAGTTGTTTGAGATGTGCATAGCTCCTGAGTTGCATAAGTTCTCTCCTCCTCTGGATGTTGCCCAAGGTGGATTTCGTTTTTGCCGTGGTGCTCTTGATCAAGCTCTCTGTCTGCATGACCTGATGAAAGCTCATTTTCATCGTCATCACCACTATCCAGTAGTTGCTTTCTTGGATATCAAAGCAGCATATGACACTGTAGATTGGCATGTAATTTGGGATGCCCTTTTCAGACGATCCATACCACCTGCTCTCCTTGGACTTTTGGTCAATATGTTTGATGATGTGTCTATCTCAGTTCTTCTTGGAAATTTCACCTCACATTCATTTTCACCCAAGACAGGTGTTCTCCAAGGTTCAGTTCTTAGTCCTCATCTTTACTCCATTTATATCAACTCCCTGCCAGCTCTTCTCTGCACAGTTGCATCTCCCCTCACTTCTACCTATGTACTATCATCATCTCCCTCCTCATTGGATGCATATCAGTCTCTTCTTGCTCCTTCATGTGTGGATGGCTACCAGCACGCAGTCTCATCAACGCCAATAAATACACTTCTTTTTGCTGATGATGTGGCAATATTTGGTTCTGCTCATGATGTTCAGACTATGCTCCATTTGGCTGCCCAACACTCATTTGCTCTTGGTTTTCGTTGGAGTCCATCTAAATGTGCTATCATTTACCCTCCTTCTCGTTCTGCAAACCATTCAGATCTATCTCTATATGATGAGATTCTTCTTGCAGTGGAGGAATTTATATATCTTGGTGTTCCCTTTCGCAATAAAGATATTCATGGGCCTTCTATTGTCACTCATCATCGTTCTGGAGCCCTGGCAACCATGGCAACACTGAATGCAGTTGGAGCATGCCGGTCTGGATTCTCTCTGCTTCTCAGCTCTCATCTGTATAGGACCTTTATCAGACCAAAATTTGAATATGGATTGGTTATTCTCCCTCTGAAAAGAACTGATACTATTCAGCTTGAGAAAATCCAAGATAAATGTTTGCGCATGATTGTTGGTGGGCACTGAACCTCATCTACAACTGTGCTCAAACATATATGTCACCTTCCTAGTATGAGTTTCCGTGCTGATGTGCTGATAACAAAGTTTTGTATTCGTGCTCACTACCTTCCCTCTGGCTGCCTTTTGTCTCTTCTTCACCGTCACCACTCTCAGTCTTCATCACTTGTCACTCTTTGTCATAATACTCTCCTTCAAAGCATCCCTATTGATTTAAATGTTCATAGTGGCAAAGCTCTCAAACATCACTTCGAAACCTTTCAACAGTTCAAAACTGATCAGCTCCGATTGTCTTCAAACCAAGTCTTGTTCCTAGCATGCTGCCCTCTTTTGGAAGTCAATTCTATTCTGTTCTTGCCTGCAACTAGGGTGGAACGTAGCCGCCTTGTCCGCTGGAGAATGGGTTGGTTGCCTGGCACTCCTAAGAATTGCCCTTGTGGTACTGACCATACCTCACGTCGTCATCTTGCTGTCTGCTCTTTGGTTCCTGGCCATTTGTTGGCCTGTCTTCCTATTCCATCTGATCAAAACTATAATCCAATTGATTTTGCTATACACTAGAAAAACATACGGGAATTACCATGTACAAAGTTAAATTATAACAATAGAAAATCTGGGGTATTTTTTCATCTCAGCTTTTTTTGTGTGTTCAAGATGAAAACACTGTTTTCCGGTTTTCTATTGGCTTGGATACAACAGGCGAAAATATTATTTATTATTATTATTATAAAGACATAACATTTCATTATAAAGACATAGTAAATTTAGTAAACGTTGTACTTGTTTCCTTTTTCTCTTAACACTTCAAAGTAAAAATAAATAAACATTATGTCCACAATTCCTGAACTCTACAACGAAAAGTGCCATTGTGCTGGATGTAGTCAGAACGATCTCGGCTATAGTTTTGTTGCCAGAAGAACTGCTCAACGTCATAACAAAAGGGCAAGACTAAATGCCATAAGATGTGAAAGGGGTACAATATTTGAATTTATTTAATTGTATTGTAATCCATGAAATAACGTGTTGTAATAGACATGTCTACCCAAAGAAATATGATGGAGGTCGATGATGAACGTAAGGTTTATTTAATTCAGATACCGTTAGATATTAACCAAGTGTTATATTCTAAATGTAGCTATCTTAACCCATCAACCCGGAGCCCTGGAAGAATCGTACACTCAGACAAACTCACCTGTTTGGGAAGGAGCTTCAATGTCTGACACTGAAGACGTTTCCGTTACTAATGACGCGATCAGCAATGGCGACAATGATGACAGTGGAAGCAACAGCAATGAAATCAGTGAAGACGAAAGCGAAGACGATGTTATTGAGCTCGACGACAATGAATTGAATAGTGAAGGTCAGTTAGTGTTAAAAATTTTTTAAAAAAAAAAGCGTTAATTTTTTTTTATAATAGACCCTTTTGCCACCCCCGATATGCCCCAGAACCCAGTGCACAGGTTCATTGCTACTTTTGTGGTGATGTTCGCTTCCCGCTATGTGGTTGACAAGGGCGCCGTTGTCTTGATCGAGTTCATCAACAAGCTTTTGACAATTTACGAGCAGGATTTCCAACTGCCCTTGAGCCTTCCTGGTCTTCAGCGCATGACAGGTTTCTCAGCCATGACCAAAGGCATAAAGAAATTTGTTGTGTGTCAGGATTGTCACAAGGTGTACGAAGAAAGTGCATCTGTCCCGTCTCATTGCGATTTCGTAAAGCTTGGTGCACGCTCGTCTTGCAACTGCCAATTGACGAAAACATCAGCATCGGGTGCTTTGGTGGCCAAGCGTTCATACTTGTACCAGTCCGTCGTTAATACTTTACGAATGTTTTTTCTTCGTCCAGGATTCGAGGATAAAATTAGACATTGGAATCACGAGCTGAAGATGGTGGATACGATGTGTGACATATACGACGGTGCCATGTGGAAGGAGCTCAAAGACAAAGATGGCGTGCAATTCACAAAGGATTCGCGTTCATTAATGTTGACTCTCAACATCGACTGGTTTCAACCTTTCGATAACGTCACGCACTCGACTGGTGCCATATACCTGGTAGTAAACAATCTGCCTCGCAATGAAAGATACAAGCCAGAGAACACACTTCTCGTAGGATTGATGCCTGGCCCGAAGGAACCCAAATCCGAAGAGATAAACCATTATCTCCGGCCTATGGTAGATGATCTGATAAGATTGTATGAGGGACTGGCAATCCCAACTTTCGAGTGTCCTAGTGGTGTCCGCGTCCGTGCCGCATTGATGATGGTGGCCTGTGACATCCCGGCAGCAAGAAAGACAAGTGGTTTCACCTCGCACAACAGTACATGCGCATGTTACAAGTGCAACAGACATTTCCCTCGCTTGGAAAACGGTGTCAATGTTGACTTTCGTGGGTTTGACTTCTCTCGGTGGGTGCTTCGTGACGGTGTAGAGAACAGGTTGCATGCTGAGGAGTGGGAAAGTGCTAGTACCCCCTCAGAAAGGCATCGGCTGGAGGTCGAAAATGGTGTTCGATGGTCGCAGTTGCATCGCCTTGGATACCTTGATCTAGTACGTGGAACGATCATCGATCCCATGCATAATTTATTCCTGGGAACGCCTAAAAGATTGATGGATCGTTGGATCAAAGACGAAGACATTCAAGATGGCGATTTTGCGGCAATGCAGAAGACTGCAGAAACGATGATTGTGCCTGGTGGATACACCTCTTTGAACTCGAAAATAGGAAAGCAGTTTTCGTATATGAAGGCAGACGAGTGGAAGTCATGGGTGCTCGTATACTCGCCAGTTCTGTTGAAAGATGTTCTTGCAAAAGACAGATTCGAAAACTGGATTAACTTTGTTGATGCATGCCGCCTGTTGATCAAGCCAACGATCACGTTCGATGAAGTCAACACTGCCCATCAGTTTCTTCAAACTTTTTGCACCAGATGTGACGAGCTGTACAACGCCGAAATCCTCACCTGTAATATGCACCTACACCTCCATCTTCGAGATACAATTCGTGATTTTGGACCAGTGTACGGTTATTGGCTATTCGGGTTCGAGCGGTTTAACGGGTTGTTAAAAAATTTGAAGACAAACAGGAAGATCGGGTTTGAAGAAACATTTATGAAGAAATTTATTGAAGATGTGCACAAAGACGATCTTGTCAACAGTTTCCTTCAGAGTACCCGCCAGACATCTGCATTTCCTCTCCTTACCAAACTCACTTCTTCCTTTACACCCGCCACCATTCCATCCATCCGTCAACGTACCTTCCGCATACAGTCATTTGTCGAGGCTTCTGAAGATCCAAATGTACTTGTAAAAGGCAACGAACCTCTCCCTCCTTCCGCATTCCCTCTATCATTAAAATCCGCTACCACAATGAGTGACATTCACTATGTTCATCTCTTACAATACTACAAAGTTGCGTACAACAATGAACAATTAGTTCACTTTCAACAAGCGTCGGAATCACCATACTTTGTCGACAATACAATCACCCTGTTGAAATACATCAACATCCTTGGGCAGGTCTACAAGGGTAAAGGTGAATCTGGAAGTCGTGGCTCTCTTGTACAAGCAAAGTTCATTGGAAGTACTGGTGAGCATATCATCGCATACACGGGTCAAATACAGTACATTTTCACCCATTCTTTCACTCCTCCACCCACCTCTTCATCCCTTACTCCCTTGCTCCGCACCCATCGCCGCCCAACACAACTTCTTCACAATTCTCAACATACTTTTGCATTTATCAAATGGTACACACCCGAAAATGATAAATCGCGAGAGTACGAACACGTTGAAACCTGCTTTCCAACATTTTCTCCTGACGATTTCCAATGTGTATTGCCAGTGCATAGAATTATGTTAGAAGTAGCAACTGCTGAGCACACAACACGCAGAAAAGTAAAAAAGATGCTGGTCATTCCTTTGCCAAAAAAACAATACATTTAAAAAATAATAAAATTATAACTCCCTTTTTTAAAGGCACACAGAAAAGAATAATCATAGTGTTTGTATTTGTTGGTACGTTTATCATTGTCAGATGGAGGATGTGGAGGATGTAGAGGATAAGAAAACAAAATTTATTGAAACTCATCTCTAAAAGCCCAGTGAGGGAGAAGGGACGTCAATCTAGGCGGGACTGCTAAAACAGCATCTCTACCGAAGGACCTCTTCAACATCTGACGCGAATTGAAGTCCATGCGATTACGCATAAAATCATCAACAACTGCAAGAAAGTGATTGTACTAAATACAAATAAGTGATTAATCAAAGTTCTGTTTCATTTAAATACATAAAAAAACAAAAAAAAGCTATATACAATAATGTAAACAAAAGAAATTACCTCATCGCTTCTCCAACTTGGACGCACTGTACGAATCGCACGGTTGCTCGAGACTCCAGGCATATCGTCTTCAGATTCGCCCTCAGACATTGCTTCTTTCTGTAAGAGTCCGTCGCAGCTCTTACCCACCTTCATATCAATTTCAGCCTTGAATGTATGGTAGGTCAGCTCGCGACGGTCAAAATGCTAGTTTATAAATGTATTAATATGAATACATTTAATTTGCAATCAAAATATACTTCTAACATACATCGGTCTCTCGACCTGCTTTTCTTGACCGAGAATTTGTCTTTTTGCGCGCTTCATAGGATTCCTTGACTCGGCGTCTCGTTCCACAAAAGTTTGTGTAGATACAATCGCTAATATCGGCCTGTCGAACACTAGTCCCAACAACCTTTGGAGCCAGGTATGCATGAAGGTCATGCATCAGCTGTCTGTTGGGTGGAAGTCTGTAATCAACATTAACATCCCAACTGCGCTTGCTGTCGTTAGCTGCAACTAGTTCCGGCTTATTTGATTTGAAGTTGTGTTTCTTCAACTCTCCTCGGATAAGAGCCTATACTTAGTGTGAGATATTATGTTGATGAGCTACTGTACATCTCAACACTTACTAAAACTCTAGTGCGATCCTGTTTACTAAGTTCACCAGCGTTTGCACCAGTAAGAACCACTGGACCAACAGAAGGAGCGACAGAAGGACCAACAGAAGGAGCAACAGAAGGAGCAGCAGAAGAGATACCAAAAAAAGCCTCAGAAGGTGTTGTATACCAATCCAGAGTAGAACCAACGGAAGAAGCTGCGAAAGGGACAGAAGCAGAAGCAGGTATAGTGGTAGGAGCAATAACTGCAAGAAGTTCTCCAGAGGCATCGGCAACGCTATCAAGTATTTCCAATGAATCTTTGTTCCCCTTGATAACAATGCCAATGTTTGAATCCATGGTCTTGAGACTTTCCTCCATAGCGGTGAGCCTTCTTAAAAGCTCAGTATATTCTGGGGATGGAGCCGGGGCAATTGACTGACGATTGTTAACCATGGTCTGAAAGCTATCTAATAAAATGTTATACATGAGTTGATTGTTAATTATATTTGTTTTATATATCTATTCATTGTATATATAGAGTGTTATTAACATACAAAAGAAGTTAGGTGTTAAGCGAAAGAATAAAGTGTAGTTAATGGAAAGATGGTAAAAGTAAAAGCAAGAACCCATTTATTATATTACACTTGTTGCTGTAAATACTCAGGATTTCTTTAATACGCGTATCTCTATTAATACTTCCTGGAATTAACGGGGTGCAAATCGGCTTTGAACATGCTTTTTTCAACTCAATCCAATATATGATTTCTGTCTTTCGGCCTTTTGGCCCTTTGGTCTTTTGTTCTTTTTGTTTTTTTTTTTTTCATTTACAAGTTTTCTCTCTTTTCTCTCTTTCCAACATTTATTATATTCACAGATTTTCTTGGTAAGATATCTTATTCTTTAATATTATATATATATATATAACTAAAATGATAATAATTGTTTTCTATTACTACAGACACTCGTGTTTTGTTACCTTCTGATGCATCCCCTTCACAATGTCCATCCGGATTAGCTAAGGTTAGTAAATATACTTTATGCTGTCATCCTATAAAATTATCCTGACCTTTTCCTTTCTTTTGTATAGGCCATATCGCCGAAATTACTCTCTACTATTAAACACGGTTATGAACACGGTAATATTTTATTTTATTTCAATCTATCTCTTTTTAATAAGCACATGGCTTAACATAATTTCTATTATAGATGAACCTCCCTCTCATGAGCACATCGCGAATCAAGAACTTTCATTTCATACGAGTGTCATTGACATGGTAATTTTTTTTGTACATATAACAATATTATTTATTTTGTATATTAATGTATATCATTTACTGAAGACAATATTAGCGTCTCCTATGTACTCTCTTGGTCTGCAAATAAATCCTTTTGCTTCGGGTAGGTAAATGAAATATTCTACCACACAGTTCACAAAAAATAATTTTTTTTCAGCATTTTTATAGCCAAATAAAGTATATTGAGTACTATGGTTCGCATTTATGACGCCTTTTCTTTTTGTCTCTGGTAAGCTATTATATTGCAAGCATAATTACATATATATATTCTTAATATCCACGATTTCTTGTTCAAACAGTTAACACTTTTCTAATTTCATAGAACAACCATTTACAAGCAAGCAACACACAACTGGGCTTTTCTCTGGGAGATATTGTTTGGAGAATACTTGTTTTATCAGAACATTGGCCATTTCAAATTGTATGAAGGATAGAACACTAGCCAGAATGTTCCTGAATATTAAATATAACCACTGTACTATAAACCTAAGAATATTCTTTTCTTTCTAATAAAAACAAAATAAACCAATAATTATTATAAATAAATTAAAGATCGGAGAAGTGTATGGAAGCAAACAGTATAAGAAGAAGTCTCTAAGATTGGATAAAATAAATTCAAATACAACAAAACCCTGTAAAAACTGGCATATCCATAAATTAAACAATGTAAAAACTGGCATATCCGTATAATCGATCTTTCATTTATCGTTCTTTTAATCGGAAAGCGGTAGGATATATTACAACAAAACGTAATTCTGAGTTGCCGTTTTAGTGCATGTGGTAAAAACCCATATACAGAAAATGCAAACACATCCTACTATCCTGCTGTTCTGACCTTTTCCTATGTTCGAAAGTTGGTCTTACCACCTATGAGTAAGCCAGCTTCATACACTTGTAAAAACTATCTGATCACATCGTAAAACCTGGTCTTTTCACATAATTAATTACAGTTTTACACATAAGAAAACCGCACCTCTTTTCCAGTGATAACTGCTCTCCCAAATTCTAGTCAGGCTCTGTGCCCCTCTTATTGGGTAGCACTGCTTACTATTCTCTGGCATTTTGACAAGCTTTGTAACTCTGATGGTGACTACACTCATGAAACTCACTTTGGTACTCTTTGGGCTGGACTTAGCTAGTTTTTGTTTTCTTTTTCTTGCCTTTCTTTTCTTTTCTATCTAATTTGCTTTCTCTTTTTATCTTTTCACGTATGAACTGCTGCCTGCTTGCACTTCTATCTCCTCCCTTTCACTGTTACAACATTTTTACACAGCTGCAAAGTGGAGAGTAGAGTACAACTCTCAGCTTATTAGTGTTAGTTCTTTTCTTCTCTTTCTATTTTTTTGTCTTTTTGTGATCCTTTTGGATTTTTTTTGCTTTTTCTTTTGTACTTGAGATGCTATATGATCTATAGATTGCTAGCAATATATCTCTTTAATAAAAAATAATCTTTAACCTGAGCTACATCCCCCATCTCTCTTTTACGTAAGCTACCGTTACACAAGACATAACAAAAAAATTGGTTGCATCCATACAAAAGCTTCATCAATCCGTCCTACATCTTGTTCAAAACAATACATCCATTGTCAAAAAAATTGCATCCATTACCACTGTTGCCTTATCTATCAGCAGAAAAAATTTCAGCCGATTCCGACAACTTTTCATTTTTGCGATCTCAAATGTCAACATTGCTGCCATCCTCTGTCATGCAGGGAATGTCACCCAATCTCGCCTCATTTCTGGGGAACATGCAGGCCCAATTCATGTCACTACAACAATGTACCAATGAACTTGAATCTCTTGCTGCAACTAATGCTAGATTAACTGCTCAATTAGTTAATGCGGAAAAGCTAATTGCTGATCTCAGATCTCAATTAGCATCTCAGAGCAATTGTCAAATTATAACAAATGCATCAACATCATCTGCACCAACCACACCCAAGGAGCCTGGCATTGAGACTTCTACATGGACTACAACTGCTGCTGCTGCTCACAACTCTGTTGTTGTTCCTACTGCTCTTTCTGTTCACAAGACTCCAAGACCTCCTTCTGTTCGCCGGGTTGCTGCTTCTGCTAGAATGTTTGCCATTCCCACTGGTCCCAAAGGATATCAATATGTGTATATCCCACGTTCATGTCGTCTCACACATAGAGAAGTGCGCAACTCTTTGAAAACACTTGGTGTTGATACTGGCCACATCTTGGATATCAATTTTCTTGCCAAGGATGTAGTTGGCATCCTAGTTCACAACCAGTATGCTGAGAAATTCCAGACCACTCTGACCACAGTTGCCATTGAGATCTTAGATGCGTTTGACCCTTTGGATCCCAAAAACATTGCAGATCCCAAATATAAGTCTCTTTCTGATTCAGAGCTAGAAGAAGTTGCTGCTGAACTTCATTCTGATCGTTGTCTGAAGGCTCTCAAGTACCTTTGTCCTCATGTTGCTGTTCCTGTTGGTCATTTCTTTTGTGATCAAGGCTGGATCTCTAAGGAAGATATTCCTGTCCATTCTGTTTCTGGTCCTGGTGCTGGTATTCATGATTTCCAATCACCATCTCGTCGTACCTCTGTTGCAATGTCTGAATGAGTGAAATCTCATTAGGACTTTGGAATGCTAATGGTCTGCAGCCTCGTGCAATTTATGATGTTCTTCAACACTGTCACTCTCTACATATGCTTTTTATCACTGAAACATGGCTTCTCCCCCCATCTCATCTCCCCACTTCTTGGTCCCAGATTCATCTTTATGGTTCACCTGTAGCTGGCAACTACAGAGGTTCTATGGGTGTTTCTGTTCTTATTTCTCCATCTTGTCCTTATTCTGTCCCTCAGATTCCTATGTCATCTAATTATGCTTTGGCCATCAAGATTGGTTCCCTCAGAATTGTATGCCTGTACGTACCGCCCTCTATGTCCACCCATGATGCTCTTGCAGTTCTCTCATCCATTCCTTTGACCAATGACACTATTATCTGCGGCGATTTTAATTCACGTTTGGGTTCACTTACTAGTGACTATGCTACTAACACTCGAGGTCTTGCTCTTTGTCAATGGTTAGAAGAACGTGCTCTTACTGTTGTCAATGGCCAGCTCTCACCATGCACACCTACATTCATTTAATTCCGCCAAAATGTGAAGATAAGCAGTATCATTGATCTGTTTATCACTAATATGTCCCTCACCAATGCCACTCTCAACATTCATACCGGCCTCTCACTCAACTCTGACCACCGTCTGCTTTCACTTTCATTTACATATGCCATCAATCCAACATCACATGCACCACCACCATCTCGCAAAACATGGAACCTCTCACGTCTTCAAGAACCTGATGTTCTCAAACTATATGCCCACACATTTGTCACTAATTCCACCAACCTCAAATCCACTTTGCAATCGACCTTTGAACACCCTCCTTCCTCACGTCTACCAATTGATGCACTAACTGATGAATTCAACTCACTCATTTATAATTCTTTAAGTAGCTCAATTGGCAACCGTCCTCCCCGTCCTTCACTGGAAAAATAACAATAAATACACACCGGGAAATTCAGGCATACTATTGTGAATATTCCGCATTTTACAGTGGGGTTTTGCCTATTTCCACTGGTACCAAAGCTGATCTGGTTACATGTGCACAGACCTGCTATCTACAAGTGTAAAGTTCGATAGCACTAGTGAAGTTGGGGTCAATAGTAATTTTATATCTTTGTATATAATAGAGTACCAAGAAAACTTTATTTCAAACTTTGTTTTTTTGCTGTAATACAATCTGTTTCCATGTTAAAGGTTAATAATCAGGGACTACGTCGCATGTGTATTGTTGAACTATCCCAGGGTGAATAGTTAGAACCATAGACATTTTATTGCTTATAAGCCAATCATTAACACTCTTTATTATGAGGTCATAGATTATCTGCTCCCCCAATTACTTGATATTCAATTATTATTGGTTTGAATTATAGTTTATTTTTGTATTTATTAGAAAAAATAGAATGATTCTAGGTTGATAGTATTGGAATAATATTATATGCCTCGGGCCGTCTTCACCGTTATCCTTCATATGACTCAAATCAAGCAGTGCTTTATATATAATGTTTGTACACCCTCATATTCAGTAGTTATCTTTGGCTCAGATACTATTTAACATAATAGAAGAGAAGTTAGATGTGTATTTAAATATTTACATGTTGTGAGTGATATATTAATTTGAGGATACATACAATATAATGGCTGAAGAAGATAAAAATAAAACTTTGAGAGTTCGAGGCATGGCGTCAAGTATAATTTCTTTAACAATGAAAATAATATAGAGAAGTAGTTTGAGTAAATTGGGTAACAGAATATGTAATGAACGTACCCGAAGAAAGTCAATTTATTTGTAGACCTAGATAGTACTTGTCAAGAGTTGATATAACCTTTAGTAAAAAACATATATTAATATACAGTATAAATAATACTATCATACATATTAAGAGAATAAAAGAAGAAGTCTTACCATGTCAATGACGGCGCCAAGACATAGAGGTTCTTGATTCATTGCATGTTTGGCAGATGAACATTCATTTGTAATAAAAATTATATTCTGTCAGATAAATATTAAAAGTAAATAAAAAATAAAAAAATTACTGTGTTGATGGTCTTGTTTAATTGTAGGGAATATTTTTGGCGATATTGTCTATAAAAAAGGAGAAAAGTCAGAATAATTTTATAGGAAGATGACATGAAGTATAGTTACTAACCTGGACTAATCCGGATGGCCATTGTAAAGAGAATACATCAGAAGGAAAAAACACGCTAGTATCTATGACAGCTGAAATAATAATTATTATTTAGTTATATTTGAAGAAAAGAATTGCTTTAAAAAAAAAGAAGATATGTTACCAAAAAAGTTTGCGAATATAGTAAAACACTAAGAGAGTATATATGTATCTATGACAACAGAATGTGTTAATCTTGTTGTTGTCTGTACAAAAGTATTTTTAAGAAAAATGTATCTTACCAGTAAAATTCACAGTTATAACAAAAATCAGAAAGAGAAAGAAAAGAAAAGAAAATGGTCAATAAGGAAAAATATGGAAAAATATGGAAAAATAAAAAAAATAAGTAAATAAAATACAAAAAAAAACAAAATAGGTAATTAAAAAAAATGAAACTCAAAAAAAATATCCAAAAAGCATAATAGATATAATGGTGTAGTATCTAAAAGCAATCTTTGTATCAATTTACACAGTGTGTGTACAAGAAGTTACTTTAGATATATTCTTTTAACCAAGATCAATCAAGACTAGACATCATTTTTTTTTGGAAATATAAATATATATTTTTGCTACAATTTTACTCACCCTTGCTCACGCACTCTTACAATTATTCTTACTTATACTCACACTTTCTCTCTCTATCTCCCCATCTTTTTCTGTCTTTTATTTTGGTATGTTTGATAATAAATATAATTGTAGTGTATAATAGAAATTTATTTAAAGAATATAAAAGCATTAACAGTTAATACATATTTGAACTTATATTTTTAAATTAATAGAATATGTCTAACCAAAATGAAAGCTATCCCACTCAACGCACTCCTGCTGAGAGAGAGATGACAAACTCTCTTGCCATCTTGCATCGTGACATGACTACTGTCATGAAAGACGTTGCTGATATCAAAGCAAAAACTTCGAACACTCCTGTGTCTGCTGTTTTGCAGAGTCAGCCGATGGCTTTAGTGCATGCTGTTGCTTCTGTGAGCATGGAAATGAATGTAGCTGGTTCTCCCACCATGGCTTCTGATGCAAAATCAGTCAACAAAACAAAAGCCTATGTATGTATCATACATATAGTAAATTATATCTTTAATAACTTACCAAGATTCAATAGAGACTTCTTTGGAAGCATTTGTGGGACCCTAAGTTCAAGTCAAAACATTTGGCTGAAATTCAAGCCAACAATGGCAAGCCAAGGTGGAACATGGCTGTCAACTTCAACCAGTCGCCAAACACTGAGTTGACAGAAAATCTTGTTGCCTACTTGGAAAGAAATTTTGTAGGAGCAGGACTGAGAAAAAGTGATGTTTGTGACTTTGTCTACACGAACTTCACTAGCAGAAAGCGTGCAGCTAATAAGTCTCAGGCTAAAAAGAAGTCAGACAATGCTTGCAACAGAAGGAGTAGCCGCAAAAAGGAGGTAAGTTATACTTTATTTATTTATTATTTGAATAATTCTTATCTAAGTCATTAATTTAAAGCAAAAAAAGAAAACTAATTTAATATTTTCAACAGCACTTGAAACGTCGCAAAACAGCGTACCAGTCTAAAAAGACTGCTATTGATGACGAGATAAAAAGAGATTGCTCTGGTCTCATTATAGAAGAGGCTATGTCTGTTGGTGAGTCAGACGATAGCACTTTGCCTCATGTTTCTTATAGTGGGCTTTGTCTTTGTCGTCCAGGTTGGAGAAGTGGTGAGGTAATTAGTTTTTTTAAAGTTGAAATATTTAATTTAGTTAATATATTATATTGTATTATACTGAATAAAATATTAATGTCTTTAATATAGTACAACCACTTCATCACACTTGTTGACAACAAAGTGGTAGCTGATTTAGGCTTAAATAGCCATCAATTGCTGTCACGTGCTTTTGGTGAAACCATTGAAGGATCAGTCTCTGATGCAATTGTGTCACAGTTTCCTCAGTGGGCTTTTAGAAACGGGCCCTAAATAAAGTTTATATTTTTTGTTCTTTTTTTCTTCATTCATAACGTCTTATACTTTAAATAACCAAAAAAATATATAAAGAGGCATTACTTGTTCTTTGTTTTTTATTTAATTATTCTCATAAAAAATCATAGTGCATAATTATTCATAAAGGCTTCAGATATAGTATTTTTTTGGCATAGGAATGACCAGCATTCTTTCTTTGTTCATATCAGTTACATCTACAGCAGTTGCGACCTCTAAGTGTATGTAATGTACAGGCAAGATGCTGTGATAATTATCAGCGTAGAATTCTGGCAAGCAGATTGCAATACCTTCATCTCTGTGTTCATTGTCATTTGTCAAATTATATCATCAGATGTATGCAAAAACATGCTGGTCTTGATGTAATGTTGATGCTCGGTGGTTTGGATGAGGAGGCAGAGTAAATGAATGTATAAAAAGATACTGAATTTGTCTGGTATATAGGCTTGAAGTTCGGTCATTGCTGCTATGAAAGAAAGCTTGAATGAGTGACCCGCGCTTACCAGAACTGTTGTTCCCAATATATGTTTGGCCAAGGAGATCAATTGATTTCAATTGAGTGATTTGGTTATTTACAAAATATTGTGACAATCTGGCATCGTGGTAAGAAATGAGATTGGGCATGGCATAGGCGATTTTATAATAATCTAACAATTGAGGATAATCAATATCACTCATTGTTGATTCTTTTAAGGACTGTAAAGAAAAGATGGATGGGAAAAGTGGTTCATTGCCTTTGATAGGTGCTGCTCAACTTAAGGATGAGTCTACAAATTGTTGCAGTCGGAAAGGTTGTTGGTTGGTTGGAGCATAAGTGGCATAGGTCATTATAGGTGCGGTTGTAGAGGTAAGTTTTTCGAAAAGAGGAAGGAATGGAATGAGGCTTGGACATGATAACGTATTTCGTACGTAATCAGCTTTGTATGCGTCTGCAGTGAATTTTGTCATATAGGTTGTTTCAAACCCATCTTTTCTGTTTGTCTTGTTATTCTTTAACAAACCATTGTATCTCTCAAAACCAAAAAGCCAATAGCCATACACGGGTCCAAAATCATGAATTGTGTCATGAAGATGGAGGTGCAGGTACATGTTGCAGGTGAGGACTTTTGGTTCATATGTATCTTCACAAGATTGACAGAATTCTTGTAGATATCTGTGTGCTTGGTCTATTTTGATGAAACTGATTGACGGCTTTACAAGTATACAGCATGCTTTTACATAGTGCATCCAGCCATTGAACATATTGGATGGAAGAACTGGTTTTAGAAGCACGGAAGAGTACACTAATACCCAAGACTTCCACTCTTCTGCTTTCATGTGCGAAAAGCCCTTTCCTATCTTTGTTTTCAGCTTGGTATAGTTGCTGGGCAATATCATCATTGCTGCAACTGTCTGCATTGCAAGCAGATTATTGTTTTTCATTTTCTTGATTTTTGTCCATGTTTCAATCATTCTCTTTGGTGTTCCCAGAAAAAGATTATGCATGGGATCAATGATTGTTCCATGTACTAGATCAAAGTATCTAAGGTGATACAACTGTGACCATTGAACACCATATTCGATCTTTAGCTGCTGCCTTTCTGAGGGTATACTCACACTATTCCACTTCTCAGCATGCACACGGTTTGCTCTATCACTTCGATGGCGCCACTGGTCACAATCAAATGCATGGAAATCAACAGAAGAAGTGCCTGGTAGACAAGAAAATTAATTGTCACATTTGTAACAGGCGCATATGCTGTTGTGTGCGGTGAACCCACTAGTCTTTCTGGCAGTAGGTATATCGCATGCAACCATCAATAAGGCTGCACGAACTGCTGCACCGTCTGTTTGCTGGTAGGTGGGTATCTGTATTCCAAGATAGAGCTGTATCATTTCATCGACTAATGGCTTGAGATAATGATTGATCTCTTCTGATTTTAGCTCTTTTGATCTAGGCATGAGGCCTGTTGTAAATGAGTATTGACTACTGCTGTAATTGAGAATAAGTCTGAAGGAAATAATATAAGGCCTCAGCTATTCCAGTCAAAGGTGTCTACCGATTACTTTATTATTTAACACACAGGTTTAGCATGCATGATAGTGATTATATTTCATATGATGATATCACCATAATATGGGATACATCAGTGGATTATTATAAGCATAATTATAACTCATAAACACATTTACTTTTGATGTTAATACTTCATTGGGACTACACACATTTATATAATTAATCATACATTAATTATCCCAAGATCACATTGCTCTGATTAAGGCTCAGATAGGATCGATTACCTGACCCCAGTCATATAATTTTCCCAATCCAAAACAATATAAATAGCAGTAGTAGTTCAGTGTAGGAACCTGGTCAAACTTTGATACAAAATCTTTCTCAATAAACAAAACCTACACAAGTTCTCACGAATCTTCGTTCCTAATTTCAAATCTTCATTTCTTCCTCTTAAAAACTTCTTCAACTTCAACCACTACAACAAGGCCAACAAGGATTGTATTTTCTGCTTTAAACTGCCCACTTCTAGGCAGATTGTTAATCACCAGATAGATAGCACCGCAGGAATAGCTAGTACCATTGAAAGGTTGGAACCAGTCGATGTTTAATGTCAGCATCAATGAACGAGGATGCTCAACAAAAAATTCATTGTCATTGTCCTTCAAATCAGTCCAGGCTTCACCATTGTAAACATCACACAATGTATCAGTGATCTTGAATTCTTGGTTCCAGTGCATGATCTTTTGCTCGAAATTGGGATAGAGGAAAAGAATTTTAAGAGCATGTGTGAGAGACTGATATACATAAGACTTCTTTGCGACCAAACCACCAGACAATGATTGGACCATTAATTTGCAATTACAGGCGGTATGTGCACCAAGCTTTATGAAATCACAATTCAAAGGAGCAGGTACACTTTCCTCATATACCTTGTGGCAATCCTGACACACGACAAATCTTTTAATCCCTTTTGTCATGGCTGAGAATCCTGTCATGCTTTGGGGACCAGAAAGTCTCACGGGCAATTGGAAATCCTGCTCGTAAATTGACAAGAGCTTGTTGATGAACTCAATCAAGACATCAGCACCCTTATTGACCACATAGTGGGAAGCAAACATTATCACAAAAGTAGCAATGAACCTGTGTACCAGATTTTCAGGCATATTTGGGGTGGCAAAAGAATCTATTGTAAAAAAAAAATAAAAAAATTAACACTCCCCCTTTTTTCAGATTTTTCTTTTTTGGTTCTTTTCCTTGAATTTTTTTTGGGTCTTTTTTTTATTAGTTAATTAACATGGACTAACCTTCAGTATTGAATTCTTAGACTTCAATCTCAACAATATTTTCTTCATTGTCTTCACTTTCTTCCCTGCCATTACTTTCTTTGTCATTGTCATTTTCATCACCATCACTACTTTCGCCATTCGACTCATTGCTAAAAGCAACCTCATTGTCAGAAATTGCGGCTCCTTCCCAAACAGGTGAGTTGGTCTGACTGCACATTGCTTCCATGGGTCCGGTTTGTTGGTTTGATATAGTTACATATAGAATTCAATTTTTAGTTTACTTCTCTTTTTATCACAATTAACGTTTCTTACTTTCAAAATCAATATCCATGAGATTTCTTTGAACAGATATATCTATTGAAATAAAACATTATATAAAATAACCAAAATGAAAATGAAAATGAAAAACAAAACATACTTCTTTCACTTCTTTCCATGTCTTCATATCTTGCTCTTTTATTGTGATGCTGAAGAGTTTGTGTAGAAACAAAGCTGTAGCCTTGTTGATTATTGCTGCATTTTGTGCAATAGCACTTCTTATTATAAAGTTCAGAAGTAGAGGACATGGTGTTTATTTTGTTATAAATGTTAAGATAAAAGGGAAACAAGTGTTACATTTACTTTATTTGTTCAAACTTTATAATAATAATAATAATAATAATAAAATAACTTGAATGGTTATTATATCCAAGCCAATAGAAAATTACAACATGACTTTATGAATATGTACACCAAAAAACATGCTGAGATGAAAAATTGCTCTAAATATCCATATGTAACCATGAATCTTCACACAAGGATATTCAGGGTCATTTCTCCAGTGCAATTTTTAGTTTATTCATTCATGCAATTGTTTTGGGTATCTTCCAGCTCCATGTTGTTATCGAATTCGTTAGATTTTGAATCTCCAATATTATCAATGATTGCATTTGGGTCGTCTTTTGTCTTGGCTGTTGTTGTGGTATCTTGAAGATCTTCAATATTTGGGCCAGTCAATGTTGTTATTATTGTTTTGCGCTGAGTCAGATATTCAGCTAATGTTGTTGCAGAAACTCTGTTAATACTGATGGTAGAGAAGTGATGCATCATATTGTTTCCAAGGTAGGCAGGTTGGTGGAGGCACATACGTAATATTCTGTTATCAAACAGCTCTTGAGCTTTGGAAGCATGGACATCTAAGGACTCCAAAGCAAGTTTGGGATCACAGATAATTTTGCCATCCAAAGGGCTGAAATGGGCAATTGGCACAATCTTCTGTTTATGAAAAAGATCAATCAATTTAGATTTGAAATCTCCATGGACTAAAAGTTCAATTACTCTATGAGCAGGGCAGTGAATATCAAGAATTCTGGACTGAGAGATCTTTAGGATGGATATCATTTTGCATACTTCATTATATTTATAAAAGCGTTTGCATGAGAGATACACAAAGTCATATGTAGAAGGTCCAGATGTGGGCTGCAATGCTCAAATGGTTTGAGCCTTTAGAATGTCAAGCTTCTGCTTTGAAACTTTTGGGACTGTGGCTGCAATAGTAGACTTGGCTTTATCAGCATATATTTGTTTGAACATACTGTTTGTTTTAGTGTCATCATCACTATTATTGTTTTTGTTATTATTGCTGTTGCTTTTATTGTTGTTGTTGTTGTTGTTGTTGTTGTTGTTATTGCTGTTGTTGTTATTGTTATTATTGTTGTTGTTGTTATTGTTATTGTTGTTGTTGTTGTTATTGTTGCTATTGCTGTTTTTGTTGTAGTTGTTGTTATTATTGCTATTGCTGTTGTTGTTGTTATTATTCTTATTGTTGTTGTTGTTGCTGCTGTTGGTGATATTCTTTGGTGCATGTTTGGATGTCATCAAGGATGTAAGGTCCACAATGTCTTTGTCTATAAGAGCCTGAAGCATAGACTTTAAAGTCTTATTAGATTCCTTAACTTTGTCAAAGGCCTCTTTCAAAAGAGCTAAAGAGGATCTTAGATCAGCAATGATTGCGTCTTTGGCTGCTAGTGTAATGCATCGTTTATGGTCTTCATCATAGTCAATCACAAAGAAAGATATTCTCTTTGTTGCAAAGTTTATACAGGTCAAATTCATCACTAATTGGTCCAGTACTGTAAGATAAAAAATTTGCTGCTTTCTGGCAGTTGGAGGGCAGTCAGATGTAGCAATGGGCGTAATTGAAGATTTAATTATTGTTTGAGCTCCGACTGGGAGAGAAGGTGTCTGGGGGGCAAAAGACTTTGTCAAGGTCTTTTTGAACAAGGTTTTCTTAAGCCTTGAAGAAGATAACTCTTGAACCAAAGGTGCTGGAGACTTCAAACTAGGCTTATCTGAAAGCTGGGAAAGAGATGCACGAGATGGTGTATGGATGGATAATGGGATACTTCTTAGTGATGTGATGCGAGGAATTGTTTGTTTTGAAATATTTAGGCCAACTTATACCAAAGACGCTCAGCGGAAAGAGAGATGGCTTCTTGGTTTAGTGGTATAATTCTCGCTTAGGGTGCGAGAGGTCCCGGGTTCGATTCCCGGAGAAGCCCTCGACCTTCACTTTTTAAGTGTCATTCCTGATGTCGTTTCTGAATTCTTGTAAGTCAATCAGAATGATGATTACACAGAATTCTCTTTTGAGAACGACGACCGAAGTGATTTCCTTTTGCTCATATGTCAAGTCTCGATCTGGTATTTCTTTTCTAGCACTTGTAACTAAGTCGCAGAATCAATACCACTGGGGATTATCAAGTTTATGAATAGTTTTTAGATAAGAATAAAGATGTTTTTTATTAAATATATTTCTTGACTGTTTATACAAAATGATAATTGATTTCTGGCTAAAAGAATAGCTACAATAATATGTCTTAGATGGTATCTCCTTATTTTATCCTACGGAGAGTTTGAATTAGTATTTAATTTAGTCCTGTGGCTTTCTAACTTTAATAACAGACAGTGGCTTTTGCATCCCACACATGGCATTTTTTTTCAACAAATAATCACTTCCCTCTTTCTTAAAAACAAACTTCAATTATGTCTAACAACAATATAAACAACACTATTTATGATATTCCACCATTCAACAAGTCTTGATCAACTCGCCTTTGGAAGGAATCAAGATGCTTCCTTTGAATTTGACAATATTAGTAAAAGCTAGTGAATGGGAAAAGTGTCTGGAGTGAATCAATGTCTTATGTTCAACAAAATGGAATAAAAAGTATAAATATTCTGGAAAAGGTTTAGTTTTTGGAGAGACTAAAAAATGCCACTGTGCTGGCCAATATATAACAAACCGCCAATTACGTCTTGCCCAGAAAGATACAAAGGCATGCTCTTGTACAGCTGCCTTAAAAATTATACAGCATCTTAACAACTCCAATGTTGTTACATTTTGCCAAACAAGGGCATATGTAAACCATGTTCCTTGAGACTGGGACGAAGTCAGAACTCTTCCTTTGCCTTCTGAAGCCATAAAGATTATTGAAGATCAGTTGAAAAGTGGCAGCAGCTGTAGAAGTACAAGAATTTCAGTTCTTAGACAGATTGATAGTTGGAGAGTTGGCGTTAGAAAGCCTAATTATGAAGAAATTTACAACAGAATGAGAAAGGTTTGTCAATGAATATAACAGAGCTTTCGTATTAAATTAATATTTATATATCAAATAAATACTCGTATATAAAATAGATGACTACTTTGTTATATATGTTTGCTTCTGATGAAAATGCATCTATTTCCATCTGGTTAAATGTAAAGCTAGCAGAACAAAACTATTGCATTTTTGAAATCAATCTTTCTGTTTATAATGACGGTAAAAAACAATTTGCCTTTGGATTTCAATCACCAATGCAAGTTTCAATCATGAGAATCTTGTAATCTTTTTGTCTCAATGCCACCCATTCCATTTCATCCAGAAGCAACGAAGTATTATATACTTTGGTCACTCGCCATCCTCAAACAGGAAAGGGATTCCCTGTTGCATACATGGTGACAAACAACCAGACAGCCATACCCATCAAACTTTGGCTTGACCACCTTCACATCAAGAGCAGCTTTGTACTAATGAATACCACCATTGACTGTAGCATTATAGAGGTTAATGCAATCAAAGAAGCATTACCTCATGCTACAATTCACTACTGTGATTTTCATGTTCTTCGCGCTTGGCAGCACAACCTTGACAGCAAGATTAAACTTAATGCCTCTTATATATCAGAACAACTTGGGAATTATAAGACTGCACTGAAGAACTACCTGAGACACATTCTCATCAAGTCCAACGAAGACATGTTCCTAAGAGCAATTGAAGATTTTAAACTGATGGTTCAGGATCAACCTCAGTTTTTGAAATATTTTAAGAAATGGACCGAGAATGAAGAATTGTTGTGAAGATGGGGGTCCCATACGTTAGCCAACAACATCAGAGATATGTGACAAGCAACTATGTAGAATCATGGCACAATCAACTCAAGACAATCTACTTTGGTCGTGCACGCATCAGAAAATTGGATCGACTGATTTTTATCTTAACAAATGATGTGGAGTTCTATTTTGAACAAGAGGTTGAGTGTATTCACTTCAACAATGATAAGATGGGTCCCATTGATAATGAGTTAGCAAGAAATTCTTTTGTTGCTTCAAAAATCCAAAATGACATGCTCCCTTCCATGATTATCAACCCTTTGGGTGAGACTGGTAACAGCATAGATGATTATAATGGTGAGTGGCAAATAAGATCTTTTGTAACAGAAGATAAGTAGTAAACCGTCAATATATCAAATGACTTGATACAAAGCTGCACCTGCCCAAACTTTCTGACCTGCCAGATCCCATGCAAGCATTCACATTTGTTGAAGCATTACTGTGGGGCAAAATTCAGCTTCATCAAGCAATGGGAGATAGCAGGAGTGGTATTGAACCGACAAAACACTGTAAATGCAAATGAGAACGAAGTTGAGGAAGAAGTAGAGGAGGAATTAGAGAGTGGAGGTACTGCTGAAGATAGAGGTGTATATGTCTTTGATGAAATTGCAGCTTATTCTGCAACGATGCATCACGGCTTTGAAGATCTTCAAACTTTGAAGACAATTCCTGGCTTAGATCAAACAAAGGCAGATCTTATAAAAAGAGCACTCGCAGATGCTGTGAGGTTGATGGATGAATATAGAAGTGAGAACCCTTCATATTTTAGAAACTTGAATACTCAGAGATAATAATAAAATAATAAATATATATCATTAAAAGATCTTAAAAGTACAAGAAAAAATATTTCTGATTGGTATAAACAAATACAATTCTAATTGAATTTACCAAAAGTAAAACCTGTCACTACCTCAACGGATTTTCAAAATTCAAACTCTCCATAGGATAAAATAAGGAGATACCTTAGATGCCTGTTGTCCAGTAATATCTTCTACAAGTATAGTCACCATCTTAAACATCTAAAACATATATGAAAGACCAATTGGCAAAGTCAAAATCTTTTATCCTAAAAGGTCAACTCTTACTGGTTGCTTATAACTACCAATTTTGCTCACCAATGTCAACTCTGACACATAAAAGAATTAGAAAGCACATAGCTTAACAAAAGTAGAATAGAAACCGGAACAGACATTTATAATAGCTGGGTAGGTTTAGAAAATGTTGTAAATGAGTATTGACTACTGCTGTAATTGAGAATAAGTCTGAAGGAAATAATATAAGGCCTCAGCTATTCCAGTCAAAGGTGTCTACCAATTACTTTATTATTTAACACACAGGTTTAGCATGCATGATAGTGATTATATTTCATATGATGATATCATCATAATATGGGATACATCAGTAGATTATTATAAGCATAATTATAACTCATAAACACATTTACTTTCGATGTTGATACTTCATTGGGACTACACACATTTATATAATTAATCATACATTAATTATCCCAAGATCATGTTGCTCTGATTAAGGCTCAGATAGGATCGATTACCTGCCTCCAGTCATATAATTTTCCCAATCCAAAACAATATAAATAGCAGTAGTAATTCAGTGTAGGAACCTGATCAAACTTGGATACCAAATCTTTCTCAATAAACAAAACCTACACAAGTTCTCACAAATCTTTGTTCCTAATCTCAAATCTTCAATTCTTCCTCTTAAAAACTTCTTTAACTTCAACTATCACAACAGAAAAGATATAAAAGAGGATGTTATTTCATTCAATAAAAGTTATCTACAAAGCTCAATTTAGTAATACTTTTGGGAGAAGTCAAATTGTATTACTATTACTAAATCAAATGGCTTTTTTCTTACTCCGCATATGTTTTTAGCAATATTACAGATTTGGGATTTCTGAAGGTTTATAGTGTTTTAAAGCTCCGAATTCAAACTCCTCCCTTTGCTTACAGTGTCATAAAGCAATCTGTAGATCACCAGTTCAATTTCCACAAAAGACATATAAATATTTAGTAAAATATAACATATTTAAATCATTATTATTAATTATTTTAAAGTTTGTTTTCTGTATCAATTTGTGACGTCTTGTGACGTGCATATATCTAAAACAATGCTGTGAATATAAGCTATATAGATTCAGTTTGGGCATCACATAATGTCACAAATTAATAGAGAAAATATAATTATAAAGTTTATAATATCTATTTTAAGTGTTATAATCTTATAAATAATATAGTTTGTGTGGCTTAGTCACATTCCAGGTCACAGAAAAGTTTTTTTAATGGCTTTTATTTTGTTTAAATATTATGTTCATTTGTTTTTTTTGCTTTCTTTTCTTTTATTTCCACTTTATTTATTTTCAAATGGATAATCAATCTTCTTTATCAGTTCATCCATTATCTATTCCTCCTTTGAGCTATGTAATGGCGTCAACATATACATCTGAAGTTGCAAAACAGTAAGTAAAAAAGTTATTTTTAATTATTATATATTAATATTTAATATATATAAAGATATTTGATTGCACAGGATGCTTTATATCCAAGAAATCATATTATTTTTACTTGTTCTGGTGGCAGTTCTATGGACTATATATTTGAAAAAGACAGAGACTACAGTTACAGATGCAGTGAAGTAAACAGCATGGAAGCAACATGTTGTAAAAGAGAAAGAAAATCTGAAAGATTGGATTCTTTCTTTGCACAAAGACATCTTTCCTATGATATTTTTATGCAAGGAATATATTACTGGTTAAATCAGATTCCTAGAATGACAATAGGAGTTATGCTTGGTGTTTCTCCAGAAACTATAAGACATCTCATTGCTAGTATTCACCAATTGATTCAAATGGATTTAACGAACAATGACATGAGAATTGATAAGTTTATAAGAGTTAAATATATATAGATATATTAAATATTTTTATAGGAGGTATTGATGCCAATGATTAATCCATTATTGTTGAAATTGATGAAAGCAAATTTGGAAAGAGGAAATATCACCGAGGACATTGAGTAGAAGCTGTTTGGGTTCTGGAAGGTATTGAGAAAATAGTAGAACGAAAAACATTTTTAGTGACAGTTCCTCAGAGAGATGTTGCAACTCTCCTTCAAGTGATAAAGAAGTATGTAAAGCCCAATAGCATTATTCACACAGATTGTTGAGCTGCATATGGGGGATTGACATCAGTGGTTGATATGAACTATACTTATAGAACAGTCAATCACAATGTTAAGTATATTACATCTGATGGTATTCATACCAATACTATAGAAGATAAAATATTATAAAAGATAAAATTATTTTATTAACTTTTATTACATAGGTCTGTGGAATGGAATAAAAATGAACCGCAAGGCCAGATTGTGAACAAAACAAATGGTGCCATGAATGTTGATGGAATTCATATGGAGAAAAAAAATATGAGAACAGATTGTGGCAAGGAATGCTAAAGACATTAGCTGAGGTTTCTTTTGGAAGCATTGTTGAAAACCCAATATTTACAAATTATGAATATTTAGAAGATGATGAAGATGAAAAATATATTGATTCTACAATGTTTTAATAATATTAAAATGATAATATAAAAACAAAACATAAATATATTTTAATTCAAATATATCAAAAGAACAACATCATTCAACATCTAATAATAGATATAAGATAAGCTTTATATCTTAAAAAATCAAATAAAAATACAGAGTGCAAAATGTACCCAGCCAGAATAGAACCAGAGTCTCCGCATCAGCAAACCGTAACTGTAACAAGTAGGCCATGAGTATATGTAGTCGAAAAACATTTATTATGTTAAATATATAGCCCTTAATTTAAAAACATATTTGTTACCTTTCTTACATAAACTTTGAAACTGCATTATTTTCACAACAAAAAACAGTACCAAAATGTGACGACTATTGATTAATATCTACAAAATTCAAGCTATCCAAATCTGGTTTTGCCGTTATTATAGGACAAATATTCGTAGAGTAATTTTAAAAAAGATATTAAAACACAGATATATAGAACACAAAAAATGATTGGTTTTTAGCTTAAGAACATTGATCTGATTTTGAAAACTCATAGAGATATTATTTATATTGGTAGTTTAAATCTGGCTTTAAAAATCCTATAAACCTTCATTCAACCAGATATTTATGCTCAAATATACTATAAAATCAATACAAAAGACAAAAACAACAGAAAAATATATTGCAAAAAAAATCATGTATAGTATAGACAAAAAAACAATTTATAACAAAAAAATTTAGAATAGAATAGTAGTATATCTAGTAAACAAAGTAGTTAGACAAATGACAAGGAACTAGTATGCAAGGGGCAGGAGTGGCCCAGTTCAAAGGAGTTGGGGAGAATTTATGTGAATTGTCAGACTGCTTGGTGCACAGTTAGATAAGATGAAACATAAATGCGGAGCATGTTCAAGGAGGGTGAAGATATAAAAGAGGGCAACAGATTGAAGGGTAAATTGTAGCACTACTATTCAACATGAAGTACTCTCTTGCGCACAACAACTCCATAAAACCCCATCAACACTTTAACACAGACAACATTTATTACAATTTTGATATTCTGAGAAGGACAAGTCACCTCCTCCAACACAATTACTCTGAACAAAAGCAACATCTACAGCAATTTCCATACTCGCAACCCTAACAACAACAATTAAAGCAACAAGTTAGAATTAGTTCAAATCAAAACACTACCATTAACAGTATTAAGATGGAATTATCCACGTACCAACAAATCAACCATTACATGTCCTGTGGAGAGTATGTGGAGGACTGCTCAGTGCCCAATAAAAAGAAAATGCATAACTGTAGTCGTAAGTATGTGGCAGTAGAAGACCATCTGCACGTCAAGAGATAAATGGGAGAACCAGACCCCAAGGTTTTGCATGCCCAGAACTTTCTTAGAGTGGTGACTGAGGCCCACAAAGACAGATACTAGGGGATCAACAACACCTGGAGGAAGGTGCATTTGCAGTTTGAGGGGTACCAACTCTTCGACCAAGCCAAGAAAGTAGTAAAATCCTGTGAGGCATGTCAAATGAGAGCAAAGCAAGCCCAAATCAAACAGGAAGAAGTGCATCCAATTCTGTCACCCACCCATCCATTCTACATGGTAGGGTGCAATACTATTGGCCCTGTGATACAGTCCAAGAAGGGAAACCGGTATATTCTAGTGACAGTTGACTATCTGACCTGTTGGCCAGCGATGGTAGCTGTACCCAACATCAATGAGAAGACGACTGCCAACTTCTTGTTCCAATGCCTAGTCAAGGATTTTGGTGTACCTGAATACTTGTGACCAATTGAGGGTCCAATTTTTTGTCCACATACATAACCCGTTTTCTGCAGCTGATAGGGTGCTGGCATTCAACCACAACAGTGTATTGTCTACAGGTAAATGAATTGTGAGCAGATGAATCAAACCGTAGTACAGACCTTGTTCAAACTGGTTTGAGACTGTGGTCTCCAAGACGACTGGGACCAGCACTTGGACATCACCATGTTAGCCATCCAGATCATACCCAACAAAGCAATCTGCTACAGCCCCTCTATGCTTCTGTATGGCTACAAGATGCGGACACCGCAACTGTGGCCAGCTCCTGCCCAGGATTTCTAGGAGATGGATTTGCAGAAGGTCTTTGAAAGTTGAGTTTGAGTCATTCATGGGCTCATTGAGGAGTATCGCCTGCAGGCATGAGAGAGGATGTCAGTTCAACAGAGAGAAAAAAGAGATATGACAAGTCAGTCCAAGTGGTCAAGTTTGAGGTTGGTGACCAGGATCTGATGTGAGACATGACAAAAGCAACCAAGTTTGACAATGTCTGGTTAGGTCCATTAGTGGTTACTCAGGTGAACCAGCATGGTACGTATTGGTTAGACTGTGAGGGGGGTAAAAGATTGAACAGTGCAGTGAGCATGGACATGCTCAAGCATTGGATGGCCCCCACCAGTGGCATGGAGCCATCCCAGAAGGCGAAGAGAAAGCAGTGCAAGAAAAAGATATGACGACAAGAGTTGGAAATGCATGTCAACATAGAAAAAGCCAATGAACCCACCATATTGGTACAGGCAAGACAGACAGAAATGGTGGCACAGGAGCAAGACCAGGTGATAAGCACAGTTATAGTGGAGCCGGTAGTTGACGTAGCTCAGATACCCAAGGTTCTTGTTGCTGGTTAACCCCCTTATGATCCGCAGAAGGTGTCATTATACCCCCAGACAAGCAAAGTGGGTCCAATACCCTTCAAGGCCTGGACGCCCCCATGGATTTCTCTGCAGAGAGTGGGCGAACAGCCAAGTTGGAGAGGATGCAATGGTGGGCGTGGTGGTTGGTGGCTGCCACACTGTAGAGAAAGTGAGAAGTGGCGAGAGGAGACTGAAGTAGATGTAGAGTAGATAGACAAAGTTAGCAGAGGAGGCTATTATCAGAGGAAATTTAGTGAAAAATAATAAAGTAATCTTTTTATCTTATTAAAAACACTCTCCCATTTTCATTCATTTTGGCAACTGATTCCATCCCCACACACCTAGTCATAAATATTATTTGGCGCCCCTAATTAAATACTGACTGCAGTTCTATTGCCTTGAGAACGTTTTCTCTTAGCAGTAGTTTATTGACTCTCATTACCACGCCTCCAATTGGGAATATAACCCTTGCTAACTAGTAACCTGACCATAAATGCTATTCAACTAGAGCGTCTTTCCTCAGAGTAGACTTGTAATTAGTTACACCTGCCCCCTCAAGTACCCTATGTGTCAATGCACTAAATCTCGCTCCTTTTAAGGAAATCTTAATTGGCAAAATATTTTAAGTTATGACAGGCTTGACTTCCTTTATTTTGAGATAACAATTTATCTCTCAAACATTTACTTCTTTCTTTAATCAATACTTCTTGACTTTATCTTACAACATGCATACTTCCAAATTTGTTGAAGTAACAGCCCCTGTTACCAATGTCTTACCTTTGCCAAACCAGAATCAGGACGCTGCTTCAAATGTGACAGATCCTGAAACAAGAGGTCTTGGCAAACTAGAGGACAATGAAGCCCCAGAAAGTGACAATAGCGAAGAAAGCAACTTGGGTCCAGAGTCAACCTCTACCACAGCAGCAACTGATGGTTGCAACAATCTGTGGAAAACAGACCAACATGTTGCACTGTTCCTGAAGGTGATCTTGGATGATGACACCTATGCCAAGATACTTAGAGCAAAGAATAACAGCTCTTTGAAAAGAAAAATCTGGAAAGATCTGGTCGACAAGTTTATGGATCTTAATGATGATTACTTTAAGAATATGATTGACGGTGGTAAATGTGGCAAAAAGTCCAAGGACTTGACAAAGACATACAAGCTCCGCACTGATCGTAATAGACGCAAAACTGGTTATACAAGAAGCTGTGATGCCTTTGCATGGGCTTTCTTCAATCAGATGAAAGAGATCTTGATCAATAATCCCAGTGTTCACCCTTGGAACTTTGGTCAATCAAGAACATCAAGACCAACAAGCATGACCACAACCTCAAGTAATGGGCGTATTGTTTGGGAAAACATCTTTGGAGATGGTAGAAGAGAAATTGAAGTTCTCTCAGAAGCTGTAGTTTCCAACAACACCAACACCAACACCAATTACAATCATGCTAGTGATCTTAATTCTGTTATCAGCGACAATGAAGATGTAAAGAGTTTAACAGCCACTCAGCTGTTAAGTGAAAAAAGTGGTTATCCCACTAATGTAAATGAAATTCTAAACACTATCACCCATTTGCATAAGAAAATGCAAGATGAAGTGGCCGCAGAGCGTGATGTCTTCATCAGTCAGTTGCTTGGGACACCTGAGCAAAAAGTGGCCAAACGAGCAAGAGATGAGAAAGACAGAGAGCTCGTGTATGAGTTCACCAAGGCTAATATAAATGAATTGCAGCATAGACAGTTATGAGATAATGCTATTCTTGCTGAACAGAGACAATCAAATGTCCTCTTAGCACAGTTTGTCCAGTTTAAATCTAATAATAAACAATAAAAATATTAAATCAATAACTTTTATTTTTAAAGGGAATTCATTACTGCCAGTCGTCATTGTTTGCCACCAGTTTTCAGTTGAGCCAAAAGTGCATTAAGCACTCTTTCAGACATAACTGGATTAGTATTATCTACTTCTCACAGCCCAAATACAGCACCATCTTCATTATCTGAATTTCGAAAAATTCCCAAGATATCATCGTCTCCATTCTCTTCAAGTTCCCAAGTATCATCAGCATTTATATACAAGTTGTGTAAAACACAGCATGTCATGATTGCTCGAGTCAGTATTTCAACATCCTTCAAGTAAAGGTGCTTGTACAGAAATTTCCATCTCAGCACTAAGAGTGAGAATGTGTTTTCAATTTTTGTCAAGTTCTGGACTGTACTGCATTATATAGTTTCTGTCCCGTGGTAAGTGGAACAGTTTCTTGGTTTTTGGATGTATCTCCACAGGCAGCAATGAACGGTGTCAAAAGTTGGGGTAACAGTGAATACGCCAAATCTAGAAACGTAACAAATTTAAAAAAAAACATTTTGTATAAATATGATCATCAATCTACCAGCAATTATATACGTATTTTCCAGACACGTCTCTAGTCCTCGGTAAATCAGATCCTGATAAAGATCACCCAACTTTAACACACAAGCGTCATGAAGACTACCTAATATATTATAAAGGTTTGCTAAATCTCACATGAAAAAAATCACATTTAATGTAATTACCAGATGTACCAGTTGCAATGTGAATAAATCTTTTTTTATAATCGCAAATGGTCATAAAATTCATGCTGATATTTCCTTTGCAATCTGCGTAACTGTTACCAGAGTTGGTAGTAATTGGTTTTTTGATGGAAATAAGCTTTCCGTCCATGGCACCAATTACTTTTTTTAATCTTTGTTTGCCACTTTTTGTTGGTTATCCGAACCCTGTTGTGATCTCTAGGGTTTGTTCAATTGTCTTTGGTCAGGTAATGACATTGTCAATTATAATTGAGCTCATGGCAAGAATAAACTGGTCAGTGAAATTGTTGTAGCCTCCATGGCTACACCCAAACTTGTCCTTTGCCATTCTATATCCAAAGTGTGTGTTGGAAAATCTCCAGAGAACAACTGCCACCTGTTTCCATACAGGCCAAGCCAGTTCACTTTCATCACATCTTCTATATGGCTCAGTTCCTGAAAGAATGTTTACTAGTGTCTCAAAAGTAGACAAGGTAATGTGGTAGTGCTCCTTAAACATACTCTCTTTGACTACCCTTCCGATATCATCTATGTGAGGAGTGTCACCCAAACTTGGGTACGTGATACGCCACCAGATTGTTTTCTCTCTATGTTGATTGATTTTTTTTCTTGTAGGTGTTGCCTGAATATGTTTGAAGCTACTATTGTATATGCAGAAAAAGATGTTGTAAAAAGTCAACTGTAAGATTTTCATCTTCTGATTGACCAGTTTTCTTTGAACATGCATACACATGTTGTTTAACTCTTCTCTGTCCCTTCGTCTTTTCTTATTGAATTCTTTAAGTACTTGTTCATCTACATTATCTTTATCATGCTCTTTTTTGAAGGCATCGCAAATATGTATAAGGCTCTGTTTACGGAGCTCCAAAAGAACATGCATTTCATTGTAGGCAATGAGTTAATTGTTGTTGTTGTTATTTATGATTATAGATAAATAGAGAGTTGAAGAGGTAAGCAGATATTATTTTAGTAAAGTGTTCATATTATGTATAACAGATCTCAAGTAACTGACTTTTTCAATCTCAGCGGTTACTATTAAAATAAACTAGGATTAACTCAGTAAGAGGAAGCCGGTGATTGGCTGAAAGAGTAAAAAGGAAATATAGAACTTTTGAAGGAAATGAAAGATAATGTTTATTGATGATAATATTGGTGATATTTATACTATTTTATGAGATACGGCAGTATTCTAGTTTCTATGTAAAGTTCCTTTTACTGCAGTATCTTGCTGAGCAGTGTTCCTCCTTTGCTTGCTTTTGCTCACTCAACACCTGCGGTTGAAGTAGTTGCTTCTGATTGGAGAGGATTGGAACTGAGTGCTAATTCCAATCCACTCCTCACAGTTGCTGACTCAGGGCTCACAACATCCTGGGGGTTTGCATTATCAATGTCCTCATTGGCATAGAATGGCTTGATTCGGAAGGCATGAATGTTTTGCATTCTCTTGCTAGTTGTGATATCTACTATGTTGTACCAATCGGATGAGAGAACCTCAGAAACTTGGAAGGGTTCACGAAAGTGCTTCACTAGTTTCCTAGCCCAACCCAGAGCAGCATTGGACAGCACCAGACAATCAACCAAAACGAGGTCACCAGTGGCAAAGGAAGGTGCCTGTTGGCCTTGGTTGTATGCTAAAGCATTGGAAGCTTGCAACTGCATGTTCTCGATTTGCACAATGTTTGAGGCACATGTCAGAAATTCCTTTGCTTGTATTTGGTATTCCTGTATTGGGATAGATTTTACACCAAAATCTGGGGTGGCCAAAGTTCTTGCTTCTCAGCCATGAACAACACTGAATGGTGTGTACTTTGTAGCTTGGTGTGGACTTGAGTTATATTCCAGCTGAAATTCCGAGAGATGAAGATCCCAAGTGTTTTGGTGGTTATTCGTGTCAAGATACAAACTGATCATGTTCTTGAGAGTTTCCATAAAGTGCTCAATGAGACCATTTGACTGCAGGTGGTATGCTGGAGCAAATCTTTGATTGATCTGAAGGTGATCAGTGAGGGCTTTCATCAGGATGCCTGAGTACAGAGGACTATTGTCACTGAGTATTGCCTGGCAAAGACCATGTTTGCCAAACACTGTTAGGAGACACTTGATGATATTTTGATCTGAGCTCAACGGAATGGCAAACAGACAGACATAACAAGAAAACAAGCACTGTACAACGATTATATGGCGGTTACCCTGGAGCAAGGGAGGCAGAGGACTAAAAGTATCAATGGCAATTGTATCGAAGGGATGAATAGTTGGATTTGAATGAACTAGGTTGGTGTGACCCATGGTTCTGTTTGTTCTTTTGATCTTTTGGCAGGTGAGACATTCATTTACTATTCATGTCACCCAATTGCGTTGGTCAGGAAAAAAATAAAGTTGAGAGAACCTTTGGAGTGTGCACCCAACGCCAAGATGCCCTGAGGTTGGGTTATGATGAAGTAGGTCAAAGACATTGGTCCACATGAATTCTGGTAGGACGGGCCGGGGGCCAAAGAAGAGGATACCAGACTCGTCAGAAAACCCTTCAGGCAGCATAGATTGGCAGAGATCCTGATAAAACGAGTCCGAAGCTTGTGCTGTGGCAAGGTCAGACACCTGGAGAGCCGAGATCATAGCAGAAGCAGGGAGACGGGAAACAGGGTAGCGGCTGAGAGCATTGGGGCCACCTTTCTTGGAGCCAGGACGATACACAATGTCAAAATCGTGCTGTTGTAATTGGAGGGCCCATAACGTGAGACGACCACGAAGGTCCATGGACTTGCTTGTGGTCAGGAATTGGAGAGAGTGATGATCAGTAATGACAGTAAATTTAGTAGCAGTCAGGTAGTGGGCAAACTTTTTGATACCCCAAACAATAGCAAGAGCTTCGACCTCCGAGACATCATAGTTACATTTGGCTGGACTGAGAGAACGGGAGGCAAAGGCAACAGCATAGGTGCGATTATTACGTGGATCGCGTTGACAGAGGATGACACCAAGTCTGGTGGTACATGCACCATCAGTATGCAACTCGAAAGGAAAGGTAAAGTCTGAAAAGCGAAGCACAGGAGCAGAGACGAGAGCTTGCTTGAGAGCCTGGTAGGCGTGCTGCTGGGGTATAACCCACAACCAGTCAGCATCTTTTTTTAAGAGTTCACTGAGAGGAGTGGCAATGGACGAAAAGTTGCTGATGAAGCTGTGGTAATAGCCGGCCAGACCTAAGAAGGATCGGACTGAGGTTATGTCAACTGGTTGCGCGAAGTCTGCGACTGCCCAAATCTTTTCAGGGTTGGTGTGTAATCCATCAGGAGAGATCACGTATCCCAGGAATGAGATGTGGTCACTGGCAAATGTACACTTTTTTGAGGTTGGGCATGAGGGAGGCAGCACGAAGGCAAGAAAGGACAGAATAAAGGTCAATGAAGTGCTGTTCAAATGATGGGCTGAAGCACACAATGTCATCCAGATACACCAGACAAACCTGCCACTTGAGTCCAGCAAGAACAGAGTCCATTAAGCACTGCATTGTTGCAGGAGCGTTGATAAGACCGAAAGGCATACGTACAAACTTGTAGAGACCCCCTCAACAGATAAAAGCTGATTTAGGCTTGGCATCTTCATCCAACTCGATTTGCCAGTAGCTAGAAGTCAGATCCAGTGTGGAGAATACCTTTGCATTACCCAAGCTATGAATGGTATCATCAATCCGAGGAAGGGGATATACATCTCGGCAAGTAACAGCATTGATGCAGTGGTAATCAACACAAAATCGAGGAGATCCATCAGGCTTCTTTACCAGGACAATGTGCGAGGCCCAAGACGAGTTGCTAGGTTGAATTATTCCTTGCTGTAGCATGTCGTCCAGCAGTAAGTCGATGGTTTCATTTTCTGCAGCAGACGCACGATGTGGAGGCTGTGACAAAGGTCTGGAATCCCCAGTGTCAATGGTGTGTTTAACAAGTGGGGTGACAGTTGTAGGCTTTGAATTGAAACAGTCGGAGAACTCATGAAGCAGATCTTGCATAGTATCACGTTCAGTAGAAGACAAATGTGGACCCATAGAAGAGGAGAAGTCGAGCTTTGGGGAAGGCACAACTGGTGATGTATGTGCTTGAGTATGATTGATTTGTAACTTATTATCGATAGAGTAGAATCTGAGAGATGGAGACAAATACTCGTAATTAGCAATGCGCTGTCCTTTATTTAAATGTTTAAGTTTTGTATCTAGATTGGCAACTTTAACAGTAGCAATTCCTAAGTTATTGAACGCAACAATTCCCGACGCAACAGAAGTGAGTTTTTCAAACATCATTTCCATTGGTGTAGACACGAACACGGCAGAGTTAGGAGGACCTTGGATGTCAACATATGCACTATGTTGCCCTGGAAGATGGAGAGACGAGACCATTGAGCAAACTGACGGACCAGAACCAGCGCCATGAGAGACCAGAGGGATACGAACTTCTTTGGAAGCAGTGTCAATGATTTCCTTGAGAGCCTTGAGATCCAGGTAGCCAAGAATTACTTGCTGAGAGAGGTTGTCAACGACATGACATTCCATAGTGGCAGCTACGTTCCCAAGCATAGCATTTATAACGACAGTACCTTGTGAGGCAGTTGATCTATTGTCCGCATTAACAAAGGAGGTTGCCTTGAAGTGATTGACGACTAGGCCAAGTTTGTTAGCAACACTGGCTCGGATTGCCGAGATGTTAGCACCGGTGTTCACAAGACCATAGACCAGATGGCCTTGTATAGTAAGGCGGATACGCAGTGTGGAGGTGTTGCCTGTGGAGCTGATATGATTGATTGTTATGTTTGCGAATGGATCGTCTTCAATTGGGATGGCAGCATACTGAACAGAATTAGAAGCACGAATGTAATTGACAGAGGATTCTTGCATTCCTTGACTGTCAATTGGAACAGCTTCCACCTGACAGATAACTGTGTGTTCACGGCTATGGCACTTCTTGCTGAGATGGCCTTCTTCATTGCAGTAGCCACAGATCGGATTACCATTGCTGGACCAACGGCGCATTGGATCCTGTGGACGTCGGGGTTCAGTTTGTGAAGCACCTGCAGAGCGTTGAGGGTGTGGGGCAAAGCATTGGTGATTGCTGTGGCCTTGTTTCCATTGAAATGCATCAATCTCTATAGGCGTAATGTCATTATCAAATGAGAACTGCAGCGCAGGAGCAGGCACGGCGCCAAGAGACAATTTAGCAAACAAATCTTCAAGGAGTGTGTCGTCCAATGACAGAGACTCCTCAATAGCAATGGCAGCCATGGAGATATTGTTCCATGTAGTCAGTGTAGGGATATTGGGCAAAATAATGGCCCAGAGCTTGGAAGACATGACCTTAAGGTAAATGATACGCAAGGTTGAGGCATCAGGGGCATGTCCTTTGGGAAAGTCAAGGATGATGGACTCAAAGACTACAGAAAAGCAGCAAGATGAGAGGTTGTCCTGGTGAAGGGACTCCAGTCGACGGCGTACAAGCTTCTTGTGTTTTTCTGGGGGTATGCCATATGTTTGGATCAGCGAGGTCTTGAGAATGCTCCAAGACTTGATGGTTGGTGAATGGGCAACCCAGTTGGCCAACTCGGCAGGAAAATATGGACCAATGTGCAAGAGTTTTTGGTCATTGGTGAGGCCTAGACGCTTGCATTGCAGTTCGAATTGGGACAGCCAGGTGTTAATGCTCTCGGTGGGGTCGTAAGCAGCACAGATAGGGGCATTGCTCAAACGACTTTCGGAGAGCAATTGCCCAAGCAGCTTGGCTGTAACAGAGGAATTGTTGGAAGGAGTTGTGGATGTAGACATTGTGGGGGTAGTGATAGACACCGAGCAGTAGATATAGAGATTGGTTTACTAGAGGCGGAACCGAGGAGAAGTGATAGACACTGAGTAGTGATAGACACCGAGTAGTAGAGGTAGTGATAGACACCGAGAAGTGGTAGAGCAGATCAGAGATTATGGGGATGGGGAAAGAAGCAGCTTCTCCACCATAAAATAAACTAGGATTAACTCAGTAAGAGGAAGCTGGTGGTTGGCTGAAAGAGTAAAAAGGAAATATAGAACTTTTGAAGGAAATGAAAGATAATGTTTATTGATGATAATGTTGGTGATATTTATACTATTTTATGAGATACAGCAGTATCCTAGTTTCTATGTAAAGTTCCTTTTACTGTGGTATCTTGCTGAGCAGTGCTCCTCTTTTGCTCGCTTTTGCTCACTCAACGCCTGCGGTTGAAGTAGTTGCTTCTGATTGGAGAGGATTGGAACTGAGTGCTAATTCCAATCTACTCCTCACAGTTGCTGACTCAGGGCTCACAACACTATAAGCAGTGAGCAAAAATCGGTCGACCACAACTTTGTGAACGCCTAGTGGGTGTGTTGTCAAATTTCTTCTCAAGTCTTCCAATCTTCTACATCCATAGAATGCATCACAAGCTTCACTTCTTGAACACCTTTGGAAAATAACCCAGTTTTTTTAATGCTAATATTGGTTTTTCTGCTTATTTACCAAAGATAATTTCTCTTCTTCTTATTTATTATTATGATTCCCATACAAAAAAAAAAAAGGGGGGGGGGGGGGGGGGAAGGGATAGAGATAAAAGAGTGTTAAAAAAAAGACACTAGTAGAAGAGAATCAATCGACCCATTTGTAAGATCAGACAATCAGTCAAAATAGCTATATAAATTGAAACAAATAATTTTAGTTGGCGTTATTGGTTCTATTTTTGGGGGGGGCCCAAATGCCTAAATAAATATATAATTACCGGAAATTTTGGCTCTGGACAAAAAAATTATTTGTTTGTTCTTCCTCCGGCATTAGCATAAATACTTCAAAAAATGATTTGATTGCCGAGCCGTCATCAAACTTGACAGATCCCGTAACATTGATTAATATTCCCCATGTTCCTTGAGCATTAACTGTAGCTGTAATGAATGTATTTCCTAGCAAAATAATATTGTACAAAGATTAGAAAGGATTTCTTTTTATATATGATTATAATCCTAATTTTTACCCGGGAAAGGTTGGCAATTGTATACATCAATCTCATGTATGGATTGTGGTATAACTGCTAATAATTCTGAAAACTTTTGAGCTCCCGAGAGTGCGTTTCCTAATTAGATTACAGATCGATCAAAAAATTGGAATCATAGTCTTTTGGCGTTCTCATTATTGCTTTTAATTTTTCTTCTTTCTTTTTTTAAAAAAGATTATAGAATAATAGCAAATCGAATCGTAATTTGTCGTACCATTCCAGAGTATAGTTGATTTGTCGCGATAGAGATTAGGTAATGTCTACAAGAAATAAATGCACATGTACACATACAAGGTAAGAATAATTGTGCGTTGTAATCAATCAAGATTCCTTTAATTTTATTATTGTTATTACTGTGCGTTGGCCATCGAAATTTCCATAGTAGAATTGAACGAATTGTTCAGCACTTTTCTCAACAATGCTCATTATTGCTTCCATTGTGATTAAGTATTGTATGCTTGTAATAGAATAAATAAATAAGTAGATATATATATATATATATATATATATGTGTGTGTGTGTGTGTGTGTTGTGTGTTATATGTAAAATGAAAAATAAATTAAGCTAATTTGATTTTCATCTTTAATTTGATTTTAATTTTTTTTATTGTTTTATAAAAATGTTTCCAAAAAAAAAGACCCATTGTTCACCCTTGATTTTTTTTAGGATTGTGACTTTTGGTTCATTAAAAGACAAATTAAGAATTGAATTATATATATATATAATTTCGGCATTTTTTTTTTAAATATTATATTTTATTTTTATTTTTTGGGTTTATCCTCTGTAAGGAGGGTTTACTAGAGAATGAGACCTACATATGTATTTATGTGTATATAGAGAGTTTCATGAAGTCAATATACACAAACAGCTTAATTAAACAAAGTACATTATTGTACCAAAAAAAAAGAAAATACCTGTCTTCAGTCGATTCAAAGGTCAGAGCAGATAAGAGAGAATCCATGTCTTTTCGATTATCTTTGGGTCGCTTGGAAAGCGCAAGGGTTGTCATTGTGTGGATTGGATCTTTCTGTGAGTCTGACTTTTCACTGTTTGATTGGGCTATAAATGATCATAGTAATACCAATGATAGTTGGATCAATCAATACATACATAGTTAAACTACTATTGTTTTGATAAAGACTTACACAAAGCTTCCTTAAGTGTCTCTACTTTGACAGCTCTAGATTTATCAAGTTGGGAGCACTAATGATGGAATATATAAGCCATAATAATGATCAGCCAAAAAAATAACCTCGATTAGCAAACTACCATTATTTTTGGATTTTTAAAGGAGTCTTTACAAGATGTACATATAAATATACTTGCATTGTAATCTGTGCTGGACCAAGGTATTGTCAGCTTTGGCTTTAGATCATCCATGTTTCGAGAAGTTCGGATTCTAAAGGATCTTTCGTGGCTCACTTTTGTACACCAAATACACACCCAAAATACAATAAGATACAATAGTATTACATATTAGATGTCAAATAAACATTTCAAAAATCCAAAGATGAATCGTTCGATCAATCATTGCTGTAGCCAACCATAAGCACAAGCACACACAAATACATATACATATATGTATATATACATACACATATATATGTCTACTTACCAAATACTTCTGATCCCCACTCGGCATACAGCTTGCTTTCAAGATCTAATCCATGAGTGTCTTCTTCGTCTCGAAGAGGGCTGTCTTTTGAAAAGATTTCAACAATCAGATGTCGGTCTACAAAGCATTCGACCGTCTTGGTGTTGCCGCGCTCAACATCTTCAAACGATGACACTCCGGCTAGACGATCGGCAGTCTCGGGTAAAAACACTGATGAATACTCCCTAGCAAGGATGCGCTCACGTTTGATTCGGTCAATGTACTCTTTCAGACGATTGATCCCATAAAAGTCTGCAATCATATCTAGCCACTCAACCACAAGTGCTGCCGCGGCTCTCTGACAGGCCGCCGCACCACTAGCACTACCACCACTGTTAGCGCTACTCACAATTCCAGTTTGTACCAGACTCTGGAGTTTAAATATCAGTGGTATAGCCTTGATTGTTCCATCGGCTCCAAATCGACGTGTGAGTGCACAGAGGAGGTTATAGAGTGCCTTGATGTCCTGAACCCTACAGTCAGCCACCACTGCCCAGTCGACGATGGCCTGGTGAAGAGCGTTTACGAACATGACGTCCCCGTGCTGATTGAGCATGTGTTTTGGAAAGGGATCCAGTGACGACGATAAGAGCTCTGCCTCTTCGTCGCTATTCTTCGATGTCTCGTCGAGATACCGAATCAGTGCGTCTGCGATATCCACACGTGTCTCGGATTGTCGGTCCGTCAAGAGTCCAAATGCTGGGATCCAGACATCTAAAGACACCGAAGTTGGGTATGCTTGGTTGTCGTGGTCGTCTGTTTCGGCCGTTTGTTTTGTTCCAGACAAAATAAGATTAAGACACTTGAGCGCAATACGTCTGTACTGCACTACCGGAAGACCATCTACTTGGTCCAAAGCCGTACCAACTCTAAGTTTGGTGATTATGTAGCCTGTGATGTCGTTAAGTTGGTTCTGGTAGTAGATCTGCGACGCCAGGCCACCGATACTGTGAACCAGACCATGGTTGACGGCATACTCGATTGTCATTTCTTCCGAGTCTGGGTTGTGGTTAGGATCAAGTTGTTGTGCGATTGTGTCGGACGACGACATGTGGCCCGACAAGGACTTCACGAGATGGGTGAATAGTGAGTTGAGAACCTCGAGGACAGAAATGCCGACCAAGGGTATATTTGCATTCAAGAGTCTGTCCAAAGTGGTGATAATAGATGCTGACTTTTCGTTCATGTAGTTTTCGCCACCGGATTTCGAACTTTCCAACTGTTGAAGAAGTTCAGATACTAACATGTATCTAAATTGAGGCTAATAAATACGATACAATTGATTAATTACTTGGTTGCTTAAGTGAAAGACGGAAAAATGATAAGTATCAAAAAGGGTTTATATTTATAAGATTATCATTCAGTTGTATTGTGATGTAATGTAATCCATGTGTATGTAAGTGCCATAAACAACTTTACTAGAATTTGTCTTTTTGTGTGTTCTATGAACTTTACCTGGAGAGAATCAAGAACAAGTTCCATTGAAGAAGTAGCCAGATTTGAAGGCCACCACTTTTGATTGGTATCAAAAAATCTATTGTCATCCCCCAGAATATTAGTAACAAGAACCAAAAAAAAAGAAAGCAACAACAACATACGTAAAGAGTGGTTTTAGTGTTGCTCTAACAGCACTGCCGTTAGCTTTGTTGAATATAAGCACAAATGTATTTGTAGCCAAGAGATCAACTGTATTTTTATCAACAGTTCCAGTATGAATATTTGTTGGTGCAGGTCTAATACACCAATCCGCACAAACACACACACACACACACAAAAAGGCATGGTGTTAATATGTGTGTTATTAGAGCTGTATGTTTATTTTTACCCAGTCTTGGTTGAATCAACAGGATGACCAATGTTAGCAAGTGCAGTAATCAAGGGTGGCATAATCAATTCCACCTGTGTTGCGAAATCGGAAGCATATAATGCAGGTGATGTTACTGCAGCATGCATAGCACGCTGACCAATATATCTCAGTCTATCAAAAAGAAGAGAGAATGATAGATGTATAATTAATACCTGTTTTCCATACATATTCATATTTTCTTTTCTTTTTCGTTTCGATAATTTACTGAGTAGTTTGTTGGTCATCATTGTCACTGGGATCATAAAATGTAGCAAACTTCTGGACAAGACGTTCGTAGTCCACGGTCAATTCAGAATCTACGCCCAAAGTTGATCCATCATGATAGTTTGCAAAAACGACAAACTTGTAGAGCAAATCAATGATAGATACAGACACATGAAAACGAAAAAATAATAATATTATTTTACTATTAGACTCAGAATAGGTATATATTATTACTATTCGTATTATTAGTTTTGGCTTACGGTTTCACAGGTTAGGTTGATAAGCTGAACGTCTTTTGTGTCAAGGACCATGTTAAGGATTCGGACGACATATTTTGAAAACAAGTTTAGGTCTCGATGACAGGCCTCGATAAGTACTTTGATGATATCTAAGGACACTTGGTTGTTTCTAATTCATTCCATTATTATCATGATTATTTCGTTTTATTTAGTGTAATATATTAATATTATAATGTAAATTTAATTTTAAAATTTATTTAAATTTAATGTCATTTAATTTAATGTTAATTTCCATTTAATTAAAATTTCCAGCTTCTTTTAATAATAACAATAATAATGAAGAAGAGGAAGACTTACTGTTTCTTGCCCTTCTGAATGTCTCTCTCGACCTTCTTCTCAAGGAATACTCCAACCTTTGTTAACTTTACAGGACGAGAAGTGGCATAGAAAACCAGATAACTCAATTCGGAAGAACGTGGTCCCTTTTCACCTTCTTTGTCTGGATAACAATTATTGATTAACGAGGCATGCTTAACGTATCTATAAGAGTAATAATAATAGCGACAATTTAAGCATAAGTACGTATGTATGTATGTATATGTATAATTATGTACATATAAATATTTACATATTTATAAATGTAAAAGTATATATTTGTATTAATGAATAAATGTATGCATGCATTGTGGTTTCTTATTGAATTGATTAATCAGCTTACAGATGCATTGTAGTTAACCGAGATTAGGTATTTATTTTAAATCCTGTAGCTGATTTATTTGGGCTGGATGTGTCTGAATCGGATGAAGTGGGATGAATGAGTGTGGGATGAGGAGAGGTGTGGATAGGAATGGTTGAGGAAATAAGGAAAGGCAAAAAAAAAATTAAAAAAAAATTAAAAAATTAAAAAAAAAAAAGCAATAAATCAAATCTGCACAAGTCTAAAAAAAGAAGGGGTTACAAGTCGTTCTTTAGGCTCTCTTTCGTTCTCTATCCGTCTTTACCTGTATATTGAGCGTCTCTCTCTATCTCTCATCGAAGCACTCCACATCACTGTCACTTTCACTGTGTTTTTCCCTATTTGGGCCACAGACAGTCTTTCCAAATAAAATTAACATATCCCCTAAAATCAATGATGGCAGTGCCGCAAGAAAATAGGGGAGGGAGTTACGGACATGCTAGAAAGTCAAAACGGAAAACAAATGCAACATTACTGTAATTAGTTTCTTATGTTACACACGTTTTTTTGGAAGGCCAGACTTTGATATTTGTCAAATGTTTCAAAAAAGATGTTGATTGTAAATATATATATATATATAAAAGATGAAAGGTTAATATGGTCCGAGATAATTCTATTTTGAAGGCCATGCCTTGGTTACTAGTACATAACAGAATAATCTTCCAGGCTGTGTTTTTGAGATATGTGCTTATGAAAAGGGTTGATTTTTGGTCACGCGAATTTTCTGGTGTTTTTGCGTTTTGCAAGAACAAAGTGGTTAATGCCCAAGGTAATGACTACGGGTTCGATTTTATCTGGCATAGTAGAAATTGGGACAAAAAGACAGTCTCCTGTTTCAATTGGAGTATACAAATATACGGCCACATTTCTGTTATATGTGTCTGTAAGTTGTGGATGGTCGATTGTGCCAAACCAATATTGATTCCACTATTGTTTGACTGCTAAGGTCCTCAAGTTTTTGCTTAGCTATTTGTTCTGGTTTTTTTTATTGAATTGCTTATATAGATTTGCTCTTATTTACTCTATGTATTGTTATAGCCGTCATAAACAAGCTCAAGATCGTGAGCAAATTCAGGATCTCCAGCCATGACTTTATTGATGCTTTCTGGAACTGACACTGAATTCTTAATTGTTTTATGGTATATATGTAATAGTATATTATATAAATAAATATTTTTATAATGATTGCTAATATCATATATAAATTACCTTGTCCTTATAAGTAGTTTTTTCTTCAGCGTCTTTGGATGCAGGGGATTGCAATTATATCAAATTGGTAAGTGCGTGGGAGCAGGGAAGCAAGTAGTTGTATTGGATGAGCCAATGGCACTCTTTTTTTCGTATTTTCTGGTATGATCGATTTTGAAAGCTTTAGCTTGATTTTGTCTATTTCATATCTGCTAATTCTGTAACGGATCTCAGTAAGACTTGCACTCTTTATTTTGTTCAAAGCAACGTTTGTGCTCCCTCTAATGTACTCCACCGTCAATCTGCGCTTGCAGTCATCGACCTAACTAATTTAAAAAAAATACTATAAAGCTTTGTTAATTATCGCATAAAATAATACATTATAAACTTACAAACTCCTCGTACCATATTTTAACTTTCAAGGCCACCGTCTTCAGTTTACCTGAGGAAGTACCAAGAGAATGTTTAAGAGAAGCTTGTGCACTCTCTGCACAGTTAGAGGTGCAATTACCAAAATAAAGGTATCTTTACAACGTAGATGTTTACCCATTTTTCTTTATCCTTCATTTTTCTGATAGATCATATAAAAAAATATTTTTTATAGTTAATAAATTGTTTCTTTTGAATTTAGAAGTTCTATATGTACCTTTCAAGGAAAGCATCGGTAATTTTTTTCCTGTCTATGCAATGTTCCTTTACAAAGTCAAGTTATCCATTTGTCTCTTTCTTCATTTCTTCTGATTTCACGCACCCCAAAAGCAAATATGTCCAAGTAACCAGCCAACTTCTCCAAGAAACCTCTCTTTTCGCCGTTTTTGTCTTCCTTAATTGCTGGCACAAATTGTTTTGACTCAGGGAAAGCATGAGTAATTGTATTTCTCAATGATTGCTCGTTATTAGTGATCGATACACTTGGAAAAAGAGGAGTGCTGCTGTTGCTGTCTTTAGCACTAGGAAAGACTGCATCCCGCAGACAGTGAAGTATCCAGCGATATTTTTCTACCGTCCCGTGCTCAACCCAACCACCAGCAGTTTGAGGTTACTTTAAAGACTTGTGTGGGGTTTAAGTAACATTACTAGTTCCAACAGTTAATAAATGTCATCCTACGGCTGTTCGTCTTGTATGTTTCATCAATTATCACAGTATCGGGCATTATTCTTGCTTCGTCAACTGCGTCTTTGTGGACAAAATAAAAGACCATTTTGACTTTGTTTTCTTTGGTGTTATCAACAGTTTATCTCGCATGGAAGTCAAGATCCTGTAAAGTGGTGATGAACTCAAACATCCCCCGTCCTTAATCAAACTTTCTAAAATTCTGTTTGATGTTCGCAATATCCTGGTGGATAATATTAGTACATACATTTCTCCTCAAGCCGTTAAAGATAGTGGTAACATCATTGTTCTCCTACAGAAGCTTAGATACAATAACCGTTACCCCTGGCGACAGCCTGGGATTTATGGCATACGATCTGCAGTCTTCTTCAATTGCGTGGTTATGTTGTGCCTTAGAGACCATACCTAAAATAAAGAATGTACGTAAATAACAATATATATATATATATATATATATATATATTGCATGTATTCATGGTCATATAGGCAGACAGTATAATTTTAAGGATATTTGGTGACGAACAAAGTAAAATAGAGAGAGAGAGAGAATACAAATGCATGAAGACAATCGAAACACAAAGTGGGATAATTGGATTGCACATCAATCACACATTTTGAAACACTGGAAATGAACTGTCACGATACATGATGGCCAGTTTCTTGAATATCAACGTGCACAAGGTATCATTTTTCATTATGTTGATAGCTGTCCTCTTTGAACACAAATAAGTGTACATGGACATGATCATCTTGGTATTAGATGGTATTTCCATCAAGCAAACTATCAATTTAAAACTTTCGCTGATGTTTTTTTGATGAACTTTATAATTAACGAAAAAGAGTGAAAAAAAAATGTCCTGCATCAAGGAGCATACAACGAGGCAATCTTGCAACGATTAACAGCTTCGTTTGGCATTTTTGACTCTGCTATAAGACACTTGTAAGCTAGCGACAGGGCTATATGATTAGATAACGTTTTTGTTGTGTCCAAGTGTCAGACAAACAGCTCAGTTCATTCTGCCCTTGACCTCCTTCTTGAAGTCGACAATAAAACTGTAACCTTCATCAGATTTTTGTCCCATTTCGAGTAACAGGATGACGTTTCAATTGCAGCTTATCAGGATATTCCAGATCTTCCTATGTTATATCGTCGTTTCAACTTAATATTGTATTCAATTCCTTTTTGTATAATTATTTTTTAATCTGGAGGTCGTTTTCTGATCATCCACATAGTCGCAATTTTCGAAATAGTTTTTCATTAGTGATGCAAACGGCTAGCATGGTTGTAATAAGATTTGATTCCAAAGGTAGTTCCACAGCCATAGTGGAAAAAGGTGATTTGTAGATGTTGAAAACTTTAAGCGAATACGACATCACTCGCTGTAAAAGGGGAACTGTACGGACATGTTAATGAGACTAGATTTAATAATTAGGCGTTACATCAATAATAAAATAGTTTTGCTTTTATATCAAACGCACCTTTTTTTTTGGAGGGATCAGACTTTGATATTAGTTGAATACTTTTAAGAAAACAAAACACTAGCCCTAGACAGAAAACGTTTCCTGGTGGGGGACAGCTTTTTCTAGTAGCAGACAACATTTTTATTCTTCCGGACCACAAATTGTCCAAATTCTGCTATGATTTTTGCCTTGAACGGCATGGTATGACTCGAAACCTTTGATGGAAAAGGTTAAACAGCTTTGCTTCTAATTTATTTTCGATGACAAACATTGGGTCACTTTCTGGTAATGTATGCAAAAGAAAGACAAAGCCATGATACGTGTAGGAAGGCCAATAAATGGTAAAATATCCAACAAGATTGCGTCACAATTTAATGACAACTCCTTATAATATTCGGCATAACTGGTTGTTGATATAGTGTATTTGTTTTTATGGCCAAGTCTAAATTTAAGGCGCAAATGCCAATTTGATATGAATATACTGTATTTTTTTAGGACACACTATTTTACCTTGAGGGATTAACACCAGTAAACGTTTTTTTTTTAAAATAATATTATAGTTATATGATATTTCTTTTTGTAAGGTATAAATTCTGTCGGAGTAACTACTTCATTCGATTGTAGACAGTATTACCAACACAATTTTAAGTGTATGCCTCAATGAAGTACCAAGTTATTGTTGCTGTGAGAACAGCATTACCTTTGGTAAACGGTTTATTTTTTACGGTATATTTAATTATATTACACAATACAAAAAAGAGCGTTTCAGAGAGTGGTCTTGAAAATATCATATGGATTTTTAAAAGCGTCATCTGAATCACCCATTTTTTTTCTTTTCATAATGACATCGTCCGGAGTAACTGGCCTGTCAATGCCAGTTACACCTCTTAAAACAAGGATAAAATTTGGTTTCTTCGGTAGCATTACTTTCCTAGTTGCTTTCATTTTTATTTATATATGACAGCTATTCATATCTAGAGCCCTTCAAAAAGAAAATGTTTAGTAGCGTCTGCTATATTATATATCATAATTCCCAGATACCTTAGGGTAATCACTCATTCCCTTGGCAAATCATCTTGATACTTCAATCAGTGATATATTCTTATTTCAACGAAATTCAACCTGAAATTCAAAATCCCGTCATTTACTGTGTTGTGGTTTAGATAATATACATACATACTTTTTGCTGTATTTCTTGTTTTTTACTTATTACTTGATATGTTTTTGAGATTTTACTTTGGTTTATTCCCTAATGGCTAGTAGGTCCTTTTTGGGTTTTCTTGTACGAGCAAAATAAGAAAATAAATTAGTGTACCATTGAATAAAAAGTGCACAGACCAGCTTAGAGTAACCTACAAATCGCCGTTATAGAAACCTGTACTCCACTTTAAGAGTTATTGCTACACCGATCGAAACCAAACTCTTCACTACTCTTTTACTTCTTTGCTTCTTTGCTCTACTTTACTTCACATTGCAAAGTCCCTTTCGTACGTACTTTGAGTAAATAGTATTAGCTGTCTCTTCTGCAGTGGAACAGTTACACAGACCCAGTAAAAAGAATATATAGCCATATCACGTTTGCTCTGACGTGGACATCTAAGACTGACAAAAAGCGTAGTCCTAAACTTTAATCGCAGCTGAAAAATTCTGTTACATATAGACCTCCTCCAACGCGCGTCGTTTGTTTTCTCCTTGAGCAACAACAGTCCCGGTTTCATAGTGAGGCGTCTCTTGCGACCGTTGCAGGGAGATTCTTCCATGCTACAAGCATCGGAAAGTGAAAGTTGTTACTCGCCAGCTCAGTTAATTCTGAGAAGTCGTGGGGCATGGTCTCTTTTCTTTTGGAAAGACTACTGTGTACATCGCATCGCCAATGTGGAATCATGATGCTGGGGGGAGGGAGGTCTAACCTGTGGTGAGATGTGCTGGCTCTTCACTGCTAACCTGACTGGACTCTTTAACGGCTGACGGTGAAGCTACTGGTAGTCGAATGAGCTGGACCTTATCACCTAGTGATAAGTTCTCTGGCGAGTTCGCACCCACATTACTCGGTGACGAGATGTGGGGCTGGATGAACGGGTGCTTTCCGTTGGTTTGCCACCATTCCAGCACCTCCTTCGCTACCAAGTAAGGTTTACGTCCTGAAGGAGATTGAGCCGCGTAATGCGGGGACAAAGAACTTGGTGTCATGCTTTTTATTCCTTTACTCATGTAAAAGAACATTAAGTGAAATTAAATTAAATCAAATAGAATAGTTTCTTTATGTATATATATGTATATCTTTAAATAAATAAATAAATAAATAAATAAATAAAGTCTTTCTTAGCTATTGTCAACTTTAATAAAAAAACATGCTTTTAAACTTTTTTTTTTGCTTGATTGAAGAGTTCAATGTTGTAATTAGGTGGACTGATTAATATGAAGAAGTTAATCTAATTGAGTAAACATAGAAAGAAATAAAATACTATTCATATATTCTAAAGTGGTATTGATAGCTGTGTTTAGCTGTACACGTTGTTGTCTATAAATTATATTAGGATTAAAAGAAGACTAGTTTTTGAGAACACCGATGCCATGAATTGTACATTATTAAACTAGGCCAATCCGGATGGACGTTGTAAAGATGATGCATTGGAATGAGAGAAAGAAAAAGCGATAAATAGAAAGATGAGAAGGAATACAGAAATATATGTTTGAAAGAGAGGCAGAAAAGACGTGATGTAGGTTGAATACACAGACTGCACAAAAAAAAAGTCAATTTGGATGAATTTATAAAACAATAATCCTTATTTATAAGCATTTTCATACTTTGAATATTAGTAAATGCTTGGTATCCTTCATTCGTTATTACATAAACACATGCTCAATTATATTCACAGTGGAAAGTATGATTTGAATTGAAATAAGAAGAGTAGACAAGTACTGATAAGCTACAAAGCATATCCTTTAACATCATGTATAATAGCAACTCGCCAAAGATGTACAGACAGCTTTTATATTGGAATCTTTAAAGGTGAGCTAACAGACATTAAGGTATATTAAATTGCCACGACATAGTTATTATAGAGGAGGGTACATTCTCATAATAAATTCCATGGAGTGGAGTATAACTTTGATGCGTGTAGGGCATTACAGCTGATTCATTGGTATAGATTGTTTGTACGTCAGCTTTCTTTTTTGTTTAGGTACTAATATTTAAAAGATACTATGCTTTTACCATTTCAATATCGTCAATTTTCTTTAAGCCACTACAAAAATGCATTTATATTTCCACCTAATTTTGAAGAGATTGGGAAACTTATGTTCTATCAATAAAAGACAAACCATTAATCTAGGTTGATAGAAAAGGCTTTTGTGTATATTGTCATATATGAGTTAATGAATAAAAGTGTTTTCGAAAAGTATTTCAACCGGTTTTAAAATCCTCTCATTTCGGTAATACTTATTAAAGGTGGCACTATAGCGTCGGGAATAATTATTCAATTTAGTCTCATCAGCATGTCCTGTAAGCATGTCCGTAATGGTCTCCTTATTTAACAGGATATTAAAAATTAAAATTAAAGCTTGTGCTTATTAGATTTATCTATACATATATATAAAAAACATATTATGTTTTGAAATCATCTTTATTATTTTAATAATGGTAATGGTAATGTTAATGTCGACAGTAATAATGACAATACATTCACAACTCCAAAATGTGTGTACGTTTTTTTTGAGAAAAAGAAATAGGGATGAAAGGAGGGTATATGAAGGAGGTATGAGGGATGAAAGGGAAGGGGTGAAACCAAACACTAAATAACTACATTGAGAACCTTTTTATTGCTGTTTTTGTTTTTTAGGTTATTTTTTGTTACTAGAAGATCCGATCGTTGTCTTACGGCGAAACAAAGCAAATGATTGACTTTTACTCAGTATTCTATCCTTGTTTGATGAACAGCTGCTACTAAATCCACCGAGGTTACTGAAGTCGTTAGGGTCGCCGAGGTCTTCAAGGTTGCCAAGATCGGAGAGACCGGTAGGAATACTGGGGCTGTTAGAGCCTGTGTTTAGAGACTGCACAGAAGGATTAAATAGATCTGGAGCAGATACGTTCCATGGTTCTTGTCGAGAGATTGCCCTAGAGTCTTTTTGCTTCCACGCCGATATAGATCTCAGAAGTACATCCGATACAGATCTGCGACGGTGAATGCAGTCTGCCTTGATAGATTCAACAGAAGCAAGAATAGGAAGAGAGGCAGAGGTAGAAGTGGAAGTGGAAGTGGAAATCGGAACAGAGCCGGCCAAATCAACAGCAGTAGTAGTAGCAATGATATCAGTAGTAGAAGTAGGAGTATCGGTAATAGTAGGAGTAGTTGGATCTGATAAATAAACAATCTGATGACTAGGTATGGGAGAGTTAGGTACACTGTCTGCTGTGTTGACCTTTGACTGACGACGAGGAAATAGAGAGCGTTTGACGTCGTTTAAGGACAGCTGCCGGTGTTTTAGAGTCTGGAAATGGTTTCTGAAACTACGCCTGGTTGGCTTTTCGCGATCACCGGCACTGATAATGCTATTTAATTCAGGCTGTGCTGGTATCTGATGATCTCTTGGCTCGTCTGTAAATGTGTTTGAGAAATTTGGAAGTGGCGGTCGATGTCTTTTAAATAAAGATCTATTAAAATAAGATACTTGATCCTGGTCATAATCCTGGTCATAATCATAAGGATGGACTTGTTTGGGAGACAGGGTACTAAGATCAAAACTGATGGATCTGTTTAAGGAAACAGAAGAAGTGCTTTTTGTGGAGATGTCTTGTGCTTTTGGTCTCGATGTACAACTTGCTAGAGATGAGATCCAGAATATGGAGCTGTAGATGTGGTACCAGGCGTTGTAGAGCTGGTTTTTTATCGTGTCCCATATATTGGTTGTGAATAAGGATAGAGATCGATACATATCCATGGTTGACCGCATGAGCAGCAAGTAGAAACAACAACAGTAGAGAAAATATTATATTTTTAGGCTTTGTAGCGTGTATGAAGAATAGTGAGAGAAAGAGAAAGAGAAAGAGAGAAGAGGTTGATAAATAATGAAGCAAATAAATAAAAGTGATAATAGAGTATTTATTTATTTATTGGAATTGATAAAGATAATAAAGATAGTACGTGCTGAGGAAACTAAAATAATACGTGAAATAAGGGGGTGAAAGAGGAGGGGTAATAGGTTTCTTTCTATTGGATGTGGAGTGCATTATGTTTGGCATTTGGCATTTGGCATTTGCTGCTGCTATCTACTTTTACTTTTACTTTTATTTGTATTATTATTATTATTGTAGCTTTTCTGTTCAAAATACAGTTGAGAATTGGATTTTGGTATTCTTCTTATAATAATCAGTATATGAGAAATATGTGGTTTAGTATTATTTTTGGTTGGTCGGTTGGTCGGTTGGTTTTGTTTTATTGCTACAAAAAAGAAGAACAGTAATATTAATATTATACTTATATACAAGTGTGTGTGTGTTATTCACTTTCACCTGTTGTTATCCAAATTTCAGGTTTCTACTGTATTATATCTTTACTCCAATATTGTTTACCAAGGTTGGATCATATGTGAATATAAAGGTGAAAGAAGTAATATTATATACATATAAAAGGAAAAGACAAAGAGGAGAGCTATTGGGTTTTTGGGGGAGAAATGGAAATGATCGGAAAGGAACCAACTTTTTTTTTGTGTTTGTGTGTGTATGTGTGTGTGTTTTTTTGGTATTTTAACAATTTTTATAATCAAGCACATGAAAGAAAGAAATAAAGAAAAACAATTTGTTACAATAAAATACGCAGACAATTTGCTCATTTATATAAACATAAGAACATAAGAACATTGGTGCATTGGTGTATTCGTACATGCACACATAAGAATAATTTGTTTTATTTTATTTCTTGGCTTGTGAAAATCCCCGTCCTTTGTGTCATGAAAACTATATATATAAAAAAAAAGCATGAGATAATTGAAATACAGTAAAAGAAGGGTAAATTTATGTAGAATTGCAGATTTGTGATACTATGTACTACAGCTGCTTTGACAGGACTTCCGTTTTTTTTTCTGGTTTGAAATATCATTCACAATATCAGCTAAATTGGATACTTCTTGTGTTGAGAAATCTGCTTCAAATAAACTATCAGGTTCCAACGCTGCCGATGTAGAAAACAGGTATTGGCAAATCATAATCGGTGTTTGTGTCAATGGTCTTTAGATTTTGGACGTCGGACGTGAGCAGCAACTTTTGTGGCTAATTTGAGAGCAGATGACTTCTCCAAAGTACGCAGGATATTTTTCACGCTTAATTTATTTCCAAAATTCTGTCACCTCCATTGATATCACCCAGATTGCCAATTCTTAAATTAGCCATTCCTTGTGATCAGTGGGAACATATTCTGCAAAGATATTCCTCTGGTGCGTGATTGTATACATTCGATCGGACATAAAGAAGTTGGTAGCATAAGATTTCAGTGACAAGTTTCCAGTACACGCCAATTTTGCCCTGAAGGATTGGAGAAAGGCATCTACCCAGAGAGGTGGTCAGAATTAATTAGTCTGGTTAAATAGCAATGTTGTGTCCTACTAGAAAATATTGTCTGTCTTGCCAGTCTGTCCGTAAGATGCCCCATATCTATCTATTTTTCTTGGTTTAATTCTCAAGACACACAGAGAAAACGCTTATATAATACTATAAATAATATAAATGATTACCAAAAAATGATTATTACTAGCACTGTGATACCTTGTATAACTGAGGTTTGACAGTTGTCATTTAACTCTATATTAATAATAAATAAATAAATAAATAAAAACCAGCAAGAGCAAGAGCAGGAACAGAAAGAAAATAATAATAATATACAAATGAATGAATTGATTAATTTGTATGTGTTTTTGGTTACCAAAGATAATGATAGCTGAGTAAGGGACAAGGTAGAAAGCATAATTCTTTATTTTGTTCCTATTTCATTTTACTCTTTTCTTCAATTTTATTTTCCATTTTCCATTTTATTTTATTTTATTTATATTATTCATACTATAATATAATATAATATAATATAATATAATATAATATAATATAATATAATTAATTAATTATTAATTATTAATTATTTTTGTTATTTTCTTGCTGTTCGTTCTTGTTTCTATTTTATTATAAGATGCAAAATATACAATGGATCACACAAACACTACTTCTCTCCTTCATATTATCTTTTGTTATTACAAATGCAGAATCAATATCAATAGATTCAGATAAAGACAATACATCACCACCATCACCAGCATTCTCATCAGCATTCTCATCAGCATCCTCATTAGCATCAACTTCTTCTTCTTCTTCTTCTTCTTCTTCTTCAACCTCATTAAAAGACATAACATTACAAAGATTACTATTATTGGACAATTCACTCGAGATCAATTCCCAATCCACCTGGTTCCCAACCGCAACTTCTTCACTTTCCCATACACGAACAGCTCAACTATCATACGCTGCATCCGCAACCCCATCCACTCGAGCCAATGTAACCAGCTCACAATCCAACAATACAGTCGGTGCCTTGGTACAATATCAATTTTCATGTACACTTGACAAGGTGTTTTGCGGAAAAGTTAAAGATGCCGTCGATTCGGCCATCAATACCTTCACCCAGGTGGTGACAATCAAAAACAACATGACGTATGTTTTAATATCTTCTTACTTTACTATTAAAATCATAATAATGATGATAACGATAAAATACATATGAATCGATCAATTATTCAAAGAGGATAACAACCAAACATCTTTATAGTATATGGATTTCATACTATAATTTCTGTGACAAAAAGTGTAACAATGGTACCTATGGCTGGGGTGCACCCACCTCCCAAGTAAGCAAGAACATATCTAATTATATATTAGTTAAAAGTAAATAGCACATTTCGTATATCTATCCTATCTATTTTGGGGTTTTATTGAACTTTCAAAGCAACATTAGTTTACACTGCCATTTTTTGATGATGGGGCCGACTTGAATTATGTGTACCCTCAGGCACTTGCAAAACAGCTTGCCCCATACAGTAATACATCGGTCTGGGCCGACCATGACGTAGACATTGAGATCAACCATGATGCGTATATGGCCGCTGTTGATTTTGACAAGGCCCAGAGTGAAGGATGGAACGCAAGTTCTACGAATAGTAATACTAGTAGTAATGTTCCTCCTGGTGGGAAATATTGGTTTTTTAATGACACGGCCGCAATTCAACAACACCAGATCGATGTCCGGTACATTGTACTCCACGAACTGTTGCATGGCCTGGGGTTCATCAGTGCCTGGGCAGCATACTTTTGGACGGACGCATCGCCTTTCAGAACACTGGTGGATGGGTTTATTGATGCGACCGATCTGCAGATTGTGACTCCAGGGCCTTACTGGTACGTCAATCAAGACACCGGGCCGGCATTTATTACCGGCTTCCAACCGACGATGATCTTTGACAAATTCCTTGTGAGTGTGATTGAAAACAACGATACGAGCACGACCAGTATCAATAGTAGTAGTAGTAGCGGTAGCGGTAGTAGCGGTAGTGGTATTACTGGCAATAGTACAGCAGGCGACAATGAGAATACAAATGATGCCAGTGGTGATAATAACCCGCTTAACATTACTACTATAAATGGAGTCAGTCATGCAAATCTGTCGACTATTGGATTCGACATGCAAAACTTCTGTGTTCAGGACAGCGACGCCTTTATTATCAACTTTGTCCGGCAGTTCAATCGATCTAGCCAGGCCAAGAATGCACGCAAGCTCTGGAACTCGATGTCGCAGCCAAGGACGCTTCGGTTTGACTTTTTTGGGCCATTGATTGCCAACAGCAGCTTCAATACGGACCCTTATCTCAAGCAGACCTACCAGAACATGACACTCCTGACGGGCTCAAACGTGCTGAGCTCGCAATCAGAACAGTTTGACCGGACCAACAATCGACCCGGGATTTCTATTTCGCACGTCGATGACCAATATGCCAGCACACCCGACTTCCTCATGACGCGGCACTACATCACTGGCCAGACACTCGAGGAGCTTGTGAGCGAGATGTACGACAGGTTGCCGGTCATTCGGTACAATACGACGCTCAACAATGGTACACTTGTGTCGCAGGTGTACCGTTCGCCAATCGGTCCAGGCATCCTGAGGATTCTAGACTCCCTGGGCTATTCTACTGTCCTGACTAAATCGAATTACACAACTGACGGAGCCGTCAAGACCTACAAATCCAAATCGGTGTGTGATGACAGCAATAACAACCATGCTTTGACCAAGGTTACCCCTGTCACATCGGCAGGAACGGGATTGGTATCCTTGTTGGTCTGTTCGACGACGTCGTGGTTCAACCCAGCCGCGCACTTTTATTATCTACTTGTGATTATTGTATCAATGAGTATTATATAGCAATAACGAGCACATAATTATTATTTTTTAATTGATATATATCTATCTATGTATATCGGTTTATATAATATCCGATTAATATATATATATGTAAATGCACATATTTTTTGCTTTTGTTTTTGCTTCTCTTATTTTGTCTAGTGCTATTTTTACCATTTACTTATTTACTGTTAATAACGAGCACAAATCTCGTTCTTGTTCTGATGGTTGATTTTGAAAAATAATAATGATATTAAGAATAAGAATGTGTTTCAATAAATTATTCAAAATTTATTTTTATTTTTATTTTTATTTTTATTTTTGATGGGCTGTGAATAGATTTCTGGCATGTTCTTTGGCTTATTGTGTACTGTTTTTGGGAATTTCGATTTTTTAAATAAAAATAATAATAATGGATTTTCTAGTCCGACCCAAACTGGTAAAAAAAAAATATAAAAGAGAGAGATAAATCGATAGATAGACAATAAAATATAAGAGAAAGGAGGGAGTGAGAAAAAAAAAGGGAGTATGAGTCAAGTAAGGCACACGTACGTTTATGATTAATATGTAATTTTATTTATATGGGTATGTGGGTGGGTGGGTTGGTGCTTGTGTGCTTGTGTGGGGATTTAACCCAAATAAAGTAAGTCCATTGAATTGAATTGAATTGAATTGAATTGAATTGGGTTGGGTTGGGTTGGATTTTATTCTATTCTATTGTGTAGTATCGCATTGTATTGTATCATGTCGATTTGGTAATGTGTAGATAATATTTACCAAAAGAGGTACAAGAAAGATAAAGATTATAAGAAAATAGATATATAAACAATGTATGTATTTCTCAGGGTGTAATTGACAAATGATACTACTGTTATTATTTGGCTTGTGATAAACTCTTATCCCAAGTATTTCTTAACATTTTGAGTCATCTATTTTTTTTCTTAAAAAAAAGGGGATCATTATGTTTCAATTTTACCAAAAAAAATCCAGTTCTCCGGTTTTCCGGATCTTTGAGTTGGTCAAAAGTTCTCCAGTTTCTGTCTGCTGTTTTGATATATATAAAAATTGAATACCGAAGAAAAAGCGGACAAATAGATTACAAATGTGTCCGTATAAACATTTAAATGTCATTTTATATATATTTAATTAATAAATCATCCTTAAAAAAATAATCGGTTGATCTGTGAGAATGCATGTGAGATGAGGAAAGAACAAAGAATCATATGAAATATAATCTTTAGAGAATAAAAGAAAAATAAGCGTAATATTGGCTGTTTAAAATCCTTGATACAGTTCGATAAACTTGATTAACGCTGTCAAAATAATATTCTATTGTATGTATAGGTTTAATGACAATTACTGCCAATAACTAATAAGAAGAAAATAAAAAACATGAAGAGGAAATCAATAGCAGCCATGGATTTAAAAGAATTGTCATCGTGCAATCATTGATATTATAGACCAAAGATAGGCACAGGACACCCTGCTTTTCTAAATATACAAAAGATACATTTAAAGTAAAAAAAAGCGTGTGTTGCCATGGAAATAAACTCTAATATAAATAAATAAATTTGTATATATAAAAAAATTTTCAAATTAAAAAAATATATATAAATACTTGTAAATCTCAGCCATTTTCGTTTCTCTTTTGCTTTCCTTCATCCTTTGCCAACAACAAAAAATATTATATATATTTATATATATATATATATATATATTCATAACACACACATACACATTAGCATCCAATCAACATTTAACATTCATACTTAACATCACCATGCCTTTTTCTAAACAACCATCATCACTACGATCAAAATGGTGCAGTCTAAAGTCTCGTTTCTCTGCTGACCCACTTACCATATCCACAAAACGACGAACATCAGACTGTAGCTGCTGTTCAAACCAATCATCAACCTCTTCCGCATCAACCTACCTACCAACACCCACAGACTCACCACAAACAGAACACTCACACACCCATAAACGTAAATTGAGTGATTCACTTACACTCATGTCTGACCACAGCACAAAGGCAGAGCGTCTGTTCTCCAGTATCCCAAACCTCTTTAGACGACCCAATTCACTTCCACCATCACCCACACTAGACATTGCCAAAGAAACGGCTGGTGTAAACGAATTATATGCCTATGCTCTTGATGAGGTAAATTATAACATTTGATTCATCTAAAGAAAACTTTATTAATTTATGTGTTTTGTAGATCAATTATGCTAGAGATTCTGTTGGATCACCTTATTATCCTGGAGATTTAGAGACAACACGAGAGGCAATCGATAACTACAACCGTGCATTCGATACCCTAGTCCAACAGACCACAGATATGTGGTTCCGTAATTATATTGAATCACAATTACGTCCTCGACTTGACTATCTCGAACGAACATATAACTCGCTTCCCGACTCGATCAATGAAGAAGACTCGATCGAACCATCATACTCATACTACACCACCGCCATAGACCTCTATTAGACTTGCATCACATTTCATCTGCATTTTTTTTATATAACATTTATTATCTTGCATCACCAAATCATTGACAATCCAAACAACCGGTAACATAAAAACACAGTCAAATGAAATCCAATCCAATCCAATTCCATGCAAACCCAAGCAAATCCAAGCAAATCAAAATCAAGACCATCATCATCATCATTATCATCATTATCATCATTATCATCAATTATCATCACCATCACCATCATAATCATCATTATCATCAATTATCATCGTCACCAATCAACCAGCACAAGAAATTCTGCCGTTTATCATTACTATTACTATTACTATAATCATAGTACAATTGCCATCATACGCACCCAACACATTCATACAACGTTTAGACACATCATTCATTTATAAGCATTTTTCTTAAAAAGAAACAAGAAACACTATAGACAGCACATACTCTTTTTATTTATTTAATTATTTTTCACTATAAGCATTTCTCTCTTTTTCACCCTATCCAAAAAAGAAACACTCCCCTAAGCATTTCTATACACTATTTATTTAAGCCCTAAACATCATCTTCATATTCATTATTATCATCATCACCAATATTTTCATGCACATCTTTTCTCTTTGTAATTTATATTATATTATTTATTTATTTTAATTATAGACTTATTACTGTTACTACTACCTTTATACAGAACAGAACAGAACAAAAAACCCCCCTCCACCTCTTCATTGTACATTTCTCGTTATTCATTCTATAGACAACAACAACAACATTACAACTCAATAAACACACACACACAATTTGCCACAACGCAAAACAACAATAACAATTGTAATAATATATATATTAGTAATTATTTTATATAAAAGGGTATTAGCTTAAAGGTATAGCCGATTCTCCACTTTTTTTTGTGTTTTGTAATTCCTGCAACATGTATATAAAATACACTATTATATATATAAAAAGGAAAAAAGACGAAATCTTTGATTCTTTGGCTATTCTATAAAAGGAATATATTCTTGTCAAATTCTGGTATTACACCGCGTGTGTGTCACAGCAACGAGTTTTTTTTTATATTATGTAATATATATTTATATATAAATCTTCGGGTGAGAGCGGTTATTTATTCTTATTCTTATTCTTAGTTATATTTTTATATTGGATAATTGAAAATCGTGTTTAAATCAACCAAAAGAAGAAGAACAAAAAGACAAAGAGCAAATAGAAAATAAAAGATGGAAAGGAATAAAAAGGGAATCAGCCAACAATTACTCTATTTTTCTTTCGTATATATAATAAATGCTTATATAATGTATGTATGTATGTATTTATATACATAATTCTGCTGACTATTATAAACAAGAGAATATAAAAGAGATATAATATTATTGGTGCAGTGTCAAGTATTTTAGCATTTATTTATTTATTTATTTTTGCATTAGTGTCAGGTCAGTAAGTGGTATTGGCGTGAAAGAATAAAGAATTTTAAGAAAGGGCTTTATTTTAATTAATTAATTGCCTTTTAATTATACACTGAAAAACGGTATATTTTGTCAGTTTGAAAACGATAAAAATGTCACTTTACTAAAAAGGATTGTCCACGGCTCTTTCATACATATTTCTCTTGTGAACATGTCGACCTTGTAACCCGATCGTCTATCGGAAGCCGATTTCTCAACACAAGAAGTATCCTATATCCGGCCCTGTCGCTGTCATCTTTACCATCATCCAAACCAAAGTATGGACGTCCTTTGGGCATTTGGTGAATTGAAACCAGCTAACTCTTCAACAAACAAACATATTGATCGTTACACTCAGGAATAAGAAGGTTGGAAAGTGTTTAAAAGGGACAAAGGATTATATTTTATTTCATTGTATATTGGTTCATCTCTTTGAAGCTTATTAAATCGAATTACTAATTAAGTAAATAAGTATGTAATAAAAAAAAAATAAAAAAAAAAGTGCTCTGATGGATAAATTATTTTGTATATATATTTATAATATTTATAGTATTTATAGTATTTTCAAGTACAGTCACAGTTACAAACTCTAATTATATTCAAATTACAGTCAAATCACAATCATGATCCGAGAAAATCAAAGATCAAAATATTTTTACCATTACTTGATATTAATCTCAATATTGACCATTGGCTATCAATTAAGCAAATCATCAATAATAATGTGCATATAACTATAAATCTATATAAAACAGATCATTTTTTGTAATTTTGTCATTCAAAAAAGAATTTGCTGAATTGCTGAATAAGTGGTCAGACCATTGATACACGATTGACAGAATTGACAGAAAGATAATATATAAATGATCAATTAATGCATATGTATTTATAGATAGATAAAGATAAAGATAAAGATATATATATATTAATTGATTAATTGATCGATTGACTGATTGACTGATTGACTGATTGACTGATTGATTGACCTTTTTTTTTTATATATTTTTTATTCTTGGCCTTCCTTTCATGACCATGAATACCCAACAAGAAATCACATCAGCGCCATAAAATAATAATAATAATAATTTACATTCAAAAGCAAATACAAACATACAAGCATTTATTCGTTAATTTAATGAATCAATTAACTATAATTCAAACCACGTATGCTAATCTTTTATTCCTCTTCTTCTCTTTCTTTACGTTTAAGAGACGTCTTGGAATCGTCTTTTGATCCAGAGCCAGAACCAAAAGAAGAAGAGGCAGAAGCAGAAGCAGAAGACGAAGACGAAGACGAAGCATTTTTGACATTCTTTGATGCTGAAGAAGGTCCATCCTCATCCACTTCATCAGAATCCTCTTCATAGTCATCCTCACTCTCTTCTTCATCAGACTTGAAATCCTCATCATCATCTTCATCGTCATCATCACCATATTCATGCTTCCAAAATTCTGCCAATGATGTACTCTTGTCTCCTTCTTCTTCTTCCTCCTCTTCTTCCTCTCCTTCCTCTTCTTCTTTTTCTTCTTCTTCTTTTTCTTCCTTGACTTCATCTTGGGATAATCCAGGTACTACTAATTCTGCAATATCCTCTTCTCTGGCCTTGCCCTTGCCCTTTCCCTTGTCTTTGGCTTTGGGTTTGTCATTATTGTTGGCTGTGTTTTCTTGATGATCGACATTGTTTGTATTCGCTTTGGATTCAATGGTGTCCAATTTGACGCGTTTATTTTCGTGCATTGTCATGTATAGTACGTGTATAATGTGTATATAGGTCTGTATGTATGTATATAGTATGTATATAGTATTTATATATATATTTTATTTATATGTATATGGATGTATACCAAGTAGTAGTAGCAGCTGTGAAAAAAAAAAGAATACACACACACACATAAAATAATAATAACAAAAAAACAGTCAAATTAAAATTCAAAATTACAAAAAAAAAATTAGTAAAAGTTTCTTTATATATATATATAATGTGTATATTCACAGTCTATCAAGGTGCTAAAATAAAATACCAGCATATATACAGATAATACTAGTCGAAAGTTAAAAGGAATAACAAGACAAATGATTAATAATTATTATAATCAACACAAAAGCATTGGAGAATTACAAAATCACTATCTGTAATTTCTAAAATTTGTGCTACGGACAGTCATTCAATCAATATTGAATTATATCTAATTATATATTACTCTAAGGAAGAATATTTTTGTCTGATTTAGTTTAGCAAATCAATTTTGAGGAAATGATTCCTTTTTATATATAACACACATATATATTGTGCTGTAATACAGATTTTGTCTTTAAAAGAGCAAGATACACATTCTATGTATATATATATATATATTTCTTGTTCTTGGTACGATATCAAAGCGCCTTCTCTTTTGAGGCTTTAACCACCTTTAAGAAATGTTGTGGTAATCATGACTTTTATGATTGTCATTGTGGTCTATTGATCTCATGGACCAAAAGAGTTAGCTATTGCCAGACAGTTTCTTTTCTTTGAGTTACCACGTTGTTTTCCAGAATGTCATTAGGCATGTGAGTTTTATCCTGATCGGGTGAAGAGAGTCAAAGCGAGAAATAGGCCTTTTTCTTCTTTTTATCTTCTTGGCCGATTAAAAGGAATAAAAGGATCATTATCCCTATTATACTCTTTATTTTATTGTGTTTATTTGAGTTTGTGTGCAATCTATTGTCAAGTGAATATATATATAAAAGAGGATGATGATATACACTTCTTTATTAGAAAATAAAGAATAAAGAAGAACCCTTTTACCCACTCAAAGTCTGTTGGAGTGGTAATATAGTCTTTGCGGATCTAGCCGATAAAACTCGTGTTATTCGGAAATCTCTACCATTGTTTACGGTTGGTGTCATTATCATCATCCGTTGTCGGTGTCGTTATTATTTTACTTTATTTTTATTCTTCTTATTGCCGTTGCCGGTACTGTTGCCCTTTTCCTTTATTTTTTGCTAGAAATTACCCGATAATTGAGAATCAAAACAAAAAAAAACCACAAGGTTTGGGTCTGAGTGAGCATATCAATAGAATAGTAATAATGTTTTGTTAAGGAAATAAATAAATTGCATGTATATAAAACGTGACATTCTACCCTATTGACTATACAGAACAGTGATAAAGAAAAGAGCTGTCTGTAAACAGAATGATTGGTACAAAGTTTGAACAATAAGAAAGAAAATATATGGAAAAATCTAGTCTTGAAAATAAAAACAAATTCAACTCTCTCTATATATACATATTTGGAATATAGATATGGCTAAACTTTTGCTTGTTTTATTTTCCTTTTCAGAAGTCATCGCATCGGTAATAAGAATAATAATAAAGGCAAGACATTGCTATTCTTGCTCAGTGGAGTTGACTATCATATTATATTTTGATCGTTATTTTTAAACAAAAATAAAGAAAAATCAAATATAAAGGAGAAAATGTGGCCTGTGCAAATTCATATATTTGTGTGTGTGTGTAATTTCTTTGGTTGGAATGAAGAGAGTTGAAAAGCACACACTGAATGTAAAATACAAAATCACGCATGTACAACTAACCTCACAAAGATGAATTGATCTTTCTCCACCTCCTCCTTTTTTGATATATATATGCTACACAATTGGGTGGCACAGTTAATATCCAACAATTCAGGAGCACAGCATAAACACACGGACAGATATATAGGTGTAAAAGATGTATGTTAATTATTGGTGTATCATTTTGTGCACCAGCTATAAGGACCATTGAATATTGTACCAATTATACTAATGGCATACTACAGAAATAAAAATGTACAAAACATCTGACAAGGCAAGACAAAATGTAATAGAAATGTACTCTGTGCTTTGAATTTTGATTTTTATTTTTATTAAGTGCCTCCTTTAAATATCTTTATTACTTATTACTTGTTTTAATAAACCAATCAATTGTGAAAGAATGTGTAAATTGTACCTTTTCTTCTATACTTTGTAGTTTGTCCATCAAATATATATTAATATCTATTGGAATTCGTGCTTTTACCTTATTTGTATGTTTTGTAGCTTCATTAATATACGCAAAAATTTAGGTAGAAAAGAAGAAGAAGAAAATAAAGAATCTTTACATAAAACTTGTAAGCAATTGAATGAATTATTGAATGGATTTGAAACTGATTAATATATCATACTGTAAAGCTAATTTTTTTTTCTTTTATTTTTGTACACAAATAAAAGCCATAAAAAGAAATAGAAAAGCAGATCAGCCAATTAAAACACAATGATGTTGATTTTACAAAGATAATCTCAACTCTTTCCCAATTATAAATAAGCAGAGATGTTTATCAAAAATCAAAGAAATAAAATAAAATCTCCTACTCCACACTCCTCCACACTTTGTGTCAAGTTATCCTTTGATATATATATATATGTACATTTTCTGCCCAAGGTCTTTCGCCTGCTAGTCTAAGAAAACCCTGAAATAAGACACTTTTATATATCCTGTTTAACTATCAGTTTAGATATTTAATACAATTTATGATTGAAATTCATAGCAGATCACAATATTTGAGATTTCCATTCGTTTGATTGGAACAAATAATGATGGTAATAAAATACAAGAACCTGTAAATAGAAAGTGACAGATCTTCAACTTTGTCATGTCAATAGATACAAGGATACAAGAATATAAGAGTGAAATGAACCGAGCATTCCTTTTTGTATGACATGTATTACTCACCAATCGTCGCACAATTATATATATATTTTATCTTTTATCTTTTATTTTTTCAAATTTGAGATTTGATATTTGATATTTGAGATTTCAAATTTCAAATCCCATTTGCATGTACATGATATCAAGCTTAGTTGTTTGTTTGTTTTCTTGTGTATTGGTGCCAAGTAAACTGCTCCACACTCACACTCACACCGTCATCATCATTGCTATTGCTATTGCTATTGTTATTAATATTCTTCTATTACTAGCTCACATACTAAAAATATAATATAAATAAAATTATCAGACTATAGTAATATCTAGACCCACTATTCAACTTTATATTACAATATACAATATACACCATACACTGTAAATTACATGTGTATTGCATAGTGAGCTGAATAGACTATAAAGTCAAGTCAAATAGGTTAATAGGGAAAGTGCTATATACTCATATCATAATCATCATAATCAACAACAGCAACAGCAACAACAACAAAAATCTCCCAAAGATGTTAAGATCTGTCTTACCATAATAGGGCATACGTCGGAGATTTGATACCAAGATTCGGTTATGGAAAGGATGGACAGATTCATGCCTTGATGATAATCTACACGCACACCCAAATACTAATAGAAAAAAAAAAGATCTCTGTAAAACAAACACAGAAAAAAAAAAGGGTAATAAATTCGTATAAAAAGGTTTAACTTTTTCTTTTCTTTAACTTGCTAATAATTTCTATTACTCTTCCATAACTACTTCCTTAGTTTATACTTTCTATACACAAACCATTAAAACAAACAACATGTCGCCTCCCAGAGATCTTTCCCAAACACCTGCTGTCACTGCTGCACCAGCCCAACGCACTCGCGAACCCTTTGTTTCTCCCTACATGCCCAAGTATCCCGACCCAATGTCCAACATCTCTAGCTTCAAGATTATCGAATCTACTCTGAGAGGTACATACATACATACATATTTTATAAAGAAGAAGCATATATTAACATAATCCTGTAATTCTTACAGAGGGTGAACAGTTTGCCAATGCATTCTTTGACACTGCCAAAAAGGTCGAGATCGCCAAGGCTCTTGATGCCATTGGTGTTGATTACCTCGAACTGACTTCTCCAGCCGCCTCGGAACAGTCCTACAACGACTGCAAGACCATTGCCGGCCTGGGCTTGAAAGCCAAGATCCTGACCCACACTCGCTGCCACATGGACGACGCCAGACTTGCGGTTGAGACCGGTGTGGATGGTGTGGACGTTGTGATCGGTACATCGAGCTACTTGCGCGAGTTCTCGCACGGTAAAGACATGGAGTACATCACCGACAAGGCTATCGAGGTCATCACATACATCAAGAGCCAGGGACGTGAGGTCCGCTTCTCGACCGAAGACTCCTTCCGCTCTGATCTCGTTGATCTGCTCAGCATCTACAAGGCCGTCGACAAGATCGGTGTCAACCGAGTCGGTATTGCCGATACCGTTGGCTGTGCTAACCCTCGCCAGGTCTACGAGCTCGTCAAGACTCTGCGCAGTGTAGTCAACTGCGACATCGAGTGCCACTTCCACAACGACACCGGATGCGCCATCGCCAACGCCTATGCTGCTCTCGAAGCCGGCGCCACCCACATCGACACCTCTGTACTGGGTATCGGAGAGCGCAACGGCATCACTCCTCTCGGTGGTCTGTTTGCCCGCATGTACGCCGCAGACAAGGACTACGTGATGGGTAAATACGATCTCAAGTTGATCCGCAATGTCGAGAACCTGGTTGCCGACTCTGTCGAGGTCGCCGTTCCTTTCAACAACTACATCACTGGCTATTGTGCCTTTACCCACAAGGCCGGCATCCACGCCAAGGCCATCCTCAACAACCCCTCAACCTACGAGATCCTGAAGCCTGAGGACTTTGGCATGTCGCGCTATGTCAGCATTGGCCACCGTCTGACTGGATGGAACGCGGTCAAGAACAGAATCGAGCAGCTTCGCTTGACTGACATGACTGACGATGATGCCAAGGCGGTGACCCAGAAGATCAAGGAGTTGGCCGATATCCGTCCTCTCTCTCTCGACAATGTCGATTCTCTGCTCCACCAATACCACGATGCCAAGAAGACCTCAAGTCACATCACCATTCTTGAAAAGATTGCCACACCAGACCAGCTTGCAGAGCCTGCTGTCAAAGCATCAACAACTCAAAAGCAGCAGCAGCCCATCAAAAAGTAGAAGAGCATTTTAAAAAATAATAATAACAGTAATAATTAAAGAGTGAAAATAATAATAGAGTATCAAAAAGAAAAAAGAAAAGAAAAGAAAAGAAAACTTCCATTTTCCAACACATTCACCTTTTTTTTTTCATTCATCCTTTATAATCAATCAGTCACTCTATTCATTCAATCCCTCTACCTCCTTACCTTCCTCCTTCTCCTCCTCTTCCTCCATCATTGTAAAAAGTCTTTCTTCCCTTCATATATACTTCATTAACATTCAATGAATTTCTTTTATATCATAATAAAACAAAAATCAATATTTATATATACATAAATGGCAATAAAAAAAAACTGTCTTTATTTTTATTTTTTTATTTTAAAAAATATAATCTTTTTGTCTTGTCTGCTTTGCTTGTCTTTTATTATTGACCTCTATAAAGAAGAAGAAGAAAGATTTAAAACAAGTAATACATACATACATATATATATATAGTAGGTGATAGTAGTTTAATGATGCTCTGAACTTGTTCAAATTAAATTATTTATTTATATATTTAGAAAAGTCCAACGACATTTCCACTCTCATCAAGATCGACATCAAAGAAACAAGGGCGGGTTGGGAGTCCAGGCATGGTCTGCATCGATCCGACCAAGGGGTACAGGAACCCGGCACCAACCGAAGCACGGATGTCACGGATGGGGACCACAAATCCGGTGGGGACACCCTTGAGGGCGGCGTCGTGGCTGAAGCTGTACTGGGTCTTGGCCATGCAGATCGGCAACTTGCTAAAGCCTTGCTTGGTGTAGGTCTTGATCTTTTCCTTCGCAAGATCGCTCAACTCAATTCCGTCTGCTCCATAGATGTTTTTGCAGATCGACTCGATCTTGGCCTCGATTGGCAAATCAAGGTCATAAAGGAATCTAAACGATTTCTCCTTCTCGCAGGCCGACACCACAGCCTTGCCCAGATCAACTGCACCAAGTCCACCACGAGCCCAGTGGTCACAGGCAACTGCGTCGTCAGCACCGGCTTCCATTGATTCCTTGCGAACCAATTCCATTTCAGCATCGGTATCAGATCTAGTTAAAATTTTTTTTTTTTATATTATTAGTATCATTATCATCCTTAAATTACTTACTAACCCACCAATCTACAAGTCTATTTCTACTTACGAGAATCGGTTGACGGCTACAATGACAGCTATTCCAAACTTCTTTGCGTTCTGGATATGCTTGGCCAGGTTGGCACATCCCTTTTGTAAAAAGGTCAGGTTCTCCTGGGTGTAGGCTTCGGGCAGAGGACGGCCGGCGACTACATCCGGAGCACCGCCGTGCATCTTCAAGGCACGGACGGTGGCAACGATGACAACGGCATCCGGAACCAGGCCAGACACACGGCACTTGATATCAAAGAATTTCTCCATGCCCATGTCGGCACCAAATCCAGCCTCGGTCACGACATAGCCAGGCTCCATGCCCGAGCTGCTCGCGCCCTGCTCGGTTCCGGCCAGCTTGAGCGCAATCTTGTCGGCCAAGATGGACGAGTTTCCGTGGGCAATGTTTGCGAATGGACCGGCGTGGACCAGGACCGGAGTTCCCTCCAAGGTCTGCATCAGGTTTGGCTTGATGGCATCCTTCATCAGCACGGTCAGGGCTCCGCCGATGCCGATGTCGTCTGCAGTGACGGGGTCGCCGCCACGAGAACTGGCCACGACCATGTTGCCGAGTCGCTGGCGCATGTCCTTGAGGTCGGTGGCCAAGGCCAGGACGGCCATGACTTCACTGGCGACCGTGATGTCGAATCCGGTCTGGCGGACCATGTTCTTTTCGGTCGCAGCCTGGCCGATCTCGATCTGACGCAAGAACCGGTCGTTGGTGTCCATCACACGCTGCCAGGTGATCGTGGCAGGGTCAATGTCGAGGCGTGCAAAGCGCTTGACTTCTTCTTCGGTCAGGTCGGCAGGGTTGGTCTTGGTGATACCCAGCTTCTGGAGACGCTTGTTCATCACGGGCGCAAACACACGCACGCCCTTCTGGACGGGGCAGAGGCGGTTCAGCAGCGCCTTGTCGGACTGGGTGTTCTCGTGGAAGATGCGGGCATCGATCGCAGCCGCCAAGAGGTTGTTGGCAGCAGTGACGGCGTGAAGGTCGCCAGTCAGGTGGAGGTTGAACTCGTCCATAGGAATAACCTGGGAGTATCCGCCACCAGCAGCACCACCCTTGATACCAAAGGTAGGGCCCTGAGAGGGCTGGCGAACACATGCAAAGGCAGCCTTGTTCAGGTGGGCACCCAAGGCCTGCACAAGACCGATAGTGGTGGTGGACTTGCCCTCACCAAGAGGAGTAGGGGTAATTCTAAAAAGATATACATAACTGTTAGATTATTTTGACAATATATATATATGGATTGTGTGGAGAAGCTTACCCAGTGACAACAACATAGCGACCGTCCTTACGATGCTCAAGACGCTTTAAAACATCAAGACTGATCTTGGCTTTGCTGGGACCATAGAGCTCATACTGTGTTATTGTTTTTTGGGTTGTATATATACAGAAAAAAAATGATAAAAATGGGTAGTTGTATGAAAGGTATTAGTTGTACATTCATTATTAACCCATGTATATATTCTTTAATAATAGAGGTAGACAGCCGTAAAAAGGTTTGAATAAGAATCTTTTTGAAAGCAATACTATTGGATAATATTGGACAGTTTTTGCTTTTATAGGCACATTTTTGTTTTGACCAAGAAAATTATTATAAAGCAATAATATATATATATATAATATTTATAATATATTTAAACACCCAAAAACAACAACAAGAAACTCTTCTAATTTTTGTTCGTTTTTTTTTTTAATTTGATTGTAATCAAATAGTAAATCAATATATTATTGATTGACTACAAGCTCCAATGATTCTTATTCTTATTTTTTTTTTGGGAGCTGTCTGACCGCCTATCCCCCTCATCCACTAATTCTACCATAACTACAGCTATTGTACTTTTTAGTTCACTTACCTCGCTAGGACCGAGACCAATCTCACTGCACAAGAGAGACATGTGTTTGGGAGTCTGTGCTCTGGCAATCTCGATATCCTTTGGGACAGGAGTCAAGAGTTCGAGAGGCAGAGGGACGATGTCGCGCTTGCAGCTCAGGTGGAGCCAGCGCTTGGCACTGATAAAAGTGTTTTTCATCAACATAGCGACTGTCATGGGTCCGACGCCTCCAGGAACGGGGGTTATTGCTTTGGCGACGAGTTTTGCTTGGCTGTATTCCACGTCACCAACCCAACGAATCCCAGACTTTTTGGTAGAGTCTTTTATGTGTATAAATAATATATATATATATATAGATTGATCAATAAAGAGGCAGATCCAAAATACATTTTGTAACATATATAATAAATAAATTACACTGGTGGCTGAGATAGAAAACAGACTCTTTTTGATACAGAAAGACAAAGATCGAAAGAGCTCTATACATATACTACTGCTAATACTAATACTAATACTAATGCGAAGAATAATGATTTTTCTTACCTGGGACTGCGTTTGTACCAACATCAATGACAATAGCTCCAGGCTTGATCCAGGAACCCTTGATAAGCTCGGCCTTTCCAATAGCAGCTACAACGATATCTGCTTGCTTGACCTTTACGAGAATACCCCAGCACACACACACAGAGAGAGATAGATAGATAAATATTTTTGAGTTAAATATGTATATACACATACTATGGTATATGTAACTTACAATGTTTTCAAGACCAAAGGTTTTGGAGTGGCAAAGAGTAACAGTTGCGTTTTCTCCGGTCAACAGAGTAGCAACAGGTGCACCCTTTATATATATATATATATGTCAAGTTGATTAGTTTAGACTTCTTTTTTTTTCAAGTATACACACACACAATATATATATATATATATATATATATCCTTATTTCATTCAACTTACCACAATGTCACTACGACCGATGACAACGGCGTGCTTTCCTTCCAAGTTGGTACCTAAAAAAGCAGTTAGGTTTAGATATATAAAAACTTTATTTATATAGAGATGCGCTTACCAGTAGATTTGAGAAGCTCAATGATTCCCATGGGTGTACAAGGTTTGAAGAGAGGGCTACCAGCACGCTTGGTCATGTAACCGATATTAAGAGCGTGGAAACTTAATGCCAACAATATGCATATATCATAATTAGTATTCGCAAAAAAATAAATAAAAGCAAACCAAATAAGGATCCCCACAATTTCATCATCATTAATTTAAAAATAAACCACAATAAATCATCCTCATCACACACACATATATATATAAGACTTTTTCTTACCCATCTACATCCTTTTGGTAGTCAATTGCTTCGATAACCTTGGTTTCATCAATGTGAGAAGGTAATGGCATCTGGACGAGGATGCCGTGGACTCTGTAATCATCGTTCAATTCCTTTACTCTTTGCAAGAGAGCGACCTCGGTAATGGATTCAGGTAACTTGTCTGTGCTTACAGTGATACCACACTATTGTGCATTAAGATCAGCATTATTATCATTGTTTGGATTTACACAAACAGATATAAATTTATTTATTTACCTCTTGGGCTGCCTTATCTTTCATCTTCACATAGATAGAAGAATCCTCGCGTTGACCAACTTGGACAATAGCAAGATGAGGAGCAAACTGAGGAAAGTTCTTTTTGGTCTGTGAAATTTCTTCCTTCACCTGAGTACGCACAGATCTACCCTCAAATAAAATAAAATAAAAAGAATTAAACCGAGATTTCAGGTTAGGAATGACAATAAAGAGTCTAGTCATTCCACATGGTCATGCTTCTTCTTTTGTCTTCAACTTCTTCGTCTTACAGTGCAATAGCCTTTCCGTCAATAACTGTAGCGGACATGTCTTTCTTTCTTTATTTATTTATTTATATATTTATAGGTATTTATTTGAAAAACAATAGACTTTTGCTGCTGTTGTTGGAAATGAGGTTATGAAAGAAAGAAAGAGTTATAGTTCTATACACGCAGAGACACACAGACAAGATAGACAAGATTCACCGAGTCAGACAGGGAATAATTAATCTGGAATTTAAAAAAAAAAATTAAAAAAAAAAAAAGTATAAAGTATAAAGTATAAAATAGTATATAAAAAAAAAAAAAAAAAAGCCCCGCGAAATAAAGGTGAGAAAAAAATAATTATACAAAAATACAATCTTATATATATATAAGGGGTGATGGAAAATAGAAGATGATTACCATAAAGAGGCTGTTTTATACATATTTATACATAAAATAGTACACAAAGAAAAAATATAAAGATATAGAAATATAAACCTACTTTATAAATTATTATCCGGATAGTAAGCTGACATATTAACGTATATATTATATTATACAATTCCAAGTATATATATATATCTCTTTTGCTTTACTTGAAAACAGGAAAGGAATTGTAAAATGCATATATATAAAGATCATTAATTGAATTGTGCTTTTTGTAATAAATGTATATATATATATATATATATGCTTAATATTTCCAAATGCTCTCCTATTGATTGTCTTCTTTATTTTTATATAAAAAATAAAATCAAAATATAGTACAAATCAAATGAATAAAACATAAGGATTAGTATAAGCTTAAACACAAGTGATATTTGAGATTCCAATGACTAAGGTTGCAGTCACCTACAGATCAATCATACCGGAGATTATGTACCTGTGGGTGAGTTGCAAGTGTGAATGTGGGTTTTTCTGAATACCAATTTGAACATTTTTTTTTTAAAAAAAATCCATCTCAAGATCTCAAAAAATGAAAAATACAAGATGTGTGTGCCCCTAAAGAAGCAAAAATAAAATAAGATGATCGCAATAAAGTTCTTATGTAATAATAATAAATTTGATTCTTGAATTCTTGTGTATCTGTCTTGACAATTTGTACCAATTATATAGATAATGTATAATACAATAATCATCAAATATACCATATATACACAAAGAAAGCAAGAATTAAAAAGTATTCGAGTCACAGGTATTCTTTTATATATATATATCTTTTATCTTCTTCTATAGGGCAAAATGTTTCTGGTTCAACTACACGTCTTTATTGGTCAATTTCAAGATTTGTCTTTAAGGAATCACTTGGTCACAATATATTCATATGTTAGGATAAGAAATATAACGCATATTTATTGTATTCAATTAGAAGAAAAATGTAGTTGTGTGGCTTTACATTTGTATATTTGCTATACATTCGAATCATAATCTTGTATTAAAGGAACTTTGTATTTTAGAAAGAAAAAGAAAAAGAAGAAAAGTATCGTACTGATAGTCAGTGACTAGAAACAACTATTATATTTAGGACCAATAGAAACATCTTCAAGACACGAACAAATGTCAGAAAGTGAAATAACAATGAAAAACAACTATAACTTAATTTACTTTCTCTTTTTTATAGACCCTATTGTACAAATCTTTCCAAAACTCCTTGACACTTGGTGCAAGTTCAGGAGTAGTATACTTTGCTACGTAGTTACATCTCAGTTCGACATAGCCTTTACTAAGATTTTCTTGCAAAAGTCTGTCTTCTTCGCAAATCTTTCTATTTGACCGTCTATCGGGCTTTAACTCACTCCCAAATCTTCTGAACCGGCGATTTTCAAAGTATTCAACTGTCGTACCAAATTGCCGCTTTGAAAGCTTTTTGAGGCCTATCGTGTAGTCCATGTCGTACTCACCATCGGGGAAGATGTGGAATACAGCCAGAGGTTGAAAGCCGTATGATACTTCTGTTATCATCATACCAATACCAGAGTCTGAATTCCTTTTCTTTCTTTCTTTCCTTTATTATTCTTACCGGATGATTGAGGGTTGTTTGATTGAGACAAGCACAGGTAGCTGAGAGACATCTTTTGTTGAAGACTGTTATCGTAGTACGAGCAGAATTTGACATGGGCGAGATGAAGAGCCTTGAAGGAAGTATAAGTCATATCGAGGAGTAAACATGGGTCCCTCTTAGGAACAGTACCACATATGAACGTAGTATCTAAACTCATGTATTCCAGACGCCTGCACCTGAAAGAAATATCACTGAATGTATCAGCACTGGCAGCAACCTCATGCAGCTCCAGAATTCGTAGCCCATGTTGCTTCTCTCTCTGTTTCTGGCGTTGTTCTAGGTTTGGCCTTTGCTCTCGATTCAAAAGGCTCGAGTGGAACAGCAGCTCCCCGCTATAGAACTTGAGCCGCTCCAGGGCTACACAGTTGTCAAACAGGTTGTTCAGGTCAATCGACACACCACAGCTTTTGACTTCAAGGTCGACCAGCATTGGGCAATAGGACGGTAAGTTTAGCCTTGGGGTAAGTCCGCCAGTGTAAAACAGACTTCCTTCCACTGTGATAGTCTCAAGTGTTTCAGAAAATGACCGCAGGAACCGTTTGATGACCGTTCTAAAATACATCTCGACGTTATTTCCACAGTTTGTCTTGTACTTCAAGTGTTTGATAGGCACACTTAATGGCAAAAAGAAATCCCAGAAATCGGCATGACCGCGCTCTGAAGCGTCTGCGGTTACGAATTCGAGTGTTTCCAGATGTTGGAATATATTGGTGTTTAAATCAAGTATTTCTGAAATAGGCTGCGTGGTATGCGGAGCTATAAGCCAGTACTGTGCGTTGACAGTACTCCAGCTCAGGTAGCGCAGGTTTGGATACTTGTGACCAAAGTAATACGCCCACAAAGAACTCCACTCGCACATCTGCAACTCGAGATTTGTCAAGCCAACTATTGGCACAATATTTGATGCCATGCTCTCCTGCCTCGGGTCCAAGTTCCTGTCGAGAGAGATACAGGCCTTGAAGGATGACAAGAGTTGGACTTTTTGGTGGAGGCTGTCAAAGTCCTCTTGTGTAAACATGACCGGTTGAAAAACACCACTTTTAAATATCTCTAGGCTTTGGAGCTTGGAACAATTCTCCAATAGCTTGATGAACTGTTCTGTCGAGTCTGGCGTTTTACTATAGGTGACCTGAACTTTTAAGCTTTCAAGCGACTTCCATACATCGTTGTGTATCGTCATCCTTTTGTTGATATCTTTACGACGCGTGCGTCCGAGATCAAGATGCTTCAGATTTGGTAGAGATTTCAAAAGTTTGTCTTGGCCGTCATTTGGTATAAGGCAAATTTGACTCATGGATAGAGAGCGTACTGATTGACCGTGTGATGAGGAGCCAACTTTTGAACCCTCAAGGGTATTGCAGATATTTACATAATCCGTATTTGAATTGATTATGACATCTTTCCAAATGGTTTCTTGGAACGGGTATCTCCATTTCTTGCAAGTAAGAGCACACGAAAGCCTGTCTTCTGTCACTAAAATATCGGCGATTTGTAAAAGAATCTCGAGTGGTAATTGTGATGCCATGGCAATTATTATAGGCAGTTGCAAAAAATAATTAAGTAAGTAAATAAATAAATAAGATGTGTTGAGATTTTTTTTTAAAAAAAGAAAGAAAGAAGGAAAGAAGGAAAGAGAGAGATGGATAGAGAAAAGAACACGTAGGTCTAGATTGCACAATGAGTTACGAATGACGGGTACATATTAATCAGAGTAACCAAGAAGATGTACAAAAAGCGGAATCAGTTAGTTTATCAGATATTATTCAGCCACGATGTTTTCTTCTTCTTTTCTCTCGGCCACGATGTTTTTCTATGTGTGTAGAACACCTCATTTCTTTTCTTTCTGATTGGCAGCTTTTCTCCTCCCCTATCTTCACCCACCATTTATCTAGGCTATCCACTCATATAAACTTGTAATAAAAGTCTACTTTCTGATAGCGATACTGATATTGATATTTTCCTCTTGTATTTATTGGGACTATCATAGTGTACAAGACATAGCTCTTGAGATGTGATAAATGAAATGAAACTAAAGTTATAGCAGATATCCAGTTACTAGTAAGACTATGCACTTTTCTTTGGATATTAGTCAATGCCTTGATGACAGCAACTTTGTATAGATATATACTGTAGTAGATAGATCAACTTGCAGATTATATAAACATATCATACAATAAAAGAAAACAAAACAATACTAGGCAAATTATGTTATACTTTGCTATTTGAATCTTTTGACTCGATCATTTCTCCTATCTGGCTGTTTTTTCTCTTCACTTCTCCTTCTTCATTCCTTTTCCATTCCATCATTTCCATCTCTCCTTTTACATACTCCCACTTCACTTTTCATAACAATGTTGAATTAATACAATACTTGTATATATATATATATATGTAGGTGATCTACAATTCTACAGGAAACCCTTGTATTGCAACTTTTTTAATATTAAATATAATATTAATCATGTTTTCTAGTTGTTTTTTTTTTTTTTTTTTAAAAAAAAAAAAGATAAAATATCCAAAATCTAAAAGTGGTTTTCTGAAAGGTATTTGGAATAGCAAATCTGTTACAAAGAATAATACTCACATAACAATAAAAGATAAAAGGTCAAAAGTATTATTATTATTATTAAGCGCCAATCACCCAAAAAAAGATAATTCTGAATGACTTGGCTTAACCAAGACTAGGACTTGACTGACTTGCTGACCAAATCTGAAATTACCCGAAATGTTCATTTGTCCCTCCAACTGTACCTGTGTGTGAGTGTGTGTGAATGTGAGTATTGGTCTTGTGCTTGAACCACACTCTATATCTATTAGGCACACATATACATACATTATAAGTATAAATATGTAGATTCTATATTATAGAACAAAATGTATATTAACCCAAGGGAATGAAAACACTAATGCTAATTCTAATATTAATATTAATACTAATGCTACTAATTTCATATATTTCCAAGCAATAATTAACTACTGTTTTCTATACATAGACACATATCTATTCATGTCCTTTGTACTTTAAAATTGAATGAATTGTATCATTTTAAACATCAACAAGAAGAGAAATATAATACTATTAATGCCTGGATACAAACAATATAAAATAAGATCAGTTCAAGTCACAAAACTATTCATATTTAGTATATAAAAAAAAAGTATATTTGTGTGTCCCTAAAAAATGCATGCTGTAGGATATTTTTATTTTGCATACACATACAACATATACAATATATATATATAATTTATATATAATTTATATATATATATATTGAGGTGATTTTTTTTCTGGTCTTCTCTTTTTTGTTTTATTTTATATATATATATATATTTTTAAATTCATTTCATAAAAGAAGAAATGTCAACTCCAGACATCTTTAGTCTCAAGAAGCAATTGGTTCTTTATGGAGCTCATCATTTCAACAAAGTCAATATTGCAATCCACATGGTGTTTGTGCCTGTCATCTTCTGGACATGTAAATACTCTTTCTTTCTTGAGAAAAAAAATAATAATATTCGAGTAGATATACATGAAATCGAAAGGCAGACAAAACTTATAGCAATATTTATATTAATAATATACATATTTATTTGTGTGGGTGTTTTGGATCGAGAATAGCGCTCGTATTTGCCTCCAAAACTGGTCCATTAATCTCGGCCGAGTCTTTGCCAAGTTTCTTACAATGGTTGTCAGTATGGGAACTCAACCTTAGTTTTTTCGTTGTGGTTTTTTATGACGCTTACTACGCTATACTTGACCCAATTGCAGCTGTAAGTAAAACCATTGATTTCTTCTTTATTTCTTATATTTCAGTTCATACAAAATACCAATATCAATATTACTCGGAATAAGAATAAGAATATATTTTCCCACGCAACTTCCAAGAAGGATATGAAGAAAGAAAAGCTAATGAATTTAATATATGATAAAACGAACACTCGAACACTCGAACGAACAATTGAATGATTGAATGATTGAATGAATGACTCGTCAAATTTGGAATTATGTATAAATATAGCTGTTATATGCTCCCATCTTATTCACCATGACATACACTGCCACACAATTCCAATTGACCAGACCGGCAGCTATCCAGGAAGCACTTGTGCTCCATATTGTTTCCTGGATTTTCCAATTCATTGGACATGGTGTTGCCGAGAAAAGAAGTCCTCGTCTGGTTGATAATCTTGTTCAAGGTAATACTAATTATTATTATCATTTTATTTGTACATAAATTTCGTCTAAACATTTGCTATATTTGTATCTGTGTGTGTGTGTAGCCTTGGTTTCTGCCCCATATTTTGTGTTCTTTGAGATTCTTTTCTATCTCGGATACCGACCAGATCTTTACAGAGAAATGTCTATTGATGTAGCCAAGGATGTAAAGGCATTCCGTGCTCGCCGAGAAGCCCAAAGAAAGGCCAAGTCCCTTTAAAATCTTCTTTTAAAGTATATATACTATATTATATGTTATATATTTAATCTTTAACCTCCCCCTCCCCTTTTTATATACATATATGTATGTATGTATGTATGTATGTATGTATGTATATCTTCTTTGCTTTACCTTCCCCACCTTCTTATATATATATATATATATATATATATATATGCAGGAACAGTGTAAAAAAAAAAGAAAAAGAACAGAAAGGGGGAAAAGGGCTTTTATTTTATTTTCTCTTTGGGTTTATCCTCTTTATCTTTTAAATAATCCAAGAAAAAGAAGACTACATTATTATATATAAATAAATTTATACATATATTCTTTAAACACTCTTATACAAGAACCAAGAAGCAAAGAACCATAGAAATAGACTTCTTGTTCAGTCTAGTTTGTAAGATGATTTCAAAAAATAATATTAAGGTTTAGTACATGGTTTGAGGAGGGGAAAAAAATTAAAGAAATATGAATATATGAATAAATATATAGCAGAAGAGTAAAGCAAACAAAAAAAAACCTCCATTAATTAATAGAGTATAAACACAATATATAATTACAGTTAATGAATCCTAATCTACCAATCTTGTCTATAGTTGTAACTTGTGTCATGATTTTGTTGATAGGAAGGCATTGTAGTAGCATTCAGATTTGTATTAGGATTAGGATTAGCGGATATAGTGGGTGTAGTAGGCGTAGCAGAAGGAGGAGGAGGAGGAACAGGAGAAGGTGAAGTAGAAGAAGAAGGTGAATAGCGTTGTGTTTCGAGAGTCTTGTCATGGCCATCATAAGCATTAGGACGAGAATATCCACCGGCAGCAGCAGCATCAGAAACAGCAGCAGTTGTAGCAGCAGCAGCAGCAGTGTTAGTAGCAGTAGGAATAGAAGCTACTGCCGCAGTAGCTACAGCTGCAGAAACAGCAGATACAGCAGATACAGGAATTGGAACAGATGAGGTATAACTTTGATATTGATTTGGATCAATGTACTGGCCAGAGTTGTTGTACGCCTGGGTATATGATGGATCGTAATAGTGTGCAGACTGTGGATATTGTGGGGAATTGTACATTGCGGGCTGAGCTGCATAACTATCCCACTGCTGCTGCTGCTGGTTATCCTGCATGCCTACCATTGGGCTCTGGGGTACATATCTCAAGTCTGCACCATTCATGTTACCATTATTGTTATATTGAGTCGAATATCCAAGATCATCATATTGATATTGGTGATATTGATTCTGAGTGCCGTTCCCACCGTAAATGTCGTCTTGGGCAGCATATCCTGAATGAGGCATGATATTGGAGTGACCACCGATACCACCACCACCAGTAGCCAGTTGGTCCATATCACTCGTATTGTCCTTTCCATACAGTCGTGCTTCGCGGTTATTTCGACGTGTCTTTACAAAGAATGCATACCCAATGCCTGCAAAGATGACGGAAATGATGGCACAGACTGTACCAGCAATAATTGCTGTCTTGTTAGAGCTAGAATTACCAGAGTCTTTTTCAGAAGCTAATACAGAAGATGATGCGGATGCCGAAGACGAAGAAGATGAAGATGAAGAATGCTTTGAAGAAGTAGTACTAGATTGTGTTGGTGTTGGTGCTGGTGTTGGTGTTGTCGTTGCTGATGAAGAAGGTGGGATAACCGAAGAACTAGAGACGATTAAGCTAGGAAGTGCACTGGGAATAACGACAGATGGGAATATCAAAGAATTTGATGGAAAGACAGGAACGGTAGTTGGTATTATGTTTGGGCCAAGTGGTGAAGATGGTAGGTTAACGATACTGTCGATAATGCTGCTAGTGGGTGCTGGTGTGGGTGTTGGGGTGGGTATTGGGGTGGTAGTGCTTTTGTCACCAATTCCAAAGAGATCATCCCAGAAGCCAGCTTGGGCAGGAATTGCAGCCAATAGGCCACCAAGGGTAACAAACGGAAGGAATTTAACAAGACGCATAATCAATTCAATCAAAGATGTCCACCCGACAGAAGACAAAAAGAAGAATCAAGTAAGAGTAGTATTAATAATAAGAAATATAGATAATTGAATATTAAATTATTTATTTTATTATATTTTTTACTTAAAAGAAAGTGGCTAGTGAGAAAAGATTACGAGATTAAATGAGATATTAAGAAATAAGAATAATTTAATATAAAATAAAATAAAAGCTTGTGATAATTAATAGGGAGATTTTCTGTAGTGCTTCCCACACCGCTATATTGAAGTGCCCGTCTTATTGCTCTTGTCCTCAGCACACACACACACATATAGTGTCGGCGAACAAGGCACTAAAAGAATAAACGAAAATCTCAAGTGTAATAAATTTAATGTACCACAAGAGTTTGTTATACTTCAAAGACCAAATAAATATATAAACACCAAATCAAAACCCAAAAAACACACCATGACTATCTTCTTTTAGAAAGGCTAATAAACCAGGGTTTGAACCTATGTGAAACAAATAGACTAAAAGGAAGACAAAGACTATTCACCAGTTTAATACGTACAATAACGTACCACTTTCTTTAATTTTAATTTTAATTTACTTCTTGTAAACAATAAGCACATAAAGAAATCAATTGTAAAAAAAAAGCAATGTTTATTTGGGTAGTTTTATATATTTATATAATATTTATATTGAATGATGCTAAGAAAGTGTATGAATGTGGGATTATGTACATAAAAGGCTATGAACAGATATGAAAAAAATGTGATGGTACTTGAATAAGAAGAAATATGAAGAGAATGAATAAAGGTCAACAATAGAAGAAGTGTTTTCTAAGAAAGAAAAAAGAGGATACAAAATGTATACCCTTTTCTTTTCTTTTTCTTTTTAGAATCCTCGATGTATGGTGGCTGTTACGTTGTCCCGAACGTATCTCAGATGCTCTAACAAGAATGCATCTACTAGTACATCGACTGTACTATCAATGGAGAGCTGGATCTTTCCTCCAATAGCTTTCTTGATAGCATCCAGCCCAACCTTTTTGGTGATCACCGGAAGCTTTTGAGTTTCCTGTTCGGCGCATTCTTCTCCGCCGTCACCATCATCACCATCATTGTCGTTGCAAGCAGGTAAGAGAAGTGGACCATTCATACCCGTGCCCTTGTCAGTGAAATCAACGTCAATTGTACCGACCTCATCCTCACGGTAATTTGCCTTTGCATGTATACGCAGGATTTGAATGGCTAGATTAGGAAACGGATTTTGGAGCCAGAGGACAGCCGTGGAGGACAATAGGTTGACCTGAGTGTTTTTTAACAGAGGTGGTCCAGCTAAGATTGGGGGACTTGTGGTAAAGACAAATTGTTTCAACAGTGGGAGGAGGATTTTGGAAGAGCTTGCATGTGGATGTTTTCCTGAGATAGTCAAGTTTACATTTTCAAGCGCTATAATGTATAATTCGTGCCAAAAAAAAAAGGGGGAATCCAAAAGGTTTTAGTTAGTTAGTTAGTTTGTACACTTCTTAATTCTTATATACACATAAGCATTTTAACTGTAATTGTTAAGTGTGGCGTTTTCTTTTTGGTATAAATGATATACATTACCCAAATATTGGCCAATAAAGTCTATCAGTGGTTTTGGATTCTCGGTTGGCGCCAAGGGATAGTTATCCAGACTTGAAAGAGAATGTCCATGGTGCAGCCAGACATATGCTTTGACGCGATTGTTCTGAACAGGAGCAAGTGCGAGGTCTGGAAGGCTTGCGTTACCAATTATCTGATTGTTGTAGATCAAAAGCATGTTGATTGCTCCAAGGTTGACATGTACATCTGAAGGGTTGTAGATAACAAGGGTTGCAACAGCATGCAAGGACTCTTGATAGCCTCTAACTACTGTCATTGCTTCTACGGTGGGTGAAGGTTCCTTCATACCCTCCATTCCTTTATATTTATATTTAAATGCACACAATCAAATCAAATCAAACCAAACCAAACCAAACCAAACCAAACCAAACAAAGAAAAAAAAAAGCTAGTGAGAAAGATTTGTTTTTCTAGAGATTTTGCTTACTATTCTGCTTTGATTTCTGCCTTTTCTCCTGCTTTCTTTTTCTTTTCTTTTTTTTATTGAAACAGTGCACGAGTATTGACGATCCTTATACCTTTTGTATCAATCTCTCCCTTGAAAGGCAGGTCTCTGATGTTAAGAACTCCAAGAGCACTGTCAACAACTGCACTAGTAGTGCCTTTGAAGTACACGGTGCTAGTCTTGCGATAAAACACCTTTTCGAGAAACTTTTTAAACTCGTCTTCCTTGCCTGGCATGACAGTGAAGGGGGCCTTTTCGATTCTTGACAGGACTTTAAACATATTATTCTGGGGCTCATCACTACCACCATTGCCACCGTTTGTGCCTTCGATGGTCTTTGCGGGGCATGGTTTGTCAGGAGCTAGACTGGCAAAAGGATCTTCAGAGTCTGGGCGAAGGTAAAGGTAGACCAGTGGATCTATTTGGGTGACATTGAGGGATATCTGCATCTCGTCGGGTTTCTTGAGAATAGCAACCGCATCACCAGATATGAGAGGACTGCTGTTTCCTTTTGAAAGATCGATATTGAGATTAGAGAACTTTATGGATTGGATGAGATCGGTCTGGCGAGTGCCTGGAAATGGGACCCGCAAGGTGACAGACTGAAGAGCTTTACGTAGCCAGGCAGGTGTTGATATCGATGTTGAAGTAGAATTAGAATATCTGAAAGAATCGTCAGGTCCAAAAGAACTGCCGCGTACATGTACAAAGCTAGTGTTGCCATGTATATAAGCCGAAATCAGCTGCTCCATCCGTTTCTGACCATTTTTAGGCACTGGGATAGATCTGCCGGACACATTAAACATATTCACACGCTGTCCAAGCAGATGTGCATCATCAGCCCTTACAATTGCCATCAATACTTCTTCCTCTTCCTTGTATTGGTCTTCGTTATCGTTATCGTCATCGCTTTTATCGTGGCCAGGGGGCAAATATATGCCAAAATCCACATTTCCAAGTGTCAAACTTATTACTGACGAGGGGTTGTAGATACCTACTTGACCATCTAGTCGAATACCCCCCAATGGATGTGCACCAGGAAAGCTTACGGACAGCATTTGTGAATCTTTGAGACCATTCATACCTATTGTGTATATACCGCATCCCAGCACCACAAACAAACACGTAAATCCATAAAAGAAGATGTTTATAGTCAGTCAGTTGTTTTTTACATCATCCACATCATATTATATCCAATGATGTACCACATTAACCATTGCATTGTTGTTGCATTGCTTTTGTACCGAAATGACCTTTTTCTCTTACACACTTTTTCCTTCTTTCTTTTCATGCTTATTATAATAACCAATAAATCAAAATAAAAATAAAAATAAAAATCAAGAATAAACTAAACTTACCCTGCAGGCTAACAACCTTATCTAATCGGACCTTGGTGTGTATTGGTAAGTTTCCTATCTGCAGTGGAACAGGACCAGCTACCCTCCACAGAACGGTTTCTGAACTAACTGCATCTTGGCAAAATGCAATCAATGCTTCTGTATCTTCGACGACGAACCGGGTGATGAAATCAAAAGTGGTGGTGTTTGTATTTCTGGATAGTGAGAGTGGTGGCAAATCGATTGTACCGATAGCTCCGAGTTGTTTGGATTGACGACTTTTGATATCGTAATTGAGGTTGAGGTTGGGGTTGGGGTTGGGGTTGTGGGCGTGTGCATGATAGACCTCGAGGGCAGTGTCAGAAATCCCGACAGATCCAAATATCTTTGAAGCAAAACTTGCGAGACTGTTGAGGTTGTTTTGAAGCACAATTGTACCAACGACATGCATCGTCAGTACATTGACACCTTGATCGTCCTCGCTGGCATTCAGAATCGATGCCTTGTAGAATTCAAATTGGACATCGGTAGCAAATGATCTCTGTGCAAATCCGGGAGCGAGCAAGAGCAAGACAAGGGAGACCAGAAAAACGAGGCCAAAAAAGATGCCAAAGGCTAGACAGAATTGAGGTTTCCATTGGCCATGATCTTGAGGGGTTTGGTCGACACTGGCGGAGATAGGTGGAATGGCTCCATATGCCTGTGCCGGGGATTTATCTTTACGCCTTGAACGATCATTCAAAAGTGAGTTCTGTTCATTAGATGCAGGCATTGGTTGGTAAGGGGATGCGGATGAGGAAGAGGAAGACTCCCCAAGAGAGTCCATGGTTTATATACAGGTATACGTATATGTAATATATGTGATATATATAATAATTTATAATATAATATATATTTAGGTTATTTAAGAGAGAATAAGTTGATCAAAAGTAGTTGAGTTAAGCTGTGATAGACAGCAAATATATATATATATATAAATAAAAAAAAAGGTAAAGATAAAAAAAAAATGAGCTTGTGAACAGTGCGTAAAGTCAAAAAAAAAAGACAGCTGAAGCATTTTTACACTCCGGTATATCGACTGATCTGAGGGCATCACGCGACAGTTGTCATGGTTTTATTTGGATTCTTTAAAATATACAATAGTTCAAAAAGACAGCAGCCAAAAAAACACCAAACAGAGACTGGGATTATGCTTTTTTTTAAAAAAAAAGACAAAGGCATAAAAGCTTTTAACCTTTATTGTTGCTTTGTAATCTATAGAATTTATATTTAAAAGAGATTCAAATATAATATTCATTTACCTTTTCTTTAACCCCTCACCCTATCCCCCTCTTATATGTTTATATATATACATTTTTAATAATAATAATAAAAGAAATATAAACTGATGCTGTATTCGATCGCTCGACTGTTTCTTTTTCTTTTTATTGCTTTTATGGTTTACTGGTCAGAGTAAAATATGTGCCTAACATTTCAAAAAGGTACAAATTCTTCCCCTTTCTCCCCCTTTCTTTTGTATATATGTAAGCATTACTACTCCACATCTTTGAAAGCAGAGCAAAATATTCTTTGCTGCACAATTTTAATCATAATAATGACACGAACATAAAAGTATAAAGTTATAAATATATGCATCTTTTTTTTTTATTGGTAACTACAATTTCAGGTACAATTTTTTTTTGTTCAAAAAAAAACAACTGACCATGTAGACATCCGATTATTATTATTAATTTTTTGTGATTTTGGGAATAGTATATATATATATATATATATATATATATATATTAATATTTCATCTAAAAAGTTATAACAATCAATTCATACTTCTTTACACTGAAATACTTTAACGTTTTAATAGCAAGATAAAGATTCGGTTCTACAGCGTTGGACATATAAAAGAACATAAAAATATAATATTTCGTTTAATTTGTCTTGTTTCAAAATACTAAGCAAAATAAACTCAACGCTCAAAACATTAGTAACACCGGTGGAAAATAATTTATTCAAGTACAACTGTTTATATCATTTGCGAATAAAATTGATCTGTAGTAAGCTCAAGTTCCGTGTCACTCTTAAATAACCGACTTACATTCCTTTTCATTCTCAAGGCTATTTGTTGACAAAAGAAGCTATTATTTACCATGCCAAGTCCAAGTGTTACTCAAATAAAAGGGATAAGCATGTTGGCAAATTTGGTAGTTTATTGAAGGATTTTATCATGTCTTGATTTATTGCAATATTAAATCAAGAAGAAGCAAAAGTGTTCAATATGATGATATTGATGATGATATTCTGTGGTTCGGATATTGACCCGGCTGTTTCCTTTTAAGATTGATAGAGAGATAAAGAAAAAGACAAAAGAAGAAGAAGCTCTGTCAGGGATGGAGTGATGTTGATCACCAACCCAGGTGGCTCAAAATAATAATAATCAATTGTATATATAGGAAGACTAATGATCTCAAAAGGCAATAAAACAACAATCCCAGAAGCAGAAATATTAGGTAGTGTCGTTGGGAGTTCTAATCTATTGCTTCCAAAAGAAGAAATCAGGGCAATTCATGTCTCACACAGTTTTCCTGGCATATTTTATTCATCTTTCCTTCACGATACATTGAATAAATAGGCTGTATCTCCATAAAAATCTATTTACAGTAGCTATAGATTAGGAACAATATATAGAAGACATACATACATCAAAAGGAGTGCAGCTTGCACACATGTATATACTATGAAAATTCATTATCCTGACTATATATATATATGAATGTGTGTGTGTGTGTAAGAGATTCTACCTGTCCTTATTGGATTTGCTTCCTTATTCTGTTTTATCAAGAGAGTGAACTTATAGTTTTGATGCTTTTGTTTTGCTTTGTTTTTCAGGATGTAGAATGCTACACTATTGTTGCTACACACAAGACTGGTATATATTTCATGTGTCTGTTGGTAGATACGTGTAAAGACTGTGGATCTCATACATTTATTCTTTTACGATGAGTAATTGTTGATATCAAATGTATATATTTGATTGCTAAAAAAATATGGCTCAATATTTTACACAAGCTTAAACCGGTAGGTACAAAAGTGTTAATAAGGGCATGAGCAAATTTGTATAGAGTAGATATATACATAGGTTATGATATGTTATGCTATGCTACTTTAGAACAAAAGGATCCACACAATACAAGTTACACCAAGGCACTGTGTTTATAATGACAGCATGATACTTAACAAAATATAGTCTATATATCTTGTTAATCAAACAGGGCTTTGAGTAGATAACTTTTCTTCGCTTGTTCGTTCAAGAAGAGATTGCTGATAAATCTGGGATGATTTAATCTGTTATTACCATTTTTCGATTTAAAGAGGTGAAAATTGAGAAGTACAAAATTATGTTGCTATAAACTAGTCCACCTTTTTGTGTAAAAAGGGCATCATTGGCAAGTAAATCTTATTGGCTAAAATAAATCTTCACCTCTTTTTTTATTATTATTGCCGATGATTATTCACGAATGATGACCCCTATTATTTCTTTTAGTGCATCGATTTTTTTTTTGGCTTTCATTCTATTCGTTCTCTTTAAATTTCTTCTTCTTCTTCTTCTTTTGCTTTATTTGTCTTTTTTTCTCTTTTTTTTTTTCTTTAAAAAGAATGGCCTCTAAACAGAACCAAGTACCTTTCCATAGCACTGCCAACATAAGACACTCTCAGAGTCATTGGCGTAGAGACTCGGGAACAACTTTTGCAGCACGAAAGATTGAAGTGGCGTCCCTAGTTATTCGGTCGACCACCCAACAACCCTTGTTTGCCGACCATCGTCTCAGCACCACGCGTGCCACACACACACACCGCCCAGCAGATGCGTTCGATCATCTACTAAATACAACCCGTTCAGTTCTTCAACAGGCAAAGAAATCAGAACGCAAGACGGTCCAGTTCAGTGACAGAGACCAGGTCTATGAAATCGAGAGATATGAGTCGCTTATTGAACCAGAAACACCTATGGATGAGACGGATGAGATATTTAGTACCGGAAACGATTATCACAGCGATACCTCGGCAGAAAGTCAAAGTGAAAGTGAAACCGAAACCGAAATCAAAATCAAAATCAAAATCAAAAACGAAAAAGATATTATTGGAATTGAAAGCTTGAGTGAGAGCGAGAGTGAAAGTGAAAGGGAGAGTGATAATGAACTTCTTTCTGAAGCCGCTAGTCTAAAGTCCATATTATATTCATCGTCACACACTCCCCACAGAGTACCAAAGAAAATCAAAGATGATCTGTTGATCGAGTTTGCCAGACTCAAACAGAGCAGACGTGCCCACTTCCAGGAAGTATCCGAACCCCGGGAACCCAAGCCTTTGACCGATAACTATTCTCTCGATCTGATACAGCAACAGATTATGGAAGCCATCGAAAGAGCCAAACGTTTCAACCTACAATCCCAACCTACACCTACAAATCCTACAAATCCTACCAAACCTCAACTCACCATTGCACTCGAGCCTAAAATTGAACCCAAAAGCATTCCGAAACTAGACATATATCACTATGATAATGATAACGATAATGATAATAGTAGTATATCTTTTTCTCGACCACTGCTGACAAAAGAATCATTTTCAGACCCAGACACGGTTGTGTACAACCGTCGACCACCCAACATACGTAGCTTTAGCACAAGTTCCAGTATAGCTAGCTCCCTATTAATAATCGAAGAAACCCCAGAGGACAACAAAGAAGATGGCTCTAATATCTCGATCAGCTCATCTGAGCCTTCAACACAAAGCATAAATGAACCTGAAGTGTCAGAGACATCGTGGGAGGATACTAAGCCTCACGTGTTGGCATCCTCTTCTGCTGAGCAAAATTATAACGATTCATTGCTTGAAAGTCCAGCTGATTGTGGTACTACTTTTAACACGATTAATGCCACCACAGCCAGTATAACTACTAGTACAGCTGGCACTACTATTGGAACACTTGATGTGAGCCCAAAAACCGTTTTATCCACCAATTTTCTTTATCTTTTATAGTAATCTAATTATTACCGATCACAAAACAATAGTCTGATCCAACTCAAGACCTTCCATCACGTGCCTCCACGCCATTGACATATTCTGAATCTGTCAGTACCGACCGCACACGAACCTACAGTCAGGATATATTACCATTTTATGATGAGTCTATATCTACCTCTTCCGTATGTATAGCAGCAAGATGGTCGATTGTTTCTAAAGCAATATACATATATACATATTCGCCGTCTCTGTACATGACCTCCCTTATTATTATTATTGGATCTTTAGATGAACTTGAAACTCTTTCCGCTCGGACTTTACAACAAACGATCCATAGAAAGTCTATCAGGAATAGATGAGTCAGTCTACAAAGGCCGCCTTTACATCAAGATAGATGCTGCAAAAGACCTTGATTTTCCCGTAACAAAAGGTAGATAATTAATATAAAGACAAATAATGTTTTGTGAAATAATTATTCTTTCTTAGATTCTCCCAAGATTCGATGTGTTTTAAATAATGGTACAAAAGAACAAGCAACAGCGTATTGTCCAATGAAGCACACCATTGCATTTCAGCAAGAGTTCTACATGCACGTAACACTGTCTTTGATTAATGCTATTATTTTAAATAGAAGATAAAACGAATTGAACCTGCCCTCGCTCTCTCTTTTCTATATATATGCTCAATATGCTCAATTTTATATGTATCTATAAAAATAGAGATGTAGATGTGACATCCGAGTTCACATTGGTACTTCAAGCTCAAGAACCAACTCCATCGCTTCAGGCATCCCGCTATGATCAATCGTTAAGACGTTTGTGGGATCAGGCCATAAATACTCGCACTACAGATGCTTTACAGCGATATATCCGGCCAATGGACAGAGCAATTGCACAAGCCCGAATATCTATCAAGAACATTGTATCTCAAGCTAGTTCCAGCTCATTTTCGGCCTCCATTGCTCTCGTAAATGGATGGTACCGGAGTGCTGGAAGTAGTCTTTTGGGAAACAAGCTCAAGAAACGTAGTAGTTTGATAGGCCAAGAAAAAGCAGTTGGAAAAATGGAAGTTCAATTCTTCTTCTTACCTGATTCTGACGTAGAGGTAAATATATAGATATAGATATATATATTTCTTTTTCTTATCTTTTGATATGTAATTTAAATCATAAGATGGACAATCTTCCATCTACAATGAACGAATGCGAAGAAGCCTATTCTATTCAAAAATTCCATCTTACATGTTGGAAGACAGGTTCTATGACTCAATTTGGAGGAGATGCCAAGGTAAGAAGAAGAAGAAGAATAAAATAACATCTGGCATGGATTTAAATATTATTTCTCCTATAATAATACTATTCTTTTTTAGTCATGGCAAAGACGTTTCTACAGATTAGAAGGCGGGTATTTGATTGCTTGTGATGAATCCTCACATACATTTGTTGCTATAATCGATCTCTCAAAAGTCATCCTTCTGGCAGTCAACCACAAAATAATTATTCATGCCAGTGAACCACAGCAACACAAACGATCTTCATGCTATACCTTTGGACATTATACAAAATCTAGCACTTCTCTCTTGCCACATCTCTTACATGCTACACTTGAACAATCCAACAAGACAATTGAAAACGGGTATGGATATGGGAGCGAATACGAATACGGAAATGAAGATAGTGGTGGTGGAAGAGATGATAACAATAACAGTATTAATAGTAATAGTAATAACGATACCGACACCGACACCGACAAAAGTAGTTTCCAATGTGTATTTGGAAACGGTGATAAGATCGAATTCTCTTGCGATTCTCAAAGGGATTGTGAGCGATGGCTGGATGTGCTCAAAGTAATCATTGGACGAGTACCCACTTGGCCAAAATGGCTCAAAAGTAGTGATTCTTATCAGATACCTCAACTAAATACCACATTATCTTGATTATATGTATTCTAATATTTCTAATATAAATCTGTATTATTATTATTAAAATGTAAATGTAAATTAAATTCGATAATCTATATCAATCAAACACCCATAGATTTTACAGGCTACCGAAAGAAGAGAAATGTTAAAGGGACCTTTTTTTTTGCCATTTAGAAATTAGCTTTTAATTTTTATTTATTTTAAAGAAATACCATTTCTAGCTCTAATAATATTTGACTAATCAAAGTCAAAAATTACCTAAAATAATAGATATAAATGTACTTTGCCAGATTACTTTTAGTAAAGTCTCATGCAAGAATATTCACGGTCCACGGCAAAGTTATTAAAAACTCAGTCTCAGTCTTTCTTGCGTATAAAATAATGCATAAACTGCTATATACATGTTCTGCATCTCTTTTCTCTTCCTCTACCTATAGATATTAGATATTAGATATTAGATATTAGATATTAGATAGCAATTAGTAGCTAGTGATTATATATATATATATATATTAGACAGCAATTGCATTTTGTTTTTAATGACCAAATCAAAAAAAAATGAATAGTAGTTTGAGATAAATACATGCAAAACAAAATCTAAAATTTCAGCAAAAAAAAATTAGTTAAAAAAAATCCCAGAATATTAATATAAATGTCTATCTAAAAGAAACTTTACTGTATTATCTATAGATCAGACTTACATAGTAATCCTTATAACACTTCTTCGAGTCTCTTTAACTTACCACAACTATGTTTAGTATCAAGAGATTCAGATCACACACAAGAAGTCTTCCTGTATACTCCGTTATGTTGCACAGCAGTAATACATCTCTTGTATATTTGTCATTTCCGACAACTTTATTCACATTTAAAGAAAAGAGTAATATTCGGAGTACGACTGTATTTTCTGAATAATAAAAAAAAAAGTGCACCAATTTACTATGTGAGACAGAAAGTAGCTGCCCAATTTTCTCTATGTAAATGCTATAAACGTTTCACCAGCGTATATCAATTAGCTTGTGAATACATAAAATGGTATAGCAGTCTTAATATAACAATATATACTCACCAGTTTTTTTCCAGTCCTTCTTTCTCTTCTCTATTACTTTTTTTTATGAAACGGCGGCCTCTCTCTCTCCTCTCTGTTTTTGCAGCAGGTGTCTGCTTTGCTGTCATTGTCTTAGTTGCTCCCTCGAAAGCTATTTCTCACCATAAATATAAGACATCTAGTCATGAAGCTGTTCCCAACCGTTATGTTATAGAATTCAACTACGGGGATTCCAAATCTGCAGACAGCTTTGTACATCTATTTCAGACCAAGTTCAAGAATTCCAAGATCCATATCACCGAGAGATTTGAACATGATCTCTTTAACGGTATCTCGTTTGATCTCAACGGACTTGACAGCAAAGAACTCAAAGCTGCTCTCGAAGCTGTTCTCGATCATACTCATGTCAAGGCAGCCTATCCTGTCAGGATTATTAGACGTTCGGAAGTTATGATTGAAAAGACCGTATCAAAGAGAGAAAGTTTATCTAGTCTTCCACATGGAATGACACAAGTTGATCGTGTTCACTCGGAGCTCAAAATATTTGGCAAGGGCATCAAGGTTGGTGTCATTGACTCTGGTAAGAGATTTCTCTTTATTTTCTTATGTCTTTATTTAGAGAGTATATTTATATGTATGTGTATATATGACTAGTCAAACACACGTACTCTGAATAATTAGGTGTCGATTATCTCCATCCTGCTCTTGGGGGAGGTTTTGGTAAAGGGTTCAAGGTTCAATATGGCTACGATCTTGTTGGTAATGAGTACACTGGCGAAAACTCTCCTATACCCGGCCCAGATCCACTGGATAGCTGTACAGTTGAATCTGGCGCAAGTGGTACGTCCCTACTTTAAGTAGTCTTTTTTACAGCTGGATCTTATATAAAAATGAAAATACTAGGTCATGGAACACACGTTAGTGGTATTATTGCTGGTTATGATGCTAAAACAGTGAGTTTATAGTGCTCTACTGCTCTGAACATGCATATCTAATCATTTATATTATGTAGAACTTTACTGGTGTTGCTCCTCAAGCCACACTTGGTATGTGGCGTATATTTGGCTGCAAAGGTTTTGCTGCGAGTGATGTTATTGTTAAGGCTTTATTAATGGCATATGATGCTGGCATGGATATTATATCTGCATCTGTGGGCGGGGACGATGCCTGGAGCAATAGTCCTGAAGCTATTGTTGCTCAACGTATTGCTAAAAAGGGAGTTCCATGTAAGTCTAAGATTGTAACATAAGTTAGAGAAGTTTTGTACACAATATCAAGCCCTTATATTAATATGAATTGATCCAATTTAATACAATACAATACAATATTATTTATTCAAGTTATTGTTTCTTCTGGTAATGTCTTTTACGCTGGTGACCGTACAGCTTTTACTGTTACTGCACCTAGCACCAGTAAAGACGTTTGGTCTATTGCCTCTGCCGAAAATGCTTACTACAAAGTAAACTACTTTAATGTCAGTTCAATCTCAAAAAGAATCGGTAAGTTTTTTTTTAAAAAAATATACTTGGCATAAATCTGATAAAGCTACTGATATCTTTTTATCTAGTATGTGCAACAGTATCCTTGAATTTGGTTAATGGTGCTATTTTCGCTGGCGACAAGAATGTTGGCAGTAAAAATGATGCTTGCAATGCTTCTACTGTTCCTGATCTTAAGGGAAAAATTGCTCTTGTTCAACGTGGTGGTTGTGATTTCATTGAAAAGAGTTTAAACGTTGCTAAAGCTGGTGCGATTGGCTTAGTTATTTACAACAACTACGGTGACTCTATTTTTGTACCTGCAAAATTTGAAACAACTATTCCAATTATTGGCATCTCGGCTGCAGACGGCCTTGCTATTTTGGCTGGAATCAAGGCTGGAACAGAAATCTTGACATTTGATCCCAACCCACATTACTTGCCTAGAGATAATGGATATCTTATTTCTGACTTCTCCAGTATCGGTGCATCTAATGAGCTTGATCTTAAGCCTAATATTGCTGGTGTCGGTGGCCAAGTATTTTCCACTCTTCCTCGATACCGCGATAATTGGGGTTTCATGTCTGGTACTTCTATGGCTGCACCTTATGTTTCTGGCTCTATCGCTTTGTTCATTGAGGCCAAGGGTTTCAAGAGAAACAATAAAGTCATATCCCGTCAGTTCAAGAACTATGCAATGAAGCTTGTTCACACCAAGGGTAATAGTGTCATTGAAAGTCCTCTTCTTCAAGGCGCTGGTCTTGTTCAAGTCTATGATGCTATTTCTGGAAAAGTCAGTGTTTCTCCTACCCAGATCAGTTTCAACGACTCCTCCTCATTTGCCAAGTACAAGACCCAAACATTGACCATCCACAATACCGGCAAGGCCCGTGCTGTCTTTAAGGTTATCAATGAGCCTTCTATTGCGCTCGCTCCTTACAACCGCTCAGGTCAAGGATATGCAATTGTTGGTCCTGTTGGATTCTCTAATGCCAAGGCAAAGCTTATCTTCTCCAAGACATCTGTTACAATTAACTCTGGTCAAAAGGCAACAGTTCGGGTCACTGTTGTTCCTCCTAAAACTAATCCCAAAGACCACATAATTTATGGTGGCTACATTCGTTTCAAGACCAGTAACCACGAGTCTGCAATTGATGCTACCGTTCCCTACTTTGGCATTGTTGGTAGACAGTGTGATCTTCCTCTTTTTGATTTAAATTATCCATACTTGTCTGACTCAAAAGGTAAAAGATTTTACTCCAAGAGTCAGACTTATATATATGATCGCAGCAACAACGCTACTACGCCCAGCATTGTCTATCGACTTCTTACTCCCACGGCTATGTTTGATGTTGATGTCCTGAATGCTAAAACCAAAAAGTCAATTGGAAAAACCATGACCAACTCTTTTTACCTCAACCGTAATTCGAACTATGGAGATATATTCAAATCTAACATAACCTGGGATGCAACCTATGTATCTACAGAGCTTTCAGGTACTCAAAGCGAAATTCCTGTTCCTTCAGGGACGTATATCCTTAGTCTGAGAGCACTCAAGCTTCTCGGAAACCCTGATGACCCCAAAGACTGGGAGACTTTTCAGACTAGCCCTATTTCTGTAATAAACAAAATTAATTTAGAAAGCGATCCTAGTTACATACATGTAGTAATATATTTAATTCTCTTATTATTTATTTAAGCGTATAGAACAGTATGATTTTGTTCTAAAATACAATTTGTACTAATAAAAAAAAGGCGTTGGTCATACTCTAAGAGGTTGAAGATAACTTGTGTATAAAATGTGCTGATATTAATTTTCTTATTATTAATAGTTAACTTACTGTATATAAACTGCGTGCTGTGGTAAAGAAATAAGAAAGCTTGCATATCTACTTTATTCTAACATATAAAACAATACATTAATCTTCAAAGTGCGGTTATTAAGTGAGTTCATTGCTCAATATTCTCTGTCCCTGTTACCCAGCCATTTAAAAGGGGGCCGCATCATCATAACACGGTGTATGTGTTTCATTTTTACGTTAAAAATTCTGCTTCTAAGAAAATGAGTTTATTGTTATTTTCTTTAGTCAATAAATTTTATTTAGCATGACTATCTTCAATTTTGTAGGCTTTTATAAAAACGATGAAGGGCTGGATTAAATGCCGGGCTTGTTTATGTATTCGATAGTATCTATATATTCTACTAATATAAAATTAATTAAAGCTTTTGGTTGAGATCAATAATATATTACTCATACAGGTACTTCATTAAATGGATAATTCATTATAGAAATTTTAATCTATCGTGTTATAGGTCCCATAACTAGACAATACAACTCTACATTGGGAATTTTGTTCTTAAAACCTAGCGGCTTTTTCCTTGCTATTTACGAAAGAAAGAATGTCTCTGATACTCATATATGGTGTTTGACTTTGATTTATATACATATCTTTGTGAGAACCATTTTGTTTTATAGTCATATTTTATTTTGCAAGCCCTTTTGTGACTTATAGACCGGAATGGCTCTCCTCAATATATTAAGCATAATGCTATATATTACAATTATTTTTGTTAAGGTCTGCTTACTATACGTTTCTACTAAGAAGAAAATCCAAAAGAAAGAACAGTTATTTGATATGTTTTTAATATAATTTTATCTTTGGAGTACATCATATATCAAAAAAACACACATATTATTATGTACACAATCTCTATACTTGTATATCCGTGCTATTACTAAAAGTAATTCTCAAGTTTAATTGAGAATTCACTCTGTGAGCATCAGTATACTTCTTTAAAAGTAAAACTTCTTTTCTTGTGCTGATAATCCTTTAATAGTACCAAGATAATATGTTTTCTCTCTTTGTTTCTTTAGGTTATTTAACATTGTTCAAGATTATTTCCATAAAGAAAAACAATATCGATATCCGTAATGTAATATAAGAATATATACAGTAGTAATAATAATAGTAAAGCTAAATTGTTACAATATACACTCTAGCCCAATGGAGCCTACTGGATTGCCGCCATTATCCGAGCATATTCATAAAAAGTGTAACCAAGGCATAATAAAACGCCATTTGTTACCAAGTACAGTGAAAACTTACTATTATGGAAGGAATACAGCTATCGCTAAAAAAAAACATTGATCTTCACGGTCAATGAATTTCACGGCGATCAAGTTCCAACATTTTCCGAATAACCTACGTAGCATTGTGCAGATTATATCAAGAAGTCATGATTTCTATTATTACTGACATTTATTATCCTAAACTCGAATTGGATATTTTCTTGATAAAGCACTTTCACTAGATCTATTCCGGGATAATTATATGTCAATTGTAACTCTCTTAGCATTTATTTGTATTACCCTAATTAATGCTTACATTGATGAGGCGTTAGAAATAGCTGTCAAATGTTAGAGTATTGCAGCCATATAATTATTTCAAAAGCAAAATGATAGGAGGCAAGTAAACTCTTGCAAAAAAAAAACAAGGTATAAAATAAATTTTGTAAACTACCGTATGCTCATCAGCTCTCCCAAACACTTCCTTTCCTTCTGTCTCCCTCCTTCCACCATGAAGCAACGATCATTTTTTGGCCTTCCCCTTTTCGGAGCAGGTGCCTGTCTTGTTGCCCTTGTTTTTGTTGCTCCTTCAGAAGCCCTATCCCACCCTAAATACAATTCGTACGGTGGCGATCTTATTCCCAACCGTTATATTGTGGAATATGATCACGGATATTCCACATCTGCAAACAACTTTGTCCATTCAGTTCAGAGTAAATTTAAGAAGGCCCAAATCCACGTCGCCGAGAGGTTCGAGCATGACATTTTCAATGGAATCTCTTTTGGTCTCAATGGTCTCAATAATATTGAGCACGATGCTGCTCTCGAGGCAGTTCTTGATCACGATAACGTCAAAGCTGTTTATCCCGTCAGAATTATTAGGCGCCCCAATGTTACTGTTGAGAAGCTGTCCTCCAAGACAAGAAATATTTCCAACCTTCCCCATGGAATGACCCAAGTTGATCGTGTTCACGCCGAGCTCAAAAAGTTTGGCAAGGGTATCAAGATTAGTGTTGTAGACTCTGGTAAACTTTATAAAGAAAAGGCTACATTTATGAGGATTGCATATCTAAGAAAAATTTACTTTTATATTAAGGTGTCGATTATCTTCATCCTGCTCTTGGCGGAGGCTTTGGCAAAGGATTCAAAGTCCAATTCGGCTATGATCTAGTCGGTAACGCCTACACTGGTGCAAATTCTCCTGTTCCTGACGCAGATCCTCTAGACAGCTGTACAGCTGAATCTGGCGCAAGTGGTGTGTTCTTCTTTTGTATACTTCTCTTGTAGCTGGATCTCATAGAGCGATTAAAAAAATATTAGGTCATGGAACACATGTTAGTGGTATTATTGCTGGCTACGATGCTAAGACAGTGGGTTCATTTTTCTGAGCACTATAAATAGGTATAGTTAAATAATTATACTATATGTTATAGAACTTTACAGGTGTTGCTCCTCAAACCACACTTGGTATGTGGCGTGTATTTGGTTGCAAATGATATACTGGTGATGATATTATGATTAAGGCTTTCTTAATGGCATATGATGCTGGTATGGATGTTATTTCGGTTTCCATTGGTGATACCAATGCCTGGAGCCATAGTCCTGATACCATTGTTGCTCAGCGTATTGCTGAAAAGGGTGTTCCATGTAAGACAAATACAGTAATATAGCTTTAAAAAAAAACTCTGCATATTACATTAGATTTCTGTAAAAACATAAACTAATTAAATTAAATTAAATTAAATTAAATACTCTAATATATATTCTAGTTATTGTTTCTACGGGTAACTCTGGTAGTGATGGTGCTTTTACTGTTGGTATACCAAGTATCGGTAAAGACGTCTGGTCTATTGCCTCTGTTGAAAATGCGTACTACAAAATAAACTACTTCAAAGCCAGTTCAATCTCTAAAAAACTTGGTAAGCATACAAAAATAAACTAAATATAGACTGGATAAAGTAATTAACTTGTCTATATATAGTCTATGCTACCACTTCCTCAAATTTGGTCAGTGGTGCTGTGGTTGCTGGAGACAAAAATATTGGTAGTAAAAGCGATGGCTGTGATCCCTCCACTGTTCCTAATCTTAAAGGCAAACTTGCTCTCGTCCAGCGTGGTAGTTGTACTTTTACTCTTAAGTCTACCAATGTTATTAAAGCTGGTGCTATTGGCTTGGTTATTTATAACGACTATGAAGGCGATGCTTTTACACCTTTGAAGTTTGAATCGACAATTCCTATTGTTAGTATCTCGGCTGCAGGCGGCCTTGCTATTTTGGCTGGAATCAAGGCTGGAACAGAAATCTTGACATTTGATCCCAACCCACATTACTTGCCTAGAGATAATGGATATCTTATTTCTGACTTCTCCAGTATCGATGCATCTAATGAGCTTGATATTAAGCCTAATATTGCTGGTATCGGTGGCCAGATTTACTCTACTCTTCCTCGATTTCTTAACAGCTGGGGTTTTATGTCTGGTACTTCTATGGCTGCACCTTATGTTTCTGGCTCTATCGCTTTGTTCATTGAGGCCAAGGGTTTCAAGAGAAACAATAAAGTCATATCCCATCAGTTCAAGAACTATGCAATGAAGCTTGTTCACACCAAGGGTAATAGTGTCATCGAAAGTCCTCTTCTTCAAGGCGCTGGTCTTGTTCAAGTCTATGATGCTATTTCTGGAAAAGTCAGTGTTTCTCCTACCCAGATCAGTTTCAACGACTCCTCCTCATTTGCCAAGTACAAGACCCAAACATTGACCATCCACAATACCGGCAAGGCTCGTGCTGTCTTTAAGGTTATCAATGAGCCTTCTATTGCGCTCGCTCCTTACAACCGCTCAGGTCAAGGATATGCAATTGTTGGTCCTGTTGGATTCTCTAATTCCAAGGCAAAGCTTATCTTCTCCAAGACATCTGTTACAATTAACTCTGGTCAAAAGGCAACAGTTCGGGTCACTGTTGTTCCTCCTAAAACTAACCCCAAGGATCATATCATGTATGGTGGCTACATTCATTTCAAGTCTGGTAACCACAAGTCTACCCTTGATACTACTGTTCCTTACTTTGGTGTTGTTGGAAAGCAGCGTGACCTCCCTCTTTTTGATGCCAAGTACCCATACCTCTCTGACTCGGACGGAACAAATGTGTTCTCCAAGATCGATACCTATACCTATGACCGCAGCAATAGCACCACTATCCCTTATATTATTTATCGCCTCCTCACTCCCACTGCCAAGTTTGATGTTGACGTCTTGAATGCCAAGACCAAGAAGTCAATTGGAAAAACTATGACTGACTCTGTTTACCTTTCTCGCAATTCTATCTGTTGTGGGGAGAAAATAAAGCAAAATATAATATAGACGAAAGAATTCGTGAGAACTTGTGTAGGTTGTTTATTTCAAAAGAAAAGTAAAGAAATATAAAATTCGATTGTCTTTCTACACGGAACTATCTACTGATATTTATATGTTTTTCTAATTTGTAATTCAGTGTGTGCTTAAGTAATCTTTATCACGATGAGTCATCTTCCAGGAGTATTGTTCTTCTGGAAAGATCCGGAAAGACCAATTGATATGATACTTCTCCAGTCAGATCAGTCCAAGAGTTTTGGTAAAGAAGAGCATTTATGCTATTGGTAATATTTTAGTATTCCGACCCAGATACTCGGGTAATGTTTCATAATATTAGATAGTTGTAGTTGTAGTCTCTCAATTAAGTATTTGTATAATAAAAGAAATATGTAGATGAAATATAATGATGCCATATATATAATGTATATGTATTTGTATATCCCATGTCATGGTGATAATAATAAATAATCAATTATGTGTATGATGATCTGTGTATTAGATAATATCATAAAGGGAGATCCGTTTGACTGGAATAGCTGAGGATATTATTTTATCCTTCAGTCTTACTCTCAGATTCAGCAGTAATCAATACTCATTCACAACATTATCCTCCACCAGATTCAACAATACCTTTTGTTGATTCGGCAATAAAACATTTCATTTACTATTTCATTGTCTGGCCAATTGCTTATTTTATTATAGTCAATCATGCACATAATTTTTGTACTTTATGGAGATCTACACTGTAAACTCAGCTTTGTGGATTACGTGTTCATTTTTTGTTATTTTAATTTTTTGTTGCTCTTCTTTTGTGTAATCTTTCTTCTCTACTCAAAGTGGTAGGAAGTGTTCTTTTCTTGTGCTCATCGTTATTGTTACTTTTACCATTTAGTCTTGAAGTGTGAACTATTTTCTTTTTTGAGGATGCACTTTTGTTAATCAAGTCTTCAGCTCTCTCATTCTCTAAACGTTCCAACTCTCTAACTTTCTTCCAATATTTTTGTACAATTGTGGAATCGGTAAAGTCTTCAGCCTTTTGCCATGTATTAGCGCGTTCGCCATAGCCAGCCCATTTGACCAAATATTCTCGTTGACCAGCAGTACCACGATGATCTCGAATGTCTTCAACTTTGTAGAGCTCATTCTCAATTGTTGATTCATCGATGGTGACCATCTTGAGTTCTGAGGGTGTATAATTTTGGTGTAACAATTCACCTTGCTCATCCTTTAACTCATACGATCCTCCTTTATTCTTTCGAACCACTGTATATGGACCTTCATAAATAGGTGCCAATTTATTTGATCGATGTGGTAATCTGACCATAACGTGTGTTCCTTTGGGGATGTCGATTAGGATATTTTTGTGATCATATTTCTTTTTTAATTCCTCATTAATCCTTAACACACGTTCGTTAATGGCAGGGAATATAATATTTTTCATATGATCAATCTGCTTCTCTAGCTCATCAATTGTAACTGTGGCTTTTGGAAGAGAGTATTTATCTTTGTCACCATACTCATCAGGCACATTGACTCTGCGAGCATACATTAATGAAAACGGCGCACTTAGTGTTTTTTGAGGAATATGTCTATTGATACACAGCTGAACAATCGGTAGATAGTGACATCAGTCATTGCTGTTCGCTCTCATCATTTTACGTACAGTATTCTCTGCAATTTTTACACTGGCTTCGGCAATACCATTTCCTTGTGGGTGATATGCTGTCGAATATCTTCGATCAATCCCAAGCTCTTTAGATAGGCTTGACATTAAAGAGTTTCTAAATTCCAGACCATTGTCACTTTGCATTACTTTGGGAAAACCATAATCTCCAAAAATCTTTATCAATGCTTTAGCTATTGTTGTTGAGTTCTTGTTTGGCAGTGGTCTCAAGATAATGTACTTGGAGCATACATCAACCAGAACTAACATGTACGTGTGTCCATCCTCTGATACAGGGAATTCACCGCATAAGTCAATTGCAATATGATCAAATGGTCGGAATGCTACAACATTAGTCAATGGGTGATAGCCTTTCTTGCTAATATTGTGCTTCTGACATTCAGGGCAAGAACGAATAATCTCTTTAGCCTCTTCATATATATTAGTCCAGTGTAAGCCTTGTGAATGAAGATCATTCACTATAGCTTGACTTCCAAAGTGACCAAACGAATGTGCTTCTTTTAGTAAGCCATTACGCTTTTCTTCAGGAGGTGACATATAGTCGGACGACTCTGAAGCATTTTCGACGAGTTGCGTTGCAAGTACATTTAGCACTCTGTCTTTACTATATTTTTTCTTTTGAACAATAACTCTGTTTTTAGCTTGTAAGTCATTTGTTCTGATTTTTCTCAATCCATCATCCTCCACCAGCTTGTCACTATCCTCTGGAGGATACAAGCGGCTTAGCAAATCAGGTAGTTTATTCAACAAACCAGGAATATGGACCACTTTAAAATCAAAGTCAAGGAGTGTCTCAATCCAGCCAATCATCATCGGATTAGCGATTTTTTGAGTGTGGAGATAAATGAGTGCTCGATGATCAGTAAAAATTGTGAACTGTCGGCCCCACAGAAATGGACAGAATTTTTCAAGCGCCAAAACGACTGCATATAATTCTCTTTTAGTTGTGCTCCATCGTCGCTGCGATGGGCTTAAGGAAGTTGATACAAAGCTGATATATTTATCACGCCCTTGTTCATCTCGCTGAAACAATAAGCAAGCTGCTCCATAAAGGGATGCATCTGTGGCCACATACATTTCACGTGACATATCTGCGTAATGAAGAATTAAATCTTGGTGCAATATGTCTTTTAGTGCTTTAAAGCTTTTCGTCTGCTCATCTGTCCATTGACCAGACACATTCTTGGCATGACTCAAACGTGAAATAGGCTCAGCTACCTTCGAAATCATAGGAATATAATCTCTGAAGTAATTGATCAAACCCATGAATTGCTGAATCTGTTTCGCAGTTGTAGGAATAGGCCATTTGTCAACATTTGTCAACTTTCGCTTATCAACCTTGGTGCCTGTCTCATTGACGACAAAACCAAGCAATCTCACTGAATGTTGAAACCAGACACACTTTTCCGAGTTCAGAATCAACTTCGCGGATGACAATTTTTCAATAACTAATTTTACGTCTTTGACATGCTGTTCAAATGTTTCACTGGCAACAATACAATCATCAACAAAATTCTGTACACAGTCAATCTTATCAAATAAAGTAGCCATGACATGTTGAAATTGTGAAGTAAGCATCTTCAAGCCAAAACAGCCTTTAATAAAGCTATACTGTTGCCCATCTAAGTGAGTGAATGTCAGTTTGTGTACATCCTCAGGTGCAACTTTGAAACGATGATACGCATTGGATAAGTCGAGTGTGGTAAAGAATTTCTTTCCACTTAAGTTTTGAAATATTGTTTGAATTTTTGGAATTGGATAATTGAATGTGGGAGGTAGGATCTGATTTAACAATCGCACATCTAAACACACTCTATGACTGACAATCTCACCAGCTTTGTTTCTCTTTGGAACAAGCAACATTGGACTGTTGAAGGAAGTGTTGGTCTTGGACTTGACAATAGTTCCTGTCTCAAGCCATTCTTTTACTTGCTTGTCAAGTGTTGGTCTTAGAGCGTGCGGTATAGGATACTGCCGTCTGTAAGCCGTCGCACCTTCCTTAGTAGGTAAACGAATAATAGATTCTGATAAAGGACAATATGACTCAACGGGAATATTCTTATTTTCCTCCAGTGATGCTTTAATAGAGCTCATAAATTCTGCTCGTTGCTGTGCTGTGCCAGCTGGCGAATTATCAGGTTCAAACTTTTTCTCTTTATCAATATTTAGATTTTCATAAATGGCGGCATAGTCTTTTGCATTATCTGAATGGACATATTCTCCTTCAATATCATATGCAACATTAATTAATCCAATATTCATCTTTGCCAAAATATCTCTTCCAAGGAGGATATCAAAATTAAAACCCGTATTAAACTCTAACACCTCTGGTGCATGCTTAAAGGTGATGCCATTTATATATTTAAAATTTAAAGGATCAGTTTTTCCTAATCTCTTTGTACTACTATTCTTAGACAGAAAATTAAAGGAACCAATTGAAGAATTTATTTTTGTTATTTGTAAATTGTTATTTAAACATTTCAAATTTATAAACGTGCGGGAACTGCCTGTATCGATCATCCCGATTAACTTCTGGTTCTCTATTATGATTGGAGTTACAAGATTAAACGCATCATTAGCTTTAATTCTTCTCTCAATTCTGTCAAGTAGGTACTTACATTCAAATGATATTTCCTCCATGTCTTCATCTATCCTGTCCTGGATCGTCTTGAGCGTCTGCTCAGACTTATCCTTTGCGGGAGACTGGGATACCATGAGAATTGGCTCATTGTTCTTGCTTTTGCAGACATGACCATGGTAGTAGTTTTCACCACAACGTCTGCAAGGATTGCGACTGTTGGAACTACTGGCTTTGTTCTTGCGGTTGATCAAGGTAAAACACTTGCTGGACTCATGGGTCGGGTTTTTTCCATGGTGCGAGCAGAAAAATGTCTTCTCATGCTTGGTTATCTTGTTGGAATGGTGAAGCTTCTTTCTGGGATGTTCCTCGTTATTCTTCTCAGGTTGCCCACGGGAACCAGGAATCAATCGGGTCGCCTCAGCATAGAGCCTGTTGTCATCCCCAAGGATGTCTCTGCCGATCTGCGTGATCTGCTCTACAGTCCAATCACGCTTGGACTCCCCATTGGGACCAGAGCGGGCCATGGTAACTCTTACCAGTGTTTGCACTGATAAGGTCAGCGAGGCAAGGAAGCGATCAGCGATGCGAGCATCGTCTTTGGGTAAACCAGCATTGTAAACCGCACGGAGGAACTTCTTCGAGTAATCACCGATGGACTCAGTGTTCTTCATCATCATTGTAAAGACCTGGTCTGTGAATCGTCGAGACACCAAGCTGGAACCATGTCTTTTGTTGAAGCATGATTTCGCCGCCTTCCAATCAATACACTTCTTAAGATCCATCTCTACCCATCCGTCATCAGTGTGAGGCAGGCAAAGTGGGAGGAATTTCTTCCAAACTCTCTCGATGTCCAAGGAAGAAGACTCGATCACATTCTTGAAGGTACGTAGGAAATGTCCAACTGATTCAAAAACCTCTTCATTTGGGAAGGGCTTAATAATACTGGAGGCCAATTGGAATTTGGGAAGATCTCTTCTGTTGAGAGTCAACCCTCCTTCACGGCCAGCTCTCTCTGTGTTTGTACCAGGAGAGGCAAGCATCTCGCTGCACTTTTCAAGGCTAGTGATTGCCAATCTTGTGCGCTCGATCCTGCGGAGTGCATCATCAGCTGCTTGCTCATTGTTTGCTACATGAGCAGCGCTGAAGGCCTCGATGTGGTTGCCCAATTCAGCCTTGAGAACGGCCACACAGGAGGAAGCAGTTGCTACTTCTCTACCAACGGGAGGGGAACCAGAACCAGAAACGGAACCAAAACCAGGGGCAGCATCCGGAAAGAGGACGGGCTCACTCAAGTCAGAGAATAATTCATCCGCAGACATGGGGGACAAGGTAGCCTCCTCAGGAACAGGGGTCAAACCAGCGGGAAACAAGTCAGCAGGAGAGTTCATTGTAGTTCACGAAAAAAAATGTTGTGGGGAGAAAATAAAGCAAAATATAATATAGACGAAAGAATTCGTGAGAACTTGTGTAGGTTGTTTATTTCAAAAGAAAAGTAAAGAAATATAAAATTCGATTGTCTTTCTACACGGAACTATCTACTGATATTTATATGTTTTTCTAATTTGTAATTCAGTGTGTGCTTAAGTAATCTTTATCACGATGAGTCATCTTCCAGGAGTATTGTTCTTCTGGAAAGATCCGGAAAGACCAATTGATATGATACTTCTCCAGTCAGATCAGTCCAAGAGTTTTGGTAAAGAAGAGCATTTATGCTATTGGTAATATTTTAGTATTCCGACCCAGATACTCGGGTAATGTTTCATAATATTAGATAGTTGTAGTTGTAGTCTCTCAATTAAGTATTTGTATAATAAAAGAAATATGTAGATGAAATATAATGATGCCATATATATAATGTATATGTATTTGTATATCCCATGTCATGGTGATAATAATAAATAATCAATTATGTGTATGATGATCTGTGTATTAGATAATATCATAAAGGGAGATCCGTTTGACTGGAATAGCTGAGGATATTATTTTATCCTTCAGTCTTACTCTCAGATTCAGCAGTAATCAATACTCATTCACAACACTATCTATGGAGATGGATTTCGTACTAATACCCCGTGGAATGCCACCTATGTTTCCACTCAATTTTCTGGTATTCAAGCCAGTATTCCGGTTCCTTCAGGAACTTATATTCTAAATCTAAAAGCTCTTAAACTCCTCGGTAACCCCAAAGATCCCAAGGATTGGGAAACTTTTCAAACAGGTCCTATTGTTGTAAAGAACTGATTTATAGATTTCAAGTTAATCTAGAGATAAACATATATCACTTTTTATAGTATTTTTAGTGTTTAGCCAATCCTTTTGCAAGCTTTATCTATTACGAAATACAAACTTTAAAAAAAATTGACTTGATGTGAATCAGATACAAATATCCATCATACATTAGGTTTAATCTTTAGAGTCAGACTTTTGTTGGGCTCACAAAAATAAGAGTTAAAGGGCATTTATGTATTAGTAGACAGTGTTTGTGTGGGAAGCTCTATTTATTCCAAATATTTTATTTGGGAAATATGAGTAGCAGGAAAACGCCTTATACAAACTTCATTTGAATTTCTTCATAGGGTCTTACCGACATTGTCTTTAAAAGCCTGAGATTTCTACAGGGGCAACTTTTTGTATATAACAAATGAATATACTGATATTCTAGTTTATACAATATATGTCTGCTTAATACACTACTACATTTGTTAATATTAAGTGTTCAGATACACCTTTCAATCATATACTTCATAATTATATTAAGGTTCTGGACAATGTCTGGAAGATACCAAATAGTGGTATGTGTGTTTTTTATAAGAAGAAATAGAATCTCTTACTATTTCGATAACTTTACATAATTATTTCAAACCTTCAAAAAGGGTGGTGAATCTAGGATATTACAGAGGCTAGGGTGTTTTTATAAAATATGATACAGTTTATTTAAGTATTCTATAGCTCTATACACTATGAATATGTGTATTATAGAGATTTTTAGAAGAGTAGTTGATATACTCTTTAAAGATGTTACTTTTAATCAAAATTCGATTTATACAATGTAAATGTTTAACTCTTTAGTCGATATGTATTTTTGACTTTTTAATAGAATAAAGATAAAACAAAAATCTTTGAATGTACACAAGCCAAGCTTATTGAAATTTACATTACAGTTTAATGGCAGAGATTAAGAAATGTTTGAAACTGTGAAGCCTAGTCAGTTCTTTCAATAAAAAAAAAGAGGAAGCTTTACGAATGTGGGATTTATTAAATAAGAGATACCGGACCCATTTGTGAATATGGACGGACAGGGTCCCTTTTTTGTTGTGCACTACCCAATACAAAAATATTGTAGATAAAGGTTGATAATACTCTATATATAAGTATGTAGACATAATATATAGCCACTCTTAAGCCAGTGGTTTTTTTTTCTTATGATTTTTTAACTTTATTAGAATCTTAAAAGGCTTTAAATAGCTGCAAGTATAAGGAATATATCTACTGTATATTATATTATTTGCGGGTTTCCCTTTCTTACAAAATAGCACCAATGGGATAGTATCTCAGTTCATCTGTAAATGAATATTAATTGCAATTATCTTTAATAGTATCAACTACTATTTATGTCACTTTTTCTCTCAATAAGACCACAATGATCTAGCGCTACAAAACTGGGGTAGTAGAATAAGTTAATTCGCTCATACCTTTGAAAAACTGTAAGATTACCGGGTACACTTATATCCACATACGGTATTCGGTTAATTTTCAGAGCCATTAAAGTATCGATTCTTTTAATATGTTATATGTTGAAAACTCGTATGTTTTGAGCCTACACAATTCTAGATTATCTATGTTTTTTTTCTTGTCTTTGGATTATATATATAGTGCTTTTTTGGGAGTATCTGTTGATTTTAATTATGATGTTAATTAGTATATACCACCATGAAGTAAGATCATATATATATGTATGTTAAAGTATAATTCTGCTTTTATACAAGCTGGTATAGAGTACTATGAATATATTCAATTTTAACTACCTTTTCATTGATCTTTATGTTAACAGTTGGAGTCAGAAATTCTAAAGTATCTTGGAACATATAGATTGAATGATGAAAAATACGTGGATATTTACACGGCTTATTAGTAGTCTTTCGAAAAGCATCTTTTTTTATTATGATATTAATAAATAAAAATACTAATTCGCAAAATTATATTGTAAAGTAACTTATATTATATTGACACATATTATATATCAATGAGCTTGCAAACTGTTGATTATGGCAACCTCAGCACCTGCAATCTGAAATAATATGGCTCTTGCTGCTTAAAATGGAGCACGTAACTTCCCATCCATTTTTAACAATAAATCCAATAGCGCTATTCTCCGTGTGTGCCACCTGAAGTTAATTTTTTTTATATAGTATTGCAATGTGTCTTTCAGATATATTGTAGCAAAGACGCTTTATATTATATGTATATATAATTCTGCTGATTATATATACATATATGTGTGTCTTTATTGGGAGAGAGACTGACAGATAATGTACTTTTTTAGTTAAGGTAAAATGTATAAAGTTATCTAGATATCTAAATATTAGTATCAAATGTGAGAAGAAGAAAAAGGCTCTTTGGATTCTATAATAAATCTTATAATCCGCGTTATTTGTTACTTAAAGTGAAACTAAGCTCTATACAAGGTATATGCTTATAAATTACTGATTTCTTTGGAGATGTAATCGCTCACTTAATAACTTAATCAAAGCAGTTATTTTTATACAAATATAGTATAATTTTTAGACCAATGGGCTGTTACAGATCGTCGCTATTAACTAAGCATATGTAGGATATGTGTGACCAATATATAATAAAAACGACATGCGTTACTAATAACAGTTAAAAGTGACTAATTTGGGTAGAAATATAATCATCATTGATACATTATAAAATATAATATCATTAGGATCTAATATAAGATGACTACTTTTTACAGTAGTGTGCATTTCACGTAGCCAAAACATGATCACTATACTTAGGAGTTCTTTCCCAATTCATATTTGGTGAGATTCCGAATAAAGTGCTCCTACACGCAAAATATGAGACTGGTTATCTGTCAGTAACTAATCCCAGCATGTAACTATCAACCAAATACAAGCTTTTATAGACAGTTTGTCTAAATCTGACCTCAAATGATACATATATTTACAAGCCTAACTATTGTAACATCACACATGTCAATATGTATGTATAAAACTGGTGAGTAAGGAAAGGTATAAAAGAAACGTTGTAAACCATCTTCTTCTCCTCAGCTCTCTCAAACCCTTCCTTTCTTTCCTTCCCGCTCCTTCCATCATGAAGCGACGATCTTTCTCTGTCCTTCCCTTTTTTACAGCCGGTGTCTGTCTTGCTGTCCTTGTTTTGGTTGCTCCCTCGGAAGCCATTTCCCATCCTAAATACCAGGCTTCCAGTGATAATGTTGTTCCCAATCGATATATTGTAGAGTTTGATTATGGAGACTCTACATCTGCCAACAGCTTTGTCCACTCAGTTCAAAACAAATTCAAGAAGGCTAAGATTCATATTGCACATCAGTTTGACCATGACCTTTTCAATGGCATCTCGTTTGGTCTTAATGGTCTTGACAACAAAGAGCATGATGCAGCTCTTAAATCTGTTCTTGATCAAGATAGCGTCAAGGCAGTTTATCCTGTCAGGGTCATTAAACGTCCCGATATTACAATTAGAAAGGTTTCTTCCAAAGGAAAGACACCATCTATTCTTCCTCACGCAATGACTCAAGTCGATCGTGTCCACTCTGAGCTCAAAAAGTTTGGTAAGGGTATCAAGGTTGGTGTCGTCGATACTGGTAAGTACATGAGAGAGAGAGAATCATTTAAATAACAATTTACTGACGGAAATAATATAATGAATTGTTAGGTATCGATTATCTTCACCCTGCTCTTGGAGGAGGTTTTGGCAAGGGCTTCAAAGTTCAGTATGGTTACGATCTTGTTGGCAATGATTACACCGGTGGAAACACTCCTGTCCCCGATGATGATCCCCTTGACAGCTGCACAGCTGAGTCTGGTGCAAGTGGTATGTTCATCTTTTCTCTATTTGTTATTCTGCAGATGAAACTAACGCAACAAATGTACTACTAGGTCATGGAACTCATGTTAGCGGTATTATTGCCGGTTATGACTCCAAAACCGTAAGATTTTCTTCTTATATTTACTACAATAATTAAATATCTTAAACTCATTAAACAATATAGAATTTTACTGGTGTTGCTCCTCAAGCCACTCTTGGTATGTGGCGTGTATTTGGATGCAAAGGAAATACTGGAAACGACGTCCTCGTTAAGTCGTTCTTGATGGCATATGATGCTGGTATGGATGTCATTTCTGTATCCATTGGCGAAAACAATGCCTGGAGCAATGGTCCTGATACCATTGTTGCTCAGCGTATTGCAGAAAAGGGTATTCCATGTAAGACAAAAATGCAGATTCAAACTAAAAAAGCATTGTATTACATTATAAAATTTTACTAAAGAAGGTTACTTTAATTTTGCATGTTTTAGTCATTGTCGCTGCTGGTAACGCTGGTGCTGATGGTGCATTTACTGTTGGTATGCCAAGTACTGCTAAGGATATTTGGTCAACTGCTTCTGTCGATAATAACTACCATTTGGTTGACTTGTTCAAGGCTAGCTCTATTTCCAAGAAAATTGGTAAGTCTAGTAAAATAATACAGAATATATGTTGGATAAGGTCATTTATTTATTTATTTATTTTTCATTTAGTCTACTTGACTTCTTCTGGTTCTAAGATTCCCGATGGTACTGCTGCTTCTGGCGGAACCGATGCTTGTGATCCTTCTACTATCCCTAAGCTCACCGGAAAGATTGCTCTTGTTCAACGTGGTACCTGCACTTTCGACGAAAAAGCGGCCAATGCTGCCAAGGCTGGTGCAATTGGACTGATTGTTTACAACAGTAACAATGGTGACTCATTCACTCCTTCTAACCCTGAAGCCACCATCCCTGTTATTGGTATCTCAACTGCTGATGGTCTTGCCCTCTTGGCTGGTATCAAGTCTGGTACTGAAACTTTGAAGTTCGACACCACGCAGGCTGTTTATCCCTTGGTTACCGGAAACACTGTTTCTGACTTTTCTAGTGTTGGTGCTTCTTACGAACTCGATCTTAAGCCCAATGTTGCCGGAATCGGCGGTCAGATTTACTCTACCCTTCCTCGTTTCCTCGGTAGCTGGGGTATTATGTCAGGTACTTCTATGGCTACCCCTTACGTTGCTGGCTCTGTCGCTCTGTTCATTGAGGCCAAGGGACTTAAGAAGAACAACAAAGTTATCTCGGAGCAGTTCAAGAACTATGCCCTCAAGCTTGTCCACGTCAATGGTGAGAGTGCCATTGAGAGCCCTCTTCTTCAAGGTGCTGGTCTCGTCCAAGTTTACGATGCAATTGCTGGAAAGGTCCGCGTCTCTCCTACCCAACTTAGCTTCAACGATTCTTCTTCCTTTAACAAATACAAAACCCAGACTGTGAGCATCTACAATGCCGGAAAGGTCCGCGCTACCTTCAAGGTTATTAATGAGCCTTCTATTTCTGTGGCTCCTTACAATCGTTCTGTACAAGGCTATGCTCTTCTTGCTCCCACCGGGTTTTCCAATGCAAAGGCAAAGTTGATATTCTCCAAAACTTCTATTACCCTCAATCCAGGTCAAAAGGCAACAGTACGGGTCACTGTTGTTCCTCCTAAAACTAACCCCAAGGATCATATTATGTATGGTGGCTACATTCGCTTCAAGTCTGGTAACCGCAAGACTACCCTTGATACTACTGTTCCTTACTTTGGTGTTGTTGGAAAGCAGCGTGACCTCCCTCTTTTTGATGCCAAGTACCCATATCTCTCTGACTCGGACGGAACAAATGTGTTCTCCAAGAGCGATACCTACACCTACAACCGCAGCAACAGCACCACTATCCCCTACATTATTTATCGCCTCCTCACTCCCACTGCCAAGTTTGATGTTGACGTCTTGAATGCCAAGACCAAGAAGTCAATTGGAAAAACCATGACTGATTCTGTTTATCTTCCCGCTAACACCCTCGAAACCGATAATTATATCTCTGGCGCCTCTTGGGATGCCACTTACATCCCACCTTCCTTCTCTGATGTTTCCTCTGGAATTCCCGTACCTTCTGGAACTTACATTCTTCATTTGAGAGCCCTTAAGCTCCTTGGTAACCCCAAGGACTCCAAGGACTGGGAAACTTTCCAGACAGGACCCATTGTTGTAAAGAACTAATTTTATAGCACAATATGTGCGTAGTTATATATACCTAGTACTTTGTATGATTTCCACATTAATTATTAAAGCTTAAACTCTGATATCATTGTAATTTAATTTGAATTGCGACTAATTGTAATAAAAATACAACCTTTAGATATTTTAAAGCATATAAAGGTCAAGGCATACTATATCTATGGATCTTATTCGTTTACTTTTATATTTATTTGAATGTTAGATTTTCTGGAAAAATGCTTATAATTCAGCTTTTTAATTGAATACAGAATAATTATAACCAATGGTTAATTTTAGAGCCATTGATAAGCATAAAATTGGCGCATTATATTTGGAATATTAAATTTAACACATATCAAGTAGTTTCACATACATATAGTACATGACTTGGGTTAATCATCCTTAAATTACATATATGTTAGCTGAAAGTCTATTCAGCTATTAATGATAAAGTCAAACACAAGCACCTTAGTCAGTATCTGTTTCCCAAGTATAAGATCATTACCACTTTTATTTGCTTCAACTAACTCAAATGAATATGTGAAGTTAGTGCCATTTTCATAAGACATTTCTAATGGTACATACTGTCCTAAACGTTTGGAATTATGTTTTTTTCTAGCAAATACTTGATGCCTTTCTACTTTCAAAATTTGGCATTTTATTGTGTTGTTGTAAGAAGTAATGTTCAGACAGTACCTCTCTGTCCCAGTGTTCAGGAAATCCAGTAGTGTGTCCTTAGTTTGTAGGATAATTTGTGTTTGAAGTGAGAATAAACTTTTTTTCGCTCAGTTTTTTCTATAAGTATGCTTATCAAATAATGCACTTTCCAACGTTCTAGCTATATGTTTCTAACAGTTATGGTAGGGTGTTTAATGGTTTTGATTAATATGTATTTTTTTCTTGTTTTTTTTGGTAGTCTTGGGATTGGAAGTACTCTTAATAGCGGTGCGTATGGCTCCATGGCTTTCTAAGGCAGCAGCATTTTTGTCGATTACTTAATTTTGTCTAACATTTTACAGACTTTTTTCTTCGTCTGACTATCATTCTATTTATTCTGAATACAGAAAATTATATATTTTTTAAATGAATGTGTATTTGTGGTGTTTTTATAAGAGCTGTGAGCTTTTCTTGATGTAAATATTTAATTTTTTTTGAGTATTTGTTATCTACGGCGATGCCACTATACAGTCCCGATACCTTTTTTATGGACTGGGTATATAAGTGTGTCTTAAAAACCAGGTATGCTTGATATTGTTGGTTAGATCCAATATGAAGCTTGGTGGAAAGCATATGATGAGATGGTTGCTATCCAGGATTTTGCCTTCCTGGAAGATTTTCTGAAAACGGGTACTGTAATCCATGAAGAACTCGTGGGTGTTCATAGTCATGCTGGACACCGAGGAGCCAGTACACTGCAAAATACTCCCAATTTAATAATGTAAAATAGTTTTATTAGTGTATTTAAATTTTCAAACAAAAATTAAAAATTAAAAAATTATTTTTATTTTCTGTTGTGATTTCTAATCTGTTTTTGTAGATGTCAAATTATACTATTATTACTTTTTCCTCTGACTTTTACACTTCTTTAATATCATTTTAAATTAAACTCGAATATATATATATATTAAAAGTATTATATTATTAAATAAAAGTAAATATTTTATATATAGTATTCTTTTTCTATATGAAATAAAATAAACTCTACATCTTTCAATTTATTTTTATATAATAAATATAAATGGAAGAACAAGTATTTGCTTAAGCTATTCAAAGTGATATTTTTTAAGTGCTTTACAAGAAGTTCTGTGCTTTCCTATTTGCTGTCGCTGTATTTTTGTGTAATTCTTTCTTTTGATGTAAAGAAGAGGAAAATGGGGTGAAGAATTTAACTTACACAGTGAAATGTGAATATTTCTTTTTCACTAATTTCATCTTAATAAATAGTTCTTCCCATTTAAAATATAATGGGCCTTTTAAAGAAAAAAAATGATTTTCATAATATATAATGTATGACTTGGTTAGTTACCTGAGAACATATGTAGACTATTGTTGTAAAGCACACAGTAAGTACCTTGAAGAATTACTTGCTATGATAAGCAACAAGATCTAACATTTTATAAACACAAACTTTATATTCTATATAGCTTTTTATTTAAACTCGATATTTCTGATTTTCTTAAAAAACGCAATAAATTTTTATTTTTATTTTTTCTCACATTTTTTTAAATTTATATTTAATGAAGTAACTGCTCCTCCTTTTTCTTTTCTTTTGCTTTTATTTGTGTTTCGTTCACTTTAATATCTTGGTAAATTTATTATTAAGATATGAACTCTTACTAAAACTCTTATCATTATACATGTTATTAAAAAGAACATAGGATACTCTGAACGTGACTTTAGTTTGTACTTTTAAAACTATTATAAAGAAAAGAAGATATCTCTGTGCACGGCTTATATTTGGTTGTTATATATCTTTAAAGCAATTTCATGAATTACTTTTGCTCAGGCAACTCACAGTATAGTTGTGTTCTTAATTGAGAGAAAGAATAAAAACAAGTAAATTGGCAAGATTTTTTTTAAACTAGCTTGATATTTAAAAGATATTATTTGATAGCTTTTTGAAAGGTATAAAAAAGTAATTTATTGAATAAGATATGTTTCAATTTAAGAAGAACCTAATGATATTGTCTTAATAACATAGAAATTAAATATTTTCTAATTTTTTACCTTTGTTGTTTCTTGAATCATATTTACTAAAAATATATATAATAATTATTAAAAATTAAATTGCTATTTAAATTAAAAAAAAAGATAAAAAAATTATTAAATCAAGCTTTAACTGTATTAAAAACATCATATAATTCAAAGAATTTAGCAGTTTAAAAACCTTGAAAACTTAAGAGACTTGAAATACTTGAAGGATTCTAGATATTATAAGAAATATTGGGGTTATAGGGATTATAAGAGCTATTAAAGGTATGAGGGTTATTGGGGGTATTAGAGTTGTTATAAATGAGTATTTACGACTGCTGTAATTGAAAATAAGTCTGAAGAAAATAATATAAGTCCTCAGCTATTTCAGTCAAAGATGTCTACTCATTACTTTATTATTTAACACACATGTTTATCATGCATGATAGTAATTATATTTCATATGATGATATTGTCATAATATGGGATATATCAGTGGATTATTATAAGCATAATTATAACTCATAAACACATTTACTTTCGATGTTAATACTTCATTGAGACTACACACATTTATATAATTAATCATACATTAATTATTTCAAGATCATGTTGCTCTGATTAAGGCTCAGATAGGATCGATTATCTGACCCCAGTCATATAATTTTCCCAATCCAAAATAATATAAATAGCAGTAGTAGTTCAGTGTAGGAACCTCGTCAAACTTTGATACAAAATCTTTTCTCAATAAACAAAACCTACACAAGTTCTCACGAATCTTTGTTTCTAATCTCAAATCTTCAATTCTTCCTCTTAAAAACTTCTTCAACTTCAACCACCACAACAATTTATTTAAAAAAAATAAAAAATAATAGAATTCAATTCTTCTTCTATATACAACTAACTACTGATATTTATATGTTTCTTATATTTGTAATTCAATATATACTTAAGTAATCTTTATTATAATAAGTCATCTTTTAGGAGTATTATTATATTTATATGTGATGTAGTGATCTAGACACTTAAATGTTAAATTTATCACATATAAAAACATATTCATATTAGGATAGCTTAGTAACTATTATCTTATCAGCATATAAAATATATATAAGCAATTAAGTAATCAGGCTAATAATTATTACAGTTAGTACTGTAAATAATATCAAAGATCATTAAAATAAGTATATTATACTTCTAAATAAACTGTGTCAGAGTGATATGGAGCTAATTTAGCAGAAAGTTCTAAAGCTCTAGTGTAAAAGAGAAAAGAATAGCTAAGAGCTAAAGAAATATAATTTATAACTTGATATTGTAATAGTAATATTATAATTAATTAACTAGTAAATATACTCTAATAAATAAATATAGTAAAGAAAAGCTTTAAAAATCTAAGATATAATAATAAGAGCATATTTTATTTTCTTATTAAAAAAAATACTTTTTATTTATGAATAAAGTGCAGTTTGTATATAGGCACAAAGTATCTCTATATGTCTTTATTATCAAATTTTCTATTTTTTTATTGTTTTATATCTGAAATATTACATTATCTATAACAAGTTCACATTTAGTAATATTTAATGTATATGCTTATATTATATTATATTACGCTTTGGAAAATATGTCGCATGTGGTATGTTGTTATATGTAGAAGATGTACAAGAAAAGATAATTGTATATAAGAAGAGGAATTTAAAAGAGGAATTGAGGGTTTGGGTTTGATATCAGATAAATTGAGATGATAAAATAGTCTCTTTGTTACCAAATAGACCAGTTCATGGCTCTTCCCGCTAAAGTACCGGACCCACCTATTGGGTCCACCACAACACTAGGTCAAGCCAATATAACCACTCCACAACCCTCTACTACTACCTCTACCACAACCAACACTAGGTCATATCTCGATGTCGCCACAGCCACTCCCGCCCCCGGTCAAGTACCAGTCGTTCTTTTCTCTAACTTGCCGACATCTATGGACCGCGTCTGGCACGAAAGTACATCTCGTCATTCGGTATTCTTCACCCCACCAACTGATTCCACCCTTACCTCTGAATTCTGGACTGCTCTCAGAGCAAGCGTTCCTACGGCATGCACCTTGGGAATATCATTCGCTCATTGTCAACCACTCATCCACGAATTGCACCTGACCAATTCTACCATCTGCACCAAACTCTGTTCCAAAGGCTTCCTGGTTGGAGGCCAAACGTACTTCCCCTCTATGGGTATTGCCCCAGGCACAAAAATCTTGCGTATCTCCCTCTCCCAGCTTCCATACCTTCCTTCCCCTCTGCTTGAAGAGGCTATCAAAACAGCCTTGGCTGCATATGGCACCGTCCGCGAAGTCGGTTTGCATCTTCATGCCAATTTTTTTTATGGCACTGGTTTTGCTTACCTTGAACGACCACCCAACCCCGATGTCACCCTTGCCAAACTCTCATACAAGATCCCGTATGATGGCGACTTGTACTTCTTAGGTACCTGGAAACAGATGGGTATTCACTGTAATTATTGTAAAGTTATGGGCCATGCTATCAAAAACTGTCCAGACCACCCCAAAGATTCCCGACACTGCTTCACTTGTGACCAGACTGGTCACTTGCAACATGCCTGCCCCAGAGCACCCCCCACGGACGCCAGCTCTTCCAAGAGACCCTGCAAGGTTCTCACGACACATGAATCCCCTGATTGCCCACGCAAGACTACTCCCGGTGCGTCTCACAGACCTCCGGCCAAGAAATCGATCCCCCCTCGCAGTACACCTACAATGGCTGAGGGATCCCAGGCTACTACCACCACCTCCCGCACGAATTCCTTGACACCGCGACAACCCTCTGTCCCCACTGTTCCTACTTCCCCCCGCCAGTCTGCCAACAGATTTGCTGCACTTGACGGACTAACTGACAACAGCCGCACAGGCGCACTCTTCGACCCCACTCTGCCTCTTCCTCAGACACACAACACCCAGTATGATCCCGTCTTTCACCCCCTCCACAACGCTTTTCTTCCCTCCAACTACACTTCCGGCTCCACTAAAGACGAAGAAGAATTTCACCCCAGCGCTTTTGACGGCGACGACGACCAAGACTCCCAGAATATCCTAACTGATGACGAGATGGCAGATGGCGATCATTCTTAAATTTATGATTAATATAGCCTCCATGAACTGCCACGGACTTGTCAAGTCCGGAAACACCAATAATCGCTCTCTCTTTATTAGATATCTTTGCTCCCTCTCTCTAGACATACTTGCCCTTCAAGAAACTCACGCCAACACAGACGCTCTTCAACAGACGTTTCATCTTCAATTTCAAGCATCCAACTCACTATGGTCTCCTCACTGTGGTTTGGTTTCCCTCTCTCCCCTCATTTCTTTTACTGATCCTCTTTTTTCTCTCTGTGGTCGTTGCATTACTGCTACCGTTGTTCACTCTTCCAATTTGTTTGCCCCATTTCGTATTTGCGTTTTATATGTCCCTGCTTCATATCGTCCTCAATATGATTTTCTCACCTCTCTCCTATCCTCCCCACATCTTCTCCCTTCCCTTCCTTCTTGCTTTCTTATGCTAGGAGATTTTAATTATTCCTCATATGCAAATGCCTCTCGTGCTGGCCTCGCACCACGTCTATGGCTGCATTTTGTCACTAACCACTTTGTAGACTGTGTCACTTTGTCTGACGCTCAACCTATGCCTACCTTTCATCGCGACCTTTCCTCTTCGACTATCAACTACATATATGCCTCCAAGGATATAGTGTCTTGTCACTCTTCGTCCACCATCACATTTGTTCAGCCCCTGTGGACCGATCATTGCCTTGTACGTACCTGTCTTAGTTTTCCTATGCTGTCTCACATTGGTCGAGGTTTGTGGCGTGCGAACCCTCGTTTGGCGAACATCCCTTCCTTCTGCCCCTCCCTGTCCAACTGTCTTTCATCCTTCATACCACTACTCTTGCCTTCAATTTCCCCCCAATCACAGTGGGATCTGATCAAAGTCAAAGTGGCTCGTTTCACACGTTCATATTCATGCATAACCCGCCCATCACTTGCCACTTTGGAGGTAAAGCTTCAGAGTAAACGTGACCATTTGATACATAGATTTTGCCATCAGCCTGCTCAGAACTTCCAGCTGCCCATCGTCGAGCATCAACTTCAGCAAGTTCAACAGGAACGCACCGAGATACTAGCACTCCGCGCCGGAAAACACTGGAGAGAACAAGGCGAAACTTCCGCTGGGTTTTTGAAATGCACAGTTGCTTTTTGCCAAGCTCGAACCACAATAACCAGCCTCCGCCACCCCTTCACCGACACCTTATGCACTGATCCCGATGATCTTATGGAAGCTGCTGCTGCATTTTATGAAGATCTTTACACACCCGACCCTCCTGCTCAGACAGCTATCGACAACCTCCTCCTTCACTTGCCACCAGACCTCTTTCTTTCCGAAACTACCTCCACAACCCTCCTTAAACCCTTCACCTTGGATGACATCCGAGACGGCGTCACTCGCACTCCTAATGCCAGTAGCCCTGGGCCAGATGGCCTGCCTTATGAGATTCTGCGATTAATTATGAATCATCCAATGTGTGCTGTCTTACTTGTTCAAATATTTAACAATGGGCTTGCCCTCAGTGTGTTCCCTTCGTCCTGGCAATCAACCTGCGTTTCTCTTCTTCCCAAGAAAGGTGACCTCACCTCCCTCTGCAACTGGTGCCCAATCGCTCTCATCAATACCAATGCCAAAGTGTTCACTCGCCTCATCAATCATTGCATGGTGCCTGCTGCTTCCTCCCTTGTTACGCCCTTCCAGACCGGGTTTGTCTAAGGACGCTTCATTGCTGACAATGGCATGCTGACCAAGTTAGTTATGGCACAGGCTATACAGGACGGTTCATCTGGTATAGGCCTTCTTTTGGATCAGGAGAAAGCTTACAACAGAGTCTATCCTGACTACCTTTGCCAGGTCTTGCAGCATTTCAACTTTCCCCCTTCCCTCATTACCTGTATATCTCAACTTTTCTTCTCTACACAGATTCGAATCAATGTCAATGGACACCTATCCCGATCATTCCTTCAGGCTCGTGGACTCTGGCAGTGTGATCCTCTTTCTCCTGTACTCTTTAACCTTGCATTCGAACCTTTGTTGCGTCGTGTGATTCATGATCCTTCCTTTGCCGGATTTTCTCCATCACCACGCACTGCTATTCCACCACCTCTGCCCACCAAGCTCTTGGCCTATGCCGACGATCTGCTAGTCTTTCTGCCTGATACCGCCCACTTGTCCCGTCTTCATCATCATCTTCTCACATACTCTCATGCCTCCAATGCTCGCATCAATCTCCATAAAACTGAAGCTTTCTCCCTGTCCGGTCTTCCACTGCCAGAATGGCACCCTGTCCTACAACAATTCGACATCACCGCCTGGTCTGACAGATCTTCCTCCACTCCCCTGCGATATCTCGGCTTTCCTCTTATCCAATCCTTACCTCAGCGCAATTCTTTCTGTGACAACATTCTTTCCAAGATTGAACCTACCTGTAATATCCACCACTCTTGCTCTCTCTCTATTCGTGGCCGTGCCACAGTGCTCAACTCTCTCATCCTCTCTCAGCTCTGGCACGTCCTCAGAGTTGTCACTGTACCTCTATCCTTTTTCCATCGACTTTGCTCAATCATGAGTAAGTTTATACAATACTGCTCCTTTCCTCCCATTTCTCTCGGCACTTTCTGCCAGCCTATTCGGCTCGGCGGTCTAGGGGTCCTTGACCCTCAGGTTCAACAAGCTGCTCTTCAGTTGCGCTGGCTCCGGCCTCTCATCCGCTCTCCGCTGTCCCCCTCTGGCCTGGTCCCGCCTTGGTTCTCTTATGTCCTCCGCCTCAACTCCTCATCTGCTGATCCACTTGTTCCTTTGATATTTCCATCTCTCCAATCCTCTCATCAGCGTGATTTCGACTCTCCTCTGGCCACCCTACTTGCTGCCATTGATCTTCTCCCTCACAACTTCTCTGACGTGGTAGTCAACCTCCCCACCTGTCTCTCTCTGCCTCTCTCCTATCTCACTACCGCACAACCAGACCACCCTCCCTTTCCATCTGCATGGCGCGATCTCCGGGTTTCCGACACCTATGAAGTAGATCCTAGTTTTGGCATGCTTGCCCAATGCCCCCTCCACCGCATACTCTGTCATCCTATTGTCCTTCACCGGTTCTTCGAACGTCTCTACACTTGCTCTCTTGTCTTGCACCCTGTCTTGTATTGTGCCACCATTCCCCCTGCAATCTGTGCCATACAGTTTCCTTTGCTAGATATGCCTTCTGGTACAGCTGTCGATGTGCGTCCTTTCTTGACGGCTCTTGTCCCCGGCATCCCTTGGCATCGTTTGTCCACCCAGTCTTTCCACCTACTCTGCAATTTCCACTCCAAATCTGCACGCCCCATAAGCCCCACACTCGTCCCTTGCCAGCTTCGTCGGTTTTGGTCCTTCCCCCTGCCGCATGGGGCCCGCAACGTTTGGTTTTGTGCCCTGCACAAGAACATTCCTTGCCGTTCTCACCTCAATTCTAGGATCCCTACCGCTTTTCCAGACCCATCCTGTGCCCTCTGCTCTCATCCTCTGGACAATCAAACTCATTTTTTGTTCCAGTGTCCGGTCAAACTGTCCGTATGGTTGTCAATCTGGACGTTGTACTTTGCCCAGACCGCGACACCCACTGTCTTGCTTTCTGGTTTGCAAACCTTCACATTCCCTCCTTGCACCGATTCTTCTCTTTCTGCTGCCTCAATTTTTGGCTGCACGCTGCTGGCTATATGGTGCCATCATTGGCTGTTCATATTTGATCACGTTCCTTTTGTCTCCTCCGCTACCTTTTCCACTGCTTCCTCTCTTCTCGACTGCCTCAAGAGCAAACTTGCTCTCGACTTTCCCCCCCCCCTTTAGCTTCCTTCCATACCTCCACAATATATATAACCACAAACATATAAATATAAAAACATTGTAAAAATATAAAAGCCAAAAACAAGCCGTGATTTTCCTCTTTTGCCTTGCAGCATAGAGGCTCACTAATAAACTAAGGCCTTTGGCTCCCTACAAAAAAAAACTAAATAGACCAGTTAAAGAAATAAAAAGAGAAACTAACACCAAGGTAAGAGTGTAAATAATTTGAATGATTAGAGAAATAATTAAACTAAAAGAAGTGATGTAAATAATACTAATTCTAAAGAGTTAACTATGAAAAAAAAATGTTTAATAGAGTAAAGGATTTAGCTAAAGGGAAATTTACTGTTGTGGTGGTTGAAGTTGAAGAAGTTTTTAAGAGGAAGAATTGAAGATTTGAGATTAGGAACGAAGATTTGTGAGAACTTGTATAGGTTTTGTTTATTGAGAAAGATTTGGTATCAAAGTTTGGTCTGGTTCCTACACTGAACTACTACTGCTATTTATATTATTTTGGATTGGGAAAATTATATGACTGGGGTCAGATAATCGATCCTATCTGAGCCTTAATCAGAGCAACGTGATCTTGGGATAATTAATGTATGATTAATTAATTATATAAATGTGTGCAGTCTCAATGAAGTATTAACATCGAAAGTAAATGTGTTTATGAGTTATAATTATGCTTATAATAATCCACTGATGTATCTCATATTATGGTGATATCATCATATGAAATATAATCACTATCATGCATGCTAAACCTGTGTGTTAAATAATAGAGTAATCAGTAGACACCTTTGACTGGAATAGCTGAGGCCTTATATTATTTCCTTCAGACTTATTCTCAATTATAGCAGTAGTCAATACTCATTTACAACATTTACTATGGTAAATTTACTAAGAGATAAATAAAAGAAGAAATCAGGACAAAATAATAAAATAAAAGGGGATGGTCAATCTTCCACAAAGACTTGACAGAAAAATAAAATAAAACGGAAGAAATTTCACAAGAGAAATCAGAGATAATAGGCAATATCTTGAAAAAAACTTGTATCAGAAAAATTTGACAGTTGTTTATTGATTGATTTTAGAGAGATATTTATATCATTTTATGGATAAAATATATGGCAAAAATAGGCTAAATAAAACTCAATGAGATAATCGTAAATAAAAATATAAAGAAAAATAACTATATAAATATTTTGTCATGAAAGAAGAAATAGATGAAGTTATAATATATAACTACAAGAAAAAGAAAATATTAAAAAGAAGTATATTATAAATAAAGAGAAAAACTATTCAGTTAACAATTTTGGTAAAGTAATGTTTGAGAGGAAATGTCACATTTAGTGCACAGGAATGAAATAAAAAGAAAAAGGAGAAAACAATTTTGGAAAAAATAAAAGGAAAAGATTTTAATTTTCAGAAAATCAGTTTTTGGAAAAGGGCGATTTTGTGAAAATGGAAGAAAGAAATTAAAATTAAAATTAAAATTTTGAAGAAAAATAAAAAGAGGTTTTCAAAAGAAAGTCTGAACTTGGTAAAATTTGTTTTTTGGATTAAGGCCAAGAAAATTATTACATTACTTGTCAAATATATGAAGCGCGGATGGTTAAGTGGTATAATCTTCGCCTGCCACGCGAAGGGCCCGGGTTCGATTCCCGGTCCGCGCATACATTTTTGCATATTGTTTTGATATTAAGTTTTAAAAAAGCGTTCGACCATATTTCTGAAAAAGAATTGTCATATCTTAGCTAGGTGTATATGTTCTATTATTTTGCCTTTTATAAGTTTTGTAATAAAACAGTACCAGCTTAAAAACCGGGAATAAATAGAAAGATGGGGTATTGGATGGTTTTTTATTTTACAAATCTTTACAAATTGATAATTTGCAGAAAACAGAAAAAGACTGAGATATCACTTTATCAAACTTTCACTGTATTAAAATGTTTATACGTCTTTAATATAAATACATACTGGTAGATAGCATTCAAAATAGCCTGTAGTAATAAAAAATATCTAAATTGGATAAAGCAAATATTTATCAATACCTTGTTAAAATTTATCACAGCTAATTTAAATAGAATAGCTAGACATCTTAACTACAGAAACAACATGCTAAGTACTATTTACATTTCAGTTGTATTTAATAAATACTTCTTAACTAAATTCAAGGTTTTTATCGACTATCTTTCTTATTTATTTAAACACAATTACTTTTATTTTATATCGTAATTGTCTATATCTCTTACAGGTATAAACCAGTAATATCCAAGTAAACTACACGTTTTTGCAATTTAGAATATACAAAGAGCAGTGTTTCTATTTTGTGTCTTATCTTTTGATCCAAAGTGGTCATCAATTAAAAGCTCTGGATTTCCCTTTGCAACAGTATATGATTATAACGGCTACTTAGAATGTAATACTATAATTATATTAGCTTTCAAGGCTATATTATAGAAATATTAAAGTTAGATGTGTGATTTCATCACCAGAAGTGATTTTCTTTAATTATATATTTTCGTCCTGTCACTGTCATTAAATTTACTCGTACCTTTCGAAATGCTTGTTTTGATAAAGCATATATTACCGACTTTACTTCTACCTTCTTCTCTCATATGCTTGCTCTCCTTGCCCCCTTCTCATCTGCTTTAATAAGTTTTTAATACGCGCATGGAGAAAAATAAGAATAAAACTCCCACTCAGCATTATAAATTATTATGATCCATGACCGAGTAGAGTCAAATAAAACCATCTTTTTTTTAAAAAAAAATTCGATTAAAGGGGTAGATAGAGGGAGATCATTATAAGACACATTCTACTGTAAATTTAGTGTCTTGCTTTTGTATATTATCTTTTTAATACAATCATAGTGCTCTTGGTAACTCCTTGTTAAAGGTCATAAAGATCCAATTGGTAATAATATATTAATTGCGTTAATTTAATTAATTCAGTTTGATAACCATTTCTTCAACTAATATTCCTCTTGAATAAACAGTTTGATCAGAGTTTATAAAGGTTAATTGTGCCAAAGAACCTTTCTTCTTATTTCTTCTCCTGTTTGATATATACCTTTTACCAAAGCAATATGCTTCCGACATGTCCCCTTCCCCTCTTTCGCTGCCTTCATATCGAAGCGAGTAAGGAACCAGCTTGACGCTAATTGGACTGCGAGAAACCTCCGTCACATTATGCTTTTTCTTTTTTTTCTTTTTTTCCTTTTTTCGTTTTTTTAAATTCTTGCAGGATTCTACTATTGATCGTTCATTATAAGAATCTAAATTCTTATAATTAATTAATTATGGCTCCAAGGCAATTCAATAAACGAGGATCGTCTCACATTAATGGTGCCGGAACTAAAGAAGGTGTTCCTGGATCCCGACTTCCCCAGCGAATGTTGCAAGAAGTAAAAGAACAAGGTTTGAATTCATAACAATAATGTTACCTTTTCTCTCTCTCTCTAATAAATATTCACTCGTGTACTTCTTTTCTATTATTATTTCTATTCATTTCTTCTTTTTCTTCCCATTATGATTTTTTTTTTAAAAAACAGATATCGATGACAGAAAATTCAAGACAAAGTATGTCAATGCTGCCGCCAATCGTAAAGATCTCAGAAAACAAAAACGACAGGAGAAAGGAAAGAGAAAGGCAGAACACTACCAGGCCGTTAAACAACAACAACATCAACATCAACAGCAGCAGAGTAAAGATGACGACCCACCCGCAAAACGACAAAAGACAGAACAGACAAAGCCGACCCAAAAAGTAAAAGCGACACCACAGCCTGTAAAGTCGATTTTGAAAAAGGCACCCAAGATTATCGACGAAAAGAAAGCACTCGAGAAGCTGTCAAAGACCAACCCTCAGCTGTACGCACTTTTGGATTCTGACAATCTTCTGGACAACGTCGACTCTTCAGATAAAAAGGGAGACTTTGCTGACGATGACCGTGATATTGCTTACTGGGAGAAGAAGTTGAAACTTGGAAAAAACAAGAGTCTGGGTAAAGCATTCCAGGATGATGGATTATTAGATATTCTCGGTGAAGGAGACGGAGAAGAAAACCAAGCATTTGAAGATGACGATAAAGAGTATCTTCGTCAAAAGAGAGCAAAGGCTAAACAGGCTCAAAAAATCAGCAAGCTGGAAGAGGAGGCAGAGGAGGTAATTGTGAATTGTATTTATATGTATAGGCAATGTCAGATAAAAAATATCTAAACGAACTATTCTTTTTTAATAATTTAGGCTATGGATGACATGTTTGCTGATCTTGATAGAAGTGATACTGAAGAAGACGACGATGAAGACGACGACGAAGAGAATTCGGAGGAAGGTTCTGATGAAGATTTGGTCATGGATAGCGACATTGAAGGGTTTGAATCTGACGACGACGACGGTGAAAAAGATGACGAAGATGAAGATGAAGACGAAAACGAAAACGAAGACGAAGAAGACCAAAAGGTATTGTCTAATTCTTACACAAACTATATATGAAAAGGTTAAAATAAGGGGAGCTAATTTGATAAGAATATACATATACAAATTGTTAGATATCTAGCGATGAAGAAGAATTAGAAGACAAAAAAGAGGTTTCGGAAACATCTGCTAAATCTGCAGCAACAAAATACATCCCGCCTCATTTGCGAAAGGCAGCAAACACTAAATCCGAACAACAAATAAGACTCCACAGACTTTTGCAAGGTCTTTTCAACAAATTGAGTGAAAGTAACTTGGAAAGCATTCTGGCAGAGATCGAGAAAACATACAGCAACTATCCTCGTAACGGTACGTAGATAAAATAAAAGTAGTTTCTATTGATTTCTTTTAGAAAAATGAGCGACTAATTAAATGAAAACATATCAACTAATACTCCCAAACTGTTTTTATATCTATATCTGCTTTACAGATGTCACATCTACAATCACTGAGATCATCTTGACTTCCATTGCACAGAAAGGCAACCTGTTAGACTCTTTTGTGATCATTTATGCTACAATTGTAGGAAGTTTGTACCGATTGATTGGTGTTGATTTTGGTAAGTATACTATGCAATTATTCTTACTGCCAAACAAAATAATAAGTAAATCATAAGACAATTAACTAACTCACCAATATTTTCTTTCTTTCTTTTTATTGATTTATTTAACTAATTAACTAGCCGCTCATTTTGTTCAGACATTGATCGAGGCATTTGAGAAGAATTACAACACTTGTCGCCAGGCTATTGCTAATAACGAAGATGGTGGCGATGAGGGACCGGAAGGATCAAAAGAGTCAAAGAACTTGTTGACACTCACAATTGAACTGTACAACTTCCAAGTGATTTCAAGTGTATTGATCTTTGATTTAGTCCGACTTTTTATCTCACAGCTGGACGAACAAAGTGTTGAGCATCTTTTGAAGATTATTAAAGGTAAGCTGGTACAGAATATCTATAGCTGATCAATTGATCAATTGATACTATTATTTAACAAAAAACAACAACAACAACAATTATATGAATAGTCTGTGGACCACAGATGCGTGCAGATGATCCTGCAGCATTGAAGGATATCATTGATGAGATTCAAAAGGAAACAGCAAAGCGTGATGCAAAGACTTTATCGTAGGTTACAAAAGATATCTCCATTACACAGATAATGGGGAAAAAAGGGGAAAGAGACAGTGGTTAATTTGGGTTGGTTTTGATTATTTAACTTCATTTTTTAAATAGTACTCGCCATAAATTCATGCTGGAGACAATTGCCAACGTGAAAAACAATAAGATCAGAGGAGGAGCCACTGCGGCAGGCCAGGGAGACAAAGATCTTGTTCAAAAGATGAAGAAATACCTGAATGGAATCGGCAAGAAGCGAACCATCCGAAGCTCAGAACCTTTGCGTGTAAGCTTGGAGGATATTCATCAAATTGAAACCAAAGGTTAGTTATATAAATTTCTTGTCATATGCTTATAGGGGGGGTTAGCTATCTTAATAAATAAATAAAAATAAATGAATTAAAATAAAGTTTGTGCATGTCTGCAGGAAAATGGTGGCTGGTCGGTGCTTCATGGAAGGACAACCTGGTTGGAACCGAAAGCAAATATGCTTCAACCAAAGTTCCCGAAGACTTGAAGAAAGATCAAACTTTACAAGAAACTCTGTTGAAGCTTGCAAGAAAACAAGGAATGAACACCGATGTTCGTAGAAGCATCTTCATTACAATCATGGGAGCAGAGGTAAGAATAAATATAAATAGTGATATTTTCGGTTTCTCCTCTTTAGGGAAGTCTTACTAAGACCTTTATATTAGGATTATCTTGATGCCTTTGAGAATCTTCTCAAATTGTCTTTATCAGAAGTACAACAGCGTGAGATTGCAAGAGTACTGTTGCAGTGTACTGGTAACGTAAGTGGCATTCTAAATAGAACATAAAAATAATAATTTACACATAATTTTAATATCTTGTTTTCCCCTTGTTTTTTTTTCTACATAATCTTTAGGAAAAATCGTTTAATCCTTTTTACATGCTTGTGAGTAAGCGTCTGTGCGAATACAACCATTCGTACCGCGTAACCTTCCAATACTGCCTATGGGACTTTTTGAGAGACCTGGGCGAGTCTGGAGTGGGAGGTCTGGATAGAGCAGCATCAGAAACACCAACAGTAACAGACGGAAAGAGCGTCCGCCTCAGCAGAGTTGTTAATGTGGCCAAGTTTTATGCGTATTTGATTGCAAACAACTCTTTGTCGCTGGTGATTCTCAAGAGCGTGAACTTTATGACGCTTGGTCACAAAGCACGTATCTTTTTGGAGACCCTGTTTGCTAATATCTTCTTGCAATGCAAAGAAGGTGGTGCTCAGGCCGTGGCAAATGTATTTGGAAAGATTCACGAAATGCGCACTCTGGCACAAGGTTGTATTTTCTTCATACAAGAAAGTGTCATTTCAGGAAAGAACTCTGCTCTCACGGCAGAAGAAATGGAGACTGTGCGGTGGGGAGCAAAGATTGCCCGCGAAGTTCTCAACAAATAAAACACACCACATCATAACATTACATTACACTACACTACACTACACTACACAACACAACACGGCACAATACAATACAATAAAATATAGACATATCTCTGTGTACACCATGTAAACTAAAACACAAAAATAAAATGTAAATCATATACAGGCGTGGTATTTGTATACAGGGAGTAAGCACTGAATGGCAAATGATTGTTTATATGCTTCTCTTTGAAGCTTCCGATAGAGTACATTAAAATAACAAATTCTCAAATAACACTCATAAACCATTACATTAAATGTTTGATTCAGTATAATACCAATATAATTCCACAAGTGGGGTCATTGGATTTATCTTATTTTAAGCTTTTGATTATAATTGAAATTCTAGTAAATGGATAGCAATGTAAGAATATCTTTTTTGAATTCAATTAAAAATAAAAGTAAAGAAGAATAAGAGATAGAGAAAATGAATGTCTCTACAATTTCGATGGTCTTTATTGAATAAATTCTTGTATATATGTATATATGTTTGCTTGTTTGTTTGTGTAGAAGTCTGATCAAATTTTGTGCAAACATATACAAGACTGGTCCAAAAGGAAGGGTAGAAAAAATTAAGCAAAAAGAAGGAAGGAAATAAAGAAAGAGAGAATGAGACAAAATCAAAATCAAAATCAAAAATTAAAACGTTTGATATCACTTATTTAAACCACTTATATATGGTTCTATCAAGTATAGCCAACAGACAAATCATTCAAGGCAACGCATACTGCTGCTTTGGTGTGTCCATTGTACTGGCGGATTGTTTCTCCTTGGGAAAGCTCCCAAAGTCTAGCTACATGATCAGAGGATGCTGTTTAATATATCCATACAAGATATAAAGAAAGAAAAAACATCAAAAGGTTTGGTTAATAATCAATTGATGTGTATACGAGCAAAGATGATCAGACTCATTGTTCGATAGATATATTATTTACCTGTCACTAGATAAGCCGAGTCAGCAGAAAAGGCACAATCCCATACCCACCGCTGATGGCCAGTCAATGTCATCTCCAATTTGAACCCTTCTTCAGTATTCCACAACTTTACTGTCTTGTCGGCCGAGCAAGTAGCCAATAATCTATTGTTTGATTCGGTTTAGCTACTGTAAATTTCAACCACAAAACCTGGACTTCTGGTTGCTTTCTTGTTTTCACTCTCACTCTTTTTTTTTAGGAGAACTTACTTTGTATCAGGGCTCAGAACACAGCGTAAGATATAATCTGAATGGGCTGACCATTTGTGAAGAGGTTCAATGTCGCAAGGTTCAGATGTCATGTCAGACATTTTCCAGACATAACAGTTTCCCTTGTTGTTAACTGCAACCAGCATTGATCCATCTGACGCCACACTCACGGATCGCATTGGTACACCTTCTTCAGGAACCTTTATTTAATGTATATTTAAATCATTGATAATCGACAATTATTAACCAACAACCAAAAAAAATACATACACACATATACACATATTATCATCCATTCATCCTACCACTCCAACCCCACCCTCCCCTCCTTCCTATTTTTTTTTGTCTTGTGTGAATGTAAATATATTACTTTTATTACTTTTTTTTTTGGTTTATTATTATGATTATTACGATTCTTCTTATAATTACTCTTACTAGTCTTAGTCCTATTCTTATTCTTATTTTGTTTTATTACCAGTTCATGAGTACAGGCATGTGCTGTAAGATCCCAGATCTTGACACTTCCATTCTGATCGCAAGTAATCAGTTCACCTTGATTTGCGTGCATAACGGCATCATTGATAGGAGCTCCGTTGTCAAAGTTGCGTGTCAAGACAGGAGTTCGTCCTGCTCTAGTATCCCAAATCTTCAAGTGTCCGTCTTCACTAGCTGTGTACATCCATCTTCCTTCTCCATGGAATCCTGTTGCAGTAACATTGCCAGTGTGTTCTCCAAACGTAACAAACTAAACAACAAAAACACACACACACATATATATATAACCAAAAACCAAAAAATGAACACACAAAAAGTAGGTACTTACAGGATTTCCATTTGTGCTATTGATATCGTACAGTTTCACACTATGATTTGCTTGTAGTCATTTTGGTTTTTAAATTTATATATAATATATATATATATATATTGTCTCTTTGGTAACCATTCTTACCAGAAGCTGCAAGGACAGTCTTGTCTGGAGAAATACAGAGTCGGTTTACTTGCTTTTATACAAATAGACAAGTATTTCATTGTTCGTTTTATGAAAAGAGGTCCAAAGATAAATAAAACACAATAGAAAATATAAGCAGAAATTCATATTTAGTGATTGATTGGTATGATGTTTGGAACGGATGGCAAAACAAAGTAAAATAAAAGTCCATCCTTACCGAGTCAGCATGTTGGATAGTGCGTGAACAGATTCCACTCAGCGCTTCCCAGAAACGAATAGTATTATCATATCCTGCAGTGACAAGAATGACCGAGTGAGCGTCATTGTGAAGCGATTGGGAGTATTGTTGCATCTGTGCATAATGTTGTTCAGAGGGTGCTGGTTGTACTTCAGACATGTTAAAGGATCCACTAAGCTTATTATTATTATTATTATTATTATTATTCAATATGTGTGTATGTATGTATTATATATATGTGTGTGTATTTCTTGTCGCTTTTTTTTCTTTAGTGTGTGTGTGTGTGGTAGGATAAAAATGGATTTTGTCTTTTTTTTTTTGAGCTCGGCCAGATTACAAAGTCCGAAACCGACTCTCTTTTTTTTTTTTTCTTTCTCCCTCCACCCCCCCTCCCCTTCCCCTTCCCCTTCCCTCCCTCACTGGTGTGACGGGTTTTTTTCTTGGCTGTGTTTTTTTATTTGATTTGATTTTTTTCATAGACTTTCAACAAAGCAAAAGTCTGACTTGCTCACCACATTCTTCATGAACGCCCTCAAGACAGCCACCGCACGGTTGGTAGCACGCCCCAGCATTTTCCGTGCTCCAATTGTTGCCACCAAACGTAAATAGAATGCACAATATCTTTTACTTATTTTATTTTTGAAATATAAGTTTATACCACAATAAAGCAAAGAGAATGCCAAAAAAATTAAAAAATAAAGAAGACTCACAACGTTACAAAAACCAATTCCATGCATCTCATCAACATTATATATTCTTTTTAATTTTCTAAAAAAACAAACAAAAAAATATAAAGTGAACTTCTCTACATGTACTCCTGCTCGTAACACTGCCGCATTGAATGCAAAGCCCAAGAATGTTATGGAGTTTGTCGATTCTCAGTTGATTTCACAGGCCAATGCTGACGGACGTCAGGAATTGTTTGCTCGCAAGAACCCCCAAGGCGTCAAGCCAGGTTCTATTCTTTTGGTCGAGACTCTCAACTCTACAGCTGACAAGTCCACATCGACCTTTATGGGTGTCTGTATTGCCATCCGCCGCAAGGGAATCGATTCGTCCTTTACACTTCGCAACATTGTCATGCGTGTCGGTGTCGAGCAGCGCTTCTCTCTCTATTCTCCTCTTGTCAAGAGCATCAGAATCCTGCAGAAGCCCACCGACCTCAAGTTCAGACGTGCCAAGTTGTTTTATCTCCGTGACCAACCCGGAAAGGCCTTCCAGCCCCTTCAGGGTCTCTGGAAACAGGAACAACTTGACAAGGCAGCAGCTGTCGCCAAAAAGTAAAAAAAAAAAAGTAAAAGAAAAAAAATTGAAAATTAGAAAGAAAGAATCCCAAAAAAAAATGAAAAATCAAATTATTTTGTAATTCATTTTTTCTTCGTCTTTTTTTAACTTGTCGTTGTTGCTTAGATAATTAGACAATTCATGAAAAAGAGAAAACGAGAGGACAAGAGAGTAAGAAAAGAGAGAGAGAGAGAGAGTAAGAAGAGAAGAAGAATAAAAGAGGATATATGCATATACATTATAGATAATTGTAAAATAAGGATGGTTTAGATAGGCAAAAACCAACTGATGTTCTGCCTGGTTTTATTGTACAATAATATTCATTCATTTTGCTGCTTTTATTGTATCATATTCACACACACACACACACATATATATATATATACTTGTGAGTGAGTGAGTGAGTGAGTGAGTAAATGAAGGAGAGAAAGATAAATAGCACGGGAATTCTGTTGGCCGCCAATATTGTTATTAGATGGGTAAACGAGGGTAAAAGTGAGCAATTGCCAAACCAACACCTCCACGGATTGTGAGGGAAGATGTTTCGGGAAGGCTGTTGCGGAGTCTGGTATAGGCACGCATTTCCTTGTCGGCCCAGTCGTCATAGACACAGCTCACAAGAGGCTCAAGTAGGGTTGCTACAGGATACTCAATGGTCCAGCGAATGGGTTGACCCAGAGTGTTGATATAGGACACAATTGATCCAATAGACTCTGGTTCAGTCTTGCCGTCTTTGGACAACACAGGAAGGTTACCAACCCATGCACGTACAGGGCTCTCAGAGGATGTGAATTGCAACTGACACAGCAGACTGTTCTGGGCTACGGTTGTGATGTTCGATCGGCAGGTCTTTGGGCCACAGAGAGTATCGACCTGTGTGTCAACTTCGTTAGGCTGAGACGCGTGTAAGGGAACCAGGCTGGACTGGTAACTGCAGCGTGTCTGATAAGCATTAAATGGCCCGCATGTCAAGGAGTCTGCCTCGTTGGGCAACAGGACTTCTTCCAAAGTTTTTTTGATAGACGTCGTACCCGTGACTAGATTTACGGTCGACAGTGAGCTTGTTGCGTTGTATTCTTGAGTAAAGACGATACGGTTGGGTGAAAGTTCGCTATTGAAAGGCTTGGACAGTAATGTGATACTAAAGTAAACCACAAAAAGGAACCAGATGGTTCTTGAGACTGTCGAATGTGATCCGGCTACCTGAACCCAGGGTAAAAGCTGGATGATGATCAAACCGAGGGGTAGGCAGATCAATTGATAAATCGCAGTTTCGGGTGTGCCGTCAGCTGTCGTGTGGCGCATAGAGTCGATGCTGAGGTAAAACAGCTCGCACATCAGAATGGTGGGCACAAGTACTTGGACAATGTAGACAGTGGGAGGGCGGATGTGGCGGTCGCGGGGTAAAGTGTGGTAGAGGATAGTGGCCAGGGTGCTGCTGATCAAGAAATAGACAGCAAAGTATGCACCAGCGAATCCCTGCGAAGTCAAGTGTGCGGCGAAGACCACAAATGCCCACCAGAAAAGCGTCAGTCCGTGCATCTGAGCATCGAAGCGATCAATGGATGACAGCCAATCGGTCTTCTTAGACAGATACGCACACAGAGTACGGGTTGCCAATAAAGCAGCTACAGCCACAGTTATGATATATAAGACTACATCGAGAGTGGAACCATATGTAACCTAACAAGGAAAACAGAAGGGCGTGTTTTGTAAACAGACAAGTCAAATTAGTGTAATTCGATCGAGCAATTACTCAAACACATATACACACATATACATGCACTATACTTCTAAGATGCCTTGGGATTTGCCTGCCTTTTCCGTTTTTGTTTATTTCCGCCATACTTACCAAAGGATTAAAGTAGAGCGTAAAAGCGGATCCAGCGACCACAAAGAGAGCAATCAGAGCAGCAGCGATCAAAGTGGCCACGAGCCCTTGAAGTGCGATGTGAATTCTTTTCAAGAATGCGCGACTCTTGTTTCTGAAGCCGTCCACCGACCGCAGACTGACGATATTCCACACCAGGGCAATCAGGGGGACCAAGACAAGGGCAACAATGTTGATGATCTGGCATGTTTCGAAGCTATAGACAATCATAAACCGGCCAAATACGTCAAAGAATACCATGTTCTCGCTCGTAGGAGATCCCAACAGATGTTCATCGGACTCATCAATACCACGTACGGCCCCGAGAGCCATTTGGCCCATGTGTTGGAGTGCATTTGGGGTAGTGTGGACCAAGTCATCGCGAGAGGTGTGGTAGAATGCTCGGGGAGTGTAGAATGCAATGTCAAGACCTGGAACACCATTGGCAGTAAAAGTGCTATAATCAGTATCACTAACAAAAAAAAAGAAGAAGTTATACATATAGCATAGAATATTCTTGTGATTTTTTTTAGCTTACCTCTTGAGTAAACCGGCAGTCAACAAGTCATTTCCAAGGGTAGATCCATGTACATAGTGTGCACTTGGGGAGGATGCAAGTGCATGGACAGCCTTGAGGTTGTTTCCTCGGAACAATAGAGCACGTCCTCCTGCACCAGTACCCTCTAAAGTTTCGTAAGTCAACAAAATTAAAATTAGTGATCGCCCAACCGAAATAAAGCTATTGATATTTATGTATCCTGGAGTTGATGTTCTTTACCAAGGTTGACAAATAGCTTGATTGTAGACCACCAAGGATGACGAATAAACTGCTCGGCGCCAATAAGACCGGCTTCTTCAAAGTTGTTGAACAAGAAGACAAGAGTGTTGTGTGGTGGATGTTTGATAAAGTACCGAGCCAACTCAATAGCCACAGCCACACCCATACCGTTGTCAGTAACACCATGACTGGTAGATACGCTGTCTTTACAAATAAGAATAAGAAAAATGTATATATATATATATATATATGTGTGTGTGTTAATGTCGTCATATCTTACCATAATGAGCATTAATCAACAAGGCTTCGTCAGTGTTATTTGACTGCCCAACAATTCTGAGCATAACATTTCGAGACTCCACAGACCAATATTCATCTAGAGTACAAGCAATCCATCAATCAATCAATCAAGCAAGCAAGCACTTTGAATATTATATAGATATATAATATTTCTTTCTTTCTTTCCTATTCCTATTCTTATTGTTAACTTACTTGGACCAAATTTGTTCTTGTTGAATACAAGAGGAGTGGTGTCGTTTGCAATGACATCAACCTGTAAACCTTTTGCGACACCCTTAGCCTGGAAATCATAAGCTAGTTCGACAAGCCAGTCTTTGATAACAGCGTTTCCACGCTGGTTTGCAGAGTGCGGCATATTAAACTTGCTGAGATATTCATTATAGCTGTGGAGCCCAGAAAATACATCCAGAGAGGCGCGTGCATCGGTGTCGGATTGGGGGACAGGTAATACGCTGCGTATGGAGAGCACCCAGAGCGAGATAAAGAATAAGAAGCCAAAGGTGAAAGCGTAGGTCTGGACTGTTTTGTTTTTGTGCAGAGGTTCTTCTCCTTCGACCTGTGTAGAGTGTCTTGGAAGAAGAGGAGTGCGCTCTGTTAATGTCGCGTCAATTGCATCAGTGGCTGGAGGAGCCATTCGCAACAGAAAAAAAAAATTAAAGTAAAGTAAAGTAAAGTAAAGAGAGAAAAAGAGAGAAAATATTATCTGTTCTCACACACTAGTGCATTGAGCAAATTAAAATATGTATATATATATAAGAAGGAGAATTATTAGATTAATAGTAGTATTCTGTGTGTGTGTGTTACTTGGACGGTTTGATTTGTATAAAAGATACAATAATCCCATCTATACATTTACCCATATAAAAGTATATATATATATATTTAATATAAGATAATAATCCTAGAAGTTTATCCAAGATGAGCCGAAATGTACATCAAAGTTCAAAGTAACCCTATTTGAGGTGCCTTATTGTGGGGTAATGTATTTATTGTAAAATGAAAAGAAAGAAATCAATGAATTGATAGATTTGGACAAATAAGCTTTACTCTTTTATCATCTTGTAAAATAACATTATATTCTATAGACACACAAAAGCACCCAAAGGGAAGTTTTTCTTGTATATCAAGGTAAAACAACCACAGACCATTACAGTCTATTTAGTACACTGTATCTCTATAAACATACATCTTTGATAAAAAAAGGAAAATATAAGAAGGACATGAAAGAAAGAACCATATGTAGCAAAGATGTAGTTGTCAACAGAAAGGATTGTGACGAATCAACACGTGCAGGATTGAAATCCTTTTTTTTATTTAATTATTTTATTTTATTTTATTTTTTCTTGCTTTGCATTGTTCTTCTTCTTTTCTGTATTGAAAATCACACCAGCTTTCAAGGCACACAGACAGACAGACAGACATATATATATATAAAGAAAAAGGATGCTCTCTACAGAAGGACCACTCTACTATATCATCATAACCCTCGTACTTCTCAAAGCCATTACCCGGGTAGCCTCCCACTTGTACAGATGTGCTACGGTCAGCGACTGTAACTCCAAAGACACAATCGATCCAAAAGTCAATCGACCGTACTATGACACGACTACTATTGAACCGAGTTATCACAGTTACTTTTAAAAAAGAAAAGAAAAAGGTCTTGTCCTTTTTATATACAATATCATACATGAGTAATACTGTTTGACATGTACATAGCTTAGAGAAAAAAACTATATATCTGTATAATACTTTGTATCGATATTGTTTTAGGGCAATCATTAAAGCCAAGTGATTGTTATTAATAGTAGAGTCATGCAAGGTATTCCTATAGACCAAGGGGATTTTATGTTATAATATAATATAATATAATATACTATAATAATCTCGGCTTATCTCACATACAAAGGGTTATTGTTGTTATTAAAAAAACAGGTTTCAAAATATATATATAAAGACGAAATCTTTCACATGAAACACAGTACCTTTAAATTTCATTTTAAACCAAAAAGGACAAAGCAAGAAGAAGAAGAAGAAGAAGAACAAGAAGGGCAAGGGCAATTATATATTTATATTTGGTTTCTTCAATCTTCTTATTGGATCAGTAAAATACAACAAAAAAAGAATTTTTCCTCTTTATGTTTGTATTCCAAAGCAAATAACAAATAATTGAGAGGCAACATATAATGAGAGTGAATTGTCACATAAGTATATAGAAGAGAGATAAAATCAAACACTATCTTTCTCGACATTCTGCATTTGATTGGTAGTCTCCAGCAAAGTACTCTTTTTCATGATCCAGTAGGAATCTATATATTTCATTTTTTGTTAAATAAATCAAGGAAAAGTACTATGAATTCAAATCATTCATAATATACACTTCATATATTTACCTCAACAGATCTGTAAAAGAATTTCTTAATTGTGATAATGTATCAGTATCAACATTTGATTGACTTGCCAGGGATGGTATCTCGACTACGATACAATTAGTATATCAAAAAGAAAAAAGAAAAAAGGTTAAATCTTACCAAATAATCGCAAAAGATGTTCTGCTCCATAAATGTCACAAAAGTTCCTGTCTGGGTAGGATTTGCGTACTTCTTCATACTGCTTTTTCTCAAGTCGATAGAGAAGAGAAGATCCAAGGGTCTTGCTGAAGTAGAGTCTGATGCCCTGAATGAATTCATTCAAAGTCTCATCATCTCTAATAAAACAGCAGTCAATATGCATACATACATACATACATATGATATAGTATGCATGGATTTAGGCATTGAGAAATAATTATAATTAATTTAATTAACATTTAATTAAAATTTAATTAAATAAATAGAAATTCATACATTATACGTCTTCCTCTTGCGTCTTGTCTATAATACTCAAGTATCTGATTTACAGAAGGTTCTCGTGGAAGATGAACAAGCTTAATATATATAGATATAGATATGTATGTATTTTTGTATACACAATACACCAAAAGAAAAGAAATAGATTTTTTAGATTAACCAAGTCTTTTATTAAACAATCTTTTATTTATCCATTTTACATATTTACATGATTATCTCTATACATACATTGCACACTACCCTAAATTATACACTATATATATATATATATACACTATGTATACCGTATATACCATATACACCATATATACCGTATCCACATTATATACCATATAAACATTATACACCATATACACCATATACACAATATACAAGTATATTGTTTTTATTTACCTGTTTATTCTTTGTCACATTCTCCCAATCATCGACAAGTAGTCCTTTGAGAATTTCAGGTATAGGTAGTTTGAATTCAGGTCGCTTAATATCATCTTCTGTTCGCGTTTTATCCATACTCGAATCTCGATTCCGTTTTCGCCGAGACTCTGTTGTGTCATTTAAATGATTTGATGTTGACGTGCTTGCTGAGGCTCGTGATGGTTTTCGTTTTAGATGAGTTTCTTTTAGTTGCTGTTGTTTCTGAAGGTTGGCGTCACTGTACTTTAAGACACGTTCTTCAGGAACCCATTCATCCCATCTGTCCAATTACCAATTATCAATTACCAATTAAAATTTAAAAAACTAAAAAAATTTAAAAAATTAAAAAGTAGTATATAGAATAATAATAATAATATGATTTGATTGTTGATTTTCAGAACTGGGTAGCTTACGTTTGTTTCCAGCCTTTGTAATGTACCAAGTAATGAGAGCCTTCAGGTTCTTCGGGATCATCTCTTTTTTCGCGTTTAATGATCTAAATGGGATTGTATTATGAGAAAATAGAATGTAAAAAAAATAAATAATATATGTTGAATGATGTAGATGTGATGTTATGAACATTGTATATAAAATGACTTGGGTTATTTATTGACCTTTGCTTCATATATAAGAGGTCCATGAAAGCAAAGAACACGTTCGTCTTTATCGAACCGAAACTTCTTTTCGTCCTTTGCCATTGTAGATAATAAAGTAATAAAAATTCAAGCCTTGTATTTTTGTATAACTCAAAATGCCGAGGACGTGGGGATTGAAATTGCAGCTGAAATTGAAATCGATAAAAATAGAAGAAAAAGAAAAAAATAGAGAGAGAGGAAATAAATAGTCACGCATGACGTGTCGTACAAAGTCAGTGGGTTGGTGGAGGGCAAAAAAAAAAAGGGTAAAATTACTTGTTGAGCAAAAAATAATAATATAAAATAATAATATTAAATATAGGCTTTTGCCCATTTCCTTCTTCTCAGTCTGGTTGGGATTTCCCTTTTTCAAAAAAAAAAAAAAAAAAGATAAAAAAAAGCAAAACTTCCCGTCGGGACGATCTCTCTTTCTCTCTTTATTTTTTGATTTATTTACTTTTTTTTATATATATAAAAAAAGAAGATAAAGGTGGCGATTGGGTTGTGTGGTGACTGTTGATTGTACAATAGATTAAAAAAAAATCTAAAAAATTTAAAAGAAAAAGAAGGACAAAAAGGACAAAAAGGAAAACACTGTACTTCGGATATGGCAATTTTCTCTTTGTTTTAATTTGTTTTAATTGTCATGGTAACAAATAAACAAGAATCTTGTATACAAATACACATTATTCTAATCGATTAACCTATTAATAAGCATATCATATCATGAAGAATTAAATAATAATAATAATAATAATAATATTATTATTAGGCATGACTTAATCATCCATCTATCTCTCTATTTCTATTTATCTGTGCATATTATACATATACACACACACACATATATATATATATGTGTGTGTGTGTGTGCGCACAAATAGGAGCTACCAGTTATTTGGGTCCAATGGCAATAAAGAGCTATATAAATAAATATATACTGTCTTTCAAGCCAATGTAATGTTTAATACAATACTGGCTGTTTTACATTAAATATACTGTTATCTGTATGGAGTATAATAGCTGGCTACCAAATAAGAACACACACACATATACTTCTTTAATTGCTACTACCTTGTATAGTTCTTCATTATTTTAATTCATTAAAGGAGTTTCTGAAGCAACATCCAAAGTCCCAAATGCTGGTGAGAGCTTCCAAAATTAGTAACCTCTGCCGAAGTTTTGGCGAATTGCCAACCAAAAAAAAAAAACCCCCCGCTAAACCAAGAAACTATTCTCAATCCGAATATGGAAATCCTCACCAACATTTAGAACTTTGGCGAGTGCTTCAGAAGCCCCTTTTATGAATTTTCTTTTTTTTTTCTTTAAAGAAAAGGGTAGAGGATGAGGATGCAGACTACTGTATTTTGGTGTAGCGCATATCATAATTATTTATTATTTTATTTAAGATTTTAGGATTTTTAAGGATTTTGGATTTAACTACACAAAACGGAGAAACGTCATGATTTGCAAATACACCAAAAAAAATAAATTGTATATATATTTGGGGGAGGAACGTTATGGACATTTTGGCAGGATGCTGATATGACATGCTGATGAGACCAAATTGAATAATTATACCTGACGTCACTCAAAATCACTATCTTTTTTCTTCTTCTTTTCTTTGAGGGTCATACTTTTATTTGTTAAATATTTCAAAAGAATCAAAAAAAATCATACGGGGCCGACACTTTTTGTGGGACACGACGTTTCTATCTTGGATTAGTTAATCCTGACCATTTCTCTAGTCCTTCAGGGTAAAACGATGTGTCCTGATACCCATACAATATATCTACTCAGTAGCCCTTAAAGTTAGACTTGCCAATAAAGAAATCATAAATAATCATACACTATATCATTAGCCAGTTATGCAGAGGATTATAAAGAGTTGTTGTCATTAAAGTGTGACGCAATATTGTTCAATGCTCTGCAATTTATTATCCTTCTTACGCGTATCATCTCTTTGTCTTTCTTTCACCTACTTATATTACCAGAAAATAACCCAAGCTTTGTCATTGAAAAAGAAAAGCCAGAACCAGTATAAAGGCACCAACTAAAGTTACAAAATAGTCGAGCCAGAGACAAAGGCTGAAGAACTCATTCTCCTTAAGAAAGTCAAGAAAGATAAAATGTACTTTTTTTCCTCCAAATATATAGAGCCATCATCCAAAGGTCATGACAGAATGGGTATAGCTTGTGCTCCGGAGAAGCAAAATGTCGGCTCCCTAAGATTAGAATCCGTCTTGTTTTTTTTTGAAACATTTAACAAGTATCAAGGTCTGACTCCCCCAATTTTATTTATTTATTTAATTTGGTACTCATCAGAATGTCCTACCAGCATGTCCGTAAGATTTCTCCCCCCCCTTTTTTTTTTTGTTTTTTTTTTTTCATCATCTATACATTCCGTCTTCTGAGCCCGATTCTTATCTTTACTCCGATCGCTCTTTTCTTTTTTTTTTTTTCAAGGTTCGATTTATATTGCTCGGTTTCTCTTTATCCTCTTTCTTTCTGCTTGGAAAAATTGAAATAAAAAAATGTCTTATTCTGCCGTATCGTCGATGTCTAGCGCAACACCCACTGTGGAGCCACTCTCTCACCTCCAGACACATCAAACAGCCAAGAAACCAGCAGAATTGGCCACCAAGCACAACACACGTCTCCTCAACACCGATAGTCTGAGCAGAGAATACAAGAGTGCCAACAAACGGCTATTGATGTTTGACTATGATGTAAGTAGCAACAGAGTATCTGGTATACTCTACACAACACATCGTCTAACGGCTCCAATTCCAGGGCACTCTCACTCCAATCGTCAAGAACCCTGCCGATGCACAGCCAACCCAGAACCTCTTGCGTTACCTGGCCGCACTCTGCAGAGACCCATCAAACACCGTCTGGATCATTTCTGGCCGCGACCAGGAATTCTTGCAGACCCATCTAGGCCACATTGAACGGCTCGGTCTTAGTGCCGAACACGGCTCTTTCATGAAATTGGCAGGTACCCACGAATGGATCGATATGCTCCAGAACGCAGACATGAGCTGGAAAAGCACGTGCCTAAAGATATTCGAAAACTATACCGCACAAACTCCTGGTACAGTTATTGAGCAGAAGAAATCATCGATCACGTGGCATTACCGCAATGCATTGGATCAAGACGAAGCGTAAGTAAAGCTTTATATTATATAGTCATCCTTATCTTTTTGTTAACTCTTTTGTATAGTTATCGTCAATCGCTGCTATGTTATGAAGAATTGAAAAAGATCGGAGGTGTGGACATCTTGGTTGGTAAGATGAACTTGGAGGTGCGGTCTCTGTTGGTCAACAAGGGAGAGGTTGTCAAGAGAATACAGACCCAAGAAGGACCAGCCGATTTCATTCTGTGTGCTGGTGATGACCAGACAGACGAAGACATGTTTCGTGCCCTGTGTGACGACAAGCGCGCTTTCTGTGTCCTGGTCGGGCCCCCTAACAGAGAGACTTTGGCCGGATGGTGTGTGGAGAGCAGTGAGCAGGTTGTTTCACTATTGGGATCAATGGTTCCTCAAGTCACAAATGGCAGCAATAGCTCTCTGTAAATTCCTTTTATTTTTAATTTTCTTTAATTTTCTTAAAAAAAAAACAAAAAACAATCATTACCACAAACTATTACAACTATTACTGTCATAACAACCGCCACCGCCATCATTACCACCGCCATCATCGTAATCTCTAATCAATAAATATAATAAGGTGTTTCAGTATAAAATGTTTAGATTTCATTTCTTTTTTTTTTTTTAATATACAAAAAAATGATTGGCTCTCACTAATCTTAAATGTAGATAATTTCAATCTATAAAACATCTAAGCTTGTTGCTTGGGTTGTTTATAGAATACGAATTTAGATTCTCCAGTTTCGTCTATGAATATTTCTTAAGAAAAAAAATACAAGAGCTTTCTACAGTCTTTTTATATTATTATTATTATTATTATTATTTATGTTATGCTGTTCGCCAGCGTATGAGGGGGAGAATCATTGAAGGAATTGCATCGAGGGAATTGAAAGAAAGAAAGAAAAAATTACTTTACATAGTAACTTATTTAACTCCGAATAGATATATATATATATATATATATATATATATAGATCTATATATACCTGTCAATTCCGTCGACAATTGCATGGTGCTTTTTTTTCATTATGTATCTAAAGTAAGGATTCTGAGACCTATAAGCTATGGGGGGTTTTTTTTAGTACATCCCTGTTCTTTTTGTAATCATTTCCTATAAGCCAATATGAAACAAGCCATTACCAAAAATAAAAATAAAAAGGTAATTTTAGTAAGAAATTAAGAAACAGATGCGGAATAATAATTGGGATTTTATATGACGTAATGCAATCCACCTCCCTCGTACGCTAGCGAACAGCACAAGTCACCGCAAAAGTAAAATAGAAGAATAAAAAAAAATTAACATCTAAAACTACTGATAATGATAAGGACAATGATTTATATTCTATATACATCTTAAAGACTCTTTGATCTTCTTTTACATAAACAATTCTGTCGCTTTTATTTTTGCTGTAAAAATATAGATATATAGATATATCTTGTTCATTCTGATTGGACAAGATATCACTATTTTCTTATCGATTCCACACTGCTAAAGTACTGAGCGCACGATCCAAGATGGTCCCAATTGCTGTATCAAAATAATAATATTAATAATAATATTAATAATATAATAGCTTACCTTGATTCTTTGTGTGGCATTTCTCCTCTAGATAAAGTCTTTGCCTGATAGAGCTGTCCATCTAAATTACAACAGAAAAAAAGTTTTATATACATGCCATTATCATTATCATATTTAGATTTAGATTTAGATTTAGATTTAGATTTATATTAGATAAACTTATCAGTCGATACTTTACTTAAAGATACAAGACTCTTGACATGATATAAGGAAGAAGATGACCAATCTCGTCCACAAGCGCCTAAAAAAAATAGATCCATCAGATATTTAGATATCTAGATCTATATTGTACTTTACTTACGAGCGTGTTGGATAGAAGCAAGAGTCTTGACTCTTTGAAAGGTACACATCACATCAAGGTTCCATGGTCCAGGAATAGTCGTATCAGGAATAGTCGTATCAGGAATTTCATTCTAAAGTAGGATTTAGTATATACAGACTATAATTTAAAAATATTACCGTTGTCCACCATGAAGCAACAAACACTTGGCCACTACGGCAAGAAAGAATTAGATAAACATAAAATATGTGACATTAAAGACCCGGCAAAAAGTAAATAACGTTACTTACCCAAAAGATACTCGGCTTCCAGGCTCATACACATTCAGTGGTGACCATTGGGCAGCATCACTGCATTTCTGAGCCATTCTCACCACAACCGGATGATATTTGTAATCTTTTGTAATTTTTTTTTATAGAAAAGATAGTAAGATAATCATCAAATTGTATATATATATATATATATAAACGTAAATATAAACTTACCCACAAATCTATTAATGCCATGCCTATCAATATATGACGGCGTAACAGTAGGCATAATTTCATTTTCACATGCTCCAAGGCTATCCCAAACACCTGCTGCTCCTCCAGGAACATCATTGGTCGACCACCATTTGGCTTGCCATAACTGTGAATTATATACCACTGCATTCTTTGATACATAGGCAATAAATGGTGCCCAGTTATCAATACCACTACACTGTCCAGGTGCAGATAAAGAAGCTTCAGATAAAGATAAAGATAAAGATAAAGGCAGAGGAGTAAGAGTAGGAGTGGGAATCATAACAGGCATGAGCTCATTTATCAATGTGGATGTGGGCATGACCATCGTTGGTGGTGGTGGGGGTATAAACGTGGGTATAAACGTGGGTATAGACGTGGGTAATAGCGTGTCAGTACTAAACTCAGTAGTACTGATTTCTAAAGATGAAGTTAATAATGATTGTGTACTGATCGAAACCAGACTAGACATGCTAGGCAGACTAGACAGGCTACTAGACAAATCAGTGGAAAGTGAGACAGGTGCTTCTGCTGCCGCTGTTGGTATAGACAAATCCGGGGTAGTCAAGTCTGCCGATGACAGTAAGGGTGGTGATACTGGAGGTAATTCTGAGGGCGTAGGGATAGAGATGATCTTTCTACTTGGTACTGCAAGTGAAGTGTCGATTCCTCCACCAGGTCGGCATGAACTAACTGCATAATATTAATGCAAGGTTAGGAGCTGATAAAAGATGTACATAAAAGACAATATCTAAATCTTGTACCTAATCATCTATCTTTTTCTTCTTCTTCTTCTTCTTATCTTTCTATACTATTAATTTCGTATGTGAATTTTTTATTATTATTTATTACCTGGAGACCAGTCTCCCATTGGATTTCCATCTGGCTTGCTACCCGAATACCACTTGGCCTTTATACAATAATGATTATAAGCTTATCAATTAAATCAATTATATATAAATATGTATATACCTCCCATATGTATCTATAGTGAATAACCAAAAGAGATATATAAAATGAGTTGCTAGCACATTTGTGTATATAAATGAATTTATCAAACAGTATATACGTACCCACTACAATAATCGTAATTGTAATAATTCAAAACCACAAAAAACAATGAGTGGTTAGATTTTCATGGTTGGTATACAAATCCAAGTAAAGCAAAATTCTTAATTCTTGACTAATGATTCTGCAACTTACTCGTACGATACTCGGTTTCCACCCGTATATCCTGTACCGGGAATCCATTGAGGCGCCGAACAGTCTGGATATACAAATGGTGCCCCACAATTAGCCCCACCTTTCATAGAATCCTTAATTCCACTATCAATATGATTATTTTCATAGGCCTGAGATGCATCTAATAAAACAGAATAAAATAAAATTAAAAAAGCAGTTAATTCAGATAAGTATAATTGATCGGTTGATTTTGAAGGAACTTGAGGATCACAATTCTTCTTTTTGTTTTTCTTTGGTCTCAATTGACCAGTGTATCACAAATCCAAAATAAAATAATATTAATATTAATACCCCAGAACATGACGCCTCCAAAACTAGGGAATGATTGGCGGGTCTCTAGTACAATCTGTTCCAAAGTCTGTAGTGGAACATAACCCCCACCAGCTGCGCTTTGACTGGCTGGTGCGCCAATATAGATCTTGACATCGGGGTTAGGTGAAACATGTGTAGCCCAGTAATCCCAGGTACCAAAATTCCACTGAGATGGTTTATCATAAGCCTGTAATCCACAAGGATTATTATCTACATAGAATCAGAATAAATAAATAAATAAATAAATAAATAAATAAATAAATAAATAAATAGATAAATGCGGGTAACATAGTTGTGGGGGGAATTTACAGAATTGAACATAAATTGCATCAAATGGAATCACATCCATGGCTGCCTGAAGGTTTGCATCAGGAAAAACACATTGGGGAGCAGCTGTCAGATAATACTTTTTGGTCGAAGACTTGTATTTCTCAAGCAATTTGGTCAAGAAAACAGGGTAGTCTACAAAAAACCAAAAGATGTTAACATTCACAAGCTGTATATTATATTATATTGTATTCTATTCTATTCTATTGGGCCCTTCTTACAAGTTGGACTTCCGCCTTCAATGTCAAGATCAATGCTACACAGTAATAATAATAATAATCAAGTTCGCGTTGAGTGAATCGCTCCATCAATTGTATATATTATTATTATTTTATTTTATTGTAGATCTTAAAACTAGTCATAGTTACAATATAGAGTCATAGTTACCCATCCAAAACCGCATCACCGAATGGTCGGGTGTCGGATGTTCCACCCAAGAAAAGATTCCAAATATTGTCTGCAAATTCAATTGCCTGGGACTCTGATGAAAAGCCAACCGAGCCTGTCGCCCCACCCAACGAAAGAGTAATGGCCTTTCCACGTTCCTGACAATACTTGATATCTTGTTTGACTCCATCACACTTCATCAGATCTGTACCCGGAAATACAGAGTCACCAGAATCATGACAAATCTATATGTATATAATATTCATACAAAAAAAAACATTTAAAATCATTTAAAATTAGCAATAATAATAATATTATAATAATAATATTCTTTTTTTGTTACATTGGCAAGATTGATACTTGGATACCCTCCGACAGAGAAGAATGTAGTCAAGAAGGAAATTGGAATAATGTTGGTCGTATCGTCATCGCAGTAGAATCGAAGTGGTTTCTGCCATCCATCTGTGTCTGCACTATTAGCAGCACCATAAGAGTTTTGACCCCAATCTTTTGTTTTTTTTTGGGAATAGAAAATAAGAAGAAGAAATAATGGGATTGTGAATGAGGATTATGGATTATAAGATGAATACTTGTATAAGCTTACAGTTTGCTATGTTGTTGTTGCAGTTGTTCTAAGAGAGAGTGAGAGAAACATGTTTGTATGTTAATTAATTGGAACAAGAAGCCTTAATATTTAGGGCTATAGATATAGATATATATATTATCAAGCTTACTTCAAATGCATTTACTGCTATGCTACTGCATATAAAGAAAAGGGAATAAAGAAGACGCATACTTTTAAACAGCAAGCGAAATTATATTCGACCAAGTTAAAGAAGCAGACAAAAAGAAGGTATCAAAGGAAAGAAAGAAAGAAAGAAAGAAAGAATAATGGTAGTAGTAATAAAAGTAACAACAGAGAATTTCAAAGGAATCCTTCTCTCTAGCTCTCAGTTACTCTAGTACTCTTATTCTTACCATCTCTTTCTCTCATTTAATATATACATTGAATATCTTGAAGCAATTCGATTTGATTCGATTTGATTTGATTCAATTTTTTTTAAACATGAAAAAGGTCACAAAAAATGCTGAAACAAGAAAAAGCTACTTAAGAAGATCATCACGATGAGTTGCTATTAAAACATCTTGTATGGTTGATATCCAATTTGTACCTTTACAATTCTAATGAATGGATTTGTTACAGGCTCACCAAACTATAAAAAAGAAACAAAGGCATAGATGGATAGAAAAAGGTGGTCAATTGACAAGATTAACAAAAGCTACAATCAAATGTCAAATATTGCACTACTGTAAAGCAACGCATCTTTATATCCTTTTTTGAATTTTGATTTGACATGTTAATATGTAATTAGCCTACCATTTTTGATCGGTGTAGAGCTACTTATTAATGATTGACAGACAGACAGATAGCCAAACAATATATGCGTGCTCTTTTATATTATTCTTAATATTCCTTCCTTTGTCTGTTAGACTTTGCTGTTATAATTTTCTAAAATGAAACAGATTTTTTTTTGCTACTATTATTCAATCAAGAGTGGTATCGTAAGAATATCAATGTATATTATACATTCTTGCACTATTGGTATGATATGATATGATACGATACGATGTCTGTCTGTCTATATATATATACTTAAAAGAAAAATACACATAAATTAATTGTGAGAAGAAGAATAAGGGACTAAATAACAAGTTCTTGATTACAAGCACTTTGCTAACAAATATAATATTATTACACTCCAAATAACCAAACAACCCAACAGGCCTTTAAATCTTTACCACATTCTCTTGTGGCCACCCTCTTTTTTTTTGTCTCTATTTGTTATAAAGATTCAAAATCCAATTCGTATCATTCTGGACCATAAAAGTATAAATAAATAAATAAATAAATAAATAAATAAATAAATAGATGTATGCATGTATGTGTATGTGTATATAGCGACTGAATCCCGGGTTATTCTTTAAATAAACCCCACTATGTACAAGATTTTTCTTTTTTATGCACTAAGGGGGGAGGGGGGTACTCAGTCAGGTTATTTGAAGAAGATCAAATTTAAACATTAGCCAATGATATATTTTTGTAGTCGAGGACACCAAAATGCAAAAAAAATACCACCCATAAAAGTATAACGTCGATGTTGTCTTTTTGTTAGAAATAATTAGAGTTCGAAGCCTTTTCTTTATATGTATTTCTATGCAGGCAAAACCTGTTATAGAAAAAGAAATATACATATAAGCACATTTAGTGAATCACGATCTTAATCTGTCGTTCCCTTTGAAACGAACTATAAGCAACATTACAGATGATCCAGTTGATAATGGCCATTATACCAATCAAGAGCAATACAATAGATTTGCTTCTACAACTTTTATGCCTAAAAAAAAGAAACATTTTTGGATCATGATCTAACTGTACTAGCAATCGCCAAGTTAAGGATGCTAGACATTCTATCATATTGTCATTACAAGATCGCAAGTATCATTTTTTTTATGTAGCTTTACTAAACACTGGAAATCAAGATATCTGATGATAACCTTTCTATCTGATAAAATTGTGGTGATCAATGTGACTAAGCCATATGGCCGTTATACTTTAGATGCTGCCCATCATGAACGGCGTTTCTTGCCAGAGTTAACAAGAAGCCCAGACACTACCGTTTTTATATCAGTTTAAGCATATACGATCAAAATTCGATAAGCTCTCTACTCACATGCGTTACCGAACATCGTCTGAATTTGGGTCACGTTTTGACTTGTAACCTTGCTCCATTTAGACGCTGGCTGATCAAGATACAAACCAAGCCAAACCTTTCGAAAGAAATGCTGTCGAATGCGGCGAAAATGCTATTTATCAAACCGAGTGATTTTTGAGAACATTGATTTTGAAAGAAATCGAGAATGAAACAAATTTGCGTATTTTGAGCATATATATATTACACATGCTCTATATATGCTCAGCCATTTGTTAGTGTTTCTCTACTTCTCTTATGTAAAGTGTCTTTCAAGTAGTTAGCAATATCACTAAAGGTTGTATAAGTATTTGGACGCGCACTCTGGATTTAGCCCCGATATTTGCTACTGTAATTTTTTCAGCAGTTTCATTTTTCTTTTTTCAATTGAGGATTTGTAACTTCCTAATAAGGGTATTAATTCCCAGATGTACATGAAAACGATTGTAACACTAATGATTAAATAATACATTTCTATTGGCTAATAAAAGGTTCTAAGGACGGTGTTTTAAATACTGCCAGTTCTTACAGTGACTGTATCTCTCTAATCTTCAATTCCTTTATTATTTTTCTCCCTTCTCTCACCAACCCCTCCTCCCCCCTTTTTTTTTGCGGATTTCTTGAGCCCCTCTTTACTCTTCTCTTCTCTTCACTCCCCCTTTTTTCTTCTCTTTTTAGTTTTCTTGTATACTTATTGTTTTATAATATGTCTACCTTTTCTCGTGTTTCTCGTATCCTTCCTCGCGCCTCTTTGGCTCTTGCCTCGCGTCCAGTTAGCCGTCCTGTTCTCGGTGCCGTCCGTCCTGCATTCAACACTCTGCGTAACTTTTCCTCTACCAGCCCAAAGTCTATCGCTACTGTCCAGCGTAAGCTTTCTTTCTTTTTTGTAAAAAATAAACAAACAAACAAATAAATAAATAAAAATACAATTGAAGGGTTTTCTTTTTATTATTATTAAATTAAATGTATGAATATATACACAAGCACAAAACAATTAAATAAACAAATAAAAACACCGTGTTTTGCATAGACGCTGCTCCTCAGTGGATTGGTGATGCCGTTGTTGACGGTGAATTCAAGCAATTGTCTTTGGCTGACTACAAGGGCAAGTTTGCAGTATTGGTAAATAACTCCCCTTTTTAAAATACCAATCAATCAATCAATCAATCAATCAGTCAGTCAGTCAGTCAGTCGAACAAACAAACGAACAAACAAACAAACAAACAAATATATATATAGAGAGAGAGAGAGAAGGGGGAGGGGGGGGTTGAGAGAAAGGGCGTTCCTTGGTTTTTTCTTCTAGCTATTTGATTCACTTATGTTTTTCTCTTTTTTAAAAAAAGGTCTTTTATCCTGCTGACTTTACCTTTGTTTGCCCCACCGAATTGCTTGCATACAGCGATCGTATTGAAGAGTTCCGTGCATTGGGTGCCGAGGTTATTGGTATCAGTGTAGAGTAAGTGAAGTTTGAATTTGAGTTGTAAAGTATAGGCAAGGCTTTTGAATATCAAATCGGCGATTGTATATACGTGATTTTGAGATTCAAAAAATTTAAAGTTTTGATTTGGAGATTTGAAACAAAACAAAAAAAAAGATATATGCATATGATTTTACGTTTGATTATATATATATATATTGATTTATTGATTTATATATATATTATTTTATTTTATAGCAATGTCCATTCTCACTTGGGTAAGAAGTGAATAAAATTCTTTCTTGGATTATTAATATTATTATTAATTGATCATAACAATTACAAACCAAAATCTGATAAACTAATATATTTATATATTTATATTTAATTTTAATAGCTTGGACTAATGTACCCAGAAAGCAGGGTGGTCTTGGTGCTATCCAGATTCCTCTTGGTAAATGAAATACATTACTTATATACGTGAAAGGGTATATTTCCTCCAACTAATTTGCTTTTTTTTTTTAAAAAAAAAAAAAAACCTACAATTAGTTTCTGATATCAAGAAAGATATTTCGGCCGATTACAATGGTAAATCATGATTTTAGATTAACAAAAAAGAAAAAGAAAAAGAAAAAGACCCCTTTTTCTTACCCTCTTATTTTGATTTTTTTCTTTCTCTCTCTCTCTCTTAGTATTGATCCCTGAGGCTGGAATTGCTCTCCGTGGTCTGTTTGTCATTGATCCAAAGGGTACACTTCGCGTGGCTCACGTTCATGATCTTCCCATTGGTCGTTCCGTCGATGAGACTCTTAGAATCATCGAGGCTATCAAATTCACTGATGAGCATGGAGAGGTATTTAGATCTATTAACTAAGAAGAATTGGATATATATATATATTAGTTGGGATATGGATGTGTGGGATTTGCTTTGGATCTACGGCGCCTTCCTTTCCTCTCCTGTTTATATTACTATTTTCTTCTTCTTCTTTGGCGTGTGGATCTTTCTGTGTGTTTGTTTTTCTTTTATAAAGTTTCTAACTATTATTTTTTTGTTTGTTTTTAGGTTTGCCCTGCCAACTGGAAGAAGGGTGACAAGACTATCAAGCCTAACCCCAAGGGATCTCAGGAGTACTTTGAATCTGTAAACTAAAAAGAAAAAAAAAACACACACAATCCTTGAGGGGGTTATTATTATATTATATACAAATCAATTTGTCTTTGTGTGTGTGTGTGTGTAAATAGGAAGAGAAAAAAAAGTATTAGTGACTAATGGTATAGCTTGATGCTTCTTAGCCAATTTAATATGAATTACATATACAAAAAAGAATAGAGGTTTTTATGTCAAGTCTATCCTATAGGGGGTACTCAGCCAGGTTAATTTGAAGAACCTTTATATCCAGAAAACGATATTATTGGACTAAAATTAAATAGCGATGTAGAAAAATTCTACGTCTTTTTAGGCGTAGAAATTACAAATTTGAAAACATTCGACTCTCTGATTGGCTTAATCATTAATTTTATATATATGAAATACGATACGGTCTCTTTTTTTTATATTATTCTTCTCCTTGAATAAGTCATAGAATTTTAAACGCAAATCAAGTGTACAGCTTTTTATTCATCTATTAAAACATGAAATTTTATTTTGAACAAACAACGACATTAGTTTTGACTGGCAATCACATTGCTTGGTGGAAGAAGTGCATATACAGATAGACAGAAAAAGAAAAAGAGAAAAGGGCGGACGCGGGGGCGGACATGGGAAGTTCACGTCACATTAACCGGAGTTTGTAAATGCAGAAAACATGGCACACGTCCAAAAACGAATATTTGAAAGGCAAAATATACATATATATTTTTTTGGAGAGTGGAACTTTAGGTCCCAGTTTATATATTTTATCTCAATTCTTTATTAGTTTCTCTCTCCCCCTTTCCTCTTTTTTCTTCTTCTTCTTTCATCTTTACTATACGACATTTACTGTCGAAAGATATTCAAGGTAATAAAACTAATATCAAAAATAAAGGCAAAAGATATATAGTAAACGAGATGATGTGGTAATGAATCATACTGACGAATAAAATATTATAGAATGTCAGATAGCAAGGCAGTCATCAAGAGTGCTGACATGAGCGAGGAGATGCAGCAGGAGGCCATTGACTGCAGTACACAGGCTTTGGAAAAGTACAACATCGAAAAGGATATTGCTGCTCATATCAAACGCGAATTTGACAAAAAATACGGTAATTTCTCTTATACATATATAAATATATATAAATATTGTCAATTATCTCTAATTTATCTATTGTATGTATCATATTAAACTTTTTCCTTTTTCTTTTTAGGACCTACATGGCACTGTGTTGTCGGTCGTAACTTTGGTAGCTTTGTGACTCACGGTAAGTAAATAAGTAAATAAATACCTATATATAAAAGACATTATTACTTTACAACCAAGATGCTATTAAATCACATTAATATACAACGTGTATGCGTGCGTGTATGTGTAAAGTTGTCTGTGGGTGTATCTATGTGTGTCTGTGTGTCTGTGTGTATGTGCTTATGGTTCTTTTTTTTATTTTTTTATTTTTAGAATCTAAGCATTTCATCTACTTTTACCACGGCCAAATTGCTATCCTCTTGTTCAAGTCTGCATAAACTTTAAACTAAACTAAAATCAAACAAATCAAACAAAAAAAAGCAAGAAGACATGAAGCAAATACACCACGATACCATATTATCAATAATCTACATTTTAACTACAAACAAGAAAGAAAAAGACATGTGAATGTGTGAATGTACATGTGTATGTGTGAAGGAAGAGGAGGGAAGACCAAAGAATAGAGGGGGGAAAGGGAGAAGGGATCTTGTTTTGTTGTTTTTTGATTTTGATTTTGTTGCTTAAAGAATTCAACATTCAATTGCTTGCTGATAATGATAATCAAGATATTTAAGCCATACGAATTCGCTTGTTCCCCCCCTCTTCTTCTTTTCTATGTGTATATATTATAATGTATGATGTAATTAATGATAATTTTTTTTTTAAAAAAAAAAGACATTTAGAAAAGTGCATTATAATAAAGTAAGGTCATAGTAACCAGTCGTTGATGTTTAGTAATGGTAAAATAATAATGCTCTTTAAAGAAGACTACACTTTAAAGAGGATCTTTTGTTCTTTTTGTTCTTTTTTGGGGGTTCTTTCTGTTCTTTCTTTATGTACTGATAATAAATTGGCCCGATAAGCGAGTGACGACAGATAAGGCAGACCATCGGTACTAATGGTAGAATAGATAATTTTAAAATGACACTCTAGGCTATAAAATATAAATACATATACGATACTACGACGTCAACTTACATATCAAGACGTTTCTTGTAATACTAAACGGTTATGATTTATACTTTAAATACATACATATGAAAGCATGTAAAGAAGACTAAAAGAAACAAAACAAAAAAATTGATCGTTGGCTTTGCTGTGTAGCCCAAACACTACCTAACTATTATATTGTATAAATATCTTGAGCGTATATATTTCGCAAGTCTTATTATTGTATTTTGTCCGACAACTCAACTCAATTCGATTCCACAAGTCAATTGAATTCAATTGAATTCAATTGTTTTTATAAACCAATTTTAGACTCTTTTTTTTTCAATTCTCTTCTCTCTTTACTTCTCTTTCTTCTTTTCATTCTTTTCGAATTGTTAAGCAAACATCAGCCACTTTCTATAGACATAGTATATCCAATCAAATAGATCAATAATGGCAACAGTCGATCTAATCATAGCCGCCGTTCAGGTCAGTCAGTCAGTCAATCATAATTAATCAACATATTCTTATCTTAAAGAAAATTAACCTTTAATTTTTTTTTAATTGTCAAATAAACCTTCATAATATACACATAAATAGGCTATCTTGCAAGTCATGACGGTCGTCTTCTTTGGCTTTATCCTTACAAAGAGAGGGTATTTTGATATGCCAAAGCAAAAGGTAACAACAACACCAAACAAATTATCATCAATTGAATACACATCAACCAATCGATTCATTTATTCCAACATATTTATTATTTGATTTTCAAAAGTGGCTGTCAAGACTGAATCTCGTCTTTTTTACTCCTTGCCTCCTGTTTTCAAATGTGGCCTCGATTATCTCAGTTGAAAAGCTTATCGCGTTTTGGCCAATCCCGGTATTCTATGCCGTCTTTATCGTCATATCTTACATAGCCAGCCAAACTACCACTCGGATCATGGGCATGGATGCTGGTTACAGGCGATTTGTGCTCGCCTGCGTTCTATTTTCGAACACAAATTCTTTGCCTATCGCCATTATCTCCAGTTTGGCTGTCTCGGAAGCCGCACATATTCTATTCTGGACAGAAGGTGACACACCAGAAACTGTAGCTGCCAGGTATGGAAATGTTGTCTTTTGTGAAAACACACAAACAAACACAAACACAAGACAAGACAAGACAAGAAAATACTAAATATTTATGTTACCATTTTTTCTTTATAGAGGTATTTCTTATACTCTGTTCTTTGCTATCTTTGGTAATCTGGTTCGCTGGTCTTATGGGTACAATCTCTTGCGTAAGCGCGAAGACGAAATCGTGGACATTGACAGCCTTAGCAGCACTACTACTGACTCCGATCAAATAAGCGAGAACAATTACGTCGGTTCTGGCAATAATGATCGTAATGCTAATCCCCATAATGGCGGCGGTTACCAATCAATGGATCACTCAGAATCTTCCTCTATTGTCGATCAAGACGCCGATTTGGAAGCTAGAATTCTTCGCCCAAACCACCGTACACCAAGCACAGCCACTCTTGCTATCCAGAACGAGGACCGAAATGGAGCAGGATCAGTATTAGGAAAAAAGAATTCCAAATATGATGCCAATGACGACAATAGCAATGAAAGAACCGGCTTACTATCCAACTCAATCAACATCCAACAACAAAATGTTTCTGGCTTTGATCGGTTTGTTGCTCGGGTTCCCGGTGGAAGATTTATTGTCCGTGTTGCCAAGAGATTTGACAGCTTTATGTCGCCTCCTCTCTATGCAGCCATGCTTGCACTTATCGTTGGCCTGACTCCTCTCAAACCACTTTTGTATGCAAAGGACTCTTTCCTCTACCCTTCTTTCACAAAGGCAATCGAGACCTGTGGAAAGGCAGCCGTGCCTCTGATCCTGACCTGCTTGGGTGCTCAGCTTACCTGCATCTCAGAAACTCAGCATGAAACCTCGCCCGCAATGAAAAAGCCTGTGGCAACGGCAATTGGAGTGAGAATGGTACTGATGCCACTGCTGGTTATCCCGGTCGTTGTGTTGTTTGTACTCTACGGAGCCCAGTGGTCCTCGCTCGCCAAGGACCCGGTGTTTATTATCATGATGATCGTCTTGCCCAGCACTCCTACAGCAATCAACCTTGTCCAGATCACGCAGGTTAACAATATATTTGAAGAAGAGATGCTTCATATGCTTTTCTGGAGTTATGGGGTTGTCTGTGTACCAGTCTGTACAGTGCTCGTATTTGCTGCCCTCAACATTGTGGACAGACTTCTTTAGAAATTTATATATATATATCTTTATTTCTATCATGTAAATAATACATACATACATTCCCCACAATTAACTAACTAACTATCTATCTAGTTATCTATCTTTTACACACTCACAAAATCATACCTCTTTTACTTTATTAAGAATATTCATACACATATATCTACCTATCCCTTTTTTATTTTAACAATTTGTTAATAAAATATTATTATTATTATTATTTTACTTATTTTTAATTTCAGAGTTACACACAATTGTAGTACATACATCTTTAACAATTATAATTTATTTATTTATTTATTTATTCTAAAGAATAAAAGTAAGATTTTCTTTGTACCATGTATGACAAACTCATTAAAAGAAAAAGAGTAAATACAAAGGAGACATATTTATATATGTAAATATCAATCTCAATATCAGTATCAGTATTGGTATCCTGTAAAATAATAATAAAGATAAATAGCATATATTCCCAAAGGAAAAGTAAAGGAAAGATTTCTAAATTAATCATTTTCTTATGGAGACCTTTTGAATTCCTTCACTTGGTCGTTGAGTAATTCAAGTCAAAAGATAAGCTTGATAACTACTCTTTTATTTGCCCAGCAACAATGGCTTTCAATTGGCTGTTAATTGGCTATTAATTGAACAAGAATAAAGGGAAAAGACCAGACAAGACCTCTTGATATATGTACTTCTTTAGCTTAACATGGGACCAAATATTAATAGTGTTCATTCACAAAATATACATAGAATATATGGTTTCAATATAAAAAAGTCAACCTGGTATAACAAAGAAATAAAAATAAAGGTACAATAAATTGCCTCATCTATATTTCTTTTCGCAAATATTGCTCTCTTTTTGCCTGGAACAAACAACAACACAAAAAATCAATTCTGTTGAGTAGTTCCACATTGTACTACACCATTGCAACTATATCTGAATATGTATTTGCTAGAAACAAAATCAAACAAAAGAAACCCAAAAACTTTTTTATATTATGTAACCACCCATTCACTCCACGTGCACAACTAACAATCGATCCATTCGCCAAGTAAAGATATAAATTATATAAAGTGATAAGCAAAGAAAAAAAAAGAGAGATCAATTACTTTGATATAACATCTATTTAAGGGAGGACAATCCAATAAAGAGGATACTTTGATAAAAAAACAAAAAAAAGGGTGTTACTCTCCTAGCTTGTTTCGACTACACAAAGTAGTCAAAAAGAAACTAATCGCAGATCCCGCACAGTCCGGAGAGGTCTGGATCTAGAGGTTTATCTATGTACAGGCACAAATACAAATAAACCTATGCATTAGGATTTTCACATGGGACAGAATGACATATATGTACTTGTATCTATCAGCAGCCAAGGATTGCTTGGAAATCCATAAAACAAAAAAAAAAAAAAAACAAAAGCCAAAATAGAGAGAGCGAGAGCGAGAGAGAGAGCGAAAAGAATTCTTAATGAAAATAATATAATATTTATACGCGCTTTTTTTTTGTAATTATTATTATTGCTTTAAATCAATAACAGTAAATACCATAGTTTATCAGCTACATACATAAAAGTAATTCTACTGCTAATCCCTTGTTTTTTTTTTATAAAAAGGGGGAAGCTCCTCTGTCATTATCTCCCACATGCTTTATAATAATAAGAATACTCTGTCTATTTTACCTTTCTAGATCAAGTTTCAAATGCACCACTCCCCAGAGCATATGCACCAAGTATATTTTGTAAAGAAACAAAGGAAAAATCTAGTCTGCAAAGCTTATATGTAAATAAATATTACAGAAAACTACCAAGCTCATGTCTACATCTCTTGATAAAGTAATTAATAAAGGTCAATTTTGTTCTTCTTCTTGTGTACTTTTAATAATAAAAAAGCTGTTTATACACATTACAGCGAGAAATCATTATTCTCATTATACGAATAATTTGTGAACTATAAACTCCCTTTTTGCTAGAATATTCTAATATAGCTGACATGAACAAAAGCAAAAAAAAAAGAAACAAACAAAAATTTGTAAAGGTGTCCAAGAATCACACCCACAATTTGCCTTTTTCTTTTCTCTTTCTTATCGGATTGCAGCAGTTTGGGACACACACTTTAATTGTCGGATCTTTAAATACTATCGTTTAATGGTGTAAATATCGATATTGGTATTTTTCAAAATGTTGATATCTCCATGAATATTGGCCTGTTGTTGATCAAAAAAGCACTGAGAATCATGGCTTGTTTTGGTTAACAGCTTTATCTAATAGCGCAAAACGATAATCCCATTTTTTGTGGTGTAAATATCTGTTTTCTCATTAGTAAATGGTTCTTTAGAATAAAAAAATAGGATAACTTGATCAATATCTGAGCAATTACTGTCAAACAGCGTCTATATAGTGGATCTTTATGTGTCTCATCATGTTACTTATAAGTATAAAAGCTGCTTGTTTTATCAATTAAGATTTATAGCTGATTTTCTGTATTTAATTAGCAATTTTTGATCAAAATAATCCTTTCTAGTATACAATTCTTTAAACGGATGATTATTATATAGTTTGAACATAAATACGTTTTTAGCTTTGCGTTGTTGGTGTCAAGTAAAAGCAGAGAGGCTTTTATGTTAATACTACTATATCAAATCCTCACTATACCCTCCATAAAGTCTATTTTATTTGCAGCATTTGACACATAAATCAGCTACAAATATTCACAGAACTTATGCTGTGTTGTGCTGTATTCTCTTGATTTTCAAGTTTTATTTTATTTGACTTGTAGGCATTAATGGTTAGATGCTCAAGGAATAGTTTTTTTTGTTGGTCATCTTGTTCTATGTGTAATGAATCGCAAAGAAGAAAGGTAAGAAGATGTAAGAGAAAAATTAGGGTCATTGATTAGATGGTGATTATGAAAGGTAAAAGAAAGAAAGAAAAATAGCAATGAATTGATTTGAAAATTGGAGAATTTCAAGATATATGTAAAATGAAAGCAAATGATTGATCTATCTATCTATCTATCTATATGTTTGTATTGTTTATTTTTGCTTCTGGAGTTTTTCGAGCAATACGTTCATTTGGGTAGCCAAATTTGGTTGGCCTCGCTTGTTCTTTGCCATCATCTTGCCGCGCACCTGGTTACGTTCGCGATAGTAATTTGCTCGTGCCTTATTCTTTTCCTCGTACATCTTTTCCTTTTCTTCTCTGGCCTTTAATGCCTCTTCCTTTGTTCTCTTTTGAACTTCCAGCTGAGCCTTGAAAGGATTTGGCTTGAATCTTGAAGAAGAAGAAGAAAACACAATTCAATTAACATTTTTTTGTCATTTAGATATTACACTACATTACACTATTTGTACACACACAAGTATTTTCATTTTGTTGTTCCTGAATTTTTATCAATACTTACTGTTTTGGCTCAGCATCTTGTTGCTTCTTTTGTTTCTTGGTAGATTTGTTTTTGTTGTTGTTGCGTTCGTCTTCGTCGTCCTCTTCTTCCGATGATGATGATTCTTCGTCAAGATCATACTCACGTTCCTCTTCTACTGTTTGTTCCTCTGCCTTACGTTTTGTTCCCTTGTTTGTGTTGTATTCAACTACATTGCCATCCTCATCGATCGTCTTTTCTGCAAAGATCTATTCATGTAATAGTTATTTTTAAGTATTAGTAAATTAAAAAATTTTAAATAAAGTAACGGGATCGTCTCAATGAAGCTGTTCATTAAGGATTTCTATCTATTGTTTTTTGTTTGAGTAATGATTATTTACTTCTTTGACATAATCAGGTGCATCGAGATCAGGCTTTTCTTTTGCAAGCGTCTTGTAATATTGAGCCTTGACAGTAGCTTTCTGAATAAGCTGTTGCTTCTTTTTCTTTTCTAATAAATGATAATAATGATTATGACAATAAAAACATTGTACAGGTAATTATTAATACATGCGATCTCGTAGAAATGTAAATACATAATGTAAAAGTAAAAGTAATATAATATAATTGTACATTGAAAAAGGAATTACTTACTAAGCTTCTCGAGAGATGTGAGAGGCTTTTGGTGTTTCTTGTTGAATGAATTTGGTGGCATTGTGAGTCTTTAATTTATTTTAATACTTTCAAGAAGTAAGGTTGTAAAGTCTTTTTTCTTTTTTTGGCACAATTTTTTTTGTATTGAATTATCTGCTGGCTTTAAAATACTGTCTATTCGCTTTTTTATTTTATTTTTATTTATATATGCCTGATCTCTCATAGCCTTTTGTCTAGTTTTTTTTTTGGCTGTTACTGTAAGCCACTATCTTATATATATATATTATACACATATATCGAGAAATTTATTAAAGCTTTGGTTACATTTTTTTTCTACTCTTAAAAATAAATTGCCTTTATTCTTTTTCACCTAGATGCAAATTAGTCTTCATTAATCCATTCATCCAACTTGGAACAACGATAATGAATATACATGGAGAGAAGAAAACAATTATATATAAAGCATAAATGAAAGAAACAATACTTCTTTCATTTTCTTGTTGTCTTGTTCATTCTGTACAATCTTTATGCCCTTGTCACAGCACCTGTATTGACAGACTCGTATTAACAACTATTGCCTACTTGGCTGATGAAGTTCAACCGAAGCATGCCAATCCTTTCTTCTTTCCCTCCTTCATTTATTTAATTTTATTCTTCTTATTTCTTCTTTTTGAGCTTTTTCTTTCTTTAATTTCTAGGCAACGAATATTATCGAGAGTTTCTTCTGGATGGAAAGTCATCTTCATCATCGTCTGCCCATTCCCAATCGTCTTGTTTGTTATATGTAGTTCTCTTTTTCAAATTATTATCAGGCGGAGGCACTACAGACATAGACATAGAAGTGGCAAAAACAGGGACAGCCGTTGTTTTTGTCGTCGTCGTCGTTGTTGTTGTTATTGCAGCATTATTCACTGGCGGTTGACGACTGTTTATCATAATTTGCGAAGAAGTAGACGAAGAGCTGGATCGTCTGGAGAGAGAAGAACGCCAGGATTCGACAGTAGCATCAGGTAGACCTCTACGTTCTTTTCCCCTTCGATTGCCACCAAAGAAAGAGGTTTCCCAGTAAAAGGAAGACGATGAACTTTTATTGCCACGAAGATTTTCGTCGTCTTCGTCCTCGTCGATCATCGCAGCAAGTGGATATCCTCGTGGCATTCGTGCACTGCTTCCTGTGTAGCCAGTGTGATCTGATCCAGGAGGCTCGGGAATTTGTGCGTCTCTTTCGTCGTCCTCGATATCGGCATCAACATCAATGTCGCTGTCACTGACTTGTGATAGAACCGTGTCTTTTGATTTCTGTTTCTCTGTAATATTACCACCACCCCAGGTGGCAGAAATCAGAACCGAGGAAAACGCTTCAGCTGCAAAACCGGCACACCCACCAATCACCAGGCCACATAAAACAGCCATAAGACAAAACAGAGTGATCGGCCAGAGTACATAACATATGTGTGCAAATAGCATCGCAGGTTTGACCACCAGTCCAGTCCAGCATAAGCGCACTAGCCAGGAAACGGGCCATAGCAGAGTCATGATCAGTTTCCAGATACTGGAAAACAGGATTCGGAAAAAATGATAGGCAACAGAAGCTGCACTCAGCAGAGCGCTGACTATAAGGTAACCATATTGAGGAGAAGGTTGAGGTGGTGGTGAAATGGTGGTTGTAATGGTGGCGGAGACGTGTAGTGAATTCTTCTCTCCTGCATTACCGCCATTAGATATTACTTCTAGTGGCGTATTGGCGTGAATTGTCACGAGTAGAGAAACAGACATTATAAAGAGACATTGCAGCAATGAGGAACTGTCTGGCATATTCAGTGTTCTTCTTCTTCTTATTATTTTTTTAAAAAAATCACAAGCAAGTTGAAAGATCCTTCTCCCTCCCCAAAGATAGCAATATAATATAATATGAATATAAAGATATATAGATATATACAGAGATATATAGATGTAGAATACAGATATAAAGGTAGAGAAGAAGAGAGAGAAGGAGGGAGAGAAGGGAGTTTTTTTTTGCTAGTAGTCCAAACCACTGTTTTTCTTTGATTTCCACGTGTCAAAGCGTTGACAAATAAAAAAGAGTCGTATATAAACCATTTGTTTTATATTAACATTGTTTTCTAATAACAAATTGTTAGTATTGGTATTGACATTAGTAGTTTTCTTTTACATCCTTATATGCATGTTTATAGAGGTGAAGAGGCCCGTGCTTTTAGAGAGAGAGAGAGGGGGGGGGGGGGGGGGAGGGAAATGAAGAAGAAGAAGGAGAAGAAGAAGAAGAAAAGATATGCGAGAAAAAATAAATAGGGAAATCCAATGAGTTTACAGTTCGCTCCACTAAAAATAAAGTAAAATAAATTATACAGGGCGATCTTATGCATAAAGCAGTGCGACAAACAGCCTTTTAATTAACATGTCAAACGCCAACAAATAAGGGTTTCATACATGTTTTTTTTAGCTGGTAAAGAAAAAAAAGAAAAGGGATTTGAAGGGATAAAGAAGGCGAACAGAAGAAGGTGAGACAAGGATAGATAAAGAAATGTGTACCATAAATTATTATTCCATTCAATGACTGATCTGTTCATTCATTTCACTATACTTTTACAAGCCACTTTTGATTCCAGTTTACATATAAAAAATAGATTAAATCCTACTTACAGCATAAATTTTATTTTATCACTTATAAAGTACCGCTTTTTTTTTTATATATTAAAAAAAAAGTACACCCATTTAAGAAATCCAACTCTTCTTTCATTACGAACAAATGGAACAAAATATATTTGAATATGTTGTTCTCTTCACTGCCCAAAAAACGAAAAAGTTTAAGACATGGCAAGATGGTGGGGAAGAGTCTATAATTTGCTCATGAAATTACTTTTTCAATTCAATTCAATTCATTCCATAAACTCATTCATTTGACTTGTATCTATATATATACATGTGGATTAGGCACGATGAAATATTACAGCAAAAATAGAAAGGTAGCTCTTTATTTTCAACAGATAAGAAGAAGAAAGAGAATACAAAAAAGCCATATTCTTTTATATTGTTTCTGATACCCTTAGTTCACCATATCTAGCTTATACTAGCAGACGAAAAAGGCTATGTTATCGATAAGTGAGTAAAACAATAAATCGATAGATCAATAGATCAATAGATCAATAGATCAATATATAATAAAGTATCTTAGTCCAATGATTGTCCTCTTTTATTTATATTTATTTATTTTCATACATAAATACATATATAAATTAAAAGCACATTTGTTCCAATCTTGAAATGAAATAAAAATAAAGTAACTCAAGTTATCCTCTAGTCAATTCTTCAGAGGAGGAATTCCATCAGAAGGAGACGAAGTAGAATTTGAGAAACATATAGCAACTATCGAGTCTGTCAGTAATCAACCACAGCAATCAACCTCCGTTCAGGAACAGCCTGCAGAGCCTATAAATCATACTCGAGTGAGTCGACACTATTATCATTCCCATCAACTTTCTTTTATTTTTTGGCCTTTTAAATCCGCAGCATTACATAAATTTGTGTGTAGGTGGGATATTGGTGCAAAATTTTAATAGCGCGTTTTATTACTATTATCATCAGACAATTTCCGCCCAAGAAACTACAGTAGCGACAAACTCGTATAATAGTGACTATCGCCAAGCCAGAATGAGATTGTTGCATATGGAAGGAACTCCAATTACCACAAGTACTGAAGTGACACCACTGGCCCACAGTAGATCCAATTCAGAAGGAGGAACAGAAACAGGAACAAGACAAGGGCCAGGGGGACCATTTAGACTACCCAAAAGGAATCTACAACAATCGAACCAAAACAACCAGGCTGATCGGTCATCGGCAGCAATCTCTGTTGTTCCTCAGATCAATCCTGTCCTGGAGAAAACTTCTGATGCTAATATACAAACGCATGTCCAGTCTGTAGAATATAGTACAGTCGATTCTGAGTTAGAAGGCATCGATAATTCCTACTTTGAGGGAATGGATATTGAAGATGATCAAAACACAATTACCACCACAAACACAAAAACATCAAATATCAATACATTTACAACCGCTAGGACAATTGCAAATACAAGTCCAAATACAAGTATTCGTACAAATATTCGTGCAAATATTCACGCAAATGCAAATACAAATACAAATGCTAGTGCTAGTGCTAGTGCTAGTGCTAGTACAGTTGCAAGCGGTAGTACATTGGCTTCGAAACCTTTCATCAGTCCAATCATCGCAAAATCAATTAATAATAGCTCGCCAAAGAGAACAGTAAACTATGGGATTACTAGACATACTGTAAACGGTGAATCGACTACGAACACAAATCAAGAAGCTCCAAATAATGATAGCAATAATACAGACGAAAGTACATTGTCTAGCACAAGAGGAAATATCGATGTAAGCGATTTCCACTTTCTTTTATATAAATATATATACTTAAAAAACAACAATATTTGTTATGTAGGTCAGAACAAAACGAATGTGCGTAGGATTATCAAAAAAAGGATCTATGGCTGTTCTTCATCAGAGTGTATCAGATACATTGAGTAAATCATCAAATGGTTTATCCGAATCACTTCAAAGCGCACCAGGGACAAGGTACACACACACAGACATCTACACATTCGGACTATCTTTATTTCTTTAGTGGTAATCGTAAAAGGTTATAATTCCTTACAAGCTAATACATATATAATTCTGTAAATCAAGCAATCTATTTGTAAAAGCTTCTGCTTTACCAGTAGATAATCCTCAAAATGTAGCAGAGTCATCCTCTAGAGCCGGACCGTCTATGTACGTAGTAATGACAATATGTTATTTGAGCAAGATAAATTACATCTCAAAAGAAGAAAATGAGAGATAAAAATATTGTACATATATATATATATATACATGCAGTCCTAACAAGATCATATTCCACAGAGAAAGACCACAATATCCTACCACAGCCTTCAAAGGAAACATACAAGAAAAAGTGCAAGTATTAATATATATATATATACACAAAGTAAATATAATTTTTGATCATGTTTAAACTAACTTGATTTTTCTTTTTCTTTTGGTTTACAGGTCAGTTCCTTTGGCTATACAATTCCCTACCATGGGAAAAGCCATGGAAATAATAAAAACAAAAAAGCATCCCAAAAGAGTTCGAAAAATGCCTGCTAATTTTGTAAGCATATATATATATACATATACCTTCAATATGGTTTATTTTTCGTCAACATCTTCAATTATTAATTTCTTAACAACTAGAAAAATGTCGCAGAGTACAAAGATACCTTTCAGAGACTTATTCATGAACATATTCAGGTAAGTAGTATATATATATACAATTTCCTTCAATTTTGTCTTATATATAAATTTACACACGATTTAGATACTTTTGTTGAATTATGCAGTCTATTATTATTCCTTTTATAACATGGCCAAAAAAGGAGAAAATCTCGAAAGATACTTTCGAACAAAAGGCTGTGGCTTTTATTCCTCATGTGAATTAAGGAAGTATGTACATATGTGCATATAACGTATATGTGTTTGTGTGTCTCTTATATGGAATTATAATACTTGTATATTTTATTAGTGATAATTATTCTTCTTCACAAAGTCATTTCCGTATCATGTTACGAAGCAAAGAACATCATTCTAGATATAGTAAAGGTAAGTCAGGAATATTCGACAATATACATATCTATCTATATTTGTTTTATCCTAAAATATAACAACTCGTGCTGTTTGGAATACGCTTTCACATATACATCTGCAGATGATGTCTGGGTTGTTTCCAAAAACCCGAAATTCGATTCAAGTGGTACATTTATGGGAAGAAGTGTATATTATGGTCCACATTCTGATGGTGGAATGATGGTAAATGTTTACACTAACAAGATTTATATATATTTATATATGCTAAAGTCTCTTTTTCTTTTTTTCTTCTTTCTCTTCCTTTATATTTACCTTTCTTATATTATATGTGAGCCAGATTGAATGTCTTACACCTCGAGATGTACGGGTGGCGCTTTTACTACTAAAAGAATCGTTACCACTTTATGCAATGAGAACTATAGCTGCCAGTACAGAATTTGTCATGTTGGGTAAGTTCTTTATTACTATTATTACTATTATTATCTTTATTAAAAAGAAGAAGAAGAAATACCTAAGCTTAAGTATAATATAATATATATACATATTAATACTTAAATAAATGAATAATTGAATGTTGTTATAGATAACTTGAATGACCAACTGGATACACTTCCCATATTTTCTCATATGCTGAGAAATAAGAGCAGGAAAGGAAAACGAAAGGCTGACCAAGTTCAGCACCAGAATTTACAAAATCAAGCTGGGCCTTCGTCTCCGGCTTCGTCTCCATCTGTAGCTGAACCTCAATTAAAACTTGAACATATTCAACTTACTCGAGAAGACAACATTGATGTGGAAGCGAAGCTTTGCGAGACTATTAAAGAATATCATTTGAATACAGACCAAGAAAGGTTTTATTTTTTTTTGCTTTATTTATTTATTCATATTTCTTTCATTGACAATTGATTATTGCTTATTGATTCTATAGTGTGCTCCGTGCAGTTGCTAAATCAGTAATCACTTCTCCTGGCTGGAATGAGGAAACCGAGAATCCTATTATCTTAGTTCACGGTATTATTATCATTATTATTATTATTGTTTTTGGTATCATTAGTAGTGAGTAATAATCAGAATTATTAAAGCAAGATTGTACTTTATATACATATAGGTGTATTTGGCTCTGGAAAAAGGTAAAGAAAGAAAGAAAGATAAGATGAAAATTAAATGAAAATGAAAATAATTTGCTATATCAATATATCAATATAAAAGAAGAAGAAGAAGAGGTTAAACCAACTATTAATATAATTTGGTTTGATTTGATTTAGCTATCTCGCTGCTGTAATTATTATATTTCTGAAAGATATAGTTGATACTGCATCCTTTAGACGCGAGCCAGAAGATATGGTCACCTTTAAAATACTAATTTCCTCAATGACGGTAATTAGCAAGCTGTAATGCACATCTATTAAATGGATATAATATTCACACTATCTCTCTCTCTCTCTTTACTTCTTCTTCTTTAGAATACTGCTGTCGATCGAATTCTTTTGGTATTTAACAAGATCAATTAATTTATATATATATATAATCGCCTAGAAAGTTATTTTTGACATTAAATTTTATATACATTTAATTAGACTTTAGTAAAGCTAGGATTCGATCAATTTGTTAGAGTGGGAAGGTAAACTACACAATTAGTAATATTCTGTATATAGCATTGGATAATTTACTGATAATTCGACCGATCTTTAGCTTAAAAAAGATTACAAAAAGTCTACTTCCTTACACAGCACAAGCGAAATTATCAAGTAATGATGGTAAAAAAAAATGAAGACAAAAAAACGGTATACTTGGAATATTGTGCCTAACATTTATACAATGATTTTTAATGAATACATGAATGCATGCATTGATACAGAGCTCAAAGAGCTCGAGGAAATGTTGGCAGATCCCAAAAATACAGAGGAGGAATCTGAATATATTTCCAATGCTATACAGCGATTCAGAAAAAAGGAACATGTCTCTCAGGTTCAGACGGCAGATGTGATTGGTAAGCTTGATATATTATGGTCTGAAATACAAGCACTACTAATCATAAAAAAAAAACCGCTACACACACGTATAAAAAGGTACAACATGTATAGCGTCTACATTTGATATACTCAATGGGATACATTTCCCATTGGTGCTGATGGATGAATGCTCGCAACTAATGGAACCATTGAATATGGTCCCCTTAACGAGATTTGGTTGTAATAGACTTATTATGATTGGAGATCCTATGCAGGTAAGAAGAAGAACCTCCTCTTCCTTCTTCAAACCAAAAACAACAGAATCATATCCGATTTAATTAAATATCTATTTTTTATTTTTATATACTGTAATGTATATAGCTCCCACCCACCCTGACAACCATTGCCCAAGAAGATATTGTTGGACAAGGACTAGACAAGACATTGTTTGATCGAATGACAGAAGTAATATATATATATATAACGAAGTCTTTTAGAAATCAAATCTAGCTAAAATTTATGGCCAGAGCTAAAAGTATAGGTCTCATATAATCTCTTTTTATATTTGTAGATGGGTCACCAGGCAACACTGTTACGTACTCAGTATCGTGTAAGACACCCACATAAATGAATAGGATATCCTTTATTATGTCTTTGTTTTTTTTTGTTACAAGTAGCAAATATTGTGATGATACTACAATCTAAATAATTGCACTTTTTCTAAATATGTGTATAGTGTCATCCTAGGATTTCTTCTGTTAGTAACGGACTGTTTTACAACCGACGACTGATCAATGGTGTAACTGCTGAAGATAGGAGTCCATCTTTAGTAGGTCTTCCTCCTCTTATATTCATTGATGTTGGTGGAGAAGTAAGTTACTTTTTGAGCCTTTATCTTTATATATATATATAAACTAAAAAAATATTATGATAATAATCACAAACATCTTTTAATAGGAGCGTAAGAACACACGGACAAACTCATTCTGGAATGAGGCAGAAATGGATCTTTCTGCAAAAATAATCGAGACCTTATTAAATTTGGGTATATCTTCAGCAGATATTGGTGTAATTGCATTGTGTGAGTAATATATATATATATATATATATATATATATTTGAGTATAATTTTCCAACCAAATCAATACTCATCCAAAATGACTTTATATATGTATGTGCGTGTGTGGGAGGGTAGATAAACAACAAGCAGATGCCCTATCCGAGGTTATATCAGCAAAACTCGACAAAAATACCGAGAGGCTTCATATATCAACAGTAGACTCATTTCAAGTAAGCTTTGTACTAACATATAAAAGACAAACAAACACATACATACATTGGATTTTCCAAAATGTATTTATTCATTCATTCAATTAATTAATTTGTATGTATGTGTGTGTGTGTGTGTGTGTGGATAGGGAGGAGAAAAAGAAATAATCATATTATCTACTGTTCGAACAAGTAGTAGTGGATTTATTGATAATCATCCTCGAGTAAATGTTGCTATCTCACGAGCAAAAAGGTTATTCTCTAAATTTCTATATGTCTTTTACCTTACTTGATGATTATAATGACTGTGGATTTCTTTTTTCTTATCTTATACATATATATTCCTTAGACACTTGATAATATTAGGAAGCAAAAGCCTCTTGATGATGAATGAGCTTTGGTCCAATGTTCTTTGGGAATGTCAAGGTAAATCTTCATATACTTATATTTTATATTATATATTTTAATTTTTCCCTCTTTGAATTCAACATCACAAACAAATTCAAACAAAAATCATCTAACAAAATGTACATATATATATTTATATATTTAAAATACCAAAAACAACAACAAATTGATATAGAGCATGTATATTCCAAACCTATCTTTGAAAAGCTACTTACTCAACTGGAGACTCCAAAATAATATTTTTCTATCCTTTATTTCCTTTCTTCCTCCATTCCTTACTTTCTCCAATTGGATCTAGAAAAAAGTTTCCCTTCCCCTGTATAATAAAAAAGAAAGAAAGAAAGATAAAAGCTACACACGCACACACGCACACACGCACTAAAATAGACATTAACAAAATAGGTGTTCATACAATATACAGTTTGTGCTCAAAAAGGTTGGTGAGCCTCCGTTGCTGCGATGCAAAATAGGACATCACGGCTTTTGTTTTGGATTTCGTTTGTTCGATGATGTTTCTTGAGAGCTTTGTATTTTCTAAATAAGAGATGGGGAGAGCCCAAGAAGGCACATCCCGTAGCCATGTCTTCCCAAAAGAGATAGAACAGATCTAAAGGCTTCTAGATTCTACCATGGAGATAGACCTAAAGTCAAATAGGAAACAATGGGGAGACGGATGGGAAAACATGCTGGATTGTAGCGAAAAACGAAAAGGGATCGCGTAGGGATTGACCGAGAGGGAGGGAGGAGATTTTCTGGGCTAGTCCGGAAGAAAGGATGCAGGCTCATTGTTATGCACCGCGCAAAGACAATGAGTGTAGATGGGAGAAAAGGCGTCATCACATTTTCATTACCATGGCCCGCACCATTACAATGAGAGAGAGAGCTTGCGTGTAGGAAATTACCGAGATGGGTGGAGAGAATGACCGATAAGGTGGGTTTAAAGAGTGGCCAAGAGGATGTGGGTGGGGGACATATAGGGGGGGCCGTTACATATTGACTGACTCTTCACACTATCTTCCCCGATCAAGTGAGATATGTGCGAAAGAGCCGATTTTTCTCGTAAATTTCATACCAATTCTGGCATATAATTTATTCAAAGAGGGTTTTTTTGTAAAAGCATAGTTTCGACCTTTTCGCATAGGGCCTTATCATATTATTCTAGACTAGCATATTTGTGCATACGTTCTCTTTTAGCTAGTAGGTCGAGTCTTTTTCTTATACGTCTTATCAACCGACCGGCTGTTGACCTTGGCATCTCAACACGGTTTCCAGCTTCCCCCATTGACATTCCATCAACAAAATACTTCTTCAGGACCAGCAAAGCTTCATCTTCTGTATAGGATCGTTAGCGTCGCTTGTCCTTTGGTTTATCTCTTTTCATAGTCAAATCTTCGTCATCCAAAACATTGCCTTGCGAGCTGGCACCTTCCATGCACGTTGGACCTTCAATAAATGAAGTATATTCTTCCTTGATAGGTCTTGCCAGAATAGGGCGAGAATTTAAATCTCTGTCATCTGAATTCCCTTCGGATTTCTCCGTGAAGCTACAACTACGAGGAAGTCTTGTCAATTGTTTGGGCATCTTGGATTGTTTGGTTTTGTTAAAAATTAAATAAGGGTTTTAAAATAACTGAAAATATAATTATTAGAAATTAATTTTGAATTCTTTTATATTATTTATAAATCTTTGCCATAGCACAAGAAATCTAATATAGTCAGTCAAAATTACACCAAGTCAATAATGATAATAATGAAAGCTTAAAATCATATAGTAATTTAATTGTGAGTACACAAAATTGGCGATCTTGTAATTGAAGCAAAAAAAAATGTTGTTTGAAAAAGCCAGGAGTAGCAATATAGCATGTCTTTAAGCTTATTATGGTAAAAACCACGATAAAATTAACTAAAATACAATAAAAGTGACCTGCTTAGAAAAAATTGTACAAACATGGGACATAATCAGTATACTTATTGAGTTAGATATGGTAAAGAAAAGATAAGAATACAATGTGGTTATATTCGGAGCATGATCAAACTAGCACAACGGAAAATTAAGAGAGAGTCAATGATCATTGAAAAATGACTAATCTTTTTGTTAAAGAAATAGCCAAATGACTGGATATAAAATGGCAGATACGAGCAGTGTTATGTAGATTTTAGTGTAATTACATTAAGAGATAACCTGAATATAGCTGTAATGTATTAAAAGTAATATGTTGGAAAATGTTGTAGCCAATTGCTAATTGAATTTTGCTCACGGAAAAAAATTGAGACAAGATTAGCCAAATATTTGGGTAGAGAATGACAGAGATTAACAATGCCGTGTAACCTTGGACATAATATGATACACAATTAGCTACAAATAGTTGTAGTATGTTACATGTAGCATGTAATAAAATGAAATTGGACCAAGCAGCATTGGATAATTTCTGCAGCATAAAATTGGCTCAAAATAGTCCGAATTCTTGGATAGAGAATAACAGAGATTAAAAGGGTAACTTAAATTTAAGCATAATCTGATATGAAAATAGCTCCAACTAGCCCATATTACAATACATTTGATATATATGTAAGTAAAATAAATACATGTGAGCATTAAATAATATCTTTAGCACAGCCTTAAGAGAATATTTGTTTAATACTTGCTAGTAGAAAATAAGCGTACCACGCAGAAATAATGTAAGTCATATTGTATTGTGAAAATGGTATAAAATGTAGCCTACTTTTTGTTAAAGAGTATTACCTTTTGATATAAACACCAACACCAACACCAAGAAAATGAAACAGCCGAAAAAAAAACATACAAGAACAGAGGCACTTATCGCAAGTACACGCCAGAACATGTGAAAGGACTTTTTGAGTTAGTGATTGAGAACGGTATGCTAAAATAAATGAAATAAGGACAGTACATATACATTAGTATTTATTCTTGCTTTCAAAAGAATAGACCGCTAAGATGGTTGCTGAAAAAATGGGCATCAATGTTCGTACTGGCCAAAACTATATTGCCCAGTATTACAGAACCTAGGCCATGGCACAGTGAGATTAATTTGGAACACACGCTTTAATTGTCGGATCTTTAAATAACATCGTTTAATGGTGTAAATATCGATATTGGTATTTTTACATATGTTGATATCTCCATGAATATTGGCCTGTTGTCTGTCAAAAAAGCACTGAGCATCATGGTATGCTTTGATTAATTACTTTACTTAATGATGCAAAACGAAAACTCTCAACTTTTTTGTGGTGTAAATATCTATTTTTTCATTAGTAAATGGTTTTTTAGAATGAAAAAATGGGATAATTTGATCAATATTTGAGCAATTACTGGCGAACAACATTTGGATGGTGGATCTATATGCGCCTCATCATGTTACTTATAAGTATAAAAGCTGCTTGTTTGATCAATTAAGATTTATAGCTAATGCTTTGTATTTAATTAGCAATTTTTGATCAAAAATAATTTTTTCTAGTAAACAGCTCTTCATTTCAGCGATAGATTCTACAAAAGAATGTTTGATATAATGATAGTATAATTATTTATATTTTATGGAGTTTTACCAGGGACAACAGTCTACCTAGTATAAAAGTATATTGGTAGAAATAAATAATCTACTTAATAATATCTTGTAATATCTTGTAATAAAATCATTTTCAGAGAATTCGCAAGTTTTTTTTTAAGAAACTTGTCTCATTCTTGTAGTATACCCGTTGGCAGCTGTATCATATATTTCTTTCTTTATAAGAGTATATTTGCTCAAAGATAAGCACTGTAGCGATAGTAGCATATAATATATGAATATGGGTGTTTGTTTTTATGCCAGCGCATGCGAAGATTAGATACGTAGTTAGAGAAGATAGCAAAAAGAAATCAAACTCTTGAATTTTCTTTCTTTTTCTTTACTTGACTTAAGTGCGTTTTCCTATCTTTTTGGGAGGGTTTCCTCTAGCAAAGAGGAATTCATCGATGTTTCTCCCAGCCGAAAAGCCCGTCGTAGGCTTGGTTTCTAATTCTACGGGTATCAGTGTTCCTTACAGCAGTTAATATTAATATAAAAGAAAGAAAGCAAAGAAAAAAAGAAAGAAAGCCATACGGATAGAGTGTGAACTTGAGATAGGTGACAATAATGGTATACTCCCAGAAGAATTCTGGGCAATTGACCAATCTGGCTTTTGAGGTTCAAAACAAGACGTAATGTCGATGGATGCTACCTGACCAATTCCAATGCCAATATCATGCTGGTTCTGATGTCGATATTTGTGCTCATGTGCTAGGTACTTGCGAACACTGCCCTGCCCGTCATCTCTTTCTTTTCCTTTGCGCTTTATCGGAATAGTCGAATAAGGTGTGGCTTGACCGTTGATGTTGGGCTCAGAGTTTTCAGAAGACGCGTCACTATTAGTTGTAGAAAACGAGTAGTGGAATATACTGGTTGGGCTCTCGTCTTCACTGTCGCTTCCGAATATATCGGCTGTTATTGCTGATTTTGTTTTTGGTCTTGGTTTTGTGCTCTGACTTGGTCTGTAAGTATTGTCTAGACGTACGCTAGAAAAAAGTGAAGAATAAGATATAGAAGAAGAAGAGGGTATATCCTTCTTCTTTTCCTCTCTCAGAGAAGTTTTTTTTGGCAAGAGGTCCAATTCTCGGGAACTTTGTTGAGAGCCAGCTATACTTTGAGATGGTGTGGCTGCCTTGCTTGAGTCTGGACTAGTGGTCTCTAATGTTGCCTTTTCGGATTCTTCCGCCTCTCGTAAGTGAGATGTGGATTGTGTGGATTGTGTGTTTTGAATGTGCATATTTTCGAGAGGGATTATATTAGAGTCAAGCAACTCTTTTTCTTTTGAGAAGACACATTTTAACGACAGTTCTGGTTGATCCCATCTCTGTAAAGTCTATATGGCTATTAGAAGAAGAATGTAAAGGTAGAGCCAGAAAAAAAATACCTTTGTTGACTTGCCATCATCTCTTTCTAGACAAGGCTCCTTGTCCCAATCATCGAGGGCAATCAATTTTTTGGACAATTCGCCAGACATTTTTATTTTTTGATTTTTTGAAATACTAAAATAAATGTATGGCTTGAGTTTGATTAGTAATACTCACCTATGTATTTCATGTTATGTATATTGTTTGTTTTTTTTACCCAATGCTCCCAAGGCTCGAAATACATTCATCAATATTAGCTGTTGAAGGAACATTCATCATCGGAAACATCTTTGCTCTACTGCGGATAGTCCAGGGTGACTCAATAGATGCAGCCAGCTGATCAGCTTCAAGTGAAAGAATGGGTTCTAATCGAAGGCCAGCATCAAGCCGATCCAAACGATTTTTCTGTAAATTTGAACCTGATTTTTGGTGCTCCTGCTGTTCTTGCTGCTGACGACTTTTTACTTTGGCTTCAGAGCAGACTTTGAGGCTATTTTCAAATTTCTCCATATTCTTCAATGTGGGTATTGTCATTTTCCATTTCATCTTCATGAACCTATTCTTCAGGGAGCTCAGACCGGAACCCCGGTTTAAACCAAGTAATCCATCCTGTTGGATTAGGGATAATTCGTTGGTGTTACGGTCGTGGAATGGATTATCAGATCTAGCGTGAAAAACAGCCTCTTGAAGTAGCTTGTGAAAATGCTCTATATATGTAACAAGATGTACTAGCTGTGTGTAAGATTCTTTTCATAGGATAAACAACAACAATCGTGTGCATATGTTTATGAATACAAAACGACATTGTATCTGGTTATGATACTAACACTGATACTAGAGCTATTACTACTATTACTACTAATACTGATGGTGGTAGCAGTATGAATGAAATAAAATTCTTGAGTTTTCTACCGTTGTCAAGATTGTCAAGCGTAGTTGCCAGATTCATGGCGTCTTGGCGCCAAGAATTTACACCAAATACCCGGTTTGGCATATTATTGTATTAATATTTATTCTGTTCACCTTGCACAAGAATAAAAATAATACTAAAAGACAATAGAAAATATAAGGTTTTGTATTTTTTTTTTTGGTACAAGACAAATGAAGAAAAAGATACCTTTTTGGAATCTCCTACCTTTGTTTTCTTTTATTCAATCAATCGGCTTTTATAATTCTTTCTTTTGTACACACGCACGACCGCCGTAAATGTCACCAAATTTTGTTTATTAATTTATTTATATATGGATTCTTTTACAATAAGCCGCCGAATAATCATTATTACTCAAAAAAGAAAAGAAAGATAGGTTTTAATTTTCACCCTTACTTTCATGCACGCTGTGTACAATATGTACACAAAGCTATATATATAAAAAGATATCTTTATGGAACTTTGCTGGAACAAAAAATTTGATTTTGTACTTTCTGACGCAGATCAGTTGACAATTATTACTATTACTATTACAATGATGATAATGCCATATAAAACAATAGAACTTTGAAAATTTATCTATCCAAATTCTCTCATATACACGTCACTCTCTTTCCCCTTATAAACCGTGGTGTATATTATATATTAAGTGATTTATTTATTTGGGGTTTTTTTTTAATAAAGAAAATAAGAAGTAATTGAATATGACTATGTAAAATATACAGGATTTTTCAAATATATATATATGTAGATTAAGAAAAAAAAAAGCAAAGATATTAAAATATTAAAAAAAAAGGAATAGAAATATGAAATAGACAAAGGGGGTTGCTTTTTTTTTTAAAAAAAAAAATAAAGGGTATAACAATCTTCTTCTTCTTCTACTTCCTTAAGAAAATAAGGGGATAAAAGCAATAACGGGTCTTAAAGATAGATATAGACAGAATCAGACCGTTATTTCTTGGAAGAAGTCTCGACATCAACTTCTTCCTTAGTTGGGTGGATGAGGAATGCCATAAGAGAGGCCAACCCTGCGAAACCTGCGCAGGCAAAGAAAACGAGGGTGGGCATTGTGCTTACCGAAGCACTGTAAATTGCATTGATACTAAGTTGAGAAAACATCACTAAATAACAAGAAAAACAAGAAACAGCAGTTATTCATTAGTAAACAAAACAAAACAAAAGAAAATAAAAGATATGTAACTTACTTGCAAAGGCTTCTACAGCTGAAATGGCACCCAGCAGCTCTCCTACTTCAGTAGGATTGACGGATGAAATGAGGAGCGATCGAAGGGAAGGCTGTGTAATCAACCCAAAGCCATGGATAATTGCCGATGAAGTGAATTCGAAAGCGTTGAATGAAAGTCCCATCAGAATCAGTCCAGTGACCTCAATCATGGTTCCTGAGCGCACCATCCAGATATCGAACATGGCTGCACGGTAGATTCTCTTTTCTTCAATTTCGGCAGACGTCGAAGAGCAATTAGCTACATGAGTATCATCCGAAAGTTTCCTCTCGCACCACTTCTTGAACAACGTGTTGAGGACTGGCAGTAAACAGATCAGGATGATTAGACGGACAAACGACGACAGACTGATGAACAGACCACCCTCATAGGCACCCCAGCCAAACTGGAGCATGGCATAGAGTAAGACTGGTGGGGTCAGGATCACGGTGAGGATTGTGTTGATGGCAGTAAGGATAGGAAGCGCATGTCGGCTGATGTGCTGGCTGTGCGTGCGACTGAGGATTGTGAGGGCAGCAAAGACATTGATCTGCTCTAGGAAAGACACGTATTTTTTCTTTCCGCTTCCGTCGCAGGCTGTGTTGCTTTCATTGTTGTCCTCATTCTCGGTAATAAATACATTTGACTCGGGCATAATGCAAGCGTAAAAACCAATGAAAGCGTATACTCCCATTACAAAGTACAGAACTGCATAGATACTGCCGGTTGTCTAAATTCAAATTGTAACAAACGTATTAGTAAACCTAGTGCTGTAAACTACCAAACTTCATATTATTTCTTTCTTTTCTGCTCACCTTAATGATAAAACTACCCAGACTAGGACCTAGATTTGATAATTAACCGAGAGAGTATTTAATTAGATTTTGTGTATTGTGGAAGTAAAAGAAGTAGACACGAGAAATTGTCTCACATACCAATAGTAAATCCAAAATATACAGATGCCATCATGCGACCAAACATAAGCGTTCTTTTAAACACAAAAAAAAGAGATATTTAATTAGATACATACAATTCTTTTTCATAATATATATATATATATATATATTTACCTGACCGAAGCATCGGTAGTATCTGTAATGTAGGCTTGAATGGATGCCATTAATATAGTTTCTCCGGCCAGGAAACCTCGGAAGAAAGGGCTGATGTACAACAGAGAGATACCAAATACTGACTGGTATTTTCCGGTGAGGATAAGGCAGATTAAACCAAGAATACTTCCAAGCATAGAGACTCTCACAATAACCGTGCGTCCTTTTCGGTCAGACAATCTTCCGTAGTATCCAGACACAACGAGGGCTTATTATCGAAACAAGTCCAGACAAGTCCAGACAAGACAAGATGAGATGAGATGATATTGAATGTATCAAGAAGTAAATAAGTAAGTAGGTAACTCAATTGAAAGTGAATGAACTGTATATTTGTATATTACCGCAACCAAAAACCAGGAAAGAAATGACGGCAAGTGCTTGTGACACAGCGCTCTGGACTTCAGGGACAGCGCAATCCACAATTGGGATTGTACCATCGTCATTTAGACTTCCTCCCATACCACCACTGTTGGATTGGTAATATCTAAAAAAAAATTAAAAAAAGAAAGACAATAAGTACTCAATTAAATACGATTTTGGTATAAATTTCTAATAATATTTTACCTGTTGCAAAAGATTTTAGTAGCGAATTCGAGTTGAGCAGCCAGAGAAGAACTGGATCGACACAATACACATATAGAAAAGAAACCAATAATGTGATGTGATGTTATTAGTAAAAAATATATATATTACTAATATATCTATAATTACCTTGTAGCAATGGCCCAGAGAAATACGGGAATAATGATATACCATGGAGATGGTTTGGAAGCATTTGGCTTGGGTAATTCTGCTGATCCAAGGAGAGGAGTAGTTTCAATAACTTCTGAGTCAGATAATGTGGAATGAATTGAAGCATTACTGCCAGGGTTGTCTTGTCGATCAAATGTCATATTAATTGGATGTTTGTATGTGCGTATGTATTTTGATTTGATTTGATTTGATTTGATTTCCTTTTTCTCTTGGATAGAGCAGAAAACAAAAGAGAAGCAACGGCAGGAGGGTGGGTTTATATAGTCTCCAAAATAAAATAAAAATAAAAAATTACTGATCGAGATTGTGGAATACAAAATACCAAAAATATAAGCTGAATGTATTTGACATCGTACACAAATGTAATGTACTTTTGTACAGTAATTTGAGGAGGCGCTTATTATGTTATTCAACGTAGGCCCAGCAATTCTTCTGTATCTTTTTTCTTTTCTTTACCCTGTTGTGGGATTTGTGCACGGCGAGCATGAGAGACCTATTGCTTGTTTCAAAGACCATCTCACTAATCTCAGCATGGTAAGTGGTACGCACATACAATAAAAAGAAGAAAGAAACCATTATGAAGTCGTCTCATTGATGAATTGTAAGTTTGTGTTGCATATGTATTACACCGCTGTTTTTTCTTCTTCTTTTAGAGAACAGGCAAAGGAAGAAAAAAAAATACACGGCGGATGTGCCGTAAAGACATATCTTTTTGGATAAGCCCAACTTGAATATATCAATGTCAATTTATTTATTTATTTTTACTTTACTGTCTTACGCTTCTTTGTGTGCTTTAATTAGTACGTTTTTGTTTTTACGCCTCTGCAATACAATGATCTCTGTGTCCACTTCTCTTGCACTATTCCCCTTGAGAAACTATAACTTGTTGTTTATCGTACATTGGAAGCCAATATTTCCGTCGTTTCTTTGCAGTCCTCTTCTTCTCCATTAATTGTAATTTGTGACCTTGAGATTTGCAACCTTCTTACTAAGAAGAGTAAGGTAAAGAATGAATCAATGTATTGTATTGTCGTAGTTTTGCTTTGGTCTTTAAAAATTGGTCTACCTTATCTCAAAAGGGTTACACAAAAGCATTCAGAAAGTAAGAATAAAAAAGAATAAAAATATATACATATATATCTTGGTTGGAACAAGACATTCTTATGCGCCTGAGAATAAACAGAAATCTGTAGTACTTGTGTTTCCTGGATCTACTCTACATAGCAAGAGAAAGAGATAGAGAGAAAATCTGGTCATTGGTAAGATAGCCATCTATTGAAAACAATACAGTAGATCAACATATTCTAATAAAGCACTTGTTTTTTTAAAAGAAAAATACAGCCACAGAAATCTATTTGATTATTAAGATTCTTGTATTTTTGTCAGAATTACAGATGAAGTCTATCATACTGTTTTAATGTTTAACAAAGGGAGTTATGAAGGTCATGCCTTGAAGTTGTGGACCCTCTTATTAGTCTATCTGCCTATCTGCCTATCTACCTATCTATCTATACAATTTCTCTTTCTTTCTCTTGTTCTTGTTCTTTATCAATACATTTCCTTGATCATGGGTTTTGGTAGACAATAGAAACTAACGAGATATATATTGTCACAAGTAATTAACAGCACAAGTCTCACCAAATACCATCTTTGTAATTGCTACTCGCTGACCAAATACTCCTTCCTATTGAAGTAGTAAAAGTCCAGATTCAGAAAGAAACCCTAATCATTAGGACGTTTATCCATATATAGCCATTTACGAGTGTTACCTAAAAAAGCACACGAAGACTTCTCTTCCTTTTCATTATTATTAAAAGCAATATAATATAATATAAAATGAAATGAAATGAAAAATAATGATAGGCGGTGGTAGCCAAAAAGTAATCAAAATGAAAATAAAAATAAAATAGCCTCTTGTCTCTTTAATGATATTAATTTCAAAATTATGTATATATTATAATGCTTTTTGATTTTGGTTTATTTAGAAACCAAAGAAAAAATCGGACTTCTTGAATGAAGACAAGGTATATGTATATTCAATTATGACGTTGTTGGCTGTATTGGCTGTATTGGCTGTATTGGCTGTGTTGGCCTTGATAGCCTTGTGAGCGATCTATCATTTCATTTACAAATGTCTTGGGCGCCGTATGTTTTTTTCTCTCTCTCTCTTTGTTTTACCTTAGCCAAGATAGTTGGCATTCAGAGTGGCATCTTGGCAAGAAAATATACAAATTAGAATAAAACAGAGAAAACCCAATATAAAATAAAATAGAAATACGGTTTGGATTATTCAGCAAATCCAAACAGCGTCTAAATAAATTTATTTTACTTTATTAGCTCCCGCTGCATAGAACAATTTCTTGGCTCTTAAGTTATAGCCCGTATTTTATTTTATTTTGGACAAGAAATTTTAGTGTAAAATTGCTTACTTAATTCATTCTTAATCATTAATGAATGATGTGTTTTATTATTATTATTATTAAACAAAAGTTACGGTTGAAGAACATCAATTCTTAACAGATGTTCTATATAGTACCCAGACAGGGTACTTGGTTAAGATCGCCTTGGGTATAAAATAACAATGTACGACTCTGGAATGATTTTGCCTACAAAAAGAAAGCTTTTCCTAGCAGAAAATTGTGGAAACCAAACAAAGATTCCAATCTCTTTCGCTTACTTCTCTTGACCTTGCTCTACTACCACCACCACCACTTCCACTTCCGCTTCTACTGCCACTTCTGACCATAATGCCATTAGCTCTCATCTTGTCGGGTGTCATGATTATCACATATGTAGTCATTCAAATCAAAACATCGAATACTTCTTCTCAGACTATCGCACCGTCTCGCGAGTCTGAGATTTGGTACAGCGAACCTGTCTTCTATTCTCGACCCCGGGCATCGACTCATATGATGTTTTAGACGGGCGTGGTGTTCCCCACATAATTTGGAAGAATTACTGGATTTATACATATACATATGTGCATATACATGTGTGTGTGTGTGTGTGACAATATGTACTTTTATTTTCATTTTGCATTACTACGTATTTATTTATTTACTTATTTTATTTTCTTTAAAAAAGCTTCCCATCTCCCCATAGACCTGGCGCTCTTCTCCCAGTTTTTATTTATATTATTATTATCACTATTATATATGCTTTTCTGTCAATATACTTTTTTGTATTTTTCTCATTCTTTTATATATGATCTTTCCTTTACTCTACATATTATTATTATTATTATTATTATTATTATTATCACTTATTCATCTATTCATTCCTTATTCTTATTTAATACATGTTTATATGTGGACTAAACGAGTCCATACCAAGTTATTTATCTATTTTCATTTTCTATAAGAGAAAAATATGGATTTGACTTGAACTAAACCAATAAAACAAAGTAAAATAAACCATTTTTGATATACGCAAAATGAATATATAAAGAAAGGCACTATATATCCAACAATAGTTGGTTGCCTTTGTTGTTGCTGTTGTTGTTTTTTATGTGTTTATGAATATTTATCTATTTATTCTTGGTCTTATTGTCATGGAGAAGAATTAATATATATATATAATTAGTATAAGATGAAGAATAAATTAAAAGTGAGTCAATTGATAGATGGCAAATACTCCTTTTCATTAGTTAAAAAAAAGAATTGCTAAAAAGCTGTCAACTGCCAAAAATTGTTACTGATTTTCACAGCTTAAGATTACTACAGATTTCTTGCCTTTTTTTTCTTCTTTTTCTTAGACTTTTAAACTCCGTAAACGTCATGTCAAAAACCAAAACGGTAGGAGGGAAAAGAAGGAAGAGGAGTAAAAAGCTAAATTTATCGAGTCACAAGTTCGTTAAGATTACAAGTCTCTTGCAATAAATGTGTGTATGTGCATACTTGTATATATACATACTATACTTGAATAATAGTTGTTTGGTGTACACAAAAAGATAAAATAAGTTAAACATAACCGGTACCATGACAGACCAACCAATCGACAATCAAGAAAATAATGATGAGCCAAATGATGAGTCAAATGCAAAACGTCGCAGGTAGTGAGAGAAAGAGAGTCAAGCAAAAATGAATATTATATATAAAGAATTATTGATGAACTGATTGCAATCAAATAAATAAACAAATAAATAAAAGAACAACTGATGTATTTGATACTCTTGGATCGAGTATCCAGGGCATGCAATCATCCTTTAGTTCGATTACATCTGTAAGCATGTAATTTTATTATTACTATTCTTTTATATATATCTTGTCTTGACCTTTAAAAGGAACCAAGAAATCAAGAAAAAAAATGGAGAAAATAGATAAAAATGATAACCACAGCAACATCAACAGCAACGACAAAAAAACAACAACAACTAGAACAATAACATCATTAATGATAATATCCTATAGTTATTTACTAACAGTATCAGCAACACCTTGGCGATCAACCAGGCTATGAATGAGATGTATGAACAAATGTTCATGTCAAATATCAAAATAGGTCAGAATAATATATAAAAGTAATTGCTATTATTGTTTATTTGTTCTTATGGATTTCTTCCTCTTCCTCTTCCTCTTCTGCTTTCTTATCTTGTTTTGTACAAATTGATCTTTATAATCATCATGTATATGTGTATCTAAAAAGGCAGTAAATTGAAACCATTTGAAGATAAGAATGGGTCAGGAATCCAACTGACCATTACAATCACCAACTACAACCGATATCCAATCTCGGGATTATCTGCACACTTGACCTTTGAACCTTTTCATAAAGTAAGATTTTATTTTTGTGCAATACAAACACACACATAAAGAAAATAAAGGTCAAAAAAATCATATGCTTATTTGTGGGAGTATATTTTCTGTTTTTTTTTTAGGCAGACACGGCGGCTACAGTTGCTTGGACTTCAGAATCAGCTTCAGAAACAACAGTGGGATCTCGAAATAAAAAAGATGTAGAGAGAATACTGGGCTCAAACCAAGGCCAAGATAAAGACCAGAATCAAGACCAGAATCAAAATCAAAACAGCATACCTTCTACAACGATCTACACCGAGATCTTACAAATCCAACCATCAGAACCTTGCCAATATAATAGCAAATTGTCAGTGTCGGTGTCTAGTCCTGGTACAGGAAAGCCAATCGAAAAGGAACACAAGTTTGGATTATATCTCATAGATCAAGTAAGTGAATTGGTTATTCAATCAACTACTTGATTAAGATGCTTCTTCTTAGACTACACTCCTTTTTTTCTTTCTTATTTGCTTGTGTGTGGACTAATCAATGATATATATATATATATATATATATGTAGTTAATTAAGACTGTTCACGAGTCAGGATCATCAAGTGAAGAAACAAAAGGTTCTGAGAAAGAGTATTCGACCGTGTTCTTTAGAGAGATTATGGGACTTCGCCCCGTGGTTGGGATACGACCAGGCATGGAGATTAGACTCAAGGCCAAACAAAAAGAGGTTATGTGTAAGGTTGTGGAATCCAGTGAGAATCTTGAGACTGTAAAGGCAATATTTTATGGAGATCATCAATTGCTAGACATATTATTACAAGAACTTGATATTCTAGACATTTAAAAGTAATTTATGTGGTTATACATGATTGTGTATGGATATGTAGGTGTGTATGTATGATAATAATAAAAAAGAATATATATATATATATATATATATATATATATATGAAAGAAAAAAGAAAGAAGAATATTAATATCTCTTGTGGATCTTGCTGTTGCTATTGTCTTGCAAGTAAATGAATGAATGAATGAATGAATATGGGAGTGGGATTAAGTAAGTAAATGTGAACGTTTAAGATAAAGAAACAGATATAGAGATAGGTAGAGGGAAATTGTCTTGATCATTTGAAAGATGATTTGATTGATATAAGAGATATATAGGCTATGTACAAAATGAAGGGCAAATATGCGTACAAATGAAAGTGCTTTCTTCTTCTTCTTCTTCTTTTCTTTTCTTTTCTTTTTTATATATATATTATATATTCTTCTTCTTTTTTAAAGTACGATGAGATCTCGATAGGGTTTTGCACTCATCAAATGACAGACCAAACCAACCAGACTTGCCAGCAAGAGAAGGCGGAATAGCCTCCACATATATTCAGATACAAGCAGCAGAGTAGAGTCACTGTGTGCGTATCTCGGCAGTGGGACAATCACATCATCTTTCTGATGCGGTTCCTTGAGAGTTGTTGTTGTGATGTCGCCCTTTACACCAGGGGTAGTAGATTCACTCATGCGTCGTTGTTGTTCTGCATGACTCTCGGCCAGTCGTTCGATGACTTCCTGACTCCGTAATTGCTCCGAAAGCACCTTGACCATAAGAGGCGCACCTGTTTTGGCAATCAAGGCTTCGATCACTTCTCGTAAAACTCCTCCTTTTTGATCTTCTTCCAAAATCGCCTCTTCAAGTGCAGCCTGGGCCAGGTCAATAAACCTGTCTCTGGGATGAATTTCATTACCACCACTACTGTTATAGCTGTTACTGATATTATCCACTCGTCCAAATTCATCGCTACTTTCTTGATCTACTGAACGATCGGATGATGGCCGGTAAGAGCGTGCAATGTCATGATTCATCATCATCATGTCTGAGCAGTAGTCATCGTTATTATTATTATTATTATTAATGTTGTTGTTGTTGTTGTTGCTTTGCTTGATGCGATTGATCTTTCGTGCGCGACGGAATCTGAGTGGAGATGGAGAACGCTCTCTGGAGAAGAAAACGGTAGGTTCCCACCGAGCAGTCAGCATGATGATGTAGAGATTGTAAAGAAAAGAAAAGAAAAGAAAGAAATGGAGAGAGAGAGAAAAAGAGAGAAAGAAATAATTTGAAGAAAAAAAAGTTTGGAGTAAGAAGAACAAGGTTAACTGATTTTAAAAGTCAGACAGGAAATAAGGGAAAAGTGAAAGACAGAGAAAAAAAGAGAGAGAGAGAGAGAGAAACATTGCAAGGTGCCGGCATGATCTCGAAAAGGGAGGGAATAGGAAGCACGCGGCACCACATGCAAAAAAAAAGATAGAGCATGAAGAACCTGATTTACGTCACGCGTAATTCATTACTCTTTTTTGTAAATTTATCTTTCTCTACTTACTTTATTAGACCTTTGCTTAAGAAATTTTCTATAAGCTTGTTTGTATTTGGCCTTTCTTCTTTACTTTAAGCAAAGGCAGTTCTACTATTAATACTACTATTTTTTGTCTTGATCTGATCTGATCTGATCTGGCTTGATATTATATTATATTATATTATTTAAAAATATTGGTGAAACATAGTTTAATAGGTGCTCAATACTTGGAGTCACAGTTATATTTTATTTTATTTTGAAACACAAGACATTAAATGGGTGTACAATTCTCCACAGCCATGTCGCATGACAAAAAAAAAGTCTTGGTATGATAGAAAGGGAGCTATAGAGATCCGATAGTTTTTGTGTTTCTTTAGTTGCATATGTATATGTATGTATATGTATATATAATATAATGATTACAATACTGCTGGTATTAGAAGTAGTGTTAATATCCAGCTTTTGAAATGATAATAGTAATAATAATAAATTAAACAAGACCATTAATAAGGTACTTTTAAGACTAAAAGGAGTCCATGTCTGGACAAAAGGATTTTATGATTTTGTTTTAGCAAGACTCCACGAGCAAATACTAAATGAATATAACTCTGTAGTAATGTACATAAGTATGTACATATGAGTGAGTGAGATGTTAATGAATGTATACATACATAAAACAAAGGTACTACACAACAATTATAGTTAAAATACATATATACATATGCCACACATAATGAAACAGAGTAGGAAAGGAGAACAAAATAATAAATAAATAAATATATTTTAAAGACACAAGGTCAGCCACATAACAGAAGCACAAAGGTAATTTATATAAAAAAAAAACTCAGTACTGGCAATTCCATCTATATTTTATCAATAATTATGATAAAGAAGTTGAATTTACATAAAGAACACATAGTACATTTGATATCAAAATATATCTATATATCTATCAAAATACATATATTTTATATGATTTTAAATTAATTTTGATCAATTTTGATCAATTAATTAATTAATTAATTATATATATATATAAAACTAATTTTTATTTATTATAATAATAATTATTTTATTTTTATATATAGATATAGATTTATGTGTGTGTATATACTTGAACATCGAATCTAGATCAATGAATATAGACGACCAACAATCTACAATCGCACAGATCACAAATGACCTACAGCCTCTTGATCCTACTCTAATAATCGACACTGTGACAATGGCCGATCTACCAGTAGCACAAACAACAGCAACAAGTGATTCATCTAGTCTCATGACACTTGAGATCACTACAGACACCCTCATGACTGAAATAAATACCACACAGACATCAGGAGAGATAACAGAGATTCTGGAAACCCAAGAAACCCAAGAAACACAGGAATATACTGGGTACAGTGTGTTTGAACATGACCCAAGTGTTCCGTGTACTTTGTTGTCAAGCACGTTTGACAGATATAATACAAGTGTCAAACAGACATTGGAGGCAGAGAGCTATCTTGTCCAACAGGACATCGAAAAACAAAATATGCCTGGTGTGAATAATTTCTTTCGCAATGCAAAATGGTAACCCTTTTATTTATTTATTACTATTGTTGACATAATGAATAATCTAATTACTTACTTGTTTACCTTATTATCATTTCTATTTAATATATACATACATACATTTGCATCTTTATATGTAATTTGTAATTTGTAATCTGTAAACTATAACCTGTAGGTCTCCAGATGGAACCTGTTTATTATCAAACTCTGAAGATGATATTATCAGATTGTTTAATCTGTAAGCCAATTTAATCCAAAACAAAAGCCTGTCTCTTTTTTGTGATACTTGCAAAAACCTTACTTACTTAAAAATATTAATAATAATAATAATCAAGGCCTCAGAATGTATATGAAGAAACAGGTAAGAGAATATTAATAATAATTAATATAATTAGTTTGTAACTCAAACCTGTATATACACAACTCTAATGTATAAAATTCTGTTGTACAAAGAATCTCCAATTGATCTAGAACCTGTCCTGGGTGTAAGAGAAGGAGAAACAATCTACGATTTTGCATGGTTCCCTACAATGAGTTCTCAAGGTAAGCTCTATTAAAAGAAGAACCTATAATATAGATTATTTCTTTATTATTTGCAACACTAACAGCCAATAATTTGGGGTTTATATTTATTTAGATCCTGCCACATTTTGCTTCTTGACATCTGTACGGGACCACCCTGTTAGACTGTGGGATGTTACAACAAAAACCGTAAGAAAAGATATATACATATATATATATATATATATATATATATACATATATGTATTAGCTTTATTCTAATACCTGTAAATCCATCTTATTTGTTTCTCTTAGGTACGCGCATCTTATTGTGTAATTGATCACCGAGAAAGATTCATAGGTCCAAATGTAGTCAGATTTAACCTTGAAGGTTCAAAGTAAATCATAATTCGAGAAATAAATAATAATACTAATATTCAAGTCTAAACTTTATAATGATTACTTATTTTAATTTTGTTTTATTAAAAAATAAAAAAAAAAATAAAAAATAGGATATACTGCGGATATGAAAATATGATCGAAGTTTTTGATGTCCAACGACCCGGTCAAGAGTCTCAAAAGATTCCAACCACACCTAAACGAAGAAGCAAAAAAGGACAAAAAGGTGCAGTTTACGATGTGTAAATCAAATTCAGATCTACCAAACTTTCATATCTTTAAGAGTAATAATAATGCTAATATCATTTTTATTTTCTACTTATTTAATTTTATGTTTACTTGTAGGTATCATTTCATGCTTGGATTTTAGTCCTGACTATGCGGGTCTCTATGCGGCTGGTTCGTATAGTAAAACAGTGGGAATTTATGATGAGACAAACAATGAAATGTGCCTGAAGCTATCTGGAATTGAGGGAGGAGTGACTCAGGTAAGATTCTCAATGATCCTTTTGTTTGACAATAATATATAATATATTCTTTAATAAAACTGTGTACGGTGGGCTTATGATAAAATAGGTCAAGTTTTCTCCAAACGGAAATGTACTCTTTACTGCTTCTCGTCAAGCAGATTCTATAATGTGTTGGGATATCCGCAACACAACCAACGTATTGTATGAGCTCAATCGACCTGGAAAAACCAACCAAAGGATCTCGTTTGATATCAACTCTACGGGCAAAGTGTTGATTACTGGAGACAAGGTAAAATAAACAGCTAAGCACACTATACATACATATATATATAATTTTATGAACAACAGCAAATAATTATGATTTATGTATTTTCTTATGAATAGAATGGAAATGCTTTGTTCTATGATTGTTTGACTGGAGAAGAACGGGACGAGGATTCCAAACAGCGTCTGCAGAGATCAATGCATGCTCACGATGGTAAATAAAGTCCACAAACGAAATGCTAAATACTAAATGCCAATTTTTATTTTTCATTTTTCATTGTTCATTTTAATATTTTTTTTATAGATATCACCACATCAGCTTCCTTTAACCCTGTCTATCCTGTCATAGCTACTACTTCAGGTCAAAGAAAATTCACTGTGGGATCTGATGAAGACCAAGATTTGACTATTGATAATTCTATAAAAATCTGGAAAACTCATGGTCAATATGAATGGCACCCAACTGTTTAAAAATAACAATAAAAATAAGAATATTCTCTATTTCTTCTTCTTCTTTATCTTTGCTCATTCTATATGTATCGTCTTTGTATACGTAGTGTGCGTAGTATGCGTGTACGTGTGTGTGCGTGTGTGCGTTTAAGTTTGCGTTTGCGTGAGTGCGTGAGTTAATGCGTGCGTGTATGTATGTATGTATTTATTTGCGTACTTGGGTACTTGTGTATTTGTGTGTGTATATGTATATGTAATTTCTTTTTCTTTTTGGTTTCTTTTCTTTATCTTTTTTTTCTTTCTTTTTAAACAAAGTCATAATTAGAGTCAAACAGCATGCTAACACTTTCACCATTGTGTGTACGACGGACTGCTTCTGCAAAAATGGCAGCTACACTAAATGTTTGAATCTTGCTACATTTCTTGGTGTGTTCAGCCTGGGGCACCGAATTGCTCACAATCACAGCATCAAGATAGCTTTTCTGAATCCGCTCCACTGCGTCGCCGCTTAGAATGGCATGAGTGATAAGGGCATAGATCTTGGTGGCACCCTTTTCGTGCAGCAACTTGGCTGCCTTGGTGATAGTAAATGAAGTATCGGCAATATCATCGATCAGAATGCACACCTTGTTCTTCACATCGCCGACCAACATCAGGTCAGGTTTGAGAGGCTTGTCTGGAGATCTTCGTTCCTTGTGAATCAGGGCAAAGTCCATACGCATCTTTTCTGCAATCGAAGTAGCTCTACATATTTTTAAAGCAAATAAATTAGTAAATAAATATACGTACACACACATATATATATATAAGACAATTTTGTGAAATATAGATAATAATATAAATAATTATATAGATAATGAAAATTATATATATATATATTTAATATATACATATAGACAAAAAAAAGCTTATCTTGGGTTTTTTTTATACCTCTTTGCACCACCTGCGTCAGGCGAGACAATAACTGCGTCCTGGAAATTTGGAATCTTTTGTTCTATGTGGCGCATCATCATAGGCAATGATGATAGATTATCTACAGGACAATCAAAGAATCCTTGAAACTACAATAGCAATAGCAATAGCAATACTGTTATTATTCATTTATTCATTTGAAATAAAATACATCTAATTGGACCTTGTCGATCACACTTGAATAAATTATATTACAACAGCCTGATACTATCCAAAATAAAAAATAAAATAAAATAATCTAATTGTTATATTTGTTTACCTGTGGGTCATGTAAATCCATTGTAATGACATGATCTGCTCCAGCACATTCTAAAAGTTCGGCTACAAGAGTACCTGATCTAGCAACCCATTGACGATACCCAGCTTGATATCCTGGACCTGCTAAACCATGACTGGCTTGTTGAAACGGAGGAGCAGGAGGGAGGGGGAGAGGAGGTCCCCTGAGACGGTTGATCTGTTGTCCAACTGCGATGCGTTCCATTTCGTTAGAAAGTCTTGAGAGTGCAACGGCATTGAAAGGATTTTCATCCACTTCGGTCAGAGGTGTAGTAGGGATCGTGCTTGGACTAGACGGAATTGTTCGAGGGCTTGATGGTACGGTCAAGGGAGGTGCGCGAGTCAATGGTGCACCGGATCTCTTGTAAGGAACATCAGGTTGTCTTGAGTAAGGAAAGAAAGGAATGACTATTCAATATATAAAATATATCTCAGTAAGGTTTTCTTTTTGACTTGTTTTATGATTTGTTAAGTTTGCTTTGTAATATCTTTTTTTTTTATCTGTCTATCTATCTCTCTTTTTTTATATATATTTTTATATATTGCTTTTCTTTTCTTTTACCAGCAGTAACCTTTTTGGCAGAAGCAGTTTTGCATGCTTGAAGCATAATCATCAATTCCATAAAATTATCGTTGACGTGGCCACATCCAGACTGCACAATATAGACGTCCTGTTCTCTTACAGACTCATAAAGCTCCACTTTGGTTTCATTGTTACTAAATTTTTCAAGAGAAGACTTTCCAGGTTCGATTCCTAAGCGTCTACATATCTCCTCTCCAAGGGCTGGATGAGAAGAGCCTGCAAAAACAACGAGATTACGCATGAGAAGTTAGGTTTTGTTAAGAATGAGTAAGAAAGAGAGAGAGAGAGGGAAGTATAAATAATAATAATAATAATAATTTTAATACTTTAAAAAAAATAAAACAAGATTATAGCAAAAACTGAATCAGGCTTTTGGTGTAACTCGAATAGTTTTTTATTTCTTAAAAACATATTAAAAGCCCGGTCAAAGCATCTATTTTGTGACGTCCAAGTTTATTTAAGGCATTTGATTGGCTCATTGTACTTCTTTGCCATTCTTTTCTTTCCGCCCCTCTCTTTTTCTCTTCCTCTCTCCATCCTACCCCTCACTCACTATCACTCTATCTTTATATATAAAATTATAAAAATGTCAAGGCAATTTGGGTCAGGAAGTGTGAGGTGATGATTTTTAAATTAAATTAAAAAAAAAATAAAAAAATATTCCTATTCCTATTCCTATTCCTCTTCCTTTTTTTTTTTTGCTTCTTTGTGCTTTTATTTCTTATGGTATTTTAGCTTCTGATGAAAAAAAGGTTTTTGGCAGATCCTATCAGAATCTACACAATCGAAATGCGCTTTTAGGAGATGGCGGCTCTAGAAGTCCGTCATACTACAACCAACAAAACGAGTCGAATGGAGAGAGTAGTAGTAACATTGGACGATCGACAAAGATTAAGATTGATGATGGGGATCTAGAGTTTATGGAAAGTCAGAATGATGATCGAATAACCGGTCTCTCGGCTAAAGTTCAGATGTTGAAAAATGTAAATGATTATTACTACTATTGATAGAGTGAAGAGATTGATATAGAAGAAGAAGAAGAAGAAGAAAACGATGCACATAGTATTTTGTGTATTTGAGAATCTATACTTATGAAATTATGTCAACGATATATAGATAACTGGAAAGATTGGCGATGAAATTCGGTCTGGAAATACACTCTTAGATACCATGGTAAAAATAAAAAAGAACAATAAAATGATACTTTTTGGACAAACAAGGTACAAAGTAAATTTAATCTTTTTATTTCTTCTATTGGTTTTGTATAGAATGATCAATTTTCCAATACTGGATCGTATCTGGGTAAAACTATGAGTGGGTTCAAGAAGATGGCAGCCAAGGAATCTGGGGTAACTACATGTTATCTGATCCTATTTATTGTACTGGTGGTCATTGTATTTTACTATTCATTCTTTCGATAATAAATATAAATATAAATATGAATATAAATAAAAAACACTTAAAAAACAGAATCACAATACCAAAGAAAAATAAAGGCAAAGAAATTAAGCTTATCAGATCGATCCAAGTATATATATATATTTATGAATAAAGTGAATGGATTATGATTCTATTGGAATTTTTGTTGCATAAATTATAGAGTAGAAATGCACACACAGACACACACATATATGTATTCACTGTGGCTTTTTTTTTTTGGTTGAAAAATTAAAAAAAAAAGACAAGCATTAGTGAAGTGCAGAATCCTACATTCTCTTTCATATACACACACTCTTTCTTTCTCTTGTTTGTTTATTTGCTCTGACTTGAGCTTTATGTTCAAAAACACATTTCAGGTACTCACAATTTACAATCACTGTAGAATGAGACATCTCACTTACATTATCAAAAATATAGTCAGGATTCCTGTCTATTTTGTATAGCTTGGGGTAAGTACATAAACTCCCAACAATAATAATAAAAACAGAATGAACCAATAAATAAATAATATAATATAATATAATTTTATCTTATAGGAGTGAACCTCTTCAATTATGGGCTACACACCTACCTACAAATGACTCGAATGATAATGAAGACACAAAGCCATCTCATATTGTGCATGTTACGGATGACATGATTAGCTCGTCTGTTATTGAGCTGTTGTCTCCCAATCTATCCGACACATATATCACCTGTCCTTCTCACCTAAACCGTACACTTGGAATCAAGTTGCCATTGATAGTATTGCTTGTCAAGAACATGAATAAATATTTTTCATTTGAAGTGGAAGTTGTTGATGACAAGGGAGAAAAACGAAGATTCCGTGCTTCTAATTATCAAGTAAGATATTACTGCTATTATGTATATATAAAGAAAAAGAAATTTTTGACTAATTGTACTCAGCATAGACCACTACACGTGTAAAACCATTTATTACAACAATGCCGATGCGGCTTGACCCGGGGTGGAACCAAATCGTATTTGATTTGGCAGATTATGTTCGACGTGCTTATGGTACTCACTATGTCGAAACTGCACGAGTGACTGTACATGCTAATTGCCGGATACGAAGGATCTATTTCACCGATCGTCTCTATGGTGAAGAGAAGCTTCCAGCAGAATTCAAGTTATTCTTACCAGTAAGGAAAACAAAAAAGGCATTTTGGCCCTTTTTTTTTGCTATTGTTGTTGGCTCTATTTTGGAGATTGACTTTTGTTTTTTTTTATTAAAAATAGATTGAAAAGTCAGCGTAAATGACAATGACCAAAAATGGCAAACTAAAGAGAGACTTGAATTGGTCAGAAGAAGGATTTACAAGTTGAGCCAATGGAAAGCAAACCAAAGTAAAAGTAAAGCAGATAAAAAAAAAGAAGAAGAACTTTATACAGAAGAATATATGGAGGATATCAATTTTTCATTTTCATTTTATTTTACTTTGTGATGTAATCAAAAAAAAACCTTCTAATCAGATCTGGTTTTATTACCATTGACTATTTGTACAAAAAAAAACTAATAATTAAGTGTCGATATATCTATACCACAAATAAGAGTGAAGGAAACGAACTACAGTGTCCATGCACGTGCGTCAAAATAAGGACCGATCATTTGGATCTCAGTTCTGCCAAGTCAAATATATTTATATATTTATATATGATATATGTGCGTAGATGCTTTCAAGCACTTTTGAATATGAAAATCAATAGTGTTAATAAAGCAAATCGTACAATAAAAGACATTGCCTTCTCTATAAAAGAAAATACTAATGTAATTTCTTTGACTGCTTAATATTTAGACTCTTGTTCTTTAATTGAAATTAATTGTCTCTTAAACTATTATTCTATACACATTCTCACCTTCTTTACAATAATATATATATATATATTAATTATCACTTGATGACGTCGATTAGACGAACTCGCTTCATTCACATTTGGTCATTTTTCTATCCCGCTTCACAATCACTGGTCTCTCTTTCTCCCTTTCTCCCTTTCTCCCTTTCTCTTTTCACTTAGTTCTCGACTTCTAATCTTTCACTTACTTACTTCCTTCCTTCTTTTCTTTTCTTTTATATATATTTATATATATATTCTAAAAAAAAAAAACTCCAAAATCTTTATTTCCACTTATAAAATCTCAAACTCTTTTATAACCATAAAAAAGCAACAACACCAACATCAGCAAGAATAACAATAATGGCTTCCAGACAACCTCAGCAGCAAAACCAAGCACAAGGAAAAGTTTATCAATTCAAGCTTGTCTTATTAGGTAAGCTCCATTACCAATCCTACTCAAAACACAACCAAATAAAAGTTACTCAACATCATCTTATAATCCGCAGGCGAGTCGGCCGTTGGAAAATCTAGGTAAGCCAAGATTCTTTTGCATAGAGCAATCGACCATTGAGATCATTTCCCCAAAAAAAAAACCAAAAAAGAAACTCACAATCAACCACACAGTTTGGTCATGCGCTTTGTAAAGGACCATTTTGATGAATACAGAGAGAGTACCATTGGAGGTAATATAAGCACATACAATCTCCCTTGTAGAATCTCTTTCTCTTTAAAGACATTATAAGATTAGAATATAGTTTATATCCGTCTAGCTTATAACAATGAAAGTCAACAAAAGCAATTAACCATATTTTATCCCATTCTACCTTACTTAATTTTCTTTATCTTTGTCTTCTTTATATATTTTCCTACCTTTGTACTCCAATTTTTGTACTTTGTACTTTTTGTACTTTGTATTTTGGGATCTTGTACTTTGTACTTTGTACTTTACTTCCTATTACTATTATAAGCTGCATTCCTTGCAAGATCTGTCCAGCTGGAAGATGATGTGACGGTGAAGTTTGAGATTTGGTAAGGTAGAAGAGAATTAGAATGTCCAGCAAGGTTGTTAACATCAATTGGTTCTTATTTAAAGGGATACAGCTGGTCAGGAGAGATACAAGGTAAATACACACAAATACACACATAGTACACAATCATACATAAATATACACATACACATACAAAGAAAAAGAATCAAAGAATATAGGCATACATTATTTAATATATACATACAAACATACAAACATACAAACATACAAGCATATACAAATTTACATTTAAATTCAAATTTAAATTTAAATTCAAATTCAATTATTATAATTTTTTTAAATTTAAAATTCAAATTATATATATGTATATTTACATTTTACAATTTCTTTTTATATATAAATTAGAGTTTGGCTCCAATGTATTATCGTAATGCAAACTGCGCCGTCGTCGTCTACGATATTACACAACCATCTTCTCTTGAGAAAGCCAAAGCTTGGGTAAACGAACTTCAGAGACAAGCTGACCCCAATATCGTGATTGCATTGGCAGGTAACAAATCTGATCTCGAGGCACGACGAGCCGTCCCCACACAAGTAAGTCATCCTCCATTTATTTTATTATATTATATTGTACTGTATACTTTGTTTAAATATATAGATAGCTATATATATAAACCAAGCGAGCGAGCGAGAAAACAAGAAAGATATTACAAGTTTTTGTGGATACGTAAATCTAATCTTGTTGTTTTATTAGACTGCTAAAGAGTATGCCGAGGAAAGTGGACTGTTGTTCTTTGAGACATCTGCCAAGACAGATACCAACGTCACCAAATTATTTGATGAAATAGGTAAATATTTTACTTTTATGTGTACATATATATATAAGATTCTTGATGGCAGTGGTAATGGTAGTGGTAGCTGTAGTGATGATGGTGATTGTTGTTGTCATGGTGAAATTTGTTATATATATATACATGTATTTTTTTTTTGTCATGGTTACTAAAAAAAAACTTACTTTAGCTAAACTGATGCCCCGTGACCAGTTGGCAGATAGTTCGCGTGGTAGAAATAAAGGATTGAATGTGCGCGGAGGTGTGGATTTGGATCACCAAGCAAATGCCAACGGCTGTGCCTGTAAGTCATATTCTTTGATTTACTCTATTTGAATTGTGTGCATTATAGTGTGTGCAAAAAAAGGAATACATTTTTATTTTATTTATATTTTTGTTTTTGGATATTAATTATATTAATTGCATACATCTTTAGGTTAAATAAGCATATATTTTTTTATATATATATTCTGAATTATGCATACATGTATTGTTATTCAACCAACCCAGACAAGCCAACCAACGAACGTAAAACAGCGACATATACAACAACCCCTCCTCCTCTACCTCCTCCTCATCTTATCTTCCCTATCCCCCTCTTTGTCTCTCTTCAGAAGTCATCATTTTATTTTCGCTCCCTCTAGCCTTATCTCACCCTAGCTTCCCCCCCTTTTCTTCTTCTTCTTCCTAAACAATGATCTCCCTTCTTATAGTTTATTTTTATTTTATTCTTTGTTATCACCCTGCCAGTTCAATCTTTATTTCACACTCACAAAAAAAAACTGTACTTTCCTCCAACTAAAGTTATCAATTTTTTTATATACTAAAAAAAAAAGAATTACCCCCCCATTTCTATTCCTTTTTTTGTTGTTCTTGCTGCTGTTACTATTTTATGTGTTTATGAAATGCTTCTTTTGGTTTGGTTTCATTTCGATATGCAATTTCTTTTTTTTAACTATATTATAGTTTGAATTTTTGGTTTATGAAAGCGAATGAATAGAGGAAGCACAAAATAATGATTAAAAAAAATAAAGAAAAAAAAGCAGAATAAAGAATTAATAAAACAATATTATATATATATAATATAGTTAGTTGACACGGCGTCTAGACTTGAGGGGAGGTACGTTGGTCTTGATACCCTTTTTTTCTTCTTGGTCTTTTTCTTCAGATTCGATATTTTCCTTTTGTATCAAACCAATCAAGGTATTGCATCTTCTGGCAATTTCTTGGGAAGTTCTTGACTTCAAGAACCAGTCAAAGCGGAATAATGCCGAACTCTTGATCTCCCGACGAATATTGTCATACACGTTTTCGGTACCGTAACCATACTTCTCCAACATCACCAGCAAGAATCTGTCTTCTTCTTCGGTGTAGTTCTTACCCTTTGTTGGTTGTGTATAATGGATCTTGAGTTGTTGGAGCGGTACCCGATGCTGGTTGACCTTTTCGGTAAGCTGGCCCTGGATATCAGCCTGTTTCTCGAGTTCACTTTCTCCCTTTTCAATTTTTGAAATTTGCTTTTCATAATCTAAAATTAACGTAATGAAAATACGCCCCCAAAAAAGAAATAAATAAATAAATAAAGACATATAGTAGTTTGTTAAGTTTTTGTACCAAAAAAGTAAATTTGATACATCTTTTTTTAAACTTTTGTATGTATATTACCTGCAATTTCTTGGTAACGTTTCCAAAACATATTCGAATAAGCAGTAACTTCTTCCAGTGTCTTTCCTTCAATTTCTTCTGCTATATCTTCTAGGTTGTTTCTATTTTGTGTTTATGTATATATATATATATATTACGTAGCAGTTAGTATTATTATTATTATTATTATCGTTCTGATCTTTTAAATTTTTTTGCATGTTTTTCAATATTTTCTTCTTCTTTTACCTGCCGTATCTTGCACATGCATTGATAAAGTTACCAAAGTCTTTCTTTGACCAGTTAGAGAAACCCTATTTTTCCCATCAAGAATCATTAAAAACATTTCATTAATTTACAAAAAAAATCCTATCTTCTATATATATATATACTCAAAGTGTGTACTTACCTGTGCATAAAGTTCTTTACGTTCCTCTTCTTCTTCTTCTGTCAATTGTTCGGCTATAGAAAAAGAAAATCAATACAATATTCATTTGAAAGGAATAAATGAATTAATAAGACTTTTGTTTATTTACCTTTATCGATCTTGCTTTGCTCTTCTGCTCGCTCTTTTTCTAATGCTTCTATGTCAGGGCTTCCTTCTTCAGCAACTGGGGGAATACGATAACCCAAAGATTTCTTTAATAAATATATATGTTAACAAACTCATTCACATACAGACATTTATATTATACTACATATACAATATTAACTTACCCGAAGATAAAGAGTGTCTTTTTCATTAAGATGGCTGAGACGTGGAGGGAAAAATTGGAAATCTTCACTACAATACAATACAATAGATAATAATGCTGTAGTTTAAGTAAACCTGTCTATAACCACTAATAATAAATTAAAATAAATAAAGAAGTTAAAGAAGAAAAGAAAAGGAAAGAAAAATACATACGTGATGTATCGCTTGGGGCGAGGTGCTTTAGTGGAATGAGTTTTGGATGTTGTACGTAAAGCTTCCTTGTAATAATCATCGACGGCGTAGTTTGCTTTACGTTCTCTTTTGGCTGGACCAAGCCATGAAAGTCCAACTCCACCAGCCTTTCGCTATATAGAGAGATTAAAGAAACGATTATAAATAAGTATCTAACTATTTTATTTCTTTTCTTTTCTTTTCTTACCTTATTACTCCAATCTTCTCCATCCCACTGGTAAGCACTTTCTGATGAAAAGTTTTTTAGGTCATCGATATTCAGGTTTGAATATTTCTTGTTCAATTCGGCTGTCTTTTCTTCACCACGGTGAAGGATCTCGTCAATATCATCGTCGAAATCATTGTTGTTATCATTGTCTTTAAATATGCTCTCTGCACCGTGCTGAATCATTGTCAAGAGCTCGTCTTTAGAAGCACCTTTTTGTTGTTGCATGCGACCTTGTTGGATAACCAATTGATCAAGACGAAGTTTTTGGGCAGCTCTTTCAAGCACCTTTTCTTCAATAGCGTTCTAAATATTTACACACACACACAAATTTCATTCATTAACTTATTATTCATTTTTTAAAAAAATATAATTATAGTTATGTATTACAATACCTCTGTTACGAATCTAAACACATAGACCTGCTTGGTTTGTCCGATACGATGAGCACGATCCATAGCCTGTAAATCGACTTGAGGGTTCCTAAATAATAAATAAATAATTAATATTATTTCTTCCTTTCTTTTCAAGTTTTTTTTTTACCAATCGCTGTCAAAGAGAATAACAATATCTGCAGTTGTCAAGTTGATACCCAATCCACCAGCACGAGTAGTAAGCAAAAAGATAAATTTGTCGCTGTCGGGACGGTTGTAATCATCAATGGCATCAATTCGGTCTTCTTGGGTTGTCTGTCCATCGATACGACAATATTCTATTATGAGTAGTAATTATTAGAATTTATTTGAGCTTAAAAGTATATTTAGATAATAATAATAACAATAATAATAATCCTTACCATAATCTTTCCACCAGCAATAATCTTCAAGAATATCAAGAACACGACTCATTTGACTGAACAACAGCACACGAGATCCTTGTGCCTTGAGGCGTGTCAAAAGTTTATCAAGGACCAACATCTTTCCAGCATTATCGACAATGTGTTGGTCGGTAGTATAAGGTGGTCCAGGTTCCTAAAGAAAGAAAGAAAATGATATATACATATAAATATTTATATATCTTTGATTTTCTTTGAATAATACTATGTGTAATAAACAAAAAAGAAGAAGCAGAAAGAAAGAACTGCTTTTCTATAGGTAAAAATGTTAAACTTACAGCACCGTCAAACAAGTATGGGTGGTTACAGCATTTTCTCAATTGCATAACAACATTAAGAAGACGTGTCTTGCCTTCCTTCTTTGAAATACCTGCTCCACCTAGAATATAAGAAGAAAAAAGAATTCAAATTCAATAGAGTTAATGATTTCTATAGTATATTAAGCCATTTCATTACTGCAATTTTTTTATATGTTTTTTTTTACCATTAACAGCGTCAATATCCTTTTCCAAGATCTTCTGGTACCACTTTCTTTGCATTGAACTCATACGCACATATACATTGATTTCCTTCTTAGGAAGCAGTGATTTTTCGACATCAGACTTGATACGACGTAACAAGAATGGTCTCAAAACCTTTTTATATATATAAAAGTAAGTAAATGATTAGTAAATATTGGTGCTCATTTTTATGTAAAGTATAATCCCCATATACTTCTTGTTTCTTACCTTGTGAAGTTGTTCGACAACCTTCTTTTGATCTGCACCCTGTTTCTCAAACCATTCGTCAAATGCTTCAGAAGAACTAAACACATCAGGCAACAAAAAGTTCAACAAAGCCTACAAAACAAATGATGATGATAATAAAAATAATAGTAATAATAATGTATTATTATTATTATTATGTTTTTGTAAGTATACTGCTATTATTATTGTCATTATCATTTACCCAAAGTTCGTGAAGGTTGTTCTGGAGAGGTGTACCGGTAATCAACATTCTGTTTCTAGAGTCCAAGATACGCATGATCTGAGACAGCATAGAGTTTTCGTTCTTGATTCTGTGAGCTTCATCAATAATGATGTATTCCCACATGATTTTTTTGAATTGTGCCTTTTCCATCAAACAAGTTTCGTATGAAGTAATACAGACTTCAAAGTCAAGAGGCTGAAGACGTGTCTTGATCAATCCAGCCTGAATAACAATAACAATAATTAATAAGTTAAATTTGACCTCTTTTTATATTTATATATAAAGTATTTTTGTCTTTTTCTTACCCTCTTTTCCTTGTCACCATGAAACACAAATGCTTTAAAATCAGGAACCCATTTGTTAAACTCACTCAACCAATTGTGCAAGGTTGACTTTGGTACGACAACGAGATGAGGTCCATTGATACCACGGACATGTTTGAGGAAACCAAGGAATGAGATTGTCTGAAGTGTTTTTCCTAGACCCTATAGAAATTTCAAATTATAAAAAAAAAACAAATAAATTAATAATAATTAATTATATAATCGAAAGATGAGTTATATTTTGTATTTATCTATCTCTTTGTCTCGTCAAGTATGTATATATGTTATTTATATAATTATAATTATACCATCTCGTCTGCCAAAATACCGTTGATATTGTTCTCATACAACTGGATCATCCAATTCAATCCCTGAACTTGGTAATCTCGAAGGGTTCCACCAGTTACATCTATATATACACAATACATTTAATCATTTAATTTATACATTCTAGATTCGACCTTTGCTTTCATATATATTATACTTACAGGCAGGAGATTCAGTAAACACAGTCAACTGCTCTTCCGTCTCTCCAGATTCATCCTTTAAGATCTCTTCGTCTTCCTCTTTTTCTGTCTTTCGTCGTCGTCTAGATCTAACATATAAAAAATCATTTTGATGTTGTTGAAGTTTGTACTTTCAGCACAATTTGCCACCTCATTTATAGGTCGAAAGAAAGAAAGAAAGAAAACTATCCAAGATCGTTCCCTCTTCTTGTTGTTGTAATTATAAAAGCTACTACTACTACTACTATTATCATTATTATCATTATTATTTTACCCTTCTTCTGATTGTTTCTCAAGTGCCTGCTCTCTCAATACTGCCTGTAAAGCTTCGTCTTGCTCGTTTTTCAAGTTCAAGAAATGGGCAAAAAGTTCGGTCTGACCCAATAAATATCTATACCGCTTCACTCGGTGCAAATACTAAAAAAAAAAAATCTCAATCAATTTAATACTCAGGACACCCAAGAAATGAAGGGAAATAATTTCATCAATTAGACAAATCCCAAAAAAAATTAGACTCACAAGGGTGTCTTCACTATCAGGAAGGCCTTTTGCAACAATCTTTTTTGCAGTAGATGCCTTTTTAGTTTCCTACAGTAAAAGAAAATTGTTGGTTCGTTGGTTCTTGTCAAATCGTATATGTATTGATTTATAATTGTCGAAAATAAAAGAAGAGAGAGTATGTGTGATAGGATAAAAGAAGGTCTGGATGGCCGAGTGTATATATATATATGTCTATAGAAAGGAAGGCAGATAATAATAACAAGAATAAAAAAATTCTGTTTTTGTTGGCTTACTGAGTGAACTTTTGGCTGGGCTTCTACAACGCGATCCTACACGATGAAGAAATTGAATTCAATGATGAGCACATTAATGAATTCTTCATGTGGTGTTTTTAATGATTACTACTATCTCTTTTGTGTGTGTCTGCGTTCCTGTTTTTTTTTTGTTTTATTTTGTAAATATCTATATCTTCGACATACTCCATTGACTTCATCCTTAAGACTAGTTTTTGGATCGATATCCATGTGCTGTGTTCTGGTTGAAGACTAATGTAGTTTATACAAAAAAAATTGAATTGAGTCCTTTGTTTTTTCTTTTTTCTTTCTTTCTTTTCTTTTCTTTTTGGTTTGTCTTTAAAGTTACTGTTAATGATTGCTTTTGCAAGATAGAAACTTATTAAGAAGAGGAAGACAAGAGAGAGAAAAGAAGGAGTAGGGGAAGAAGTGGAACTGTGTTCTTACTCTTCGGGTCGTCATTAAAGGCGGTCTTGGATGCTTACAGGAAACTTTAAAGAATCAAAAAAGAAGAGAGGAAGAGAGACGAGAAAAAGAAGAAGAAAAAACGAAGCAACGGAAGGAACGCGATAAAGTCAAATAGTTTGCAACAGTCACTGGACGTCATTTTTTTATATATTTTATTTTATTATTATTTTTTTGTCTCCGTCATTCCCTTTAATGCTTTTGAAAGGTACATAACATTTGTATATATATATATAATTTATAATTATTCAAAGAGAGAGAGGAAGGGAGAAAATCAAAAGAAATAGACAGATTTGTACCCGTGTTTGTGTAGCATAAATAGCATTAATTGAAGAATTATTGATCCAAGAATGCATTTAGACACACAATTACAGTAATTGAATGATATCAAACATAAATCAATTGGCCTGGAAACCAATAATTGGATTGGCTTTAACCATCTAATGAAACTTCTAAATAGCAAGAAAAAGGTTAATTACAATATCAGTTACCAGGTAACAAATTTTATTTTAAAGCTTTATATATACATACAATAATTGCATAATAGTTATAATGCGTTTTGAACAAGTTGAAAAACTATGTTTGTAAATCATTATCCAATCCTCCTAGTCACAGACAGACGGACATATATATATTGTGGTATTTAACTTTGTAATACAACAGTAATTTCAAATCTTAAAGTGTAAAACTTTATACTTGAATACATTACAGTGCACAACCTTTAAAGCTCAACCTCATCATATTGTTAAAACCATTAATATCTTTCAAAATAATAATGAAATAACAGGCGCCATAATACATGCAATTTATAAAGGATGACAATTTTGTGTAGGTATGATATAAGAAAAAGTTTGTAAAAAAGGGAAGGGGGATGAAAATAGAAAAGTATAATCAATTGACAAGATGACAACATAAAAAGAAATAATATTGTCCTTTTTTTTTTCCTAATGAGGTTAAAAATTGGTGCCTAGCTATTGTAACGTAATAGAACTGTCTCAACATTTTATGTTAACATTCCTTGACTTCTTTAGTTAGTTAAGTGAAAAAAAAAGTTACTGACAAACTTGGAATCCAATATACATATTGTGAATGGAATTTTATGTAACATTATGGTTGGGAATAACATCATTACTGTTAAGATATCGCCACTCATTTTCAGTAATGTCAATTGATATGAGTAAGATTTACTGGTTTATATTGATAAAAGAAAATGAAGAGAGAAAGAGAGAGAGAGATAATAGCATCTCTACGACCATGCTTTTTTAGAAAGGGATTCTTTAAACTTATTCGAGTAGGTATCAAAGTTGTATGGAATTTTTTTCTGACATAGCCCACACAGAAAAGAAAAGAAAAATAGGTCAAGAACGCTGGGTCATTTCCTGAAGATGTTTTTGGAAAGGTCAATTTTTGCCTAGTTATTATTATTAGTACGAGTGAATATCAGAGGTTTTTGACGTTACGATTTGCTGTTTGGCAGGCTAAAAGTAAAGAGAGAGGCAAAGGAAGATATTATGGTTGCCTGTATAAGATACAGACTGGTTGCTTGTAAGTATTTACAACCAATCGAATCTAGTTGTGTGTGTATCAAACATCATATAGGCATCTAAGCATGTTGGAATGAGGTTGTTGTTTCTGTCAGCTAGGTAAAACATGGTAAGATTTTCTAAAGAATAATTTAAGAAAATAAAGGTCAACATGATGATTTACGTTTGATAAATGGCTCTATTATCTTGATAATACTCTGTGCTAAATAATTAATGAACCTAGGATTCACAATAAGATTTTTTCGGGACACACACTTTAATTGTCGGATCTTTAAATAGCATCGTTTAATGGTGTAAATATCGATATTGGTATTTTTACATATGTTGATATCTCCATGAATATTGGTCTGTTGTCTGTCAAAAAAGCACTGAGAATCATGGTATAATTTGATTAACTACTTTACTTAATGGTGCAAAACGAAAACTCTCAATTTTTTTGTGGTGTAAATATCTATTTTTTCATTAGTAAATGGTTTTTTAGAATGAAAAAATGGGATAATTTGATCAATATTTGGGAAATTACTGTCAGACAGCGTCTAGATAGTGGATCTTTATGTGTCTCATCATATTACTTATAAGTATAAAAGCTGCTTGTTTGATCAATTAAGATCTATAGCTAATGTTTTGTATTTAATTAGCAATTTTTGATCAAAAATAATCCTTTCTAGTAAACAGCTCTTCATTTCAGCGGTAAATTCAATAACATAATGGTAATTATAATATTTGATATAATGATAATGTTGGTTATATAATTTTGCTCCTTCAAATATTATTACTATGCCGAGCTTTGACTTTAAACTTGTCTGTAGTAGTCCGTAGTAAATTAATTAAAATCTTCATGACAACCACATGTATATATGTATATATATTTCTTTTCCTTCTGGTTTCAAATTGATATAAATCTCATAATTATTATTTATGCAGTAATAAATTTTACTTTGATCTAATTTTGGATCTTTTTGTTTTCTCACTAGACTTGGTAATAAACGCCGTTTTACCGCATCTTATTAGTTACTTGACGTGTTTACATCTCGTTTGGTTACGATGATTTGTTGGATTTATATTTGTAGGGATCCGAATTACATACTTTTTTCTTCTTCTTTTTCCTAAAAGGCAAAGAGGGAGGTAGGAGAAGTAGAAGGGAAAGGGGTTAGAAAGATGGTTATTTTCATTCAACAATTCATTCATTCTCTGGTATTATATAAACGATATATTAACTTTGGGAAACAATACGGGAGTCTTTACAGAATAATTTGGCTTAGTGATAGTGTAGCATAGATATATCAACCCATTCTTTATATACATACATATACATAGATATATAAGAGAGGAAATGTGCATTAAATGCAAAAAATGGCGTGGCTGTTGCACAGAATGAATATGGAAATGTAAGAATACATGAAAAGGATAGATAGATAGACAGATAGACAGATAGGAAGGTAAGTAGATAGTTAGGTAGGTAGATAGTTTAGTAAAGTAAAGTAAAGAAAAAGGGAAACTATCTTTTAGTGGGAAAGAGGATCGAGAGGGTTGGAGAAGCTAAAGTTGCTTGATGAACTTTCGGAGCGGCTAGGAGTGTGTGCCGAGGATGGTTTGAGACTGTTGGTGTAATGGGATGAAGATGAATGGGATCTTGAATGGCTGGGTGTGTAAGGGGAGTTTGGTGAGTAGAGAGGGCTAGAGGCGTCAAGTTCATCATCCGAAATCATCGTGCTTGGACTAGGGCTGGGAGGAAGTGGAGTGCCGTATGGTCCCAGAGTCAGGGGTGATCGATTGCCTGAACATAAAGTGGGAGCTTGTTGCAGACCTTGTGTTTGAACTGAAAGTGGAGCACGCGAAACGAGGTACATGTCGTGTAACATATTTGAACCATCGTTGGAAGACGTTGGGTCGTGAGAGGTAACAAAAATAGAAGGCGGCCTTTCCTCAGTTGCCCGAGATGTAGTATACTGATTGATGCTTTGAAGCTCAAGTGGAAGTTGCCCTATAATAGCAATATTATTATTATTATTATTATCATTATCATTATCATTACCATTAATAATTGATCAATTGATCAACTAATCAATCAATCAATCAATAGCGTTATTTTATTTTTTATTTATTTATTTATTAAAATGTATATTTATATAGGTTGTCATAGACAACGGCTGATATTGCTTTATTTATTAACCAATTTAAACCCAGTCATTTATACCCACTTATCAGATCTTTTTCAATTATCTATAGTAGTTTATTATGATTCTTTTCACTTACCACCGTTGCGTTGGGTTATGTATTGTATCATTGATTTCATCATTTGGTTCTGTTGTTCCTGTTTTCTTTTTGTGTCTGCAAGTTCTTTAACTACCGAATTAAAGTTTTCGTATAGGTGTCCAATCTGTTGCATCATGTCGGATTGATTGACCTGCATCATTGTGACATGAGCATTCATGTCTCCAGTGTCCCGCCGTCCACTGTCCGTTGCTGATTCCATAGATTTTCGTTTAATATCGTCCAGAAGATCTGCTCTATCACGAAGAAACTTTTGGTGGGAAAATTCCCATATCTGGTTTTCAGCCAAAGTTCGGTGACCTCTGGGAGATTTATTGACTTTGTGAAATCCATACCTTTTCATATAAATAAAAATAAATAAATAAATAAATAGGGAAAAAAATTAAGTAAATCAACAATCGAAATAAATCACACGGGGAACACTTACATATTGAGTTGTCTTACAAAACTTGAAAAGTTATTGTGCTTAAAATGCTTGGGAAGAACATCACGAGAGAACTCCATAATATTACAAACAATAAATGAAGATCCAGTGTAGTTCCACGCAATAAGATGTTGGTATTGGTTATCAATGACCATGCTTTTTTTTTATAAAAAAAAATAAAAGGAAAAGTACAATGTGTTAGCAAATCATTGAGCCTTGTATAGAATAATAAAAAGAAAAGAAAAAGAAGGTAGCTTACTTGTACAGCTTGTGAACAAAAGTGTTAGTGTGAGACGGTTTTTGGGTTGGCATCTGAGGTGGTTGGACTGATAGGTGTTGGGAAGGTTGTTGTGGAGATGTCTGGACGTTGAAAGGTCTTTGTATTGAAGAATTGTCATATAACGAAAAGTTACTACTGACAGATGCGTTTGAAGAGGATCTGCGATGGTGATGCATTGTGGTTGTGGCAAGAACTCGTCTAAACGGAAAGAGCTGTCTTTTTTTTACATACACACTATACACACATATTATACACACACATATTATACACACACACTTACACTACATACACACACTATACCCACACACTACCCACTACACACTGCAGACCCAGCCATTGAATGTCGTCACCAATAGAATCACAAGAAGGTTTTGTACCAATAAGGTTTCTTGTCTTTCTCACCTCCTTTGCCCTGAAGTCAGCTCCGCCTGTCGTTCTTGAATCTTTCGAGTTTGAGGTTATCTTTTGAATGTAATCTATTCTTATCTTAAGTAGAATGCAATCAAATGGCGCCAAAGAGGATTCTAATAGGCATTGTGCCTAGAACTTGAGTGAGGTAAGCATCAAGATTATCTTGTTCCTGAGAAATATATATTCATCTTCTTTGATGTATCCTTACAACGACAAAGTCCACGGACCACTGTATTTTCTTTTCTTTTTTTTTTTTAAAAAAAAAAAGCGTCTCCACAAAGTTTTAAGTACTTGCGGAGATCACAGACAATGAGAGTGAATTACAGCCTATAGTCTAGCCAACGTGGGCTTAATTCTGCCTTTTTTTAATCTTTTTTTGCTTTTTGCTTTTTCAAAAAAAGGTCTCTTTTTCAACTCTACTTTTAATAAACTCCTTGTGCGAGTTCAACCCGACAAAACACAAGTCTAACCAATCACGCGACAATTTTTCATTTCGGTTGTGGGAACACTTTTTTTGGTTTGTTTATTTACAATTTGCTCTCATTTTGAGTTACTACGGCAATTACTTTAGCGTGTGTAGCACGCTCATTAATAGCATGCATTCCCTCAGGAATTGTTCCCAGGCTGTATTTCTTATCATAAAGTGCAGACTTAATTTTTCCGGTCTTGAAGAGATCGAATAAAGCGGCCCATACTAGAGGAATCTTCTCTGGCTCATGCTTTACGTACGCTCCCCAATGAAGTCCACTAACAAACCAAGTTAGGGGCACAATTCGTTTTACAAACAAAAAAGTTCTCCCCGCTTCTCCCTTTTCCAACTTTAAATACTCACACTGCTGAGATATTCTTCAACAAAAGGCGGTTCATGGCAATTTTCTCAATTGTACCCTTGGCGAATCCAATGATCAATATACGGCCACTGAATGCAGTGCATTTGGTACTAATAAAAAAAAATAGGACAAAGGGATGAGAATCCCATAAACATACATACATACACACGCTCACAACAAATATTACGATCACCTTACCTTTCTTCTACAAGTCCAACTGGATCAAATACAACATCGGCACCACGTCCACCTGTAGCCTTCTTAACCTGCTCTGCCCAGTCTTTATCGCGGTAGTTGATTGCAACGTCTGCGCCGTAAGACTTGGCTACCTCCAGCTTCTCAGGGGATCCTGCAGTGGCAATGACAGTAGCCCCCAAAGCCTTTGCGATCTGAACAGCTGCGATACCGACACCTCCAGCAGCTGCATGTACAAGACATGTTTCTCCTGCCTTCAATTGACCACGCAGCACCAAAGCACTATAGCTAGTTGGGTATGTTATGTAGATACCAGCCGCCTCTTCAAACGACATGTGATCGGGCATTGCCAACACACTCTTGGCTGGAACAGAAATCACTTCAGCAAAAGAATATCCACTTCCAAACACCCGATCACCGGCCTTGAACCCATGTGCGCGCGACTTTGTTACAACTCCAGAAAACTCGGCTCCAGGAATAAAGGGGAACGGGGGTTTGATCTGATAACGGCCTTGAATCTTTTATTTATTTATTTAACCGAATCAGTTACTAGAAACCTTTTTTCTTTTTTCTTTACTCTTTTCCTTTCTTTACGCTTTTCTTTTAATAGTACAGAACCAACTCACCATTAATGTATCAAAGAAGTTAAGACCAACTGCCTTTACTTCCACCTGCAGCTCACCCTCCTTTGGTTCAGGCACAGGCACGTTATTTTGCAGCACGAGATCTTCAGGGCCCTTGAGCCATTTGTTAACGACGAATGCCTTCATAAGTAGATGAGTTGAGTTGAGATGAAATGAAATGAAACGTAATGTAATGTAATTTAATGTTGATTTACACACAGCTTCATCACACTTTTCATGCGCCTATTCTTGCTGATATAATCTCAATTGCATTTTGTGACTCGGGAGTTTTGTACCATATTGACCGTTAAATATTTAGGCTTTTTATATATATAAATATATATTTTATTTTTACTACAATTTCTTTTTTAACTTATAGATATTGAGTAGAACCTCTTGATCGATCTATCGAAAAAAAAATAGATAAAAAAAACAAGTTCTCCCCTTCACTCTCCCTCTATAAATTCTCTTTTATTTGAATATGTACATCAATATTTTATTTAGGGCATTAAAGAAATATTAAGTTAATTTGCATATTTTATGCAGTGTGGGAAAAATGTATTATATAAATCCCCATATGTTTACTGTGGTTCAAATCCACATTACCCCACATTTCACAAAGCGTACTGACCGTGCACACCATATCATCCTTAACAATCAATTATTCTGCCAGTCAACTCAAATTCAATGCGTAGCTTGCTTTTTTTTTTAATATATATATATATATGAGGAATTTAGCTGGTGTTCATTTCTTGGTTTTATTGTTAAAGAATTGTAGTAATGATTTATCAGTGAACAAAACTTTACATAAAAACTTTTTTTTCTTCATTATTATAGCAAATAATATTTATTATGTCTCAAATATTCTCACCATTTTGGACTTGATTTTTAAAGATGACCCTGGAAATTCGATATAACTGTCGGATGGTTTGGTTTTTAGCATATGATCATGTAATATCGGAGAGTCTTCAATTATAAACAAGGGCAAAGCTTGAAAAGATGTTAATTGCTCTGGAGGCACGGTACTCGGTAGCGTCAGTTTTGACACAATGAAGCAGTTTTTTTTCATAAATCCACAGGAACGAGTAAAGACCAAGTTACTCGGGATTGCTTGTGGACTATCATCTCAATATCTGAAAATCAGATGCCATAATAGTGTTGTTTATTAAAGTCAAATAATATTGTTTATATATATTAACATTCATATCTCTGTTATGTAATGGCTGGCTTACACTTTATAGGTTTGTAGTGTACGTGTTCCTGGTGTGTAAAAGCTCTGGGGATTGTTAGCTTGTTATGCTCGTTTGCAATAAGAAACCAGTGTTTGATTGTGGAGTATGTTCTTCACTCAATTGTGGTTTTTATACCACAAAGACATCTAAGGGCTTTCAATAACTCATTTAAACTTTTGCATACAGTTAATAGAGAAGACATGGTCGATTCAACCCCCCTCCCCCCAAGTAATAAAATAAGTTTTGTAGATTTTCAAGGCGTTTTGTGAATACTTAAACAGACGTTGCATAAATGCTTCATTGGCATTTTGGACTTTGATTAGGGTAAGAGGAAGTAACTTTTGGACTGCTAAACCAGGTGTGTACAAGCATATCAATTTGCAGGCCATTAATCCATTCAGTTCCTGATGATATATATGTCCCTTTTGAAGCATCTGATAATTCATCAGCCACAAGGTCAATTACACTTTGAGTTTTTAGCAGCTTTTTTTTTTATAAATGGATCTTTGCAAGGCATTTGATGCTGACTCGATTTCGGCTTCACCGTATCATTCCCTATAAACATGACTTCCCAAATCACAATATATGCGGCCTGGATATAGAGGAAAGCTGAAATTTTTGGATTTTATGTCCCTCCAAATGGGTCTTCTGGAACGACGCACTGGCGAAACACAGGGTCCTATAACTAGCCCAGAGCCAAGATATTTTATCGTCATATATCACACTGATCAGCCCCGACCTGAACGGAGACACCAGTACTTGTAAACCGCTGTAGATACTAGGTCTTCTCCTCCTGGTATTTTATGCCCGACAGTGACACCTGAACCACTTCTGCAGTCCTTAATTTCCTCAAGCTAAAGCATGCCAGATACGGTCCTTTGGCATTTTTCCTACACTCGCAGCAGAAAAAAAAAGAGAATCGTTTAATTGCTGTAAGATATATACAGTAAAAACGGCTCTTGCTACAACTACATCTCATACGATTTGAGTAATTTGCTATAGCTTAGATGGTCTTTACGAATTTTACCAATTTCTACAAATATATTGGTGGCAGAAGAAGAAATCTATATATATACATTGCAAATAAGCAGTTAAGGTATTATCAGACTTGAATAACTTTTTTTTACGAGTAGGAAAAGAGAAATGAAAGAAAAATAAAGATATATTAATCATTTATTTATTATAGCTATTCTTCCTAATGGCTTACTATCTATTAATAAAATCAATACTTCTATTATCTACTACCTCTCGTAAATGAAAGAAAAACGCAATAATGACATCGATCGAGAAAAAAAAAGATAGCGAGTCAATAAAATGTAATTTTGAAGAGACATATGAAAATAAAGAAGTACATAAAAATATAGATAAGCGCATATCATAGAATAACATAAATAAGCTTAAAAAAATGTAGAAGAAAATACTATAGAAACTATAATAAGATCCAATTTATGAGCTAGCTACCACTACAGGCTCTTCACCCCAATGCTGAAACTTTTTCGAATGTTTGAGATCGGCTTGGTTATAGCAACTCTTTCCATATTTGCACTGGGGATTTTTGCGAATCTTGTCTATAAACCCATTTTTAATGTGATTAGAATAAAAAATGATTTATAATGCTCGTAATAATTCCTCTTTATCTTCTTTTATATTCGTTTGCTTACCAGGCAAGTTTTGATGCTCAGAGCGAATATTGTCGGCGAGAATTTTTGAAGTAATATAATGGGAGCATTTGCGGCACACTTTGCTTTTGCGTGTCAAATCCAAGGGTGTCTGCCAAGATTTGACTAGAATAACAGTAATATTTATATATTTATACATGCATTAAATCTCTTTTCTTTTCTTTTTATAAAAACGTATATGTACTTACGGTATTTTTTTTCTGCAATGTATTGATTCAATCCTTCATCGAATATATTCTTTGGTGTTATATTGTTTAAAGTTAGGTACACTTGAAGAAGTTGCCTTTCGTAGTCGTTAAAGTCGAATAGATTGTAGTCCTTCAACTCGTATTCATCAAGTGGCTTTATTGATGCACTTCCGGCTTGATACTGGCACAAAGAGCAGTGGCTGTTTTTGCGCACCAACACAAGGTATCGTATCTTGACTTGGGCCTCATTGCGAACAACATACTCGTTGTACTTCAAATGATGATACGTTTCACTTTTTTTGAAGATTATTGGGCCAAGAGGAACTTGAAGCTAGAATAATACAAAAACAAATGTTGTTAAACTCTATATTTCTTTCTACTAATCTTGAGATTCCCCTCTCCTTAACCGTTTAGATATGTATATATAACTTACTCCGTTCTTGTCGAAAATACCATTCTCAGGGTTTGGAAATTCTTCTCCAAGGCCTTTGATAGACATGTGTCCTTTTTCTTCAGAATAATTTTCTGGTCGGTAATAGTCCATCTCACACTCTTCTCCAAGAGCAACTTCACAAAGCAAGAGAAGTTTATAAGCTTTGTTTTCAAAGCCAGTGTTATTTCCAGAGTAAGAAATCGACTTGCAGAACATGTCACCAAAGTAGATTCCATTTCCATATTGAGCACCCTAAGAAGAAGAAAAGCTTGGTAAGTGCATTGTACTTATTTTTACTGTTATACATGTATATATACTCACATTATGGTCAGTAGTCTGAGGTTGACATCGGAGACCTTGTTTGAGAATTCCCATGAAATTGCTTGTGTTTGATCCATGCCAGAGAAGTTTTCTGTTCTTGTTGTTTTCAAATGGCTTGAATCGCCCTTGTTCGACAAACCGGTTGACAGAGAACAAATGTGATATTTCATAGTCTTCCTGCTTTGCTGTAGACTTCATGTATTCTCTGATAATGGTGTACTCGCTCGCAGCAGAACCATCTTTTGTGATTTCATCCAAAGAACATCCGAGAGTCTTGTAAACATAATCAATAGGATGGGTAATAAAAGCATTGTGTTTTGCAGCCAAAGTAAGATTTGCCGCAAAATTAAGGTAAAATAAATCGTTGCTCCTGGACATTTCTGTGGATAGAGCATTATGACTAAGAATCGGTTGTATGCTGCTAGACTGACTATTGTTCAGTGGCAAGAGCTGGTAATATGCACTGCTGAGCTTAATGAGCTCATGGTTGACCACTAAATATGGATAGAAGACACAAATCAGCTTTTTGCTTTAAAAATAACAATAACAATATCTTTTCATTAAAATTCAACTTACACTTTTGAGCAACGTGCTGTTCGTGAGTTTGCATCTTCGATCTCTTTTCCTTAAAATCTGTCAGTACGGTTTCGATCTTCTTCAGAATTTCTCGTGAATCATCAATAATCTTTTGGGGAACCTGTCCGATAGGAATATCTATTTTGACTCTTCTGTAAGCAACCTGAAGATAGCTGAAATCACAGAACAATTGCATTGTGTTGCGAAGATTATCAGGGAGCTCTGATTTAGCATCTGTCTTTCTGAAATCAAACTCAGTCAGGATATCATCATTTGTGTGATTCTTGGTAGGAATCAGCATGAAACGGGCGGGCTTGGGAACAAAGTTTGATAGCCTGTCTTCCCAGTAATTGCCAGTCTTTGCTCGGAACAAGGCCTTGAATTCAGTGACAGCCTCTTCTTTAGTCAAGAACGGGGTTTTCTGATGCATTCCATCTTCACCAAATCCTCCCCAGCGGGTCCAGAGGATATATACATCAACAAGTTTGTTGTATATAATGGACATTTTGTAAAACCTACAAATGTATTAGTTCAAGTGTTTAATTGTGAAAATAAAGTTTGTGCTATATACATATATATAGAATGTCTTACATATTGCGGCTGTAATTGTTTGAAAATATCTCAACCTTCATAATCATTATATCAAGAGGCTCATCGTTTTCATAAACAACAAATCCAACATTTTTAAGATTTGAGAGTGGATCAACTTCAGCCGGCTTCTTGTCTTCTTCCATTTTGTCTTCTTTTGAGGCATCTAATTTGGCCTGAAGGAGTTTTCTTTCGGCATCTGCGTCTTTTTCAATGGCTTGAGAAGGAATAGAACTGTCTATTTCCATCATGGTTTCTGCCTCGGAGGGTGCTTCCTCGGAAGGTGCGTCCTCAAAAGCTACTGTAACTCCTTTATCAGCTAATAAATCGTATGTTTTATTTGAGAATCTAGCTTGAGCATGAGATGCAGAAGAATGGCCTAAAAAAAGACAAATATATATATGTGTGCATAAATAAAATACTTGTCTCAAACCAGAAATGGATACAGAATAAGTCAAGATAACTTGCCTTGGTTGTCTAAAGTCCAGGCCAATTCACGAAATCTACTTCCAACTGATCTCGATATATAGGTGAGTATATGAATATTATCATAAGAGTACCCGTGAGATCCGGCAATGAGACGAGCAACAACAGTCATGCCTTGGCTATCGCGAGCAAACCAATCAATAGGAACAGTGGTTTTCTCGCAGATAACCTTAAGTAGCGACATTCGGTTTTGCAATACAGTATGAAAGACTGCGTTGACTTTGTCTTCATAGATATCTGAACGATCTTCTAGATTCTTCTTACAGCTTTCAATGTTCGGATCTGCGTGAACTTCAAGCAAGCGCTTTAATTTTAAGGTGCGCGAGAGAGAGAAGCTTGGTAAGTAACTGCCTTGTAATTGATCGATATATGATAATACATACTTCAATAAGGATTGGATCATTCTCTCGTATAGCGGCCTCGAGTGGAGTTTCACCTGTTATTTCATCAATTGTATTGATGTCGACAGAAGAGTAATGGAGCATGTGCTCGTATATGGTATGCTATGATATATATATATATATATATAGAAGTCGATTTGTTTTAATATATATATATATTATTTTCTCTTAGAAAAATACGTACATCTTCATTCTTTGACTTTCTTTTTTCAAAGAAGTATGTGTAGAATATAGAGCGAGATGATCCAGGAACCTTTACATTAAGATCCACTTTGTGGTTTAGCAGCAGCTATATTATATCAAAGGCATACACGTTAGCCAGAACTCACAAGTTTTTTCTTTTCGTTCTGTTTATAATATGCGTATTCTTACGTGTAGTTTATCTGTTTTGTTCTTATCAGAAAGGTAGATAAATAATGATGAGATTGTGTTTTTATCTTTTTTGAAAGAACGTTCAAATGCATTGGGATCTGCTCCGGCCTTCAAAAGCATCTAGAAGAATAATTAAAAAAACAGTTAGTTTAAAAAAAAGTTTTTTGCTTTAAAAAAAATACTTACATCAAATATCTTTGAGTCCATAAAACTTGAAGCAAAAAATAAGGGAGGGGTTTCGGTGTACATTGTGAGACTATCCCCAATGTATACAGTTGATGGTTGATTCAAGTCTGCCTTTGCTTCAATCAAAAGCTATTGATGAAAGTATATTTAATAAAACATAGTCCTAGCTATCTTTCAAAATTTTACTCTTATATAAAAATTACCTTGAGAGCATCTGCGTTATCATCGAAACAGGCCGCAGAAACAGCGTTTCTTCGCTTGAACCCAAAGTCGGAATCTGTGGCAGCCCCAGCATTTAAAAGCAATTGCAAGACTTCGGTATTCTTATACTCGGTAGCTAGAAGGACAATCGACTTTTTCTCTTCGCTGGTGACATGTGATACAGAAGCACCAGCTTCCAAAAGAATCTTTTTTATATATAATAAAAATATAAAAATATAAATATATAATATATTATGGCTTAATTGATTTACGGCTATATGTAATATAAATACCTTGACACATTCAGTGGCATTTGATGATACAGCATACCATAGTTCGGATGACCCGGAATTGTCGAGCACACCAATCTGGCACAGCTTGGAGTCTATCAATGATTTTAAAAGATCAAACTGGCTATTCTTTGCCGCATAATGAGCAGGACTACATCCATTAGCGTCGATATGAGCGCTTATATTGAGAGTCTCAATTCGGCTCAAAAACTCTGGGTAATATTCGCTCCAAACCTCACTTGCAAAAAAAAAAGTGTTTAAGTTATTTATGGTCATTTTTTAATATAAAAAAGGTAGTTTAGCTGTATAGACAACTTACTCGTCAAAGGGTTTGAAATCAGTGATAATATGCCAAAGGTTTTTGTTCTCTGTCGTAGTAGAGCTTGTAATAGTTTCATCATCTGCAGAACGAAGAAGTACCTCTGCCAGATGGAATTTTCCTATTTAACAAAATTGATATGGAATATATATATATATATCTTGGCTTCAAACAAAAATATAAAGTTGACAGCTTCATACCTGTAATAAGTGCGTCTTTAAGAAAATCTAAATATTAAATTTGATTAGACAACACCAATCAACCATGGTAATTAACAACATTACACTTACCGAGGAACTTCACCCCATGATCCATAATAATGTAGGTCATGTTCATAATCGCTTTCGACAAACTGTAGTGGAAGGTAGAGACACTATCTGTATCAGGCAATATCATATCCCGTGAAGTATCAGCTCCTTCACTGCAAAGCATTGAAGAATAATCAACATGCCCATATCCCAGAGATAATTGCAAAGGCCCATTCTACACAAGTAGTACATCACACAAACAGGGGTTAGAAATTGTACACAGAATTAAGGCTTACCACAAGCAAAAACAAATTTACCCCATCATTGTCTGCTGCATTCACGTTGACATTCTTTTTTAACAAGAAAGAAGTACATGAAAATGAACCTGTACATGCGGCATAATGAAGAGCAGTACGTCCAAAAACATCAGGAACATCGTATTCAGTATTTTCACTAGTACAAATAAACTTGATGATATCGACAGGATCTGATCTCATGGAAGGTCCAACTTCTTTCTCCCAGAAAAAACCAATGTACATCTCCAGAGCAGATTTCTCTTCTTCGGTAAACTCAAAGTCGTCCTTTTCCTTCTCTATCTTGGCTTCTTCTTGAGCAATGGACATTTTCTGGCCTTTCTTGAGCCATTCGTTTATGCTTGAACTCTCGTCACCGTATTTAGTCAGGAATTCCTCCAAAGTAACCTTCTTCTTATTTTCATAATCGTTCTTCTTAATAATATTTTGTACTTTCTTGGCTATGAGAATAACCTCTTTCATATTGGGGATGACGTTCAGCCCAGTAAAGGCAATATGGAGAGGAGTTCGACCTATAATTTTCTGATAAGTTATTTGATACAAAAGAAAAGACTATGGTTCTCTTTCGTTTAATTACCTAGTATGTCTTTTGCATTAATATCGGCGCCTGCTTTAACGAGCATCGTCTCGACTTTGAAGGATGCATTGGTTTGGCTCTTTGCCTTTTCGATTGCTAAATGAAGAGGAGTTTGGCCTCTCTTGTTGGTAGCCATAACGTTTGCCCCACAATCCAACAAATACTGAACCAAATGGAACTTTTCGGTATCGACAGCATAGTGTATCGGGTAGTTTCCATATTCGTCTTCCTGATTGACTTGAGATCCATAATCCAAAAGATATCTTGTTATCTTGATGTGTCTGTTCTTGATAGCTTCAATAAGCGGACCAGTCTGACCAGGTAAAACATTTGCGTCGACCTCGCATTTCAACATTGCGGCCACGACATGTTCATTTCCGCTTCTTACTGCCAATTTAAGTGGGGAGACTCCTTTATTGTCGAAAGCACTTGCGCAAGATGGATCGCGGGACAAGAAAGGCAAAGCAAATTCGACACATTTGTGGATTATATCAGAACTAGCTCCTTTAAAAGCGACATGAAGAGCAGTCTCTTTCTCTACAGCACAAACGAAAAACAATAAATATATAGTCAGATACATATGCATAAAATTAAAATAAAATAAAGAGATATAAAGATAACCAACCATCGTTTTCAATGTTCCAGTTAATAGAATGTTGAGAATTCTGTATTATTGCGTCAAAGAGATATACATTTCCAACACGAATAGTCTGCATCAAAACTGTATCTTTGTTCGGGTGTTCTGCGTTGATGTTGGCTCCAGCCGATAAAAGCTTGATAAAAGGTGACAATGAAAAATCGCGGCTATTGCGTTCTACTGTTCCTTTAATGGAGTCCAGAGCATGCATCAGGGCTGTTCTTCCTGACTTGTCTTTTTGGTCAATGTTATCCGAGGTAACTGTACTAGCACCGCATAGAGTAGAAATCACAGGACCATTCAAGAGCTTGGCTGCTTTCATCAGAACAGTCAATCCGTTTTCCTCGGCAATGCAGGGATTCGCACCATTTTCCACATAGATAGAAACAAACGTATCCAAAATGGTATCAAAGTCGGGAAGTACAAAATCAAACTTCTTTTTGGCATGCTCTATTGTCTGAAGACTATTATCCGGAAGATACTCAGAGCGGTTCTGCTTTTTGAAGAATCCCATAGACAAAGAAGTCTCTCCAAAGGTATCGTCAATTTTAACCCGTTGATTCACATCGCATCCAGAAGCAAAAAGAAAGGCAATCAACTCTGCGTGCTGAGTAGTTGCAGCTTTTATATATATATAAAGGAATTTAGTCTAAAATAATATTTGGAGCTCTTATTCACATAAATTTACTTACCGAGATGAAGTGCTCCGTATCCAGTTTCCTTGGGGTAGTCTGTAGGCTTGGATTTTGGATTATTTTTCTTGAAATCTTTGGGCAGCTGGACAGTAGAGTTTGGGTTAAGCTTTGTGACAGGAAGGATCTTTGTCATTATATTAAGCTAAAGTAATAATCCCATTAATGTTAGTTAATACGTATTTAAAATAAATTGAACACGCCCATACACACACACACATATATATATATATATATAAATGCTTACCCAAGTAGTAAAAGTGAACATAAATACAACAGTTTTTTTTGTCGAACTATCTTCGAGTTGTGCAGGTACTTGCGATCCAAAATAGCCATATTGCTGAGGAGTTAAGAGTTCTTTTACTCGCTTCTTTTCTTTATCCATTCGTTTTCTTTGGATTCTTACGGCTGTCGTAACGCCGTATAAAAATGGTGTATAGCCTTTATTATTAGGAGTCTCGATCTGTTAAATAAAGAAATAATAATTGATTAGCTATAATTCAAACAAAAGAAATCCGAAAGCACTATACTACTTACTATATCCTTTAACATTTCCGTGGTAGGATTTGTTCGAAGCACAACTTTCCATATATCATTTATAACGTTAACCAAGCGCTTCTTACGGGTCTTTTCTTCTTCTTGGTAATCGAGAATACCGTCAATATGCGCAGAAAAACCGAGAAGATAATGGAAGAGGTTGTTTCCATTTCGGTCAGTATCACTCCAGTACTTTGCGCCACTCTTGATAAGAATCTTGACCATATTGTGATTCTTATGGAACATTGCGGCACCAAATGGAGTTTCGTTTTCAAAACTCTTTTTGTCGAGGTCGGCTCCAGCCCGAATAAGCTTTTCTGCCAAGATTTGCTGATACTTAACACCCTCGTTATCATCAAACTTTAAGGGTGGTAAAACTTTCCACGAAGGCAGCGGAGGGTATGTCTCTTTAACCCAACCAACAGGGCGGTAGGCGTTAAAGTAAGGCGAAGATACTAAGGTATGTAAAACCGTTTCACCTAAAAAAATTATATATGTTAACTCAAGCTATGTTCAATTATACTCCAATGTTCAATATATATATAATCTTACCTTGTGTAGTCTGAATGTTGACATTTGAGTTTTTCATAAACAGGATATCCGCCTTTCTTGAGTTTTGCTTGACTTCAATCTTGCTCTCAAATGTTTCTGAAACGCAGTGATGAAGCATAGTTCTTCCGTCTTCGTCCTTAAAATCAACACTCACGGGAAAGTCTGTTCTGGAGAGAAGGTGCTTAACAACGGATAAGTGACCTTTATAGTTAGCAACGGAACAAGGTGATCTTCTCCAGGCATTTTCAAGAGTTGGGTCGGCTCCTCCGTAAACAATAAGAAGCTTGAGAACACTCAGGTGTCCAAAGGCGGCTGCGTAGTGTACAGGTCTATTAAGAGAGGTATCATGGGCATTTGCATCGGCACCTTCTTTGAGCAAAAATTGGACAATCTTGTAGTGACCACTGATTGTGGCAAGATGGAGAGCGGTCTTTGAGAATTTGTTGCCAGATTCAATATTGGCACCGTTTTCAAGCAGTACGCGAACACACTCAAGGTGACCTCTTTCAGCAGCATACAAAAGAGGGGTACATTTAGTTACACTTTCGACGACATCAACCGTGGCACCGCATTCTATGAGAGCCTTGCACGTCTCGGAGTGACCATAATAAGCAGCATAATGTAAAGGTCGTCTTTTGGAAGCCAGTAAAGAATGGTTAGCAAAATCTGGAGATGGAAGGGTACTGTCACTGATGTGTTCCAAAATAGGTCTGATGTTCTTGTGTCTTCCGTATCTTGCGGCTTGCAACAATGGCGTCAATCTGCTTTTATCACCAGCAGACATCTCATATTTTACGGAAATCAAATACTCGATGCAAGCAGGTGTGGTGCTGGCGGCAGCAAAATGAGCGACTGTTCGTCCAAGATCATCCACCACAAATCTTTCAAATGGTTCAAGGGCTTCGAAGAATTCTTTGATGTATTTGGAAGATGTATTGATTGCAGAGCATTGAAACGGAGTAAGACCAAAGTTGTTTGACAGCTTCTTAATAATTTGAGGTCGACGGTAGTTTGCGAGGGCCTGATCTTTTGTAGACTGTATATAATAATTATGTGATACTGTTAGATGAGAGTATAAACTCATTGGAATATTTAGCGCCTTACCAAAAGAACATCGATGTGGAGATGGTTATAATAGCTTGGGTCATATGTATCTTTGATAAGTGTTCCGGCAGCTTTATAATTTCCAGAAGCAACAAGGATATAGACTCCTTTTTCCGACCAAACTTCACTGGCAGCAACTTCCAATGCACCAATAGTCTCATTTTTCAACATCAAGGATGACTTTTGAAGACAGGGCAAGATCTCGATAAAGCGACTCGTGCGTCTCATGTGCTTTGCAAAATCAACTTCCAAGGGGATATGGTCGGTCTCTCTGAAAAATGCAGCATCTCCTTGACGGTTTCCTCTCGACTCTGCTACTTGTCTGTTAAATTACTTGATATTAGTAATTTATTTTATAAAAGTAATTAGAGTGCTTTATTATATAGTATACATACCGGACTGCATGGCCAAAGGTGGATTTACGTATGTACCCAGTATTTTCACCGTATGACATGTATTTTGGGGGGACTTTGACACGGATACCACCATTGTCATTTTTAATTAAATGGACAAGATTCAGATTCCCATTTAACACAGCGGCTGCTATAACTCTGTCTCCTTGTAAAGCACAGTCTTCTTCTTCCCAGTGAGGGATTGTATCGTGAGCGCCAATGACCTTTTTTAGTTCATCCTCGTCGTTGTTTTTAATAGCCTCGCTGTAGGCTGATACGGAGCAACGCATACAGCAATCCTTTGCATGATCCGCCGAGTCGATGATCCCGTCAAGTAAGTTTACAAGGCCAGCACGAGTCTCCTTTCGATTCTCGCGTTGCTTTTTAGCTTCCATCTCTTGCAAGACACTTTTCTTTGTGACCTTGGCACGACCCTTCTTCCCTGTGGCAACCTTACTTCTCTTGGATGGGGGTTTTATTTCAGTATCTTCCTCAACAGAATCCATCATGCTATTTTTCATGTTGAGCATTGCACGGATTTTGGACGAGCGCAGTGGGCGGGTGTTTAATCCGGTGGTTTCTGTTTCCATCATTGAGTAACCTGAACTTTCTTGGATTTTTGTATTGAAAGCGGTCAACACAGCAGGCTCATCAATTGAGCTCAAGGGCACCCAGGAATCCTCGGATTCAGATTGGCCAGCACGGTGCACAAGATAAAGTGTATCTCCCTAATATATATGTATATATGCGTGTGTGTAAGTAGATGTATACATTAATTCTCTGTGAAACTTGGCGTATTTGTTTGAAGCAATAATCAATGGCATATCACCTTGCTAAACTTAAAATCACGAATAGATTCGATCACTGGTTTCATTGCAGCTTTTAGTCTGCTGCTTTTCTTAGTAGCCTTGGGCTTTGACACTCTTTTAATAGCAGTTTCGTTCTGTTGAATAGTAGAGACTCTTGAATCCTTTCTTGTAGAGTTGCTTTGAGTAGAAACATCTTCTACGGCAAGACGTTTTCTTGGGTACAATCCTGAGCCCTGTAAGCATAAAACAATGTAATTAGGCAATGTACTTAAATAATAATTTCCTACAGTCTTGCCTTAACCTTATCTGAGGAGGTAGTTCTGGATGCTCTATTTGAATGCTTCATGCTATTTGAGGCGTTTTGATGGTGGATGGAAAAAAGGTAGAAGAGAGCCCTATTTATATGGAAACTCCAAAAAAAAACCTGAACCAGTGTAATTCAAAGGCAGCTATGTTGTACATATAATTACCATTTTTAGCCGCCGAGCCATTTGGTTGCCATGGCAACCGTTGCTATGGACTGCGGTTGAATACTAATACTAAAAACCTTTGATTTTCAGAATCATGCTACAATGAATTTTTTTGAACCCAGGTGTAACATATCGCAACAAAAAATTCTTTATCCAAAAAGGTTATTTATTTCTACAATATGGAAATTAGAATGTAAGCACAGTGGGAACTTAACATATGTTTTGATGTCTATGTTCCATTATGCAGCACGTTATTATATATTCTAATTGATCCAATCGATAATGACTTATTTAAGCTTTTACACCGGTGATAATCCATAGTTTATTAGTTTATTGATTGGAAAAGTCTTTATTAAGGTGAAAATACTGTGAATATAGTATAATATAAAGCTTTAAGTTAATGTCTACTCTAGGAGTCTCTTTGGATGTCATCCAAATAATCTCCTACAGTTTTTATTGTAAGATCATGTATAGCTCCAGCGCTAGCTGCTGCTGCCTGTGTGACAGACTCTTTGACAATATCAGGTTTCTCCCTCAAGTTCTCATATACAACAAATGCTGATGTCTCATCGATCACGTCCACGACATTTTTTCCAAAAACTTCGAACAACTTGGAAACATAGTCGCACGAAATCGGACCCGAATTTGTGGATACATAAAAGGTATTAGATTGTCGAGTGATAACTGGCAGAAAACAATAGTAATGTTGCTCGACATTAGTAATTGCCTTTATTTCCATTGTGTGTCTTACAAAATGTTCCTTACCTTCAGGGTTCACAAAGTTAAAGTACTCAAACCCAGTTCTAACCATAGCAGCCTTATTAATATACTCTTCAAGGATTGGAACGGGTTTTTGTTGATCGTCCAGCAGATCTACTTTAGTTGAACCATGATTGTATATCTCCTCGGGTTCATTGAGCCAGTTTGGATCTTGTTCTTCATCATCACTCTTTTCCCACCCATCATCGTATTTCTCTTTCTCTTTTGGCTCTTCTTCAACAGGTTCAACTTCTTCTTCTGGAACCTCTTCTGGCGAGTTTCGTGCTTTATCTATACACCATATGCATCACGTTTACTGTCATATTCAATAATAGTATATTAATAAAAGTAGCTGGTATAACATACCCAGGAATGACACCATCTTGAGGAAAACAGAGCCTGTCATGAAAGCATCATAGCCAGCCTCGTGAGCCTTTTCAGTTAGATAACGAGGAAACTCCCAATCCATATCTATCCCATTTTATACAAATTAGTAATAGTAAGAAAAAGCACCTTCGTCTTCCAATTGAGCTAATTAAGTAAGTGTCTATTTGTATTTACCAATCCGAGGGTTCTTGAACTCAGCTTTGTTGGTTTCAAAACGAAGGATGTCAAGTGACGTAGAGGAACCGAACAATGGCTGGAATTCAGGAACATATGTACTCAGGTGTTTTGTATCGATCATGCTAGTAATAACACAAGGTTATTAATCAATATTCATGCTCAAAAGATAAATGAATGAAGTACATACTTTGGAAATACTCTGTGAGCGAGTTTCTTAAAATCCTGCACATCCTCGGGAAGAGGTTCTACAAATTGTCCAATTACATGGCAAATATCAAGGAGCATGTTATGGCCCACGACAATCTTTTTTGATTCAGAAATCCAATCAATCACTCGACGGAATCCGGTAGCTCCTTCACAATCTTTCTTTAGAACAAAATATATTTATATCAGCTTGCATGTTTGATCTGGTATATTTACACGTATTATATATACCTCAAATTGTTTGCGACGTTCCTCTGTGCGCTTATTCATATCCTTCTCTGATAAACGGGCAATCCGAATAAAGCCAGGTTTTCCTTCTGCTACAAGGCCCTCGTACCTATGTTTCTCTTATCAATAAGACAATATTATAGTACGGTCAGTAGTATATGTACTTACCTATTGCGAGCTTCTTGGTATAGCAATCGACGTTGGTAAGCGTTTTTGGCAATGATATTTACACCTTCTGCATCTTCTGGGTTTGGGTTAGCTACCCAGGCATCAATCTCCTTTCTTTATGTATTTTGAATGTTAGTGAGAAACATTTTTTGTGTACCAAAGTCTCTCTTGATCCAAACGAACCTTGCTGCTTCAATGAATCCTCGTTCTTTTTCATCAATCGGGATATCAGGCATGGCATCATTCAACCGCTGTGTCGCATCTCTGATATATGCTTTTTCCTCTTCCAAAGTCATATACGGCACGCCTTGATAAACCCACTATATCACACAACATTACATGTATCGTTCACTTTCTTCGGTACACATTTTTCGGTGTTAGTTATTATTGACATACTTTGTTGAAGTCAAACTGTTGTTTGGATAAAAAGTCAAATGCTTGGGCCTGAGTCATGAATGTTTTGTTGGCTTGAACCTTGCCAGTCATGGCAGTAGGGAAAATATAAAAGTTGAAAGGCTTGGATATATACCGACCAGAAGGTCCATCCCATTTGAAGGTGCACATGCCAAACTGAATGATGATGAATCTTTTGGTGGCTTCTCTATATTCTGCATAACGGTTTGCCAAGGTATCAATTCTTTTACTTGTTCCTGGTCTGTGCAGTCCTAAGATTGACATTGGTTAAAGGTTGACAGGTAATGTACAATTTATGATTTACCAGAGAATTCGGCATCAATGGCCATAAAATCACACTCATCAATTGCTTTCTTGATGGTAGGCAGCCTTTGAATAAACTGCTGTCTAGGGATCTCCATGTTTGTAATTTAGTAGTTCCCCAAGAAGAAGCCTATTTAATCATTATATCTTCTTTTTTTTCTATAAAAATAAAAAGGAATATATACCCATATGAATAGATATATGTGACGCGGCAAAAAAAAAAGTTTTTGGGCTTTAATGCCAATAAACTGGATTCTTTCTTGGTTTACAGGTATCAATATAACTACGAAGCTCTGGAAAAGTGAAGCAAATGAAGATAATATATCTGAGCTTACCAATATGGATAATAAAGTATATTTTCTGGTTCATATGATTTAAGTTAATTATTTTCTATTGTACTGAAAGCAACTGTTACGCGCCATAGATCAGAGTATATTTATAAAATATGTATAAATGTCTTTTAATATGTATTCTTTTTCTTTTATATATATCACAAGTAAATGTTAAATTATTTTTTTAATATATTTTACTCTTGGAGATTCAATAGAAAGGACACTGATATCATATGATATATTCTTAATAGGTAAACAGTATAATGAATAAACTCAATTAAAAGATTATATAAGACTTTAACATATTTATGGACACGACTTTTTAGCAAGAAAACGAGACGTCGTGTTCCACAAAACATTTCGTATATCAAACAGGCCTCAATTGTAGCATTTGTCCAAATTCCAATTATTACCTCTGGTCCCTACAGAGCCAAAAGTGGGTTTATGAATAAAACTACTACAATACAATATGAATGCTTTAATATATTGTTTTTGAAAATACTTAATCTGTACCTTTTATTTTCACCAAGTAATCTGTTGTGACTACTGTGATCAGTATGCACATGTAATCGGGCTAGTAAAAAAAAATTAGTCTCACAGAAAAACAAAAGGTGTGTCCCAAACAATTGACATTTCTCAACTGGATTAGAATTGCAGGACACTGAATTTATTGAGGCTGTAAATCTAACTTGGCAGATTTCTCAAAGATTATTCTACTTGATACAAGCATCATTATAATAATAATCATAATTAAATACATATTTTGACTATTAAAAGTAATACATAAATATGTGTATATATTTCTAGCAGATATAATCAAGTCTACATGTGTCTCAGTGTTTGGCAGAAAAAAAGTGAAAAATACAGTGAATAAGATATAGAAATAGAGAGAAAGAGAGACTGTAGTCACGGTGACGTTCACAAACTTTGGATAACAATTATTCATAAAACGCGTCTCTTGTTTCATTGGAGCTACCAAGGACAAAGCGGAGGGGGAAGCCACACATCACATACATTCATATACATATATATATACATATATACATATATATATAAGCCTCTTATTTTACGACCCTCTGCCACAATCCATTAATCTGATCAATCTGAGCTGCAGTTTTTTCCCTCTCTATTTTTACCAATTGAAATGGCAGCACAAGCAAATTATTTGGACGACAAGTTTGCAGGGTAATGACAGATCAGAAAGCATGTTACAATTAATTTGCGACAATCAACACCATGTTGACAACATTATTGTCTTTTTGTTTTGTTTTGTTTTTAAAAAATATACAAATGCACATATTAGAACGTACCAAAAGCTATTCGATACCATCGAGCGTGGCGTAGACCAATGCTCGACTGATCTATTGCAGACTCTTCTAGAAGAGAAAACCAACAGCTTGTCTCTGGGCCTCAAAGCCTTTAACGAACCATCATCACAATCTCGGTTAAAGTTAAAAGTCGGAACAAACATCTCGATCGAAGGGAAAACTATCGTTCTCAACAAAGAAGAAGTGGACCTTGTGCACACATTAAGCACTTTCCTGGACTTGAACGAACTTCAGTGTGCATTACTGTGGAATGCCTATCGACAGGAGAATGACAATCACTCGGATTCAGCAAAGAAAGCATATGGATACCAAATGTGTGAAGATACAACTCTCATCATAAACTTTGCCGAATACTACTTTCAGGATCGTATTGCTATTCTACAGTGCGTTACTTCACTGATCCGTATTTCTCGAGAATCCACACACCCTTACACGCAGATTGCCAAAAATGCAATAAAAACAATAAACGTTAATACAGACTTTGCGGATAAGATTATTATTCAATTGAAAAACCTCGTACGATTCGACGTTCCTTCACAATTCTTTTCATATGCCCCATGGGCGGTCATGAGAGCACGACAGAATCTCAAGGAAGAGTATGCACTACTCGAGACACTCTTTCTTATTCACGCCTTTGAACCTTGCCCACCAAAACGAGCATTTACGATCATCCAAGAATTTGAAGCCAACTGTTTTGCCTTGCATCAAACGTGTGGTCGCTTGCTTAGCCAACAAGACACTGATTTATTTCACAGGGTATCCTACATGTGCGAACTTGTCGCAGTTCAAGTACTTGGATTAGAGAACTTGCCCAAAGAGAACATTTCAAATGAACAAGGAAATACATTATTGAAATCACCAGAGACGATCTTAGACATCAACAGTGTTGTGGCATTTCTGGGAAATTCATCATCACATTCCACATTTATGCTAGCTTGGTCTTATTTCCTAGCCTTCCTCAACAGCAAACTGGACAATACAACTGACTCTTTGGATGTTTACTCAAATGTAAAAACGTTTTTCAAAGGAGAGCTTACCGTTACACCTGCCAAACTCTTGACATCACGCCCAGTCGTAGACGGTGCCAATTCGGAAGATATGGCGCGCAAAAAGCCGGTTATTAATCAGACAGCGGATGTATTTAGACTGTATGCAAGCAGATCTATCCGATTGAGCGTATTCGATCATATCATAGCCATCATTCAGAGTACCGTGTGTTCTGAAGAGAATCCAAACAAATCCACATGTCGCAACACTCTTAGAATATTTCTCAATTCGATTCTCTCTTGGACTCGCCCTTGCTTTTTACCTACAGAAAGCTATCCCAGTCTTGTCAAATGTACCCAGCTTTTATTTAAAGACGAACCCGAATTGTGCGCTAAATTCTGGAAAGAGGATTTTGTCCCCAACGACACGTTGTCCCTTATTGCAACGACCAGAAAAAGATTTCCTGCGCGCTTTTTAGATTTTACACAACTGCTGGCCTCTCTCACCGGTTCGGCAGATAATGTGGAGACTTCAAAAGATTCTGCTAAACATGTCTTTGAATACATGACTACTCTCGAAACTTTGCTTGTCAATATTAAGCCTTCTGCTAATGTCTCGGCCCGCAAAGAAGGACAATCAACAATTGTTAAAGCCGAGAATTATCTTGTTATTTTAAGAGAAGGATCATTTGTTGCTGAACTTATTATTCCTGCTGGCACTGAAGGAAAATTATTGGAAAACTCTAATGGAAGTTGCCTGGTCCAATGGAAATTCAAATATTCCGGTTGGGGCTTTTTAACAGCACTCTTAGGAAAACTTATCGAAGAAGATCACACCGTAAACCAAACAACAGACGTTACAAATATTGGAGAACATGAGGGAATTGGAAAACTGGATATTATACACAGCATTCTAGAGTTAATTTTAAAAGTTATGGAAAACAATCCATCTCTGGCTGGTCAATTGGTTGAACACGTGGAAAAGGATTGTCATAAATCACATAAATTTATTACACCCGGCAGCCCTCCTACCCTAATTACAACACTTTGCAGCACATTCACTTACTGTAGCTCACATGAATCATCGTGTCCAACCTATATCACGACATCTGCACTACGCTGCTTGACCTTATTACTACCTCTGTACCGAAACGACATATGGACTTTCCTTGAATCATCCCCCATATTGGCTTTCTCCAATTCCACCAACCACATCACTTCAAATTTCAGAACACCTTATACAGTGTGGATTGCTCCTGGTACAAAGATCGAGGAACTTGTGTCAAATATGGAATGCATAAATGGTCGATACCCACTGTTGCTTGCTTTCCTAGACTTTATCTTGGCACTTGTACATGATATTCAACGAAGCTGGTGGGTCGGTAACGAAGCCAGCCAAACCCCGCACAAAATCAAAACACCGCGTCAATATCAAGCAGCAGCACTTTTCGATTGTCTGTATTATCTTACAGAAAAGGTCTTTCCGTCGTATGCAGCTTGGGGCTACCAGTCACTTTCGGAGCGTTATTTGATAGGCTCCAAGGTGCTGTCGATCTTTATTCAAATAGAACGGTATTTTAAGGAGGCCGACGCCACACCCAAAGACGAAGTATCGCTAGGACGCATTCGCGAATATCTTCTCACGCACTTCCTGTACGAAGGTGGTGAGCATCACATCTCTCCTCTGTTGGACATCATCTCAGATGGCGCCACTACTGCCGATCATCTGTACCGTATTTCATTTCTCAAGGAGGCACGACAAGCTGAGAAACTTGCAGAGCTTGGTCTCACATTTGTCAAAATGCTTCTCCAAACCCAACTTAGCTTGGTTCAAAAAAACAAAGCTCAACCAGAAAGTATGCTTGAAAAGCTCATGTTGGCACGCAAAACAGACACAAATATGCCAAATTTCTTTTTGTCGATTATGAAGCACATCCACTATCGTCATAGCATCGTGCTACCCATTCTCTCTACTAACGTTGCATCACTACTCTGCCGTACCTTGGCCACCTGGAAGACCGTCCCTCCTCTCGTGCAGCACTTTGGTACCGCTGATCAAGCCAAGGACATAGTTCGATGCTATTTGGAGATTGCCAAGGATCATTTCCAAAATGAGCGTCTGCTCGCATCAATATGGCAGATGATTACTCTTTTGTTGGAAAGCCAACCGACGCTTGGAGTTCTCTTTTTGGAGTGTGGCGAGTACATCATGCCTAGTCCAAAATCTGCTGTTAAGATGTTGACTAGAGAAGATAGGATGGATAATAATAATAATAATAATATCAATGGACGTACACCCGCTGGAAATGAATCGGCCGTTCGCTCTGCTGTGGACATCTTGACTCACTGGCAGATGCTGGCCGTGGAAAAGCCAACCGTACTCTCAAACGTGTTGAGATTTCTGGCCACCTTTTGGGAAACTGCAGCTGACCATAGACTATTGCTGCAAAGAATTCGAATTGACAATGCTCTGTGGCATGCGCTTGGTCAGATTATATTGAACAAGGGAGATATTGAAAATCAACAGAAGACACCTCTTGAGCTCAGAAAGATACAATCGACTATTGATAGTGAACTTGATTCGACCCACACCACAAGTGTGTCTAGCCACAACAGAGTAGTTCGTAGATTGTGCTGTATTCGTCTCAGCAAGGCGTTTGCTTTGAGAATCATGACATTTGATATCCATCTTACTGCCAGATCCAATTACTCCCGCTCCAATGTAACCAGCTCAGGGGTGGCTGATACACTTCCGGCTGGGCTAAAGAATCTGATTATAAAGATTAGCGATGCCAGCACACTATCGAGTATTCAAGATACGCTGACCAAAAGCAGTTTTGACCCTAAACTTTCTGTTCTCGTTCAGCAAGACAATGTCGATCTGTTAAATTATATTGGCGTTGTAAATGTGTCTCAGCTCTTGACATCTGTGGGCGTGGTTGGATTCGGCGACGACGATGCTGATGGTGAAGGGCGACAGTATGGTGACTCTTATCTTTATGACCTGAGACTTGCAGAGGCACGCATTGAAGCTCTCTATAAAACAAATATACCCGCACCGACTCAGCAAGGACATATCATCGAAAATGGTAATAATGAACCGGTGCCGGACAAGACCATTAAGAAGGCATCCAAGAAATTCCTTTTGGATATCTGTCGAGCCAACCACAATTGGTCATTGGTTGACTCGGATCTCATTCTTCTGCGCTCATTCAAGTTATTTATTGAGACTTGTTCATGTCACGTCAGTAATTTGATTTGGTCGACTAGAAACTCGACAGCACGAACCATTTCCCTGTTCGAATTTGTAGAGAAACTTGTGACCCAGGCTACTACAGAAAAACGCGACTCTAGTATTGCACTTACCTCTTACAGTGTGATGATTAACTTTATTCGAGCTATGACCGAAGATTGGATTGATTCGAACCGTTCGATTCTTATGGGCCCCAACAAGGCCGCAAAGAAGACCTATATCGAAAACATGTTTTTACTTGTGATCAAGCTTTGTAAATTACTCCAGAAAGAGAATTTTGCACTTAAGACCAACCTTGATAATTTGACAGCCACAACATTCCATCGACCTTTACTCGAGACTATCTTGCTCTGTATGCGCACCCTTCGCAGTTCTCGTGGAATAGTCAGGGAACTTAGTTTAAGCGATAGAACAACAAGAAGCCTGACCGGACCACTGAATGAATTGATGGAAATTTCTTGTGAGAGTTTCCTGGTGATTGTTAAAAAGGCCATGCAGTCTAATGCAACTTCAACCAAAAAAGACGATGGTTCATCAGAGGAACTTATCAAAGATTTCAATGTGGTGATTGCGCTTTTGGAAGAATTGGTGAATGGACCTTACGCTTTTCAACAAGATGTATGGTTGGCTATCTTTTCGCGCTATGACACTTTCCCTACTTTATTGCAGCTTATTCATGCTGGTATTGCGGTTGTGGTTAATGAGATTGAAAGGTAAAGAATTGGTTTGGATATTGTGTCTATATGTAATTACCATAAAAAAATAAGTTTACTAAAAAAAACTGTATTATTTAGCCAAGTTAAACCTGGAAATGAAGCCAAGACCATTCTTATTTCGCCTTATGCCCAAAGTGGACTTTATCTGTTATTGACTTTGACAAAGACACCCGAGGCTACTGAGAAACTTGAACAGGCCGGATTATTTGCTCTACTCACCAATAATGCACTGACCCAAAAACTTGTGGGCAATGGTATTGATGTATTCCTCCGGTTCGGTGGACAAGATGAAAAGCCGGCATGTTTAGAGCACAGTCCTCTTCACAACATATGGTGTCTTATGTTGGGAGTTACTAGAAATGCTCTTCATGCCAGTAAGGGAGCAGATTCAGTATTGCGGGGAGCGGCCAAGTTTATGCATCTCTACAAGGTACAGACTGGCCGGGCTTTCTCGAATGCCAATAATAACGAGGGATCCATGGTTGTTCTGGGCTCCAGTGAGTCGTTGTCATCGCCTGTGCTTGAAGAGATGGAAAGAATTTCGATGGTTATGTTCAGCTTGGCAAAGAATGCAGATCGAGTCAAAGACTATGCTTTGGACCTGTTTCTGTCCTACAAGGAATGCTCTCTTACTTTGCTGCAAAGCTATCTTTACTTCTTAACTCACCCTGCACACATGCAAGCCCAACTTTTTCCGATGAATAAGCGGGAAACCGAATTGGGACAAACATTTACTTCGCCTCGTGAGCATATATCTGCATCTGAGCCCAAGACGAGTTTACTGATGTACTTGACGGTCCAAAAAATTGCCAGGATTTTGCGTAACATCTTGCTTTCGTTGAATATCTTGACAAAAGTCAACATTACACTAAACAGACCGAGTGGAGAGTGGCCTTTTGGGAACATTATTCTTACTCCTTACATACATGTTGTGTTTGAGGAGTCGGTGTCATTTGGAACTGTACTTGAATGTATTAATGCTGGACTTCGAATGGTCAGGCAGTGGAAGAGCCAGGGATGTTTGGTTAAAGGAGATCCGGCTTTCAATCCGGAAGTGGCAAACAAGACGATGATGGATGTTGTACAAGCCTGTGCTTATCTTTTGACAACCCAGGTCATGTTGTTTGGAAAAAAGCCGGGGTTGAGTGCATATTCTCGAGATGAAATTGAAACGACTGTTCTTCCATGTGTTAATGAAGTCCTATCTAGAGTATATGATCGGTCAAGTCAGAAAAAAGACGCCGCCGTAAAGAACTAAAATAAATGCATAAATAAATAAATAAATAATACAATACAATACAATACAATACAATACAATCTAATATAATATAATACTTTAATATTTATATATGTAGTTTGCTTATCTATGTGTGTGGGTATGGACATTGGCATTGGTATTGGTATTGGTATTGGTGTTTGTTTATGAATATTAATAATACATGGTTTTTTGTGTGAGAATTTTGGTTGATGTTGTATGGTGAGGCTGTGGTTGTAAGTGGGGGGTGGGGTGGGCGGTGACTTGATTTTTCTTTTATTATTTTAGGGATCGACAGTTTATTTTATCTACAATACTATTATTATTTTAGGTTGTAACTTGAAAAAGAAAGACATCGATCGAGAAAATCACAAGTGTTTTTTAAGCTTTTTTTTTAAACTACAAGACTTGTCAATGTCATTAAGAATCCTAAATACAATACTTTTTTTTGTGTGTATAAGAAAGGACTACTTTAACTCCTATTCATTGAGTTTCAAGACTTTGTCTTTTTGAGTGTGTTTTATATGAATGTTATTTATGTATGTCTGTTTAAAGGCATAATCTTCTTCTCTTATTTATTTATATGATTCCACGTGGAGGTATTGCATTAAAATTGTACATCAAACAAAGGGGGTTGTAAGGTGTTAAATATATACATATTGAATTTGATCGCAATTCTCGATTCACAAGACGCACACATATATATATATACGGTAAATTCATAACAATTGTTCTCGACCAATTAATCTGAATTATATGTGCAATTTGGCCTGGCCCGTGAGTCTTTTTTTTTCTTTTATTATTTTACGTATACATATCCATATCCACTCACAAGCACACGTACATATATACATATATACATACATATATCTATACATACATATGTACATACATATGTACATACAAATACACCTACAATTACACCTACAATTACACGTATACGTAAACTTCCATATATATAAAAAACCTTTTTATTTTTATTCTTTTCTTGCCCAGTAGTTGGGATTGGACTTCTTTATCAAGTTAAAACCAATTGTATTTGTATATAAAATAAAATATATGTATACTTTTTATGTATATATATATGTGTGTGTGTGTGTGTGTGTTTGTGTATATATATTTCTGTTTCAAAATAGGGAATAGTTTAAATAAGAAGCACTTTATTTGTTGGTGTCTTCTTCTTTCAAAATATTTATACAAATATATAAATAAATATATATTTAATGTATTTAAAAATGTATATATTAAAGTAGAACCAATCGATTGGTTTAAAACAGAAGGAAAAAAAACTATAGGGATTTTAGACAGACAAAATTCTGTGTGTGTGTGTCTTTTTTTTTTCTTTTTTTTTTTGTAGGTGACCTCGAACTTCTTTACGGAGCCCAATCAGATAAGGAGGAGAGTATTCACCGGAAGAAGACTATTATGGTATACAACTGAGTTCCAATCACAGTAAAGAGTCCTGAACAAGGCAAGACAAAAATAAATAATAATAATAATAATAATTACAACACAAAAAAAAAACTTGCTTTGAATATAGATGGCTTCATCCCTTCTTCCATGACCCAATCCCCATGTAATTCAGCAGAAGCTAAAGTTGAGAACAAGACCATTCTCAATGAGGCATTGCCGTCCGAAGTCAGTGAATCTATGCAAGCCATGGCTGCTGTTATGTCAATGTCAGACGCTGATTGTGAAGACGGTTCACCAGAAGACGACGACAGTGAAACAGGCGATTATTGGAGTGAGGATGACTATGAGGTGATCAAGGCATATTATGAAAACGAAGAAGACGATGAAGACGAAACCCTGCTTGTATTGAACGATCAAGCGCAAATCATGCCATCTTATGCACGTGGCACTAAATCCACAGCCATCCCCCAAGACATTATTAAAAATCCTAAAAAAAAGTCCTAATTTGTTGCATGTATAAATTTTTCTATTTTTTTTCTTTTTTTTTTGTCTGTAAAAAGCAGAAGAAGAAGAAGAAGGAAAATTGAATTCAGAAACTATTGAATACCCTCACCAAAAAATGAAATAAAAATAAGAAAGAAATAGCCAAAGAAAAAATAATCAAATAAAAGCCAACTATCTTCTTTTTTTTTTAATAAAAATAATAAAATATATTATATATTATATATATATAATATTTGTACATATAATTGTTGTCTTTGCATAACCTATACACAAGGTATATCTGTGTGAATATATGTGTTTATAAAGTGATAATATATATATATATAAGAATATATAGGTAGATAGATAGATAGATAGATATGTAGGTATGTAAGTATATATATATATATATGTATGTATGTATGTATGTATGTATATATGTATGTATGTATGTATGTATGTATATGTGTGTGTGAGTGTGAGTGTGTGGTTGTTTATCTCTCTGTGTGTATGTGTTTTAAGTTTGTTACATATTTACATATAATAATTGTGTATAAACAATTATAAACAGAATAAGAATAAGAAAAGAAAATAGTAGAAGTAGAATGGGAAAAAAAACACGAAGATGATGGTAAAGGCAGAGGTAAAGAAAAAGTAAATAATAGTAAATAGTAGAAGTGGTAGGAATGGTGGTAGCAGTGGTAGTTAGTGGTAGTGGTAGAAACAAAAGAATAATAAGAAAAATAAATTTGGGTTGCATATACACGAACAGTAATCAAGAAAAAAGTATATATATAGAAAAGAGCAAATAAAAGGTTCATATGTGTAAAGGATAGGAATGGTTAAAGGAGTTGGAGTTGAAAGGTGATTTCGTCTCTGGAAAATCCAGCGGTTGCCATATTCTTTACTAGATCAGCTTTGGCTCGGATCCTACGTGTCTTTTCCTTTTCCAACAAAACACGGTCGCGCTCAATACGTTTCTCAAGAATGAAATCAAACATTTCTTGGGAGCGCTTCTTTCTTCGAGCATCTCGTCCTAGTTGTGTATTTACACAAGATACACCGCGTTGTCTTGAAGGAACGGGTGCAGGTACTGTACTCTCCACAGGCGCGCAATTTGACACATTTTTGGCAAAGCTGGTCTGGTACCAGGGCTGGCTCGAATGGTCGGGATGTTTGACGTACTCTTCTTCATGATCTGTCTCAGGGGAACTTATGAGGCCATCGTCTGCGGAGTGAAGGATGTAGTGGATGGACATTGGCCAGGTGGTAGTCGTAGTAGTGGTTGTGGTCGTTGCGTTGGTAGTTATGGGCTCTTGTTTTGAGGGATTAAATACGCTGTGGAGGGCGTCCCAGTATGGGAACCGTTTCAATAACTCATCTGATTACAAATAATAAAAAATATTTTAGAGAATGTTACCAAAATAAAAAAATAAAACATGTATATATGTATATTTGTTGTATAATAAAAATGTAGAAATTTCAAACTTACTGTGCACAGCAGCCTCTTGTACTCCTTTCTGTAATAGCGATCTACCTTCGGTCTCGTACCATCTGCGGGCTATTCTGTAGTTGCTCTGGAGAGTGGACATTTTGCTGGCGACATCTTTGGGGACTCGATGATAAATACCAGCTTGGTTGAGTTTGACGATGATATCTTGTAAAAGTAACTTCTTGGGAGTTCTGTCGGTAGAGTCACCTCGCCACATAACATAATTCTCCTTGACAGTTAACCAGCCAATAAGAATATCCATAGAATTGGGTCCATTATTGACGCCGTCTTTAAGCCAACTCTTGTAGGGCTTCTTGGTTCTGTGCGTAGAGATATAAGAGGATATAGACATAATCTGATTGTTGTTGTTTCTGTTGTTGTTTTTGTTGCTTAGTATAAGGATGATAAAGAGGGAAAGAAAGTAAAGATAATGAAGAGAAAAATAAATAAAAAGGAAATGTCAATATATATATATATATATATACAGAAAAAAGACAGAAAATAGACTACAAAAATAAATGTGTAAGCTCACCAATGAATGGTGCCGATCTTAAATTTCTGTCTGTGCCTGTTATTTATTTATATTATTTATATAATACACACTCAACTTGGTTTATATATTAGTATTTAATTATATTACCCACCATTTGATGCTCTTTCTTTTCTTTTCTTTTTCCTACTTACTTTCGTTGTTCTTTCTATTGTTGTATCTAAGATTATATATATATATCATATACTATACTCTACAGTTATTATTAATGTAATAAATAAATAATAAACCATTTAGTAAAAATAAATGAAATAGAAAAACTCACCTTTTAAAGATATAGATTGTTTACGATGAACCAATCAAACTCTTGTGGTCCCTTGTATCGCCAATTTCTATTTTATATTTTTTATCTTCAAATTGACAAAAAAAAGAAAGAAAATTAAGGATAGATTACAGCCAACCTATTGTTGTGTAAGTATAAAAGGTTTCGGGGTCGATCACAGATTTCTACTGTATATGCCTTTATATAAAAATAGATATTTTTTTTCTTACTATTGGTATTGTTGGTGTATTATAACAGCAGCGGCAGCAGTAAAAAAAACAACCCATTATGTAAAATGTACCTGAATAGAGCTCTTTTTTTTTATTCCTCTGTCTGTCTTTCTCTCAAACTGTCTATCCTATGCACTAGAGTCCCAACTTCATTCTTTGTTTTTATTCTTTTTTTTTCTCTCTCTCTCTCTTTCTCTTCTATCTCCAAGTATTCGGGTAGATCTCAAACATTACCAAAACCATATACCGCATAGAACGGAATGAACCTAATAAAGACAAACTTAATGTAACTTTTCAACGAAAAAAAATTAAATGTTGTTATTTATCATTTTATATATATTAACTTATATTAAATTCATGTGTAAATCCAATCAACAATGATTTCTGTATAATCATACATTATATTATATCTTTAAAAAAAGGCAAACGTAAAAGCAAAAAATAATAATAATATAATTGGTTCTAATAATATAGCATACTTTATTTTAAAAAAAAAGTTTGTACAAAGTTCTTTCAATAGATACGCATATATACATTACACATTATATATATTTTTAAAAAAAAAAATGACATTTATACAAATGTGTTTATTTGGGAGAAGTTTCTACACGCACACACGCACACATATATATATTATATATATAAAAGGGAGTGGTGACACGATCAAAAAGGAAAGTAGAAGGAGAGGGAAAATTTTCGATCAATTTTTATTTTGTTTTTTATTTTGTGTTAGCGATATTTCAATCTGTATTACACTTGTTCAACAAAACTCCATTCCGGCCATTTTTTTATATATATTGTATATATAATTATTTCTCAATTCTGCCATCCTACCCCTGTACCCTCAATTCTTCCTTATTTTTTTTATATGCACAATTTTTAAATAGGGATACTACCAAATCCTATTTTGTTCTTTAATGTTTCCAGGCTAGTTATACCATATCGAGTAAATAAAAAAAAAGGATCGAGAAGAAAAAAAAAACCCTGTGAATAGCTTGGCACCGCCATTCAAAGGCACAAAAATAAACAAAACAAAACAAAAAAAACAAGAATCAAATATACATTGTTACCATGACAATAGTATAATTTGTTGCTATAGAAATAAGCAGAAATCACCATGACAGCAGCAAAGAAGAGTTGCCATGGTAATATTATTATTTGTTACTATGACAATAAAAAGAGTATTACCATGGTAACATTCACCATCTGTTACTATGGTGATCAGCAGAAAGTTGCCACGCTAATATTATCATTTATTACCATCGTAATAATAACCATAGATTGTCATGGAAACAAATGGATACATGATTCAATATACATGAATTTAGTTTAGACCAAAAAATAATTAAGAAAGTTATGTGAGCACAAATGTGCTTGGATAAAACAAAACAAAACAACAACTAAAATCTTATATTATTATGGAGTGATGATTTCTAACTTTGAATACAAAAAAAAATAAAAGTACTAAAAATAAGTTGTCTCCGACCTTTTTTTTTTAAGAAATAAAATGGTATATTTATTCGTTCTTTATTGTGTGGCGCATTAAATACGCGATTGATCTGTAAGTTCTCTAATTTTTTTTTCTTTTTTGTATGCATGTAGGCATGTTTGTGTGTGAGTGTTTATATATTTATTTTGACACAATACCATGGACTTGGGTCTATCTTATTTAGTTTTCAGCTTTTGGCTTTTGGTTTTTGATTTTATAGTGCAACTATTATTTAGACAGTCTAGTAACTTACACACCTTATATACCCCATACACCCTATACTTCTTATACACATACAGAGATGCTAAATGAAGGGAGTATACTTTAAAATAAAACAAGGGTAAAAGGATGTTAATTCACTATCCATCAGGTTTCTTTTGAATAGTAACAAGTCGGTATACTTCTAAAGTGGTCAATATGAGCGAGCTATGGATGAACAATACCAATCATTTAGATAATATTTGTTATTATATGTATATATGTATATATATATTTGAGTAACTTTATCGGCTTGACCCAAATCATATTTTTTATTATTATTATGATTATATTTCCTTCTTTCTTATTTTTATATTATTTATTATTATTATTATTCATTCTTGAGTGTACAATGTATAGTCTGTGAGCAAAAGTGCCACAAAGGAATGGTGTGACATGATCCTAGAAATGAGAGCTATTGAGAAATCGATCGACAAAGCAAATCAAGTATTCTACTGATACACTTACACACCCAAGAAAAGAAAAAAGGTTGTAGTTGTGGGATGATAATTTTGAAGATAAACGTATTATAATTATAAGACAGACCAACAAGTATTTCCAACTTTATCATTTTAATACACATTTATATATATATAGTTTTGGGAGTAATAAGTATGTTTATATTTCTACAAGTTATAAAAAGAATATAGCTGTATTTTACGCCACCACTCAAAGCATTAAAATCACGCTCTATATTTATTTATAATACATATATCTATCTATGTCTGTGTACTCCTGGGGGAGGGAGGGTTAATACCTTGAAATCCCAGTCACAACGTGTACATATACCACTTTGCCTTTTTTTTTTTTTACTTGGACAGATTCAGTGGATTTCTTGCAAGTACATACACACACACATACATACATATACTATATTGGTATGAATGTCCACAAGTTTATTCTATTAGTTGGCTCTGATATTCTGGAGCCAAAATTTGTATTTGACTGATAGAAAAAAAAGGGAAACTTTATTACTTGATTGATTGATTGATTAATTAATTAATTAATATATTTTTGTAAACCTTTTTATTTTATTATTTTTATTTTTGATAATAAATAAATTTGGTTTCCTTTTCTTTTTCTTTCTTTCTTTCCTTCTTTCTTTACTTTCTTTGCTCTGCTCTATTTTATTTTGCTCTATTTTGCTTTGGTTTGGTTTCCTTTTCTTTATTTGCTTTCATATTTATATTGAAGAAGGGAGGGGTTTCATTCCTCTATTTATCTTTTATCAAGCTTTATATGGATCTAAAAATCATTATTAGGGCTCAATTAAAAATAAAAACTAAGATAAAATAAAATAAAAGAAATGGCATAACCAAAAAGAGCGACTTTATATCTATTATTACAAATACATGATGAAATACAAAATTATTGATATTCAAAATCCAGCAGTGAAAAGAATATTTAACCTTTTTTTTTTATTTATATATAAAAATTATTTTTCACTTTATATTATTTTTCACTTTATATTATTTTATCTGGGCGGGTAATCACTAGCCAATGAACGGGCGTGGTTTAATGTGGATCAAATGAAGACAAAGAAAACAACAACAACGTCCTATTCACCCTTTGGTTGTGTTTAAATAAAAATATAAAAATAAGAATAAGAAGAATAAAAATCAAATCAAAAAGTAGAATCAAGTAAATGTAGATATATTTGTATCTGTATATTCTTGTATATAAAATAAAATAAAATAAAATAAATATATACTTAATTGTATTTAGACTACAATTGAGTCGAATTTCTTTTTTTTTCTTTCTTTCTAAATAGTTAACCAAAAAGGTACTTCTTTACACTTCTTTTAAACATACTTCTTTATCAATGAACCCAAACATTTAATCTATGACTTTTTTTTTAAAAAAAAATATTAAACTAAAACAGTTGAAAACATTATTTTAAATATATTTTTATACATACATAAAACATAAAAATTTAATGTGGACTTTTTATATTGTATTATACGTATATGTATATGTATAATTTTTTTTCTCTTTTCGAGAATGGAAAGACACTTGCAAATTTTTTTTTAAATCTCAGTAAAGGTTTTTTTTTTTATTTATTTATTTTTTGTATTTTTTTTTTATTTAATTCTACTGGTATTATTTACACTATTTCATTCCTCTCTTTTGTTTTTTTTTGTTTTTTTCTTTCTTTCTCTTTTCTTCTCTTTTTCTTATTTATTTTTTATTTTATTTTATTTTATTTTATTTATCTATCTATCTGTCTGTCTGTCTATTCAGCTATCTATCTTTATTATTACTGTCATCACCTCTTCTTCTTCTTCCTCTTCTTCTTCTTCCTTCTCTTATTACTCGTCTTATTTTATCAGCCATGCCAGCCAACACAGCCGATCTTCAAGCAGCGTCCTTGCGTGAAGAATCGGGTGCCCTTCCACCTCCGTCTGCACTATTTGGCTCGTCGCGCTTCTATTCTACAGCTGCGCCATCCACTACAGCAACAGCAGTACCAGCCAGTGCAACCGCTGGATACTGTACCGAGCCTACCGAGTCTCCCAGTCCCAGACCGGTCTTCATCCTCCCGCCACCCTCTTCTCTACCGGGCTACCACCTTCCGCCACCCCACGCCTCCATTCCTTACATCTTCCCACCAACACCCTCTCCTCCCAACCTGTCAATGTCTTCCCGTTCTTCCGACGCAATGTCAGAAGCACCTGTCAACAACAATGTTAGTGGAGCTGGAACTGGAACTGGAGCAGGTGCTGCAACTGGAGCTGGAGCCGGAACTGGAACCAATGGAGCTGGAGGAGCCAGTGCTGTAGGAGGAGGTCATTCGTATGGCATGTACTACTATCCACATCAACCCTATCCCATGTCCGCTCTCCCTCAAACCCAAAACAGTACTATCAACAATATCCACCATGGAGATGATTCTAGCAATAGCAGTAGATTAGACGAACCACCTGTCAACACTGCCACAAACGCTCCTAACAAACGCAAACGTCGTGGTGCTGTTGAAAAGAAGAAGCCTGGAAGACAATCCGCTCACCAAAGCCCACCTTCTACTCCTCCAAACAACTACCACTATGAAGTCATTGAACTTCATCGTCAACCCCACCATCAACCCCACCAACAGCAACATCACCACCACCAACAGCACCAACAACAACAGCACCAACAACAACAACACCATCACCATCACCATCAACAACAACAACAACAACAACAACAACAACAACAACACCATCATCACCATCAACAGCAACTGCAACAACAGCAGCACCAACAGCAACAGCAGCAGCACCAACTACAGCAACAGCAACAGCAGCAGCACCAACAGCAACAACAACAGCAACAGCAACAACGCAAGCGACCAACAAAGAAACAACGCAAAGAACATGAAGCCGTATCTGCTGCAGCTGCAACTCTTGCCTCATTCGCAACAGCTTCTCCTTACGACACCACTCCACCGTCAACCCCTCCGTACTTTATTGTTCCAGACGAAGAAGAAGACGAGTGTGATGACCTTGAAGAAGCAGCCTGTGTTGGACTTGGATCGCTTGAGTGTACCCATTGCGGTGTCAGTTTCCGCCACACCAATTGCCTTCAACGTCACCGTCTGGAACATGATGATAGTTGGAAGGAGCTCCAGGGCAGGTCTCTGAGTAAACAACAGCAAGCACAATTACTTGAGGTAAAGTTTTTCTGTTGATAATATTATTATTTAATTATTATAGCTGTATGTACATAATACAGTACAATACATAACATTAGACATTCCAATGGCATCTATATATATACCTATTTGCCCTATCTACTTATTTACTCACATACATATATATATATGTATGTATTACGGTTGTGAATAATTGAACATTATACTTACTTTATTTTATTTTATTTTCAAATTTATATATATAGGCTGCTCAGATTCTTATGGATATTGCACGCTATGGAATGCGTGTGCGAGTCGTTAACTAATGATGGGATGTGTTGCTACAAGATAGCTAACCAGACCATACCAGTACACATACAACACTTTCACAACACTTCCGCATCTCTTGAAAAAGAAACCCTGTTTTATTTCTTACACATTTGTTTACCTTCATTTTTCATCTCAAAAAAAATACACTACACACAACAGCAATTATCACCATTAAACCATCACCACCACAATCAACTGCCACAACCACCACAACCACCACAATCGCAATCGCAATCACAATCACACTCAAACTCACACTCACATTCACGACAATCACAACACCAGTATCAATTACCAGTAACGCACACCTATCCCCTCCCCTTTCCACACACAAAAAATCTTCCCTTTGCTTATTCCCCATTAGTTCTCCCTCTTCATCCCCCCCTTTGTTTTTATATACATACACATACGCACATATCTATATATGAGTGTGTGTGTAAAACAATCACTCAATCACTTACTCAATTAATCAATTGATTAATCAATGAAAGAAAAAAATGAAAAAAAGAGCAAAATAATAATAATAATAATAATACTATTAATAATAATAATAATCTGTACATAAAGTAAAATATACAAAATAAGAACAAGAAGAAGAACGACATGTAACAAATCCCACTTTTAAACTATTTCCCCAAAAAATAAATAAATGACGTCTATATTATGTTTGCTGTCAAACCAAAAAAAAATAAAAAAAAAATTAAAATTAAAATACAGTATATATATATATAATAAAGGAAGAAAGGGGGAAGTCAAGGGAAAATATTTTTTTCTGATTGAATGACTAACTGACTGACTAGCTGACTGACTGACTGACTGACTCTCTCTCTCGGTAGATAACCCTGTTAGTGTAACGTAGTGCTTAATCTTGTTATTTGGCAGTTTTATACACAAATTTACAACATTACACATTACAATTTTCTTTTAGTATAAATACATTATATATTTATAAAGAAAGAAAGAAATATGCATGTATACAAATTTATGTACATTACAGAAAAATATACCACTCTATATTTTAGAGAGGGGTCCTGATTTGCTTAATAGATAAAATTGGTTTGAGTATTAGACTTTTTGTTTATTTGTTTGTTTATTTGTTTGTTTGCCTTGGTTTTGGGTTTGGGTTTGGTTTTTAGGCCTTAAATTTACTATGAAATCTTATAAAGGGGTAGAGCAGAAAAAGAAGAAAAAAAGGAATTGCATTATTTATTTGAATGGATATTTGTATGTAGATTTCAAGGGCCAAATATGGTTGAAATAGGGCAGAATTGGAATGGAAGAAACAACTAAAGGTGGTTTCAAATGGTGACCAGGCTATCAACCCAAAATGATATAAAAATAAAACCGAGAAAACAGCCAGGGATGAAGAAAGCTGTAAAGTTTACCAAAAAATCTTATTGGTATAAATAAATTGGATCAAGAAAACAGATCTACTTGGAATTCCCATAATAATAATTGACAATCTGGCTCACCAACCTAGTTTATTACATATATATTGGGGGGGTTTCTTGCTTGTTATTCTGACTTCCTTATTCAAAAGTGAAACTGACTCGAGTTTATGTAATAAATAACGCTGTAAAGACCATAAATTAATTATTAATCATCTAACTACTTGAGGCGTCTTGTCCTATATCACTAAAAGATTCCACTATTTTGAATAATCTTTTAACTGTAAAATTCCCTGGGAAAAAAAAGAAAAGAACTCCCTTTAATGGCTCTTGTTTCTATCAGATCTATATATATCCTTTATAACTGAAGATGGGAATATTGGTAGTGAGTAATTTAGTCTTAAAGCAATTTTTTTTTAAAGTTAATCATCACGTTTTCGTTTTTGTCTAGTGTATAAAACCACACATGCACAACACACAAGCACAAAAGCACATTCTCTCTCTCGCTCTCTCTCTTTACTTTCTCCTGTCTGCAGGAACCTACTACTTGTGTTATTATTCTCTTACTTATCAAATAAACTATTTATATCAAGTTATTTGAATTTTCTTCAGTAATATCCTAAGAATTTCGTAAGATTTGTATTTTACATGCTTTTTGGAATACTCTCAGTAAATTCTACAGGAGCTGGAACGAGACTATTTATTAATTAATTGGTTAGTTAGTTAAGTGGGGGAAACTACTTGCTAAAGCCGTCTGTAGTACCTAAAAGAAAGGAAGGGTGGTCTAGCCTTAATTGCTTTGATATCACCAAAAACATTCTTGATTTCTACTATTCAATTAAACTCAAGCAGCAATCATTTATATTTATTTTATTTAATCTATTAAAGTCTCTGGAACGCTTTTCATGCTCTCGTTAGCGTTTCATGGACAAAAGAAAATTTGATATAGAAAAATAAATCTCGGTGGGAGGAGCAAGAGACATATTTGTAGTGTTTATTAAGGAACCCCCAATGTCCCTTCACTCTGCCTCTCACACCAAAGAGAGGGAGGAAGAGATTAAAGGGAAAAAGTAGGCTTACCTAAATGACATTTCCTTTTTTTTGGAGGTTGTACATATTAGCCGTGATAGCATTTTTCACAGGGCAATAGGGTGAGAATTGTTGTGTAGCGCATTTGGCTAAAATAGCCCAAATGATCAATTTCACCACATCAGAAAACAGCGCTACGGGGAGGAAGGGGTGTAGACAGAGGCAGAGAATGCCAGGTGGAAGTTGGGGAGAAAGGAGCGTTTAGAAACAGTAGAAATATGCAAGTCATATAGTGCCTTCACCGAGGAACTGGCTGTGCCGTTCGAGGTAGACGCAGAAACGGGCCTTTTCTTTTTTTTTTTGTTTCCACAAAGGGCTTCCATGAGCTGGTTTGTGGTGTTGGTGATGGTAGCTTTTGGGAGAGTTGGCGTAGCTCCTCGCCAAAAATATTTGCATGCAGGAATATTGTAAAGGTTAATTTTTCCATTATATATATATATATTCGTATCGGGGGAAAAAATCTGCGGATGCAACAATACAGAATCTCTTGACTATGAATTCGGATGTGGCTGTGGCTGTCTTTTTCTTTTTTCTTTGCTTTAGGGATATATTTTCAACTTGATAAAGAAAACTTTAGTTATGAGGTCTTGTACCTTGGTGGAATCGAGGAATGTAGTATATAAGCTATCCAGGCTGTCAGACTATAAGCTCACACAAACTCATTCGCTGGTTGCGATTTCTCCTACGTTGAAGACAACGTTTTTGGGGCGGATTTTACGTGTCCCTGTCGCAGAAATAGTGTTCTGACTGATCATATCTTTATTACCCAGCACAGTCAAAGAAACACAGAAACAAACAAACTAAAAATAAAAAGGGAAAGTCATCGGGCTGTTCGAATGTGCATGGATGCATCTACTACATGCCATGTACTTGACCAATTAACATCCCTAGTAATTGAATTAAGAATGAACACATTGGGTAGCTATATAATGGTATTGTAAAGCTAATACAATTTACATATATATATATATTGGAGAATAGATGTTTTTACTTAATAAAACTATGAGCACGTGAAAAAAATGGGGGGAAGAAAAAGAATATTGGATATATAAATTGTTTAAAAGAATCCAAATATATGTAAATATACATTTATCCATGGCTTAATGGCAGTACAACCATCTCCAGTAATTCGTTTACCCAACGTTCTTTCTCTTCGGTCCATTGTTCATCCATAACTAGCGTGTGTCGCTCCAAACTAATTAATGCTCCTGCCAAGTGTCGCTCGGACCGTGCACTGGCTACCAACGTCAGCCATGTTTCACGTTCGTTGATCCAGGCTTCTGTCACAGCAGTCCACAACAGCGCCATTTCCAGCTGGACTATCTGATACGCCACTTGCTCAATGCTGTTTGGAACACGTTCGACCCACTCTACTCTCCGTACCAGCCATCGAGGTGATTTGTGGCGATTGGGGATGTGTCTCTCAAATATGTGTAGTTTTTGCATCAATGCCTTGATACTGCCAAAGATTGAGGTTTCGTATGATGGAGGCGCATCTCCCTCTGCCAGAGGCTGTTGATTTGCACTAGCTGCTTCCCTACTCATGACAGTATTTCCGGTGTGGGGAGAAGATGAAAAGGCAGGTGGGGGGCTCTGGGATCTTTCTCTTGATTGACCATGTACGGGATGTGAGTTCGGTCTGATTTCTATTTCCTCTCCATCTTCATCTTCGTCCTCATCGTCCTCGTCCTCGTCCTCGTCTTCCTCTTCCTCTTCCTCTTCCTCTTCATCTTCCTCTTCATCTTCGTCTTCGTCTTCGTCTTCGACTGCTGATGGCTCTGTTGATGGTGGCTCTGTTGTTGTTGATGACGGTGTCGGTGTTGGTGGTGTTGGTGTTGGTGGTGTTGCTTCTGTTCCTATTGTTGCTGATGGTATTGGTGGTGTTATTCCTGTACTGTCTTGTGTAGAATGATTTGTAATGCTATTGAGTTGAGGCACAGATACACAGTCTGTCGGTATTTCTGTTTGCAACTGTGCACTGTTTTGAGGTAAAGTATTTAGAGAAGGATCGTGTTCATTCTGCTGATGAATCAACATGCTATTCAAACATTGAGTTATTCCATCAATCTTGGTTTCTAGATCGACAAGCTTTTGGAGAATCTTGCGATTGGCGCCTTGTCTTGTCTGTTGCTCTGGGGAGTATGCCTCCCAGGTAGTATCTTGCTCTGCTATGACAACTCGTCGTGGTTCGAGTTCGACTAGACTAAAGGGATCTATTTCGAAAGGAATCAATTTTCCCATTGACACCAATGCAGTTGCAGATGGTACGAGCGCTTGGACATCAGAAAAGAGTAGGACAGATTGTCGATTGACTCGTCGAATAGGAATCATGAATATCTGATCATTGTATTCGACAATCTTGTATTTGTTGAATGAGTTTGTTTCGGATTCCATATCCAATATGTAGTAAATATGTGTCTGTGTGTATCTTGTATATTTATATAAATTTTGTACGTTTGTTGTCTTAATAATCCCGCTTCTTTAATAAATATAATTATGTATTATATTCTATCCTTTTCGGAAACGTTTCTCTCCTTTCTTTATATATGTATTAATAATAAATAAAATGTCGCAAGCACCGAGAATTTAATGGCACTTGTTTCAAAAAAGAAACAAATAAATTAAATAAGGTATGAAATATCCTGTCGTGTTTTCAAATATAAAATAAACATAAATAACAACCTTGTTTTGCTTGGATATAATACTCGTCTATATATCAAGTCAATGAATATAGGTGAATCCAGAGTAATCAAAATAACTGAAAAACTGTATAACTGTATAACTATATAATTATATACAGTAGAGAGAATCAAATAGGAAGAAAGAAAGAAAAAAGGATAGTGTAGGTATAGAGCTACTTTTGGGATTGTGGTTTTAAACCTTTTGGTGGTTTTTGGACGGGAGATGTAAAACCAAGATGCAATATATGAAAACTTTACCTCATAATTTCCTCCCCCTCGGTCCCAATATATATATATGTATGTATGTATGTGTATACAAATTGTTACAAGGTTTCGAGTATACATAGTCAAAAGTTGCGTTCTTTTTTTGAAAATAAATAATAATAATAATTCAAAAGTAGTAAATAAGGAGCAGACAATAAAGAAAACTATTTAAAAAGCTAATGTTATACATTTGTCATCTGATAAACAAGAAGAATAAGATGCACTAAATTGTTTGAATATGAGAGGCATTATAATTTTATTTTATTGTAATAGCAATGGAGAAACGGTTTTGAAACACTTCTTTATCTACAAAGAAGAAGATATAAAAGAAACAGCTGGACTAGGACATGATAGTCTAATAGTTGTAACGGTGCTATATAATACATTGTTAGATTATTATTTTTTTGGTTCTTCCTCTAGTAAAAGATGTTCTCTAAAACCATATGTATTTTCTGGTTATACAAAATTATGTAAAATTTACCTGTAAATCATGGAAAATGTCTTGCAACTAAAATAAGAATAAACCAATTGTTATTAGTGTTAGTATGGTGATTATTCGTTCGTTGAAAATAAAACAGAAATCAAAGGTCAAGCCAAAATGTAAATTTAAACATATCTGTTTTTTCTTTACCTTTGCTGTTGCGTTTTCTGCAAGATCCTTTACTGCATCAAGATCAGCACTAGCCTGACCTACAAATGTACGCGCCATACCACTGGCGGCATTTTGGAGTGCATCCCAATCGCCAGCACCGCCCATTCCTACTCCAGATCCACCCAAAGACACACCACCAGAGTTGCCAGTTGAACTACCGTCAAAATCATCTTCTCTTCCAAAGTATTGATCAGATGAAATTGCGCGTGCACCCTTAAACTGAGACAATCTAGCCGATTGTTCGGCAGCCACAGCAGGATCATAGGCATTTCTTCCAAAGAATTGATCTGAAGAAATAGCCTTTGCGTTGCCAAACTTTTCGCGTGCGGATTGGCTGTTTTCTTCACCATATGATTCTACTCTTGGCATCGATCCAAACCCACTTTTACTGCCGCCTCTACCATTAGTACTGTTGCCGTTATTTGCACTCGAACTATTATTTCCAGCATTCCGTTCACCAGACTTTTCCTTCAGATCTATTCGGCCCATACCGAATCCAAGCTTTTCATATTCAACTTCCTCATTCTGTTTAGCACTTTCGTCTTGATAATTCAGGCGAGAAGACGTGGGTGCAGCAGCCCGGAGACGTTCGGGTTGAGCACTTTCTTCGGTGCTTGCTTCTGATCTTTCTGCCTCAGAGTAACCCAATCTGGCCTTGCGTTCAGCATCTTCTATTTCCTTTGCCTTGGCCTCTTCAAAGTTAAAGTTCACAGGTGCTTTCTTGATACCAAGTTTTCCTGCCTTTGCTCCTGAACGAGCACCAGTTTTTCTAGCGCCGATAGTGGTGCGTGTTGAGCTACGGGCTGAAGCGATGGTTGGTCTAGCTTGTGTATTTGTAGGAATAGTGGTAGGAGTAGAAGGCTCGGCGGGATTTTCGGCTGATGATGATTGTGGTGGTGGAGGTGGAGGTGATGATGGCGATTGTGATTGTGATGGTGGTTGTGGAGTGGGTGTAGTTTCCGTTTTAGAATCCGATAATTTTTCACTGTCTTCTTCTGCTGCCTCTTCGGTTTCTTTCTTGGCAGGTGTGGTCTGTTGTACTTCTTCCTCTTGTTCAGCATTACTGTCCATTTCGATTACTACGGACGTAGGGTTTCTAAAAAAAAGAGATGGCATTAAATATACACATGTATATGTACATTCTTTTTGTAAACGTAACAGGAAAACAAAACAAAAAAAAGTCGACATACGCAATTAAATCCTCTGCTGCTCTCTTTTCCAACAATTCTTTGTACTGTTGCCCAGCCTTGCTTCCATATTTGGTTCTAGCATCCTTGTTTGATCCACTGCCGCTTTTTGAAAAGTGCTCTGTTGCGGGCTGATTGCCACCAACTTTCATAAGACGTAATTGGCTCCAAGTCCAGGAGTCAAGAACAGTAGATCTGTGTAATTGATAAAGAAATAATGGGTTAATGAGGTGAAGAGAATAGATAAAACACACAAGAGTATTATTATTATAATAATAATAATAACAATACATATTTTATTTCATTTTATTTTATTGAATAATATGCTTTGACATATATATATTCTTTCATTCCAAGTCCTTTGATGCCAGATTTCCTATTCTTACCTCACAAAACTAATGTGAACACCAAGGTTACGATGGGCAGATGAGCAATCGGTACAAATATAGATTCCGAACGAAACTGAAGCCCATGTTGGGTTCTTTGAATTACAATCAAAGCAAGACTGTGTATATATAATTGATAATAAAGTAATTCTTTTTTATTAGACTTTTCTTCTCTCTTGTTTTTTTATGATGTACGCGTCTAAATCTGCAATTCCCTTGCCTTGTTGTATCTGTTTTGTTTGAGTTTTTTAAATACTAGTTGAATTTGTTCTTTTGTAGGTTCTGGCATTGTCAATGAATATTACAAAATAATAACTTGCTTATAAAAAAGAAAGAAATAAAAATGATATAAGGGAAGGAAGAAAGGTGCTATGGGAGTAGATTGTATTGTGAAGGGTTGCAATTGGATGGGTTGTGTTAGGTGTGTGTGTATGTGTATGTGTGGAGTTGGCAGAGTGCCATAGGATCAAACGACAGCGAATCATCAAAGTATACTTTAATGTCCGACATACCCTTTGTTTCTTCTTTGGGAACTAAGGAAGAAGGCAGAACCAAATTAAGGTATTAGAGAGACCCTTGATATCTCTCTCTCTCTCTCTCTCTCTCTCTCCTTCCTCAATACTGATTAATATTATGCTCTAAGTGGCGTCCTTGCTGTAGTATTAAAGCCATGCTAGAGAATTGTTTTTAATCTGTTTTTTTTTCCTTCCTGCCAACATAGTTACTTTTATGAACAAAGCGCTACAATTATTTTTCTCTTTCGGTTATCCCATCTTGTAAACTAGTTCTCCCTCTCTTTTAAGTTCATTATACTTTCTCCCATGATACTATCTATTTTTTCCTTTTTTTATTATGTTTCTTTCATCTCTGTATTTTCTAGGTTTGTTCCTATTTTTGTACTTACTATTAGCTTACCGTTTTATCTCCACATCTTGTATGTTCAACAATATCTCCCTCAGGCATTTAACTCTCTTTTATAAGTCAAACCTGTTTTTTTTGAACGATTTAATAAGTTTTTGTCTCTTACAATGAAAAATAAAATTAAGAGGATGAGGATGAGGACTGGTAGGAAATTGTTACAAGTCCACAGCTTCTACTATATCGAAATTTGGCTGTAATGTATTGGGCTAATGAACCGGGTTGTTAAAGGATTTCAATCCTTTTGTTAAACTTGTTTCACACCACGGTTCCCATAGTGATGCCATTAAAAGTGCACCAGACTATAACAGCCACCAATCATAGCCTATCTTTCAAAAAAATTATACATGTGGATTAGAAAGTAATGCTTTTACTTGGGTATACATTATTTACTATCATGAAAAAAAACATTTTTTTACAAGATAAACGGTATTAACCCATCTTCTTTAACGATATTACAAAGACAAAGCTACTGTTTTCTGCCTTTAATTTTTGTAATTCCGTTTTTTTCTTTGTTTGCGGACTTTTAAAACATTTCCATTTTTTATCTTGAAAAGCATGCTCATAATTATTTGGACGATAATTAGCATAAATATATATGTTATCTATTATAAAGCCCAAAAATTATCTAATAGTTTATGAGACCAATGACTGTGACTACTCGAGTCTGGTGCACTTTTAACGTTACCCATTTCCAATTCTTTTTGTATTTAAACGTCCTCCCGAAGATTTAAAGTGCCGCAGTACCTTATTTTGGCGGGATAACAATTTGATGGTAAATTGCTTTTAGTCGACACCCTCTCTAAAAAGAGAGGTAGTGCTCCTCATTAAGCCAGGCTGAGAAGATAAGCTGAATCTGTGTACTCAATCTAGTACAATTCTTTTGAAAAATCAAGGTAAGAAAAAAGTAACGGTAATATGAAAATGCTGCTAAAGTCATGATATATGCACTTCAATCGTCGTCAAAACAGTCTTTAGGTACGTATTTGGTCAAACCATGATATGGTACGGGAAGTACCATTATCAAAAAAAAAAAATATTAGTACAATGAAATACATTCAATGTTGTTAAAGCGAAAAGATAAGCACGCCTATTTATTCATTTGTTTATTTATTTTTCAAGCTGATAAGACTTGAAGATTGATTGTCTTTTCCGTTAATTCGGGCCCTATATACTTTTCTACTCCCCCAGTCTATATATATATATATATATACTGCTCTTCTTTATCTCTACATTTATCAATAGGTCATATATATATATATGTGTGTGTGTGTGTGTGTACCATTAATTAACAATTATCTGCAAGTAGAATTCTTTGTTCTATTTTACTTTAACAAATGTATATTTTTTTAAAAAAAGAAGATATCTAAGTCTAAGGGGAGTAAATGTTTCTTGCTTCTTGTTTTGGCTTTTGATTTATTGTATCTAAGCCAAGTTTACTTTAATACACTTACTATATAACGAAAGTTGAATAGGATCAATGTTACTTGGCGAGAAGAGAAAAGAAAAAGAAAGTTTTCATATCATTATTGTTTGTCACATTTTTTCTTTGCGGTTACTTTGTGGAATACTTTTATAAAAATCAAATGGTTTTTAACGTGCCTCCAAAGTCTTGAAACCATAATTTATGTATATAAATATCCTCGTGGCTTTGTGCTTTTACACTATAATAAAATTAAATAAAATAAAAATGATCGATTGGGATTGTCAATACACATTTCCGTTGATAGATTTTTGAATACTCTATGATGTATTTATTTATTAGATTAACTTTGATAAATCTACTTCTTTACTACTCTACTTCATATGGTTATGGATATGAATAGTAGGTATTCGCTTTGTTATATATGCAATTATTTGTATTCCAAAGATTTATCATTACTATTACTATTATTATTAAATTGTATGGTTTTTGTTGATGTTTTGACTTGATGATAACCATTACATGTGTATGTTTATTGTATATTATTATTATTTTGTATTTATGACCAAGTTCAAAAAACACTATTGTATCTAGCGTAAAAAAAAAGGTATAAAGTCAATCGATTAATTAATGAATTAATAAATTAATAAATTAATTAATTAATAAGTAAAAAGAATATATTTCTATATGATGCTGATGATTAAGATGATAACGATAATGAGAATAGGGTCAATAATAAAAGGGTCAATTGATGATACAAGTATTCTGCTTTTTTTTTCAATGATGAAATTACATTGTAGTTAGGTAGCCATGTATGCAAATAGATAGAGATAGATGGATAGATATGTATAATAACATGTGATGACGTGTGATAATTTCATATTATTGTTACTATTTCTCGATCGATAATGATCAAACCTTGATCCCCCACATGAGGCTTAAAAGTAGTATCCCTAAAGCTCTCTGATTGTGGACGAACATAAAGATTTTCAAAAACAAGAAATTGAAGTAACTTGTATGTGTTTGAGTAAGTACATTTGTATTTGTAACTTTTATAATATATGAAATATATGAATAGCTAAATACTTCTTTATTATAATCGTCACCATCACCACCATGTTGAATTTTTATATATTATAATATTTTTATATTTCGCTTTGTTGCAACTGACTTCTTGACCTCTGAGATCAGAAAGTAATCCTATTTTTACATGTATTGCTCATAGAAATAGAAGTAAAAACTTATAGTATACATATATTCATTCATTTTCTCCTTGGTTTTTGTGTGCACCGTGAAATGGAGGTAAGTCTTGGTTGATGGCCAAAGATACGACTAAACTTGATAACTTGAAGCATGACGTAAAGGGTGAATCGGTTCTCTGCTATCGGAAGTCGGATTATAATCCGGGAAGCGTCATCGTGGTTGCACGTCCCTGGCGCTTTCTTAAACAAGGCGAATCGTATTCTTTAGATGTCTATCAGTTAATTTATATATATTAGAAAATAAAAAAGATAATACAGCACCCCCCAAAAAAAAATTTTTGGTTATCATCCTCATCAAAACCAAAAAGTCAAAAGTCATTTAGAGAACCTAACCTCTCTAACTTCTGCCCTCATTAATTTGTTCACTCTTTATTTTTATATTATGCTATATACATGTTTATGTTCCTGTGTTAAGCGGCGATAGTAATCTGATTTGTAAATTCTCAATAAAAAAATAAATGAATGAACGAACAGCATATAGATAATTGGTGTATATATTGTTTTATAACATTGATTCTAGAGATTTGTTAACATGAGATTTCTGTTTGATTTCTGGGTGCTCAAATATTCAATTCAATTCAATTCTGTGCTAATATTTTATTTATTTGTATATAAATAGTAATACTAATAAAACATATATCAGAATCAAAATCTAAAAATCAGAATTAAAATCCATGACAACAAAATGAATAGAATTTTGTATTTATTTATTATTCACCTAATAACAATAATAGCAAAAGGAAAAAGTTTATATACAATAGCCATGGTAACAAATCTGACGTAGGAATAAACATTAGAGATAATGCACATCAATAAAAGTAGTACAAATCCTTTTGATTTCCAAGATAAATAAAATACAAAATAAAAAAATAAAAAATAAAATCGTATCATTGTATTTTATTCCATTTTATTGGATTACTGAATAGAACAGAATTAGATTGAGGTTGTTTCTTAGCAATAAATATCAATAGAATAAAAATAATAATATTTTATTTTATATTTTTTGGGGGAGTGGAATTGTTTTTTTTTTTAAAAAAAAAGGGCTGTCTACCATATTCAGGCACACCATCATTGTCCAAAAATGAAACAGAAAAAAAAAGCTTTACTTCGGAGTATATATCGGATCAGTAAATCTCATACACACATACACCGACGTCTTGTTTTGTAAAGGCGCTCTGGAAGTATAAAAGGAAGCCTGTCTTGTAACAAATTTCAAGAACTATTATCTCTTCCTCCCATCTCTCTTTCTACTACACACTTTAAAGATGTCTCTCGAACATGTCTGCATTATTGGCTCAGGAAACTGGTAAGACTTTCTATAGAGCATTTATGAATATACAATACAATACAATACAGTACATTAGATTAGATTACAATAGATTACTAGTTTTATATACTGTGTATATATATTATTATTATTTTTTAAGGATTTAATATTAATGCTATTATTGTTTTTGGTTATCTTCTTAGGGGTTCTGCCATTGCAAAGATCATTGGTAACAACGTCCACAAGTACCCTCAGCAATTCTCTCCCACCGTTCGCCAATGGGTTTTCGAAGAAATGATCGACGGCAAGAAGTTGACCGATATTATCAACAACGACCACGAGAACGTCAAGTACCTCAAGGGCGTCCCTCTTCCTGTCAATGTCGTTGCCGTACCCGATCTTGTCGATGCCTGCAAAGACGCTACTCTGGTCATCTTTGTCTTGCCTCACCAGTTTGTTCGTGGAATCTGTGAAAAGATGAAGGGTTCGCTCTCTCCTGGCGCTAGAGCCATCTCTCTCATCAAGGGACTCGAGATCACACCTTCGGGTACACGCCTCTTCTCTGAGGAAATCTCCCGTATTCTGGACATCCCCTGTGCTGCACTCAGTGGTGCCAACATTGCCGACGAGGTTGCCAGAGAGCGATTCTGTGAATCGACTATTGGTTGTGAGAGCGTTGAGGATGGACAAGTCTGGCACCGTGTCTTCCACACCGACTACTTCCGTATCAATGTCATCAAAGACTACACCGGTGTCCAGCTGTGTGGTGCGCTTAAGAACATCGTTGCCGTCGGAGCTGGTTTCTCAGACGGTCTTGGTCTCGGCAGCAACACAAAGGCTGCCATCATCCGTCTTGGCCTCATGGAGATGCGCAAGTTTGGTCAGACTTTCTTTGGAGACATGGTCCAAAACGAGACATTTTTCGAGTCCTGTGGAACAGCTGATCTGATCACAACCTGCTCTGGTGGCCGCAACCGTAAGGTCGCAGAGGCATTTGTCAAAACCGGAAAGCCCATTGCCCAGCTGGAGACCGAGCTGTTGAACGGCCAGAAGTTGCAGGGCACCTTGACCGCACAAGAGGTTCACGAGTTCTTGACCGGAAAGGATATGGTTCCAGAGTTCCCTCTCTTTGACACTGTGTACCGTATTGTGTATGAAGGCGCCTCCCCTGAAGCTATCGTCCGTGACGTCTAAGCCGTACATACTTTACACAATATCACTCTTCTAAACACACATCTTCTGTATACCTAACATTCTCTCTCTCTCTCTCTCTCTTTATATATATCTTATATATATTTGTAAAGTTTCTCTTTTTATTTTTTCTATTATTTTTCTTATTTTAACAAGGAATGTAACGTCCAGGCAGTAGAGTACTGCGGATCATTCTTGTATCATATATACAGCACATTAATAAACATATATTTTTATTTATTTTCATTTAATAAAACATCTTTTTTTGATATATAAACATTACTTTAACAAGATCCCTGTGTTTTCAAGTGTTTCTTTTCTGTTTTTGGTGATATATTAACCAATACAGTTTTACTTGATCTCCTTACAAAGACCTCAATAGAACTTTGTTATAACGTGCTAATGACACACCCACACCACATACCTATATACGTTAGGTATTCTTATTCCTTTATAAACTGCCCTTTTATAGTTGCCCCATAAACAAACAAGGCATTTGCTATTTACTACCAGCATTATCATTATCATTATCCTAATATCAATAGAATCAAAGTCTGATAAGACTCATATGAATAGAACAATATATTAAGAAATGAAACACAAACTCATAAGAAATTAGGAGAAGGAGAAGGAGGGGTATGTTAAGGAATTAATAGAATAAGCTTTTTTTTTAAATAAATAAATAAAAAAAAAAGGATAGAAGCAAAAAAGAGTACATAAAATAAACAAACATTATAAACAAAACCAATAAAGAAGAAGCAAAGAAGAAGAACAACAACAACAATAACAAAAAACTATTTTTCTTTGTTCTTTCTCTTTCTCTCTTTACTTTTTATTTTATTTTATTTTAATTTATTTTATTTTATATATGATCATTGCTAATCTCAAAATGGTGCCTTTAATTACAAAAACTCGCCTTAATTCAACAGCTCATGTGTTTGATCCAAAAACTACACATGCGTCATTCATTTATTCTGCAACCACAACGTGTGTTCCTGGAACCACTTGTCCTGTAGCCTGTTATCGTTATGACACAAATATGCTAGAGATCAGAGATCTAGGAGTGTCTGATTATAAAGTATATGCGATCATGTCTGCCAATCAACTCAAAGGATTTGAGAATCGTGAGGTAGATTGGTGAATCAAATTGAAAAAAAGAGAGAGAGATTTCACGTATATACATACATACATATATATATTGTATATAAAAGAATAGTTCAATTGCTTATACACTATACAATATGTATCTATATAAAAGCTTTATATAGTTTCGGTTGAACATGGCATTATTCATGGTCGCGTTCACCTTTACATAATGGCGTGTACTATCAATCCAAACCATCAAAGACACTGCCAGTTATTTGTATTTGATCCTTTTCTGATGACATGTTATCCTATCATTCTTGACCGTCCAATGAAGGGATATTCTACCTCAGTAGCAATATCAGAAGCAACATATAGAAAAGTAAATATAGAAATATAGAAATATAGAAATACATCTATTGGTAAAGAAAAGAAAAAGAGTAAATTCATCTCAAACGTATTCTAATAATGTATGTTGTTCTTTCAAGGCAGATAGCGGTAAAAATTACGAATGTCACTGGATTGCATGTGGGTTTTCAGATGCTGCATTGTATGTCATACAATTCTACCCAGACAATTTGAGCAAAAGAATGGTAAAATGCACCGATATATACACTATAGATTATACAATAGAGAGTTTTAGATTGATGAATAGGAAGACATGAAGAAGATTATATTTCTTATGACCTTGTCGTATATGTAAAAGATACATCCATGTACATTGCTGAGATCTAGGGTGAGTGGTGGAACTAGTGTGGCAATAGAACTGCTTGATTCTTCTCCCGTCCATGCATCGTCTGTGTGCATTCTTGTGGGTGGAATCAATGGGCTCGTCGATGTCCTGGTGTGCAAAGGGTCCAGACATTGGACAATGAATCCGACCATATCTTTTGTTGATCTTGAACCAATCTTACCGTCTTCTTGTAAGCAAAAGTATCAGATATGCAAATAGTATCACTATTATGATTAATTGGTTAATTATAATATATGTATTTATTTATTTATATATTGGGTGTGTGGTTGGATTCTTCAGTACCTGTGGTGTCATTTCAGCTGATCCAATCAGATAAGGGTTCATCCAAAGAAAGACTTTTGGCTGTGTGTCAAGGGCTCTTTGATGATCACCAATACAGGTAAACTAATAGAATAGATACAACATTACATTGTAAATAAGATAAAGAAGGGGGTGGTCATAAAATCTAGTATTTTCCCCTCTTACCACCTCCCCCCTTCCCTCCCTCGACTTCCCGCCTTTCTTTCTCTTTTCGTTCCTTTTTATTGGGTGGGTGATGGTGAAGATAAAAGTGAAAGTGAGGGGATATATGTATTTATTTATTTATTTATTCACGTACACGTGTAGTGAAGCGCAGGCAGCAACTAGTATCTTTAGAATTGACTTTACAGATCTCTCATGTCGGTTTGTGCAGACAACCTATCAAGCCAAATCTCTGGTGCGGTCAAGGATATTATCCTCTCAATTGGTTCCATTAGCAGGTAAAAATCAATCGACAAATGTACGCTCTACACTACACTACACTACACTTATACATAAATATTATTTCTATAGAGCAACATAACGTTTGTCATTTGTGGCAATGTGTTCTGGATACCATGTCCATGAGGGCCGAGCTGTGGGAACTTTGTAATGGATCTCTCAAACATCTTTACAGTGTTGATCTAACAAAGACAATGAATATGTCCAAGACGCTCCAGGGAGTATCGTTCCATGCAGATACCCAGACATGCATGTTTCTCTATGAAGACGATATCATCAATACCAAGATGAATCTCATGTGGGAGCAAGCGGATAATTCTCAAGACACTTTAATATTGACCGAATAAGTTTATATATATATATATATATATAATCCAGCACACATAATTATATCGATGAATAAATGAAGATTAATTGGAATTATTGTTATTTATTATTTAAATCTTGTAGTTTGTTTGGTTTTTAGTCGGTAGAGTTTGGTAAGATAAGGAAATTCTTTGGATCTTGAAACAGATAATCAACCATAAATACAGAAGCAATTTTACAACAACCACAAAACAAACAAAACCAAACAAAACCAAAACGATAGATGCTTGTACATATTTATGCGTTTATAAAGTCTAATGTTAATCGTATATATTATTTTCTTCAAGAATGCATTTGATTAAATTATAGTGTATTGGGTTAAAGACAGAAAGTAGTGTATATATGAATATAAATATATAGTAGTAATAGTAATTAAAGACTACCAAACGAAGCGAAATAAAAGAAAGATAATACAGTAGTTTGTCGCGTAAATATTATTATTCTTGTTATATCTTTTAGCTTGGTTTATAGTTTAAGAAATAAATGATATAATAGAGTAGAATAGTTATTATTAATATTTGAAAGGAGAATGAGAGGGGGGGTAAGGTGTGTGGTCTTTTGTTGCTTTTTGTTGTTGTTGCTGTTGCTGTTGCTGTTTTTTCTTTTTGGTTTCTGTTAAGAATTCATGATGTGATAAATAATGTAACTGGGTAGACCATAGACTCCAAATCCCATGGCTTTGGCCATCTTTGCAAACCCCTCTGTTTCAACCTGATGTTGGAATGCATAGGGAGGGAAATTGGCGCCTTCCCGATGTACATTGGCCTTTACAAGTGTAAAAGTTGCTCCCTGGGATATACACAATAATAATAGTAAGAAAAAAAATCAAATCAAATCAAATCAAATCAAATCAAATCAAAAATTTAGAATTATTATTATTATTTACAAATAGTTACATATGTATTTATAAATTAGACTTACCACACCATCCAAAGGAACCTTATTGAGTTTTGGAAGATGTGTCTCCATGTCTACCATCAAATACCGACCAGTAAGGAACTCATAATAGCCTAAATAACATACACAAATGGTTATTATTATTACTGTTATTTGCTATTGCTATTGTTGTGAAATTGATATCTTTTCTTCTTTGATTTCATTTTCTTATTTTGGTGTGAGGAGTAAGATTTAAGAAGAAGAAGAAGAAGAAAGGAGAATGATCAATAAGGAAAAACGAGAAAAAATGAATAGAAAAGAGGGGGTGGTCAAATAATAACAATAACAATAGTTTACCTTCAAGTAATACATAGTCCTTTAAAAATAAAAATCCGAAAAATAAGTATATATATATTGGTTTGATTTGTTTGTTTAGTCTTTAGTAGTATATTGCTTATATTTGTATACAGGTTCCTACTTACAGGATCAAGATCACGTTGGATCGCCAGAGACTGTTCAGTTTCCTGCCAGTTATTTTTATCATATCCCCAAAATGAGCCATCTTCTGTCTCCCGAAGACAGTTTGGTACAACAATATCAACGTCAACACTTTGAAGATCCTCGAGGATCCCGGCCGGATATTCAACCACATCTACGTCCAGCCAAAGTACCCATGCATGTTCTTCACGAAGTGCAGCAGTCAAGAGGTAATTACGAGATCGAGCCATAAACGAGCGACGAACAGGCTGAAGCTAAAAAGATTATTATTATTATTTAGATATCATTATCTACAAACATATATATGTAGACTAACAACAACCATGATAAAATATACTGATATATAATTAATTTATTAATTTATTTATTTATTTATTTTACCTCGAATTTGTGGCGCTCATTTTCTGGCATATCGAATTTAAAATCTTTTTCATATATCGCAATATGATGGTATCTGTTCCTAGGATCCCTGCGATTGAGAAACACATCTGCCTGGTCTTTTAGGATCTGGACAGTCTCGTCAGTTGTGTCCGAGACCAGGAATGCGATGGATACCAGATGCTTTGGATAGGTCATCCGGTCAATCAGCTCAAAATAGCGTGCAAGATAAGGCTGGGCGTTCTTGAGAGGAGTCAGGATGAGAACATGTTCCTGTCGGGACTTTCCGTCCGAGGTTGCCTGGAGATCGTTGAGGTTGACAAAGGTTGGATATCCCGTCCCAAAGAACCGCCCAGATGAAAACAGGGCTTCGTTGAATGAGGATCGTAGTGTACGGCCTCCCGCGCAGGAGCCAAGGTTGATAGACGTCCGGGAAAGGGTGAGGAGAGAGAGGACAATGAAAGACAGAATCGAAAGGAGGATAATTGCAAGTCTTCGGTTGCCTCTCACAGGTGTATAGATTAGTTTTTCAGACGACAGTGACATTATAAGTTGATATAATTATGCGCTTATATTATATCTTATTCTTTTTGATTATTTTGGCAATAAAGGTCTGATTTGTATGTGATTTTTTTATATATATAAAAGAAGTATATACATAGGTATATATCTATATATGTGTGTATGCGTATGTATATATATATATATATGTATGTATATATAGAATATTAATTATATTATGTATTTGGAAGTATAAATAATACAATGAAAAATGAAACAGATAGAATGATAATGAACAAAACAAGGAATAAGGAAGAGGAAGAGGAAGAAGAGGAAGAGGAAAAGGAGAAAGGATATATATATGTATATGTATATATATGTGTATGTATGTGTACATATATAAAGGGGGGTGGGAGGAAGGGGGTGAAAAGAATAAAGGGAGAAAGGTAGAGTGGTAGAGTGGTTGTAAGTTATGGCAGTGATTTGTGAGAATTTCATTTTTAGATGCATGTTTTGTTGGAACGCAGATTTGCTCTTTAAACCATTTGACTTTTTGGTTTGTTGTTCTCGTTGTTATTTCTTTCTTTTGGTCGTGGTTTATATGACTGACATTGGTCTATCATGTCGCATTTGTTCCTCTACCTGTGCCTTGAATAATTGGGCTTTGGGCTCTGGTATCCTCGCTACTTCTGTTTCTCCAACCTTAACTTCGAGTCCTCTGTCACCTGTATAGTACTGATCTTTGATAGGCTGAAGAAGTACATTGAGTTTTGGTGTGATCACCAGCACAGTATTGGTTGGAATAGTAAGCCAATCAGCCTTTTCAAATGTCAATGGTTCTATAATGATAATAAAACAGGTTTTTTGTTTTGTTTTGGTTTTGGTTAGTTGGTATGTTAAGAAGATAAATTAGTTATATAGATATATAGATAATTAATTAATTGGTTAATTAAAACAAAAAAACTTACCACTGGCAACTACTACCATATCCTCTCTTCTGTCTGCCTTGATCATACGGTAATAACCTGGCTGATAGCATTCAAAACGAGTGCCTGAAGAGAAGTAAAGAGAAGCCGCTTCTTCTGTCTTGCTGCTAATGTATCTCACACATACAACAGATGCACCATCTGTGACAGCAAAGTTCAACAGAGATGGCTATATATATATATAAAAAGATTAATATCAAAATAAAATAAAGAATATTTATATTTACCTCTTTGATTCCTTCCTCTTCAGTCCAGGTATTAAGTTGTGCGATTGTCTTTACCATTGCTTCCTTTAATTCCTGGTGTTCAAATCGTTCGGCATTTGGATTTGAAAGCTACGGTGATAATGATGTATACATTATATATATTGTTAATATAATTTTATACATTTGTATGCATGTATGTGTGTAGGTATGTAAGTATACATATAAGTAGTAATCAAACTTACAAAGCTCAAAAAGAGGGCAAAGGCCCATTCTGAATCAGTATTTCCTTGAACAAACAGGAAAAGCTCTTCTGGAAGAGAATTCTGCAGCTTGCGCTTAATCTAACAAAACAAAATGTGATTTTGTTAAGATTTGTGAGTTCAGCTGTCATAAATGTACACATCCATATACATCAACGTACATATAGAAAAATATACATATATCACACTTACTTTATCAAACTGAGCAATGCCTCCATTGTGCATCCACATGATACGACCATAGCTATAATATTGTATGTATAATCATCAGTTATTAAAGTTCTATGTTGAATTTATATAAATATATATATATATATTTATAAACTTACTTCCAGGGATGACAATTGACTTCTGTTACTGCACCAGAAGTACTTGCTCTTACATGAGCGAATACAAGCGGACTCTTGACTTTCTCAGCCAATCTTACAAGGTTGGTATTATTCCATGCTGGAGTTACAGAGGTAAAGATGCAGGGTGTAATACGGGTATCTTTTTCTGGTTCACTATCATACCAACCGACACCAAATCCATCGCCTATATGATTTTTTTAAAAGCAAAAAAAAAACAATTGATTGATTGATTTATATATCAATATCAATATTAATTTATGGCTTGCTTTCCTTCTTCTTATTTATATATATATATATATATACAAATGATGACTGTTTACCATTGAGTGGTCTTCGATGATCAAGTCTTAGTTTTGAGTCGAATGATTGATTGATGATGGAATGAGCGGGATTAGTCAAGAGCTTAAAGTATTTAAAGTATTTTATTTTATAAATAAACATGCGTTAGTTTCTTCTTTATTGTAACAAACTAGATATACAAAAATAAGCTTACATGAGCAAGCAAAATAGGTTGTTTGCCCTTGTATAGCAGTAGACGGCACATTGGATATGTCAAAAATTAAAAGGTAGAGATAGAGAAGAAAGGGGAGAGAGACAGAGAGAGAGTGAGGGGAGGCTTAGTGGTGTGAAGAAGATAAGAATGAGAATGAGAATGAGATTGAGGAGGGGTAGTAGGAGGAGGAGTTTCGTTTCTCTTTTGGTGGGTTTGGTTTTGAAAAATTAAAAAAAAAAGTAATGAAATTGGATGAATGAGATATAGCGAAATCACTCCTGTTTCGCACGTCATAAGAAATCTTCTTCAAGGTTATGTTTCAATTCCCGCTAATGATGTATATGCTCATGTTTATTTTATATTACAGTGTTTCATTCGTTAATTCGTTAATTCGTTTATTGGTTCTATTGTGAAATAATGTATGTGGTTGTATAATATATATTTAAAAGAAGTATACATATAGTTATGTAAGCAGAAAATTTGAACAATTAAATAAATAATGAAAGGTAAAAAAAGGGGAAAATGCATAAAAAGAAAAATTGATATAATTAAAACATATTTATATAAACATTTTATCCCATTTACTGGTTTACTTGTAATACTCATAACTAAAAAAACAATCTTCTCTTTCTTCAATAAACCAAAAGAAATATATTCATTTCTACGTTTATAAAATCAAATAAATATAAATCGATATCTTCTTCATTCTTGTTCTTATATATATTTAGCTTTGTTCCTAAACTGTATTGAAATATAGATAATCTTGTCCTTCTAAACAAACAAGCAATTGAGTTTCTTCTTTTTTTTTGCTTTAATAAAGACTTGGTTCTATATAACAAAATAAATGTAAAATAAAGAAGTTCTGTAAAGTTTAACCCATGCCTGATTTTTATAGTTTTTTTTTCTGTTTCTTGAAAAAAAAAAAAAATCGCTTTTTTTAAAAATGAAAAATGGGGTCGACCGGGATTTGAACCCGGGGCCTCTCCGACCCAAACGGAGAATGATAACCACTACACCATCAACCCTTTACATGTCTTATTATAAATTACAAAATATACATACGTCATCTCTTATATAGCCGTGTCCGGACCGGACACACATTATAATTAGTCGGACTTATATACTGTGCGGGCCATACTGGAATGCTATCCGGAGGGGGAAATAAATTCATTTCCTACTTTTTTAAAAAATAAATAAAAAATAAAATATATATAATATAACTTTCATTAACTATATAACTTCTTTAGTTCATATATTATACTTGCAAGTTAGCCTTTTGTTTCTTAGTAAATAATTTTTTATAAAAATAAAGTAATATTAGAAAAAAGTAACTTTTCTTTTAATTTATAGTTTTTATTTTACTAATCACTTTACAATGAAAGAGGAAGTATTTAAAGACCAAGATGTACAGCATAAAACTAAGCTATACTGTCTCAAATCAATGTTTATATTTATAGAATATTTTTTGAAAAAAAGTGAATAATAGTATTCTCAGGGCTTAGTAGCTTGAGCCTTTATGAAAAAAAAAGATAAGCCATGTCCCCCTTGATTCTAAGCCTAATATTATAAATCACATTCCAAACTTTATGTGTATATATATATGTGTATGTATCATATAAAAATTGGATGATTTTGATATAAATTTCAAATAAAAATCTTGTATTGATTGTTATTTTTTGTTGTTGTTATTATTTTTATCATCATCGCCATGTCACTTACCACCATAAATTCTTCACTCCTACGCACTCTCTTTGGCATCTACATTTTCATTGCAATACTATCATTTGCTCAAGCCGTGTCATTTGTACCCCGAGGTTATTTTACAGATAAAACAGTCGAGCCTACATATACCAAAGACCAAAAAGACGATGTTTTGATAAACTTATAGTCTATTATTACATACAGAAACCGTTATTTCTTCCTATTTTTTTTTACCTATATATATAGTTAGGAACTATATACAAGACCAAACAAATACTTTAATACTTTATAATCAATTCATATATGTACACACTATTTTTTTTCATTTATCATAAATACTCTCTAGCCGTTATATTAATTTTATTTCTTTTTTTATAAATATAAATAATAATATTCATCTTCTTGCTGCCTTGAGCTAAAATAAATATAAATGCTATAAAATAAAACATATGCTGATATATATATATACATGATAATTTTATAAATAAAGCAAATTCTTACTATTTTCCCCCAGTAGATTCAAAGGGCTTATATGGGGCGCTATATTTAATAGAAATATCTATTTGATACCACCAATGATAATAATATTCTATAATATTTAACTTGCTGCTTTGTATAATTACATTAATAATTTATACCCTTTTATATTTTGATATATATATATATATATATATTTAAGAGGAATAATTTTATTAGTGCTCACTGGTAGCAGCAACTTTTTATAATGAGTAAATAAGAAATATGGAAGCACGACACCTAAACTATACAACATACATGGATAGAATGTCCAAAATAAATGAATACCGCTTTAAGCCATATTGTTTTTGATAAGATACAAAGACAAAAAATGACTATGTTTCATCAATTACTGAGGAAAAAGAAGAAGAACATAATACTTTAATAGTAGCATAAGGATATGGAATCAGACACCTGAACTGAATACCACATTACCTTGAGTATATATTATTTATTTATATTTAGTCTAATAGTCTAATATTCTAATATATAATCATTATATATTTATACTATTATTAAAATGCAAGTTAAATTTGACATTCTGTATCAATGAAAACATCAAAATGTCTGCTTTTTTTTAATTCTTCAGAAAGCTAATTAAATTTAAACTAAAGGCTGAACATTAAGTTACAGTAGTAAGAAGTGTATATATAACTAACGCCGGACTCTCTCAAATCTTTGCTGAAGATATCGAAATGAAATATAAGTCTTGGGCATGTTTTCTAAAGATGCAGTCACTACTTTACTTTGTACTTTTCTTTACTTACTTTTATGCGAATTACCTATTGCATGCTTTACTACACATCTTTAAGTTTAATAGCATATTATAAAGCAACTCATTAATTGACCTTTAACAAAACATTTTATTTAATCTTTAATAAAAAATTTTTGTTTAATAGTTTAGCTAAAAATCATCAACAAAAAACAGTGTATACACTAATAGGGCTTTGCTTATATTTTAATTCCTCAATTTCCGGAGTATAATATTCTGTATATCGGGAAGAAAGTTTTGATTACAATAAAAAAGGATGTTAAATTTATCGATGCTATCCATGTTGGTTGTTAGATAGAAACTTTAGGAGCTAAAGTAGTAGCAGAAGGAGAAGTAACAGCAGCAGCAGTAATTTTCATTTATATATTTTTTAACAAGGTACGCTGGTTTCGCTTTATTAGCAGCATTAAAAAACAATTTATCAAGTCCCCTCTCCTAAAAAAAAGAAAAGAAAAGAACATCTAAAAGAATAAAGATATAAGGTACTCTTTACACCCTCAGAATTCAAGCCGTGGAGTTACACCAGACTCAGCCCCCAGACCCTGCACAAAGAGACACGATAAATATAATAGTCATATAACATAAACTTTTCAAAATGATAAAAACCTTGTATATTTCAAAGACGTATCTTCACCTTCTGAATGTAGATAAAGAAGAAATAACATCCCATATAAATCATACTAAGCGACCGTATCTACATAGCTACTTTTCATAAAAATAATAGTTATGATAATGTGTTATTTTATTTCATCGCCTTTCACCAATACAAACACACAAATTTATAAAGTGAACTGCAAAGCTACTTGGATATCTTCCAGTGTGGAAGGTGGTAAGGGTATAAGTCCACCAATTGTAGCTGCTGCCATTTGTATATCAGTCATTAACTCAAACCTCCATTAAATTTACAGGAAATCCGAAGAAAAAAATATAATGTAAAATCCATATTAACGTCAAATTTTCGAAAGTGCATATTGGACCTGTAAATGAATGGATAATCGTCGCAAAATAATAAATGCTCTTAAGGAAATGTGCTTGATCTTCTGTGTCATTTTTCGATCAGAAAATCCAAGGGCAAACAGTAGAGAATGTTTGAAGAAAAGAATATTCAACTCCTCCATCTTCAAGAACAGTATCAATAAGGTGGTTGTGATTCAATGTTGCTTTGTTTCATTGAAAATAGCGAAAAATAAAGAAAACAAGAAATAATACAAAGACATGCAGATCTTACGATGGAATTTTGGGGATCGAGTACACGAGAAATAGCTCGAGTAACATACAGCTGCAAAACTTCTTTGTGTAAGGACCGTAAGTTAGATCTGGGAGCCTGAAGTGTGTTTTATAGACTTGGGTGACATAAAATTTTGCCCAGACTTTGTTTCCAGCTTATCAGCCCAGCCTTTCCCTAAAGCTTCTCTTACTACAAATATATGCGTATATGTATATATAAATATATATCTGAAACGTCCTTTGGTCTCTTAGGAGTCTGGATGAAATTAAAAATAGTTTATATTTGTCATGTGGACATATTGCTGTCACAATCCTGTCCCTCATCTCTAAACTTTAACGAAAACAAAAACATGTAAAACTCCCAGTCCATATAATGGCAAGCCTTGTTAACCTATTTTTATATAATAATGATTGAAAGACTCCCATTCGAAATCCTCACCAATATTTCTGAACGCCTTCTAGCCAGTGAAAAAAGAACATGCTCTACAGTTTGCAAACGCTGGAGAGATATCTTTCAAAAAGCTCTTTGGAAAGATATATATATAAAACCAACTGGATCCAAAAATTTAAAAAGCATGTAAAACATGATATTCTGAAAAAGTATTCCAAAGATGTCGACACAATAAAATTCAAAGATAGCAAGCATACGAACACTAAAATCCAACAGTTAATCGAGATTTTCCCCAATGTGAAGAACTTCTCTTATGCATCGACAGGTGCCTACCACTATCTGGTCGATGTCGATCTAAGTAGATGGAAGTTATTGTCACGCATGACTATAACCTGGGGTCTTAGAAACAGATTGAATATACTAGATAACCTTTTCGTTTTGCTGAGCGATTTACCATCCCTTGTCCACCTTGGGATAGAGCCAGGATACCATACACATCCAAACAGACCAATTACTTGGAGAGACATCGAAAAAATTCATCTCGGCTTGCCACGCTTAAAATCTCTAAAGATCAGATCGGATATGGACAGGATCGGACCTACTGAAATCGGTGAGATAAAGCAAGCAACACCAACAAACACCATGGAGACTGTGGACTATGCCTCGATGGGATTTAATCTTCTGTGGATGCAATATCTCGCAATAAAATATCCGAAGCTGAAGACACTTCGCCTAACGGTTGATCAAAACACTCCACTATCAATAGATGTAGATAATAGGCCTCAACGATCAGAGCTACTAATGAAAAATTAACAATATCTCCAGATCTACCTAATTTCTTTCCTTGTTTAAAAAGTATTTACACGGCTAATCACAGTTATAGTCGATCGGTATTTTCTATCCTCTATAATCAAATATTTAACAGTGGGGCTAAGCTCGAGAAAATCGAGACAACGCACTTTACCAACTATTTCGATACCGAATCCCCACCCAACGAAACGGCCTGCGCAGCGTTATTCACTACAACACTCAAGAGTCTGCACATATTACAGAACGATAGACGCACCTCTGGTATTTCACTGTTTCTACATGATTCTGATGTTAAGTTTTCCAAGCTTGTCCACCTGAACATATACACCAGTGGACAACCATCTCAAATCAACAATATCCTGAATATATGCCCGGCATTAAAAGTGCTGGAGATAAAATCAGAGCTTAAATATACCGAAGAAAGAAGGCCATCAGACATATTAAATCATGGCCTACAACGCCTAAAGCTTACTCAAACAAGTCTCGATATAGAATGGTTTGAGTCCATATCCAATTGTTGCAGAAATTTGAAGTATCTTTCCTTAGAAGATATTTCTAACAAAAGTACACCCCGCGAAATGCCTTACTGCTTACCTATTAGCATGCCATTCACTCGACTTTCAACGTTATAATTATTACGTATACAGATGTCTTATGATTCTAAATTCATCTTTGGCACTGGTTATAGCTGCAAAGACAATACTTTGGCTGACAACGAAACATGTTTTACCGAAGTTTATCTTAATTATTTATCAACAAAAAAAGTCAAGATTTGTTCCAACATTTGACAAAAACTCGTACGACAGCAATTCTAGCTGCTTAGATGAAGATTATGGGGGGCATGGAATAGTTCCTAAGAACGATAGTACATATTCCTGCATGATATTCCAATGCAAGTCGATCAAACAAGCTATTATCAGTGATCGCTCGTTTTACAGCTGTTCGACTCCAATATTCATAGTAGAAAAGGAGTAATCTACGATCATAAAAGTTTTGCACGCCTTTTTTGTATTTTTATTTTATGATTTAGCTTATACCTAACAATTATGACATTTATTGCAGTTCCCAATATTTTTATTTCCATTACAGAGTATGAAAGAAGCAAGTTTTTCTCTTGGGAAAAAATAATAAAGAACTGTTATTTTTTATTTATGTGCATGCGTGTCTCAAGAATTACTCAAGTAACTCACTATGAACATATTTCAAGTAGAAGCACTAAAAATCGTCAGAATACTTCCTTATAGACACTATATAAGGAATGTTGCAAAATTCTATATTGATATTCTTTGAGAGCTTTTTATGATAAGAATAACCACCGTTAACAAATATTATACGTATTCTATTCTATTAAATTTAATAAGCATCACAGTAATTTGAGGATGGCCTGCAATAACTTTTTATGAAAGAATAATAAATAAGGGGGAGGTGGGCTTGGTAATTCATAACTGGTAACGAGAAGTCTCTAGCTGTGTCATGTGCACGTATTCCTGTCACAATCTTGTCCCACATTCCTTTCAATTTTGAAGAAAGTGAAAACACGTAAAACTCCCAGGCCATATAAACACAAGCCTTAATAACCTACGTTTATATAATAATGATTGACAAAATTCCACTCGAAATCCTCACCAATATTTCTGACCGCCTTCAAACCAGAGACAAAATAGCATGATCCACAGTCTGCAAACGCTGGAGAGATATCTTTCAAAAAGCTCTTTGGAAATATATATATATATAAAACCAATTGGATTCAAAAATTTAAAAAGCGTGTAAAAAATGATATTCTGAAAAAGTATTTCAAAGATGTTGACGCGATAAGATTCGAAGATAGTGAGGATACAAACACTACAATCCAACAATTAATCGAGCTTTTCCCCAATGTGAAGAACTTTTCTTATTCAGCGGCAGGCGACTTCCAATCTCTGATCGATGCCGATTTGAGTAGTTGGAAGTCATTGACACACATGACTATAAACTGGATTTACCGACACAATGTGATCATCCCAGAAAACCTTTTCGTTTCGCTGAGCGCTCTACCATCCCTTGTCCACCTTGAAATAAAGCCAGGATACCGTACACATCCAAACAGACCAGTTACATGGAGAGACATTGAAAAACTTCACCTCCACTTACCACGCTTAAAATCTCTAAAGGTCTCGTCGGACATTTGTGTGATCGAACCTAATGACATTGATGAACTGAAGAATACAGAACCAGCAAACAACATTGAGACAGTGGATTATGTCTCTATGGGATTCAGTATTCCGTGGATGTATTATCTCGCATTAAAATATCCAAAGCTGAAGACACTCAATCTAACGGTGGAGGAAGACGTCCCCGTACAAGGTGCAATGTGGCATAGGTATTCACGCCCAGAGCCTATTATTGAGAAAATGACAGTACCTTCAAATCTATCTGGTTTTTTTCCTTATTTAAAAAATATTTACACATCTAATAAGCGCAAAGGCAGACCAGAATTTTCTGTACTCTATGGTCAAATATTTAAAAGTGGCGCTAAGCTTGAGAAAATGGAGACATCGCATTTTACCAACTCTGATGATACCAAGTTCCCACTCAATGAAATGGCCTGCGCAGCGCTATTCGCCGAAACACTCAAGAATTTACGAATATTCCGAAACTATAGTCTCGATTTTGAAATTGTTTTGTTTATACACGATCCTGGTGTCGAGTTTTCCAAGCTTGTTCGCTTGCATATTTACTCTACTACACAGTCTTTTCAAGTTGAAAATATCTTGAGTGCATGTCTGGCATTAAAAGTTCTTGGGATAAATTCACACCTTGGCTGTAAAATAAAAAAAAGACCGTCCAACGTATTAAAGCATGGCCTACGACAGCTAAGAATTACTGGAGCAAGTCTCGATACAGAATGGTTTGAGTACATATCAGATTGTTTAAGAGATCTGAAATATCTTTCCTTAGAAGATATTTCTATCAAAAGTACACCCCGCGAAATGCCTTACTGCTTACCTATTAGCATGCCCTTCACTCGACTTTCAACGTTATCATTATTACGTATACAGATGTCTTATGATTCTAAATTCATCTTTGGAACTGGTTATAGCCGCAAAGACAACACTTTTACCGACAACGAAACATGTTTTACCGAAGTTTATCTTAATTATTTATCAACAAAAAAGTCAAGATTTGTTCCAACATTTGACAAGAACTCGTACGACAGCAATTCTAGCTGTTCAGAGGAAGAAGAATATTGTGGGGATAAAAGAGTCTATAAGAGAGATAATATATATTACTGCACGATATTCCAATGCAAATCGATCAAACAAGTTATTATCAGTCATAGCTCGTTTTACAGCTGTTCGACTCCAATATTTACTGTACAGAGAGAGTAATTTAAGATCACAAGAGTTTTGTATGCTTTTTTTGTATTATTATTTTATGATTTAGCTTATACCTAATAATAATAACATTTATTGTAATGCCCAATATTTCTATCTTCATTAAAGAGTAGGAAAGAAGCAAGTTTTTCTCTTGCAAAAAAAATAAAGAATTTTTATCTTGCGTTTTTGTGTGTCTCAAGAATTATCCAAGTAACTCACTATGAACATATTTCAAGTAAAAGCGTCAAAAGTCGTTAGAGTACTTCGTTATAGGTAATATATAAGGAATGTTGCAAAATTCTATATCGATATTCTTCGAGAGCTTTGTATGATAAGGATATACTTTAGAGAATTAAACTTCTTTTAAAGAAAAGAAAGGGAGACTTTTTTTTTAAAAAAAAAGATACATTGGATCCGTTATAGGATTTCAAGCAATAATAATACTTGCCTTCATTTAGTTATGAAAGAGAAACTGTCAGATTGATTAAAAAAAGTTGCTATTATCATCTATTCCTTAGAATATTTTTATTTCTTTACTTAACAAATCACCACTTAATTAAACTTTCAATTTGATCAATCTCAACATCAGTGGTAAATTTATTCGCATCATAATCTCTTTTTTTTTGTAAGTGTAGTTATTTTCTACCCCCTCGGTGTTACTTGAAAAGGATTCATCCTCAGGCGTCAAACCAATTGATCACAAAAAAGAGTGAGCTGGTCTGACGACCCCATTCTTATATATGTCTAAGTAAATAGATTATTATAATGTATTATATAGAATTAATTCGCTGTTTATTCTATATAAATATCCGAATACATATTTCTTAGTATCAATGTCATAATATACAATATACTATAGTAATAAACACAATTACTAGTAAGAGTAATTCTTTTATTCAAATTATTTTTATCGTCTTACTTATATTAGCTTATAGTACAAGGAGACTTATATTGTGAGCATATAATATTTCGATAGCTGTTTCTAAGGATATCCGCCATTAATAAACATAGGGAGTTCAACAGCCATAAGATTTTTAGACTTATGCTTTTGAGCTTAAATCTGCTGATATTATTGGCCTAAATTAATTTAAAAGTACAAAAGTATATACATATACAAAATGTTTTTCAGACAGGGTGAAATTTCGGGCTGTGCTATATGCACATATGACTGTCACAATCTTACACCACAATTTTTTAATTGAAGCTGAAAACATATAAAACGTTCAGTGCATAATTGTAAGCCTTATTAATCTACGTTTATATAATGATTGACAAAATCCCACTCGAAATCCTCGACAACATTTCTGATTACCTTGAAACCAGAGACAAAATAGAATGTTCTACAGTCTGCAAACACTGGAAAGATATCTTTCAAAAATCTCTTTGGAAAGTTATACATATTTATGAACCCCATTGGATGCAAAAATTTAAAGAGTGTATAAAAGAAGACATTTTGAAAGAGTATTCCAACAGCATCAACTCGATGGAACTAAAAGATATTAAGGATACACACACTACATTTCAAGAATTAATCGAGTTTTTCCCCCAAGTGAGAAACCTTTCTTATTTAGCGTCAGAGGGCTACTTCTATTCTTTATTCATGGTTGATTTGAGAGGATGGAAGTTATTGACGCACATGACTATACAATTGGGTAACGAAACCATTCTGATTATTCCAGAAAACCTGTTTTGGGGACTGAAAGGGTTACCATCCCTTGTCCATCTTGCGATAGAGCCAACCGATCAATTGAATTTGCATACAGCAATTACATGGAGAGACATCGAAAAACTTCACCTCCACTTGCCACGATTAAAATATCTAAAGATCTGGATGACTCTTCGTGGGATAGAGTCTACCGACATTGATGATCTGAAAAAAACAACACCAGTAAACAATATCGAGACTGTAGACTATGGTTCTTTGAGATTCAGTATTTCGTGGATGCATTATTTCGCATTAAAATATCCTAAGCTGAAGACACTTAGGCTAACTGTGGATAAAGATGATAGCGCATATTTAAAGTTCCATCCTAATACTGAAAAAATTAAAGCACCTTCAGACCTACCTTGTTTCTTTCCTTGCTTAAAAAACATATACACGCTTAATAATCGTGAAAGAGGATTGGAATTTTCTGTACTCTATAACCAGATCTTTAAAAGTAATGCTAAGCTCGAGAATATGGAGACATCGCTCTTTACAAACTCTGACGACACCAACTTCCCAATCAATGAATCTGCCTGTGCGATGTTATTCACTGCAACACTCAAGAGACTACGAATATTCAAAGGCCGTGTATTCAGCGAGGATACAGCTTTGTTATTACACGGTCGTGGTGTTGAGTTTTCCAAGCTTGTTCGCTTGACTATATACTCCAAGTCAGAATCCTTTGAAATCAACAATATTTTGGATACATGCCCGTCATTAAAAGTACTCGAAATAAACTCTAACTTTGTTTGTGTCGAAGATAAAAAGCATTTATCCGTATCAAAACATGGCTTACGACACCTAAAGCTTATTGAAGCAAGCATCGAGCTAGAATGTTTGGAGAGTATATCCAACCGATGCAGAGATTTGAAATATCTTTCATTGAAATACGTTGTTATCAGAAATACGGGACCTGAAACGCCAAATTTCTTACCTGTTAACATGCAATTCACTCAACTTTCGACGTTATTATTATTCAATACAAACATGTTTAAGTATCCTAATTTTATCTTCAGCACTGGTTACAGCCGCAAAGACAGCTCTTTGACCAGCAAAGAAACACGCTTTACCGAAATTTATCTTTATTATTCAGCTACAGAAGAGTCGGATTCTGATTCATTCTATAAAAAACTGACAAGCGAACGAAATGTCGAAGAGAGTCTGCAAGAAGGAAGCGATAATGGCGTCATTGCAAGGTCAAACTATAATGAGGACTTGGAAGACAGCGATTCTATTTATTCACAGAAAGATATGACTCGTAGAGATGGAGTGAACCTTGAACAACATATTGAATATGGCTGCGTGCTATTTCAATGCAAGTCGATCGAAAAAGTTATTATTAATGACAGTTGTTTTTACAGCAGCTCGACCCCAATATTTAATTGCGAGGCCAATAATTCAACATCCTAAGAGCTCTGTGCTTTTTTTTTGCTTTAACATTTTATTCCACCTGACAGTTATGCCTTTTTTTTTGTAATCCCCAATTTTGTTCTTTATATTAAAAATTGTATTAATTAAGCAAGTTTTTTTTTTACCAAAAACAGCACTGATGTCTTGTGTGTGCATGTGTTTCAAGAATTAGCTGAGCAGTTCACTATGGAGATCAACCAAGTTTTTTTTTACAGTGTGATAATATTGAGATTAATATGAACATATTTAAAATAAATGAATTAAAAGTTGTCAGAGTACTTCCTTATAGGTTCTATTTAAGGAATATTGCAAAATGTTACATTGATATTCTTTGATAGCTTTATAGAATAATAATAAATTTTAGATGCTTAGCCATCTTTCAAAGAAAAGAAAAATAATAATATTGGATCCGTTTTAGGTTTTCAAGCAATGTTAGTACTTTCCTTAATTTAGTTATGAAAGAGAAATCGCCAGCTTGGTTAAAGAGCACACTATTTTCGTCTATTGCTCAGGAAGTTTTTACTTTTTTTTAAAAAAAAAATCGACACATAAACCGCAAATTTGAGAAATATCAACACTAATCTAGACTTCAAAATTAACATTAACTCCAATGCTAGCACTATTAAAATCATAGCCACTCTTTTTTTTGTAATTGTAGTTATTGTCTATGACCTCACTAGCATTCAGAAATTGATCCTCATCAAACACCAAGCCAAATGATCGAAAAACGAGAGCTGGTCTGACCATGCGATACTTGTGTAAGTCCAAGTAAATGTATTATGATAGTAACATATATAGAATCTATCAACTGATATACTCTATATAGATATTCGAGTAAATATTTCTTACACAACATCGATGCCATCATATTTATTTTGTATCCTTGTGTTTAATACACACCATGCTATTACAACAAAAGACACAATTCCCGCTAAGAGTAATACCTTCATTTCAACTCTTCATAATGTTTTACTTACTATTATATTTCTAAGGTACCAAGGGACTTCCACTGCTATCAAATAATGTTTTCACTAGCTGATATTGAAGAAAGTCATTATTAACAGGCATCGGAAAGTATAAGGGAGAAAAAATAATAGACACAGCCTGATACTGTAACACATGTTTCATAATATATATATATATAAAAAGAAGAAAACATATAAGAACAATTAATTTTTGGTTCTAAGCTTACTATTTGTTTTTTTTTAATGTTTGAAAAATTACCTCTCGAAATACTTGCTACTATTGCTGATATTCTCCAAACAAACGATAAAAAATCCTGTTCTACAGTATGTAAACGCTGGAAAACCATCTTTCAAAAATCTCTTTGGAAGGTTGTAAAAATCAGTAAACGCAGCTGGATACAAAGCTTTGAAAAGCGTGTAAAAGATGATGTTTTAAGAGAAAATTACCATCATGTCCAGTCGATAGAAATCTACAACATCATAAGCCGTACAGATAATATTTTCCCGCTATTGGTCAACATTTTCCCCCAAGTGAAAACTATATTTTATTCAGAGGCTCATTGTAACATCAGATCCCTGACAATAGCTAACTTAAGTGGATGGAAATTATTGACACACATGTATATACAATTGGAGTATCACGCCAAATTAATTATCCCAGAAGATCTGTTCAAGTCCTTAAGTGTCTTACCATCCCTTGTCCACTTTACAATAAGCCAGAAATCTCCATTTAATTTACGTACAGCCATTACATGGAGGCAGATTGAACAACTTCATTTCCACTTGCCACGATTACAATACCTAAAGTGCTGGACGAATCTTCGTGAAATAAACCCTATTGACATTGATGACTTGCAAAAAATAACTCCTGCGAACAGCCTAAAAGCTGTGGATTATGGCTCTTCCCGATTTAATATTCAGTGGATATATTATATTGGACTTAAATACCCTAGACTGGAGAGACTTAATTTGACGATAGACAAAGAATCCACATCATATTCTGACTCACAAGACGGTAACGAAGCTAAAGTATGGCCGGACCTCCCTTGCTTCTTTCCTTGTTTAAAGTCCATATACACAACTGATAATGGTGAAAGTGGATTTGAATTGTCTGTCCTTTACAGTCAGATTTCCAAGGGTGGGGCTAAACTCGAGAGTATCGAAACATCGTTATTCCACAATACTGATGATGCCGAATTTCCAGCAAATGAAACAGCTTGTGTCCAAGTATTCTTTGCAACCCTAAAAAAGCTGCGAATCTTCAAATACCGAAATGTCAGTAACACTTTTACTCCATTCTGGCAGGCTGCTGATCTTGCTGAATTCTCCAGACTTGTTTATTTGAGGATATCCTCTTATTCTCCTTTATTTGAAGTCGACAATGTCTTGGATGTATGTCCTTCTCTGGTAGTGCTTAAAGCAAGTCATATGCACATTACTACCAGAATCAAACACCATGCATTTACATCTAAGCACGGACTACAGCACCTGAAGATTGATAATGCAAGTACCTGCCAAGAATTTTTTGAATATATTTCCAGTCGGTGCAGAGATTTGAAACATCTTTCGCTAACTTGTGCTGAAATAAGGAGCACAAATTCCGAGAAAACAAAGCGGTTGACGCTTAGCATGCCATTCACTCAACTCTTGACACTGTCACTCTGCCATGTACATCTAAGCGATTATACTAGTCTCAACTTTAGTACTGGACAAAGTTGCAGATACAACACTTTGGCAGAAAACGGCGAAAGCTATTTCACCGAAATTTATTTATATTACACACGAGGAGTGGAGACATGCTTTTGTACATTATCCGAGAAGACAATATCTGAATTGAATATTGTCCAAAAAATCAAAAGTGTTGATGCCGGCTATTTTTTGGAATATTTTGGTAAACCAAAAGAAGAAAACAAAAGTTGCGCAATTCTCAGTTCAAAGTGTTTTGAAAAAGTAAACAGCAACGATTCTTCAGACTTATCAAAAGAAGGCGTTAAAGATGACGAGTATTTTAAAGCAAATATCGAACATTGCTGCGTGGTATTTCAATGCAGATCAATTAAACAAGTTATTATTGATAAAAGTTCATTTTACAGCTGTATGACTCCATATATTTAATAGATATATACAATGTCTAAAAGTTATCAATAAAACAGCCTTTTTAAAGTTAACTAAAGTACATCATTGCTAAAGTATTAATACATAATGATATACCTCCTTACCAGATGAATTACATCTCAAGTTTACAAGGGCTAATAGGTACCATACAGCTCTTAGTATTAATAGCCCACACGCATACACTTCATTATCCTTAATATTTATGAAACTAACACTTAGAAATTATTCTACTCTATAGAAGCTGTTAGCGACATTATAATAGTAGCCAGAAACATAAATTTCAAGCAGTATAGTGGATTTTTGGATGATATAAGCTTTCATTTTTTGGATCACGTTAAAGAAAACATGCTATATAGAGAGAATGTAAGTTTTAGAAAGCCCAGTTATCCAAATTGTATCAGCGTAATGGCCAATACACATGATAAAAAACAGCCACATGCAAGTTATGTCTGATTGATTCCTTTAAATTCTTGATATAAACTTACTTACATATATATAGAGCCACACAGCCAAGAATATAAAATCAATCAAATACAAAGAACACCTTCTATATAATGTTGAACATTGTTCGGAAAGAAAAATATAAGACTCACTGAATTACATGTTAGGTGACTAGTATTAAGTGCATATTAAGGAAACCAGACTATAATTAAAGTCAAGATTTTTTTTGCATATGATAATAACAATAAGTAGAATATAAACATAGACATAAACATAAAAGCAATGCATTATAAAAGTCAATGATTTTTTTTTAAATCTATCATTTAGTAGTATTAGATCAAAGCCTTTATATATATATATATATATATATATTTCTGTAGCTTATTTGATATGTTAAAGGTGTATGGCTATTTAGAATCTTGTTTGGGGGGTTTTTTTTTTAAAAAAAAATGCGTTTTTATTTATCATTCTCTAGCCTGCGAATGGCTCTCCTAATGGTGCTTTTGGAGATACTTCTACCAATCGTTTCTGCCATTGAGGTTGTTAGATTTCCAAGAGTTGCACTGGGATTACTTTTCATCTCATTCTTTAAATGGCGTAAATCTCGTTCATTTAGAATCTTTGTAGTTCCTTTTCGTTTTTCAGTCAAGGCAGTACCAGTCTTTTTCCATCTTCGTACCGTTGCATAGACAGTCGGCAATGGTATGCCCGTTTTTTCTGAAATTTCAGCAAAAGTTACATGTTGGGTAGCACTGCCGATAATAAGTCCCCTTTCATAATCTGTTAATTGTCTTCGTTTGAGAGATTTCTTGTCGATTTGCTGAGACATGGTATGATTCAATTGAGAAAGGATTTTTTGAAAGGTAAAAATGAAAAAAAAAACAGAGTTGTCATATACTGTATTATGGAGTTCCAATACTTTTTTTTTAAAAAGAACATTGGTAAAGGTCTGCAGTATACTCTTATACGTAAACGCTAACTTTATTACATAAATCCCAATACGTCATTTTATAGGCTTAAAGCTAGTCTCAAAATAATTCACATCAAATCATCCGTTTAGAAATCAAATAGTATGGATTACTCAAGGCTATATAGATTTTTCTTTTTAAAAATTAATATGAATAGTGTGCACACTCCGCCAAATCAGATCAGCGTCACTTTCCCATAAATACACCTCTTTTTCTCTAATATAAGGGGCACACCATTTTTTTTTGGTGGGAGGCGATGTTTTTATTTTACCAAATCACGACTTGTAGCATAATTAAATAAGTAGCTCTTAAGAGATGAATATACAATAGAAAAGACATAGGACTCCGGAAAGATAGCCACGATTAATCAGTCCGGCAAATAAAAAGGTAGTGCACCATCAGAAAACGTCGTCCCCATAAGATTGCTGATGGGAACTCAATATTTCAAGATGGAACTGTTCCTCATCAACAATATAATCCATTGGTTCAGGTCTGCGATATTCGTCAACGACAGAACCTTTCCCATTCTCAAACAAGAATTGGATGTTTATTGTCTATTATCTCGGGTGCAATTGTGAAAAAGAAGAGAAAACACAATACATGCTTGTGCCTCATTTAGACAATATCGCTCCTCGCATAACAGAAAAAAAAGTCCAAGAACAATACCTGTATTACATTGTACGGTGAGATTAGTATATATCTGCATATCTATACATCTATATATCTATAAGCCTTTTTGAAAGCTTGTCGCTCTGAAATTATACAAGCCTTTATAAAAATTAAATATAGCTTGATGAGTGCAAATAAAACATATCAATCAAGTATACGTAACACTTTCAATAATGTGCTGGGGTCTCAAAGGGTGAAAAATTAAAAGAGCTCCCCCCTACCAATAATGCTTAGGAAATTTTAAAAAAAAGAGACAAAGCTTAATGCTGTGCTACGTTTCACGCTAGAAAAAAAGGATATAAAAATACTTCACGCATGGCCTCAAGGCATAAAAATCTATTTCTTCTTTTTGGTTTTTTTTATATTTTGTTAATGATTGAAAAATTGCCACTCGAAATCCTCTTGATTATTGCTGACCTTCTTGAAGCAAGAGATAAAAAGACATGCTCGCTAGTATGTAGGCTATGGAAAGACATTTTTCAAAAGAATCTTTGGAAAGTAGTGAAGATCAGTAGAAGCAGTTGGGTTGATAGCCTTGAAAGAGGTGTATCAAAGTATACTTTGAAAGAGAACCACAATCGTGTTCATTCGATTGAAATCAACAACTATATGTGCCGTACAAACAGTGCAATTTGTAAATTAATCAATCTATTCCCTGGAGTGAAATACTTTTCTTATTCAGCGTCTCGAGGCAGAATCTGGTCTCTAAGCATGACAAATTTAAGTGGGTGGAAGTCACTGACACACTTGTCCCTGAAATTTGGGCTACGAAACATCCCAACAATCACAGAGGAACTGTTCAAATCACTGAGCGTCTTGCCAGCTCTTGTCAACCTTACGATAAACCAAAAGCCTCCATTCAGCTCGAACACATTCATTACGTGGAGACATATTGATCAGCTCCACTCTCATTTACCACGATTGAAATACCTAAAGTGCCAGATGAACCTTCAAAAAATTAATCCTTCAGAAATTACGGAACTTCGGAACATAAAACCAGCAGAAAACTTAAGGACTGCGGATTACAGCGCTCCACGTTTGGACATGCAGTGGATAATATATCTTGCATTAAAGTACCCTAAACTGGTGACACTTTATCTGACGGTAGAAAAGAGACGCGATCTATCTGAGCGTGCAGCTAGGAGTAAGACGATGATATTACCTCCAGGTTTACCTTACTTCTTCCCTTGCTTAAAAAACATATACACAGCTAGTAAAAGTACAAAGGGGCTGGAATTCTCTGCACTATACAGTCAACTATTTAAGAGCGGTGTTAAGCTTGAAAAGATCGAGACATCGCTATTTACCAATCCACCTGGTACAAAATTACCAGCCAATCAAACAGCTTGTGCCCAACTATTCTCTGCAACATTAAAAAGCCTACAAGTTGGTAGATGCTATAAAGAACATAGTAACCTAAAGTACTCTTTGACGGATCTGGGTACAGTTGAATTCTCCAGCCTTGTATACTTAAACATACTATGTGCTCGTATGTTTCTTAAAATTGATAATGTCTTGAATGTATGCCCGTCCCTGAAAAAACTTGAAATAACCTCGCCTTCCATTGACGTCAATAATCAAAAAACTACGTCCACATTTAAGCATGGTCTACGACACCTGAGACTTGTCAACACGACCATTAAGCCGTTATGCTTTGAATACATATCCGATTCTTGCAGACAGTTGAAGTACCTTTCATTGAAGGATGTTGAGATAAGAAACCCCGATTCTGAAAACAACACATGTTTATATCTCAACATGCCGTTTACGCAACTCATGACACTCTCACTCTCCAATGTAAGGCTGTGCAATTATCCAAGCTTTATCTTTAGCTCTCAATATGGCCGCAAATTCAATGATTCCGCCCAAAACGAACAAGTATGCTTTACCGAGGTTTATCTAAACTATTCAAGAAATGTGAGATCATATTCTTATATAGTATCTGATCATTTACTCGAAGAATGGAATAGAATACAAAAAATTGCAATTATTACTCCAAATGATGTTTTGGGCTATACTGAGGCACTAAACAAGCAAAACAATGGCATCTCCATTATGAACTCAAATTGTGCTGGTCCTTCAAACGAGATCTTTAAAAGTGGAGATTGCTTTAAGACGAACGTTGAATTTTTTTGCATAGTATTTCAATGCAAGGCGATTAAACAAACTATCATTAACGATCGATCATCTTACGGCTGCTCAACTCCAATCTTTAGATTCAATAATTAACTTTCAACAATAAAGTATCGTATCATTTCTTATTATATATATATATATATATATATATTGTATGTTGTATTAGAGAGAGAGAGAGAGAGAGAGAGAGAGAGAGAGAAAACGGATTGCTATACATTGCCTATTATGGTTGTAATATGTATTATATATAAGACAGAAAAGTGTATATTGTTTACTTTGGGCATATCCATTATTATTCTCTTTCAGAATTATTGCTCTGCCATGGATTACAACAATTTCTCTTTTGGAAATTGCGTTTTCAGTAGACTCATTTTTCACCCATTATAATCCTCTGCTAAAGTCTGATGACAGCTGTTTCTCACAAGATTCTGTAAATGACACAAATCTTTAAAGGTACAAGGCTTAGGTTTCTTTTTTTTTAAAACAAAAAGCTTTATCTTATGTCAGCCCAAGTTTAGTTATACCTGTCATAGTCAACGGCAAAATATATTTAGATATATATTTGTACGACGAAAAGGTTCAGCATTTCGGAATCCAGCTTCATTTGTTCAGATCACCACCCACCTCGCTCCTTCCTTTTTTTTTGTCATAGCAGCCAAATGTTCGTTTCGTTTCCCACTAAAGCCTTTCTTTCCATGGGATTGCTTTAACGGGAATTATCTTTGTATGTGTAATTAAAACATTTAAAGTGAGCTGCAGTAGCACACTAAGAATAATAGACAGAATCTCACAATATGATATCTTTTTGTAGGTCTAGTAAGATAAAGCTAGTACCTCATTTGACATAATTCTTTGATAATTTAATACTCGAGTAGTTTTATAGCCGGTTAATACTGGGATTATGTGGAAGCTATAAATAAAAGATAATAACAGAAAGCAAAATGTGAAAAGACAATTGGAATGTCTGTTTACTCTAAAGAGAAATAAAGTTCTGTAAAGAAGTCGGACGCTATTTGGAAAATACTGTGGTCGAACACAAACAAAAGAAAAGAAGATACACCAATACCATGTCAATGTTTCAGGACAGGTCAATCACACACATACATATATATTAAAGGGCTAGCTCTGATGAGCTGGAGTTACTCATCCATACAATTTGTGGATTTCAGAAAGGTTCACAAAAGGCAATGTTTATATGACAGTCTTCAAAACAAAGCTTTGATTACACCTATACTTATATGTGTAGCTATAAAAAGTATATATATATAATTATCACATCAAAAGAGGTTGCAAAATATCAATCTTCCTTTTCTATTTTCAAAAGAAACATTTAACACATAAAGACATAGGCCTAGAATGCTGTTCCCAAATAAGCAAAATAAGAGAGAAACGTAAAACTATAACTTAATGGAACACACAACTATCCCCATGTACTTTTGTTATTGGGTAAATTTTCTCACTATGTTTTGTCAATAAAGCTTAAAATAACCATGTGTTTACTAAAAGCATCCAACCGATAAAAAAAGATCATATTTGGAGCCAATGTTCTCTGGAAGAAGAAGAAATCATAGGTCTTGACTCTTTCTATTTTTGTAATTATTTTTCACACTTAAAAAGTATTGGTCCAAAAAGTATAGTTCTTTTAAACATTCTTACGACACTTTCATATCCACACTTGTATAAAAGACTCTCTTTTTCATTAACTGTTGAGAAATATAGGAAAGATATACATATATGGAATATTTAGAACGGCATGATAGTATATCAGGGGTATCCCAAATGAAAGGCGACTGATAATGCTTAGAAAGTCTAAAAAAGCAGCCACAGATTGATTGCGTTTAGAGTTTCATAAAAAAACAAGGCTAGGTAGATGTATATATATATAAATACTTTGCTTATAGTTTCGGGCCTATAAGCATGCTTCTTCTTTTTGTTGGTGACCAGAAAATCACTGCTTGAAATCCTCTCAATTATTTTTGACCTTCTTGAAACAAAAGATCAAAGAAGATGCTCATTAGTATGTAAACGCTAAAGTTTTCTTTTTCAGAATGCTCTCTAAAAAGTAATAAAGATCAATAACCACACGTGGTTATCTCACATTTAAAACAAAGTTCAAAGGGACATCTCTATCAAAAGGGGCCGCGTACAATCAATAGAAGTGTCCGATAATAACCATTACATGTCATATAAAATTAATCCTTTTATCAGATGTTACCTCAACGTAAAGACGTTTCTGTATTAAAATTATCGAAACAACTCCAATTTTTTTTTGCTAGGACCGGCTTTACAGGATAGAAATTATAGATCCACATGCCTATAGAGATATGGGCAAACGCATTTTTGGAAGAACCATCATTACTGCTTGAGGAGTTGGGTGTTCTACCATTTCTTGCGACCTTTACCATCAATGAGTCGCATTCTGGTATAATCATACCGTTCTTTACATGAAAAAATAATTGATTAACTTCATTCACACTTGCCACAACTAAAGTATCTAAAGTTTTGAACGGGATTTTGTACAATACGCTTTTACCAAGATTGATGGCCTGAAAAGTGTAGTACCAGTAAGTGATTTAAGAACTACATATGACAAATATTCTAATTAACATATATATGAGAGGTAGTCTGGTTGTTCCCATTAAGACAGTTTAATAAGCAATAACTATTTGTCCAAGTTTATTTAAATATTTGATACTAAAACAAAAACAAACATAACCCATACAAAAAATTGAAAATCTTGGTTCAAATAGAATAGCAATAATAGCACTTGTAATGTTTAGTTTGTTTCTTCTTTATTTCATATATTATATACTCATCTTCTAGCATTTATGATAATACTTCTTCCTAAAGTTTCTTATATGTCTTTTACTGTTATCAATTTAAGTACTCACTACCCATTCGCACTACCTCTTTGTCTAAATTTATGACATCCTTTCAAATTTCTAGAACTGTTTTTATAGCTAGAAGTTCTCTTGTGTAAATTCACTTGCTATATGACATGCTACTTTATCTCTAACTTTAGCTACTTCTCTATTGTTTATCCCAATCGGAAACATAATAACATTGGGAGTTATCTGTATAAGAGTAATTCATGAACTTGTTTTTAAAGATATAGAAGGACTAAATGTAAGTCATACACAGAGATATCTCACTTTCTTTATAATAGTTTTAAAAGTGCAAACGTAAGTCATATGCAGAGTATATCCGGTTCTTTCTAATAATATGTATGATGATAATGATGATATATATATATATAGAATATTTGATTTTTTTTAAAAAAAATAAACGGCACTCTTATTTTTGATAACACTCTGTGCTAAATGATTAGAGTCTGCACCATGGCAGTGAGATTAATTTGGGACACACACTTTAATTGTCGGATCTTTAAAAACCATCGTTTAATGGTGTAAATATCGATATTGGTATTTTTACATATGCTGATATATCCATGAATATTGGTCTGTTGTCTGTCAAAAAAGTACTGAGAATCATGACTTGTTTTGGTTAACAACTTTACTTAATAGCGCAAAACGAAGATCCCCAAATTTTTTTGTGGTGTAAATATCTATTCTTTCATTAGTAAATGGTTTTTTAGAATGAAAAAATGGGATAATTTGATCAATATTTGGGAAATTACTGTCAGACAGCGTCTAGATAGTGGATCTTTATGTGCCTCATCATGTTACTTATAAGTATAAAAGCTGCTTGTTTGATCAATTAAGATCTATAGCTAATGTTTTGTATTTAATTAGCAATTTTTGATCAAAATAATCTATTTTTTTTAGTATATAATTCTTCAACACATATAATAGCTATTCGTTTAAATCAAATATATTCTTAATAGCGTGGTAATAGTAATAAGCAAAATAATGGAATTTTGAATGATACATGGCTAGAAATACCAGCTGGTTTGCATATGTCTCTTTGAGACTGACGGAGAGTAAGTACTTTTTACTGTTACTATTGCGGATTGGGTACGGGATAAGTGTATTTTGGCTTTTGATATTCCTGCATTATATTCAAGATTATAGTTGCACCAGAGACAAGTCTATCTGCTGTTACCAATGTCAGTTGCCATAATCCACTTTCCATTCACTTTAAGCAAAAGGAGGATCGATTAATCCTTTGAAAATCAAATCGTTTGGCTCGGTGTTTTGGCAGAGTGTAGAGGCCATTGGATAGAAAATATATCTATACATTGTTCAATAGCTCTGTCAAATGGCCTGAATACTATACCTTCAGTATCATCGCTAGCTATACCATATATCCATAAAAACTTACAGAACGTCAAAAGAAAAGGTAGGAGAAAAATCCCACAGTTACTGATGATATCATACACCTTAGGATAACAGTCACTATATTTTTTGTAAAGTATGCGGAAAACAAAGGAAGTGTCTTTTTCTTTTTCATTTTTTTTAAAGAAAAAAGCAAAAAGCCCTTTTGACTAATGTGCATTACAGATAAAGTGATAAGTGGCTTACACAATGAATATCAAAAGAGAAAGATAAAAGAAAAGGAGAGTTTGTGAGTAAGAGAGCGAGAGACAAGTGTAGGGGAGAAGCCAAGTACAATGTCGGAGATAAACCAGGTTGTGCTCAGTTGCAAAAGCACCGTATCGCGCCTCCAAAATTTGCTAGAACAAACAGATGAAAAATGGTGAATAAGGTCCCTACATCGTTGCAATAGAGCGGACAGAGAAAGAAGAAAATAAAAGCGTTTTGGACATAGGGTTTCCGACATGCTAATTTACTTTCTCCTTTTTCTTCTTCGTCTTCTTTTTCTTTCTTTGCTGTTAATGACGATTTCAAAATTACCGCTCGAAATCTTCTTGGTCATTGGTGATTTTCTTGGAACAAATGATCAAAAAGAATGCTCGCTAGTATGTAAAATCTGGAAAGAGACTTTTCAACGAGTTTTGTGGAAAGAATTGAAGATCAGTAGCCACGACTGGATATTCAGATTTCACAAGTGTGTCAAAAGGGGAGCCTTGACGGAGAAGGGCCGTTACGTACAATCGATCAAAGTAGTCGACCTAGATTCTCCTATGGATACTTTAATTCCAATGCTGATCAGACGTTTCCCCAACGTAAAGAAATTTGAGCACAAAAGGGCGGAAACCTACAACGATCATTTTGTCCAGACCAATTTTAGTGGATGGAAGTTATTGACACACATGTCTATAGAATTTGATACTTATGCCGTTATATCAGATCCATTAAAGCTGTTTGAGGCATTGAGTGTTTTGCCGTCCCTCACTCACCTTACATTAAGTCAGACGCATCATTCGGTTGATAGAAAAAACTTTACTTGGAGAACACTTGAAAAACTTCACTACTACCTGCCACGACTACAATACCTAAAGTGCTGGATGTGTCTTCAAAAGATAGATTATGCAGAAATCAAGGAATTCACAAAAGTAAAACCCGCGAAGGCCATAAAAAGCATCTACTTTGGGTTTGACTCGTTCGATGGTATCTGGATGTACTTTATATCATCAATATATCCTTTACTGGAGACTTTTGATCTGATGGTAGAAGAAGGATCTATAGAGCCTACTCCATCAGACCAAAAAGCACTCGATAGACTTCTGGCTCTGCCACCGTTTTGTCCTTTCCTAAAACGGATTTACCTGAAAACTTACGAAGTCGACGGAATGCAGATGTCTTTTATCTTAAATAATATTGCCAAGAGTGGGGCTAAGATCGAGCATATCGAAATAAGTTGCTTTATCAACCTCCATGCCCCTGTCCTTCCAGCCAACCAGACAGCTTGTACACAACTATTTTCTGAGTCGCTAAAGAGTCTAAGACTCATTGCCCACTCATATGACGAGTGCATGACTTTTGGAGACTTCTCTGACCTAGGTGCGCATGGATTTTCGAATCTTGTTCACTTAAGAATATACTGCGATTATGAGGAATTTGGAGTGGAAGATATTCTGTATGGATGCCAATCTTTGATCGAGCTTGAGCTAGATAATGCCCAGCTTTCCGTCAACAAGGATTTCCCGAAGCATACGACTGCTTTAAGACATGGACTATTACGCCTGAAACTTTTTGAATCGCTCGTCCAGCCAGGGTTTTTTGAGTACATATCAAATTGCTGCAGACAACTGGAGTACTTTAGTTTGAAGGATGTTGAGATAGAAAGCCCAACCTTTGAAGAACCTGAATACCTAGCCATCAGAATGCCATTCACTCAACTTTCGACATTATTATTAATCAACCTAAAGATGTACACGAATTCTAATCTCTTATCCGGTACTGTGCACATCAGGCCTGACAGTACTTTGTCCGACGAAGAGGATGGACACCTTGTAGAGGTTTATCTTAGTTACTCAAGGACCGGAAAAAGTTATACTCACACAACGACCGGCAAACTAACCACCACATGGGATCGGACGAAAAATGACGTACCTAAAGGTGTCTTTTATTTCAGAGATTATTCTAGAGAACGAAATCGGATATACCGAGCCATTTACCATCCATATGAAGGTCTCGACGATGATGTGACTTATACGCCAATTACCGGGAATTTCTCCACCGCTTTAAGGTTCAAATCAATCAAACAAGTCATTATAGACAAAACCAATATATTTCTCTAATTATACCAAATATTAATGGAGGAACGTTTTAATCCATGAATTACAGCAGCCATAATAATAACAATAACAATACTAATAGCAACAAGTGCTATGCTTTTGTACCTTTAATTCTTTCTTATTCATTTCTATATATAAGTTTTTTTTTTGTATTTATTACAACTAATAATTAATATCTTGTTGCAATTCCTTATTAACCTTTTCTTATTTCATATATGTATTATTTTGTGAGTTAATTATCGGAATATGACTAAATATAGTAATACGAATGAAAATAAGGAGGAAGTTTAGAAAAATAATATAGAGAAATATACTACAGACAGTCACCGTATATAACATACACACACATCAGTGGCATGTTGAATACCAAGAGTAGGTGGTAGTACAGAAAACACTTGATAGTGTCACCGACAATCTATAACTTACACGCACAGGTATCAATTAAGATATTAGAGACATCTAAAGCAGGCAATTGTCAGTGAAAATAAAACCCAAAACAAAATATGCTTATTCTAATCATTAGAGCTTATTACTGCATGCTTGACAAGAAATATTAAAACCAATTAATTGATTGGTTGAATTTAGCTTTAAAAAGGAAAAAAAAAAGAGGTAAAGGTCATGCATATCCTATAAGCAATTAATAATTTCCATTAATCGATTTCTATAATCACCAATATATATATATATATATTCTGTGCGTGAATGAATGAATGAGTTAGTGTAAGCCTAATTTTTTTTTAAAAAAAGACATGTAGATGATAGCATGTGAAGTGCAACACACAATATATAAATAAATAGGTAAGAATATTTAACAATAATTATCCCTTTTTATTATTATTATTATTATTATTAATATTGTTCTCTTTTTCTTATTCAAAAATATACCAGTGTGTTCAACCGTTTATATGTATAATTATATAGATATCCAAAGTAGTATCTACAGTCATTCAGTCATTCAGTCAATCATTTAGTGATAAACCTTACCGGGGAAGGTAGTCCGGACCAGATAGATCACACCGTACAACATCATTTTATATAATGTTCCTGAAGGAATCTTCCAGTGTACATTTCATTATTTCCTTTAGATTGTCTCACTAGTTTCTGTATCAATTTATCATTAATTGCCCAAACAGAAAAACAAAACAACAACAACACATATATATATATAATGTTTGCTAGAGGGTGTTACTTTGGCTATGAACATTTATTTACTACTAAACTTTAAAGACCAAACAAAATACTTCTTTATTATCAAAGACGTATAAAAGTAGGCATCTTATTATTTTTGTGGATCAACCACATTGTTGTTATCGTCGCTTTTTTTTTTTTTTTTTTTTTTTTTTTTTTTTTTATTACAGCAAGGTATTTAGAGTGTCATTACCAATAAATTATAAAGAAATATATATATAAAGGGTTTCCAATTGTCTTAATAGTAAAAGCACTTTAGATAAAAGGATAGAAATGTTGAGTATATATATATAGAAAGGTTATTATTATTATTATTATTATTTATTATTATTTTTTACTCCTTTTGCCGCAGAACAGAACTTCCTCTTTTACTCAGCCGGTGATCATCGGACACAGAAGGCACGGTCATTGCCATTGAGCTGTTTGGTCTTGATTCCTGAGGTGGTTCGCGAATACAGTGAAGTGGGAAGACGCCCTGCGCATTACCACGACTCTCGTTTACGCCGAGACACCATCCATCGTCGTACTCCACAAACAATTTAACTCGGTCACCTGGTAAAATAGTCAATTCATCGTTCAGACTAGGCATAAATGTCGTGATGACAGTAAAGGTGCCAATTGGGTGCTGCCAGACATCCGCTGCTCCTGTTTCTTCTGGTGCTGGTGTCGATACCGCTTTCTCTTGAGTAATTGGAATAGGTGTAACAAAATTGGACTGATTGCTGTACATCATCGATTCTTGGTTGGTGTGTTGATTATTGATGTTGTTGTAATTATTCTGAAGTGTGGCCGGAGGCATGGATATTGCAGTCTGCTGCTGCTGCTGCTGCTTAATGGAATATGGAGACACACTGATAGTGTTTTGTTTTTCACTATACGGAGATTGCAAATTGGATGCATATCCATGAACAATAGCTGGTGTAACATTCGATGGTGTGTTAAAGAATCGACTATTGCGCTGGTCTTCCCGAATGTTTCGTCTGCGTCGTCTGACCAAAGCAAACGCAATAATCGCAACAACTGCAAGTACACCAATAACGATACCGGCAATACCACCACCCGAGATCCCACCAGAACCAGAATCACTGCCGGCAGCCAGGGCAGAATTAGTAGACCTGGCTGTTGGTGAAGAGGTGGGCGAAGTGTAGAGCACAACTGGAGTGGATGGTGGATTAGCCTTTGATATCAGACTCGAACGGGTGGTTGTCTTTGATGTTTTGGAGGATGGTTTGGCTGAGGCTGCTGCTGATGATACTGGAGCCACTTGTGCCTTTGTGGTGGTAAATACAGAGGTCTTTTGAGATGCGTTATTGGCAAAAGACAATGGAGCCGTGGCTATCGAATGAGAATTTACAAAATATAAGCATTCTAATTACGAATTGTGATGTATCCATGTATACTTTTTGGAGTTATGCTTTCATCAGATACAGCTCTGCGAATGATAAAGCGCCTTTGGGTAGGACTCATTTGTGATGGAGTGTATATCAGATCAAGAAGTACAGCAGAAATAGAGAGTGGATAAGAAATTAAATTAGAGGAATGGAAAGGAATGGGATGGGGGAGGAGGGAATGAGAGTGTATGGGTTGGGAGACAAAGGTTGGCAAATGGATAGGAAGAGAAGAGAAAAGGATAATTAATGTAACTGATTAAATGAGATACACATAATAATATATTTTTTATTTTGGTACGACATTTATATATGTGATGCAAAAATAAGAAAAAGGCACAATAATAATAATAGTCTAATGAATGTGTGGGTAATCCGCAGTGTTTATAATCCCACAAATTAAATTAAATTAAATCATATTACATTCAAGCGCTTTGATTTTTATTTGATTTTGTCTCTAAGGATATCCTTTACTTTCTTAAAGACTTTTGTTGTTCTAGTAGAAGAAGTACTAACAGAGCCAGTGGTAATATCAACAGTAATAGTAATGCTGTTCTTTAACAGTATATAGAGAGTCTATGTAATATGTATTACTTGATATTCTTGAAATTTAATACAAAAAAAAAAATACAATAGTAAAATTAGACAAGATTTAAACACCCGTTTAATTTCGTACATTTTAAAGCCACTTTACATTCAAGACCAAAGACGAGTAAAGAGCAGAGATAAAAATAATAACTAGTTAAATTAAAATTAAAATTAAATTCAAATAGAGTAATAGAGTTGAAACATTGAACTTCTTACAAACATCTTTATACATTGTCTTTGGCAAGTGAATCAAAGAAACAGAGACCACATATACAGTCAGAACATAAAAAATAACATAATGGAGCCGCATTTACAATGAAAGAATCAAATATACCTTTGATAGTCAAAGATCATTCATAATCTCTTACTAGCATCTACATATATTACTTCTTTAGACAATTAAAAGCAATCAACCGAATCTATCCGTACTAACTGAGCCACTTGGGTAATTTGATGATTGTATTATATTATTATTTCTCTTTTGAATCTCTTCCAACCTGAAGTCTCGATATAAAAAGCTAGTTATATGCTAAAGTTTGATTTGAATGTGTCAGGTACATTGATCAAAAAAAAAGTTCTAATTTGTTCACATTTTATTTTCATTGTCGGATCAAATCACGTCAACAATATCCATCAAGTTTTAAGTTTCAATATACTTCTTGGCAATCAGGTACATATTAATTTTGGCGACTGGTCGAGAAGTAGTGCATAATGTCCTTATAGTTCAAGTGATTGTTTGAGCAAAGAAATCAAATAAAGAAAGAGGCTCAAGTAGGTTATGACAGTTTGACAGACATAATTGTTCAATTTATAGTAGAAATTCATTTCAAGAAAGGCATAAAGAGATAATGAAGTGTTACTCAATTAAATGTTTGTCCTGACTTCACTTGAAAAAAAAAAAAAACAACAAAAATTCCAGCAGTATCTTTAATTTTTTTTTTTTTTTGGATCGAGACTGAATTTTCTTTCACCTTTTTTTTTATATGTATATATGTATTAAAAATTAAATTTATTTTTACCAATGAGTAGCAACACACCCATTACCATTGACCAACCTGAGAATTCCAATTCCAATGGACTTCATCTTATTAATTTCCAGTTACCCACATCTGGTACTAATATAACAACGAATAATAATATATTACTAACGCATATATAAAAGAGTCTTTACAACCTAGAAAAAATTTCACTATAGAGGAGGATATACGCCTATGCGAGTCTTTTATTTCTATTGCCTTTTATCCAAGACCTGACGATGAACAAAAGGGTGGTACATTTTGGTCTAGGATCGCCGACCATTACAAGAACTCAAATGTCAATAATGCTATCGAGCGGAATGCTCGTGCCTTGACAAATCGCTGGCAACTTATAAACAAGGGAGTCAGCAAATATGTCAGAATCTTGGCTAAAGTCGAACAGGAAAATCCAAGCGGTTCTCTTGATTATACCAACGTAAGCTAATTTATATAAATACATACATACGCATATATGTATATATATATTTCGTGATTATTAAAGCAATAGTCTAGAAATTCAGGGCTAAGACAATCTATAGGACCCAGATGAAGACAAACTTTACCTTGGACCACTGCCACCAAGTACTTGCACGCGAAAAAAAGTGGATAGATGCAGTTATGAAGTCCGTCGAAAAAAAGAGGGCCAAGAACTCCAAAACTGGTGCTAATTCTGTTGCTACTACTACTACTACTACTACTACTACTACTGCTGCTGCTACTGCTACTGCTACAGCTACTGCTGATGTTGATGTTGCTGTAGCAAATACACTCGAAGAAGCTGACAGTGGATCTGACATTTCTCTGTCTCCGCCCACTGGTAGAACGCAGCAGATGGTGACTAATGAGCCTAAAAAGAGATCTTTCCAAGAGATGATGCAGACGTTCTCTGCCAGAATTGACGAGACTACAACCTTGGAGGTAAACGACACATCTGATCTCACAAATAAAGTCGCCAAGGACCAAGCTGCTGCTCAACTACTGTTGGTTAAAGAACAAATACGTGTGGCCGAAGCTGAGCGGCTAGTAGCTGAAGAACGGATACTGCTTACTAAAGCGCAACGACTGATAGCTGAAGCACAGTTTATAGCCATTGATGCAAACGAAATTAAAGATCCTACTAAGCGTCAGTGGATGTTAAATATGCAAAATAAAATTATGGAGAAAGGCTCTGGTGACAGTAGAAATAACGTTGACAGTAATTAAGATAGAAATTAAACTATATATATATATACACGTTTTACTTATTTATTCAATTATTTTTGGCACCTCTCGCCTTCTCTCTCTCTCTTATACAAGCTCTCAATAAGATCCTGTTTCAAAATTGAAGTACTGTTCACCGGTTCTAGATCTCAGATGCCTTTGGAAGGCTATCTGGCAAAGCTTTCCTCCTTAGGAAACGAGCACTCCAAACCAGAAACTAAATGTGCTCTAAGCTGAAACAGGATCTATCTATCTATCTATATATATATCGATGTTATGGCCTTCATCTGCTATATCCTGTCCTCCATCTTATTCACAAGCTTGTGATTCTCTGTCTCTCTTATCCTCAACAGCCATATAGTGTAAACATTGTATACTCTGTCATAATGCCATATAAAGTGTCTTTGATCCACATCCTATTTGGCCTGGAGATTACGGCAAAACGTGCCTGAAATACACCAAACACACGCTCAACATCCTTACTCTCAGCCTTTTGATTCTTAGCTTGGTAAATTTCTTGAAAAAAAAAGAGAGATATTGGTTAAAAAGAATTAAAAGATCATGATATATCTTTTGAGATTCTTGGGGGAATCATTAAAAGTCTTGATAAATGAGCCGTAGGCAGAATATACTTCATATGTCAAAGTAGTATCACTCACATGTTGTAGTTATGATTGTTAGCTATGCATTCTAATGACCGGGGGGAAGTAAGATTGACCTTACTGATCAAAGTGTAGTTGTTGTGTTCTTTCACACCCTTGGGAACACATGGACTAACAAAGACCCTGGTCATTCTGAATCATCTTCAGAACTTGCTTCTGCAAGGTAGGTATATTCTGGGCTAAGGTCATCATATAATTGCAACTTGTCTACGTTTTCTGTTGCGATATATTGTGGTGTAAGCTCTTCGTTTTGAACATCTTCCTCGAGGTCCAAGTCCGAGAAATAGGCATCTCCTATGGCTCTAATCCTCATCATCACAATTCCAAAGCCATCCAGCATGCGTTCATTTTCTTCTAACAATGTAAGCTATGGTTCAAAGTTTATCCTTATTAGATTTTTATATAAGAATGTATATAAATATAAAGGGTTGAAGAAATAATAAACGAGATTTTTTTTTTAAAAAAATAAAAAATAAAACAGTCGTAATTTTAAAGATCTTATAGGAGGGGTTTGTACATGCATGAGTGAGACTTTTGACCAAAAAGAGAAAAAAGAGAATAATGTCAAAGACATTTAGCAGCTGTGTCTTGAAGCTAGTAAGAGAATAGCAAAAGGTAAAAGTTATAGATTGAGGAGTGTGACTATCGTACTAGGGTTGTTAATCTAATGGGTCTGGAGACGAGTGAATCTTATGCTGGCTTCTCAGGGCTAGAGAATAAGACAGCTGTTTTATGTCGATTCATTTTTTGAAGCATTACGGAGCATAGCCATATATAAAAACAGCTGGTATAATTATCTCCTGTTTTACCTGTTGAGAAAAGTTGAATTTACTTTGTAGATTGTGTTCTGTAAAAACCAAGTCTGGCTTATTGCTATATGTATAAATAAATAAAAGGAGAGTAGTTGGATCAAAAGATGTGTATTTAGTCAATTGATACCAGTTAGTAGTATATGTAATAGCCAGTAACGGATATTCAAGTTATACATTCTGCTTTATTAAAGAAAAACCTCGAAATAAAATTAAAATGCATATCTTTTGATAACGGGACCATTGATATTGTACAAGAGTATTCAATATGTGTGTGTGCCAATGATTATGTAAACCCAAGGGAAATCTAATCTTTTTGTTTGTTTGTTTGTCTAACAAAGACAATAGTGGCTGTTTATCTAACAAAGACAATAGTGGCTGTTTATCTGTAGATTGCATGGGTTTGTCCGCTAGATACTTTGCTAGTCATAATGGTTCTAGGCTTATTCAAAAGAATATATGAATATTTGCGAAAATGGCTTTATATAATTGGATAGAGTATGAAACAGAGAGCATTTGAATCATTGGTGGTGTATTGTTATCTGCTACTTACTGATGGCATTTGTGTGTTACCTGGTATTTGGAGATCAAGTTTGTAATCCAAATATTTGATAGTATTATTCAGCATACTGCAAAATACAGACTACTCTAAAGGGAAGTGTGATATACAGATACAAACAACAAATGTGGGATCGTTAATGCTACCCATGTATCTAATTTGTTTAACAATATAAAGTAGAAGAATATGAAGGGGGGGTTTCAAGTGAAACATATATATATTTTCAATTTTAATTGGTCTTTTTTTTTGGGTAAGAGAAAAAGGGAAGGAAAGGCAAAGGGTATCTGATGGTGACACCTTTTGTGATTCATGTGAGTAAGATGACGTTTGATAAGTATCGATAGGTATAGTGGGTTGCCCTCACCTTGTACTGTATTGTACTGGTTTTGTGTGAGTCTAAAGATCTGTTTTGGTTGGTAGCAGTTGTGCCATGGGGGAGGGGAAATGATCTGATATGCTTTTGAACTTTATTATGTATGGATATGAATGTCTTGAGTCAAATTAGGTTTCAAAAGAGCTTTGACCATACACCTTTGGGCTATTGAGATTGCGTATTAATAATTGATCGAATGTTGCTCTGTCTGCTTATCCATCTGACTATTGGAGTTCATTAAATTCAATAGGGATATTGATTGATTAAAACTGATATTAAAAAAATATATGGAATTAATGCATAGAAAATAGCTACGATCGTGACAATATCAGTTGACGTGTCAAAAACCCCATTTTTTCTTTGGTCTTATTTCTCTGCTTGCATTACATTTTCTCTCTTTCTCTCTTTAATATAAATATATCAAAAAATTTATACTAAGAAACCACCAAAAAAATACAAAGCAAAAATGTCTTTTTCTACTGTCAATACAATCAAGGCAAACCTTCGTTCAGCGTCTGCCTTTAGGTTATTATCATCATCAACAGTCGGAGCCGGCACCCCAGCCGTAACAGCCGTGGTAGCAGCAAAGGCAGCAACCGCAGCCGCAGTCGCAGTTGGTGCAGGTGCATCAAATACAGTTCAGTACAGATCGTTCTATAGGACAATCCTAGAGCCAAAGGATGACATCCAGGACATGCTCAACGTCATCGAGAGTCTCAAGGCCGATATTGCCTCTCTTGAAAACACCTATCACCTCAAGCAGAATGCACCACCTCCCACACTAAAGACCAGCCAAAGAGAGCCAGAAGAACTGCAATCCGACGTGTTGGAGAATGTGATCACAGAGGCGTCCTTTTATCGTACTACAGAGGATGATGGTCAAACCAGAACACACAGCTTTGAAGCCGTTCACATCAGTACTCCAACCAATTCACCTCGTGTTGGATTTGAAGACGCTATAGTTAGTGACTATTTTGAAAAATAAAAATACATATATACATATATACTCTTATACATAATATATATATATAAATTTATAAATTTATAATTGATTTGGCACCTGACACTCCTGGTGACATAACCAGACTCCGTTCAAGCTTAAATCCAAAAAAAGAAAAAAAAAGAAAAATGCCGCTCAAAAAGAAAAAAAAAAGAAAAAAGAAAATCGTGTTTAGGACTGCGGTCCTATCTTAACTTCACTTCTTCCACTAAATCTTCATTTCTATCTTCTTCTTCTTCTTCTTTACTCATGTTATTCGGGGGCATCTACTTTATAGTCAAGCTACTCTTTCTCCAGCTATACCCAGCCTACATATGTTACAAGGCCATCAAAGTCAATGATCCAAATCAGTTTGGTCCCTTATTAACCTATTGGGTCGTTGCATCTGGTTTCCTGGTAGCAGAGTACTTGACCGACATCTTTTTGTTTTGGTAAGAGATAACTAAAGAAAAAAATAAGACATATCATATAATAGATAGCTGGATGGTTGGATTGAGTAAAGACAGAACATGAAAATCGAATGAAAGAAGGGGATTTCTAAGCAGCAACCAAAACAAAATAGGGTTCCGTTCTACACCGACATCAAGTTTGTTCTTCTCTTATGGCTTATCTTGCCTCAAACACAAGGAACACTCGTAGTCTATCGGGACTGGCTTGACCCATTCTTATCACAGCATGAAGAGTACATCGACAAGACTCTTATAGACATTCAAACCAAAGCGAGACAAACTATATCCCTTCATCTACAGACACTCCTTTATACTCTACGTAATGTGATCATTGACATAATCAAGGTAAGAGAGAGAAAAAAATTATGAAAAGAGAGAAATCAAGAAAGATATGGTAGAGTATGATGACTTGGCTTTGGTTGGGTTGGGATGTGTTATAATGGAGCAAGATATCATTATAATACAATGGCATACAACGCACACTATCATTATTGGCAGTATGGTCATTGATAATAATGTTTTAATTTTTTATTATACAATCTAAATCAGGGGAAACACGAGAATACCCAAGACACACAACCACCGACAGCCGCAGTATCTAATACCCCAGATAAAGAGGAGGTCTCAAATACCATGAACCCATTTTCACTATTTTCAACCTTTGTTGGCAATCAACGGCCAGTCACAGCTGATAAAGATATAGCAGCATCACTAGTATCAACAGGACTGGGACCAGGAACAGGAGCGGGAGTATTAGCCGAGGAAACAAAGGTTGAGCGCACAGACAGCTACGATTCCTTGGCATCATTTGTGTCTGGAGGACGCAACAAGACAGCACAGGGCAAGGGGGGATCATCACCATCTTCTTCTTCTAGTCCTGGCAAAGACATCGACAAACCAAATGAGACCACGGCCACGTGGGGAGGCTACTTTACCGGATGGGCATGGAAGGCGTCTGATGCCAAGAAAAATAATGACATTCAGGAGTCTTCGTCATCACCGTCGTCTTTAAAGTCTTCAAAGACTGACTGACCAACTAGCCAAATGAACGAATGAATAAGATCGTGTTTGCTTTATTTTACCTTACTTTACTTTGCCTTGCTTAGCTTTGCTTAGCTTTGCCTAGCTTTGCCTAGCTTTGCCTAGCTTTGCCTTGCTTAGCTTTGCCTCGTCTTGTTTTTTTTTTCGTAGTTTATTCTGCAACATACAGACTAGGTGAATCAAACCAAACTAAACCCCCCTTTTCATTTTCTTCTTTTATTTTGGTTATATCACTCTTGCCATTAGTACAGTATTAAACAAACTTCAATTGGGATTTCAATATATATAAAAAAAGATTCAATTGAGAGATATATAAGAGATAAGTGAGAATGAGTGGGTATTATTGGTTTGGTTTGGTTCGGTTCGGTTTGATTCCTTTCAAATTAATTCAATTCAAATCAATTCAATTCAAGTCAAGTCAAGTCAAGTCAATCAAACGCAATTGATCAAATCTCTAAGCATAGCACAATAATAAACATTAACCCATTTTATACACAAACACAAACACACCTTTTGATTTTGATTTTGATTTTAAGATTCAATCATCCAACATAAAAATGCTTCCTTTTCATTTTTGAGTTTGAGTTTGTCAGACCAAAGCACAATATTTTATAGAGAAAATACCAATTTATAATATACGGGTCCGTATGTGTATTGAAAATGGATCGTAAGCTTCTTGAAATGCACATCATATTTGATCATTCGATTTGAAATATATATATGTAATTTGATGAACCCCAGAGATAACAAGAGCACAAAGATAAATAAATACATATTATAACAAAAATCACCCTGCAGTGTGTCAGATGATTAGTGAATAGTGATTAGTGAGTAGTGAGTGTATGCGTATGTTTGCGCGTATTTGTACTTTGGTTAATATTTGGTTTCTGATGTGATTTATTAAATCATAAAAATTTATATGCTATATAGTATATTGTGCACTTGATCAAATTTAACGCTCAAATGGATTATCTCCAGGCTGCAGAGGCACAGCAGAGGCACAACAGTTTCCTGTGCAGAAGGTATAGATTCCCAGAGTGGGATGATGTCTTTCTCTATTTGTATTAAAATAAAGAGATACTAAAGCTACCCCACGTTTGGATCAAAATTTGGTAGGACCGAATATAAACCTATCCAGTACATTAACAATCCTTTACATATATATACACACACGTATATATACATACTTATATGTGTTGTCAAAGGTCTTTCCTTCTTCCTTCTTCCTATGTTTCTTTTTACTTTTTATATAATAACCGCCAAGAATTTTCAACATAGCCTCTCCCCTAGTCCCAGCCCTAGTCGTCTTTTTTTTCTTTCATTTTCTTTTATTGATTTTCAATAGCTAAATTTGTCTATACATATACATATACATATATAAACCAAGTGCATTCTAAATATTAATTAAATGTTAATGCTGCTTTTGATAACGAGATTAAGGACAATGTTTCAAATAGTAATAATAAAAGTTGAAATGCTAACTGACTGAATAAAACTAAAAAAGACAATAAAGAAAAGAAAAAGAAAATAGACTACTGAGGCTTAATAAGTACTTTTTTTTATGTAATAAGTTTATACTACCAATGTACAAGTTACTGCACCACAAGAGTCCTCTTATCCTTCTTCTTATTCTTTATCATCTTCAAATAGCATAAGCTGCTTGATAATTTTTCTATATATTCTAATCAAATTTGAACCATAGGCTTTCTAATTTATAGCATTCTGTTTACATAATAGAATGTGAGCTACTTGAATAAAGAAAGAAAGAAACAAAAAAAACAACTTGGATTTTATTCCATATATCTTTTACGCATTTCAATTGGATCAAAGAATTTCTTCTTTTCTTTTAGAGGAGTACTGATAAGAACTTGAATATTTGACACCTTAAAAGTAGCAAAAAACAAAAAAGTAGGCTGTGAAAGTTGTGCTTCCTGAGATATAGTTGGATATTTTTTTCCCTGCTTACGCTATTTCCACATTTGCAACTTTCAGCTGTAATACAGTACCGAAAAGAAATGTTTCGCCCATTTTAACATCCGCCATGAATGGTAAAGAAGATATCACAACTTCAAATCCCTTTCTAAAGATGTACAATACGTATTGAAATATAATACTTGGAACAATAAAAGTGAAAGACATATATATTAATAATGTAAAAAAAAGATACAGTTTTAATAGCGGATTCGCTTAAATTTCTTTTTCTTAAGTAAGGCCAATCGATTTGGCATATTCAAGCAGCATCTTCTACAAGTTTTTGCTGATATTTTGTTCCACTCTTCCAACAAAGCAGCCTTCAGCTCATTCAGAGAATTTTGTCTGGGGCGTCTTGCTCTGATTCTGTGATCAATGATTCCCCATATATTCTCAATGGGGCTAAGGTCAGGGCTGTTGGGTGGCCATTGCAAAACATCAATACCATGTTCTTTCTTGAACTTTCCTGCAACTTTTGATTTATGCGCCTTGGCATTATCTTCCTGGAACTTGTAGCTACCGCTGCTAGGTACAGGAAGAGCATGCAAGAATGGAAGAAAATGGTCTCGAAGAACTTCTACATATCTTGGACCATCCATGTTTTCATCTACGAAAACAAGTGGACTAAGTCCTCCTGACCAGATACACCCCCAGACCATAACCGATCCACCATTTCCTTGCACCTTTGGGACAAAGTGATCCGTATCAAACCTCTCACCAGTTTTGCGCCAGAGTTTTCTGCTTGAATTTTTCTTATACAGCACAAATGACGACTCGTCACTCCAGATAGCTGTTTCCCACTGTTTATTCCAGTCTTTCACGGTTTTGTACCAAGCTCGGCGTTTGGCAATGTGTGCCTTGGTAAGAAAAGGCTTTGACACAGGTTTACGGCAAAAATAGTCCATGCTGTGCAAAGCTTTACGCATGGTAACCTTGCTGACATTCTTTCCCGTGTCAGCACTAGCATCATCAACAAGATCATCCAACGTTGACCACCTGTCTTTTTTGAGATTCGAGACAATACGTCTTTTGTCTCTAGGTGTGAGGATCTGTGGTCTTCCAGAAGACTTTCTGTTATCGGCAGTTCCTCTTTCTTTATATCTCTTTAAAAAATATCGAACTGTTGATTTGGGTACATTCAGCTTGGCTGAAATGCTGGCAACATTATTTCCATCAAGTTGAAGTCCAAGGATCTTTCCTTTCGTCAAATCTGAAAGCGCATTATAGGGCCCACGAGAGTTATTCTTTTGTGTGTTTGGCATTATGGTAGAATTGTTAATTAGTTTTTTAAGACGTTGAAAAATATAAAATATAGGTTATAAAGCAAAGGTGCAAATAGCGCGCCAGGGTGCGAAACATTTCTTTCTCAGTGTATATCTTGCTTCAGATTATTGTTTATTCACACAGGGTTATGTATACCACAACACAGTCTACTTTTGTGACCGAAATTACTTGGTATAAGCGCTTGTCTGTTCATCAATAAAGCATTATACTTTTTAAGCTCAAAATTCTCCTTCTCTCTAGATAAGGTATGAATTTCATAAGATTTTTATTTGTTTCTTCATCATCTGCTTTTAACTCACTTTATATTTACTATGCCACATGAAAAAAAAGATTCTAAAACATCACTAGAAATATCACAAAATATATATCATTATTAAAATGTACACAACTTTCTATTTTTGATCCTTCCCATTACCTTCCGGTTCTGGGCCAAAACAAAATATAAGTCTATGGAAAGTGTAAGGACCAAAAAGCAAACGCAAAAGCAAACGCAAAAGCAAAAGCAAAAGCAAAACAAAGAGAGAAACAAAACAAAAAGGCTTATTTTGGAAGATTATGTAATGATTTTCCCATCTGATTATGAATGTGGTCGCAAGTCATCACATATATACAGCGTCTTGAATCAAAACGAACCAAGGTTGAAATAAGACACCTGTAGAACCACCCTCGAAAGGCTAATAGAGAACTGCTCTAAGAGTTTTGAGGAGAATATCTCTGCCTTCTATGGTTTGTATTCAATAGAACCGGACCCAGGACGAGAAAAAGAAAATGTTGCTTTCAATGTACTTCAATAGGCATACACATATCATTTAAAAATAATAAGATAAGAAAACAGACGTTTGTCATCTTAATTAAACTTTAATTATTCCTTTTAACTAATATAAGAATATGCGGCAACCATCTGGCGCAACAATATTACCAAGACAACAAATTTGCTTTCCAATAAACAATACAAAAAAAAACCAAGAAAACCGCTACGTTTCAGCAAATTTTCAGAATACATCCCATATGTATATTCTACAAATAATTCTTTCTGTTAATAACATAAATGTTGGAATTCTTACTCTAGCTCAATTGTTAAAGTAGGAAATACGCCTTTAGAATATAACTCAAGCGCCAACTTTTTTCCCCAACATAATGTATACGCAAAGAACTTGCAAATCAAGTATCCATGTATCATGTAAAATGAGACGATTGTATCTTCTGTTAGCCACAGGAAGTAAAACCCCTTCTTTAATTAAACGGCGAATTTGCTCAGGGCCGTACTTATTCTTTGTCTTTTGTCTTTTGAAATAGAAACGGTACTTAATTTATTGGTAAAATCTTCACCTTCATGTTCTCTTTCATTCGAACCATGTTGCTTTTCCAATAATAATAATAATAATAATAATAATCAAAACAGGGATCTTTGCGAAAAGAAACACTAGAATTGTCTTGAAATCACCCTATTTTTTTTACCCATAATGATAGTAATTTATTAATATTATTATTATTTTTATCGACTATTTAATTTAACACATCGTAATCTAGTGTGCTACAGTTATTTTAAAGAAGAAAAACTAGCAATAGACACCCACACATACATACACAAACACACGTATGTTTTAGTTTTGTGTCTCTTGACGTCCAAAGTTAAAGTACTAAAAGCAATTGGTTGGTTAGTAGATATATATATAAGGAATTATTGATAATTCATATATTTACCTTTTCACGGAACAAGAAGTGTCCGGGGCGCTTTTCATCTTTATCCTCTTCATTGTGTTCTTGTTTCTCAGGTACAGGGGCCTCTTCTTTAACAACCCCTTCGCTGATTTCAACTGTCGCTGTCTCCTTGGCATCCCACTCACGTGTTTTTTCCATAGTAATAAGTCTTCGAGACCATTGGCCAAAGTTTTGTTCACTGTTGGATAAAAGCTTCATGGATGGGTGTTGAGGTACATCGTTATTTGAATATCTAGAGCAATAATAACAAAATTCTTAGTATCATTATTGTTATTAAGAGAGAAAGAGATGAATGATTGTTAAATCAAATATACCTAATGTATAATGATTATAACTTACTCATCTACAACTGTTGGGAGCCAGTAAACTAATCTACCGCCAACACGAAGATGCTCGGCCGCAAAATTGAGAAGATCAATAAGAACCTCTGACATTTCATATGGTTTTGTAGGAGGATAGTAGTCTACTCTCCTATAATAATAATAATAATAATAATAATGGTAAAAGCAATATACACATAAGTACAATGATATAATTAAAATCGAAGTATAATCTACAAGTTCCATTTTTCATTTGAATCAACTTACTCGTGCATCGGCTCACCTTCATAGGTTCGCATCTTCAGAGGTGTCTTTGTCTCGTCCTTTCTACCAAGCTTCTTTGCACCAGCACGAACACCATACGGAGCTTTATAATTATTATTCAAGTATATACATATATAATAAAGCAAAAAGTCAGTAATATATCCATTTCCAAATACCCATAATTTAATACTCCAATTTTCCCTTAAACAATCCAAAAAAAATAAAAAAAATAGACTGGGTACCCACGATCTACGTAAGAGTGCAATAGATAGTTAGTATGTATTTTGGTAAAACACCTACAGAATATAGATATGAATATTTATTTACCAGTTACAATAGCATCGAGCCAAGCTTTGGTTCTCCAAGGGTGGTGACAGACATCAAAGACAAGTGAATCAAGAACTCGACCCTGAAGACTATACTGTTCAATGTTGGCCTTGACACCATCGTTCTTTTTTCCTCTGATCTGTCTACCGTCAATATCGGATCCCATAGTGAATGCACCAAAGTGGGCACATGTGAATAAGAAACTGCCAGTACCGACAAAGGGGTCGTACACAAGCTTTCCGGGAGCAGCTAAGGCTTGGTTAGCCATGACTAATGAAAGTTCTGCGTCCATTGAAGTTGTGCCGAGATACTTTCGCTTTTTTAAGTTATACTTATTGACTACATCGCGACCACCTGTTGCAACCTAATTTTGTATATTTTATATTAATACAAGTATATATATGTATATACAAAAGCATAGTAATTATATAAGCTACTCTTGCTTTTTTTTGAAAAGGCGACTAGAATCTACAGCTTGCTTTTGATCTTTTGATTTTACCAATTTTCCAAAATAAATGTGCTTGGGTTCCTTCTTAACAGCACCTAATTTTCCAGCTTCGGAACCATAATCTTCCATAACACCAAATTGTACTTCTGGGTTCTTCATGTCAATAGGACCATCGAAAGCCAAAAATGAAAAAGAGTTTATAATGTCGCGCTGTTCAGGAACAGAAATAGTAGATCCAAAACCCGATACTGAGAACTTGAAAGACTTTTCATTGTATGCTGGCTAATAATGTTTTATATGGATAAAATATAATTGACATGAGTACAATTCTTTTGTTTTTGTTGTTGTTTTTGCAGTTACCCGACATTAATATGTATATATATCTATATATCTATGATAATATTTATCTATTTTACTCACCCAACGTTCGGGGTTCTCTTTAACCATTGTATGCACCTCAGCATAATTCTTTCCCTCTCCCCAGAGCTCATAAATATTCCTTTTTTGGTAATTGAAGTAAGCACCTTCGAATGAATAATTTGCACATTAAAAATAATATTCATTCGGCATATGTACCTACTTGATCAAAATGGCTCTTTCCACCAACTTGCGTGCAGCTTCGTCCGATTCGAGCTCTACTTTAAAGAATGGGCTCTAAAGCAATATATAAATTAATTACTTCTATTGTGTTTATTATCATTATTCGAATATTCCTTACATCGAGACTGTAGCTTCCTTCTTCATAGCTGTATTTTACTCGGGCAAGTTGAGCAAGTGACAGGAATTCGGGGAGACGGAATTCATCATGAAACTAAGTAATTTTGTAATAATGAGAAAATGTGAAATGAGTCTCTTTTTTTTCAATTTTTTTTTGATGTTTGTCATTCTTCATTTCATCTTGAGCACACTATTGTTTTAAATTATTTATTGTAATTCCATACTTGTGCGAATTGCACCAAATATTGTGGCATTGGGGATGGGCAAAAAAAGGACTGAGAGTTACAAGACAAGCTTAGGCTCAGCCACTTCTTTTCACTGTTAAAAATAAAAAGCAGGCACAATTGATCGGTCGCGGTTTAAACCTTGTAAAGCATTGTCTGCACTGATTTGTGCTACTATGAAGCGATTCTTTTTTTTTTTATTATTATTAAAAAATAAAATAAAATATAGAAAAAAGAGCAATTATAATCTTGCTTTGATATGTCAAAAGAAAAGGTTGAATATTAATATTTTGACCTTAATTGCGAAAGAGAGGGGTATCACTCACAGTGAATTCCTTTTGTTTTAATGATTACTGAACTAATTTACAGTCAACTTGCTTTAGAATTGGATCGAAAATTAAACAAGAAAAAAGTGCATTCTATTGATTGTCATTTAAGGCATTTGCCCATTTTGTGTTGGTTTCAAATAGTTTGATATTGATTGCATTGGTAATGCTTTTAAAAAAAGACCTAATTAAGTTGAAAGAACTAACTCTATGGTTTACTTTTATTTGAGTTTATTTAGTTTTAATTAATCAAGGTTAATAAATCAAATAATACAAGATTTTATTGATCTAAACTCATAAAACCCACAATGTACCCTACAGCAACAAGTTTCAATATATATGTATATTAATTGAATTTCTATATCAAATGTATGAAATTAAAGGAAAATTCAATAAACACATAATTCAAGTTATCTCAACTTATGTATGTATACATCCATCGTTTATGTTCTTCTTCATGTTGTTGTTCGTCTTCTTCTTTAGGAATGTTTTGTAGGCAGTACAATATATTAGACGTCACAAGATAAACAGGCTTTCAACTTCTTGACACAGGTTTTTTTCTTCTTTTGTGTCTCTATTCCTTTTTCATATATATATATACTTTTCTTTGCTTTCTTAATTCATGTCATTACCATGAGTGAATTTTTATATATGTAATATATGTATGTATATTTTATTTTTTAGGAGAATGAAAAAAAAAAAGCAAGTCCCACTCAACTCATCAATGCTTTTGTTTGACATAATTCTTACAAAAAAAATATATAGATATAAAAATGTGTAAACTATTTTTCTCTACGCAACAAAAATGTCAGCATACATACCTATCCCAACGACTCCACGATTAGATAGAAGGGGCGTTCCTATTGTGGAACCAGCTCCACAGGGACAATCGCCTCGAATTCAGCGCAATAAATATTTAAGAATTAATGCTAGTATTCACGGTGACGCTTCTATTGACGAAGTGCGTCTCTGTGAAACACCAAAAGAGAAATCTCTAATGGATGCACATGACAACTTCTCTGATGCCGTGCACCAGTCATACACAAACCACATTACTCGCCTCTTGTCCCAAACATCACCACGAGGGAGATCATCACCTAGTAGATTTGATTCCATTCAGGATGCCCCCACAGAACCACTTTCAGTAACTTCTACCACTCGCACGATAAAGCGTAATCGCTTCCAAAAGGTCGAAGCAAACGAACCTTATGCACCTTCACCCCAGCGCCACCAGATGCAATCAGCATTGTCTATCGACCAATCAGACTATCAACTAGAAGCATCCCAGACACAAATTCAAAAAACAATGTCTACTAATACTGAGACCTCGAATCGCTTGGCTAATACCACAGGTGGATCAGCTAAAGATGTAACTATGTACTCACCAAGACGTCGACGCTTTGCTGGGGATTACGATGACGAAGATGACAGGCCTCGATCGAAGCATAAGACTGCCAACATGATAGTGAATACTCAAGGGTCATCAAAAGCCAGTTCTTCACCAACCTCGTGCCTTTCTTCAAAACCTGACCAAGACAACACACAACAAACTGATACGCAGCCTGAACAACAAACTTGTAGTCAAAAGCCAACCACAAAACAACCTTTGCTTGCCCACACAACCGAAAATCCTTTACCGAACCCTAAAACCACCACAACAAATACCACGAACGCAACCAATTCCATCGATACTAACACGAACACGAACACGAACACCACAACCACCACCACCACCACCACCACATCAACCACCGTAAAAAAAGCCGGTCAGACTGTCAATAGAGTGACAAATGAAAAGGAAACAGCTACAATGGGACCGCCTGCGACTATCACCAAAAGAGTACAGGTAGAGAACACACGCCCAAAGAGGGGATTATTTCCCGCCGGCACAAATGTCAACCCAATCCAGAAAGAGCTTGAGAATATTATGGCCAGCGTCAGATCCTTGTCTTTTTATTACAAGTTAGTAGATAAGATTGGTGAAGGTAAATCAAAAGAATCTACCCATATACATAAGCGAATAAGCGCATAAGTACATAAGCACACAAGCACATAAGCACATAGGCACACAGGCACACAGGTACACAAATTCGTGTACCATTGTGTACAATATGTGTAATATATCTATTTTACACGCGCAATAAGATATCCAAGAGACCAGGGAGTGTAAAAGTTAAAGCGAGGAGAAAGAAGAGAAAAGGAAGAGGGGTGGTGAGGTTGGATTGTTTACATTTTTTTTTCAGATGTTGATCATTGTTATTGTTTTCATTAATGTTAATAATAATAATGTTATTCGCGATACCATTATCTACTACCTCTACCACTGCTACTTTTACTATTACTTCTTCTTCTACTTCTTCTGCTCCTGCTTCCTCTGCTGCTTATGCTTTTGCTGCTATTACTACTATGTCTATGGCTATTATCATTTTCTTTAAAATGGAACCAATCTTTGACACAAACCATATATATATATACCTACATGAATACACTTAGGTACCTTTAGTACAGTATACAAAGCTATCGATATACGGCATGAGCGGTACAAAAATGAGGATTGGGAAGCTCAGTTGATCAGTGGAGCTTCGGTTGGAAGAAAAATAAGAGGGCGTGAAGGAGCAACAGATGCACAAATAAAAAACAGAAGCAAATTTGTTGCCCTCAAAAGAGTTTACGCTACCAGTAGTCCAAAACGAATTGCAAGTGAAATCGAGGTTCTACAACAATTAAGGTAATTTTATTTTTATTTTTATTTTTATTTCAAGAGAAAAAGCAGAAGAAAGGTTAAAGATGTATGTTTATTCAAATGTATTATATATACACACATTTGTACGTGCGTGTTCTTTTGCGTTTAGAGGCTGTCCGTGTATCACCCCGTTAATCACTGCATTTCGACAACAAGAAGAAGTATTTGTCGTCCTGCCTTATATTCAACACGATGAATTTAAGGTATGGATCTAAATTCTGATATAAAAATTTATTGTATGTCATTAGGTACTTTATTTTATTTTGCCCATTTGTTTGTCTTGTCTTGTCTTGCTTTGTTTTTTTTTATGTTTTATTAACAAATAGCTCCCAATTATATATATATTTAACATTTGTATATCTGTACACACACATAGAAAATATTCTTACAAATGCCAATGGAGGATATAAAGTGCTATATGCGTTGCATGTTCACTGCTCTAAAGAGCCTCCACAAGCTCAAGATTCTTCACCGAGATATCAAGCCAAATAACTTTCTCTACAGCTCACGCGACAAGATGGGCATACTAATTGATTTTGGTCTTGCACAGGTGAGCATTATTTTTTCTATCTATTTTTTTCTGTTATATATATATATATAGATTAAATATCTAATTGTACTTGTATGTATTTGTATTGTATTTCTTAGAAAGAGGAAGATACACGCAATATCAATATATCCCACACTTCAACCTCCTCGCCCACTGCCAACGAAACTACAACTACAACTACACCCACACCCACACCCACACCCACACCCACAACTACACCTACAACAACTACTGCTGCTGCTGCTGCTATAACTGCCACCACTAATTCTACCACTACCAATAATATTACCGCTGCACCTAACCCCACATTTACTCCTGCTGCCACACCAACATCTACACCAACATCCACTCCAAACGTAACTCCCAGTACAGGCGCCACTGCCTCCCACACATGCATTGTAACTCCAGTTAGTGCTACTACGCCCTCCGGACCAAGCAAATTACCGATTAGAAGAATACCTTCGAGTATAGACCAAACAGACAATCCAAAAGTTCGAGGGTACATGATAAATGATCAACGGTAGGTGTTAAAAAGACTGCTTTTATTTTTACTTTTTCTTGCTTCTTTTGTTGTTGTTGCCGGTATTTTCAGTTGCTTGAACTTGTAATTAATATATATATATACAAATGACCTTACTATTATATCACCTTTCATATTCTGTTTTTTCTTTAGACGAGCAATTCGTGCCAACAGAGCGGGTACAAAAGGATTCAGAGCACCTGAAGTATTAATGAGAGTCGTAAATCAAACGACTGGTAAGCTTTGATATGTTTGCCTGGAAGAAACAATGTAACATATTTTTCTTTTTTCTTTTTCTTTATAGCGATTGACATTTGGTCTGTTGGTGTAATATTCTTGTCTATACTTTCTGGAAGTTATCCGTTTTTCTTGGCTAATGACGAGGCAGATTCACTCATAGAATTGGCATGTCTGTTTGGATCCAATGCAATGAAAGAATGTGCAAGATTTCACAGTAAGTACAACTGCTCAAACTCTATTACTATTAGTAGTGGGGAGGGGTGCACAAGTAATACATACACATGTATATTATTATTATTATTATTATTATTAATTATGGGATTATTAACATATAAGAATAATAATTGACTTTTCTTTGCTTTGCTCTGTAGATCGTACATTTGAAACAAATATCCCATCTATCAATCAAGGACCTTACAATCTGGGCAGTATTTGTAAAACCTTGAATTCACGGATGTTTGAAGCCTGGAATCAAACCGATCTAAAGAACGCAATCGATCTGATGACCAAGTGCCTAGCTCTAAAAAGTGATGAGCGGATTACTGCAGCTGAAGCTTTAGAACACCCATTCCTCAAATAGGTGGTGGTTTTTAGTAGTAAATAATTTGATGATAATAATAATGATAATAATAACAATATATTATTTTATTTTATTTCCTTTATTTACACTTAATATCATCAAAGATACATATTTCGATCTTATTGTCTCGAAAGACACTATTACTATAATTACTATGGTTACTTATTTATTTATTTTAATTGGGAGCAGGAGAGCCTCGAATGGGTCCTCCAATTTTAGGCCGATTTCCAGCAGGTGGAAGCATGGGTCTAAATGCAAATTTGGTTCTACACAATCATAAGCACACACACACACACACCCGCGCGTATATAGATTAATATTAACTATGTTTTTGTATTTTCTTTCCCTTGCTTGTGAATGTACACAAGATCATTCTCAGTATCTCATGTTTTTTCTTCTAACCAAGTCACAAACAAATATATATATATATATATACTAAAGGCCCCAGGTAACTTACTTGCATGTTGAGCAGACTGGGGACCAAGAACAAAAGACTGCAAAGCGAGTTTCGATTAACATACATACATACATACATACATACATACATTTATATATATAATATTTAAGAAAAACATCGGCCCATATATTTGTAATATGTTTAAACCCTCCTCCCCCCCCCATTTTGTCCCAGAAAAAAAAAGAAACAACTTACTTGATAAGCATACAGAACATACATAACCAATATCAACAATTTTCTTGTGACAAAAGCAGGCAGCTCTGAAATCCACTTGATCTTGGTTGGGTAAGTTTAGATAGTTTCGTGCATATCTTTCAGGTAAGAAAGCAAACTAATAAAAAAGTAAATGAACAACAACAGCAATATGATTAGAGTATTGTCTACTGCTTATTACTTGTCGATAACTAACCATTAGATATTGTAACAATGCCTGACTATTGTCTACTTTCACATAAACACCTCCAGTGATATTGGAAGCCTGTTGAAGGAATGCAGTTTCTTCTCCGTAAATCTTGCACACATCCACAGGAATACTCTACATCAAATACATTAATATTATTATTATTATTGTTATTATAATTTCTCTCTATCTCTAGTAACTTACTGCTTTTTGGGCTGAGAAAATACAATTCATTAATGGAATATATTGAGATGCTGAATCAGGTGAAACTGATAATATGAGAATACGCGGCTTGATGTGACCAAGTTCATCCTGTTTTGTGATACGATGGATGTCTTTAAACGCACATCAATATTTTTGATGCATAGTCAATACACCACAGAAAACAATAGATATTTTTATATACACAAGAGTCTTTGTGTGACCTAACTTACAACAGAGTGCCATTGAGAATGCACCAGTCACCATTGATGAGGTTCCTGTAAATTAAATGTATATATATATTCTTTAAAAAATCTATCCGTATTTCTTCTTCTTCTTCTTCTTTCTCATTCATTCCTTTATTCATTTGTTGTAATTTATACCTGGACCTTCTTGAAGAGATGATGGATCGGTATTTGCAAATAGTTCTTGTAAACTACTGACAATCTGGTCTGTCACAAATTGAAAATTGGGATACATGTTGGCATTTCGTCGACTGCCATTATTGCTTTTGATTTGAACAGTTTCTTCATTCGGAAGTGGATAAAGAAATTTACTGTAGATTATGACAGATAGACAGATATATAGATATACATACGAATATATACGTTTGATTGATCAGATTTATTAACACTCTTTTATTATTAGTATTATGATTATATATAAAGTATGATCCAACAATATAAATCATTAAAGGACACTACAGAAAAAGACACAAACAAAGCCAAAGAAGAAAGGAAGAAAGAAACTCTCGCTGTTTACCTGTGTCCAACATGACTTGCGATTACTGTCACTTTATTATTGTATTTTAAAGCAAGATGAGCATTGATAAAGATTAAGATCTGTCGTAGAGCATCATCAAGGGATAGTGGCACAGTTGCCTTTGCAGATTCAGCCCAGACAAAGGGATTAGTGTCAATGATGAGTACAAGTAGATTGGAATCATCTTTATTTTTTTTTAAAAAAAAAACATATACGAAACAAAGAGAAGAATAACATAAATGATCATAACAAGAATGTCAATGCTAAATGCTAATGTATATCTTTTGAAAGTAATGTAGCTCGTATTACCTTCACTAGTTGACGCGTCCTTCATTATTGTTATTATTTTTAGTTTTAATTTGTACAAATGATAGCCTAAAACTACTCTAGATTATTATTGCTGTTGTTGTTCTTTTTGTTTAATTTATTCCCCCCTTTTCTCTCTCTCTCTCTCTCTCTCTCTGTGTGTGTGGGTTATGCTACTGTTGCTTTGGATCTTGAACGTGCGTGTGACTGCTTGACAAGAGGTTCCGCTATCGATCCCACCAATTACGACTGGACAAGTTATGAAAAAGATGATATAAATTATGAAATAATTAAGCAAAATATATATATATTTATATACATATACACCTTTCTTTCTTTCTTTGCTTTCTATACTCTTTATTTGTCCTTTTGATTTGCTTTCCTTTTATCCTTTATTTCTCTTCTTTTAATATTTTATTCTAAAAAAAAAAACCAAAAAAAACAAGAAAGCAAGCTTTATCCTTTTTACGTACACACACACACGCACACAAAAGTATTCCAATGATACCTCGTTGGATTTGTGGACTATTTTTCACAGCCGCGCTCCTAAGTATTCTTGTACCTCAGGGCGCTGATGCCGCTGTAATGTCAATAGACTATGGAACGGAATGGTTCAAAGTTGGCTTAATCAAATCTGGCATTCCTCTTGACGTTGCTCTCAACAAAGACTCCAAAAGAAAGACTCAGTCTGTCGTGACTATTCGTGATAACGTTCGAATTTATGGCTCAGACGCCATTAGTTTGGTAAAATAGTATATATATATATATATACATAATAATTATGGACCTGTTTATTGGAATACATTGTCTTGGTGATAGTTTGTGTTGTTTAATTAATTAATTAAATAAAAAGATAAGAAAGAGAGAAAGGGAAAAGGTTAATTAAGATATAGGCATATGCTTAAAATACTTAAATCCATTTTCTTTTTCTTCAAATAGGCCGGTAGATTCCCTCAATTCACTTATTTCAACCTCAAGAGTGTACTCGGTAAACCTTATGATGATAAGCATTGCGAAGAGTTCCGCCACAGATTTGTGAACACAATGGTCCTTGATCCTTCGCGTACAAATATGCCTGCTTTTCACCACAACGACACCGATGTATTGACCGTTGAGGAACTGATTGCCTATCAATTCCAAACTGCCAGACAACAGGCTATCAATACTGCTGGTGAAGATGTCAAGGATGTTGTTATTACGGTAAGACAAATCAAGATCCAAAAAAAAAAAAGAAGAAGAAGAAATAGTGATAATTGCATAGACAACTATTCCTTTTCTTTCTTTCTTTCTTTATCCCATACTCCCCTCCCCCTTCTGATTTTCAATGGCAATACATACATATGTGTGTGTATATCTTGTACCTTTATATTTATACATTTTACCCCTTGTTTTTTTTTCTTTAAAAAAAAACAAATTATATAGGTTACTCCATTTGCCAATCAATATGAAAGACAGGCTATTCTTGATGCCGCTGAATTGGCTGGCCTCAAAGTACTTTCCTTGATGCATGATGAAACAGCAGGTAAATATAAATGTTAAAAAAAAAACCAATTAGACTCAAATAAATACACAAATACAAACATAACATAACATAACATGTAAATGTAAATCAAAAACTTATATATATATATAAAACAAACAACAGTTGCTCTCAATTATGCAATGAACCGTCAGTTTGAAAAAACTCCCGAGTACCACATCTTTTATGATATGGGCGCTGGATCCACTGTTGCCTCTCTGGTCTCATTCTCGAATGCCGAATTCAAAGAGGGCAAGCGTACCAAGTCCCACCCTCAGATCGAAGTCAAGTCGGTTGGGTTTGATCAGACGCTTGGCGGTTATGAGTTTGATGTCCGCCTGCAGCAGCATCTCGCAAAGGGGTTTATGAAGATGCATAAGAATGCTGTCAAGACTGACATTACTGCTTCTGATGGTGCCATGGCCAGACTCCTGAAGGAAGCCACACGTGTCAAGCAAATCTTGAGTGCAAACACTGAAACTGGTGCATCTGTAAGTAAATACTTTTATTTATTTATATATTTATTTATATATATATTTATTTATTTGAAGGATGTACTCAACTCAATTGGTTATTTTTTTTAATATATAGTTGGAAGGTCTTCATGAGGGAATTGACTTTAAGATGAAGGTCTCTAGAGTTGAATTGGAAAGACTCTGTGCTGATTTGTTGGAGCGCATTAACAAGCCAATCGAGACTGCTCTTTTGGCTGCCAACATGAAAGTGGTGTGTAACATTTAATTAATCAATTGATTGAGTATATGTATGTATGTACTAATTAATCGATGATTATTTTATTTTGTAAAGGATGATATCAAATCTATTGTGTTGGTTGGTGGAAGTGTTCGCATCCCTTCTGTCCAAAGAGCCTTGGCTAAATCCGTAGGAAGGTAATTAAAACAAAGACATATATTTTACTATTACTATTACTATTACTATTACTATTACTATTACTATTACTATTACTTTTAGCATTAGTTTTGTTAACATAAATTTGTGTGTATAGTGCCAAGATTGCCAAGAATGTTAATGGAGATGAGGCTGCAGTATTGGGTAAGGTTAAAGAACAATGCAAAAAAAAAGAAAAGAAAATGGTTCTTATTTTATATTTTAGGTGCTGCTTTCCGTGGTGCTTCTCTTAGTAACCAATTTAGACTGACAAAACAGATCAAGATTAAGGATATAACAGTGTTTCCTATTGAAGCTACCTATGAACCCGAGAACAGCAACAATGGAGGTAATATATATATATATATGAATTAAATAATCAACTTTATATTTATATTAATGTGTATTTGAAAATGTGTAGCTATTCACACCACAATTTTCAAGGAATTTGGCTCCATTGGCACTCGCAAGATTGTAACCTTTAAAAGAACAACCGACTTTGAATTTGATTTGGCCTATGGAAAGAATCCTACCACTAAAGAAAAGTAAGTTTCTTCCTTTTACATGTTGTGTTGTATTACTACCAGTACTTGGCTTGGCTCTATTTACTCGCCAATATACGCATAATATTTATACTCTCTCTCTTTTTTTTTTTTTTAAAAAAAAAAAGGGACCATGGACTTGACAAGATTGCCAAGATCAAGGTTACTGGTTTGACAGAGGCTTTGGAGAAATACAGTGAAGAGATCAAGGCATCAGAGAACCCTCCCAAGGTTCGCGTTACAATTGAGATGTCAGAATCTGGCCTTATTTCTGTACCAGAAGCCTCTGTTAGCATTGAAATTGGTGAGGGATCAAAGTCTACCTTTTCTGGTAGGTGATTTCAGCTCATTTTCACTGTGCTTAGATTGATGTAGCTATTTAGAAATATAGGAATACACTATACATATTTGTTTGTTCTTGCTTCTTGATAATTTAAGTGTGTATATGCATACATGCATATATATATATATATAAATAGTTTCTAACGTTAATTTATAATAATTTATAATTATAGAAAAGGTAAAGTCATTCTTTGGTTCAAAGGAAGACAAGGATGCTTCTAAAGAGGAACCATTGGAGGTAATTAAAAGCTGGTCCATCAAATATATATATATATATAAATAAGAAAATTATTATTAATTATTACTAATGACTAATTATACTTTTTTATTTATTTTTTATTATATTTCTGATGTATAACAAACAACAGCATGTGGAAGCTGATAACCAAAAGAACCAGTCCCAGTCCTCAAGTTCTACTGCTGATAATGCTGATGCTGATGCTGATAATGCTGCTGCTGCTGCTGCTGCTGCTGCTGCTGCTGCAGATGGTAGTGATGATGCCGGATCTTCTCAGAATGCAACCAAAATCCCTGCATCAACCCCACCAGTCAAGGAAAAGGAGCCTACGGTAACCAAGATTAGCCTTGCCCTGGAATACATTCCAACTGGACCCTTGCCATTGTCAAAGGAACAAAAGGCAGAGGCAGCCAAACGGTAAAGCTGAGAATATTTATATAATACGAATTGATGAATTGATTATTTGATTTTTATGTTGTTGTTACTGTTGTTTAGTATCAAGGCTTTGGATACATTGGATGAGCTGCGTCGTCTGCGCGAAGAATCTCGAAATGCATTGGAATCGTCAGTGTACCGCCTCCAGGACTTTTTGTATGATGATACTGTCGGTATTGTGTCAACCGAAGAAGAACAGGAAAAACTCAGAGAGCATCTTTCCGAGATCTCGGACTGGCTCTATGACGAAGGAGAACATGCCGAAACATCGGCCAATGTTGATCGACTCAAGAAGTTACAGTAAGTCTACAAGTATTATTATTATTATTATTATTATTATTAAATTTACATTTCTATTTCTATAGATTGCTTGAACAACCGATTGTTTTCCGTCGTACTGAATATCTCGAACGCCCAAATAATATCGACAAGATCAATAAGGGCGTCGAACAGGCCCGTACATTTGTCCAGGTGATCCGTGCTACTCCTGAGGAAGACCGGTATCATACCGAGGAAGAGCTGGACAGCTTGCTGGCCACAGCCGAAACTGCGGACAAGTGGATCACTGAAAAGTTGGCCGCTCAAAACGTGCTTTCCAACTTTGCCCACCCTGCATTGACCACATCTGAAACCAGCGTCATCCACCGCCTAGTCGAGGACGCTCTTTTGAAACTCAAGGCCAAAAAGAAGCCCAAGGTTTCCAAAAAGGTATTATTTTATTTTGTTTTGTTTTGTTTTGTTTCTTTAAAAACAACAAAGAAAAGAGAGAATCAATTGACTAATTATGATTTTAATAAAATAATAATAATAATAATAATAATAATAATAATAATAATTGATATAAAGCCATCTTCTGATGAAAAGCAAAAGTCTGAACAAGCACAAGAACAAGCACAAGAGCAAGAGCAAGAACAGTCTTCTCGGGCAGAACAATCTCCTCCTTTAGATGATACTCACGACGAGTTGTAAAAAAAAAAGAATATATATATATATATAAAAATATAAAAATCAGGAAACAAAAGATAAGAAACAAGAATAAATATTGTGTGTATATATCTATATACACATCTCCTTTTCTCTCTTACTGTGTGTGTGTATGTGTTTTGGTGTCATTTTGAGTACTAATTTAATTTAATTTAATTTAATATATATATATATATAATTGTACATATATTAAAAATAAGAATAAAAAGATAAGATTCTGTAGTAAACAAGAAATAAAAAAAATTGTACATATCCAAGTATTTATTTTTTAAATATTGGTATTAAACCTGTACAGATATAAAAACAATTGGATATTTTATTATTACTGCTGTTGTAGCTGTTGTTGTTTTTGTTTAGTAAATTCATTCCTCTCTCTCTCTCTCTTTTTTTTTTAAGAAAAAAAAATAATGACACAAAACACAAGATGAATTCATAGAAAACATTACAAATCTATAATAAATAATATAAATTTATTGGATCGTATTTAACAGGATCTTTGTGAATGCGTGTAATATGTAAGGGTGATGTGTAGATATGCATGCTGCGTGCTGCGTGCTGCGTGCTGCGTATGCGTGTAGATGTAGATGTAGATTGTGATGTGTGTACGCGTGTTCAATATCTATTATTGTATATGAAAGTGCGAATGTGGAGGTAAGTTTGATGTATGCATTTGAGGGATGATAAGGATAAAGAAAATAGTTTTGATTTGATTTGATTTGATCTAATTTGATTTGATCAATTTTGGCAAGGTAGGTAATATATATAAAGGAACAAGCATACAAACAAACATACACACACACACACACACACACACACACACACATACACAGATGAATAGGTAGATAGGCGGATGGGTGGGGGTAGTCAAACAGGTAAAAAAAAAAAAAAAAAAAAAAAAAAGATTATCTTTCTTTCTTTTTTTGAATTTTTTTTCTTTTTCTTTTTCTTTTCTTTTCTTGACTCTAGATTATAGTTATTCTTTCTTTTTCTTTTTCTGTTACACAGCATGGTGTCTGTGCCGTCCGCCCATCTGCGTCCGTCCTGCATCGCAGGTTTCGATGGAACGCACCCAGTCAGAGGTAAGGCACCGAGCCACTGTCCAGCGTGTCTCAGGATCTGGATCGAGCATGCCATAGAGACACTCTTTTTCGGCCGTGTTGCATTTCGATAGAGGCTGCCAGGTCTGGGTTTCCCGACGAGCCAAAAATACTGCGTATTTTGGATCTTCAGTTGATGCCTGGACAAACGGGATCTCGCGAAAGACAAGACAGTGCCAAGTGACGGCCGCACTCCACACATCGACCGCCCGGCCATCATAGCCTGTCAGATGGTTGAGCTGGAGAACCTCTGGAGGCCAGTAAGGCTCGGACCCACACTGTCCAAACGACGTCCGCTCATGGTCGTCGAAACAGGACTTGACTACATCGGCAACCCCGAAATCGGCTATCTTGAGCACCCCGTCGGCTGTCATGATCAGGTTCTCGGGTTTGATGTCGCGATGGGCTACACCAGATTCGTGGACGTGCTTGAGTCCGAGCAAGAGCTGTTTGAAAAGGCAATCGACTTCCTCGTCCTGAAGATTGAAATTCTGTAGGACAGAAAACACATCACCTCCCGAACACTATTCCCAAATATATATATATATATAGATAATTAAATTCAAATTCACATTTAATTAATCAAGTAATTAAAATTGATCAATTGAATTGAATTGAATTGAATTGAATTGATTAAATTAAATTATATGTTCAAAAAGAAAAAGACAGTTTTTATACATACATATTCCATCACACTGCACCAGCGACCCTTGGAATCCTTTAATAGATCATAAACTTCTACTACATGTTTGTGGGAAAGTGTTTTGCTGATGCAGAACTCGCTTATCAGTCGTTTATCAAATGATCGCTCGGTCTCATCTCGGTCTCGTTTTCGGAATGTCTTGACTGCCACCACTGCCTTGTGGTTACGGTGGTTGTTGCGGTAGTTTTTGTTATTGCTGTTATTGATGCTACTGCTACTGCTACTGTTACTGCCACTGCTGTTTTCAGTATTCATATTTTTGGTTTTATAATTGTTTGGATCGTGTAATTGACTTGATCTATGCTTAGTAATACTATAGCCATTACTGTTACTAGTACCATAGCTGCTCATATTATTGTTGGTAGTGTTGGTGGTGGTGGTGTTGCTGTGGGGGACCTGCAAGAGCCTTATCTTTGCAGTAGCACCTGTGCCTACCACGCGTCCCTTGCGGTGGTCGCCATATTTCTGATGCAGAAGCATCGGCTGGGCCCGCGAAGATTCTTCTTGTTCGTCGGAGCCTTCGGGCGTTCTTGAATAGATTGATTTCCAAGATGGAACATTTGCTGAGATTGTCGATCGACTCTTGTGGGTCTGGTAATTGCTGCGGCGGCGTCGGCGAGTTTCCTGGTATGTCGTGAGCACGGCTTTGATTTCACTCATCATTGTTGGTGTTTCTGGCTGTGCTTGTGCTTGTGGTTGTGTGTCTGTAGGGCTCTGGGAATCTGCACAGGAAGATGAAGGAGATAATGTGGATGGTGTCAGGGGAAGATCTGTCTGGATACGAGGCAGTGCAGCCATGTCTGGGTGAAGTAGGGAGGTTACTGAGGACAGGGTCGAGGTGGTGCTGATTGGGCTGGTTGCTGATTCTAGTTTGTGAGCACCAGCACTAGAATTCGAAAAAGAATAAGCAGAAGCACAAGCACAAGCAGAGGCGGCAGAAAGAGATGTCATTTCTGTGGTCGTGTTTGTGGTTATGGATGTCGATATTGATATTGATGTAGGTGATAATGAAGATGTGTTTGTGTTTGGTGTAGGTGTAGGTGTAGATGTAGGTGAATGTGTAGGTGAGGATGTGGTTGGACTACTGACAGCAAAAGCAGCGGCCAGAGATCCGGCAATTGCAGCAGCACCAATCGTGAAAGGTCCTTCATCCGGGGATACTGGGGAAGGGGGCCTGAGGGAAAGATTTGATAGTTTACGGCCAAAGTTGACTACAAAGGCGGGGGCGGAGGATTGGCTGTCATTGAGAAAACAGAAACTCTTTTTGCGGCGGTGGGATTGGAGTGGAGGTGAGACTGTGATGGCTGGCTGAGGATGTAGATAATCGTGTTGGTGTATATCTGATGGCATTGGCGGTGTTCTTGTATGTATATTATTGTGATAATAATAATATATTAAATGAACATGTATGTATTGTCCTTGTTGCTGTTGAGCGTAGTGGTAGTATTGTTACTATTTGAAAGTAGCTGAGAATTTGAAGGTCGATAAGGTCACTAAAGGAAAGAGGAGAAAGAAGAAGAAGAAGAAGAAGTATCTATAATGATAATAATAATTTTTTTTTATTATTATTTTTTGCAAGTCAAGGTTTATTAAAATGATGGTGTTTTATTCTATTTTATATGTAAATGTATGTAAATGTATGTATGTATATATATATATCTTTACCAGTATGGATTTTAGTGGCCCATTTAGCATTTCCGTATAATTCTGATATATAAATATATAAATATATAAATATACATATAAAATATACAATATGTATTTTACCTTTAAACCAAGCCATTCTTGTTTTAGTACTGCACATGGACGTATTATATATACTTATATATTTAATATATTGGGGGAGTGGAGAGGAGGAGGATAAGCAAAAAAAAAAAAAAAAAAAAAAAAAAAAAGTACCAGTCTTTAGTTTCTGCTATGCCGCAAGATGCTTTTTTTTTTTTTGGTTATGGTTTTGATTTTGATTTTGATTTTGATTTTGATTTTTTGTATTCTATTCTATATTCTATACTTTTTATATATAAAATAGGCATACAGATTCTTACTGATTATGCATCCCCCCAACACACTCCATATATACACATAAATACTCCCTTTTTTTCGCTTCTTTTTTTTTATATACATCTATGTATTCTTCTTCTTCTTATTTTTCATACTTTTACATATTCTTATAATTGTATTTTGTATATATATACGCCATCTCTAGGCATTTGTAAAAGAAGTATATTTAATACAAGTATTTCTTTAATTTCTTAATATACATACACATATATATATATATATATATATATATATATATATTTGTGTGTGTGTGTGTGTGTGCATGTGCGTATGTATGTATGTATGTATGTATGTATGTATGTACATTAGCTGGTTAACTAGTATATACAGTTTGGTCCTGATTATCACAAGTGTAATTATCGTGATTATCATGATTCTTGCAGCCACAGCTAGTATCATTAATCAGTTTCACTATCTATTCCAACCTTTCCTTCTTTCTTTATCTATTTGCTTTCTTTATATTCCTCTCTCCTTAAAACAGAACGAAATACATATCATTCAAGAAATGTGGCGGTGAAAATGGATCAATGAATATGTGTAATTTAAGTTGATATTCTTAATATTCTTAATATTCTTGACAATTGTGTTTGAAGTAATACTAGTAACAGTCGCTGTTGTATTAAAAAGCAAAAGCCATATATATAAGGCTACTAGTATTAATAATATTCTGCTTTATTATGCTTGTTATTAAATATACTCCTGGTTTCTTACTTTTATTGTCAGAATAAAGGACATGCTATATAGCATTTAAACATCTTTACATATATATATATATATATATATATATATATATATATGTAAGTATAATATTACAATAAGCATTATTGCTTATTGCTTAATCTTGAGCCTTGACCACCAAATCAGGCATTCGCAACACAACCTTGGCTTCGTTCTTTGCATGGGCTCTCAGACTATCCAACACTTTGCTTCCCTGCCATCTGGCAGGTAAAGTCTTTTTGTCTGTGGCCCAGTAAAAGATATCCCAGTCAGGTTCATCCATCAGACGATCGAATTCGACAAGCTGGTCCATTGTAAAGAGCGGAAGGTGGATCTTGGCAAATGTGGACAACAAAAGATCTGTCTCGAGAATGCCACGCTTACGTGCCTGGTAGGCTAATCTGGCACGCTTGGTTTCGATTGGTTCGTTTGGACGAGGGATCGGAGGAAGATTTGCGTAAGGTGTGTCGAGATCCATCTGAGGAGCATGTCTGATGCCGAGATCAGGGTAGGGATCCTGAAACTTTGGTTTCTCAAGGAGGACTTTTGATGTGTGGAGTGAACGGAGAGAAAGTGATTTGGTCGCATTAGCAAGGGGTCTTTGTACGAGGCGGAGCATTATGTTTGTGTTTGTGCTAATGAAGTATATATGTGAGTTTGTTTTTAGAATTATGAATTATAAAGATAATCAAAATCTGAGAAAGGGGGGATTATTTATTATTTTATTATTGTATTTTAATTTTTGGTTACCGGGGTGAGAATAATATACTCTATATTCATATTAAGTTGTCTCTTCCTGTTCATTTACACATATATATATATAATGTGTGCGTGTGTATACAAAGATAAAAGGTAAATGAAAATAAAGTAAAGAAGAAAGATTTAAAGAGATTGTTGTGAGCTGTCATGAATCTAGTCTAGCTGCTGCTTTTATATTCTCACTAATCCAGTAGAGGGCTTCCTGCAGACCTTTGCCGGTAATTGCACAGCAAGGGAGAACATTGTATTTCTGAGTGATGTTTTCAAGATTAAGCTCCTTGGCTACAGTAGCTGGAGACATTGCTATACAACAATCCCCAATACATTTTTGTTTTTAATAAAATAAAAGCAAAATGAGTATATATTTTATAATTCAAAAGATACCTTTTGGAAGATCTTGTTTGTTGGCCAAAACGAGTAATACACATTCTTGCATTTCCTGATCAGCCAGTACTCGATGAAGTTCTCTGCTAGCCTCGTCAATTCTATCATAATCATGAGCATCGATTACAAATACAAGGCACTGAGTTCCAGTATAATAGTGTCTCCACAGAACACGGATTTTATCCTGACCACCTACATCCTGTCAAAAATAAATAAATAAATATATAGATGTAAGGGTTCATTTTAATTTTAATTTTAATTTTAATTTCAATAATAGTATAATAATTAGTACGAGTGCTAAATATTGGTCCCAAGTCTTGAACAGTACCAATGTATTTGAATGAGCAAAGATGACTGGTAAATATCAACTTACCCAGATATTTAATTTGATATTCTTGTAGTTTACAAAGTCTACATTAAATACCACGGTTTGGATTGTACTCAAAGTCTTTTTAAGCTTAAGCTGATATAGAATGGCTATCAAATAATTTCAATTTATACACACAATATTAATCAATTAAAATAAAAAATAAAAAAGGGTGACTTACTTGTCTTGCCTACACCATCTAAGCCAAGCATAAGTATCTTGGTTTCTTTTTTACCAAATAGTTTAGACACCAGTCTGGATATACTGGCACCCATAGAATACTATAGAATTGAATAAAGTACTGATATAAAGATACTAATCAAGGTGATAGGTAAAGAACAGATACAAAAAAAAAAAAAAGAGAGAGAGAGAGAGAGAGAGAAATAGAAGAGAAAGAAAGAAAAGATTTTATAAGTTAAAGAGGTTTGAAAGAAATTTGATATTATATTATATTACATTACATTACATTATTATATATTTACTTTCAAAATACTCGTTTCAATTCAATTCGATTCGATTCAATTCAGTATGAAGAAATATTAATGAATATACTCAGCCTCCAAAAAAAAAATCAATCAATCAATAATGTAATATAATTGAACCCTTTTCTCTTTTTAATATTTATATTTATATATAATATATACATTTCATAACAAACTGAAAGAAAAATACAAAATAAATATTATTATTGTTGTTGTTATGTTATGTTTCTTTTTTTTTTTTTTGATGACGAAATCGATTTAATATCCTTCAAGAATACACTACACACTACACAGATAAAATGGAGATAGATAGATAGATGGATATAAATGCTTAAAGTAGTGCACAGTAGCATAATCAAAAGATCAAAAATCAAGCGAGAATAAAGAAAAAGGAAAAACTCCTTTCTCTTCTTCACCATTACAATACAGTAGGCTTTCCTCTTCCTCTTCTACCTCTTCTTCTACCTCTTCCTTTTGTTGGTTTCTAACCATATTATTATATATCTCTTTCTGTCTGTCTGTCTGCTTATGTATGTTTATATATATTATTATTATTATTATTATTATTATTATTCATTACCATTTTTTTTTTGGTTTTTTGATTTTTTTTTATTATTTTATTTTAAGCATGGGAGTCTGTTTGATTGAGTGCGGCTGAGCACAACTGAGACAAACGAGCAAATTTAGAACCATCATCATCCTCGGCAGAATCTGCTGAAGAGGCGGTGTTGGAAGAAGTGGATGTGCTTGGGACAGGTGTCATTGGCTGAGGCTTTGCAAAAACCTCGTCTTTGGGATCGTGAGGATGAGGGCTACCACGTTGGGATGGTGGCTGAGACCCAGGTTGTTGTTGCTGCTGCTGCTGTTGGGGTTGAGGTTGCTGTTGCTGTTGCTGTTGAGGTTGCTGTTGCTGTTGAGGCTGTTGCTGTTGCTGTTGCTGTTGAGGTTGCTGTTGCTGTTGAGGCTGTTGCATCTGCTGTTGAGGTTGCTGGTGCTGTTGAGGTTGCTGTTGGTGATGCTGCTGCTGTTGGTGAGGTTGCTGCTGCTGTTGCTGTGGTGGTGGTGGCTGTGGCTGGTAATACACAGGTGGTGGACCTGATTGTTGCTGTTGCAATGTCTGCTGAGATTGGTCTGGACGAGGAGGTTGGGGGCCAGGGTGCATCATTCCATTAGGATAGTGCATAGCTTGCTGCTGCTGTTGATGATGTTGCTGCTGTTGATGCTGTTGTGGCGTTTGGTAGACGTGGGCAGTGGCTGGTGCGGAACCAGAGCCGTCTGGGTTAGGGGCCATGACTGGGTACATTGATGGGTAGACGGGGTTGACGTAAGGCATCATTTGATCCTTGTGATAGGCTGCTGCATACTGGCTGTAGGCATCGTAGGTCGGTTGTCCGTATTGGTTAAGATTTGTGGGATAGCCGAATGACATTTGGTAACGCATGGCAGGCGCGCCGGCTTGTGGCTGGACCTGGCTAGCAGCGATAGTGTCCGGACCGGCAGCAGCACGAGCATTCATATCGGAATCTATAGATGATGTATAAGAAATCCATGCCAAAAAAGAAAGAGAGTATTAGATAAAGTGATTTGATTTGATTTGAATTGAATACGTGTAAGGCCAACTACCAACCAATACCCTCCCCTCTTATCACTTTTCTTTTTTCTCTCTCTCTCTTATTTATATATATTTAAAGCTTATGACACGGCTATTGATTATCATACTAATAGATAGCAACCTATAGATTGTTAAATGATGTAAAAAAAAAACTTGCCTCCTTTGAGTCTTCTCTTGTATGGACCGCGTTTGATTCCCTTTTTACGTTCTTTGCGGACAGAGTTGACGCATGTGTCTGCAACACCGTATTTGACACATCTTGGGCAGGGTCTGGAATCGTCGCATTTTTTGCAGGCCTTTTGGCAGTTGGTGCATGCATTCTTGACTTGCTTGCGCTTGGCACCCTGGGCGGCAGTAGCAGCAGCCAAGGCAGCCTGATTCTGGTTCATGTCCATTGGATGCTGGAGTGGAGGCAGACCATTGGGATGACCGACCATTCCAGGACCTGCGCTCATCACAGATGAGGCAGCAGGTGACCCTGTAGGAGGGTATGGCTGTTGATAGCCTTGTTGGTAATATGGCATTGGTTGCATTTTTTTTTTTTGGTTTGTTTTTTGTTTTTCTTTCAAAAAAATTTTTGTCTGTTATGTGTGCGTGCGTGGGTTGCTACTGTTTCTATTGCCGTTGTTCGTTGCTATGGTTGCGTTTATATATCTAAAGAAATAATACATGCATACATAAATCAATAAACAAATTCATACAAATTCAAATAAAAGAAAAAATTCGTATATATATATATATATATATATACAGGTCTTTAATTTTTTTATATACACACACACACACACACACACACACACGCACACGCACGCGCACACGCACACGCACACGCACACGCAGGCACACAAATTATACCAAAAGATAGTAAGAAAGAGAAAGAGAGAGAGAGAGAGAGAGAGAGAGAGCGCGACAGAGAGAGAGAGAAAGGGAGATAATTTTTTTTCTGTTTAGCAATAATAATAATAATAATAATAATTTTCTAGTATTATAGTAATATTAATAGTAATAGTAAAAGTGGTGTATAATTGTTTCAAGCACTATATATATATAAAAAATCTTTTTCTCTCTCTCTTACCCTTACCCTTACCCTTAGTCTCTCTTACTATCTTTTGATGTAATAAATGGATACGCTTGTTTTTTGGTGTTCCCCTCTTCTTCTTGTTCAAACAAGTCTCAAAACCTTGTAGTGAGTGGTGTGCAGTATGTGGTGTATAGTGTACATATCCTCTTCTTCTTCTTCTTCTTTTTCTTCTTCTTCTTTTTATTGTTAGTTGTTGAAACTTTTGTTGATGGTTGATAGTAATATAAAGTGAAGTGAAGTGAAGTGAAGTGAAGAAAGAAAGAAAGAGAGAGGTATGTATGTAGGCGGCGCTGGAAACTGACTTTGCCTTTCATAAACATACACACACACACACATATATATATACTTTATTTATTTATTTATTTCATTCAGTGCTGTAGTGTGCTGTAGTGTATTGTATTGTATTGTATTGTATTGTATTGTATTGTATTGTGTCGTGTTTTGTGTTGTGCTGTGCTGTGTTGTTGTGAGGTCGGTTATATAATTTTTTTTTTCTTTCTTTCTTTCTTTCTCTCTTTGATTTTTGGGTGTTTTGCTGCTGTCTTTAAGAGAATGATGATAATAATAATGATAATGAAAAAATAGTATTTATTTATTTTGTACTTACTCCAAAAAATAATAATATATACACCACCCTATGACACCAACACACACAAAAAATAATAAATATATATAAAAATTAATATATAAAAAAAAAAAGGGCAAAAGGGAAAAGAAAGAAGCGAAAGAAGAAAAAAAATAATAATAAAATAAAATAAAAAGAAAAGAAAAAAAAAAAAAAAAAAGGCGCGTAAAATAAATAATAATAATAGTAGAGCGGCAACAATCGGAGTACTAAAAAGTTTGTATTGGAGTGTGAAACCAAGAACGAAAAAAAAAAATAAAGAAATTATATATGTATATAAAATATAAATCTATATATTTTTGGTTTTTTCTCTCTATCTCTCTTTTTTTTTTTTATTTACTGTTTTACACAAATTCCACATGGCTACTTGAAACATACTTTTATACTTATATATATATATAGCGAGAGAGAGAGAGTGATAGTGTAATAAAGGTGTTAAAAAAAAACAATAATAATAATATAGAATTGCTTGCGTCATCCAACTCACAATACTGCTTTATCCAAACGTACAATTCAATGTAGTCTTTTTTTTTTTATTTATTTATTTATTTTTCTTTATTACTGTTGTAAAGGATTAAAATATATAAATAACTATTATAAAAAATAAATAGGAAATTTTTCAATTTCCGATCATGTGAATACGAGTGAGAAGAAGCAAAAAGAATAAATATAAAAAAGAAAATGAGTATTATAATAATTTTTTTTTTTACTTTATGTATATATTGAGAGTGTAGGTTACGTCGATAAGAGAAAGATGTACATATTTAGATGTCAGTTATACTTATAATCACATTTTTCCTTTTATTTTCTCTCTTTCTATGTACTTTACATTCCAATCAATAGTACAAAATTTTGTTCCTTTAATTTTTTATTTTCTTGATCAACTTTGTTAGGTGATTGATCAAGTGAATGAGTAAATGGGTGTGTTATGTGTTTTGTGTACCTGTGTAATTTTCGCCATTCATTACAATCACAGGTCGTGTTTTTTCTATATATGGTATCCAAAACATATGAATCTGAGACTTTTACCAATATAGATATGTGATACTATAGATATATAGATATATATATAAACAGAAATACACATCTATTTATGTACAAAAAAAAAGTATCTATATCTATAATTTTGTTCGATATCACCAAACCTCTTGACACCTTAACTCCGGCCTTTATTTTTTATTTTCTTACCTACACGTGCAAGTTGTATATAAGATATGTAAACCAAAACCAAAAACCAAAATCAAACCAATTCAGTCTTGCTCTTTCTTTCTTTCTCTCTTATATATCAAAATCAATAATTATGTTAACAGTATATCTTTTTTTTTTTTTTTTTTTTTTTTTTTTTTTTTTTTACTTATTGTATTGCATTTATTCTTGAACAAGCTGAACAATTATGAAGGATATGATGGTAATGATGATGGTTGTTGTTATTCATTGTTTTAGGCTTGGTTACCCAAAGCTATTAATCAATCAGTAAATCAGTTAATCAAATCAAATCAAATCAAATCAGGCCAATCAACCAACCCATGTCATACTTTTTTATATAAATAATAATGTCCAACTTTAAATATATATATTGTGAGAAGGAGCAAAGAAAATTTAAGGAAAATTTATTAATAAGAGGAAGAATAAGAAGCACAAAATTGAGGAGGAGAGGTTGGCAGCAAGATAGGCACAAAGAATATTGCGATAAAAGAAATAATAATAGATATATATATATATATATATATAAAGAGAGAGAGAGAAACAGGATAGAAGGGGAAGTGGTGTGGAGTAAAGTGGAATAGGAAGAAGGGAAGGGGTGAGTGGGGGAGAAGTGGTGTGTGTGTTGGAGGGGGTAAGTATGAATATGGATGGAATTGAATTGAATTGAATTGAATTGGAGAATATAAAGGAAAAGATATATATATATATGTATATATGTGTTAAGTGGAATGTATTGACTGCTCAAGGGAAATGGCTGCCCTGTCAACCTTCTTCTTCAAAGCAGGAGGATCAAACATACAATAAGCAAGTTCGACCAGTGGGATGGTGTCCAAGAGACGAATGGTGATCTTTGGAGCCTGGCGAACACCTGTAGCCTAATTATATTTATTTATATATAATAAAAAGAAAGATTAATATCTGTTTTTTTTTTTAATTGGTATCTCTGACTTACCTTTACACAGGGAAACAATTGATCACCAAGCTTCTGTTTCTTTTCAATTGCTGTAAGTCCTTGAAATGATGCAATCAAATCATTGATCTGGTCATCACAACCCTTTTGTTGCTGCTGATGGTTAAGACCAAGATGTGCACGAGAAAGATCTTCTGGCTTAGAAGGCGTAGAGATTGTTGAGGGAGATGTGATCCAGCCGGTAGATTGACCTTGAGAACTCTGAAGAGGAGGCGTTGATTTTCCAGAAAGCGGTGATGATGAACCTACTCCATTGTTGTTTGTTCGTGGCCCGATTGCCGGAATCACAGATCGATCACGGGCAAATGCAATGGCGGCCATGGCTTCTTGAACCTTGGTCTCCATATAACTAGAGTTGAACAAACACAACGAAAGCTCTTGTGGCTTGAGAGACAACAACAGGTCGACAATATGCCCAACGTCAGTCGTCTGGCCGGTCTTTTGGACAGCAAGCATCAGATGCTTTCGTTTGATCTCAATACTGGGTACCAACGAACTGGTCTGTTCCTTTTCAGACGAATAGATGATGGAATCTTGCGATACTCCTACTACTTGCTGTGGTATATGTACATGTTGTGCATGTTGTGCATGTTGTGCGTGTTGTGCGTGTTGTGCGTGCTGGGCCAGTTGATGCATTTGCTGCACCTGCTGTAACTGTATGGGAACTGACGACACTGGCACAGCCATTGAGGCTTGAACTGGAACTGACACTGGGACTGACACCGGCATTGAAACCGGCATTGAGACTGGAACTGGCATTTGCTGATGATATTGCGAGTGCAAGTGAGGGGGATGCATTTGTGACTGTTGCACTTGTACTTGTACTTGTGTTTGTTCCTGTGTCTGTGCTTGTACCTGTGCTTGTGTCGGTGTTGGTGTCTGGGTCTGTGGATGGGCGTGTGTATGAGAGTGGGAGTGAGGATAGTTCATGGTTTGACAAGCTCTCCCGCAAGTACCAGCTGGAACTGGAACTGGAACTGGATCAACTGTCATGGGTCCATATATACGCGTGGGATCCATATATGGTACTGGTCTGGGTTGATCCATAGGATAATGCGAATAGGTCTGGAGTGCCTGTACCTGTTGTTGTTGTTGTTGTTGTTGTTGTTGTTGCTGATGATGATTATGATTATGATTATGATGATGATGCTGCTGCTGTGACTGTGGCTGCTGTTGTGGCTGCTGCTGATGAAGATGAAGTTGTGGGGTTTGCTGCTGTGCTAATGCTTGAGGCATCACAGCCGATGGTTGTACCACAAAGGTAGGCCGATGAATTGGATAATAAGCATTTGGATCATAAACAGCCGAATTCTGGGAAGTATTTTGCTGCTGTTGTTGTTGTGGTGGTGGTGATGACTTTGTGTCGCTGCGAGGCTTCTTTGGTGCATGAAAGGCAACAATGATCGGCTTGCTGATGATGTGTTTGCCATTCATTTCCTGCAGGGCTCTATAAGCATCCTCTGCCCGTCCAAAGCTAACGAACCCAAATCCCTTTGAGGCCTTCTTTTCCTTGTTGGTCATGACACGAGCAGAGATGATTCGACCATATGGAGCAAAGTAATCAAACAGGCCTCGGCTATTGATACGGAGATCAAGGTTTTTGATATAGAGATTTGTATAGTCCACCATGTGAGGATCGTTTTTACCAGCCTATAATAGTAATATTTATATATAGAAGAAGAAGAAAAAAAGGGAGAAAAAAAAAAGAAGGGAAATAAGAATAAGAATAAAAAGAACAAAGAATTAGAATATTAAGTATTAAGTATTAAGTTGACCCAAATCAAGTAATTAAATCAATTTTATTCTTTTTGAATAAATAGATATATATATATAGTATGCTTACTGCGTTGCTTTGACCTTCTGTAGTCTGTGGTGATTGGTGTCTCTCTGGACTAGAACGTGGTTTGTTTTGAACAGCAGGAACAACAGACCTAAGTAAACAAATAAAGATAATTCGGTAGACAGGCAAGACAAAAGGGGATCAATATCTGGACAAAAACAATCTCACGGGAGAATCCCAAATATAACAACATAATATATATCCCAAGGGCAATTCATTTATCTACCCAACTAGCTAGCTAATTATTGATTCTTTTCTTCTTTTTTTTGGAGATCTTTATGACTTACAAAGTACTACCCTGAACATTCTGTTTTGTGAAAGGATAGGTTAGTATGGTGTTTGTTTTATGATCCTGCCACTGTATATGTGTATGTGTGTATGTGTGTATATATATATATAGAGAGAATAATTGCAAAGATTGAATAATAATAATAATAATAATAATAAGTACAAGAAAGTTGTATATTACCATGGCAATTTCTGCATTGGCTGCATCTTCGGGTTTAAAGAATTGAACTATAGCCTGACCATTGCAACGGGCGTTCTGATCTGTGAGGATTGTGCAGAGACTCATTGGACCGAATGGTCTGAAGAGCGAATAGAGCGATTCGTTTGTGGTTGATGTCGAGAGGTGTTTGATCTGGAGAATGTGGGCGCTCGCTTGAGGTTCTCGGTTCTCGCAGGGAGGGGTAATTTGCAAATGAAAATGAGGGTTCTTTCGACGGTTTGTTCCATTAAACAAGGTGTATGCTCGATCAGCTTTTATATATAAAGATTTAAACACAATAGATAAATAATTTGTATATATGTATATGTATACAAAAGTGTGAGTGAGCGTAAGTGTGTAACTAGACTCCCTCTTTTTTTTTTATCTCTTTGGTATTGTATTATCTATTCTCCTTTTATATATATATATATCCCTTTTTCTATATATGTCTGGTTGTCTCCCATATAATATCCCCCCTTTCCATTCCCTTCCTCTCTCTATCTCTCTCTCTTTTAATTTCATATATATATATAGGATATTCATCTTAGTTAACAAATATATTGCTATTACCGTTCTCCCTGCTAGGAAATCTTATATAGCCTTCGGTAGTCTGATCGGGATTCCAATGCAGCTCGATTCTAATGAAAATAGATAAATGAATGAATAATTTAATAAATTAATGAATGAATAAATGAATAAATGAATAAATCATTACACACACACACACACAGAGATAGAGAGAGAGAGAGAGGGAAAAAATGATATATATGCACAAAATTGACTTTACTCTAGAGGACAGTATGCTTTCAAAAGATCTCGTAGCTCTTCTTCGGTAACTGGGTGGGAATGGCTCTTGAGGTACAATCGGTCAGATACTAGGAATTGATGGATTGTATCCTCGACACGATCATGAGACCGGGTGTGTTGCAGCGAATGCATGTGCGCATGATAATTATTGGTTTCCATGGTTTCTGGTATTATTTCTGTGTCTGTGTCTGTGTCTGTTTCTGTTTCTGTGCTCGGCTGACGTTTTCTTGGTAGATTTACGATCGTTTTGGCAGTGTTCATACTCTTTAGTCAAAAAAAAAAAGAAAGATTTTTTTTTTCTGTTTTTCTTCTTTCTTTTAACAGATAAGGTGTCAAAAGGCGTCGTGAATAAGATATACTTTAGGTAATTGGTTCGTTTCTTTCTTTTTTTTTCTGTTGTTGTATAATAGTAAAAAAGAAAACAATTTGTAGAAATGTATATAAAAATGTAGAAAATAAAGACTAAAAAAGGGTATTAGATTTCATATTAATATAATATATGTAATATGTACACACTTGCCTTGAAAATGTGTGTATAAATGTATGTATGTATGTATGTATGTATGTATATATATATATATATATATACACGCGCACAGATTTTTATATATAAATATGCTTTATAAAATTTACTTTAAATAGACAAGAATAAAGACGTTTTTTTTTTCTTTCTTTCATAAAAAATAAAATAAAGGTTATTTAATGTAAATTTTTGCTTATTATTTGATAGACACAAATATATATATATATATATATATATATATATAATAAGATACTCACAAGAAAAATTTAGATAGATAGATATGTAAGCTTATATATATATATATATATATATGTATTATATATTGTATACATATATTGTACACATATGGTATATATGTATAATGCGCTTGTGTGCCTGTGTATGAACAAATAGAAGAAGTAGAAGTAAAAGTAGAAGTAGAACAAGTAGAAAGAAAGAGAAAGAAAAGAGAAAAAGAGAGAAAAAAATACAAAAAAAAGGGATTGAGAAAGAAGGAAAGCTAAAGCTAAAAGTCAAAGCTAAAGCCTTTTTGTACAAAGTCACGAGAAATATAAATATAAATATAAATATATATATATATATATATATAAAGAGGGTATACAAAAACAGTAGACCCGCAATAACAATATCAGAGTCCCACCCAAGTTGTACAACCCACTTTTTATATACATGTTCTCGGTTCACCGGAAAGAGTCCATAAATGCAGGGAACCCTTTGGCGTTTCAAGTCCCCTCATTTTTATTTTTAATTTTTATTTTTATTTATTTATTTATATACAAACACATACGCACATACGCACATACGCACATACACATTCATATGAGCAACTTTTCTTATTAAATAATAGTCATAGTCATAGCCATAGTCATAGTAATATAAGCAAGCAATCAAAAATCAAACATCAAAAATCAAAAATCAAAAAGAAGCAGAAGAAAGCTAATCGGGAGAACTGCTCCGTGCACTCTAGATAGATACATAATAATAACCAAAAGTCATAAAGATATCAATAAGCAAAAGAAACAAATATATATAGACAAACATACTTTATTATTTATTTATTTATTTATTTATTTATTTTAATTTTTAATTTTTAATTTTTAATTTCTCTCACTAACTCACTCTCACTCTCTCTTTCTCTCTATTCTTTCTTTCTTTTCTTTTTTTATTTTTTTATTTTGTATGTTATGTATGTATGTATATATTGGTTGTAATGACAACAAATTAGATAGTTTATTTTTATTTTGTTACCATGACTACCATTTGCTCATAATTTGTGTGCATGTGTACATGTGTATGTGTATTTGTAGACTTGAAATGCCACAAATAATTACTATTCAAAAAAAAACTTACTTACTTTTAATTATCAAAACTATCATACTACTAATTTATTTAATAATATTGAAATACAAACAAATAGATAAAAAAAAACATTTCATTTTGACACTCTCGGTATTAGAGCGTTTGTGTATTTGTGTATTTGTGTACAATTATTTACTTGACTTGACGGGTTGCCTGATTGCATGACGGATTGGCCGACTGACAGGCGGGAACGGGAAGACGGACATACGGACTAACTAACTGACTGACTGACTGACTGACTGATTGATTGACGGGTGAACAGGTTAGAAGTGGTTGGTGATCAAGAAAGCAAAAAGAGCAAGAGGACAAAAATGAGAGTATAGGTGATCGGTATCAAACTACCTTTTATATATATATATCATCTATCACTAAATTTTTTTTATTTTTTTCTATTTGTGCTATGTGCTTCGCAACAAGAGAGGCACTCGTCTACACTGAACCATCCGGCCCCGTTCCACTCCTTTTATCAGTCACGACAAGATTGTGCGCACAGGACTATATAGGAAATATGTAAACACCGCTTTTGAGCTTTTTCTTTTTATAATATAAAATGAAGGTTTGTCTGTAAGAATTGTGCAAGTACAAAAAAAAACCCCCTTTTAGGACTTGTGTCTCTCTACCTTTCCTTTTCCTCCCTTTATCCTTTATCCTTTATCCTTTTTGTTTCTTTCCTCTCTAAAATAAATAAATAACTAATAGAAAAGCAATGGTTTATTCAAACCACAAAAGAAGAACTATTTTGTATGTATTTTGTATGTACAATGAGAACGGTGAATATGATCACTTTGCAAAACTTTAAATATCGATTAATAATAATAATAAACACCCTGACTCGTAAAGGGGATCTGGTAGTTGATAATGACGATGACTGTTACAATGACTCTGACAGAATTATATATATATATATTTTAAAAAAAAGAAAGAAAGATAAGAATGAAGTTTAATGCTGTTACTAATTCATCTTTGGTGCAATCCAAGTCCGATTTCTGGACGCACAGATGATTTATTATTATTATTTATTAGTTAATCTGATTCGGTTGATATAACTGCGACCAAACACTTCCTCCACTTGCAAAAATTATATGTAGCTATCAAGTGAAGCAAGGCCCCCCCCCCCCCTTTTTTTTTTTATCTTGCTCGCAGTCTCAAAACTAATGTCATATATATATATATATTCTTTTGGCAATGGATTTGTTCTTCTTCTTCTTTATTATTTTGAATAGTGATAATATGAGACACTTTAGATCACTAAAAGTCTTGTGTGAGCGAAAAAATACTCTTTTCTTTATTATTATTATTTTGTTCTAGAGTTCAAGCTTTCAATAAACTCAACATCTTCAGGGGTAATATATATATATATTTGTTAAACGCAGCAAGTATATTTCTTTCCAATTGACTCAATGAGAAGAGTACGTTCTTAAGCATACTTTCTTCTGACTTGATTTAGTCTGTAGAAAGCCTCTGATTGTATTTTAAATTTATTTATTTTTCTTGATCGTTTTGAGACAAGGTCTTCTTTATTATAATAGCAGTAGTAATAAAAAGCTATCATCAGTGACGTTTTGTTTGATCTGTGGCAATTTGGTACTTTACAAAGAGTAAGTGTTTTTTGGGGAGATAAAAAGAAAAGAAATTAAACCTAGGGTAGATATGAAACATATATATATATATATATATATATATATATTATATTGTTGTTTCATTTAAAGTGGTTCATGAATTATGGATATTGGATATTGGGCATTGGCATTGGCATTGGCATTGGACATTGGACATTGGGCATTGGCACTCTTGTAACACAAAATGTCGCTAATCGTAAATACTTTTCTGAAAGTCACAACAGTTGAGAACAATTTTCTGCTTATATGATTGGCTGGATGTTCCGTGACTTTCAGAAAAGTATTTACGATTAGCGATTTATTCCAACAACTTTGGGCCATTCTTTAGAAACACCAAAAAGTATAATGCCGACTGTCTTTTCCGCTCAAATCATTCCTCTTCTCTTGCTCACCTATCAACCCTACCCCCCGTTAGACTGTTAGCTTGTCAGTTCATCATTCAATCATTCAAACAGACAAGGCAAGAATTACATACACATACACACATACATCATCATACATCATATGTACATCCAAAAGATAGATTTAGGCTTTAGCTGATAAATATAATCCATTAACACTCATTGATATCTTTCCTGGCTGCTCTTCTTTTTTTTTTATATAAATTCTATAGATTTATGAGTTCGATAACCAATTACTACATTATTATTATTATTATTTTAAAAAAAAATGTTATAAAGATTGTTGTTGAAAGACGATTAGAAATTGGAAATTTAATTAACCAAAGCTTATCCAGACATAATAATCTGACATGGGTTTATAGTACAAGGCAAAAAGAGCAAAAGAAAAAGGCACTAAAGACATACGATCTATACAATTTTTTTTTGATCTTTTTAATATAATAGAAGGTAAAAGAAATAGTGAGAATGAAAAAGATGAAAGAAAGGAAGAGTAATAAAGGAACCAATCGAAGTTATCAAGTAACAGGTGATCTTTATCCCAGGTTGTGAGAACCAGTCATTCATTCATTCAGTCAGTCAGTTTTCTCTCTATGTGGTAATACATTTAATTTCATCTACCTGTCTCTCTTTTCACTTCAATACACTTGCGCACTTTTATATGTAAAACATCAAATCAAATCAACCTTGACCAATCTTAGTCTCATTAGAGAGAATTACCTAAAAGCCATAATCCTATCATGTATTTGATGTATTTTGATCTTTGAATAACCTGATTTCTGTTTTTAAAAGTTTAGTATCAAATATATATATAATTCATTATTTGATCGTCATTTTTCTTTTTCAAAAAAAAATCACATTCAACAAAGAGTGATGATGTTCAATTGTAAGATGACACACACACACACACACACACACACACACACATGTACATTTTAGCACTGATTGAATAAGCCTGGTCCTATTATCAATAACAAAAAAAAAATTGTCAGTAGGAAATTTTCGAGTGTATCCCACGATCTCATATCCAAGTTTGACCAAGTCTTCTTCTTTTTTTTTTTTTTTAAAAAAAAAAGATGCTGCTTTTTAGGCTTACCATAGTATATGGCATGAATGGCATTTACTTCTCTTGTCAAGTTTTTGATACGTTTCTCTTTTAAGTGTAAAAGGCAAACAAGAGATTTACTCCTTCTTGGTAATTTCTCTGAAGCAATCGGATAAAGTCCGGTCTGCTAGTTGTATTGGTAGCTGTCACTGCACACGCGATATGGCGCGCTCACCGGTACCTCATTTTCAAAGAGTCTCCCTTTCTGGCCAGCGTGGTAGCAGCAAGGGCCTCTAGTGTAGTGGCACTGAATCTTGGAATGAGGATGTCTCTCGAAGATTGACATTATTAGATTTTATTTTCTGACCATATTTTTTTTTTGCATGGTCATCCCTCTCTCTCTCTTTTAATTCCATCCCCGATATCATAAGCTCTTAATTTTTGTATGGTTGCTAAACTGTTATCAAGGCCAAAGATTACAGCATATAATACGCTAATTTGTATATCTAGACACTGTTAACCATAAGAGTAAATCTTATCAAGAACTCGACACTTATTTTGTTCTTGTTAAATTGGCTGTTCTTGCAAGGTTAACCATAGCCAACTCTTTCAAATCTCAAAGAAACAAGACTTTTTTTTTTCATAATTTTATACAGTTTCATTGAATCACGGGACATGAGCTCCTGTGACCTGGGCTGTACTCATATCTGGTTCACTACAGAGCCGTCTCTTTTTAGAGTAAAAAAGAAAAGAAAAAGAAAAATGTATATTTCATTAATCCTGCAAACTACTCCGCTTTCTTCCCATTTTATTTTGTTTTATTTTATTTTTGATACAGATATATACATATATTATTCCTGCATCCCATGTCCAACTCATCACATCCCATCTCACCATCAGACACTCACGATAAGCAGGAAATTACCGTAGGAGACTATGTAGTCAATGCAAAAATAGGACAAGGTTCATTTGCAACTGTCTACAAAGCGCAGCACAAGGTAAAGTTTATCTATATAGTCCTCAGTCATTCTCCCCTTCTTTTTATGCTTATATATATATATATATATATATATATATATATAAACATACAGTATTCTCATATCTACTCTATTTTGTATCTATATAACTAGACTACTCAACGTATAGTAGCCATCAAATCAGTCTCAAGGTCAAAGCTGACCAAGAAGCTTCAAGAGAACCTTGAATCAGAAATATCAATCCTCAAAGCTATCAGACATGATCATATCGTTGGTCTGATAGAGTGTCAAGTAAGATCATCAATCTGCATTTGTTGTTGTTATTAATCTATATTAATATAATAATAATAATTATTATTATTTTGCATTGGATTTATAAGCAATTCTTATATAAATGTATATAATTACTTATTTATTTTTTATTTTTTGTGTGTGCTTAGAATGCTACAAAACATATCCACCTGGTGATGGAATATTGCTCTGTAGGTGACTTGTCACAATATATCAGACGTATCAGAAGCCACAAGTCAACACGCGGGCCTGCAGGAGGATTGCCAGAGCATGTAGTACGCCATTTCCTCAAACAATTAGGTAATTCATTAATAATAACTTTACTTTTATTTATTTATATATTAAAATTCACTCAACTCAATATACTTTTCTTTTCTTTTCTTTTGTTATGTAGCCTCTGCCCTACAATTCCTACGATCCGAAAATCTTGTTCACAGAGACATTAAACCACAGGCAAGCCATACTCTTTTTTATTTTATTATTTTTATTAAGCAAAATAAATAAATAAATAAATAAATAAATAAATAAGTAAATAGCTAGCTAGATATATACAAACCTTTATTATTCTTTTAAAATAATCAATTGATTTTAAATGCATATTCCTCAATAATAATGATAATAATGACAACCACCAAAAACAAAAAAAAAACAAAATGTCTTTAGAACCTTTTGCTAGTTCTTCCACAAGAACATCCAAACCCTCGTTTCAGAGACTCCGAGATCCCAATTCTCAAAGTAGCCGACTTTGGATTCGCACGATTCCTACCAAATGCCAGTCTTGCCGACACTCTATGTGGCTCACCTCTTTACATGGGTCCTGAAATCCTGTCTTACAAAAAATACGATGCAAAGGCAGATCTTTGGAGTGTAGGTGCTGTACTGTACGAAATGATCACCGGTCGTCCTCCATTCCGTGCACAGAATCATCTTGATCTTTTGAAAAAGATTCAGGATAATGGAGATCGAATCAGATTCCCAGACGAAAAACAGCAACAACAACAACAATCAGATCCTAATAATATCAATATTAATAATAACAATGTATCAAACTCAAATACACCAAATAACATAAATAATTCATCATCAACAACAACAACATCATCATCATCAAGACAAGAGGTTGTTGAGATTGGAGCTGATCTAAAAGATCTGATTCGTAAATTACTAAAGAAAGAACCAGTCGAACGTATTTCATTTGAGGAATTCTTCCTTCACCCTGCCGTTTTTGGTACTCCAGAAAGCACAGAAACAGGAGGACAATCCGAAGAAGAATCCGAAGAAGAAAAAGGCGAAAATGAAACAATTGGAAATCTAAACGGAAATGGAGTAAACGGTGAATACGGATATCTCGACCGATATAGGTATATCGACAATCACAACAAGGCCAAGGACAAGGGCAAAGGCAAAGGCAAAGGAAAGAGCAGAATTAACGTTCAAGACACCGGCAACACCAATGGAACTAGCAATAACAACAGAATCTATTCTCGTTCAAGAGACAGTAATAACAGCGACAATAATAACAATAATCATAATCATAATAATTACAATTATGATACCAATGAGAATGACAATGACAGAGAATACCGTCAATACAATAACCGCCAACAGTCACCTAACACGCCACCATCCAGATCATCATCAACTGTCAGTGCTCGTACCCCTCGTTCATCAGACAGACCTGCTCTTGTCAGCAAATCCCGCTATGACCCTGCGTCTTATGAACCACCACCGTTTGCCAATCCACCAAATACCCCACGACAAGCACTTGAGCGTAGGCGATCTTCCAGAACCGAAAACCGACCCACTGTAAATCACTATCAAAGGTTAATATTCAAGCGTGATTATCATATAACACAAACAGCACTTGATTTACCTTTTTCTTTTCTTTTCTTTTAGTGAGAATACATTTGATAATACCCCATCTATATCAAACTTAGGATCTGGATCTGGATCTAGATATGGATCACCTTCTAGAGGAAATACAGGCCCAGAGGATGGCGAAGAAGACGTCTTGCGAGGATATGTAGTCCTCAATCGAAAGCTTATTGAAACAAACCAATTTGCTGATGGTAAGCCTTATTTATTTATTTATTTTTAAAAAAAATAGTAATAATGATTCACAAACTCACTAATATATATATATACAAAAATTGAATAGACTTGGACGGTAGAACTCATCAGGGTAAAATTACTGGTTCAGGTTCAAATGCTCAACATACGCCTGGAACCTCGCCAGTTACTCCTCCACCAATCGTCCGAGAACGAAAGATCAGCACAGGGCCTGGAGGGTCTGCATTGACAAAGGCACTCTCGATGGCATCGGTTCGGCTGTTCGGATTTGCTCATCCTCCCCAGAACACCAGCAAACTTCCGCTCAGTAGAGTTGGATCTCCTAAAGGGTTCTTGGAAACCAATCCGGACAATGGCTATAGCGGTGGAATGATGTCCGAGATTGAACAGATTGCCTGTATGGCACATGCTGTGGCCTGTATGGCTGACAGTAAATACGAAAAGTTGACCAGAGGAGCAGGAATTGATCCAAACAATAACAGCAATGAGAATTATCACCAGATGGCAGAGGAAGCATATGTACTACATATCAAATCGCTTGCTCTTCTTGAACAAGGCTTGGATACTGCGAGAAAATATTGGACCAGAGTGTCGGATGAGCAGGCCCGATTGGTGTTTGGGCGGCTCAATGAGTCCGTCCAGTGGATGCGAGAACGGTTCAATGAGTGTCTTGACCGAGCGTCTCATGAGGGATCTAAGATTGGCGATGAAGAAGGCAGTACATTTGTTCAGAAATTGCTGTATGAGCGTGCTCTTGAATCTGTAAGTACCACATACCCTTTGGTTTTTTTTTTGACAGCAAATAGTTGAAGTATTTGTTTGTTTGTTTGTTTGTTTTTATTTACTTTTTTTTTTTCCTTTAAAAACAAATTGTTATATTAGAGCCGAGCTGCAGCTGTTCTTGAGCTTGTTGGTGAAGATTTTCCAAAGGTAACTATAGTAATAAAAAGAAGAAGTAGAATATATATATATATATATTAATTTTTATTTATTTTCTTTAGTGTGAACAAAACTACCAAACGGCCATTTGGTTATTGAGTGCTATTATGCAACATGAAGAAGAAGGAATTGTACTAGAAGAGAACGATAGAAGGATTATTAACAAGTGTAAGTAAAGAAGCAAGTAATGGTAACAATAATAATAATAACAATTGTGTAGTCATTGACTCTATCCGTACCCGAATATCCGCTCTGCGGAGGAAGATGAAGAGACCAACCGAAGATCCTAATACAGCTTTTTTACTTTGATCTCAGACACTGTTTTTGTTTTTTGTTTTTTTTTTTAATTTTATTTTATTATTAAAGAAAAACCAAACTCATTATTGGAGAACCCGTTGGGATGTGATATTTTGCTAGACTGCTAAAAAAGAATTATTAGTGAAACCCAGTCAAAAAAAAAAAAGAAAAACTCAACCACAGTTGATGAAAACATAAGTACTGTGACAAACATAAGAGAGATATATCTTAATAAACTTGGCTTTCCAAGACTTATTCTCTTAAGTAGATATATAGAGACGACTCTTGACTATATTATGTTTATGTTTTGAGGTAAAGAAACAAGCTCAATTCTTAATAAAAACTTGGTGATGAAATGGCCTCCCTCAGTAAAATTTTACATCTTTTCATTGGAATTTAAATCGCCGCGTAAAGCAAAAGTGAGTGAAAATTTAAATTTTCACTCGACAACGGGTTCTCTATTATTATTATTACTATTATTATTTTTTAGACAAGTCAAAATTAGTTTTCAAGAGGTTCTGCCTACTGTTTTTTTCTCTTCTTCTTTCGGATGAAGCAAAAAATATAAATATAAATATTCAGATATGAGAATTGGGAGGTTTCAAACGAATTTAGAGATTTTATTTTGTTTTGTTTTGTAGACTGAATACATACACGACTCTTTAATTAGTGGTGGTATGTAATTTAATAAAAGAAGAGAGAAAAAAAACAGAAAGACAAGTCTAATACATTCAACATAAATAGACATACAAAAATTCTGTTGTTTTTTTTATCATTTCTTATTTCTATATACGTATAAGCACACCATTCCTTATCTTTACCTTCCAATATACCTATATAAAATCTGGATATCAATAATAATAATAATAATCTTAATCTTAATCTTAATAGAAGCACTAGGTGATTGATTGGCTCTGTACAAATAATAGTCGTATAATTATATATGTTATGATATTGAAATCACATGAAATCACAAATTATTATTTTTTTTAGATTTATTGTCGCAAGATTAAATACATAAACAGGATACATGTAGGTTTATTTTGTGCAAGAAAATCCTACAAAGTTTAATTTGGCTGTGCATCTTGTTGAGTGCACTTTCTATTAGTTTATCTATGTATAAAAATGCCTTGACCTAAACTGACCAGACTTATTGCAGAAGATGTTGGCTTATATGCACAATTGATTGAGCCGCTCTAGAGGTAGTCATGGGAAAATATTGTCTATTGAAGATGTCAGTAACGAGGTGTATAGAAATCAAAGAGAATAACAGCATAATCATGTTATCAATCAGATAAATAATAGGCATTATATTCATTCTGCTGTTATTGCTGTTGTTGTTGTTGTTGCCTTTGGATTCTATTTACAAGCATGTAAAGAAACATTAATAATAATAATAATAATAATATTTTGACAATCTTTTAGTGATCGCATTTCCATTTCACTCTCACAACATGACCACTCAAAATCGAGTCTATGCCTTTCTTACTCTCATCTGTGCATCCACAACGTTTTCTTTTTACACCGCCTAATTTGGCCAGCCGACTTATTATACAGCCTATTCTCTCTAGTCATTATGCATATTAAATACTTTGATAGAAGAATCATGACCCTCTTTTTTTACTGCTTGAAATTGTGTTGACCTTTAAGTAAGTAAGCTAATCCATTGATATGTATAATTGTTTAAGAAATCTGCGCATACAAAGCTTGTGTTTTGTTTATAGTGTTCTTGTATATATATATAACATAGGGAGTTAATTTTATTAAAAGAATACAGATAGTCACATACGTCAATAGATCTAGAACAAATCTACAAAGAGTATATTTCTAAAGACCAAGCCAGCTCCTAAAATAAAGCATCCTATTATCTCTCTCTCTCTCTTTTTGTCTTTGTCTTTAGTACAATTTTTTTTTGAATGAAATTACTAATAATTTGATCAAACTAGTAACAAGACATTGCTAGCTATTCAAGGCTAAAATACATTATCCATTGTCTTTATTTTTTATTTTTGATTGCCTGTAAAATTGAAGCAAAAGTTTCACGAAATGTGAATATGTATAAATGTGTATCTTTGGATCAAATGACCATTTCCTTTTTTGATTTTTTTTGAAATAGTTATGTGTATGTGTGTACTATATTCTTCTTTCTTTTATCCTTATTACCATTAATCTTATCTTTTTTTTTGTAATTAGATGTGTAGATGTGTATATCAGTGGTAAAAATAATACCCTGTATTCTTACATATACATAAAACACTTGTTTGTGTTAATATAAAAGTCCAATGAAAGTATCAGCTTGCGAGTGTATTGTTTTCTTTTTTTGTGCCAGGTTACTCTTCTTCTTGAGGGACACAGGTCAAACCAAAAGATTACCTGAAAAAAAAAAAGAAAGAAAGAAGAAAAGCTCAGAAATAAGAAACGCGTTATTTTTTTGTATTGCCCACAATCACAGCCGAAAACCGGAATATACCTATCTGGCACAACCTTGTAGTGAACACACGTACAAACGAACGTACGAACAAATGAGAGAAAGAATACACAGATATAATTAAGTAATCCCAATATATATATATATATATATATAGGTAGAGGATCAATAATAGCTTATTTTTTTGTTTTTTTTATTACCATGGTGACATATCAGCTATAAAATAGTGCAGCTGAGAAATAAAATAAAAAACCAAATTGTGTACTTTACACAATCACTAACTTTTTTTTTTCCTTCTTCTCGACCTTATATCCTTTATATCACGCTACACAGCTAATTATGTTGTATTTTGAGATGATGTCCGTGAGATTTATTTATGAGAATTTATACAATCAAAGAAGCACAATGATATAAACTTGTTGATAAAAATCAGTAATAAAACATGGTATTGATATATATATATACACATGGACAATATGTAAAGTTACTCGCGTTTATTGTAATACGCTTTTAAATAAGACAATTTTTTTTTAGAAAAAAAAAAGAGGTCAAAGGGATTAATTTTTATGTGGCTATTATATTCTTATAAGAACTAAGAGATGCTATAAAGTATAGGGGAGCCAAGGGTACCCAATAATTTGATGATAATGATATATCATGCTAGAGTATATTTTGTTTTGTGTATTTCTTTATTCGACTTGATCGTCGATCGATTGGTGATCGATAAACACTTTGTAAAGCAGCCCACCGAAAAGACCTCCTACAATAGGCCCAAAGATTGGAACCAGTGCATAGTAATCTGAGGCCGTAAATACCTCCACGCCCCATCCTGCAGCCAACGTAAACAATCTCGGTCCAATATCGCGTGCAGGGTTTAACGAGAACCCAGAGGTGTAGGTGAGCGAGAGTGTGATGATAAAAAGACCGGCTGAGACCACAAATCCTTGCATGGACTGATAAGGCATATTGTTCTTCTTTCCACTTGACATGATTATCAGCAACAGAAGCATTGTGCCGACGATCTCGGATCCCATGGCTGGGCCGATGCCGACGTAGAGTGGAGGATATGTTGCGAAAATCCCGGCCGTGCCTTGTGGACCCAGTATCTGACGTACTCCGCCGTCAAATTCATTGATCGCAGGCTGAATGATTCCATACAGCACCCCAGCACCCACAAACGCACCGAGAATCTGTGCAGAGATGTATGTAAGCACTTTCTGGGTGGGGAAGTGACTAAAGGTCCAAAAGGTGAGAGTGACAGCTGGGTTGAGATGAGCACCCTGGATATATACAGACGATTGTTAATACTATCGAGTTACCACCAAAAAAAAAGAAACTACACATATATAGAGATACTTGCAGATATGTGGCCAGATATACATTGGCCAAACAATAGAGCAGCACCTGTTGTAGAAAAGTTGAGTGAATTTGAACTTCTTTTGTTTTATTCGAGATAAACTTACCGTTGCCAAATGAAGTGACTAGCCATGATTTGGTTCCTCCTACACCCAGGGTCTGTTCTGCAGAGACTCCGTTTATGAATAAGACCAGTACAAACGTACCAATAAACTCGGCTAGAAACTCACGACACTTTATTGTCGTTATATATCAACCAAATATTCAATTATTATTAATAATTTTTTTGTTGTTGCTAGGAAACAGCTCTATACACATGCTCACCTTTTCTCTTTTGTGTAGCAAGTAAGATATTATAAAGTTGTAGCGTAAAGAGCCTTTTGACTCAATAGGATCTTCATGATACTTTTTGCGGTTTCCACTACCACTAGCGTTACTATTATTGCTACTGTTGCTATTACTGTGATGATTATATTTTTCTTCTAGGGTTGGTGTACAATATTCTGTGTGTAGTGTACTGTGACTACACAAATCCATATCAATTACAGTCTGTGCTTCGGTCGAGCTGGTGCTGGTAGATGCTTCTTGTAAATAAGATTTTTGCAATGTCTTTGGATTAGGTATCATGTTTTATTAATTTAATAGATTAGGATCAAAGGTATTCTCCATATATACAAACAGAAAAAAAAACACGCACAGCTTATATATATATTGGACGGCTGGTTTGATAGGTTTAATCAGTGACATTTGTTTGCTTGCTTGCTTTTGAGAATATAAATGATGTATTTGTGAGTAGATTGTTCTTTATTTTTCTTTATTTTTTGTGTTTATTTTGAGAATGATTTCGGAAGAGCTGGCATACACATACGCACACCCACGTACAAGTACAGGTACAGGTACAGGTACAGGTACAGGTACAGGCACAAGTATGTTAATTATTATCATTATATTGCTTGCTTGCTTTCTTGATCGATCAGTACACACACACACACACACACAGATATATATATTGTCCTGCTTAATCAAATGAGTACAAGAATCACAGTGTTTAATTTTGCCGTCTTTTATTTTATGTGGATTCTATATAATGATAATAATAAATCAAGGTCTGTTTAGGCTCATGATTCTATTGTTCAGCACAATGGCTATTTTAGTTCCAGCCTCATCTTTTTTTTTTATATATATATTTTGATTTTAATTTTGATTTTGATAATTGGAATGTCAATTCTTGAATAGAGAATGATTCCTATTTAATTTTGTATATATAAATAAATTAAGATGATCTTGTAATGACTGTGGAGTGTGGACAACCAAGTACAATTACAACTCTAATAAATCACACCATAATATTTTTATTGTTAAATATACATCTACATACATTTTGATTTTGATTTTTGTATTCTAGAAACTATAATTATGCGGAATCTGTAGATCTCATTTATTTATTACATTACATTACTTTTCTTTCTTTTTTTTTGCATCAAATAATCATAAACCTTGATGATTTGATCAAACGCTTAATTATCTTCCTTTCCTTCATTTCCCTTTCTTTTGTCTATTACAGGTGGTATTGTGGTCGGCATAAAGAATTACAATAAGGCAGATTAAAGAATAAGATACGATAATACGTCAACTATCAGCAAGTTAAAAATAAATAAATAAATAAGAAATTGACCAAATAATTGGTGTCGATCTGGATTCTTCTTTCGGTTCAATATTAGACAAAAAAAAAAAAGAGTGAACACCAAGATTTTGTGTCCCTTAAGCTGTCCGAGTAACAGGAATTTAGATGGTGATTTCTTTGTTTGCTTTTTGCTTTTTGCTTTTTGCTTTTGCTTTGGGATGACTTGTAAGCTTTCCTGTGATCATTTTGTGTCTCTTCTTCTTATGTATATATATATATATATATATATATACATCTCAAGTAATGTGTAAAATGATATCAAGGTAAGGTAAGATAAGATAGTGTTGAATATATGTATTAATAATAATACGTTTAAAGATATTAATTCATTCTCACACCCTCATAAACATACTCGTCTTTCAGCCATACATACTTCCTTACTCACTCGGTCACTCATCCACTAACTCCCTCACACTCTCATAGAAACGAGAAGACACAATATAGAAATGGGTTTGATAAAAAAAATAATAAAAAAAAGGCTTTTTTTTTCAGACCGACGATCGTTTGTATTTGTTGTCATTCTCTATTGTTTGGGTCTCATACCAAGAAGCAGCTGATTTATTCTTGCGTGAAACCATCCAGCATGCAATCTGAAGTGGGACCTTTCTCGAGGGTGTGAAACTCACTGCTCTTCGTCCGTACAATCTGCCCATCGGATGTCGGGGTAGTTTTACTCGAGGAAGAGTGTTGAGGCTTGAATTAGTAAGAATGGGTGTCCGAATAGCTGAGTGCATCAGAGCACGAAATGGAATATCGACAAATGGGGATGAGTACCGTCGTGTAGGTTTATTTAGCAGTGAGTGTGAGTGTGTTCGTTGTGGTGTTTGTAGTGGTGACTGAGGCTGTGATTGGGATTGAGATTGGGATTGTGTTTGACCAGCAAATACAACCACAAGGTTGGTGTCACAACTCTTCTCAGGCATTACTATAGACAGAGGCTGACTCTTCAGGAACGGATGATAAAATGCCTGCGGTGGAGCATGAATACTGACAGCGTAGCCCTTTTCGAGGTCAACAGCCGAAGAGAGTTTTTGGTGTGGAGCAACACGGTTCTTTTGCCATCGTTTCCGGAGACAGAAGATCCAGACGAGTAATAAGGTGATGATGAGAAGCGAGAGAGAGACAACAACGATTTCCATAGTCTGATGAAGATTTTGTGAATTCTTTGTTGTAGTTGACTGGGCATAGGTTGATAATGCGCCATTTTCTGTGGTTCCTGTGGTTTCTGTTGTTGGTTTGATTGCTGTATAGTAGTTCTCTTGGGACGTTTGGCTAGACTGCATTATCCAAAAGGAAGATAATAGAATATGATAAGATAAAAAAAATGACAAGGAAAAGACCTGTGAATAAAAGTTTATAAATGAGTTCAATAAGACTTGGGTAGGTTCTTAACGCAATGAAATAAAAAGATGGGTTGGTGCTAACATTACAGGAAGGACAAGGTCACAGTCAAGGAGCAAGACGGCGAGACTTTTGATATATGTAAATATTTGTTAAAGAGTAATAGGAAGTAAAGAAGTGAAATAAAATACAGTGTAAAGAAAAGTAAGAGTAAGAGTAAGAGTAAAGAAAGATACAAAATAAAATAGAATGAAATGAAATCAAATAAAACAAAGTTAAAGAGGTGAGTGGAGCTCTGCCTTTGCCAAACCCCAAATAATATGCAAACCTGACACTGTAAAAAAAATTTTTAAAAAAAAGGAATGATGCAAGCAACACTAGTAGTCAGTCATGCGAGCAAAGAAAAAAAAGAAAAAAGAAAAGTTGAACTGAACTTTATTCTAAGCGGTCTTGGTTTTCGTTGGTTTTCACTGGTAGTACTTGAGGTGCTTCAAATGTATATATATATATAAAATAAATAAAGAGTAGCATTCTCTACCAAGACACTAACAGAGCTTATTACGATTCTATTTTTCTATTTTTCTATTACTATTATTATTGGCCTGTTGAAATACTAATTCAGATTATCAAGTCCTTTTGAATGCTTATGAGCATATACATACATACATATATACATAATTGTAACACAATATGTCTGAAATCAACAGGTTGTACGATACAAAAGAAAAGAAAAAAAATCAAAAGAAAGTTTGTAAGCAAAAGGTCTTTACACAGTAACAGCAAAGAAAAGCAAAAGATGAAATTAAAAGAAGTCGTACCAAAGTAGGAATTGAAATGGAGACCATACTTGTCTTTTCAAAAAAAAAATTAAAAATTAGATAAATATACCGGGGACAAAACAGGGCAAAAAAAATCTTCTTGATGATCCTTTAAATATAATAAAGAAACGTTGAATTGATATGATACGGTCAATATGAGAGAAATGCTCAGAATATATATATATTTTGGTCTTTCCTTTTTCATTCTTTTCATGGTTTTATCTTGGGCTGTTCTGGAGACTGAAGGGTATGTAAGTTTCTGTTTTTGTACAAATCTCTGGTTGGTTTTGAAAGTATCAGTATGGTATAGGGCGTGTATTGTGCACATGTATGTATATATTAACCTAGAGATTACATTTTAGCATTAATGACACTAAATGCTTATACTGTAGTATAATAAACACAATGAAAATCTTTTAATAAATCAAATAGATCGGTATCATTGATATAATATCTACCCGTCTACCTGACTTTTTTTTCTTCTGTGTGTGCTTATGTAGTATTTGTTTTCTTAAGGAGTATAATTCAATTTATCTATTTATTGACATGGACATCTTGTGTGTAATCAAAACAAGCTGGAAATTGCAGACAAGAAATAAGCAGAGCAAATGAAATGTACAGAGAGTGCTATAAAATGCAGGAGACCATAAATGATAATAGTAATTTTTATAACAATGAGGTACAACAACCAATTTATTTCCCACAGACACTTTACAAGTATTGCTTAAATTGTATTAAGGATAGGCAAGGCAAGTCAATGAAGAGTATTTACACATACAATTTTCTTTTTTGATTAATGATAAATACACAGTTCGTTTATGTTGATCATATATACATATAAATATTTAGAGGAAGAGATATACGCTGAAAATGGCTGTCAAAATGTTAAAGATGTTCTCCCTTTCTTTATTTTCTCTCTCCTTCGGTGTAGCAATATATATAAAAAGTAAAATAAAAGGACCAAGTCCCGGAGAACACCCGAGTGTCCTCGGAGATGTAAGGTAATGTAAGGCAAGGCAAGGCAAGGCAAGGTAAGATAATGTATATTTATACTAAATAATAATAATTCAAATAAAAATATAAACATAAAAGACCCTAAATAAAGTTACAGTAAAAGAAGAACAAATTTGTACGTATAACAACAACAGCAGCAGCATAAGAACAAGATCTGCTTTACAAATAAAGCCGCGTCGATGATTCTTACATGCTTTATTTTCGCGTCAGAATACCATGAGTTTGAGTGTTTTAAATGTAAATGGTACCAATCTTCTTCTTCTTCTGAATGATAACCACACGATCAAAACGTATACCCCCCAAACCAAAATAAAGATATATATATAGTTAATTCGGAGATGGTACTTCTTTTGTACCTGAAGCTTTATAAATTGGCAATATGACAGAGTAAGATAAAGAAGAGTAAAAAAAAAGATATATTTATATATATATATATATTACAAGGATTATGGTACATGCTTATTAGCTGAAATCAAATATAGAACTAACAAAAGGGATATATATATATATATATGGGTGCGTGTGTGTGTTTTTTGGAATGGGTAGGTGGGAAAGTCGATATACATACAAAAAGATGGAGGGTGGGAGGATGTTTACAGTAGAAGCGTCTATATCTTTAGCTCTATAGTTAAGGAAGGTTGTTACGAATAGCACGGGAAGCTGTGTAAGAAGCAGCTCTGACGGCATCTTCGAGATCCCAATGGAAGAAAGGATAGCGGTCAATAGGAAGACCACGGCTGGCTCGAGGGCAGTAAGATAGTTTGTCACTGACATTCTCATAAAGAGAACACTCAGATTCAGAGTCATACGGCTTTTCTGAGGAACCCATGTTTCTTTCTATATCTCTATCTCTCATGGACTTCTTCTCATCCATATCAATATGGATATGTCCAATGTCCTGCTCAGTAGATGTGTGATCAATCGTGGTTTGAGGTCCGTCACGGTGTGCTGGTACTACAGGCAAAAGCTCTCCTGTACGTGGTCCACGACCAGCCTGAGTGCCGAATCCACTGGTGATCAGAGTGTTTCGGATAGCAGGGCTAGCCAGACTAGCAAAATGCCATTCCACCTCACGTTCTGTCAGGCGATCGATAGCCAGACGAAGATCCAGAAGGGTCTGTACTCCAGTAGAGTCCAGATGGTTGACGGCAGAGCAGTCCAGCACAATAGCGTACAGCCGAGGTCCGTTGTCTTGGACAGTCTCCAGAACTTCTCCTTTCTTTGGCAAGGGGCGGTGGTCGTTCCAAGCACGGTCACCCTTCTTGGTAGATATAGGAACAGCAGACGAGAAGTTGTCCTGGATGTGGTGCATGACCTTATCGGAAATGAAACTGGCATTTGGATAAGTGAGGGATTCATCGAACCGGAAGATGACAACTCCCTGAGGAGCATCCTCGACAAGGTGGTGCAGAGACGGGTGGTTCTTCTTGACGTAGATGTAGTGCACGTCTTCTTCAAAGCCAGAAGTTCCGCCTTGGGTTTTCTTCTTTCCAAAAGAATCAGCAGTAGAAGAGCCGTTGACCGAAACAGTTCCTGGTGCTTGTCCTGATTGGGATGGGTATACAGGAACACGGCCAAGAACAGCGCAACGAGGTCGAGCAATACGGAGGAGCAGCGAGACGATCGAGAGGCCAACAGATACATAGATACCATACTCCACACTAGTGAAGAATGTAATCAAGATGGCGGCCACAAAGGTAAAGAACTCAAAGGGGCTAATAAGCCAGAGCTGTTTCCAGAACTTGGGACCAGAGGCAAGATCAGCCACTGCATGAATAATTACTGCGGATAAAATGGCGTTGGGGATATAGTAAAACGCAGGTGTCAGGGCATAAAGAGATAGAAGGACAACCAGGCCAGAGAACACGCCTGCAAGGGGGGTGCGGACACCACTACGAGCCTTGATGGCTGTACGAGAAAATGAACCCGTATTTGGGTAAGCACCTAAAAGAAATAGAGAGAACAAAGGTTAACATATGATTTCATTTGATAAAGAAAAAAAACAGAACAAAGACACAAAAAGATCCAGGTTTCTGCTGCTGTTGTTGTTGTTGTTGTTGTTGTTGTTGTTTTTTGTTTGTGAATATATTGTATTTTGCTTACCAAAGAAGCTTCCAATGACATTAGCAACACCAATGGCAATGATTTCTTGATCGGCTTTGATTTTGTAGTTGTTGATACGACCAAATGATTTTGCAATTGCCACATGTTCGAGAATCAAAATGATAACTACAGAAGGCAGAGTGCCAGATACCATTCCAAGTAAGGTGGTGTCGACCACAGGAACGCCCATGGCTTGGAAACCAGAGGGTACTGTCTTGAGGATACTGACAGGGCTTGAGGCCTTTCCGATCTGGATGAGATAAGCAATCAGGGTGCCAACGATGACCAGGATACCGTTGCGCATGATGTTGAAGAAGAAGAGGTGTCTAGAGTATTTGGGGTATTTTTTGGTGAGGTATCCAGTACCCCAGCGGACAGAGTAGAGCCAAATAAGGCCGAGTAATCCGAATATTGCGTCGTAGTGTGTGGTAGGTAGGCGTTTAAAGAAGTTTCCAAAAATCAGGTAAGCTGCATCGTGGGTATCGACACCTTGAAGACCGAATAAATTTGGCCATTGGCCAATGGTGATAGTAATGGCAGAGCCTGTCATAAAACCGGCAATAGCAGGGCCTAAAGATAAAAATATATATTTAGTTTTTAATTTTAAAATTAAAATAAAGAAAGAAAAAGAGAGTGGTGTGCTTTGGGTTTGATTCTTTACCTGGAATAAAATCTACCAAGATGCCAAGACGTACAAGACCAATGAAGATTGAAATTACACCAGATATAAGGGCAAGAGTGACAGCAACCTGAGGACCAGTATAGTCACTAACTTCGGTAACATGGGCAACTGCCTGGCCTACCAAGAGAGACATGACAGCGGTTGGTCCAATACTGATATCTTTGGAGGTACCAAAGAAACAGTATATGCAAAGACCAACAAATGAGGAGTATAAACCATATTGCTATAAAGAAAATCATATATATATATATATATTATATTATTTTGTTGAGTTTCTGTTTTTGCTGTAATTAAATGTCTTTCTTTTTTTTATTTTTATTTGTATACTTACAGGTGGTAAATTGGCAATTTTTGCGTATCCCATGCCTTGGGGAACAACAACGATGCCAACTGTAATGCCTGCAATAAGATCCGAGACTAGCCAGGTGAGGTTATAACGATGAATCCACTGTACAATTGGAAATAATCCAGCAACATATGTCTTTGTGGCATTAGGTATTTTACGGACAATCTTGGTTGCCTCTTGTCTGTGAGAGAGGGGTTCATATTCGAGTAGGATTGGTTCGGCCATGGGGTCGATTATTTAAATAAAATAAAATACTCCTTGTCAATTTTATTTTCTTTTTCTTTAAAAATATATATATATATATTGTGTATTCTGTGTGTTTTGTGTATTCTGTGTGTTTTGTGTATTCTGTGTATTCTGTGTATTTGTACGAGTATGGATTTATACGTCGTATACGTATATTAAATTATATATTAAATTTAAATAAAAATAAAAATAAAGAGATGGAAATCTTTCAAGAGTTACCCTTTTTAAAGTGACCGGCTTGGCTTTCTTTCATCTTTTTCATGTACGCAAACATACGTCAAAGCACGCAATCATTCACTTAGACGATTGCGTGTTGTATTGTAACCAAGCAGCCAATCACCACAAGAAAATCTACACGATTAATATACCGATAATGCCTGCCAAGGTGAATAAGCTTGTACTTCAGCTGACAGAAACAAGAATATTATATATATATATATGTATATTTTCTGTATTGCTCTTGTTATATTTCCTGTAAGAGCCTTAAGGTCATACTTCTTTTCTCCACAAGACTCATGATCTAATTCCCAAGAAGACATTAAATATACACACACTCATATACATATGTAAAACCTTGCACATGAAACATTCTAGATTAATGGTTTAGATGCCATCAAAATACCATAGTGTAACCAAGTTTAAACAACTTGAACCAAGCTTTAAAATCAAAACTAGAATAACTCACTACTAATCATTTTTAACATACAATATATATATATATGCATGTATGTAGTACTTATCTATACACACACATCTGCCTGTCTGTGTGTATGTGCGTGTGCGCATCTATATACCTCCATTGTTACTCGATCTTGCTTATTAAGCTACTCGAATCAAGGTATATCTATTGCGTTGTGTTGTACAGCAAAATATTCAAATAAAATTGTAATTTGAAACGCAAATCATTCAGAAAACTCTTGTGATACAAATAAATATATTTGGAAGGTAGAGATTGTGATTCTAAAGGTACTGATTAACCAAATATACCAGATTTCAATTTGTTACAGAACAATCTCCAAAAATAACAATTATCAAACAATATTTTTTTTTTTTAAAAAAAAAAGAAAGACACACAGACATTGTGCAAGCATCAAGAGTCTCATTGTCTTGATGCTTGTACAATGTGTGCGTCTGCCTTTTTATTATTATTATTATTATCATTATCATTCTTACTCTACCTTATTAATATGTGCTCACCCTTAGGTGTTAGAGTTGTGTTTTCTCAGAGATGTCAGTCGCACTAGTCCAAAACCAAACTTTTCACCAATCAAGAATACAACTAGCACTGTAGTAAATGGCAGAATGTATAACTCCAGTCTCGTATATAATATACGAAGCGCCTATATGATATACGAGGTACCCGATATCGTATATTTTCTACGAGTCCGAAGCTATACATTCTGCCAATAGTATGTCAGCTTTTAGTCAATTAAAATGGCTTCCAACGAATAATATTTATGGGATTTTAGATTACTTTGCATCTAATCCAATCAAAGATTCTAAATATAGTAGATTTATACTTTTTTTTAGTTATTTATATTTATCTTATAATTGATCCAACAAATGGACGATGTTTTATATTGGGATTTCATCATTTTTAATTGATCAGAATAATAAAAGAAGTATGTAAAGAATAAGTACTGATTTATATGTTATTTAGTAAGATTTTAAGCTATAAATTATCTATCTAATATGCATGTACATATAGTTATGTGCTTCTTTCTACCTTTTCTGTGCCGACATTGCTATGTCTGATTCCTACTTTTGAAAACCCAAAATAACGATAATTGAATATCACCCTAAGAACTCCTTATAAGATTTCTCGGGATTTTTGTAGACGGTGTTATGGAATACGATGTAACCCGGATTCAGGAGGGAGGTTTTGTACCGAATAATAAACTATATTAGATCTGAATAATTTTATTATCTTTAATTATTGTATTTGGTTGAAGAAGTTGGGAAAAAGATGATTTTGCATTGACTGCAAAAACACGATGGCGTAAAAAGTGGGATATATACATATATATATATAAAAGCAATAATGGTGCTTAACTAAAATTCAACTATAAAACGCACTGAACCCCGGAGAGCTTGCAACAATTCACTAAAATCGCCTTTTTTCTTTCTTTAGGGTAGCATGCTCATAATTGACAAACCGGGTATTCTTCATGTAGAAATTACATCTGTCAAAATTCACACTACTTCATTATAGTCATTTTCAAAGTAGAATATGATTATTATTTCTTAAACAATCATCAAAGACAGAGTATCGTGCAGAATATTCAACAGCAATAACAGAAATCCTACAAAGTTACTTGTCTGAATTACTGTTATAGACTCTTTTTTTTTTTACAATCTTTCAAAAAAAAATACTTGATCAATAAAGTCGAGCTTTGGGAATTAAAAACTATGGTAATGAATGAATAAATTTAGTACCAGCTCAAACTACCAATAAACCTAGCAATTACTTTTTTTGGTGAAATAAAAAAAATGAGTATTATCCATTATGATACAGTATTGTTTCATATGCTTTGTAATTTGTCTATTTCATTTGTGACGACTTCGAAGAGCTCTTTAGTCTCGGATCTTGACATAATTATTTTGCTGTTTTCAATGTTGTTATGGCTTTAATATACAAGAAGCAAATATATTGATGATACTGGAAAGAGACAGGTTTTAAATGCTAGCCTAGGCAAGACTAGGCAAGACTAGGCATGACTAGGCATGACTTGTACTAGCATGTTTGATGTGACAATTGCAACCCAAGTGTTTTTTTTTCTCCTTCTTTATTTCCTTCTCTCTTTTCTTTTTTACCACGCTCTAATTTGTCTCACGTTTTGTATTAAAAAATGAATCGATTCAGGAGAGAAAGAACAGTGTCAGCAAAAATGTAATACTTTATATTAAATCTTTGCGTATCATCTACTTGGGCATATATTCCTATTACAAGGCAGGATCCTCAAAATGCCTCGTATTCCTATTATTATTCTTGTGCTATTCATTTGGAAGATTCATAAGAGAGCGAAGCAAATTTCGAGTCAACCGGATTTGTGTAATGGTCTGTACTTATAACTGCTATGGAAAATATAATAATAATAATAATAATTAAAAAACGCTCTATAGTCTTTATTGCAAAAGAACAAACCCACACTGAAAATATTGTATCGAAACGGAGAATTGGAAACAATCCAGCTGTAGATCCAAGAAACGGGGTTTAAGAGACCGTGATATTTATATAATAAAAAACATGTCGGATGAGCAGGCTGTGGATAAATAAGTGCAGCAATTGCTCTACTAGGAAGAAGAAAAATGCAGTGCATTTGGTCAAAACTTTTGTATCTCACAAAAAAATGCTATCATCTTTCAGTAAAAAACAGCTGCGATAATGCTTTTAATTCTTGCACATCTGATAGCAGTAGATTTATGTGGCATGTATAATATTAATACTTGAGAAAGACTGTATAGTATGTATATAATTAAAGTCATGATATCAAGGGGAGCCAAAGTAAACCCCTTTGGATGTATTCAAAGATATTCCGTTTTCGTATTATTATACCAAGAATTCAGCAATACTTCTTGCAAGTTAATTTAGCTCTCCTACTATAATTTGTAGTTTTGCTTGTCAATTTTACACCTTGATAGCAAGGAACAAAATGCCTAGCATAATTCACATAATATTGGAGTGGCCATCTTATAACTGTGTATAAAGCTGTAAAAAAAATTAATAGATTAATGGGTGTATACATGTATTTAAAGTATTCCTTCATGTTAAACATAAGTAATAATACATAGCTTTGTGACGAACTTTACTTATAGAGTATGTAATAGCACCATTTCTCAGCAGAATCTGAATTTGCTCAAGTCATAAAGTTAGTTTCGAAGCGAGTTCTGTATTCTGCTAAGAAACAATAAATAAACCAGATTCACAAGCCAGCGGTGAGGAAGTCAATAAGACAAGCTACTCAACATATTCAAAATACTGTCTCTAATTATTAATATTATTCAACTGGAAAAAACACAAGTTGACAGAGATCTACAGAATAAACAGTGAGAGTCTAGTTTCAGAAATTCATTTATGTAGCTTATTAAAATATATATTGGACATTATAAACATCCAATGAAGACAGTAAACCCTCGACGACTCAAAACGTCAAAGCACAATTTTATAAACAAGTCCTTGGTTAACTTTATTCAGAAGCTTGTATTTACACGTTTTCAACATCTTGCTTTCTATTATAATAGTTCGATATACACTTATCACGGCTGTGAAATCGGTTGCGGTGAAGTAAAACCGTTTTGTGTACACGCCACTATAGTCGATGAATATCTTTGCCGCATACATAAGCACCTTAAAATGCAGCTCTTACAAGCGACTTGATATTATTTCAGATGAGAATGGGCATGTAAATTTTAGGTTATTCAGCTTTGGAGATGAGCTCGAGCTAGACGCGATAAAGTTTGCTAGTGAGATATAAAAGTACTCTACAGCCAAACAATTAAAGCCTCAAGTCGTGAGTAACATGTACTTTTAGATGGATAATTCATTGGGGTTTTTGCGGGGATTTTTTTTATTTGAATAAAGAATATGTTATTTCCAAACCTATTCACCAGAAAGCGCGTATTTTTTTTAACCTTTCCTTTAGTGAAGTATAAAGCACGGTACTGGCTCTAAACAAAAGACTTTATTTAAGCTGTAAGAGCATCAAGATGAGCTTATTAAGAGTTGTTGATATACACAAGGGTATGTCTCAAAGTAACCATATGTTATACAACACACAATCCGGGTTTTCGACCACATGTGTCTTGTTTAGTCAGATAATTCTAGATGGGAGCTGTGTATAAATATTTTGGTGTAGCACAACAAACAGGCTTTGTAGCATAGAGTGCGTGAAAGAGATAAAGCTCTATAGAAGCAGATAATATATCACCATTGAATTCAGCGTATTGATATGCATATGGTCACTTATATAAAGAGGTCACCCTTGGAAATGTCTATTAACTGTAGAACTTGTTTGTGAGAAATAAAAGGGAGTTTAGAATAGAGTTTTTGAGAAGGTTACTTCTTCATTTATTTATTTCGACATCAATAAAAACTTACAAACACAAACAAATGAGGCTAATATATCCCTCCCTCCGAGAAAGCTAGTTTTACATTTGAACACTACCTCTACGCTTGTTGAATTTTATTTATTTTTCTTTTACCTATTTACTTGTACATTATTGAGATCATAAATGTATACTACATCATATAAATATCAGTGGGATAAATGCATAAATACAAATTCGTTCAAATAATAAAGCTTTCTTTTTTTTAATAGATACCCACAGATTGTTTGCTCTATCAGAAAAATATATAGATTGATCTGCATTCAGAAATACAATAAAATACAAATATGGATACCTTGCACGTGATAGTATATCGGTGCTTTAATAAATGCTATACTCAAAAGGTACAATTTTCTTCAAAAGCACGATAAAAAAAAAGGTGTTTTTTTCCTCTTCTTCTTTTGCTTTTATATCTAAGCCTTCATAAAATAAATTGCTCTCAACAGTTTCCTCGGAAAATCTTGACTTTTGTCCCCTCATATTTTTTGAAGCTTATATGATACCGATAACCCTGAATACAGCAAAAGCTATCCAAGGACTTCAAAGCGTATTTTGAAGATAATCAATCCGGTGTTGAAGATCTGGATTGATCATGAAGCAAGCAAGAAACCGTTGTCCCTCAAGCCAAAATTTTACAAATAATAACAGAAATCAAGAAGAATAACAAAAAACGGAGGTGTTCTGAGCTATCCGCGAGCTTTATTTGCAACAAACCTCGAAAGCGATGAAGTTGATCAACAAAACCATTTTCTTTTTTTTTTGTCTACACTGGAAGTGTCTCCAAAGGTCCAAGAAAGACTTGTAGCTCGTATATGTGCGGACCAAGGAAACTACCGTTGGTAGACAATTGACCACCCCTACCTGAGTATCGAAGGGACCGGAGGAGCGTAGCTTCAAGCCCCACTACAATATCTTCGGATCAACTTTTGAGAATCCCGCCAATATTCTCAAATGCACTGTTGCATATTCTGGCTTTGAGAATGATCGGGAAAATAAATGGGATGTCTCGCAGCAGGTGGCTGTTGCTTTGTGGAGATTTACAAATACCCATTTCGGTTACCGAATTGCCAAAGCTACACTTGGTGTTAGCAACGGGTCTTATCATGAGTTTATAGCACGTTTCATTGACACAATTACAAGAGAATTGCTTAACAAGACTATTGCCCGGTCATCCATAATTGAGAAGCAAAGAGAGATTGCAAACGGCTTTTCTTCTCGCGCTAATGGAAGTGGCTACGAGCATTTGAAAGATGTCATTGGAGCTATCGATAGGAAACTGATCCAAATACAAAAGCCAAGAGTAGATGAAAACAGATACATCGATCGTGAAAACAATACATCAATAAGCCTGATGGCAATATGTGATCATGAAAAAAGATTTCTTTGCATCTCTGTTGGCGCTCCAGGTAATATTTATTTAATCCAAATATATAATTGAGTACTTATCTTTTAAGCTGGTCTTTTCAGGAAGCTTCCACGGCGCCAGAGTATTCAAGTTAAGTCAGACATATCAAGAAATGATCTCAGAAGATGAAGGAAGGAGACCATGTCTTGATGGAACCTATATAATCGGAGGTATATAAAGTTTGATATCAAAGAGTCTTCATATCAATTTTATGCCATTATATCTCATTGTTTTTGTTTAATATTTACTGGTCATACTCAGCATCACAATGGATCCAGAAGAAGAAGCAGAGATACATGTCTTCCTTGAGAGTGATGGGAGTGGTGGAGTAGAACTTTCCGTACACCCTCTTTTAGTAAGACGTGTTTCCAACAGCAAGAAGTTTCAATGCTCGTTTGAGACATCTCAAAGAGCATGGAATAATAAAACGCTATGAAGTGATGAACAGCTTGTAAAGTTTGTCCTTTCCAAAATATTAATTGCCATACTTTCAATTCTATGATATAAAATGCTAAAAGTATATTTGAGTTTTATTTCAAGTTTTGCCATTTTTCAAAAGGAATACATTGGCTCTTCTTAAACTTCTTTTTCGATCTAGAGCTATATTTACTTAGATTTTCTATTTCTTTTACTGTACTATTGTTTCCATATTGTTTTAATACACCATTGCCTGAAACAATTAAATTTTGATCTGTTTCCAAGATGGTATCATCAAAAGTGATCAAAAGGAAATTAGATGGCGGGTTGTTTAATTTCAATGGGTATTAATAAGAGCCAATTGAAAAAGATTTAGGTGTATAAAAACCAAAAAAAAAAAAATTGTACGTTTGGATATCAGAAATATTTAGTCCCTGTAAAAGAAATAAAAAATAAAAAAGGGACATAACGTACGGATTTTGAAATAAAGTCTATTTTTTTTGGACTCGTATATTTCTAAATATGGTTGATTGATTCATTTTTATTTTTTATTTGGTTTTAACACCGTGCGTACGTTCTCTCTCCCTCTCTCCCTCTCTTTCCCTCTTTCCCTCTTTCCCTCTTTTGCTTTCCTACTTCTCTCACTTCTTTTACTTTTTTTTTTTACTTCTCTTTCATCGTTTTGTTCTAGTCGTGCGAAAGTACGGTTCATGTTTTTGTTTGACATGGCCGCTTCGGGAAGACAGAACGGGACTACAAAGATACCCAAGACACCAAAGAAAGCCAAACCAAAGGCACAAACCAAAGAAAAAAAGACCGAGCAAGATGAAATGGAAGCCCTACAGATCACATTTTATGAAATTGAATCCTGGATAGAAAAGACAACGCCTGTACTCACCAGGATGACTAAAGAACTTGACAAGGCTTCTCACCATTTTGAAAAACGTCGCAAGAAGATAGACCAGGAAAAGCAAGAAAAGCAAGAACACCTGCACCCCGAACCAGAGTCATCTCTCTCTTCGCTTTCACCACTTCCTCCGCCATCAATTCCGTCAACCCCACAAATCCCATCAATCTCATCAATCCCATCTATACCATCAATTATATCGCAAGAACTGTGTGTGCTAGGGAATGACGAGCTCCAGACCGACAACCCGATGAAATGGGCCCTTTCTTTTCAGCCAGGCAGTGCCCTCCGTTTAGAAACAAACATCACCTCAATCGAACAACTCATTGATGCCGTCCAAAAGATCCGCTTGCTATCTAATCCAGAACCAGGATGGACACCCGATGACGAAGACGATGAAAACAACATCGTCCTGTGCTCAAATACAAACACAATGTCCCTGGCACTTGAACCAGATACCCCAGATGCAGCCGACTACTGGAAAGGTGCTCTACTCAAACGACCTCAGTACTGCCTCGAAGATTATAAACATTGCGACATGAACCTTGCTCGTCTCACTAAAGATGTTTCCACTAGTGTACTCAACTACATTTGCCAAATTTATTGGGATTGTTTACATCCGAAATTCTCAGCCAATGTACAATCCTTTTGGGAGCGATCAGGCGATCCGAAACGCAATCAAGTGTGTATTGACTCTGAATTCGCAATAGTCTTTTTACATGGAATACGCCACCAAAAAAATATTTGTGCGAATGCTCACGAGATTGCATGCTATTATTACGACCGTGCAAGAGATGCTCTTATGGATTTTTTTGATGCTCCAGATTGCACTACAATCGAGACTCTTGAGAATCTTAGTATATTTTGCACACTCTGCAAACGTTATTCCCAAGCACGCATCTACATTAGTCTTGCGATGCGGATGATGATCGAGTTTGGAATGCACAAACGTGCGACTTTGCCTACTGATCCCGTTTTACGCCGAAAATACTTGAAGCTGCCTATGGTCCTTTTCTACAATGATTTTACGTTGTCTACTTACTCGGGTGAACCTTCACAGTTTGACGACAAGAATTGGGACATTGACCTTTACGAAATACTTGAACTCAATAAAAAGATGCCTGACCTGGATGATAGGACTCTGGCCAAAGAAGAATTCTTTGTCCATCAGCTGGAACTCATAAAAATCAACAAACGAATCGTCTCGCTGGTCGAGGAGTATAAAAGACAACAGCATACTTTTCCATTGGCAAACGAACTTCCTTCAAGGTGGGCCAAACGCGTCCAAGCGCACGAAGGCGCATTGGCCGAGTGGTACGACCGAACTCCAGACTATTTCCGCGTAGATCCCCAGTCGACGGCGTTTTCAGCAGCATCAGCAGGGGCAGCAACAGGACCAGCAGACCAGCAATCTCACGGAAAAGGTGCGACACACCACGATTCTAACAATTGTGCACAGCCAATTGAGGCACAGGCTATACGCGACCAATCTGCTTTGCTACTGATGCTACAGTACCAGCACCAATGGCTACTCCTTCACAAAACATTTTTAAATCCAACAGTCTCGTCAGCTTCTTCTACCTCTACCACAACATCCAATTCTCGAGAAGCATCACCTCGTTTTTCTCAACGATCCGATAGTCCACTCTCCGCAATATACGTGGCACAAACATCGGATCGATCGCAAGCCATTTGCTCCGATGCAGCTCACCGTATTGTTGTATTGGCGGAGAGGATCAATCAATTGTATAGATGGTGCGTCTGCCAGCAGTTTGTGAATTGTATTTACAATGCATCAACGATTTACTGCCGTATGGCTCTTGTCAAAGACGAGAACAGTCGTCGCACAGCTACGCGTATGATCCAGCGTGTGCTATGTATTCTGGCCACAGGCTGTAATCGTTACCAAGGCCTACCAAATGATCTCACCGAGTCACTCAATGAATTCCTGCTGACTAATAATCTCGTAAATAATAAGTGCAAGATAGAGTATAACAACGAGGACTACCAAAATCAACATCAATATCAACATCAACATCAATACCAATACCAACAGGAGCCAGAGTGTGCAGAAGAGAGTACCAGTGTAGACGAAAAGCAATTCCAAGATAACTTGCCGAATTCCCCAAGTATGCATGCACATTGTCTCAGTCTTTATAGACAACAAAAGAAACATAGTCGCCAACGTTCGTCTCTAGCTGGTTCACCTAAAGCCGACCCGTTTGTGGCTATTCATATAGATGACCTTGATGAAGAAAAGAAGAATTGGAGGTATTTATATATATAAATACAGATAGAAGCATTGGGTGGGTATTCAAGTACAACCAATCTCATTTAGTCTTAACCCGTCGTAGATACAAATACTCGTCTCCAAATGCAACCCAACCAATCCATCGCATCATGTAAAAAAATACACACTCTCTCTCTCGAACAAATAACACATATGCGAGAATCTCTCTCTCTCTCTCTCTCTATCTTTGTTTCTCTTCTACAACTTATTCACTAGAACCTCTATCACCATCTCTTACTCTCTGCCTCTCAATCTATCTATATTTTTTTTACTTATCTAGTTATCTTTTCTTTGCTTATCACCCCTCTTGTATATTCGTTATCCATAGCTTGTTTTCCTTTTCTTTTGCTTCTTTTTTTTTCTCATTCACCAACCATTCTGCTCTCGAATGTGGGTTTAATAAACAAAATCTCGATACTTTGTGTGTCACAAAATAAGGACATGTGTATGTGTGTGTTTGTGGGTAAATGAATGAATGAATGAATGAATGAATAAATAAGTTGGTATTTTAATTTGTCTATATTGTAAAGAATTAAAAATCATCAAACTTGTCTTCTTTGAAAACATAATCATAATTATGATGTTGATGATATTGATTATGATGATTTGTTTGCTTCTTTTTTTGTTTGTTTCGTTTGTTACAGTCTACATACAGAAACACCATCGACCATAGCAATTGCAGCTCCTAAACACCATCCCGTCTCTGCTCCAGCAATCTTTTTGGCTGTGCGCACCAGGCGCTCTGGGGGAATTTCGTAGCCAATGCGCAAGAGTCCGTGAGTGTAGGTGAGGTCAAGACAATAATCAGGAGTGCTTTCGAGCAAAGAAACGGCTTGGGGTACATGCTTGAATGCATCGGTCTCACCAGCACACACCTGACGTGCGACATCGCCATACTCAGCCACAGAGAACTCTGAAGGCATACCCAGGGGTTGGGAAAGATCATAAAAGTAAGAAAAGACATAAAGATCTCGATCCTTGAAAGTGTCTGTGAGGGGTGGCTGGTACATGCCGTCAAATGCACAGGGCTGCTGCTCGCAGGACTTTTCCTTGTTGAACACACGTTCCACAATTGCACGACATGCAGCATGGCCTGCGCCTGTACCGGTTAACTCAATTGTCACCGTCTTGTTTTCGGCTTTGTAAGGCACGGTCTCTGTGTGGTTGACAGGAAGACAGGGATGGAACACCTTGCGTGTGGCTAATGCCTCTTCCTCCCACAACTCAATAATGCCCTGTTTGACACGCTTACGGGCTTCGTTTAAGCCGTAGCCAAGATAAGAGTGTTGATAAAGCGCATATGAGGCATGTCCGTAGTCAAGTGTGTACTTGTGTTCACCTTCCACAATAGTCTCCTTGGCGTCCAAAAAAGTAGGTTCGAATACTATCTGAGTTGATGCGCCACCCAAGTCAAAGATAGCGGCTGAGTTTGCACCGGCGGATCTCTTGAGCTTACCCAAGAGATAGTTAACAGTGATCCAAGCATACACACCTAATTATTATCATTATTATTTAAAAAATATTCTTGTTTGTAGTTGTGTGCTTATATATATCTATATATATCAAAGTATTTGTATATTTACCTTCATCACGGCCTTCCATAATTTCTACACCTTGATTAGGAGTAATAGGAAAGGGGTATTCATTTTCAAGCATTGAACGAACTGCCTCAAGAATAGCTGCACTCTTGTCTGCACCCAACATTCGCAGGCCAGCTGTGGCCTTGACAGCGATTGGTGTGCAGTGCTGTAATTCAGAGGGAACACTCAAAACAGCAGTTTCCATCAATGGCTTGAGTGAGTTTGCTGCAGCGACAGGGTCGTCAGGATATTCAGATAAGCCAGGCTTAAGCATTTCGAATATTTCGTCTTCTAGTTCTGGCTCTTCTTTGCAGTAGTTGAATCTATAGACATGTACTCGAGAGCCAGATGAGCCTGCATCGATCATTACAGCATATTGAACCAAAGGACGGCCCGGGTGAGGGGTAGAACAATGCTCGGACGATGGAGCATCTACATTTTTTTTTGTAAAAATAAAAGAGCTCATTAGTTTTCGGTACGTGGTATATTTGGTATGCTGTTGTTACTGTTGTTGTTGCTGTTGTTTTGGTTTGAATGTTACTGTACCTGTGCCAGTACCCGAATCAGTATTTTTTTGGATGGTGTATGGCATTGAGGGAAGTCGGGCGGTCGGGACCAATAACCATAGGAACAGCAGGAGACTGATGGCTCCTAGACTGCACTTGATGAACAGACTTTTGCGATTCTTAGTTGGGTTCATCATGGTGTTGATCCAATGACTTTGTCTATCCAGCTTGATTGAGAGAGATCTCTGTCGCTGGTGACTTGAAGGGATGGTCGTTGGAAGGGTAGTCACGGTGAGATGAGGGTGGAAAAGTAAAAATTCCAAAAAAAAAAAATGAAATAAAAGGAGTGTAGTGAAAAGAGTTATATAAATAATTTAAAACAGAAGCAAATTAATAAAAATAGGGATTTTTGTGTGTCTGTGTGTCTGTGTTCTTTGGATAGCCCTCAATTGGTCTCTCCTGTCCTCCCCTTTTCAATTTAAGCCCTTGCATTTATTGACTCTTATTGGTCGTGAGTTTGAATAACATCAAAAAGAGATAGTCTTTTTGCTGGTACACATTCAGATTGCTTCCATTTTGTTTTAAATTTATATATATATATTTGAAGTCCACAATAAACTATCGTTGGAATGCCGTCAATATCATTATTACTATGTTTCATTTTGGTGGAATTAGTTTTTGATTTTGATAACTAGTATTGGTATAAAGAATATATTAATCATTTATTAAAGAAGCCTTTGAGGATTAAATCTAGAGAGCCCTGAGGCTTTTTTTTTTATTTCTTCTTCTTTTTTTTGGCTTCTTATCCTTTTCTCATTAAATAAATGGATTTGTGGCTCAACCACTTGAAATGACGACAAAGGAGTGTATAAATAGGAATCCACTAGATCTTACTTTGTTTTCTAGTGATATTTGCTAAAAGGCTTAGTCCTCTTGACCAAATGATTGCTTTTATATATATATATAAAATAAGATAAATCTTGGCACAAGATAAGAACAATAAATCAACATTCATTTGGCTGTAAATGTCAGTAATAACAATAACAATGCCCTAAATATGTTTCAAAATGGCAAACTAAACCACTTTAATTCAATTCTAAAGAAAACAAGCTCTTTTTATTATAGTTAAAAAGCAACTGTTATGTATTCCGTACAAGACTATCTGCAGTCAGAGCATATGTGTATATATGTATATATATGCTATACAGCAATCGAATATAATGATACTTTATTTGATTATACGTATATTATTGTAATGCTATATAAAAGCAACTGACTAATCTACTGACAATGTATCCTAGTAATGTAAGTATCTTGTGTACATTAATACATTTGTGCTAATTAGGAAGCATAATTTGACATAGACATGAATATTTAAATATAATCTAAAGCGAATTTCATATAACTATGACTACTACTATTGTTGCTCCTGCTGCTGTTAATGTTGTTGCTGTAATAGTAATTATACAATTATAACATCTTCAAGATCATCTTCTGCATTGCCATCTTTAGTACCAAATTAATATACAGCGCTTCCACTATCAATTTACCAAATTTTTAAAGGTTCTAGCCACTTTTGTGAGGATAGATTACCCAGAAAAATGAGACTAATTTGGTCAGGTATTCAAAGCTAATTTACCCTGCTTTTTGAAAACAAATTGCTCATTTTTTTTTACAATAAGATTACCAATTTCTGGTAAAATGTCAAAATGCTTATATATATTCATGTATTGAGATATATAAGATAGAAAAAACATCAATGGAATGTTGGATACGATTTTACAAATGTTCAATTAAAGCTAATATATTGTTCCTTTTGTCAAACCCAATATATAGTGTTCATTATTGTGTCTATTATATTGTCCACTCTCTATTTTGTGTGTCAACAAAAAGCACATCACTGCTCCAATGGTATTTCTCCTGGTGCTCACCAACATTCAGAGAGCTCACCTTCGATATAATTTTACCGTGCTCCACTTTTGGTGGACATCAATTGTAAAGCTTATCAAAGAAAAGGCTATTTTATTATATCTTTAAACTGAAGTCCACAATCAACTTTAACTTTGAATCTTCAGGCTAATTATCTTGCTCTTTATTTATTTATTTTTTTACTTTCTCACGTGAATAACTGCCATATAAGCTTACAACCATCTAGCTCTTAATTGCATAATCTAGGATATCTGGTTACACGGGCCAATCATTAAAATCAATTTCTTTATAAGATATATATATATATCTTGTCTTCTTCTTTACCGTTCTATTGTCCACTCAATCATCATACTTATCTGTTATAATATAAGTGGTGATTATCGCACGCGAACAGAAAATTTGCATGTTCTACCATCAGTAGTACGACAAAAAAAAGCCAACGATTTACTCAAAGCTATTGAAAGCATAATCACCGAGATTTTCTACAAGGATGATCCTACAAAATCATTTCTTATGTTCCATCAAAAGTATAGACACTTTTGAATACCATCAGTGTTATTTTTCACAAAAGACACATGTTTTTCGAGACAAGTTTATTGTTTCTACAGTCAATTTTCTTAGAAGTTTATTGGATTCCTTTAAAAGTTCCAATTGAATCATAAAAATGAATAGAATTGGTGTGTTATAGTTTATTGATTATTTTTTTGTATATTTGAGGGTTGTTCTGACGATATGCATTTTTAGTAATGGACTTCATCTGACCTGATCTCATAATGATTTAGTGGCTTGAATTTAGGAATAGCTTGATATCCTCACTACTGGTCGTTAATCTTGAAAAGCCTATAAGAGCAATATATACTTCTTTATGTACTCATATATATATATATATATATGCATATATACGTTTTAACAAATATATAAGTAAATTTAAGTTTAATATATTGTGATAATAATTAATAGAAGATGCCCATCGTTTTCCACCTTGAACGTCTCCATTAGTATCTACCTTTGTCAATCTTTCTTTATTTTTATACGAGTCTCTATCAAACAAAAGCTAACTCGTGCTGCGTACAACACTTGCAAATACTTTGGTTACCAAAAGATCTTTCTCTTAAATCAGAGAACGTTTTGTTTAATAAACGAATATATATATATTATTTTCTTCGCTATTAATTGATTTTTTGACATATCCTACAATTATGAGACCAGTTTTTTAGAAAGAAGTTAATATTCTGTTGGTCTCAAAGTAGAGTTTCCACAAAATATTTCATGACAAAGTCTAAATAAATTTATTGAAATCACGTAAGATCTCAGAAATATCATCAAGCTCTAACGACATGAAACAAGTATATATGTTCTTACAAGGCAAGAGAGAAAGAAAGAAATTGTTTTGTGTGTCTAGTGTTCTTCTCTTTGTAAGTATTGAAAACCAACAAACAAATAATCGACTTAATTAAGAATATTCTTGGTTTTGAGCCTTATAGACTATTACAATGTATATATCTTATAGATGCTCACAAAGTAATCCCTTCATACTGATTTTTTTATATGCTTTATACATCTATCCACAGTTGGCCTTCTGTTTTTTGGTTGACAGTATAAGGCAACAAAGGCTTTTAAATATATGTATATGTTTATGAACATATCAACCATCATTTTCGTTCAATTCATTTATTCTGTCAAAGTATAATGCGCATAATTCTTAATAAAACTGCACAAGGGAATTTCATTTAATATTAATATTAATACATACATAAATATGTGTATGTGTATGTATAAACGGTATAATTAATTAGATTCAGTTCTTTAAAAAAAATCAAAGGAAATCATCTTGGAAATTGAGCCAAATAAGACATTTTTCGAGACAATTGATTTTTTTTAGCATTTATTTGATGGCCACTATCTACAAAGGTGATTACTATGCCAATACAGCTGTTAAATATGATACATCTTAAGTGAGCATTGCTTTTGGTTCAATTATATAGCTTCAGCCAACAACAACACAAATGCTTTGATCTCAAGAAATATCTCGGTTGTCTCAATTCTTAAGACGATTTCGTCTAAAAAAGTGTCTAGAGCCTAAATCCAACTCGTCTCAGTTTCAGCCTCAAGTAATAAAGAAGAAAAAAAGGAGAACTTGGGGTAGACAGACTAAAAAGTTCAAAAACTTAAGCTGTAATGTATATTTTTCCTTTTTTTTTAAAAACAAAAAAGTTAACCTATTTTGAATTTTCATAACAAAGTTCAAAATTTTTAAAAAGTTCTAGCTGGTTAGTATTCTTCCACTGCCAATTGAATTAAGAAGAAGATTATAATTTTTTAAGGAAGAGATATGCCATAGTTCAAAAGACCTAGAAGAATTCGCTATAAAATATTTCTTGATGGAAGAAATAATATTATGAGCACAATTTTATCGAATATACATTTGAACCAACTCTGAACTTTTTAATCTGTCCACACCAACTATAGTAGACAGTGATTTATTAATAGGTAAAAACTTGTTTGTTTTCTCTTTTTTCTCTCTTTCTTTTTTGCTACTAAATGTAGATATCTCAATTACAGTTACAGTTATGCTTAGATTATGTGTGTGTGGGTTTTCTTCTCCTAAAATCTACTCTGCTTCACTCTATGAGATACTTATTGCTATGAGTATATTTCAGAGCTATCATGAGTGCTTCATAAAGAACATTTAAGTCGAATGAATAATACCAACGGGTTTTATTGCTATAGAAAACAAAAAAAAAGTTTGAGTGAGATGAATTATGCCACTAGATCTGGACCTTTCCAAAGTAACAACCCTTGTCCAAAATCTTATAAAAAAAAGACAAGGGTCAATTATATGCAGAACCATAATTATAGCCATAATTATAGAAGTTATAGTTATAACTCCAGCTATTTTGGAAGTCAAGATCCTCGAGTTAATCGGGTCAATCGGGTCAATCGAGAACAAGTACTGACATTAGTACTTGACCCAAATATATTCTCTAGGTTGTTTATACTATTTGCTTTCTCTCTCTACATTTCATTTATATATAGATATAGATATTACTTTTGGATAATTGAGGTACATCTACTGGGGTAACCTGGACTATTCTAAGGATCAAGCAAAGGTTTAGTATTATACCTGTGTTTGGTGATGTGACCATTGTGTCCAGATCAGGGTCACTTTTGAGTTGAATACACAAAGATATATATTCTGTAGCACTTGTAAAATATACGTATATATCTGTCTATTTGTGTATGGAATTTAAGCATGTATTTGTGCAAGTACAAAGCGTGTTGTGAATTCAAATTATATAGGGATTCATTTCAAAACACTTTTTTTCCCACAAGAACAAAGAAAAAGGAACTTTCTTGCTGTCGATACATATAATTGAATTACATACAAGTCCTATTATACCATAACAGATGATCTTTCTAGTGAATATAACAAGTATAATTTTACTGACTATATTACAAGGTTGTATATGTATGCTTTATATATAGAGCTCTTGTGAACCTAATATTTGCTATATAATATAGTATATTACAGTAGTATATTATATTATACTATATTATATATACATTTATTCAACATATGTCAACTATTGTGAATTACAAATAGCTGACTACCCATTGAATGAATGAACTCTTTTTCTTACTTTATTTTTAACTATTTATATGGTTAACTGAGCTTCGATTTAAAGTAAAAATAAGAAAGAAAGAGAGAGAGAGAGAGAGAGAGAGAGAAAGCTTTTAATAAACAGCTTATTATTGATATAAAAGTCTATTTGACTTTATAAAACTGTATAGCTCCTGTCGTATGTTTTATTTTATTTTATTTTATTTTTTGGTTTGTCTTACACGAATAAGAGGAAGGGCAAGTTACGCACATAATACTTTAAACATCAAATGAAGAGAAGAAGTATTGTGCGGGGAAAAAATACAAGCGCATTCTTTTGCTGCATGCTTTATAATACATGTCAGAACTTGCTTTCATTTGTCCCAAGCAATTCAACTATTAATAATTACTTAATAATAATAAGTATACTTTATTTACATTAATACATATATGTATATGTATATATAACAAGAAGAAAGAAAAACAACTGGTTATTATTATTTTTTGGTTAATACATCAAATAAGCTTGTATTTCTTTTTGATTCTCCTACTACTTTACACAGTAGGACAGATATTGACCAATTAATTTTGACCAGCTTTCTTGAAACCAATTAACCCTTTGCTCTTTTCCTCAACCCAAACCGCTGGAATACTATTACAGACAGCCAAGAGATACAATTCAAATTTAATTATAATTATAATATATATATATGCAAGTATAAATAAATAATAATACCTGGACAGTCTGTGAGATAGTCCATGTCTAGGCCATTTGCTCAAAAAAATGGATTAATTGATAACTAAATAAGGCGACTTGTACCGCGGCACACATTTTGCTAGCTCACTCTCTTACCGATTTGTTCCATTCCCCCACAACCACAACAACAACCACAGCCAAACTTTAAACTTCTACGGACAAAAAAAAAAGAGAGAGAGAGAGAGAAAGAATCATGAGATTATCAAGACACTCAATAGCCTAGTCTACTCTTGTCTACTATGGCATGTTCTACTTTACTCTAGCTTGAGAATTGTCCAGAGCATATAAAGATTATATAGATATACAAAGAAAAAGAGCTACTTCCTTTTAATAATAACAAAACCCTTTTTTTTCTTTCTAGGGCTGTGTGAACCATCTCTCTCATACACACATATATGTATTCTTGTGCATTTTGTGAATTTGACAGTAGCCGATTTGTATTACTCTCTCTGTGTGTGTATAGCTCAAAATTGAGAGTCAAAAACTTTTCTTGTGTTTCTTGTGCTTTTTGTGTATTTTGTGTATTTTGTATTTTTTGTGTGTGTGTGTTTTTAATAAGAATCTGAAGAAGAAGAGAAAAAAAAGGCTTGGTCTTTAGTGGGCGAGAGAACCCGGGGTTGTATGCGTGTACGTGTGGGGAGGGGTTTATTGGGGGGATCGAATTATTGGTATTATTCTCACGCTGTTTAGTTAATAGAAGAAAGAAATATTAACAGGGTTCTTCTTTCTGGGGCTTCCTTTTGGTTTCCAAAGACTTTTTTTTTCAAGAACTTTACAAAGATGTGTGTTCCAAAAAACAGACTATTATAACCCTTGCCCATTATCTAATTTTGCTGATATCGGAAATATTTACAAATGATAACAAAAAAAAAACAAAAAAAAAGCAATAGATAAGAACCCTTTGATTTTACTGTAGAGGTTGACGATCTAGGTGTACAACACGATGTCTTTCTTGGTGGTAAAAATGCCGCATTCATTAATATTTTTTTTTGTTAGGTGTAGATAATGGAAATTCGTTTGTGTTTTCTCTTCAAATTGGCTGGTCAGAAAAATAAATAATAAAATCCATAAATGATACAGTAGGACCAGATAACAGCAGTTGATTAGAAGAACAGTTTTCTTTTGGGATAGCTGCCGTTAAAAATAATAATTTGTTGAATGGTTACCATTACACAGTACAAGAACAGCCATTTCTGTACATGTAAAGAAAAATAGCAGCACATTTTTTTGTTTGAATTTGATTTGAATTCATATAACTTTCTTTTATAAAGAAGTACACTCACAGTATATATACATATACCTCAACAGATCAGCTAACAATTATCATACCTGTGGTTAAGAAAAAACCAGTCAAGGAATCTGTAACGGCGGTGGTAATAGAAGTATCAAAAGAATAAATTTGTTTCTTTTTTTTTGTTCGGATCCTATATCTATCTCAACCCACAAATCAGCCATATTTGATTATACTTATTCTTATCATTAACATTAACGTGACCCGTTTTACTCACCTTACCTGGTTTGTCCTTTCTTTCTTTTATAAAGCAAATCCAAAAATACATAATATATACTAAGCTGCATTGGTGATGAAAAAGAAACCCAATCTTTGAACTTTGAACTGAAAAAAGGATACACAAATATAGTGATAGCTCGGTCAAAATTTATCCTTCAGCAGACTTATTGTAATGTGTGTGATATACAACAGCCACACAACACCACACCACACCACGTTACAAATTGTCGTTGTTGCTTTTTTTCTTTAAAGAAAAAACTTATTTCTTAGGAAATAAATTATATATCAATTTCAATGGGATAAAGCGATATATAGATATTGTTCTATTAGGCATTTTATTTTTAAATGTATGTACATGTATGCATGTGCATGTCGTTAATAATAGAGAGCGTTAAAGCCCTTTTTTCTCTTTATTCATTAAGAAATATGCACGATTACTACTTTATGAATAAATTGAGAGGGGGTAAGAAAAAGAAAGGATTGATTTGATGCTTCAAAAGAAGCACAGAAAATAATATGAATGCCAAGTTTGTTTCTTGTTTCTTGTTTTTTGTTTGTTTTTTTTTTATTATTATTAATATTAAAAAAAATACATAAGATAAATTAAAGTAATGAAGAACAATGAGTAAAGAATAAGAGTAAGAATAGTAATAGTAGTTTAAAGAAAAAGGGTGGTTGGGTGGTTGTTAATGAGTAGGAGTTGTATTGGTTGTAAAAGGGAATAATAATAATAATAATAAATAGATATTAGAGTTTTGGTATTTGGTATTTGGGTTTTTAAGACAGCATGCCTGCAATAGAAGCAGATACCCATGTTGAGAAAGCACCACAGATCATTGCAGAAACAGCAAGACGTGAGATTTCACCACCACGCTTAGGGGCAAGGGTGGTCAAGACACCGATCTGCATACCAACACTGCCAAGGTTAGCAAAACCGCAGAGAGCGTAGGTGCAGACAATAGTGGAGCGGGGAGTAAGGAGGTCCTTGTAGGTGGTGGTCATCAAATCATAGGCAACGAACTCGTTGGCCCAGATCTTGTAGGCCATCAACTGACCAACATGGACAAGGTCGCTGTTGTCGGCACCAATCAACCAGGCAATAGGCACAAAGACATAGCCAGTAATCAGCTGGAGAGTCAACTCGTGAATGGTGATAAAGTTACCGAGCCAGGTCAGACCAGCATTGACGGCGTAAAGTAGGGCAAGCAAGCAGATCAAGTTGGCAATAATGAGCAAAGCAACGTTCATACCAATCGAGGCACCGACACCAGCGGCGTGAAGTAAGTTGACACACTTTTCGGGACTCTCGGGCATCTTGACCTCACCCTTGGTCAAGGGCTCGGATACCTCAGGGTAGCGCAGCTTAGAGATAGCGAGAGAGCAAGGGATAGACATGACACATGAAGTCAAAAGCGCCTGGCCAGAGACACCCATGGCAATGTAACCGTAAAGCACGGAACCAGAGATGGTAGCGAAACCAGAAGTCATGATTTGGTGCATTTCGGCAGTAGTCAAGTGAGGCAAGAAAGGTCTGATAAGCATAGCATTTTCACACTGACCAAGGAAAGGCTATAAAGAAAAAGGATGCAATGCAACGAAATGTGAGTAAATAAACAAAATAATCAGGAGTGTATCTTGTGTTGGAATAACAATACATAAATATGTATGTAGGTATGATGCAATAATGAATGCTGATAATAATAATACTTACAGAGGCGCATGCGACAATAGATTCGGCACCAGAAACACCCAAAACTGTCATAAAGACTTTACCAGCTCTTACAAGAATCCACTGAAGAGCACCCATGTAGTAGAGAACCTGGACAACGGCACCGAAGAAAATGACAGCAGGGAGTACACCAACGCCAAAGGAACCGGAATCAGCAACGGCAGCACCGAACACGAAAGAAGTACCATAGTAAGACTTTCCAAGGAATCCCTCACAGAAGGTGGACAACCACGAGAAGATGCTCTGACCGGCACCAGAACGGAAGACGAACAAGGCCAACAAGAACTGGAGCAACATGGCACCGGAAATAGTGTTCCATCTTACGGCTCTATGGTTCTATATAAAATATAATGTGTTATTTAAAAACCAAAAACCAAAAAAAAAAACAAACAAAACAAAATAAAACAAAAACTTACGGTAGATGAAAGGAAGACGACACCCAAGAATACAAGCATGCCAAAGAGGGCAATCAAACGCTGGACACGAGTGGAGGTTTCAGTTTCCTCAAGGGAGAAGATGGTTACAATAATGACAGCCAAGACAAGACAGCCATAAGCAATCTGGCGGATCATGGGACTGAACTTCATGATAGGGGTAGCAATAATGTTAACACAGAAGTTAAAGGGAACAGTGACAATGGCGGTAGGGAAGTGGGCAAAGAATACGTAAAGACTGAACCAGGCATAAATAAGACCCAAGATCAAATTCTCTGAGCTGTAACCCTTTGGGACCTGCAAAGCATAGGCAGCACAGAGGAAACCGGTAGCAATGAGCCACATTATCAAGCTAAACAAAAAAGACAGTACATGATATTAATAAGCTATTTCATGATTATATTATATTATATTTTTCTTTTTTTAAAAAGAAATGTAATGCCATTTAATGTAATGTAATGCAATTCAATTCAATTCAATTCATTCCAAAATGTAATTAGATTGAATTGAATTACATTAAATCAAAGTGTATATTGTTCTAATGCTTTTCTATATTGTGGCTGTAGTGAGATTGGTAGCTTTAACTTACTGGCACCAGCGAAGATGTTTGTTGTAAAAAATGCCAAATTTGCTTGGAGGTTCCACATAATCATCTTCGTCGTCAGAGACCTTGGAATCGACGTTCTTCAGATCATTGTCGGCTGATACATCGACAGTGTACATGTCTGCCTTCTTTTCGTCTTCATAAACTGTGGTGCTTTTGACTGCTCCATTTCGAACGGACTGTTGATCGGTAGGGACAGGGACGCTCTCTTCAACACTCGAACGAGTTGAGGATGTTGTGTGGATATTTTTACTATCCATGTTATATTTTTTTAAAAAAATATATTAAAGAAAAATATAAAGAATTTATATAGATATTAAAGGTAGTATTATTCCTCTTGACTTCTTATTCTTCTTTTGTGGTTGATCAATTCACAGTACAACGAAAGAAGCGAGGATTGGAAAGAGTAATGATAGAGAAAAAAAAGCAAAGAAAGTCAAAATGTTGGCTGTATTTAAGTGTTGTTGATGGGTAGGTGTAACAAATATCTTATCTTGGACTAGTCCAAAGATAAAATACACATACACACACATATAAAAAAAAAGAAAAAAAATTAAAGCTTTTGTCCTTCCAACCCTGCAAAAAAAAAGGGTACGCGGTATCAATTGGTATCTGACTGTAACAAGGAGTGGGCGCACAAAAAGACAGAATATAGCAAGATTATCCATTTTCACTTAATTCCGCGTATTACCACCCCCACCTAAAAACGGAAAAATTCTATTGCATAACTTCTTCTGTGTTGCGACTTATTACCCAATAGAGGATCAGTGCGCACACAACGAACAAATGGAATAAGTCGTATTGGTATCGAAAACCAATTGACCAATAAGTACAACTACACACATTATATAAATTCACTCATGTGAAGGCAGCCTTTCTCTATCTCTACAGATTAGGTTCTATATCCAAAACCATATACACCAATTATATATATAGGAATAACTTAGGAGATTTTATTTTTTATTTTCTGAGAAGAATACTATATAGATATACACACACATAGTAGAATGAGAATATCAAAATTGAGAAATGACTTGGCAACCAAGTAAAAAAAAAAGAAAGATCTACTCAATGTAAATTGTGTATTCCAACAACAGTAAAAAAAAAGAAAAGAAAGAAACACAAAAGATAACATTATCAAGAATTATTGATTAAGCAAAAATCTATACATTGGACAGAGCGAAACAACCGAAAAAAGAATAGAATATAATACTATTAGTAGTATTATATTTTAGTGGTATTTTTCACACCAATGATACTAGTACTTTCATAAATGCTTATACTTTTTATTTGTATTTACAGGCTATACATGTATGTATTTACTTTTAAAGAAGTTAGCACTTTTTGTAAGCTATTCCTATTATTCTTTAGTACTCTTCTTTAATAGCACTCTATTGGACTCTACTGGTCTACACTGTTCTATACTGAATTCCTTATTATATAGCATAGTAGAACATAATATACTCTCTCATATAACAGAAATGTCACAGTTATTAGTGAACAAGGCCTGTTTCTTTTCAAGAGTGTATAGGTATATAATATAAATGTATATACAAGTATAAAAGAGAAAGCAAAAATAAAATGTTTTGAAGCAAATAGGTTAGTCCCGTGCAACGATATTATACTTGTATAAACGTCAAGGATTATATACATATATGTATATATATATATATATATATTTGGTACTTTGGCTTAATCTTATGTATAAACAGTTACAAGATAAGCTGATACATCGGCAACTACTTCAAGGTCATGCGTGGTAAAGAAAGGAATAAAAGAAAAATAAAAAAAAAATAAAAAAGGGGGGGTATTTTTGTGAGGCAAGGTAAAGGCGAAAAAAAATAAAGTAATAATAAAAATAATAATAGGAAAAAAAATGAGCAGAAGTGTTACATCTGGTGTAAGAACATTAATAGCGAGATTTACTACATTTAGGTCATTGAATGGAGGGTAGATACAGTGATAATAGATTCGGTGGAACTTGACAGTCGCCCAATACTGGACACAGTGTTTCTAGATAACCCGCTTTCAGTAGCAAGACCAGTGGACGCTTTCCCAATGGTCGAACTGTTCAAACCAGATGCCTCAAGCACTACTGGAAGAGCACCCATTCTACATTACACAGAACATCAATGATAACCCCAATAAAAAATAATAATAAAGTAAAAGCCAAAAAAAATGATACTCCAAGAATAATAATACATAGTAACAAATTGTAACAACAGGTATTCAATAGTTTATAGTTTATATAAATATTAATATTGCTACTAATAGCTAAGAAGAAGAAGAAGATAATTATCAATTTACCTGCTAAGAGTCATCTGAAGTCGTAGGCAAACACACTCTTGGTAAACATCCCATAGTGTTCTGTGCTGGTACACACCCGTCCGAAGCCTGTGAATAAAATCATAAAATGACATTACACTGGCTAACCGATCACGGCAATATCGGTCAATACACGCCCAGTCATCAAAGTATGACACACGGAACCTGTAGGACAGCTCTTTTTCTTCTTCTTCTGGCTGCTGGATCGCACGTCCACACGCCTGACAGCCAGACACATGTGGCGAAAAAGCAAACCGTTCCCACAGACTCGCCGTCGCGGCAATCGCCTGTTCTTGCAAGTATCGCTCTACCTGGCTGCGTGCAAAGCCGTCCGGGCAGGCTTCGACAAAGCATGTCTTGACAACCACGGCATCGATGATCTTGCGCGATGTGATCAGTGGGTTGGGTCCCATGCGTAGACAGGGCTCAATGTCGTCTCCCAAACAATGCTTCATAAACTTTAGGCTGTGTAGCTTACGCAAGGACACACTCGGAAGGGCGAGCGCAAATTCATGGAACTCAGCCAGTACACTGCTGTTCCCGTCTTCATTGGGTGGTGGTAGCCACTGCACACGCAAAGGCTGTCCGTGAAGACGACTGAGATCAATGCGCGCACGGGTAAAGGCTTCAAGTGGACCTTCGTGTGTGGTGATCTCCTTGGCTTCCACACTCCGTCTCAAGGCTTCCAGTTGCTTTTGGGTGGCTCCAAGACGAGCCTGGGTGTGTTTGAGTTCAGACGCGTGATGATCATAGGTAAGCTGGAGGCGCTCTTTTTCACGTCTCTCCAGGCGGACCATGTGATTGGCCTCCTCAAAAAGGCGCTGGCCCAACTCTTCCAGCTCACGCTTGGCTCGCTCTTTGGACCGTTGAATGGTCTCGATCTGCGACATTTCTTCGAGGCATTTGAGATTAAACACCTTGAGATCATTCTTTAGAGAAACGATTCCAACCACACAACTTTCGAGCGCTTCCTGACGAGCACGGCACTGGTACTCTAGCCGTTTGATATCCTGTTCGCATTGGCTTTGTTGCCTGTGACATTCATTGATCTGTTGTTGGACAGCTGTTATAGTGTAAGCGAGTGGATTGATTGATGGTTTTAAAGGTTCGCCACATTGCATTTCGCTATGGTGTGGTGTTATTGGGCTATTGAGTGCAGTGCTTGTGGTGCTACTGTCGGTATCGTAATGACTGTCGCATGTTGCCCATGGAGATTCTTCACGGGTTATTTGAGTAGCTGTATTTTTATTCGCAGTTGCAGTTGCAGTTGTAGTTGTATTTGTATTAGTGGTTGCGGCAGAAGCACTAAATCGTCGTGATTGTGTCTTTTCTACCAAGACTGAGTGTATCTGGCCGTAGAGTAGTGCCATACTACTTTTTCGTTTTTGAGGGTCTGCAGTAGACATAATAAATAAGAAAGAAGGAAGAAAAAGAGGAGAAGATTGAATGAAATATGTTGCCTGCTTGTTATAGGAGCCTTCAAGGGGTTCTTATGGATGCATCTGGCTGGGTTGTGTGGATTGCCCTGCATCCGCCTCACAACGCAAAACTAGTAGATACAAGTTAAGTTAAGTTGAGTTAAGTTGAGTTTGGTAAGTAGGTTTTTTTTAAAGAGAAGAAGGAATGTTCTTACGCAATAGCTATTGTGTGTGCATGCGCCTTTCCATAGCCCAGTACTCACCGTGTTTTTTTTTCCAAGGGTATCACGTGTATTAAGTGCTGCTCTTTTAACAGACTTGATGGTGTGCAAGTCAAGAGATCCACTAATTTTTATTATTATTTTTATTTATTTAAATTGTACTTTTTTTTTTAAAAAAAAAAAAAGAAATTATTCTCTTTAAAGGTAGTTTATAATAGTATTGGTTTGACAGATATACTAATATAATTGTTTCTCTTGTTAATGCATTGATTTACATTGTGCTTCTCTTGTAGAAGTACATAAGTATTTTCTGGTACAAAACATAACAAAAAAAAACATATAAAGAAATCTAATTAATCGGTTTCTGTATCATTAAGATTTCAGCCGTCATACAGGAGAACAACGAATAAGTTTATGGCGTCTTTGTCTTTAAGCGGACAAACTGGGGATCGTCAGGGCATTTAGACACAAACTTATATACAATTAAGGATGTACGATCTGTTTATGAGTCAAATAAGCCCCATACATACAAACACACACGCACACGCACACACACACACGCACACAATCATACACCCCTTAATAATATTTTAATAGAAAAAAAGGGGGTAGACAGGTAGAGCATTTTGCATGATAACAAAAAAAAAGTAGATTTTTGCGTTTATTTTATTTAATCATCCGGAAGATTACTTTTCTTCTTCTTCTTCTTCTTCTTTAAATTTCGTTATTATTGGCTCTTGGCTCTTGGCTCTTGGCTCTTTACTTTTTACTTCCTTGTCAATGAATTGAATTGAACTGTAAGAGCAAATAATACTACAAACAAAGAGAGGTTTAAATGTTTATACGTCATCAAGAAAGAAAAAATACAAATGCAGATATACATTAAATGAATATTTGAGATAAAATAAAATAAAATGTCTGCTTTGTACAGCCCGCCAAGTTGATATATATTTATATTTATATATAAATGTGACAAATAAAAATAAAATTTAAAAAAAAATTAATCAAAAAAAAAAATCATGTACAAAAGAAGCTTTTATTTTCCTAGATCTCTGCTTAGGATGAGTTCGCCACTTGCCAAAGATTCCTTAAACCCAGATTTTAATAAAGCACCAAAAAAACAAATGAGCTCTTATTCTCCTCGCTATTCACCATTACCGAGAAGCCCGACAAGAGAGTACTTGGAATTAGCCAATCAACGATACCATTGCTTAAAAACACTCAGCAGAAAGAAACAATTGTTGATCTTGGATCTGAATGGAACACTTGTATCTCGAACCGGCTCAAAAGGAATGTACGTCCGACCACATCAGGATGAGTTTGTAGACTATGTCTTTGAGAACTTCCAAGTGATGGTATGGAGCTCTGCCCAGCCAGTGAATGTAGACAGGATGTGCCGGATGTTTGAAGACCACAGACCAGAGCTTGTGAAGGTCTGGGACCGTACTTATTTTGGTCTGACACCAAATCAATACAACAAGAAGATCGTGACCATCAAAGACCTCAAAAGAGTCTGGTCTGCGTTCGATAATGGAGAATACGATGCCACAAATACGATTCTTTTAGACGATTCTCCCGAAAAGACGGTCCTACAGCCTTATAACAGCGTCCATCTCACGAGCTTTGATCATCTTTCGAGTACCTTTCGCGCACATGGAGAGAGTGAACTGCTGGCGGTTATTAGTTATCTTGAAAAACTCAGAAAGGTTGATAATGTGTGCAGCTACATCCGAGAACGTCCTTATATCAGCCCTAGTATCAATCTCAATAAACAAGAACAAGAACAAGGACAACGAGAACAAGAACAACAGAATGAAAATGAAAATGAATTAGAAAACTTATATAAAGACAATAGCTTCTATTGTTATCATTATGAGTTTTTAAATCCTGAGGCTGGGCGAAAGATGTACTGCTTGGATGGTAGTAAAAGCAAAAAATCAAATGACAGGCCAGTAGACGTTTTGGAAAACAGAATGGACTCTATCCGTTTGTAAATATTGAGCTTCATGTGTACTTAATAAATCAATAATTTATTCTATTTTATTTTATTTTGCTCCATTTGATAAAAGTCTATAGAATTGTAAAATGTGTACTAATGTATACATATAGATTTCACAATATATCCTCCAGTATCAAACGACTCTGAATATCAAGATAAACTGATTGATATATTATTACAACAGAAGAAAAAGAAAGAAAATCGGTAAATGATGTCCGTTAGTTGGTGGGTTTAAGGCTAAAGGCAACCTTAACTCCCATAGTTTATCAATAGACCCATTATTCTTTTTGTCTATTTATGTATATATTTACCTTTTACTTATTCTTCTTTTTGAAGTTTAATCATCAAAGCGTTTTGCTTATTGCAAAGTATAAAGAAGCCCCGGGTTTTTTTTATAATACCTAATAATGTATACATTATATTCTATTATATACACTGTAAATTTATTGAAAATCATGTAAATCTACGCCTAAGCATCTAATAAACTATATTGCAAATAAATCAATGAGTCAATTAATCAATTAATCAATTATTAATAATAAAAATGAGAAAGAGGAAAAGAGAAAGTATATTGTGTCTTGTATAGGACTGGGTTTTTATCATTATTTTTACAGATCAAGGGAATATAATTAGCTACTGCTTTTTAGCCTTGCACGATACATAAATATTTGCTTGCATAAATAGTCAATTGGTCTATACGCTTCGCTTGAAAAAGGGGTTTAGTCAATCCCTTTATCAGTTTAAAAAAAGTTATAGCTGTATAGATTTATAAGATGCATGTACCTTGTCTCCGTAGGTGAGACATATTTGGTATTGATTCTGAACACGTTTTTTATATAATCATGTAAGTAAGCTGTTTGGATATAAACTATCTAATGTTAGCTGCTTGTATTATAATAAAATAAGAATAAGAATAAGAATAAGAGAGAAGTTGTCATATTCTGATGATTCTAAAAAACATATTAAACATATTAAACATTATATACAGGATTTTATTTTACAAGGTCCATTCTGGTCAAAAGAAGTATTCTTCACTCATATGTATATAAATTACATGTATTGTGACATATGGGTTTCTTTGTTAGACATATTTAATTCAAAGTAAAGAAAAAAATCATATCAAATTATTGACAAATACACCACTATAAGATATATATATTCAGTCTTTATTCTATTAAGCAATATTCTCCCCATCCCTTTCTTTTCCTTCCCCTCCTAAAATCTCATCCAATTTTGTCCTTTCTTTTGAATTGTGCTATTTTATATGTTATATTCTATAGACGCATGTGTATTTATATTATATTATATTATATTATATTATATTCTAGAGATTCAACTTGGGTACTTAAACCGAAAGGCAGTAGAGAAAAAAAACAAAAAAAAAAGTTTTGTAATGTTGTTTAATGAAGTAAGGCACAACATGTTTCTTGACAATCTATTTTACTTTTTTTTTTTTAAAAAAAAAGGGTTGGATTTGAAATAGATCAAGGTTCTGTCCCTGTATATTGAATTGAAAACTTTTGTACACCAAAACTATTTGATTGTATTTTGTAATCCTTTTATTTTGTTTTGTTTCTTAATTGTCATATCATGTCAATACCAGACCAAAGAAGAAAGATGAGTTAGTCAGTTGCTTAGTTACTGAATCGGTTACACGGTTAATTGGTTACTATGTTATTTAGTTGCTATGTTGTTTAGTTGCTAGGTTATTTAGTTATTTAGTTACTTAGTTACTTGATTATTTAGTGAGTCAATCAACCTTATCTCAACTTGACTTAACTCATCAAAACAAACAAACAACCAGCCAACTAAAAATAAGAAACCAAAAACATTAGACAAAAGGTACGTAGGTTCAAAAGCAGCATGTCTTCCTAATGCTCTTCTTATTGGTTTTTTTTAAAGGTGCTCACATAGACATTACTGTGCAGTGAAGATAGTTTATAATGTGTATGTGAGTACACATAGTTGAACTTTTTTTTTAAAATTTTTTATTTTGGGTCAATTTCCTCCTGAGATTTACATACTTTTTTTTTTTGCTGTGCGTTCATTCAGTACAAGTTAAACTATCCTTGAATGCGAGATGTCTTTTCTTTTTACGTTTTACTTTTCACTTTGCTTTTACCAATAACTTTTGAAAAAAAAGGTTACTTTATAGGTTTAAAGAAGTTAGCAAATAGGTCCATGCACTTCATAAATACCCTAGACAATAATAATAATAACAAAAGACGCTTCAATATTTTTGACGGTTACAAAAAAAATCTATTTTTACTGTTCGTAACATTTTTATATATATCTCCGGTCAAGAAACCATTATTATTATTATTTTAAGAAAAAAAAAGTAAAAAGGGAGTGCCAAAGAAGAGGGATCTTTTTATAGAGTAAGTGCAACAGTGATATTATAGAAGAGAATATTTCCTGGCTGGGACTGTCGTCACAAGCCAGACGGAATAGGATGGTTGATCTGATGGGCAGCAAGTATAAAAATATATTTATATAAACAACGAAACCCCAAAACTCTACATAAATATTATTGATAATTATATATATATATATACACATTACAGTGAATTTTAAATTATACACTTCTTTCTTCCTTTTCTTTGCTTTGCTTTCTTTCTTTCTTTCTTTGCTTTGTTTTCTTTCTTCATTACAATATATCTATATATTGCATTACGTTACATTACGTTGGGTTTTTAATTTTAGATATTTAATTTGTTTAATTTGTTAGATTTGATAAATTTATTTTATAAAGCAAACCAACAAAAGCATAAATACATATTACATATAAGGTCACTGTCTGATGTTGTATCTGACAGATGATGTTGGGCTTCTGCCCTTCTTTTTGCCATTTGGAATCATTGGATTCTACCGTTATCTCTGGTACTTCATCAAGTTAGTGGCGTGGCTGGTCTACAAGCCACGTCGGCCAAAGGAGAACCCGACCTATGACCCTGAGAGAGACGTGACGATTATCGTGCCAACCATTGATGCCGGAGAAGAGTTCAAGATTGCAGCCAGGAGCTGGTTGGCCTGTAAACCAAAGGAGATCATTATCATCACAGAAACAAAGATGCTCGGACCGCTGCAGGAGCTAGCTAATGAAGTCGATCCAACCAAAATCAAGGTCCTGACTGTATCCAAAGCCAACAAGCGATTACAGATGGTGGCTGGCGTAAATGCGACGCAGTCCGAGATCATTGTGTTCGCAGACGACGATGCGATCTGGAAACCGACGATGCTCGAGTACATCCTCGCGTGTTTCGAGGATCTGAAGATGGGCGGTGTTGGAACAAGCCAGACGGTTCACGCGGTCGATCCAAATGGCCACCAGACCGTCTGGGAGATCCTGGCCGGATATCGGTTGACGAGTCGCAACATCGAAATCGCTTCTTCAACCCACATTGACGGCGGCGTCTGCTGTCTTTCGGGACGCACGGCCGCTTACCGTACCCTCATCCTCAAGGACCCGGCCTTCCAGCACTGTTTCACTAACGACCTCTGGCTGGGAAAATATCCCCTCAATTCGGGTGACGACAAATTCTTGACACGCTGGATGGTGTCTCATGGCTGGAATACCTATGCTCAGGTCTGCAAAGAGGCCGAACTGTTCTCGACCTTCAAGAACAACTGGAGATTCGTCAAACAGGTCTTGCGCTGGACCCGAAACACCTGGCGCTCTGATTTCAGGTCGCTGTTTACCGAACGCTACATCTGGAGCCGCCACCCGTATGTTGCATTCACCATGGTCGACAAGCTTTTCAACCCTCTGACCCTTTTGGCTGGTCCTATCTTGGTGGGTGTGTTTGCGTCGATCCAGAAGAACAAGGAGGACCGGACAAGCGAACCGCTGCCGGGATGGAACATTGCTATCTCATACATCATCTGGCTTCTGGTCACCCGTGCCATCAAACTCGGTCCACACTTCATCAGACGTCCACTAGACATCTGGGCGTTGCCTGCCTGGTTACTATTCAATTACTACTTTGCGATCATGAAGATCTACGCCCTCTTTACTCTACACGAGGTAGGCTGGGGTACCCGTGCTGGTATTGGAAATGAGCTTGCGGCAGACATTGGCAAGCAGGATATCCAGATCGCTGCCGACGCTGCCGACGCTACTCAGAATCCAAATGGTAGGAATACAAAGATCGAAATGAGTAGCGTTGGCAATGAGCCCCCACAAAACAGACCAGGCGTCTACATTGCTCCTCCAGTACACGATCCATTCTGGTCTGAGGATGACTATCGGACTGAAATGGGCACTGATGGTGCTCTTCCACCTCACACTCAACTTCTTCAAGGACAAGAGCGTCGTTAATATACATCTCTCTACACTCACTCATATATACACTCCCATACATTCAATTTCACACACACACACACACTAATATATATATATATTATATTATATACTTTCTCCCTCTATTTTACTTTTTATTTTATTTTATTTTATTTTACTACTTTGTCCTATCATCGTCTCTCTAGTTTCACGTTTTCCTTCTTCTCTTTCATCTTCCCTCCCTCTTTGCATTCTCATTAGGTTCTTTCTTGTGTGCATACATTCAATAAAAAAAAACACTATAAATAGAAGAATATATATATATATATATATACATATATTCTCTCTTTATCTCTCTCTCTATATATCTTTTCTCTATTATTTTTCGTGTGTGTCTTACTTTCCATGTCGATCCTTTCTTTCCGGACGATTCTCCAAAAAAGTAAATTTAGAGAACGATACAGCCCCGCCAATCAATCAATACACCATAATCAATTTTCTTTTTTGGTTATCGTTCAAAGCTCATCAAATCAAGGCCCCGTTTCACCAGCATTTCTTTGGCGTGTTCCGGTACAAGCATGTTAAATAACTCAGAGTCAACAGATAGTTCTATGCATTGTGTATATACATTACATTACATTACATTACATTACATTACATAAATACATAAATACATATATAGGACATATACATATATACATATATACATGAATATATCATTATTATACTTGCTGCATCTCGTTTATTTTATCTTAATCGTATACGCATATGAAAACAAAAACAAAACAAAAAACATATATAGAGATAGAAGTATATATAAAAAGATTTGTAGTTTATCTACAAGCTATCTTTACCTTGAGATGAAAAGTCAAACAGGGGTGGAAGAGATTTGCCATTACCAAGACGTGTATCTGGATGTCGAAGTTCATCAAAGAAGGGGTGTACAAGCAGTTTGATTGCAGTGTGTCTAATAGTAGGGTTGTACACAAGTGTGCGCGACATCAAATCAACAGCCTCGGGCGGTGTTCTCCAACGGAAAAGCTTTACAAATGTTAACCATGTAAATTGATTGGGTGTTTATGTTTTGTTTTGATTTGATTTGCTTTGTTCAAAAGGGTATACATATGTATATAATCACTTTATCTTTATCTTCACTTTTATCTTGATCTTGATCTTAATATTCCCTTTTTTTGTTATTGTTTCTTCTATATATCTACTGGTAACTAGGCAACCATATGTAACTAGGCAACCATATAGCTATATATATTTTTTACCTTTTGGAGAGAATATGGTTGTATCTGAGGAAATTTATGATCAATGTATCGAGGATTCATAGCCTTGATGTCTTCTCGTGAAGGAGTTCCAAGTACTTTTATGATCTCTACTAGTTGGTCAATAGCACTCTCGCCCACAAACACTGGCTGTCCAAGCAGCAATTCACCCATTACACACGCTGCTGACCACACATCGACCTGACTCGTGTAGTCTGTCGCACCAAAAACAAGTTCGGGTGCTCGATAGTACCTTGAACAGATGTAGGCCACATTTGGCTCACCTACCACCAAGCATTTCGCACTATAATATATATATAGTATATAACATGATCCGCACACAGGCACAGGCACAGGCACAGACGTATTCATACATAATTCGAATTTAGTCAAGATCCAATTACTAACTAACTAACTAGGAGTAGCATTCTAATTTATTTATTTTTTACAAACCTTCCGAAATCGCACAACTTTAATACCCCACTGACAGGATCAACTAAAAGATTTTGCGGTTTGATGTCTCGATGACATATACCAATTGAGTGAATATAAACAAGCGATCGAAACAATTGGTAAGTGTACAGCTTGACTTGCAACATTGGAATCGGTTGCTGAATTTTGGCATGATAACGTGCCACCCGATGAACCGTCTCAGGAACATAATCCAATACCAGGTTAAGGTACACATCCTAAAATTAGAACCAAACAACAACAAGTAAAAGAAGTATATATTTATGTATATATACGTGTATGTGGGTTAGTATCATATTATTACTATACAATAAGTTCTTTTTATTTTAGTAAACTTACCCCTCGGCTACCCGTGGAATAAAAATAGGCTTCAAGGCCACACACGTTCGGATGATCCATCTTCTTCATCATTTCTAGTTCACGGTTCTAAAGAAAAAGAAGAAAACAAAATTCTCCGATTATTAGGAAAGACATAGATCAATCAATCAAAGTTTCTATCCTTTCCTTTGTCTGTATATTCTCTCTACCTCTACCTCTACCTCTACCTTTACCTTTCTCTTTCTCTTTCTTTTTTTTTTAATTTTTATTATAATTATTTCTTTATTTTACCTTGTAGCGTTTGTCTTGTAATACTTTTTTGATCGCGTATTTTTGTCCATTTTTTACAAACCGGACCTGGCACACGACTCCAAAGGATCCACTGCCGACAACCTTTTGATGTCTGTACTCCAGTTCAATTCCTTTTCCTGTCTTGCCTTCTTTGGCAGGGACTCTTGTAATTTGTGGGGATTCCTGCAAAGTATCTTGTTCAAATATTTATTATTATTATTATTATTATTATTATTATTATTATTGTTATAGTTTTTTTTTTAAAAATAATAATAATAATAATTAAATAATATTTCATTTCATTTATTACTACTCTTATTTAAAGAACCACCCGAGCAACAACAACAAAGAAAAGAATCTGCCCATTAGAACATTAGTTCACCTGATTTCTTCGAATTGGTTACAGATCCCGTCAATAAAGACAGATCACTTGTTGCAGGTGTCTTTGACTGACTCATTCTCAATCACGAACTATTCTTTGTGTAAAGTAAGAATGTCTCCCAAAAAAAAACCAGCTAATCTAGCTAGGTAGGTTGTATGTGGGTGGGGGGGAGGGGAGGGGGGCTGTCACGTGGAGTGAGGATTATATATGAAAGAGAGGAGCAACAAGAGCAGGCTAGTTTGTGGGTATGTAGGATGATTGGATTATAAGTTTTCCTGAATTGAATATATCAAGGGTGATTGTACAGGTAATTTATATCCTTTTCTTTTCTTTCTTTTTTTTACTATATCGGAGTTGATTTTATCTTTATATATAGGAATTCAATGAAAAAGTGGAACCACACAATTCAAATATTCTATTCTATATTTGTCTTCACATGACATTGCAGTTTGTTGTAAGGAGACAAGCTGCAAGCCTTTCATTGTTGTTGCTGTTGATTTTATTGTTTTTTTCTTATATATTTTTGCTTTAAAATTTAAATGTACATATAAAGATTGTTCTTTCTCTTTACATTCACTTTTTTTTATTACAAAATTCAAGTAAAAAGACGCGTTTTTATATATATGTAATTTTTCTGTAAAGAAAAGTTGCGTTTTACAATATATAAATTCTAGCCAATAAAAATCTAAGGTTACCATAAACTCAACAACAACAAAAACAACAACATCAGAAACTATCTAAAAAAAGTTTAGCTTTATTTTATTTTTTTATTTTTTTATGAAAAACTATATGAGTTTAAAATAATTTTTTTCTAAAACTGCCTTTCTTTTCGTCTTTTTTTTTTTTTAACTCTTGACTCAGATAATCGAATCAATTTATCACGTTTTGTTCAATTTCGATATAATCACTAATTCTAAATATGTATATATATCATTATTGGCCAAAGGATATAATAAATAAATAAAGGGGGGTGAAGAGTATATACTAAAGTGAATTAACACAGATAGTTATCTTCTTTAAAGAGAAAAACAGCCTAGTAATGTATTGCCACAGTTTCTTGTATAATCATATACTACAGTAACAAAAATAACAGTCAGTAATAAATGTATTTATTTGCGTGTTGTTCAAATAAGAAAATCCAAAAGAGAGAAAAAATGAAGAAGAGGATGAGAAAACTATGTACTGGATTTGTTATGACAAATGAGAAAATAAAATAGAAACGTTTGAAAAATAAAGAAGTTCCTTTTTTTTATCTTTTGCTTCTTCTGGTCTAGTTAGAGTCACACGGCAGTGTTGATGAAGTAATATACATATGAATGCAATTGAGGATTTTGCTTTTTAAAAAGCATAAGAAGGTTCGAAGGACGGTCTGGATGGGATCTTTAAAGTTGCTGCGCCAAGGAAATTGTTGAAAGGTTTTCTCTAGAATAACGACCAATCTGTTCGCATGCATTGTCTAACCAAGACATAAACTTCACCATATAACTGTAGTTGCAATAAATAAATAAATATAAAGCAAGTCCAAGTACTTGGCTAGCATAGATGTCTATACCAAATAATAAGAATAATACTATCTTTTGAGTACTAACCTTTCGTATTGCATTTTGTATTTTTATTTTAGAGAAAAGAAGAAGAAAAAGGTAATCAGAGTGTTAAAAAGCAGTGTATAAACGCACACACATACACACATATATATATATACCAAAAAAAATACTAGACGTCAGGATTATCTGATTCTAGTCAAAGCCAACGAATGAATTTTTATTGACATACTGAAAAATCATATTAAGTGCGCCAAGAGAGGATACAATAGGTCATGGCGCCTGTTGAGATTATAACTTAATCGCTTGGCACTTTCTGTAGAACCACCCGTTTTTTTTTTGCTTTTTTTTGCTTTCTTGGAAGGATATTGTTCTCACCTTGGAGGGGTGTTAATAAACGTTTTATATTTAAAAGTAATAAACCAAAGTATATTCCGTCTTTCTTTCATTCTACAATTTAAACATTCTGTAGGATGAGCGAAATATATAGATAAATGTCTATAAAGAGGGTTGTGATCAAAATAAAGATGGTGAAAAAGAAAATCAAAGCAAATCAAACCAAGTTTTGAAACTAAAATAACTAATGGTAACTATTCTACAAAAGAAGTAGGACAATAGATAAGGACATCATACAATATTAAAAAGGTTGAGATACTGTACAAGTAATAAGTTACGCGCTATTACTATTACTATAGCTACTATTATGAAACTGTAGGTAGTTTCATCCTATAGATAAGTAAGAACCATCAATTTTATTAGAGCTTCTACTGAAAACAAGTAAATATTGAAAGGCTATCTATCTAAAATGTCAAATTAGCTCTTGCCGCAGCAACTTGTTGATTCTTATTTCAGTATCAGAGAACCGGAACTAATGCCGCCGTACAATCTAATGGGAAAACTAATCCGAGACCCAGCTAGAAACTGTCTTGAAGAACCCTCCTTTACCATTTATGAGCACATCCTTGTCTCCCTAATGTTTATAAAGTTACATTGCTATCACTATAGCAAGAATTACAATGAATAGTATGTAACGACATTTTTCTTTGTTTAGTAATGATATGCAGATCCGTATCAATAGTGACACTAATTTTTATATCAATGCTACCAAATCAATCAAGAATAAAGGCCACTCTAACTCTTACATTCTAGTTTGTCTATTTTCTTTTACTTGACTACAATAGCACAATCTATATTTCCATTTATGCAGATATTTATTATATACTTTGAATACTTTTTTATTTATTTAATAAAAAAAAAGGATCATTTTGATCATTTCGATCAATTAAATACAAATAAGCTGAGCAAAAACTCTTTACATTTGTAAGTAAAATGGTGAGATACATTAAGATCCACCATCTTGAGGTAGTTTGACATTGGTTGCTCAAACATTGATCAAATAATCTCATCTTTTCACTCTGAAAAGCAATTTACTAATAATATTTTGGATATTTACACAACTAAAGACGTTATTTAAAGACTCGACAATAAAAGTGTGTGCTCCAAACATTAATCTTTATATGCGATGGCAGGGTTCTATGATTATTTATCGCGAGCATTATATATAATGCTATATGGTGGCCGTGTGCTTTTATTTTCTATCATTGCCAATGTATCGATAGGATAATGTTAATTAGTAGGTAATGAACTAAAAAGTTCAAAAAAAAAATTACTAAATCAAGTGCTGGCTGTATTCTTTGTTTTGTTTTGAAAAAGAGGAGCCCCAAGATATCCTCCACCCATATTTGGTGCTAGAATTATTGGTGTATGTATTATTTCTAGAATAATGTATTGTCTCAAGCTATTCAAATTTTTAGATTTAATTTACAAGATTCATTACAAGTAGCTTCATATATATATACTATCAATTTTCTAATTGAAACATAACGTGTGTGAAATGTATTTTTTTAAGGTTTGAAAATAAGGTTTCGTTTTTAGTTTTTCTTTAATTATAATTATTCCAGTATGTAGGTAATGGCATTTATAAGATATTATTTTATGTTATATGTAAGATATATGTATATATAGTCTGATGTAGTAGTTGGTGTATAGATATATATTCTCAATCATGCTTGTGCGTAAGAGTATTCTTTGTTTCTTCTGTATCCAATTTGGTAGCTTCATGTTGTACGGCGTGGCTGGTGGAATCTCCGACAATGTCAATGGGCGTTTGTTGAATGGTTCTTTCTTCTACATCTGACATGACAGGCCTTGACGAATCTTCATGTTGAGTAGACAATAATACTGGATTTGACGAGTTTATGAATCCAGACATTTCTTCTTTAATTAGTAGATTTGTATCAAGAACTACACTGCTTGTATCAGATGATTCAGTAACACCTGGCCCAACAGTGTCTGACAAAGATTTGTCCTCTTTGGGCACTTTTGATAAATTAGGCGATCCGGGCCGGTTGTTTGCTGTTTCTGTAGGTATGGTAGGCACGATAGGAACTACTTCATCAATTGATGTGCGAGGAGTAATATCTCTTTGCATGGTGTGTGGTAGTGTGCTGGTTGAAACAACAGCTGGGAGAGCAGCATAACTGTTTGTTGTTTCGGACTCTTCTTCCTCATCTTCGCCAGAGCCTTCAGGGTTATAACATTTTTGCTTGCAAGTTGGACAGAGTGTCGATTTTTGTGAAAGCCATGGATCTGGTGCACACCAATGACAATAAGATTATTCTTGTCATTACTTATGTCCATTACTTCTGCATCTTCTTTCTTTTTTGGGTAGTAGTACTTGCCTATACACAAAACACAGAAGCCATGTCCACAAGGCAGTATGCGTATTTCATGTACATCTTCCTCAAAATCATCCAGACATATAGAGCAGCTAGTATCTCTAACACACCCAGTCTTGTATTTTACTACTGGAAATGAGTTAAGGACATTTATTGGGAGTGGTTTCTTGAGCTGTTCCATGCGATATATCTCTTCTCTTCTCTGTGTTTCTTGGGCTAACTGGTTAGCAAGAGATCTCTTCATCCACCAACGTAAGAGAATAAACGCCGCAATTATGACTTTTAAAAAAACATAGTTTAAACAATATGTACTTTCCAATTGTTTGTTTGATTGTTTGATTGATTGATCCTGCTGTCTTTGTTGTTTTCACTTACTTGCAAACAATAATACAGACAGTCCAATAATATAAGACAAATACTTTTTACTTGATTTGAACTCCTCTAGTGTCTGTTCATGGCTGCCAGTCGGAGTACTATCTACACCAGTACCTGGCTGACTGGCAGTGCTATTGTTAGTACTTGTTGAGCTAGTCCATTCTTTTGCTCGAACTACGGGAGCCAGCATCCAATAGGAGGTTTCATTTGCTGTAAGTTTCGCAAAAGCTTTTGCATATGAATTTAAAAGGGCTCGACCATACAACCTTGGTACAAAATAGAGTGGAAGACTACGATTTCCCACAACAATATTATTGTCTAGCATGTGAGAAATATTACGCTCGTTTACAAGCTCTCCTGAATAAGCTTGAATAAAAGTTGTCCCGACAGTTGCGGTAAGCGTGTATTCTATATCACCGGCGGGGTAGCTGGTGTTGTCGTAGATAATTACCGCCTCCACATTAAGACTGTATGCTAAAGATAGACTACGTGCTACTTCAGATTTTTCGGTCCAGTTGCAACCCCCACGCTCAACAAGAGCAATTTTTGATTGTGTTATTGTACTGTTCAGTAAGCTACTATTATAGTTGATGCTCTGCAGACGCTCGAGAGTCAGATTACTCGAAAGGCAGCACTTCTCAAAGCTAACTATAGCACGCTAGGTGGTCAACACAATAAGTATGTTGTGTCGTGTTGTGTCGTGTTGTTTTGTTTTGTTGTACTGTGTTGTCAACCAGCACCTTTTATTACTGCTACCACTATTAGCAGGAAAACTACATACCCTAAAGGTCATTATACTGTCTGTTCCAGCATATACAGTCTGAAAGTCCTGGGAAGAAGCGAGCCTGGATGTATCATTTACAGAGCTTGCAAGGACATCCGAATTGCTGACATTACGAAGGAACTGCTCTTGCCAGAATGCAGGATTACGAATCGTTTGAGACAACACTCCCGCTGCGCATAATAAAAGAAGATAGAATGTCGCCACCAGACGATGTGAATGAGCCGATAACATGAAGTTTAATCAAATGACAAAAAGAGCATTTGTAAAAAAAAAAAGCACACTGGTAAGCAACAGAATGTGATTGAGCAGGTTACACCAATGATTTCATGTAAGGCAGCCAAGGCCCATGGCTGTATTATTTTTTTTCTTTCTCTCGCTTTAGTCCAAAGCCATATCGACATCTTCGTTAATGGTCTATATAAATAGGTTGATATAGATATATCAATATAAACTTAGATTGATTATAAAGAGTGTATATATATATATATATATAATATTATTATTACGCACCTTTTCTGTTGTCTTCATATAAGCCTCCATTTCTTCATCAAGCTCTGTTGCGCTCTTAGCCTTTCTTTGGCCCTCGCCTCTGGCACCTCGACTGTTTTCTCCGCGCCCTCCGCGGTTACCGTCTCCACGTCCTCCACGTCCTCCACGTCCCCCGCGTCCTCCACGGCCGTGGTCATTCCTGTCTCCACGATTATTACGGTCTCCACGATCGCTGTTAATAAATAAGATCATTCAGCATAATACAATAAAATCGAGGTTCAAAATGACGATAATCAAGTTGAACAAATAGTACAGAAAGTATTATCCCCAAAAGACAAGAAAATTTCCCATTCTGGTTGGCTTAGCACGCAGTCTTGTGTGCATGTTTCCCTTTGACCAACTTGCTTCGACAGTATAAACGTATAAAAAAAGAAGAAGACAGAAAGGAGTTTCCATAGGAGTGGTAATAAACATACGTTGTGTAGCTTCGGAAATTCTGGCGTCCATTTGAGACTTTGGGGCGGCTAGTGCGTAGTGGTGCAATCACAATATGCATTGCTTGACCTGGTTTGAATCCAATGGATTCAATCAGACAGTCATGCTTCACATATTTGTGTATTATCATCATGCTCTGACTTACCATCGAGCTCAAGGTTGTTATATTTTTCAATAGCCTTATGCGTGTCTGCGCTGTTGGAGAAACGAATAGTGGCTGTACCTGTAGATCTGCCAGAGCGATCAAATTGAATACGTGTACGTTCAACCTGACCAACTGCTCTGAACAATTCCTATAATAGTAATGGTAATAATAATAATAAAAGAAAATAATAATCAGGTTTAATATAAAAAAAAGAAAAGAAAAAAAAGCAAACATTTTTGATATCTATTTAATTTTCCAACTTACTTGGAGATCGGCCTCCGTAACGTTGTAGTGAAGATTCTCAATAGTAATCTCATTACTTTCTACTGATCTTGCAGCAGAATTTCCACCTAACCGAGACGTAATGGATCTATTTTCGTTATTGCTATAACCATTAGAGCGATTGTCTTCAAAGAGATCGTGTTTCCACTGCTGGTTGACGGTCCGGTCGTTGCTCTGGTGGGGTGCCGGAAGTCAAAGTCAGATGCTATTTCGAGAAGAAGACAGCAGTAGACTACCACAGACTCACAGAGGGGCTGTCTCTTAATTGAACAGTTCGAACAAACGATTGTACGATGCGTGAAGAACCAGGACCGGCAGTTCTTTTGCGGATACCGCCAGACGAAAATCTATCTTGGTTTCTGTTTCCACCAGATCTTTCGTATGTACGTTCCTTGATGACTTCATCAAGAGCTCTATCCAACTGAATTCCCATTTTGTAATTGAAAGAGGGAGAAAGGTAAGGGGCTTTCTTTTTTTTTTTCTTAAAAAAATCGGTAAACCTCGTCTGCAAATCGTAACCAGTCGCACTCGCATTGGATTATCGCTCGTGTTTTTGTTGCGTCACGTAGTGTGACTGTGGGTAGGTTCCTGGCGATTCGGTCATTCGGATATGCGACTGTTCCAAGCTGCTGGTGAAAGTGGTTGGGGTTGAAAGAGTGCCAAAAAAAAGATAAAAAGTTCTATGGACGATTCATGTGTTATTCATGTCCTTGTTTTTAATATCAGAAAAGACTGTATATTATTTCATTTTTTGTTTCTACAAGCTTTAGTGTGCATTCCAGCTAGATCCTAGATTGTACAGACACACTTGGACATACCCACATGAATATGTAAAGGTGTTCATTTTAACAAAAATTAAATATCGTTTTGTATTCGTTGATAAACTCAAGATGGAATAGATAAATTTGGCTGTGAAGGATATTCGTTATGTACGGAGTATAAATGCTGGTTATGATTAGTGTTATTAGTAGTAAGCTTAAAGATCATAGAAAATACAATAAGTATTAGAACACGACGCTTTTCTGTCAATCCTCACGCTTTACTATTTAACTAATCTAGGGATAACAGCGTATGGCTTAAGCTTAGTATTATAATTTAGTACTCTAAAGCAAAAAAAAAAAAGTATCAATAAAATGTTAAGAATTGTATATATGAGATATTCGTTTCTAATGATGTAGCTGCCCGCTTTAATATGCCTGCAGATACCTCTTTATTTAACATATTCTATAAACTTGTCCTTCTCGTAATCAAATGTTTTCATTTTATTTACTTTTATTTATTTCTCATATGTGTGATCTTTGGTTAGTTACAGTTTGTACCTATCTATCAACTGAATATATTGTATATATTATTTCTCTCATACACATGTTGAACCAACAACTTTTCCCCAACCATCTATGTTCTTCCTATAAAATATAACATGGCCAAGTAGATCAAATTTATTCCAACAGAAGAAGATTATTGTTATTATTTCGCCAAGGCCTTCAATTGAAGGATAACTATTGGAAGGATTAGTTTATTTAGGGTGTCAATTGGTTTTATTATTAATATTGTTACTGTAGAACAGCAAATACTTGCCCAATTGCAGATGCAGAATCCTCCAATTACTTGACTATGTTGAGTATATACTTAAGAATCTTGGGAAATAATTTAATCCTTATTGCAATATACATAGTTCACGAAATTAATACGCATAAGACATGCATAGAATTCGAGTGTCGATAGGATAACTTTCTCCAAACTTTACCAAATAATGCTTATTAAGACAGGATAGTATTTATGACATAACTGCTGATAGGTTTGAAGTAGACAGTATCATAATTCGAGAAATATATATCATGTGCTTATAGTTGTTCTCGTTGGTGCTAAAGTTTGTGTTCTTACGAATACTTATTGTATATGAAAAGTGCATATTATGGCTGACAAGATTATTATATAATTAAACGTATAGCAGAAGATGAAATATTTTTCTATTCCATGATGTATAGGTTAATCTATTGTAAAATATATGGCTTTCAGCCAGCACCATAAAAAAATACATATTTAGGAGTATATTTTTCTTTAATATGCTCTGGATATGCATAAAGGTTTATCTTGGAAAAGCCTCCTGCTAAAATAACCTTTCTTTTTTTTTTACCATGGTGGGTAACAATGCTAGCTTATCTAATGTGGTTTGAAGGCCTCTTTATGGTGGCATGTTTTATTTTCACAAATACGATGGCTTAAATGAATTCTTGTCATTTGCTCGCTTTTATGTGTTATTGAATCACACCATTACATTTTGATTCGTCCAAAACATTTCTTAATTTGTCTCAATCTAAAGTAGAAACTGTATTAAATTTAAATCCGGTATTCAAACCGTCTTCGACAAACATATATAATTTGAAATGTTATTTTTTCTGGGGTAAAGTATGAACACACGAATACTGTGAAACAATCTTTCTCTTTCATATTCCTTCCAAAAAACTATTCAATATACCAAAGTCAGAGCTAGTAACTTACTAAATTGCTTGCTTAACAAAAAAAAAAGGATCGCATGGGAGATGTATTGCATGGTACCAAAGCCACATTTAATTATAGGAATATCAATATTGAATATTTTCTGTATTCGGTGAACTGGCCGCAAAAAGCCATTTAGAGTCGTATGTTTATGCCAGAAAAACGTCTGTGTATCATATCAAATACAGTAATATTGTAATCATTGTCGGAACTATCTTGATACTTGAGTAACATATTACAAACTACCTTTGCACAATTCAATAAAGGTTCATTTGTGTAATACACTTAGAGAATGTCATATTAATGTATAATGTCAACCATTGAACTTCTCTCATATTAACCCCAGAATATCCCTATTTCCCCTAAGGTCTATAGTTTCTTGGTTACCAGGTGAACAAGTTTTAAAAAGAAAGTATGTACAAAATATATTCATGTGTTCAGATACTTAAACCTCTAATTACTGGATAACATGATGGCTGCCATACATCTTATAGCTAATAGCCATCTTTTGGCTACTCTCTTCATCTGTTTTCGGCAATAAAAGAAGGGTATAATCATTTTCACCCCCCACAAAATAGTAGTGCTGCATATTATCCCATCCGAACGGCGAATCATGGAAACCCCAAACGGTCAGGGAAGTCCAATTTTCAGTTACTTTGACAGACATTAGCTTTCTAGAAAATATTACCAGCAATTTTGGTTTGCTCCGTTCGTTAGATAAAGATATCAAATACTTTTTAAAGTACATACCTTAGTGCTGAGAGTATACTGCTAATAAGAGCCGGAAGAATAAACCCTTTCCAGGTAACAAGAACACCATGTTGATGTGCTGCATTAGGTACAGGTGCCCTATAGGTAGACACAAACGGGTCTGGTTTGTCATTGCTAGACAGTCTGAAATAAGAGAATAATTAGATAAAGTAAAATATAAAGGGAGTACGCTTCACCCCTTACTTACCTTTTTGCTTTCAAGTGCACAAGGCCAAGCCATTCAACTGCATCAATGGACTTTTGCTCCCACATTTTCTCAGATGTACATGCTGCAGGTCGTAAATTATCAAAAGAAGGGATAGTGATCCCAGATATATCCTCAATATGAGCACTATTTTCCAATCTTCTGTAAGATACACCTGCAGGCCATTCAATATCCAATGCAGATCCTGTCACTAGAATAGATCAAACCTTTTGTCATTATTTGCCCTCATTATTTTTCATCCAGGAGTCTTCATTACCTTTGTCCACTGAAGCTGCGAGCATTTTGATTGGGTTTGTGAAGGTACTTTCCAAACACCACAATAATCTTTCATACATTTTAGTACCAGGAACTAGCTTTGGATCCCCAAGATCAATCCTGACAACTTTTTTTTTTACAAATATGATGAGCCGTTTATCAATTAGCCTTGATATTAATTACCATATCGTTGGCGTTTCATATCAGCTCTTGTTTGTTTCCTGGCCTGAATACCAAACATTTCATGGGTTGATTTTGTAAGGTTCATGACAAGTGTACCTTTATTTTCAAAAAAAAATTGCAAACAAATAAATTATATAGGTATTCGATCCATCTTACTTTCTCTTTGATGTGTATGCGCAGTGGGTATAATTAAAAGTTCAACATACCATTGAGATCCAAAACAATCACATCGTCTGAGTCCAGATGAGTATCCACACTATGCAATACTAAACTCTTATGGCCTAAATATAATAAAAAATGAGGAGTTTAGGTATGGATAAAGGGGCATTTGTTTAATTTTTGGATTTGGCTCAATAGAACATACCAGACTGAACATACGTTTTCATGAAAGTAGGGTCGAGTAAAGTAGATAGTTTAATATCAATTTGATAAAACCAGCCGAGATCTTGATTTAGATGAGCTTGTGCTCTTTCAAGAGAACACGCTGGAAGGAATATAGCTACCTGTATGCAAAATAAGTAATGTAAAACGTTGATTTAAAATTAATCTTACTTGATGATTAAAAGGGTGATTGTCAATGGGGAGTGTGTTGGTGTCAAGATCAACATAAGCGAGATCTGCTGCTGAGTCGAGATCTGGAAGTTCTGGTAGATATGTCTTTCGGCTCATGATCACGGACTACAAGCAAAAGGGAGTGTCGTTCGGTTTAAAAACCAGCCAAAGCGCGTCTTATTTTTTTTGTAGTTGTGCTTGTGCCTTTTCATTGGCGTGACTGTGAGGAACAGACCTGGTTAGATTTCCTTTTTTGCACATTTGCTCACCGCTCAGAACCCCGTTCCGACATGATCTCGTATGTTTGGCTTCCTTGTCATAGATTGGTGCTTTTTCTTTTTCATGTGTTCAGGAGAGGAAATGGGAGACGCTGGAAGGGAAAGTTCCGCCAATACTGTATTTCATCTGGTTGGGATGTGAAAGGAAAGGTCTGGTTTTAATTTAAATCCCGCTTTGCGATGAAAACCGAGTCCCATCATCAAAGTGAACGGACGAAACTCACACGTTGTTTTCACCTTTCTTACTTTAAACGTTTATTGAATGCCAAAATGCACATCGAAATCTCTCAAGCTGTTGAGTTCCTGGGCCGACTACTGCAATCTAAGCTCGACCAAGACAAACTATCATTGCTAAAAGATGAACTGACGGAATTACTCAAAGACCGTTTTGTTGACCATTGGGATCCTCTTCAGCCTTATCGTGGCAATGGCTTCCGGGCCCTCACTAACTTTAATGGACAGCTTGACCCAGTCCTTGCTATGGGTAGATTGCGCCTTAGTTGTCATGACAACGTTGTGATGCTGACTTGGTTGCTATGTAGCCGCTAACAATGCATCGATCCCAGTTGCATGGGTCGATATCCATTTACCTCGTGATTTTGTTCTGTGGATTGACCCCTTCTCGGTTTCTTATCGAGTAGGTGACCATGGCAACATTATGACGCTCTTTGAAGACCGTACTCGTGGACGAATTTCGCTCAAGCCGGAGCCTCAAGGACGTAACACTTCCAAGAGTCCATCCTGTAGTCCTTTGTTACAGTATATTCAGCCCAGAACATCCACGCCTATCCGTATTTCCCCTCCAAGTAGCCCAGACACCCTCAGATTAGCAAGAAATCAAGTTCACCAGTCCTCTCCTTTGGCAAAGCAGCCAAAAATAGTGACTGCAGTAGGTAAGCAGGAGCAACCTCTTGCTTCACCACCAGAAGAGGAAGACGACCATCAGCAGCACCAGCTTGTAATGGCGAACTAATGGTCTCTCCCTTCGTGTCTATATTTCTCTCCCTTTCTTTTACGTAGTATGGTTTCTCTCTATTGTTTTGATTTCACCCCTTATTTGCCAGCTATTTTGTCTATTTGTGTTCATTGTGTTTCGATGTAAATGCTTTCTTTGTTTTTCTCCGAGTGGACTGTATTGTTTTTCGATAAAACGCTGTTTTAAAAATGAATGGTTTAAATGCTCTATTTTTGCGTTATGACATGGAAAAAGCTGTCTAAATTAAGCACCGATATGCTTTTTTGAGACCAGAAAAATAGTTGGTCCAATAGAAAGAAGCCGAGTTATATCACTATTACAGCATGTGGTAATCATATATAATGGAGTAATCTCTAAGATACTGGAAAATGCTGTAACATTCCTTTAAAGTTTCATACATGCAATATCATCTTTTCCACATAAAAAAAATTCGACAATGAAGGTGTTGAAGAAACAACATAAAAGAGATTTAGACGGCGATTATGTTCTTAGAGAAGAATAGTGTTTTCTTTTTTCAAAATCGCAAAATTTATATACGATATACAAAAATATGTTATTTTCTTTTGTATTTATGGTTGGCTTAAATGCAAAGCATCAAATCACTAGCTTTGTATTCCTGGGAGTAAACCTTTGGTATTACAAAAGATAGGAAGGGAAAGATGAAGAAAAAAATAGCTAAATGGTTTAATCTAAAGAAGCGTTGTATATAACTACGCCTGTCTTACCCTCTATCACACCATAAAGAAAATGCTGTATATTATTAACACATTCCTAGCGGGTCTACTGGATGGCATGTATGGTAGAGGCTACAGACAAATATTGCATATATTTCCTGATGAATTACACCATAATACAAGGTGGACATAAAACTAACTTGTATTCTCTAGTGGCTAGCTCAGACGCACCTGGAATAGCACTTAACTTCATACGATATATTTACGTGAGCTGTTAACCTGGAAGTAATCAGTCGTCTTATTCCGATTGATATATGGCAAAGCTCATAATCCACAAAATTGACAATATTCTGAGACACAAAAGATCGGGTAAGTAGAAACCTTAATATGGCATTCCACCCGACCGTACAACTGTCGTAGAAAACATAAGCTTTCAAAAACAAATTCATGCTGCTCGAAAGAGTTTTGGAAAGAGTATATAGGTAGGTACGGAGACGGAATTCGGATGAGATTACTGTATACAAATATATATCGCTGATGGCTAAAGCTTATATGAGAAGAAATATGCCGGGAGAATGTATAATATATATATATATATATCTGTATACCAGAGTTGTGCTGCGAAAACGTTAACAAACCATGGAAGTATACTGTATTATGTCATCTGCAACATTCTTCTGGTAACGCCACACAGTGACTCACCCATACCCAAAAAAAAACTTGTGATTTAACTTTCGAGCAGAAAAGAAAACTATGAGAAAGAGGAAAAAAACTTGATGAGAATCTAGGTGAGTTGGTCAGGTTTAACATTATTTACCTCTGACAACCTCCATGTCGACAAAAGGAATAAAGCTGATATATATATAACGCTATAGATAAAAAATTAAAGCCGAAAAGTGAGACAAGTACATGGAGAGAATCTTGCAATATTGCTTTCGGTAGAGGCTATAAGAAAGCAAATAGTCTTGGGAAGAGCAAGACGATTGAGGTCAATTGGGTTTAGATACGAAACATCAACATAAGCTATAGGTATTAAATGATTAAAGACATGTTGTTAAGTTAGATACTAAGTATATTGCTTAATATTTCTAAATATTCCCTGCCAGAAAGTATGAAGATATGTAGGCTTATATGTAATAGAGAATATGAGTACATAACGTCGGTGGCCGATTTTGTAGCATGAATTTATATAATTTGGATTACATAGAAAATAAGACCTCAATCAGGTATAAAAATTCCAAAGAGTATTATTGAAACGGCCTTGTATACGTTGATTTCTAGATTGGATGACTACCCAAGTATATGAAAACGGAGTGGAATGCGAATACATATCATGAGAAACCGTGAAATACACCATTAAAGCATCTGTATTGGAATAAATGTAAGTGAAGAAAAAGAGAGCAGAGGGTGAGAAAAATCAAGTCTAAAATCTCAAGGATGAAAAGTAATCCTAGATATTACGATACCATATAATATATATTCTCTTGGTTCAGCAAGAGTGGCACTCCAGAATTCTTTGCGAGCCGGGAATGGTATATATATTATCGAGAAAACAACTCACTACTTGCAGTGATCCTGTCATAGAATTAATATAAGAGACATTGCTTTATCGAGATACTAAGGCCTGAAGACGAGAAGGCAAAAGGGTTGTAAATATTTTCGAATCGCAATTGATCAAATATATAGATCTTCAGTTCATGTAATTAAATATATTTACGGAACAGTAACAATAGCAGAACGTTATTATGTCAAGAATCGATAGAGTGCCTTTCAAGGCTTGTGAATAGACGGAAACCGCCGACTGTCCGATATTAAAGCATTTATGGTACTTTGATCTTTAAAAACTATAAAAAGCTTCATATGATTGTGCCTTTTGGTATATCAAATGTTATAATAGTACTCTGATTTACAGCTCTTAAGATAATATAAAAGGTGGCTATACACCTGCTTTACTTTTAGGTTCTAAAATATAGAAATCTTATCAAAATCCAAGAAATTGGAAGTTTTTTTTTGTAGGCATTTCATGTCATTATATTTCTCCTCCTTAAAAACGGTTATTAAAGAAAATACTAATATCCACTTGGTATGGACAAACTAAAAGTTCAAAAAGGGCAAAAAAGGGCAAGCTTTTTAATAGACTCTACTCGGTTAGACTTCTTCCATTGTTATTTGGGTTGAGAAGAGCATGTCTTTGATGAAAACTATGTGCTATAGGGTGCAAGGTTTAGAATAACTTGCAATAAAATATTCTCCCTTAATGACAGAGACGGAATTATAAGCACAATTTTACCTAATATGTACTTGTACTAATTTTGGGCTATTTTTTTTTTAAAAAAAAAAGGTGTGGGTAGCCATAAATTAGTCTGATTTACTAAGTTCAGGATGAACTTGTTTTACCCTTTTTTTTGAACTTTTAGTTTGTCCACACCAATTTTTTTGTCTCAATTTTATTTTCGTTTTGTCTAAAAAAGGTAAACAGATTGTCTAAAAATTCATTTTGATTCGCCCAGAAGGAAACTAGCATCGTCTGAATTCAATATAGCAATACTGTATTTACTATTTTTCTCGGGTTTTTTTTACTTTTACACCTGTTGCTTTCGATTATTTTTATTCATTAATGCAGGAGGTTTAGAAAGGATCACAATAAAGGAGCGTAAGATAAACAATTAGAAACTTCCTCTTCTTTGAAGATGTTCACGGGCAGATGTACGTAAACTAGTCCCAGGATTCTAGAGGAAAGCTTAAGTTTCATTTCCCCCTACTGCAAAGCGCTTGTTGATCCGATTATTTCACTGACCTGTTGTGCCTCGGACTCGGCAATACGTTCTAGTAAAATAAATATAATAAAATAGGCGGTACTCAATGCACCAATGATATACAGAAATTGTGTCTATGAAATTTATCAGGACAAATGGATCCCTTCATCACAATCTTACCTGATGGATTAGATGGTCAAGCAGCCCCCATGACGACGTCAGATAACCTAACCAAAAGGCAACCACCACGCCAATAAGTATTTGCATGAGCCTGTTACCAGCTTAAGATGAGCGCCATGCAATTCCGTCTGATGATCTTGAATGTTGAAGCCTTTTCCGTTACCAACAATCACACCAGGCCAAAACGAGGAGCAAAAAAAGGTCGATCTTTGTAAGTCTATCTTCCAATCAGATATCGTCGTGACTCTTGTCGCAGTTAAAATTACCATTGGGCGATCTTTCAACTTGACATTTGGTTGGATTTTCGTAGACTTACAGTGCTACCATTTGAGATTGAAACGATGTTAGTTTTTTTTGGACGAATCAGACTTCTTCTTCAGATATTATACTTACCTTTTTTGGATAAACGGGATATCCGAAGAGCGATTACTCACTAATAACTAACATGTAATAATGCAGTTTTCTTGTTTACGCTACAAACCAACCTTTTTCTTCGCTATTACTGGCTTTTGTATTGCATTTTACATCGTCAATGAATGTTTGTATCATTGTACAAGTTTTTTTTGGCCCGTGCCAAAATTTTAAAAAAATAAATATCAGAGGAACGCAAATACCAGCACGTTTCTTTCCATACACAGGATAAAGCTAACCAGAAATCTCACGTCTATTAGCTTATTGTTTTTATTCACTGACAAGACGCAAAAATATCTACAGAAGCAATTCATTACATAAATTTCCTTGCTTTGCTTCAAATGCGATTGATTTTGCTTTACCAAGTTCAAGGACGGTTTCCCATTTAAATTATCCTTGATCGCTGTGGTACTTATCAACGAATGCCAATCTTTTGTTGCAGAATTAGTGCCAATATTTCCTAGTGCTGATCATGTCGGATTTTTCTGTGGTTCATTGATCCTGAGGAAAACTTGATTCAAGCAATCTAGAGTACGCTTTCTTAAACTTGTATCCAAAACATCTTCAAGCAAATATGATTTCGCTCTTGTGCATTGACCATGTATTTCGTGCAAATCTTTTACCGTGACCATTAATTCATTTTCCTTCAATCCATCACTGAAAATATGTTGTGCAATAGTTTAAAGTAATCGTTTCGTTTCGTCGTCATTTCGATCAATACATCGTAGTAATGGCTTCTGTTGAATCAGAAAATGCCCAAGAGCGACGAGCGGATTGAGAGGAGTGAGCTGCAAATGATCAAATGTTGATGAGAAATCAAGCAGAACAGAATTTTGCCCAATCATGGCAAAGCAGTTCCAAAAGAAAAGATTTTTCCCGAGACAACAGCAAAATTGGCCAATTCTGTCATGGTATTGTGAATGATAATGATAAGTACAGCTGACACTGTTAAATATTGTTTCATTATTGATAAAACATGATCAATCAATCAATTAATCGACGATAAAATTACATGTCTTCAGTGTATTTAACTTCTATAAGGATAGGAAGCAGAAAATTTGAATTTCTTGCACTAAATGTTTTGTACAGAAAATGACTTGATAAAATTTAACCATTACGTGGGCCTTGATAGATATTGATTTAAAGCGTGTTGCTCTGTTAAAAGAAAAAGAGTTAATTAATGTTGTGCTAAAAGGTGAGAGCGCCCATACCATGCTAATAATATGATTGAAGATGCTGCTACTGGTTGGTCTATCGTCAAGTATCAATTCACTCATTAAATCGATACCGGGTTTATACTTTGTGGGGAAGCTGAATGATTTTTTTCTAGAGGAAGAGCTTTCCGTATCATCATATAATTTTTTTGTAAAGACAATTTGTAAGTCTTTACACACTCTATGACACTTTTCGCTTCTTTTTTCTTCTTCCCTGAACTCGTCTATTACTCCTTGTGGTGCCTTTGGATACACACTTCTTGCTATTTTGAGTCAATATTAGATTTCCATCTTTGACAAATCACCTTTTGTTCCTTTTTCCATTGTCGGTACTACTCTCAAGACCTAAACCCGTTTTTGTCAAAAATTGAACCTCGATCCTCTCTTTTAATTCAATACTTATATGTCATCCTACACTACAAAAACATTCGTTTTTCCAAAACAAAAAAAAATTGACATCGTCTCAATCTCAAGTAGAAACACTGTATTATTATATAATGAAGGTCAGTATAAGCTGCTCAAATTATAACAGAGGTATCTGTGTACACAAAGATATATTTTAGTTACTAGGAAGCATGTATACTTTTTAAAATCAAAATCAAGATGTCTATGTAAGAGACATATAAAATGTAAACGATGTTTTGCTTTTCTTTAAAAGCAAAAATATATAATGAAGCTATATCACTAGATTTATGGACATAATAAGAGTATTACACAATGGTTGATCGCTGAATTTGTGCGAATATAGGTTAATAGGCACTGTAATTATTGCTCAGATTCAATTGCCAGATAGATGTGTATATTCAGAAAATATGTATATAGAGGATAATGTACAGGAAGATAAAGGAAAATAAAGTGTTTAGGCAGCACACATACCACCTCGTAAAAGTGCAACTCCAATTACCCACACTAGATGAAATACTACTAATAATATGCTTTGTGAGACATTATCACTAATAAAAAAATCAATATATTCTGTTAAAACACATGCATTTAGTTTTAGTAAATGAAAAGCTCATTTACCTCCAGAAGTCTAGGGTTGCCAAGATAACAATAGGGTACAGTATGGTCGGCGATGGCGAATAAGGGTGACATGGGTAGGTGCATGTTGCAACCTAAATATGTTGAAGAAATTGATTGATCTTAGTAAACGTATATGTCTTGGATATCTTCATTTACCTTTATAATCGCGGTAATTGTCTTTAACATATTAATATAGTATCGATCTTCAGTTGCCTGCAACCATGTTCCCATCGTATAATCCCAGCGTCGAGGGATGGTAAAAGGCATCCTCATTCTATCAAATAATAAGAACCAGCTAGTTTGAATGTCCGGAGATCCTAACAGTAGGTGATTTGGTTCACTCATTTCATTCATTTCCGTCAATTCGTCTTTATCTTCCTCGCTGCTCAATGTATCAGGTGCGCTAGACTGGCTGTACAAGTCATAATCAATTTTATTCTCGGTATCTCTGTTAGCTCGTTTTCTTCTCTTCCGAATTCCAAATGTCCTTGTATCATTTCCATGCCCAGTAGTGTATGCAAATCGTTTAACAGCCTTTGGATGTCGACTAGGCATATTTTCGTAATCTTGCTCATCCATTTGAACATCTCCATCACTGTCTCGCGTAACCTGTACAGGTGCTTCATTTTCAACCAAATTATTGCTTGTACTCTGGCCATCTTCTTGGCTAGATAATGGTCTAATAGATTGTTTATCAAATGAAGGAGAATCTCGCGTAGGTTCTGTTTTTGGAATGTACTTTGTCTCAACAGATTCCCAGGAAGAGCGCCTTAGTCTGGTTCGATCCTCATATGGCATAACAAACGTTGTCTTTGTCGGGCTACTGATGTTTGTTGTGCGTGAATGATTTTCAGGGACTTCTCTGAGAATAGAAGTGCCATCTATGTGAAACCCAGAGCTTTGTATTTGTCGCAACTTTGACAAGATCTCTTCACAAGAAGGCCGTTTGTTGGGGTCCGTTGAAAGCAGCATCCGAATTAATATCTTCATTTCCTGCGGGATGTCTGGTGATATAGTTTGCTGCCGGATTGCCTCTACCATTCCTGGATCAATATTGTTCTCATGCCCATTATAGACATCGAATCTTGATTTTGGGAATTTGACTCTGTAAAAAAAAGAGTCAATTGGGGAAGTTGATAGCTGTCATTGTTCCCAGAGCTTTGGAATATCAACCAAACCAACTTACTCTTTAAAAGCAAGAATTTCGTTCCGTAATATATCAACATCATCAACATTACTATAAGGAAGCCGAGAGTAACATAGGTAGTATAGGACCATTCCAAGTGACCACATATCTGCCTTTGAAGAATACTCGACCCTGTTTTTTCCTTGTGGATCCAAAGCAACATGCTCTGGCGCCATAAACTCCAAAGTTCCTGTAGCACCCGTACGATCATTATCAGGGTCCTCATCCAAGTCTTCACATTCTCCAAAGTCGGAAATCAGGACTCGAGGGCTAAGATTTAAAGGTAAAATACGTCAAAGGAGAGCAGAAAACATATTTAGGTATTACTCTAAAAAAAGTATTCTTACATGCCATGTTGCCCAACTTTGTTTCTCCAAAAGTCAGTTTGGCCTCGATTACGACTACGCTCATCCCATTTGAGTAAGAGATTTGGGGGTTTGAGATCTCGGTGAACAATGTTTTGTTGATGAAGGTGAGCCAATCCTTCGACAATATCCAAGAACAGAGACCAGACCTCGGCCATGCTCAAAAGGCGCTTGTGTATCTCTGGTCCTTTTTCAATCTCTTCAACTCCTTGTTGTCTTCGAATGCGCTCCCGTTTTAGCTCCTTTGCAGACTTTTTCTTACCACCAAGAGACTCTGGCTCCAAAGGAGTAACCTCTGGTTCCAAATATTCTTCAAGGTTTCCTCCGTTGGCACATTCCTAAGACACAAATTATCATTCATGCATTGTAGACTCTTGCACAAAGCGAGAATTACCATAAGAATAAATAGACATGGAACTTTTGGACCTATATTTTTATGATAACTATTTTTGAGTATGCTTTCTATAGATTTTTGTTTTTGTAGAATCGTCGTCTTACCAAATGGTGTTAATCTACTATACTCTAGCCATGAATGTTTATAGCTCACAATATTTGGATGTCGTAATCTTTCCAATAAATGAACCTCTCTCAACATTCTTACAAGCCATGGGTGATTATTACCGATGGCCACTTTTTTAACTGCATATTTCCCTAATTTAACACCGTCCAATTCATGCTATATATATTGGTAAGTAAGCTTGAAGCCAGTACTTAGCGTGTCTTACATTGCACAGAAAAACGCTTCCTCTAAATCCACGCCCTAGTTTCTTTAATTCGACAAAAAAGTTCTCGTAGTATCCGTGATTGAATGCATTGGCTTTCAAATGATCGCTGTGAATAGATTCCGTATTTTCCTCTACATGCTCTTCCGACTTTTGTTCTGACTGTTTTTGCTTGGGTGGTGACACTCCTCTATTGATGGTATCGGAAAGTTTATTTAAACCGATCAAGAGCTTAAATCAACTTACGCTTTCGTACTCGAGGCCAACAATCTAAAGTAGTTTCTGTCCATGAAATTGGGTCCGCTCGTCTATAAGTTATAAGAGTTGAGTTATTTATGGATCTTATAATTTCTATTTCTGCTTACATGATCATTCGTCTGTCTGTCAGGTAGAGAGCGATGGCACATTGGGCACTTGTTATTTGACTAAACATATTTTGGTATCCTTGTAAGTATGTAATCCAGAAAAAAGGACCATTTGTTCGGATAATACACTTACCTGAGATTGGGTGTTGGATGTGGGAATTGGGAGGTCAAAACTATCGGGCATATACCGTTGGACTGTCACGAGTTTTGTTTCTGGATTAAACAGGACCATTTGGCCACTAATATCGTTGCGCCTATAGTATTATTTCATTAATAAATATTCCTTTTAGCCAATTGGGGGAAAAAAGAAGATTAATATGTGTGAACAAAGGCTACTTACGAAATAACTGTCCACTCCCTATAGGGTACTAGTTCAGATGTATTGCTCATACTAGATCCACTCTCAATGGCCAGATGAGAACTTTCTTGTCTTAGGTCCTGTTCTTGTCGTGATTGGAATTCCCCAGGTGGTGTTAATCTAGTCTGACCTGCTGAACGGGATCTTTGTCGAACCATAAGAGGCGATTGCAGTGATGCAACTGATTGCATTCGACCACTAATAGTGTCCGCACCCAATAAGCGATGTTCCCGTGAATGTTCATAAGTTAGAACAAAATGCTTCGGGCTGGAAGGAGACGGTAGATAATCACTTGGAAGGTGTGGGAATAACAATGGTATGTGTGAATGTGTACGGCTGTCACCAAGACCTTGGCTTGGTGTACTTGTGCTGCTAACTAATGCCATCAATTGACTACTTTCAGGAAAACTTGCCCGTCGAGAACCAAGTGGGCTAGTTACTTTTGGTGATTTCCTTCTTGAAAAAGGATTGGAATCGTTTTCATCTGCGTCCATTTTGAGATGAGTGGGAAAATTATACGAATTAATAATGAGACGATGAATTGAACCTAGAAAAAAAGCAGGCTTAATTTTTTGCATGATTTACTTATTTTATTTTATTTTCAGGCTGTTATCCATATTAGGCTATCTTTTTTTTTTACACCAAATATTCATTTGTAATGTCCATCTCATTATTATCTTCTGATTCGGATTCAGTAATTGCCGAAAAGCTGCAATACCTAGGCAAAGGGAAAGTTCTGTACGAGCCTTGCTATCGCCCAGGAATTAGTTTAGTGTCAATTGAGAATCCTGATCACCATAATGCATTATCTGGGAAAATGATGGCCGAACTGTACAGAATTGTCGGACATCTTGAGAAGGACACGAATGACAATCGTGTAGGGGTAATAGTTACTGGTGGGCCTAATAAGGCATTCTGCGCTGGTCTTGGTAAGAGTGTACATGCAGAGATGACACTTTTAGTAACATAGACACAGACCTTGATTTTGCTGGTCAGTATCTTAAAACTCCTGAAAGTATATCAGCTATGAACAAATTTATGTACGGTATCCTTGCACGATTTTCTCGTTTACCACTAATCGCTGTTGGGTCGGTGGCTGGACCAGCGGTGGGAGGAGGAACTGAATTGATTGCTGCCATGGACTTTATCTGTATGGGAGATACCGCCTATCTATCGTTTGTACAAGTACGCAACGGACTTCCATCTCCTTGGGGCGGTGCAAGACGACTGATAGAGAGAATTGGTCGTAAAAATACTCTTCGTATTCTTGGTACTGCTGCCAAAGTCCATGCCACCGACGCTCTTCAAATAGGATTAGTGGATGTTATAGTAACCGATTCAGACTACAGTCTTGTTCTTGAAAGTTCGGTGCAATTTATTCAACATTTTATAGATGCAAACGGTATAAAGAGGATGCCGTGGGCCGTCCGTAGTATGAAAGCTCTTGTGGTGCAAAATGAAATCCAAGACACAGAAGCTGAATTGATGCTTATCCAGTCTACACTAAAAAGATCAAACTTATAGACAGGCAGAGTTCATAATATATTTCAATCTTTTATATAATTTAACAGGGATTTCTTTTTTAAAAAAAACACTGCTTATACCTTTGTTTTCATTACTGCACACAGAAGTAATATTATACTTAATACTCGGCTGAAGGCTACAAAAGAAATTAAAATATTATTGTGTACGTTACACATTTATATGTATTTCTGTTAAACTAAATCGAAAAGTGCTAATCTCATACTGTTTTGAGGAGCTATATATTTTGCTACTGTAATTTTCGTTTTGTAAGTTTCGTTTAAAGAAGCTCCTTTATTAGTCAGGAACAAGTATCTAACCAATAAATAAACCATTATATGAGTGTTTTAAACATATTATTCAAGTCGCCACTCCTGTTCATATTGGAAATAATTTACTGAAAGTCGTTTGTTAGAAGCAAATTACTTTTAAAGTGTTTCTGAAAAAGTTCTTTATAAGTATGGTGCGTTGGGGAATAAATGTTAATATCTTGAAGCTGTTTCAATTCTCTCCTATACTTTTTTTTTGTCTTAAGTCAAATTTGTTGAAGAGGTGAAAATGTTTTGGATTTTATTGTGGGTTTTTCGGGATCACGCACGTTGAAATTTAGACGACCCAATGAGAGCCAACGATTAATTGAATATAATAAAAAGTAAGAGAGCACGTAAAAAACCCCAGTGGGGGAAAACGGGTTTTAGAATGACTAAGACTAAAAATAGATAATACAGCTGGTAAGAATACAGGTGAAATAAATATATAAGAAAAATAAATGACATGAAAGAATCGAGAATAAGTAACTAGATACTGACGGCACCAGAATTGGGAGCGGATCACCAGGGACACGTTCTCTAAGGGGCGGCGGGATGTGGTGAGGGCGGGTTTGTCTCTTGGCACGAAATTTTTCTGCAATGAGGATTTGATCATGAGTTTTTTTTTTCTGGCAGCTTGTAGAATTCTGTGGCTTGATCAACAGCATGTAATAATACAAGCAAGCACAGCCACAAATCGTAACACATACGAGGTTATCTGAGGGACCTGGAAAAACAGTTGAGAACATATTCGATTAGATGAATTTCTGGAGGAGCAGGATCCATCAAGTACCGGAGTTTTTGAACGAGAGGGATTGTGGCGGGAAATCTAAGCATGTGGATTTGGTTACCTTTGATAGCACCACATTGGCATTCGACTGATGGTGTAGGTGGTAGCCAAGCAATTCGCCATTTGATCAAACGACGGCGTTCTTGACTAGTGCAGTGAATTAGAATTTAATTCATTTTCATGAACCTCACATTTGGTTATCCTCACAGTCACATGTATGTCCGTTTTGGGTGTGCCACATTTGCATTCCGCCTGCAACAGTTATTGAGATTGATTCAACAACTTAAAAATTTAAACTCCGCTATAAAGGTATATTAGCGCATCAAACTTTGAAAACCAAAGGCTCTTTATCCAAAACAAGACGAAGTGTCGACTCTATAAATAACGGTCCTTTATTTTATAATTTGAGAAAGTAATTCCTTGTTAGATTGATTATATCAAAAATCATAGATTTTTAATATTTTTCTTCTTTTTATATAATAATTAAAATAATAATAATAATAATAATAATAATAATAATAATAATAATATCAATAGTTATTCTTGATTTAAAGATGCCCTCTTTAGTGGTCAGCTTTATCCGCATTTTGATGAGAGGTTTATTAATTATCTTTAACTCTTTAGAAGAACAGTGCACGCCTGAGAATACATAAACCTTAATATATTATAATCAGAAGCATATTGAATCAATTGATCCAATATAGTATATATCTAAAATGTAAAAATGACAGCTCTAGTATAATTTGTATTTATATTTGTTATTAAAACAAAACAAACAAAATAAGGTAAACTATAGCACGTGAAAACAGAATTCCGAATCAACCCACAATACAAGAGAGAAATAAAGAAGAATAGTAATAATAATGAGGAAGCTATATATTCTTTCAATGTCACACACGCACATTGCTCGTTCCGTATTAATCATATTCCAAGGTAATGGTTCCAATACTGTAAAATGAGAATCTGAACTGTTGGATTGAATTGAATTGACACCAACATCCAAGTGTCCGTTGGTGCTGGGTATGTATGCATGTATAGAGTTTGGAATATTCATTTTTCTTTAAATTCCTTTATAAGTAATATAATAAAAGGTTCTACTTTAAAAGGGAGGGCTCTTTTTTAGAAATAATAAAAAAGGTGTGAGAAGTGAATATTAGGGAAAATATAGATATAGATATAACAAGAAAGACATGGTTAAAGGAAAAAGAAATAGAAATAAAGAAAAAGATTTGGAGTGGAAATAACATATAATAAATGATGATATTTGTCTTCTTCCTCGTAAGGGTTTGCAAGGAGAAGAAGTAATAGAAGGGGAATAAGTTCAGCAAGAAAGGAATGAATTTTGCTGCCTTGTTTTTTGTATGTTTGATTCATCTTTTTTGTGGGTTTGATTATCTCGATTTACTTTGTCTTTACGTTTTGGCTCAGCCAGTTGAGGCCTTCGAAAAGACCGTCGCCGGTAGTGGCACATGAAGGATGAACATACCAGGCCCTTTCTCGCATCTTGTTCAACCCGAGCTTCTCTGTCACTTCTGTGGGTGACATGGCTGCACAATAACAATAAATCACCTTGTAAATTGATCCCTCTCTTATTTGATCTTACCTCCAGGAAGATCTTGTTTGTTGGCAAAAACAAGCAATAGGCAGTCTCTCATCTCACGATCAGAGATAATACGGTGCAGTTCCTGACGCGCCTCGTCAATTCTATCACGGTCTTGAGAATCAATAACGAAAATTAGGCCCTGTGTTCCGGTATAATAATGTCTCCACAGGTTACGGATCTTGTCTTGTCCTCCCACATCCTGTTCCACATAATATTAATACACCTTAAAGATAGAGGCTTGGTTGAAAATATATTGTTGTTGTTGTTTTTTGTTGTTGTTGTCGTTATTATGATTATTTACCCAGACATTGAACTTGACGTTCTTATAAGTCACGGACTCGACGTTAAATCCAACTGTAGGGATCGTAGTCACGGATTGATTAAGCTTGAGTTTATAAAGGATAGCTAAGAGGATGATGAGCATGCTACTGATGGGAATGTCAAATGGGAAAAAAAAAGATGCCCGGTCGGGCACAAAAAGGTCATCCGAGATCAGATGATGATGGTGGACTTACTTGTTTTGCCTGCGGCATCTAGCCCAAGCATAAGGATTCTCATCTCCTTACTGCCAAACAGTTTGGCGAGAGCTTTTGACATATTAGCACCCATAGTGAATAAGATTGAATGACTGTAATGGAAGGAGGGTTTGGGAAAGAGGTGGTGGTGATGATGTGGAATGAGAGACGAAAGAGCGGAAAAGGAGTGTAAAAAATAAAAAAATAAAAAAATAAGGCAACAAAGGAAAATAGAGTGGGTTAATTTTGTATGAGCCCACCCCTCTCCAACCCCCACCCCACCTCCCGTTCTTTCTCATCTTTGCTCTCATCTTTACTCTCTTTTTTATCACTGAATTTCTCGCTCGTTTTATTGTCCCACCCCCTTCATTTCACTCACTTGTTCACGACCAGCCACCTGGATTAAGCCAACTAACATAATAACCTTTATACATAAAATAAATAAATATTATGATTTATTTATATAATATAATATTGTATATATATATATATATATATATATTATGTATATAAATGGCTGTTAAACTTGAATTGATCGAGTACAGTTAATCAACCGAAAAAAAATCACCACGAGAGACCTGATCAATTCAGGGCAAGGCCATCTTCTTTATGACTGAAAAGTATAGGTACCAAAATGGAAAACCGCACCACAGGGGACTCCTTTACAAGATAATAGTAATACTAATAATAATAATAATAACTAAAGAAAAAAAAAGGAGTGAAACAGAGAAGAATAACAAGAATAATCAAGGGAGCTTGAATTTCAAAAAGTCCATTACTTTTCTCTTCTTCTTCTTTCTTTCTTTTTCTTCTTCCTTTTTAATAAATATTCACAAAAACCTAACCACAATCAAATCAAATAATCCTATTATATTATATTTATTTATTCATTTATTTTAAAAGCAAAAATAACGACAACAGCCTATTGTAATCACTTCATTTTTTTGTCAACAAGAAAAAACATACATCATGGAAGACGCACTTTGGGCACAAATACTAAACGCAACTCATGAGGATGAGGATGCTCGAGCCAGAGCACAAAATGATAGTGGAGCAGATACAGATGCATCAGATAATGAAGAAGAAGCTACAGTTGCCAATGTAATTTTTTTCATTTTTTTTTCAACAATCTTACATCAAACTCACACACAAATAGAATCAACAAACATCAGAGCCTGTACGTAGTCCAACTGGTAATGGTAGACACACAGGTCCAAAAGGTGTGATGGCAGATCATGCATACTACAACAAGGTCAAAGTAGCAACAGAACAGGCCAAACGGGATGAACACAATTCCCGAATGCTTTCCAAAGCACTCATGACAACAACTTATTTGGAAGACGTTGCTGCATCTAAACAAGAAGTGCTTGTATTGGAACACCAAGAGAGTGATGATGATCTCTTGGAGGATGAAGAGATTCTCGCCTTGTATCGTCAGAAACGACTAGGCGAGCTGAGACAGATGAGTAATCATGGTGTACGAAAACAGCATCGCCTGTTTGGTACTTTGGAAACAGTAAATGCCGATGACTATGCAACAGCTATTGATAATGAGTGGAGAACAGTACCAGTCATTATCCATCTTTATGACAACGTAAGTCATCAAAGATGCATTTTGTCTAGCCCAATTCTTTTTCTCTTCTTCCCTCTTCTTTTTTGGTTTACATGTATAAATGAAAACTCCAAATTTTGTAGTCGATACCTGAATGTCGAAAGTTGGATGACCATTTGCGTGGATTAGCAAGCACTTATGCGTTAGCAAAGTTCATCAGGGTGTCTGCACTTGATCTAGAGTTTGATCTTGTTGGATCACCTGCTGTTTTGGCTTATAAGAGTGGGCTTCTGATTGCAAATATGGTCCGTTTTGTTGATCAAGTCGGGCCGCGTTTCAGTCCAGAAGCAGTGGAAGATTGCTTAGTGGGGTATGAAGAAACAAGAAGACGAGGAAAATAATTGATCCGGATTTAATTTGTTTTCGTTTTATTTTGTTTTATACTTGTTAGATGTGGTGCATTATGTGAAGAGGACCTTTATGAGACACCCAGCCAGAAGGATGAAGACGAAGAAGATTAGAAAACAACAGACCAATAGAAAGTTTGTACTTTATGTTTCAGACCTCTTTTTCTTGCCTACTTAGGAAAAGTGACCAATCCTTAGTCAAAGACAGCCGTGACTGCTGATCTTCGCCCTTTGAACATGGTGTTTTCTCTTGTAATTTGTGTATAAATACCAACCTCTGTTCTCTGTCGATGAACCATATCCAACGTACTTCCTACCGTCTACTTGCTCTCTATCGTCAGATTTTTCCAATGGTTTCCGCATCAAACACTCGCCCCAACATTACTTTTATTGGTGGTGGAAACATGGCTGAAGCCATCCTTGGCGGTCTTTTCGCCAGCGGTCACCCTGGAGATCGTCTGCGTTACTCTGAGCCTTTTGAGGAACGTCGTAAATATATGCAGGGAAAGTATCCCGAGATTACCAGCGAAACTGACAACATTAAGGCAATCGATGGTGCCGATGTCATTGTCTTCGCTGTCAAGCCCCAGGTTCTTCGCACTGTGGTTGACAATCTTTCGCCTGCATTCCGCAAAAACCCCTCTCCCTTGATCATCTCCATCGTCGCAGGCATCACTACTTCTGACATCGTGCGCTGGATAAACTCGTCTGAGTCCATTTCGCTTGTTCGTTGCATGCCCAACACACCTGCCTTATTAGGTGAGGGTGCAGTAGGTCTGTATGCCAACGATCAGGTCAATTCTTCCCAGCGTGCCACTGCAGAATCTATTCTATCTGCTGTATCCAAGCAGGTGTCCTGGGTTGATCGTGAATCATTGATTGACTCCGTTACCGGATTGAGTGGTAGTGGACCCGCCTATTTCTTCCTTGTAATGGAAGCTATGCGTAAGTGATTTTCTTTCTTTTTTTGGAACTGTATAAATAAAAATTAGCATAAAAGAGGAATGCTAATACGTTGTACAGAGAATGCCGGTATTGCAATGGGCCTGTCATCTGAAGATGCCAAGGCACTTACTGTCCAGACTTGCATCGGTGCTGCTCGTATGGCCCTGGAATCCGAGGATGATCTTGCCACCCTCCGTAGAAAGGTGACTTCGCCCAATGGTACCACCGAGGCTGCAGTTAAGTCTCTCGAAGCCAACAATATTCGTCAGACTATTATGGATGGTGTCCTTGCTGCCGAGCATCGTAGCCGTGAATTGGCAGCTGAGATGGGCAAAGACTAAAATGAACATAATTGCTTCATTTATTATCCCTCCCTACCCTCCCCTTTTTTTCGTATCTCTCCTTTGCTTTTTTTCTTTTCGTTTATTAATTATCCTTACCCACATATATTTGCTGCTGCCCTTCTAACTTCTTTACATATCACTTCATTTTTAAATACATATATACATATATATGTGTGTATTATTTTGTTGTTCGACAATAAATATATATCTCATGGCTGGTCCCGTCACAAGCTTCTTTGTTTTGAAATAGAATATTCATACAGTTTTTATTTCAACATAATGTGTGGTAATAAAGCTTTTATAGTATAGACAGAAATATCCTTCTTTTTTTGCATAAATTACGATCTTCAGGGACAAGAATGACAATTTACACTTTTTTTCTACCATCAATGATATAATGTATATATCATACAATTTATCAAAACACACTCCTTGTGAGGGTTGTATAATATTATTCTTTTTAACTTTATTCTTTCCTTTGTAACAGTGCTTCTCGAAGGTTGGCCCCTTCATGAAAACAAATGCTGGCAATCAAAATAAGGCTAAGCCATTGAAGCTTCCACAAGGTACTACAGCTTATATTATTGTCAGTGATGAATATTTTAGATGAACGAAATAAGAAGAGTATGTTCAATGTGATCGATAATTGCATAATCCATACCGTTCTTGTTTTGTTATATATGCTTCGCTCTGAAAAGATAAAATAGCATCACTTCCCCAGGAATACACCGTTCTTTTAACCACACTGTATCTGCCTTCCTTTCGTAAAATCTTTTCTTACAGTTCCATCACTCATGTTATCAAAAAATAAAAGAACCAAAAATATGTCTCCTAGACTGGAGTTATCAGAGTGGGATATATAATTCCTTTTCAAAAATTACGGATATTATCAAAAGATTTTGAGCGCTTCTGGCATCAGCATCATATATAGACCAAGACGCATATATATTAACTGTTTGTCCAAGCACTTCAATCCTCTGGTATTATAAAAGGAATGGAAAACATGATACCATTTTTTTTTACATTCCAAGAATATAGCTCTAGCTGTCATACTGGGTTTCTACATGTTGTGATGGAAAAAGCGTTGGAAAATCCAGGAGTTGTTCATACTATTTTAGCAGATATGCTTAATAAATTCAAAAATCGCGCTAGTCACGCAATATATTAGACTTTACTTATTTTTATTTTAGATTATATATATACTGTTATCTATGAGAAAATGAAGTTTGATTCTATTTAGCTTAATTTTATTCTTGGAAGGTATAGCATAAAGAAGCCAATGTACAGTTTATCCGATATTAGAAACCAAAAAACATGACTGTAATTTCTTTGGTGAGAGTGTTTGTTATGCGGTTAAGACCTTGTGAGTAAATATATATATGGATTTCAAAGGGTCCTTTTACTGATTAAGAAAATACATGTAAGACTACACAAGTATCGAAAAATCATAATTATCTTCTGGTACATCAGGATGAATCATAGTATAATAGCTATACATGGGTCTTGTTCATCGATAGTTTCTATAATAACATTAATTGCATTAATTGCCTAAGGTATGTCTAGAATAAGCTGAATTATCGACTCGAATATATTTTACTGGTTTATTGATAATTTTTATAGGGATGGTCTGCCAAATATCTCCAGTTGCAAAAGGAAACGAGCAACATAATATGAGTTTATGAAAAGAAAAAAAGAAACAGGAACAAAACTAGAGTTGTCGGCCCTATCGTTTCTGGTGAAGGATAGCCTTTTGAATTTGGTGCATGCAAGGCAACTTCATTCTATTATGGGACTACTGATAAAAAAGTATCGCAATGAGTGAGGACCAAAGTTCCACAAGTGCTGAAAGATTCAATCTTTTATGATATTATTGGTGCAAAAATAAAAAATAAACTTGGTGTGGACAGATTAAAAAGATTAATTAATGAAAATAAAGGCCAGAATTTGAACCCGTATCCATGGATTAAATCTTTTTTTAAGAAAAAATGAATCAATCGAATGCTACTAATTTATGAGTCTTTTTTCATTGTCAATTGTATCGAGAATAAGGTTCTGCTTGATGAAAGTAACAGTATTATGAGTCCCTTTTCTCTTTAATCTTCTATACTTTTGAACTAAGTTTGTTCTTTTTTAAAAAAAAAAGAAAAAATGTACGGACAGATATAAATTACTGTAATTGAATTTAAGTTCATTCAAAGTCATCAAATGTAACGATGTGCCCAATTTCCAGAAAAATCTTGGACACAAAGGCTCACTTTGACAATGAGAATATTGTTCAAATAATCAGAAACTAAGATTTGAACCTTCATTTAACCATCTTTGGAGATATTATATCTCATTAACCTATATCTGCTAATAAGTGTCTATGTCTTGTTTGACTCTATGAGTATAATAAATGCGAACCATTTGATTGTGATTTTAAGATTATTTTTAGGCTCGACTTGTATTTTTTTGTTATACATGTGCTTATTGCCTTGCCTGTAAGTCAGAAAAGAAATATGGTCTTTCAATGTTCTTTTGTATTTCATGCAAGAGCTTTTGAATGCCTTTGACTGTACAGAGTATATTATCTCCCGTGTGCTTGTACAGATCTACCTTTTGCCAATACATCTTCATCAAAGAATAAAATTGTTATCTAACGCTTATTAATTATCATCATAAAAAGACAAGGGGTGAGTCACGGAAATTCCATTATACTCTGTTATCTTGTTCGATATTTAATTCTAAAAGCGTGCCAATAGAAAAGAACAATAAAATGTACCTGGAACTTTCATAGTGTGTCAATTATTTCCGGAAGATGTATATTTAAGTGGTAAAGCACAAGTTTATATTAATAGAATTCTCTCTGCACAACCAAGAAAGGTAGAAAGAAAGGACAATAAAACACAAAAAATAAGTAAAACATTCTTTTTTTATGAATTAAATTGCTCAAAAGGGATAAACCTCGTTGGACGGATCGGGGCAAACTACTTATTGGCAGGGTCTGCATTTGAAAGTGCAGGAGAGGGGGTGAAAGTAACTCGAACCTTTGCCTGTCATTGAACCGAACAAACAACTAATCATCAATGACGATCGACTGGATGTATCAATCCGTAGAGTCCACAACTCAACCAAATGTCCAGTTCTATACCAACAAAACTATCCTCATCACTGGTGCAACTGGATTCCTCGGAAAGGCAGTCTTGTGGAAACTCATGTACACATATGGCCATGTTCTCGATGCGATCTACCTATTCGTTAGACCAAATGGATCAGCAGGAAACCCACGAGGAGCAGACCATCGCGTATGGGCCGACATTGTGAGCTCCAAGGCAAGTATCGACTTAAGCCAAGAACATATTTAAAAAACTTGTACACTTAAACTTTCTCATTTCTAGGCATTTAAAGACATGCCTGAAGACAAAAGGAAGAAGATGATTCCAATGGCATGCGATCTCTCGGCTCCTGATCTCGGCCTTTCATTTGATAATAGAAACAGACTCAAAGATACCCAAATTGTTATCCATTGCGCTGGGTCTCCAGAATATGGGTGTACACTAGACTGGAGTATTGAAGTAAGCCCAAATTTCTAGCCAAGTTTATATATATATAAAGCATGTATCCGCCTGTCAATTCTTATATGTATTGATTAGATTAATGCATTGGCAACTCTACGATTGATGGATCTTGCGGATGAATGTCCAGCCATGAGTATGTAAGGCATCGATATACTATAACACACAGCTTATATTTATCTCAAAGGTGCCTTTATCCACATGTCCAATATCCATCTTTACCAGGACCTGCCACCGGGAAATATCTATGAGCAAGTTTACGATCTCGGTCTAGGAGATCCAGAGCAAGTGTTAAAAAAATTAGTTACTATGGACGAGCAAGGTAGTTAGATATTACAATATCTCTTGATGGTCTTCACAATCAATATAAACATATAACCCGAATTGCATTAACCTTCATTATTATTTTGCCAAGACTTCTCAGCATTTCCCCTTTTTTTCCTTTAAATTATTTTATTATATGCTATAAAAAAACAGACTAACAAAGTATATGTGTATATATGTATATGTATATTAGAGAGCAATGTCTTATTGAAGAAAATACTGCAGCAGTATCCAACCACGCACATGTTCACAAAGGCATTGACCGAACACCTTATCTTGCGTCGTGCCGAACTTAACCGAGAAGAAGAAAAGCAAGGAGGAAAAAAGCAGTGGCCAATAGCTATCATTCGCGCCAGCTGGTTAGGTCCTAGCGCATTTGAACCTTTTCCAGGATGGGTAAAGATTTTTTGGAAGATTGTATAAAATGTGTTTTTTTTAGAGTAATGATATATATAAAAACTTTCGACTAATTTGTGGGGTTAAAATTTTAAGACTAGCGGACTGACAGGTGTAAACTCATGGATTGCTCTTCACAGCTACGGAGTTCCTCTTGTTAAGGCATCTCAAGGTGATCGTTCCGCAGACATAGTACCTGTAGACTATGTGGTTAGAACCATCCTAGGAACTCTTCCTCGTCTAGATTTTCCAGGAACCGAGTTTGTCCTTCCGCTCGCCCAGCCTGTAGTTGCACCACCTGCCCGCCAATCAATCATAAAGCTAGGAAGACGATCCTTACTATCAACTGCAGGTAGTCCAGTCGCATTGCTAGAGATGCCCAAGCCAAACCTCAAGACATTTCCTATTATATACCAGATATCTGCTACTAGCACAATGCCTCCAATGGACTGGTACAAGGTCTATAATACCTTCCAGCACTATTGGCAACGTACGACCGGTACAGCCCTTTTACCTGCTGGCGAATACTTTACCACAAACACTGCCTGGTCTACTGCCAAATTCTTGGTCAGCTATTATCTTGGACCTTCACTCGGCAAATTAAAAACAAATGGAGCAGGATCGCCTGGTATTGGAGAAAGACATCCTTCTGAAAGCCAGTGGGCAGAATTGGCAACAAAGACGCGCCATGTAATTGAGCGAAGTCTCAAGTCAGAATGGGTGCACGATAGCACTGAACTTGAGAGATTAGCTTTCAAGCTAAGGGATGATCCTTCTCTGGATTTACGCTGCTTCCGAACGTTAGATCAATTGAACTATCTTCTCCAGGCATGTTATGGTATTCACTGTTCTCTATTATCTGGCCAAAAGCAATTTGTAATACGAACTCTGTGTCTTGCCGATGGCTGGGATTGTGCGCTTTATACTACTACTGTGCGTGGTGTGATTGACGAGAAGATTTCAAGTGTGGTTTATACTGAGCAAGAAATCCGACAGAGAATCCAACAAATGATTGATACAGTTATATTGTCTTTGGAGGACGTGGCTGGCTATCAACAGAAAGTCCAGCTCAAGGCAAATTGGGTAGAGTGTTTGAACGACAGGCTAGAAGATTGGTGCGGTCAAAAAGAAACTTTGTTAGAGTCACTAGCAAAAAGTGATAATGATCCATGGATGGCACGGCGAATAGATACGACAGAAATAATCAAAGTAATTGTATTGAATGATCACCGGGTTGGTAAAGCAGTTCACCAGGTAAAATATTATATAATAAATCATGACAAAGGAAATAAAGAAAGGAAGAAAGAAAGATAAAATAAAAGAAATATTTAATTTGAACTTTACGTATTTTATTTCTGTGTAGATTGCTGAAAGATCAGGTATCAAGCCAGCAAAGGTTGTGGATCAGTCTTTAAAGATATTGTCTCGGATGATGGAACGCACACAGCTATCATACGTCTGCTTTGCGGGATCGTTTTTAAAGACCCTCTTTCAAACAATGTTCAGTAGTATACAAATAAGAACAGAAGATGTGGAGGAGGTAAACTTTCTTTCTCAAATATATATATGCGATGACTTACAAGATATGGCTTAGATCAAACGGCAGATCGATGGAAAACGTGTGGTTTATGTTCCAGTGTCAAAAACTGTTCTGGATCCTTTAATCGTATGGTATCTTACTATTCGTTATGAATTACCAGTTCCAGCGATCATGGTTGATGAAGGTATTGTTTTTCTACTTAATGGTATAGTGCTCTATCTTGCATAATATTAACACTATTACATGAACTGCAGCGCTTGCTATCCTGGGACCTGTTTCTGACCTACTTCGTCTCTCTGGAACTGTTTTTGTCAAACGAGATCCTTCCGAAAGAACTAATATTGCCACTGCAGTTACAGCAGCTTACAGCCAAGTGCTTTTACGGGAACACAATGCTCTCTTGCTTTCTTTGGAAAAAGTTCGTTCCAGAACAGGCCTTTGCCAGCAGCCTTTTGAAGATGGCCTTCTTGAGATGGCTATTGATACCGTATTAGAAATGAACCAATCTTCTTCACCTATTCACAAAACAGCCCAGTCTATGGCAATTAAGAACGATATTGCATTTGTTCCCATAAATCTATCTTATGAAGTCATCCCAGACATTTCCCGATTGATCTCTCAGGATCTTTACGGTCCTCTAGAACCAAATATATCTTGTGACTTTAAGCCGTCTTCTGTTCGCTTGCCAAGTGAAGCAAAGGCAGCTCGATCACTAAAAGAAGGAGAACCTGTCAAGGTTGAACGGGCAAAAGGTCGAATCCTTGTTGGTATTGGAAAGATATTGAAGTTGAATGAATATTTGGACGAAAAAGACAGGTAATAATAATGGTATAATAAACAATAATTTTCAGGAGGCGGTGGTTTAGTTACTTACAACATTGCTATTCAGAAGAGATTACGAACCTGCACAGGTGGCAAAGGAAGTTAGTGGAGCCATAAGTCAACGGCAACAAGAGTGTTTGGTTATCAGTCCGCTTTCTCTGGTGGCAGCCATTCTTCTTCACAGCCGGACCGAAGGGAGTGTGGTAAAATTAGGTAATTACTGTTTTATCTTTTCTTTTTGATAAATATACAACACCAAAAAAAAACTAACACACCTTGAATAGACGATGTCAAGCAAAGCTTAATGTGGCTTCGTTCAGAGATTCTTTCCCATAAATTTGCTCATTTGGATTGGAAAGGTTTGTAGCTAGCTAGTAAATGTGGTCCATTGATCTTTATTAACATACCTGTTGGTATCAACAAATAGATACAGAGGATCCGGAGACTGTCATATTTTACTCCATACAGCTATTAGATCCTCATCGCAAGATCATATCTATTGAGACAAGAGGAGATGACGTATATTTCTCTATATCAAATCGCGCAGACAATATTCTCCAGTTAGCCTATCACACCAACCAAGTAAAGAGAAAGAAACTAAATAAGAACCTCATGTTGACTTTAGTCCTTCTAATATATTTGACGTCTTTAGATTCGCGATATGTTTATGAACCAATCCCTCTTTGCTGTCGCCTGCCTTTCTTTTGGAACTCATCCAAGATCAGACGAAAGGTGCTTGGAGAGATATGAATTTATTTCTAAGCTTATGAACCGTCATATCACAGACGATGACATTAAGTCTGTAAGTCATATACTGCCACGCCACAAATCACTATTTGGTCCTGACAAGCTATAACACCCCCCCCCCCCCCCCCCCCCCCCCCCTCTTTATTAGACGTATGATTATATATCCGGAATCTACAAAAGTCGGGACATTATAAAAGAGACCCGCCCAAATTCCTGGACCCTTCAAGTCACGGCCAAAAACGATCGTATTCGCTATGGTCATCTTACTCTTATGGCTTCTCTCGTCTACCCTGCTATTGATGCTATCTGGGTTACCATATGTGGTTTATCTGCTCTTGAAGACATCGGAAATCTTCCGAGTGCTCTGCTACCTTCTTTATCCCAATGCATCGGTGCACACTTGATCAGTGGTCGGCGCACAATGTATAATGAGGTGCTTTCTACAGAATATAGTCGTCAAGCTCTTGAGGCCTTGGTGCGGACTGGACTTTTGGAACGTAAGCCGGCCAAGGATGTTCTTTCACCGGATGCCCAGATGCTGCTACAATCTCTTGGTCTGTCGACAACGGATGATGTGTACCAGCTCTCTCAGGAGAGTTTATCTCATAGCCCTATACCTGATCTTGTGCTTAGTCCAGCAGATGGTAGTGCAGAGCAGAGCAATATTGAGTTCACGGGTATGAAAAGAGATCCTGTGGCTGCATTGTGCTGCCGTGTGGAACAAGTGAGAATAGAGAACGGAACTGGTCATTCAGGCAATGATCAAGTTTATTCAAAATGTCAGTCACAGGTTCACCGATGGATGTCGCCTACACAGAACAGCTTTTCTGCAAAGCAAAAGGCAGCCGGAGTGAGCCCAGCAGAAGACAAAATGATCCAACTTGGCTATTCTCTTACACAAACTATTCCTGGATATCAACATTGGGAAGAGACATAAAGATATGCATAGAGACAAATTTTTTGTTTTTGTTTTTTAATAGTATTTGATACATATACCACATATATATATGCTAAACAGTTTATGGATAAATGGGCACACTGTATTGAATTAACTTTAGAATTTATTGTAATGCATGTATTGTATTGTTTCGCTCTCTCGCTCTCTTTCTCTCTTTTGCGTATATGTATGTAATTTCTATTCAATATTCTTCTGATTTTTAATAGCCCACCGAATGGTCTGCCAGTAATTTATAAGGCCTGAGTCGCTTCTTCTGGAGAGGATAAGGATAAAGATAAATGCGACTACGATATTTAAAGCTGCGTGTTTTGCTGCTGCCTATATAAATACACACAATCCATAAACATTAAACACCAAACACAAAACCAGAAAGATAAAGAAACCTATTTTATTTAATTTATCTTACCTTGAGAACCCAACGCCATCCTTCCCATCCTTCTCCCCCGCTATTCTCACTTTCTTTAACAGGCTTCTTCCCGCTAATCCCTGGGGAGTCGCTCAAGGTACTTGGATGGCGCTGTGTTCGGTGATCTCTCTCTCCACCAATTCTTGTCGTAGACCGTCAATTCTCCCATTTAAGGCAACAATCTCTTTCTGTAGTGCTTCCAATGCACGACGTGTGGCTGGACCAAGGCCAACAGTTGTTACATGAGGCTCGGGTATTCTTTCCATGGGTCTATAACTGCCATATTGTCGACTACTCGACTTGGACATATCATGAAGTGTAGCCATACCCATGCCTGTGCCTGTGCCTGTGCCTGTACCCGCACTCGTGCCTTCTTGAATACCCGCCATGCCTACTGTAGCTGTGACTGAAGAGGAAGCGCTTGATTCCATACGAGGAGATTGGAGCCGAAAAGACGTTTCCTCTTCCGGAAGAGGCGCAGACAAGCGGGTATTGGTATTTTTAACAGATAAAGCATTAGAAATCACAGCATTTGTATTTGTTTTTGAATTTGCATTTGAATTTGAATTTGCGTTCGCATTTGAAGCAGCATGAGCAGTAGCATGTGCGGCTGCCAATTCAGCAAATTGTTGGGCTCGACTGTCAGCTCTACGTTCATCCTCGATACTGTCTTCACTTTCCTGACCATCCTGGGCTCTATAGCGACGGCCAGCCGGTTGCTGAACCCATGGATTTACACTAGCGTCAAATGTTTCTTCAAAGAAGGGTTCGGCTCTTCCTACTCTTATACGCTGGGCACGACGTTCATTAGATGCTGCGTGAGAAGCGGAAGAGGAAGGTCGCATGCGTGGTGTAGCAGCAGGTGTGACAGCGGACGAACGAGATGGGCGTCGGACAGATTGACCATTATTGGTAGCTTGGGATTGTACAGAAGCTACTGAAGGCGGACGGATCGGTATGGCCTGTTTGTCTTGCCATGATCGTCTTCTGGGAGGACGAGTGCGTACAGATGGTGAGCGAGATAAGGTAGGTTGCATCACGGGAGATTCAAACGATCTTCCGAGAGAATCTCGCATAGACGATGAGCGAGAGGTTGGTTGGGTGGACACCTGCTGCTGAATATCTCGAAGATAGGCCTGCTCTTCTGCATCTGTAGAGGCAATGCTTGATTCTGTGTATGGGTATGGGTTCGTTGCGATACTATCAGTCTCCTCTTTTAATCATTGGGCTTCTACTAAAATTCAACCAGCCAACCAACCAACCAACTAACCAATTTTTTTTTAAAAAAAAAAGTAGTAGTAGTACCTTCATCATGATCCAATCCCATATCACTATCCTCTTCATGGCTACCTAGTGGCTGCATAGAAGTGAATGTCTGAATGATCTGTTGGGCCTGAGCCTTGCTTACAGGCTTTTTATATGCCTAAAGGACTCCCTTTTTCATCAGGTACGACGTTCTTCTTCTTCTTTTTTAATGTATGTCAATCAGTATACCTCTGTTGCGCTTCTCAAAAGCGTATCAACATAGCGATGCTTGGCTTCAAGATCATTCAAGCCTTCTAATTTTTTCCATGCATCCCTGAATCAAAACACCATTTAGCTCCTGATCACATGACATTTGGCATCTCAAAAAGAAAGAAAGAAAAAAGTTGTTAGGTACTTTACCATTTAGCTCTTCCTACTACATCGAATATTCCTGGTCTTTGTGTGTCGATGGATCCATGGGAAACTTGCTTATAAAGCGCATAAAGCTAAATAGCTTTATGTTTAACATTGGTCTCTTGTCAGACATGCCATACCTCTAACTTTTGTTCTTTTGTAGGCTGGAAACTTGAGGACGCAGGTAAATTCTGGACTATCATGAGTGCTTTGTTGTACCTCTGATCGACATAGCGATCGGTATAATGAGGTGGAATCATGGACATTATGAGATAAAGTAGGAATTGCCAATGTAGTGAAGCAGCCACAATACGTAGGACGAGAGATTCAAAAGAGAATCCATTCTATGAATTATTATTATTTTATTTTATTTGAAGAAATATCACATGCCTTTGGGATTGACATTTTTAATGATAAATTGACCTCCTCTGGGCTTTTGAACAACCGCTTTCTTCCATCAAAATATATATATATAAAAAGAAAAAACTCTCTTATTCGTTGTTGCTTTTTCCCCACATCTCTGGATTGTGCGGGGATGCGGAGACAGGAGAAAAGGAGTACAATAGGAGTTAGGAGAAGAGGTTATGCTGCTCATATCTGTTAAGGAGATTACATAAAAGAGAACAATAGTATCTGGGGTCTGTAAGCGACAACAACAATATACAAAAAAAAGCCGTTCATTTAGGAGTTTCAGTTCAATGGGAGTACAAATTCTCAACGACTTTTTGGGTTTGCTGGGGAAGGGTTTAAAGAGAGAGAGAGAGAGAAAGGGCATTTGACTGGATAGATTATTGGGAATACCAAGGTACATTGTATCACACCAATACAATACAATGAAAATACAATGCAAACAACTGCTGGTTTAGATAATTAACCAGGTTATAGCACCATTATTATTACTATAGAGCGTTATTCTATATAATATATCTCTGAGCTATTATATGCTATACTATTGAAAGTGTTGTTATTTGGCTACCCTAAATACTAATAAAGAAACACGAGGGTTTGGATTCCAGAAACAAGTAGGAGCCCAAAATATAGCAAAATAAAAATCAGAGACTCCACAACCTGCCCTTGTTTACCATTGCTTCTTACTTCTTCTTTTTACAGGAGGCCGAGGAATAAGAAGTTGACAATTTAAATGACAGGGGAAGAAATAATACTATACTTTAATCCCATAAAATAAATGAATGTAAAAAAAGGGGGGAATTAATATATATATGTGTATTTTAGAATCTAAAGTAAATGATTAGAAAACACTCTTTTAGACGCAGATAATAATTTATAAATCCATTAGGATGTATGCTGGTTCTTCAAAACACATCACAATCAAATATATATCCTTTTGGCTTCTTAGTTTTCTTTTTTAAAAGTAACTAGGAAAGAAACAAATCTTAAGCAACAGAACCTCTGAATTATCTTGTTTCCTTTCTTGCTGTCACTATGGGCAATCAATTTATCAAGGCATCTTATTGTATTAGTTTGGGATTTTCTTTTGATCCTTGAATCAATCGGTATTTGCAGCTTTATTGACATGGGTAGGTTTGGGCGATCAAAAATACGAATAAAAAAAAAGATCTGTTAGTGTAAACAAAGCCGTGCATAAAATTAAACAAGTAGGTACATTTTTGCGTTTAGTGTTTCAGGATAAAGAGGCTTATTGTTCAAAGTACCTCTTTATTAAAAAAAAAGATTAAAAACATTAAAGTATATGCGGGGAAAGTGTGTGTTCTGATGATGTTCAAGTTTGAGCAAAATTGTAGATGAATATAAAGAAAAGAAGATGAATTGTGTTACGCGAGTTCTATATGCATCGTACTGAAAATTAAAAAGAAAAAGGCTGGGAATGAAGGATAGAAAATATTTTGATATTGAGAATAACGAGATAAGACCAAATGCAGAGTTGTTATTTATTGTTTATTGTTTGTAGCAAATACATGAGTATTTAAATTATACTATTAAAAGGAAGCTTCAAAAATTAAAGAACATATATATGTGTGTGTGGCAATCTAGTAGTAGTAGTAGTAGTAGTAGTAGTAGTAGTAGCAGGCATATCAGTAAAGAGAATATTATGTATTTACATTTCAAATAAATAACCATACAAAATAGCATTTTTTTATAAAAAAAAATTCAAGCACGTATCCTCTAAAGCCCTGCTTGCTGTATTTAATGTTGTGTGCTGCCTCTTATTGTGAGTAGAGATACTGATGCTGGAGCCTTTTAGAGTTTTTTTTTACCATCACAGACTGCGATTTGTGAGCCATAGACAACCGCAAAAAAAAACAATTTCCAGGAAACAATTTCAGCTAGAGGATATAAAAACAACGGAATGAAGAAGTATTGACAGATAGAGCAACTGTTTTATTGGAAACCATTGCTATTTTTGTTATTGTTGTTGAAGTATCAAAGTAAAAAATAACTGATATAAATGGGACTTGACTTTTCCCAAGGATATTTACTCTCTATTTTTGTGTGTATGCGTAGAAAAAGCCACTTAAAATAAAAATGCTTTGGAGTTCTTTATTGACATTTACATATATATTTCGATTTTTTTCCATATTTCTTTGCTACTTTAATTCGAAAAGCAAGAAAATATACTTGGCCACTCTAGACATGACCCTGGACGCATTAATAGAAAGTGCACAATATCGACACCACTGGATATATTTGCGGTATTCAAAAAGTCAAGGTTTGGTATTTTGGATAACTTTGAGGATTAAATATACCCTTTTTTGTCATATACCTACACAATATAGACTCATACCGAATACTTGTGAAACAAAAGACCGAGAGATAAATGCAGGTTGCCAAAGGTACTTTATTAGATCCTTTCGTATTGTGATCCCAAAAGAACAATAATTGCTAGTTGAATTGGATAGCAGTAAGGTCATTCTTTCTTTCATTATTTTTTATTTGTTCTGAAATACAATGAATGGTTTTGGTATGAATATCAAAGGATCATAGAGACCTTATTTAATTTGATACCATGGAAGAAAAGGAAGAGAAAAGAAGATAAAAGGCAATATTGTCCTAGTAAGTAAGTAAGTATATAAAAATAAGAGTATATATTTGTATCAATAATGGCTATCCTTCAAGACAGTATATTTCTTACCCCAGAGGTACTGTGATACGATGCATAGGTGCATTGATATAGAGACTTGTAAAATAAAATAAATCACAAGATATTTTTGTAAGCCAATAGAGGCATCATGTGTACCCAGATATTCCATTCGATCCAAACAGAATAGAATAGTAAGAGACTGCTGCTCCCAATGCCTGTGTGACACCCTCCATGTTATAAAGATGCTTGACCTGATCGGGCTTCTCCTTCTCTCTCTCTCTATATATATATAATTCTTAAGAAAATTAAAGCGTGACAGCTTCCCCTCTCCTTCTTTCTCATTTACTTAATCTAATGACTACCTACGACCTTCATACACTTGATGCCCTTGCCCAAGACTGGATCCGACTTGATAAGGTAAATCATCTTGCATGTCACAGTTGCAATGTCTAAAAATATATATTCAATGTAGAATGAAGAAACCCGAAATGAGATCATTGCTCTTCAAGAAGCAAACAACCATGACGAACTTGCCAAAAGACTGTTGAACCGCATCGAGTTTGGTACAGCAGGTATTTTCAAGTTTCAAATTTTTTTTTTGCTTTTATATCTATGCATGTATTAGAGCATGTCAATTTAATAAAAGTGTGTATTTTCCAGGATTAAGAGCACGTATGGAAGCTGGCTTCTCGAGAATGAATGATTTAACTGTCCTTCAGGCTTCCCAGGTAAATTTATAATTACAATACTTCTTCTTTTTATATATACATTATTTACTGCCTGACTGACTGACTAATTGACTAACTGGCTCGGCTCGGCTCGGCTCGGTTTGACTCGGTTTGACTCTTTTGATGTATCTTATCTAGGGATTAGCAGCATATATTGAGCGCACAGTTGAAAATGCAAAGGAACGCGGTGTGGTTGTTGGCCATGACCACCGCCACCACTCCGAAGACTTTGCTCGCCTGACAGCAGCAGCATTCCTTACGCGCGGCTTCAAAGTGTGGTATTACAAAGACTTGGTTCACACGCCATTGGTGGTAAGAACTTTTCTGTTGTTGTTATCAAATGTTCAACGTTAGAGTCTCCACATATATCTCATACTATAAGGATTATTGTTTCTGTATAGCCTTTTACTATCAAGAAACTCAAGGCAGCTGGTGGTGTTATGATTACTGCATCCCACGTAAGATACTTTATTCCTATGGAGTACGTAGTGTCTTCAGCTAACTAAAATTCAAATGATTTTTTTTGGTATCCAGAACCCCAAGGATGATAATGGCTATAAAGTGTAAGTACCAAAAGACAAAAAGTAACTAAGAGTAATACTAATAGCGATAATTATAATCCTAGGTATTGGGAAAATGCGTGCCAGATTATCCCTCCTCATGATGAGGGAATTGCCAACACCATTCTAGAGAACCTTGAGCCTTGGGCCTGGGACTACGAATTGGCCACCACCAGTGATCTTTGCATTGATCCCACTGAATTGGGTGTTATTGATTCATACTTTGAGGAAGTGGCCAAGTTAGCCAAGTTCAAGTAAAGTATCCTTCTTTTTGTCTATAGGAACCAAGCTAAAAGAGAGAGCTGTTACTAATTTTTTCTGACTTAGATCGGATAACGAGGAAACTAGCGTAAAGTTTGTCTACACTGCTATGCACGGTGTCGGCTTACCGTTTGCAAAGAGAGCGTTTGATATCTTTGGTCTTCCTCCCTTTATCGAGGTTGAGAAACAGGTTCAGCCTGACCCTGACTTTCCTACTGTCGCATTCCCTAATCCTGAGGAAGGAAAAGGTGCATTGGTAAAGAAATACACAAGTTTTTTTTTAGTTAAGAATTGTATATATATATATCTGACACCTTTTTTTTATATGTTTTATAGAGTTTGGCTATTGAAACTGCCGAAGAAAATAATGCAAACATCATTATTGCCAATGATCCAGATGCCGATCGACTTGCTATTGCTGAGCGAACCGTAAGGTAAATAAATCTGAACAATAATATAGCATAGTACCATTTTCTATAAGATATTTCATGTACTAAGTATGTTATGTATATATGTATATAATAGTGGAGAATGGAAGCTGTTCAGTGGAAATATGATTGGTTCCATTCTTGGTGCAGCTTCTCTCGAGAAGGCTGAAGCTGCTGGTCAGGAAGCATGTAAGTTAAATGACAGTTTGGTGGAGATAAATTGGTATACTAATTCAACCCCACCCTATCCCACCCAAACTAATAATTTAAATAAATATATATGTATATAGCATCGTTGGCTATGGTGGCCAGCACAGTGTCCTCTAAATTTTTGGCACGCATGGGAGAAGTAGAGGGATTCAGATTCGAAGAGTCATTGACAGGTTTCAAGTGGATCGGTAACAAGGCATTGGAACTTGAGAAGGAAGGATACAACGTCGTATTTTCTTATGAGGAAGCAATTGGTTTTACTATTGGCGACATCGTCAAGGATAAAGATGGTGTGAGCGCTCTAGCCTTTTTCGCTGAGTGGGCTGTTCAGCTCTACAAGCGAGGCCTTACTGTATTCGAGTACCTAGAAGGACTTTACAAGAAGTATGGTTACTTTGTCTCTGACAACTCGTACTTTATTTGCCATGACAAAAAATTGATCGAGAGCATCTTCAAGCGTATCCGCTACGGAGATCATCCTGTAAGTTTGTGTGTGTGTGTGTGTGTTTTAAAAAATATGAAAGTTTATTGTACTAATTGGTTTTTGTTTATTTTACTTTAATAGACCAAGACCGATGATTCTGAGGTAAGAGAGATAATTTTGTAGACTAAGCATTTAATAGTTAGAGTTTTTTTTTGACTGATTAATAATTAAAATCTTGGTGTTTTGTTTATAGTATGAATATGAGCTTGCATATCCAGAGACCATTGGTGGTTACAAGGTTGTATCTGTCCGAGATTTGACTGTTGGATATGACTCTAGTAAGCCTGGAAACAAGCCCACACTTCCTGTCTCTGCGGCTTCAGAAATGATTACCTTTAGCCTTGAGAATCATACCGTATTCACGATCCGAACAAGGTAAGCTCATCATGACTGTCATTGTGTTTATTAATACATATTTGTATGTGTGTGTGTAACTAATGTTGACATATTTCTTTAGCGGTACTGAGCCCAAGATCAAATATTACTCAGAGCTGAGAGGCGAATCTGAAGAGCAAGCCAAAATTGACTTAGCCAAGGTTGTTGCAGCCATTGGCGATCAACTTATGGAATATGAAAAGAATGGTCTTGCAAAGAAGAAGGAGGATTAAAGAAATATATTATTTATTCCAAGTCCGACGTCAAATGTGTGTGTGTGTATGCAAAGAGGCATCTTACCAGCAGTAACATCTTTTCCAGCCCCTTCTTTTTTTAAAAAAAAATATTATTGTATTTTCTTCGATTGTACGTCTGTGGGGGCCATTCACCGTACATAAAAAATAAAATAAAGTAAAATAAAAATAAATTATTAATTATAATAAACACGCGTTTATGATGAAGAAAAGAGCGACCCGTCACTCGTCTACCACAACGTGTATTGAGCCTGCATCACCAACAGACCATAAAGGTAGAGACGAGTGGATAGGCAAGATGGATTGGAATCCCAAAAAGATAATATTATAAATGATCCATCCCGTACAATTATCTTGCTATCGATACAAATATATATATAATAAAATAAGGATGACATCAAGAAATGAATAGAGTTGATGATGATTCTGATCATAATTGGATCTCATTCACAATCTCTCTAGAAAAGATCGTACCCGAACACAAATCTCCAGGACCCAGTCAGCCGAAAAAAACAATGGCAAAAAGTAGGTTGTCTTTCTAGTCTCTATTTTTCTTCTTTCTTTCTTTCTTTACACTTCTGACTTCGACAAGACTTGGTCCTAAACACAGCATATTTGCTATTTTGTTAAGCATGTTTGTCAGACGAGGCTGAGCCAACCCAAAGAGTCAAAAAACGAGCCCGGACTGAAAATGAAAATGAGGTAAGTATAGTAGATTGGTATGGTATGGTATGGTATGGTATGGATGAGAAGTAGGAAACCTGGAACTTTGTCCTGCAACCAAAATAAAGAGTGGAAAAAATCATTCTAATAGTCTAGTCCTTTGAAAATTCCCAGCCACCCGTTAGACGAGCACAGACACCACCTCTGATGGACACTGCGATAGAGCGAGCCCGTAACGTAGACAAGGTGTTGTATGGAATTTATGAGATCGGAGCATGGTACTACTCTCCTTATCCGAGTGAGTTTGGCGCCTTTCTTGATCGGCTTTACATTTGCGAGCACTGCTTAAATTACACAAACAAAGAGGCACAGCTGAAGATACACAAGGCAAGTAACTTGGGAATACTACTGTGCTGCTGATAAGGATGCTCATCCACAAGACGGTGTGGGTGGGTACAGATGACCTGTAAAAAACGAAGATTACCGGGAAAAGTCATCTACCAGGACGGAACATTAAAGATATATGAAGTTGATGGACGCGAGCAGAAGGTAAAGAGGAGAAAGAAGAAGGAATCTTTTGGTGTTTTTTTTTGTTATCCTTATAAACTTTGAATCCTAGCTGTTTTGTCAAAACTTGTGCCTGATGGCAAAACTTTTTGTGGACCACAAGACTCTTTATTATGACACAGAAGGCTTTAAATTCTATATCCTTACTGAGCAAATAAAACAGTCGGATATTATGGTGGGATATTTCTCAAAGGTACTACACAAATATCTATATATCACTGTAACAACAATAAAGTTACTTAAATAAGTCTTAGGAGAAGCTATCGTACGATAACTACAACTTGGCGTGTATTATGGTCTTACCTACCCATCAACGTAAAGGATATGGACGACTTTTGATCGAATTGAGTAAGATTAGAGTTTATCAATGTTTAAAATCAGATATGTAGCATGTCTAACCAAAGAGTGTTTGATCCTTTAGGTTATGAGCTATCCAAAAAGGAGGGCGTTGTTGGATCTCCAGAGAAACCATTGTCCAGTCTAGGGGCACTTGGGTATAAATCGTATTGGGCATCCACTCTTGTAGCATTTCTATCTGAGTTTTGTGGACAATTAAGTATCTCAGATATTAGCAAAAAAACCTGCATTCACGAGGAAGATATCATCAGCACATTAACCCAGTTGGGTCTTTTGACATATTCAAAAAAAATCACACTTCATACACCCGCACCGCATATAGATGATCACACAGGTGCTGGGGTAGTGCAGACATTGTCAATTTGTATCACAAAAGATATGTTAGAAAAAGCAATTCAAACCCATAGAATATCTTTAAACCGCAAACTTTTACCACAAGGCATTCGTTTTTAAATCTCTATTATTATACTTCTTCTTCTTTTCTATTTTTTCTTCTTCTTCCCCTTCTCTTTCCCTTTCTTATATGTTTCTTTTGATTATCAAGACAAATACGAAAAGGAAAAGCAATCAATTTTAATGAAACACTTTGACCTTTAATAGAGTTGATAATAAAGCTAATATAAATATATATGTACAAAAATACATTTAAAATGTAAAGGTTAAGTGTACTATAAACTAGGCCGTATCCATAGCAATGTTCTCACAGTAAATGAGCTTATGAATATACAAGACATACCAAAATTATAAGAATGTAACATTCGAATATAATATGATAAAAGGAACACTTGTACTTGTCAAAAATAAATAAAATATTTTGTCAATAAGTCCATTTTTATCTCTTTTATCCCTCTCTTTCTCTCCCTTTCTCCCCCTTTCTTATAATCTAGCCAAAGATCTCCAAGTTAGGATAGATGAAAATGACTGTTTTCATAAGTCTATAGCAGTAAGCCTTTCCCGGAAATTCAGGGTTCATATCTCCCATGTTTTTATCAGATTTGTATGTGTGCGTGTGTTTTTTTAAGAAAAATAAATAAAGAAAACCCAATATTTCAATTTGGTTGGCAAAGAAAGAAGGATATTTATGGTCAATTCCCACATCTCCCATGATAGGTAAAGCTTTGGTACCTTGATATCTTAGTATCTTTGGTGCAAATACTGTACTTATGAACAATATAAAACAATAAAAACACGCACACGCTCACGCACACGCAAACAATAACCCAAAGCTCCTAATTGTAAGAATAATATGTTTACAAGTTAATAGCCAATATTTCAATGTAGCAGATAAGAATAATAGTAATAATAATAAGATACCATAACTAAGCATCTCAACTTCTTCTTGTCCTTACCTTTAAACGCTGAGAAGCTTTCCATTTTGTTGCAAATCTTGCTTTGAAACTAGTCTGATACTTCTATTTACAGTAAGCACGTTTTATTATGCTTTTGTTTTTACTTTTGATTTTGACTTTGATTTTTTTATAACTTTAAATTACATATATGCGGAATAACGTTTCCTACAGGGGCTTATGCTATGGTTTTTTCTTCTTCTTAAAAAATAAAAGTAAAAACTATAAAGTAGTTGAAAGCTTGCATGATTTAAATACATTCCTTTCTTCTCTACCTTGTATATACTTTATTACTGGCATCACCGTCGTCATGTCTACTAAAAGGTCTAGGGATACTTTTAAGAGTAACACCAAAAAGATGTGTATCAAGATGTACACTCCTGTCTCTTCATCCTTATCTGCCACCTCATCCACCTCATCCACCTCATCCACCTCATCCACCTCATCCACTTTTTCCACCTCTTCCACCGCTTCTACTTCTGCTTCTTCTGCTCCTGTTACCGCCCCTGCCTCTGGTTTTCCCCCTTCTTTGTCGACTACAGAAAAGACGCCTTTGAGAGTTCGTGGTTCCTGGACGAATGAAAAGGAATTGATCTTACTAGAAGAATATGCCAAGGTTTTTCCTCCTAGTTGCCCAAGAGGAAAACACCATATTGCCTGGTCACATATCATCACCCAAGTCAAGGCTCAAGCTCCTGACGACCCATGCATGAGCTACGACTCTTGTCGGCGTGGAGTTAAAAGGCTTGTAGAGAAGTATCATACGAATCTTTCCGACTCTGCTGAGCCTTTCACGTTCGACTCTACCAGACACACGATCAGAATGGAGAAGGCTGCATTAGCTGTAATTGAAAAGGTATATTTCATTAAAAACTCGTAAACGATTTTTTCTTAATTTGACATATATCTATATATCTATATAAACTATTTTTTTTATTTGACTATATAGAAAAAATTACACCAAGAGACAAAGAAATCTGGCAAAAAGGTAGTGATTTCCAAATTTAAGAATGGTCAAGATGTCAAGAACAACCCAAAGCATTTTACAAACTCAACCTTTGTGCAGACCGAAAGGGTGTTCAAAGAGTATAAAGGTCACTGTTATTCAAAACCTAAGAAAAGAACAAAAGCAAAGCAAATTGTGCACTCTTTCCCACCTACAATTGAAAACACTAGCAGATCAGCTGGTAGCGGTAACAATAAAAGTAGCAGTAACAATAGAGATAACGATGGCGGTAATAGTAATAGTGAAAGTAAAAGTAATGATAATGGCAGCATCAATAGTAGTTGCAGTGTCGGTGACAGTGGTAGTCTTTCTACTGTATCTACAAATGAAGGAGTCTCTGTTGATAGACGGAATCAATTCTGGGAAGAGATGCTGGTATCTTCAAGGAACCAGGAAAAGTCGCTAGAAGACATCAAATCAACAATGTCTATAATGCTCAAACTATTGGAACAGACTTTAAAGAAATAAAATCGAAATAACAGCAAAACAAAAAAAAATAACAAAAACAGTGATATACACTTGACTGAGCTCATATTTTTCGAATTAAATTACCATCAAGACATGAACCTCAGGAGGACTAGGACTAGGACAATAGCAGTATACTCTCTTGTTATGAATGATGTATTGTCATACAGCATATAGCCAGCACCAGGAATAGAAGGCGGCTGCAAGGACTTACTCGTGTATTAGTCTATTATCGCATATTCGATTTCAAACAAGACAGTCTGGTCATTTCTGCACTCAGAAAAAAAATCGATACAACAGATTATTACTTTTGTGATTCCATCAGGAGCGTAAATTTGCTTAATAGATCCATATGCCATGAATATTTTTTAGCCATTGATATTATATAATCGTGTAAAAGAAGTGTACTTTTACATTTAGTTATCAGTATTTTCGGTTTTTTTTTGTTTTGCTTTTTTTTTACTTGGGTGTGCAAAACTGCATGAATTATTCCATATACAAAACCCGATAGCAATGGTTAGGATGGCTACCCCTGTAGTATAATTGATTTTATTAGTACATGATATATTTCATTATATTTTTTTTGTAAGCAGTCAAAACGTCTGAACTGACTCATTCCAAACTTCCCTGTCCCCTACTCCTTTCATGGATGTAAAATTATAAAACAAAGCTGTATGATACTCTTTATTGAAATATTCGTATATACATATACATAGATAAAATATAGATACAAGGCCTGTATGTATATGGGTCAGTGTATTGTGTGCTTTACTTTTTTTTTAAATGAATTGCGATAGAGGCAAAACTTGATATAATGCTAGATATATTAGCTTTTTCTTAGACTGTTTCCTGCTATCTATGGTATAATTGAGAATATATATCAAAGTACCCAAGTTTATTTCAACTTTACCTCCTATGGTTTACACTGGTTACTGACCAGAATTTTAAAATTTTCTATACAGCATTGCTTGATAGACAGAAAGAAAGAAAAAGAACAAACATTTTCAATGATTTTTTAGACTTATGTCCTGAGAGAAATTTGGCAACAAAAATGGATCGTGTGGAGCAAATATCCCAAGTTTTTATTACTATGTGGTTTTTTTTTCAGAATAGAAAAAAAGTTAATTATTTTGATCAATATTTAAGCAATCAATAGCAAGTACTATTTATATAGTGAATCGTTATGCTCCCAACAATATTACTTACACTTGTAAACCCCCGGTTACTTAACCGATTTGGATTTACAGCTAATTTTCTGCATTTGATTTACCCATTTTGACCAAAATGATCCGTTTAGCGAACAATTCGTCAAAATATACGATAATTATCTTTTCAAATAAATATGTTTTTAGTAAGCTATTGCTAAGAGTAGATAGTCTGGTATATATGAGTTAGAGAAATAGGTTTTTTTTGTATTCTTCGTTAATATGGGTCTATACATTATCGCTAAAAAAACAGAAGAGGGGTAGTAAAGTAGTCATTATAAAGTTAGATATGGTGGTATGATTTTCCCCCTTCCACTTTTATTCCTATACCAAACTTTGGCTATATTACTTTCTCATAAAGATTTTGAAATCCTTGAAAGAGGGAAATTAGGCTGCTTTTGATATGTATTTATAAAAGGTAAGAAATAAGGATAATATTCTTTCTTAGATAAAACTACATCATCCGTGTGTTAAAGACCGAGAGAAAGGCTATTAAAACAATAGTCTTAATGTCAAGTATGTTGATTCTTCATATAGACACTTAATAATGACCACAAATAATTAAATGGTAGGTTATAAAATATAGATAGGTATGTGAATAATGTGCAAGGCAATTATCTTATGAATTATACTACTTTTCTCTCTATTTCTCTCTCTTTGCTTTTGTATTGCACTGCTTCTTCCGTATATAGATGTATGTGTTTGTGTGTATTTTGAATATATATATATCCCTGACCTGACAGATAAACATCAATATATTAAAGCTTGTATATTTCTTGTACAACTGTAATTCTATTGAGGTTTCCCGCTCTTTTAGACTACTCTTGTTTGATTTGATTTGATTTTTTACAAGGAAATGTATACGATCCAAAAAAAAGCTATAAATCACAAAATTATATATATATATTAAAGAAAAAATGATAAGTAATAATAAAAAAGTCATCGACTGCCCCAACACCAACACCAATACTGACACCAATACTGACACCAATACTGACACTAGCACTATCACTGGCACTGGCACTGGCACTATCACCTTTTTTGGGTCTTTAATTGGAGTAAGCCGAATAATTAAGTGACAGCCACATTTTACCGGACTTTTCGGTGTAACCACTCCTCCTTCCTTTCCGGACTCGCGGCTTTAGGGTTATGAAGAGTGTGAAGTCTGCGTGTGATTGATTGTGTCGTGAAGACGTGTTTTGATCGTTTAATACAAGTGGGGGAACATTTGGAGAATATGTTGAGCAAATGATACTCCTTCATTAGGAACATTCCGTTACACTTGTTCATTTACATGTATTTTAATAATAATCATATATACAAATGTATATTTTATTTTCTTCCTCTTCTTCTGGGTATTCTATATGCTCTTACGATTTTTTTTTTAAAATAATACATATTTATATCAATTTTCGTGGGAGCTGTGAGTAGTATGACCAATAGAGAAGACTTTAGCTCTATGAGAAATAATGTGTAATCATGTATTCAATTAAATATACACACTGCCCTGTGTGAAATGGTACTGATACTTTCTATATTTTACCCACACTTCTTTATTTTATTAATTCAGACAGGCAAAAAAAACTCCGGTCCTTTACAGGAAATTCTGGGAGCAATATAATTAAGTTTTTCTTTTCTTTGTCTTCTTTTATATATATAATTCTATATCCTTCTTTGATGTATCTTTAATTGGTCATAATCCAATATCTATATATTATTTAGAGTTACTATTACTATTGAAATCAAAATTGATATAGATAATGAGAATTGGGATTAACATCAACGTACAATTTTATTAATGAATTATTATCTTATTTTTGCTTTTATTATGGTGCATTAGAAGTATATTAAGGATGTCATTATTTTATATATAAAAAGAATCTTTCTTACTATATAATCAAGTATATACATACATGCATACCATATATACTTGTGTGTCTCTGTGTTTGTGCCCTCTTCGGCAATATATATATATTCTTTTTTGTTTTTGTTTTTGTTTGTGTTTTGTGCTTGGAGTATAAATCTTCCGTAATTAATATGTAACATGTGTTATGATCGTCGATTACTATTGCACCGCTTTTCAAAAATAAGAAATATAGGACTATTCAGGGTCTTTGTAGCCTATAAAAAGTTAATATATAATATAGGTGTAGTGTTCTTTTATATTACCTGCACTAACTGTAGTACATACACACACATATACAGATACTTATGCAAAAAGAGAAACTTTAATACAGCTAAGAAGTATATCTAACACTAGGACAATAATAAAGTCAATTTCCCTCTGATAAATCATTTTGTCGCTTTCTTTATCTATTCAATTACAACGATAGTTAAATGTATACATAATAAAAGTTCTATGGTTATATAAATTACTTGCTTGAGATGTGATACCAGTAGATTACACAAAGCTGATAAGCATCAGATGCAACAACTCAATAAATAATTGTGCTTTCGATCTGTAAGACAGTGATGTTACTCAGGTGTACAAATCAATCAGGCGTTTGTGTACTTGTGTGTGTTAAGAGATCTGTGAGGGTAACTTATCTTCCCTGTCACCCATCGGAAACTCAACTGATTTTCTAGTGAAAGGTTCTCGGAGCAGCAAAGCAGGCCTGAGAGCACAACTTGTCGTTGGCTGGTTATTATTATATGAAGAAATTCATACACACGGCCTTGGGCGGTAAAACTATCTCTATCTTTTAACTAATAGTTGTACTTGTACTTGTACTTGTACTCGGTAAGACCTTTATTTTATTTGATTCTTATAATATATTATTATATAATATAATAGAAGAAGAATAAATATTCAATATCGATTGTATGTGTATATAAAGGAAGCTTTTTGCCTTCCTCTTCTTGATTTCTAACAATTATTATCATTATCATTATCTAATAACAATGAAGCTTTCTATTCTGTCTTCAATTGCTCTTGGTTTCCTGCTGGCGTGCTCTTCTGCAGATGCTGCCCCATCAAAGAGAGTGGTCGGTGGTATATTAGCAGACTCCACTTTACCTGCCTTGATTCCTGACCGTACCAGCCCAGCTACAAATGTTCCTGATGTTTCTCAAGATGCCGAAGCAAATGCTCTTTCTCACAATGGACCTCTGCCAGCTGGTGTTCAGACCAAGGGAGGATTCGCGCTTGACCTGACTAATGTGACCGTACCTGTCTCTGGGACTCTTTCAAGAGTTAGCCTTCCCTTGGCAACCACTGCCAAGATCACCATCCTGAAGACCTATTTCTCTCTGTCTGATAGTGCCTACTGCGACTCGGTTACCGTCAATGGAAAATGGACCTGCAATACATGTTTGCCATCCTACACTCTTGTAAAGACATTCAGTACCAGCAGTGATGTTACTGGTTACATTGCCAGAAATGATAAGACCAAAGAAATCGAATTGGTCTATAGAGGTTAGTATGGAATCATAAACACTGGTTTATATGTGTATATTCTAGGATCGATTGACTGAAATACTTTGTTTCAATATTTAGGATCCGGATCCATTGACAACTGGATTACCGTAAGAATTAAACTTTATATTCAATTGCATCAAAGTTTTGTCTTTAACTTAATTGTCGGCTTACCTTTTCTTCTTCTTCTTTAGAACCTCAAATTTGTCAGAAAGGATTATCCCCCTGTTTCTGGAGCCAGTGTTCATATTGGTAACCCAAGTTTTGCTTTATTTCTTCTGTTTTCTAAAATGTATGAGCATTTGTTTTAATAATTGTTATCTTTACAGGTTTCTACGACGCTTACATCGAAAGTCAATCTATTGTCCTCACTTACATCCGTGCTCAATTGACATCTTATCCTTCTTACAGAGTTGTCGTTACTGGGTAAATATCTACCTTTTTTGGAGTCAGTTAGTTAGTTAGCTGGTTGATGCTATACTTATCAAGATATCTGACTATTGTCTATACATTTGTTTATTGCAGTCACTCTCTTGGTGGTGCTATTGCTCCTATTGCTGCATTGGATCTTTACCAGCGTGACTCTAGATTTACCAACCAGAATCTCTTCATCTATACATACGGTAATTATTATTTATTTAAAAGTAATATTTTCCAAACAAACAGAAACATTAACTTTTTAAATAATATTAAGGTGGTCCTCGTATTGGTAACGATGAGTTTGCTTACTATCTTACTTCCACTGGAATTACATATGAGCGCACTGTCAACAACCGCGATAGTAAGTTGCTACACACACAAACACACATATATGTTATAATATTCATCATTGCAATTGTTTTAATACAATTCTAGTCGTTGTCCATCTTCCTCCTCAATCAGTCGGATACTTGCATGCCGGTGTTGAATACTGGATTACCAGCGACACGTCTGTCGTCAGTAAGTATAAGAAAACGCACACATACACATAATATATATTTAACTATCTTTCCCTTTCTTTAAAATTATTAAAAATAATAGAAATCTGTGATGGTACTCTCGATTCTGACAACTGCTCAAACTCAATTGTTCCCTTTACTTCAGTCTCTGATCACACTAGGTAAGTCTAGAGAACCTACAATAGCAATAAATGGAATTGATCGTTTTACTAAACTATAATTTTGTAGTTACTTTGATATTGAACGTGTCTGCTAAGATATTATTCTTATTTTTGATTCTGGATAATCAACATTTCTACACACCTATTTATTTAATCTAATTTAACTTAATTTAATTTATTTGATATTTAATATATTTATTAAGCATCACTTCTTCAATTCTTCCATTCTTTCTAGTTATTATTTCTTTAAAGTATAAAGAAAAAAAATAAAACTCTTTTATTTTTCCTCGACAATCTTTCAGTTGTATTACTGTAGTTTTCATTTTATTTATTATACTTATATAATGAATTCAAGCATATCTTATAAACACCACGTTACTCAATTTCATTGGGGGAGTTGAGGTGTAGGCTATAAACATTCTTCTTAGAGTTTATAATGTAATGTATTATATACATGTGCTTAAAATGATAGGTGGGATATGATCTTTGCGTGATCTTAATAAACTGGGTTATTCTGGCTTTCCTGACAAAGAAATAATAGTGATACAACAAAAGCAATGTAGCTTAATAATGATCTTTATTTTTTCCCCCTTTTTTTTTAATAAAGTAAAAATGATAATAAAGATTAGGAAAAAGAAGAACTGAGATGTGTTTTCATTTTTGATCTATCGATATATATATATATTATTTCCTGTACCATTTGCATCAGTGATCCTAGGGAGACGACATTTTCAAGGTGGGATACGACGTTTTGGTTTTGCCAGACTAGTTGGTTGTCACTATTTGTCCAGAGTCCGATGTCTTCTCTCCAATCCTTCAGGGCAAAATGGTGTGTCCTTAAATTCTCAATTCAATCTTTGAATATAAAACCTTCTTTTCTATTATTTACTCATCTCGTAAGAACTTACTAATCGATTATATTAAAAAATAATGTTTTTCTTTTCAGAGATAGCAAACACATTACTTTGCTCATTACAGATTAGCAATTAGAAATCATGATGTTAATAAGTACTTTCTAGAATTTACTTCCATACGAACTCTATCAATAAATAAATCCGTTTTTTTAATGGAAAAGAAAAATTTTCTGTCCAACAACCTCTTCTTATCCCACCAGTTAATGTTTACAATGACATGCAAATGTCAATTGTAAAGATGTAGGAATATGCACCTGCAAACGATTTTATACTCGTAATTAAATACAGAAAGCCAAATCGAATTTACTTAAAGTGTTCCAAGGGTGGGCACTATAAAAAGACCCGAAAGATTGACAACAGTGACCATAAGAAGATATCTTCTAGTAGAATGATTGAATGTTCCTATCTCCTTAAGATATTCTACAAGAATGCATCCAAAAGCTATTTTTCTCTTGAAGACCACTTATGAGATCGAAGTCTTATATAAGCATCCCCTTCACAATGAATGCTCGGAGTTTATTTTGAACGGTAGACTCTCAAAAGTTACAACAGAAGATGATATTATGATAACGAAACTAATTGAGACAAATACCAAGACTCGTGAGATTCAAAGGGCTATTAACGACGAAGTATACCCTGACCATAAGTTGTACGTTAGCAACATTGATAGCATGAATACTGCACATGCTCGTATCTCTGCTCATACTCTTTGAGATAATGAAATGAACCTTATTAAAGCAATGTAATCGAAGGGATACCAAGTTTGCTAAGATGTTAATAAGAATGGAAGTCATGAGAGGATTCTTTTCAGTCACTCAAAAATTTTAGAAAGAGCATGGTATCTCTACGAAGTTATGGTTGTAGCTGCAACATACTTGACCAACAATTTAGAAATTCCTCTTATTTGGGCTGAAGCTATTCACGACCTTAGAGGGGAAACTTTAAAATACTTTCAATTACATTTGTTTGGATCTCTAATGAGTAAACTGGTTCTTATGTCTGGTTTTTGGAGCCAATTAAGACACTTGCTTTTAAGAACAAGCAATCAAACACTCTGCTTGTAGCAAACAAGTGTCTTGCACTGATAAATGCATTGGAGTTTTTTTTTGGAAAACAAAAAGCTTCTGTGTCACTGGTATATGCTCAACAGTGTGAAGAAAGTTTTTTCTAGAAAGGCTGAGTCTGTGACCAAGAAAGAACAGCTTATGAATCATGTAAGCCACGTGATTAATAGTAGAACAAGAGGTAGAGTTTAACTTGACTCTTCTGAAGTTTAACAATGCTTATGCTGATATAAAAGTAGATGATAGCAAGATCGAAGCATCAGCATAAACTTACTTTTTTGAAAGGTAGTTGAATTTCAAGGAGAAGTAGTCAAAGTATATTGTGAGTAAGCTTATACATTTTGGGTGTATCAGCACTCAGCAAGTAGAAAGTGCTCATCAAGTTTTTAAGAGAACTACTGTCATTTCTTCTCAGAGGTTGACCTTTGAGAATGTGGCAAAGTGTATCAAAAGTCTAGAGATAGATTTTTGAGCAACAAGAATAATCAATACTCTTGTTAGGCAAAACCAAAGTCTCTTACACCTCTTCATGAAAGTGTCAAAGTAAGTATTGCTTATACTTGATTAGAAACTCTGGTTGGCAAAATAGGATAAAAAGTGCTAATATATGAACAAAGCTCAGTATGGTCTATCTCGTCATCATATATTACCTTTAGAAAGAGATATTCAGAGCTCTGATGTATCATATAATTGAGTTGATTCTAGAAAGAAAGAAAAGTCATGAAACCAGCCAAATATGCAAGTTTCTGCCATTAAAAGCCCAGCAAAGTAAATAAGTAAAATCATCAAGCTTGAAACTTTATTCTACTCTTTTGAAGGCAGCCAGAAAGCTTATAATCATTTGAAGAAAGTAAAAAAAAATATTATTCTTTATTTTGATAGCAGAAAGAAACACTTTGTCATAAAGTTGTAAGCATCAGCAAATATCAATTATCTAAGAAGATTCACGAACAGTGACTATTTTAAATACTTGTTAAAGAGCTTTGGTTATTCAATCTAAAGAAGAACAAGTATCTTGGCTGAAGCTATAAGTTTCAGACTTTACTTATACTAAATACATAATGAAACTAATTATTTTAATAAAATACTAGACTGATATCAAGACAATATACTGAGAGAATGTTATAAAGATAGTGAAAAGTGTTGAGTTGGTGTGGTGCAACGTTGTCAGAAAAATAATAAATGAAAATGGAGTTGCCAACGAGTTCAGAAGGCAAATATAAAGAAAGAGAGATTAATTACTGTGATAACGCTTGGGTCTATCCAACAGTAAGGAGATGTAGTAAAATGTGTATAGACAGGACAAATATAACAAGAAGTATGCTTATAACTATCGCGAAGATTTGTTATAAGTCAGTGACGATGAAATAAATGTATAAACAAAAGTAAAATAAAGGATTTGATCAATAAAATAAAGATAGATAAGGATTCTGTTTTATTATTGCTTCATCTGAAGACTTTTATATGTGAACAATCTATACTACTTTGTTATAAAGCTCTATTAAAGCAGTACCAATGATGAAATACAATGCACAAGGGTACGCCTTGTGCAAGGGGATTGAAGGAAATCCTGCAAAGAGCGTCATACTTCTTTGCAGGATATTCGTGGCCTGAGCGGAACCAAAAGAACACACACCGTGTCACACCCTTCGTTGCACTCATTGATTGATATATCCAAAGATCGACGTTGTTTATGTTCATTACAATTTGGATTATAATATCTTTTGGCTTCTTTTTCTTCGTTATACTCTTTATGTACTATCTTTCCCTCTCCTTCTTTCCTCTAAACTATGAATTATACTCGATCATTTGAATGAAATAAGGAAGGAATATCTATTATGTATTTGGAGTAGGCTAGGGTCATACAATGGCTCAAAAGTTAAAGAAAAAGAATGTGCCAAGTGACAAGTGCTTTTCGCACCATCAAAAAAATATTTTTATTCAAGCAATTATCGATGCAGTATCTAAATTTTTTTGAAGGCTATTCAGAAGAATACTATTGTATACATCATTTATTTCTGTGGATAACGTCTCTTCTTATAACAGTTGCTCTTGTTTCATATTGCTCTTGTAAACAGACCAAAGCTGCTTGATGGAATTCAGTCCAGAAAAATAAGATAAAAGATACAAACGGACTTAATTATGTCTCTTGATCTCTTTTTCAATATTATCATTTTTTGTGGGTAAGTGCAATGTCAATCACAATATAATATCTTTTAATTTGCTCATATTTTTCAAAACATCTATTATATTGTATATAAATTTGAAATAATATAGTGCTTATAATAGTGCCACATCTATCTAAATTCTAGCAATCGGCTGTATAGATTCTTAACCTCTTCTTTTTACTATAAGTCAAAGCTTCGAATCCTATTTTCAAAATAATAATGCTAATAATACACTATGAATGAAATTGGTGTGGCTGCCACTAATGGTAGAGGATATCCTACTAATTTATTTTATAAACCAATCAAATTGGTTCTAGATTTTGGTAAAAATATTAAAAAAAGGTGAAAAAGATAAAGTTGTATTTAAGAGCAAAAAAACATAATAGAAACGTCTTTTTATATATATATATATATCATATAGAGAGTATAGCAATTTGATTTATTTATTTTTTATCCAAAATTGTAAAACTTTCTTTTCGGCTCTTTGTCAAGCCTGTTGTATTTTGACAATACCACTAATCAATGTGGCAGACCAACTATCTTTTCCACTAATTTACCGGAAGTGCAGGATTTACATTGATTTTGCATTTTATTTTGCTCGAATTTTTACTGCATTTTTTTTTTCCTTTTCATCATAAATGGACATCATCTTAAAAACAATTTTAAGATAAAGAAGGTGAGTCTCTATAGCTACTTTAAACATATAGCTTACATGACTTGGTCTCTATTTTATTTTTGCCTAGTTTAACCTGCTAAAATAAAAGTATATTTGAATTATTGAAATAGAAACAAAGGTTCTTTTTATTGTTCATGGGTATATTAAAGAAAGAAATGATAAAAGGATGGGTATAATGGGGTATTTACAGTTTGATATGGCTTAATTTTCCAGCAGTACTTTTCATATCTTCATTAAATATATAATATGGAGCAACTACTTTATATTTCTTTGAGTCCATAGCGGTTTGGACTAAGCCGACTTGATTTTGGATATCATTTATACTAATTACTGCTAATCTTTGGTATATAGAAGTTGCTTCTAGAGTTACAACTGGAATGGAATTGTTGTAGTCGGCGGCTGAGTGATCATTCATAACACTTACCAACACGAGTAACTGCCTGCAGTTTTCATCATAAGGTGAGATGTTATGCGAGAAATAAAAAATGACAGACCCAATAAACAAGTGGGTTTTGCTAAGATTTAAATAGAGTAATTAGAAACTTCATTCTATAGGACATTTCTTTACGACAAACTTACTTTTGGTATATGGCATAAAATTTTATGTAATGATTGTCTCGACAGAATTCTGATCACTTTCTTCTGTACATCTCCAAACTATATACATGGCTACCGATTAATGCGCACGCTGCTATCTGAACTGTGTTCATGATATATTGTGGATCGGTTTGCTGTGAATTAGATCAGATATAAAAGGTTTGTAATTCCTTGGTAAATGTGGGTATGTTGGTGAATTCTTGTATATAGGGTATAGTTTCGAACGGACTCCAGAGTTGATGATCATAATTGTAGGGAGAGAGAGATGAAAGTTCCAGGAAGTCGTCCAGAGATGTCCTTGTGGGTATAATTGGATTCACCAATTCATCGAAATCTACCGAGCAGTTCAGATAGCCACGGATCGCTAGTCGCTCCACCAAGTTGCCCGCGTTTTTTCCACTGAAAACCTTACTTTTGATCAACTTAGAATATCTGCCAATTGTTCGTTCCATGGATCTGGTACTGTACACACTTAAATTACCCATCTTTCTTGTGATAAGACCAATATGGGTAATGTAATGGTTTACGGGAGAGAAGACTCTGACTGATAGATTTTTTCTGTAATCTCAGAATCCAGAAACTGATGCCAAATGTTGAAATTGCTATTAAAAAAGAAAGTAAGCATTATTTTCAAATAATAAAGTTTCAAAGCTCATTTCAACTTACTTTTCCATTTCCACTATCATATTCTCATTTAAATTCCACTGCAAGCATATAGAGCAACCTTTTACCAGAGCCAGGAGTGCCTTTCGAGTTGTTTGTCTTGTAAACAGAGGAACCAGCAGAGTGGAGATAACATACAAAAGGAAATCAATATAATCGATTGCCCTTACGCCTTCCCTCTTGTCAATAATATTATCCCAACTGCCTTGGAAGGATACAGGTATGTTGGATCTAGAATACTGGATTTGTCTACCTGCCAGCTTAACATCACTTTCCTTCAGAGAGAAGGTATATCTATCTTTCAGGAAATGACTTCCGTCTTCACTCTTTGGCCAGTAAGCTTCCAATGATTCAGTGTTGGAAAGTACAACTAGTTTGTAGATAAGTTTGCCTATTCCATGACCAATTAAATGCATCTCATCAAGTCCATAGAAGCAAGATCCACTAAAGGTGGGCAATCGGGCAAAAATGTTTGCCTCTTTAATACCGGTAGCCTATAAAATTTATATTAATATACAATTCTTTTTTTTGCTATAGTATACTTACTTTTTTACCTCCAACAAAGTCGTCCTTTGTTCTCAAAGTGGCACAACGGTCCTGGTAGTATTTCCCTTTACCATGGGGAGGGCTGACGCCTTCTACCTCGCATATCCGGCAACCTTTGTTAGACATGTGACCAGTGTGGTGACAAAATTGGGTAACCTATTTTTGCTCAAAATGGTGAGTTGCTTTTCTCCTTAGTTTTTCTTTAACTCACTTGAGGAATGTCACCAGAGGCCATGACCATGTGAACTTTGGCTTTAATCTGCTCGCCATTGAACTTTTTGATGATCAACCCATGTTTTCCTAAGCTACTTATTTCGTCTATAATAGGCAATAAGAAAGAGTCAAGATCTTTGGGCTTTCCAGGTATAATCGCAAGTTGGATGAGGTATTCATCGGTACATCTTGACACAAAAAAAAAGATAAGTCTAAGATAACCCATGTATAAAAAATCCTTTTATGTTTTGCACTAATTATTCCCTAATTTCAGGGTTATAGTTTAATACCATTACATGCACAATAGTCAATTGCTGTTTCGATTTTTCTTGGTTTACAAAACCATCAAGAAACAGAGCAATTGCTATGTCATTGGGGGAATCAAAGAGCTGCTGCTCTTTTAGAGTTTTATACTCTTCACCATCAAAATAATCAGATATTTTATTTGAAATAGATTGCCTGTTGGCCCTGCATTGCAGCTTTGCTCTTGTCTTGTCGTTACCAAGAAGTCTTGCCAGTTGGTCGCCAATTGACATCATCTTCATGATGTTTACTGGTACCAAAGAAGAGTCACCATCGATCTCCTTGTATCTGTAGGCCTTGCAAATGGAGCATTTGTCTTCATCCTTGGTGATGTCAAAGAGCAAGCAAACATTCTCACAAATGTCGTACTCATAAGACTTCAGGTCAGTCTTGCTTTTGATGAGCGTGTTGACAGGCCCGGCATGCAAGACTTTTGGGTTATACTCTAATATTTGAACATTTTAGTTAACTTTCTAGAATATCTAAAGGAAATTTGGATTGAACATACCTTCTTTGAGCTTGTCATTATCACGAATGACCATGTTCATAAGATCTACAAGTAGACTATGCAGATCTGTAGAAACCCCATGATCAGTTACAAGATCGTTCAAGCCAATGCTGAATAGCTCGGATGTCGTGAAGGTATTGTTGGTAAAGATGTTGTCATTGTAGACATGTCCTTGGTCACCAGCTTTAAAGTTGCAAGACGCTTTAAAGGTTCTTGACTGGAATGGATCAAATGGAACTGCAACAGGCAATTAGGGCTATAAATATTTATGTTTGGAAAGTGTGTACTAAATTATTTCAAATACATACCATCTTCTATATTTGTTTGTGCTGGAGCAGATTTCATAGCTGGTTCTTGTAAATTCTCATTACCAACATGAACATTGACTGTTTTGTAAATACGCTTGTGATTGCGAAGTTGTTTGCTAGTATGGTGAGTCAAGCTACAGAAATCGCATTCGAAAGAAGGCAAGTCAGTAAAACTTCTGGTTCTTTTGTTTGAATAAGACATCGGTAAGGTTGAAAAAGGGTAGTATATGAAAGTTAAAATAAAAAAAAGAGTTATTTTAATCTTGAATGAGATTGTGAGCTCGCCTTTTTATATTTTCTGAGTTCATAAGTGCAGTTTGTTGATGTTGTGAATGAGTACCAATTACTGCTTACTTTGAGAGTAAAACTGAAGAATAATATAATAGCCTCAGGCATTTTACTTCATCGGATCTGACTTTAAGATATTATTTTATGCACAGATCATCATGCTCATAATTAATTATTAGTTATCATGCATTAATTATTCACAATAGCATAGAATATATACATATACATATATTATATCTATGACATCATTATATTTCATATACATATTTCATTTGATATATGAATACTTAATTTATAGACTATAACTACAATTGATAAACATTATGAAAAATCACCAAAGTATCTGGGTCGAAATGCTAAAATATTACCAATAGCATAAACACTGTGATAAATGGCAGCATTTATAACTCCGGACTCATAGAAATGTTGGGGAAGATTGTTAGCCAATAGAACTACTGGAAATGGCAGGATTTATAATTCCGGACTCGTAAGTTCTTCAGCACACCCACTGAGATTTTTTTAAACTCAATGTCCAAGCTAGATTTAAAGTTGGCCTGACTAAAATTTCCTAAAGCGGAATATGAAGTGTCCGCTCGAATTTACCATGAATGGAAAAAAGGATGGATACAAAAAATCTGAAAAATGGGGGGTCCAATAATTGCAATTATAGGGTTTCAAAAAATGTGTTTCAAAAAAAATGTTTCAAAAAAATGTTTTTATTTTGGTTTCAATAAAAAATAGTACTAGGATTACGCGTTCTATATACTAGTAGCTAGTCTAGTGTAGCAGCCTCCCTTATGCAATAGATTGGGAGATAGACATGGTAAAAGTAAAGAAGAACAACTATTAAACAGAAACAAAGTATTAGTGTTATGACCTTTGAAGTAAATAATATGGTAAATTACCTTTTTATACTAGATAGACAGTAATATATGAGACTTACCTAAAGAGATGAGGGTAAAGTTATTAACAAAAGTAAAGGAAAAGTCTGCTTGTTTAGTTATGTTAGGAGTAGATACCTTATAATATTATGACAGACAGCTTGGCATAGTTTGAAGTAACTTCCTAATATAATCTCATGTTGGAATCTCCATAGAATCTAATAAAAAATATATATTAGTATCAATATGAAGTAGGGCATAATAAATATATTACTTACTGAGGGTGTTCGGTATGATAGATACTATCATCTTGTTAGATTATGCTTGAAACTTACCTTTCAGTCATGAGAAAAAAAAAGAAAAAGAAGGAAACAAGTAAACAAAAAAAAATTAGCTCACATTATTTCACATGATTTTTTTAGCAGTCATTTTTTGCATGATTAAAGATATGATACCTTGAATTAGTTTACGTTTTTCTACATCTTTCGTTCCAAAGATTTTTAAACATGGAAAATCACTTCACAACAAAGAGGAACACATTCCTCACACCAATGGCTACAGACAACTGAACATTTGTGTGCACCGTCTGCGAAACCAAAAGAGTGTTAGGGTCCTTGCAAGGCCTCAGAAGACATTATACAAAAAAACATCCAAACGAAATGGGGGAGTATGAGAAACTTCTAAAAAGAAGGTAAGTTAATCCTAAAAGTAGGATGAAAAATACTATGTAATGTAAAGCTGAAATTGAGCATACCTTAACATTAGACCTGCTATGTTTGATGACCCTTCTTCTTCTGCAAGCACTGCCACTGCCACTACCACTGCCACTACCAACCTGAACAGTAATAATGGACCTGCCCCAATGGAATTTATTCTTGAAAACCCTCAGGACACATATGGCCATGAAATCTCTGACAAAGACGAATATAGTGATGATTACATTCTATCATAAGTAAAAATTAGTAATGCAATATTGAAATAGATAATAACCTGTTTTTTTTTTGCTGAACAGTGATTCATCAGATGACTATGATGAGACCACTGACGACGAAGACACAGACACCAGAGTAGAATATGATAGCCAGGATCATATTGCTAGAGTGGCAGCAGAAATGAGAACCTTCCAATCTCTTTCTCATGCCATGAATGCCTACTCGAACGAAGACAGCAGCAGACAGACATTGTACCGGCCCAATGACTTTGCTGACATTTTTACTGGACCCACCCATCCATTTAAATCGAAAGTAGAGTTTATCTTACATGCTCTCTTCTATGGCGATGAAGATCTTGCCTCAGAAAGATCTATCAAGAAGATCATGTTTGCCATGAAGATGGTCTTGGACGTCCATGAAGAATCTGGAGTAGCACTGGATTTTCTGACACCAAATGCTGTGATTAACTATCACAAGCAGAAAAAGAACCAGATCCCTGTTTTTCCTACTGCCAGTTTTGATGTTGTGAACCAAGACAATGAACGACATGTACTTTGGATAAACAAACTGTCTGATTACATCAAGTTTACCATGACATGCCCCGGAAAATCATCTCAAATCTCGGCCCTTCCTGACTTCACAGAAAACCAGTAGTTGAATCTCAACCAAGGCGAAAAGTGGAAGGAGAACCCATTGCTCCAGCACCCAATGATCACTTCAAACGGAATGGACTACTGGGTGGGTGATGTTGTCGAAGTATAAGGCTCCCCAAACCAGTATCTCCTTGAGAAGTTCTTCACCAAGGACGGATCCATACTTGCCAATGCATTCCAGGTTTATGGTGGCCACAATCCTCAGCTGAACCATCCTGATGATACTCACTTCCTGCGGTTTGGAAACTCTACGAACTTTGCTGTCTCTACCCTGAAGTATACCATTGAAGTTGATAGGATTATGTCTACTGTTCAAAAAGACAGTGATCTTTTCCTCAGAGCTGGTTTCTCTGTTTCTTATTGCCCTGCCAAAATTGTCACCTATGCTCTTACTGGTGTTCAATCTGACTTGTGTCTCAACAAATCCCATGTTGAAGAATTCAAGAGAAGACTTCCAGGCTCTGGTTTGATGAAAGTGGTTGTCTGCCCACTTAATCTTTATTCCAAAAATACCTCCAGTAATTCAACAAAGCAGTACAACAAGTATGAAAGTTACTTAATGTACTTTGCTGCATTGCCACTTGAGACGAGAAACAAACAAGAAAATACTCTTTTCATTTGTACCTCGAATCATACACTGAATGCCGTTGAGATGTTGCCCCCTATTGTCGATGACCTCGTTAGGCTGGAGAAAGGTATTGAGATGTATTCTGAGGATCATGGTGAAGTAGTTCTTGTTGTTGTGCCCCTGTTGCTCTTTATGGGTGACAACCCTTGTCAATCTCAGCTTGCCATGCATAAGGGAACATCTGCCAAGAAGTTTTGCCAAAAATGTCTCATACCTTCGCCTTGTATTGAACAGGGTTCCATCCCTGATGCTCTGCCGTATTCTCCAGTTGACCACCATGGGTAAGAAGAAAGAACGAGGGATTTCTTGTGCGCCTTTGCCAATGCCGATTCCCAGTCAGAGCTATATCTCAATGGGTGCGAATTGAGTTATATCAAGAATGGAAGTGAGGAATTTCTTAGACTCGAAGCCTTTGACCCTACCAAAGACATGCCTATTGAAATTCTCCACATTATTTCTCTTGGCCTGACGAAATACTTGATGACTTTTCTCTGGAAACAGAAGATGCTGACTACAAGTGAAAAGGGGAGACTCCAGGAAGCTCTAAACTCTTACAAGACTTGTAAGAGTTACAGCCAAACATTCAGGAACAAGCTTTGCCACACTGATTCGTTCATTGGACACGATTTCAAGGAATTGATTCAAGTCCTGCCTGGAATTATGAGCAAGCTCTTTAGTGACAAACCATTGGCAAGTTTGTTTATTAAAGCCTTGCATGCATTAGGCTGCCTGTCGTCTTTGGTGTATATGCGTGGAGTCGACCGGTGCTTCGACTACTATATTGCCCAGATAAAACACGCTGTCACTGATGTAACGGATCTGCTTTTTCAACTGGATATCCAGATTCTCCAAAAAGGATTTTCTAAGCAAGACTTCACGTTCAAGCCAAAGGTCCACCTTCTGCATCATATCACTGATGACATTGTTCGTTTCGGTTCCATGCTGCAATACGAAACTGAAAATGGTGAACAGTTTAATAAGTTCATCCGCAAACATTTATTCAAGACCAACTGCCATTCCACCTCTCGAGACATCGCTACAAGATTTGGCAAGCAATTCATCTGTTGGCATCTTTGTAATGGAGGATCGTATGTCGTAGAGAAACCAGTTGGTAATGGAACAAGATCTGTGAGAAGTTCAATTGGTAATTTTGTCAAGCTGGCCCCTGTCAATTTCCCAGGCTTTAATCTTCATTTCTTTGGTTCTCGTGTCAACAGTGACAATTCCGGGTTGTCAACTCCCACTTTGTGTAATACACTTGCAGGTGTTTTTCAATCAAATAGTCAATTATTCCTTGGTCAGGTAAAGATCGTTCAAGCAAGAGACTCTGCAGACAGAATGAAGAAGGCGTTCTTTATGCAAAAGTACTAAATTGTTCCGAACAGCAATGTAAATTGCATCTATACCCCAGCCGTGGTAACAGACAATTACAACAATATTGTGGTTCTGCCCCTTGGAGGCCTGGTTGAAGTCAACAAAGATGACATCAACATCGTTTAGGCTGTTGATATTCACTTGTCCGTTGGGTCTTCCAATAACCAAAAGTTCCTCAATGTTGCAAAATTCGGCATGTTCTGGTGGATGTTGATGAACATTGCAAAAATCTATTAAAAAAAATGACTTATCAAAAAAAAAAGTATTTTTCCCAATGGGGTTTGTCCAATAAAATCTCTTCTTTTCCAGTTCTCTTCGCTTCTCCCCCCCATTTCAGATTTTTGTACCATCTAAAATTTTATCATGACATTTAAAACATTACACTAATCCACTTTTGGCTCATTTATATCAAATTCGTACACCCAAATCTGAGCCTTAACAGGTTCAACTTAAAATTGGAACTCTAAGCCAATAGAAACAGCTGTACCGTTAGAAATTACCATAAATGAAAGAAATGTCAGTAAGTGTATATTGGATGTGATTTCTTTTATTTATTGTATAAAGCTTATATGTCATTGGATACTTTTATTTGGTACCCTCTTATATGACAATTATTGTTTTAAAATGTAGATTAAATAGACATTTTATTGGACACAATTTATTTTTGTTATTATTGCTCTAAAGAAAATAGCTGTCTATTGGATTATATTTATAAGAATTATTGTTTGATTTAATAATTATGCTTTTATTGGATATTATTAAAGAAAAAAAGCTTTTATTGTTCATTTTATTGGATGTTAATATAAGAAAAAGTTTTTATTGTTCGTTTTATTGGGTATTATTATAGGAAAAAGTTTTTATTGTTCATTTTATTGGGTGTTATTTAATAATAAGAAAATCAACATTTGAATTTTGGTGGCTATAAACTACACTATATTCTAAGTTATTATAGCAGAGTATCTTATTTGATTTTATTATATTTGATTACTTACAAGACTACAATCTTCTAAAACAGTCTCTCCAGAGATGAGAAATTCTTGAGACAGATGCCCAGTTTTCATGGCATCTGGTGAGGTCAATATCAGCATCATTCATCAATGTTGCGTGTTTAGCACACATTTGTTTTCTAACCATTACTGGTATAGACCCCCAGCTAGGTCAAGAACCAAGATCCTTCACCAAAGGATGGACAGCCAGCTCATCACAAATGATCTTTGTACATACTCGGAGAGTGGCCTTCTCTTTATTGTTTACCTCAATACCAAGATCTTCACTCATCATTTTGAAGACATGCTTCAACGTTATATCCCAGATATTCGGAATAGGTGCACGGATAAGACTGTTGCAAGGCTATTGGATTACATGTTAATACATATTCATTTTATTTTATTTTTGACTTACAATGTCAGTGGCAGAAGGTACTGTCTCTTGCTCAGAAAATCCTCTGTTGTCCAGTTGACTCTGGAGGTAGTCAATCTTTGAATTCAATTCTTCTCTTGTAGAATTCAATTCCAGTTTGATAGTGTCCTGTCCTGTCTTCAAAGAGATTATCTCACTGTGCATAGCTTGTAGTAAAGATATGACCTGGCTTTCTGTGTTATTCATGTTAAGAGTTTAGTTCGTATAAGCAAAAAGATTGTTGTGAAAGGAGAATAAAGAGTGAAAAAAATTTCTATCATCTATTATTAGTTTCATATTAATTAGTTTAACTTTTTCATCTCAGTCAATATTAATTTTGACTTACCATAGTTATATTTACAGCTAATACGCAATGTTTCAGATACTGTTTCTGAGTTCATACTTATATTATCTATGTCATCATTATCTTGAAGCTATTATGTCTACACAAAACTCAAAGTTATTAAGTATAAAGACATATCATTTAAAAGCAATTACTGATACTCATACCTTTACTTCAAAGTGTTATTTTCAACCTTTAAAAATGTTCTCAATTACAAAGCGTAGTAGTTACAAGTGCAGATTCTGCAATACATTTTACAATAGCACAAGAAAAGTCAATTTATGCAGAATTCAGTATATGAAAACCTGTTCTTCAAACATGGTTAATTTTGAGATTTCCCAACCCATTTCTGTCTCTGAGCAAACCAACATTGTATCAAGTATTGTATCTGGATACACCTCTGAGTAAGTCTATGAAAGACATATGCACTGTTAGAACAAGTAATTAATTATACTATTACCTTCATGAACAAGCAAAGAAAACACAGCCACAATTGATAACCAAACTGTGGATGCCTTCAATAATGGTGACAATGATAATGATCAGCCCATGGTAAGATATATACGTATATCTATATATCTATGTCTATAACGCTAATTACTATTTACCTTAATAAAGTATGATGCCGATCTTGATCATGCCATGGATGACATCCACGTCAAAACCTCTCCTCTGATATTTGATTTCAGTCAACCCACTCCCATCTCTAACAATGACGACGCAAAAAATCTTAAGTTCATTAAGATAATCAAGGATTTTGGAATTTTGCGTGAAGCACATGAAATGATTGCTCGTCATTTCAACAAGATTCTAGAGACATCTAATGACATAACATACAGAGCATGCTCTTCATACCTTGGAGATAAACTTCTTGAGAGATTTTCTTCTGTAAAAGGAGATAAGTATGACATCTGCCATAATGATTGTAAACTTTACAATGACAGTCATGAGACAGTGTGTCTTAATTGTGGTGAGGCACATTATAAAAACGATGCCAAAGATAAAGACGGATTGTCAATCCCTGTCAAAACAATGATTCAGATCCCTTTGGCTAGACAGCTTGCTCTCTGTTTGGCCAATGACACTACAAGAAATGAGATGATGTATCGTCATAACCATCAGTCCAGTCAAAACGGAAGCAAATCTGATATCTTTGATGGCCAAGCTTATGAATCGATCAAGCATCTTTTATCTGATGAGAATGATATCGCCATTTCGTTGTCAGTTGATGGCTTTGCTCCACACAAGGTTCTTGGTTTGGTGACCATTTTACATGCCACCATGCTCAACCTTCTTCCAATGGTCTGTTATAAGTGCAAGCAAATGATCCAGATCGCAATGATCTCTGCCACAACTGTACCTGCCAACTTCTGGTCATTTCTTGAGCCAACCATCAAATCACTTGAGATACTGCAAGCAGACGGAATGGTGATAAAAACACCAACAAAAACAATGAGAGCAAAAGTCCATGTTCTCATGGCAACTAGTGACATTCCAGCATTGGCAAAGCTAGCATGCCATGCTGGCCATACAAGCAAAAATTGCTGTCATATCTGCAATGTTGTTGGACAAACTCCAGGTCATGGCCAATATTTCAGAACCTTGCCAGGCACCACCATCTGCATCATAGAGAGCTTCAGAAGCTTCAACCCTGATAGTGTGTTGTACAAGGGCCTCAAAGGACAATCTCCATTCGCTTCATTGACGTCATTCACAGGCCCATTTTTCTTTGCTCTCAATGAGATGCATGGTCTTTCTCACGGAATTGGCAAGCAGGTCTGGGGGCTTGTTTGCAGGAAGTATGGATCTAAGCACCCCCTTTTCCTCTCTGCTGGAGCACAGAAGAAGATAGACGTGGCAATAGAAGGAACAAGAGAATCAATCCCAACATCTTTCCATGGTGCTTGGAGGGAAGTGGCAAGACATGCAGAATATTTCCGAGCTGTGAACTGGGCCAATTTCCTTCTGTTTGTGGTTCCCACTCTGGTAGCAGAGCGTATCCACAATCAAGATGCACAGAAGGCATTGCTTGGCCTTGTGCAAGCATGCACTCTACTCATGAGCTGGGAGTTATCAGCAGAGGAACAAACCTCTATAAAAAAGTATGTTTAGTGTTATTCAGAGTTTTGTTTTTGGAACTTATTCTGATCTTTCTCTTAGAAACCTTATTAAGTGGAATTCGTATCTGGAAGGCCATTTCCAAAATGGTAAAGTTGGAATAGAGATATTCACTATCAACCAACACCTATTGCAGCATTACCCAGCAATGATCAATGCATTTGGCCCTCCCAGAGCGTACAGTGCCAGGTCGCTAGAGAGGGCCATTGGAGAATATTCTCGGTCAATAAAGAGCAATTCTGCTATTGGTGCAAACGCTGGGAACATTATGCTGAGACTTGCCTGTACAAGATGTGTGGATGTAAACGGAGCCTTGGTAGTTAAGGCGAGGGCAACAGCAAGAATATTGCAATACAATGATGAGTCTGCTGGTTGGCCAATGACTGAGGAAGGTGAGCGTGTTGACGTTGACTCAGATATTGAGTTCTGGGGGCCTTTGGAATATAAAACAATTCATGACAGCATTGAAGAAATTTCTTGTCTCCCAGTTCTTCTTGCAAAGTTCCATGAATCAAAGGGAGTGGAATGCAGCACGATTGATTCAGCCTTGACGACAAGCCGCAAGGCTTTTGTCAATGGCTGTGTGATAGACTCTGTGTTTGCCCACAAAGTACAAAGAGAGGCTCACCACATTCACCTTCAGTTGCAGATAAACAAGGCAACAAACGCAAGATCAGGATCGTCTCCTGCTCTAAAACACTTCTTTGGCAAAGTTGTTCTTTTCTTTGAGCATGTCAATGAGGGGAAAAGATGGCCACTTACTTTGGTGTTGGTGTATAGCACGATGCTGTACAATGGTGTGCCAGTGGCGCGAAATGGACAAATGAAGCCAAAGGTGGTTCACCTGGTGGATGTCAAGGAATTGGTTGGGCTGGTGGTGTCAGACGCAACAGTAAATACAATAACAGCAATGACGACAGCATACATAGTGTGGCCAGAACTCAACCGTGGCCCTAAGTTGTCACTTGGTTCTTTTGCTGATATTTAATTTGTTTTTTTTTTCTGTAATACATTTTTTTTTCAAGTTGTCTTAACATATTTTATCCTACCAGCAAAAAGTTTAGATATTTTCTTCTCTTTCACCTCTGACTTTTAATAATCATCAATTACAATCTACACTCACTAAAAATGTAAAGTCTGTAGTTAAAATGAACACTTGTCTATCAGGAGATTTAATTTTTGGTGGTAAATTTGCTTTTTGTCAATCTTTTCAAAAGACAGAGATTTTCTTGTTTCATTTTGTGTTTTTTGTAATTTTTTTAATTATTATAGGCCAAAAACAAAGTCACAAATGCAAAAAACCGCCATTTTTTCCCGTAGTATATGATCATTTTAAATTAAATAATAAGAATAGTAAAAGCTGATTTAAATTATAACATCAATGCTTTTATGGATTACTAGATATCAATTTAGCCAGATATTAAAAAAAGGGAGTTCGTTTAATATTACAAGAACTATAGATATATATTATTCTATCTATAAAATATGTGTATATGTGCTTATCTTTTAAGGCTTTGATATAAGTTTTTATGTTATAGGGTCTTGTTATAGATCTCTTGCTTAGTATTGTTATCATTCAAAAGCTATAAGTTATAAATCAGTTAGTACTTTGCAAAGCCTCAAAGACTTGTCAACAATAGTAATAGTGAGAAGAAATAGAAAGAAAAAGACTTTACAAAATAAAAAAACAAGTTCGCATTAAAAAAAATATTAGTAAGTATGACTGTTTCTGGCATAAGCTCAGATTCAAGATACATATTTTATAGGGTTTGTTTGACTCTCTAGTTGATTTTTCTTTAATCAAGCAAGTAGTTCTCTTTATTCGGCAATCAAGATGACTTCCTAGATTGACAACAAGACTTTCATCTTCAAAATATTTCTCTAGAGCCAAGATAGAATAGAAATATTTTAAACTTGGTAAGTGCTAGATGGTGTTAAAAAAAATTGTTATTTTTTTCCAAAATGGGCAGCTTGTTTCAAATACTTGTAGATTTTTTTCTACAGTGAAATAGTAGCGACCTTGGACACATCATATAAAATTTATTTATGATATTCATCAGTGTACAAGGAAATTATTAAGGGAATTGACAAATATATCTATTCGGAATCGTGTTGTAAATGAGTATTGACTACTGCTGTAATTGAGAATAAGTCTGAAGGAAATAATATAAGGCCTCAGCTATTCCAGTCAAAGGTGTCTACCGATTACTTTATTATTTAACACACAGGTTTAGCATGTATGATAGTGATTATATTTCATATGATGATATCACCATAATATGGGATACATCAGTGGATTATTATAAGCATAATTATAACTCATAAACACATTTACTTTCGATGTTAATACTTCATTGGGACTACACACATTTATATAATTAATCATACATTAATTATCCCAAGATCACGTTGCTCTGATTAAGGCTCAGATAGGATCGATTACCTGTCCCCAGTCATATAATTTTCCCAATCCAAAACAATATAAATAGCAGTAGTAGTTCAGTGTAGGAACCTGGTCAAACTTTGATACAAAATCTTTCTCAATAAACAAAACCTACACAAGTTCTCACGAATCTTCATTCCTAATTTCAAATCTTCAATTCTTCCTCTTAAAAACTTCTTCAACTTCAACCACCACAACAAATCGAATAAATTACTATGAAAAGTAATTTTTCTTTCAATTCCCTCAGTGCAATTCCCTCAACAATTTCCTTGTACGCTGGTGAATGGCATTAGATGGAGATTGTGTTCTTAAAAAGAAATAGTGTGTTTCAAAATCGCGCTTTTTTATATGATATAAAAACATGATATAAAATATTTTACATGATATAAAAACATGATAAAATGTGTTAGCCAATCATATTTATTTTCTTGATACAATTAGCCAATAATATCTCATTATTCTTACTACTAAACTGACAGATATTTTACTGGCTTGTAGATATACAATTATGAAAAAATAATAAAGTCTACCAAACTTAGATTATAACTAATTTTTCAACAAAAATATTGGTCTTCTCTAGCATATAGACCAAATTATTTAAGAATGAAAAAAGTGAATAATTGCAAATTTAGCTTATAAATTATTTTTTTTATTTTATTTTATTTTATTTTATTTTTTTATTTATTTATGTAGTAGGTTTTATGATATGATTTTTACTTTGTTCTTAAAATGTAATTTGGCTCTGAATATTTGCCAGCCTCAAAAGGGCTTGTTAAATAAAATCTAAATGTCCCAAAGAAGATTTGTTGTTATTTTAGAGATACTTTCAACATCAGATGTAGTTTACTAAAGACCTTCACTGTAGAAAAAAGTTGCTGTAAATTCCAAAAAAACGGTAACTTTCAATAAAAAACCTGCAACTTTGTTTAAACTCCTACAACCATACCAAATATAGGGCATTTTGAGCTCTTTTTTGTTTTTTGAGATTTAATTCAAATATATTTTTTGGGTTTTTAATTCAGAAAGTCATTTTAGATTAATATTGTATGCTAAACTGCTTACAGATTATGGGGTTGAGTAAAGGGACAAACATGGCCTATAAGATTACTTATATTTTTAATCTGAACTTTAAGAAGTCTTTGCCACTAAAAAGAAATAACTGTGATTGCTTTTTAATGCAATTTTTTTTTATTCTGTAGTCTTTTTCTTATTTCTCTTTATTTTATTTTTTTCACAAGGTCTAAAATTATTAAAAGTCTCTAAAAGGAACACACTTAATAACTATGAAGGATAGTATTAATAAAATACGAATCAGCAAAGTTGACAAAAGAAAGTAACTTGTAAAGAATTGACAGAAATATATCTACATCATATATAGTTTAATTATCAATATTGTATGCATACTCATTAGAAATCTTGGTAGATTTAGGGAATCGCAAGGAATCTGTCTTCTGGTTTCTCAAAAGTAAGAATCAGACATAACAATGTTAACTCAAAGCAGGTTTATACTCTTTGTTATAGTGCTATTAGACTTAACACTGTAGTAAATGGCAGACATTATAACTCCGCAACTCTATACATCACAGCAGATTTTTCGTGTAACATTTTTGACTTCCAGCTGAGAGTAAACTACTTTTATTTTGGGAAGAGTAACAATTTGAGTTCCCAGTCAAAAGAATCACAAAATTAAAAAAATGGAATTATAAAAAAATTGGCTGATAAAATTTGATTTTATTTATTTTTGTGAGTTGAAAATATTGGGGGTAGATAATTTTAGACTTCCCATACCAGCGCTGCAGTAGCTGCTACTGTAGGATAGACATGCTTGCACTAGCAGCTAGAAATATTTAATAGCTAATCTGAAAAGATTTTCAGATACAAAAGCAAATAGAATTTTGAAAAACTCGATTATATGTTTGAAAACAAAAACCGCATCAATGCTTTTAAAATAAAAGTAAAGAAGATATTAGAAAGCACTACGGGAAAAAAAGAGGTGGCCCTGAGAGTTCTCTGGGGGGCCACCCAGGAAGTCGCCCAGGGGGAGCTTTTCATTCACCTCCTTTTCCACTTCCTGCCTGTTATGGATTATTACATAACTCTGCTATCTAACAGATGTGAGATTTTATTCCTTTACCAATACATCTTTTTGTAGCTTATATGTGTTTTCTTATTGGCACGTATATATGAGAGCTGTATTTTAAGATTTACTTTTATTGGGCCTTATAGACTTTTGCTTAAAATTATATTTTGAATCATTGGTCACTTAACAACTAGTGTTCACTTAATTAGTCTTTATTTATATATAATTTAGATTCTTTATCTTTTTAATTGGATGGTAAATTTATTTTTAATTGAAATTTCGCTTATAAAATGATTTTGTTGGGTGCTGCAACAGAAGTAAATCTTATAAAAATGTTTTATTGGCTGTTGTAACAGAAGTAGATTTTATAAAAAGTGTTTTATTGGTTGTTGTAACAGAGATATGTTTTATAAAGAATGTTTTATTGGTTATTATACTAAAAATAGTTAATTATATACAAATTTTACTGGCCAGATATTTTTTATTTACTACATATTTTATTCATAATTAATATACTATTTTATATTATCCACCAGGCATAAACTTATAATTTACTCTTTTTACGGTTTTTCCATAATTGACTAACTTTTGCAACGGATTCCCAGTTCTTGTGACATCTGGTAAAGTCTATGCCGTTTCTTTTGAGTAAAAGTGCATGCCTGGTGCACATATAGTTCTTGTCTTCTTGGGATATGGAGCTCCAGCTTGGATTTGGTTCTAGAGCTTGTATGGAATGCATTAGGGCCAATTTATCACAGACAAGGCAGGTGCAAGTGTTGAGTGTTGCCTTGTTTTTCTTGCTTAGTTGGACCCCAAAATTTTGGCCCATCATTTTGTATATATGTCTCAGAGTTATGGCCTTTATATTCGGAACTGGTCTTGGAATTGGCCCACCAATATTCTGTATGATTTTATATTAGTTTGTATGTTTTATATTCTTTTATGATTTCTTACATCATGGACTGAAGTTGGCTCTGAAATTGTTTGGCTATTCATGTTTTTGTGCATATCAGAAATTTCTAGATGTATCTTTTCTTGCTCCTTCTGAAGTTCTTGTTGGCTTTTTTTTAAGGCAAGAAGTGTTTCTTGCATATTCTGAAATAGCTGGAAAATTGAATAATCTATATTGCTCATAATTATAAAAAAAAGTGAGGAATATGGGTTTGATTTGAAAAAGGGGGGAAAGAGAAAGGAATGTTTTTTTTATTATTTTTATTAAATTTCTAATCTTTGTGCAAATATATTGGTTTAATGAGAATTATTATTTGTAAAGTAGCTGTAATAACAGTATATCATATTTTATCACCCTTTTGGACTTTTGGATGGTATTTAAATTATCTATGGCATCATTGTCTTCAAACAATTAAATACAGAGGTTTGCATCCATAACTTAATTGTCTCTATTCTTACTTATCTAAAGTTATCTATTCCACTTTTCTAAAAATGTTCTCTATTACAAACCCCCTTCCCTATGAATGTCAATCGTGCCATACACATTACAGCAATAAAGCAATTGCTGTGGCATGTCGAAAGCTATGCCTGGGAAAGATACTGAAAGCTATGATGAATGGCAAAGTATCAGAAGATGACTCCTCTTCTGAGTCAAGACAGTTTATGTTACCAGCAATTCTTAGCTTGATACTTGAGTGAGTTTGAGAAAAATCGAAAATAAAAAAAAAGATAGACTATATATTAACAATATCGATGTTTTAAACAAACAGAGAGAACACAAATATGATTAGTAATGAAATCAGTGACATTAGCAACAAGACTGACCTTGATGAGCCTATGGTAAGATATACATATATATATATAAGTACATAATACTAACTGCTCTTTTCTTAACTAAAGTACGATATTGAATATGAGAGCAACATGGGAGAATCAGTTGACATGGATGGAAGTGAAAGTGCCACCTCTCCTTTAGTTTTCGATTTCAGCCAACCTTCTCCTATCCCAAGCAACGATGATACAAAAAACCTGGAGTTCATTAAAATCATCAATGACTTCGGCATTTCCCATCAAGCCCACGAGAAGCTTGCTGCACATCTCAACAGCATTCTGGGGATGTCAACCAAGATAACATACAGAGTGTGTACACTATACCTGGGCAAGGAGCTCTTGAAGTGTTTCTCTGGTGAGGAGGAAACAGTATACGACGTCTGCCAAAGTGGATGTATAATGTTTAACAAGGCAGAGGAGGTCGCTTGCAAACATTGTGGCAAAGCTCACTACAAAAGCAACAAAACGGATAAGAACAGTATGCTCATTGCTGAGAAAACCATGGTTCAGATTTCTTTGTCAAGGCATATTGCCCTTTCTTTGGCCAACAGTGGTACCAGACACGAGATGTTATACTGCCACAATCATGAGCAAAAGGCAGATGGCAGCAAGGCAGACATCTTTGATGGGCACACATACCAGTCAATCAAGCATTTTTTCTCCGGTGAAAACGATGTTGCAATTTCTTTGTCTGTCAATGGATTTGCATCCCATAACGTCCCCGGTTCGATTACTATTCTGCATGCCACAGTTCTTAATTTTTCTCTAATGGTCCCTTATGAGAAAAGCCGGATGTTGCAAATTGCAATGATCTCAGGTCCTTCTGCACCACTTGACTTTTGGTCATTTTTGAAGACAACCTTGGCAGACCTCAAGGTACTCCAGGAGGAAGGAATGATTGTCATGACCCCAACTCTCACCATCCGCGCAAAGGTCCATGTTCTCATGGTAACTGGTGATATTCTGGCAGTGGTGAAACTGGCATGTCACACTGGCCATATGAGCAAAAGTGGTTGTCGAATCTGTAATGTTGTGGGCCAAACTCCTGGCCATAGCCAATATTTTAGATCTTTGCCAGACACCACTATGCGCACTTTGAAAAGCTTTCAAAACTTTGATCCAGCAAATTTGTCTAGCAAGGGTCTTGTAGGACAATCTCCTCTTTCTTCACTGGCATCATTCACGGGCCCGCTCTTTTTTACCCTTGACAAGATGCATGGCCTTTGCCATGGAATAGGCGAACAGGTCTGGGGACTTATTGGTGGAAAGTATGGAATTAAACACTCTCTGTTTCTTCCTGCCAATGTACTTAAAGAAATTGGCGTGGCAATGGCAGCAACAAGAAAAACAGTTCCAACGGCATTTCATGGCTCTTGGAGAAACGTATCCAAGTACATTGGATACTTCAAGGCTGTAGATTGGGCTGACTTCCTTCTCTTCGCTGTCCCTACACTGGTGGCTGAGCGTGTAAGAGATACAACTGCTAGAAAAGCATTGCTTGGACTTGTGCAAGCTTGTAACTTACTCATGAGCTGAAAGTTATTAGCAGAGGAACAAACCTCTATAAAAAGATATGTTTAATAAGATTCAGTTTTTTTTTCTTGCCACTTATAATTTTCTTCTAGAAAATTACAATCATGGAACATGTATCTCGAAGACCTTTATCAAAATGATAAAATAGAAATAACGGTCTTTACCATCAACCAGCACCTCCTACAACATTACCCCAATATGATCGGTGCCTTTGGTCCTCCACATGCATACAGCACAAGATCAGTAGAGCATGCTATTGGCAAGTACTCTTGCGCCATCAAAAGCAATTCAGCAATTAACATGAATGCTGGAAACGTAATGGTCAGGCTAGCTCATACATGGTGATTGTTGACTGATTCTGAAGAAGGCAAATGTAGAGGTGTTGTATTACAGTATGAGAATATGTCTGCTGGTTGGCCAATTACTAGCAAGGGTAAGTGTGCTTGTGCAGATTCCGATATCGAGTTCTGGGGACCTTTAGTATATAAAACAAGTGATGATAGTTTTGAAGACATTTCTTGTCTTCTGATTCTTATTCAAGACTTTCATAGATCAATGGGGGTGGAATGCGGGGCGATTGAACCAGCTATAATAACTAGCTGCAAAGCTTTTATTAATGGCTGTGTGATTGACTCTTCATTTTCCCAAAAAACATTAAGAGAGGCGCATCATGTTTGTCTTCAGATGCAAGTCGATCTGTTTACAAATGTACATTGCTGATATACTCCTGTGGCAAAAGACTTCTTTGGAAAAGCAATTCTTTTCTTCAAACATGAGAATTCTGGTAAAAGGTGGCCCCTTGTTTTGGTGCTGATATATAGCACTGTATTATACAATGGCATTCCAGTGGTAGTAAATGGTCAGCTCAAACCAAAGGTAGTCCACCTGGTGGACGTCAAGGAGTTGGTTGGTCTTGTGGTGTCAGATGCAATGGGCAGTACAACAACAACAACAACAACAAAATATATAGTGTGGCCAGAACTTAACCGCGGCCCGAAATTAAATATTGGTCAATATAGAGATCTATAATTTGTTTTTTTTTATTGTAATACATTTTTTTTTTCAAATTGTCTTAACAAATTTCATCTTTGCAGCAGAAAGTTTAGATATTTTTCTTGTCTTTTACCTCTGACTTTTAATAGTCCTCGATTTCAATCTATACATGCTAAAAATGTAAAATCTGTAGTTAAAATGTACTTTTGTCTTCTCTGAGATCTAATTCTAAGTAGTTAATTTGCTTTTTATCAGCTATTTCAAAAAACAGAAATTTTCTTGTTTCATTCTGCATTTTTGGCTATTTTTTAATTATTATAAGCCAAAAATGAAGTCACAATTATAAAAAACGCCCCTTTTTTCCCGTAGTGAAAACAAATGTCAAATCCGAGTAAAAATATCAAATCTACAAAAAAAACAAAAGTCATTAGTACATAGATTTTTAATGAAGATTACTATGTTTTAGACGACTTACCACATATTAATTGAATCTAAAACAAACAAAAATAAAAACAAAATAAAGCAAAAAAAAACATATGTTTATGTTAGTATGAATAAAGTCAGTATACAAGCAAGATTCTTTATATGTCTCTTTATGTCAAGATTTCACATGCCCTATTATACTTCAATGAGATTTTATTAATCAGAAATCAAAATAGAATCACATTATTAGCAATATTTTTCAAGATCTTAATCATGTGGGAGGATCAGAGTTGATCTGTAGTATAATTAGTTAATGAGTAGCAAAATTATGCTCCATTTGTTAGCAGATCTTTAAAAAAATGAAAAAAGTTGTATAAAACAAAAAAAGACTCTCAATGTTTATTTTTTGTGTCAAGCTAGACAGTATTAAATAATCAGTTCTTATTGGTTTATAGATAGCAATGGAAGATTGCTACTGGTTATCTAAATAATATTTTTCATTAGATTCTGAGACAAATCAACTTGTAGTTTCAGAGTAAAAAGTAATAAATATATGCTGATTATTTTAATGTTGTTCCACTTCATCACACATTGCATGCTAAGAATGTAATGGTGGCACGAATTGCAAAAAAAAACAAAGCATGCAAAAGTGGCATTCTTTACTTCAAAAGTTCACTGCCAAACAACCTTCAGCATAACCAAAAACATAACAACATGTTGGCTTTGTGAAAAGAACTTCAGTCAGGAGTGTAATCTTAGATGCCATCTACAAAAGTTCTATGCATCAGAAGATTTCACAAACAACAGTCCAATTGAAAATCTTGATGATATTCATAATTGCAAAATTGATGAATCTTCTGTTCCTTAAAATAGAGATTTATTATGTGAAGACAAAGACACTGATTCTACCATAGAAAATACAATGGACACTGAGCTTAATGACAATGCCAGCAAAATTGACAAAAGTGCCAGTGAAACTGACAAACCTGACAATGGCAGCAATATCAATATGGAGGAAGTAAGTCATGCCCTGAATGATACAGACCTAGCTAACTTTTTATATATGCATATCCGGGATAGCATGATGTCTTCTGTAACCAATCTTGACTCCCCCGTGGATGAAGATGTTGATCAGCTCAACAGCTTACTTGGATCATACTTAACCTGAAATTCTAATACCTCGACTACTCACCCATTTCTAGACCTTAAGTCAATGGTGCTACTTGCTCTGGTAGATGGTAACAACAATATATTCTCTTGTAGAGTCTTGAAAAAGATTCTTTTTACTATCAAACTTGTTCTAAAGCTGCAAGAGAAAGTCATCACAAACAGGTCACCTTTCAAGCTATCCCATTTGGATGCACTCTTAAACTATCAGAGTAGAAAGAAGTACAAGCTCCCTGTACTCACTTCGACATCTGTGACAATCGATTTGCCCAAAAACAAGTCTGTCTTGGCATATGTAAACATGCCCTCAGATCACTTGAAGCTACTTGCCACAAACCCTATGAAAGCAAAGTCCATATTTGCTATGCCTGATCGTATGCCAGACTAGTTTGTATGCTTACAGCAAGGTAAGAAATAGAGAACGCACAAGAATTTCTAGCAGCTGATGTTTACATACAACAAGATAGACTTTTGGTTTAGAGATGTTGTTGAGTTTGCTGGTGGCTCTGCCAATGCCTGTTTCTTGGTAGAGTCTTTTCATACAATAGGCATCTCTGTTGTGTATGCTCAAGGTTATAATGTTTTGCTCCCTGAAAACAATTATTTTGTTCACATTGAAACTAAGCATACCAGTATGAGAGTCGAGAAATTACTTCAGATTGATGCTTCTCCTATCAATATTGACTTTTGCTTCAGTGTGCTCTCAGAGATGATTGACCCTGTACTTCCAGTTCACTGGCCCTTGCTCCTAGTCCCCTATTTCCTGAAACAGTGTATCTCTCAAGGTTCTGACAGCCTAAATAACAAAAACTGTTTTTACAAGGTTAGGATTGCTCCAATAACACCCTTTACTGATGATATGTCAGGAAGCCAGTTGAAGCAGTATGATTCTTACAAAAGTTGGTCTATGAAGTGTGTAGCTCTTTCCTTTGAAGAGAGGTCTTTGATGGAAAACATCTACTTCCTATTGGCAATCCCAAAGAAAGATAGTGCAAGTGGAATGACATTGCTCTCTGTATTTGTCAAAGATCTCAAGATGCTTGAAAACAGACTGGTGATGTTCTCAACTGAAGACAACAAATATATCTTAGTCATAGCACCACTCCTTTGGATTGAGGCTGACACACCATGTCATTTTAAACTCTGTGATTTATGTGCCCCTACTTGTCTGTATCCATGCCGGAAATGCTACATAGTGTTATAAAGAACTGTAGAAAAATTGAAGGATGAGATACACTGTATGGGTAGTCATGCTAGCAGAACCAAGGACAATTATCAGATTGCTGCATCTACCTCAGATAGAAGTTCAACTATAACATATGCTCCCTTAACTGGTAAAAATTTTAAGGCAAGTGAACTAAGCTTCAGATATAGGGCAACAGACATACTGTTAGATCTGGATTCGTCTGATCTGTTGATTGATACACCTGTAGAAATACTATATAACATTCTTCTTAGTGTTGCAAAGTATTTGGTGACCGATTTGGTAAAGGTTGTTCTAAAGAGACACTCCAGTTTACTGAACAAGCTAATAGACTCTTTGAAGGAATATAGGAAATCTCAAGATTTATTACAAAACTTTACTAGACTCCTAAGACATTGCAGCTCGTTCCTTGGAAGAGAATTTAAGATTCTTATACAAATCCTCCCCATTGTCTTGGCTACCAAGTTTGTAAATAATAATGAACTCTCTCTTATAACCTCATGTTTTGTCCATCTTGGCTGTCTTTGTTCTCTGGTGTTTGTTAGAGCATTTAAGTATAATTATAATTTTTACATTACAAAAGTTAAAAATACAGTTGCTAGCCTGATCCAAAAACTGTATTTTTATGACAAGAATTGTGGTATCAAGAGTCATAAGTCATATATCTTGAAACCAAAAGTATATCTGCTCACGCATCTTCTTGACAACTTTTGGAGATTTGAAACTGCTTTATATTAAAAAACCAAAAAAAGGTGTGCAGTTTAATGAGCATATTCATGAACATCTAATGCATACAAATAGGTTAAACATCTCAAGAGACATATGTCTCAAGTTTGCCAAGCAAGCAGTTATGAGATACGTCATTGATAGTGGTTTATAAATGAACAAGGTCAGCCAGAGAGAGCATTATGGTGATAATACTGCCGCATTCTTTCACAAAAATATTGACAATAACTTCCAGAATATCTTGTTTGGCAGATTAAGAGACTTTACTGATAATAATGATATTGACAATATTGCAGATCTCTCACCTTGTAATAATACTTTTGGAGTATTTGCACTCAAGAAGAGTAGAGACCAGCCAGTTCATTATATTATTGGAAAAATCTTCTCTCTGAGAGTAGAGCACTACAGAGTTGAGAGTAGCGTCCAGAGTCAAGAGAACAATTTTTTCCTGGCACAAAGGTTCTCTAATAATCTAACTACTCTACTTAATCAATTGACAATGATTTGCAAACTTGATATGCACATTCATTATGACAACAATCTTGTAATTAATCTCAACAAGCTCAGATCATATTGGTTTTTTGCCTCCCAGGTGTACAATAGGTGGTATTAATTAAAATTTATATTAATAAATATTTTCCTTAATAAAAATTTATGATTTTTACCAAGTCATTTTTTGTTTTTGATAAAACTCTGAGAAAATACATTTATGAATACTTACATTTTTGAATTTACCTAACGCAGACATAATATCTCAGAAAATTGCTCTAAATTGATATTCCAAAAACTTCGAATTTTTTAAAACAATCAAAATGCTTGGGAGTAAATCAAATCTAAATTTGATATTAAAAATCTCTTGTGATCTAATTTCTACAGTCATGGAGTTATAATGTCTGTCAATAGAATCTTGGCTTTTAGTAAATTAAAAGTATTTACAGCAAATATTATTTATGGGAGTTCAAATTACTTTTTTTTAAATCCAATAAAATCTTTTAAAATAGTAAAATTATATCATTTTTAGATAAATATTTCACTTTTTATAAAAAAAGCTGGAAGATACAATTCGTTGGATTTCAGATTATTTTTTTCTAATCCAATCAAATAATCTAAGTATAGTAGGGCTATATCTTTTTTAGATATATCTATTCTTCTTATAATTGGTCCAGCAAATGCATGATGTTTTAAATAAAAATATATTTTATTAAAAAAAATCTTGGAACTGAAAAAAGACATATAAAAAACAATGGAAAAATATAAAAACAAAATTAGATAGCTTGTTAATAAAGTCAATTAAGCTTATACTTCGACTTAGGCTTATCGGAGTATATATTTTTCTTATATCAACTACAACTTCTTTTTTTGATAAGCCTAAGTTTTCTATTTCAATTTAATCTAGTCAAATAGTGAGAACCTTATCCTACAAATTTATGAAGACATATACAATAATAAATTTTCAATACTTTTTGCATAAAATCTATTATAAGACCCTTAACAAACATATATTAAAATTCCAGAGTGAAATATTAATTAACTGTCTCTAAAAGTCATTATGTTTCTCATGTAATAAAATAATAATATAACATTCCAAGCCTTGAGTATAAAACTCATAATAAATTGATTTTTTCTATTTCATATATCAACTTTTTTACAAACTATAATCTTTATCATTGTCATATCTTTATTACTATCTAATCAATCATGGAACCAAATAAAGTCAGCAATACTACCAAAAAAAAACAAAAGAAACTTGATTATTCACCAATACATACCACCTTCTCCAAGTCCAAGTCCAAAAGGCCAAGAAGGCAAAAAGTCTGTTCCTACAGTCAGCCTATCAGAATGTTGAGGTAGCTGAACTTATGACAAAGAGCTAGTACTACTTCAAGAGTATGCTAGGATATTTTCTCCTACCTGCCCCAGAGAAAATACATCAAGTGAATGGCAAAAAGTTATCAATGCAGTCAATGCTGTAGCATCTGATGACAAACATCTACAGTATGATGCGTGTTGGCACAAGGTTCATTTTGATGAAAACGAGAGAACCTCTTTATCTGGAATTAACTAATACAGAAGTCTAATTGAAAAGGCAGCAATGCAGATATATGAAAAGATAAAACTTATCCAGATTTTCAATGTCTTTCAGAATATATTATTAATTTGCAATGAATGCATTTATTAATTTAGGAACTGGAATATGATATGAAGAAGGCAAGAAAGAAAGATTTTATTCAAAAGAAGGAGGTTGTGAAGAACAAGTTGGAGAAGTCAATGCAAACAAAGTCCTCTGCCGGGTAGGAATACAGAAAACAATTGAACAGAGAGGAACGTGACGAGCCAATGAACATGGTCACATGCAACAGAGATGCAACCGTTGAGAGCAAAGATAGCACTATGGAAGACTCAACTGGTACTATTAGTGCTGATGAACACGAGGCCATATATGATATGTATATGGATGAGCAAACACAATTTTGCCAGAAGATGTTTGAGTCTTTAAGCTCACAAAAGGAGTATCAAGAAAAGATGCTTTGGTATGTGAGTGAACAGAAAAAGTCAAATGCAAGAATGAAAAAGATGATGGAAAAGCTTGTAAAAATATTAACAGACAAAAAATAAAAGTAAAGCAATTTATTTATATCAAAGTGCATGTTACGTAACACTACTCTATGTCTTCTCCTTCGATTTTATCTCTTGTCTATCCAGAGATATAGTCTTCAAGAGATGGTGGTAGCAAATTAAAATAGGAACCAGTGGACAACTTTTTGTGATTAATGCAATGATACATATTTTTAAATATTGATGACAACTGGTAAATTTTTGCCAGGTTGTTTTCTTTTGTCTTCATTGCGTATTTGTATTTGCAGTATTTAAAATACTTTTGTACTTCTCCAAAATCCCACTCAACTGCAATATGAACTTTTGACATAGACTTATTACAAAACTTGTTGTGATCTATTATTCATAGTTGAGAACTTATAGATATGCACACACATTATTTATTATAGACTTTAGCATTGAGCACAGCTCTCAAGTATGGACTGTATAGATTTATAGAGCACATGTAGGCAGGATTACCATATAATGCGTAATACTTCTCTGAGTCTGATGTTGGGGCCAAGTATTTCTTCAATCTATTTTCAATCTTTGAGATGGTATAAATAAAATGGTCATGACATGAGCCAATGAAAGGACCTAGTAAGCTGGAGGTGATGCCATCTGGTGTTACAACTGCCTGAAACTTTAATGCATGAATATGTTTCCAACTGTTATATAACACAGATTGGTTATCTCTGTCTCTAGTGGGGCAACATACTGTTTGCATGATTCCGTTAATAAATCCAACAATGTTGTCAAAAGTGGCACCCTTGTCAAAGATAGTCTTTTAAAACCTTTCCATTTTCAACAGAGAAAAGTCGCAGGTATCAAACTGCATACCCCACCTCATTTTTTCAAAAAGCAGATCTTCCATCTCTCTGCAAACTTTTGATATATTTTAAGCATTTATCCCAAAATAATGTGCCATGTCATCTAGGCGCCTTGGAAAAGAGTATCAGTTGAGAAGAATTGCCAGTCCAAGATTTTGTTCAATTTCTATCCCTGGAAAGGCACCGCCTTATTTTCTGCCGGTTCAAATTTGAAATTGACCTTTTGAGGCTTTTTTCTGTCAGAGGCTTTGCAAGTGGCTTTTTGAAAAAGTTAATTTTTTATTGGGGATTTTTTTTATTCCTTCCCTTTTCCTTCTCTTTTTCTTCTCTTTATTTCGAATACAAATTAAACACCAATCTCAACATGTCTAACCCAATTATTTATGATATTTCAAACATTCAAAATGTTTTAGTCAACTTGTCTTTGGAGGGAATTAAGATGCTTCCTTTTAAAGTAGTCATACCTGTAAAAGCTAGTGAATGGAGACGTTGTCTTGACCAAAGCAATACTCTTTGTTCAACAAAATGGAATAAAAAAAGACATCTTGATTCAAAAGAATATATTTTTGGAGAAACACGTCAGTGTCATCGTGCAGTCATATATATATCAGAGCGAGATTCATGCCCTGCACAAAAAGAATCAAAGGCATGTGAATGTAATGGAGCTTTGAAAATAAAGCAGTTCAAAAAGTCTCCTACTATTATTACATTCTGTATGACAAGGGACCATAACAATCATGTTCCTGGAGACAGATCAGAGATTAGAACTTTGCTCTTGCCTTTTGAAGCTATTAAGTTGATTGAAGATCAACTGAGAAGTGGAAGCAGCTGTAGAAGCACAAGAATATCTGTCCTTCGACAGATTGACAGCTGGGGTGTTGGTGTTAGAAAGCCAAATTACGAAGAGATATACAATAGAATAAAGAAGGTGTGCTAAAAAAAAGATAAAAGGAAGTTTGTATTTAACAGTTTTGGTAAAATGAAATAAAATAGATGACAAATTTGTTGTATATGTTCAACTCTGATGAGAAGACATCTATTGCTATCTGGATGAATGAGAAATTGCCAGAAAGAAATTATTGCATTTTTACCAGAGACCTTTGTGTTAATAACATTGAAAGCAATCTTTTTGCCTTTGGCTTTCAATTGCCTGCCCAAGTGAGAGTTATGAGAATAGCTACATCATTCTGCCTTGATGCTACTCATGGCATATCAGCAAGAAGTGGAGAGGTCATGTACTCTTTAGTGACTCAATACAAGGTAAGTGGAAAAGGGTTTTCTGTTGCTTACATGGTCACAAATAATCAGACAGTCAGACCAATCAGCCAATGGCTTATGCATCTTTGTGAGAGAAGCTACTTCCGTCCTTTGAATATCACCATTGACTGTAGTATTCCAGAAGTTAATGCAATTACATCTGCATTTCCTCACGTTGCAATTCACTATTGTGAATTCCATATTCTTCATGCTTAGCAAACAAACCTCGACAACAAAGTAAGACTTGATGCATCATTTACATCAGGCCAGCTGGCAGCATACAAGCAGGAGTTAAAGAACAAGCTGAAGTATATCTTGATGGAGTCAAACGAAGAAGTATTTTTGATAAGAATCCTTGACTTCAAATGCGATATACCCGACCAGTTACACTTCTTGAGATACTTCGAAATACGATGGAATGGAAGCAAAGTATTGCTTAAAAGATGGGGGCGCCCTTATGTTGATGACTCACATAGAAGATATTTGACAAATAACTACATCGAGTCATGGCATAACCAGCTCAAGACCATCTACTTTGGCTGTGCTAGAATCAGAAGACTGAATCGCCTTGTGTTTGACCTTACAAACGATGTAGAGTATTTCTATGAACAAGAAGTGGATTGTATTCACTTAAACAATGGAAAGATGGGACTGGTAGAAAAACGAACTTGTGAGAAATGAATTTGTTGCATCCAAGATAGAAGATGACATACTCCCTTCTATGATCATCAGTCCATTAAATGTGATTAGTACTAGTATGGGTAACTCTGGTGGCAAGTGGCAAATCAAGTCTTTTACAAATAATACAACATGATAGTCTATCACTGTTGTAAATGATTTAATCGAATGCTGTTTGTGTTCCAGATACATCTCTTGACAAGTGCCTTGCAAGCATGCATTTCTTCTCAAAAGATACCATAAGATTAACATCTTATAGACAATTCAAAGAGATGTCAATCACTTGGCAATGCAAAGACCAGCAGTGTTAGCTGAAGAAGAAGAAGTTGTGATTGTTGACAAAGAAGACGGTAGAGAAGATGTTGTAGGTGCTCAAAATGATGTTGATACGTCTACTACAGACCTTATCACTCACACCTCCTTACTTCATCATCAAAGTCTCGATCTTGAACATGCAAACGATTTCTGACATTAACACAATGAGTCATATAATTTATCTCAGACACATCAAAGAATTGTTAGATAGAATAGATAATATTAGAAATAGAAATAGTTTTAGAAATATGAATATCCAACGTCAATAAAAAAAACATTACACATGTATTATTTTGTATTTTATAAAGTGTTTTTTTTTTTCATAAACAAACAGTTATTTTTAAAAAAAAACAAAAGAAAAAGCGGTCACTCGTTCCTTTGAATCTTTTTGTCTCAAATTTGAACCGGCAGAAAATAAGGCGGTGCCTGGAAAGTTGCAGGTTTCATCTATTCAAAGAACATTTGTGATCCTTTGGATGTTTTGGAAGGAGAAACGGAAATGGAAGATGCACTCTTTTCTGCTTAATTCGTGTAAAACCAATCTCTTGCATACACTTCTATGTCTACTTCTTTGTGCAGGAGAAGTCATCCTATGATAGCTTTGGCATGGCTGGCTACATTTATGGATGCGTTGGACAAGAATTATTTCAAGAGGATTACACATAGTTAGATAGGTTGTGGTGTGATTGTTAAAGATAAAATAAAGTTCAAAAAGACATAAAATTGATATTTAATCTACTTTATATATTGTTGATTATTTTAATATATTTCATAAAAAACAGCTCTTTCATAATTTAGTTTCTTTGTTGTAAATATAATATATAAATACACTTAGAAAGAGCATGAAAAGCTTAATAACAACAGAAAACATATGTACTTCTTTACAAATCTTCTGACATTAATTTGACAGATTAATGTATGTTTTCAATATAAATTTCTAATAATATTCAAATAATTTTTGAAAAAAGTAGACAAATAATTGTCACAATCATAGTCTAGTCCTAAGTCAATAAAATACTTCCAGCGACAAAAATAAACAGCTGCTAATTTTGCCACAAAGAAGTTTGACTCTATTAACAAGCTATCTATTAAGAGAAATATATTAAAAAGAAGTGTAAATAACATACATTATACGTGAAAAGTCTATAGTTTGATTTTATTAATTAAATTAATTAAACTAATTAATGCCAGTGGTGTTTTTACTCAGTTGCTAAATACAATTTCTTTCATAATGTATTACTCGGATATAGATTTATTAATTTACTGTTATTTAAAGAAATATATCTTTCTTTTCTTTCTTGTGTCATTTATCACAGTTCTTCATTTTTGAGAAAGCATATGACAGACTGCCCATGAGTTTTTAAATCTATTAAGGTATATATTCTTCTCCAAGGCTTTCTTCTTGACCTTGTGAACAAGATAATTCTTCTGAAAGGACGTTAAGTTACCCCATAAAGAAATAATATTCTTATTATTAATAGGTGCATCAAATGTGTTGTTTATCACATGAAGCACAATTTTTCCTGTAATATAGTACATGTCTACACCAGTCTGTGGATTTTCTTTATCTAAATACAATGGTATTGTAGATTGTATCCCTTTGGCAGATAAAGCATATGACTCTGAACGTGAGTTTTTATCAGGTCTTGGGATATCTCAACTGTTATTGTCACCAATGTTTTGCCTTGACTGGGTCTCTCTCGACTCAACACATTGTTTGTATCTTCTGTACGTCCCTCCAGAAGTATCTAAGGAGCTGAGAGCAGAAAAACTTTCAGATAAAACCCCTTGAAAGTGGTTTAGTTATCATTTATTTGTGGATTTTTACTTGTCAACATTTTTGTGTATAAAGAATGAAGGAGTAAATAATTAAATTTTGAAAATGTTAATTAAAATATATTTTTCACAGTCATAATTATGCTTAAAAACAATAAATTACTGTATAAGAATACGATTTTAATGAAAAGCAATTTTTAAAGACATAATATATACAATTATATACATATAAAACAATAAACTTTTATATTGCAAAACTTATACTCTTAATATTTTTTCTTTACACTATTCTTTGTAGCTTACTCAAAACAAAAGATGAACACAAACACTTCTGTAACTTGTATTTCTGAAAGCGACAGTAACATTAGTGCAACTGATTATATGGATATTGCACAAGATTTTGTTGCTCTTGCTCTTTCCCTCCAGGAAAGAAACTAATTGCTGTTTAACAGTGCTGCTCAAGTCTCTTTGGACGAAGTCCATGGTCAAGAAATAGCATGAGAGGTTTTCACTCTTACTTCTGACCAACAGAAAAGAAACCAAGATGTGATTACTAGTACCAACATGGCTTTTTTGAATGCAGTCCACGATCAACACTGCAAAAACCATTGGGAATTATTATAATAATAGGTTTTGATTATTGGGATATTTTATCACATAAAAATGAATTACTTGTAAATATTAAGGAAATCATAGTTGACAAGTTATCGAATAAAGTATCAAAAATAATTGAATATTACACTACGGGAAAAAAAGTGGTCTTTTTGGTGGTCTTTTAGGTGGTATTTTAGGTGGTCTTTTGGGTGGCAGTTTTGGTAAAACCAGCAAAAAGACCATCCCTATTTTTGGAAATATAATTAGATCTCCGTTGACTGATGGATGTTAGGTTTTATTCATATCCCGATATTTAAATTTATGTATTATTCTTCTCGTTCTATTGGTAGAAAGAAAATAAAAAAGAGCTTTCTTATTGGTATAGATGGAAAAAAAGAATCTTTGTATTGTCACTCATAAAATACTTTCGTTATACTGCTACTTTTAATTGGATAATATAAACTTTATTGCAGTATGCACATTGATAGTATTGGTCATTTAAACAAAAGCATTCTCTCAATTGGTTCTCATATATATATTCTGATCCATTCACAGTTTTAATTGGGCAAAAAAAAATTATTTCATAGAAGATCATTATTTAAAAATGTTTTTATTGGTTGTTATAATAGAAATAATATTTTATTCATGAATCATACTGGCTAAAATTCCTTCAGATTATTACATATTCTCACATTAATTACACAATTTATTGTACCTATCAGATATGAACTTACCACAGTATTCTCGCTTCTTACGCCCTCTCCAGAGCTGGCTAACCCTTGCAATTGATGCCCAGTTTCTGTGGCATCTGGTAAAATCGATTCCATTGTCTCTGAGTATGATGGAATGATTAATACACAGCCTGTTTTTATCCTCTTGAGGAAGCAATGACCAGCCAGGGTTTGTTCCAAGATCCTGAACAGATGGAAGAGCTGCCAGTTGATCACATATGACCTTGGTACATGTGTTAACAATTCTCTTGGTTTCCTTGGTCAATTCTATTCTAAGATCGTCTGTTATCATCTTGTATATATGCTTTAAAGTTATATCGTTGATTTTTGATATGGGTCTTGGAATGATGCTAGTAAGAGTCTATTATGTTTGACATTAATTGAAAGGACTTTAGTTGTTATAGTATTTGCTTACACTGGTAGAGGTTACAATAGTTCTATCTGGAAATTCCCGATCTTTAAATTCATTGTAAAAACTTGTCATTTGAAGTTGCATCGCATCTTGTTTTTTTTCTAATGCTTCTTGACGGCCTAGCAATGCTTCTTGACCACTCTTTAGGGAAATAAGTGCAGCTTGTATTCCTTGAAGCAACTGAATCACTGTATTGTCTGTATTGTTCATAATTGTAAAAAAAATCAGTTATGTGTTTGTTATAGAAAAAGAAAGAAAGAGAAATTTTTTTACCAGAAACTATTATTAGTTTCAAATCTTTAGCTTCAATTTTTTAGCTTCAAATTATTAGTTTCAAATTATTTGTACAAATCTATTGGTTACTCCTGAAGAAACATTGATCTAGTAACTTCACTGATGACATACAGATACTTCTTTAAGATCCCGAGCATATATTCAGAACGCATATAACATCATTGTCTTTATATAATTAAGTATAAAGCTATACATTCAGAAAGTAATTAATTCTATTCTTACTTATATAACAAAGTTTTTTTTTTACCTACCTCAAACATGTCCAAAATTACAAAAGCCCCTCGTTACCAATGCCGTACTTGCAAGTCGACCTTTAATAACAGTTGAACATATAAAAGATGTCTCAAACGATGCATGACAAATAGGGCAGAATTACTTGCCAATGGCGAAGTTTCCCAAACTGTCTCTCTTCCTGATCAAAGCCAGTTTACATCAGCAATGGTTCCTAACTTGGCTTTTAGGTAAGCTTATCAAAAGCAAAAACACAAAACAATAGACAGTATATTAAGTAGCTGTATACTTTGATAAACAAACAGAGAAAACATCAACACAAGCAGTAGTGAGGATATGGATATCATTGACAGTACTGAAGATGATGAGTCCATGGTGAGATACATAAATACATATATTATGATAATCATACTTATTGTTGTTTATCTTACTATAGTACGATTTTGGAGAAGAATGTGAGAATGTCATTGACGAAATTGAAGGCACCACACCCTCGCTAGTCTTTGATTTTAGCCAGCCTCTTCCTGTTCCCAGCAACGATGATAAAAAGAATCTCGCGTTCATGCAGTTGATCCAAGAGTTCGGAATTTCTTGTCGAGCCCATGAAAAGATTGTAGAACACTTCAACCAGATCCTTGATTGTTCTATCAATATTACGTACTGAGCATGCAGCCCACACCTTGGAAACAAGCTTCTTGAGCGCTTCTCGGGTATCAAAGCAGACGGATACGACATTTGCATCAGAGGTTGTATGCAGTTCAACAACAAGAATGATATCGCATGCGTAAAATGCGGTGAAGCAAGATACAAAAATGGCCAAACTAGCGAAAGTGACACCAGGGTTCCTGTGAGATCGATCGTACAGCTTCCTTTGGCCAGACAGCTTGCTTTGTGCTTGGCTGATGACAAGTCCAGGGCTGAAATGCTCTATCATCATAACCACCAATCCAGCCAAGACGGGCAGAAAGCAGATGTTTTCGATGGTCATGTATACCAATCCATGAAGCATCTGTTTTCTGGTGAAAATGATATTGCGATTTCGTTTTCCATGGACGGGTTCAACCCACACAATGTACCTGGATCAGTAACCATTGTTCATGCAACTGTCTTGAACTTGAATCCGACGATCCGTTATGAGAAAAACAGGATGATCCAAATAGCAATGCTTCCTGGTTGCACTGGTCCCAGTGACATCTGGTCTTTTCTTGAGCCAACGCTGAGAGATCTCCGTTTGCTCCAGACAGAAGGCATGGAAGTAAAGACACCGACGACAACGATCAGGGCAAAGGTACATGTCCTCATGGCCACTGGCGATATTCCAGCTCTGGCAAAGCTGGCATGCCATGTTGGCCACACGAGTAAGAATGGCTGTCGTATTTGTCACGTAGTGGGCCAAACTCCTAAACATGGCCAGTACTTCCGCATGTTGCCTGGAACCCAGACGCGCTCACTGGAGAGTTTCAGAAACTACAATCTGGCAAGCAGTGAAGACAGAAAGGGGCTCAATGGTCAGTCACCGTTAGCCTCAATGGAAACATTCTCTGGCCCGTTTTTTTTTGCGTTAGATGAGATGCATGGTCTGTGCCACGGAATTGGTAAACAAGTATGGGGACTTGTACGCGGAAAGTATGGAATCAAGCATCCTCTATGTCTTTCTCTTGCCACTCAAAGGGAGATTGGTGCTGCAATGGTAGCCACAAAATCCACAATCCCTACATCGTTGCATGGTGCCTGGAGAGACGTGACAAAGAATGCCGGTTTCTTTAGAGCTGTGGATTGGGCAGACTTTTTACTCTTTGTTGTCCCCACGTTGGTTGCAGAGCGTGTCCAGGACTTGGTTGCCCGAAATGCATTACTTGGCCTGGTTCAAACATGCAATTTACTCATGAGCTGGGAGTTATCAGCAGAGGATCAAACCTCAATAAGAAGGTATGTTTAATGTCATATTTTATTTCATTTTTCATAGTAATTTACTTTTACCTTTTTTCTTAGTAATCTTGTAGAATGGAACTTATTCCTAGAGAGTCTTCTTTCTACAGCAGATATTGACATTGGCGTGTTCACAATTAACCAGCACATTATTCAGCATTATCCTCAGATGATTGATCTATATGGCCCGCCAAGAGCATATAGCACACGATCCGTGGAAAGAGCCATTGGTGAGTACTCCAGGTCCATCAAGAGTAACTCCCAAGTCAGTGTCAATGCTGGAAACATCATGATCAGACTGGCACAATCCCAGCATGTAGCGGAACTGACAACCGTTGCAAACACAAAAACTCCACCAGCTAACCTTCTAGTTTACAGTGCATATACCGATGGGTGGCCTGTTACAGAAGGAGGTGATCCTGCCAATGCTGAGTGTGAGATTGAGTTCTGGGGGCCTTTGAAGAATTTAACAATTTTCGATAGCTTTGAAGATAGATCTCATCTTTCATTGCTTCTTAAAACGTTTTATGATTTGAAGGGGGAAGAATTTAGTATGCTTGAGCCTTCCATAAAGACAAGCCGCAAGGCCTATCTTAATGGTTGTGTTATTGACACTGCATTCAACCAAAGTTCTACAAGAGAGGCATGTCATGTTCATGTGCAGCTACAAGTGGACATGAACTCCAGAAGATCCTGCTCTTACTGTCCAGGATATAAGCATTTCTTCAGAAAGGTGGTTATATTCTTCCAACATGTACACAACTCGAAGAGATGGCCACTAGCTCTCATAACCATATATAGTGTACATTTGAAAAATGGATTGCCTATTACATCTGTAGTAAAGCCGAAGACTATAGTGATTCATGCCAGTGACATTGTAGAGTTGGTTGGCTTGGTGCCATCAAATGTCAATGGTAGCCATTACATTATTTGGCCTAGCCTTAAACGTGGCCCAAAATTGACACTTGGTGCCTTAAGTGATATATAATTTGTTTTTTTTTTGTAATAAATTTTTCTTTTTTTTTCAAATTGTCTTAACAAATTTTATCCAAGCAGCAGAAAGTTTAGATATTTTCTTTTTTTTTTATTTCTGACATCCAATATTTCTCAATTCCAATATATATTTACCAAAAATGTAAGATGTTTAATTAGAATGGACATTTGTCCCTCCTGAGATTTAATTTTAAGCGATTCATTTGCTTTTTATCAACCATTTCAAAGAACAAAGATTTTCTTGTTTCAACTTGGATTTTTGGTGATTTTTTGATTATTATAGGCCAAAAATGAAGTCACAAATTCAAAAAAGACCACCTTTTTCCCATAGTGTTATCTTATTCCAAAAATAAAAACTGGGAGTTTAGGTATAATCACCACGGATGAAATTTGATATCAAATTAGGAAATTGAAAACACATCTGTTATCTTATTGGCTTACTAAATATATCGCTTGTGTAATTTTCTTTTATACTTATAAATCAAAACTTGTGTTCTTTATAAGGGAATGCTTGCAGTACAGACATCTACAAATGTATTTCTAGTGTAACAGAAGAGAACTAAAAAATGACTTAAAGAAATTGGAATGTTTTATTGAGATAAAAAAAAAGATATAAAAAATTAATAAAAGGAATAAAGGAAGGACCAGTATGAACCAAATTTGTTGAGATTAACAACATATTTACAGCCAACTTTCAGATGCATGTCTAATAGACAAACAACCTTCAATTTATCTAGTGGTGTGTATATATCATCAGCATATTTGAGTGCTAGATGATAATTGTTGTTAACAGCATGTGCAGATGGATATTCGATATACAAATGGTATACTTTAGAAAAAAGCACCATTCCAATGATGATATGTCCATTGCTTTGCCTAAATAGAGCAAATGTATTGTCTTTTAATATTCTTCCAGGGGTCAAATCTGTACTATTGTTGTCTGCAAATTCTCTGGACCCACTGAGCAAAGTTTCATGGAATTTCCCATCAGAGTTTTGTTGCATGTATTCTGCAATAGCTTTTCCATGGGTTTTCCTTAAACCATTCTTGCCTATCCATGAACCACCATCAATAATATGTCTTGTCATATATTGTTTACCAAATTTGAGACATATATCTTTCGATGTGTTTATACGGTTTGTATGAAACAAGTGTTCACGAATGTGTTTGTTGAACTGCTCTCCCTTTTCAGTCTCGTAGTTAAGAGCAGGTCCGAATCTTCATAAATCTTCAGATAGATGGGTCAACAGATGGACTTTTGGCTTGGACGTATAGAATGCATGTTTTTTATGTTTACAGTTAGTGTCGTATTTGTGTAGGGCTTCAATTAGACATCTAATGGCAGAGTCTACTTCACTGATATATGTCTCGTATTGACTGTCGATAGATCAAACAAATACTAGAGAGCATAGATGGCTGAGATGAACAAAGAGGAGAGTGATTTCCTGTAATACTTCTGTATCTGCAAACTTTATGGCCAGGATTACCGGAAGTATTTGGATTAGTACCTTGAAGTCTCTACCAAGAAACGAACTGGCATAGGTAAGAGACCTTGTAAATGCTCTTGATATGCCTCTGGAATTTTTGTAGTCTTTAACGTAATCAAACAGTTCTTCTAGTTCTTTTCTGTTTTTGTTCAAAACAACTTTGACCAGATCGGTGATAAGATACTTTGCAATGCCAAGGAGAATGTAGTGCAATATTTCAGCAGGAGTGTCTTTTGATTGGTCATATGCTTTAAGTTCTAGCAGTTTGTCTGTTGACTTGTTTTTAAAACTTAACTCTTCTGCTGTGTTTTTGTCGTCAAAGTAAGAAATATCAGGGATCACTGTATCTCTGTCTGATGTAGAAGTGGCCTAGATGTAATGATTCTTGGTTCTTGTTGGATGCCTGTTAGTATAGTATTCAACTTCGTTCAACTTGGGGATTCAACTTTGCAATTTAATATAGCACTTTCTACAAGGGTAAGTTGAGTTGGGCGCACCTAAACTGCAAAGCTCTGAGTGACAAGGTGTATCTGCCTCAATCCAAAGTAAAGGAGATACCACAAGAACATATGCATTATCTTCTGCAGAGAACATTACCACACCTTTTTTCTAGCTTCTTCAAATCATCAACAATTTCAGGTAACAACGAGGCAGTGTTTGCACCTTTCTTCTTTGGAATTGCTGATATAAATAAGATATTCTCTATGGAGCACCTTTCCTCAAAAGAGAGGGCTGCACATTTCATTGTCCAGCTCTCGTATGGATTAAATTGCTTAGAGGTGTTTCCAGAAGTATCATCCAAGAAAAGAATTACAGGTGCAATCTTTACCTTGTAATATTTTCTTCGGTTGTTTTCTTGGTCAGTTCCATCGCATATAAGCCTCTTCAGAAAATGTTCTTCTTCAAGTAATTTACGATGAGTTGGAATGAGTGAGATAATTGTGTCAGGAGAGATGCTGCAACATAAGGAGGTGTTTAATGGGGTTGTGTCGACAGAGAGAAATGATTCAATACTTATGTCGGTATGATTGATTTTGATGCCAATGCTACAACCATCTTTTGGAGTTCGAACAATATATTCACAAGAGAAAACATTAGATGTATCCATTGTATGGAAAGATTCCACCAGAAAGCGAATGTTAGGTGAGCAATCTTTTAACAGAACAATGTCACCAGACCAGAAATCAACATTGTTGTGGGTAAACATGGGCTGTTAGAAGTATGTATTTGTTCTCCATTTTTCTCCTTGTTGAAGACAGACAGATTGGTTTGGCATGCAATCAGGTAAAGAAAAGATTGATTTTGACTTTATAGGATTGGCAGCAAGGAGTTTGATGTGCTCAGAAGGCAAGTTAAGGAATGCGGTGACTTTTGTGCTGTCAGGGAGAGTAACATCTAAATGTTTAGATTTGAAAATTGGGATATTTATTCCTTTTCGTGTCTGGTAATTCCAGAGTGCATCTAACCAGGACAACTTGAAAGAAATATCTTTTCTAATAGCTTCTTCGTGGATCTTTAGAAGAAGATTGATGGTAAATAATATCTTCTTTAACATTATACGAGAAATCATGTCATTATCACCATCAACAAGTGCGAGCAAAATCATTGTTTGGATATCTTTAAATGGATGAGTGTTTGATGTAAATCTGTTCCAGGCGGTAGAGTTAAACACTTCACTCTGGAATTTATCCTCTTCATCAATTGAAGATTCGTTGTTATTGGCGAAAGCAGATATGTTGTTCAAGATGTGATTAAACAGAGGAATGCCTGCATTTGGCTCTGTGTTTTCCTCAATATCAAAATCACTATTGTCAACTCTACTTCCATCATCACTTTCTTCACACTCGTCATAAGTTAAGATACTGTTGTAGTATTCATTATCAACGTCTGATTCCTCTTCCACACTTTCACTTGGTGTAAGCGGATTTTTTGGGCTGTCGCTCATCTGTATATCTTGATATTCGGTCTCCTGGACTATGCTCATATTATTTGCAACCGTTTCCATTATGTCATGGCATCTTTGCAAATGTCTTTTAAGATTACAGTGATCTTTAAAGGTCTTCTCACAAAGTGAGCAAGACTTGCCAATGTCAACAAGTCTGAAGTTGAGTTGGCCCGGAATTCTCGGAGTAGGTACTGATACTCTTCCTTGGGCAACTTTTTTTGGTACTCTGTTCATTGTTCTTTGTAATGTAAAGGAAGTAAAGATAAAAAGATAGATAGAATTAACGTGTACCCCTTAATTTTGTTCAAGTTACAACGTGTCTATTTTATGAACAAATCAATTAAATTGCATTATTTTGCTGAGATTTTAAAAAACCAAGAAAAAATAAAAAAAACCAAAACATTCTTTACTCTGTATTTTTTTAACATGATCAAGTTACTAATCAGACTTTTAATGCTAGTATACAATAACATGTTCTTTTCACGAAAATCTATGGTATGATATATATGACGGCTTCTAAAAAACAATATAAAAGATCATTTATTTTAATTGGCATTTACTAATCATATTTAATCTCGAAATAGTATAAGATCCAACAATTTTTTAAGCTTATAAAGGTACGTGTGTTGACATTAAGAGTAGTCTATACAATATGAATATTAACAAAAACAAATTTATGTCTTACTCTAGATTTATTTATTATCATCATTATCAAAGGTAAGTTATTGGAAACAACTCTTAAAGATTGCAGCCACTAATCATTCTTGTTGTCTATATAGGTTTGAAACACTTCAAGCTCAATGAAATGAAAAGGTTCTATCCATAGCTTTTTTATTTTGTAAATTGTATTGAAGTAGCTAGCTAGCTTTTTATTTATAATAATAGCTACCAGTACCAGCAGCTCCTGTCTACCCTGCAATAGCAGCCAGTACTAGACTGGTACTGGTAGCCTAGTATTTTATGACCCCTGTATTTTCAACCTACAAAATAAAAATAAAAATATTTTTTTCAAACCGAAGATTTTTTTTGTCAGCATTCTATTTTTCAAATTTGGTCTATTTTTAAAATCGTGAAGCTTCAAAAATAGTAAATCCAAAATAGGAAATCGAGCCACCGTCGTACAAAACAGTCATTTGTAACACTAGAAAAATCTCCTGTGGTGATGTCTGTGTATCAACTGTTCTTGGGGATCAATTATATAGACTATTCCAAATGCAGAACAATGTATTATCTACCACTGATTACACCTGTAATTTGATGTAGGCCTTGTTTTTGTAATAACAGGCATAATAACAGGGCTCTTCTTTAATGTTTATTGGCTAAATGAATTGAAGAAAAAATTCTCATAGATGCAAATGCTAAGTACAAGTCTCTCAATTGGATATTGTTTTGTTTTGAGAAATGGTTTTTTATTTGTTTTTATTTTGGATAAAAAAAGCCTTTTTTTGGCAATAATAAGAATTCTATATAGTATTACTATTAAATACACTAATCTGTTATATTGTACTTCTTATAAATTTTGTTTCAGAATTTTTTGAATTAATAAACTTGGATAGTGAGTATATATGCTTACTGAAGCTATTTGATTAAAGGGAGTAGAAAGATACTTACATACTGTTAGAATAATTTGTTAATAATGGAATAAAACACAGATTTATATTATCAAAAGCTACAAGCCGATGCGTCATTCAAGTATATATTACAAAGAAAGGAATATAAAATATATACATACATATTTACTAAAGGAACATGTCTTGTTCTTGAGTACTGGTCATATAAGAATGTGAGGAATTATTTCAACTATAAAAAAGGAGAGTGAGAATGCTGATATAAAAAAACAAAACAAAATAAAAACAACATAATAATAAAATGAATAACACATACCCTTATATTCTTTATATGATTTGTTTTTACTGACCATATGTAAATCAAGGGTGAGCTATATTTAAATTATATGTTAGATATTATTTTTAATACTGGGAAGGAGATGTTGATATAGATATATACGTACATGCCACCAATATGTTTTTGTGTTTTTTTTGTCTGCACCGGTTATATCAGAGAAATATATGTAATGGCTATTTAAAGTAATTTATAGTTAGTAAAATAATGATATATTTAATGGTAAAGTACCTCTTGTATAATGAAAGACATCTGCATCATATGTATATATTAAGGGTGTCTAAAGTGAAACATAGTAGGATTAAAAGAGTGTTATTTTTATTAATATTATTAAAGAGTAGAGAAAAACAGAAAAAGGTGGGAAAATAAAAAACAGTGTTTGAAAAAGCCATAGACCCTGAAAAACTTATTAGACTGTTTCTCTTTAAAAAAAATTGTCTAGTAATTATAGCTTTATATGTTTCATAAAACAATTGTTACTTACTATATACCTAAAGAAGTTGTTTTCTAGCTCAATTTTTTTCAAAATAATATATTTTGATCTTCTTAATCATTTAAATAAAGAAGTATTTACACACTTATACACTTGCTCAACTTGCTCGCTTAATCATTAACATAATTGTTTAATCACTCAATTACTCTACAATTCTTTACATGTAAAGTGCTCTCTTAAAAATTTATTAAAATAGAAATATCAAGCAATATATACTAGAAACTTATTATTTTATTATATAAAAATACAGATAATGGCTCCAAGAACTAACATCAACCAGAACGCACGTACCAATGGATCAACATCTAGGCCATTGATCAATGCAGTCAACACTAGGCATATAGAATCGTCAAATCCAATGATTGCTCTTAGACCAGAAAATATGTCAATTCCAGTGTCAGAGTTTAATGATGTAGTCAGTCTTCTCGCTACACTCAATGACAAAATGACAGCCATTAGTTCCGATGTTAGTGAATTGAAAGGTAATTAAACACAAACTATATTGTTTTCCAATAGACTGACTATTTGAACAGTACAATTCCAGGTGGGTGCTCAATCGACTGGCATGCAAGCCGTTCTGAACTCTGATATGAATCCTCAGGACATCATAAGCAGCTCAAGACACCCAAAGATCTCAGTAAGCTCAAATACTAAAATTATAAAAACAATCTCCCTTTAAATCTAACATCAATATACCTTTAATAGAGTATTATTCAGGGGCGGTTCAGAGATATTAATCTTAAGACAGATGATTTGTAGTTGATCAGAAAGAATGATGATAAACCAACTTGGGATGTCAATATTGGTTTGTCTGACGAGTTTAACAAGAATTTTGCAAGTGATTTGATGCTTTACATTCGTCGTCAACCTGTAGCAGCCATGGTACCACCAAAAGAGCTATGTGGTATAATTGTAAACAGCTATTACAATCGCTTGGCTGCTAGTAGGCTTACTGAAGAAGACAGACAGACAAACACTACCTCAAACAGAAAAGGAAATAGAAAGACTGCTGTAAGCATTTCTACTTATAATAATTCAATTTTGACAAGTATACTTAAAATATTATATATATTGTAGCTTAATAAAAGGAGAAAAAGAATGTACACAAAGCATAAGAATGCCGTCACTGAAAAGTTTAATTGGGATTATAATGGCGTTTTTTACAGAGACGCAATGTCTGGTGATGAGTCAGAAACTGATACTTCTGTTGTTGCATCTCGTCCTGATAGGTGTAGTGATGAGGTAATGTTTTATAAAAAATATTTTTTCTATTGTTTGATCCCTGATGTATATATACATTTATAGTTGAATACCATGTTTGACTTTCTTGATGAGCTTGCCAAAGATGACTTCGGAAAAAGAGCAACGCAGTTGAAGTCGCGGAGTCATGTGTTAGTACACGAGACAATTCCTCGTGGCTTGGTCACAAAAATGCCTGCGTGGTCAAAACGCGTATAATAAAATTTCTGTCTTTTTAGTTGCACTCTTTATCACATCTCTTTTTATGTCTATGAACTATGTGTTATATTATTATTATTATTTTAAAAAAAGATAGAGTATTTTATTAAGTGTACAGCTTTCTTGGCAGAGGAATAACAACAACTTTTGCCGCACCACTACCAGACACATGACTTCCAATTGCAATTGGTGACAAGATGCAGTGGACAGGCAGAATGTTGTAGTCATACTTCAGAAATTCTGGCTCATACAACTCGATGCCCTGCTTGATTCTAGGTTGATGGCAAGGAATTTTGTACCACTCAACGAAGGCAAATATGTGCTGGGGGTTGTGACAAGGTGAAAGGTTGGTGTGCATGAGGTCTGATGTAAAATCGTGCAAGAACAAGTACTTAATACGACCAGCATATCTTTCCTCAGAGTCTCCACTTTTTTCAATAAATTTCACTTGTATATGCAATCTTCTCACGACCAAGCCTTCTCCACCTGTGTAAACTTATCCAAGAAGATTGATGGACGAAATCTTCTGGATTTGGTCATTCACAGACCAACAATTTCTGATTGTTGTCTTGATACTACAAAGAGAATCATTGTCATACTCAATTTTATAGAAATCGAGCAGACAATCATACTCGGATTTTCTCATTGTTGTTGGTGGCTTCAAACACAATGATAGAGCGGAAAGAGGTAGAGGTTTGTTGCCAAATGTTTGCTTTGAAGGCTTTTCAGCAGATTGTAGGAACGTTGGCAAGTGAAAGAATGACGGTATCAGAGGATGTGGCGAAAGTGCAGGATTATAGATTCTACGGCCAGACAGCTTGAGAAAAAGAGAGAGGAGTAAAGGGCTAGTAACATTTCTGAGATGCGCTTGACAAAAGTCACCATTGTAAGAACTCTCAAGAAACCTTTTCATGTAGGTATTCTCGAACCCACTCTTCTGGTTTGTCTCAAACCCTTTCAATACACCATTATAGTGCTCAAAGCTAAATAGCCAAAATCTGTAAATTGGCCCAAAGTCCTCAATCGTTTCTTTTAGGTGGAGATGGAGATACATGTTTTGCACAAATACATCTGGTTTATAAAAGTCTTCACAACCAACATAGAACTCCTCCAAACTTTCGTGAGCTTTTTTGATTCCATTTTTGGTGATACTTGGCTTCGTCAATTCTCTGCATACATCGACAAAATGGGTCCAATTGCCAAGCAGATCATCTCGCAGGCATGTCTTAAGCAGAACAAGAGAGTATATCAGGCACCATTATTTCCACTCATCTGCCTTCATAAATGGAAATTTCTTTCCAATCTTTATCTTCAGAGTCGTATACCCTACAGGGAGTATCATTCTATTAGCCTCTTCCTGCATCTCTACAAAATCTTTGTCATCAAGCAAATTGTTTGCAATCCAAATATCCATCATTCGTTTTGCAGTCCCGAGAAAAAGGCTGTACATGGGATCAATAATGGCTGCACACACTGGCTCAAAGTACACAAGTTGATGAAGCTCAGACCAACGAACACCATTCTCAATCTCCAATTGCTTTCTCTCTGTCAATGTCTTTGCATTCTTCCACAGGTTTGCATGTCTGCAATTTTCTTCTTTTGTGCAGCCTACCCATTCCGAAAACTTAAGCCCAAAATAGTTTACAGCAGTAGTCCCATCAATATGAGCAAACTGACGATTGCATTTGTAGCATGCATATGTGCTGTTATAAGATGTAAACCCACACGTCTTTCTTGCAGCAGGGATGTTGCATGCAACTATCAACAGAGCAGCACGCACCAGAGCACCTGAGCAGTTATATGTATCAATTGTGATATCTTTATACAATAGCATAAGTTCATCAACAAGAGGACACAAATAGTTATTGATCTCGTTGGTGCTTGCTTCTTTAGGTTCAGGCATCAATCCAACAAGAATGATATTTTCTGCCTTGTTCCACTCTTCTCTTGGCAGATTGTTAAATGTCAGATATATTGCACCACAAGAATATGTTACTCCATCAAATGGTTGAAATCAATCAATGTTCAGTGCCAATAGTAATGATCGTTCCTTGGAAATAAACTGGACATCATCTTTATCCACTTATTTGTTCCACATCTTTCCATTATATACATCGAATAAAGTATCATTGACTTTTGGTTCACAATTCCATCTGTTGATCATACTCTCAAAAGAAGGATGTGTAAACATTTTTTTCAAGGTAGTTGTCAATGAGTTATAAACAAATGTGCACTTTGGAACCATAGCATTCTTCATACTAGACTTATAGAGATTATTCTTACAATGTGTCTTACTACCTGTTGTGGTGGTTGAAGTTGAAGAAGCTTTTAAGAGGAAGAATTGAAGATTTGAGATTAGGAACGAAGATTTGTGAGAATTTGTGTAGGTTTTATTTATTGAGAAAGGATTTTGTATCAAAGTTTGACCTGGTTCCTACACTGAACTACTACTGCTATTTATATTGTTTTGGATTGGGAAAATTATATGACTGGGGTCAGGTAATCGATTCTATCTGAGCCTTAATCAGAGCAACGTGATCTTGGGATAATTAATGTATGATTAATTATATAAATGTGTGTAGTCCCAATGAAGTATTAACATCGAAAGTAAATGTGTTTATGAGTTATAATTATGCTTATAATAATCCACTGATGTATCCCATATTATGATGATATCATCATATGAAATGTAATCACTATCATGCATGCTAAACCTGTGTGTTAAATAATAAAGTAATCGGTAGACACCTTTGACTGGAATAGCTGAGACCTTATATTATTTCCTTCAGACTTATTCTCAATTACAGCAGAAGTCAATACTCATTTACAACACTACCAACTCTTTTGAAATTGCAGGATGTATGCGTGTTGTTGCTGTAATTGTACAATGTGTGACAATTACTGCATGCTACATATTTTGATATGCCGTTTGTCAAGTCATTGTATCCTATCATTTTCCTCAAACCCGGAATGCTTGTGGGAAGTCGGAAATTCTCTCCATAATGTTTGAGGATTATATTTATGAATGTAATCAAAATTACTGCGCCTTCATCTACAATGAAGCTAGAAATAAATATCACAGTGAAAACCGCAATTACTTAATGCCAAATATTCTCTGAAAGGTTTTCTGTAGACTTTGTAAGTTATCATAAAATAATAATAATTTTTTATTTCTTTAATTCAAATCGTTTTTCTTCAATCATAGTTTATTTTTAATATTTACCCTGTTCTTGCTCTCTGTTCTGTTCTTCTTGCTCAAATTCATCCGACGACTCATATTCACACTCATACTCTGAAGTATACTCCTCTGTTTCAAAAAGAGATTCTTCCACCAAAAGAGATAAGTAGGTATTGACATACTGCTCTGGTGAGGGTGCACCAACAGAGTAATTATCATCTATTGGGACCAAGTTTAAATAGAGTGCGCATTGGGTATAAAAAATAAAATACTATTACATTCAATATGTTCTTCAATTTGATCTATGTTCATATCAGCTTCACTAGTGTTTACTTTGGCTGTCAAAACTATTTGTTCTAATGGATTAGAATACATTATATAAATAAATGAAAAATTGATAACTTAATTTACCATTAATGGTTTTATCCATATTCCTGTCATTATCATTCTGGGTATGACGCTTGACAGTTCTTTTATCTGTCTTGGTGTATCCGAGAGGATTGCGATTGCATCTTGTGCATTTGTAACAAACTTTATTGGGATTGGCAGTGGCAAACATTTTTTTATTTAATTTTTTTTAATAATAAAGGAAGTGTGTAACAGTCGTTGCTTATTATAATTGTCTTTATTATTTTGAAAAAATTCTCTCAGAGACTCTGATATATATTAGGTCAATGATATATCTTTAAATATATTCTTGCTGCTAAACACAGGAAATGACCTGGGTTGTAATTTTTTGGCTACTATTATCAATAATTCCAGGTAAGTGGAATTCAATTATTTTAAGATGTTTTTGCAGTGCAATATGGCAAGGATAAAATATATGAATAAAAATACGGTAAAAATATAATAATAAAGGTACTGATGTTATGCAGAGATGTCAGCAAGATGAATTATGTGCATTGTAGAAGAGGAATGTTACTAGCATGGGGGACCATAATTTTGAATGAGTACAATGTAAACAAATATGTTAACAAGGGAAAAGGAAAAAGTATTGTGCACTACGGTGGAGAAAATGGTAACATGTTACCACTTTGGTAACATAACTGCCATTTTTTACTTAATAAAAAATGGCAGTTATTTATTATGTAAAAAGCCAAAACAGGCACTGTTATCATTTTTCAAAAAAAAAATCAAGCGTCCTTCCTTTCCTCTATTACATTCTTTCTTTTGTTCTATTGCTTTCAATTCTAGCACAACCTCTTGTTTTTCCTTTGCAGCTTTAACAGAATGGTCTGTTTTTTATTATACAATATTGAATCGGGTTTAATTGAATTAAATCTTTATTTCAATGCATGTTTTATTAAATGAAAATGATAATAATAATAGTAATAATGAAAAAACAATTCCATCGGTCACTCGCAATAAAAAATGGTTCTGTTTAGCTACTGCAAAACGTATGCAGTAAAACACTACTATTCAAATTGTATTTCATATACTTTGGGTATTCTAATATATCTTAGATAGCACTTATTATTTTTTACCGATTTCTACAAATATACTAATATTAGAGAAAAAACTTAAAATAAATAAATAGATATAATATTATTATAATGCTTACCTTTATATAATATGCTTACTTGTTCAGTAAAATAAGCATTTACTCTAAGAATATATATATATTAAAGAATGTATTAATATTTAAGATCTATATATAAGAAAAGCAATAAAACATAAGCACTATAGAAAGTCGTTATTGTAGAAGAAGAAAAACTTGAGCAAAGATTCAAGTCATGTAACATGAAGCTAATTCGAATCTGATTCATACAACCGGAATGAGCATCTTGTTAGAAAGCTTAACGTGTTTATTCTACTCAATATACTTACATATAATAGAACGACTCCCAAGTATAATATATCAGTACAAAAATATTACTATTAATTTTTTTCCCAAAAAAAAGGCTATATACTATTTCCTTTTATATTTGAATGTAGCGGAATTGTAGATGCTGTACATTAGCTTCAAATTCTTGTAATCACAACATTAGCAATCATATGAAAGAGGTAAATAAATTTTTTATATGAAAGAAAAAAGAATAAAAAACATAAAAAAAAAATGACGAGATAAGAAAAAAAATGCACTAAAGACAGACTAAAAAAATCAAACTCGGCCAATCACAGCAGCCAAACTACGATCTTCGGCTTCTCTTGCAAGCAGGCTCAACACTTGCTGTGGGTGGAGGAGACCTACATAAAAGAGTAAGAAGTTTATATTAGTTTTGTATTAACAGCGCATGAGAAAAAGCAACAATGGTAACTTACAGCACATCTGCCATTATGGGCGACTCAACATCACCAGTTTCTGACATATCAGGAGAAGAAAGTGAAGAATCACTTATGTCTCGCTGTGTCTATAGCATAATAAAAGGAAACGATGTTAATTAAAGTTTACAATATATAGATTTGTTAATTGATAAACTTACTTTGTTCTTCTCTGCCATTCTTCTCTTGTGCGTCTGGTTGTCGCTCTTGAAGCTTTCCCGAAGAAGGCTTCTTGCACACCACATTCTTTTACATTGGTGGATGTGCAATCCACCATTCTTCGCCAACCTCTCCAAATGCATCATGTAGTATTCCCTGTTTTTCTCTGGGATATTCTTCCATTCTTTTGAGGCCGCAGGATAGTCTTTGTTAATGATATCATGCTTTACCGTACGGCCTAATGTTTTGAGATGCAGTCTTTTTACTGTCAAATCATGGTCTGAAAGAGGGACTAATGGGGGCAAATACTGCCCTTGTGGAACTTCTTTGCAGCGCGCCTTCCAGTCCTGCTCATGAAGAATCTGAAGCAACAGATTGTATTTTTGTGCTTCGTTTTTTCCTTTGAACTCGCCGCCAGTATTGATTACTCGCTTACCAAGCTAATCAGGGTACTCTGTGAGCTGGGCTCTTTTCACAGACTCGGCAATGCACTCAAGAGCTACAAAAAATGTATGACAATATTAATAAAGTAAATAAACATCTAAGCACAGAATATATATGACTTACAACTCTGCTCAATAATGCTTTGTTGCATTGTAGTTAGATCTTCCGCACTGACTGCTGGCACAAATTGATTGCTGAATTGCCTTTGAAGCTCGCGCAATGCTTGCTTGATTTCAGCAAGATCAACCTCAATCTTTTGAATTGAGTTGAGGAGAGTTGTGTTAATATCGGACATGTTTAAGTTTTTTTTTAGCTATAAGCAGTGAGTTGAAAAGAAAAGGTGATAGTTTAGACAAGTAGAATAAGAGCGATTTGAGTTTGAGAAAGGCAACGATTTATTACAAGTAATTGATAGCTATTTATATGAAAAAGATACAGACAGATGTACAAACAAAACATATAAAAGAAGGGATGCTTATGCACTTGTATGCACCTGTCTGCACCTGTCTGCAGTAGCTCATGTGAACATGATACAGTCTTTTTGTGTCAACACAACAAAACTGTAAGAAATATAAAGATAAAATGAATTAGACTTTAAATCAATATTATATGTATAAATGTTCATACTTTGCACCGTCTACATATTAAATGTTTTAAAGTATATGATATAATAATATAACTCTATACATATTGCAGATATAGCATGAAATTTGGTTAAAGTTCTCAATGACAAAACCCTGTACCAGTTAAAATTATAACTTTAAATATACTCTACAGTAGCTATATAACATCTGAACATCATATAGTTAATTAGCCCCTTTTTATCAACATTAAAGTAAATGTTATGATACTCAAGTTCATATCATACTTATTATCATTATCGACTAAAACGCGTTTTGATTGATGCTGTCATCAAAGGTAAAAATAATTTTAACTGTCATTACTATTATTTACCAAGGGGCATATTTGACTGAAACCGTACATTTTTGAAAAAGGTGTGCTTTAACTCACATCAGCACTTTCAATTAACACCCCTTTCGATCAGTAGTGCTTATCTTGATGATGTCAGTAAAAGAGTATCAGACTATAGCCCTCATTATCTATATCTATTTCTTTAAGTTTTATACATAAACAAGAAAATAATGCTATTAGCTAAATATATATTCACTATCTCAAAAATATTATTAGTACAACACAGATAATATAAATATGTCTTTTCTACCAATGTGTTTATACAGTACTACTTTTTTTTAACTGTTAATTATTAGAAGGCTGTTTTTCTTTGCTTTTGGTATTAGAGAGTAATTGATAATTTATTTAAAAAAAAACATAAATTATTTGGTCATTAATTATCCTAAATATACATATACCTCTTTATAAAGCCCAAAGAATATCTAATCGCTCACAAGTAAAGAGTACGTGTCTGTTTCACCAGTGCTCTTTTAATGGTACCCCCTTGTCAACCAAGAAGTATTTTAACTTACATCATAATTATTAATGAAGAAGAATCTTTCCAACCACGGGAATTATTTACTGACAGGTGTTTCACCTAGCATTGACATTACTGTAATCATTGCTATATCATCATTATGAAAGAGAAAAAGAAAAAGAGCCGCAAGCATTTTGGTTAAAAAATAAAGAGTATATAAAGATGTCTTTTACATTTAATAAATAGCACCAAAATCCTCTTCGCAGCTTTATTTTATATATTACATACGTACCAACCCAACCAATATGTCTTCTTCCAACGTCAGCCAGCAGAGAGATAGAATATCTACACAGCAATATCAATGTGATCAATGTGTCTTGTTTTTTGATAACTACCAGAAGCTGCAAAACCACAAGAGAATTCACAGAGGAGATTCAGCAACAATGACTGAAATTGACCAGTCTATTCTGGATGATGTTGACATGTATCATGACGAAAATGATACTAGTAATGAAGATGAATCTGTTAGCAATTCAGGTAATGAAAAGAGCTGTAATTGTATTATTTATTTTCCAATTACTAAATAATGTATTACAGAATATACTATGGAGTCTATGGAGCTTGATAATACTATTTCATATAAGTGCGCATGTAATTTTGAGGACAGTGAGGGTGAAGCTCACATTTACGACAGCAGCCAAATCAGTACAAATACTTTTACCAAGGCCGAGTTGATGAGTATTCATCTGTCTCAATTGATGCTACAGCATAGAATTGCTAGAGCAGCATATAGAGACATTGTTCAATTTATAAACACTGTCATCCGAGACCATGACGATATAATGATGGGTAAAATATTATATTTTCTGTTACCTTGTACTTTAATTCCAGATCACTATCATGTAGTGATATCGTTTTTTTTAGAACCTGGGGCTAAGATAAGTCATGGCAAAACTGTTGATGCTTTGCTCAAGTCAAAGTCAAGTGTCAAGGGCCATGAGTATGATGTCTGCTCTAGTAGTTGTCGATTGTATGGCATTAATGACAACCAGGAATCTTGTGTTGACTGCGGCAAACCGCGATACAAGACTGATCCCGATCAAAGTCAGACACCAGCCGCCAGTATGAAACTTATGTCAGTTGGGGATATGCTTTCTCAAATGTTGGCAGATCCAGCCACAAGAGAACTCCTCTGTTACAGAGCAAACCAGGAATCTGTAGCTGGTCAGCTAACCGACATTTTTGATGGTGACAATTACAAGCAGTTGGTGCAGCAGGGCCTGTTCTCCAATCCCGATGATATTGCCATTGGGCTTTATACCGATGGGTTTGTCAATCAAAAGAAAGGCAAAAACTCATATACCATCATCCATTGCATAATATTCAACCTAGACCCATTCATCAGGTAATTAATTAATTTATTACTATTTATTATTATTATTACATTTTTTTTAAAAAAAAATTACTAATAAAATACTTAGATATACCAACAAATACCTTTTGCAACTGGCAATCTTGCCTGGCCCCAAGAAGTCAACTCATTTGGACTCCTTTCTTATACCCATCATCAATGAATTGCGAGATCTTGAGGCACATGGCTTGGTTGTCAATCACAATGGAGTGGAGCTTTGCAGATCCAAGGTATATCTTCTGCTTGCTTCTGGCGATATTCCAGCTGTAGCTGATATGGCCCACATTGGTTCCCATACAAGTTTATTTGGTTGCCGTTTTTGTGAGACCAAAGGCAAGTGCCCTACTAACAGACGGCATGGCATGTACTTTGATGACATTTCCGCCCGGTTAAGACCTTTGGAAGACTTCAAAGTAGGCAACCCTGTAAGTATACAAATGTTCAATTAGCCATCTTTTTTTCATACTAAATAACTGCTTGTAATAGTCGAAGAACATATACCAGCCGAGCATATATACCCAACTCTCAACCTTCTCTGGATGATCATTTTTTGCATTAGATGAACTTTATTTAATTGCAAGAGGGATTGGAAAGCTTGTGTATGACCTGATTACCGTCACCCTCACAAAGGAAACCAAATTTTATTATACCCATCCAGACAATACCCTCAATACCACCGAATACCCTTTTCATATACCAAGAGCAGACCTTGTAACAATTGGAAACTGTATCACCAGCTCACGAAAATATATACCCACCTCATTTCAAGGCAGTTTTGACAACGTATTTGCCAAGATCGATGGTACTCGCGCAGTGGACTGGCTTGACTTTCTCTTATACCTTGTCCCCACTTTGGTCATGCCTTATTTACCAAATAGGGCTGTCAAAACAGCTCTATTATCTCTTGTGAAAGGTTGCGCGCTTACCTTGCAATGGATGTTGACATCAGAATTGCTTGATGAGATGGAGTCGTAAGTTATTATATGTCTCATATATTATCATTACAAATAGCTGATTGTTACCATTTTTTAAATATTAATAATAGATACTTCAAGTACTGGCACTCGTTTTTATACCAACAAGTCCAGAATAATACCCTATCTCGTAGTGTTTTCCGACCAGTGCAACATTACCTGGTCCGTATACCCTATATCATCAAGCAGCAAGGCCCCCTGCGATGCTACTCCACTTGCTCAATGGAGAGAGTAATTGGCGACTTCTCGAAATTGATAAAGTCCAAATCAAAGGGTGGCCAAAACGCCAGTTTTCTCGTCGAGCGATTTGCGATTCACAATTATACCAGCATGGCAATCAGCATCTGTGATGAAATCAACCTCATTTGGCCAAAGCCATATGGAAGAGAGAGCTACATGGACCTTCCTAATGATCCTAGTAGTGCGCAGTTGTGGGAGCCATTTCATCAGTTTGTTAATTTGAACGATGATTTGGTGGAAGGTGTAGGCGGCCCTAGTGTGAAGGAAGCTTTATTGAAATACTACCGGAGAACAACAGGCTTGACTGGCCACGAGTTTGGTGACTCTGTTGTTGTTGTAGCTGCACGTCTGTGGATGGACTCGACTGTATATTCCTCATGCATGTACCGAAGAAAGAAAAACGAGACCAGCCATGGCAACCATTACGTGATGTTTACTTGCCCCTATAGAAAGTAAGTATAATATTTTTTGATATACAATCAAAAGTTGCTTACATTCTATTTATTTATTTATTTATTTTAGCAACCGTAATGTAATTGTTCACAGCTGGCTCGTCAGTACAGTACAGTTCTACTTTCAGCATGTAGATTTCTATGGCTTCCCACACTTTCTTGCTTTTGTGGAGGTCATGAAGGAACATGACGTGGCTGGTCATGACTCATCAGTACCTATTGTCAAACAACGGTCACAAAGCACCCGTACACTAGGCCACCAAACGCAACCGACTTATACAGTTATAAGTGTAAATGACATTTGTCATCAAGTTGGTCTGGTCCAATACCCACCGAATGGAAACCAGTTTTATGTAATCGCGCCCTATTATATCTTTAACAACAACATGCGCATTACTAAAGGCAATTTTTCCATTCTGTAATCCTTTTTATTTTTATTTTATTTTTCTATATGTTCTATATCCTTATATCTTTTATATTTTTTATATCATCCTTGTATCTTATATTCTTTTTTTAATTTTCTCTATTTCTTATGTTTTTTTAATTTCTATATGCCCCGTCTTTCTTTTCTTCTTTATATACTCCAGTTTTTTTTCTATTCTCTATACACCTTATGCTTTTCTCTTCATTCCCTATATGCTCTATACGCCATTACGCGATTTAAATAAAATCAAATTGCCAATTCATCAAGATAAAAAGAATATCTAAAAAAAAAAGAATGTAGTTTAAAAAATAAAAAAATGGCAGTTATGTTACCATTTCATTCACACATTCCAAAAATTATTAATCTTAATAATTGTTGACATCTTTGATATTCAATAAAACATATATGTTGTAAATGAGTATTGACTACTGCTGTAATTGAGAATAAGTCTGAAGGAAATAATATAAGGCTTCAGCTATTCCAGTCAAAGGTATCTACCGATTACTTTATTATTTAACACACAGGTTTAGCATGCATGATAGTGATTATATTTCATATGATGATATCACTATAATATGGGATACATCAGTGGATTATTATAAGCATAATTATAACTCATAAACACATTTACTTTCGATGTTAATACTTCATTGGGACTACACACATTTATATAATTAATCATATATTAATTATCCCAAGATCACGTTGCTCTGATTAAGGCTCAGATAGGATCAATTATCTGACCCCAGTCATATAATTTTCCCAATCCAAAATAATATAAATAGCAGTAGTAGTTCAGTGTAGGAACCTCGTCAAATTTTGATACTAAATCTTTCTCAATAAACAAACCCTACACAAGTTCTCACAAATCTTCGTTCTTAATTTCAAATCTTCAATTCTTCCTCTTAAAAACTTTTTCAACTTCAACCACCACAACAATATATTTCAATACTCAAAGTGGTCATTACAACTTACAAACATTTTTTACAGTATTGAAAATATTGTACAACAACAAAAAAAGTGTTTTCATGTTACTTTTTTAAATTGCTACGAATGACATTACCATCTTACAACAAACGGCAGAGATTTTATTGGGTTTCGACCAAAAAAATGGCAGTTATGTGCCTACTTTCGGCCCCTGCCATTCATCCCGCTATAGTGTTGTGTAGAAGGAACATGGAACGGAAACGAGATTTTTCCTGTGCACGGAAAAATTCTCCTCTTACCACCGAGGGCACAGCACCACATTAACAAACCGTTGACGTCAGCCTCTCATAACCAGGACAAAACGTCACAACAAACTGCCAAACAAACCCACTTAGCAGACTGACCTTCCAGTACCGGACACCACGACATGGCCAAACGCCTTGTTTTACTACAATACGCGTAACAAAACATGTGCGGTTTCGTGATGTAATGGTTAGCATCTGAGATTCTGATTCTCATTATCCGAGTTCAAATCTCGGCGAGACCTCTTTTTAGATTTTGGTATTCATAATCTGGACTATTTTTGTTGGACATTATTTTGATGAATCCATAAAATCTGAAGATGGTTAACCGCAGTACTGTCAAGTCTCGATCTGGTATTTCTTTTCTGGCACTTGTAACTAAGTCGCAGAATCAATACCACTGGGGATCGTTACATTTTTAAGAATAGTTTTTAGTTAAGAATAAAGATTGTTGTGGTGGTTGAAGTTGAAGAAGTTTTTAAGAAGAAAAATTAAACATTTGAGATGAGGAACAAAGATTTATAAGAACTTGTGTAGGGTTTGTTTATTGAGAAAGATTTAGTATCAAAATTTGACGAGGTTCCTACACTGAACTACTACTGCTATTTATATTATTTTGGATTAGGAAAATTATATGACTGGGGTCAGGTAATTGATCTTATGTGAGCCTTAATCAGAACAACGTGATCTTGGAATATTTAATATATGATTAATTATATAAATGTGTGTAGTTCCAATGAAGTATTAACATTGAAAGTAAATGTGTTTATGAGTTATAATTATACTTATAATAATTCACTTGTGGTGATCCAGACACTCGGATGTTAGATTTATTACATATAAAAACATATTCATATTGGGATAGCATAGTAGCTATCATCTTGTCAGTATAAAATATATATAAACAATTAAGTAATCAGCCCAATAATTATTACAGTTAGTATTGTAGATAATATCTTAAAGATTGTTAAGATAATTATATCATACTGCCGGGTAAACTGTGTCAGATCGATATGGAGCTAATTTAGTAGGAAGTCCTAAAGCTCTAGTATAAAAAAGAAAAGAATAGCTAAGAGCTAAAGAAGTACGATTTATGACTTGATGTCATAATTGTAACACCGACACTAGTTAAGCAGTAAATACACTCTAATAACCAAATATATTAAAGGAAGAAAGTCTTAAGAAACTAAGACGTAATGACAAGAGCAGATTGTGTTTTCTTATAAAAAGGAATACTTTTTATTTATGAATAAAAACAACTGATATACAGTCTCAAAGTATTTCTATACGTCTCTATTATCAAATATTTTATTTTTCTATTGTTTCATACCTGAAATACCACATCACTGATGTATCCCATATTATGGTGATATTATCATATGAAATATAATCACTATCATGCATATTAAACCTGTGTATTAAATAATAAAGTAATCAGTAGACACCTTTGACTAGAATAGCTGAGGCCTTATATTATTTCCTTCAGACTTATTTTCAATTACAGCAGTAGTCAATACTCATTTACAACAAAGATGCTTTTTATTAAATGTATTTCTTGACTATTTATACAAAATGATAATTGATTTCTGGCTAAAAGTCTAGATATAATAATATGTCTTTGATGCTTGTTGTCTAGTAATATCTTCTACAAGTATATTTACCATCTTAAACATCTAAAACATATGTGAAAGACCAATTGACAAAGTCAAGATCTTTTATCCTAAAAAGTCAACCATTACTAGTTGCTTATTAATTCCGATTTTGGTTACTGATGTCAACTCTGACAAAAATCTGAAGATGGTTAACTGCAGTATCTCTTTATGTGCAGTAAAATCTTCCTGAGCATTAACTGCAGTATAATAACTCCTCTTTTATTTAAATATAATATAATAGCTATTGCGGATAATGCACAGTATTATTGTTATATATGAGAGAAAATAAGATGTAAAATAAAACAAGTGCAGATGAGAGTACGGTAAAACTTTGTTTTATTAGAAGAAGTAAAAAAGTCAGAAAAAAGATGCTCTTCTATTGCTATTAGTATTATGCGTTTATATAGACATTGTATTTAGCTTGGTGATGATATGATGATATTATGTAATATCTGTTTCTCTACCATTATTTTCTATGATTTAGTTCTTATGTTTTTAGTGTTATTGACTAGAGTCTTAGAGCATCTCCAGCAGTATGTAAACCTAAATACTAAATATCCAAATTAGGATTTCCTATGCTAGTACAAAAAAAGCAATTTAGTATAAAGAATATCAAGGTCACTCCAGCAGTTTCTTAACACAGATTCTAAAGAGCTGATGATTTTGGTAAGGTTTTTCCTAAATGCTGAGATTTAAAATCGACAATTCAAAGCCACAATATAAAAAATAGAAATTTAGTAAATGATAGAATCTAAACAAATGCTGAGAAAACCTACAAAAGTTTAGATTTCGATTCAAAAAGTTTAGATCTAAATTCCAGATTTAGATATTTAGATTTTTGTTTAGAAACTGCTGAAGACGCTTTTTTGGAAAATCTAAACACCAGTTTCCTAATTTGGATATTTAGTATTTGGGTTTAGATACTGCTGGAGGTGCTCTTAGTATTTGTCTTAGTATATTCTTTACATAATTTTCTTTTATAAGGGAAGATATATCTTTTAGTATTGTTACTAGCTGTTGGTAACTCAATGTATGTATTTATTGAGTGTCTGTACTTTTAATTTAAATCTACGATTATGTTGGATATAGCATATTTTCTTAATAATTGCAAATTTCAAGATTTGTGTGAATTTTTTTATTTCAAATGCCGATATATAAAAATGACATTAAATGTCCGCCAGTTTTTTAAAAAATTCTAAATATTGAACTTTATGCAGTCACAACTTCATATATTCACAACAAAAGATCTTTTAAATACTGAGTGATATATAATATTACTATTTTAGAGGATCAATTCTCGTTGTCTGCTATTATAAATGGAAAGTCTAGTATCAATATTTCTCTTTCTCTGCTATTAAATTCAAATACTGTATTTTTTCATGACCTAAAAAGTGCTGTCGCAAATGACAAAACTAAACATGTTTAGTTTTGTCATTTCCAACAACACTTTTTAGGTCTTGAAAAAAACGATCAGAGTACAATTTCTTTTGTCGATTATAAAAAAAATACACTATACAACAATTAGTTTAGAAAACTATATAAGACAATTCCATTTGTATCAATTAAAAGTATCTTTTATCCTCTTTTTGATTTTATGTATACTCCTTGATCCCCAGTAGGTTTGACCTTTTGACTTTGTTATAGTAAAAAAAAGACCAAGCCAGATTGGAAACAAAATTCTAGTTTATTGTTAATTTTTGATCTAGTATTTCTTTTCTAGTACTTGTAACTAAGAGCATCTTCAGCAGATTCTATATAAAAAATCAATACATCCTAAAATGAATTTCTGATGCTAGTCTAAATAAGAAGATGTAGCAAAGAAAATATCAGAGCAACTCCAGTAGTTTCTACATACATATTCTATACAATACTTATTGTCTCAACTTTTATCACTTCTTCACTATTTATTTAGATTTTCTTCTCTTATAAAATCACAAAAATTGAACTCGAACAACTTCTTGCATTGTTAGAAGACTTCTAATATAAACTTTTAAATGGTGATTATGAGCTAGAGTCAGAACAAAATATTAATTTACTTGGTAGCTGCTTTTTTGATATTGTGTCTCTATTTAGTCAAAGCAGAAATTTTATATTCTTCAATGTGCTCAGAAATAAAGCAGTAATAATAATTAGTTATCTTTGACTAGAGTGTATTACTCTTCTGCTCAACTTTATGAGCTTCATCAGTGAAAATAAAGATATATAAGTGGCAAAGACAAATATTCTTCTCTATAGTAAAGTTTTTTTCATCCAGAAAGAGAGCCTTCTACATATAAATAAGTGTCATTTTTAAGAGAGACTAACTTAGCAAAAGGTTTTTTATTGGTAACATCTTTAACCACATCAAAAATAATGAGGTCAATTCTATTGGAATCACTATCTTGGTTGTCTTTGATGTTATTAGTCATTTTTAACAGTTTATATAAGGAACTGAAAGAAAATTTAAAGTCTTGGTCTAAGAAAAGAAATTAATGAGATAGATAGATTCTATATAAAATTTGAGAAATTCTATAGATGTATAGAATTTGATTTGAAAAAATAAGATTGCAAGTCTGTTTTTAGTTGTGTAGAATCTTATGTAGAGACTGCTGAAGGCGGTTTTTTCAAAATTCTATATATTTACTTCTTAATTTGGTTGTGTAGAATTCATGTATAAAAACTGCTGGAGATGCTCTAGGTGCTCAAGAAGTGAAATATTAATTGACTAAAAAGTATCAATCAACCAATTTAGAAATAAAACAAAATACAAATATAGATATAGTCCATGTAATAGAATGTTGATATTATAATAAAATACTATACTCAAGACACTTATATTTCTTTGAAAATATAACAAATGAAATATAATTATTTTTCATGTGTTATTAAGAAAAAACATGTAAAATATGACTTTTAACGCAAGTTTCAACAAGCTATATTTCAATAATACTATTTTGAGTAAAAATATATTAGTATATATAATTAAAAAGAGATTGAAAAACAAGACAAAGTAATGAAATAAAAATAGTTCTCACACACTGTGTTGATAGCAAAAAAATTAAATACCATATGACATATGTTGAGTTTGTTGTGTGTGTAACTTGGTCAGAAAATAAGAATAAAAGATATTGAAAAAGAATTATAAATGTAGTCCTAGAGTACAAGTTCAGATGAGAAAGAGAATAATAAAAAGAAAAGTGAATATGGAAGGGATACAGAGTATTTAGAAGGGCAATTGAATGTTCAACTTCACTCAGAACAGTTGAGAATAGAAAAAAAATAAAAGTGTTAAGATAGAAGGTGAAAGGAGGTATAGGAACACTATCAATTTTGCTCGGGATAATCTAAACAGTTAAAACAGCAAGGCACAGGAAAGTAAGATAGAAAAAGAAAAGAAAACTACTGCTGATTTCACTCGAGATAATCAAGACACACTATGGGAAAAAAAAGGTGATTAGACTGGTAGTTTGACTAGTGATTAGGCTGATGGTTTGGCTGGTGGTTTTTTGCAAGTTCTCCATTCAAACCACCATTGAGTTTAAACAAAAATAAATGACTTTTCACACTCTGTTCTTTAATATGTTGTTTGTATAACATAACAATATTTCTTTCTTAGTATTGGCTTTTATATTGGACGTGGTTTCTTTTATTTATTGTATAAAGCTTACACGTCATTGGATACTTTTATTTGGTATCCTCTTATATGATAATTATTGTTTTAAAATGTAGATTAAATAGACATTTTATTGGACACAATTTATTTTTATTATTATTGCTCTAAAGAAAATAGCTGTCTATTAGATTATATTTATAAGAATTATTGTTTGATTTAACAATTATGCTTTTATTGGGTATTATTAAAGAAAAAAAGCTTTTATTGTTCATTTTATTGGATGTTAATATAAGAAAAAGTTTTTATTGTTCATTTTATTAGGTATTATTATAGGAAAAAGTTTTTATTTTTCGTTTTATTAGGTGTTATTCAATAATAAAAAATCAACATTTGAATTTTAGTGGCTATAAACTACACTATATTCTAGGTTATTATAGCAGAGTATCTTATTCGATTTTATTATATTTGATTACTTATGAGATTGCAATCTTCTAAAATGGTCTCTTCAGAGATGAGAGATTCTCAAGGCAGACACCCAGTTTTCATGGCATCTGGTGAGGTTGATACCAGTATCTTTCATCAACGTTGCATGTTTAGTACACATTTGTTTTCTAACCATTACTGGTATAGACCCCCAGCTAGGACAAGAACCAAGATCTTTCACCAAAGGATGGACAGCCAGCTCATCACAAATGATATTTGTAAATACTTGGAGAGTGGCCTTCTCTTCATTGTTTATCTCAATATCAAGATCTTCATTCATCATTCTGAAGACGTGCTTCAAAGTTATATCCCAGATATTTGGAATAGGTGCACGAATAAGACTGTTGCAAGGCTATTGGATTACATGTTAATACATATTCATTTTATTTTATTTTTGACTTACAATGTTAGTGGCAGAAGATATTGTCTCTTGCTCAGAAAATCCTCTGTTGTCCAGTTGACTCTGGAGGTAGTCAATCTTCAAATTTAATTCTTCTCTGATAGAATTCAATTCCAGTTTAATAGTGTTCTGTCCTGCCTTCAAAAAGATTATCTCACTGTGCATAGCTTGTAGTAAAGATATTATCTGGCTTTCTGTGTTATTCATGTTAAGAGTTTAGTTTGTGTAAGCAAAAAGATTGTTGTGAAAGGAGAATAAAGAGTGAAAAAATTTTCTATCATCTATTATTAGTTTCATATTAGTTAGTTTAACTTATTCATCTCAGTCAATATTAATTTTGACTTACCATAGTTATATTGACAGCTAATATGCAATGTTTCAGATTTTGTTTCTGAGTTTATACTCATATTATCTATGTCATCATTATCTTGAAGCAATTATGTCTACACAAAACTCAAAGTTATTAAGTATAAAGACATATCATTTAAAAACAATTACTGATACTAATACCTTTACTTCAAAGTTGTTGTAAATGACTATTGACTACTACTGTAATTGAGAATAAGTCTGAAGGAAATAATATAAGGCCTCAGCTATTCCAGTCAAAGGTGTCTACCAATTACTTTATTATTTAACACACAGGTTTAGTATGTATGATATTAATTATATTTTATATGATAATATTACCATAATATGGGATACATCAGTGAATTATTATAAGTATAATTATAACTCATAACCACATTTACTTTCAATGTTAATACTTCATTGGAACTACACACATTTATATAATTAATCATATATTAAATATCCCAAGATCATGTTGCTCTGATTAAGGCTCACATAAGATCAATTACCTGACCCCAGTCATATAATTTTCCCAATCCAAAATAATATAAATAGCAGTAGTAGTTCAGTGTAGGAACCTCGTCAAATTTTGATACCAAATATTTCTCAATAAACAAACTCTACACAAGTTCTCACGAATCTTTGTTCCTCATCTCAAATGTTTAATTCTTCTTCTTAAAAACTTCTTCAACTTCAACCACCACAACAAAAGTGTTATTTTCAACCTTTAAAAATGTCCTCAATTACAAAGTGTAGTAGTTACAAGTGCAGATCCTGCAATACATTTTACAATAGCACAAGAAAAGTCAATTTATGCAGAATTCAGTGTATGAAAACCTGTTCTTCAAACATGGTTAATTTTGAGATTTCCCAACCCATTTCTGTCCCTGAGCAAACCAACGTTGTATCAAGCATTGTATCTGGATACACCTCTGAGTAAGTCTATGAAAGACATATGCACTGTTAGAACAAGTAATTAATTATACTATTACCTTCATGAACAAGCAGAGAAAACACAGCCACAATTGATAACCAAACTGTGGATGCCTTCAATAATGGTGACAATGATAATGATCAGCCCATGGTAAGATATATACATATATCTATGTATTCATGTCTATAACACTAATTACTATTTACCTTAATAAAGTATGATGCCAATCTTGATTATGCCATGGATGACGTCCACGTCGAAACCTCTCCTCTGATATTTGATTTCAGTCAACCTACTCCCATTCTTAACAATGACAACACAAAAAATCTTGAGTTCATTAAGATAATCAAGGATTTTGGAATTTCGCATGAAGTACATGAAATGATTGCTTGTCATTTCAACAAGATTCTAGAGACATTTAATGACATAACATACAGAGCATGCTCTTCATATCTTGGAGATAAACGTTTTGAGAGATTTTCTTCTGTAAAAGGAGATAAGTATGACATCTGCCATAATGATTGTAAACTTTACAATGACAGTCATGAGACAGTGTGTCTTAATTGTGGTGAGGCACATTATAAAAACAATGCCAAAGACAAAGACGGATTGTCAATCCCTGTCAAAACAATGATTCAGATCCCTTTGGCTAGACAGCTTGCTCTCTGTTTGGCCAATGACACTACAAGAAATGAGATGATGTATCGTCATAACCATCAGTCCAGTCAAAATGGAAGCAAATCTGATATCTTTGATGGCCAAGCTTATGAATTGATCAAGCATCTTTTTTCTGATGAGAATGATATCACCATTTCGTTGTCAGTTGATTGCTTTGCTCCACACAAGGTTTCTGGTTTGGTGACTATTTTACATGCCACCATGCTCAACCTTCCTCCAATGATCCGTTACAAGTGCAAGCAAATGATTCAGATCACAATGATCCCTGCCACAACTGTACCTGCCAACTTCTGATCATTTCTTGAGCTGACCATCAAATCGCTCAAGATACTGCAAGCAGATGGAATGGTGATAAAAACACCAACAAAAACAATGAGAGCAAAAGTCCATGTTCTCATGGCAACTGGTGATATTCCAGCATTGGCAAAGCTGGCATGCCATGCTGATAATACAAGCAAAAATGACTGTCATATCTGCAATGTTGTTGGACAAACTCCATGTCATGGCCAATATTTCAGAACCTTGTCAGGAACCACCATCCGCACCGTAGAGAGCTTCAGAAGCTTCAACCCTGATAGTGTGTTGTGCAAGGGCCTCAAAGAACAATCTCCATTTGCTTCATTGATGTCATTCACAGGCCCATTTTTCTTTGCCCTTGATGAGATGCATGGTATTTGTCATGGAATTGGCAAGCAGGTCTGGGGGCTTGTTTGCAGGAAGTATGGATCTAAGCACCCCCTTTTCCTCTCTGCTGGAGCACAGAAGAAGATAGACGTGGCAATAGAAGGAACAAGAGAATCAATCCCAACATCTTTCCATGGTGCTTGGAGGGAAGTGGCAAGACATGCAGAATATTTCCGAGCTGTGAACTGGGCCAATTTCCTTCTGTTTGTGGTTCCCACTCTGGTAGCAGAGCGTATCCACAATCAAGATGCACAGAAGGCATTGCTTGGCCTTGTGCAAGCATGCACTCTACTCATGAGCTGGGAGTTATCAGCAGAGGAACAAACCTCTATAAAAAAGTATGTTTAGTGTTATTCAGAGTTTTGTTTTTGGAACTTATTCTGATCTTTCTCTTAGAAACCTTATTAAGTGGAATTCGTATCTGGAAGGCCATTTCCAAAATGGTAAAGTTGGAATAGAGATATTCACTATCAACCAACACCTATTGCAGCATTACCCAGCAATGATCAATGCATTTGGCCCTCCCAGAGCGTACAGTGCCAGGTCGCTAGAGAGGGCCATTGGAGAATATTCTCGGTCAATAAAGAGCAATTCTGCTATTGGTGCAAACGCTGGGAACATTATGCTGAGACTTGCCTGTACAAGATGTGTGGATGTAAACGGAGCCTTGGTAGTTAAGGCGAGGGCAACAGCAAGAATATTGCAATACAATGATGAGTCTGCTGGTTGGCCAATGACTGAGGAAGGTGAGCGTGTTGACATTGACTCAGATATTGAGTTCTGGGGGCCTTTGGAATATAAAACAATTCATGACAGCATTGAAGAAATTTCTTGTCTCCCAGTTCTTCTTGCAAAGTTCCATGAATCAAAGGGAGTGGAATGCAGTACAATTTATCCAGCCTTGACAACAAGCCACAAGGCTTTTGTCAATGGCTGTGTGATAGACTCTGCATTTGCCCACAAAGTACAAAGAGAGGCCCATCACATTTGCCTTCAGTTGCAGGTAAACAAGGCAACAAACGCAAGACCAGGATTGTCTCCTGCTCTAAAATACTTCTTTAGCAAAGTTGTTCTTTTCTTTGAGCATGTCAATGAGGGGAAAAGATGGCCACTTGCTTTGGTATTGATGTATAGCACAATGATGTATAATGGTGTGCTGGTGATGCGAAATGGACAAATGAAGCTAAAGGTAGTTCACCTGGCAGATGTCAAGAAATTGGTTGGGCTGGTGGTGTCAGACACGACAGTAAATACAACAACAGCAACGACAACAGCATACATAGTGTGGCCAGAACTCAACCATGGCCCTAAGCTGTCACTTGGTTCTTTTGCTGATATTTAATTTGTTTTTTTTTTTCAAATTGTCTTAACATATTTTATCCTACCAGCAAAAAGTTTAGATATTTTCTTCTCTTTCACCTCTGACTTTTAATAATCATCAACTGCAATCTACACTCACTAAAAATGTAAAGTCTGTAATTAAAATGAACACTTGTCTATCAGGAGATTTAATTTTTGGTGGTAAATTTACTTTTTGTCAATCTTTTCAAAAGACAGAGATTTTCTTGTTTCATTTTGAATTTTTTGTAATTTTTTTAATTATTATAGGCCAAAAACAAAGTCACAAATGCAAAAAAACCACCATTTTTTCCCGTAGTGACAGATAGACAGCAAGGTAAAAGAAGATAAGATTAGAGGAGAATTTAAGAGAACACTGTTGATTTCACTCAAGACAAGCACACAGATACAAAGAGACAGAAAGAGAAAAAAGGGGAAAAGGATTTTGAACACAGATATAAGATTTTAATGCAATGTATGATTGTTTTCCTACAGGTCAGGCAGAAAGCAATTCAGGGACAGTGATTTTAAGAGAGAGATAACTGATTATGTTTATTGTTGTAAAAATAGATTTCTTATATATCTTTTGTAAAATGAAAAATATGAGAATAAAGTGTTTTGAGATTGTAGATGTGACTTATAGCGTGAGAGAGGATGTTATGTAAAGGCAGATATATATCAATGTCAAGGGGAAGAGTGAGATAATGTTTGTGTTTTTGGTAAAATGTAAAGATAAGATGTTAGAATACAATAAGAATGATAATAAAAGAGTAATAAAGATGAGATACAAGATAAGAAATTAATAGCAGTAATATTGAAAGGTAAGTAGTGTGAGAAAAAGGAAACTGGAAACTGGAAACTGGAAACTGGAAAAGGAAATGGGAAGATGTATGTAAAAAGGGTAAAGATTCCAAAAGGAGAATATACGCAGGAGATGAAATAGAAGTGATAATAAAGGTAAAGATATATGTAAAAATGTGATTATAAAAGAATGTAATAATATGTAGAAGCGATGAATAAGAAAAATAGGAAGGGAAACAATTGGAGAAGAAGGAAATAAATCAGGGTGGGCGAAGCTGGAGAACACACAACACCTGTGTCACATATATGATATTTGAAAATAATTTGTCTCTGGTCAAGAGCAGGGACATTTTTTGTGGACTTTAAAAATTATATATCATATTTACACCATACAAATCTGGATAACAATTTCTCTATCAAAGTGCAAATTTCCCCCGCAAAATTATTTGTCACATTTGCTAACTGCATAGTGTTATCTAGTTATCTAGTTATCTAGTGTAAGGCTGATAATTTTACCACTTGTTACTAGTTTTTCTAAATTAGTCAATTTTGTGCTACCATATGGTTTTCTACAGCCCTTGAGCTTTACAAAGCGGCCCACTTTAGTGACGCAATCAGTTACCAATACCAGAACTCATTTAGAGTATTATAATCCTTTACTCTTTATTTTTTTATTGAATTTAACAAGCAAATTAAATATGTACAACCCAAGCAAGCATACTATCAAAAGAAGACAGAGAACAGCTGTACCTCAGTTCTTACTGGATTACTTTTCTGAAGACGTTCTAATAAGTGGTTTGAATTATATTCTCACTGAAAACCCATCTGTTCCTGAGGCGGAATTTAGTAGTCCTCGCCTAAAGTATACATATACGCGCAATAAGAGAGCAAGAACCATGGCTGTAGCCCCTGTAGAAATGCCTTCCAAGAACATTGCTGCTTCTCAGACTGACTTGGACGTCGAAATTGATTTCGATACATATGAAGCCAGTCAGACCCAGAAAAGAAGCCTCTACAACAAGTGGGTAGATTTGCTTCCCCAGTTAGCCGATTCCTTCCTGCGTTACCTTGGAAGATGCAAGGATGGCTATCTGGATAAGAAGGTTATTGCTCCTTTGTCTCATTTCCTTTGTTCTTGCACAAAGTTCTCTAAGAAAAACATCTACATGTTTTTTTTGCATTGTAAGCAATCGTTATTAATTTTTCAAGAAAAACTGCCCTTAGATTAATATATTAACATCCTATATGTGTACACAGCCTCAGAAACATTTGAGGTTGTTTTTTGCGGATGCAAGTCCATTCCCGAGCAGTTGGTTGAGATGGGTATGCTCCCTGCTTCCCTCAACAATGTCCAATATGCAATTCATTTTGGACTTCTTGAGTTTATGAGAAACATGCGAGATGTTCTTGCCACCTCTGGCCAGGGCTTGGCCGATCTGTACAATAAGATCAATCTGGGTGCTGAGGTAAGAAAAAAAATTATACATCAGTATATGTTACTAATCGATTTTAAATATTGTGTTAAAATAAAATAAATAAAGACAGATCTCAAAGGCATATTGCCAAAATCTTCTGCATGTCTTCATCAGGCTTACAATGATTGTTGAGGCCAAGGTAGAGAAGCTTTTGCCTGGATTCCGGGAATCCAACTGTTGCCCTGCTTGTCCAGATGTAGGTGAATAATATGTCATATTTTACTTGCAACAAAGTATTGAAGTTGTATTTTTATATCAGGTTGACAGCAATGTGGCCATTGACGACTGTCGATATGTTGCTATGGATGGCAATTTTAGTCTGAAGTGTGAGAGGAGGAAAGATGGTGAGGGTGATGTTGGCGAAGAGTTGGAGCAAGTAAAGGCTCAACTCAAGCAGGTGTGGATTGGTGACGACGTGGTGAAGACGTATGAGAAGGAGAGGGCTGAAGAAAGCGTAAGTAATAAAAAGTGACAAGATATTAAATACATACTACGCCTTTTCTATACTTATAGATAGGTCGGTTCGACAGCAACTTCCATGCTGGCTCTGGCAGTTTGGCAAAGTCCATAAAGTACCCTATTAAGGGTCTTTTTGCGGCAAGCTGTGCACGCCATGAGTCAGTCATTAAGTTGGTAGACATGGAAACTGGTGAAGGGTTTAAGTACCCTCTCTCCATAATTAATCAACTACTTGGTGATTCAGGTAGTGATGGCCAGTCTGCTGATAACTCTCCCAACATCAATGTGATGTATGATGTTGTCTGTAAGCTGGCAAAGTCACTGAAGGTAAATACAGAGTTATTTTTAACATACATGTTAAATATATAAGCATATAGTAACAATACTTAACATAGGCTAACTTTCCCAGACTGATGGAGAAATCAAAACTAGCAGTTCTGATTTTCCATGCGTATGCTCATGTTCAACACTGCCAGGTTAAGCTCAACCCTAAATATAGAGATGGGTTTGGCTTGACAGATGGTGAATGTTTGGAACGCCTCTGGTCATATCTTAACCGCTTTGTGACGATGACCAGAAAGATGGGACAAGCAAACCGGAAGTTGGTCTTGTACAGAGCCATCAAGTTCCACAATGAGACGAAGAAGGTTGAGTTGGGCTTGATGTTGGAGAGTAAGTATGTCAAAGCAAAGCACATCATAGAAGAATCCAGGAAGGCGTTGGAGGGATTCAACTGTGTTGTGATTGAGCGAGAATGGAAGCAGCATATTAACAAGGTAGAGAAGTTGGAGAACTACGTTGACATTGCTGATTTGATGGAGTCTGGCTGTAAGGTTCAAGGCAATATTGCTTTGTTCCTTGTAAATTTTACAATTTTGTGCCGACTAAGAGAGTAAGTGTATTTAGAGCTTTTTTCTTATGTTTTTTGTCATTAAAAAATCAATTTTATTGTAGGCTCACTAATGATGCCAACGGAAATCATGTGAAAGATGAGATCAATAGGCTGAAGCACGAAAGGGAGAAGTTGAAGGCGAAGATCCAGGAGGAAGTTGAGGGCTTCCAAGAACCTGATGAAAAAAATACAAACCTCATAAAATATATAGAAGAAAATGCCCAGCTAGGGTACAACGAGTTCCTAGCTTACAAAAAAAATATTCAAAGATGCGATTAGAGCCAATGTTCGAGCGTATCATGATACCTTGACATTGCTCTACAAATCTGGCCATATCGGTAAGAAGGGGAAAAGGTGATTGTGTTTATTTAATAAATTAATGCTTTTAAATATATATATAGGCACAAAAAAATCAAAACAACACCAAACCAGCCTGAATAAACAGGCCAAACAAATTACCTACCTCCTACAAGAATTTAACCTTGAATTCAATGGTAACAGTGATTTTTAGACTTTTTACAATGGACATATTAAACTGTTATTCTTACTTTTATACTGGTTTTTTTTTAAAAGAGTCTTTGACCTTTGATTCAATAATCAATAAAAAAAATATTTTCTGGGATGTGGAAATCCATCCCGAAGTCTATCTCTTTTTGGCAAAGAAAAGAGCAGAAGAAGAAGTTGCACTTCTGAAGGTAATAATCAATATAAAGATGCTAAAGGTTTTAAAAATAAATCAACTAATATATAAAATTTCAAGCGTGATGCCTTCTGGCTCCAACACCGTGCCACAAAAGAAAGGACTTTAAGAGAGCAAGGGCTAAAAGCCCTTGACAATGCTGTAGGTACTCTGGACAAAGAAGTTCTTTGTGGGATGCAGTTCCTTTTGGCTAGAAAGCTTCAACTTTCTATGTCTTGGGAGCGAGCAGTCTTTGCTCAGACCAGTTTCCTTCTGGAATCCTCGTCCTCTCCCTCCTCCATTCCTTTTGCCTCCTTCTCCTCCGTTCCTTTTGCTTCCTCCTCCTCCGTTCCTTTTGCTCTCTCCTCCTCCGTTCCTTTTGCTTTCTCCTCCTCCGTTCCTTTTGCTTCCTCCTCCTCCGTCTCTTCTTCTTCACTCATTGTTGAAGACATAAACTCCCCCGATGATGGAGAAGCCAGTATCGCTTTTGTTGTGGAAGGTAATGACAACGATGACAATGACGATGACAATGATGACAATGATGATGCCGATGAAGACGAATAACACAATAACGTATTTGAGTCTGAGGCAATATATGGTAAGTTACTCTATTATTGTAAAAAGTCTATTCAGTTTATTTGTTAGCATTTAAAGTTGATAACTAAGGTAAGTTTCTTTTCCCTAGAATAACACAAACTCCCACCTGTTTTTTTTTCTTTTCTTCTTTTCTTCTTTTTTTTTAATTTTTTTTTTAATAATAATAATAATAATTTTTTTCAAATCTGTAAAATGCTTTAATAGCTTTTACAATTAAAAATATCATAAAATTATAGAGAAGCTGACAGCTTGATTTTTATTGTTTGAAGTACACTTCTTGTTTTCTACATTTAATCAAGAAGTAAAAAAAATTGTCTATTTTAAATACATGTTTTATGTTTCAAGATTTTATTTTACTTATTTCTGTAATATATATATATTGCTTATATCATTAGAGTCTATTAGTAATTAATTCCATAATACATATAACTACATACTTATTTTGAGATAATAAAATATCAAGTTTTTATATATTTTCATTAGTATTTTGCATGCTTTATATTTTATTTTATTCTTTTCAAAAGCAAGTAAATAGCATTTCTCATTCAAGAAGTTACAATGTTAAAAATTATCTTGTTTTATTTGTATCTAACTGTTTAACTCTGTTTACATAAATAACATATGTTTCTTTTGCTATTTTATTTTATTTTACTTTAAAAACATATAATAGTATTTCACATAACATTAAGATATTTATAAAAAATAAATAGTATAAAGCAATTCATTAAATATTCAAAAAATTTCTTTTTTTTTGTAAAAAAAAATACAAAAAAATGCTTCAGGCAAAAGTCGAACCCCGGTTGTTCCTATCATAGTCAAAAGCGACAACAAATAATCTATAGCAAAAGTTTTGAATAGAGTAGTTAAAATATAGCTTTATAGTATTTTTTACCAAGCCACTTTTTCCACTCATTTTCACTATGAAACCACTCATTTTCACTGTAAGATGTTGGCATGGTCACATCCAAAGTCACATTTTCTCAATGTTAAGCCACAGCCTTCGTCCTTTTTGTATATTCTTTTCTCTTAGTTACGTTTTTCTTTTTTTTTTGCCTGGTATGTTATTTTTTTATGTTTATTGTATGTTCTGATTGACATAATCAAAACCCTCTTCTTTCATTTTATTCTATTTACTTTTTCCCAGTACGTTTTTTTGTTATAACTTCAATTGTCCCAAGTGAAATTGATAGCCTTCTCTTTATTTTACTCACTCGATATTTGTATCCAAAGTTTTTCCAATCTTTTTCATTTCTGTCACTTCTGAACTCTGTTCTTGGAGTTACATTTTGTAATTATTCTATTCAAATCGATTTGTACTTTTAGCAATTTAATTTTTAATTGATCCTACATTAGATCTTTACATAAAGGATGGTAGTTTTCTTAATTTGCAAAAAGTAACATAATAGTCTTACTGCATTTTGGAATCACTGTTTGTCAAATAAAATAATAAATTTTTTAATTATTCATATTCTTCTATTAATAAAATGTACTCTATTTTCTTTAAAAAAATAATGGGCTAAACATAATTATTATTATTGTCATAAAACAATATCATATATAACTAGTGTTTGTTAATACCAGCTTGTTTTTTTTGAAGTGAGTATATTTAAAAGTATAAGATAAGGACTTTGTTCGCAGCTATCAGCTTTTGTAATATCTGGAAAGAATATATTAATAAAGATCGGGGAGGGTGCTAGTTGCTTTCATTAAACAAGACCAAAAGTTACAACATGAAGACTAAAGACAAAAGTAGACAGGAAGAGTTAGTTAAATCAAAGATAAATATATAAATATTGATTATTATTTAAATTGTTATATAAAGCTAGCAATGATATTGACTTTGCAAGTAATAGACTACATTAATAAAATGTTATGATTGAATAAATATAAAATCAATAAGACAAGCCAGTTAATTAATAAGTGATGTACATAAAGACCAACTTATGAAATGATAATATTTCACCCTTTCTTTTTATATAAAGACGCGTTTTTTTACTTATCTAGTAATAATACTTGATGCTAAAAGAATTCCAATAAAACTCAAGACATGCTGTATTAGTTTTATAAAACACGTACTTGCTAATATCTGTCCTTGATGAAGTGCAATTGATAAATAAATATTCAATATAATTTTTACAAAGTTGATTCATTCACAATATTGATAAGCATAACTGGAATTTATTTAAGAAAGAAGATTTTTTATTTACAAAATTAAAATGTCAAAAAACAATAACTTTATTACCCAATACATCAGTATAAACATGTATTCTACTTCCTTAGATTTTGTTTTGTTTTTGCTTGAAAAAAAATAAAGTCTAAAGTATACCCTTACAAAAATAAATAAATTATATGACATTGTTTTTATAATTCTAAGCAGTAGCATTAGATGAGCCAAAAAAAACTTAACACTATTGGGAAAGAAAGCTAATTGAGCAAAGCATTAAAAACATTTTTTTTTAGGATAGCCTTAAGATTATTTTAAAAATATATACTATCTTTTGTAAAGCAAAGCAGAAGGTCATATAAGCATTGTTTATCAAAATCATTACTTCCAAAGTCTTAAATTTTAATATATATCTATTCTTGCTCCAAGTTTATTTGTTGATCTTAATATTCAAATAAAATCGTCAGGTAGTTGTTTTCCATTGCTGATTTATCTTGACTAGCGCTCTCATCTGTCTTTAACTGTTTGTGCATGATTACAAGAAGTTTATGACAAGATTTATGAGGCCATTCAATCAAGTGTTTGATACATGTTACAAGATGATGATGATGGCAAAGGGTAACACTTTATTTATTACTTAAAATACTTATAACGTGTATATTATTAAAGTAGATTAGGAAAGAAAAAATTTTGAAGTCATTTTTTTGTTTTGAAAATTAAAATACATAAAAAAACAAGTCACAACAAATAGTAAAAGCAAGAATCTATTGTACAACACTGGAAAGCCTTCGGATAAGATGTACGCATAAGTTTAGCATACAAATTATTAATTATAGAAGTTAGAGACAAAAACATGTTTTTATTAAGCTTGTCAAGCCTTACTCTAAAGAGCGAGAGAAAGAAATGAGCCCTTTGTCTAGGGCATCAACTAACATTTCTTTCTCAATATCTTTCATAAGACTGAGTGGCACAAAAGGCACCTTTTCTGGCCATCCAACGGCTCTGATGGTGCCTTTTTTGTTTTTGATTGCTTTCCAAGGGAAAGATTTTCTTGTTTCCCCGGTTTCTTCTAAGAAATTGATAATATAAAGTAAATGTTAATTTTGATATTTTATAGACTTACCATTGAACAAGCTTATCAAACGTTTGTTCATCTTATTCCTGAAGTCGTTGGCAGCAATGGTGGCAGGTTGTATTTCTCGCACTATGACAGAAAAATAGATTAAGATAAAATAAATAATACATCTATTATATAATACTTACTTGGGCGTCTTTCGACGTTTCCCATTGCTTCCAAGAAACTCTTCAGAGCGCCATCTTCTTCAATACACTTAAAAAATATAGAAGACGTATCTCCTGACAAGAGGCGGCCGATCTTTCGACTGGAGCTGGCGCCTGACTCCCAGAACAGAAACAGACTATTGTAGTTCATCGATAGCTTCATTGTGTCCATGATGGTCAATATGGATTTTGCACCACGTTTGACATCAGAGACAGAAGATTCCTGGTGAAGAGTAGCGGAATCTTCTTTTGCCATCTTGTAATATCTGCCTTTTTCTAAAGGACCCATCGAGTTGTACGAATCAATGATTTCCTCGAGTCTGTAGTTTTCCCCTAAAAATATATTTCGAATTGTTACAAAACTATTGTTTTACTTGTAATCAATGCAGTTAATTGTATTACTGTCAAGTTTTCTCTTGTTCTTCATCTCCTTAATGTAAAGATTAAAAGGATTTTTTTTAATCTTTTTGGGCCCCAAAACAGTATTGCTGAAATTATAGGCAGCTTCAGCCATGTTTTCAACAACCTTTTGTTGCAAATTAAATTCTATAGCGAAGCTAATTTCAAATTCTTTTCTACACTGCAATTCTAATTGCAGTTTTTCTACTGCATTGGTTGGCAAGTTTGCAGCATCATTCAAGAAGCTATTAATGTTCATTTTTAGGTATTTAATATATAATAATAAGAATATGAAATAAAATAAACAATTATTTCAGTTGTTTTGGAATAATGACCAGATGACGTGTCAATTCATCTGATGGGAACCTGATTTTGCTACCAATCATATATTGTAATTTATTAGTAACTAATGGTAAAATTATTAGCCTTACACTAGATAACTAGATAACTAGATAACACTATGCAGTTAGCAAATGTGACAAATAATTTTGCGGGGGAAATTTGCATTTTGATAAATGAAAATTGTTATCCAGATTTGTGAGGTGCATATTTAGGCTTGAGACCCTTCCAAATTGGTCAATTGATACTTTTTAGTCAGTTGATACTTTACTCCGTAAGCACCTTTTAAGTTGATAAATAATTGAAACACAGATATAATAGTATTACTACTTTTGGTATACAGTATTTAAAGCCAGATAGCAAGCTCTCTATTATATAACTAGAAAAAAAATACAGAAAATCATAGGAAAAGTATAGGTGTGAAAGCAGTATCTATACCCACTTTTTTAGACTAAATAGTGCTCTAAATAGAATATAATAACTACATGTATAAAGAGCACAGAGTATATACTCACCACTTCTATTCAAATGTAATTGACAGACTAAACAGGATTATTTTTACTCAGCAAAACAACACTATGACAAATAGGGGCGGTTTTTTGTATTTGTGACTTTGTTTTTGGCCTATAATAATTAAAAAATCACCAAAAATCCAATTTGAAACTAGAAAATCTCTGTTTTTTGAAAAGGTTGACAAAAAGCAGATTGACCACCTAAAATTAAATCTCCTGATAGACAAAAGTACATTTTAACTACAGATTTTACATTTTTAGTAAATGTAGATTGCAATTGATGACTATTAAAAGTCAGAGGTAAAAGAGAGAAAAATATCTAAACTTTTTGCTGGGAGGATAAAATATGTTAAGATAATTTGAAAAAAAATAATGTATTACAAGAAAAAAAAATTATAAGTCTGCAAGAGAACCAAGTGACAGTTTTGGGCCGCGGTTAAGCTCTGGCCACACTACATATGTTGTTGCTGTTGTTGTTATTGTGTTTATAGTCGCGTCCGACTTCACCAAACCAACTAATTCTTTGACATCTGCCAGGTGAACTACCATTGGCTTCATTTGTCCATTGTTGATTGCTGGTATACTATTTACCAAACGAACTGCATAAACATTGACAAGGACAAGCGGCCACCTCTTGTTGTTGAGCTTGTGCTCAAAGAAAACGACGACCTTCCCAAAGAAATCCTTGTAGACTGGAGAGTAGCTTTGCCCAATGCTGCGGTTCTCATCAACCTGAACCTGAAGTCTGACGTTATGTGCCTCTCTTACACAATTATGGTCGAGTGCAGAGTCAATAACACAACCATTTACAAATGCCTTACGGCTTGTTTTAATGGCTGCTTCAATCATACTACACTCTTCCCCCTTTGATTCGTAGAACTTTTGAAGAAGCTCTGGAAGACAAGAAATGCCTCCAAAACTATCAACAATCGTTCTGTTCCTCAAAGGCCCCCAGAACTCAATGTCAGAATCAGTACCAACATTACTACCTTCTCAGTCAATTGACCAACCAGCAGAGGAATCGTCATACTGAAGGAGAGTTGTTGCTGTTACTGTTGCTGTTGTCATTATTGAATTTTCAACTCTCATCTGTTGAATCTGTGTCAAGCCAAGCATGATGTTGCCAGCATTGATTCCAATTGCCGAATTACTCTTTATTGCTCGTGAGTATTTCCCAATCGCCCTCTCGACAGATCGTGCACTATACGCTCTGGGGGGACCATACGCTTCTATCATTGCGGGATAGTGCTGCAGGAGGTGCTGGTTGATCGTAAAGACCTTGAGCTGGACCTCTCCTTTAGCTAGTGAGGTTTCCAGATACGCATTTCATGCGACGAGATTTCTAAAAAAAAAGATAAGTTAACACAAGTTATAAAATAATAATATTAATTATAATTAAAGCTTATGTTTTGATCAAGGTTTTCTCCTCTGCTGATAACTCCCAGCTCATGAGTAGGTTGCATGTCTGCACCAGGTCAAGCAATGCCTTACGGGCAGCTTGGTCACAGACACGCTCTGCCACAAGCGTGGGGATAACAAACAAGATGAAGTCAGCCCAGTCCACAGCCCGGAAGTACCCTGATCTTGTTGCGATGTTGATCCATGCACCGTGGAAAGATGTTGGAATACTTCTTCTGGTTGACACCATGGCAGTATCAATTTCTTTCTGAGCAGCAAGGGAGAGAGAGAGAGGATGATCTTTTCCATACTTGCCACACACGAGCCCCCAGACCTGTTTGCCAATGCCGTGACAAATGCCGTGCATTTCATCCAATGCAAAGAAGAATGGACCAGAGAAGGAATCCAGTAAGGAGAAGGGAGATTGGCCAGTTAACCCTTTTTTGCTGGATGAGGCCACCTCATCAAAGTGCTTGAAACTTTCCGGTGTGCGCATGGTGATGGCAGATGGCATTCGGAAATATTGGCCATGGCCAGGAGATTGACCCACAACGTGGCAGATGCGGCAGCCATCCTTACTCATATGGCCCACATGACAAGCCATCTTTCCCAGAGCTGGGATGTCGCCAGTTGTCATTAGTACATGGACTTTCGCACTAATATCTCCAGATGGTGTCTTCACAACCATTCCACCGGTTTGGAGAACCCGAAGTTCTTTCAGAACAGGCTCCAGGAATGACCAGAAGTCGGCGGGTGCTTTGGGACCAGAGATGATCGCAACTTGGATCATACGGCTGCGCTCGTAGCGGATCATTGGGGGAAGGTTGAGGTTGGTAACGTGGACAATGGTTACCGAACCCAGAACACTATGGGGAGCAAACCCATCAACAGACAGCGAAATGGCGATGTCGTTTTCACCCAAGAAAAGAGACTTCTTTGACTGGTATGCCTGTCCATCAAAGACATTGGAAATGCTGCCATCAGCCTTTTGCGTATGATGGTGGCAATACAACATTTCTTTTCTGGTGCGGTCGTTGGCCAAAGCAACTGCAAGCTGTCTACCCAGAGGAAGCTGTATCATTGTGCTGGCAGGAATTGGATTCTAACCAGCGATGTGATCGAACAATGATTTGCAATAAACATGCAAACATGCTTAAGAGGGTTGGTATAGATTTCACCAGATGCCATCAAAATTGGGCATCCATTGCAAGAGTCAGTCATCTCTGGAAAGACCGTCAAAGGAGGCAATTGTAAGTAACTATCCACTGCAGTGTAAAGTAGTATATTTAATATTGGAAGTATATGATGTATTTGACTGTTTATGACCAATAAAAATGATGTATAAAATGTAATGTCTATCATAACAGCCAATAAAAGTGATATATAAAATGTAATTGTGTAGTGTAATAACCAATAAAAACGATAAATAAAAAATATATCCATTTGAGAAACCAATAAAAATGTATTTTTATAAAATACACTACAGTGCAATTATGTCTTATCCAATAAAAACAATGATTAAGCAAGAAATATTTAAAAGAATCTAAATTAAAAGAATAATGAATTAGTAGTAACCAATGGCATATAATATTTCAACTATACTTAAAGAAGTTTTGTCCAATTGAAAGACAAATATTAGCAAAAGAAAAGGTTATCAATATATTAATAGAATCTTAAAACTACCAGTAAGCGGAGATGTATTAAAATGCACATGAACTCAGGGTTGGAAAAAAGGGGGGAGGACACAAAACGCGCCCTGGCTTCCCCTCCGGAACCACCTGTGAAACCACCTCTAAAACTCCTATTTTTTTTAGCGTAGTGCAATACTTACTTTATGATCTTAAACCTCTATCTATCTGATATAAATATACTAAATATCTCACAGGTAACATTCATAAAACCACAGAGAAATCTCTGCTTTACTCAATATCCATCTTCTTTCTACTCGATGAAATCATATAATTTTTGTAGAGTAATAGAACTTGATTATAGAAAGATCAAGCAAACAACTTCTTTAATAAAGGAATCTATCTATATTTCTCTATCCGTTTTCTCTGTTCTTGTTCTTGTTCAGATCGGTTCCTGACAGTACATTTGGAAATGATCATTTTGATGTTACCAATTAACATGCTGTACTATAAATATGACACTTACATAAACTTCAAAATTTAATCCATTACCAGAATAATTAAATATTTATACAAGTATCTTGCAAAAGGCTCAGTGTGCAAAGTTGAAAATATTCAAAATAAATATTGCTTCTACCAACAAAAACAGAAAAACCACCCAGAAATAATATACCTTAGTTGATGAAAGTACTAAGTATTAGAGTACACAATGTATTGGTCTATATGATGCAGTGTGGTGTACTATTTGTACCAGTATGTATGTATCATTCAATATTCTAAAAAATTCAGCATACAACTTCCTAATGAGCAATATGTTAAATTTCAAAATATTATGACTGTAGCAGAAATACGGTTCGTGCAGAATTCTGTATCCTAAGAAACAAATATTTTAGAATTTATCATCTTTGTGTCATTGACGTTAATATACAAAAAGACACATATGATAAGATTACAAAGTAGTATATATATATAATTCTTGAAAGAAAGAGTAAAAGACAAGGCGCAACATTAATTTTAATGAAGTTTTTGCCAGAATATATGCTACCAGTACATCAAACATGTATTCATTTTGCATTAGAATGCTTTTTTTAAAAGCACCATGCCCAGTCAGTCTCAAAAGTATCAATACAGTAGATGGAGCTTTGTGTGAAACTTCCTAATAGGCTGTGCTTGCTCTTGGATTATTAGCTGATGGCAACGAGTGGGATCATGATCTACATGAAGCTGAATAACTCGCTCTTTCTGCCGCATCATATACGTGTTGTTCACTTATATCTTAGCCAAATGTTCTCCAAAAAGCCCTTCTGTGCTACTGAAGAAACACAAATATATAATTACTGATGACAATTACTTCACTGTAAATCATAATATTAAAAGTGTTGAAATAGACTTGACTGAGGAACCAAAAACAGCAAGTCTTCAAGTAATTGGCCATAATCTTTCTGAATATCCATAAATATCACAAAACTACGTAATGGAAGTAGAAGAATTCTCAGCGATGCAATATCTTGAAATTGTTGAGAAAAAAAGGCATAGTGCAGAAAAAAAGCAAAGAATTCTTGAAGAAAACAAAAAAAATGCTGAATGCAGAACAAAAAGCCGCTTATAGTGCGATCGTTACATTCATAAACATGCAAGAAATTGAACAAGCAAGCACTATTCTTCGTTGGTAGTCCTAGTCGCAACAGAAAAATCCTTGCTTTTTAAGGAACTCATAAGTCATATTAGATTGCAAGAACAAATTGCCATAATCCTCTTGCTAAGTGGAAGAACTGCCCACAAAAGATTCAAAATACCTTTAAATACAAACTACAAATCTTTCTGCATTATATATCTTGGATTCCTTCACACCAATATTATTCCGAAAGCAAGGCTATTTCTCTGGGTCGAAGTTATAATGTGAAGTAGACATAGCTTTGAATCATTAATTGCTGTCTTTGCGACATAATGGACACAGCTGATCATGCTTATGAGCAAATCCCATTTGGTGGAAAGGTTATTGCTTTTGGTGGTAATTTTGACAAGTTTTGTCGTTATAAAAAGAAGAACATCGTCTAAAATTTTAGATTAGTGCCTCAAAAGTGCTTCATTTAACTTAAAGCACACGACTTTTATAGAGTGGGCAGCTCACATGTAAATTTTCTGAAAAAAGTTTTGTCATTGGTAATAGAGAATTTCAGAATGAACACATCATGTATATTACTGTTTAGTGGCATATATAATTTGGATTTTTTGGGCAACTAATCAATAAGATGTATTCGTACATATCTTCTGTTGAGTAATGTTCTTGCTACTATAACGGAAATTCAGTTATCAGAATAACAGATATGCTTAGCCAAATTAATGAAGTTGCTCTTAAGATGTTTCCTAGAGACGACCGTGTATATACCTACTTGGACACAGCCATATACTCTAATGACCCGGATGTGGACAATTCCAGATACCCATTCGAGTTTGACAACTTCCTCATTTGCAGTAAAAATTTACTAGATATACTAAAGTTGAAAGTTGATATGTCTCTTATGATCACGCGCGAGATCGATCCCAAAGCTGGCGTGTGTAATGGCACCAAAGGGGTTTGTTTTCCGTCTCACATGGTACATATCAGTATAAAACGATTGGATCAATGACCCAACGGAACAAAACACTCCCTTCTAATATTAAATATGCCAGAAATTACAGGAGAATTGCGCTTTATATTTTCACGCTGCAAATTTCTTGTCCGTGCTGCATTTGCAATGCTAATAAACAAAGCGCGAAGTAGAATGTTACCTAATGTTGGTTTTTATCTTAGCCACCCAGTTTTTTCATATGGGTAGCCATATATTTTACAAAAAGGGATATTGGCAGCACAGAAAATGTAGTATATAAAGATGTTGCTCTTTAACTTTTCAAACATCTGCGCTATAAATTTCTTTCAGGCACATTTAAAAAGTCCAGATTTTTAATCTTTATATTTTACATTTTATATCTTTACTATTAATATGAAATCTACATTTCTTTCTACTATCTTGATATGGATAATAAAAAAAAATTCCTTTTACTAGTATGGGCCCGTTTATTTTCTTTTGTGTTCCTTCAGCTCGTAGCAAACATTTATAATTGATATTTTCTCATGAAACAGAAAGTTCAAGCCAGCTATCCTATTATTAAAGAGTAGATGAATATAGTTTATGATAATCACAGAATATAAAATATATACATACGGACGTGTTACATATACTTATTCCAAGTTATAAGAGTGATAGTTTTAGCCCAGTAATTATTATTATTTATACGAAATATCTGAGAGAAAAATGAGCCAGTTTGTCTTAAGAGAAAAGATATATAATACTGTTATTAATTCTCAAGATGACAAAGTTAATATTGCAATTAGAAACACATATGAAATGAATTTAATTGGTAAATCCTTTCAACCAAAATCACCAGTATTATATCAATTGGATTTCGTTCTGGTCAACCAATAGCTATTATATTATTATCCACAAATATAGAGCCAATATATCTTGAATACAATAATTAACGTGAACATCTTTACTTTACACGTCCGTATAGATACTGCATATATTTGTATCACACTATGAGAAAAAGAAAGTGGTAATAATAGAGTCAGGAAAAGAGAGAAGGTTTGATAATTTACACTCATATTTAACCCAAACAGCGATAGGTCTGAAACTTTCCAGTATTTAGGAGAGATTCATAGGTTTTATTTTAACAAAGATCCATGCTTGGCTTTATGTATATATATATATATATATATTTGTTAAGGACTTTGTATAAAAGCCGTGATATAAAAACATGAAAAAAGAAGAGAGTTTTACTATTTTTTTTCTTTGACAAATAATGAGTACTAAACTGATGTCAACTGATAATATCATCATTTCCAAGCCATCATAGTTATTTTGAAGCATTATTATTTTTATTAATAGTAGGTAGCTTATTTTGATGGTGGGGTGAGTTTTTAGAATTGCACTAATCAGATAGCTACTGTATCAAGTAGATTGACTAGCTATATTTGTGATTCCACTATTTATCTTATCCCTGGGTGACTTTATACCACATAGTATTGAAGGCTGATAATAAACAATAGTATAGAAGAGTGGATATAACATATAAATAGATCTAAGGCTTGATACAGACTTTGAGTCCTGTGCCAGTCAGGAACACTTTCCAAGCTTCATCAAAATCCCGGAGGGGAAAGGAATGTGTGACAAGGGAGCTCCAGTCTACCTTTTCATCTGCAAGAATCTTGACAGCCCTATCCATACCAAAAGGGTTTGTATAAGTTGACCGAATAGTGAGTTCTTTTCGGTAAACATCAAAGGGAGATACTGAAACGCGAGCATCTGTTTTGGCCACTCCAACCCATACGACAGTTCCTCCGGCCTTGGCAAACTGGACAGCCTGGCTCATGGTCTCCGGTCTTCCCACACACTCAAACACAACATCGTAACCTTCACCCTTAGCACCATCACCAGGAACCAACGCACCAGGAGCAACCGCAACATTGGCCTTGAAAATAGAAGTAGCCATTTTTCTACGCATCTCGTTTGGTTCAATGATCGTTACATGGGCCCCACCAGTTGAGCATAGTGCCAAAGCCATCATACCAATTGGACCAGCTCCAATAATAAGCACACGATCACCACTCTTGATTTCGCCCATGTCCACAGCATGTACTACGCATGAAAGAGGCTCGGCCAAACATGCTACTTCTGGGGTAACATGGGAAGGGACGGAATATACAGCTGTGATAGGAACAGCGACGTATTCGGACATACCACCATCAACCGTAACCCCGATACAAAACAAGTCATTGCAGAGATGGTACTTCTTGTTACGACAGAAAGAACACGCGTTGCATGGAACGTTAGGGTCAATTGATACCAGATCTCCAACAGAAAGACTAGTCTTGGATTGTTCATGAACGGCCACAATATTCCCAGAAAATTCGTGTCCAATGACCACCTTTTGGGATGCATGGGGTGTCTCACCGCGACATATGTGAAGATCAGTGCCTTTGAAGAGCATAAGTACTTTGTGCTTCTTATTATTCTTATAGTAGAAGACGTCTAAGACAAAAACAACAACAAAAGAACTCACCACAAATACCAGAAGCTGCTACCTTGACCAGAACTTCGCCTGCCTTAATAGCGGGAACCTTCTTTTGGATGATGTCAATAGAGCCAAGCTTTTGCCAACTGGCAACGGACATATCAGAGGAGAGTGACATAATGATAGTGGCAATAGAAATAATATATATATATATATATATATATGTATGTATGTATACGTATAATGGAGGAAGAAAAAGGAAAGTTTGGAACAATTGTCCCTCTATTTATATAGATGTCCTTCTTCCAAAATATTTCTCAAGAGTTTAATACACATAATTTTATTGACCATAATCCGGTATTACTTGCTACTTGCCAATAAATTAAATAAGGAATGTGAGAGCATATTAGGAAGGTAGGAAATCTCTCGACTTAACCGATCGCCTTATTTAGTGCTAAGATGGAATAGGCCGATTGGTGGAGACAAGATCCCCGCAAACTAGCATCCTTTTTTGTACAGTTACTCTTGGACTTCAACTCAGCCAAGGAAAGAAAGAATTAACGGTTTCACCACTTCTCACGAAAGGCGTATTAGATTTTTTTTAAGGTTCAATAATTTATGTTTCTTTATTTGTACAGATAATATTACAAGTTTATTATAAATATTTACATGGCTTTTATGTTGCAGAGAAATTTTGGGCAGGATCTTCAATAAATGTGAAATTTCCTGATCCATCGGTGGGTGTTGGGTTGTAATATTGTGCTCTTGGCTGAAGGTCGCGATCAAACATCATGACACCTTCGTATAGGTTATTTGAAATCTTGATACTTCTTGAAGCAATTTCAGGTGAGCTATCCATTATTAGTTTCCCTTTAGAGCAAGTTCCAGAGGGGATAATGATTTTCTCAATCTTGGCAATCATTTCAATACAAATATCATCCTCCCATCTTACTTCAGCCATAGATCTTAGAATTCGAAGAGCTCGCATAAGACCAAGCTTACATCGAGCAGTGATAGCAGAGTCGTTGTATTTAAGACTCTGTACCAGCAGCTCAACAGAGCGCCTGAGATCACCTGGCCAAGTTTGACATGGAGCGAACTGAAGAACAGCGAGCCGTAAGCTTATAAGCTCAATAGAGCCATCAATCATCATCATAATTGCTTGGCGTTGAAGTGGATTGAGGGTAGTTCCATCAAGAGGTAGGAAGCGATGTAGCAAAAGAGCAAGGTTCGTACATCTTTCCATAGAGATTGAGTAGCACTGTTCAGCTAGTGGACCTCCAGGAGTATCGAGAAAGGCCCCCGGTTTGAGATAAGCGGGCAACTCAGATGCCCAGGTACCAATAGCGTCGACAACCTTATCTAATAAATGTTTCAAGTGTACCGGATCTTCCATGTTTGCCCTTTCTAACTCAAGCACCAAACGACGGCGTAGTAGCCACACCTTGAGAACGTTACTCCATACTACTACACCAGTTTGTTCTTCCAGCTCGTCCAGCGAGCAGGGACCAGGGCGCTGTAGTCTTGCCAGATCTTCATGATTGTCAGATTGCGGTTGAAGCATTGAGCATGATATTGCACCAGATTCATGTAGAAAGTGATCGATCTGGTATAAGTACCACCAGAGTCGGTTGTCTAGCACATTTTTATCGTTATATATAGCCGTCTGATCCCATACCAATGGACTTATACCAAGTGCAAGAGCCATCCGAACAGCTACTGTATGATATAATGCCTTTTGTGATATGGGAATTACAGTAGTCATGTTTAATAGACATAATGCAAGGATATGGTGTGTATGTGGAATGTCAAAGCAATTTGACAGTGCTTCTCGTGCCAAGGATGCTAGTTTGGCTTGAACGGTGTCTGGAATTGTTTTTTCGTTAAGATGTCGCAAAGGGGCCGGAGGATGATGAATGAGTACATGTCGTACCCAAAACGTTGCAATGCTTAGTGCAAGTGGATCACTAGCAGGATCATCAAGAGATGCATACCATTGAATAAGTTGTTGCTTGGGTATAACTGGATAGTAATGGTTCATACAGTCAATATAATAGTGTACACAGTCGTCCAAGAGGGTCAAAAGCATGGCGTCAAAGTTCGCCCATTCCATAGTCGGTTTCCAAGCAGTCTTAACATAAAGTTCGCTGTGAAAGTTTATATATGGGAAGGCGGCTGGATTATACTGAAGAGAATTTTTTGCGACAGAGATATTTGTTGAGGGGATGGATTGCGGAAGGGATGTTGTTTGAGCCCATTGGTCAAGTACAGCAAGAAATTTGACCATTGAATCTACATTTTTTAGAGTGATGTTGTACTGGTCGCCTTCTGTGCATTCAATTTGCCAATCTTCTCCAGGAAATAAGCTTAAGATTTGGATAGGATGGATTATGGGCATTGGAACAAGCTGAAATTCATTAGTCAGTTTGCTCTCTGTTGTAAGTAATTTGCGTGTCTTTGGTCTGCGAGGTCGAGTTCCATTGATAGAGATTCCATTGTGAGGTCCAAGGATGATTTGGGCCATTGTATGTATGGTTGTACTGGATTTAACTTGTCGCAATCTTTTATTGTAATTCTTGTAAATATGTGTATGTATGTGTGTGAATTTGTAGTTTTGAAGGAGAAAAAGGAAAACATGGGGTTGAAATGTGGGGTAAAATGAGAAAAAGAAGGTCACAATGGAATCGAGATGTTGAAAGTGATGTTTGTTGATGTATTTATTGGATGAAATCATTCTACTTCTTTCCCTTGGTAACCTTGCCGTCTTTACTGCGCTTTCCACCTTCGAAGCCAGGCCGTGCCTTGCCTCCCTTGCCTCCCTTTCCACCTTTGTTGTCACTAGACTTGGACTTGGACTTGCCCTTGTCTTTCTTACCACCCTTGTGTTTGCTAGTCTTGAAATCAATGTGCTTCTGAAGGTTTTCGTTTCTCTTCTTAACCTTGTACTGTTCATCTCTCTTGACCTTATCGAGACGTTCGTTCCACTTTTCGGCACTCTTAGACTTTTGCTTCTCTTCACGCTTAATGGTCTTCTTCAACAGCTTAACATCGTCCTTGAATTTCTCACCCTGGGCCATGGCAATAGCCTTTTGCCAGTCTTCTTTTTCTTCCATAGCAGCAGCCTTCTCCTTATCTTCTGCCTTGAGCTTCTCGAGCTTTTCCTGCTTAGCCTCAACCTTCTTCAGCTGAGTCTTGGCATCAGATGGGCCCTTTTTCTTCTTTTGCTCGTTTCCAACATCCAATTTTCCAAAGTAAAGATCACCGTCCATCTTAATTGAGTCAGCAGAGGGACGACTGGCAGCAGATGGCTAGATAAACAAATAGATATAGAAGTGTCATATTAATTTAATAAATGTCGTATTATACTCAATTGCTTTTCATTTTTCTTTTACCTTTGAGTAAGTAGGATCCTTGACGAGTTCTTCAGAGGTAGCCTTACCACCCTTCTCCTTTTGTGCTTTCAAGGCCTTCTTTCTATCTTCCTTCTTTTTTAATCGTGCCGCGAGTACGTCCTGACGACTGCGAGCCTTTGCGTTCTCTGTGCCAGGTGCGTGACGCTTCTGGCGCATAGAAGCAATACGTTCCTGGAGACGGTCACGAAGATCAGAAATACTTCCTTGCTGCATAGGCTGTACGGGTACTGAAATTTGAATCATAATTATTAACAGAATGTTCTAATTTCTCGTCCAAGTTCAATGTAGCAACCCTTACCAATTGCCTCAGTAGTAGCAGTAATAGATACACTCTCTTCTTCCTCATCATCTCCAAGACCGCTGAATTTAGAGTTTCCAAGATGAACCTTCTTAGGTTCTTCGTTATCTTCTTCAGGCTCGCTATCGTCTTCGCTATCAATTCCCTCTTCTGCTTCAGCGTCTTCTTCTTCTTCTTCTTTCAACTGTGCAGCCTTTTCTTGTTGGATTTCTGCTATTGACTTTTTGTTTTCGGGGTCAAGCTAAATCGTTTAAGATAATTGTGTTATTATCCGAGTACAGTTTTTCATATAGTTATATATATATTCTAATAATAGTGTTGTATGTACCTTTGCTTTCTTTGCTTTTTTAGTTGCTTCTTTGATGACCTGTTTAGGGGCCTTTTTCCGCTTGTTATGCATAAACTTAGATCCGGTCTATATATGAAATCGAGAATGAGTTGAAGGATCCAAGTAATCTGATTCTATTGTTTCATTCAAAAATGAATCGATTCTTACGGGATCGTCGTTTTTTTCCGTCACATAAAATTTGGCGGGTATGAGGTGCAACAAGCTGTCAAAAAGCTGTGCATGTGCTGTCATACGCTCCTGTAAAATTAGGAAGATTAGCTTGGTGCTCTTAATGTGTTGATTAGATACTTACGGGGAGCGTTTCCAGCAACTGTTGGTTGGCCATTGTGGAAATGAGAAGGGGATGGAATGGATCGCTTTCTGATGATTATACCTTCAAACAACAAAAAATTGCAAATTGTGGCGGGAAGCTTTTTGCTGTCACACGAGGACTGCTAAGTTCATCCGAAAAATAAAGCATTTGAACTACAGTCAATTTGAAAATACAGTATATTGAGCGGTATGAACCTTTAGATCCGCCGAGTGGGTGGGGAGATATGCGGACGAGTAAGAGGGGATATTGGGGATGAGGTGGGGAGAGGTTGCCACAGAAAGGTACAAGATACTTGTACCAAAGGGTTTCTTTTAATGAGTCAAACAACAAGTAATGGCCAGAGCGACATATGCTCTCTGCGACAATTATAAATTTAACAGAAAAGTGGGTTATTTTATTCATTTGGTGTGTACAATGTTATTATGAGTGTACGGCTCTATAATAAAACTATGTTCTGCAATGTGCTCTTGTGAGCTTCCTGGGCCCAGCCCTTCAGCCCCGATCGAACTGAATGGTTGTCCGTCCCGGATAGCATCACAGTTTACTAAATTACATGACAGTTGCATTAATGTAGTGTTGGTTAGGTTACCGATTCATAATACACCACAAATATGGACCGAATAGTCGGGAAGAAAGTATTTTTGTGTATATATATATATATATTGCTATAATTTTTAGTAGATTTTTATTGATGTATTTCTGAAGCTTCAAATAAAAACTGTTTCCGACTTTATATTTTCTTTGTATCTGAAGTCCTCCGAGCACAATTTCTTTTTCTCTACTGCAAAATATGTCTCAATTACAATACGACTTGGTCTAAAATTCTGTTCATTATGTAAAGTCTTGGATAATCACTTCTTTTGAAACTATATAATTGTGGGTGAGCTGGGTTACTTTACCCTTTTATTTATCTACTGTGTCTTTGAGCTGTAAAATGACTGGTGATACTCCGAAGGGATCGACGCCAAAAATAAAAACCACGGATTTTTGTGATTTTCTATAAAAAATAATAATGAAAATATCGATGAGCTTATTTATCTAATACTGATTTATAAAATTCAGTTTTTCTTGCATACTCAAGACACGCTGTTAAAACAAGACTAAAGTTCTTTATTTAGTGCTGTATACAGTCCTTTTTCTTAATTATTCAAGCAATGCAATGTATGGATTTGAAGTTTTTTTATTGTCTTTGATCATTTTTTTTTGGAAGGCATAAAGGAGAGTAATTTACATAATATATAGTTAGATAAGATGGAATAGAGAAATAACAAGTGGTTGTGAGAGTATATATGTGTGTGTGTATGTGTGTGTGTGTTTGTGTGTGTGTGTGTGTTTGTGTATGTGCGTGAGAGAGAGAGATTGGCGTGAAAGACACCCACATGTAGAGTAGTGACATGGCGTAGGAAAAGGGAGGAGGTTAGTAAACATGATATAGGATATTAGAATATAAGATAGAATAAGATAAGATAAAATAAAATAAAATAGAATAAAAGCAAAGAATAAAATAAAGTAGAATAGAAAAAGAAAGAGAAAGATGGTTAATCTAGACTGCCCTTGTCTAGCTTGTCCATCCACTCCTCAGGTATGACCGGCACGGCCTGGAGTTCCTTATCACGTCTTGCCTCTTCTGGCTCAGATGCCCAGCTGTGAACAGCAACCATATGTGCAGTAGTAGGCACAGAGAAAGGCAGCATGAACCGAGAGTCTTTGATTTCTTTTGTGTCTTCTTCCTCCCCTTCTTCTTCTTCTTCTTCTTTTTCTTTTTCTTTTGAGTTAGAGTCTGCAGGTGTTTTGGCACTTAAAGGAATGTTGTATTCGGTGGTTGTGGGGGTAGGGGGGAGGGAAATAGATGAAGAAATTCCAACGCTGGACATAAGAGAGCCGACAAAACTAGAGACACTGTCTCGGCGAGAAGGCTTGCGTTGAAGAGATACACTCTGAGCACGTGATAGGGGTATACCGGATTTGCGGTTAGCGTCCATAGACTGTCGAGATTGTCGACGGGCCTGCTTGTAGCGAATGCTATCTTCAGCAACTTGAATGGCATAACGCTCGACGTCTTCTGGTAGACGAGCTTCGTTGACTTCGTAGCGATAATTAATAAGACAACGCTTGATTTGGAGTGAATTGACGACATCGAATGTCTGAACTGTACTAATAAAATTTGGGAGGTCGCCAAGCTGAGTAAGACATTGTAACAGCTGCAATAATTGGATGGTTGGGTTGAGATAAGAAGCAAGACTGGAGGGCAACTGTTTGGCACGGATCCAGTCTTCCAGTTGAGACAAATTAAGACGGATCTGCATGGCCTTGGAGCGGCAAAGGAGTTTCTTGGTGGTTAGGATCCGGTTGAACATTTCACAGGACATGTAGTGGAAAAACTGGGCGAGGGCCTGAATTATAATGGTCGGGTGGACGTTGTACGAATCAAAGACGAACAGAATCGAATCCAAGAGACTAGTGATTGACTGCGGCGAAATATTGTGCCCTGCTTCGTCTGGTGTGGTATTGCGCTTCATCTGTACTGCCAGACCACCATCTGGAGGTACACCCACTGAACGTCTGCTGGTGCGCCTGAAGAAGCGTTGCCAGTCATCTGCAAAATCGACGTCCTCCATGCCTGGGATCTGCTCGTGTTCCAGCATGGCTGGCACGATGACCTTTGCTAGACGTCGTTCGGTATCGTTTATAATCATCAAATATGTTTCAAGGACTAGCTCTGATAGGCGCAGTTGATGTTCTGCCGTGGCTACGACTAGCCCGCAATCCTTCTTAAGGTAATAGAGTGCCTGGGTAAAATTGGTTATCCAAAATGCAAGCACATGGACATTGCGAGAATTGGCCTAATTGTGATACACAAAAGCAAAATTAATAAATCAAATCAATATCGGCCAATAACACCATGTGTTGCGATCAATACAAGGCAAATAAAACACAAATAAACAGGTATTTGGATTAATTTCAGCCACAAAGTGGGCTTTCATACCTTGACGGCTTTACTCATGCGGTCAAGGGCGCCCTTAAGGACTTGATGGAGTAATTCATCGCTTGAGAAGTAGTGGGCAAAACGTGCGCTCAAGAAGGCAACATTTGCAGGTACACAGATTTCCTGTTTTGTTTTGACTGGTAACTGGAAGTTGGTGATAACGGTATCAAGAATGTAATCAAGGTCATCGGCAGCAAAAACGAACATCTGGTCAGGCATGCAGCGGTCCCAATGGAACTCATTGTCCTCATAGTTTTCGTCGTCGTCCTCATTAAATTCAAAATCTTCGTCGTCATCATCATCGTCGTCTTCGTCGTTTTCAAAATCATGATACCCCTTGTTGTTTTTGTATTTGTCGACGTCGTTTCCGCCGACAAGAGTCATGGCGGTTTCGATTAGTTTCTGATGACGATTTGCTTCTTCTTCCATAAATGTATCATAGCCCTCTACTGTAGACTGATAATAGAAGTCGCAGTCTCCGGCATTGGAAGAGGTAGAGGAGACACTTCCAGGGGTACGACCGGCAATGCTAGAAGTAGATGATATGCTGTCTCGGGGGTTTGTGGTGAGGATTTCGACAATCTTTTGGTTTTCGGTGTTGAGGAAGTCAAAGACGGTACGACCCTTGGCAGATTTGGTCTGGGAGGAAGCGCCGTGTTCGAGTAGGATTTTAACCAAACCTTCGTGATTGTTGTTTGTTGCCCACATGAGAGCGGACCAACCGACTGGAATGCATAGTGTTGATGTGTCAGATTTGTGGTCTATTTACCTAACAACAAAACTTACATGCATCCTGAATATCAATTTTGGCACCCGCTGCAAGCAACAGCTGAGCAATCTCGGCTTTGCCAAAGCAGACAGCGTAGATTAGCGGAGTGGTGCCATCTTCGTCTTTGGCATCAATGTCGATTAAAGCCTTGGTCTTGTCGTCCTGAAGAAGCTTGCGGACCTTGTCAGCGTTACCGTTAGATGCGGCTTTGGTGAATAGCTTCGTCATCTTGAGTTTCTTGGCGGCTTCTTCAGCTGGATCTGACAGAATTCCCTCTTCGGTTTCTTCATCGGTGAGTTCCGGGAAGTCGTAATCGCGTGTGTCGCTCTTCTCAGACACGGTTGAGGGAGTGGCGATTGTGGTACCGAGCATCTCTGATAATTGCCTGTAGCTGTCTGCCATACGCTTAGCCATTTCGTCGCAAGACATGTTCTCGTAGGCCACACGGTTCTTTTCGGGGTCTTCGTCTTCATTGGCTTGCTCTTTGATTATAGAGAGGATATTTGCTGAGTCTGAGATGGGGCTTTTTGGTTTTTGGTGCATCAGGTCGAGGGCAGGGTCGGTATCGAGCGGGAGGGCTATTGAAGTGCTGCCCATCATGTCGAAATGATTATTAAAAGAGGATTGAGGCAATTAACTTGGGTTATATTGAAGAAGCAAGTTCTAAGAGAGATATTAAAGTAAAAAAAAAAGAAATATTATTTTTATATCTAACAAGTATATAATTTTATTATTATTATTATTATTAATGTTATTAATGTTATTTTTTTTTATATATATTTTTATATTTTATAATTAAGGTTGTAATATATTAAAAATATTAAATATTAAATATTAAATATATATACAAATATATATATAAGGAAGAAGAGTAAGAAGAAGAAGAATAGAAAGTAAAAGAAGTTGTGAATTGTCTATGTATTTTTACACTTTCTTTTTTTTTCTCTCTCTCTCTCTCTCTCATTTGGCTTAATATTTCACTACCTTAATTGCTCATATAAAATATATATAATAAAATAAAATAAAATAAAAAATAAATTCGGTTGACTAAATCTTTGTTATCTGTATCACGAGAATTTCCTGATGTGTGAAGAGGAAGGAGAGTTGTATATTTTTTATATAAAGGACCCCCCCTCCCCTTGACCTTTTCACTTTCTTTTTGTACACTGCTTTGGTTTTTATCACTCTATTTTGTGTCCATTGTTGAATTTATTACGGTCATCTAATAAAATGTTGTATAATCAACAACCACCATAAAATCTAAAACAACCCCCCCTCCCATCCCTTCCTCTAACCCCTCCCTTGCTCTTTCTCTCATTCTCTTCTCCCTCGTGCAGGGCAAGCATATTGGGCAAGGAAACACAAACGTAGCACAATTGCCGGAGTCCAAAGCCATAAAAAAAAAAAAGAAAAAAAATTGAAGACAAACCCAACTACAGAGAGAGAGAAAGAGAGAGAGAGAAATCTGGTTACTTTTTTGTCTGGTTGTTTGATACTCAATACAATGGCTGTCACTGTTCCTTTACTCGAGTTCTGTGCTCCACCTGTACCTGGAGAAACTCACAAATATTATGGAAGTGCTCACAACAACTTCCTCAAACTACCTCAATTCACCGGCCTTCCCAAACCAGTAGTCGTGTCATCAAAGACAGGGGATCAGCAGCAAAAAACACTTCATGCCGTTGCATCTTCCGGCAATCTTGGAATGCTCAAACAAATCCTCAGTGTACTTCAAGACCCTCTCAAGGCAGTCAATGACCCCCATCCTTCTACCGGATTGACTCCACTTCATTTCGCTGCCTCCAGAGGCCATTTGGAAGTTGTTAAATGTTTATTAGAAGATTACGCTGTGTCAGTAGACTCGCGTGACAAGGAAGGCGAAGTAAGGGGGTCTTGATCTATTTTATTATTAATATTACAACTCATCTTTAATATCACAACAAATTATAGACCGCACTCTTGAAAGCTGCCTATGCTGGCCATTACCATGTAGTCCAATACCTACTGTCAAAAAATGCCAATATCCATCAAAAGGACAAAGATGGCTGGACTGCTCTTCACAACGCCTGTTCCCGTGGATATCTTCCGATCGTTCGCTTATTGGTCGAAAACAACGCTCGAGTTGATGCACGAAGCAAAATGAATCACACTCCACTGATTAACGCTGCTTCCAAAGGCTATATGTCTATCGTCGAGTACCTTTTGGATGAAGCACACGCCAACCCACTCTTGAAAAACAACTTTGGTGAGGCTGCATATGATGTAAGCGCAGCCGCAGGGGAATCTTACATTTGCGAAATGCTCGAAAGAGCGGGCCAGTCCGCCTGGCGTATGGAGGCTTCCCGGGGTGATACGTCGTTTGCTGCAAATTACGATCTACTCGAATTCCATGTCACCGTCATGGTTGTCTTGCACGAGAACCAGCGAGCAACCTCTCTATTAGGAATCTCACGCCCTCAGTTTAGTGCTCAGGCACTCACAAAATATGATACCCGTGGCCCATGGTCTCTCTATGGATCTGGCACACCTTGCTCAAAGAATGATGTCAGTCTTCCCAAAACATCCCAGAGTGGAATGCAGAAATGGTTCTGGTTGACAGATTGGCAGATCGATTACAGTGACCCACGCATCGATCCTACTTCTGGCTGGCAGTATGCTCGTTCGTTTGATGAGAACGGCGACGGCTGGACTCCGGTAGCACCAACGGCTGGTTTCAGCTGGGTCCGTCGTCGCAGATGGGTTAGAGTTATGAAACGCCGCATGGATCTTACAAACGGTGCACCTCCTACTGACGGCACCCTCGACAACGATTATCTCTACCAAGCCGAAGAAATTGTCCAGACCGCTAAATCCGATACCCCTGAAGTCCCCGATACCGTGGCAAGCACAATATCCCGTCTCACTCATGAAGTCCGTTCTTATGAAGAAGCTGTCCAACTCTTGCTTGCTGGAATCAAAAGTAAGTCTTTCTTATATATATATATATATTATCTTATAATTATTAAATATTTTAACCATCCGATTTACAGCCGATTATAACCAACATCGCAAGCACCAGGCTCTCATCTTACAGGCAACTTATTCTGGACGTATTGATCAGCTCACTGCACGTATATCTAGTCTAGCCCCAAAACTGGCTACCTCAATGCCTACCCATCAACAGCATCATCATGAAGAGCTTGCACGCGAACTCGGATTTGTGCAGCCAAAGGACATGACGAGTACCACTACATCCACAGCAATCGATGCCAACCCTTGGTCTCCTGACAATGGCGAGAATTGGCAGGAGCAGGAAGATGCAAGCCTTAATCAAGTTGATTTGGCTGGGCAGGCTGAGGACGGACCTCGCAGTTATGACTGGGAATCTGATATTGATGCTAGAGATTGTCGTAGATGTAGTCGTAAATTTGGATTCCTCGTTCGTCGCCACCATTGTCGTCGCTGTGGATTGATTGTGTGCGATAGATGCTCGAATTCGCGTGCCTATCTTTCACCCTCCCAAATTCTTCAAGACCCTAGTCTTCCTCAAGAATCACGCCAAGTACTTGCTTCGCAGCACCAGAGAGTCTGTGACAAGTGTTATGCTGATCTGGGCATATAACTTAACTACGGCCATTATTTATCACCTCCATTCCACTCTATGCACATTCCCCCTCCACACTTTATACTTACGCACACACGCACACACGCACACATAAACACACTAAACATACAGAAACTCCCGTACACACGCAGATACAACAGGTGCCCACAGAGCGGCCAATCGATTGGAAATATTTCCAATCGATTAAACTTTCAATCTCTTTTTGGTAACTTTTTTTTTAAAATACAAATTCGGTATTTTATACATGGCAATAAGTCAACGTTATAATAAATGCTATATACTCCAAAGGTTGAATTATGTTTAAAAGCATGTTAAATGATCGTTCTTTCTTTTGGGTCTATTAATCAGAAGGAACATAAAAATTAAAAAGATCTCAAAGATCCCAACAAAATAGAGAATTATATTTATTGACTTGAGTAGAAAGATACCAGTCTTCAAAGTCAACAAGAAGATGAAAATGAGATATGGCTGTAAGATACAAATTACTCTCGCACAGGGGGTCCTGATAGCAATCAAAATTATAACCACATGTGGTAATAAAATGAATTTTACACTGGCATGTAAGGGTACTTGTAAGAGGCAATGTAACCAATTACGATATTATTGCGAGAAAGGACGTTCAAGTTGTATTGTCTCTACGTCTAGGTTACTAGCTAGCGCAGATATTCTATCCTTAATGGAGGCGTGGTAACAAGGGACAGTAAACTACTTCAAGAGGATACGTTTTTGATACAATAGGTGTGCACTCCAATAGTTAGGGTGAGTCAAGTAATATTTAGTTGACTAGGCGTATGGTGACGATAATCAGCTGTCAAAATAATAAAATGAGAAAAGTGTTTTTAACGAGGCAAAAAGAGATACTTTACTCATCTTTACTAAACTCCCTCTGATATGACCTCCTCTGCCTCTTCCTCTCGCTCCTCCCATCTACACTTCGTTCTCCTTTTTTCTCTGATCTCATACTCCGAGGAGAGGCAGCCGCTAACCACTACGCACACCGTCTCAATGCCATTGATGTAAAAAAAAAGCTGGGTGAACCAATAACGTCTCAAATTCGTGATAAGAAAGTTAAAAAAAAAAGGCGTTGATTGCTGTGATGCTGACAGCTCTTTCTCGTTCTAAGTATGTACATTACCTTTTCTTTAATGCGATTAACAGCCACTGGTTTGTACAATCTTGTTGAGATTTTCCATCTACAATTTACTGATGGTGTGGAAAACCTGGCTTCTTATTGTACCCTGATGAATACTAAAGAAGTCATTAGCTATTAGCAACGTCTTTTGACGCTGCTGTAAAGAACTAGCCCATCCCAAGAAAATCGAAGCCAGATATGCCAAAACCTTGACGACCTTGAATGGCTTGATTGATGAAAAGAAAGACAGCTCTCGTATCTACGTCTTGCGTTATGGAAAACGAACACGCCTTTGTCATTTTCCTCTATTAGTATCCATCTCCATATGGTACTTCTCTCCCAGATTCAATGACTTTTTCATTATTATTTCCTTTAAAAAAATTGGATGAATAAAGAAATACATTTTCTTTTTTCTTTTTAGCCTACTTTATTCAAGTCATAACTTAGGATCTGACCTACAACACCAGCCGGTAGGTCAGGTATATGAGCTTTCTTTTTTCTTTGCTGGCATTGGCTCGTGAAGAGAAACTTCCTCAGAGCGCTTCTATTAGGGCATGCCCTTTGATGTGTAGATACTGTGAGGGTATAAACCTATTTGAAAGTGTATTAAGCGAAGATTCTTTCTTTTGGCTTTACTACTATTAGAGAACATGAAATATTCAACCTTTAACAGAACTTATGGTAGAATGTAGCACACTTTGTATTATTTGAAATACAAAAGCACCAACCTATAAAGCAAACAATACCCTGAAAGCAAGATATTTATAGGGAGATAAAAACGATTCTCAAAGGCTGTGCTGATACTAGTAAAAATATACTTCTATATTTGGGCATCAGAAATATTTTATACCTGCTCTCTAGCCAGGCAGAAATGCACGGACTTTAAACATATTGTTCCTTTTTTGAGAAAGTATACTTCTAAAAAAGGAACATTATTCTTATATCAATAAAGAATTCTCCTTTGATATAGCACTCCGTGAGCACCTTGTATATATATATATACATACACACCTGAAATGATAACAACAACAGGATACTTAAATAGGCAACACAAAAACAAGATTCGTTTGGCTTTTTTTTATGAGCAGAAAAAACGCAACATAACGTCGTTTTATTATATTTCACCCCTTTCTTTCTTTTTCATTAAATGTCTACCATGATTTATACCCCAACATCCTCTTGGTCTATGACCACTCGGACGGCGTCTCCAACTGTTCCTGTTCCGAGGATGGTTACAGTTCAATCTCTTCCTGAACCCCGCACACAGCTTCTGATTATTCAGGATAGTGACAGCGAATATGATAGCGAAAGTGAAAATGAAAATGAAAATGGAACTGAAAGTGAAAGTGAATGTGAAAGTGATGATTCTATTGAAAAGTCTGTTGAAACAGTAGCAATACCAGCATCTATTCCAACACCTGCACTGACACCAGAACCAGAACCACTATCAGAACCAGTGCAAATACAAACCCAAACCCAAACCCAAACACAAGTGCAAGCACAAATGCAAACTCAAACTCAAATGCAAACGCAAACGCAAACGCAAACGCAAACGCAAACGCAAACGCAAACGCAAACGCAAACGCAAACGCAAACGCAAACGCAAGCACAAACGCAAGCACAAGCACAAATGCCAGCACCAGTACCAGTACAAGTGGCAGTAAAAGAACAACTGCCAATAAGAGTATCATTCCCAACCCCTCAAATGTCTTTTTCGATGCCACTGCCAATTCCAGTACAGACAATGCCACAATTGCAAGAAAGAATAAGTACTCAAGAAAGGCCTGTAAAGCCCCTGCCGATGATCCCCGACCAACTACCCATTGTCGTCCCGACTCCGAGCTTCTCTTACCGCGCCCTAACACCCATCAGAGAAGATGTCGATGAAGACAACAAACACTTTACTGAGTCTACCATCGAAAGTTGTCGTAGTTCCGCACACACCGTATCTCGCAGTGTCTCAGAGGCAAGTATTCAGTACATACCAGACACACCATCCGAACAAAACATGCAATACAAGCCGCATGAGATAATCACCCGACAAGTCATCCCTCCTCAAGTCATACAAGAGCCTGTCATTTCTGCTCCACAAGAGCCCGCTCCCGTATCCCCGCAAGTTAGCCATCATATCCCTTCTCCAGATGAAAAGACAGAAGTCCACGAACCTGCACTAGTCCCAAGTACTGATGTACAAACCAACACCGTAGATAGTCAAGGCCATACCAGATCAAACGATGGCTGGAGATGGACTGCTCGCCCTGGTATGCCAAATCGACCTGACAGTGAAACAGTTGCTCTATTGACAGATATCCGACGTGAGATTGACGAAGTCAAGGTTAACCATCAAAGTACAATCGGGTCAGCCTCCAGTACCGCGTACACAGCCACTACTTCTGCTTCATCTACTGCCCATAGCACCATTTCTACTGTGACACGGTTGTGCCACTGTACAAAAGGCTCTACTCATCAATCTAACTGTCTTTTCCATACCACACCAGACCCACTGGCTTTCCCCTTGCCTCGTCTCAGTATCGAATCATTTAGTTTGACACACAACAAAGATGCTCTCAAGACATACCGCCGAATGGCTTCTAAAACCAATGACAGTACTGTTCAAATGACCTATTGTACCTATCTCACACAAGTCGCTAAGATTTACCATCACAAACCAGACGCGGTAAAGACACACCGTCGTCTCATAGAAGAAGTCGAGTACTGGGTCGAGCGCCTCGCAAAAGCCAATCTTCCTGATGCTTTGATTATAAAAGGACGCTGGCACCTCCAAGGCCCTTCCTCTGCCAGCACAGATTTACCAAGTGTGGGTCAAGCGTATCAGCGTGTACAGCTCACAAAGGCCTTTAAAGCATTCCAAGCTGCCGCAAAGGGTGGCTCTGCAGAAGCACATGTGGGTCTTGCTGAATACTGGAGAGCATGTCAGGACATCGACAAGTCTATAGAGTGTTACAAGGTTGCTGCCTCAAAAGGCCACACAACGGCCGCATATGTAAGAAATCACTAGAGTAATATATGAATTAAAGTATACTTATTAATGTAACTTCTTTCTTCTTCTTTTTCTTTCCCTTCTTTCCCTTGCTTCCTCAACAGACCCTTGCCAAGATATTTTTGTATGGTCAATATCGTCAACAGAAAGATTCTCGACTGGGACTTGAATATCTTCAGCAGGCCGCAGATGGCCGTGGACCTGACAGCGGCGAACCTGCTTACATGATTGGCTGCATATATAGTGGTCAACTTGATCTTGTAAACTTGGCCAGTGACCCTTTCCTTTCTCACCCACACCAAGAGCTTGCTCTCCACTATCGATCCAAAGCCCAAGCGTTGGGCCTTGCTACTCAAGATTAATCTACACAAATACCACTACCACCACTATTTCCCACCACATAACATAACATACAATAACATAACATAATACAATATAATACAATACCACGAAATAAAATACAAATGTTTTCCTCATATTTCCTTTCTTCCCTTTCCTTCCTCAGAAAGTTTTTTTTTTGTATAAAAAAGGGAAATAGGTTTTTTTTAATAAAGGAGCCGTGTTATGTTCAGTAAGAAGGAAAAGAATAAGAGATAAAGAGATAAAAAGCGAGATAGAGAGCGAGCATGGACAAAGGGGGGGGGAGAAGTAATGCAAAGGGTCAAAGGGGGAGAAAGGGTTGAGAGAATATAGTGAGGGGGGGGGGGGGATTAAAGGAATTATCGATTTATGAACCTGGTTTTGTCAATGCAAGAAGACGACGGTCGGTATAGCCAGACTAAAGAAGAAGAAAAGAACACCAAATATGCACATACACACACACATACACACACACATACATACATACATACATACATACATACATACACATAAGAAAAGGAACATATTATTTAACACTGTCTAATTGAATCACCCTTTAAACGCAAACTTACACTCAACAGGTCTTCTTCGCGAGGTACTCTCATCTGTAGCATACTAGGTCCCTTGAGGCTTTGTTTCAAGATGCGCTTCAAGGAATCATCTCCTACAGACAACATATCAGCATTGGTGTCTGCTGAAACGTTTGCTCTTTTTTACACACACAAAAATATTATTTTCAAACTTACTGTTTAACAAACACTTCCACAATCCATCGAATCCTTTGTATTGCAGCACCATACCCGAGATAGAGTGGTCGTTGAATGACACTCTCAACCACGTAATCAGCGGCTCAATCGTCGCATCGGCTACAGGTTTCCCACATCCGCCTTCTTTCAATACCTCTTTCTTTCTACTTAACTTGTGTGGACTTACGGGTTAGTTGGAAGTAAAGTGTCCGGTTGAACAACAGGTGTGTTACTTCGACAATTGTTCCATTTGTGGGGAGAGCAGTAGGTTGTGGTGGTTGTGGTGCCGGAATATCTGGTACAGTACTGTTATGTGATCACCGTTAGCCATTACATTTGTTCATCATTCTTTATTATCATTACTAATTTTTTTCTTCTTTTTTTTAAAATTCTTCTTTTTTTTTATTGTATCTTTTACCCATAAAGAGGTCCATCCTGAACACGCGAACTAGGGGATGGAGCTAATTGACTCTCCTGTTGTGGATGTGAAGGTACAGGTGGCACATAGGATGTGTCTGGAATTGTGAGAGGAATCTGACCCTGTCTTTGTTGTTGTTGCTGTTGTATGGCCTGACTGTTGACAAGAGCATTCATGCCTTCGATGAGCTTTCGCACTTCAGCCAAATCATGGGCTGCCGTATCGGACGCTCTGTCCATAGCCAGGTAGTTCATTAATCAAGTCTAGATTTCTTAGTTGTTGTTTGTCTAGCAAGCGTATCTGGGTCTCTTCTTCCTTCCTTCCTTCGTTCCTTTTCTTTTTTCTTTTTTTGGAGGTTCTCCAATTCCACAATAAAGCCGTCCAAGAGAAGAAGTATCAAACAAAAAGTCCCTTTATTTTTTTGTTATTTTTTGCCATACTTGGGTGTTTTTTTCAACTCCGAGGCCATATGGTCTCTCTTTTCAAAAAATTTTAACCTTTGTTTTAATTCCAAGTGGAGAGATTGAAGAGCTTATGAGAAGATGAAGTAAGTAGTTCGTTGATTAGCCTGATAAGAAAATTTTAAATATAAGCTAGTTAGACAACCATCGAGTTTTTCCTTTGAAAGTTTTTTTCTAAAAAAAGGCATGTTATTTATTGCGAGATTCTCATCATTAGAATTAACTCCTACAACCTCCATCGCTCAATTTAGTCATATAAATGTGAATTTAGGGTATAGTTTTTGCTTAAAATCGTATCCTATTGGGTCAAATATATTCACTAAGAGCTCAACTATATATATATATAAATATTTAATTTATTCTGAGGATATTCTTTAACTTCAAAAGCAAATAGTATGCTACATATATGTGGATACTGCTTTTACTTTAATTGAAGTAAAAAAAATAGGCTAAAATAGACACACATTCATATATAAAGCTCTGTATAAGCTCAAAAAGCTTAAATATTATAGAGGACTTGTGGTTTATTATATACTTTTATACATGCTTTTTTTAATATAATGATATGAAAAATTATTTTACTACTACTATTATTATGATTATTATTTATTGGCTTCAACTGTCCTCTTGATGTACAGTGTGGTGGGAGAGAGCTCGTAAGAGAAGGAAAGGATCAATTGACTCTGGCCATGCAAGTTTCTTGGCCGCCTCTTTCATAACCAAATCTCCAAATTCGCCTTCTGCTTTTTGTACTTTATCAATCGTACTTAGCACATAAGGTAGGATACTTATCTCAGCCAAGAGATCCTCCTTGACTGGTAGACTTGGAAGGTCCTCCTCATCAATACACTGGTGCATAAAAGCCTGTTGATCAGGATCCAATAAGTCCAGATGATCATCAAGTTCAAATGGCGGTGGGTTCATCACCGTGTCTTGTGCAATAGCATGTTCATGATAAACCTCAAACATACATTGTTTTCTCTCTTCTTTTTCTTGCTTCAAACTTAATTTTTTTTAAAAAAAAAGAAATAAAGCGATTGTAAGAAATATAGCTGTATGCCTGTATTCACAAAGCATTCTTCTTTTATAAAATACCTTTCAAGTTCTTGTTGGAGGGTCTTGAGACGCTCTTTATTGATAAGATTTCGCGTATTTGGAGGTTTCTTTGCATTTTTTGGTCCTTGAATCTTTTTTTATTATTATTTAATTTAATTTATTAGAAAAAAATATACAAATACATTTACACACATACTATTATTAACATTAACATTATCATCATAATAATAGTTGTTGCTGTTGCTGTTACTGACATTTGAGCTATTTTAATGTAAAATTAACCTACATCACGCTGGTACCAACCAAGACCAATATTATCATGCACAAGTAGGTCAATGATTCGTTTCTGGCATTCAGCTACTTGTTTTTGTTTGCCTGTGAGTTTTTCTCCTTTCTGCTTTGTGTGTTCTGCGCACCAGATTATCAACTGTTTCCAGCGTAGAGCCCCAGGTAGGTCATTAGGAATCTTTGTGTAGTATAAATCTGGTGAAATCTCCGGAGGCTAATTATTATTATCATTATTATTATTTCTTTTGATGGACGGATGGATGGATGAATTGATTGAATAAATTAATGAATAAATGATTGTTGCATGGTGGTTTGGGATTACCTCTAGAGAGATGCGGTATGAAGGTTCAGCACGAAATGAAGGCTTGCCCACATAGGAAAAGTTGAAATCTAAAGAATTGTCCATAGCATTACTGAAAAAAAATAAGAAAGAAAGAGAGCTCTTTCCATCGGCTTACTCGAATTTTACTCTATTTGGAATATGAATATTATATATATATATATAATACTCTCTCTCTCTCCCACTCACACACACAAAAATACACTTGTAATTTTTCACTCAGGCACAGATATATATATATATATATGTATATGTATGTACTGCGTTTTGCATTTTACTAGTATAAATCTTTAATGAATACCTCTACGTGTCAATCAACATGTTACTTTATATTCGTATTAATATTTTTTATCATTACATAATGAGTTCATGCTTTTATATGTATGAACTTCTCCCTCTCCCCTAAACAATACTGGTTTGTCAGGCTGACTACATGATTAAAATAAAAACGCAAGGGTTAATAACTAAGACGAGTAAATGTCTAGCCAAGGTTATAATTGTTGAGTCGCGACTTGATTTTTCCCTTTTTATATAATAAAAGCAATGTCTCATCCTTTCTTACAATATATATATATATATATATTAATATTAAATACATCGTTAGTTGCTAGTTTCTTTCTTTCTTTCTTTCTTTCTTTCTTGCTAGCTTTGATGTTACACCAAGACGTTACTTGAACCGACTGTCAAAAAATTATATAATGCTCTAAAGCCAATTTATCCAAAAATAAACAAACATAAAGAGACCACTTTTATATATATATTATGTATCTATTTATTTAATCATGTCCACGCCTGCTGTCGCTCTACCTTCAAAAAAGGTGGGCATCTCAACCCCATCCACACCATCCACTCATTCCTCATCTAGACCTCATCTTCTCCGGCACTCGAGAGTTCTCTGGTGGAAGGCCTGCGCAAAGAAGCCTATAGTGAGCTGCACAGACAAGTAGAGCCCTACAACGATAAATTTGTGGCAAATATGCGGCACATAGAAGCCATTGAAGGTTCAGGAGTGCCTTTTCAGACCCTTTTCGGATCTCTTTCAAGTGACACCACTGGCAGCGAAAAGAGCAAACACAACCAAAATGTCGATACTTTGGAGGACCTTATTACAACCATTGGCAAGGGTAGTATCAAGGACTATAGTGTATTTACAGAATGGGAACTTTCAAAGGTAAGGTTCGGTAATACTACTACTAGTAGTGGAAGTAATCAAATATAAGTATATATATATATACATACACTAAAACACATCAAACAAGAACCCGCACATGGCGTACGATGATCAAGGAGAGTATGGTAATCTCTGGTAGCTAAATATCAAGGAGTATCTTTATAATTTTTATTCAAGTGATAATAATGATGATAGTAGTAGTAAAATTAATATAATAATAGTTTTCGTTAACATTTGTACATTATAAACCAACAATCATTAATATATGTATTTTTGTATGTATGTATTATGGTTTATTGCTTGTATTTTTTGATGCGTTTGTTTATTGCTTGGCAAACTCCAATTGTTATTTACAGGGAAGATAGAGATAAGAGGAGGTTGGTCGAAAGATAAAGAGAGAAGGAGGAGGAGGAAGAGGAAGAGGAAGAGGGGATATCTAAGAAAAATCTGTATGCAATGAGCCCATGAGATCCATCATGGCACCTAGACTAGGAGATCGTATAGGATTCCTTGTCTCTGGAGGAGATCCCATGAGGTGTTCATAAAGTGGATGAGATGCTTCTGATCCCGGTGCTTTTGATTCAGGCGAAGGCGAGAGACGGAAATGGCTTGGGTCAAGTGGTTGAAGAGTAGGCATTCCATGTGCCATCTGACGGAATACTTCTTCAGTCCAGTTGTGATTATTATCTTGATTGGAGGACCCCAAGGACTTCATCACCTCTTCTTCTTCTCGCTTCTTCTCCTCCTCTTTTGGGCCAACCTTGATTTCCGAAAGCCCCTTTAATCGTCTCCATTTGTTTGTTTTTGAAACATCATAATTGATCGCCAGGTACCAGAATTCACTAAAAAACTCAGGCGGCAATTCCCAGCTGTCACTCAACGTCGGGTCTCCGCCGTGGTACACCGCTCCGTTTAATAGCATCCCAAAGCATCTGTCATAGTCCATTTGGTCTCTAAAGATAATCATCCGGTCTCGCATGTGAGGTGTTGGGATCAAATCGATGCGCAGATCGTGCGGAATGGCCAATTGAAGAAGCGTCGGCTGCAGGCGCACGTCGGCTTTGTCTGTGTCTGTCAATGCACTCTGGACGCGCAACTGCAGCCTAATGCGTTGGATTGCGCTCAAACTAGAAGGAGGAGACGGCCGTGGCTCGGAACGGGCTCTTTCGTGTGTGTTATTATTGATATGCTGGTTAATGTTACTATTGATGCTTCTTTCGTCAGAAGGTTCTGATTTGACAGGACTGGTCATCGATGGCTCAGACTCGTCATCGACTGTCATGTCTTCGTCAAATACACTTGAACGCGATTGTCTCCATTCATCAGTATCATCCATAGACCCAGTTGATTCGTCATCATCGTCATCATTAAGGTTAATCTTTGTGCTCCTGGTGCTGCTATTGCTGTAGTTATTATGATTATTATGATTTTGATTTTGATTATTGTCGTTGGTATTGATATCTTCAAGTTCGTCTGAACGCGCGTTTGAAAAGTGCGAGGCCATTGTGGGCTTGAGATGAATGTTGTTGCGCGTATAAGCGTTCACGTAAGCTTCAATTGCATGAGGCGTCGTGTGCGCCATTTCTCCAAGGGCGTCTTCGCTCAAATAAGGAGAGTGCGTGGGAATTGAGATGTTGTAGTGGAGACAGACAAACTGCAGAGTCAAGACGACGCCCTTGAGATACCAGTTCTCCGCTCTAAAGGAATCTAACTTGGTTTTCATTGACGTGAGCTCCTGGACTGCGTGGTTCCGCTGTTCACGGAGACCGCGGATGGTGGTCTCGAGGTCTTTGAGGTGTCGTTCTTTGCGTTCTCGAAATGCCCGCTGGGCCGCCCTGTTTTGGGCTTTGCGGAGAGCTGGAGAAGCGGGGTTTGGCTTTCTTCCGGGCTTTTTGCGCATTTTGATCGGTTGGCCATGTTCATCTACAGGTGGTGTAGATTCGGGATTGATGTGCATATTGTTGACGTAGATGGCCTGTGGAAATTGAGGGTCTGCTGAAATGAAGTTACCCTGAAGGAATGGAAACGACTGATTCCCGATTGGCCATGAATGAATGTCGTCGGATTGATGCAACATGACTTGATCATGCTGTAAAAACCCGTTCATATTCGAGTAGGACATGATGAGGCGTGAGATTCAGAATGAAACAAAAGAAAATATTTATGTATTTATGTATTTATGTATGTTTTGAATAAGCAAGTTGAAATGAAAATGAAAAGAAAGGAAGAAAGGAATAAGAAAGCCGTGTGTCTTCTTTTTAAGAAGAACAAAGTAGTGAAGCAAGAGAGAGAGAGAGAGAGAGAGAGAGAGAGAGAGAGAGTAAGCGAAAGGTCAGGTCAGGTCAGGTCAGGCCAGGCCAGGTCAGTTACGGTCAGGTCAGGTAAGTTAAGGCAAGTTAAGTTAAGGTAAGGAAAGGGCAAGGAAACCACGGGACAGAGTATTAATTGCACGTGAATTCTGTTGTACCCCAGAATTACACATTATGAATGAGAATAACGGTCCATCAGAATTCTGGTTTTGTTGTTGTTGTTGTTGTTGTTGTTTTTCTTTTTTGTAACTGCTTCAGATTTAATACCATAGTAACCTACTTAATAGATATAAATATATATATATATACTGTCAAGTTGCTAGATTTAGTAGTATTTAACCGCAACCAATGCTTTTACATAAACCAAATTAAAAAGAAAATCATAAAAAGAAAATCCGGTAAAAGATAAAATCATTTATCCATATTTGCCATTTTTTTTTTAAAAAAAATAAGAATAATAAAAATAATACAAAATCGTTCACAGCTTTGCTTTATACGCCACCAAAGATATCTTTCTTTCAATTATAAAGCGCCTTATGTATTGTGTTTTGTTATTGCTATTATAATTATAATTATAATTATATATTATATTTTTCAACATCAGGTTGGACAAGCAGCTTGTTAGAGTTTAGAAACGAGACAGATTTATAAATTGGAACGATCAGACGGAATTTAAAAAACATAATATAAGAAGGAAATAGTAGAAGAAGAAGAAAAAAGAAAGAAAGAGAGAACAAGGAAACCATTGAGTTGGGTCCTGACCAAAGTAATAGATAAATGTAGAAAATGTAGAGATGCTATAATTGGAGAAGAGCTCGTTACTGGCTAGTAAGCCACCAGAGACCAGACACGGCGAGAGATCCCCACAGAGCCCAGTTTGTGTCTTGGCGAAGGCCATTTGAAGAAGGTGTGCTGGTTTTGGTATTAGCCAGCACATTGTTGGATGGTGTGGCTACTTTGGCACCCACAGGCGGCAGGGAGGAAGGTGGAGCTAAAGAGGGAGTGGTTAATATTAGTAAACCTATCCTTAAGCGATCTCTTTTTGTGTATATCTTTGATGTTCATATGTAGTGATTATGTGTAGTGTTTGTGTTTGTAAATAGTCTCTCTGTCTCTGTCTCTATAGATCTTATTTACTTGCACACACATACACACAATTACACATAGGTATTTATATACACAGATTTTACACACGGAAAAGAAACTCCTTGTTTCCATATTCTTGTTTCTACTCTTTCTTTTTTCTTGTTGGTATTAATTGCGAATATTACCTTGGGATACAGTCGAACCAGAGGGGTGAGGGGGACTTGGTGTGTTGACCTGGGTTGGACTGGCAGAAGGAAGGGGTGTAGCAATTGGCTGAGACCATGATCCAGTTGTTATTCCAGCAGAAGGCCTGTATAGAAAGAATAAAATAAAATAAAAGTTATTTATGTGTTGATTGTCATTATATTGCTTGGTTTCTAGATATCAAAAAATAAAAGATAAAACACACTGAAGGAGTATGTGTTCTTACCAGTTGTTACCGATACAATTCTGGTAGCACACCGTGTTCTCTTTACAAGCTGTGACACAGTTATTGCCGTCCGTAACTAGAAACAAAAAAATAAAAATAAAAATGAGTATTCTATATGTTTGTGTGCGTGTGCGCGCGTGTGCGTGTATATATATATGTGGGTTTGGTACGCCTAGTCAGCCGTGCCGTTCCGTTGGATAATTTACCACACTTGTTAAGGCATGTCTGATCAGTCGCGAGGCAGTTACACACAGCGGAGCAAGAAGCGGCAGAGAGGGCAAGTGAGAGTAGAACGGTAGTGAGCTTCATGGTAATCAACAACAACAACAACCAAAAAAAATAGTAATATATATATAAAATAGGTATAAATGGGATCTACATGAAAAATCCCAGTCTTTATATTACTTTCTTACCAAACTTTTAGGGGCAAAGTAGGGATAATATAGTAAAAGGTGCTTTGGTGGCCCTGACAAAGATATGTGTATGTATATATAAAATAAAAATACAAAAGGCCTATGATACTTGTGGCACGAATGCAGGCCAATGGAGGTGCAAAAAAAACAATAGCATATATATATATATTTAGAGAGAGAGAGACGGATCTTGCATGTGAAAGCGCACCATTCAATAGATCTTACTCTAACCCACGCGTAGCCCAGCCGTTTATTCCTATTCTTATTCTTATTTTGTTTTTAAAGAATAAGAATATCTGTTTTTATATTAAACACTTGTACACTTGTATATATATTCGTAGTACCCATAATCTGTGGGGCTTCTACAAATATTGTATACACCATCCTTATCTGACATCCCCAATTTTTGCTTCTTTTCTCTCTCTCTCTTTGATTTTCTTTTCTTATTTTCGATTCTATATATCTTTATTTATATTAATATAATATGTAGTCTAAAAAAGGCCCCCCTCTCCACTCCCCCTCCTTTACACCCAAGCAACCCTCCCTCTCCTCTATTCCTCCCTGTGTTTATATGTACTTATATATATATATATAAAGTGTGTGTGAGTGTGTGTAGTTTATATGTGTGTTTGTGTTACTAAAGAGAATTTTTGGTTATTGTTGAAGGAGACAAAAAAATTGTGACATACAAATGAATCTACAGATAGATAAATATATAGATCCACACATACATGTACATGTACATGTACATGTACATACATACATACGTACATACATATATACATATATACTTGAAATTCAAAGCACCGGTTTAAAATGGTTCAAAATTAGACATGTTATATTTTTCTTTTGAAACAATTTTTTAGAATTTTTTAAATGAACATAAAAAAAAAGTGAATGGTCTCACATAATTCACTTTGGTAACTGGAGACTTGGAGTGTCTTGTACTTGTGCTTGTGCCTGTACGTTTACAGATGATTAGATTGACGAGAATGTAAATAAAACAAGGTATATATGTATAATGTGTAAGTGTGATTTAGGTGCACAGTTTACTCCTGCAATTTTTTGTAGTATTATTATTTTGTATTTGTGCAGCAAAAGGAAAAGAGGAAATAGAAAGAAAGAAAAGATCGCCTAATAAAATGTAAGTATTCCAATGTGCCAACTACTGAATATCAAGTAGTTTATACCTTGATCTTCCTAATGGGATCAGCCCAATTATCGCACCTAATGTATATGTATATGTATATGTATATGTATATGTATATGTATGTATGCTATTTGTCTGTCTGTCTGTCTGTCTGTCTGTCTGTTTATTTATCTATCTATTATTTGAAGGAGAAATTTAAACAATGGAATACAAAAATATTTATATATATATGCAATATTCACAACATGTGTTATTATGTCTTTTTGATACGATCATGATGAAGATACTGTAGAGCATACGATCTCTAGATTGCAATTGCAATTGAAATTACTATTATCAGTATTATTATTATTTTCTTGCATTACAGCCAATTTATCTGACCAGACTATCATATTTATTTGTGTTTTATCATTATAAGCTTCAATATCACTTGAAAATTTTATAAGATGTAATAGATCCATTATTTCTACACTCAATCTGCTTGCCATTTCCGGCTATTGGTAATATATATATAGTATACAAGCAATATGTCCTATCGCGTTTTGAGAAATAAAGGAGCTCACTCTTGTAAACTGGCATTCAATAATCACTATATATAAAAGAGATTTATATATATTTAATGAAAAGTCAATTATCAAAAATAGCGAAAAATGGGATGATGTTTAAACTACAAAAAAAATTAATAGTAACATATAGAAAGAGCGGGTAAAGATCAAATACCTTTAAATTACAAGAGACCTATCTAAATACCAATATATATATATATATATATATATACCAACAATAGACTTGGTCTTCCAAGTATCATTTTTTTTTGGTTGGCGTGAATACATAGTGTCTTGGATCAATCCAATTTAATGGCCAAATTGCACAATTTTTTTTCTGTACATACATAGATGTATATGTATGCACTTACTACTATTGCTAGAACATCAAGAAAGCGACTTCTTTGAATTCCACAGTATATAATCTATTTTGATAGACATGCATCGCGCTCATTGTTCCTGCATGGTACTCTTACACTCCCAATGTAACAATTTCTCAATTCGATTCAATTCGATTCAATTCGACTCAATTGATCTTTCTCTTTAGTATACAGCAACTGTTATTTACAGGCTTGTTAATTTACTAGTGTATATTATTATAATTAAAATATATATGTATATATCTTTTTCTTTCTTGCTACCAAATTCAGTCGTAAAAAAAACAAGGGATTCTGCATTATACAAATGTAGTTTTTTTTTGTCAGGATTGTGCCTTTTTTCCGGGCTTGCGCGCAATCAAAAGGAATACAAATATAAAGGGATTCTTGATGGTGCATTAACTCAACTCAAATAAATTCAACTCAATTCAAGTCCTGTCACAAAATACCTGTGATGTTACGGCACGCGCACACAAAGAAGAAAAGAAAGAAAAAAGATAAGGGTCCAAACAAGGGGAGGCCATATAAAAGAAGAAATAAAGAATAAAAATGTCTCGACATATTTCTATTATATTTAGTATTCTACCTGCTTTTTTTTTCTTGATTTGGTTTGAGGTTTTTTTTTAAATTATTATCAGAGTAGTATGAAAATTCGATGATGGGTATAGTAATAGTAATAATATTAGTGAAATTTTAATTACTATTCTTCTCTTTTGATCAATAGTAAGAAGAGGGAGTCTCTGTGCACACAGAAAAGGACAATGCAGGAGAGTTGGTGATGAAAAAAGCGTACAAAAAGAAATAGTCTACACACTTGGTGTAAAATATATATATATATATATGAAAAAAGGAGAGGTGGCGCCGGTTTCTGCAAATAATATAAATAATAGTAATGTTCTCCGTCTAGTGTCAGAATACAACTCATTAAATAAATGAGGGTACTTTATTTTACTTTATTTTATTAATATAGAGGCACAATTCTGTATCTGTGCTCTTGTGAATGAGGAATACAATTGGGTCTGTGCTGGTGGTCCTAGGGCCCTAAGAAGAACTGTCTTGAAAATAACAATATTAATAGTAATATTAATAAATAAATAAATAAAACCCGCTTCTTCATTTTCAAGAATACAAGGACTCGTGCTAGATGTGTGGAACAGTACACACATACACACACACACACACAAACACATTTTGATTCTTGATTCTTGTTTTTTTTTGGTATTTGTACTATCTGAGGAGATCTTCAGATTTATGCACGTTTCTAATTTTTGTGCACTCTATGAATATTGTACTCTCAAAGGATCTATTGGTAACCCGAAAATATAAAAAAAAGCATTATCCTAAATTCAACAAATAATCCGAGCCACTACAAAGGAAAGAAGTATGTAAATATTAAAACATAGGGCGTGTAAAAGACTGTTTTTGGAGAGGTCCACATGGCATAAAGAAATCACGCATTATCAAAGAGCATATATATATATATATATATATCTTATTTTCATTTTGAATGCTGGTCCATTTAGGGTTCATTTTACATATTGAAACATTTAATAAGTTATATATTGTAGAATGTGATTTTTATTATTGTTTTACAGCATAAACCATAGGCACACATACACAAAAGAGAAGCAAAATTTTTTTTGGTCCGTTATTCTCCTGTGTGGTTATGGTATTTTATTTCAATCTTTTATTTCTATCACTCATGTTGGATCTTCAAATGTACCCAATTTGAACATCTTTGTGCACTCAACTTGACAGAACAGAATAAATCAAACAAATATATCTTTATTTTCTTTCATGCTTTAAACATTTATACCAGCTGCATATTTCTGCAAAAGGATAAAGATCTGTGGAGATCATTTGTTGCATATATATATAATAAGAGGCATGATAGTGCCACAATCTTTAGTCTATATTCTTGTTTTTGTTATGACTATCATTTTATACATCTTGAGTAGCAAAAGATATTCTATTCTTTAATAATTTATCTATTGATTAGTCTGTTTGACTGTCTGTTTGGTTGTAAAATTCATCGTTTTTCTCTATATCTTTATATATGTATATATTCATATGTATGTATATGTATACAGATAAATATAAATATAAATAGATAATGAGCGTACTGTGCATGCGGTATAAAGGTAAAGAACCAGATCTTCTAGATCCAAACTATAGCAATCTATAAACCAAGTATATACAGTACAGTGTCTCTGCATTATAATATATAATAAAACACATTCTTGTTTTTTTAAAGCAAGATAAATCATAAGAATAATCGGTTGTGAAGAGTTTATAAAAAAAAAAGGTATCCAATGACTTGCTTGACCTTATAAAAATGAGGAAAATTGTAACGATCAATATATCGTCCATTGCAATTGTGCTAAAAATCTTTAATAAAAATTAGTGTGGCTAATATTATTATTAAAAAGAGGGTACTTGATACTTGATACTGGATATTTTATATTTAGGGGTAAGTATATATTTATTTATCGTGGTTCAAGTAGATCAGAGCTATATGTTCTAATCTCAACTCACTTGTTCGTAGTATAGTCTTGAAAATGATCATTTGAAATGCTTTGGTATTAAATGGTATTACAGGAAACTCGTTCTGCATATATCACTGGTATTCTCTGTAGATAGAACATGTCACGACAGCAGAGTTGGATATTAAATACAGAAATAAATAAATGTCAAAGCCAAAATATTATCAGTAACACCATTATATATATATAAAAGAGAAAGAGAGAAAAGGGAGAAGATGCGTGTATGTATGTGAAAAGGGGATAAGGATAAAGTTTTTCCACACATTTCTTCTAATTAAATAAATAAATACTGTCAAGAAGTCTTCGTCCTTTTGATTCTAACCAGCACCCACTATTAGATAATGTATAAAAATACAGTTCCAAAAAAGAAAGAACGAATACAAAGAATCAACTTTTTTATATTTCTTTCTTTAAAAAAAATATTGTAATTTATATAGATAATCTCCAATGATTCAAAAGGTCTTTATCCCAGATAAATGCATTAGTAAAGAAACATTTTTACTCACTTTCTTTCCTTCTATCTTGGTTGAACTTTTGTTACTAGAAATCAACTCATAAACTTATGCTTGTGATCCTGCTTGGGTTTTTGGTTATTATTGTAGTGCAACTGATATTATGAATTATAGATCTGTATATGTATTTGACAAAGAAGAGCATTCTTACGGCTATTAAAAGTAAAGGTCGTTTCCAAGCTAGAAATCTGACAGTTTTCATACCTGGATAAACTCTTTTTTTTATTTTATTTTATTTTATTTTATTTATTTCATTTTTGGTTACTTTATTGACTGTAATATGTATGCTCATGTTATTACAAAATGGTCTGAAAAGAAAATAAGGTAATATATTATTTAGTAGAGTTTGGGATTTATATGTGCGTATTTGCGTATTTGCGTATTTGCTTTTTTTAAAACATCCACAGCGGTTTGTCTAAATTAAATATTTTCTGGTTTGTCTAAATTTTAAGTCACATATTTGTATCATCAATTACAAGAAATAATAAATAAATAAATAAATAAATAAATAAATTAAAGATCAAGGTTAAATATCAAACGTTCCTTTCTTTAATATATATATATCTATATATCTATATCTATATATTTTTAATAATCCGAATATTATAAACTATGAGCGCCCATCAAAACCATAACGACCTTGACGAATACTTGGATGTAGAGGGATACGAGTACTTCTTTGACGACGAAGATTCGGATATTGAAATGTTTGAGTACTTATTTGGTGACGATGAAGAAGAGGAAGCGAGATCTACAGCCATCATTGCAGCGATCTCACAGATTGTGAATGAACCTGTACCCGAAACCCTCGACAACTAAATAGGGGACCTATCGAAGTGTTGTAAATAATGGCTGTGAAACCACTATCATATAAAGTAGCTATAACCAGTCTTTCGTTTTCTTCTTCTTCACTGATGTGATATGTATTACTTTGTTTATTAAATAAAATAAAATAAAAGTCAACAGAGGTAGTGTAAGAGATAATGTCTGTTGAGGAAAAATAGGGTTAATTGCATACTGAAAACCAATTGTTGGTTAGACTATATAGTTTGGCAAAATATAATAATAATAATAATAAAAATAATAAAAAAGATAAGAGAAAAGTGTTTTATTCATCACTTTAAAGATCATCTTCATCCTCTGTTTCTTCGGCATCTTTTTCTGCACGGCGAAGGGCTAACCCTTGCTTCAGCAAAAAGAAACGACGTCTAGTTGGGTCCGTGATTGTTTCCGTGTCAACCGTCATATACTTAAAATCGAGCATATCCTGGAGGAATTTGGCCTTCATGTTGTCAGAGACCCGGGATCTCTTTTGGTTATCGATCAGATCAAAAAGAGCGTCCTCAATCGTTCTCTTCCTTTGGTTGATGGTATTGCTTTGTGCGCGACATATGAGCCTGCCATCCTCTTCCTCTGAACTTTGCCCAGCCCTGGCCGCCAGTAACTGTTCATTTGTGGCTTTTTGTATTCTTGAGGAGCCTTCTAAGCGACTAATCCACTTGGGTGCTTTTGCCAAAACTGCATAACAATGATCCAAATTGAAGGTCTCATTGTTATTTTGTGTTTTATATAAAAGCTTCGTTTCCAGAATCTAAAATTACATAATATATCAATTATAATTTAATCAAGTCTTTGCTTAGGTAGGATATTACCATATCCATGATATTGGGGTCACTTTGATGGCGTCGCTCAACTTGAGCAAAACAAATACAGAACCTCGATACTTTTCGCTGTATATGGTTCCAGCGAGAGGTCAATGAACTGGTAGAACGGACCGTAAATCCGGCACCCAGGTTTTCAGCGTAGTCAACCCCAACTCTATCCCACATGGTAGACCCTCTTTGATTTCTACCCGTAACGGGATCTTGAGAAACAGCCAGCCAGGACTTACAAAGCTGAATATCCTCCAAGTGATTCCAATTAGCACTACGATTATTGGTAGGCGTAGGAACAGGTACAGGAGAAGATATATCGGCAGCAGAAGATGATGAAATGCTTTTACTCATTTTTTTTTAATTTTTTTTTAGAAAAAAAAAATTGGAACAGTAGAAAGAAAGTAGTGCCCAAAATTTTATATATGAAAAATATGCCCTTTTTTTTTAATTTATATTGTTTTGGGGGATTCCCAAGCGCATACCAAAAAAAAAAAACCCTTTCCCCCCCCTGAATGTTTTATTGAAACGCTAAATTTTAGATATCCGTTAAATATTTTTTAAATATAAAATATTTTAATCAAGACATTTCTTTAAAGCTCCGGATGCGCAACTTTTATATATATATAGATCAATAAAAATTAATTGGTGTGGACAGACTAAAAGTTCAAAACGAAGTTCAAAAGTTTTGTACCTTTTTTTTTGGTTTCTTAAAACTCCAATCCAATAATACGGCTTATATTTTTTTTTAACTTTTAGTCTGTCCATACCAACTGTATTCATTTAGACAAACTGTTGTGGATGCTCTAAAAGTCTATATCATTCTCTGAGCTATCATCTGTAGTAGGTAGGCTGTTCTTGGTATAAACTTGATGGGATCTAAAGAAATATGCTGGGTTAATCTTTATAGTTAATTTGTTTTATCATTTAAAGAACCTTTGAAACTTACATGGGCGGACTAATTTTGCTTATTTCCTCTCCCTCTCTCCCTCTCTCTTTCTTATTCTTAACAACAAAGCAACAGTCATAAAATAAAGCTCATTTTATTCATTCTCTTATATAATCAAATGGAATGCATTCAATACAATCTGCTTGATCTCATTGACGATTTTCCAAATTCAATGTCTAATGTGAATGATCTAAGGGTAAAATATCAACAACAAAAAAATGTTAATAGATCTCCAGTTGATTTAAAGAAGAAGATAAATAAAAACCCATATACACACACACACATACATACAAAATCTAGCTGGAGATGGAGAAATACAATGACGCGAAACAAAGAATCACAGAGTTTCAGGAAGAGTATGTGAATACCAAGTTGGAATGACTTTATGCTCAAATCAAAGAAATAATATATATATATATATGTACATATATACATACTACACTGCATTACATACATACACACACACACATATATATATATATATATATTATGCGTAGAATGAAGCTCCGGTTATTACACCAAGGTGCTTCTTCTGTGGAGATTGTGAGGTTTTATATTCTCTGTATACGGACCTTTCGATACTTAGATCCTAGCTGTGAATTGTTATTACCTGTGGTTGAGATGATGGAAGAGTATTGCAGGCAAGAATTAGATATTGTCTCTAGTACAATCTGATTTTATTTTCTTTACTAAAGAAATAAATATAACAACAACAACAACAACAACAAAAATATTCATCTGTACAGAACCTATCGAAAGGACATGGTGCATGCTGTAGTAAAAAGAATACGAGAAGACGACGACAACAGTTTGTGTCCCGACCCAGAGGATACCTATGTATTTGATGCTGATGAGTTGGGAAAAAGTGTGTCAGAAGGGTATTATCCTCTTTGTGAAGACAAAGGAGAGTTCTGTAAGGATCCAAAAAAAGAAAAGAAAAAAGAAAGCAGTTCTCACTATCTCTTTCTAGTTGAAAGGCAGTGGCTGGAGCGGAAGAGCTTGGATATTGTTGCTATGCTCTTTACACTGTGCGAAACACAAGAGTCACTTGCAAAAGAGAATTTTGTAAAAGAATACCAAGATCAGCTCGGCAAAGCTCTCCTAAAAGACCCAGGTTATGACACTGAGACTGAGGTACTCCGTTAAGAGCATATGTATATCGTACTTATTATCGTAGATTATCCGCCTAGAGAAAATCAATGAACGACTTTTGGGTGGCGCGATGCAAAGCTGTAGTATCATGATCAAGGATATGGAGAAAAGTGCACAATTGAACGATCGAATCCGCAAGAGTACATCTGTTTGGCCAACTGATTTCAAGGCATTGGTTTTGTCGAGACACTACTGGATGGACCCTGAAGATGATATACCAGAACAGACACTAAGACTCGATACTCCATGTATTGAGTATGTATACATATATCTATAGAAATCAAAGATGCTCGTGTTAAACGAAAATTTGATTGCTATTAGGTCCATGGAAATCTATGAACAAAAATATCCTATTATACAGCCTTCTCGTACACTCAACTGGCTGCCAGAACAGGGCTCTGTTACAATTGAACTCACATTTAAATCCAGAACAATCGAGATGTCTGTAGATCCCATCACAGCCACTGTGATTTCTCAATTCAGTACAAAAGGTACGGATCTTTATTAATTACAGCTTGAAAAAAAATGTACCTTTTTTTCTTCTTCTTGTTATTATTCTGACTGACTGTCTAATTGTACGGACTAGACATTACTTTTACTGCAAAACAAATTGCAAAGAATATCGGTGTGCCGTCGAAAATAGCATTCAAAAGCCTTGTTTTCTGGCAGCAACAGAATATTCTAGCCATTACAAAAGACCATCATTTTCAATTAGTAGAGGAATAAAGTATCAAGGCTTATATATATATAAAATATATACATTATGATGCTTCATTACACATTATGCTTCCAATTCTTTATTTATTTATTTATTTATCAATATTATTATTTTCAATTTGATGAAATCCGCGTGAATTATTAAGCGTATATCCTGTATTATTTTATAGATGTTGATTATGGCCATAACCACAACCACCACCGTACAATATTGCGTATACTTTGACTTAGTCATATGCTGTCAGAACTGTACTCTGTATGACTTGGTCTATTCAGATATTAAATAAATAAATAAATAAATGAATAAATAATGAGAATACATTAACTACTGGTTCATCAAACTTTAATCATCATCAGTCACATTTACACCATTTTCCTCCAATGGCCAACACTATTTTTTATTTTTTTATTATTTTTTTGGTTGTTAGTTTTGATCAATCTACAAAATATTATACTAAATAAATCCCGCTCCCGTACCCAAGTTGTCTGTGTAGTAAATATCATAGTGGAAACTACTTAAATAAAAAAGTAACAGGAAGAAGCAATGCAAAGTATAGGAGAGGGTTGGTATAAGACAAAAGAAGATACTTTTAATTCTTATTATTTCTTATAGAAAGAATAATGTATATGAGACTCTTTTGTGTTTGTGTATTTGTGAGCCTAATACTGCTTTCCGCTTTACTCCGGATTGCATCAAATATGCTCAGCTATCTGTTCTAATAAGAGTATATTGTGATAATAAAATAGTTAATCTGGTGTGCAGACAATGTACTGCTAATGATGCTGCAATTATGTAATATGAACAAGAACCAATTGACGTTCACAAAAAGAAGAATAAGAATAAGAAATCAGAAGGAAAGCTTAATATAAATTATATTAATAAATAAAATAAATAATTAAAGCAAACCAAAGGCCTTTAATTCAACCTTTTTTTTCATTTTTTCCATCAACTGGATCTGTGTGACCTGCTCTCTTGGAGCTGTATTTTTATTTTATTCTATTTTTTTTTAATGTTTCTACGTGTCTCGTCCCGACGTTTAGTTGGTCTCAATCGCTTCTTTCACTCGACTTCTAATCTAATGAGCGCACCTCGTTTCACTCCCGCTTCAAGGGTGGCAAGTTTTGACACAGATGGTATACATCAATGACAACATTACCCAACATTACCAGTCATATTCACAAATTTATTCATCTAATTCATTCATTCCCTAGTCTGGTCTATCTTTACTCCTCTTGCCGCAGAAACCAAGGCTATCAACCTTGGTCAAGGTTTCATGAAGTATGTATTATTATCACTATTATAATTGTGTATTGGTGTAGCTTGAAAGTAAAACACAATTATAAGTATTGTTAACATTAATATTCTTATTCTTATTGTTAGCTTTGGTCCTCCTGCATTTGTTCAGGAAGCTGCCAAACATGCTATCGATCAAGTCGAGTCAAACCAATACAGGTTAGCAAGCTGACTAGTCAGCTAAGTTAGCTAGTGAGCGGATTGTGTAACCTCAGGCACATCAATTCTCACCTTTTCTCTTCTTCTTATTGTCTTCTTTCTTAAAAGTCATCCTCGTGGACGTATCAGACTGAGAAATGCCTTGGCTGCTTCATACAGCCCAGAATTTGGTCGTGAGCTTAACCCTGAGACAGAGATTATTGTCACTGCTGGTGCTAATGAAGGTAAGACTACTTTGATCTCTTTCAATACATATTAGCCCTCCCCTCCCTTTCTTTTTTTCACTTCTCTAAATAAAATATATTCGGGGGGGACTTGAATTATTATTGGTAAATAGCAATCTTTGCTACCTTTGCCGGATTTTTGGATGAGGGTTCAGAAGTTATCTGCATGGAGCCATTCTTTGATCAGTATATTGTAAGTTTGGGGAAATAGGTTATTAAAGTGATGATTATAAGGGAAATGTACTTAATTGTACATATATGTATGTATTCCTTCCTTTTTTATTTCTTGGGGGAAATTTCTTGAATGAATTAGCCCAACATTACCATGAATGGAGGAAAGCCCGTTTACGTGCCCCTCAGAGCACCTGCAGACTCATCCGAGAGAACTGTCTCATCACATGAATGGCGTTTGGATATCGACGAACTTCGATCAAAGATCACATCCAAGACAAAGATTATTATCATCAATACCCCTCACAACCCAATTGGTAAGGTCTTTGACGAAGAAGAGTTGATGGCCATTGGTAAGGTTGCAGAAGAGCACGATTTGATTATCTTGACAGACGAAGTGGTGAGTAAATTGTATATCTAATTATATATATATATATAATGTATGTATCTAAGTATTAATTATTATTATTATTTTTTATAAAAAAAACCATTCTTCATAAAAAGTACGATCGTCTGTACTACCCTCCTCTCAAAAAGTTCCCTCGTATTGCCAGCTTGGCTAACTTCTGGGAACGCACCATCACTGTTGGTTCTGGTGGAAAGAGTTTTGCGGCCACTGGATGGCGTGTGGGATGGTTGATCGGACCCGAGCACCTGGTGAAGTACTCCTTTGCTGCCCAGACCCGTGTGGTGTTTTGTGTAAACTCTCCTTGTCAGGAAGCCATCGCAGCTGGACTTGAGGCTTCGCTTGTCAAGCCCATATTCCAGGAACAGACAGACGAGTACCTGAAGAAACGTGGGATTCTGTCGGCCGTGTTTGACAAACTCAAATTGCCTTACACTGTGCCCGAGGGAGCCTACTTTATCCTTGTCAATACCGCAAAGATCAGCTACCCCAAGGACTACAAGTTCCCAGAGCTGCTCGACAGCCGTGGCGAGGACTTTAAGATGTGTTACTGGCTCACAAAGGAAATCGGTGTCTGTTCCATTCCCCCCTCTGAGTTTTATGTCAAGGAACACTGGCCGTTGGCAAAGGATTTTGCTCGTTTTGCGTTCTGCAAGACAGACGATGTTCTCAATGAGGCTGTCAAGCGTCTAGAGAAACTTGAGCAATACATTAAAAAATAGACTTTCTTTTCTTTTTATATTTATATAATATATATATATATATATATATACATGTACATGTACATGTACATAAATACATAATCAAAAAGAAGGCTAAGAAGAGCAAGAAGGAATCACTGTGCAATTGTTGTTGTTGTTGTTGTTTTTATTTATTTATTTATTTATTTATTTATTAAAATTATCATAGAACAAGATGATTACTTGTTGTGGTTTTGTTGGTGTACAATTTGATTTGTGTTTTCTTTACGCAAATGAGGTTGTTGATATATATATATATAAATTTCTTTCTTTAATGACCAGAGAGAAGAGGGGTTCGTTCACCCAACTGATTTGTCCAACGACCAAATCGATTGTTGACACGGTCAAGCCAGTCTGGAATCAGAGTACGGGCCACAGCACTGATGAGAATACCCACAATCACAAGAGCAGTAGTATGAGCAGTCTCGGTTAAAAAGACAGCAGCGCCCAAAAGAATCCTAAAAAAAAAAGAATGAATGAATTAAAGCAAGTAAACACACACACATATATATATAAATGGGAATATGAATATGAATATGAATTTATTCAAACATATTCATGCAAATCTCTCTCTCTCTCTCTCTCTCTCTCTCTCTCTCTCTCTCTGTGTGTGTGTGTGTGTGTGTGAATATTTACCATGCAGTAGTCAAGGCCCAGACCCAGTCTTTGCGATGCGAGTAGTCCACAAGATGAAGAGCCACAAATCCAATAGCTACTAGGATTGCAATGTGTGCCAGAGCATGTCCCTTTGTAGAGTCACTGAGCTGGAATATTTGCCAGAGAGTGACAAACAGAGTATATGCTGTGTAGATTGAAAAGGGTGCATTCAAAAATGCCAAGTCGGTCTGGTTGCGAGGAGGGTAATCACGCAGACGGTGATAGATGAACAACAGGGCGGCAAGCTGCCACAACAGACTGATAAAAGCAAATAAATCAAGGTGGAAGAGCTTTTTTTTTTTAAAAAAAAAAAAGGATATTATACATGTATTAGTTGTATTGTTTTTAAGAAACCGGTTATAATGAGACTCACCCAGAGAAGAGAAGCGCTTGCGTTGAGAACTGAAATCAAAAGATACCAGTAGCTGATAGCCTCCAAGACATCTGAAACTCATGCTGTCAGTACACGTACATTTGCGTTGATATATATATATTATTGTTATAATATAAGAAAGAAAAGAAAAGAAAAGAAAATGACATTAACCTTTGGGTGCTTTTGGTGTCCACTGGTAGATGGATAATCCAATTAAAAGAAGCTCAAGAACACCAGCAAGGATAATAGCAAAGTCTCGAGGTTGGAATCCTGGTGTATGGCCGAGAAACCTACATACATACATATATTTATTTATTTTGAGTTTCAATCCAAGTAATAATAATAATAATAGTACTAATAAAGCAAGATTTTCTCACTCACCAGCTTGAATAACTGAACCCTTGAGTTACTATGAGGATCAAGGTAGCTAATGTATTTGACACCTTGATCTTAATATCGAGATTCGCCATGACAAAGTAAAGTACAAAGAAGCAAAAGGACGGGTGTGTCGCAGAAAGAAACTGTGCCCACAGAAAGATGACACAGTGACGCAACTGTTTCTATTTGTGGGAATATCACCTCATATGCGGCTCCTGCAGTGTGTCAGAATAAGTTGAGTAGTTTGTACTCTTGTATGTAAATATACATATACATATACATATACTTTTATATTTATATGGACGGGTTGTTGAAGGTGCAGATGTGTATATAGATGTATTGGTTTAAAGGTTGTTTGGCTTATTTATTTATTTATTTATTATTCCTTCTTTCTGTATATAACTGTTTCGTCTTTTGTACTCCTGTTAGAGCCGAGATCTGATATGCTCATTGTGTTTCAAGATGTTTCAAGCATTCAAGGATGAGTGAAATGAGGGTAGGATCTCTTTATTAAGCAGTACATGAGCGTGTGTGTTTGTGTTTGTTTGATCTGGGGTCACTGACCATATTCTTTCTCCTTTTGCTCAAAATTGTTTATAATTCTCTGTCAAGTTTACATACACACACACACAAATATGTAAAAGTATATATATAAAATATCAAGTATGGTTGAATTAAATGAATGGTTAGAGAAATAAATGCTAAATAGATTTTGATATGGTTTCTTTGATGTACAAAACAGTCAATAGTTTGTATGTGTATATGCTTCTTTTTTTTGAAACAAATATATTTCTTAATTGTCTTTCCCGGAATACAGCCGATATTAATTGTATAAAATGCGTATTAATTCCTTTTTTTTTTGGATATTTGTACCTTAATAGAATATCAAAGCCTATAAAACTGACTGGATTTCATATATCATTATTACTATTAAAGTCAATCATATACACTCTTTTCGGAAATTATTTGGTGCAAAAATAAAGATAAAATCTGGTGCAATTTTCTACCGTTTCTCTGCTTAATTCATCTTTTTTGGTGCATTTGGTGCATTCCATTTTTGCACCAAATTGATTTTTATTTTTGCACCAATAAGTTCTGGAAAAAAGTATAAAGGAACAATTTGAGCTTTTTGACTGTCTAAAGTTGCCAGTTCTTCACTAATGGTTTTGTTCATATTCTTTTTCTTAAAATTTATTTTATTGGACATTTGTTCTCTATAGATGCATTAAAAATATAAATTTAATAATTTCAATATTGTCAGATTAATAGTGAGCATAATTTGTGGGAATTTCTCTGCTCATTTCTATAGACCATTGTTTGTTTTAACAAAAGATGTGAGAGGGAAGAAAGCGGTTCAAAAAGATAATATCGATTTATAATGTAACACTACATGTAATGTTCCTGATCTTTAAAATGGACTACATTATCTATAATGTTGTCTGTAATATAACCGCTGCAGATGCTCTTACAGATGGTGGTTACAGCTGGTCACCCCTTTCAAAGTTGGCTGAACTGTATGTATGTCCGGTTCGGACTACGACACAAATCGCCTTGGTCTTTGATCTCACAGCCCCTATATTATCTCAGACCAGACCTCGCCGAGCCGAGCTGTTTGTTGGCTCGGCACAGACCACATGCCAGCATGAATATTCTTTAATTAGCAGATATAAAAATTGCTGATCTTGAGTGACGTCAGCATTCCTGTGGCTAAATAAATCAACTATATAGTGCTGTGTATTTCCCACACAATCGCCGTTAACCTACACGCTTCAGGTTTCTTATAGTATTACTCTATTTTACTTCTTGCAAGCTGTGGATGATACCTGATTACGAGTCGGGATACGCCGGAAGTTATCAGATCTCCCTCGCCACCTTGCGCCTCTTGGGGCACTTTTCTTACGTTAGTGTGTAAACAATATTCTTTTCACTTGCAAATGTCCCTCCCATGAGAGTGGCTATGGTGTATACCTTGCTTGGCGGAGATCTTCTCAACATGCAAGGGTCTCTCCCATGGTTGTAATTGTGGTGTATACGTTGTAAGGAGGCAAGATGTTACTTACATGCAACGCCTCTCCTAAGGTCATGATGTGGTGCATGCCTTGAGGAGAGACTTTTTATACTCTTTAATCTCTCATACTTTTAGGAGTCTTTTGGCATTTACCTTCACGTGGTAGACTCTGTTAATCAAGTAGTAATAATTCTATTTGAGAACTGAAATTTGCCTATTTTTATACACTGCTTTATTTATGTTCTACTTTATTTTTACACTACTTTTAATCAAGACTTTTTACCCATATTTTAAATCATGCTTTATGTTTATAACAACGCGTACTTAATTAAGTCATTTTTACTTGGGATATTCTCCATTTTCTTGTGTAGAATTATTCAGATACTATTCTGTAGCACAGTTATCAAATACAATAATGTCAGAGGTTTATTCAATGTAACAACTATTTTAAATAGAAAAAATATATCATGTAACGGACGACTGGTAGGTCGGATTATGCGGTGTACATACCTAAGTGACAAGATGATGAATACAGGTAGAAATACAATTTTATTAAAGAACAAAATAGATTTTTTGACAGTAATACAATAATAACCACCTAGATTACTGTTAGAATAAGTGGGAAAAGCGGATAAATAAATACCAAAATACAGATTGATAGTTAAGTCAATAGATATAGAAAGGTTTAATGAATTGGGACAGGGGAAAGAAAATAAGATATGTGATAATGTTAATTGAGAAAGTGTAAATGTCAGTATAACTTTGTGCAGAGTTTTTAAAATAAGGATAAGAATACATAGTAGATATTGAAATAATTTAAGAGGGAGGTAAAGTGAGTAATCCTGTGATTTTCTTTTTTGTTGATTTGAAATTTGGAGGCAAAGAAAAATCTTTTTTCCTTTTTATGACAATGGTAGTTCTAGTGACACTCGTCAAAGCCTCGACGGTTTCTTCCATAATACCTCTTGCCAACCACGCGAGCTCTAAGCAAGACCTTATTTCTGATACAAACGACATATATTCACTAGGATATGAATATGTCTCTGTTCTTGTTATTCTTGAGACATATCCTTCTGGAATATCCAGTATAAACATCTTTATATCAAGTCCTATTTTTTTTTAAAAAAAAATACATTTAAGTTTCTATTTTATTTTACTTTCAACTTTTCTTAAAAATACAGCAACCTCACTTACCACTCATAATTATGCTTGGTATTCTTAATGTGTTTATTAGCCCTGGCTTATTCTCAAGGATTTTTTGCATTAAATCCTTCATCAATTTTGGTGCTTTGATGCGACTATCTTTTATATCCTTATCGCCATTCTCATCACTGACTTTGGCTGCCTCAGAAATTCCAAGTTCAAATGAACCATATCTAAATATATGGTCAGGTCGTTTGGCGGATTTCTTTCTCCCGATATTTGTGACCGATGCAATTTGTTGGCCTCTATTTGATTCAAAAGAGGATGCCTTGCTACAGATCTCCCTTTAAAATAAAGTAAATGTAATTGTACATTAGAATTTGATTTATTGATAGCTCAATCGATATTTTACTCTCTTGCTGTTATTACTGAGCTGTCGAACACAGTGAGAACCAGTCTCCAGACCCGACTTAAATAGTCTCTTTCACTGTGCTCTATAAAAGACTTAAAAAAGCCTGACATATGTAGATCCAGACCATCTAACAAAGATTTTTGTGCCCAGTAACAAGATGAATTTTTCTTTGGGCTGTAATATGTTCTGGCTATCCTTTCATGCATAGTCTCGATATTCTAAAAAGACACGTATTAAAAACACAGGGGGGCTTGTTTTGTATATCCAAATACTTACCTCATCTTGAGTGATATTATTCAAGTACTCGAATAATTCACTTGGTACTGGCTTTAATGGTTTTGCTTTATGAGCTTGAATCTCTTCCAGCTCCTCTTGGGTGAAGTATCCACCCCAAGTTTCATCGTCAGTGTCTAGTATTAATGAATGACATGGGCTTTGTGCTCATTTTATTAGTCAAATAATTTTTGTAGAATATTAAAACAAAACTTACTGCTCGTACACACACTCTTTGGCAAGTTCTGCCATCTTCATCTCAACGACTGTTCCTGTAGACAAGGTCCACATTTTTTGAGAATTTAACCCTTCATATATTTCTTTAATGTAGTCCTTGTCATGCTTAGTGAGCTTGTAGGACAAGTTTGACGAAGAAGAATCGTGGCTGGCTGTAGATTGACTACTACTTTCAATCGAAGTTGATTGTTTTGATTTTTTGCACACAGCATCTTCAATCTCTTCCCAGCTTTGGGTTTTCTTTATCTAGACATGTATTTTAGCTTATTACGTATTATTTATGTGTATGTGTACAAGTAATTATTAATTATTATTATTATTCTTTACCAAAAGTATGTTATACTTTTCTGCCACCGCGAATATTCTATTTTGCCAAATGTGCTTATAATTTTTGAAGCTTATGTTATCTATATAATCTTCCACGATTATTTCTTTGATATTCTTTATCAGCTTTGACAGACAAATTTTTTTCATTCTGCTGCTGTAGATGAAGCATGGCTTGGTGAATAGCTGTGAACCATATAAATAAGTTATAAGCAAGCCAGAAGTAAACTGTTTGGTCTCATTGTATTAAATTCTCTTACTTTCTTCGTATTTTATAGGCATCTTGGTAATAAGATGAAAATTATATTACTTTGTATTGAAGCTTAGGTACACTTTGCTATTTTATAGTGTTTTGAAATATATATATATATTGGTTGATACGCTGTATTTTATTTAACACACATTAAAGTTGTGGCTTTGTTTTAAGGGGCTACAGTTAAAGCATCCACAGTGGTATGTGGGAAATAAATGTGTATTTTGGAATAAAAAAAAACAAATTTAATATATAAACTTCAATTCAACCACATTGGTTTTGCCAAACTAGATATTTCATGACTTTTCTAACGCGAGGATTGAAATATTCCTATCAGCAACATATAAATATTGTGTGTTTCTTGTAACACAATGGTTGTTGCCTCCTCCTCTCCAACTTCTTCCGATATGGTATTGGCTCTCCGAGCCGCGCTTTATTTATTGTAAAATTTCCCTGGATAGACCAGAGAACAAATATGGAAGAAACAATTGCTGATTCAGAGAGGTACCGTATCTGGAGCATCGAAGAATTGCTCTCCATCTTTGTCGCCAACGGAATTGTCTTCTGTATTGGTCAGCCTGATAACCAAAGAGGTAAAGTCAGCAGATAAAACATGGTTTCGGCGGTAATGATGTTGAAATACATCTTCATTCGACCAATTGTCTAAGGTAATACTATTTACCACAGGCATTCCACGTTCCAAAGCTAGAGAGAAGGCCAACGAGCGAACCGAAACCGACAACGGAGAGGACAGGCGTACTAACGTGTGTAACCAGGATGAAATTGTAGATGCTTTTACGACTCAGGATGGTTTTGTTGCCTTGAAAAATAGTGAATTTGGAGGTCTAGAAGCCGCTCCAGGGTGGTCTCAAAGGGCACAAAATGCTAAGACAGGACACAATGTTGGGTCCGGGTGTGCTTGTACTCGAATAGTCTTGATGATTTACCTACTCTGGCAACGTTCTTTTGGTACCACTACGTCGAATGTGAGGGCTTTGTTTTATGCCGCAACAGATGCATATGTGAGGTTTAGTCTCGAAAGACCCGAAGGTTGAAGGAATGCAGCCATGACCAAGGGGAATGCTGTTTTCTTTGATAGAGAGGCCAAGGGTGTGTCTGTTGATGATGCTACGTGAGACAAAAACTGCAAGGTTAGGGTAAGATCCACTTTTGGCTTCGTTTTTCGGATGGGAGGCACAAGTTGTGCAAGTCGAGTAAACAGGTTAGTGATGTCTTCATGATGTCGGATAGAGTTCGGATGGTCATGTAGCTTGAGAACTGCCGTACGATGTGATGTAATGGTGCCAAAACTGTACCCTGAAGAATGTACATATACTAGAAAGTTGATGAGGCCTTGCACTGAGAATTCTGTCAGGGAGACATCCTGCTGCAATTCCCATGTAATGAAGAGGTGTTGTCCCCTTTGATACACTCGGTTGGTTGGTTTGTTCTCCAGAGCCACCCATAAAAATGTTCATTGAATCGTCAGTTAAACCTCTGTCTTCATATCGACGCTTGAGACTCTGAATGCGGCGAGCTTCCACTGTGGGTTCTTCAAGGGTCAGGGTATCTTGGGGGAGGCCAGGACAATATCCGTTGCTGATAGAAGTATTGGTAGGGCAATGCTCATTTCTAGTAGCATCGGGTACCAACGTGCGCTCGGCCAAATTGGTGCTATGATGGTTTCTGTCAAGTCTTCCTGCCATATTTTGTGTAGGGACTTGCTCAGTAGGTTCCACGGTGGGTTTAGGTAACAGTTTTGCCAGTTGGACCAAGGGACGGAGAATGTGTCGGTGGCGACGGGCTTTGGATCTGGCATCCATGACACGTATTCTGGCAGGAGGTGAGTGATCTGGTCGGCGAACAAGTCGGCTGAACGAGGTCCCCAGTGGGATTGAATCCATTAGAAGGCCGAGCGGGAGAGTTTCCATAGGTGCTTCGTGAATGTTCGCCTGAATTCTAAGTCGGCTGTGATGTTCTCTTTCCCGGCAATGTGTTGTGCTGTTGGTCGTAGTCCTCGGTGTAAGCATAAGTGCCATATCTTGGTTGCTAGAGACATGAGGTGAAAAGCTTTTCATCCACCCTGCTTGTTGATGTAGGATAGGGACGTGGTGTTGTCCGTGCGTACGAGTATTGAGGTGTGTTGTAGAGAAGGGAAGGTTTGTAGAGCAAGTTGGACCGCTTTCATCTCGCGCCAGTTGATAGAAATACTGGCTTCTTGGTGGTTCCAGTAACCGTGAGCTGTCTGGTTTCCCAATGAGCACTCCCACCCCGTGTTGCTCGCGTTGACGAAAAGGACATGCTTGTTCTGTTGTGGTAGCAACGATCAGGCATTCCACTGGAAAGTATTGCGCTCCCGCCAACGAAGTTCCTTCTGGCATGATATGGGTAGTGGGTGTGATGATGAACAGCGAAATTTTATGAACAAGGGTACATTTCCTTTCTACAAAATACTCTCTCCCCCAAAACCTGTTGCGAATGGCCGGTTGTATGGGCTGATTCCTGTAAATTACATAAATCTATATATATAATTTTTTGCATTAAATAGTACACACATAGTAATAATTAAATACAGTCAATGGTAGAACCGATTTCTCTTATTGGTAATAGTGGTAATAATGGAGTGGTGGTGTAAAAATAATTAAATTTAATCTTTAATATTTATTTTTTTGTTGGTGTTGTATATGTATGTAAAAGTTGAATGCTATACTTGGCCAATATACCCAATTGTACCTTTTTTGTTACTATAGCAACAACAGTAGTCTCTATAATGCAATGTACACATTTTGCTTTTTTTTAAAAAAAATAATCCCCAGATCTAGTTGCATTTTTCTATGGTTTTCTTTTTCTTTCTTTTTTGATTGACTCCTTTTAATGCCATGTGTGTGCTGATGTGATTTATAAACATATGTGATTCTCAATTGAATGTTTGTCAAGAAGAAGAAGAAGAAGAAGAAGAATAAAGACGTCTTATTCAGCAAGGGATGAATGTTCTGTTTATGAAAGAAATAAAGAAAAGAGAAATTGTGTGCTTAATTACCAAATAAACTACAGTAAAAAAAATCCTAATTCCAAACATCACAAACTCACTATGATTAAATTTGATAGCTTGGTTACTTTAGAGTACTCGTGATATTTATATGAATTGATTAGTGAGATGGTGGTAATGGTAATTTTCAATGGCAATAGCAATAGAAATAGCAATAGAAATAGCAATAGTGGTGGCAATGAGGGTATATTATTGGGTACCGATCTAACGACTGTTGATCGACAGGAGAGTATCAAGAGTTGGATACATAATGTTGCAGCATTCGGTTAAAATTACATTATGAGCCAAACGATTGGTATTGGTAATTCTAGTTTCTTATGTTTATACAAATATGGAATAGGTTGATAGCTTGATAGCTTGATAGCTCGATAGATAGGTAGGTACTTATATGACAAGAAACTCACGATCTGGATGTACAAGGTAGATAAGCTACAATTTGTATCTATGAGTCAAGATATTATATAAATAAATAAAATATTATAATAAATGGCGCAACATGAGAGGAAATGATTGAATAAAAATAAATAAATAAAAAAAAAGTTAAAATATCTATACAAATATATCATAAGAAATAATTATAATTATAATAATAATAATAATAATAATAATAATAATAGTAGTAGTTTGTGTTAGTATTTTTTGTTAATCCAGACTCGTGGTTACATTTTTTTTTTGGTTGCATTAAAATTGTATATATTTTGGTAGATCTCTCTTTTTTTTTTTATTATTTGCTATCTATAAAATACTATTTGTAATAAGACAAAATAGATAGCGGGAATCCAGATATCTGGCTATACAGCCAATACCATACAAGCTATTTCAAAAAATATATATATTTTTATATAAAAAATATGTTGAATTTTCATATGATATTGTCTGTCAAAAATATAAATATATTAATTGTGTGCTACTCTTCTTAGGTTACTCAATTCTAAACCTGTGCCTTTTTTTTTGCTTATCTAAAAAGTAAAATATGATAAAATATAGACAGCATGTCCTTTCTTTCTTTTTTTACTTATTTACTTATTTACTTATTTATATTGTATTATAAAATCTATTTCTCATATGTAAAAAATGATAGACACTAATCTGTGTTTGCGAGCTTGTATATATGTGTACGCTCCGAGGATCAAAACTGCCCCCATGATGTCCCCCCCTCTCTCTCTAACCCTTTTATTATATCTACTATATTCTATTATATTTCATCTCACATTAAACATCTCCCCCCTTCTATCTATCTATCTTATTTTACTCCCTCCCTCCCAAGAGATAGTGCGTCTATATAGTAAAGCAACAAAACGCCATGTATATATATTATAATCAAACCAATAGAGTGAGAAAAGAACAAAACAGAATTGAGTTATTAATTCTATCAATAATAATATTTATGTTTAATCTAATAAATAATATTGAAAGGAATGCCGATGATATTCAATACACTACATTACACCACATTACACTATAACATAACATAGTAAGACCCTGCATATTTCACCAGCTTTGCTTATATTTCTTTCTCTCTTTAAATGACGAGATGAGAGTTTTTATTTATTTTATTTATTCAATAATTGAACTATAGCTATATTAGAGAATTCAATTCAATTCAATTTAAATAAAATAAAATAAATGTGTAGTATGTAAAGGAAATTGTACAAGTTTGTAGAGTGTATCTCTTTTTTTTAAAAAAATAAATAAAAGAAGATGAGTGTGTGCAAGAGACATGTATATAAAAGAAAGAACAAATAATAGTAGTAGTAGTAGTAGTAGTAGTAACAAGACAAAGGCAATCAAGACAGAGAGGGTATAATCTAGGTCTGCTTGAATTAATGTAGGAATGAATATTTTTTTAGACTTTGAACAAATAAACAAATGAATATGAAAATAAAATAAAATAAAATGAAATAAAATAAAATAAAAATGAAATTTTACCAGGTGAGGTGAGTTGAGTTGAGTTGAGTTGAAAGTAAAGTAAAGTAAAATAAAATAAAATAAAAGGGGGGGAGGTATTGGAGTTGGTGGGTTGATCGGGGACCAAGAAAGAGAGATGTGAGATACAATGAAATGAAGGTACGATGAATGTAATGCGGCCACATTTAAGATGGCGATAGGGAGAGAAGTGAGGGGGTGGAGTGCATGTTGAAAGGTGTGCACGTGGGTTTTTTGTGTAGGGCATAGGTCGTAGTAGCCATGATTCCTGTTCCTGCTGCTGTTCCTGCTGCTGTTCCTGTGCTTTCAGGTGTAAATGGCCGGTCGACTGAATATGTAGAAGACCCTGATGAACCCGAAGATGACCAAGATGATGGTGTGACTGTAGGGAGTGGAGGGGGTCGAGTTGTTGGGGCTGGAAATGGTGGGTGGGCAAATATATGGCTTGGTTTGGCATGTTTGGCGCGCTGTGCTACAGACGCAGCAGAGGAAACCAACCCATCTTCATCGGTATAAGATCCCACATAGTCTAACATGGTGCGTGTAAATGATGGTGTGTAGGCCACGGGTGCTGTGGCCGTCGTAGTTTTTAATAATAGTAGTTTTTCTTTCTGTTGTAGTCCAATCGGCATCGGCAGCGGCAGAGGCAGAGGCAGCGGCATAGGCAGTGGTGGCAAAGGTGCAGGAGGAAGGCTGGCTGTGTTGGAAACCGTGTCATGTTTGGTGAATGTACGACAACCAAGGATGAGAATCCTCAATTCTGGTAGAGAAATTCGGCGCGCGGGATCAATGCAAAAGATGCGACTCAGAATAGAATCCAATTCGTCTGAGATGACGGGTAGAATGGAACGGAAGAAATGGCGTGGTTTGCGAACATAAGCTTTAAAGGTGGGGTCCTGGAGATTGGCCTCCTTCCAAGGGTTCCGTCCAACGACCAGATTGATCAAAATCACTCCCAGGCTCCATACGTCACTTTGCTGGCAGCCATAAGCTTTACGTTTCTGATCTTTACGAAAAGAAGCACCCTGACACTCTAAAGAGATTATAAATAAGTACAAATATTTATATATATATATACATTTATTTATATATATTTACCTGGTGAATAGTAGAATATCGACCCACAGCCAAAATCTGCAGATACTGTTCGTGTGGTGGCGAGTCCAAAGTCAGCGAGTTTGACAAGGAGATTCGGGAAAAGCAAGACGTTTTCCGGCTTGAGATCACGATGGAAAACTCCGTTTTGGTGACAATGTTGTACGGCGCTCAAGATTTGTAGAAATACATGTCGGATGGCATGGTTGTCACCGACAATTTCATGTGCTTTGGTAATTGCTGCAAATAGATCGCCTCCAGGAGCGTACTCAAGCACAATGAATACCCCCGCAGGCTCTGTTGTCACTAGGACAAGGGAGAGCACGTTTTGGTGGCTGGGAAGTTGGGAGTGTATCGAGATCTCATTCTCAGTCGTCTTTGTTCCAAGAACCCATTTCACAGCATATCTCTGGTTGGTGTGGATGTGTTGACCAATAAATACGACTCCATAGGCACCGGTTCCAATGATATCGACTAGTCTGATGGTGTTGTTGTGAATGTAGGTGTTGAGAAGTGGTTGAGGGTCGAGTTTTGGGCGCTGAATGTGTGTGGGCGGCATTGTAAAGGAAAAGAAGAGAAATGAGTTAACATCAAATTCAGGTTTTTTTTTTGGGTTCTTGGCTATTTATCGTCTGGCAGCGATCCACCTCATGGCCTGCTCTAACTTTCCGACCTTGCGTTGCACTCAAAAAGGAATACGGTCCGTGTGCCTTGCTTCATAGCCCAAAAATAAAGACTAAAACAAAGTTTGCTCGGTTGCAATAAAACTATCTCTCTATTATATTATTATATATATATTTTTACTCCCCCAATATCTTCCTCTCCCCCTCCTATTCTTTACAATGCTTTTATATATATATGACCAGAGGTATCTATGTATATGGCCCCTCTGACCCCTCCTCTTCTATACCTTTACCTTCTCTTTCTCATTCACTCCCCCCCTATTTGAATTTTTATAATTTTATAATTTTTATATCCAAATTATCCTGTTATCCCTTTTTCGTCTATTCTGTATAACTTAGTTTCTATATATTCTCAAAACCTTGTCAACCGTCTATTCCGCTCGGATAAGGACGGACATTTCTATTTCTATTTCTATATTTTTGCTTTGTTTTTTTTTGTGCTTATATGTTTATATAGTTTATTGCATAGAACTGATCCGACATCACCATAGCTACCACCATCACCATAGCTACCACCATCGACATTACTTATCAATAAATATATCAACAAGCAAACCTGCCATTTTAGTGTCACCTCTTTATTTACAAAATATTTACACATCTTATTAAGGGAGAAAAACAAATAAACTTGAATAATTTATCTCTAACATTACGGAATCAAAAAAAAAAGAAACAAACAAATATATATATATAAATATATATGACTTTTTGAGATTTTATTCTTTTTGCTTGGAAATCTGGGTCAAAGATTAATCACACAGTGAATTCCTTTATTTTATTTTATCTTTTCTTGTTGAACTCCCTAATCATTCTTTTACTCAACAGTTACAATATCATGAGAGCCTCCCCCCTAAACCGCCTGCCTCCTTGTCCCACGAAGAGCAATAGGACAAAAAAAAATTTTTTGTAAAAGATACACACACACTACACGCACTACACGCATTAAACACCAGGCCATGCGATAATAATGCGTACAATGTGTGTAGTGTGTGTAGTGTGTGTAGTGTGTGTGTACTGCTTATTTTTTATTTTATTTTTTTATTTTGATTTATTGATCGATTGATTGAATTTATTCATTTATTCATTTTGATTGATTTGACCTGAAATGAGTTGAAATGAACTGAAATTAACTGAACTGCGTTGAGTCCAGGCCAATTCAGAAAATATATATATGTGCAAGGGAGATTAGGATGACCCAAAATATCTTACACATATAAAATATAAACATACACAAAAAAAACTACTTTACAAGTTCTGTAAAACCAAAGTATCAATTAAACCATTCATTTTGATTCTTTTATTTCTTTCTTTTACTTGGTTGAATATTGAGATTGTTCCACCAATTTCGCACGTGTGGTCATAGTAAAAGCATGTATATAATTATAATTATACTCTGGGTTCCGTATCCAAAATAGGATGATTTGGTGAGCTCAAAAGAAAGATTAGATGAGGCAAGTTTATAGAAAGATCACAATTGCTTTAAAGAGCCAGTTCATATATGGGCTGAGCACAAACACAAACACAAACACAAACATATCTCTCTCTCTCTCTCTCTCTATTTATCTTTCTTTCTTTTGTTATTGATTCAAGGGTGCTACAGAAAAGATAACTGTCTGTATAATAAACATTGTGAAATTGTGACGTATAAATAATAAAGCAATAAAGAATGTAATGATAATGATAGTGGTAATGGTAATGACAATAAGAGTAAGGAATACTACTATACAACTTGTTTAGACGATCACAAAAACGGAAAAGAAGGGTGATTGTCTTTTACCATTTTATGGCAGCTTAGTTAGTACAGCAGCAGCAGCAGCAGCAGCAGCAGTATTAGTATTAGTATTAGTATTAACATTAGCATTAGGATTAGTAGTAAGTAAAAATAAATATATAGTAAATAAGTGAGGATGTTCCGGTACCATAACAGATCCGGTCCGAAATATTGAGGGAGTTTATTATCCATCTTTATTTGATTTACACACATTTATCTATATCACTTTTATATTATTTATTATTATTAATATTCTCATTAATTTGCGCTAATTGGCGTTCTTTATTTTTTATTTATTTTCTTGCTTTAATATATGTTTTTACAGTTTCCACTCTCAATTGGTTCATTTGGCCGAAAATTCGAAGCCCTTTTTGCTGTTGTTGTTGTTGAGATACATATGATATGGACAGACCAAAATAAATTAATCAAGATCTAGAAGGAGCTTTATCAAATCAAAATAATTTTTCCAGTCTTCTGCACCTTTTAATGTTTTTGGTTTGTTCACACCAAAGGTTTATATGCTAGTTGTTTCAATTTTGATATTTTATTCGTTAAGCTTGCTCTATTCTAAGAAATATCTGATTTTTTTGTCTTGCTCTTTACGCTCTGGTGCTCTCTTTTTCTTCTTTTGAGAAAGAAGAGCAATATAATCGTGGGTAAATATGTATATTCTAATTGAGGAAATGTTAATTTATTATTATTGAGAGAAATATACACAATTAAATAAAGCAAGAATAAGGCCAACAACAGTAACCCAAAAAAAAAATTTTAAAAAAAATCCCTCTTGAAGATCTACCGAGTATTAGGTTATTTAACTGTTACCCTTTTTTTTTACTTTATAATTCTTGCTTTGTTTCTGTACATCTTTTTCAAATATTTGAACAAATGATAATAGAATAAAGTATCGTTTTGTACAATGATTTCCTTACTATTTCTATAGATATAATTACATGCGTATACTATAAGAATACCAGGTAATATCAGACGATATCAATAGGTTGCCGCCATGTACGCCAACGTTAGATATGCAATAACTCCTACCAAAGAAGCAGACGATCCACCAAACAAGAATGTATGGTTATAATAAAGGGATACTCATATACCAGATCATCTTGTACACCCTTGATATTGAAGGAGAAGAGCGTTTGGTACGATTGCTTTGTATCATTCTTCCTTTCTTTATATATATATATACTCTTCTCCTCTTTTCTCCTCTTTCCCCCCCCCCCCCCCTTTACTCTTGTCCCTTGTCCCTTTAATACCATTACTATTGCTATTACCGTTAATATTACCGTTAATATTACTATTATTACCATTATTACTTAATAAATAAAAATCAGCAGCTCAGAGAATATGTACCCGGACTATTCGGATGGGGGGGGGGGGGGGGACCCTTACTCTTATTCTTATTGTGAATCTTCTTCTTTTATATATATATGTTTTTTGTGGCTATTAAGCCGAGCCGTCAACTTTAACAAAACAGCGCCAAGAACCTAATACTCTCCTTTTTTTTATTGCGCCAAAATAAAATGTATCGGTGTGCATGTTTATGTGTTCATTATTCTTAATTTGGATAGCCTAAAGTTAATCTTGGTTATGACGCCAAAATCCTTTCTGGACTGACGCAATGAAGAAATATATCAATATCTTGAAGAAAGCTGTGATATGTAATAAATACATAGGTATATTCTATAGGGATAAAGAGACACATGCTTTGATGCGATATTGGTTTTGGTCAATTGACGCTAATACTTTGAAGAATAAACCTTTTTTCTTTTAGCTTCTTGGTAATAATAATAATAGTTCTTTAATATTTTTTTTTAAAAAAAAACTAAAATAAAATAAATATGAAAAAACACATATAAAACACATGCTAATAAAATGAAGTACATGATTTTAGAATTTATGCTAATGCATAATTTCAAGTCATAATACAAGAACATAAAATTCAAAAAATAATAGTAAGAATAAGAATATGTGTATATATTGCTTATTACATTAAAGAATGACATTACATTCACTACCCATCATTGGTATTACTAGTATTATTACCTGAGTTTTTAATAGAACCATTGTACAACTAAATGATTTCTTTGACAAACGAACCCAAGGTATTTTTTCTTTCTCACTCTCTCCCACACACACACATGCATATATATTGTGCAATACATATTTCATTGTGAATACCTGCTGTAATATTGTGTAGTCCTGCAAGACACACAACCTTATTGGTTTCGTAGTAACCATACCAATAATAGCAATTCTCGAATCACGTTTATTTAGGACTATTTTGTGTTTGGAAGTAGGCCGTATAAAATCTTTGGGTAGTACCTTCACTGTGGGTTATACTTTAATTATGTCGCTTTCTCCATGGAGCCCGTCCCTTTTTTAAGTGTCTAATTTCAAATGCCTGGCTCTTGATAGCTAGCTGCCACCTTTTTTTCTTTAAAAGAAAAACACATACACACAAAAGAAACCTTGGATATCACTTGTGAAAACCCTCCTCCCCTTCCCCCTTGTACCGTTCCTTACTTACCCTCTTCCTTTTAGGTTTTGTTTGTCATTGTCCTTTTTATTTATTTATTTAGAGAAAGTATTAAAGAATCAAGCAAGCAAACAAATAAGGAAGCAAACAAACGAGAAATCAAACAATCAATATATTTGTACTAGGATAAGACCCTTTTGTTTTTATCAAATAAAACCCTGTAAAATGATAATAATAATAATAATAATAATAATAATAAAAGAGTTTTTTTTTTCACTCTTTTTTTTTTATTTATTCTTTGGTGTATATGCTTTAGTTCTTCGTTACATATATATATATATATACTTAGACGACTCTCTTGACTTCAAAGAATCGCTTGAGGTAAAGAACCTGCCAGACACACACTGACATCAATAGGCCCAACTGTCCAAGGGACCACCATTTTACACGTGCATTTGTACTTTCTGCAGCTATAGTATATATATATATGTATGTATATGTATATATTGTGGTGAATTTCTGATCTTATAATATCACACATTTTGTTTTTGATTGATACATTCTTGATAAATAGGCATAGAGCCTATTAACTGTACTGGAATAAATCCACACACATACACACACAAGCTTTCTCTCATATTTACAGCCATTGAAAGAAATACCACCGAGAAAATAAAAGCCAAAAGGAGAAAGAAAGAAGAAAACTTACTGTCTCGATGCTGTCTCTCACGGGCCACAATATATTCTTGCTCAACCTTGATAGCATGAATACTCTCGGCCAATTCCCTTATTTCACGTGCAATGGGATCAATGTGTTCTGATTGTTTTTTTTGGTTAAAGAAATATATAAATATATTAGTATATATGATAGTTATCTATCTACAATTCTTGTTTTCTTGATCTATTTGAGAGTGGTATACTGTTTTACCTGCAGCAGAAGAACTGACTTTCTCCATATCATAAACATTGAAATCAATTGCCTTTGCAGCCTTGCCAGACATTCCATTGTTGAAGCAATATGTGTATCTTCCAGTAGACAAGGCAGTAATCACATGGTTTCCTTTGGCATCTCCTTCACTACGCTTGATTGTAGTGCCTCTGGGATCTAGAATCTACAATTATCATCCCGGTTCTTTTCTCTTAGTCTCATAGCTCTCTTTCTTTTTGTGTGTGCCTTTTTTTCTCTCTCTCTTCCTTTTACTCGTTTTTCATCCACAATCCATCCATCATCTCTTTTGTAATTCAAATGACCAAACTTACCCAAAAGTCAATGTCAAGATTTCCACCTTCGCCAACCTAAGCAGTAGAGATTATTATCAGTCCTTTTCATCACTCATCAACCCCTGTGTATGTGCAGTGTATTTATGTGTATTTGTGTATATTCGTATGTGTATAGGCATGTAAATGTGCATGTGCAAGTGCATTTTCGTATCCATTTTCATGTGTAGTGTAGTGTAGTGTAGCATCTTTTGGTGTCTTACCTGAAAAGACACGGTCATTTTGTCACCCTCATTGAGATCTTCATAGAAGCAATCCTTTGAATGAGGTGCAACATCAATATGCAACAGCGAGACTGTGCTGAATAGGCATGAAAAGAATACGAGTACGAATGAAAGCTGAATTGCAGTTGGCATGATAGATATTATAAAGTAAATATAATATGATATATAGGCAAACGACACGTACACGTACAAACTTAAACTCCTCTTCCTTCTCCTCTCTCTCTCTCTCTCTCTCTCTCTCTCTCTTTCTCTCTCTTTCTATCTCTATCTTCTTTATTTTAATTTTTTTTTATTATAGGAAAAAAATTATTTATACACGCTTCTTTTTCATTAATAGGGTGTTTCAATTATTTTAATTAGTTTATAATTAATAATAATAAAAAAATTGTAGCTTAAAATTGAAACAAATTTACTTTTTTTTTGTTCAACTTTAGAGCTTATAATGTACTCTCGCTCCCGTCCCCCTTTTTCTTGCAACATATGCTGAGGAACATTCATTTATTCTTACAAAGATTATATATATATATATATATATATATATACTTATATAACAGAACGTATGCATGTACCAATTCGCCTCTGAAATGATACAAGTCCATACTCTTTCTACTATATCGACAATTGACTGTAATGCATCGGATTATGAGCGAGTTTCAATTTATTTTTTTTGGTGAACTTGTTTCGCACCACAGTTCATTACCATACATAGGGGTACTCAATATGATTTTACCTATAGTTTTAAAGTTTTGAAAACAATATTATTGGGGTGAATAGTCCTTTACCGACATAGAACAAATCCTACGTCCAAGAAAATAATGGTAAATTACTACAATTTCACACCTTATTATTATCTATTAAAGTGGTCTTATTATCATCACAATAACGATGGATCATTAGGGATCAGATATAAGTATTTGGCTTTGTGTAAAAAGTCATATTTGGCTGGTCTTTATAAAATCTAAATGTCAGCTCCCATCAGAAAAAGGTCAATCCCAACCCTAGGATTAGCGTTGATTATTTGGTTAACAAATTCACGCCAATTTTTTTTTTTTTTTTTAATCAGGAAAAAAAAAAAGAATAAAAACCATACTTTTTAGTGTGACTTGCTTTGTATGAACGCCTGTACAGGACCTAGACTTTAAGTCTGCGACAATTGTTTATTATATTATATATAATAATATATTTAATATTTACAGTTAATTGTAGTCTTGCTTGTAAGCTTTACTATTATCCCTCCTTTCTTTGTTGTTGTCCTCTTCTTCTCTTTTGGTAATTCGACATGGCATCACGTCTGTTACAAGCAGCCTCCAGGAGAGGCCAGGGAATGTCTTTGTACCCCCTTGTACCTGGAATCTTTAAGCGCGGAGAGTCTTCATTGAGTCATTCTGTCAATGTAAGGATAAAAAAGAAACAAATAAACAAATTAGTAAATAAAATAGAATAAAATAAAAGGGGTGGGACGGAAAGGTAGAATACCAAGGAACTAGCTTTCATTGCTTTTATTTTCTTTCTTCTTTTCTTCTATTTTTTTTCTTGCTTTTTATTTTTTATTTTCTTGAGTGGAAACAATTATAATGTAAACGCAATTGTATACACAATTCGATTTAAGAATAGTGAATGGGGAGAAAAAGTGATAAAAACCAAAGAAAAAATAAAGGCTTTCTTATTCACCAATAAATAGAACCCAGTACTTCCAACGACTGTACAAGAGTACTCAAAGTCATCGACAGGTTTGTGTAAGGTGACAACTCTTCCCAATGGCATTCGGGTGGCATCAGAAAACACTCCCGGGCATTTCAGTGCTGTGGGTGTGTACGTAGATGCCGGTAGTCGGTATGAGACTAGTGACACACGTGGCGTCAGTCATATTTTGGATCGCCTGGCCTTCAAGGTAGAGAGATTGGGATATTATATCATTTAAAAAGATGAAATGGGAAGTGAAAGAACGGAAGTGTTGATGTGATGTGATGTGATGTGGAGCTATGTGCGTTATTCTTTATACAAGGAACATTACTAAAGTTGCTGTTGCCTTTGAACGTGGTGATTTCTGGGTTTTTCCTTTTTGTTTCTCTATTCTTATATACAATCCATACACGAATGAACAAAAAAAACTACAACAATGAATTAACGAAAAAATGAATGGACGAACGAACGAAAAAACGAACGAACGAACGAACGAATGAATGAATGAATGAACGAACGCATACAAATACAAATATAATTATGCGTTATTTTAGAGTACAGCAAATAAGTCGGCAGACGAGATTGTTGGAGAAGTCGAGTCGTTGGGTGGAAACATTATGTGCTCCTCATCTCGCGAGTCAATTATGTACCAGTCCGCAATCTTTTCGCAGGATCTTGAAAGAGCAATCTCGCTGTTCTCGGATGTCATCTGCAGACCAAACATCGATCCTCTTGAGGTTGAGGAACAGAGACAGACTGCGCTTTATGAGATTGAGGAGATTTGGTCCAAGCCAGAGATGATCTTACCAGAGATTCTTCACACAGTAGCCTACGAAAACAACACCCTCGGCAATCCCTTGTTGTGTCCCCCAGAAAATCTCGAGAGAATGACACCCGAGTTGATCCGGTCTTACATGAAGACGTGGTATCGCCCCGAGCGTATGGTAATCACTGCATGCGGCGCAGAGCACGAAAAGGTAGTCGAGTTGGCTGTGAAGCACTTTGGACAGGTTCCGGTTTCCGAGAGCCCAATGGACTCGGTTGAGACCCACAGCAAGGCTTTGAAACGACAGGCCGAGACGGTCAAGAAACCTTCGCTAGTCCAATCTCTGTTTGGCTCAAAGGGTCCCACTGCTTATGAAATCGCAACCGAACCTGCCCGCTACACCGGAGGAAGCCACATGATGGATGTACCCGACCTGCCTTTGACTCATGTCTATATTGCCTTTGAGGGCCTGTCGATCGATGACAAGGACATCTATGCTCTGGCAACACTCCAGATTCTGTTGGGTGGAGGCGGATCTTTCTCAGCAGGTGGTCCCGGCAAGGGAATGTACTCACGTCTGTTTACAAACGTGCTAAACCAGCACTATTGGGTCGAGTCGTGCCAGGCATTTAACCACTGCTACACCGACTCTGGTCTGTTTGGCATTGCTGGATCGTGCCGCCCCGAATACACAAATGCGCTTGTGGAGGTGATGTGCCGTGAGTTGGACAGCATTGGTAGATCTGATGGAAACAACCAGCGTGTGACAGATGCCGAGTTAAGCAGAGCCAAGAACCAGCTCAAGAGCTCTCTCCTGATGAATCTGGAAAGCCGTATGGTGCAGTTGGAGGATTTGGGACGTCAGGTTCAGGTCCACGGCAAGAAGACAGGCATCGATGAGATGTTGGAACGTATTGATCGTGTAGATTTGGAGGAACTGAGACGTGTGGCAAGTCGAGTAGTAAGAGGTGCTGTAGGAGTTACAAGTGGTGGCAGTGGAAAGGCTACAATTGTTCTTCAGGGAGATATGCGTGGCCTAAAGGATGTATCAAAGATGGTAGAGAAATACGGCCTTGGAAGTTAAATTACACACATATATACACACACACATACACACACATACACACAAACACACGCACACATCTACACATCCATACACACACACTCCCTTATACAGACAGACAAAGACAAAGATAAAGACAGACATATATACATATACATATATAGAAAAAGAAAATCCAATCCAAAAAAAAGAAAAAAAAGACATTGCAACCATCTCCACAGTCACATCCCCTTTTCTTTCCAGTATGCTTAAGCCAAAGGTCATTGCTCAAGTCCTCCGACAAGCAACCCGTGATGGTGTGAAGGCATCCCTGTGCGTCCTTTATTCTCATTCTCATTCTCATTCCAAACTAACATTGGCCTAGGCTGATGACTAGCGAGGGCTCTCTTCTAGCTTTTGCCGCTGACAACGACAGGAGTGCAAAGATATACGCCGCCATTGCAGCCAATGTCTGGAGCACATACAAACAGCACTGCTCATCTGAGACCTTTCTAAAGGGTGATCAGACAGGAGGTCTTCGTTTTATTCTTATGCAGTGTGAAGTATGTTCTAATGAGCAATCATCTCAATTGCCTTGTGTGTGTCTATGTGTTTTTTTTTATTCTTTTTTTCTTAACCGCGATATTTTCAAAAGGAGGGAAACGTGTTTGTTACTTGCATTAGTTCTATGCTTCTTTGTCTTGTAGGCGAGAACTTGGTTGATTTAGGGATTCTTAAAGCCAAGGCAAGTGTTTATTTCTTCATGTTATACAGTTGCTCTTTTGTCTTTTGTTGTCTAATTATTTAGTATTTTTTTTGTACTTGCTTTAGGCTCAGGCACTGGCCCGCCATTTGGAAGAACCTCTTATGAGAGTGGCTTCTTATCAAAACTATGACAATTCCACTTAAAAGAAAAACCTAAACAATAACGACACCAACGACAAATAGGATAATGATGATGAATATTAATATAAAGGAGAAGAAAGATGATATATATATATGCTATTTTCTCCTTTACATGCGTTTACCTCTTTATTATATCAATATAACCATAATATATAAGTTGAAACCTATTTTACTTAGCTGGTTTATATTTCTTTAGTACAATACAATACATTTGTATGTATGTATGTATCTATATACTGCTTTGTGGGAGTATATTAAAATATTCAGATCCCTATTCAACCTACCTACCTACCTACACACACACACACACACACAAACAAATAATGAAAGGAATAAAGAGATGGATATAGAGATAAAAACAAAGGTCTACTTTTAAAAGAAGAAGATAAAGATCATTTGGCTAGTAAAAGGCAACAGACTCAACGCACACACACATAATAATAATGATAAAAAAGACAGATTGTAAAATAATATTTTTCTGTTATTATTCTTGTATAGTATATATATATATATATATATATGCAAAAATAATAATTTCAATTTTCTTTTACTTACGATGGTCCAAGAAATAACTACCCTAACTTTGCGTCCTTCTGAGGGAAAGGCCGGTAGACCCATCAAAGTCAGAGCCAACTTCTTTGAGGTCACTTCACTCCCAAACCAGAACATCCATCATTACGATGTCAGGATTGATCCTATTCTCAAGAACGACAAGGTCAATCGCAAAATTTGGGAAGCCTTGGAAGTCTTAGAGGCAGATAATATCTTTAAGGGAATCAAGATCATCTATGATGGTCGTGCCAATGCCTTTGCTCCTAAAGCGCTGCCATTGGGACCCACCAGCCTCAAGACCTTTGAAGTTAATCTAGGCGATTCCAGAAACCCGGAAAAGTCCACATTCAGAGTTGCAATTAAGCACGTAAATGAGATCAACCTTGAAGAATTGGCACGTTTCCTCCGTGGTGAAGGTGCCTCTACCAACAATGTCTTGACATGTGAGAAGATCATTATATATTGTGGGGATTTTTAGAGTGAGAGAGAGAGAAAAAGAAAAAAGTTCGTGTGTATATGCTCGCGCGCGTGTGTGTGTATGTGTATGTGTAAGATTGATCACTACATAAGAAGAATGAAATTTGTGTTTAATATTAATGAGATAATTCACGATACTAATACTAATATATATATATATATCAGCTGTTATGGTTTTGGATGTATTGATTCGACACATGCCTGCCTCCCTTGTGGACTACACTGCCTTTGGTCGATCATTCTTTATCCCTCAGGATAAGCGCCCCTTGCCCAACGGTGTAGAGACATGGCAGGGTTACTACCAGTCGGCAAGACCTACACCTGGCAAGATGATGCTTAATGTGGACGTGAGCGCCAGTGTGTTTTACCAGCCCGGTCCTTTGCCTGATTTGATCGTCAAAATCCTTGGAAAGCGATCTCTGGATGAGCTGCGTGGTGGTCTGAGAGACCGCGACATCAAGATCATTGAGAGAACTATCAAGGGCCTTCGCCTCAAAGTAACCCATCGCGGTGAGCAGCGACGTGATTATGGTATTCAGCGCTTGACTATCACACCTGCCGACAAGACAATGTTCACAACCGAGGATGGTCAGGAGTACACCGTTGCAGGCTTTTTCCAAAAGCAGTATAACAAGCGTCTGGCTTTCCCCTTCTTGCCATGCGTTGTTGTACGCAAGGATGTGTTTTTGCCTATGGAGGTGTGCAACATATTGCCTGGACAGAGATTCCGTCAGAAGCTTAATGAGGCCCAGACAGCCGAGATGATCAAGTTCACCTGCACCAAGCCCCACATTCGTGCCAATAAAATCAAGCAAGGAATTCAGCTTCTGCAGTACCAGGCCAACCCTTATCTGCAAGCATTCTCTGTCAAAGTCAAACCCGAGATGGCTATCATTAAAGCCCGTGTCTTACCGCCACCCACCATTTCTTACCACCCTGCGTCCCAAGAGCCAGTGTTTGCTCCACAGGGCGGTGTCTGGTCTCTCAGAGGCAAGAAGGCCTGTACGGCTGCTAGTCTGACTTCGTGGTCTATTGTGAACTTTACCCACCAGATGCCAATTACAGTTATCCAACGGTTTGTTCGTGAGTTGTGCCAGACATTTTCAGACATTGGAATGGTAAATATCTTGGCAAGAAATGTGGCAAATTATGTTTCATTATTATTTCTACAAAAAGGAAAAGTTATTACCACACTCACACACTCACACACTCACACGAACCCTTCCCTTCACCCCTTATTTATTCTATTATTTATTATTGCATGTGTATCTGTATGTATTTATACTTGTGTGCTTATATCGCTATTGTTATTGTTATTGTTATTGTTATTGTTATTATTGTCATTTGTACCTAGAATGTTATCAACCGTACTCCTGATATTATTTCTGCCGATCCCCAGGGCAACATTGAGCGTACCCTAAAAGAAGCTTGGCTTAAAGCAGGTAATCAAGCTAAAGCCCAGCCGCAGTTGATATTTTGTGTCATGCCACATCGTGGTACCCCATTGTACGCCGAAGTCAAGCGTGTGTCGGACACAGTTATTGGAGTTCCCAGTCAGTGTTTGCAAAGCAAGCACGTTTCCGAAGCAAAGAAACAACTGTGTGCCAACGTAGCGCTGAAGGTCAACATGAAACTGGGTGGTCAGAATGTCAAGCTTGCCCCCAACCAGATTCCATTTATTGCCCAGCGACCCACAATTGTGTTTGGTGCCGATGTGTCTCACCCTGCTCCGGGAGACTTTTCTCGTCCTTCGATTGCGGCATTGGTTGCCAGTATGGATGTTAATGCTGTTCGTTATGCCAGCTCTATCCGTATTCAGGCCAACAGAACCGAGGTGATTGCCGACCTTGGAAATATGGTCAAGGACATGCTCAAGGTGTTCTATCATACATGCGGGCAGAAACCGGAACGTATCTTGTTTTACCGTGATGGAATTTCCGAGGGCCAATTTAGCGAATCGATGAACAATGAGGTCAATGCTATCAAGGCCGCCTGTCTGGCTCTTGATCCCACATACAACCCCACCCTGACCTTCATTATTGTCCAGAAGCGTCATCATGCCCGATTCTTCCCTATCGACCAGCGCGATACCGAGAAATCTGGCAACTGTCTTCCAGGAACTGTAGTGGATACAGATGTCGTTCATCCATTTGAGTTTGACTTTTACCTTCAGTCCCACTCTGGTCTCCAGGGAACATCTCGTCCCACCCACTACCATGTTCTCAAGGATGAGAACAACTTTACTCCAGATGCACTTGCTGAACTATCTTACCGTATGTGCTATACTTACGGCCGCTGCACTCGTGCTATCTCAATGGTCACTGCTCCTTATTACGCCCATCTTTTGGCTGCGCGCGCTCGCTTCCACCGTCGCAATGAGAACTGGTCTGATGGTGCGACTACCGAAAGCATGGACTCGGAGGGACAAATTGCAAGCTTTTCAGCTGTCAAGCCTGATCTACAGAAAGGTAAAAAAAAAAGGCAAAAAAGCAATTTATCTCACACACACAAGAAAAGAAAAAAAAGAAGAAAAAAAACACAATATTTGCTTATGCTCATGGTTTTTATTGTTTATTGTTTATTGATTTATTTGTTGTTGTTGTTGTTTTAGTCATGTACTATATGTAGCTTTTTTTGATTTTAGTATCAGAGCCATGTTGTCGTTCATTGCCTTTCTTTACTTGCACTCTTCTGTACTCAACATATCGACCTTACACATCTAGGGCTTGTGTCCGTTGACAATACTCAATAAATGAATGAATTAATTAATAAAAGCATCAAATGCAATATGTATATATTTAACTTGGAATTAGTTTCAATAGACCCAAGGAAATAACCAAAAAAAAAACTAATCTTGTGGCTCTCACAAATAAGCTAGCAAGTGTGTGGGAGAGGCAAGATGTGTGCGTGTGTGCGTGTGTGTATTTGGAAGAAAAAAAAGGCCCTTTCCCTCTTTTGGTGCTGCCATGTTTTCACATGCAAATCTCTCTGATATTTCCCTCCTTGTTGAAACAGCATCTCATCTCGCATCACTTTCCTTTCTCTCTCTCTCTTTCTTTCTCTATCTTTCCTCTTTATCTCTAACTTCGATTTCTTGTTACCTATTCATCACTCGACGATCCTAATCATCAACCAAATCTTCTGATTCACGTGGCATTTTCATATTCAACATGCCGTTCATTAACCCATTACCAGTCCCTCCAGTTTTTCAGGTCAAAGATCCAGCTGTTCATGGCGATGAAGAAAGATATCGTTGTGTCGAACAGATCCTCAGTGCTCCAGACTGTTACCGAGTGCTTGGCGTCACTAGAGAAGCAAACCCAGATGATATCAGACGAGCCTACATAAAAGTGAGCCAAAAAAAATCTAATGATAATTTAAAAACGATTATTACACTTTTTTTTTGTTCTTGTTTTATAAATATAGATATATAGTATATAAAAAGAATGTGCACACATATTTTACATACATACCTACATTCATTCATTCATACATACATTTACTCCACAAGCACTCCACAAAACACATGCATTTTATCCAAGAGAGAGAGAGAGAAAGAGAAAGAAGACACCGAAAATTAATCTAAATTCTTATACATTTTTGCATTTTTAGAAAAGTCGAATCTGCCACCCTGACAAATTCGTACCTGCTTATCCTCGAGCTACAGAGAGCTTTCAATGTATGTAAATGATATTTAAATATACAAAAATTAAAATTATATATATATATGTGTGTGTGTGTATGTGTGTGTGTGTATGTGCCTGTGCCTGTGCCTGCGTCTGTGCTTGTGCTTGTGCCTGTGTGTATTTAAATATGTAGTACTTTCAAGGGCCTATGAAACTCTCAGTAATCCGTCTGCCAAATTAATGTATGATCTTTCTAAGCAGAAAGGACCGTCTACATTTGTGTCAACAGAGGATGAGCATGCCAACGACACTCTCCAGCGTGTACTTCATCAAGTAATATATATATATACATATAGATACATGCATAAATATACATAGAAATGATTGTCATGTAAATCAGATAAACTAACCAGTCAATCAATCGATCAATCATTCAATCATTCAATCAATCAATCAATCAATCAATCAATCAATCAATCAATCAATCAATTATTCTTTTGTTCTCTTTTCCGTATCTTACCTATCTATATAGCTGTTTATCGAAATGATGGACGGTGAGTTCCAGACCCTCCGTGCTTTTATCCGTAAGCATATCTATATATTTTTATATAATGATACAAAAGTAGATGAATCTGTTTATAAACTAAATCGACTATTATTTTAGACGCCTTGAATGAGACCAACCCGGGCATGCACATAAGTGAAGATGCCATTCTACAGATCGAATTGGCTTTTTGCAAGATGCGCGAGTTACTCTTGTGCAAGTCCTGATCGATATTAAAGCCAAACTAACTTATTCACTAATGCATTTGTCTTTTTTTTCTCTCTCTTTTATATATATGTATATGTATATATATACATATGTTACATGTCATATTTTGTGTGCTTTTATGTATTTATTACACACATATATAGCCACCCACCAATATTACAAAGTTGTCCAGTTTGAGTTGATGCGCCTGTATGAACTTCAGCACGAGCTTCGTAGTTTGTCATACTTTAGTGTGTGGCGTCGCATGCAATTATCGATCACGATCTGTAAAGTCCTCCTTCAATTACCAATCATGATCAATGTGGAGTCTAGAGAGAAAAAACAGAGCCAACGTCAATTGGGTCAAGCCGATGCCGAAGCTATCCATGGTATTCTTGGTCTTCGCCTTGAAAGTGCCCTTCGTCTGGCCGTGACTCTTCTCGAAACAGGCGAACGATATGTTACCGCATGGTAATCTCTCAATATATCCTCTTTCTCTCAGCATCTTTCAAATCCCACCATTCTTCCTTCTTCTCTTCTTCTCTTCTTTTTTATATATTTGTACAAGCCTTAAAAAATATATATACACACACATACACACATACACACATACAAACACTAAAAACACTAAAAACACTACAAGCACACACATACATACACCTAAAGTATACACACATCTAAAGTATATACATACAAAGGATATATACACCCAACGTATATATATATATATATATAAATCAAATACACATATTCACACACTCACACACTCACACTTAAATGTGTTTGTGTTTGTGTGTGTACTTATTAGAATTATTATTACCATTACTATTATTATTACTATGGTTACTATGGTTACTATTGTTGTTGTTATTGTTGTTGTTATTGTTGTTTTATTTTACAGTATTAACTTGCTTAGGCATTTGTTGCCCACGCACAGTAAACAAATAGAGTGTTAAAAGCTACAGGCACAAATACAAAAGAAAATAGGCACAGCTAAAAAAAAAGTATAAAGACTAAAACACTAAAGCACTGACAAATATCATATGCGCTTGGCATTTGGTAACAAATGATTTTGTAGAGTTGACGAGTGGCTTTTGGTACACCCTAAGCCGCCTTTCCTGTACCTGGGGACAGTAAGACTCAGCCGACATCACAGCACCATTTTTAGTAAATGTAAAAATAGTTGTTCGCTCCAGTCTACTCAAGTCTACTCCACCTCATTCAATTCAACTCAACTCAACTCAATTTGCTCTTCTTCTTCCTCTTCTTCCTCTTCCTCTTCCTCTTCTTTCTCTCTTCTTAACCTCTCTTTTCTTCATTTTACTCGCTTCTCTTTTTCTCTTTTTTTTTGTTAAAAAGAAACACACACACACACACACACTTTATTTTTAATATTTTTATTTTTATTCCTTTGCTGAGATGAGCGTTGACCGTCTTGCTGAACTTTCTCGCCCTGGCCAGAATGCTAGCAACACCTCCCAGAACAGAAGTCAGTATGAGATGCGGCCTCTTTTGAGTTCGGCTTCAAATGGTGCTCTGGATGACAATATGGCTGAGATTAGCCATATTGAGGACAGTATCCAGGCCATCCGGGACAATGTTCAACGCATCCAGGCTCATCAGAATGCCATGCTCCAGACTGCCGATGCAAACGAAATCCAACGCAACCGCAAGTCAATCGATGACCTGACTGCCGAGACCCAAGGTGTGATGACACATGTGAAGCAGAAGTTGAGGGAGATGCAGCCTACTGCTCGCCACAAGGATCTTGAGATTCGCAAGCTTCACTTTTCAAGACTGACCCATCAATTTATGGACGCTATTGAGCTGCATCGGTCGTCGGCTATTGAGTTCCAGAAGGCTGAAACACGTCAGCTCGAGCGTCAAATCAAGATTGCCAATCCAAACGCCACGGCCGAGAATATCGAAGAAGCTGTCTCGCAGGCGGTGGAAGGTCGGCCGGCAGTGTTTGCTCAACAGCTCATGACGTCGATGAACAACGAGCAGAGACGGTACAATGCAAAGGAAACCCTAGATGCTGTCCAGGAACGACACGCGGACATCGGACGTCTGGTCAAGAGTGTTCAGGAACTGTCCGAGCTGTTTGCTGAGATGCAGTACATGCTCGAGAACCAGGGCCAGATCTTGAACCAGGTCGAGGAGATGTCTGAACAGGTTGTTCAGGATGTCGAGAAGGGCAACCGTCACATAGATGCCGCGGTCAGCTCGGCAAAGGCTACACGTAGAAAGAAGTGGATTTGCTTTGCTATCTTTATGATCATCGTCATCATCATTGTCGTTGTTTTGTGTGTCAAATTGATTCCAAGTAACAATAACAATAACAACAACAACAACGATAATCCTACCCAATAAGTTATATAAAAAATTGTTATTATTACTATTATAACTATTGTCATTTTTTAAAGGAAAAAAAACAATTTCTTCGCCTCTTACTCCCACACCTCTTCCTCCTACACTTCTTCTTTTTCTTCATACTACTACTACTACTACTACTATTACTATTACTATTACTATTACCAATAACATTACCATTAACATTACCATTACTGCCTATCCTCGCTCACTCGTTCACTCACTATATTTTTCTTTTCTCTTTCTCTATTTTATCCCCTCCCCATCTCCCCTTCAAGTCAGTAATAAATATAAGGAATACTTTATCAAATCAATATATGTATATATAGATAAATGCTTGTACAATGAAATGAGTATATATATATATATATATATGTGTGTGTGTGTGTATGTGTATTGATAAACGCGCAAGACTGTAGGACAAGAAAAAAAAGACACTGATAATTTTGATAACCTATCAAAAAACAAGGAAAAAAAAAGTCATATTTCTCTCTTTCTCTTTATCATTCTTTTTTAAAAAAAAACTTTCCTAAGAGATGCCACAATTATACAGCAAGCAAATAGTAACAATATCCTAATAAATACAATATAATGGCTAATTGAGTAAAGGAATATCCATACAAAGATTTTTTTTTAAAAAAAAAAAGAATGGTAATAGGTGTGGAAGATCAATCGTGCTGTATGTCTTTCTTTCTTTCTTTTCTTTAAAAAAAATCCTTTATTAGACATTGTGTAACATTAAACCACCATTCAAAAATCTGGAACTCTGATTGGCTTACGAAAAAAAAGAGTTTGCCATGACAACTAATGGAAACCATAACAACTAATAGAATTATATATATATAAATAATTTGAGCTGATTATATGTTTTTAAAAAGCCAAGACAAGCCAAGGCAGACTAAAATCATATATATATATATATATATACATTGAGGTGCTCAGCTTAGAGCCATATCTTTTTTTTTAATACTATAGCGAATTGTATAGTTTTAATAGAAAAAAATGAAGTAAAACGATGAAAATGTTATATAAATAAATATAAATAAACATTATATATTTTAAAAGCTTATCTTACTAGTTTTGCTACTGTACTTACTGTAAGCAACTTTATTCTATATATAATCCTTTTTTTTAAAAAAAAACATATCTCCAACACATACACGCTTGTATATACATATGTATGTACGTTTCTACTAATTTACATATATCATTTGATCAACAACAAGTATATATGTATATGTCAATTTATGTGTTTGGCAAGATAGAATGGAAAATAAAGTAAAATTGGAAAATGGACATGTATACCAGTATAAACAGTTGCATACACATACATATACATGTATATATATACTTGGTCTATTTATATAATAAAAGAAAAATAAGGTGGAAATCCGAAGCAAATGGTGTATTACTAACAACCGCATCTCATTTTTACTGCTACTGAAATGCACAGAGATTAGATGGGTAAAGGAGGAAAGTAAAGAAAAGGAAAATATGGTATTTAATTTTAGACTGTGTTTGCAGTCTGTTTCACACCTAGTGCCTAATACCTGGTGTATTAGTGTCAATCTAATGACTAGTGTCTAGTGTGTATCTTTTCTTTTTTTTTAATTCTTCTTCTTGTTAATTGCTTTGTTCCATTAGATCTAATGAGTGACATCATTCAATACTGTTGGAATATTTATTTTGTCCTTACAGTGGAACAGAGAGCGGTAATGAAAATAAAGTAAAATATATGTATGTATACTATGTATATATATATATATAAAAAGCAATTATGTCTTGTATGACAGATAATATACACGAAAGTAGTTTATAGTCTATTTTACATTCTCATACTCACACACACACACACAGGCACATATTGAAAAATGATAGCTACAACTATAATATATCGTATGTATAAGTATATATAAAATAAGTATTTTTTTTTAGTTTATTATTTTATATTTATTATGTTCATGGGTAAATGAACAGAAGAGCATATGGAAGGGAAAGAAAATAAAATAAAAAAAAGGGGGGCATTCAGTCTATTGCCAATCTCAAATCTCTGTTCCAAAAATTAAAAAAGAAATATAAATATAGAGGAATACAGAGAAAGAGAAGTAGAAGAGATAAGGTGAGGTAAAAGTGAGGGCGAAGAGGGTATATAAAAAAAAAAGATAAGAAGAAGTTGTGGTGATGGTTTGTTTGAGGGGAGGAAGGGTGGAAAATGCATTAAGTGTCTATATAAAAACATTGAAGTTTACTTTAAAAGAGTAAAGATTAAAAGAGAAAAAAAAATCCAAGAAATAAAGAGGTTATGTAATAAAAATAAAAAGTTAAATTACGTGGATATTGAAACCAGTAGCTTAAAATATATAAAAATAAAATAAGAGAGAGGAAAATGCGAGTGAAAAGATAAATAAGAAAAGGTAAAGAAGTGCGTAGGGAATGAAAAGAAAAGAAAAAAGATATAAAGAAAAAAGATAAAGAAGATGCGACGTCTATAGTCGATTCGTTCATTTAGAGGCTGTTGACAGAGTAGATACTCTCCATGGCTTGCTTCTGTAGTACACCTTGCTGGAATCTGTAAAGAAAAGGAGTTAGGAAACAATATTATATACAGTTCGAATACGTTGAGCCCACACATAAACAGATAAAGAACTGGAGATCATCTTTATAAACAACAAAAGATACTTACGTTCGTAGCTGTTCATTCTCGTGGACCAATCTCTCGAGTTCGGCCAAGATTGTCATCTGGGTACTCTTGAGATGTTGAATGTGTTGAACAGTGCGATGCAAGAGAGCTACTTTGCTCATCTTCTTGTTCAAGCAAGAAGGCAATTCATTGCGGAGGTCTTCAAAGCCATCTTTGATCTGAGCACGACGTTTCTGCTCAGATTGAATGTGAATCTGTCGTCGCATTTCTGCGGTTGAAACACCGTGTCTGATAGGAAATAAAATAAAATAAAATAGATGGTTAGAATACATTATATTACAAATATCGGTATCATTATTGTTACTATTATTTTGATCAGAGAAAGAAAATTTTATCTTACAAAGTCATTTCATCTCCACTGTCGTCTTCAGAGGTCATCTGAATGTGCTGCTTGGGGGGAGGCGCGTCAAGTTCATCGCACTTATCTTCGTCATCCAAGAGACGGTCTTGCTGGCGGCGCTTCTTTCGGAGCGAGCCTCCGGTCGATTGCTCGTACGACTCCTTGGAATACTGAAGAAACTCGGGGAAGAAGGAATCGGGAAGAGACGAGGCCTTGGCAATTGTCTCGTTAAGATAAGCTGATGATGATGAGGTTGTTGAGGATGAAGAAGATGCCATGGTGGATGAAGAAGATGACTGGACCATCATGGGGGCTTCCTGGGCGTAAGAGGCAAAGTCAGAGGAACTGACCGAGGAAGAGAGGGCAGGGGGAGGGGTCATTGAGAGGGACATGCCGGACATGAACGAGTCGGGACTACCGGGCTGGATGGCAAATGGGGTCATCGAGTGATCGTAAAAAGCATTGACCGACGAAGGGCAGGGCGAAGATGCTCCATCCAAGGGAGAGACATAGAAGGAAGAAGCTTTTTGTTGGTGTTGTTGTTGTTGTTGTTGAAATTGAAATTGAATAGTTATAAAAGCGTGTTAATACAATAGATAGATGTTATTGATTTAATAATTACCAGGATAAACCAGACTAGATTGATCTGTGAGCTCTAACTTGGTAGTGTAGGGAACAGTGTAATCGTTCATGTAATCGGGAGAGAGGAGGAGCTTGTTCATTGTTGAATGTAGAATTGGATTTGAAGATGAAGGTAGTAAGGTTTTGGGATGTTGAGGATATGAGAGACAATGAACAGGGAGTAGGTTTGTTATGTATTAGATAAGGAAGGAGGGGCTTTTTCTAAAAAGGAGATGGAGAGATGATGAGGGTAGAAATGCAAAGGGAGTTTATGAGAGAGAGAGAGAGTTGAAAAGAGTGTAGAGTGAGAGCAAGAATAGTAAGAGAAATTGAAACTTGAATTATTTTAAACATTGAAATTTTTTCTCAAAAAAAAAAAAATTATATAGAATTTTAGGTTTGGATTGGGCACACTTGGAGTGCTACAATGCGTCCTACTTCTTTGGTCGCACTTGCGAATAAAAAAGTGCCTCGCTTTGAAAGACGCACTGGCGGGTTTTGTCTGAACCAATCGATAGGATGCACCCAGCTTTTTTCTTTTTTTTGTTTCTTTCTCATGCACCGACTTTGTGCCACTAAAACTGATGAAGTCTGACAGACCAGCCTTTGACCCACCGCAGGAGATCAACATCTCTCTCCGACCGGAACTGATTCCAGTAGGGCAAATTCCTGTTATTCTTTATTATTGATATTGATATCGATATTGATGCTGGCATTAGTATGAGAATTATTTTCGGTCAGTAGAACGAGCACAATACACACAATTATTTGTATCTATACATTGTGTATATTTAGGGTTCTTATTCTTTTGGTAAAAATGTATACAATAGAATGAGTAACACTTTGGATAATCTACTCGAATTCTCAAAAGGAAGTATTTTTCATTACTACGGGGTGACTAAGTTTTGTCTCGTCTTGTATTGCCTTGTCTTGTATTGCCTTGCTTCTTTTGATTCTTTTGATTCTTCTTTCTCTTGGTGTGGTAAATATTAACGGCAATGGTAATTGTCATGGTAATGGTAACGGTAATTGCAGTGCTAATGGTAGTAATAAAATAGTAATTAGTATTTTTATATATGTATCTAATTTTTTTTATATATATATATTTTTAATTTGATTTTCTATCTGGTTCTTAAAGCCGCGAATAAAAACAAAAAGTAAAATATAAACCAACCGCTGGTAAATGAGCCCATGCTTTATATAGTAAACGACCTCAACCACAGACTTCCCCTTTAATTTAATTTCTCTTTTATTATGAATTTATACATACAGACATATATCTATTTTACTGCACCGCCCTTTTCCTTTAGTTATCTATCACTTATATACGCAAATATACACACATTCTTATGACGACTCATGCAGCTGTAGGCAATTGTGCAGCGCGTTTTGGGTCGCACACTCTTTTCATCGGAGAAGTCATGGTTAATTTTTGTTCTTTAAAGGCAGATTTCCAGAGACGGAGAATGTTGTACTCAATGATAAAGAAGATCTTCTTTATTAAAGTGTACATACATATATTGGTCTTGTAACAATTAACTCAAAATAATCGAACGAGCTAATAAATATTAATATAAAAATCATTATTTATTTTTTTAAAAAAAAACATCAATGGAAATCATTTGGGTATATCTTGGACTTGAAGCACGGATAGTGGACGCTTGGACCTCTGCTGTTTTTTATTTATTTATATTTATATATATATCTTTTGGGTGAATGGGCCCTCTTCCTAAGCTCAGGAGATTGGTTTCTTAATATGAATTCTTTTAAAAGACCAGATGTCTTTTACTATTATTATTACTATAGTCATTATAGTCATTATAGTCATCACAACATCAGTCAATAACGGACGACCCCAAAGCCCAAAAATCACTTGTACTATTTTACTTTACTTTTTTAAATTCTTGTGTATGTGTGGGATGATAGTTAAATGACAGATAGTACATTTACACACACAACATACATACACACGAATATAAAAACATTTTATATTAATATTTATATTTATTTTTATATTTATATTTAAATATCCTTTCTTCATTTTCCAGACTGTAATCACTATATTATACACCCACATCAAAATGCGCCGTCTTAATACACTACACATATTTAATTATATACATTATATACAGCTTGGTGTCTAGGCTATGACAAGTCTAATACATAAAGCACTGACAATTACATAATGCTTAATAATAGTAATAATAATAAGAAGAAGATATATCTTGTGTATTTATAAAGAGAAACACGTCACAGCTGTAGGAGGACCCCAAATGAGGCCATGAAAAAGAAAGGCCCAGAAGTGTACAACATTAACCTTTGTAAGCTACAAATATATCGTATATTGTATTAATATTATAATACTCATGAAAGCGGAGAGTCCGAGTGAAAGAGAAGATGAGGGGTAGAAAAAAAAAGTGTATGTATAGAATATATACATATTATATAGTATAGAGTACCCACCCTCTCCCCTACCCTGCTCTGCTCTGTTCTGCTCTAATCTGCTTTTTTCCGCACCCTTTACCTACCCACACACACACACACACAGAGAGAGTAATAAAAACACAGCAAAGCCAAAACTCAAAAAAATAAATAAAGAAAAAAAAAGGCCTCATATTTAAACTTTGACAAGTCTCTATTTCTCTATTTCTCTATTTCTCTCTCATTTATTCCTTTATTTAGTCTATTCTATTTCTTCAAAAATCCTCTCTCTCTCTCTCTCTCTCTTTCTTTTTCTATTCATCTATATAACTCTTATCTTCCAAAATAGGAACAGAGATAAAGGCTGTACTCTTTATTTTCAGAGAGTAAAATATTTTTTTTAAAAAAAAATCGGGTAATCTTCTGCTCCGAGTCTAATATAGAGAAAATTGAGTTTATACTTGAAAAAATAAAAATAAATTTAAAAGAAAAAGTAAGCTCAAAGTTGAGAGGATTAAAGCCAAAGAACACGTATAAGTTGAAACGTTAATCTATCAAGGATTTGTAAATGTGCTGCACCGCACCGAACACCGCAACACACTACAACACACCACAATACACCACAGAAAGGCATAAAGGCACATTATTACAGCACACAGCACAGTACAGCACCATACTGCATGTCACATCAAATTAGATCAAATTAAAGTAGATCAGATCAAATCCAAGAACTTGGAAAGGAAGAGAGAGAGAGAGAGAAAAGATAAATAAAAAAGAAGAAGAATAAATATATTACAATTAAAGATGATAGAATATTCAAATAATCCAAGGCTATTAAGTATCTTTTATGAATTCTGTTATCCCTTTTCAACCTCAAAAATCTACAGCTTACTTTACAAGGATGTGTGAGAAAAATAAAAATCCAAAATACCAATCTATAGTCATAACCGTGACCCTAGCTGTAAATGTAACTGTAACCGTAACCATAATCATAATCATAATCATAACGTAACCATAGCAACAACAATAAAAAAAAAAGCCAAAAAAAAAGAGACTTTATTTTGTATTGAAAACACCCGGCGTTTAAACTGTCTTGCAGGTCTTTTTATATATAAATATTATTATTTTATTCAGGGAAGTGATTTTTTTTTAAAAAAAAAAGAGAACAGTCTTTTGAATTACGTGATTTGTACTCATCATTAAACGTATTTGCTCCTTTATCCCTCTTGTCCTTGATAAACCAAAAAAAGGTACAATTTTTACCACCTTTTTTTTAAAATATATATACGTATATTTATGGTATTTGATTGGCTTGCTTTGGGTATAATATATATATATATATACTTGCTCGCATTTTGACTATTCGCTTCATAAACAAGAATGGAATTAATGAACCAAGAAATTAGTTTTCTTTTTTTTTCAAAAAAAAAAATTCACCCAATACATGCACTCACAGCACACAGCACACTGCACAATGCACAAAAAAAGAGTTACCCATCAGTCCGGACATTGAAAACAATATATATATATATACATACAAAAACAAATATATTGATTTCTTTCGTTCTTTCCTTCTATTACTACAGTGACTGTATAGATGTATGTCCGGGATCTACCCTAAAAGGATATCTTCCTCTCGTTCTCCTCCTCTTCTTATCCTTTCTCTTTTTCTTTCTTTCTAACTATAATATACATTAATACAGATAAAGAGAAAGATACTTTAGATATCTAGATAATTGTGTGCAGTGTGTTGATCAAATATATATATATATAGAGAGAGAGAGAGAAAATGATATGATAAATGTGGTGATTGCTGATCTATCTGGGGCTGTTGTTGACTGGTAGATTAGATTAGGTTAGTCAGTTGGTCACATAAATCACCTAGCTAGCTAGTTAGCTATCAGTTTGCTTATAAATATAAATATAAATATAAGTAAAATTGTGGGTTCGACCGAAAATAACCAGAGAAAACATGTTGCTTTTGCTTATTGATAATTTACTTTATTACTCAATTAATTAATTATTTACAGCAAATATATACATACCTATGAGGCCCACAGATAAACAAATAAATTTAAGGTTGTTGATTTGTTAGATCAATAGATAGATCAATAAGTAGATATATTATCAAAAGAATATAAGTTCTCCTGAGAAGTCAATATTTATACACATAGATCAATTATGTGCTCTCAAGAGACAAACAGACAGATAGTCAGACAGTCAGATCAGATCAGATAATATACAAATTATACCAAAAAAAGAAACAATGTATTTATAGATGTGATGAACAATAGTGCAGTGCAGTGTAGTATAATATAGTATAGTATAATGTAATAATGTAATAATGTAATAATGTAATAATGTATAGATGTGAAGATTTTAAAGAATAGATATAAAGAATACAAAAAAAAGGGCAAAGAGGTAGAAGTAAAGGTAGAGGTAGCGGTAGTGGTAGACAAGTAAATTGATAGAGATAAAGAGAGAGAGAGAGAAAAAAAGACATAGAGAAAATAAAATTTAAAATAAATGAAAAATGAATAATGAATAATATGAGGATCATATGTACATGAAATGTGAGCTATAAAGACAACGACAACAACTATGACTATGACTACGACGACGACAAAAAAAAACAATAATATAAGAAAATAGAATAGAATAGAATAGAATAGTAAGAAAAAGCATGCAATAATGGTAGTGGTTTTTTTTTAAAAAAAAGAAGAAGATGAAGAAAAGCACATAAAAGAATGATGTACTTAATCAGATACACTTCCACATCCATTCTCAACCTTAAGGTGCCGGCCTAGTGCATCTTGTCTTGCAAAGGGTTTGTCGCACTCTGGGCACACATAAGGTTTTACTCCAGAATGAAGTTTTTCATGGCGGTTTCGATCATGTTGACGAGCAAACCGCTTATCACACTGTGAGCATGCAAATGGGCGTTCGGCAGTGTGGGTGCGCATGTGGGAAACCAAATTGTAGGGGCGTGTGAAATATTTACTGCAAGTTGGGTGTTGGCAGTTGTAGAGTGTCGTGTCGTTTTCTTTGACCGTCTTGGTGCGTTTGCGGTCAATAGGGCTCTTTTTGGCTTGCTTTAATGCCTTCTTGACCTTTAGCTTGAGGGTAGACCTTTCAGACTCTTTGTGAGATGATGATAAAGACGAAGACGAAGGTGCCAAGGATGATGACAGCGGCAATGAAGATGGAGATGGTTGAGGAGGAGGAGCAGAGGATGCTAATGAAATACTAGAAAACAGATCCCTTGCTGGTTCAGGAGAAGGCGTCAGAAGCAAACCTTTGTTGCTCATTATAACAGACTCTGAAGCGCAGGGTGATACACTACGGCCAGACCACGTCGGACAAGCACAATCTGGGACGGGTTGTTCAATCAAGACAGTTTGATGATGAGCAATAAAATCATCCACATGTGAAAACTTTTGAGTTGTTGACATAGATTCTTGAGACGACAGGTTTTGATCCTGTCTTGACCATCTTTGATGGTGTGCGTGCCTTTGGTTGTTTGAAGAGGATGAACACGAAGAGGAAGATGAATCAAAACAGTTGATATTGTTAATGCTAATGCTGCTAATGCTGCTATTGTTATTGTGCTGGCTGTTTGGGGTTTGTGTCATCGACATCTGACCGCAGTAGCTATGGTTATTCATCACCGCCACATCTTCACACATTGAACCCTGGGTATTTTCGGGGCTGTGGATAAGAGGAGAATCGACAGGACTAGGATAATTGGGCATGGAGATGATGTCCATTGCAACTTGATCAATAAGGCTGCAGTCCAGATTGTGTAAAGAGGTAAAATAGCCTGCTGAAGACATATTAGGATCAGCTTGGATATTATGGATGGTTGGAATTGTTGTTGTTGATGGACAGATGCTGGGTACAGTCCAGGCATACTCTTCTCGAGCACAGTAAGTCATAGGCATAGTAATATCAATAGAAATAAATAATAGTGATAATAAGATAAAATAAAAAAGAGAACAGTAAAGAAGACAAGAAAGAAAAAAAAGAAAAGGTAACTAGGCAACCAAGTGAGTATTTATACAATAATTATTATTGTGAATTGTATATGTGTGTGTGGGGGGTTATTTTTAGTTTTCTTTTTTAAACTTTTTTATTATTATTATAAAATAAGCAAAGAAGAGCGTTACACGATAGTGGCCAAGTATGTCCAGGTGATTACTTACTTGTCTCACCTAAGCTGAATGTATTTAGTATTTTATATATATATAATTGTATCTTATATTTTTATATAGATATCTTTATATACATACATGATTTACTGTAGATATTGAAACAACTTGGATTCTTTTAGTTTCTTTTGTTTTGCTTTGTTTTGTTTTTTAAAGATATAAATAAAATATATAAATAAAAGTCATAGTGATATATAAACTTTGAAAGCTAAATACTTCTTTAAAATTAGACTCTTGAGTTGTTGCTTAGCAACAAATAGATCCTAAAAATAACCTACAAGAGCATACATCTTTAAATATACACTCACAAAAATACTATAATGATTTTGTTTTTGTTTTACAAGGTTTTATCATTACTACTAATTCAATAATAATAACAATAGTAATACATTATAATTATAATCATTATAGTCATACATAATCACAATCACAATCACAATTAATCATTACCATAGTGATCACCAGCCACAGTTAAATAATCTTTATTTTCTTTTTCTATATTATTTTCTTCATGATTGTATTACACCAATCCTTGGTATGTAAGACCTATGGTGGCTGAAATCATATATATATATATATACAAACATATAATCAATCAATCAATCAATCAGTCAGTCAGTCAGTCTGTTTACTTATCTGTCTGCTTGTCTGTCTTGTTACTGTGTATGTAATTTTACTAAATTATACTCAATGTTTTGTAATATTTTACTTTCAGAAATTCTAAAGATGTGTTTTAGTGTCTGTGTGTCTGTGTATGTACGAGTCTGTTGAGTTGCTTAACCTATTCTATTTTATTTTATTTTTTAAATATATATATATATGGATACATACAATATACATATATATTAGTTTTCTCATCTTCGTTTCTTTGTATTACAACCAAATACTAAATAGTTATTTGTGAATCTGGGCCCTTTTTTTTGCTTTATTGTATTCTTCAAAGAATAATATATATATATTTGTACATACCCACACATATACATACACTCTATATTATCCACGTCTTTACTTATACATATATTTATTAAGAATTCAGCAAATTTAAATAAAGCAGCTCGTACCAAAGCCTTCTTCTGTTTACCATAATTCTTTTCTTCCCATAAGCCAAGTGTCACATCTTTTACTGTCTTTTTCTTATTTTATATTATCTTTTTAGTATTCTTAATTCTCTATTGTCTAATGGGGTCCAAAAAGCCCAATGACCATTTTTGTACATTTTGTGCCCAACAATAATTTATACTCGTCTATTTGGTAACAGAGCCGACGCGTACCCTAATTTCCTAATGAATCATTATATACATGTTCGTATATATTGTGAAAAGCATGTTTAATGATTATATATATACATATATGTATGTAAGTATGTATATATATGTAAGTATATAAATATAAGATAAATAGACAGATAAATAGATAATAATAAAACTCTGTATTAATAATTGTTTCGAATATTCAAAGAAGGTTGGTTGTAATCTTGGTAGTACATATTCTGTTGCGGGAAATATTGTTGATCTTGGTAAGCCTGCGATCGGGGGCTTGGAGTGTGTATATGTGGGCTAGGTAAAGGCTGACCGTAGTCTGACTGAGGGTATCCAACCGAGCCAGTATCCTGGTAAATGTTTGGACTGCTGCCATGTTGGTGGTGGTATACAATGTTGTTCTGCCCTGCCCATGGCTGGGGCTGAGCGTTACTTGTCAATCCGACCCGATCGCTGGATGTGGAGCAATCGCTGTTCCTTCGACCAAACGGACTCACTAGATACTTCATCGAGTCATCTCCACCTAGAGCTCTTTCGCGGGGCTGTGTCCGTGGCGATTGTCTGTAATCCATCCCGTCCATGTTCAAGTTTGGCAAGGTGGGCTGAGGGAAGGTATTCATCTCAATCCTGTCATTGTTCTTGTCATTTTTGTGTTTTTTATTACTGGATTTCCCACCCGTTTTCTGATGGGCTGCAATTCTTCTACGAGCCTGGTTTTTCAAGAGCTCTGAAATACTAAAAGAAGTAAAAAGAGAAATTGAGCATTGTTAAGATATATTTTCTTTTGCTTTGATTTGCTTTGTAGAGTTGAGTGGAGTTGAGTGGAATGTATGGTTTGTGCTTGTGCTTGTGCTTGTGTATGTGGGGGCTTCTTGAAGCAATCCGTAGTTTCTCTCTTTCTATTTTTCAATACATTTACAGATATATCTTCTATGTGTGTGTATTACCGCTTATCCACCTTGTGACAGCAATATTCTTTAAGATTTCCTTGCATATGACAAAGTAAAGGAATATACATCAGAGCAGCTATACAGACCAAGACAAACGATACGGCAAATACTGCAGTAGAGAACAACATGGTACATGTCATTAGCTGTTGGACAATATCCTTTCCAAGCACTTCGTTGTTCAGTTGCAATTGGTTGTGATCGAGTTTAATCCAAGCAGGAAGGATCTTTATCAAGGTAACAACGTTAATCACCTGCCTAGGTGCCTCTGCCAAAAGTAGCTTTTTCCAACCTGTTTGTTTGTTTTGTTTTAAGTAAATAAATAAATAAATAGCAGTTATGTATGCACACATTTGTGATTTATTTATTATTGATAGCATTTTATAAATAGATAGCTAGATAGATATTGTATAAAGATAAAATAATATATCCAACTTCAAATAGTGTTATAGATATAGATATCAAAGTATTTGATAGTTTACCTTTAAGTGTAAAAAACACAAAGAATGCAATTGTGTCGGTCGTCTTTTGTGATTTGTTAATCTCGCAGAAAAGGCAGTAGTAACGATAATCTTTCATGGAATAGTATCGACTGGCCATTACAGATGTGAAAGTATAAGAGATATTTCGAGTAGCGATGATTCTCCGGGATTTACGGAAATCCCAGAACAAGAGTGCAAAAGAGATAAAGATTGCACCCAAGAAAATCCACTTTGAGATACTGTAAGGAATGGCAGAGTCTTCAGCGTTTCTGTGATCAATCACCAATAGAGACACTGAAGAATAATTAGTATATATTTGCTTGCTTGTTTGTTTGTTTGCTTGTATATTTAATATATGTATAAATGTACATCTTTATTTTTTTTAATATGTCTTACCTGCTGTCCACAAATCAGCAATATATACAAGGAGGGATTTTAAAACAACAAGATAAATAAAAGAATATCCGATTCGTGTGGTGCAAGAAGAGTCATAAAATTCGTCAAGATCAACATATTCAAATTTGTGATCCTGAACAACTTCACGTTTCCATTTTGGGCCATTTCTGCTATTTCCACACTAATGTATATATTTTTATTTTATTTTATTTTATGTTAAAAAAAATCATTCTTTTTTTTGTTATTAAATTCAAATCTACTAAATTGATTACTGATCACATTAACTTGCCATTAGACGATTAAAAATTATTAAGGATTTATGTATATATGAATATATGTATAAAAGAACGAAGTGGTGGCCGAGGTTTGGTGGCGTTTAACTAACATATAACACATACAAAAACAAAGGTAGAGAATTTTAAGGGCCACATGTCAAGAGTCATTACAACCTTCATACTTTTATTTATTCTTTCTTTTAAAAAAAAACATATTAAGAAAATAAGCTTACTGTGAAAGGAAAGGAATGGGGAAAATATAATGGAATGGAATGGAATGGAGAAGGCGAGGGAGTTATTCGGTTTAGGAAAAAAGGAAAGGAAGGTGTGGAGCGGAGAGAAAGTGAAAGTAGAAGAAAGAGAGAGATAATTTGACAAAAAGGAAGAAAATAGATAGGGTTCTTTCTCAACATTTCGCTGCCTATCTTTGTTTCTATTGGCCTCTATTGGTCTCCATCTGTTCCTAACAGTCTCTATTAATCTTTACTAATATCTATCTATCTATACGACTGACTGACTGAATGCTTGCCTGGATATTTGCCTGCCTATATATCTATTATGTCTATCTGTGTCTGACCTTCTTTTCTATTTTAAATGCCCGATTACCATGGCAATTAAAGGTTTCCCTGGCAACCATGCATGCACGTAATCTGGGCCCGCCAGATTTCCAAAAAGAAAGAGAGTTAATGTGACGGGTTTCGGATTAAGAGAGCAGCGACCGTTTTACTAAAACATTGCTACTATTATTATTATTATCGTTAGGGAAATAAAGGTATTTTTAAAAAGCTGTAGATTTAAGAGACATAGAAAAGTTTAATTTTGTTTAATTTTGTTTGCTTATGTTTACTGTGTTTTTTTCTGATGGCTATAAATCATTTTGGCTCCTTTTCGATTAGAGCACAAGGACTGAAGACAGCCTCAGCCAAAACTACTTGAATTAATATAAACAATTCATTATACAGGGTTACTTATTATATAAAAAAATAAGAATAAAATTAAGAAGCTGAAGTACCAGATCAAGTGTAATTGCCTACTCCAACAAATCAAATGTACATATATAAATATGATCTTTATTGGTAAAGAGCTCTAACATCCTGGGCAAGGTTCATCTAGTGATACACACAATTGACAGAAACTCTGTTCGACCAATTATTCTAGACTTCTATATGTATATTGAATGTTTAGATAATTTATAAAAATGAATGTACAATTAATCATAATAAATAAAGAATAAATAAATAACATCATGAGCCTTTAGCTAGATAATCCAAGTACAATGTGCCTATAATTATAGATATATCTATATTACTGTTACCCTTTAGTCCATAGAAAGAAAGCAGTCTATATCAAGATTGTTGCATTTTATTATATTATATTATAATATATTTTACTTTATGAGAATCTTGTATATATATAGCTAATTATTGAATTTTATTAGAGTGTGCAAGAAATACTAAAACAAGTTTTACAATCCTGGTGATACTTTACCTTTTTTTTTGCTTTACTGATCCGTATGTTTGGGATAATTTTCAAGTCATGAGTATTGATATACCTAGCTTCTGCTCAGCCGTACCTATACCTTTTTTGTGAAAGTTTCGAATAATATTAGAAGAGAACTATAGCTCAACAGGTAATCTATAAACACAAAGACTAATATATATATCTTGACTTTGTCTCTCTCTTTTTTTGGTTATGTATATGCTTATAAGAATTACTCAGAATTATGTGTGTTATGTGCTACGTGCTATATGATATACGATATGCAATATGTGCCATATTTTCACCGACAATTTAGCCCTTAACCTCGGCATCACTTCCATCAACAGGATACTTTCTCGTCGTCCATTTCAACATAATATTCTTGAGTACGACATTGGATTTCGAAATATATACCTATTTTTAGCTTATAGCTTTATCTATATAGTAAGGTTAATACATAATATGTCCTAAATTTTTTTTAGGCTGCTGTTGTTGTTGCTGTGGTTGTTGTTTTTTTTTGGCTAATGAACAAGGTTCCATGAGCTAAGCTTTATTTAAAGAGCAATATATAAGTATGTATAAAATGTACGTATGTATCTACGTATGTATGTACTATTAGAACTTTATCAATGAATGTATCTCTTTACGTGTAACATTGTTTAATATATGTTTACAGTGGCTATCTTTGGCACATTATCCTTTTTTAGACCCATGCGCCACAGCCAGAAGCATCTTTGTGTTCAAGTGTGTAGCATTCTAAAAAACTGTGTGTCTATTTTTTTTTCTTGCTTCAATAAATCAATCAATCTTTATTTCCTTTTCACTTGTTTCAATTGCTTCATATTTTTCCGTATAAAAATTCCCTCCTTTTGGTGTCACTAATATGTACACATAATATAACACCCAAATACCAAGAACTCTTGGCTACCTATTAACTTTTTTTCCCTCTCTCTATCTTGCTTTTTTATTTATTTCTGTTTTTAATTCTTGGCTATATTCATTGAGCTACAATATTTTGTACGTTATTTAAAGCTTCTAACTATGCATCATCGATGAAAAAATAATAATCTATATGTGTGTACATTATATTCTTATACACAGTTTAACTTTAATATTTAACTTGTATTTTATATATATTTATTTTTGGTTTTGGCTATCATTTCAATTAGCTTTGGGCTTCGACCTTGGCATTATTTTCTTAGCTTTCTTTTTTGTCTTGATAGAGTTCTTGGCCTGATCTGGGCTTTGTATAGGCTTTCTTTTTAAGCCTTTTGAGTCATCACCAGGTGATTATTCAGTAGCAGTAACCGAAGGAGTAGTTAAAGAAAATGGCTTGGCAGTAGCAAAGATAAGATTCTTAGGCTCTGTACCTTGGACTTGATAATCTTACGCTTCTTATTGTGACCAGATTAACTTGGAACTTGCCTGGAGTCCAAGTCAATGTTGTTACCACATTAAAGAGCAAGCATTTTCTCATTAACATATTTTATTATTCAGTAAGGCTACATTTATATATATAAATGCTTATTATTGCTAATTTTTATGATCATCATCATAATAATAAATTGTTTCTAAGTATATATGATTTCAACAAACTTTCTTTTTTCTTTTTTCAAGAAGTACAAGATATACTGACGTCTCGGTCAGGACTGGATTAAGGATAACCTGTCTGCCTAGGTTTATGAAGCTTTTTCAAATTTTTATGATTGTATTTATAGCTAAAAGCTTACTCATGTAATCCCAAATTCTATATGCTACGCAATTTGATCCCTAACTTCACCTACTTCCATACTGTTTATCTCAATTGGGTACTCAATTATCACCGTGGGCAATACGCGAGCGAGTAATTCATTGACTTGATGATTAGTTTTTATATACACTCACAGTAAAAAATGTTTCGAATCTCGCAAAAGAATGGCTAAAAAAGCATGAAAAATAAATAAAAATAAAAGCATTGTTTTCTCCTAATATTATTAATCGAGTTCAACATGCAAGATGCAAATCCATAAGAAAGGACCCGTGTATGATATAAAAGGAATGATCCCTACTAATACGGATGCACCATGTACATACATTTAGTAAATTACGGAACAGTCCAGATTTCATTGGTGCTTGGGATGAGCCTGTCAACCATCAAGTAAATAATTAAGAGAGTAGATGAGATAGGATTGCCAGAGCTAATAAAAGGGTCCAGCCAACCTAGAAAGATTAACGAGAGGACGGAAAGGCACATTTTCCAAGTAGTTCGAAAGGACCCCTTTGCCTCTTTTTATAGGCTAGGGACTTCCTTAAAGAATATGGATGTATTTGTCTGTAGAAAGACAACAATCAGGTTTCTGAAGCGTTTAAGCTGTAATTCATATATAGTAGCCCATAAACCAGCTTTAACAGGAATACACAAGAAAATAAGGCTGAGATGGTCCCGTAAGCATGTCAATTGGACAGATGACGAGTGAAAAAGTGTGGTGTAGTCAGATGAATCACAATTCACAGTAAATAGAAACGATGGAGGAGCTATGACGCTCAGAAAAGTTGGTGAAAGGTTCAAGGAAGAAAATATCATTGAAGGAACCAAGTGGGGGAAGGACAATGTGATTATCTAGTGCTGTTTTTGGGCCTTTTGTGCTCCTTGATGGCAACTTAGATCAAGACCGATACGTGAACACTTTGGCTCTGAATTTTCTCCCTTGGTTCCAAAATATTTCGTGGGAACAGAATAGGCGCTTCGTATTTCAAGAAGATAACGCCAGATGCCATATTTGCTTATATTTGAGGTGGCGGAAATGGGGATGAGAGGGCCAGTATAAACAATGTCAATGATTTGAAGGTTGCAATGCAACGAGAGTGGCAAAGAATAGATGTTGAACTTGCATCAACGTTGGCCGGCAGCACGCACCATAAATGCCAGGCTGTAATTGACGTCAAAGAAGGCTATACAAAATAGTGATCTTTTATTTGAAGTTTGAAGGTCTTAGCTATTATTACTGATGAGCACTTAAATATTGAATATATGCTATGATTTCTCTTGTGGATTTTTTGAGCTCAAGGTCGGAACGTTTTTTCTTGTGGCTGTATTCAGTCCTTTTTCGTAAATAAGTTCGAAGAAGTCTTCCTTATTTACATCAGTGTAATTTCCGTAGCTTAATCGTCCTTTTCCAGACAGCTCTACCGGATAATCTTCTTTGCCTTTCTCTTTTTTTCATTGCTTTTTCTGGAGGGTTTATGTCCGTGTATTGGTCATAATTGGTAATGTCATCCAAAGGATATTCTTCCAAGTCAACCTCAGTCTCCACAACTATAGCCTCTTCTATATCTTCTCTCACAAAATTTTAAAATCTGTTGACATACACAAAATCACTCATTCTATTTAGATTACCAATAAAATAGATAAAATAAAGGAAGAAAGAGGCTCTGGATCTTATACACTGTAGGAAATTGCAGAATATATAACTCCATACTCGTAGAAAATATACGCGCTCGTATCGCATCTACGCGCGCGTAGGTTCTCCAGCCAATAGTATAGGATATTTTAGCTTTTAATTCTACCGTTCAGCAAATACGATTTGTGGGACTTTAGATTATTTTTGCATCTAAGCCAATAAATTGTTTTAAATGCAGTAGATTTATACCTTTTTTAGTTATTTCTGTCTATCTTGTAATTGGTCTAACCAATGCATGATGTTTTATATTGGAATTTCATGTTTTTTTTTTTTAGAATAATAGGAGTACTGATTTATATGATATTTAGTAAGAGTTTAAGCTATAATTTCTCTATATAATATGCATCCATATATAGTTATGTGCTTCTTTCTACTTTTTCTTATCTAAAAGGAGCCATGATTCTCTAAATATTATAATATTGAAGAAGACACGAATATTCCTTAATATATTCTTTTTATCAAATAGTATACACCTTTTCTGTGTCGACATTGCCCTGTCTAATTCCTGTTTTTGAAAAACCAAAATAATGATAATTAAATATCACCCTAAGAACTGCTTATAGGATTTCTGGGGATCTTTGTAGCCAGTGTTTTGAAATATGATGTAACCCGGGTCCAAAGAGGCTTGTTACTGAATGGTAAGCTATTAGATTTGAATAATTTTATTGTCTTTAATTCTTGTACTTGGTTGAAGAAGTTGGGAAAAATATGTTTTACATTGACTGCAAAAACGTGGTGGCGTAAAAAGTGGGATATATATAAAAGAAATAATGGTGCTTAATTAATAGAATTTTACTATAAGACGCACTAAACCCCGGAAAACTTGCAACAATTCACTAAAATCGCCTTTTTTTTTCTATAGGGTATGAGCCCTTATTTATATTCCCTCTTTTTCTACCATTAATTTTATGTTGGGTTTTAATGCATTGTAGAATTATCAATTTTGGCTTTTTTTTGTTTCTTTTGTACAAAATACATAGTACATATATTTATTGAAAGTAAATAAATAAATAAAGATAGAATAATAATATGAAAAGGTTATACTAGTACATGTACTGATTATGACATTTCCTATTATTATTTATGCTATTAATTGGATAGGTCCAGCCTATTTGGTGACAAGAGGAAGGACATTCTGGGTGAAGTAGAGGTTGTTGTTGCCGACCATGTTTCCGGGTTGACGGTAAGAGCAAGTGTAAAGTCTGGCATTTCCGTAGTTGGCACATGTAGTCACACCACAACCAACTTCAGTGGTGGCCTTCCAGACAACCTGAGTAAAGTGACCAGTGGTGCCACCGAAGCCAGGCTTCTTGAAATCGTACGAAGAAACCTCACCGTACCAGCCATTGATAGCCTTGGTGAAGCTGGAGTAACCCATAGCGAGGTTCTCACCATATGCTCCCTAGAAAATTAAAATCAAGCGATTGATAATAAAGAGAAAATAAATTGAATAGATTAATATCAGGATATATATTGGCGTTTCTCTTTTTTGTTCGTACCTGGCTGTGTTGGAACTCGCACTTGCTGGACCATTCTTGGGCATACTTGGCCAATGTTGTGCTCCACTTGAGGTCAGGAACGCCGTGCTTTGCACGATACTTGTTGTGAACTCTGAGGACTTCGGCAGAATGAGCCTTGTAGTTGGGGGTGGTAGGGGCAGCAGAGGCCATTTGGGTGGCAGCGGCCAAGACAAGGGCGAAGGGAAGGGAAAGGGTGGTGAAGGAAACCATTGTTTGTTGTTAGTATGTGTATAACAAAAGAAAGACAGGAATGGGTTGGGTTTGGAGGGTTGGAAGGAGAGGTTGGGAGGTGGTGGAAGGGCTATGGGGATGATATGGAATGATAGACAAGAGCAATTGAATATTTGATGTGTATATATACTCTTTTTTTTAAAAATAAATAAATTAAACTGAGATAACAAGATCCACACTGTCAATCTACTTTCAATAATCGTTGTATCACACAACTGGACACAAATCTGCACACACGAGATGATATTTGTATGCCGAAATTATAAAGGTACTAAAAAAACAGCAAATAAAGAAAAACCCTTTTACACCCTTATTGTTTTTTTTTTCTGCAGGTTAAAAATTAGCTAGATTTTTATATAATATAAATAAAAGGGTTCAATTATTAGCTTAAATAAATCGCAATATATATTTTCTTCAATTTTTATTTTTGTATTTAAAAATGAGTTTCTTTACAAGTTAGAGCTTAAAAACAAAAAATAAAAAGAACATGGTAAAACATTGCGTGAAGGTTATTCCCTTATTTTTATTTCCTTTTTAGTCTATTGGGCCTTCTTAGCCTTTAGAGATTGTTTCTTGACCAAGACCATAGTTTTGACCGTTGCTCTGAGGACAAAGAACTAGCAAAAAAAATTAATTTTTTTTTTAAAAATAAAATTCACATAACTATCTCTTGTATTTTACCAATGTAAAGAACCCATTGATCAACAATGGAAAGGCATAGACGATTACTATAAACATTCCAGATGGATCAAAGTAATTCGCCGAAGCAAATTGCTTCCAGTGCTCCGCCCCAAGTGAATTCAGGGGAGATGCCAGTGCCGCCATACCCACTAAAATAAATGAATAATAATAATAATAATGCCAATCATATTTTAATATCTAACTTATATAATTCGTATGATATACACCTATACATATATAGCTTTACATGACATTACAATATATTACATTACACTACACTACACGAAATAATGCAACACAGCACACGCGCGCGTACACACATGTGTATGTGTTTGCAGATCAAGTACAGCTCTCCCTCTTTTTATATATAAGATTATATTACATTATATCGAATTTAAATTGAATTGATGATCGATAATTTATTATTCATTTATTTTATTTAAGCGTCTTATCTTATATATGTATACAGCTATTACTAGTGAATAATTCATATCTTTTATGTTTTAAATAATAATACTAATAATATAAACAAGAAATTTGGTCTATATATATATATATATATATATTGGTAACTTACAAATGGCAAAAAAGTATACTGAAAGCAATGTGTGTCGATTGCGCAAAAATATTGGAATCAGCATGCAAATTACATGAAATCCAATTAGAGCTCTAAGCCAAGGTTGAGACCAGTCAACCTAAAAACAAAATAAGAACAGTTTTTTTTTGGTTTGGTTTGAGTGGGAGATGCAAGATACGGAATATGAAGAAGAATAACAATAAAAGAGAAAATCAGTGTTTGTCATGTTTGTCAAGATTCCTTACCGATTGAAAAAACTGCAGAGTATAGTCTACAAACTCATCATAGGCAGATCTATTTGCTGCCCGTCCTATTCCCTGTTGTACTTGTTCGAGAATGCCTTGAACAATATCCTGTGACATTTTTATTATTGTTATTATTATTAATAATTGTAGCTATAGTCGTAGTCGTAGTCGTAGTAGTAGTAGTAGTAGTAGTAAAAAGTTGGGGGTGAGGATGACAGGAAATTTAGACATTGTCTGTGCATCAACAAGAAGCAAGAGAGAAAGAGAAAAGGGGGGTGGCGGACTGCTTTATTGTCCTTGTTTGACCAATGAGATATCCCCACATAAATCACTTGTATTTTCCTGCCTGAATTTAATCTTTAGCCTATACTCAGATAGATAGTGAAAGAAAGAGAAACAAAGAGTGTCTTGTTTACGCTTCTTCTTCTTATTTTCATTCTTATTTTTCTTTTATATCTTCCAAGACTCTATATATATACTTATATAGTAGTAAGAGAAAGAAAAAAATAGAGAAAGGAATCAACAATGAGACACCATCGTTTATTGCTTGCCTGTTTACTTCCTCTTCTGTTGCCGGCTTCCTTGGCTTCAGCAAAGAGCGCACACGAATATGTGAATGAGGGAAACCAATTCCTCACAGCCGGACAATACAACGATGCTTTGATTAGCTTTGATGCAGCCATAAGTAAGTTAACTTTTACACTAGAGTACAAGAAGCTCAAACAACCATTCTCACACATTAACTCCATTCACTTCATTTACAGATAGCGATCCCAAAAACTATAGAACCTATTACAAAAGAGCCACTGCATACCTGTCTCTCGGGCGTACTAGTGCTGCCGTCGAAGACTTTACTACTATCTTGAACCTCAAGCCTAACTTTGATGCAGCGCTGATGCAGCGTGCTCGTATCTACGCCAACGAGGGCGATTTTCAACTCGCCGAGAGTGATCTAAACACCTACCTCAAGGCCCACCCAGTCGATAAAGAAGCTGTTGAGTTGGTATGTCATCTATGGTTATCTTTCTACCATTTATTTTGTGACGAACAAACAAGCTTGGTTATTTTGAGACAATGACATGAATTTAATTAATTAAACTTTAAATATGTGTATATTTGTGGATGTAGCTTTCTTCTGTAAAGGAAGCCGAGCAAGCAACAACAAAGGCAGAAAAGGCTCTGAAGAACAAAGAGTACGAACAGTGCATTGATCACGCCTCCAAAGCAGTTTCTACAGCACCTCACTACCTGCGTCTTCGAAGAATCAGAGCAGAGTGCTACATTGCCAAAGGAGATATCGAAGAGGCAGCAAGTGATTTGACGTAAGACACAGTAATTAATACCTGTTTTTGTTGTTGTTTACGATCACAAATATGACATAACAAAGCAAAACAAATTGTCTCATCATCATCATAATAATAATAATAATACTAATACTTGTTTGTGTCATATTGTGTTTTGTCGTGTCTTTATCACTCTTAGGCGCGCTGCTTATTTGTCTCCTTCAGACCCCGATATTCTGGTTAAACTTTCAAAGATCAACTTCTTCTCACTCTACGAACCTCAGTTTGCCTTGGCAAATGCAAAGCAATGCTTGCATCATGATCCTGAACAAAAAGAGTGCAAGAGCTTGTTCCGCCTGATCAAGCGAATCGAAAAGGAAATGACTGGAATTGCGAAGGATGTTGAACACAAGCGGTTCGCAACCGCTGCCAACAAACTTATCGGCACATCTTCTAAAAAGGGTGTCATCACAGAGATCGAGGCCCAAGACAAGGCAATGGAAGAAGAACTCAAGGCGGTCGGAAAGATGCCCCGGAAATTGGTGCTCAAAGGGTACGAGACGGCCTGCAAGCTCTACACCCAGCCAAAAAACAAAGACGCCAAAAAGGCCAAGAAATGGTGCTCGGCTACTCTGGATCTAGACGAGAACAATGTCGATGCCCTCGTGGCACGCGGTGAGGTGTTTTTGGACGAACATGAGTTTGAAGAAGCGACGAGGGACCTAGAGAAAGCCAACGAGCTGACGGGTGGGCAGAATGGAAATATCCGCCAGTTATTGCAGCGAACACAACAACTGCTGCGTCAGAGCAAGAGACGTGATTATTACAAGATCCTGGATGTCTCTCGAGACGCTAATGCACGTGATATCAAAAAGGCATACCGTAAGCTGGCTCACTCGTGGCATCCTGACAAGTATAGCGGTGACCTGTCCAAAGAAGAAGCAGAAAAGAAAATGGCTGAAATCAACCAGGCTTACGAGGTATTGAGTAATGATGAAATGCGTCAACAGTATGACAATGGCAACGACCCATTTGATCCCGAAAGCCAGCAACAAGCAGGAGGACACGGATTCCATGGCCAGAATCCATTTGCACACTTCCAAGGTGGCTTCCCATTCGGAGGCGGAGGTGGCTTCCCTGGAGGAGGCAGCAACCAACATTTCGAATTTAATATGAATTTTTAGAAGCTTTTACAAAAAAAAAACTCAAACTCAAACTCTGACTTTGACAGTTTTTTTTTATTTAATATTCCTCCACATTAACCCTCGTCTTCCTCCTCCTCCTTCAAACCATTTCCTCTGTTTCCCATCACTTCATCTTGTACAAAGCCTATATTATTAATGAAAGTCGACAGATTTTTAATACAAAAACGAACAAACCAATTAACTGACTAGTAAATAATAGTAATATTATGCGGTGAGAGATCGATATTGGTGTGTCTCTTTATTTTATTTCTTTGAAAGATCAGGATCATTATTAGCTAGTTGACCCACCTTGCTTTACTTTAAATATATAGAGGGCTTGTGTGTGTGTGTGTGTGTGTGGGTGGGTTATGTACATGGGGGTGCGTAAGTTAGTGGCCAAAATTATTAAATATTTAAGTTTGATGTTTGAGCGGATAACATTGTTGAAAGACTCGATGAAGCAAATTTAGGGTTACTCCCCACCTTCAAGGCCAATATATATATATATATATTTAAAGCAATCAAATTATATCATTATGGAGCTTTGTATGTTAATTAAAAGTAAAATATTTACACAGAATATTGTGGTTAAAACACTATATGATTCTGACAGGCTTCCCTAACAAGCATATATTTCAACTCTATGTAAAATCTAAGAACTCACATATTATTAGCAATATAGGGCCTTTTTCTCTCCATCCTTGGAGTGTTAAATATTGCTCTCGTTATATTTTGGCTGGGGTTTCACTTTATAACTTCTAACAGTTCTATGTAACAAAGGTTTGATAATTGTTACAAACTTGGGGAGCAATAGCTGCGAATATATCTCCATTAATGTACCTTGTTAACCAGGCTTGTCACTGGGGGTGATAGACTTTGAAAACGAAGAGAATATTGCCTTTTTATTTAATGAACAATCAAACAGACGAAATATACGAAATAGACGAAATAGACGAAATATGTACGCATAAGGTACTATTACTATTGCTATTATTATTATTATTTATTATTTGAATTTTATATGATTGTACAATGAGTGTCGAATAGCATTTTTTTGTATAGATAATATTGATCCGAAATCTGGGATTGGTTCTGTAATTTTCTACATCTGTTTCCCACCCCTTTGAGGGTTCAAATTGTTTTTGATAAATACAATTCTATTGTCCTGGTAAAAGTCATAAAGGCTTGGCTAAAATAATGAGCATTTAAACTTTTGATAAAAATGTAGGGGGATTAACTTTTAGTTTAGGGGAAATATCACTATTGTGTGTATGTAATTAGGGTTAGGATTAAGATTTTAAATCCGTGTGCGCCGTACTTTATTATGTCAAGCCGAGTTAAGGTTTGCTATTTCTTTCTTATTCTGATACTCAGATATATTTCCTTGTCAAAAATAAAAATAAAAATTAAGAACGCCTCTCACTTTCTCCGGCTTGGATATTGGGGCTTAAGATGTGGTTTTTATTCAATGAGCTAAAATGATACCTGTACTATAGAATAAAGGGTCGGCCTTTCTGATGTCTGTACAGACCGACTCAGACATATATTGGATTAGATTATGTTAGATTATGAGTGTAACAAGCATGATATCGTCCAAGGACTATTACTCTTTAGGTAATTACATAAACTTCTAGCCATGGGAAGCACGATAGGGTCGTTATAGTATTCCATAAAAAGTAAAGACGAAGTGCTTATCTGTGTGATACAAATGACTTTCCCCACCACAAACCAACTAGCTAGCTAACTAACTAACTAACTAGCTTTCTTTTTGTTTCTTTTTGTTTCTTTATTATTTTCAATAGATATTTTAAGATACAAAATATGATGTCAAAAGAGAAGTTCGGGCGGTGGTATACTTTAATTAATCGCAACATAATAGCCTTACTCCATTATACTTTAGCACGAAAAAGAGAGAAAGAAAGAAAGACGATATGCAGCAAGTAGACCTAGGGATATGTGACGTACACTTTTTCCGGAAATTATTGGTGCAAAAATAAAAAATAAATTTTGTGCAAATAGATAGTGTTGTTAAATGTTCTGAACTCGCCAGAAAAATGGAGACATTTATAAGTAAGTTGCTATATTTGACAATCGACATCTGAAACAGGCCCAAAGCTGCCTTTTTCAGAACCAGGATTTTCTCAAAATTTGGAAAATTTGTCCAACTTTTAATTTGCAAGAGTTATGCTATTTTTCATATTAAATAAGACAAATCTCATGGGGAATACATGTATGTGTGTCTTATCTATATCGTGCATAATTCATAACTACTGTAAATATATTTTCATGGAGATACAGCTTATTTATTCAATGTATTATGGAGGAAATATGAACAGAATATGCCAGGAGTGAGACATGATTTATCCTTATTTCTTTTTTTTTTGGGAGCAATAGTTCAGAACATTTAACGACACTATCTATTAAAAGATAGAAAGATAAATAAGTTATATATGTGTGAGATCAATAATATCAGAAGAATATAAGGAAGAATTGGTTGGAAAGTTAGTGATAGTAGTGGAAGGCAAAAGATAAGATTTGTTCTTTGGGAACTGACCCCAATGATTCCAACTTGTAGAAAAACAGTCAATGATACTCCCTCTACGGACAGCATCAAAATACAGCGCGTTTACCTCGGACAAGGACCGATGTACATGAGGTTTTACTTTGATTGTTGTCCAGTGGCACCCATATACATGGTGCAAGACCATCGGCAATGGCTTTCTTTTGAGAGGCTTCTGATCATGGAGGGGAAAGAAAGTTATGGACAAGACGCTCCGATCGTCCGAGTACACAAAAACAAGCTCGTTATAGGTTTCAGCTATTATTTGAGCACAGTCTGGCGCAGAGAACCACATGGAGGAAGGACAGGAGGGGATGTTTTTACCAATGGCTGGGTCAATGTCAGAGCCAAATGGAATGACCTTTGTTACCTCAGCAATATCCATTCCAAGGTTTTGCTCATAGAGCTCACTGTGGGTTGCCATCGTGACCAACATTTTCTTCGTCACCAAAGGGAACTGATCCTCTCCGCCCTCTTTCAGGTGTGCAAATACACGAAAACCGCACCAACCATCGGACTTGGGGTTAAATGTCAACGAAATGGCGGCTTGGTCGATTTGATCTGGCAGAGCAAAGTCGTGCACATTTTTCTTCTGTTTTTTTTTGGGCTGGGAATATCGTACCAGTAGTCATCTGGGAGGTGGTTAGGCCCTTTAATTCCAGAAGAATATTTGTCAGCTAAGAATAAACAAAAAACAACGTAAGATTTAGCATTTACTTTCAGTAAAATATTATATCAATTACCTTCTTCGAGAGGCTCTTGTTTTCAGCGAATTGGGTTTCTTTTTTGATATTTTTAATGGCTGGAAATAGTAAATATTAGATATTATATTGTAATTTTGCAAAAATCAATAATACATACTTTTTTTAAGAGGTTTCTCCTCTAAGAGTTCATTCATTACATCTATAAGTCCTTCTTTTAAGATTTTTCTAATTTCACTCTAGATAAATAAGAAAACATATGTATTAGATTGTGCTATTGTGTGTATGTTATCTCATTACCTTATTTTTTTTGGACGAGATGCCTGTGCTTGTGGTGGACAAAATCCTTTGGGAGAGCAGTTTTTCTTTTGACGTGCTTAGGTCTTCCAGAAGCTTTGATCTGACTTGACAAAGGAAAGGCAACCTCTGGGTGATCCTTTAAATTACTGACATTATTTATAAGATCGTTCACCTTTGCCATCAGGTTACAGATTTGTTGTTCTCCTTCACATCGTCTAAACAACTACTCAAGTTGTGCAATTGATTTCATCCATGGAACTTGTTTCTCAATTGCCACAGTACTTATACTTTCCGATTTTTCTACTTCCTTATTATGGAATGGGAGGGCAGAAGAGAGAACCTATTTTTAAGGAATGTCTGCAAGTGTGAGGGCCCGATTTCTTGGCAGAGTATGGCGGCAAGGGAGACCAAACATTGTATTTACTCTGCATTAACAAGCTTCACCAATAGTAACCTCTTCAAGAAGTTCAGCGCGAATCGTGAACAATGCCATTCTGGAAACCGAGTGGACCAATCCACGGGGGCGCTCATCAGCAAGGATTCTTGCATCGGTCACCAATTCCTCGTCCAGTCTACGGTCTTGGCAGTCACCCTCGAATTGCAAGAGATATGAGCATATTTGCTCAAACGAGGAGTCCAAAGACTGGAGAGCCGATATACTCCTTTTCGGGGCATGGTGGCCACTCTCAACACGCTGTGTTGTCACACAGTCAAAGTGCTTTAGCTTATTGGTGAGGTAGCCAGCCCACTTCTCTTTGCAGCTCATCAACTCCTTCTCAAAGTACTCCTCAAAACTTTTCACTGCACCATTTTTACCATCTTCAGACAGTCCTTCAGTCTTGAGATCCTCACAAGAAGCCAATGATCTGAAAAGTTCTCTTTTCTGCATTAACTTGCCAGCACCGTCTCCAAATATCATGCTGTTGATCAAGTTGGTGCACGTATTCTTATCTTCGCCTGCCTTCCTAGTCTTCTTTGCCATCTTGGCAATGTTGTTTATCATGTGCCAACCACAGAGAAGCTTTTTGTTCACGGGGAACTCGAAATCAAGGCCATTCATCAATGCCTTGGACTTGTCTGTAACAAAGATAGGGTTTTACTCGATTCCCTTCAACACGATTGATTTCAGCGATATTACGAACCAGACATAGATTGTCTCTGTCTCATCAGAAACCCACGCAAATGCAACAGGAAAGCTCTTCAATCTTTCTCCACCAAGGTTGCTGACACCCTCTACACAAACCAAAGGCATATTCGCGTAGTTTGTCTTGTAAGTGGCACCCACAATAAGAACCTCAGGAAAACGACGGGCTCTTTTTATCATCGTTTCATTTGTAAAGAAAATGTGAGAGAGACTTTTTCTCTCATTGAATTGATAAAAGACAGAAAATCCCTTTGCTTCCATAGTTCTTATGAGTCCAGTAGCGCCATGAATTGATGATTCACCACCACGAGAAGAGTTATACTCAGGTTGTTGATATCACTAATTCTCATCTTTCTCATTCCAGTGACCTTATCTCTTGTAGCTTTCTGAATATCGCGAGTCTTGGCATGGTTTTCTAGCATTGTCTTTGCGATAATTGCATCCGAAGTCAGGAGAGACATTCTTCCTTGGTGAGAAGACGCCAAGTTGTTTGGGGTGATGTGGTGGTTATGGTAATGTTCATTGTCACCGCGGGCAGGCAAGGGAAGGTATCTCTGACTCTTGTTTTTAAAAGAAAATCTCAATAGTAAGGGGCATCCAATGAGGGAAGAGTTGGGGGCTTTCTTTCTTTTATCCTCGCTGATGTTACGCTTTATCACAATAGGCACCAGCCTTTGAACAAGCAAGGTAAAGTGTTGGAAAGGGCGTAATCGTTTACGGCTTGAAGAACACTCTGCTTGTCAGGATAACCATTCTCGGGGAATGAGAGGGTTGTTTTAAGTGAGTACTTCTTGTCAATGGGGGGTAGCGAAGTTGGTGTTCAAGTTTAATAAAAAAGTACTGTGTTTATATAAGTATTTTTATTGATTCATGTACGCAATGTATGAATTGTATGCAATGTACACAACGTAAAAAAGGCATCATATCTTGTTATTTGGAAATATTATTTTTTATTCTTACAACTAAATGTTAATGACTTTAAAAAAAAAAGGGGGTGTTTTTATTTTTCTCGGGAAATTGGAATGATCTAAAGATGGGGACAGGGGTGTGCTTATAACGATGGGGCAAGGTGTGCTTATAAAGGATGGGGACGGGAGGTTCTTCAAGACAGGTTATAGCCGGGCCCCGGACCAGCAGTCATTTTAAATTGTGCGGTGCCGTTACCCCCCGTCCCCTAAAATCGCTGGTTTTTCATTGTCTATATAAAAATTTCAATGCAGCCAGTCACATGAATTCTGTATAAAAAAAAAAAAAAAGAAGGATAAGATTTCGTGACGTTGTTTTTTATAAATTTAATTTTTTTTTTCATTACTATAAAAACTGAAGAATAAAGCGATTACTCTAAAATGAATTCTCTTATCTTTTCATTATTACATTTCTTTAAACTATATCGATATCAACAAAAAGGTAATTATATCATTTCTATTTCCTTCATTATTATTATTATGAATACCATTTTTTTTTCTCTCTCTCTTGGAACTATCTGATGATACAACCACGACATTTTGCACGTCAGTCTGAACTGTAAATGTAGATCAATTAGCTATACCCAAATTTCTGAACATTCCAAAAAAAAAAAAAAAACATTTATTCTTTATCATTTTCAAAAAAAAATTATACAATTTTGAATATCAATAACTTATTTGTTTTTTTTATTTCTACAGGTAAATAAAAAAAAAGTGTAGTTAAATGCAATATATCAGCAAGGATGTCTTGAAGTCCAAGATTATTTTTATCATTTAAAAAAATTGAAACATAAATAAAAAATTTATAATATAAATACAAATAATTACATATACACAATTTGTCTGCCCATGTCATCATTTTGATTTGTTTATTTGAGAAATGATAGTTTATAAAAGTTTTTTTTTTTTTTGAAAAGTAAATAAATAACAGTATCGATTAAGCAATAATTAAACAATAATTTTGATATTTTGAGATTTTGTAATTTTGTATAAATTGTATTTTCATTATTCGTTTCAAATAATAGTAATAATAGTATAATTTATATTATTATTACCATGATGAATTTATTTGGAAAATATCGATACGCAAAACAAAGTACAGATGAAACATCAGAACACGAAGATCAAGAACCAAAATATAATAAAAATGAAGAGACAATAGAGTTGATCGAGAGACCAACAGCAACATCAACAACAATAACACAAACATCACCAACAATAGTATCTCATGATCAACAATGGGTAACATTGAGTGCACTTGTTGATGATGAGGATCATTCAGCCAACCAAACTTATCATCAGTATGGTGATGGTACTGATGCTGTGGCAGAGAGTATGACTCATCATGTAAAACAACAGCTCTATCTTTTACTTGAAGCACCGTCAAGTAGTCGTGCTGCATTCTGGATCAATGTGGTTGTCTCAATGTTGATTGTATTGAGTGCAGTAATGACAACCATGGAAACTATTCCAGCCTTTCGGTCTGAAGACAGCAATCGATTATGGCAAGTTTCTATTTATTACTTTATATTAGAAGGAATGCAAAATAAAAGAAATAGTGAAATAAAATTGTTGGATTTGTACGTGATGTTGATTTATGTTACTATTACCATGGTTACTATGATATACTTTTGAATAATAAAATAAAATATATATGTACATATGTATGTATGTGTATCATCAATGTTGTAACTTTATAGGTTTCAACTTGAAGTTGCCATGGTGTCACTATTCACATTGGAGTATTTACTTCGTGTGTTTGCGCACTCGGACTCACTCGGCATGATTAAGCATTTTTTTCTGTGTAAGATATAAAGACCATACATAGAAACAAATATATGATTATGATTATGATTTTGTATTCATTTATTTATTTGATTTGATTTGATTTGATTTGATTTGCTTTGCTTTTCTTAAGCTCCATTATCAATCATTGACTTTATCTCAATTGTTCCTTTTTACATTGAATTGCTTGCAAAGAGAGACACGGTAAGTAAAAATTTTGAAAACTAATGATAAAATAAAAATATCCCAGATTTTTTTTTTTTTTGGTTTTTTTTTGTTTTATTTTGGGTTATCAAGACTAATGAGATCGGTCCCTTTGTTTTGATATATATATATATATATCAAAACAAACAAACAAACAAAAGACATATGAATTTAGATTTACAATTTTGCGATTATTTCGATTGCTGCGTCTATTCAAGACTTATCAATACTCAAACACGATCGCGATGACAATTGAAGTGCTTGTTCTGGCCATGCGTAGATCGAGTGACGCATTGAGTGCATTGTTCTTTTTCCTGGTGACATCAGTAGTCCTGTTCTCTACATTATTGTATTTTGCAGAACGTGGTGTATGGGATAGTACAGTGGAAACATTTGTAAACCCGGGTGGAAACCCAAGGTAAGAAAAAAAGTTTATGCCACATGTGTAAATATACGATTATATATGCATGAAAATAAAGCTAATTAATAAACGTGCGGTTAGTTCATTTGACAGTATCCCGGCTGCATTTTGGTTTGTTCTAGTGACAATTACGACCACAGGTTATGGTAAGCTTTTATATATATATATATATATATTCATCATTGTTATGATGACGCTTTTAATGCTGGTTGTAAGTCTAACATGCAAGACCAAAAAATAAAATAAAAAAATTATGTTGAATAGGTGACATGGTACCTGCGACATTTATCGGTAAACTGGTGACATTTCCTGCCATGATGTTTGGAGTATTGGTAAGGTTTATTTTACTTGTTATATTTTTTGGAGTGTATAAAGAGTATATATATATATGTATTTGGTTAGTAGAGGTTAAATAGTTAACCCAAACCTTGTATTCATCAGCTTATTGCTTTACCTTCAATCATTGTGGGACGAAATTTTACGACTGTTTGGGAAATTATGAGACGCCATGAGCAGCCCAATCACTCAGAACCCGACCGAGGTGTGTATGACAGACTAATGAAGCAATCAATCAATTAATCAATGCAAGATGCACGTACGCACATACATATATACATATAGAAGGGAGAATGCAATATTTATGATTTGTCTGTTTATTCGTGTCAAGAGTTTTACACGAATAATGCATAAACACACACACGCACAAATGATACGAATGATACAAATATCTAATAACTTATTGTTATTATTTTCTTAATGGTAGGTCCGTACTGGCCACATAATAGAGATGCTCTTGCAAATGCTCGACAGGAAGCTGTAGATGCGCTACCGGGTAGGACGAGTTTTGAAGAGACCAAAGAGGCTCTAGCCCAACTCGAAAGATTAACCGGGATCGCGCGTCAACACCAAGAGGCACTGCATCACATCATGGCATTGATCCAGACCCAAGACACCACCCAGCCCTTGAATCGCGACAAGGGTAAACATGTCAGGGGAAGAGGATAAGGAGTTTTTCTTTTGTTTTTTTTTTTTCAAATGAGGAGTAATCTATAGTAGCTTTAAACCTATACACATACAGGCACATAAAAGCACATGCATAAAGATAAAGATGTATATACAGATAAAGAGCAATAGATACATGAATGGATTGCTTTCTTTTTGATTACTTATCATAATCTCTTGTTTTGGTGCTGTGGTTCATAACCCCGCGTGTTGTACGTGTCTTTGTGAGATAATTTAGCCGGATCAATATACTCCACAATCAGCATCTTTGATCCGGTTGGTAGAAAGAAAGAAAAGGCTAAATACACAAGTACACAAGTACACAAGTACAAAAACTATATAAATATAATATATATATATTTGTATTTGTATCTATTATACAGATTATGTGCTATGATTAAAGTACAAGGACCTCTCCTGTAACAGAAGAACGAATTTATTGTATTTTTGGTAGAAAAACAAAAAAGATTAAAAGCATATTCAGTGCAGTGCAGTACAGTACAGTACAGTACAGTGCAGATATATATATATACATGTAATATATAGGATTATTTATTTGTTTCTTAGTCAATAGTGCAAAACTCATGATTAGGCAAACTAGAACGTGGTTCAAAATAAATAAATAAAAATATAGAAAAATGTCCTGCATTTTGTCAAGTAACATCAAGAATATTTAAAGGAACCAAAGAAGAAGGATAATGTAGCACAGGTTTTATAATCATAGGGCTATTTTAACAAGGAGGTAAAGAAGAGAGGATAAGGGTGTATGCGGTGAAAGAGGGAGTTGGGTTGGGTGCTAGTATTAATGTGGAGAGTAGAAGGAGAGAAAACAAACAAATAATAAGCTATCAGATTTTTTTTTTACTTTTTTGAAAAAGTTTACTTGAAATCCAAAACTCAAAGTCAAAGTCAAAAATCAAAAAGGTTGGATGACAAAAAATAATAATTATTTTATTTTATCTGATAGATAGATAGATAGATAGATATATAAATAAAAATAAAAATGAATGGACGAATGGAAGAATTCACGTCATCTATCAATGGAAGGGACCCCGTTTCCGTGCAACCCTTGTGGGAATAACAAGATTAGTCTCTTTAAAAAAAAAATGGGTGTAAAACGGGAAGATGGAAATCGGATGTATCACCTCACAGATAAGAGCCGGATAAGATACAGCCAATATTTGCTGTAGCCTACAATTTACAGTGCACAATCTACCACAAGAACTTGAAAAAGAAGAAGATAAACCGGTGATCAAGTTTGCGGTCCTTTTTTTTTTGGTTTTTTTTGTATGGCTTGCTTAAACCCACACAATAAAAGTAAAAGTAAAAATAATATTCACTTTTTGGGTCAATTTCTTTTCTTGGGATTGAGCCTGAACAAATACAAAAGAGACCTTGACTTGGAACCAGAAGCAGTCAAATTTACTCCAAAGACAAATACTAAAGGTTGAAAATAGAATAATAAGAAGGTCGAAAGGCAGCCTCAAAGGTATCAAGACCTTGAACCATTAACATCTATAAGACGTCTGTGTGTGTGTGAAATTTAAAGAGAGAGAGAGAGAAATGGTAAACCACCACCATTCCGCCCATTCGGATTCTTGTCCTACTGGAGAATTTAAATGACTCTTTTTGGAATGTGTGTGTGTGTGTAAAGAAAAGGTTGGTAGGTTCCCCTCTCCATTAAACAACACACAAAAGAACCAAGTAAGTAAATAAATAAAAGGCTTGTGAGAATATTTATTTTATTTTATTTTATTTTATACATCTTTATACAAAACAAAGAGAAAAATATGAGGTGCTTTTTTTTGTGTGTTGTTCTATTGAATTGAATTGAATTGAATTGAATTGAATTGAATTGAATTTTATTTTTATATAGAAAATATAAAGAGGATGGTGATGGTACAAGTGAGGAGTAAAGTGAAATAAATGAAAAAGACAATAGCATTATATGTAAGAAAATAATAAAATAAGAATTATAATAAAAATAAAACAAAAAAGGCTTTCTTTTTCTTCTTCTTCTTTGTCTTCTAAAGCTAAATAAGTAAAGAAAGAAGCCAAAGAATCAAGTCAACCCAAAACCCAAATTAATTAATTAATTAATTAATTAATTAATTTTGGTGTTTAAATGACTTTTTACTGTTGTTGTTGTTGTTGTTGTTGTTTTTTGGTGACGTTGATGATGATGATGTCGATTATATTTATGTATAGATGATGATGATGATGATGATTATTATTATCTTTTTCGATTATTTTGAGTGACTGAGGTTCAGGGTTGGTACGCAGTGATGATGGCGCCATCCATTGGGAAGATCTCCGTCGTGACACATTTCTACGCCTTCTATCCAGGTGGACTCCAAGGCCTGCTTAATAGTCCAACGGGTTTTAGGGTTTGGATCCAACATGCCTGCCAGACATGTCCGTTCTTCTTCCGACAGAATGTGACCAGTGTCGGGCTGGTTTGGCTCAAGCATCTTCCAGACCTCGCAGTTGAGTGGTCCGATTGTCTGGCGCTGCTTGCAATAGATTCCATAGTCTCTGTCGCCACCGTCAGCGGCCTGCGCGGAAACTGCGGCCGGCGAGCCTTGTTTGGCTCCCCTGGGTACCGCGATCGGTCGGCCGTTGTTGTTATAGAACGCATTGGAGAATGGCAGGCGCCCGAACCGGATGCAAAAGAACGTAATGGCTGCACTCCAGACATCAAGTGCCCGGCCATCGTAGGGCGAGAGTTCAGAACAGAGCGCCCATACCTCTGGTGACCAGAAAGGCTCAGAGCCGCACCACTTGTAGCACAGCTGGGTTTCAGTCTGATAGTCATTCTGGACCACATCAGCGACACCGAAATCAGCGATCTTGAGAGTGCCTCTAGAAGTCAGAACCAGATTCTCAGGCTTGATGTCTCGGTGGGCGATACCAAGTTTGTGGAGGTGCTCCAGACCAGTAAGGAGTTGTTTGAATAGGCAGTGTCGGTCCATGGTTGTGATGTTGATAGTTCTCTGGGCTAACAAATTGAAAACATCGCCACCTGCACACTATATACAACAATTGAATTGGATTGAATTAGATTAGATATGAGTTTAATATATATATATATATATATATATTTAAGCAAAAACTTACGTATTCCATAACTGTGCACCATCTTTCACGCTCATCTAGAACCAAATCTAGAGTCTCGACAATGTTTACATGGCCCGATGCAATCTTGCTGATACAGTACTCATTGTTCATTCTCTTTCGGTAGTCTCGCTTGTCTTCCTGTCGGCCTCGCTTCTTGAACTCTTTGACGGCCAGGATCACTCCGGTCGAAGGGTTCTTGACCAGACGAATTACGGCAGTTGCACCACTGGCAATGTTCTTCTTGGAGGTCGCTCCAGAGTCCTTGTTGGATGCATGCTGGGGTGGCTTGACGTAGCGGCCGTATTTTGCCTCTAGCCGGGCCATCTTGACCGGGGATGAGGATCGCTTCTTGGTCCAGGATTTGGGGTTCATGAGACTGGCAAACGAACGGTTCGATTTGGTGGTGCTGGTGCTGTGTGCGCTCGAGGTGCTGGCGCTCAGTCCACTGTTGATGCTCTGGCGTCTGCTGGAATCAGCCGAGTAAGGCTGGGAAGACGTAGGAGATTGGCCATCAGAAGAACTGGTGGCTTCTGGTGAGATGGGGGTCATTTTGAGACCAGAGCGGGGGCGACCGTTGCTATGGAAAAGACTTCCGATACGACTCTTTGTGGTCTTTGTTGCTTGTGGTGTCGTTGGTTTTTCTGTCTCTAGTTGGACTGTTTGGACTGTTGGTTTTGTTGAGGTGTTAATGGAAGTAATGGCTGGGGTGGGGCTGCTGGAGACCATGGAGATCGAAGAAAGGCTGCTGCTGCGAGTGTTGTTGGAGTTGCTGGTAGAGACTGAGGACGAAAGATCGGGACAGTCGGTGGTAGGCTGAGGGAGAGAAGAAAGGTCGATGTTCTGGGGAATATCTTTAGCCTGGGATAGCCAAACGTTATGGTGAGTGGAATCGGGCAGGGAGGTGTGAACTTGAGACATAGAAGACATTTTGGCTTGATGATGAAGATAGAAGAAAAAAAGAAAAAGTATATAAAAGAAGGGAAAAAGAGTATTATATATAATATATACACAAAAGGGTGAAAAGGGGAGCTATCAATGTAAGAAGAGGTAGAAGGTCAATAGGATGATGGAAGGATCATCAAATAGTAAAAAGAGAACAGATCAAATTGGATAGGCTGTATGTATGTATGTATGTATGTAATTTCTATATGCTTGTATATATAATATAAAAAACAATATATTATAAAAAGGATCAAATAGACATATATTTTGTTTATATATATAAAATAAAATAAAATAAAAAAGGAAGAAAATAAGAGTAGAAAAAAAAAAGCAAAATAATCAAAAAAAAGTCTATTGGAACTTAAATACCTTTTATTTTATATACGTCTATTATAATTTTTGCTTTATTTTTTTTTTAAAGACCCTACTCCACCCTATACAACCCTACTCTACCCTTTATGAAGTGGAGATTTCACAGTGACGATTAAAATAAAATATTTTATATATATATATATATATAATTTTATAATACAAATATATATAAAATAAAATAAAATAAAAATCCAACGCCTTCCCGTCTATTCATCGGAAAGGATTTTAATAAATAAATGAAGGTGCGACTTGATAAATACTATTATATATATATATTTTGAAAAAGAAATGTTCATTGCATTTTGAAACCATCATCATATTATCTTTTTACTTTAATTTTGTGTGCCTTGTGTACAGATAATATCTTTATTATTTATTACATTTCTCTCTCTTTTGTTTGTTTGTTTGTTTGTCAAGTAGGACTTTCTATTGGATACAGACTGTACCTGATAAGGTCGTGGGGGTGTGTGGGAGAAGGCAAAAAAGAACCAATGCACTCGCTCAAAATTTGGTTTAGGAGGGGGGTGGAGGGGGAAATATTTTTCCCCGCTGTATACATCATACATATATATATATATAAAGTGAAAAAAAAAAATCAAGTCAGTCCAAGTAAAATGAATTATGTATGTATATATTTATTTATAAGAAAGTCACTTCACCTATGCCATGGGAAGCTATGCCATGGCATTGTATCCGTGGCATTGTACCCGTTGTCTTGCTATATGTACAAGCCACCTTTTGAAGTTTAATACGTAGCCAAGACAACAGGAAAACAAATAATAATGAAGATGCTGTGTCCACACAAACACAAGTACATACATACATATATACAGTTCACTCACTTGTACATTACACAATACACTATACACTATATAGATTCATACTACATCATACATCATACTTGGTAATTGGTACTTGGTACTTAGTACATGTAATAATAAAAGAGAAGAATTATTATTATTATATTTTATTTTACTCGGTTGTGCCCGACTTTGGGTCTGATTACTTGAAACGTAATAAACTCAAGTGTTTAGACTAGCCACGTGTCTTGAAGGCAACTCGATGCATACTTTGTTTGCTTCCCTAATATAGAACATGTTCCCTGATCAAATAAATAAATATATTTATATTTATATTTTATGTACATACCCACACAAGACAGACAAAAAGTAGTGGCTAAAGGTTTGTTCCATTAGAGGCAAGGTTGACAAAGATTGGATGAAACCTCAAAGCACAAGTCATTAATCAGATTGCATCATCATCATATTTTAGAGTGACATCCTTTTATATATATAAAAATATAATAATCTTTTATCCACAAATAACACATACATACACATACACATGGATTTGTGTATGCTTATATGTGTTGTACCTGTTTCAACCATTTGTAGGTCTTTATTAACCTAATGGGTTGGTTTTGCTCTTTAAGGAAAACCATAAAACAAAATAGTTGACAATAGAACGGTAGAAGACGTATCGAATTCTTTTGATTCTGGTCCAACTATCTTTTTGGGTGTTCAGGTTACACATGGTCTTTATCAAGTTGTTTGATATCTGTTTTATCTATACAAGACAATATATATTTGTAGAGGATTTACAGCAGATTCTAAAGTATTGCTCTTCTCTTTAAACTGTTTGGATTTATAGCACATTTTATATCCCAAATCCCAAATCCCAAATCCCAAATCCCAAATCCCAAAACAAAACCCCAAAACCCAAAATTTAAAAAAAAAAATCCTGTTTTTGTGTATGTGTGTGTGTGTGCGTTGGAATTTAATTTTTTTTTTTTCTTCAATGAATTTGCGTAACAGATATTTATTTTGTTTTTTTTTTTGCGTCTTCATATGTGCTTATTTCCTCGGCTTGGTCGCAACAATTGCAGAAAAAATATTGGAATTTGTTTGCCGACGCAACCAAAAAAAAAAGAAGAAAAAAACACCATTTTTGAAGATTATTGAATCCTAAATATGTTACGCGCCTTGATTTTATTTTATTTTATTTTATTTTTTATATATATTTCTTTAAATTAATCTTTCATGTTATTTACTGTTCCAAGTAGTAAAGTGCAAGATGTATTTAAATTTATTTTTGAATGAACCCATAGATGTCAAACTAAAGATAGTTCCGGCCTCGGGTTTATTTGGTGTGCATACGGTAACTAGAGCATCTATGCGATTGGAGGCACAATATATAATCAAGTTACAATGGCATTATTGTAGCCTGAGTTACTACACTCTCTTTGCTTTAGAGACCTTTTTTTTCTTTTTCTTTTGCATTGAATGTTAGTTTAGACATTCTTGTCATCTCAAACATGAGCCAGTAGTAAAGAAAGATAGAGAATAATATATATATAGGCAAGACCAGACCAATTGCAACTGACAAAGTCAAGGCCATTGAGATCGATTTATAAATGTATCTTACCCATGTATTTTATGCATATATCTATCTATCTATCGGTCGATCGATCGATCTTTTTATCATGCTCAGATATAATATTCACTTCATTCTTACCAAAATCTTGTTTAATTGTGACATAGTTGACAGTTATGCTTACAAGGTATTTAACAGTCCATAAATACATATATATGTGTGTGTGTGTGTGTGTGTGCTTTAAGCATGGTAACAGGCAAAGTAACCAGCATAACGAAAACAATAATCATAATCATAATAGAGGGGGTCTATATGATATCAAATGAAACAAATATAAAACTTAGTACAGAAAGTTGCGATTTGTTTTTTTTTATAAAACGCATAAAACTAAATAAAAAAAAATTATGTTAATCGTAGATTCTTTCGGGAGCTGTCCAATCAGTGGCAATTAAGCTTTTTTTGGTTTTTGGTTTTTGGTTTTTGGTTTTCTTATTTGTTCTTTGCTTGATTGAGTACCCCCCCTCATCTCTCTCCTTCCTTTTCCCCCTCATTCTTACTACCCATTCCTTACTCGCTTGTACTTGGGATAGATAAACTCTAAGCCATTTTGTGTCAAATATTAGTCTTTTTTTTTTCCCACTTGTCTAATCCAAATTCTGTACTCTGTACAAACCACAACAAACCCAAAAAAATTAATCATCCGATCTTTTTATATCTATCTTTATTCCAACAAAATGCAAAAAAAATACAAATATAGCATGTCAGCAGCTACAAAAATGTCACTATGTACAAAGATTAAAAAGAAAAGAAAAGCCAACATCACCAACAACAACACAATGGAAGTAGAGCACTTTCTTTTACTTCTTTTCTACTAGGAGTGGTTGATTTTGTTCCACGTGGAGTTTCTTCGCCTATCAACTTTGTTAAAAAAGAAAAAGAAAAAAGATCAAATCTGTGACTCGGTCGCAGTGGTGAAAATATCTTGAGAGATTTATATTGATTGGTCAGAATCCTCGAGGTAACCCTTTTTTTTGTTTTATTTTATTTTATACAAAATGATAATGATTTATATATGTTGGTATTATTACTTAATATTACTCATTTCATTGCAAAGAAGAAAAAAAAGAAAAATGAACCATTTAACCTTGCTTAGAACATGTCAAATGCACAGGACTGTGATTTTTGTACTGCATCTTGATAACAAGAAACAGATAATAATAACAATGCTTTTTTAAATAATTCAAGGGTCATTATTTAGTAATTTTGGGCGTGTAGGTTGGTAATAAACAACGTGCTTGACTTTAGATAATTTTTTTTTATTATTTTGTGATGATGGTAATTGAGAAACAAAAAAAAAAGAATAAGCTCGGTCTATCTTACTTTATACTGTATTAATGTTTATCTGATTGATTGACTAATTTACTTGAATATGAGTGTAGTAAGTAAAGTTGGACTGAATTGGTGAATTTCAAGTAAATAAAAGAAATTATAAACCATTTTATGCTATGCTACCTTACTTGTCCTAAGAACGCTGTCTTTTTTTTTATTTTCTCTATTTGCATGTGGATAAAACCTGGAACGTCGATCCGCACGAGCTTAATTGGGCCTTCAATGTGGGTGTAAATAACAAACTGTATAATGTTTGTCGAAAATCCATTGATCTCAGACTGCCTAATTAAGTTGCAGGCTGTAACACCTTGGATTTAGGGTGGGAACGATACATAATACACATTTATATCCATAGCAACCTGAGATTAAAAATAGGGAGGAGTAAAAAAGAAAAAAGAAAACGATGCTCTAAAGATAATAATATCAAAAGAAAGAGAGGGAGAGAGAGAATGGTCTGCGGGCGAGAACAGATGTCCTCACGTTTCAATGATCAAGGTTCATCCATTGGAGAATAATATTATTTGGTACTCACAGTGACTTTCTTTTTTCTTTCTTTCTTTTGTCTCGATTTGTTATTTTTTGGGTACCTTATTCTTAATACTGTGAAGAAAGAAAGAAAGAGAAGCTTGTCATCCCACATGTTCGCCAATGATAAAAATAAAAATAAAAATATCAAATATCAAATATCAAATAGAGCAAAAATGAGCAGGTTCCTGGAACTTTGTGCAAAGAAATCATTCTAATACTAATAAATTATAATAAAATATTTTTCAACCGGTGCTTTGCAAAAATAAAAAGCTGAAATTATGATCGAGATTGCCAAGAGCCTGGGCTTGAGATCCCGAGATTATCAGCGATAACTGCGGAAGACCCTAGTGAACCAATTATAACTTCAAATAAAATCGAAAATATACGGAAACTCAAAAAAGGACCTTGGACATGTGGGAAATTTCTCTCTCTCTCTCTCTCTGTTTCTTTTTGTGTGGGTGTGTGGGTGTATGGGTGGCATGAGTGGGCATGGGTAGCAAATTGATAACTAACTGACTAACTAACTGACTGACTGATTAATTAACCAATAAAAAAAAACTTACTTCATAGTATAATATTAATAATATTGCTATTGCTATTGCTATTGCTATTGCTATTGCTATTGCTATTTCCTAGATGAGTACAATACCCCTGGCCCCCCAAAACAAGAGCAAATGTATTATATAAGCCTGTAGTCTATATGCATACATATACACATACATGTTATTAATAAATATGTCTTCTTATTCTCATTTATCCTACATTGGTTAAATATTAATTACCAACAAGCAGTACCTCTACAAAAGAAAAAGTTATAATACAAAAATTACACATTTTCCATCTTTGTATATGTATGTGGACACATACAAGAGAGGAGAGAGAAAGAGAAAGAGAAAAGAATAAGAATAAGAAAAAAGTGGGGCCACATCATTAATGATAAATTCAATTTTCTTTCTTTTTATGCGTATTCAGGTAGGACACGCATAAAGTAGAGAATCAGATCTATTATCAAAGATTGTCAAAACTACATTTGTACCATAATATCAATAGATTGCTTACCCTTGACCTTCATTATTTACACTGCATCAATTGTACACACATATATATATATATAATAAAGCAATAATAATGCTAATAATCATAATACTTACAATAAAGTCATATGCAAAATAAGAGCAAGTTAACGACAATAGGAAACTATATCCAAACTCTGAACAATATCTGCTAAGCAATGTATGATAAGGCTTAGAAACGAATAATAATAATAATAATAATAATAATAATAAGACTTATTTTCATTTGAAAACCTTATGTGGATTCCGGACCGCCAAATAGCGAATTAATGTCTTGTAGAAAACATTTTACCATGATTCTTTATAGCTAAACAATAATAATGCTTTTGGTTAAAGATCTCTATTCTATTTGAAGTGCCTGTTTTCTTTTAGTTTTAGGAGATTGTGTCTTTATTCTCTTAAAATAAAGATCAATATATATATATATATATTCCGGCTCATTAAAACAGTCTTGGATTATATAAGAACATCAAATCACAAGGCAATAGCCGAAATTAGGCAAGTTAAACTTGTATGTTTATCTGATTTACACAAACAAGAAGGAAGGGTAAAGAAGTATTACAAAACACAGAACATTCAAGGCATAGACGCACAGAAAGAGAATATGTGTAATTCTTGTTAGAATACGATTGATGATTATTCTTGAATGAACATTAAAGAAGACAAGTTTTCCATTGTTAGTAAAAATAAATAAATTATATTTTAAAGCAATTTAATAATAATTTCAAGTAGAACGTAGCATTGCTTTTCATGAGTACATTGCTGAGAGAAGGGGGGGGGGGGGAGTAAAAAGTGAAATTGAAAAGGGTAAGGAGAAGGGGAAATTTTTTTTTCCAAAAGAAGACTATTTTCTTTACTTAATTTTCCGAGGCAACCAAAAATGGTCTACGCACAATGCTGTATTCTTTCTTTCTTTCTTTCTTTATGATTATGCATTTCAAACATTAAAAAAAATCTATCAGGGGATTTTCACTATACTATAAAATTCTGCTGAAGAAGTATATTGAGTATTATTGTTTGGTATTAGAGACCTTTAACAATGCAAGAAGAAGAAAGTAAATGGTACTTTGGTTGATCTTGTATGAATTTAACTAAATATATAAAAAAAGTGTTACCAGATAGTGAGATTAGCGAGTCCTTATTTGGTATATATATTTTTAAAAATATGTTAATTGTTGTTTAATACATTTTATTAAGTTCTATTAACAATTTAATTTTAATTGGATCTGGATTTTAATATAGAGCAGCAATTTCTATATTAAGGTTATTTAGAATATTTTACAGTTCCTTTTTGTTGATTAAAGTTGGTTTGATCTTGTTTCCAGAAACTCTTTTTTTTTTATATATTCATTTCTTTAATCGCGATAGTGTCTAGTGTAAGCTATACACTAGATTGAACTATTATATACTACTAATACTACTACTACTACAACAGCGGTAACGACAGCAACAGGAAAAATGGTTTTTTTTGTTTGTTAATGCTCAGTCATTGTAAAATATTTTATTCTTTATTATTATTTTAAATAAACAGTAAATCGAACTAAAGACTCTTTTAAAAACAAAGGCTAAAAATGAAAACAAAGTGTTGCTCCTTTGGCTTGTTTATTAACAATGTAGATTACCATTTTGCCTTTAGAATCTCATTGTTATGTCAATTTGATATAATTACAGCAACGAGTGCTGTTCATAAGTGTGTGTATATTATTAGTCAATAGTAATAACTACATAGATATATAATTTGTAAATTTAACGTATCGCACTACAGGAAAAAAGAACCAACAAAAAGAGACTTTAAGGAAAGTTCAAAAGGCATTTTCCTTTTTGTTGTTATACTCTTCGTCTTCTAATCTTTCTTTCTACTAGTATTATTCTTTTAAAACTTTTTAGTCTTTATTTTACACACAACAAATCCTCTGAGGCATTCTCTCTTAGTCCCACGGTACTTACGGCATAAATAACTCATATGAGCCTATCAGAAATTGCTATGTTATGTCGCAATTGGTAAAGGATGTGCCGAAAAGTTTTCAAGGCAGCTGCAACATTTCTCTATTCCACAAATGAACTTTCAAACCTTAACCAAATCATACTATCTGATCAATTAGAATTGTTACGTCTGGAATAATTTATAAAAAAAAATTAAGTAGGAAAATAAAAGCCGGTTGTAATATTTACCTTGAAAAACTATAATTGATTGTATCTGACCTTTTTTCCCGCCAAAAGTGGCCGTATGGGCGAGAGTCACAGACTTTGTTTAATCCCTTCCTCTAAAGAGAGAGCCAAAAACGTATAGAACAGTACATGTACGTACAAAATTTATTGATTAGAGAATACATATTGATATATATATATATATATATATATATATAACCGATCTTGAATCCTACTGTATAATGCATGTTCATAGTTGGCCATGACAGACAATAGAAGAAAAAGAAATCTTTCAACCTGGCCCTTACCAGGCAGCTCCAAGATGTTGTTTGAACACTCATTACGCTTGTTGAATAATTTAGGGCATTGTGTGATTAATATTCTGAGCTGCATAAGAGTAAAGGAAGTGGTAAGGGAAGGTATTTCGCGTCAATTAAAAACAAAAGTAAATAGTCCTGATGCAAACTATATACATATATAAGGGTAGGATAAAAGTTGGGATATTGAAAAGGTCTCTTTATTTTCAAACTACAGTAGAAAAGTAATAGAAAAATTTGAAATTTAAAAAACACGCGTATATCTGATCATATAAACGCGAGAAAAAGTAATGCTTGATCAAAATTCAATATTAAACTAGTTTTAATCTTACAAAATAAATCGCGGAAGAATATCCTATAAAGTTGTTATTGTTTACCATCGTGCAGATCTTTAAACAAAGTATATTGAATGTTAGAAAAAAGGAAGGCTTCGTTGGATCAAGCCATGTAGTTATACTACTTGTTCATTTAGCTGATCTATGTTTCGGTTCGATAAAATATCGTGTATTTTAAAAAGAAGTTAAAAAGGATTATATGTATGTATATATATATATATTCAAAATCCTTGCCAGACTCAAATTTATATTAAGCGATGTATTGTTGATTCTTATAATTGAATCGCTTCAAGTAATAGAATAACGAAGTTATTTTATTTTAACATTCATAAAACGAACAAGGCCAAAGAAAAGGAAGGACTTTCATTAGATCTATCAGATGCAAGGGACTCAATTGCGGTAGTTTCTGTGGTATAATTATATAATTATATAATTATCTATACTAAAACGTTCTTTATGTTGGGATAATACGCACCCCTAGCTTATTAACATAATACTATTATATTAATTTATATAAATGATTTGATCGTTACCCCTGAGAAATTTGTAAACAATCAATTTGTACAACAACTCGTACCATAAAGTAGTATATTATAAGACTTATTCAATATAATATACAGCATAACAGTAGTAATGGATCGATATTCTCACACAGATTTGTAAACAATCACGAACAAGCGACTGATTGGTTTGATTAATCAACCTCTAAAGAATATACATATCCTGATAATAAAAACCAAAATTTTACTTTAAAAATTCCGCGGGTTAAACAAAATAAATAAATAAAACCTGGTACTCTCAATACTCAAGGGTAATGACAAGTATGAAAACATTGAAAATAACACTCCCAATATCAGTCAAATTTTGATTACAGTAAAATACAGTAAATTGAAAAGAGTGTGCTTATACTATGCTGTTATTGAGACTCTTATAAGAATAAGAACAAAGAGAGAAAATCCCACACACAGATTGGCTAGATAAGTTTTTGCTTCAAGATATCTTACAACGATCAGTTTAACAATGTACAAGACAATTGTAAATATTAGATAAATTATAAAAGAAAAAAGTCACACATTGAATCTAGCTAGTGTAACTACTTGTTTAAATACTATTTAGAAGATATGCTTTACTTCTATATCCTATAGATCATTTACCTAGATGTTGTTGCAATATAGCTTGTTGCTATCCTTTAATTGAGTAAAATAATATATATATATATATATGTATGTCGAAACATGAATACTCAGTCAAATAATTTCTCATTGGATTATCTGACTGGGTAACTTTAAGCAAAAGAAGCCAACACATTGGCCGGATAAAATTTCTCCAAGCAGAATACAGATGGAGCTTTACAGCATAATTGACTCTTCATCATACATCATACCCAGTAATATCAACGAAAATTATATTACAATATTCAGGGTCCTTTCAGACCATATAGACTCACGCTGGCTGAGAAAGAAACAGTAATGTCCAGAGCTTGTGTAAGGTCATGACCACCTTCATTGGGTGTACCTAGGACATAAAGGCCATTGGACTTTTCTTTTTTTTCTTTTTAGTTTAAAATAATAATAATACTCGAATGATAATGAATGAAGCTGGTATTACACATTAACAAACTCAACAGATTTAGTGCGTATTCAGTGGCATGTGCACCCTAGGTTAATCATTTAACAAATAGATTTGTTTTCTTGTTTTCTTCAATATTTCAAGTGAATACAACATATTCTTTGATTTACAGCGCCAATTACTACAGATATTTACAAGAAAAGACATGGTATCTAATGATTGTTATAGCACTTGATTTTCTGTGCCAATTGATGTATTTGTGTCTGTGTCTGTATTAATGCTCATGTTCTTAACTTTTACATACGCACATAATAATAACTAAATAATATATATATATAGGAGTTGTCACTAAAGCTAGACAATACTTCTCCGATGTCCCACCTTTAGCTAATCAGATCCTCTGAGTTTTCTAGTTTGTATTGGTATATTCAGGTACCACCATAGATTTAAACAGCCCCCGGATCTCGGCTTGTGCCAAAAGCCGTATGCCGCCTACCAAGTCTCTTCAATAAAAAATCAAAGTCTTTTTTTTTTTTGGCAGGACAACCTTTCCACTGTCACTGGTTTTTTTTTATCTTTGTAGGGAGGAAAGTATAGATCAATCAATCCATATATAGAGATATGTTGGTGTACATGTATACAACTTATCAGATCTTTAAAATATCTTAATTTGGGCAATCAAAGCCCAATGGCGCGGTGATTCGCAACAAGCTGGTCAAAAGACAAAAACCAAAAACCAAAAACCCAAAAAAAAAACTAGAGGAGAAAGGATTGTACCTTTACCACCATTTTACACTTTACATTTTTCCTTTTTAATAAATTATACTTAATGCGGCGCCAACTGATTTCTAAATATTTCAAGATCCTTTATTTTTATTTTATATTAGATCATATTGTATTAGATTAGATTATTTTTCTTCTTCGATTTTCTAATAAAGAAACAGAGGTGGTCTTTAAGTAGAGATAATTTTTATTTTTATTTTTATATGTATATATGTATATGATTTCTTTATTAAGGAACGACCAGAAAATTTGATCTATTATACATACATATATATATTTTTGAAACAGAGATAAAGAGTTTCATTCGCTACTCTACCGTCAGAATAAACAAATACCCACTAATAATCTGGAGAACACAAATTACTAAGACTCTTGTATTATGGGTTATAGTTTTTGTGTCTCACGTTAACCGAAATCAGATCTTCCTATAGTTTCTTTTTTGGTTAAGATCTGATAAGTAAAATAAACCAATTTTTTTTTTTTTTTACGTTTATATAAAAGGACTTGTCAATTCAAATCAATTGTCAGATAAAAAAATTAACTACTTCTTTTTTCACTCTTACATCTAATAACAATGAAGATCTTCTCTGCTATCCTCGCTTTGGCTGTTGCCGCCGTCTCTGCTGATAACATTGTCAGCGTTACCTCTCCCTTGACCGGCACCGTCTACACTGCCGGAAAGTCCGCCATCATCAGCTGGGTTAACCCCACAGTCGACCAGATCTCCCAGATCGTCTTCTCCCAGGGCCTCTCTACTGCCCTCCAGCCCGTTAGCGTCATTGCTACCAACGTTGACGCCTCCTCTGGCACCTACACCTGGGAAATTCCCGCTGATACCCCTGCCGGTACTGACTACGCCTTTGTCTTCGGCACCTCCCCCAACCAGTCCTACACCGGTCAGTTCACCGTCAAGAGTGCCGCTGAGTCCTCTGTAGCTGCCTCTGCTGCTGCACCTGCCGCCGAGTCCTCTTCTGCTGCCCACGGTGGCCACGGTGCCGCTTCCTCTGCCGCTCCCTCTGCCGCTGTCTCCAGCAGTGGATCTGGCTACCACGGCCACGGTGATGCCTCTTCCTCTGCCGCCGCTGCTGAATCCAGCACTTCCTCTGACCACCACGGTGGCGGTGGCTACAGCAGCGCTGCTTCCAACAACGTTGCTGCCGTCGGTGTCGTTACCTTGATCGGTGCTGCCGTCGCTGCCCTCATCTAAATTAATATATAGTTATTACCAGCGATCTGCTCTATAAAATTAGATCCATCCATCCCCTCTTAAAAAAACAATAGAGAAAGATATATCTATATCTATATGTTAATCTCTCTAGTATTATTTATGTCTTTTTCTACCGACTTACTATTTACCAATAAACCAATTATTAACTTATTATTATTATTATCTTTATAACAAAGCCAAAAATCAATAAATCAATAAATAAACCCAATCGGGTAAATTTATTTACGTCTTTTTAATATATTTATAAATGTGAACTATTTTAGGCAAAATATACATATATTTTATCTATGCTATTTACTAAATAGAAATAAATAGAGTACATAGATAAAAAGAGGATATTTTATGTATGTATCTTGTAGATTGAAAAGAGTTCTTATCATGTCATTGGCTGTAGTTTTTGGGGAACCATCATGGAAAGAATATTCAAAAAATATCCCTAGAAATAATTTGATTAAAACATATTCTATAATGCAATATATTTATCGCTTATTATTTGTGTTTGGGTTTCCTGTAGCTTAAGAATTTAGCAGAGGTATTTAACATAATAAGAGAAGAAGAAAAACCAGAGAGAATATTATAAAGAGGTATTTCCTTCAATCTCCTCTTGTATGTATTTATGTATGTATGTCATGGATAATTATGTATATCCAATATATAGTAAACGTTAATTATCGTATTTTATTATTTAACGATGTATTTTTCTATCTATAAAATTTGGTACATCCATATATTTCTATGTTTTTTATAATATATATATATATAACTTTAGAAAGCTTCTAACCCTCATACAGATCGGCGCTCCTAAACACCAAATATAATCTGTCATAGTTTTCCAAGGTAAATATTACAATCGGCTTTCATTTGTCTATTATTAATTGATATTTTTATAAATCATCCCAGACGTATCGATCTTAATTGTCTTGAGAACAGGATTTGGTTAAAAAGTCTGAATACGGCTTGTGGAATAGAAAGATCTTGCTCCTGCCTTGAATTTCCGACATATTCTTTACCAAATCACGACATAATGGCATGATTTCTGATAGGTTCACCCTTGTTTTTATTTTATTTTTCTTTCTTTCTTTCAAAGTTGCATGTACCGTGATACCAACAGAGAATATTCCAAAGGATCGTCTTGTGAGACAAAAAACTGACATATACAATTTGACAGTCAAATTTCAGAGGAAATAAACGTCAGGAGAGTATCCCTGACAAAAAATAAAATAAATCCTCAAACCTGGTTAATGTCATGTGTTTCCAGGATACTCTTATGGAAAGCCGTTAGAATATGTGAAAGGTCTAATGAATCAGCTTGTTATAATTTGTACTTTATGTGTGTGTTATGGAGGAGAGAGAACGTTGTTTAAAGAAAATACTACCCTAAATGCACTTGAAACCCCGGAAATGCTTCCAAAAATCAGTTTTAAATTATTCTTTTTTTTTTTAAAAAAAAAAGAGCAATCATTTTCTCTATTGAAACCTTTTAATTGACCTTTGCTCTTCTTTACAAAGCTTGTCTTTACCAATGAAGTAATGATGAAGAGTGAATAACAAGTAGAATACTTGTAATGCTTTTTTTGTTTGTTTAAAGGTAGCTGCTGCGAATACTTTTATTTTTCGGCTTTATTTAATTACCGACGTGAAAATTTTATTATATATATATATAAAGTTTTCTTTAAAGTAATTGCTGCACATGGTCCTAATAAAGTCGCCATTTTCCACTCCATAGTATTCTCATAATTTAAAAAAGAAAATTATAACAAAATATCGTTATAGTTAGCTCAACTTTCCTGTACTAATTAACAGGCACACTTTCTATTTAGATATAATAGATATATCTCCATAGCAACAGACTTTGATACCAAATATGATTTATATACAGCCCAAGAAGAAGTAATGGAATACATATATATGTGTTTATATTTATATTGAACAAGAATTTCGAAAATGTGATAGAACATACTACATGTATATTCTTAGGAAGACACAGATTAATGAGATACATTTTATATTGAATACAATTCAATATCACCAATACAGTCAAACACTGACTGGGATACATTTTTTTTTCGAGCTGAAAAATAAAGCATTTATGCTTATAAGGGTTCTTACTAAATATTTCACATATTGAACTACAAAAAATCAAAGTGTAAACCTTTTCTTTTTGCGAGCGACTACAAGCAAGCATAGCAGTAGTTTATCTATCATTTAATATGTCAATATACTCTTGTACTTTGCCATAGGTATAAAAAAAAAAGAAATTTAGTTGGCAGGAAGACATGACTGTTCCCCATCTTTGATTACATACCACGATGAGTTTAAGGGCTGAATTAGCAGGAGCTCATTTGAGAGGTACCTCAGTTGCAATAAAATATATAAATCGAGTGATACTTATTTTTGCTTAGATCTACTGTCATGCTTGAATGCACTTGCTGGATTTGGAGATGAGCTAAGGATCGAAGCCAGACAATTACAGGCATGACATTCGGTTTTAACATTAGATTGATTTTCATGTTCTCATGACAATTACATTAGTTGATCTTCTGGTCACTTAATCGTTCCTTGACAGCCCAAGCTGTAATTCGTATATCTCCCACTATGTTCAATCAATATGTTTTGGATTTGCCTCTTTACGCAGCAGCTATGACTCAGCCAAAGAGTATAAACTGTGGTGTCAAAATAAAGGTAAAAAGGGACAAAAGGCTCTGAATACATTTCAAACGCACTTTGCTTTATATTTATATATCTATATTTATATAGAATATGCAAAGTATTCTGCGTCGAGATAAAAACTCTGCAGAACCTCTGGATTGGTGTCTACTTAGCTTGGTAGATATGACAGCTTATAGAAATGAAATCACATCTGAAAATCCTCCTGAACCTAGCCTCCAGATCGACTTGGTGCGCCTAAGAGGTAATAATATATACAAAGGCATTAATTGCACATATTAACTACTATTATATATATGCATGGGAATACTTTAAAGATGTTACAAAAAGACACTCGCTTTGGTTACTCGAATCTGAACCACTTCAGTTTATATATAATAAGCCCACTCGATACAGCTTTCTCGTAAATCCAACTGTGTTAGAAGATTGTCTGAAAAACTTTCTCGTGCGTCTTCCGGAAATAACTCTAGAATGTTCAAGAGAAATGGTAAAAGTAAAGTCGCACTGGGGTGATGTTAACGAAACGCTGCATCCATGTAAGAATAGAGGAGTTTGATATGGAAATGGAAAATGAAACTTGCTTGATTGCTTGTTTTTACTTAGTTATTTATTCATTATTAATTAATTGACTTTCTTCAGTGGAAAGACCAACGGAAACTAGAGTCGATCTAGAATTAGACAACTTCATTGATTACAACATACCAGATGATATCCGCATCGTATTCCAGATAAAAGAGTTTAGGGTAAGAAAACATTTTGGCTGGAAGTATCGCTTTGTTTGTTTAAAATGTGATAATACTAGGCAGTGGTAAACTTTGCAGTAGAGCTGCATCTCCCTTTAAGAGCAAGATTTGATGGGCCCGGAAGGTAGAGTAAAGGGATATAAGACAAGCGGATTCTTTTTAAAAAATAATAATAGCAATAAAACTAATATCTACATTACTTTATTAGTTCACTAGTACTATCTGTCGAAAGAGAAGGTGTGATAATTGCCGAGTTTGGTATTACGACCTTTCCACCCACTATGACTGAACAAGACTATGCTAATTCTGCACGATCATCAGTGACTTCATTCAATGGAAATAATTAGCTTCATATCTGAACATGTACCTTTAAGTAAACCAATAAAAGAAGGAAGCTTTAGTTATTGCACATACTATATGCAAATATACAAAAGCTAACACCCTATATTAAATGATTATTCGTTTTGAATCATCTGGTTTCTTACAGATGAAGTACAGCCCAAAAGACACGTACAGGCAAAGCTCTATATAGTGATAATATTGAGAAAAATAAAGCCCTGTCTCAGCGGCTATATTGAGCTTTATAATTAATGACTATAATATATAGATCTAGCCTTTTGTATTTTGAAAAGTGATAAAAGTTTTATACTTGTGAACTTTATTAAAAAAAAATTACAAGTCTGGATTTTTCGTGGCTCTCATCAAAATGTAGCCTTTCTCTTGTCTTTAAGCTTTTTTTTTTTAAAAAAAAGATTCTTTTTTTACTACTACCTTGTGCTAACCATATAATTTATGTAAGAATTCTTACAGGCAACATTGTAATAGCTTTATTATCACATAGCACTCTATCTTGTTACATCATGCGCATCACACGGAAGTGTACTCAAAAGTGGCAAGGGGCTTGACTAGACATATACTATTATACACTCAAAATCCCACAGAACTTTTTTTTTACTGATTGGACGAGGGATTTTTTCTATACATTTATTACCGTTTTTTCTATTAAACACATACTATCTTTATCAAACTTTGGTTACATTCACTTCAAAGAAATTAAGGTGATACACACATCTAATATGGAAGTAAGCTTCTTTGATATTCTAGAAGCTCCATTGCCATCAATATTTTTTGAATACATATAAGTAAATGTTTCTTTATTAGAGCACCAGTAAAACTGAATGCATTGGATATGTGTGTAATTTGTATATAATGGTATATTTTACAGGCTTTCTAACTAGTCATTCTTCTTAGAAAATATCTTTGTGAACTTCTTTAATGTAAAGTATTTCTTTGGTCTAATAGACCCATTCGTGTCTCTATTGATGCTACCCTGAATCGTTATGTTCGAATCACAGTAGGCGTTATCTTATATATTGAATGAGTTAAAAGATACATGTTCTTTAGATTAGATTTTTGTATATATTACAATTCAGAGACTGTACCATTGTTTATACGAAGGTTGGGTTTCGTCGATTCAAAGCCACCTGTATATAAATATACTGATTTTTGTGGTTCATGTTCTTCCATTTTTGGCCTAAATTTAAATACCATGTCGTTTATAGTGGCCTCAATGTGAATCTCAGTCAAGCCAAAGTACATTTTAATCAACAGGTCGATATCTTCTCCATTCTCAGCCTTTTCAATTTTTGGCATTTTAATAGGAAATATTCCCACTTTTTTTATATCAGGATGGTCTATATACCGTGGAACTAGATTTTCCTCGTTATATGCATACAGATCTATAGATTAATTAAATTAGTAATATATATAATATTATATTAAAAAAATTACCTGTTTCAGTATCATGAGGGTAAGTTATTGTAAATTGTTTCGAAATACATTGGTTTATGGCAACCAAGTCCCCTCTCTTGGCAAAGACAGAAAAGCGATGTATACATTGAGGCCCTTTTTCTACTGTATGAATCTTTTTATCCTCTGAATCCAAGTTAAAATCAAATGCCATAGAAGCCATTAGACCATATGTACGCCTTACGATTCGATGAGTAATGGTGCGCGGTTGAAGTCCAAATATTACAGCTCCTCTCGTTACAGCCATCTCACCACGGGGAGGCATAGCAATGTTTTTAACTTGGCCTTCAAACGTGGTTTTTATATGACTGTAAAGATACTTGGACTATCCAAATCCTCCAACCATAAAAATAGCATCAAGCCGGCCCTTAATCTGAGAAAGTTGATCTCGAATCAAACCCAATACTTGCTCAATAACGGGGTCAAATATCTCGTTACAAAGTTCACTTTTTGTTATTTTGAATTTTCCTTCTTCCACTCCAAACAATTTTCCATCTTGGTCACCAAAATCTAATCCTGCTATTACATCAATGTACTCATCATCATCTCTTTCAAATCCAGCCTAAAGTAGAGATACGAGTTATTTAAATAAAGTAACTCGATTTTTAGCATGTGTAATATATTTTGAATTTACCTTGTTACTGTCTATGAAGCTGTTCAACATATTTTTAATAATTGCATTATTCTTTTTGGCATATACTCCAAAGCGTTTTTTGATAAGAGCCAACATGTTAACGTCCAGAAACGTTGATCCACAACACCTGCCTGATCCCTTTGTAACTTCACGAAGAGTTTTTACGTTGGACTCTTCATAGACCTCAAATACAATCAAATCTACTGTTCCACCACCTGCATCACATATCATAAAACGCTTTCCATGGGTAAACTTGAACTGTTTCCACAAGTTTTTGCAGTACATTGCCGCAGCTTCAGGCTCACTAGTAAGAACCAATCGACTTGGGGGGTCAGTGGTCTTTATAATACCAGCCTGCAAAGCAGCTTCGCGCATCGTAGCTTTGGCTTGATCATTCCACATGGCTGGAACCGTAAGACAAAACATGAACTCATCGGCATTAAAAGTTATTCCGATGGTGGTTTTAATATTTATCTCAACATATTTATAAAATATACGAAGATAATCGGTGAGTACTATAAGATTTAATGGTTAAAGTAGTCTCTTTTTGGTCAAAGATGACATACCGTTAAGAACAGTCAAGCCGTTTGGAAGTGCGTTTACTTCATTTTCGTTTGGATCCAGCAGAAGTTTAAATCGTTTCACCAAATGGTCGTTGTTATTGGGTTTTCTCGAAATAACAAGAGCTTCATATCCCCAAGCAATCATTTCTTTGGTTCCATGTTTATAAAGCAAGACTGTAGGAACCTTTGGATAAACCGCACCACCTTGCTTTGGCCTATACATAATTATAAATGCTTGAACATAAAACAGCAGAAAAAAGTGTATTTTGCCATTGCTTAATCTCATCAATCGAATCTACACTTGAGCTTTTATAGACGTACGACGCCCCAGAGTAAGTAGTGCCAAAGTCTTATTGATATATAGAATACAAGCTACAGTAAGTAAATATTCACCAAAGAAATAGTAATCATCCGGTATTACCAATGCTAAGTACAAAGGCATACTCATAGTCTGCTTGCATAACTAATAAAAGAACACATATACATAAGAGAAAAAAATAAGACATTAGAAATATTGTTTCTATGAATACTTATATCTTCTTTTCATGTTACACTTTGGCTCAGCTATATTGTCCCAAACATGTACGAGTGAGCTTATACAAAAATGTGTTTGTATAACACTCCCATAATTTTTTCTATTTTTTTCTCTTTAATAATAAAATACACTATTTGCCAAAACATAAAAATCATTAAGCTTATAGTTTAAGCCTATGAGTTCAGACATAGGATAATGTGATATAATGCTATAGTTACAATAAGATAGACCTTAGTATGTGCCTAGCAAAAAAAAAAGATCTGCTCATAATATCACTGATACTGGATTAAAACAAATTCTCAGGACCAAACAGAATTTAGAGTTATAGCACTAGTAACCAAGAAAGACAAAGTACAGTAGCTAATGTTAGGGAATCATGCATTGACTTTCAGTTGAAATAATTGAGAAAGTGATTATAATATTCTATTATTACAATATAATATTCCTTTTTCTTTCACTTAAAGATTCCAAAAAGGAAAGGAAAAGAAAATATATAAGTGATGACTTGCTTAGAACACCACATGTATATCTCAAGCCGCAATGTATTAGATTGTACCCTCATTCCTAATATAGCTGCTCCTCTTACTGAAATCAAATAAATGGGAGAAAGAGCTATACTTTTGACAAATTTGCACTGAAATTTCTCACTGATACACCTACAGGCAAAAGATACTCTTACCGAATCCTCCTACCACGAAATACATTTAGATCCAGGTTTAAGTTGGCATAAGTTGACCTCGAATCAAGCCAATTAGTCACAAATGTATACTTTTAAAACCTCTCATTTGTAATCTTAAAACATTCGTCTTGCATTCGAACCTTAGCTCATATATATTCTTTAAAGTCAACTCTCAAAAGACAAAGATGGTGCTCATCATTCCTGTCTTCAAATTAATGTTGCGGATAATGAAATGCGTATATAACAGTACAGCTCAAAAATCGATAATGCTCTTTTTTTTTTTCCTGATACGAGCATTGTCCTAATAAACTATACACTCAAAATGTTCTGAACAAATTCTCTATAAAATAAACGAATGTTTTATGGAGCATATTCTACAAACTAATACATAATGAGGTAGAGGAATACAGCTTTATTCAACTGCTTATAATTTCATGTAAAACCTCTTACATTCAAACGTGTTAATACATGGAAAATAATATACCACATTTAACCCCCACTATTATATATATCAGAATATTCACAGGCTTTTTTTTCTTTAAAAAAATTTCCCAGTGGACTCGGAGCCATCGATGGAAACCTACCGATTAGGATGAGCAATAGGTCTAAAAGGTTTAGATTAGGTAGCACACTTTCCCACAATAACCTTGAGATGGTTGTTCAAAGTGACCAAAGCTATAGCATTGTGGACAAAAATACTAATATTTACATTCAGCCACACAATCAATATGTGAAGAGGTACATTACCAATATCTGTAAAAGTAATAGACTCCAACCTTTTCTTTAAGAAGAAGAAGAAGAGAGCAGGCAGACAATATATTTTTTAACATGAGTCAAAGATAACAATAAAGAAGACATACAAGTTCTCCAGCCTACAAGAACAAGAAAATATGCCTTTTTCATAACAGGGTCTATGTAATTAGACAACCAGAAAAAAAACATGCGCAATTTATATGAAGAACACCTTATAATCAGGTTGATAGTACTCAAAAAGAAGTGCCATTAAATAGATAATATATATACATATAGACAAGCACAACATTATTGCTCAATTGATAAAAATATTCATAGTTGTTTATTTTATGTAGAATGTTTAGGGCTTAGAAATTAAGAATAATATATTTTTTATAGTTTCAAGTCCGTTAGCTAGTTCTTTTCCCTTTGATCATACCAGCCAGCTCAAAGATAATCATATGCTGGGGGAGGTGGATAATCCTCATCATGGAATTGGGTTATAGGTGCTGCCTGAAACTTCTGTACTTCATGTGCTTCGAATGCAGAGGTGCCCATGAAGACTCGGTCTTTTATGACCGTTTCAATATGTATTTCTGTCTGACCAAAGTACATATTGATTTTGATGTTGACCTTTTCGCCATACTCAACCCCATCAAACTGTGGAATTTTTATGGGAAATAGCGCCACTTTGCGGACACCAGGATGAGTCACGTATCTTGGAGCTGCATCATCTCCGTCGTATGCATACAAGTCTATCGGTTCGTTTATATCAGTTAGTTGCGTTTATCTTGGGCTATCCACATATTTATCAACAAAACCAACCTGACTCTGTATCATTTGGATAAAACACCTGGAAAGTATGGGAGATGCAAGCATCTGAAGCGATAATATCTCCTTTGTTAACATATACACAGAATCCATCACGGCAGAATGTCCTTCCATCAGGGAGCAAGACCTTTTTGTTATCCGGATCAACAGTCGGATCAAATGGTTTATACGTTTTCAAGCCATATGTACGTCGTGACGTTCTATGTGTCACAGCACGCGGGTTCAGTCCGAACATAACAGCTCCTCTGACAACTGCAAGCTCCCCACGAGAAGGAACAGCAATTGAGCTTGCCTTCTTCTGGAAATTTCCTTGTATGCGCTTATGAAGATATCTGGACTGTCCAAATCCACCAACTAGGAATATCGCGCTCAAGCTGACTTCAGTTTGCTTAATTTGACCTGCTATCAACTCAAGTACTTTCAAGACTACTGGTTCGAATATTTCTCTACGCATGTCTTCCACTGGGACACGTAATTTTCCATCTACTATTCCAACCGCCTCCTGGTCCATGCCTTCCAAGTTAATTCCAGCAGGCAAGTTAAAGAAATCGTCTTCATCGTTATCCCATCCAGGCTAAATGAAAAGAAGACAGTCTCGTTAAAACACATTACATAGAAGTATTGCGTATATGTGTATTTAATAGCTCTCCTTACTTTTATAGTATTGATAAACTGTTTCATCAAGTATTCAATTGCTTGTTCATCAATTCTGGAGTTATTAAATCGACGCTCTATATACTCTTTCATATTCTTATCAAGAAATGTTGAGCCACATGAACTTCCTGAGCCCTTTGTAACTTCTTTAAGGGACTTTACTCCGTCAGACTCATTAATTTCGAAAACAATCAAGTCTACTGTGCCGCCTCCAGCATCGCAAATCATGAAACGCTGGCCATGAGTGAGTTGAAACTGATTGGTCCTTTTTTCACAATAAAGAGCCGCGGCCTCAGGTTCGCTAGTCAATAGCAATCTGTCAGGATGGTCAATGCGGTCAACTATTCCAGCAATAATGGCTGCTTCACGCATAGTAGCTTTGGCAAGATCATTCCACATTGCTGGCACGGTAAGACAGTATCTGATTCGCGAAGGGTCATACACAGCACCAAGATTACGTTCAAGTTCATTATGAATATACTTATTGAACATGCGAATATAGTCAGAAATAACTTAAAAAAAAAACAAAGGATTAATTCTTCGCCTTTGGCAATATATCAGAGCCAGAGAAAAACAAACCTTCCAGAGGGGTTAATCCATTTGGGAGCTGACTGAATTGGGAATATTGGGGATCAAGCAAGAGCTTAAAGTTATCCACCAATAAATAATTGTTCTTTGGAGTAGATGCCTTACGGACGGCCTCATAACCCCACGCAATGGGTTCTTTGTTTCCTGGCTCATAAAGCAGCTTAGTGGGAACTTTTGGATATACATTTCCACCTTGTTTGGGCCTTTTTTAATACAAGAGAGTCGGTCAAAAACACGTTTATATGTCATGTCTTTCTTACCAGTCAGTAATATCATGTATTTCCTCTACTGTATCACTGGTGTATACATATGAACATCCACTAAACGTGGTTCCAAAATCTATTTGAATGGCAAAAAAAAGGTGTTTTGAAATGATTATTAACCGTATTAAACGTGTATTTTTTCTTATTCTTTTTACCTATGCCAACAATATAAGCAAAGTTATCGGGGTCAAACTTTGAACTGATACTAGACATGAAAGATACGAGTTTTAACTAGTTTTCTGTTTGCTTTTATATATTTCAAATTTGATTTATGCTTGGAGTTTATGTCCGAGATAAAGTGTAAGAGAGAAAGTGATTATCGAACCAATTTATCCGTCAAAAGCAATTGTATTCATCATACACATGACTGCTCGTCAAACGCTGACATCTAACCTTAAAGCATTGCCATTTGAGGAGGTTCCTGTGTACATAAATTAGAGTCTGTACAAATAATGTACAGTAAAAAAAAATACGTTCGTTTAAGAATTTGTCTTTTATTTATAGATATGGGCATGTCAATTAATATCGCAAAGTGTGAATTTCTACCTTAAGAGATGTATGGATATATATAATTGAATATCGGTGGAAAGCAAAGGACAGAGAGTCGTACAATTTATGGACTTTTATGCTCATAACCTGAAAAAGATAAAATAGTGTTTTAGTACTCGTAGTCAATAGAGGGTCGCACTTACTTTCTGATGCTTGGGTTTTGATATAGTGCTTTAATAAAATAAAAAATGATTTATTATTGAAATGAGAAGAGAGAGCCTCAGTGTATAAACATGTATTTCTTTTTGTTAGATATATAGATTCCGAGAGTCATTGAATATTATTTGATAGAGAATAAAACACTGCTATATCAAAATTCAAGCATTGAGAACTGATGAAACTCTCATATTCAATGGCTTAGAAGCTTAATTCATAATTAGATTCCCTAGTGGTGTGGAATACAGTATCTTATTTTACCATCCACAGCATGAAATATTGATTCGTGTAGATTTGTGTAGTGTAGTATAATTTTATATTTCATATCTTCGTCTCCTTTTTCTTCTTATTTCTCTTATTCTTGGGCTTATTCCTAGGCTTATTTTTGTTTTCTTCAGAATTTTGGCATCCTCCCAGAGGTGGTTGTGCATTTGAAATGGACCACTCATTTAAGCCAATACCAAAAGGAAAATCTCTGTAAAGCGGTATGGGGGGGCTCGACAGTTTTTCTCGGGTGTTCTTCTCTTTGGATGTGGTTTTTACGGATCCTTGGGAAGAAGTGGTAGGGCAAGAAGTATCCGGGCTACTGATATTAGATGATGTATTTTTCATCTCATGGGTATCAAAGGCAGAGGCGAGTATAAAAACTTTTCCCTTAATGACAACTTCCATACGAATCTCGGTTAAACCAAAATACATGTTGACTGTCAATTTGACAGATGTACTTTCATTAAGAGAAGTATATTCTGGCATCGATATAGGGAATGCAGATACCATCCAAATACGAGGGTCTGTGACATGGCGTGGGGGTGGATCATCGCCATCATAAGCGTATAGATCTATCAATTCCACAATTAGTTATTATACGAAATACTTCTTTTTTATTTGAGAGAGGATACATACCTGGAGATATCTTGATAGGATAAAATGTCCAGAAAGTTTTTGAAACGCATTTATCAACCATCACAGATTCACCCTTATTGATGTAAACTGCAAAACGGTTACTGGATTGCACATATCCATTAGGCATTACCACTTTCAGATTTTCTGGGTCAAGGAGTGGATCAAATGTCAAGAGGGCTTTCAAGCCATATGTACGCCGAGCAATCCGATGGGTTACAACACGCGGATTTTTTCCAAACATTACAGCACCTCGAACAACAGCCATTTCTCCACGTGAAGGAAGAGCTATAATTCCTACTTGATCCTTAAATTTGTTTTTGATGGTATTGTAAAGATACTTGGACTGGCCGAATCCTCCCACCAAAAATATCGCGTCAATATTCTTCTTGCTCTGGTTAATCTGTCCCTTGATTAGATCGATAACCTGATTAACAACAGGATTGAATATCTCCTCTCGAAGCTCATCCACTGTTATATAAAAAGTGTCATCCATTATTCCAAATTTGGATGGGTCTTGATCACCAAACTTAGTTCCAGCCCGTAGAGTTAAATACTCATCATCATCATTTTCAAATCCAGGCTATAAGGCACATACACACACAAAAAGGAGCGTTGTAAGAATAAAATAATCTCTAAGTGCAAAATCTGCTTACCTTTGTCCCAGTTATAAATTGATCCACAAGGTCGTCGATGACCAATTTGTTTTCTTTGGCAAATCGACCAAATCGTTTTTCAATAAAATGTCTCATATTTTGGTCCAAAAATGCTGAGCCACAAGAACTTCCTGAACCTGTTGTAACTTCACAAAGACTTCTATTGTTTGAGGTATCATTTATCTCAAACACAACCAAGTCAACCGTCCCACCTCCAGCATCACATATCATAAATCTCTGCCCATCAGTAAGCTTGAACTGATTAGACTTCTTTTCGCAATATATGGCAGCCGCTTCAGGTTCACTGGTTAATATCAGTCGGTCTGGATGATCGGCCCGTTTGATAATATTGGATTTTATAGCAGCCTCACGCATAATATTCTTAGCTCGATCACTCCACATGGCTGGCACAGTAAGACAATATCTGAACTTTGAAGGATCGAATATTTTTCCAAGAGAGCGTTTAAGCACCACGAGAATATGTGCGTGGAATCCGGAAAGGTAATCAGAAATTACTGCGAGGACCTGGTAAGAAAAAATGTGCTATTTATCGGTATAAATGATACCTTCAAGGGGTGTCAACCCATTCGGAAGCTCAGTAGGACTGTGGATGCTCGTATCAAGGAAGAGCTTGAACTTATTTACTAGTATTCCGTTGTTGTTTGGAACACTAGCTTGACGAATAGCATCATATCCCCATGCAATCATCTTCTTGCTATCTTTTTCGTAAAGCAATACTGTCGGTACTTTAGGATAGATTGCAGAGCCTTGTCTTGGCCTAAAGGTACGTTGAGTTAGCTTGGTATTCTAAAGTGTTGTCAATAAGATGGTGCGCTTTTACCATTCTTTAATTTCGTCAACTTCATTTGTACTATCTTTTGCGTACACGTAAGAGCAGCCAGAAAACGTAGTACCAAAATCTATCCATCAAACAGCTTTAGAATACTTTATTATGTAAATCTGAATAGTTTATCGCAACGACGCGTTACCTATGCCTATTATATAACTAAAATCATCCGGCGTAAACTTTGAAGCTTGGATAGACATCAGAGATAAAAAAAGAAGAAAGAGATTTGTGAATCCTTGCGTGTTTGCACACATAACTTTATATATCTAATATTGAATGACTGTTAAATAACACAAAGGTAACTGACCCACGTAGAGTTAATCTATACTTTTTTTGGAAATAATTGTGGTATTACCTTTGTAATCCTGTACGGCCCGAACGAACAAACCATTTAATGTGGCTTGTGCGTTAATTACTCCTTAATGGAAAGGAAAAGCCGCAATTGTTTTTGTATTTATTGGTTGGCTGAAGACCACATATTATACATGTATTATCCTTGGAGTCTACTGCTTGAAGTACTAAGCTCTCTCTCTATATATTGTATCATAAAATAAAATACAGTGCAGAAATTAAATTCGAAATAAAAACATTTGTTGAAGAGACAAGTAGTACAAATAACCCAGTGATACATAGTACACAGGAAGATTGTTAGCTACCAGAGATGATTTATCCCAGTTTCTTTATATATTGTAGCCTTACAATACACTTTGTGCTGTGATTATTAAGATGATTGGATCTTTTTCTAGATATACACCTTTAAAGACACACTCGGCATCAAAGTGAAGCTAGTTTCTTGATCTATCCCGAGGCTCTTCGGCTTGGCCATATTATGCTTCCTTTTTAGTCATATACACCAAAGTACCATAGCACTGCTTTTGGCACTTTAAATGTCTTGGAATTTTTATAAAGCGAAGTTGAGAGATCTAACTTTGAGTAACTTTTTTCATTATTTTTCTTACATTCTCAAACGTATAGCAGTAACCTTCAGGGCTAGTATTTAACTGTTAAACGTAGAGGGAAATTTAGCTACCATTAGGTAATCTTGTAACTAATTTTCGCTTTAGTAATTCTCACTTCTAGTATAAAAAAGTATAAGAAATTTGTAAAATAATATATACAATAGATATATTCATACTGTATTGTATATCTCTAAGAGTCAATTTGTCTTTCTTTTATTTATCCAGTATTTATGCAAAAGTCTTTTGATCTCTCAATCACTTTTGTTTAGATATGTTGAATTTAGATTCTTGTCATAGAAATATAGAATATTACCACCCATTTCCCCATAGTTTACTAAAAAATATCCATTACTTTGGATCAGGTACTGTATCTCTGGGATTACAGTACTTTGTTGTACGTGTTTATTGTCTTTAGCTCCGGTAGAAATAAATATAGTGCTTTACAAATGGCTCTCAAATGTACGAGCTGACCATTTCTCGGTATTATTGATAATGAGTGCAGCCTCAAGAACTTCCCAAATATTTTTTGCATACACAAACTCAATGTCCGCCTTGACATTGGCAGGGACATCTGCTTGTACATCCTTTTGATTGCGATAAGGCATGATAATCTTGCGAATACCAGCACGATGTGCTGATATAACCTTCTCTTTGATACCTCCTACAGGCAAAACCTGACCACGCAAAGACATCTCACCAGTCATTGCAGTTGTAGAAGGGACATAGCATCCAGAGAACAGCGATACAAGTGATGTGGTAAAAGTTACGCCTAAGTGTATATCAAAAATATAAAACATTAGTTTCAGTAATCTGTTTTAATAAAAAACACATCTAAAAGCCGTTTAGTCAAAATACCTGCACTTGGGCCATCCTTTGGAACTGCTCCGCTAGGCATGTGAATATGAATATCAAACTTTTCCACCAAATTATCGTATTGTGTCGGTGCCAGCTTAAGCAGATGGGCATTGGATTTGACCCAAGTTAATGCAAGCTGCGCAGATTCTTTGATCACATCTCCTAATGAGCCTGTCAATTGAAGCTCTCCATTGCCTGGCATCTTGGACGCTTCAATAAATAAAATTCCACCATTGCCACTTCCAGAGTAAGCCAGGCCAGTGACCACACCTGGGATAGACTCACGTCCAGCCACTTCTTTCTCGTATGTAGAGATCTAAATTTTAAGAGAAAAAGGCACAGAAGAGTTAATAAGATTGAATTTAATTGAATTTAGCTATATCGCTATAGGCAATGAGTAGCTTACTCCGAGGATTTCTTCTACGTCTTCCTTATTAATTTCTGAAACATAGTCGGATTCTTTGCCACTTTCTCGAAGTTCGGCTAAATCCACGCATTTTGAACGAACAACAGAAGCAAGAGTTCTCTCAAAAGTACGCACACCACTCTCACGAGTGTAATTTTCGGCTATCTGTAGAAGAACAGGATCGGAAATGCTTACACGATCTTCTTCTAACCCATGGGCTCTTATTTGCTTAGGAAGAAGATGCGATTTTGCAATATGAAGCTTCTCCTCAAAGGTATATCCACTTAGATAAATCAACTCCATGCGATCAAGCAAAGGCTCGGGGATTGTGTCAACTGAATTTGCAGTAGCGATGAACAAAACGGTTGATAAATCAAAAGGAACATTAAGATAATGATCAGAGAAAGTATTGTTTTGTTCAGGATCAAGAATCTCCAAAAGAGCAGCAGCTATTCATTTATGTTTTTACATGTTAGTAAGGCAACCCTATCTCTAATGTATCATTATTTCAATCTCATTTACCAGGGTCTCCGTAATGTGTAGAATGAGCCAACTTATCAATCTCATCTGAAAATACAGGTACTTATATTAGTGCATTTACCATGTATAAGAGTTCTTAGAGGTAATTGAATATCTTACCGAGAAGAAACAAGGGGTTATTGACTCCACATTTGCGTAATCCTTGGACAATAAGACCAGGCATGGCACCTACATAGGTACGACGATGACCTCTTTTCATGACAGCATCAATAAAACGGTAAATATGTATTTACACCTCTCTTATTTTGTGTATTATACCTCATATCAGCCTCATCTCGAACACCTCCTAGGGATATACGATGGAATTCTCGTGAAAGTGCGGAAGCAATTGATTTTCCAAGAGATGTCTTTCCCACGCCAGGCTATAGGGACAAATATTATAAGGTTAGTTTTAGTACCCATTTTGCTAATATAACTTACAGGACCAACAAAACAAATAATTGGAGCCTTAAGATCTCCTTTGATCTTGGCTACCGAAAGATATTCGATGATTCGCTTCTTAACATGATCCAATCTAAAAAAAAAGTGAGATAACGGGAATAAAGGCATGAGGGACTTTATTATCTGGTACTTCACTCTTCCATTGTGCCACAATCCAAACATTTACCCAAAATGATCATCATCCAATTGCTGCTTAGCACGGGTAATGTCCATGATTTCCTCTGATTTCTTACTCCAGGGCAGGTCGGCAATCAATTCGAGATAGTTGCGCGTAACAGACCACTCACTGGATGAAGGCTGGAGTTTTTTGATACGCTTAAGTTCACGCTGAGCTATAATATTTACTTCTTTAGGGAGATTAGCTTCTGCAAGGCGTCTTCCTAAAAGAGCTGCATCATCTTCATCCTTGGGCCCTCCGGTACTATCTGATTCACCCAGTTCTTGCTTGATAGCTTCCAACTATAACTAGGGGTTTAGAGGAGAACGCGCTTTGGTAATCCGATATTGTGTTTTAAATACCTGTTGGCGGAGATAAAACTCGCGCTGTTTTTTGTTCAATTTCCCCTCAATGCTGGAATGGATTTGTTCTGAGATCTTGAGGACCTGTATCGAGCCATGTGAGTACCCTTGTTTGTACAAGATCAACCAGCTGTACTTACATGTAGCTGTCTTGTCATCCACTCTGAAGCCTTTTGTAAACGTTCTTTTATGTCGGTAGAATGCAGCATTAGAAGCCTTTCTTCAAAGGTTGTTTCGATTATTGATACTAATAAGTCGGCCAGAACGGGGGCAGCAACGGTGTCAATTAGCTTGGAAATTTGTTGCGTAAGTGCTTCTGGAATCTGGAGGTCCTTCATTTTTAGCAGGAACTCTCTTGCTAATGCCTTAAATGCAATAATTTCGTCCTTTGCCTCCTCCAGTTCATCTTTAGTAAATGATTCTGCGTATTTGACTTTGGCCATCAGCGTTGGTCCTTCTTGAATATAGCGATCCACTTCAAAACGGCCAACTCCCTCCACGATTACTGTGAATACGCCAAGACTTGTACGCTGGACTCTAATGATACGAGCTGCGCAACCATACATCAAGAGTCGATTACGCTCACTTGGTTTTACTAGACTTTCGTCTATATCGCTCTTAGTAAGAGCTCGTTCTTCAGCTGGAATCTCAGGTAAAGACCCATCTGAATCAGAGGAATTCTCTGATGAGTTGGAATGAGAATTGACTGATGAGTTCTCAGAAGGCAATGACTGAAGAGGAATGCACGCAATATGGGCCATTTTTCGTTGTTCTGACAGTCGAGAATACTTTCGAATAAGAGCTGTGGCCTCCTTGCCTTGCATGGTGAGTTTCATCACCACTGACGGAAGGAGAACCCTATTGTCGAGGGGTATAACTGTGAGCGATTCAGGAAGTGCCATTGGAAAGAAGTAGAGGACGTAAGACTGACTAAGGTGAAAAGAGCTTTTATATCCAACATGTGATTTTGATAGAGAAATGCTTCCCTTTAGAGAAAGTCACACAAGAGCAATGCAGTCCTTTCTTTCTTTTCACTTATTATCTTATTAAGGTAGCCTGAATTATGTATAGAGCGGATTCTTTCTTTAGCGGACCTTTTAATAACACAATCAATTGCACTTACTTTAAACAAAATTTGAAAGTTATATGATATGGTGATGTATGTATACGTATATACGTGTGTGCGTACTTGAGGGGTAAATGGTGTAACAAATCATATTTACAATGTGGGGAAACAACAGAGTAAAAATAACTATTCACTTTATAGTCCTTATCGTTGCTAGGTTCAATAATCTATGATATATAATCTTAGTATCTTTCGTCTACATGGTTTTATGCTTAACAGCGAGTCACTCTAAGCTATAACACACATACGAATATTTCAGAAAATATTCTCAAGCTCGTATTTGGAGAAGAAGATGACTAAACATAATAAGATTAAGTACAATTCATACGATACAAGTCACTAAGTTACTGTCCAACTATGGATATATTTTGGATCCAGTTAAAATAAGCTCTCATATTTTTTTTGAATGCACATCATATATGCATTGTATCATAAGTTGTATTTGTTTATGGCAAATATATATATAAACATATTTTCTTTTTTTCTGGCTGGGCTCTTAGACCTTCTCAGCTCGGTTACTCCGGTAGGGCGGTTAGGATTTTATTTATAATATATATATATATATATATAATAATTTGGTCGCTACCAGTTAATATTATTATATTAAATAGCCAAGCAGCTTAACTTTTATTATTGTACTTTGCAAGATATACACATATCCTAAAACAAAGATATTTTTACATAAGAGAATCATCATATTGAATATGTTCTTATCTTATATGTTAGAGTATAGTTTCATTAATCTTCTAGTGAATATTGCTGTGGTTTCTAGATGCAAGACAGTGTTATCAATAGCTAATGATTTACCCAGTAACTATGGATAGCAATATGCATAATTTTAAATTGAATTATATATTTATTAAGGTGTAGCTTGTATTATAATTTACTCTAATGGATCAACAACTGAAACGCCAAATAGTTGGAAGTGTTGAGGGCGGAATTCATCGTCCATATCATATTTCTTGCTATGAATGTTCTTGCCGAAACTTTCGATAACGGACATGACCGCAGGAGCATCAACCATAGGAGAATACTTATTGGGTAGTGTGACGACCAAGCGTATAGGTGGATAGTATTCTTCGCTACCATTACCATCTTCATCGGCCGTATCACTATCATCATTACTAGACCTAATGCAACCCTCTTCGACAGGCATCATGGAGAGCGTAAGTCCGCTATTGAGAAGAAGCTCAGCACCGCCTTCCAAAGGAGAAACAGTGAATACTAGCTCCATAAGTCTTCCGATGTACTTGCAAACATCAATACCATTGCGCCCAACCATCTTTTGGATAGTGTAAAAGATAGGGTCCGGAACAGCTCCTCCCTGTCTATAAGCCATTAGCAGAGACAAAACGGCACGTTCATAATGGTCTAGCCCAGGTACATTGGCAAGAGGACCACTAGCGAGAGGCATATGGAAGGCTACAAATGCTCTTGATTCTTTAGGAAAGTGTGAGGTCATGTTGGCAATGTGAATCGCAGCAGGTAAGAGACGATGCAACTGAAGAGGATGAGAAGGGTTCAGATAGACCTTAGGAAGCCCACCAACAATGAATTCGAATATTTTGTTATGATCCTTGGGAGTTAGGTGATATAAAGACTGAGAGGTGTAAGCCTTGATGCCTTCCAAGAGAGGATCCTTTTGCTGCTCAGCCACCGACAGCTTTTGGTAGCAAAAACCTTGGCGCACGCCTCCTTCACTGAAATATACTCGGCTAATTTTAATGACCTTCATGATGGCAGAAAGCAGGAAACAACTGGCCGGAATCATGCTTGCTCTTCGTTTGGAAATACGGAAAACCTTTAGTTTCTTGACAAGTTTTTCAGGCTCCCAATCCTTATAGTAAGTAACCAACTCCTCAAGCTCGGCTCCTGTCATGGTATAGCCATTAATAATAGGAATAGGGTAAGTGAGTCTTCGATCAGAGTGCTTTCCGGGCAAATCAGTGCTTTGAGCCTTCCTAGCCATGGAGAGATATCCCAATGCTCTAAATCCACCACCACTCATATACATTCGATAACCATCTTTCTCCAAAAGATGTGAAGGGGGATTAGATTGGACAAATGCTTTTCTGATCTGATCCTCAACCTCTGCATAAAGAGCTTCACGTTTTTTGCTTTTGTAGGATTGTTCGAGACGTCGCTTCAGAGCAGCAGCGCCATATGGCATCGACATTGGGTCCGGGCAGACTTGAATTCCCATAGTGCCTTCATCTTCCTCATGACTTTTATTTGTCACATAGCTTAATTCCACGGAACCACCTCCTAGGTCCATAGTAAGACCATTAACACTGTAGAAAGATCCTGCCAAAACAAGTAAATCTAAATTAGATATAACGCCGAAAAAAATGTTACACTGTTTTTGTGCTCATCCTTACCAACAATTCCAGCGGCTGAAATTAAGGCTTCCTGTTCTTTACTCAGCAAAGATACAACCCAGCCTGTTTCCTTAAAGATTTTTTGGAGAAATTCCTTAGAGTTTGTAGCCACACGTGTTGCTTCTGTTGCAAGGACATTGATGTTTTCAGGTTTAACTTTAGCTTGTTGACACAGCTGCTTGAAACGTAAAAAGCTAGTAATGACTTGGTCGATCGTCTCCGAAGGAATGACACGTTCATCACCTTGGGATTCAAACAAAGAGATTGGTGCTCGTTCTTCATAAGCTACTGGAAGATGCCGCTCGAGTGATTTGACGATGCTAAAACGAATTCCATTGGAACCCATGTCAACTACACCGAATGGTCCTTCGACTGTTTGTCCTGTCATATTCTTTTGTAAAGGATTTGTAGTATAATACGGAGAGAAATAATAAAGAAAGAAAGAAAGAAAGTAAAGAAGAAAGAGTACGATTTTGCAGCTGGATAGGAAACAACTTATTTTATTTATAGAACTCAAAATTTGTATCTTCCTTCTTGACATTGGCTTTGTAACCCTTTTCTAAATCTTTGCTCAAGATTACGTATCGGTTTTTACGAACAGCTTGCATACCAGCCTCTTGGCATATTGCTGCAATCTCAGCACCAGATAACTTATCGGGGCGGGAGACAACTAAAGAATAATATGAGTAAATTTACTCATAGTGACACTGAAACACTTACACTCTTCCAAATCAACTTCTTCCGAAAGGTTCATTTTAGCTGTCACAGTAGAAAATATGAGACGCTTCTGACGGCGATCTGGTGTAGGAAACTCAATTTTTCTATCCAATCGGCCAGGTCTCAGAAGAGCAGGATCAAGTGTGTCAGCGCGGTTAGTTGCCATAATAACCTATGCATTTATTGTGAGTAATCTTATGCGTTTCATATATTTCATTATATTTACCTTGACATTGGATGTTTGGTCAAAACCGTCCATCTGGTTCAATAATTCCAGTAAAATACGCTGTACTTCTCTATCAGCACCAGTCTGAGCATCGAAACGCTTGGTGGCAATTGCATCAATTTCGTCGATAAAGATAATTGCTGGCGAGTTCTCTCTTGCCAGCCTGAAAACATCTCTGACCATACGTGGACCTTCACCAAGGTATTTTTGTACAAACTCTGAGCCAACCACACGAATAAACCCGGCCGAAGAGTGATGTGCAACTGCCTTAACCAACATGGTCTTTCCTGTTCCCGGTGGACCATAAAGAAGGACACCGCGGGGAGGATCGATACCAATTTGGCGATAAAGATCAAAATGAGTTAAAGGAAGTTCGACAGCCTCCTTAATCTCCTGTTTCTGAATATCAAGACCACCAACATCCTGATAAGTGACATCTGGACGTTCATCTGCACCAAGCATTGCGATGCTGCTGTCAGCTTCTGGGGGTAATACATCAACAAGAGCGTTTGAATGACGATGGAGTGCGACAGATGCACTGGGCTTCAGAAGTTCTCGATCGATTGTGCTGAGGATGCGGACAACATAATTGGAGCCAGTGGTAGATCCAACAATTCCAGTGTGCTGGTCCATGGGTTCCAGAAACTGACCAATGACCAGAGGAACAGATTTGATACGCTTAACTTCCTCTTGAGAGCGAATGAGTTCTCTCTTCAAGTTGTTCTGTTCATCTTTAATATACTCCTCTTGGAGTTCGAGGAATTCCACATTGCGTTGAAGTTTCTTAAGTTTGGTATAAAGGTCTTCTTCAGATAACTCTTCCAAAAGACTCGTCTTTGTGACAACGGCCGGGGAATCCTTATGCTTAACAAATATATGATGAGTATTGATGGAATCCAAGAATTCTGAAGCCTTACTTCTTGTTTTAAATGGATGCCGATTTCCTCCATAGTCAGACAGTTGCGTTGTCACTAGGAGCTAACGCGTGCCTTGCAACTGAAAGATCGCTAACTGCACCGTGATTTCGTGGTAAAAAATACCCTACGTAATCAATCAATAACGTAGCCCGTTTTAAATACCCGACTTTTACGCACACGTTTTATTTTTGCTATAACCTTGTCCACGCCATCAGGTTGTGGTTATGCAAGGGGTTTATATTAAAGTAGCTCGCTTAAAATGCTTTAATAAAACATATCCGCTTATATTTAATTTATTATAAATAATTTTTTTATACCTTCAATGAAAGAAAGGCAATTAAACAGTGAAATGGCAAAGGTTCAAATATTATATCACGTAATCCAACTTTCTGATAAAAGTATTATTACCAAGGTAACTTGAGGCGAGACATAGTCTTTAAAGCAATTGACTGTATTGTATAAATGAGGTAATATGATAAGTAATTTCGAAAAGATCAATTTATTATGTCTCGAACAGAGGATAAGCCATAAAAGCATTGTAATATTGGATCATGCGTTGTTACCGATTACTTTATATAAATCCGTACACACATACATAAATATACTATCCTCTACATTGACAAACCAACACATTGCTTGCTTTTCTTTTGTATTAATATACTGCATAAATTTTAGTAGAATTATATGCCGTTTTTAAGTAGTTTCCTCTTTATTTTCACTCTTTAAACTAGCTTCTTTGCTACAAAGAAATGCTTGAAATAGCGCATTTGCCAAACACAGACAACACCGAGAATAATGATTTGTGCAATAGTCCACCATACAGCGCGAGCATTTGTCAATTCAGAGCGATCACGGAATTCGGCCTCACGTTCCTATATATGAGAATAAGGCAATATTAAACTCTTATCCTTATACACATACACCATTTTACACAGCTACACTTACACGCTGGGAAGTCTGTTCTCTACGGATATCCTGTACACGCTCATTCAATTCATGGATACGCATGGCCAAGTCTGTGTACACATATACCATAAAATTAAATATTTAAGCGTATTATCTCTCTCTCTTTTCAATCGGCCTATAATTCTCTGGCCATCTTACCCGACAAGGTACCAGCGTGATCGTGCTGCTCACTACCAGCTGGATCATCAAAGTCCATGTCGAATGTAATTTTCTGTATATATATGAAGGCAATAATTGATATAATTTTGAGTTGAACATGTACATGTTTACATGCATATATCCTATTATATTTACCGTTCTGGACGAATCAAACCATGCAGTGCTCACTGGTGCCAAGCAAATAGAATGATCACCGGATTCAGCAGAGGTAAATGTAAAACGACCAGAGGCATCACCCTGTCTGTCTACAACAACATGTCCTTGAGGAAGTTCCTAACATTAAACATGTTAATCAGCAAACCGTTTCCCGGTGTTTTTGTAAAAAAAAAAGTCTCTACCTCGACAGTGATCTGAATCTTCAATTCAGGACTAACAATCCACTGTTTTTGGGCATCCGAGTACTGTTCGGCTTTGTATGTTCCTGTCCGATTTGAAGAAATAATGCACTATGAGAACCATGCACAGATGATGTCCCGAGAGGCATACCTGTCACCATGGTTTCTTTTGGCAACTCCTCGATGAAGCACTTCTTTTCTGATCCATCAATGTAAAAGTACAATGCCTCGGATACATTTGCACAGATGAGAAGGATAGTAAATAGCAAGGCTGCTGAAAGCCGCGTTTTATTCAATGCAAAAGCCATTTTCGATGGGAAGAAGATTAAGACCAACTGCCTTTAGACGTGGCAGGCGTATTGCTTCCCGATTCTAGGCACCGCCAATGAAATCGACTTCAGAGTAATGACGTAGCATATATGGTAGTGCCTGAATGGATCAAAGGTTTCACGATTTCCTAGAAATAGAAATGGTATTTAATAAAAGTGAATAATTGACATGAATTATTTTCCAGAGAATGTAATAAGTAGTAATTATTATATTAGTATCTATTATGTATTAAAGAGCAGAATTATTTGTATATTCATCTTATGAATAAATTAGCTCGATCCGATTTGGATATGAGCATATTTACTGAAGTCTGAATAAAAAGAAAACTCGAATTGAGATTGAAACAAATTTGTTCTTTGTAGATAAGTATTTTCGTTGAACACAATGGTCATAGGTGTTTAGACAAACATATTTTCAAGGGATTCTAGAAATCGTATACTGCTCAAGTAGATTTCTCTTTATATATAAAATGCTAAATATCATTATTGTTGGGTTTATTATATACCAAGAAGTGAAGCATTTCACTCTATAGTGCGTTTTAATATTTTTTGAAACAAACAGTTGTATAATATATATCTCTATCTACTCTTATATTAAACCAATGTTTTTAATATTTTGATTCTCTTCAATATTATGAGCATGCTACTTATATTATCTACACAATATTTCTTATTGATCTATTCATTGTAAAAAAAAAGATATATACATAAACACACACACATATATATATATGCCTTCATACTTTAAAAATCCATAAACTTATGATCCTTGATGTCGTTTTCAATTTTGAAAGAAACAAAAGAAAACAAATGTATGAGATACTAAGCACATGTAGATGTTATCAGTAAATAAAGACGAGTGCATGGTCTATTGTGCATATTTTATCCAAAGTTTCCCCATAGACCGCCTTTATAATGTCTTTTACGAGACCTTAACATTTTAAGTGTGTGTTTCCTTCTTCTTTGACTTTAACAGAAAAGTCTATAAAATAATGTGTCTACCAGGAGTTTTATTATTTTTCTATTATCATTGTTTTAAAAGAAAGCATATGATTCAAAAGGTGTTATATTTAAAAATAGATATTTGAGTATTAGTTGACTTAACTTGTTTTTGATATATTTTACTAAATGATATAGAGGGTTTATATTCCAATTGAAACAGGAAAATACCTGTCGTAAATATAATCAAGCCGTGAGTATCTTTGGTTGATTTAGTCTAACATAAAAACCACAAAGGAAATCCCTTTTCTGTTTTAGAAAACCGGCGTGATATTACAGAGGTTTGAATACAACGAGGTCAAAGAAACTTACTTATATAGATTTATTAACATTGGAAGAAGAACTATTATCAAGGCTTTGTTTAGACTGTATATAAAGTTGAAAAATCTTTGACCAAGAAGTTTTATCATCTTACTGGTTTCGGAACGCTTGACAAAGACTTGATCAGACTTGGAGGCGATACATGTGGCGTTCCTGGGGTTATATGGGGTGTATTAGAGAAAAAAGGAGCTACTGGAAATTGATTTATAGAGTATTGAGAAATACAAAGTACTGAGAATTTTTAATGAATTTAGAAATAATATTTTTACTGGACTTTATCAAAGTATTAATTGTGGTGTCCTTGGATTCAAATCCTATTATACATTATAGTGATAGGATACTACAGCCTTCAAGATTGTTGTATATACCTCCCTCTTTATAAGAAATGAAAGGAGGGAAATATAAACCAGTTCTTTCTTTCGAATTATCGTAACAAAAGAACTTTGTCTTTAGGGGCTTAAGACTATTTCAGGTCAATGTGCTTAAACATGGTATTTTAATACAGTCTAAGAAGACTGGATTAAGTTTATCTACTTATTTTTACTTTATCTCAAGCTTATATTGATTTCTTCTGAAAAAAAAGCATTTAAGCTCATAATGTAGAGATTGAATTCTGCAAGAGTTCTAACTATCCGAGAAATTTGCTTTACGTTTTTTGAGATAAGTTTGATTTTAGTCCCACTTAAATACTAGCCTTTGAATGGCTTACTTGTAAAGATATCTCTTGAATTATACATAACATTATTTTATTTCCAATATAAGTTCATGTCATATTTCTTTATTAAGTAATTGTTAGCTTTCTTTGGATAAGATTGTATTTTGTATAATTACTTGTAGAAAAAAAAAAGAGCTGATTATTGGATATTTATCTATTTCAACCGGCGCAATTCCAGGAACTGCTTTGTATTGCTGCGCAACATTATGGTTTGCGTAGAGTACCTTTGAAAAGACATCAATTAATACATCTTACATATAACAAAAAGTTCAGCTTTATTAAATTCCAAGTTGTATTTTATTTTATTTTATTTTATTTCTGTATTAAATATAAATTCTTCTTTAAACAGCGCCTTTGATTTTAAAAAGTTAGCCGTGAGCTTTATATTTGTCACCTTTGTTTGCCATTCCACACCTCTTGCAAGTCACAAACGCACCAACGGATTGGCTATCACTTGCTTCCGTTTTTTTGCTGCGGCGAAAAAAATAATATATAAAAAAAGGCGACAAATCATAAATTATTGACACATTCCCTTGATCCCCCCTTTCACATTACTATCATGGCAGTCCGTAAGTAGATCCTAACTGCATGTCCATTCACAGCAATGCTTACAGACATGAAATTTAGGTGCACAATTTGAAAACAGCAACGAGATCGGTGTCTTCTCTCGTCTCACCAACAGTTACTGCATCACTGCCCTCGGTGGATCCGAGAACTTTTACAGGTAAGATTGTTTATGCAAATTATATATATAGCTTACTGATCCGTAAATAGTGTTTTTGAGGGTGAATTAGGTGATGTAATTCCCATTGTCCACACCTCAATTGCCGGTACACGTATCGTCGGTCGCTTGACTGTCGGTAACAAGAACGGTCTCTTAGTTCCCAACACAACTACCGATCAGGAGCTCCAGCATCTTCGCAACTCTTTACCCGACAGTGTTCATGTTCAGCGTGTTGAAGAGCGTTTGTCCGCCCTCGGCAATGTTATCGCTTGTAATGACTATGTTGCCCTTGTTCATCCCGATCTTGACAGAGTAAGTTGTAGGCAACAAATAAAAAGGCTGGGAATATGTTTTATTCATACCTGTGAGTAGGAGACCGAGGAAATCATTGCCGATATTCTCCAGGTAGAAGTCTTTAGACAGACAGTTGCTGACAATGTATTGGTTGGATCCTACTGTGCTCTGAGCAACCAGGGTGGTCTCGTACACCCTCGCACCTCTATCCAGGACCAGGATGAATTGTCATCCTTGTTGCAAATTCCTCTTGTTGCTGGTACTGTCAACCGTGGTTCAGACGTTATTGGTGCTGGCTGTGTTGTAAACGATTGGTGTGCCTTTGCTGGAATGGATACCACATCTACCGAATTAAGTGTAATGGAGAGCATATTCAAGCTCCAGGACGCACAACCTAGCGCAATTGTCAACGAGCTCAGAGATACTTTGGTTGATACTTACTCATAAATCAATCGCCTTCCCCTCCATCCCTCCTCCAAAAAAAACACTCCCAATCATTGCATCGTATTTTTCTTTGCATCACTTTTTGTAACATAAATTTTTTAAAGAGAAAAAAAAGTATGGGTTCTTTTTGCCCTTATCGAAAAAAAAAACATTTTGTCTAAAATGTCCTAGTTCTGTATTTGGCTGATTTGCTCCAAAAAGCTAAAGAAAAGTATTATTATAAGTTTATCATATACAATTTAGTTTGATCCATACCTCTTGGCATTATGGACACATGTACCACCGAGTACAATACGAACACCAGGTGTAGAAGCATTTAGTTGCGCAACATATCGAGCCTCTTCAAATGTCGCACCTCCAACCATAAATACAATAATATCTTGCGGTCTAAATTTAGGCAATTTAATCAGTATAGGATTTTGACCGCAAAACTCACTATCCAACTAACCTCTCCCTTGGCATAGTTGCTGTACCATCAACAGAAGGATAGCTTGTATCTTTGAGGCGAGCCTTAATTAATTGATCGAGTGTCTCTCCGAGGAGAGGTGTGTGTTGGGTATAAACGTTCTCAACTCCCTTGAGACCCTTCAGTGCACTCTTACTACGGGACAAAAATGTCTGGTTCGAGAACAAATCATCCTGTCGTTGACGATATCCTGCATAACGTAAAATAGCAGGTACCAGCTATTTATCTAAATTTTAGTTTCTTCCTTTTTGTTATGTATCAATATCATATATACCCTACCATTGTCTTTTGTTCACTGATTCCTATGTTATCCAACATACCAACCAGGGCTTTAATACTATTATTTGGTGAAGATTCATAACGTAAAGCATAAAGTAAAACCAAGCAGATCTTGGATTGATCATCGACATTTGGATCTTCTATCAGTTGTTGAACAGCCTATTTAAAAACAATAATAAATAAACCTGGACTTAAACAATATAATATGATAAATTCACGCGCTTACCTTGAGGTCATTGCTGTGGTTTCCATTACATGCTATTCCTTGCTCAACTTCACTAATTCTCAAAAGGTTTTCTTGCGCCACACGCCGGCTAAGCTCGCTTACAAGAGCCACATGCTTTGATACATTACTTGACAGTTTTCTAAATTCTGGGTATTCTTCTACAAAACGCTTCATGTCTGCAATAGACTCAATATTGCGGTTTGAGTTTGCTTTTGATTGGTACTCATCAACATGCTGTTTAATATTAGCTCCAAGATCACCCAGGTTGAGATACATTGATTTTTCAAAGAAAGGATCCTGATCTGGGGATAGTACAATTTCCTACAAAAACAGAAATTAGGCATCTCAAATGCGTTGGCAACCCTGAGTTACTTTTAATTCATTGCGAATATCTGGTACGGTCGACATATCCACTCGTCCATGATGGATACCGATAAGCTCATGGACCATAGCCTGATAAGTCCACTGGGTCAGTAATGGTGTGATAGGATCATTACGACGATCGAGGATCAGCAGAATTGGTGGTGTGTCTGGCCGACGAAAATCGAATAACTGGCCCTCTTGTTTGATATTACGCTAAAAGAAGAATATCCCACCACCAAATAATCCATAAGTTTTTTTTTATTATGCAATATGCTGTCTGTATTTATTACCTGAACTTCTATAGCAAGACGTTTAGCCATCACACTTGCTCCCTCATATCGAATCAACGGCTTCTTTTTCAGACTCAATAAGACTGAACTAATTCCTCTTACTGTCTGGTCAAATGTAGACTGGTTCCAACTCTCCATATTATCCCCGAATAATTCAGAAGAAGGAATTCCGAGCGAAAAGAAGTCTGGGTTGATAGCTTGATAATCCCCAAAGTATTCCTTTTAATATCATACGGGGAGGTGGTAAGCTTTTATGCTTACAAATTGCGCACTCGTACACTCGTACACTTGTATACTTTGAATGCTTTCTTTTTTGGCTATAAGTTTCTTTTTTATTTCTTACCTGTACTTCTCGGACTACTTCGTGCTCATCCACTTCAGCGAGACGCTCGATATCAGACTTCATCATCGTATTACTAAAGTCTATAGAGCAAATAGTCAGGATAAAACTTCAGTATAATTCAAAACTCACAGAGGAAGTAGTCGCCATAAGCAGGGTCACGCAGTTCGTCTATCAGATACCGAATAGTTTCGGGTGTAGGGCGCAAGAAGCAGATACATTTGAGATGCTTCATCTTTCCCCGATTACGATTGTCCACACGGTCAATCAGGTAGCATTCTTTTGTTAGCAACGCAGACTGTGTCATAACTAGGGACACGATTGGTGTCTGAATGATGGAATTAGGGTTATAATCCTTTCTTTTGGTTTCCTCTCTTACTGTTTCAATGTCAAGAAGCAGGGCCTTCATTCCTGGAACATCGTCGATCATCTTATCTACATAGTGCTGCACTGCTTTGATGACATTCATTCTTCTAATTAAGAGTATACGCTATTAAACAGAAAAAACCCGTTTGTCTTTCTCTATAGACAGTCCACACAGTACATGCTGGGTCACACGGATGAGTTTAAATCTCCAGGACTTCTAGGAATATTTGCCAAGATACTTCAAATATCTTTCTTTTAAGCAATAGTTATAAGGGAGAAATATGATATTTTATATTTTAATAAGATAATAGTTAAAAAATATTATTTTAAATGAGATGGATTCAAATATGAAATACAAACACCTTCTTTTTTCTATAAAGAAGAAGAAAAGAACAAGTAACAGTCAAATACTACTGAATCCAATAGGCATCCTGTCTTTCTGGCTGTACTCACCATCTGTATGCAATCAATGATGAGATGAGATGAAATGAAATGTGTTTATTTTCGCCTTTGATTGGTGTATGCGGGGGTTATTAATATGCTATTGGGTAAAGGATTGTAGTATTTGGCTTTGACGCCGAGATTCTCTTTCTTGATCCAGGTATTGAGAAGGTGTTAGGGAATTTGACTTAGACTTTGATTCCCCAATCTTGCTTCTTCTTTTTTGTTTAGCAGAAGTTGAATAAAGGCTAGATGTAGGAATAGGCGTACGAGATGGACTAGCTGGAGGATAGCTATTCTGTTTTGCCTTTGAGAGAAACAATAAATAACAATAATAAGAGAGACAATTTTGATATTAAAGAAGAGACAAAAAAAAAGACTTACCATCTTGGTATTTTTATTAGCAATAATTAATTCGGTCTCACTCTCAACTGAAAATACAGAAGAGTCAAACTCTTGAGGTAGACGAGAAGGAGTAGGGCTGCTTTCCGATGAACTTGATAGTGTCCATTTTTCCTCGATCATCTATCATTAGATAGTATGTTACTTGGTTTGATCTGTTTGTAATATTTGAGTAATACTAGAGAAGTACAAGACTTACAGCCTTATCATTTGCGACAGCAACATTTTTGTCGATAATGTTGTTCATAGAATACGAAGAGGAGGCGGAAGCGGAAGCGGGAGATCTAGAAGAGCGTGAGGAGGTCGGACTAGCACCCTTGATTTTGAATTCTGGGAGTTTTTCCTTTAACATCTTTTTCACTAAGAATGCATCATACTCTTCAGCTGGATAGTTTGGTGATTTAAGCGCACGGGGAGTGGAAGGACGTCCAGCTCTAGGCTTTACTTCACTAACGCTTTTCTCGGCCTTTGTTTCAAATAAAGAAGATGAAAAATCAAATTTTCCGAATGATCGCGAAGAAGCTTGGCTGCTGGTCTTTGATATTCCCTCTGACAACTTTTCAGTAACCATCTGCTTAATGAGAAAGGGGTGATAGTCGTCAGAAACCTAAATTTAAATTATTTTTAATATAAGTGACAACGAGATATAACCAACATACATTTGGCTTGACTTCTGGCAAAGTTCCTTTAAGCATTTGCTCAATCAGATAGACCTGGTAGTCTTCTTGATCAGGGTAGCTCGGGGATTTGATAGGTTTAGATGAACGGGCATCACGAGGGGAAGACGGAGTACCTGTCCTGGACCTTTGCTGATCTACACATTCGCCAGTCTTGTTTTCAGTTAAAGACGATGAGTCATATACAGTGGATGCAGGCGAACATGATGAGCGAGACGAACAAGATGAAGTAGGGCTGTCCGCCTTTAATTTGAGCTCTGGGAGCTTATCTTTATGCATATGTTCATCCAGAAAGGCCTGGTACTCGTCAGCGGGGCAGTTTGGCGATTTTGTGGGACTTTGGGATTTGGGGTTCGACTTTGGGATGTCCACTGACTTGGTGGTCTGTTCGCAGCAAGTTCAAAATGAGTTACTATATTTGCTAAATCCCAAAAAGATTACTAACCTTGGTGTCTGGTTTTATTGCGTGCTTATTTGGTTGGTCTGTGGATGACGGTGAAGCAAAAGCACGAGAGAGGAGAAGGCTTGGACACAGCGCTTTGAGGTTTGGAAGATCGACACACATTTCAGACGGTTGTTCAGGAGAAAGATGGGTGGGGGTGGAGAGAACTGGTAATGAAGAGCGATTAACTTTTAAATATGCAGGAGCTTGCTTTTGATTTGTTTTTGGTTTGGGTGATGGACTACGAAGAATCGGGGAAACGGGTAAACAAGATAAAGGACAATCAACCTTTGATTTTCCAGATATCATGCTTTTGTTGGCTTGTTCAGGGGGGACTGGTGCAGAACCAGAAATAGAATAAGTTGGCAAATTTGCCATAGAATTGTCGACCCTTATTTCCGAAGTGGCGACATCTTGACTTATATTTATTTCGTTCAAAACAGATGTAGCTGGTCTTGCGACAGAAATAGACAAGTCAAGAACAACAGTATTAATTGAGGGTATTTTTGATGCTGTCGCTTTTTGTTCAATTCCTTTCTCAACTGAAGGAGATGGCGAGCGCTCTAAAAGAGTGCCAGAAGGAGAGCCCTTTCTCTTAGAAGGCATCACTTTCTTTGTTGAACCTCGTTGTGTAAGTGAATTAGAGGGTACCAGTGCATTTGTTTGTAAGGATCTTTGACTTGAAGGGGTATTTCTCTTTGAAGTATCTGAGGGATATATGCTTAGTGGAGGGCGTGCTTTTGAGAGCTGCTTTGTTTTAGAATTACGAGCCGAACGGTTGTTTGGTTCGGAATTCATAAAACCAAAGAATGTTTGGTTGGCGGAACGATCTGCAATTTCTTCCGCCTACAAAGTAGTGTATAAGACAGATGCAATGGTAACAGGACTATATAGGCATAAAAGGAGCTTGTTTACTCACAAGGATGTCAAGATATCGGCGATCGTTATACATGAATGGTTTGTGGGATATTCGCTCAAATTCATGTACTGCCTGAATGAGTTCATTGTCTAGTCGCACCAGAGTTGGAAAACATGTATTGCGCCATCGTTCCTCGTCTAATAGTTGAAATGATGCTTGGAACAGACGTTTTGGATCAGACGCGTTCTTTTCAAAATCAATCATTTTCTACAAAGTACAAGGTATATGTGTATTTATAAATAGACTTATAATATCATATTGTATTTGTTGTGTTTACCTGAACAAGTTCTTTGCGTTGTTTCATAAGTTCTGAAACAGTACTGCTTTCGTGCTGTATCGTTTTGAGGTATGCGATATGCTCATCGACAATCACGCGCGTTGTCTCCACTGTGCTGGCTAAGCACAAGTGCAAATATTTGCATGTGTACATATATAGTTAGAGGGTTTAAACTATGCGTGTTTGTGTCCAATAGAGTTACCTTCTTCATAAAGCTTTGCAATAAACGCTTCTCTCTCTGACTTGTTAACTAGACACGTGTCCCAAAGACTGTCTAGCCTTACCTTGAGCTACATATAAAGTTAATACATTAAACTTATAAATTATAAGGTTAGCTTACAACTGATATATAGCCATCAGTCATTTTCTTGACAATGTCTTTAAAACTGTCAAGTTCAGCCTGGATCTACAGACAGTAATAGATTCACATCAGCCAAGAATCAGTATATTTGTCTAAGAATGTATTGCTAGTATACCTTTTGAATATTTCCAGGTTCAAGTGAGGGAATCAATTGGCATCGTTGGTCTTCGGAAACACAGAGCTCATCCCAGATGGCACGGACCCTTTTGGTCAATCTATGGTATGTGTCGAGCTGACTTTTGTACATATCGTTGGCTCGCCTGGCTTTGTCCTCTAAGGTATGCAATGCCTCTGGTGCAAGCGACAGGGGTGTAGGCATCACCTTTTGGTAATACTCTGCTGCATCTTTAACATTGGGTGGACCAGATTCAATGTTTGTATCAACCTTGATACCAGAAAATAGACTCTTAAGCGCTACTTCCCAGGGATCCTGTTTATCTGGAATATGATGGAGAACAGTCCATGAATAATGAAGCGATCTAGTAGCAGCTTCAAATCGTGACTTGTGCTCTGTCTATATATGTGGAGTTGGTGTTTGTTTACATATTAAGTGAAACTGTTTATGTAACAAAGCTTACCTCTAGGTTTAAAAGATCTCGTAAATTGCAGTTAATCTAATAAAAGAAGTGGAAAGATTAGGTTAATACATGTTGCACACACCCACCCAAACACGCATTATTCTGTTATTTTTACCCCTTGAACAGTACCCCAGCTTAGATCATCGTAATAAGCCTACAGAAATCAATACAATGTTTAGCTATATATCATCCACTTGGTTTCTCTCTTACCTCCCATGGCAACCATGAATTAGACTCCGCGAGCTCCGTTGCGAGCCGGCCGATCGTCGCCAACCATTGCTTGACATGACGGCGGCGTTCGCGGATTTCCTGTTCAAGAAAGGTAATTAATTGATGTACAATGAATCAGGTACACACACACACACAGACGTACAGAAGACAATCTTGCGTCAAGGGCAGATAAAGCCTTTTGCTTTGAGTAGCTAGGTGCAATTCTATGAGGATGGTACTGGCTGTATTCCATTGATAGCCCATTACTAAGATCAGATGCCAGAATATTTTCCATTGCTATTCCAAGAATATTGCACGACTCTTCGATACTGGCCTGTCATGACCCAACAGAAAAGGGGTTAATTGTGACCATAGGATGATGAATAGGAAATGAAATCAGCCAAATAAATAAAATAAACCAAAAATAAAATAGCGTTGTGTAAATCCTATAACTAACCAAGATATCCTCAATATCAGCAGCCAGAAGATCCCTCTCATAGTGTGCCTGAGCAATAACCAAGTTTAACTGATCAATTACTGGCTGTATGGTAAAATATCAAATATATATCAAAGTAAAAATAAAATAAGCCCAAATTAGATAAATGTATGTAAAAGTAAATTGATAATGAAATTATGAGGGTCAGAATGGTTTTTTGAAATTACTTTGAGTTTTGCATCTACAGTCGAAGCATCCTGTAGTGCCTCCAGGGATGACCAGAGAGAATGAAGCGAAGAGATTTTGGAGTGGAATTGCTCCATTGTCTGCCTGTTCTGGTGTTGATCTAGCTTGGGATGAAGAGATTCGACAAAGCTAGAATTGTAATGAGGATAAAGAATAGGGCTGCTATTCGAACAGCTAGAAATAGTAAAGCAGGGCAAGGCAGTTTTGAGCCTGACTTGTGTGACTGTGGTTAATGAATACATCTGGCTCGTGGCTAAACTACTCAGGAGCCAACAAAGAATAGGACGTCCAAGACATGCGGTTACCCCTTTAAGAATATCTTTGCTTAGGCTCTGAAGGTCGTTTAAGCCAATTGAATATTCATTTTCAAATAACTTCTTTATCAATTGATTACTATGAACGCGTATTCGTAACACCGCATTGACCCATTGGGACTGGTGAGTACAAGCAGATCTTACCTGCAATCTGGCCACATGGACTGTACCACTAAGGCCTGACGTCTGATGCCACCGATCACACTCCTCTTCCAATACAAATTCTCCTTACAGTATTGCATTGTATGCTTTATTTTCCCATGCGACTAAATGGGAGTCATTCTAACCATTTTACATCAATACTCTCTAAATGAGACCCATAAAAAATGTTCAATTCCGCCTTTATTAAGCTTGTTATAGTTGTAGTCTGTGTGTTTGTAAGATTGAGTTATATGCAAGACTACTGCATGCAAAACTGATGGCTGCATTCCAAAAGAATGCCGGAGAGAATTTTCGTACGCGAAAACAGTTACTTTATCATCTTCACATAAGCATGAAATGGCATGGTGCACTGTAATCATAGTTTTGTGATGGCGCACTATCTTCAAACCAAAGAACTATGAGAACCTCCTCGTAATCAGTGTTCAAGGGGCACTAATATTATTATTAGGATTATTATGGCTGTTAGTATTTTAATTTTTATAATATATTTTTTATATATATCTGTGCAATTTGCTATAATTTAAATAGCTCAAAAGACTTCTCTCAGGTTGGTTTCATTTAATCTGGAATTATTGTACTTCTTTATTCTGCTATTAATTATCTGTAAAATATGTACAACACTTTGGTGGTACATTTATGGAAATTAAGGTTTGCTCTAATCTAAAAAAAAACTGGCGAAAATATAAGACTTAGTACCAGCTCTCGTTTACTTTACTGACCCGGCGTCTTTAGATTCCTTCCAAAGCCTTTGGGATATATATGCCAGCAGGGGAGTTTACAAGAGTCCTAATAGACTTTCTATTATCAGTATTATTATTATTTGTTTTTAGCCTACATCTTATTCATCGATAACAAAAGACGAAACTGGTCACCAAGATTACACTGTCCCACATTGCACATAGTACAATAGATTTTAAGTAATTGAACGTATTCATTTCGCTCTTATATATTCTATATGTACATATATGTGTATATGTTTTTTTTTGCCTTTTTTTTATCCCAAATTTATTCATTTTTCTCATATTTAGTGTGTGTATATCTGTGTGTATTTGTCGAAGCAAAAGATATTCCACTAAATATTTATATATGCGGCAATTAGTGAATATTCCCAACAAGGATAGAATATAATTACCATATTTGACCATTTGCATATTAACATTCTACAGCACCGTGATGTATAAAGTAAGATATGAATGAAGTCATTTACACGACACAACACAGAAGGTAAACTATACTTATAGGCTTCAGATGAGGGATGTTATGTAATTATCTAAATTATTAATATTGATATAATTCAGTGTGTGCCAATATTCACAGCAAAAGTATACTAATATATTTCTTCTGATTTACAGCAAACAACATGATATAGTATTTTGAAAAGAAATTTTCTCGGAAGAGAGAGGTCTCTAATGAATGCCTTTTTTTGATAGCTTCTAGTATGCCCAGATAACTAAGGAAACTTATAATATGGCATATCATAAGTGTCTTTTTATGCAGCTATAACTTAGAATATACATCATTTTAACTCATGTAGTATATACGTCTACAGCGCCATATTATAGATGGAAAATAATAATAGTTTGTATCTATATAAGAATGAGATTTTATCAAGAATTAATATTGTGTTAATATATTCTGTTTCTATCAAGTACTTTACTCCTTATTATATTGTTGAACATATTGCGAATTATTTATTTAAAACTGCCAAGTAGTACAATGCATATTCGAAGAAAAGAAAAAGAAAAGAGAGTAATTTTTGGCATTTGAGCATCATTGAATATCTTCTTTATAATGATCAGATCGACCATGATTAATACATCAAAATATATTATTTTTCAAACGTAATTCATGCCAACATGAAACTATTGGCCCAAGATATGGATTTCTCTCAAAATGTTTGGGCTTTAGGATTTTTTGTCCCTTTATATATACAAGAGTCGAATGCTTTTAAGATACAACACTTGGGTTATATGAGTAGAATAGAAAGGTATGTCTATAAAATATTGGACTTAGCTTAAAATATAAGCTTTGAATTGTTTAAACATAATCTTCTATTAGATACAAATCACAAAGGAAATCAAAATTGTGATTTTAAGGACAAAGGAGAGAGAAAAAGAAAGAATAATAAGGTCAGAAACAGTAAAAGAAAGACTCGATTCTATTCAATGTAATGCAATGCAAATAATTTAGAATATCTACATAGTGGTTCATTAATCAGAATGAATCCTACACTATTTTAAAATACGGAATACATACATATATATATATATATATTTGAGAAGAGCGAATAAAAATTATATAAATGAGATAATCGAACATTTTCTCTTCTTTCAATAATCGCCTGGGTGGTCAACACAAGGACATCTTGAAACAAGAATAAAATATCATAGTTTGTAAAGAATACTAGAAGAATCATTATTAGAGCCAAGATATTTATCAATTTATTTATTTTTCATCTTCCACACCACACACACACAAACCTATACTAAAATATCGTTTTTATAAAAAAAACCAATATTGGTACACAGTCTATCAATTGAAGAACAAAATAGGTCCTACAATCAGCCGAAATTTGAATGAAGACTTTTTTTCTACCTTTTTTATTTAGTAGCTTGGGATAAATTCAAAAGAAGATACTCTAAGGTTATTTATGAAACCAGTTTTGACTATTAGAACTGACCGGTACCTTTCAAACCCATTTACAGAACCTCTTAAACCACATACGAGTTTAAGAGTGGAAAAATCCGAATACAGATTGTTGTATTGGCAAGGTTTCTTGCTCAACTCAGAAACCAAAGTTTTGCATCTGCAAAATAAAATGAACTCACACACACACATATATCATGTCATGTCATGTCATGTAATATTATGTGTTATCAGCCTGCAACTTTTTCGTTTTGGATTAATGTCAAATTTTAATCATTTTTTTTTGAAAAATATAAATAAATAAAAAGAAGTGACTAGTGATGAGTTTGTTTGTTAGTGAGACTGCAGCCAAAAGCACATAGATAGATAAATACAATATGTCTCTAACAAGATCATAAAGTTACAGACGAAAAGAACAATCTTATTATAAAACAAGCCGAATAGAATATTTCTTTTTAATTTTTGGATGCATAACTCTCAACTTGATCAAGAGGATCCTCAATTTACAATTTTTGTATTCAATTTCAAAAATATCGATATGCTTATCTTTCATATTCTCTTTCTCTCATTGTAATAGCAACGTCTTATTATAAGACATACGAATTCAATCGATTAGTGGCTTACATTGAAGTCAAAAAGCAAATATATATATACAAATTTGTTTAAGGCTACAAACCTCACCTTACTGTAACTTACATTGGCTTATGTTAAATCAATAAATCGCAGTATATCAAACCAAAGATATTTACAGTAACCTTTATTTTTTATTTTTGCGTGTACTACAGTAATAATATCGACTACAAGAGAATATGGAATGTATTTGTTGTTGGAATATTAAGTAGCGGAAGAAAACCTTGTGAAGTACAAAGTTGTTATTAATATAGCATTATTTGATGTCGCTTACACATCAGAGAAAGAGAGAGAATAGATAATCCATTGCCGTCGGCAAGAGAGATGTTGACTGTAATTAATCTTCATATTTGATTTATTCAGACGCATTACTTCATTCCCATAAAAATGTTTCTGCAATGATCACAAATTACCTCAGTGTATACGATAAGAGAAGCATTGTAAAACCGTGTTTATATATCATAGATGTTGAACAAGCTACATATTAATAATGACTTTTTTTTCTACTGATCTCATAGATAAACTCGCGTCTGTCGAAGAGAGAAGCAACACTTACTACTGCTTCCCTAAGCTTACTAAAAGCAGTTAAGATTCAAAACTAGTGTACATGAAAAGTGCCAGGAATAAAATAATAAGATTGGCCAAAGGTTCTTAATTTTAGCTGCTTTCTTATCTCTCTATCTATATAGATTTATTGATATGTTTAAAGAAGAGTCGTGTCCAGTTAAAATTAAACAAATATAACAGTAAATTATCTTACTGTAAATTTAGTACTTGTTCTATTTTTTTAAAAAATAAAAAATAAAATAATAGTAAGAATAATAATATTTCGAGTTTTTACACTTCTTTTCTTTCAGCTGGATAGTCCCTGCTCTATATCGTCAACTTTATTAGACTATTAATTGAAAGGGACCTAAAAAATGCATGATTTTAAAGACATAGATCCCAGAAATAACTGGTTAAAAAAGCATTCAATTATCCAAAATTATAGTGTCTCAGAGACACTTTGTCCTATATACAAGTAGCTTAGCCACCTCACTGATACGCTTGTATAATAATAGTGAAAAAAAATAGAAAAAATGCACCTTAGTTGTCGATGGAATATATATATATACATTGAGTGGTAAATGAGCTTACAGATAAACCGCTTGAAGCTACAGATACATTCTTGAAGTCCTATTAAGTCTCACTACCACCTTTCTCACGCCTATGGGTATTACATCAGTTGAACCTAGTATAAGCTTAGCTACCAGATCATAGACTCCTACTGGCAGGGGTAATGTTATCTGGCTACTTTTATTGTGCTTTTAAAAGCATCTTGATATCTAACCCACTGTACAGAAAGGTAAGTATTGCGCTTAAATTTTAAGTATATTTCACCTTAAAGTTATATATATATATATATAGAAGCATCGTCAGCGTCGATCCATTAAAGCTATAATGAGCCAAAATTTTAAAGTGGCTCGAATTTGGACAATATGATGAGGCTTTTGTTAACTCACAATGATTTGATTCACAGGTAATACCCCACACGCCAAACCAAAACAAATTATACCAGTAGAGAAACTGACGCAGAATATAACACATACACTATATATATGTAATTGAAAGTACATAAGAAATATAAAAAAAAATACATTTTTGACTAGTATTCTTCTGCCATAATAAGTAACACAAGACTTGTCCAGCCAGTGAAAGGATGGCTACGTTTACCCTCTCCTGTCTTGTCTGAATATTGTTCCCAAACATATCCTGTTTTTTGATAATCCTGTTCTCCATCACATTAGTCATGGTTCATATCTCATCGACAATAATGTCTTTTACCTTAAATACAGCACTGATAATATTATGTCTAAGGCTATTGTAAATTCGTTCCGCCTGTCCTTGATAAGGTCCAGGCACTCGCATATAGTTCTAGAAAAAGCAAATGATAACACATTAAGAAAAAACAAAGAAATAAATAAATAAAGAATTAAACTATACTTACGTTGTAAAGAGATTGCAAAGTTAGATAATTGATGTTTATCCAAATCGGACCACGCCAGTAATCTTCCCCGGTATTGTAGAACTTGTCAGATGCCGACAAAGATCTAAGGCCATAAGGAGACCAGAGCTCATTCTCATCTTCAATAAGGTCAAAAATAGCCTTGACTTTGGGAGAATCTGGCTCCAAGAGTCCAAGAATTACAGGGAAAATCGAAATATATCCCTTGTGGCAGACATGGATAGGCTCACCTATTTCTTCTTTGGTGAGATTCACATACTCCGAGACGAACATATTATTTTTAAAAGTAAAATAAAGGGTTATACCATTCTCAACTGTCTGGTCACAGAAAGCCTGATTTTCCTCGTTCCAATGCAATAATTCGAGATTCTGGAGCATTTCTTTCTCGATTAAACTATATTCCTGTACGTCCGTGGAAAACTCGGGGCCTAATTGACTCGATATATCCTTGAGAAGACGCGTGGCAAAGCTCATCCACGAAAGAAGATCAACATGAAGCTCTCCTACATTCGGAGGCTCTCCTCTAGGATAGTCATCCAAACCTATAAAACACAAAGAGAATGAATATAAAGAAATAGCACATACTTACATATGCATATATATACAGCATCTTACCTGACGTTAATGTGTGGTTTGGAGTACGTCCTCTCCATCGATAGGCTTCTTTGCTTTCTGCCTTGCGGTTGAAGCGACTGAGATCAGCACTTTGTGTGGTACGGAACCATTGCCAGTTTAGCCTCAACTTTGGGTAGACTGCTCTGAGCCACGCTTTGGACATCTCTGGGGACTCCAAATGAAGGGATTGGAGCAGCACAGGATTGTCAAAGGTTGCCATGAATGTATGTTGGTTAATGGGATTCTCTTGTCTGTACTCTGTTAATCTATCGAGATAGCGTTTTATGGCAAGGTATAAAGTAGGCGGGTTTGCATAGTGAGGAAACTGTGTCTGGAATTCAGTAGGAACCTTAAAATCAAAAAGATCAAAAGAATAATAATAAAACCATTAATAAAAGGTTTACTTTTTGGGCTATCTTTATTAAATATTACTTTGCTTCTTGCTTCTTCACCGAGAATTTGCTCACGGGCAACCCAGCCGTTCTCATCAATCAATGACACCCAATTCTTGATGATATCAAGACTAACAAATAAATGATAATATAGTACATAGATAAATAAATAAATCCCAGTTTTTTTTATGAGTACAAATCATGGTGGTTTTACCTGAGATCATTGTCCCATTTTCCAATCAAGAGCTCATGAAACCCTTCATCCCTATATATATATATATATGTGTGTGTGTGTAAGGGTAAGTACTCAATTGATTGATACTTTAAATTTTAATAAACTTACCAGTAGAATCCACGGGGAAAGAATGGTCTACTAGGCGTGGCAGTAAAGAGACTACGAGGCTCTGTGAGCTCAGCTTTGATAGGTACGTCAGAAAAGTTCTCTTCATCTTCTAGGGGGTGGTGAGATCTGTCAACGACGGACGAGCCATGGAAATAGCCAATTCCTCCTAGCATATTGCTGAGAAGGTACTGTGCAAATCCAACATGCTCATCTGAAAATCCTTTCTCATGTAAGCGGAATTTTTCTTGGAAGCGAGCATCGAATGTCTTTTCTCGCTGAGCCAATTCAGTTTCAAGTGAATCTCCTGTTTGATTTGTTTGTTTGTTTGTTATGATTATTATCATTATCATTAGTTGTTGTAAGTATAAATGCAGTAGCGGTATAATATCATGCTCATTTCATTTACCGGTTATTTTGTTTGGAGAGCTTTGTGATCTGAAGAGGACGTCAAACTTTGAAAGTAGCTGTTAATAGCCAATATTATTCGCTTATAAGCATTTAATGTTGCATACTTGGAATTCACCAGAAAAGACTTTCTGAAACGTATAAAAGTTTGATACTTCTTCGTTTTCTTCAGTAAGGGTGTTTAGTAATGTAAAATATGCATATGGTCTTTCAAATGCATCGTGTTGGTCTCCCTGAGAAACTTTCTGGCGTGCAGACATCAAAAGATTTTCCATAACAATCTCTATATGACCATTATATTCAAACCGTCAATTACCGTGCCAATCAATGAGATTAATTATTAATTATTAATTAGTTAATTATTTTTACCTTTCTCCCTCCAAGCTACTCCTTCCGGAAGTTCGCGTCCCCACCATTGTGTTAATGAGAGGTCTTGATCCAAACCTTGAGGATGCTCATTTGAGGGTCCTTTAAAGAAAAAGGAGGCACTTTATAAGCAATTTCTTTCTTTGTGTATTTGCTTGTACTACATTTAACTATATTTTACCATCAACAATATGAATCTCGAAATCTCCTAATTCAGGAGTATCGCCTTCAAGCCTGACAGGAGACACCAAACCCTAAAAAAATGCTTGAATTATTCCAATCCATGTTTTGTCTTATCCTCTATATATACACTATATTTCTTTCGTTTAAATACCTCGGGAGAAAGCTTACTAACAATGTCCATGCTACCTTCACCTTCTAATGCCAGTGAAAACATTACACTGGTAATAGTTTCGACTAAAGAATGTCGTGGTCAGACAAATGTTATCAAGGTTACAATGCACTTACCATCATCATCCATGGGTTTTCCTCGAACTCTTACACCCCAATCGCCGCCTGCAAATTAAAATTCCAAAAAAAAATTGAGTCGCATACATACAAATCTCTTTATTTTTTGGAATAGAAAAAGAAGTATATTTCTCCTCTTATTCCTCCTCCTTATTCCATTGATCTTTGGTATATATATATTACCGTGCTGTCCACCCGGGATTTTAATGAATTCTGTTGTAATAGCAATATTACTCGGTCCATCATTAATGGTTTGTTTGGCGTAATTTCTTCCGTCGTGCTTATTATAACCATAACCGTTGATTTTATCACCCTGATCGCAGGCGTGTCTTATACCTTATATATTTAAAAGAGAAGAAAAAGAAAATAGAGCATTCATAACTTATTTAGATGTTTTATCTTTACTTATCAATAAACACACGCGTAGCTTACGTTGGAATCCTTGGAATTGCGTAGCATCAAACCACATAAGGCTTGTCATGAGAGATTTATCTACACGTGGGCGAGTTCCAAAATAAAGATTTGGACGATACGTTCCCCATAAAAGGGATTCGTTGGCGGCATGATCTGCTCCGAGCAAAAGGCCTGCCTCGGTTGGATTCATCATTCCATTTGTGGGAAGGGTCATTAGAGCTCCCAGTATTAATTGAGTTATTAGCCATGTCCGCATCGAGGCTGTCTTGAACCTCGTCAACATCAGCATCAACAACAAAAGATGTAATGTGAGAGTGAGAGAAAACAAGAACTAACGAGTTACCAAGACCCTTTTACGGCAATGCTCACTTTATGTAATACACTTTGAACTCCGTTAACTTGACACGTACCAAACTGTCACAAGGCCAAATCAATTCAGGGCAACCAAATTCAAATTTTACAGCCAAAAAAATGTGCCTTTTTATATATATATACCATTAACCAATATACATATATACACATTACATATATACAAAACACACAAACGTCTCTACAGCATTTCACAGACCAAGCAAGCATATAAAGTGGATCCAAGATTCGATTTTGTCTATAATTCACATACATTGTATTTTTTTGTATTCTTTCGCATTGCAGAAACATATCATTCATCCTTTAGGCGTATATATTTTTTATATGTTTTCTTTTTCTTTCTCTCTTTTTTCATTCATTTTTGGTCTATTGCTTCTCCACTGCACTCACGACAGTCTCCTCCACCACATTGACAGTCTCTTCTGTTAAACTCACAGCCTTTGGCTCTACCTGACCGATTGACTTTTCATAGGCAATCTGTCTCTCGTTAAGTACAAATTTGATACGTGCCATTGATTTTTGACACTGAAAGAAAGAGAGAGAAACAATGAACAAGGATTAATCTTTATTATGCTATATATATATATATATATTATAATTTATTTCCAGTTTTATGTACCTTTTTCATACGACCTGCGTTTGACCAGATCTGCTTTCCGATGCTTAATCGTTTTGCTTGTTCGCGCTGGGTTGCAAGGACATTGCGCTCCTTAAGGAGAACATACCAAAGTTTGTGGAGATCGTCAAAAGACTTTGCACGCAATTCGTCAGCCTTCCATGAACGACCTTTTGTTGTTGTTGTTTTTGGTTCATAAGATAGAATAGAAATAACATGTGAGATAATTCGTGGTAACCGGATAAATATTGTCGAGAATGTATGATTATTTTTTAATTTTTCTTATTTTCTGGAATCTGGTGCCTCACCTGTCCAGCCCTGCTTTGGTAAGCTCTCGCCATTCTCAAAGAATTGATATATGCCGGTAGTTTTGGGAGCAGAGGTGGTAGCTGGTGCGACTGAGGACTCTGCGAGAATGATACGACTGGTAGTGAAGGAGCGGGTCAGGGGTGCCGATGACACAGCCCGTGTGATTCTCTGTAAGAATGACATTTAATAGTATGACAAGGTCTCAGTTTCTTACAGACGAAGGAGAGAAGGGGAGGGAGGGGGGGTTGAGAAACAAGGGACAATGACAAGCCACCGTATAGCGGTCGTCTGACGTCGGCCCCAAGTCCTTAAAAGGAAATTCCAAAGAGCTGTAGAATAAATCGATTTTACTTTGTGTGTTTAAGAGAGAGAGAACAAGTGCGGGTAGATTAGCATTTATTTATCTGTCTTTCTTTCTTTCTTATTTCTTATCCTCATCCCCATTCTCTTTGTCTTCATCTTAATTAAGAAAAATAATGAAATATAGTTTGCATCAGTAAAAAAAGGGAAAAGGAAAAGGAAAATAAAAAGTACAATCGAAAGGAAAGGAAAGAAAGACAAGGAAATGAAAGGGGTTGTGGCCAAATAAGGACGAGTGAATGAAGGTTAATCTGAAATATATAGAGAGATAGATAGATAAAGAGTCGATATTTGGAAGGGATACAAGTGTGGCCATGTAAACATTACTTAGTGGCCATGAGAGAGGAAAAGCTAGTATTTAAGGGTATTATTATTACTATTTGCTATTTGCTATTTGCTATTTGCTATTTGCTATTTGTTCTTTGTTATTTAGTATTTGCTGCTGGATTTGTTTAGATGAGACCAACATCTTGTAAATTATTTTGGATGATGATATCGTTCACTGCACCCATTACAAATTTGATTTGATCCGTATCTGTTGCACATGTAAAATGGGTGTAAATTTGCTTTTCCTCTGTGTTCAGCGATAGAAAGCGTTTAAGGATATATTCTCCTGCGGCCTCGTAGGTCTCTGGCCCTGCTCACAGACGTAAAACCATAAGTTTTTGTTTTCAAAGAAAATCCCTTCCGTAATAATAACAATAATAACAGGAGATACTACTGAACACAGTAATTGTAATATAAGGCTTACCAGTAAAGTTTGCGAAACTTTCGTATAAAGGATGTTTTGGAAGTTTTTGCTTGAATATATCAATTTTGTTTAGGAACAAGATAATGGATGTCTTTGAAAACCAACGAGAATTACAGATGGAGTCAAAAAGAGTCAGGGCTTCTTGCATACGATTCTAATAGCACAATAAACATTATTATTAATATTATTGAGGTTTATGTTGTTTTTCTTTATGACAATAAAACACTCCAAAATTCCAAATAAATAAATAAAAGCTTTACCACTGTCTCGTCTTCAATGAGAAACTGGTCATATTCACTAATGGCCACCAGGAAGATCAAGGCTGTCACGTTTTCAAAGCAATGGATCCATTTCTTACGTTCAGACCGCTGACCACCGACATCAAACATTCGGTATGTAAGATTTTCGATAACAAAGGTTGTTTCAGTAATTCCAGTTGTTTTGACTCGAGACCGTAAGACATCTTGGTCTGTGGGTACATAGTGTGGATCTCCTATTCGATCTATTGAATCAAAATAGCTTATTTGTGGATATACAGATATAAATAAGTTAATAAACAGTAGTGATGATAGTACCAATGGTAGTAATTTGTGAGGACAAAGCAAAGCTTTTTTTTTTTGGTTTAAGATGTGCTTACTATTTAGCAGAATCGTTGAGCTGGAATTCGCGACTACGTTCAAATGCAGCCTGTAAATTTGGGTCTTTCCATAATATCTTCACTGCTTGCGTGACCTCGAGAGGTAAGGTGTCTCTCTCTATTTGAGCTGGGAGGTTCATAATTATGTCTGCGTATTGTCGAAGATGCGTCAATGGGAGTTCCATATCTTCCATGGCATCAATGATAACCTTCATAGACTGCATCGCATTGGAGAAAATTATTTCTTTAAAAGCAATTCTTTCTTCTTTTGAGTAGCCACAGTCATGGATCAATTTCATTTGTTTTAGAATAGTCGATTTTCCCGATTCTCCGGCACCTTTTTTTTGTACGTGTGTTGTGAGGGTATAATGAACGAATACATATAACAAAAGGTTAAGTCATTTAAGAGAAAGAAAACATAGAAATGGTTAATAAATAGTTTTTGAGTTAAGTATATGATCGGTGAAGTTGAAGACTGAATTGAACTGAATTGAACCGAATTGAACTGAACCGAGGTGTGTAGGTTTTTTTTGTGTGAATGTGGTTTTCTACCTAGTAATAACATCTTGACTTCATTTTGTAAATTATGTTTGTCGCGCTTCAGTTGGCTTTCGATCTCCTCGTTTCGAGCTTTGCCATCCTGAGAATCGTTTGAATGGCAGCAACCCATGGTAAATGGTTTGTCGCGAGCGTATGGGAGTCTAGGAATATATAAGATATTTGAATTAAACGCGGTTAATTGAAATAATAAAAAAAAATGTAAAGCTATTAGTAATAAATGGCTATTTTTTTTTATGTAAAATGATAAAAGGAGGATCAATGCGTCCAAACATCTTTATGCCCTTTCCAAAGTAAACCTCCTTCTCCTCTCTTCTCCTCTAACTCCCCCTCCTTTTCCTTTCAATATATCCCCCGAGAATATTTGGTTGTCACAGCCAATATTGATAGAATAGACTATTTCCTTCATTTTCTTCTTCTTTCTTTTTTGTTTCTTTTTTTAAAAAAAATCTCTCTCTCTATATATATATATCTTGATCTTTATCTATCTCTATCTCTATCTCTATCTTTTTAATATAGAGGTTACAGAGTCATTTGTTGTTGTTCCTGTTTTTGGTGGTGGTGGTGGTGATGATGGTGATGGTTGAAGGGCCTTTTTTTTTATAGAATAGTAGTAGTAGTAGTTTTTTTTCTGTTTATGGATTTGGATATAAAGAAACAACCGAGCCAAATTCCCCTTCACACCCCTTCATCTGCTAGTTTTTTCTTATATCATCATTTATGGATATTTGAAGATTATAGATTTTTTTTTGGAAAATAGGAGCAATTTTTTATATGTTTATATTCATATTCATATTCATATATCATGTATATATATATATAAGAAAGTAATATAATGTATTGAATTGAATTGAATCAAATTGGATTTCGGTTTACCTTAATTTATTCTTTTTATGATGTGTTACTGCGTTTTTGTTTTTGTTTTTGTTTTCAGTTTTAAAAGAAAAGGAAGGAAGAGAGAGAGAGAGAGAGAGAGATGGTAAAAGAGAGAGAAGAGGGAGGAGGAGAAATAGGTAAAGAGACAACGAGGTTTGTAACAGAAAAGCATCGCCTCCCATTCGACCCCTTTGGTCTTTCTCCTTGCCTCTTATACATAGCACAAATAGGCAACATTTGATTTATATTTCAGTTACCGGTCTTCTTTTAGAATGGCAGTCAGGGAAGCAGTCAGACAGTCAAACAGTCGAGCAGTCAAACATTCAGCCAAACAAACATTCAAGCAGTCGGTCAGGTAGACAAACAGACAGGCAAGCTGCTAGGCAGGAGCAACAAAGGAGACAGTGATATCGAAAAGGGGTATATGACAGCCTCTAAAAGAATAAAAGTCAAAAGTCAAAACAAAATCAGAGTAGCTGTTTCTCAAGTCATTTGCTACTTGTGGCCACTCTTATATACCATATATATATATATATATAAACACAAAACAAAAAGGGGGAATTAAATCAGATACATATAGGGTGATTATTAGTATTTTTATTATTATCATCATTATTATTATCAGGTTATTAGGTGATGCGCAGTGAATTTTTAAACGCATTTTTCGTGTCGTTTTCGTTTTTTTCTCTTTGGTATAAGAAGCTGCAAAAATCATAACAATTGCACCAGCAACAGTAGCAACAGTAACAAAATAGAAAAAAGAAAATTCCAGAGGAACGGGAATCAGGTAACAAGAGACAGGTTTGATGGCAGTACCGTGTTACCCAAAATAAGCAAAAAAACCACCTGGTTTATCAAGGTCCACAATATAAGAAAAACAGGGAGTGGATTTCGTAAAATTGGGAACACAAAAAACCACATCGTGTCTTTTAACCAGCAAGTTGTATGTCTGTACAAGTAGTCAACACTTGTTTTTGTGTATGTATAATATATATGTATATAAAAGTGAATAAAGAATAATTATTATAGAACAATTGCTTAAGAGTGTGCCAAATACAAAAGAAATAATAATAAAATAAAAAACCTGACTAGACTAATTGATTTCATAAACCCGGAGCTTCTTTATTTGGTCATTATTGACTTTAGTCCAAGAGAGAACCACTATTATTCCCTGGTGGTGGTGGTGGTCTAGGCGCATTATTAGTATCAGAAGGGTTCCAATAAGGCTGTTGTTGTTGTTGGCCTGGAGGCATCTGATATTGATGTTGCTGGTGCAAAGGCATCTGATATTGATGTTGCATTGGCTGCTGCTGCTGCTGCTGCTGCTGCTGCTGCTGCTGTTGTTGTGGTTGTTGTTGGTGTTGCTGGGATGGCCATCCACCAGTGTTATTCATTCCATAAGACTGCACATTAGACTGTCTTTGTTGATATTGCTGTCCATACTGTGGAGCTCCACCGTACTGAGACTGAGGTTGAAAAGGCTGCTGTGATTGCTGAGGTTGCTGAGGTTGATGTGGTTGATGTGGTTGATGTGGTTGATGTGGTTGCTGAGGTTGATGTGGTTGTTGAAGTTGCTGAGGTTGCTGAGGTTGCTGAGGTTGCTGAGGTTGCTGTGGTTGCTGTGGTTGCTGGTGCTGTAGTCTCGATGGATCGTTAGGGTAAAAACCTCCAACTCCCGGGTTTTGGGCACTGGGATATTGTTGTGTGTTGGGAAGTGGTGGTGGCGGATGTCCTGGAGGTGGTGGAGGCTGAATTGGTGGTCCACGATAGCCACCACTAGAACTTGGCTGACCATAAGCTACTGAACGTGCAGGGGTTATTGGTGAGCCATAGGGAAGCGTTCCAGGAGGGCGTGCCTGAGGGAGATTGGGAATTTGGGGTTGCGGATGAGAGGGTTGGTATGGTGCTTGGTTGGAGTGGTAAGGCCCAGCAGAAGGACTGCTTACAGAAGGTGTGTTTTGGGGTGGGGTGGGTGGGGGTGGTCGCTGGTATGAAAATGATGATGGGGCTGTATCCTGCTGGTTAGGGTAGTGAGTATAAGGTGTTGTCGGTGGACGTGCAGGCCCATTTCCATGGCCATATGGAGCGCCAGAGTAAGACAAAGGAGGATTAGATGATTGTGGAGTGTTATTATTGGTGGGGATGTTGGCGTTGGTATTTGTGTTGGCATTTTTTTTTACGGAGTCGGGGGTAAAGGTGAATGTGTTGTAGGATATAGTAGGTATATATGGAGAACTACCATCTGGTCTCGAAAAGGATGGAGAACTCGAAGCAATCTGTCCCATAGAAAGCCATCTCGTTTGTTCAGTTAGACGTCCAAGAGAATCATCGGTCCCCATGGGTGCACTAGGTCCCATGCCCGAGTATTTGTTAATCTTCTCCTTCAAGAGCTCTTGTTCCCGAGAATTCTGTTCTTCTTCAATAGTGGATACCATATGATCTCTCTCACGCTTTCGTTCTTGGATGAACTTCTGGCAATTGTGCGAAAGAGTCTGGATGGTATCGCTAAGGCTATTGTAAAACTGGATACCCTTACTAAAATAAAATAAATAAATAAATAAACCATGCATTGCATTGCTTGAGCTAAGTCTTGATCTTTTTCTCGATCTTCTCGATCACTTTTATTATTTTGATCATCTAAAACATTTCTTTTTCAATTTTCATTTACCTTAATCCCTCCTTAACATCAAAATAGCCTGTCTTTGCACGGCTGAATCTCTCGGCTACGTTACGTCTCTGTCGATCAGCTAAATCCCATCGGGACTGCAGCTTTTGAGCATCTTCACCCTCCATTAACAATTTGAATGCAGTCGTCAATTCCTGAATGACCTGCTGCTGTTTGTGAATAGTTTGGCCAATGCGTTGCTGATGTGACTGGAATTTCTCCAGTTCGGACGCAAAGATCTGCTGCTCCACATTTGCCACCTTTTTGTTAAGGATCAACAAGTGCGAAATATCATCTTGAATAGTCTACAGAATCATTTATTCTATGTTAATATATTCATAACCGTAATAAAAAAAAACAAAAATAATGGGCTTGCCTTTTCTTTGAGATCATTGAGTGTCTCTATTCTTTCTTTCTCAATCTTCCGTAGCTTTTCCAAGATATCCTCTATTTTCTTCACTTTTGTCTCCATGTTCTTCTTTCCAATTCCAACATCGATATCCAGATCCAACAAATTCTTATCACCACCACTAGGAGGACTCGACTCAAATAGACTAGCAATCGGTTCTGTAAATGCGTTCACTAGATCTTGACTCTTTCCACCCTTGCGCAGGATTCCAATGTCCTTAGAAATAACCTCATATCGTCGCATCAATTGTGCGTCTGATTGGGAGCCTGCTTTTAGTGTTTCTCTGTGGTTGCGCAAGTCTTGTCGGAAAGCGTTCGTCAGACTACCTGATGGTTGTTGTACCCAGTCGATGACAAATTTAAGCTACCCATTTCAAAAAAAATCAATAAATAAGAAGAAACAAAAAGAGAGAGAGAAATGATAAATTGTGACATTTTTTTTCTTATAAAAAAATAGAAAAGAGGAGAGCATTTACCCGCATGCTTTCACATTCGTGCATCTCTTGATCTAACCCATTAGAGGCTTCATCCAACATCTTTCTAGCCTGTGATTTGAGACCATCGAGTGTCTCGACCAAGTCACTAATCGATGTCTTTTCCGACGACTCTTCAGAGGCAATCTGATCTGCCCACTCTTTGACTTCCGCAGTTGGCTCTACCAAGCCATCGAGTAGGACAGCCTCCTTACTGACCACACCTGTGTTTCTTGTGGTCTGTTTGAACTTATCTAGGGCTCCGGGTAATTTCATGTACTCAAGCGAGGCGTTCAATTCGGCCTTTGCCAGATCACATCTCTCAGTCTCTGATCGTACCAGCTGAGCCTTTTCTTCAGAATACAACGAGGCGCTTTCGTGCACGCTCAGGGGAACCAACCGAGAAAAGATATCGGTGCCAATAACTTTGTTAACTTCATTCGGTCCATATAGCTCTGCGATTGGTACGGGCTTGACAGCATTAAGACGGTCGATAGGCACAAGGATCGACTCTTGCGGGACTGTGTCGTGGTAGATCATGTCGTTGTCACGCATAGCTGCCCCGTGTTTTTCGCTACACGTTGCAGTGAGTGCTTTTGCCAATTCTTGGAGTGACGTGGCACTGTCGGCAGGTAAGGTTCCGTTTGCATGGTTGCTGGAGCTCAATAGAGAGGGCAGGCTAGCTGCAAGTTTGGTAGCTTCTTTGGCAGCGACTTCGGCAGCAGCCAGACGAGCGACCTGCTCGCCATATTTACTTTCGGCTTCGCAAGCAGTCGCCTTGTGAAGATGGGCCATGGCCTGGTAGTACTTTTGCTTTATCTGGCAGACCTGGATCCATGCCTTATCAATTGCTACCCCACGTGTGACGGCATCGTGAAGAAGGTCGATAAGACTGCCGTAGGTCCATGCAGCATGGCTGGCGAGTTTTGCGATCAAGCCTTCTTTTTTCTTTTCTCTCAGACTGTTCTCCAGAAAGCACTCATGTGCCTGGGCCAGCATCAGCTCCCTAAGCATCTTTACGGTCTCTCGGCTGAGATCAAGCGAAGGTGCATGCAAAAAATTGTCGTTGATATATTGAAACATTCCTGCTGCTGCTTGAAAAAAGTTGAACGCACGTTTGCGGCCTTCGGCCTCGGCACGGTTCTGGCAGGCTGCGATAGCTGACAGGGTAGCAGCAATATTGAATATGATACTTGCTTTCTCGTATGCAAGTGAGTACTGGGCAGTGTGGCGGCCACTAAAAGCATCGTACCTGTAAAATAAAAAGGAAGGAAGAAAAATAAGAAGAAGAAAACAATGATGAGACATGATGATTGGTAAATGTTGTCTATTACTTACCAAGTGAATATCACCTTGACGTGTTTTTCGTCGACTGGAAAACGCAGATCGAGTAATTCCAACTGACCAAAGTACCTATATAAAAGGTCTCTTCCTGTAAGGTCTTTTCCAGCCCCTCGAGTGTCTTGTCGGAGGCGGTTGATTGTGAATGTTTCTTCGTTGTATTTCTCGGGGTCATCTTGATATACTTGAGAAATGTAACGCTTGAGTGGGTATATCCAGTCTATGTCTTCGGTGCGTTTGAACGGTGCGCTCGTAAACGGTATTTGTGACGTTGCCATCCCTATTCGCAATGGGAAAAAATGGAGTAGGGGAAAGGAAAGGGAGAAAAGGGAAAAAAACAAGGGGGAGTAAGCGTGTGGGTGTATGTAAAGTATAGTAAAAGTTACGACAAAACAATGAGAAAGCTTGGCACGCTTGACTACTACAGTGTTTCTCAAGAATACGTATTTTCAAACCCCTACATTTCTTTAGGTACTTTTTTTTTCCAAGCAGGAGTTTGTTTAATCCAATAGAAATTAGGAACTGTTCCAGGCCGGAATGCGAGTTTAAGCGTTTTAGCTGTAAGTAACAAGCAACAAGCATATGCTTATTATTGTTATTGTTTTTAAAAGGCAATAGTGGAACAGGGAATATCTATGTGTACGTGTGTTTGTGCATATAGATACATATAAATTTATATATTTATACATACGCACATGCATGTTTGTGTGGTGGAAAATGATCTTCCTTTCTCGTAAAGGGAGCACGAAATCAATCATGAACAAGATTGTGATTTTGCCTTGTGATTTCTTTATTTTATTTTGGGTTTAGAACGAACACCTGTCAAGAATACCAACAGCTGGTAAAATGGCCATATTCATATCGATTGACCCTTTTATTTTTCTTAATTTAAAACGCTTGATTTGATAGTGGTGCTGGTGATAGTAAAAGTAATAGTAAAGATAATAGAAAAGGTACAAATCATATATATATATATATATTCCGTAACTTATCGATGTCATTTATATATATAACAAAGAACTTCTATTCTTTAGAGTCAAACCTCTATTTTATTACAAGCAAATAATTAAAGGTGAGCTTATGATTTTATTTGATTTTAGCTTGATCTTTTTTTCTTTATTTTAAAAGCCAAATGAAAAGAATATATAAAATAAAATAAGAGCTTTTCTTGATTTGAACAAACGATCATCAGACCCGCCCTTAATTTTGTGATGGCTTTATACAAGGTTCTAGGGTTACCCTCGTTTCTTACTTTGAGCTAAACAAAATAAAGTGTAATCGATGACAGAATCCTGGTTCTAGCCTTACTTTTTAAGACATAATTAACATTATATATATAATATATAGCACCCCAGTTTTAGGAACCATCTTTTATATAACTAAAATAGTGCAAATATTGACTCGCAATATTTTTTGCAGACTTTTGAATTGAACTACGTATGTATATGTATGTATGTGCGTATATAGTTTCTGGGTGTACAGAACATGTACATAGTACAATCCAAATGTTAGTATTTTAAATAGTAGATATAGATATACCTACAATAATAATGTTTTGTGTAAGTATGTATATATTTAATCCCTCCAAGTTTCTTTTCCAGTCAAAATTTAAAGCACCATATAACCAATAGTATAATATATTAGGCATCATATTAAAGATATATGTATATACACACGGATAGATAGATATGGGTAGATAGATAGATAGATATCATTATTCTTTTGTGTGGCCATGTTGTTGTGTTTGAGCGTGTGTGTCAGTGGGGAAAGCGTGTGATAACCTTGTGAGCCAGCTAGTTGGGCTATGTTAAAAAAAACAGATTAATAAAGCAATGGCTTATTCTGTATATATACATATATCCAACATCTCTAATATCATATGGTTTCTGGGTAGTACTAAAGGTCAAATATACTACATTTGTCATCCATGACCAAAGAATTGTTCTTGACTTCTTCTAAAGCTATTACTACCCCTGTTAATACTACTATTGCTACTTGTACTTGTACAAAGCTGTTGTCCCCATTTTTTTTTAGGAAATATAGAGTTATTGTTGAATAACTAAATAGTAAATGATGTTTTTATGGTTAAATATCTGTGTAAAAATTGTGGCTCTTATAAACCAATTTCTTTTTTCTTTAATAAATAAAAAAAAATAACCATGGTGACTTTTCTACTACTTTAAAATAATTATTAATTAACCTTTTGGTAGTCAAGGTAACATCATACAAATTATTCTTATTATCATTATCATTATCATTATTACAGCTGTATGATTACTTTGGAATACTAATTCCTTCGATGATCATCTATTACCATTAAGAACCTTCTTTTTCTTCTTATCCATTTTTTATTTATTTATTTGTTTGTTTATCAAAACCTTATTATTATCGGATTCGGAATTTCCAAAAAAAAAAGTCCAAAATCGTTTTAACAGGTCGAAAGAAGAAAATTGTGATTCAGGTCGCATGTTTGGTCGCGTCTTTTTTTATATTCTATTTTATTTTGTTTGTTTGTATTAAGCTAATCAACACAAAACAAGATCTTCGAAGAAGTATAAAAGGTCTATTTATTATTATCTTGAAAAAAAGGGGGCTACTAGAGTCGTGGTCTTTGTTGTTATACGGCAATAAGTTTTATTTTTTATTTGAATTTGAATTTTGCTCTTCTTGTCTAACTTCAAGAGTAGTGTGTGTATGTGCGAATATTTGTATGTGTTTTTTTGTTCTTCTTTACGATACCTTTATTTTTAAAATAATAATAATAAAAAAATAAAGTCAAATAGAGTCAAACACGTTGCAGTGTGACGCTGTATATGACATCAATTAGACCAAGTAAGGAGAGTAAAAAGTTAATTTGCATATTTTTGTCGCGAAGGGAAAAATAAATAAATAAAATGGATCATCTAATAACAGATTTTGCTGAAATATCCTTTTTTGTAGAGGCAATCTTGCTGGTTTGATTGGATTGGATTGAACTGAATTAAATTTCTTTTAAACAAACTGCCATATCTAGTTAGTATCAAGACAAACAAAAAAGATGGAAGCGATCAAGGGGGAAGTAGACTTTTTTTTAGTTGCCATGGCTAGTTAGACTTTGTTTTGACATGCTACCATGGCAATAAAATCACATAAAATGCAAACCCCGCCCGGAAGAGAATTAAAGAAAAAGACAACGACGACTATGATGCTTATGATGATGCTTATGATGCTTATGAATAATAGCAACAGTAAGATAAATTATTTACATATATATATGTGTGTGTGTATTGTATATATATTTTTATGCTATTTTTAAATGCATCATATTTCTAATCAATTCTCAGGTACGCTTTGGCCATCTTTTGCACACATAAAAAAAACATTATAAAATAACATAAAATAAAGATTGGTTCAAACCGCAGTTTGCGTTTATGACGACAAGTGGGACTACTGGACTAAAAAAGAAATATTTTTCGGTATTCTAATCAATCTCAATTTTCTGTGGAAAATCGGAGTGCTTATATGATGTTCTATGATGTCATAGAATATTCAAGTGGCTGAAGAATCCTCATTTTTAAAGTAGAAGAAATAAAGAAATCAATATAAAATAAAATAAAAAGGGTTTCACCATCCGACTTTTTTATTTTATTTTATTTGATTTGATTTTTTTTCAGATTCTTAAATCACTTATAAAGTGAATCGACAATTGACACCAGCCATTTTATTGCACTTTTTCTTAACATCTTTCTCAGTTTCTTATCCAACCTTAAAAATTATACATAACCACAAGCCACATATACACATTTTTCTTTTTCTTTATTAAAATTACTCAACCTACACCTACACACACACACATCATCCTCACGTACACAGACGGAAGCATAAAGAGAAACACATATAATATGGCCACCACTCAAGCAAAGCCCCATGTCACTATCCGCGGCTCCCAAGCAAATATCACAAACACACTCAGTAGAGAAGATCTTCTTAGACTGGCCAGAGATGAATATGCACGCCAATTATGCAAATTTACTGCAAATCAATTGAGTCGTTACACCAACAAATCACACACCTCTTCCACCGCCAAGCAGAGTGTTTAGTCCGTTATTCACACACCCCCGTACATACGCATATAAGCATATAAGCATATACGAAAATACGAAGATACACAGATACAAACGCACGCACACATACACACAGAAACAAACGTTATATTATTCTTTATTATATAATTGCATTACCTTGTAACCAATTCATGTATATATATTATCTTTGCTTTCACTTTTGTACATAACACCGACTATTTGATTCAACATAACAATTTTTCATTAAAACAAACATAAAAACAACGGACCAATCAAGCATAAAGCATGAGAGCAAAATGATCTCGTAAATCATTCATCATTCAAGCATTCATCATTAAATCATTAAATCGTCAATCGTCTATCATAATAGTTGATAATAAAAAGCTTTGATTGGAAGAGCAAACCTGAACTCCTTCTCTCTCTTTTTTTTTTGTCTATCTATAAATCTTATTGGTTCAATTTTTCGACTCAATTTTGATATTCCTTTTTCCTTTTTCTTTGGGTCTGGAAGGGTCATTTTTCTCATTAAATAACAAGTCACAGGAAGGCCATTTAAGATTTGTACTCCAAAGCCTATATTTCTTTTCTCTTTTTTTCTTCTTCTACTTTTTTACTCCAGAACGAAAACCAGAAAACCTTAAGAAAAAAAAAAGAACAACCGCCAAAAATGTCTTCCGTAGATGCTCCAAACGTTTTAACTTCAACACAAAAGACCCTTATTCGCTCATGGTGGAAAAAGGCCACAGCAACAAACCCACGTGCTGATTCATTTAGAAACATAAAAACACCCATTGGTGGTAAGAATGGTGCAATTCAATACACACACACACATACATATACTCTTCTTCCCAAACACAATTTACCCCATGTCTTTTAGATACATATTATTTATTTATTTTAAATAATAGTAATAGTAATAATAATAATAATCTCTTTTAATGTATTGCCATATACTAATCTATTTTTTTATATGTATTTATTTGATCAAATCAACTAATAGAAAGAAGTATTTTTGGCACTGCACTCTCAGAGTCAATTAAATACGCACACTCGAGTATCTCGTACATTGATAACCACCTTGGAGTACAATGCTTTGGTATCATTCCAACTATCATTGCAAAATGTGGTTCTTATCTTAAAGAAGAAGGTAATTACAATAATATTCTATATATCTTTCTTTTGCATAAAAACAATAGTACAATTCTTCTGATCTACTTCTTTAACACTTTATTAACATTTCTTTTCTTTTTAAAATAAATGAATAAAAAGGATTAACTACCGAAGGCATATTTCGTCTTGCTGGAAGTGCCAAACGTATTGGGATGCTCCAACAAATCTTTGAGACCCCAGACCAGTACGGGCTTCAATTCGATTGGATTGGATACACTGTCCATGATGCAGCAAGCGTAATGCGTCGCTTCCTTAATCATCTTCCAGAGCCTGTTATCACCCTTGACTACTACCGCCCTTTTAAAGATACAATGGGTAAGAATAAATATTTATGCAGATGCATATGCATAAAAAAAAGAAAAAAAAAGAGAAAAATAACGTCAATAACTCACACACTCACACATATACATTTATCTATTTAGCAATGTCGTTTGCATCTACAGAAGCAAAAATCGAGGCCTTCCAGACTCTTATTGAATGTCTTCCATTAGCAAACCAGTATCTCTTGCTTTATATTCTTGATATGCTTGGGATCTTCTCCAGAACATGTAAAGTCACCCGTATGGACACCGCTTGTCTCGCTGCTGTATTTGCACCAGTAAGAAAAATATCAATAGAATTTTATTTTATTTTTATTCTTTTATTATTTAATAATATCTATGTCATTGCCACTTAACCAATCGTTCACTCAAATAATGCATACATACACGCAACCGACTAACCAATCATTTAAACTTCTTCTTTTTTTTTGAATTTGTTATAGGGTATACTCTCACACCCCAATGATGCTCTTAGTCCAGCTGGTTACAAAGAATCTCAGCTGGTACTCGAATTCCTCATTGAGCATCAAGAGAGGTTCACAATGCCACGATCGCGGATTGCACTTGTTGAAAACTCCGTCTTGCCCAGAAATCCAAGCACAATCGGTAAGTTTTTTTTTTGGTTGATCCTTAATATATAGTCGGTAGCCTATAATCTATAGTGTATAGTGTATATCTTATTTATGTAGATTAATTAATTGATTTTCTTGTGTGTTAATTATTAATTCTATTTCGTGGCTCATCCATATTTGGTCTTGTTACTAAACTATATTATACAACAATACAATACAACAATCTAGCCTGCAACAACCAGCCGATGCCATTAAGTAGAAGCGCTTCTACTCGCAGTGCCAAATCAATCAACGCCACACTAGACGGAAGCAACATCGACATTTCAAATTTTCCTTTGCCTCCTCAAACTCCACCCAACCTCTACACCTCTTCGCCTGCTTCCCGATCTGTCACAAATATGATGACTTTTATGGACTCCAATCCACCAACCACACCCGGGCTTAGACGGTCTAAAACCACCCCAAACAAGCGAAATAGATTTGGAGAACGTGAAACACAACAGGTTATTTATGTAAACCGAAACGCGAGTCAAGGTTGGTGTTAAAAAGAAAACAAGTACATACATACATTTATATACATTTATATATATATGTGTGTGTGTGTATGTAAATGTATGCCTATTGATCATAATAACTCACAATATACATACACTTTAGATGGCAAAAAAGTTGGAAGATGGAAGTCTATTCGACGCCTTCCTACTGAGATTGATACTCTCTAATGGAATAACCCCCTTTTTGCTCTTCCTTCTGCTCTTCCTTTTGCTCTTCCTCTCAAACACAAATACGCACACGCACACGCACACGCACACGCAACATATATGTACACGCACGTAAATTAAACAACAAATCCAAAGGGTTCCCCGTCCCAACGCCCTTGATTCTGTGTGTCCTAAACAAACAAACCAAATGATTATATATAATATATAATATAAATACAAACCAAAAAAAAAAGGTGGGTCTTCCTGAGCAATTACTGTGTTGCTTCATTTTATTTTTGTTCGTTACACTAATGACTTTTGTTTTTTATTAGAATCTTCACACAGTTTCTTTTTTGTATTCATCGATCCTCAACCAAACCAACCAAGTCAAACCAAGTCAAACCAAACCAAATTTACTTATTTCTCTTGTTCCTCCGTACTCTTTCTGCCAACCTCTTTTTTTCTTCTTACATTTATTATCATTATAATTATAATTATTATTATTACTAGTATTACTTCTCAGCGAATCTATTTTCTCTACCTCTTTACCTTTATTCTTACTTTTCCTCATCCTTCCCTTCCTGGGCTCCTATTTTCTGTATATTCTGTTTTCATTCTTTAGTTCAATAAGTTATCGCCAAATTTGTGATTATCCCATCTTATCTTATTTTCCTTTTGCCTTTTGCCTCTGTATAATTTAACCAAACCTCCCATTTTCTTTATCTTTCTGTATGTTTTAATTCTAAATATTCTTTTAAAGAATACAATAATCTATATTAATAAATCAATAAATTAATTTAAAAAAAAACAATAATGATATATATAGTGTATCGATTACAAATGTCTTTTTCATTTTTTATTTTTTTATTTATTTTATTATTCAGATAATAATATATTTCACTCTATTTTATTTTCGTCTTTCGCTTATTTGTTTGTTATTTATAAGTATGTATGTCAATCACCTCAAAGTCAATTTTTTTTATCCTATTTAGATTCAAAACACCAAGTAGCTCTTTTTATATATACAAATTTTCTTTTGGTGTGTGAATGTATGTTCATTTTAATTGTATGGGAAAGACAACGATTTCACGTGCTTGGAAATGAAGAAGAGAAGAAAATATTATATATATATATAAATCGTTGTAATAGTACTATAAATTTACACCACAGGAAAACAGTAAATATTAATAGTATTAATATTAGACGAAAAAAGCACAGAGCGCGAAAGCACTTTAACCAAATTAACTCGTAAAGGCACTAATAAGTATATATACATATATAAAGCTATTACTACCATTCTTATTCAGAATTCTTAATTCTATATTCTATATTATCTATTAATAATTCATAATTTACAACCCACAACTTGTTCATTTTTATATTTAAATGGACAATTGATTCCAATTGGGAGTTTTGTCCATTATAAGTCTTTACATCTACACAGGTTATCTTTATATATATATCTCTTTTTATTTTTATTTTTATTATTTTATCCTGGAATGTAAATAGTGGTGAAGCCATTAAACCATATGATTCTTATTGTTATTATTATTATTTTTTAAAAAAAAATACACTACATGACGTTTAACAAGTCCACATATAATATCTAACAGCAGGGGATTTGTAATGTTGTGAGTGTACGTAATTAATTACAATAGTGGTAATTGGGACCATGTTTAGTATGAGTATAAATCTAAGAATAAGAATAGGAATAATAAGAATGATGATAATAGTTTCAATTATATTGCCAATAAACCTGCGTCATGAAACATTAAATATTGAGTACCTTTTTATTATTATTTCAAATTATATAGTAACCATAGCAACAGCAATTATCGTAACCGTAACAGCGAGGTATTGATGACCATAACAACAACAACAACAACCGTATCCATAACAACAGAAATAACCGTAAGCATGACAACAGCTACAACCGTATCCATAACAACAATAATTGTAAACCTCAAAATAATATCAATAACCATGGTAACGACACTAACAACAATCAAAGATATGTATATGGACAGAATAAGAAGCTAAAGATTTTATATCTGTCATTCACTGTAAGGAATATATATCTACATACATATATACACAGCTGCGAACATAAACCTATTTTTGTAAAAAAAAAAAAGCAAAAAAAACAGACATTTGAGATTAAGGTATGCTTTCAATTACACTACGGGATGAAAAAGGGCGGCCATTTAGAGGGCGATCTTGAAAAAAATTAAGCATTATTCAAAATCGCTCTTTGAATAGCCACTCTTTCCCCCAGTAGCTGTACTAACAGAAGATGGAAGACTATGGTAGGAAGAGGACTGATAAATACAAACATGTTGAAAATATTCTATTATTTAGTATATGATATGCAATTATTGAAGCAGCTAGTATAATTCAAGTACGGGGTTTCTTATTGATTAAGGCAGTATCTGAACCCTTCATTATTTGCTTGAAAGTGTATCCGATTTCATTGATTGATAATCTGGTAAACTACTATTCCAATAGCAAGTACAGTATTGTGCACTTTCTATGATTTTGCACTTAGAGTACGAAGAAAAAAGCATTAGGATAGGTTTAATTGAATGTACTATGGTTGTTAAAAAAAACGAGTAAGATACAGAAAAAAACTCAAAGAGATTAGATATTGTGTATGAAATATGAAAGCGAGTATATATATATATAATAGTAAAATAAAGAAAGAAAAATTTATTGGCTGTGGTATAGAATTTTGTTTTATTAGTGTAAAGTCTGCCAAAGACCTCTTGATAATCTGTACTTATTATATACATTTATGCATATATGCATATATGCATATTCCGAGCAAAATGATATATTTTCTTACTCATTAATTCACTCTATTGTATTTTTTTCCTCTTTCTTCTTTCTTCTTTTATCCGGCTTGCCTTTTATATAGCGTTTTCCGGTTCAAGAACATACAGAGTCAGCGTAGAGTTGAGATTGACTGATATGTATATATATATACAATAATGATAGTATAATATATTATCAATATAGCTATATATAAAATAAAGAAAGAGAAAGGATCTCAATCTAACCTAACAAATGTTACTTTCTTTCAAGAATTCCCTCATTTCCGATGAAAAGAAAAGAATAGCAAGCAAACCATTAGTCGGTATAAGTTCTTAAAGGAACTTTCCTAATGTAGTAATTTTACCAACAAGGTACAGCCTCTTTTCGTTCTATCTATCTATCTATCTATATATCTTTCAGAACCACAAGCATCATCATCCCCCAAAAAGCAACAATACAAACTCAATAATACGAATATTAAGGAGTGTACTCTCTTGACTGATCTGACCTAGCTTGATATAATAATAATTAAATAGTAAAGTGAATGAATAAACTACCCATAATATATGAGAGAGTATATATAAATAAATAAATATAAATATATAAATATACATACACGTATAATCGATCGAAACTTACACGATCTGGTTGTCAGGCCATTCTAGCATAACCATTAATTCCTTTTGATTTTTTTTTATAGTATGACAGTAAAAAGAGAATGGGACATCTTTGTACTCAATGTCAAAATCTTGATTCTTTTTTGATACTATATTATATATATATTCTTTTTATATTCATCAAGAATACAAGACAGCAAGACAGCAAAAATCTCAAGTCTTAAAGAAAGGAACCAAAGGTCTGGATAGTAATCAATATAAATGTTTATTTTCTGGGATAAAATAATAATAACAATATTAATTATCAATCTAACCTGAAAATGTTAAAGTTAAGTAGATTTGTATAATATAAGATAATTTATATATATATATCTATTCTAATTATATGATTATATAATATATACATATACATATATAAAAAAGAAAAAAAAGAAAAAGAATCAAGGAACCACATCTTACTCGAATAATCACCATAGCAACATATCTATACATTACATGAAATAAATTTATACTTGAATTTTCTTCTATATATACATACATGTATGTGGATTGTATATGTATATGTGTATTTTATTTTGTGATAGTGAAGAACCAATGGTATCTGTTAAAACCCAACACCAGCATCAGCATCGGCATCATCATCATCTTTGTATATATAAATAAGACATTATAAAATCCATTCAAAGATCTTGATAGTCATTCCTGTTCCATCACACAAGTGAAAAAAAAAATTAAGAAAGAAAGAAAGAAAGAAAGAAAGACCCGACGGGAGTACTTGAGAAGGTACGAGCCACAAGATTGTCATATCCTATGCATGTATGTATGTATGTATGTATGTATAGTATATAACCAAGACAAATGAAATAAGAAAAAAAAAGCTTATACAATCAATGGGACTGGTGATTTTTATTTTTGAATTTTGAATTTTTATTTTTGGGGGGAAAAAAGTGAATCAAGAATACAAAGAATAAACCATGATGAAGAATTCTTGTGAAATCTTTGTACCTATCAATCATAGAGACTTTTAAGCTTGTCATATTTACTATACTGTTATTTGGTCTCCGTTATTTATTTATTTATTTTTTAAAAAAAAAGTAAAACAAAAAGGGAGGTGGAGTAGGCGGAATAGGAGGAGTATGAGGAGTAGTAGGAAGAGAATAATGAAATTAGATAAATTCTACTGTTCGTGGAATTCAACACCACCGTTATGATCATTAAACCGAAAAGCCATAATATATATATATATATAGTGTAAAGAAAGAAAAGGTAGATGTCGGATCCACACCCCCTTGTCTCTTTGATGTTGTCTCGAGTGTAACGAGAAAGTTTCGGAGAAATACTCAAAAAAAAAAATCGAGTCAAGTCAAGTTGAGAAAGAAAGAAAGAAAAGTCCATATAGTCATTAGGTGGAGTAACCCTGCCAAGCTAAAATAAATGTCTACCGATCAAAGCCAGATCTATTTATTCATTACTGCTCAACAATATTTTTTCTTTTGTGCACTACTATTATCTTGAACTGTGTCATCAAAATGACATTAGTTATTGACTAATGTAGAGAAACTTCCTTTAAGAAAAAAAAAGGAAAGGAAAGTATAGCAGAGCTAGGCAGAGCTAGGCAGAGCAGAGCAGAGCAGAGCGAAAGAAAAGAAAATAAAAGAAAAAGTATGTAGGCGCGTTGTACACAGCTAATAGCTCAGATGATTTCTCCTTGTACCTTGTGCTACAACTTTGTTCTCCATATATCTTCATATAGAATACTGTAACCCATAGTAAAAGAGCAGATACTAATATATATATATATATATATATATATCTCACGCACACACGTACAAGTATCTTTGTAAGCCCGTTTAGCTTGATAGAAATATTTTTGTGCTTTGAGCTTGGGCGTAACAGACAAGCAAACAAATATGTATGTTTGTGTGTTTGTATATATGGATATATGTATGTATATGTACATGTATTTGTGTGTATGTACTTAAAGAAGACAAGTACGTTGATGAGATCTGCTGTCAAACGCCAAAATATACTTTATTATCCTTAAATTCAAAGTTACCTTTTAAAGACTTAAAAAATATATAAATGTATCCAAAATCTTATTTTTGATTGGCAAACGAAGAGTAATATAAACAATGGAATATATATAGCATACATACAATATACAGAGTATGTATATAGTGGGCAGTGTGGGGCCCTCTTTATTCATACTCAACCACCATGTCATTGAAGAAGAAAAAAAGTGCTTCGTTCGAAGTATCATTCGATCGTGACTTGTATGAATACGGGCCGATCCGAAAACTCAAATAGATAAATGTGTGTGTATGTGTGTTTGATTGTACTTTATTATTTTATTAATGATATTAATGATATTACTGTTATTATTAAGTGAAATTAATCACAGAGTGCAAAGTTAAAGAAAAAGAAGAAGATGAAAAAATACAGTAAGCTTGTTGATAAGCATGTCTTGTTCTTTTCTTTTGTTTTTGAAAAAGAAAATATAAAGAGACAGAGATAAAGAGATAGAGAGAAAGTGTTGATTAAAGAGAGAAAAAAATTCTTTCTTTCTTTAAAGGAGACACACTTTTTACTCACTCAATTCAACTCATGTTATAGATATTGTATATACTAAATAGGTTGATAAATATATAAAGAAAGGGTAAAAGAAAGGTGTTTAGAAAAGAGCGGCAGCAATGGCAACCGACAGAACGGTGACACACAAGGTAGAGATGCCAGCGCTGATGGCGGCGCCAGAATCAGCAGGAGCGGTGGTGGTGGTTGCGGGGCTGGTGGCGGCAGCAGGTGCAGAAGAGACGGCCGAATGGACAGGAATAGAAGAGAGGGGAACGACGGCGGAGGAGACAGCGGGTACGACAGCAGAGGAGACAGCAGAGGGAACGACGGACTCGACAGCAGACTCAACGGCAGACTCAACGGCAGAAGAGACAGAAGACTCAACAGCAGACTCGACAGCAGAGGATGCAGGCTTGGATGCAGATGCAGATGCTGACTCTGACTCGGATGCAGAAACTGTTCTGGTGGCAGACTTGGTGGCAGACTCGGAGTCGCTAGTCACAGCACCGGAAGAGGTGGGTGCCTTTGTGGAAGAGGTGGGCTCCTTGGTGGGAGTAGGGGTGTTGGCAGCAGTGGTAGTACCCTGGTTAACAGAGGCAGTACCGGTAGATCCGGGCCAGGAACCGTTGATGCATGCCAAGTAGCAGGTGGTGTCACTTCCACAGGCAGTAACACAGCTGTTGGTGCTTTCAACTAATAAAAATAAATAAAAAGATTTAGATTATTGTTGGCTTTTGAAAAAAAAAAAAAAAACTTTTGTATGCTTGAATCAAATAAATAAACTTACCACAGGCAGTCAAACAAGCGTTGTCGGTGGCAGCACAGTCGCACATGGCCTGAGCCAACTGGGAACCGAGAGCAAGGGCAGCAAAGGTAGCGATGGTGAACTTCATAGTTAGAATGAGATTTGTGTATTTAAAAGAGTAGTTCTTGTGATAAAGATGACTTGAAAATTTTTAAGAAAAAAACAAAAAGATTGATTCAAGACTTGTATTTATATATATAAATGTGATGACGGACTTTGAATATAGAGGTTAATTGTACCTGTATAGTGTTCCTGTGTGTTCCTGTGTGCAGTATAGAGTTTGATTTTCAATTGGTCACTTTGTCTGACAAAGAAAGCAGATATGACGGACTTTAAACATGGATTCTTTCTTTGTATTTCTTAAATTCTCTCACTACTTATTTATTTATTTATTTTTGGTGACTTTGACCAGATAATCTAGATAATATGATATTGAGGCTTTTATTGTTTTTTTTTAAAGAGAGGTTCTTTTAATTTTATACTAATAAGCCAATAGATACATTTAGTATACAAGTATTTAGTGTATGTAATTGTGTGTATTTGTGTATAGAGAGATCCATTAGAATGTCAATCACGGAGACATGGTTGGTTGTTACCGAGCTGGGTTGTGAGGGCCATACCAATAATATATCTATAAAATTAAATAAATAAATAAATAAATAAATAAATAAAAAACGGGCAAGTTCCGTTTATGAAGTCTGGACATTAGTGCCAAGGGTTATGCTGTTCAATGCCGGCCAAGTGTTTGTTTTTGATTGATTTATTTATTTATTTAAAAAGCATTTGAGCATTTGAGCCTTTGAATATTAAAATAAAAATAAAATAAAAAAAAAGATCGTCATGGTCTTTGATGTTTTGTTACAATTGTGATTGTGATTGTAATTATCTATCTGGTCTATAATTAGAAAACCATTCATTTCAATAGTTTTACATGTAGAATGAATATAAAATATACTATGGAGAGCTCATGACCTGGAAATACATATTTTAATGGTATTCTTGACATCATCTTTAGCAAGAGAAGAAGAAACATGACAGAGCTCTTGGCAGATTGGTTTATAAATACTTTATTAATACAGTACCCAAAGATCTAAATTCTCAGTTTGGTCTACATATACGAATGACATCAAGAGAACCAAAAATTGTTTCATGGTACATTTATCATTTATCATTAGTTTGCGTCCTTAGGTACCTTACCCCAAATCTGGGTCTGGAGTACATTATTTATGAGTTAATAGGTAAATAGATATGTATGAATTATGCATAGATGCATGCACGAATGTGTGTAGTGCCAATTTATTAATAAATAACAAGGTTGGTGTACTATTGTCTTTGCGGCGTCTTTATTTGTCTACTGTTATTGTTGTTGTTGTTGCTTGTTTTATTATGATTTTATAAGGAGCTATACAAATACAAACATCAAAGGAGGAAAATATTTTAGTCAATATTCCGGGGTTATTCTTCTTCTAAATCTATTGCACGTTAAAAGGACATGTTTCTAGTAAGAAACTCTTAACACAACCCTTTATTAAATTTATTGATTTATTAATTTATTAATTTTATATCTATGGAGTCTCATACAATCTTGCTCTCGATCCCCTCCCTAAAACAGTAAATATAACAATGGTGGTGATGTCTTTATGATCTATTAGATTTCATTATTCTTATTATCATTAACAACAATAGTTGCTGTTGCTGTTGCTAATGCATATATTTACAAAAGTCATTATTAGCCTTGGAGGTCTACAAGTCTGATAAGTAAGTATATAACAGTCGCGCAAAAATAAATTAGATTGTATGAATAATAGTAGAATGAAAATGAACATTTTGTCTATACAAAGAAACCTATTTGATCAAGTAGTGTGAAACAGGCTCAAAATAAGAACAAAGCCTTGATTTTTATTTTATTTATATTTATTTCTTTGGGGCTTTTCCTTTTAGTTTTAGCTTTAGACTTCTTGGCAATGTTTGATCAAGTTGTCTTGGCACCTTTAGACTTCATTATATTATATACGAGTGAATTACAATGAACCATGTATTTAGACTTTTAGACTTTTTTTTTTTATCTTATGGTTGCCCAAGAGTCTCATCAAAAGTAGTCTCACAAGGTGGTCTGACAAAGAAGTCTCACAACATGCTATTTGTCAATCTAAACAAGATAGATACAGACACAGATACAAAAATAAAATAAAGCAAACCTTGATCTGCCACAAATAAAGCTTATTCGAGTGCATCTACCCAATCAAATCACATTAAATCAAAATGCTTACATTATTTTGTGCGTGTGTAGCTGTGTGTAGCTGTGTGTGTATAAAAAAAATACTCTTGCATCTAAAAATGGGCCGATGAGTTCCGAGCATAAAGAATGAGACGCAACAATTTGATAGCCACCGTTCTTTACTGTATTATTTCCTTTTTGTTTATTGATTGATTTATTTTGTTTGCTTATTTGTTTTTTATGTATATAATATTTTGTGAGGCGAAAAAGAAACTAGAGAGAAGAGTAACTACGTCATCATTATCATTATCATAAAGCATCATATAAATCAATGAATGAATTAATGAATGAAAAATAATAGAGGAAAATCAAGTATTAGATGCAGAAGATGCCGCAGAATTAATGACCTGTTTCATTTTAGCTAATTTTTCCTTTAAAGCAGACACAGACAAGGCTCTGTCTGTTTCACCATGTGTTGAGGTTCGATAAGAAGACTGAGTATCCTGGAATAATGTATTATATATATTAAAACATCAAAAGAGAATAAATGAAGATTAGAAGCAGTAACAACAGAATAATCAATATCTTACATGATTCAATGGAGACATTCGTCGTGTTGGGTAAGATGTGTATGCTGGTGAGGTTTCTTGACGTTGAATTGGTTCTGCTACCGAACCATCTTCGGCCTAAAAAATAATAATACAATAATAATATAAAGTCAATCAGAGTTGAGCAAAGCCAAATCAAATCAAATCAAATAACCTCAGGTCAGCTTAGGTCAGCTTAGGTCAGCTTAGGCCCACTTGCTAAACCTTTGCCTACTTACATCTATCCTGTATCCGAATTTTTGATGTAATCTGAGTATTAACTGTCTTTTCTCGGCTGCTTCATCTAGAAAGCCAATATAAATAAATAAATAAATAAATACATTATTATTATCATTATTATTGTACTCTTTATATATTTGACTTGCCTCCGTGAATACTTGATCGATCGGGAGCCATTCGATGGTCCACTCCTACTAATCTATGATCCTGTATTCCAGCCGGCGCATGAACGGGAGGAGACACAGTGCGCTGGACATTTTGGAATTCATTTGAAATGGTCGAATAAGAAGAAGGTACATTATTATTGGTCGTGTTGTTGTTGTTGCTGTTGGTATTATTATTGTTGCTGTTGTTATTGTTATTGGTGATGGCTTGCGATGCCCGGAGTTCATTGTCTTCGGCTGCCAAATTGCTGAGACCACGCCGGATGTAACTCTGGAAATATGTTCCTGACTGACTCAAGAAGGCATTAACCTTTCCCTCTGCAGAAGGATACTTCTTTTGGAATTCATACAGTTCAATTATACCCTACAAAAAATACAATGCAATATAGATTCATACAGCCACATATTAATAACGCATATATTTATCTCAGCTTGTATGTCATACCTGCTTGGTTTGATCTCGTGTACCAATCTTTTGGAAAATCTGAGTCAATAACCGGTTTTTCTCATGGTCTGATAGTGGCTTGAGTTCAGAGGATGGTTCGTCTACTTGCATCGCCTGCACCTGTGAGCTTAATGCATTAGGCGAACCGCTGCCCATATTTTGGTGTGCTTGTTGTCCTTGACCAGACGGACTGTCTGGTACATTTGGAGGACTTGAATTCATTTCTGATTGTTCTTCAGCCCCATAAGCTCCCCCCGTCGATGGTCCTCGCATCATTCCACCACCACCATTCGATTTTGCAGATCCCACAGAGGCCGGTCTACTTAGAGAAGCATTACGAGAATGAGCAAACCGAGGATCTTCTGGCATTCCTCCTCCGCCTTGTTGCGACTGCTGTTGTTGTTGTAATTGCTGCTGTCTGGTCTGTTCTTTCTTGCGACACGCTTCAAGCATGTGATGCAAGTATGGGTATACACTACTTCTAGGTGGATCCTCAATAAGTGTCAGGTGCTGGAAGATCGAATCTCCCAAACCATTCACAAGTTCCAACAGAAGCGTCTTTACTGTTCGCAACGGCATCTCACCCAACGGTACATTATCTGCCGCTCGTCGCTTCCACTCTGTAGGCGGTGTCATGACAAAGAACTTGTTGATCTCAAACAAAAGCTCGTCTGCATTGAGTACGCCTGTTCGCAGATTGTCCTGGATGGTTTTGGCTAATTTCCACAAACATTTCATCACTAGCTCGGTGTATTTGGTTTCTTTGTTTTGTGGATCATCTCCTGGGTGGAGACCAGCAGAGCATTGGCCCAATATAGAAAGAAGTGCACTAAACAAGAAAAAAAACGACTTAATAACAAGACACACACATACACACATATGTATATATCTATCGATTTATTGATTGATTTTTTGAAAACCAAACGATAATAGCTGTATCTATAATAATTTTTGCCTTTCCTCCCTGTCTCCCTTGATTTATATTACTTCATATTATATTTTTTATTACCAATACCAATAGCACTAATTAAAAAAAAAAAGAGAGAGAGAGAGAACAAAATACTCACCTAAATGTTGCGTTGCGCTGAGTGTTTTCGAGCACCTTTACCATGGCCACGTTGAGTGCCTTTGACAGCTGCAAGCCAGACTCAAGTGCCAGCATTCTCTGGTCAAGCAGTCTGTGGGCCAGTTCTTGGAGCAAAAGGTTGAGTGCATTCTGGGACACTGCACAGGCCAGTTCGCGGTTCGAAAACAACATGACCAGCGCATTCACCAGGTGCTTACAGAGTCTGGTACTGAACACTCTCTGGACATCAATTGAAGAATAGGCTAGGCGGACCTGAAGAGTGATCGCATTCACCAACGGTTCGATGTCGGCCATGACCAGATCCGGCTTGTTGACCAACAGTTTATCCAGCTGTTTGAGAGCATCCACACTCGCCTGTGGGTCGCCACTGGTGATCTGAGAAATCAGATAGTCCACAATGTATTCGCCACGGTCCTGCTGTATGGCCTGTTGGACAGTCTGCTGTTGCTGGGTCGGGCGTAGCTGGCGCACCGAAGAAGGTGCCTGGAGTCCGATGGCAAAGCCTCCTGTGGCAGCAGTGGTAGGTGCAGTGGCCATACGTGGAGGGTCAGGTGTGCGTTGGCCATAATCACTCTCGATATCTTCCATTGGCTCAGGCTCATAAACCTGCTGCTGCTGCTGCTGCTGTTGCTGCTGGACTACCGCAGCCTGGCGCTGTGAGGGCGGTTGGAGTCCACTTCGGGGTTTGCCGATCTGCGAACGTGGCAGACGAGGTAACTGGCTAATGCTCGGCAACTCATCGACCTCCATCTCCTCGGCTTCCTTTTGGGCCTTTTCCTTCTCTGCTAGAACGCTAGGCGAAGGCTTTGTCCGCTTTAGGCGCTCTTCAAGCATGCCCTTTTCCTTTTCGCCCAGCCGGCTCACGTGCTTAAACACCGGGTCGCCGATCAATATGTAGGCTTGAGCGATGGCACCCAGCGCAGCATTTCGAACACTTGCATCGCGGTCGCCGATGTGGACTGCCACGGCAGGCAGAGCCTTGTTGGGGAGCATCACAGACACACCGTTGCGCTGAATCAGTGCACCCACTTCTTCCAGACACTCGGAGCGCACCTTTGCGTTCTTTGAACTCGAGGCTGATTCGAGTAGATAGTTGAATAGCTTGCTGGCAGGGTAGATTGGAGCAAGGGACTTGAAGATGTTACGGACCCGAACTCGCATAACTTCTTTAGAGTCGCCGACCTTGTTGATCAAGAAGGGCAAAAAGGAGATAGCTTCATACTCTGAAAGATGGCAGCCCTCTTCATCCATAATCGACACCAGGTGTTCGGTGATGTCTAGACATTTGATAAGTACACTGGTACTGGTGTCAAAGAACCGGATGGTCAGGTACTTGAAGATAAGATCTGCATTGGCGATGTATCGAGGTTTCATGTCTGAGTAGTCGATGTTGTATTTGTTCATCGAGAGTTCAGGTGCAGTCAGGCACTCATCCAATAGGTTCAGGGCATTGAGGCGGTCCTTTTCAGCATACTGACTGGTGCTAAACATCAGCTTGCAGACCTCAGATGACATGTTGGCTTCGCACAAAACCCGCAGAGCGTCACAGATGTCAGGCCGAGGAGCATCAAACTGCCATCGGTTTTCTTTCTTGGCTCTCACTTGTTTGGCGCGTACATCACCTGTCGTAATTGGCGCCACAACCGGTTCCTGAGATGATGCAGCCGCAGCCGCAGCAGAAGCAGCAGCAGCTGAATTGGCTCCTGATCGTGGAAGTGGAAGCCCGATTTTCTTACGTGCAGCAACAGGCTTGAGTCTACTTCCAGAAGATGCCGCAGACGAAGAAGCTGGTTTGTCATCGGATTTGTTTGATGCGACTGATTCAGGGCGCTTGACTTCGGATGCTCGTTTTGAGGGTGCACTTGTGGCGGCGGGTTCCTGCGCACGGGCCGAACCTTTGGCTGCCTCGATAAACGGCATGATTGTCTGGCGTTGTGCGCCCTTGAGGTCCGAGGACTTTTGCATTACGGTGTCGTAGCCGGCTTGGGAAATGATTGTCGGTAAGCAGGCCTGAGCAGCCTTTCTGACATCTGCGTTCCGGTCCTGAAGACAAGAAAAGATTGGTGTGATGAGAGGCACGGCGTCAAAGGTTACACTGGTATCTTCCTGGAAAGACGCGGCCAGCCATGTTAGGAGGTCCTTGCGCAATACAGGCGATTCTGCGGCAAGACTGGTTCCGAAGGTAGACATCATGCATTCCAGCCCACAAGTCTTTTTGAAGCTGTCCAAGGTAGCCACACCGGCTGCCCTGACATTGGCCTTGTTATCAGACAGCACGGCCGTAACAGGACCTGTCAGTATCTTGACGTATTTGTCGAATGGCTTGCCCATAGCCACAGCCAGAAGACCGGCAATCTCGACTGCAGTGATCTGAAGAAGCTTGTTACTATCATTCAAACGTGCCTTTAGTACACTAGGGAAGTCACCTAAGTATTGAGGATGAGGATTATGTTGTTGTTGATTATAGTGATAATGATAGTAAGAGTAATAATAATAATAATAATGACGGTGATTATGATGATAATGTTGTTAATTTCTTTTTTTGGTATATAAACAACACACAGACATTTTTTTTTCTTAAAAAAAAAAAGTTAATATTTACCAAGGTTTGGCTTGATCCGCTTATTGGCACCCTCGATAATGGCAAGTACTTTTTCAAGACCTTCCTTGCGAACCTTCCAATTTGCATCGCCACATTCTGCAGCTACTTTACCAAGTGCATTAGAAATATCCTGGCGAGGGAATAGAGCGTCCAATGCATCTGCACCACCTCCACCACCTCCACCTCCACCAGAACCGCCACCACCACCACTTGATCCCGATGGATCTTCGGCCTATTGAAGAAGACGAAGAACCAAAAAAAAGGGGGGGTGGAAGAAGGGGGCGGAAATAATCACATGTAAGCTCGCGTTTTTTAATAGTGCAAGTGTAACGTCCTACCATTGCTCTGGTCGGCTTTGGGGGTTCCATTTGTGCCACCTTGTCGAATTCAGTATCAATTATAGCCATCAAAGCAGGCGTGACATCTTGTACAAACGATTTGACCTCTGTAATAGTAATAATAAAAATAATATTGTCATTAATAATATTAATACCCGAAACGAGTATTTGAAATTGGAGAAATATATAAAGAAAAAAAAAGAAACTTGCCAGGTCCAATGTAGAGTCGAAGGACACCTAATACGGTGACCGCACTAGTTCTGACTGAAGCATTTGTATTTGCCAGGGCACTCTTTAGGAAATCGATAAGATCTCGGACCTGGAGTCCAGCAATGCCAAACTCCATCAGAACCGACTGAACCCAGAGGAGGGAATCTGAGAGAACCTTTGGAGATTTGGCTTTTTTCCAGACAGGGTAAGATAGCGACAAGACAAATTGAAGGGATGTCTTTTCGGCAAATACCACCAAGCACTCTCCCGCGTTTTTTTTAAGTTTGATGTCACCGAGTTTTTCAACCAAGCCTAAAATGACAATATCATAAATAAATATATACAATATAGTATTATAAAAAAAAAGGAAAAGGAGAAAAAAGAAAGAAAGAAAGAAAGACAGTCATTACACAAAAACACAAAAAAAAAAACACAAAAATACACATGCTTTCATTATTATGATTATGATTATGATTATTGTGTTTGAAACAGATCAAAAATAAATAAATAAATAATAAGAGAAGAGTAATTAACGTACCCGGAATTGCGATGGCCGCACAAGCCTTTGAGAATTTTGGACATGAAGTAGCCAAGAGTTCCAGTACGCCGAACATCTTGCCCATGACTTGGAAATTCATCTCCTTCCAGCCCGGCTTCTTTGACAGGCATCGGATGACAATCTCGGGTTCCACATCCGAATCCGCCTCGAGTTGGGTGTACAGGCTTTCTATTGCTGCCAATCTCACTTTCCATTGGGCTTGCTGCAGATCATTCCAGATGGCTTCTGGAATGAACTCATTTACGCGGGCCTCGGCATCCTCGGCAGAGAACCGATATTTCACTTCTTCAGGGCCAGACGAGGGTGGGAGCTTGGCTGCCTTTTTCGGTGCTGCAGGAGCTGCGGCTGGTTTTGGTTTCGCAGACGACAGCGCTGGCTTCTTGGTGCTTCCTCCAGCAAGGCGCGCAGGAGGTTTCCGTTTGGGTGGGCTGATTACTGTTGCATCCTCATCTTCATCCATCGCCACAGGGGTCGGCTCGGGTGCTGGTTTTGGTTTAGCGGGTGCCTATTCATTTTGTTGTTGTTTTTGTTGTTATTTTAGTTTAGTTAACAAACTAATATTATCAAACCCACAGCCACAACCACAAACACAACCACTGCCATTTTCATTATTCATTTTCACTTCAGTTGCCACATACTAGGCACACCCCAGAACACAAAAAATAAAATAAAAATAAAAGCACACATGGACTTGGTGTGATGAGCTACAATTAGAAACCTTACTTACTTTCTTGACAGCTGCAGGTGCCTTCTTTGGTGGTGGTGGAGGCTTCTTGACGGGCGCGGCCTTGGCCTTGGCTTTGACGACAGCCTTTGAGAATGCTTCCTTGATCTTGGCCATCTTGATGTCATCCATGCCGTCGGTATACGGAACCATTGCCTTTTCGCCGACGACCTTCATCAAGGTTCCCAAACCCTCCGCACTGGCTTCTCTGGCACTTCCGTCGGCATCGTCAAGGGTCTTTAGCATAAGTTCTGCCAATACTTTTGTTTCCGTTTTTGACGGCACATCCCGGATCTCCTTCAGGCGCCGCGACAGGATTTTTGCTGTCTCGCCACGAACCTGTGGATTCTTGTGTTTTGATCCGACAACGAGATCTTCGAATATTTCTGAAAGGGGCACGGAAGCTAGCACAGCATTGAGTGCATTCGTGAGGTGCTCCAGAATTGCTGGTTTACGTTCCTTTAGTTTCTCTATCAGAGTGGGTGTAACCTAAGAGACCTGTGAGCACTTTTGAAACAACACGGCCCACAACTATCATTATTAAAGTTTTATAATTACTTGATATTTTCTTTCTTCTACTGCTATTACTACTACTGCTACTGTTAATACTGCTAATATTGTCGATAATACTACAGCTATTGCCAATATATATATATATATATATATCCACCCATTAACCCACTCACAAATAAATAATAATAAAAATAAATAAATAAATTACCACTGGTTTATATTTTCCAAAATCGGTACGGAGCCCGGAGGCGATGGCTTCAATGCAGTTTGCTGTCAGACCAACCAATAAAATATTGGCATCATTGATACGCTAATATAAACACAAACACACAAACACACACAAAGGAAATCCACGCCGATTAGTTAGTTATTTGGTTATTTTGTTGTTGTTGTTTTTTTTCGGTTATTTTGGTTGGTTAGTTAATTAGTTAGGTGGTTGTCTGACAATAACAATGACCAAGCCAAACAACGATAATCAAACGTGGCCAATTTTTTTTTTAACTTTAACTCTTAAATATTTATCTATTTATCTATATTTTGAACAAGCTTTATATTATATTATATTATATTATATTATATTATATTGTAGGTAAATTTGTAGGTATAATTTAAGGTATATAGATAGATAATTGTGTGTATGTATATATGTCTTTATTATGATTATGATTATTTTAAATATATAAATTATCATTACCTTTGTGAGTGCAGCCATTAGTTCAGTGTAGTCCTTGTCTAGGATACGTGGGGTTTTCGTCCCTTCAAATACAGCATCCAGGGCCTCTTTTCTTTCTTTCCAATTTTTAGAGGCCTACAAACAAACAAACAGAAAGAAAATAAAAAACCAAAAAAAAAAAAGAAATGCAATTCAATTCACAAGTAAAGCAAGAAGCCAATCAACCCAAGCAAGCAACACCCGTGCGAATGTACGCACATATACATAAACACACGCATACAAAGAAGTAAAAGAAAAACTTTAATAAAGGATCTCTCCCCACTAATACTAATGCTCTTATTATAAAAACTTTTGAAATTCTGTCTACTACTATCTTTCTTATTGTTATTTTTAAAGCTACTGTAGTTACTGTTAATATTTGGATTTCTTACAATGAGAGTACTAAAATTTTCTGGTAATTTGCTGGTGATATCTACTGGATCCGCAAGATCAAATGCATCCACGACGTCTTCCATTGGTTCGTCTTCTTCTTTATCACCTTCATCTAAAAGAAAGAAAGAAAGATATATACCCACCAATAATAATAATAAATTAACACTATGTAACTATATAACTATACACCAAATAGTTATATAAATCAATCAATTGATATACTTGCCTACTTCCATCTCTGCTGCAGCCTCTTCTTCTGCTGCGGCTTGTTCTGATCTGATCAATCTTTCAGGGACAGCTTTCCCTGGTGGTAATTTTGTGAAGCTCTCTTCTAGTTCTTTTACTTGAACTGGCTTGAGATCTGACAGATAGGTATTGATAGCTGCACCTATCCAACGGAACAATTCGACCACCAATGCAGATGCCTTTATTGTTTGTTTTTTTAGAGAGAAACAGAAAGGGTCAATTGAACGAACGATCGATCGATTGTGTGTTGGTTTGTTGGTTTGTTGGTTTGTTTGTTTGTTTCAATAAAATTTTAAACAATGTTGGGTTGTCAAAAATGAATACGCAATTCCAACAAAAACATGTTCTCTTGTATTGTATGATATTTTTTTTTACCTCTGCTCGGACATTTTTGTCAGTGTGGCCAAATAGTTTTGGGATTGCTTTCAATATAGGTTTTGGACTTGTTTTCTTTATACCAAAGGTCCTGTAGAATACATAATGATATAAAATAGTGTTGTATAAATAAGTAAGTAAATGAAAATTTAGTATATATATATATATGTATATATGCGTATGTGTGTGCTTGTGTTTGTGCTTGTGTGCGTGTGCGTGCGTGTGTGCGTGTGTGTTTTATTAATTAACTATTGTTTGTTTTGTACGTGTGTCATGTCAAGTCAAAAAAATCAGTGAATAAAGTCTCTTATTGTTCTTATTCTTCTAAACCACCCCCCCCCCCCTCTATTTCACCCTATTTCACCCTATCCCACCTCACCCCACCTCACTTCATTTTCCTTTCATTCACCCCCTCTATCTCACTATCTCACTTACTTACCTACTTATTCAAACACACACATACATCTTCATACACACTCATACATGTTATATACTCTATATACGTTCTTCCTCATACTGTTCTTTTTCGTTCTATTATAGCTCACTAAAGCACTAACTAACTAACTAACTAACTAACTAAATCTATTATTGTCATTATTACCTCACCAGATCCTTGAGTACAGTGATCACTTGAGTCACTAGTTTTGGTTGTTTAGCGCTCAGACCTGGCATGACAAATTCCTAGTAGATTAAAAGATGTATAAAAAAAAAGGGTAAAGAATAAAAGATAAATAAAAATGAATAAATGACATGTAATTATATATATAAAGGAAATTAAAAGAATAAAGAAGAAGTGCTTCTACCTACAATGACTGGGTCTGGAGTGTCTATTTCTGCATAGAGCAAGATAATGTCAGTTGCTCTTTGCTTTGTGCCGGCCTTGGTTGCACCCAAACATTTTTCTACCAAAGCAGGTACAATAGTTTCACGAGTACTATAAAGGACACAAGAAAGCATTTATATATGTAAGATCAAAATAATAATAATAATAATGAAAAAATTATCAAATCCAAAAGAGATCCACCCTCGTGTATATTTCTCTTTATATATATATATAACACTATGCACGCAGAAACTTTTGTGCGTATATCATGTTGTATGTGTGTTGTGTGTCAAGTGTTGTGCGTAATGTGTTGTTCGTAGTGTGATGTGCGTAGTGTATTTTGTATTGCGTGTGTGTGTGTGTATGTATGTATGTATGTATGTATGTATGTATGTATGTACACACCTTGTGGCATTTGGAGCTTTGTCAACAAACTCGTAAATGGCGTTTAGACCAGTTTCCTGCGCGACTGCATTGGCATCTGTAGCGATCTTCTTTAGGCAGCTTTCGTAGGTAGAGAAGATGTTGTCGTCAATTGTTTTTCGAAAGATGTCTTTGAGTTCTGTGTATGCAGACACTCGTGCTTTCCATTGCTGTTATGATATTATTCGATTTTTTTTTATAGATATATACACAATTGTTTTTGGAACATTAAGATGATGAATGTGACAATGAAAGGCTTTGTTTTTTTTTTTTTGTTTTTACCTTGTGTTCAAGTCTTTCCACCAAGGGTAAAGACGTAAAATCATCTTCTGCAGAGGCCATCAATTATTTATGGAAGAAGAGGAATAAAAAAAAATCAAGAAGAAGAGGAAGAAGAAAAAGAAAAATCAAGAAAAAAAAAATAGAAAAAAAAAATAATAATAATCAGTGTTTGTGAATTGCAGGATCGACGCAAGATGTTCCCCTCTGGAGATGAAGAAAAAAAAAATATAAAAATATAAAAATATAGAGTGACCACGTTTCAGAGAATGTGTTCAATATATTGACAAGAAAATATACATGAGTATCTTGTATGTGCTATATGTGTATATATATATATATATATATATATAAATATGTATATATAAAATGGTGGGCAAGTAAATAATCCAGCGAGTCGAGTGGAGTTAAGTGAGTATAAAATATATATATATATTGTATTATATAAAATAAAACGTGTATATATATACAACAGAGAGAGAGAAAGGGGCGGAGAAGAAGAGTGAAAAAATAAAAATAATAGAAGAAAAACCCAAAAAATCTAGGAGGAGGGGTGTATTAATTTTAATGGGTTATTTTAAAGGCATGCAAAAATGATAGTGATAGTGATAATGATAATGATAATTGTTATTAATATGAATCAGTTAATTAATTAATTTGTTATACATGAGTACGTGTATTCGATTACAGTCAAGAACGATACAACTTATTATACTGCAAAGTTTACAAGTTCAAAGTAATAAGGAACTAATACACAAGTTATGGTAGTTCGATTCATTAGCAGTATCTATTTTATACCGATAAACTCAACCGAATCGGATGAGTAGAGTATATAGTTGTATCTGATAGCAGTTCTAGAATATGATCAATGGTGTTCAACTAAATAAAATACACTATTTCAAAGAGGTCGAGAAAGATACATAAAGAGAGAGGAAAGGCTTTTGTAATGCCCAGAATTTAATATAGTAGAAATAGATTGCTAAGCCTATTTATGTTTGATTCAGAGACCTTACTATCAGATCCAAAAGAAAAAGATATAAGAAATACATTTTGAGAAATGAAAATGAAAGAGTACAAAATAAAGAAAAAGAGGGTGTAAATTATGTAGTGTTGTTATCCTTTTTCATGTCATCAAGAAGTAGAAGTAAAAAGTAGATTTAGATTCAGATTGAAATGTAAGATTCTTTGTTTTTGTCTTGTGCTGATAAATAACACTGGTGATGATGATAATGATGATAATGATGATGAGAATATGAGCACAAGGACAGCTTTGTTTTCTTTTCTCATGTACAATAGAAAGTATATAATGCTATACACATAGAGATCGGCTTGAATTGAAACAAGAATGACAATTTGTTTAAGAAGAGATTAAGACAATATACATAATCAGTGAGTCAACTGGAACTTATTGATCTGGCAGTAATAATAGAAATAGTATTAATAGCATTAACAGCATTTTAAAAATAAAATAATCCACAAAGTGGGGTACTTGCTTTTCTTTCTTTCTTTCTTTTTGGTGTAATAATATTTGGTAAACAATATATTGGTAATGCCACCGACACCATTTTGAATCTGAGAATATACAAATGAACTGACTGGACAGGATGCCTTACAAGGAAAGGGGGTGGATAAGGGGATAAAGATAAAGACAGACAAAGACAGATCCAAACCTGTACTCAAATCTAAAGCCAAGGTAAATACCAAAGATTAAGACAGCCAGGCAGACGTATAATTACAGGTAGATAAATACATATTTAGAGCAGGCAGAGTCTTATGGACTATAGAGAGAAAGTGAAATAAAAAGAAGGGGAACTTCTCTGTTTATACTACAGTTAAAAGAAAGGAAACAAGACAGAGCTTTATGAGTGGCTATTATATATATTTATATATATATATATAGAGAGAGAGAAAATTAGAGCGCAGAAGATCATCGCCTTTTGGCTAAAGAAGCAAATGTAAGAATGAAAATAAAGATGTGCAATTCTTTAACCAAAAAAAAAAAGGCCAAGTTTGGGCAAATCTTGGAAACTTAACCTACCTACTAAAACACATACATGTCATGTACATATACATATACATATACATATACATATACATATACATATACATATTTACATACGCATATACATATACATACTATTTCTTTATATATACTCAAAAGAGATAGAGAGGAAGACAGATCAATATAAATATATATATATAGAAAATTTCTTATGAAATATATATATATATATATATATATATACATTTTGACTTTATTCTTATTCTGTGTAGGGGTCGATTAAGTTCAAGTAAGCTCAAACACATATAAATTATATATCTATCTATCTTTGTGTGCCGTGTAGATGTATTTGATGTAAAACATACAAATACACAAATATTTTTTTCTGCTTGCCTCACCTCACCTTTTTATTTTTATAATCCGCAGGCGACGCATCATCATTGGACAGAGCGGTCTAGCAAAAAATAAAGCAAAAAAAAAGAAAAAAAAAAAAGCTTGAATTTTAGTTGTAGGCAAAGAACACTATCTAAAAAAGGGAATTCTCGAAAGGATATCATAAAAGGACCCCCCCTCCCCCCCCCTCTTTGCGGGTTGATTTTAACTTACTGCCGTTTGTCATGCTTCATTTTCTCACTTAAATTTTTATTATTTATTATTATATTTCACTGTATCAAATAGAACTCATTTTTCTCTCTCTTAAAATATATATATATTTATTTATATATTTATATATAAATATTATATTCTTTATTTCTATCTCTTTATCTCTTTCTTTCTCTCTCTTTCTCTTTCTCTTTTGTCTTTATCTTTTACTCCACCCACTCCCACATACAACTTATATATATATATATTATTTATATATATATTTTATATATATAAAAATATATACATACTTATATACATACATTCATACATACTTATATACATACATAACATACATACCTACATTTATATATAAATATAAATATAAATATCTATATACTTCTTTATATTTTTATATATTTTTATATATATATATATATATTATTCCTCGTTATCAACCAGCCAAAAAAATACACTTCTTTATTATATATTTTATTTTATCTTATTTTTTCTTTAGAAAAAATAAATAAATTAAATTAAATTAAAAAAAAAAACACCATCAGTATCATCAGTATCAATACCAACAATACCACCAAATACTACGGATACCAGACCATTCATCAGCATCAACCAAGAGCATCATCAAATCAAATCAAATCAAATACCACATTACCATATACCACTAAAAGAAAGACACAAAAATGAACATTGCCGACCTTCTCATACAATCGCCCTCAAATACTTCACCTATTCGCGACGAAGATTTCATGAAGATCTGGGAAGATGTGTTGGAAAAGAACGGATTTTGCATGCGCCACAAGCTGGAGCGCAACAGTCTGACGGATGCGACCATCGCGCCCTTGAGTCCGTCTTCATTTGTTGGTGAAACACCTGTGCACATCAAAGTTATCGGAAGACACATGAACGGCTCCTTCCGATGCCACATCGGGACCGGCAAGGCATCCCGCCCCATTCGGTCCACCGAACTGTGTCAGCAGATGCGACTCCTTGCAGTGTTCTTCAAAGCCGAGGGCAGCCGAAGCCAACTGATCTTGCCAGATTTCATTCTCTTCCCAACCTGGCTGCTCCATCTCTTCCGCTACACCCAGCATGGCACATCGCCCGGCCGCACCGACGTCCGGTTCTTGGAGAACGCAGCCCTGGCCAAAGAAGACCACATCTATCGTCTCAACCACGTCCTCAACTCCTTGTTTCGTTTTAATTTGCGTAGCTTTGATCAGGACAAGCTACGGTCCGCACTGGAGCTGGCCAATTACCTCTTTGACACCGCAGGTTTGGAACACGAGAATCTTCCCAGACCAGTGTTTTCTCCATCGTCGTCGCAGCCAGCCCTCTACACAACCCTCATCTCGCTCCTGCACGCCCCAAGACCCTCCAAGATCAAACCAATGTGCCACAACTGCAGTACCAAACCAGCGTCACGACGTCACCTTTGCGTGGCTTGCTATCGTTACCAGCTCAAACACGCTGCGCCGAGGCCGCTGAGACTGATCGTAGCCAACCGTCCAGGTCCGCGCGTGTCCAAGACGCAGTCTGATTTGGCTTTTCCAACCGGAGACTCTCACTCACTCCCGATGGTCTTCTATTCTCCCAAAAGTGCCTCGTCCCTATCCCGGAAACACTGTGCCAATTGCGGGGTTCAGGAAACACATCAGTGGTACAGGAATCTGTGTGGTACAGGACACTGGTGCGAGACCTGTAAGAGCTACTACCTCAGACACACCAAAGTCAGGCCGGCCGAGCTGTTTGTCAAGGCTGCAAAGCGCAAAGTTGATGTGCGCACACTAGTAAACTGGACTGCCTCGGAAGACACAATCGGCGGTTGTATCAATAGCAATAATTCTATTCATGACAATCATAATATTCATGATAATACTAGTTATATATATAGTCATAGTCATAGCCATAGTAATAGTAATATCAGCAATAATAGCGGTCTTGATTCCCGTCGGTCCTCTTCCTCTATTGAATCAAATATGCCGCCCTCACCAGTCCACGCGCGCAGTCGGTCTGGGAGTGCTGTCAGCAGCGGCTGCAGTAGTCCGACTGCCTCCCTCTTTGTTTCTATGCCCCTCACACCACCTGATTCTGCCCGCGTCTTCTCCAGTCCATGTCGTTTACCACCACCTCACCTTACACAAACTCATCATTCTCTTGTGCCTCCCTTCTCGGCATGGTCTTCAGAGTAATTCATTCTTTTCTTTAATATCCATTTAATATCTATCTATCAATATCTATCCCTCCATCCATTCATCAAACGCATCAAACCCATCCATCATTTATCTGTTCTATTCTATTCTATCCATCCATCCATCCATACATCCATCCATTCAATTATCTATCTATCTATCTATCTATCTATCTATATCTTTATACTTCTTTTTTTTCTTTATTCATTTTATGCCAGTCTTTTTAAGCCTTGTCAACTATCACCCCTTTTTTTTTCTTTATTTTATATATGTACATCTCTCATTCTTTCTTTTCTTCTTTTTCTTCTAAAAGAAGGAAAGAACAAAATTCACTTCACTCACTTTCAATCATTCATTCAATTCAATTCAATTCAATTCAATTCACTGCACTTTATATTATATAATCTTGTTTTTTCTTTCTTCCTTTTCATAATCTTTGCACTCACTCACTCACTCACACACACTTTATACATTTTGCACTTTACACCAAAAAATTCACCTTCATACCTTCATCTCTTTCTTTATATATATATATTATATATATATTATATATAGTTATTTTATATATCTATATATTCTATATCTATTTAATTCTCTATTTATTTATTTTTAAAACAAAAAAAACACACCCACACACACATCTCCGTATGTCCCATATATCTTATTTATCTATTTTATCTTTTAATTTTTTTTATAAAAAAAAATATCAATCAATATTATCTTTATTAAACTTTTTATTATTATTATTATTTTATTACAACCTTGATTTAATTATGCGACTCATTTAGAAGGAAAGATGAGAAAACTAAAAAAAAAATTATTTACCTTTTTTTTTTTGTGTATTTTTTTTGTTGAAAAAAAAAATTACATATATAATAATTATAATAATAATATTCACTTTCCAAAACACTTAAAAAAAAAACCTTAAAAAACAGAGAGAGAGGAATAGTCAGATAATAAATAACAATAATTAATACTTAATTAATAAGAATAGAAATATTCATTCATATATTCATTCATTCATTCATTCATTCATTCATTCATTTATTTTTTATAATAAATATAATTTGTTCAAAGTTTATAAATGTTACATATGAAATAATATGAGTTAAAGGTGGTTTCCGAAATTCTAAACAAACAAACAAAAAAAAAAAACAAGAACATTGAACCCACATGTCAGCCAAAGAAACCAAAAATACATATACTTTTGTAAAAATCTATCTATCTATTTATCTATATACACACACATACACATACACATGTGCGTCTAGTGTGTGTATGTGTAATTAAACTTGACAGATCCTGACATCTTTTACATATATATATATATATATATTTATATATTTCGGCAGGTTCGTTTCCGAAATTCTTTAAATAATTTTTTTTTTTTTTTTTTTTTGCTTTTGGGATTTATTTATTGATTTTAAGAAACTACCCAAAAGTTTACAAAAATAGGCGTTTAGACAATTCCGTTTGTACTACATTTATATTTATATTTATTATATTTATTAACAAGTTAAAATAAAATTATTTATATATATAATTTTTTAATTTTTTTTCTCTCTTTACTATAAATGCATATAGAATATATTTTGAAGTGGTTATGGTAACAAATCTGCGTGATTCTAAAAAAAAACAAAAAAAAAACTTTTTTTTGCGCACTTTAGAATCTCAATTTACGTAAATTTAATTGGCTAAAATTACGTTGATCGAAAAAGTCAAATTCGCGGTTTTTTCTTTGGGAGTTTTGTAGCAAGAGTGCCCACCAAACTTTCTTGGCCACAAAGCAAAAAGAGGGCTTCTCGGATTTTTTTCTTTAATTTTGATTTGTTGTATGTTCTTTGAAAGATTTGTACTTTCTAAAGGGGGATGGTGAGAGCCCAAAGAAAGTATATTCCATAGCTATATTTTTTATAAAGAGATTAGCAAAGAATGACGGAGACGGAAGAAAAAAAAAAGAGATGTGAACTCGTTGTCGTGCACCACTCAATAGCAATACGTTTCGATGGGAGGATGTCATTATATTACTTTATTGTCATGGTCCGCACCGTGGCAGTAAGAGAGAAAGAAAGATGAAATGTGGGTAGGGAATATATAAGGAGACCGTTACAGATTGACTAATTCTTTAAACTATCTTCCCCCACCAAAGTGAGATTAATGCAAAAGAGCCGTGAAAACGTAGCAAGAAACATTCAAAATATATCTTTACCACAGCACAAAGCACAAATCAGTATATAAGAATATAGTCTGAGTATCATTTGTTTAGTCCTCATTCCGGCATGATAGCAGCCAAGGCACTCGCGGTAATAGGATGTTTCCTGGAGTAGGTCCTCTAGTCCTTTATTTTATTCTATATTATTTTTATGTAATACCAATTCATAGGCGTAAAGAAAAGGTTAATCGCTCAGTGCTTTGCATTGTAGCCGACCATTAAATACAAAAAAAAAGGTACCAAAAGAATTACGCAACTTGGCTTTTGGTTTTTGCGTGAATTGTGAATGTGCAAAACGCGAATTTGACTTTTTCGATCAACGCAATTTTAGCCAATTAAATTTACGTAAATTGAGATTCCAAAGTGCGCAAAAAAAAAGTTTTTTTTTGTTTTTTTTTAGAATCACGCAGATTTGTTACCATAACCACTTCAAAATATATTCTATATCATCATCATCGTCACAACAACCACTACAACAATCACTAAAGCCACTACAACGGCAACGTCCACCATCTTTGTACAATGAAAAGGATAGTACCAAGATATATATATATATATATATACGTATATTATTTTTACTATAACAATAATAATTAATTTAAACAATCTTTATTTTATTTTATTTTATTTTATTTACTGAAAATGATGATTTAGAATATATATATATATACTTCATCTTTTCCTTATCAATTTATCGACTCATCCTCGCTGTCCTTGACGTTGACATTGTTGCTGTTGGTTTTAATATTGTTGACCTTACTGCTGCTGCTGTTGTTGTTGGCGTGGTTCTTGGTGTATTGAGTCCATTCTTACAATGTGGACTCATCAACATCTCTTTACGTTCCATCATCATAGACATCATCCGTTGTCCTAACATCCTCATAATCTCGACTGCATTGTCCATCCTTTGAGGTGTGTGGTTGGGACAAAGGAACCAGTATTGTCCTAGGAACTGCGGAGAGACAAACCAGCAGTCCGGATTACCCATCTCTCCACCAAGGAACATTGCTGACTCGACAAGATAATCAAACAGTTCGTTGGCATCGTAATAGTCTTGAAACATAATCATGTGATCTCTCATCTCTGATCCTGGAACCAGATCAATACGTGTATCATGAGGAATCGTACGCTGCAACTCTGCTATTGTAGTTGTAAAAAAAATTAATACTCATATTATTTTTATGGTTTATGTATAAGATGTGTATACCACGCCATGCCACGCCATTCCACGCCACATAAAAATAACACTGCACCGCACTACACTCCACACAAAGAGAGAGAAAGAGACAAAAGCTTACTAGGAGTAAACAAGGTACGCCCGCCCTTGTCAATATTTTTTTGTACACGCAGGTAGTCTAATGCCTGCATAGGTGTCATTGGCGGAAGCATTTTCTTTCCATGAAAAACAGGTGGATCTGGGGTAGGCTCGGTTGTAATGCGAGGCAAACCAGTCCTTGCATCAATTTCGGGCAATTCATCACCATCTCCTTCGCCAATCTTTTCACCACCGTCATTTTCACACTCGCCTTCGCCTTCGCCTTCAATAACCATATCGGATCCAAACAGTTGCTGGCCAAAATATTCATCAAAGTCTGCCTCGGGATAGAACCCACTAAACGAATCATGGAAAGTCGTGAGGTAGTTAGGGTCCTGGATTATGTCAGCTTCAAGGAGTCGCTGCAGAAAGGAGGGCCCGGTTAGATGTGGGAATTGTTGTACTGTCAGTAGTGGCTGATGATTATGCTGTTCTTGGTCTTGATCTTGGTCTTGGTCTTGGTCTTGCTGTTGTGGATATTGTGGATATTGTTGCTGATTATGCTGTTGATTATGCTGTTTATGTTGTTCTTGTAGATGCTGTTGATATTCATATTGATGTTGATGTGGGTGTGGGTATTGATGCTGGTTTTCATATGCTTGACTTTGAAATTGGTTGTGTAATTCACCGATGCTATTGAGATCAAAACATAGTTTGGGTGTACTTATGATACTAGCTGCCGTCATTGTTGCTGTGTCATCATGAGGATTCGATTCACTGCGACTACTACTACTACAGGTACGTGAGCTTGGACTAGATACAGAATTGAAGCCTCTAGTAAGATTACAGTCTGGACTCATTGTCGCCGTTGTAGCTGTCGTTTCTGTAGCTGTCGTAGCCGTCATCGTCGTTGCTGTTGGTTGATATAGTGAAAACTCGTCTGTTGGGAAACTGATGATGTGTCCTTTGTCGTCAAGGTAGAGCTCAAGCGCCTGTGGGATATCGGGAGTTTTTGAGAAACAGAGAATCTCGGTTCCAAATTCGTCTGTCTGGCCTGTACATCCTATTTTTGGTACATCGATGTTGTTAGCCAGACAGATGATTTTAAAGGTCAGGATGATCCCCTTGAGGTAATTGAGTTCGTACAAAAGCGCCTTTGTTTTTCTTTTCAGGCGTCTGGTTTCCCGCAGCGCTTCGTCGCGGGCCTGTGCACATCGTTTGATGGTCGCCTCTGCGTCTTTGATCTCCCGGTGTTTGCGTTCTCGAAAGGCGCGCTGGGCTGCTCGGTTTTGGGCTTTACGTTGGGCAGGCGATGGTGGATTGGGCTTCCGTCCGGGCTTTTTACGTGGTCTGGTTGGTCGGCCGTTTTCATCCAGTGTCCCCAATTCGGTCTCTGGGTCGAAATATTCAAAGGAGATTGACATTTTTTTTGTCCTTCTTTTTTATTTTATTTTATAAATTTAAAGAAAGCAGAAATAAATATATGATAAATGAATGAATGAATTGAAAAATTAATCACTGGAATTGTAAGAAAACAATATAATATATGGTTATATATTTATATATATAAAGGGTGAGTAAAATATAAAAGAAAGTTTAATGATTTAAAGTCTTGTAGTCAAGGCAACCAAAGGTCAATATATTTTCTTTATTAAAATAAATAAATAAAGAAAGAGGTAAAAGAGAGATATATATATAAAGGGGGTCAAGTTGAGAAGAGAAGGAGAAGAAAAAAGAAGGAGGAGGAAGAGGAGAAAGAGAAGGGGTCAAGTTGGACAGCAAAGGCTGAAATATTGAAAGAGAAAAAGAAAGAGAGAAAGAGAAAGAAAGAGAGAAATTGTATTTGAATTCAAAAGAGAGTGGGAAATAATTCTACGTGTAAAAACATGTGGGGAATAATATAATATATAATATATATATATATAAATATATTTTATATACAAAAGTCTCACAGATCTGATGATGAAATTTTTCACATGCCAAGGTAGCCAAACCTTTCTTCTTTGCTATTTTGAGACTGTTAGATTTGTTCTTTTTCTCTTTTTCTTACTTTTTATTTTGCCCTGTTCACTTGTTATCCAAGAGGGCTTCTATAGAATATTTGGCTATAAATCTTACTGTACAAACAAATATTCCTATTTGATCTAAATAAAAGCCAAAAAGAAGAACAAGAAGTGGTAGAAAAATACAAAATAAACAAAATAAATAAAGGGAGCGGCTGTAGTTCAACTTTGAAAGTTGAACGTGTATCAATTGGGGTCTATGCACATCATATCTACCGCCCTGATGACATCTTACTAACACAGAACAGCCTTGACCCACACTACACACACCCATTCACGCAGTGTAACTACGTGATAAAGGTGGGATTTGCTTGATTGAGTGAGGCAATAGATGTTTTGCGTGAATAACATTTTTTTTTATGATGATTATTACTTTATCTGTTGTCTACACAGAATAGTGAAATACTAATATTAATTCTTATTTTTATTCTATATGTATATATATCTTGTACAGGTCATCTTGTTGGTGTTGAAATACACAGACACAAGTCTTGAGGATTTAGTTTTCAATTCACACAGTCCAATTGATCTAAACTTGCGTTTATGTTTTCACCTCCTCCTCCCGTTCTTTTCTTACTCCCCTTATTTTGCATCTTATTGTCACTCTTAATATTATATATGCTATTTGACAAAAAGAGAATTACTCTAAATTGATATGCCTTCAAATACTCTTTCCTTTATATTTTGCCCTGTCTCTTGGTAAAATTGTAATCGAAATTGTACCTATTGTCTGTATTATAGCCTTAAATTCCCTCACATAATATATAGGTCTAATTCTACATTTCTAATATCTTATAAATCAAACAGTAAATATACAATACATTATAATAGATAATTAAATAAAGAAGGAAGGAAAGAAGAGGTAACCACGTTATCATATGACAAGACATGAAAATGCTTTGTATCATTCTTGATACACAAAGATCTCTGGGCAAACAGGGAATATTCCATTTTGTATATTTACATACGTGTGAGGTTATGTATGGATAAACTGAATGCCATGAATATGCCAAGCTTATTTCTAAATGATCATAAGAAATCCTTGGGTTTCTTACCGAATTTACCCCCCACTGTCTATCTTTTTCTTTTGATCAAAAATATGAAAAACTAATTAATGCATTGATACTTGTACACTCTTATTTAATAGTTTTTCCGGAAGCCTATTTTCTAGCGCCTATCACTGGAAATGAACCTGATCTATTCATGTTAAATTATGGCTGTTTATATTATATTATATTCAATAATCAAACATAAATAAATAATACTAGTAAATGGATAATATATTATCCGGAAGATGTTACGGGTGATTCAAAATAAAATAAAACTGCAATATCGTTGAATTAAATACAGATATACAGAAATATATGTATATATTTAAGTAAAGAGGAAGAAGAAAAAGAAGGAAAAGGAAGAAAATCTACAGTCAAAGTGAATGGGAAATTTGAAATTGGAAATGGGAAAAAGGGAAAAGGAAGAAGAAAATAAAATGAAATAAAATATTGCGTTTTATTTAAGCTTCTTTATAGATATATTATTCCTTTGCCTTTCTTTTTGTATCACTTATTCGGTCACCAAGTGATACTTTGCTTTTTATAGGTATCTTGCCAGGTGGTAGGGCTAGTTAAATAGAGTAATATTGTTGGAGAAATTGAATCGAATGACCATTTTGGACCAATTTGAATATAAGAAAAAATAGATTAACCACGATTATCAATATCCGGGAACAGCTTATAATCAAAAAAGAAGAAGAAGAGTCAAGCTACATTATTAAATAAGTCAATCATTAATGAAACATTTCTTTCTTACTTACTTAAAAAATCATAATTTGACCAAATATATATCTTTTGCTTGTTTAACTTTGTAGAATAGTTGACTTGATTATAGGTTAATTATACTAAGTTGGACTAAGTGTTCTGACGGGTAAAGTGAACCGTTAGAATGAGGTGTTCACTTTTTAGTGGAAAGATACAAAATATTTATCTGCTGTGCACATACCATTCACATACACACAAAGGTACTCGTTCTACTTTTTTTTATAAAAAAAATCACATATTATAATATAATCTTGACACTAATACTAGCACTAAAAATAATCTTGGATAAAAATAATAAATAAAGCGTCTATTGAAATAGTTGTTTTATTTACAAACTTAAAACATTAATTCTAGAGGGCCGGCCTTTTCGGATGGGAGCCGATATTTTGAATTTAGCAGACCACATCAATGTCACTTGCTATGTAAAGTCTAATGATTGTATCTGGTCCCTAGGAATCTATTTATTATTATTATTATTGTAAAGAAAACTACTTTAATAGAGAGAGTGCAAACTTCTAGTATTTTCTTGAATAAAAAATTGTTGATGTCAGTAAAAGTCTTTTCCTCCAAGAATATTGTTTTTGAAATTTAAAAGTCTGGTGTGGACAGACTAAAAGTTCAAAAAAGAGGCAAAAAAAAGGGCAAAAATTTTAATCGACTCTAATTGGCTAGTCTTCTTTCATTTTCATTTAGGTTGAGAAGAAAAGCACATTTTTGATGAAAGCTGTGTGCTATAGGGTGCAAGATCTAGAAAAATCCACAATAAAATATTCTCACTTAATAAGAGAGACGGAAATATAAGCAAACCTTTATCTAATATGTACTTGCACTTATTTTGAACTTTTTTTTAGATGAAGGTGCGGACAGTCATAAATTAATCTAATTGACCAAGTTCAGAATAAACTTGTTTTATTCTTTTTTTTTTGCTCTTTTGTTGAACTTTTACTCTGTACACACCAACTATACGCAAATGTTTGTTTAGTACCCTTGTGGTAATGAGCTATGGTGTGAACTAAGTTCACCAAAAGAATTGAAACCTGCTAATAACTCGGTTCATTAACCCAGCTCATTATTTTAATTCTAATCCAGTTCTAGTCATAGTCAATATCTCAATACATTACAATCAAAGTTAAATCCAGTATAAAGAGCGTGTATTAGTAGCATTTTTTTTTCTCAAATTGATTCAAGTCCGGATTCTTTTTAATGTAAGGCAGAAAAATGGATTTAGCCAATTAAAAAAATATCATGTTAATTATATACTTTATACATGCATTTTGACCATAATAAATCACAGAGACGGTTATATTAACTTACACAAGTTAGCTTATTATTAATGTCACTCACTTTTGTAATTAAAATACATAGATTTATTTGTTTATTTTTGGTATATTCAAACACTAAGTATTATTACTGTCATATGCTATTGCTTTAAATACTCATATGCATACCAATGATTATCCTAGATTATATATATATTACACCAAATAAATCAAGACTAAAGGTATCTCCAACTTTATATATTCTAGATTATCTACCTACTTACACTTAGCATGAACATAACTGGAAGTACACCCTTAACTTACGAATATAGTCAGTATGTACCTTAAATAGCGTTGAATTTCCCAGTGAAATAAAAATGCATTTAATAAAAAATAATCACTTCGATTAAAATGGCAAATTAAATACAGAAATTTAGTTTCACTACAGAAAAAAATGGGATTTTTTTTGCTTTTCTGAACTTGTTTTTGGTCTATAATGATTAAGAACAGCTACGAAAAAATACAATTTGAAACACGAAAATATCGCTTTTTTTAACTATTTCAAAAAAACAAAGTGGGCCGTATAAACTTAAGTCTCAGGAGATACAAATGTCTATTTTAACTACATGTTTTATACCTATAGTAAGTGTAGGTTGCAATTGAAGGATATTGAATGTTGAGAGCAAAAAAATATAAAAATATTTGAACATTCTGCTGCTTAGATAAATTTTTTAAAGATAGTTCAAAAAACATATATTACAAAAAAAAATATATATGTCTGCATGGCAACCAAGCAACAATTATGACCCACAGTTTAAATCTGATCAGACAAAAAACTATGACATTGTTGCTGTGGATATTACCAAGACAACTAGTTTTGTTACATCAGCAAAATGAACAACCTTTGACTTCACTGAAACATTAGTAAGAGCAGGAATTACATTTTTTTTTTCGTGAATTGCATAAATTAACATATGAGTAAGTGACCTCCTCCTGTTGTTGAGTCTGTGCTTAAAGAAGACAATGACTTTTCCAAAAAAAAGATTATTGAATACTGGAGAGTAGCTCGAATCAATATTATGGTTCTCATCAACCTATATCTGAAATCTGACTTTTTGTGCATGTCATATATAATTTTGGTTAAGTGCAGAGTCAATTACATAGCTATTGACAAACGCCTTGCAGCTAGTTAGATAGCTGCTTCAATCAAGCTGCACTCTTTTTCCTTTGATTTGTAAGAGTATTCAAGAAGTTTTGAAAGAGAAGAAATACCTTCAAAACTATCTCGAATTATTCTATTCCTCAAAGGCTCACTGAGTTCAATATCAGATCTAGTACCAACATGCTTGCCTTTCTCTGTAATTGAACAATCAGCATAGAAATCTTCATACGTAAGCCATTTTGCTGCTACCTTTATCTTCTTGAGATAGATCTGTTTGTTCTGTACCAAGTCGAGTATAATATTGCCAGTCTTGATTCCAATAGCAGAGTTACTGTAAATAGCACCATATTACTTGCCAATCACTATTTCTATCGATCTGAAACCATATAATCTTGGCAGACCAAATGCATCGATTATATCTGGGTAGCCCTATAAGAGACGCTGGTTTATTGTGAGCATCTTTATATTGATGTTGTCCTTAACAAATAAAGTCTCAAGATATACATTATATTTAACAGATTCTCTAAAATAGAAGTTAATATGTATTTTTCAAAAAGAGCAACAGATAATAATATTTAATCTATTTTTTGTTAAGATTCATTCCTATGCTAATAACATCTGACTCAAGAATAAATTGCATACATGTATAAGGCTAAGCAATGTCTTAAAAACTGATCTGGACAGGAGCAAGAACAAAGGAAACAGATAGAGAAATATAGATAGATTTCTTTATTAAAGAAGTTGTTTGCTTGATCTTTCTATAATCACGTTCTATAAGTATTTATACAAATATTTATGCCTGCTAGATATGAGAGATAATTATATGATTGGTGCTATTAGTAGTCTCTCTGAAATATTTAGGTTGATTGCATTAAAAATGAGATTGAAGACATATAAAAAAAATTGGAAACCATAAGGTAAAGTGAGACTTTGGCATATAAGTTTATTGAGAGGTTTTGTATCTGTAAAAGACGCCGTTTCTAGCTTGATGTTTTCTATCTCTTTTATATCTTTTCACTTAGAATTTTTTTTATCTTTTATTACTGGATATTTGTTCATGTTGTTACGGACTTTTGAGAAAATATTTTCATGTTATATTGTCTGCAATGATGTAAGAAAGTGTATTGGCTCTTAGATAGCAACTACTTGTTGCTCGTGCTATTTCAGACTACTATTTGACTTGAGTTATAGATTTCTGAGCCAGTTAGTTTATATCTCAGATTTTGCAAATATAATATTACTCCTCTCCAGTTTGACATTTAGTCTGACATTTTTATATAGTGCACATAAGTTAGTTATTCTGCATTGTGTTTGCAGTACTGTTGGAGTTTGTGTTTTGGGATTGTGCGTTTTTTCGTAGACAACCAACAGGTCTTGATGTCTTTAGGGAATATTCTCTGCATTTGAGTACCTGATGTACTTTTTGTTCATTGCTGCGTATAAGTTGCTTTGCAAGGGCAACCTCTTTTGGGTGTTGTTCTATTGCTTCTGCTACTTGTTATTGCTTCTTGTTTTTCTCATCTAGTCCAGTACTCTTGGATTATTTTCAAGTCCATGAATTTGTGAGATGTTAGTCACTTGTCTTCTTATGATCCTTGTCCTTTCCATCTCACTAGTTATTTACTTTTACCTGCATTGCCTCTAGGGCTTATTATAGCTTACACTTTGACTAGTTGGTCTTTGAGTGCAGTCTAATCTACAGAAGTCAGTTTGAGATCTGATGGCAGATAGTCTTTTTGCATGAGACCCCTGTCTCGTCTTGGAGTATGTAGAATCCTCCTTGTGTTTATCTTATTACAGTATATGTTCCTTAATATGCTGGTGCCAATTTACTACTTCTTGTTGGTAGTATTATTATTACATAGCTATTATTTTCAATTTTAGTCATAGTGTGGCTTTTGTCAAACTTTTCTTTTTGTGTTCTTGTTATGAGATCTATTCTTTCTTTTATGACAGAAATACGACTTTTGCCATTTAGTCAATCCTTCTTAACAGCTCATCATTTTGCATTGAGGCTATAGAGGTTGATTTTCGTTCTTAATAATCTTTAAATTCATTGATGTTTGCAAGAAACATAAATGAGAATGGCGCTATGTTTAATTGTTTTCATATTTTATTGTTTATGACCAATTGCGATACTGGTAGATAGTAGTCCCAATCTTTTCCAGTTCCTTCAACTACCTCCTTGACAACTTGGATAGATGTTTGTACCTTTCTTTCTGCTATGCCGTTGGCTCTAGGGTGATATGATGTTGGTAGTCAATGGTCTATTAATGAGTTTTTCACTAGTTTTGTTATTAACTCATTTTTGAATTATGTACTGTTATCAGACTGTATTATTTTTGAAAAACTAAAATCCCCAAATATTTGTACTAGAGTTATGACTATAGTGTCTGATTATTTATTTGATATGATTCTTAATAAATAAAAATGTATGTATACATCTACTAAGACAAACAGATATATATTTCTATTGTCAGTATGTGTTAAGAAATCAGCTAAGTCTATAGCACAGTGATATCCTAGTATGTATGCATATATGAGTCTAAGGAGGTTATATTCTTTTCTTGTTATGTTATACTTCTGGCATGATGTATATTCTTTTACAGATTCTAAAGCATCTTTCATTATACTCATCTAATGCACCCTGTTTTTGTAGATAAGTTTGACAATATATTCCGCACGAAAGTATTCAAATAGATGTGCATCTTGGACTATCTTTTTGTATTCATCTTCTGGTGACATCACATAATTGAAATTCATGTTTGTACTGTTACTTTGAATAATATATCTTTTTCAGTCTTAGTTTTGTATGCCATGTCACTATGAATGAAATTGGTGTGGCAATACTACTAATTTGCATGAAATTTGGTGGCTGGCCACACTACGCTAAAGCAGGGGAAATTAGTGGTAAATGAGCTATGCTTGCCACTAATCATAGTGGTATTGCCACGCCGCCTTTGTGTGTGGTTCTGCCACTAATTTTTTAGAAATTTTGGTGGCCAACCACACTATGCTTAATTGAAAAAATTAGTGGTAAATGAGCTATGCTTGCCACTAATCATAGTGGTATTGCCACTAATTTACTGAATAGTAAAGCAGTATGTTTGATTAGCTTAGTTTCAAACAGATTGGTAGTAAAAGTATGGTAGTAAATCTGTATATAGAGAAATTGGTAGTAAATTCATATATGGAAAAATTGGTAGTAAAAGTATGGTAGTAAATCCATATATGGAAAAATTGGTGGTAAATTTGGTAGATTTTATTTTTATTCATACGCTTGCTGCGCAGTAGGATATACAACAGAATATACAATAGAAATATACAATGAACTATATGATGGACTATATAATATAATATGGTATACTATGTCTTTAACATGGCATATAGTGATGTATATTCATATACAAGCTTAATAATAATACTAGCAATATATCTTGCACATATACTAACTCATATATTAGTTATACGAGTAATACATACCTTTAGATATATCAGCTATGGATGACGGGATTCTTCATTATAAATTATAATTGTTGATGCTTTTCTATTGAAAGAACATTCAAACAATCTTATTCCAGTGTTGTATAAAGCTAAAGTAAAGAATACTATGAATATACGTACTTAAAAGTATTTTTTTTTGTAATTACCTCAAGTATGCTCATTAACAGCCTCAAGTAATTGTGAATAAAGACAAAATCTACAAAAATAAGTTAATATACAAAGTAAATACACATAGCCTAGTAAGCTTTCTCTTATAATTTGTTTGCATTTGAAGATTTTCTGGTAGCTACCATACTGCAGCACATGCCCAAAGTAATTAGAAGTACCTACTCATTAATAGCTGATCAGATTGTTTAGTATGCCCTATACAGTATCAGTTTAACAAGACAGTAACTTAAATTGGCTGTATTTTGTAAAAGTAAGTCAAGAGCATATTATATTGTAGCTGCTTGAAAGAAAAAAAACTGCAAAAAATGTGTTTTTCTAGTTGCATTAGTCTTTTTTTTTAATCAAAGCACAATTGTAGTAATTTTATATCAAGAGTGTCTTGAAGTTTGAGCGGTGCATGTTGTTTGAATGTGATTACAGGAAAAGCAATAGAAGAAAGTAGAGGAAATGAGTTGATTTGTCATTTATTAAAAAAAAGGGTGATTGTAAAGAGAATTTTTTTTTATTGTTGTGGAGGACAGAAATAACAAGGACACACCTACTGACATTTCTTTCATTTATGGTAATTTCTAACGGTACAGCTGTTTCTATTGGTTTAGAGTTCCAATTTTAAGTTGAACCTGTTAAGGCTCAGATTTGGGTGTACGAATTTGATATAAATGAGCCAAAAGTAGATTAGTGTAATGTTTTAAGTGTCATGATAAAATTTTAGATGGTACAAAAATCTGAAATGGGGGGAGAAGCGAAGAGAGCTGGAAAAGAAGAGATTTTATTGGACGAACCCCATTGGGAAAAATACTTTTTTTTTTATAAGTCATTTTTTTTAATAGATTTTTGCAATGTTCATCAACATCCACCAGAACATGCTGAATTTTGCAACGTTGAGGAACTTTTGGTTATTGGAAGACCCGACGGACAAGTGAATATCAACAGCCTGAACGATGTTGATGTCATCTTTGTTGACTTCAACCAGGCCTCCAAGGGGCAGAACCACAATGTTGTTGTAATTGTCCGTTACCACAGCTGGGGTATAGATGCAATTTACATTGCTGTTCGGAACAATTTGGTACTTTTGCATAAAGAACGCCTTCCTCATTCTGTCTGCAGAGTCTCTTGCTTGAACGATCTTTACCTGACCAAGGAATAATTGACCATTTGATTGAAAAACACCTGCAAGTGTATCGCACAAAGTGGGAGTCGACAACCCGGAATTGTCACTGTTGACACGAGAACCAAAGAAATGGAGATTAAAGCCTGGGAAATTGACAGGGGCTAGCTTGACAAAATCACCAATTGAACTTCTCACAGATCTTGTTCCATTACCAGCTGGTTTCTCTACGACATACGATCCTCCATTACAAAGATGCCGACAGATGAATTGCTTGCCGAATCTTGTAGTGACGTCTCAAGAGGTGGAATGGCGGTTGGTCTTGAATAAATGTTTGCGGATGAACTTATTGAACTGTTCACCGTTTTCAGTTTTGTATTGCAGCACAGAACCGAAACGAACAATGTCGTCAGTGATATGATGCAGAAGGTGGACCTTTGGCTTGAACGTGAAGTCTTGCTTAGAAAATCCTTTTTGGAGAATCTGGACATCCAGTTGAAAAAGCAGATCCGTTACATCAGTGACAGCGTGTTTTATCTTGGCAATATAGTAGTCGAAGCACCGGTCGACTCCACGCATGTACACCAAAGACGACAGGTGGCCTAATGCATGCAAGGCTTTAATGAACAAACTTGCCGATGGTTTGTCACTAAAGAGCTTGCTCATAATTCCAGGCAGGACTTGAATCAATTCCTTGAAATCGCGTCCAACGAACGAACCAGTGTGGCAAAGCTTGTTCCTGAATGTTCGGCTGTAACTCTTACAAGACTTGTAAGAGTTTAGAGCTTCCTGGAGTCTCCCCTTTTCACTTGTAGTCAGCATCTTCTGTTTCCAGAGAAAAGTCATCAAGTATTTCGTCAGGCCAAGAGGAATAATGTGGAGAATTTCGACAGGCATGTCTTTGGTAGGGTCAAAGGCTTCGAGTCTAAGAAATTCCTCACTTCCATTCTTGATATAACTCAATTCGCACCCATTGAGATATAGCTCTGACTGGGAATCGGCATTGGCAAAGGCGCACAAGAAATCCCTCGTTCTTTCTTCTGACCCACGGTGGTCAACTGGAGAATACGGCGGAGCGTCAGGGATGGAACCCTGTTCAATATGAGGCGAAGGTATGAGGCATTTTCGGCAAAACTTCTTGGCAGATGTTCCCTTATGCATGGCAAGCTGAGATTGACGAGGGTTGTCACCCATAAAGAGCAACAGGGGCGCAACGACAAGAACTACTTCACCATGATCCTCAGAATACATCTCAATACCTTTCTCCAGCCTAACAAGGTCATCGATGATAGGGGGCAACATCTCAACGGCATTCAGTGTATGATTCGAGGTACAAATGAAAAGAGCATTTTCTCGTTTGTTTCTCGTCTCAAGTGGCAACGCAGCAAAGTACATTAAGTAACTGTCATACTTGTTGTACTGCTTTGTTGAATTACCAGAGGTATCGTTGGAATAGAGATTAAGTGGGCAGACAACCACTTTCATCAAACCAGAGCCTGGAAGTCTTCTCTTGAATTCTTCAACACGGGATTTGTTGAGCCACAAGTCAGATTGAACACCAGTAAGAGCATAGGTGACAATTTCGGCAGGGCAATAAGAAACAGAGAAACCACGTCTGAGGAAAAGATCACTGTCTTTTTGAACAGTAGACATAATCCTATCAACTTCAATGGTATACTTCAGGGTAGAGACAGCAAAGTTCGTAGAGTTTCCAAACCGCAGGAAGTGTGTATCATCAGGATGGTTCAGCCGAGGATCGTGGCCACCATAAACCTGGAACGCATTGGCAAGTATGGATCCGTCCTTGGTGAAGAACTTCTCAAGGAGATACCGGTTCAGGGAGCCTTGGACTTTGACAACATCACCCACCCAGTAGTCCATTCCATTTGAAGTGATCATTGGGTGCTGGAGCAATGTGTTCTCCTTCCACTTTTCGCCTTGGTTGAGATTCAACCACTGGTTTTCCGTGAAGTCAGGAAGGGCCGAGATTTGAGATGATTTTCCGGGACATGTCATGGTAAACTTGATGTAATCGGACGGTTTGTTCATCCAAAGTACATGTCGTTCATTGTCTTGGTTCACAACATCGAAACTGGCAGTAGGAAAAACAGGGATCTGGTTCTTTTTCTGCTTGTGATAGTTAATCACAGCATTTGGTGTCGGAAAATCCAGTGCTACTCCAGATTCTTCACGGACGTCCAAGACCATCTTCATGGCAAACATGATCTTCTTGATAGATCTTTCTGAGGCAAGATCTTCATCGCCGTAGAAGAGAGCATGTAAAATAAACTCTACTTTCGACTTAAACGGACGGGTGGGTCCAGTAAAAATGTCAGCAAAGTCATCGGGCCGGTACGATGTCTGTCTGCTGCTGTCTTCGTTCGAGTAGACATTCATGGCATGAGAAAGAGATTGGAAGGTTCTCATTTCTGCTGCCATTCTAGCGATATGATCCTGGCTATCATATTCTACTCTGGTGTCCGTGTCTTCGTCGTCAGTGGTCTCATCATAGTCATCTGATGAATCACTGTTCAGCAAAAAAAAAACAGGTTATTATCTATTTCAATATTGCATTACTAATTTTTACTTATGATAGAATGTGATCATCACTATATTCGTCTTCGTCAGAGATTTCATGGCCATATGTGTCCTGAGGGTTTTCAATAATAAATCCCATTGCGGCAGGTTCATTATTACTGTTCAGGTTGGTAGTGGCAGTGGTAGTGGCAGTGGTAGTGGCAGTGGCAGTGGCAGTGGCAGTGGCAGTGGCAGTGGCAGTGGCAGTGCTTGCAGAAGAAGAAGGGCCATCAAACATAGCAGGTCTAATGTTAAGATATGCTCAATTTCAGCTTTACATTACATAGTATTTTTCATCCTACTTTTAGGATTAACTTACCTTCTTTTTACAAGTTTCTCATACTCCCCCATTTCGTTTGGATGTTTTTTCGTATAATGTCTTCTGAGGCCTTGCAAGGACCCTAACACTCTTTCGGTTTCGCAGACAGTGCACACAAATGTTCGGTTGTCTGTAGCCGTTGGTGTGAGGAATGTGTTCCTCTTTGTTGTGAAGTGATTTTCCATGTTTAAAAATCTTTGGAACGAAAGATGTAGAAAAGCGTAAACTAATTTGAGGTACCATATCTTTAATCATGCAAAAAATGACTGCTAAAAAAATCATGTGAAATAATGTGAGCTAATTTTTTTTTGTTTACTTGTTTCCTTCTTTTTCTTTTTTTTTCTCATGACTGAAAGGTAAGTTTCAAGCGTAATCTAACAAGATGATAGCGTCCATCATACTGAACACTCTCAGTAAGTAATATATTTATTATGCCCTACTTCATATTGATACTAATATATATTTTTTATTAGATTCTATGGAGATTCCAACATGAGATTGTATTAGGAAGTTACTTCAAACTATGCCAAGCTGTCTGTCGTGGTATTATAAGGTATCTACTCCTAACATAACTAAACAAGCAGTCTTTTCCTTTACTTTTGTTAATAACTTTACCCTCATCTCTTTAGGTAAGTCTCATATATCACTGTCTGTCTAGTATAAAAAGGTAATTTACCATATTATTTACTTCAAAGGTCATAACACTAATACTGTTTCTGTTTAATAGTCGTTCTTCTTTACTTTTACCATGTCTATCTCCCAATCTATTGCATAAGAGAGGCTGCTACACTAGACTAGCTACTAGTATATAGAACGCGTAATCCTAGTACTATTTTTTATTGAAACCAAAATAAAAACATTTTTTTGAAACATTTTTTTTTTAAACATTTTTTGAAACCCTATAATTGCAATTATTGGACCCCCCATTTTTCAGATTTTTTGTATCCATCCTTTTTTCCATTCACGGTAAATTCGAGCGGACACTTCATATTCCGCTTTAGGAAATTTTAGTCAGGCCAACTTTAAATCTAGCTTGGACATTGAGTTTAAAAAAATCTCAGTAGGTGTGGAGTTCAAAAAAAATTAAACACGACGGCTCCGCATGTTTCTTCTTGGTGGTGAGGATGCCACACTACTTTCTGCCCCACCAAGGCTACATATAAAATATAGTTTAGTCAGTGTATTAAGTTTTACGTTTGAACAATCTATACATACCTCAACTCTTCTTCTTGAACTTCTCCACTCAACTTTGCCTACATATTTTTTTATAAAGAAAAGTATTAATGCAATATCTTGCATGAGACTAAACATAATACATATGATTCGCCGCTTCTCCATTTGGCATTCAGCCTTCATCACTTCTTGAAGAAGAAGAGCAGCAGCCCATCGACCTCTGCATTTGTGTAGAGCGAACTGATAGTTCAAGAAGATTAACTCCTCGAGTCTCAAGGAGTAGTACAACTTTTGTTGACTACTCAATCTTCCCCAGTTCGTCTCTACAATGTCATCTTCACGCATGATACATCAGCATTGCCTTGTATACATGTGGAACTGGAATCTAATAAGCTTCTGCTCTTCTGCGGATACGTTAACATCCGTTCCCTGTTGCTTCTTCCACAGAAAATTTATGAGTGCATTAATCCTGGAAGTTGCACTTGGCGTCTTGTTGGTTCTTGTTGGTATAAAACCAACACAGGCCTCAGTCATCGTAGCAGGAATATGTCTTACTCCTCTATCATCTGGATGATTTACTAAGTAAGACATTCTGGTTTGTGTAGCACTTGTTCACCTTTTAATAAAGTGATTTTATAAGTAAATGTTATTATATAAAAGATAAAATATTATGCTTGCATTACCTGCATGAAAACTGTGTGATATGTCTTCTCTTATAAACTGTTGCTGACTGGTAACAGTTTCTGCAATTTTGGCAACCGAAGCCCGAATATCAGAAAGTTCACGAACTACAGTTCTCACTGTGCTCAGATTTATGTTTTCAGAGATGTTGTTCATGTTGTATATGTTCGCGTAGATAAAATAAAGTTAAGAAAAAATAGTGGAAAGAAAGGCATTTACTTATGGAAAAAATAACAAGAGAACAAAAGATTGCAAACTGAGAGAAATTTATGCAATTACAAGACCAATAAAATTATGTTGCTGACCAGCAATAGCTTCTCTGCTCGGTTTGTAAAAAAAAGTATAAAAAGAGGAATATATGATTTATTTGAAGCTTTAGATAATATCATTTATTATTGTATACAAACCTCCCACATCACAAGCACCAACTTTTTATAAAAATGAACCCATCAAACAAAAGAGCAAGAAGTCCCAATGACATTTCTTCATACATTTGTGACATTTGCAACTTGGATTGTTTTACAAGTAAACAGCTCTGGAACCATAAGCGAATCTATAAACAAAATACTGGTTCAACATTTTCTGCTAGTTCTTCTACTCACGTTCATTTGGAAAATGAAGATTTGTCACCTCCAGTAGATGACTATATGACAGAAGGTAAACATTTATATTAACCTACCAGAAAAAAAAACAATCTTTTGAATACTAATTGTGTTTAACAGACATACCTTTTGACCCATTCAAACCAAGAACCTACAAAGCCTTCTGTAATTTTGAGGCTGGTGATGAAGGACATGTATACAATGATAATATCTTCACTGAGAATACCTTCACTACTTCACAATTGTTGAGTATTGAGCTGTATGATATTGTCACTTCATTCAATGTATCTACAGAGTGTCATCGTCAGCTTGCCAACCTAATGAACACGGTATTTTGGGATCATGATAAACTTTCAAAAGGTACAATATACTCAAACAAATTCTTTTTAATTATCTCAAAAAACTAACTATTGTGATAAATCCATAGAGTATTCTCCAGAAATACTTCAGGCTGGACCTGTAAATACCTTATTAAAGAACAAAGCAGCAATAAAGGCTCACGCATATGTCATATGCATGAATGCCTGTAGGTTGTATAATAATACCCAAAACAAAGAAGAATGCCCTCACTGTGGCAGTAAGAGGTTCATGGAGGCCACAGATAATACCCTCACCCATTTGGTCCCGGTGAAGACAATGAAGATGATGTTACTAGACGATTGACTGGCTAGACTCCTCGGCAACAGTGACACAAGGAAGAAACTCCATTACAGAGCAAACAGACAGCTTATATCCAGTGAGTTGTCTGATTACTTTGATGGAGAAGAGTATAAGGCCCTCAAAACCCAACACTTTTTCCAGTCTCCTGACGATGTTGCTGTTGCCTTGTTCTTAGATGGTTTTGTAAACTAGAAAAAATCAAAACAGCAATTGACAATTGTACATGTCATGATTTTAAATTACGATCCATTGATAAGGTAATAGAATTAGCTTCTTTCATTTAAGATGTTTTATTAATATTATTTCCATAAAAGAAACTTACATGTTTTTCCTCTTTTTAAGATATACCAATGAATACCTTATTCTACTTGCCATTATACCCGGAAAGCCTGTAGATCTTGATTCTTTCTTGTTACCCATAATAGATGAAGTAATTAGCTTAGGCAAATATGGACTGATTATAAAAAAATTTGATGGTGAAAGGATTGCAGCAAAAGTCCACATGGTAATGGCATCTGTGAAGTTTTATAGAATAAAATCAACAATAAAAAGATTGAGACGTATATAAGAATACTTTGAGACTGTATATAGGTTGTCTTTATTAAAGAATACAAAGTTATCCTTTTTATATCAAAACACGATCTGCTTTGTCAGTCACATCTTAATTTCTTAAGTCTGAGTTCATTTAGATATTAGAGAGCTGGTACTGCTATGTTTATAATTTAATCTAATTGCAGTGTCCTCATATTAACTCAGTGCTTACTGAGCTGTCATAATTACAGTACTTACTGTAATTAATTATTGGTCTTATTGATTTACCATAAGTAAAATAAATAAATTATTCATTTGTTCTTGTAATGATAGCTGTTTTACTATAATAATAGGAATATGTTCTTAGATGTAATAAATCCAACAACCAAGTGTCTGGATCACCACAGCATCTGGAGACATTTCTCAAGTAAGTGGAAGAAGAAAAAAAAAACAAAAAAGGGTGACTTACAAAATCGGCAAAATAGGTTACAAAGTATTGTCATCATAAAGGTCATAATTCCAGATATGGATGTTGCGTATGTGAAGTATTAGGTGAAACCCACTTAAGAGGTAGAGGCATGTACTTTAAAAACTGTCGTGCTCCTCTAAGGCCAATGATTGACTTTGTTAATGGCAACCCTGTAAGTAAATCACTGCAAGAAAAAGAGAGAAATATTTAAAAAATAAACCCATTGTACTGATAATTACTTTATATATACATATATAGAATACTAGCATTCAAGAGTCCAACATCTTTGCTCGGCTCCCTACCTTTACTGGGTCTTCATTCTATGGTCTGGATGAGATGCATTTAATTGGTAATGGTATAGGGAAGCTTATCCACAAGCTAATAGTATTATCAAATACTACTACAACTACCAATAGCCACTACTCGAAAAATGCTGAAGGATCTCATTTGCTAAAAGATTGATACACCTTCTCATTGCCAAAAAAAGATGTATTATCAGCCGGTCAATGCATCGAACTGTCACGATCAAGAATCCCTGTATCATTTCAAGGCAGCTGAAATAATCTGATCCTTAAGACTGAAGGTGCGAGAGCAATCGATTATATTGATTTTCTATTGTATGCAGTCCCTACTCTCCTTGTACCTCTTTTCTCAAAAGCTGCTACTCGAAAAGCACTTCTTGCTTTGGTGAAAGGTTGTTCTATTTCACTGCAATGGAACTTGAATGAGGAGCTAATTGTTGAAATGGAAAAGTAAGTTTTAATATATTCTCTAGTTTTTATTTTTTAAAATAAGAATAATACTGATGCTTACCTTTCTTTACCTGTAGTCACTTTAGCATTTGACACCAGTTTTTGCAAGCCGAGATCAGCAAAAACAACTTGTCCATAAGTGTATTTTCTCCAGTAAACCACTACTTGACCCACATTGGTTATATAACAAGAAAAATGGGGAATCTCAGGGTCTATAGCACTAGATCCATGGAGAGAACGATTGGGAGATACTCAAAACTGATCAAAAGTAGGGTATTCTCTGGTAAAAATGCCAGGAACTTGGTTGAAAGACTTGCAATACGTGGTTATCTGAATTGTGCATTCAACATAGAACAGCAGCTGGACCTTATAAAGCCATATCGAACATCCCTCGACAATTATCTGGAACTTCCACTCCCTTCACCACACAACCAAAACCACCAGCTGTGGAGTCCATTTGAATCAATACCCTATATAAAAGAATTCACCGATTTACCCACATTTACCAAGGAACTACAAATTTATTATACCAAATCTAATTCCCATTCAACTGACCCACAATATACCATGAATACAATCAAAATCGCAGCTTGCGCTTTAATCAGTAGCCATGTCTATGGCTCTGAAATGTACAGAAGAAAAAGATCTGAATTCCAGCGAGGCAATCACTACATACAATTCCATGCCATATACCAAAAGTAAGTTTTTCATAAAAAAAAGCTATATAGAATGAAGCTTCTAATTACTTTAATTCAAATCTTAGTAAAATCCACTGGTTTGTTAGCTCTGTGATTTTTTATTTTACCCATAACATCTTACCTCATGATAAAAGCTGCAGGCAGTTTCTTGTGTTGGTAAGTGTTATGAATGATCACTCGGCCACAGACTATAACTATTCCATTCCAGTCGTAACTCTAGAGAGAGCCTCTATATACCAAAGATTAGTAGTCATCAGTCTTAATGATATCCAAAACCAAGTTGGTTTAGTCCAAACTGCTGTGAACTCAACCAAATATAAAGTAGTCGCACCATACTATATATTTAGTGAAGACATGAAAAGTACTGCTGGAAAATTGAGATATATCAAACTGTAAATACCTCTTATACTCATTTTTCTTATCCTTTTTCCCTTGATATTCTCACAAGCAATAAAAAATAACTTTTTGTTTTTTTGATAATTAAAATATACTTTTATTTTAACAAATTAAAACAGGTAATAATAAAATAGAGAGCAAATCATGTAAATTAGACCTATAAAGTAGCTATAGAGATTCACCATCATCTTAAAAAATAACTTCAAGATGATGTTCATTTATGTTGAAAAGGAAAAAAAATGCAAAGTAAAAATTCGAGCAAAATAAAATATAAAAAAATCAATTTAAATCTCGCACTTTCGGTATATTAGTGGAAAAGATAGTAGGTCTGCCACATTGATTAGTAGTATTGTCAAAATACAACAATCTTGGCAATGAGACAAAAAAAAAGTTTTACGATTTCAAATAAAAAATAAATAAATCAAATTGCTATACTCTCTATATGATATAAATGTAAAAAAAAGATGTTTCTATTATGTTACTTTGCTCTTAAATACAACTTTATCTTTTTCACCTTTTTTTAATATTTTTACCAAACTCTACAACCAATTTGATTGGTTAATTAAAATAAATTAGTGGCATATCCACTACTATTAGTGGCAGCCACACCAATTTCATTCATAGTGTGTGTTTAAATTTTGAATTGTGTATGCGTTTTTTATGCTCTTTAAATGTCTTAATTGTCTTGTTACCTTTCTCCAACATGTTTTCTATAAAAAAAGATGTGAGAGTTGATCAGGAAATTTGTTGCGAATACCAGATGTATGAAGTACATCAAAACTATAGTCAAATATAGTATCCAGCCATTGAATTATCATAGGGGTTGCAATTTTTTGCATGTGTATATAGATTAAAGCTTTGTGATCCATATATAGAGTAAAGTAATGTCCCCAGAGAAACTTATGTATTTTTTCAGTGCAAATACTACTGCTAGCAACTCTCTTTTAGTTGTAGATTAGTTTCTCTCTGATTTCAAAAGTGCATGTGCCATAAATTCTATATAGCATTTCTGTTTGTCTATTATTTGATACAGTACTGCTCTGATTCCTAGGTTAAATGTGTCAGTAGCAACTAGAAATGAATGTGATAATTCAGAGTGCTGTAATATGAGATTGCTTTGCAGTATTGCTTTAAGTTGTTTAAAGCATTTTTAATGTTTTTCACTCCATATGTTTTTGATGTTGTTAGCAGATCTTAGTATATACAAAGTTGCTATTATATGTGCTACCATTGATATGATATCTCTGAAATAGTTCATAACTCCTAAGAAACTTTGAATGTCATGACCTGTTTTAGGTATGGACAACTTCATAATGTTGTTGATTTTTTTGTCAATTTTACTACCATTTTTATCAACTGAGAAGTCTAGCAAATACATGGATTTTTGTGCAAAATGACATTTGTTTAGATTTCGAATGAGATTGATATTAGTCAAAGTTTGTATGATCTGACAAACACGCTTGATATGTTCTTCTAAGCTGTTTGAAAAATGATAATATCATTGACAAATGTTTGTATAAATATCATATCTTTGAGTATTAATGACATCACATTTTGAAACTTCAATGGTAAAAATTTAAGTTCAAATGAGCATTGTTGAAACATGTATTGCCAGCTGTTATATATGAATATTATTTTGTGACCATCTTCTTCTGTGATCTTCAAATAATGGAATATATTTTTCAAGTTAAAGACTGCGAGTATTTTTGTGTCAGTGATTGCATCAAAGATATCTCTAATTAATGATAATGGGAATTTATTGTCTGATAGCAACTTGTTAATATGACATAAGTCTAAGCATAATCATTTTCTAGTTTTGGTGCTATATATGTCTTTTTTATTGGCTAATGTAAAAGGACTATTCCAGACTATATTTACTGGTGCTCTTACAATGATAGCTTCTCTTAACCAGTTGTTTACTACTTTATATATTACAGATCTTAAAGCATATGATAGTAAATAATGTCTCTGATAGATTTTTGAATCTTCAGCTATCTTGAGTTCTACTATTGATTCTAGTACTGTGCCAAACAAAGTTTTAGATACTGCTTCATTATCTTCTATGTAGCTAGCTAATATACTCATAAACTGATCATGTTATTCTTTAGTATGATATAGTATATTGTTAGATTCAAAATAATTATTTATTTCTTGCCTTTTTCTAGTACTGGTTTTATGTTTCTACTCTAGAGCTACTCCAGATAAAGTGATGCCAAGTTTAGATAATATATCTTGTTCTAATATTAAATAATCTTCTTGATTTATTTCTATAAATTCAAATGAATATAAAAATTCATAATCATTTGCATATGTCACTTTTAATGATATATTTTTTTCAATACATAAAGAAAAATGATTTTTCCCAGCAAACAATAAATGTCCTTTAACTTTTATAATTGAAATCTTTATTGTATTGATGCAGAATTTTAAACTAAGATATAAAATCTGACCCCCTGTGTCAACAAGATCTTGTATCTTATGCTCATTCAAATGAGTCATTCTCCAGAGTTTGAGTTATGTGACTGATAGATGAGATTATAATGTTTTACATAGTACTGATGATATTTACAGTTCTTGTTTTAGTGGCAAGATACTTTTAGCAGGTGTGGTGCTGTTGCCAAGACTTATTGCAATATCTGCAGATTGTTTCTGTGTGTTTGTGTTTTTGTAGCATGCAGCAGTTGGAAGTAACATATATATTATTGAATCTGTGTTGAGTACGAAAGTATTTTTCTTTGTTTGTGATATTCAGATTACTCTTTTTGTTGTTGGCATTGTTGTTACAGTTATCATATAGGTTATGTCTCTTATTGCTGGTTAATATATCATTAGTGAGAAGTAGTATCTGCTAAATTTTTTGAGACATTTCCAAATCTCTTGCAAACCAGACTAACTTGATGTTAAAACTAAGTTTCAGAGTTAAGCTACTTATGAAACACATAGCAAGATTATTATTTTCTTTTATGCTACCTTCTCTGCATGATTTCTAGAGCTTGATGCCATAGTTGAGGATGTATTTGTTGGGTCCCATTGTTATTATGAAAACAAGGGATTCAATTTCTAGTTATCTGTTAAAAGAGTCAAACTTCTTGCTGATGATTCCTTTTATATCTTTTCAAGAGATATCTTTTCTCTGTAAATTAGATTCATACTAAGTGTCATGATCATGGTTGAAGGACATTGGCAGTCAGATCTTTGATGCTGAGTCAATGTTGGTCTTGCTTGCTGTCAGAATTTTCTAGCACATTGATAAGAAATAGAATATTGAATCATAAACTGATTTCTTTGGATTGCATATATTGTCTCCCATAATCTGAAAATTGAGTATGTCATAGAAGGAGATGGATATGTTGTCTGAAGAAATCTTTGAGTCTTAGAACATGTTGTATTGTTAGTATAGCTCAAATCTGTTGAGCAAGGTGTTGGTAACCTCTATTTCCCTTTGAAATCTTTCTAATACTGAGTTGTCATATTTGTCCACAAATTCTTGGTTCAGCTACACCATTAGCATGCAAAGCTTGATCTCAGCATTGTCAATCAGTTGCACTAACTTAGTCTTGGCTTATTTTTTTATGTTGCTGCTGGGTTTATCTATAATTGAGTTATCATAGATGAGAATATGTTCACTGGGCTTTGAGATGAGTGATTCAATATATAGTGACATTGATAAATATATATATATGTATATAGATATGTAGATGCATAGATTAAAATATAGAAAGAAAATATAAATTTATAAAGAATTCATTTTAAAAAATAAAGTATTTTAGGATTGATTATATAAAATTGAAATTGAAGAGATACATGATAATATGAAAAACAATGAGTAAAGTAAGACTTTGACATATAGTTTTATTAAGAGATTTTGTTTTTATTAAAGATACTGTTTCTAGCTTGATGTTATTTTATTTCTTTTATATCTTTCTCACTTTGAAAAAATTTATCTCCTGTTACATGATATTCGTTCTGATTGTTATTATCATTTAAAAAAATATTTTCATATTATATTAACTGCAATAATTTTAGAAAGTGTATTAGTTCTAAGATATCAACTACTTGTTATTTGTACTGTTTCAGATTACTACTTTGACTTGAGTCATAATTTTCTAAGTCAGTTAGATTATATATAAGATTCTATAAATACTACAATATTAAAAAAAAGTCTTAAGAAACTAAAATATAATAACAAAAGCAGATTATATTTTCTTATAAAAAATTATACTTTATATTTATGAATAAAAAACAACTTATATACAGTCTAAAAGTATTTTTATATATCTTTATTTTATAAATATAACATTTTCTACTGTTTTGCATCTGAAATAATACAAGCTCATTATAAAAATTTATAAATCCAAACTAAAAAAAAATGTTAAACAGAGTAGCCTCTATTGCTCCATGCTCTTTATATTAGAGGTTTACTCAAAGATGATATAAAAATAGAATATAAAGTGACTGTGACTACAGAACCTTCTATTAAAACATATTTTTTCAATACTAGTTAAGTCTTACAAATACAAACTACTACACTTACTTCTATCCTGAAGGAAGCCAGTATAGAAATTATCATTCTGTAACAAACCTCCAATTGTTGTTGACATTTGGACCAATCACAATCAATTCTGTCTTTAATATTCTCTGACCAATCAAACCATTATATTTATTCTTATAGAAAAAACATTTATATACCAATTATAATTATTCTTTATAAATAGCAGATATACACATCTAATTATATATTTAAATCTCAGAAAGTTACACAATTACAACTCAATATAAGTCACGTGATTTTTATATGTTTCCTTGAAGTTATATAGTATAAAAGTCAACTAATTCAAAAATTGTTTTCAAAAAATTCAACTAATCTAAATATATCTGATATATCATATATTATGTATTATTATATATTAAAATTGATATTTCTCATTTTTCTCTTATTTTTCTTGTTATAAAACCTTTATTTTTTTGTTTTTTGTTTTTCTTATACTTTTATGCATAAT